TGGCAGGAGGCTGACATGCCTCCAGAGGGCGCATCCTGGAGCGCACGAGTGTAAATCTTTAGCCTCCATAGGTTTTGGAAGCCTAAGGCCTAAGCCGAAGGTAGGTTCCCGCTGTCACACCTCCTACGGCCCATTTTGGGCTTGCTACAGGGGTTTCCCCTTTCTTCAAGTGTAGGGTTCTTCATCCACCTGCATGCCCGGAGAAACACTCGAACACTCACTCGTCCATCGCTCCACGCTCCAACTCCCGATATTCCCGAAACAAAAACCAAACACACACATCCAAGCTAAGTACACGGGCAGTAGCATGCGTGTGCATACAGCAGAAGGATCCCTGTCTACAACGCCGCGCTCAACTGCAGTTGACACAAGTTGGTACAAGTTGTCTTGTCAAGTTGTTGTTCAGGGCAACGAACCCTACTGCCGGTAACGAGTTACTGACACGAATACACCCCCACCTGCAGGTTCCATGCACCGTATGCCCCGCCGCACGCAGTCGGGCGATGATGGGCCCCGCAACATAGCCGGTGGCGCCTGCAGGCAGGCGGGCTGCCAGCGGGACGGCAGGGCGGAAGGGCGCAGCATACCGGGACGCAACAAGCGTCAATACACGTTCCCTTCTGCACAAGACTGTGCTGTTGGATTTGACAGTAACACCGTGCGTGGTTACGGCGCTAGGTGGTGTTTGCCCTTCATTCGATTTTCGAGTGCAGGGTTGCTGTTCACCGCACCTGTGACACAGACTACCGACGGCGCCGCGGACCGTTCAGCCGGCCGCAGTGTCATGCGGTTCGTGAAGGACCGTGACAGCAGCACTGAGATGGACCGTGAGTTTGCGGGCAGCGGTGATGTAACGTGGAAAGGCTGCATTTTGCTGTAGCTAGTAGCACTAGATGGGCGTGGCGCTCGTAAAAGATAAACGGTGTTACTAACGTCAGCTTCACTCAAAGTAACACCTTTTAAACGGCAAAGTACGCGGTGTTCGTTTGTCGGGCTTTCATGGTAAACGTTATTTAGGGTGCATATAAGGATCGGATACCGGTAGCGATCGTTGCGTCACGCACGGCGGCACCCTTCGATCGAACACTCCACCTTGGACTGTTTCCAAACCCCCAAAACTAGCAATGTTTCTTCAGTTAATAACTTCATAAATATTACTTCTTTATAAGCCTGCATAATTAAATGTCGTTGCATATAAGATTGGACAGTTGAAGCTGCTGTGGGCTCTCGGTGGTCGTCGTTCGACACCGTTCGATCGAGCCTCGACAGGGACGGATATGATGCATGATGGCAGTGAAGCGACCATGTGCTTTGACAACCACCCTGAAATTCCCTTTTCCAGCCTAGGAGTCTCTTGACCTTTTCTCGCAAGCCAATCCGAGCTACCCTGACGGCGACGGTTTGTCGCATAGCGTGCGTCGACATACGAACCCGGCATTTCGTTACCGCAACAGCAATTCCATACACTTTTCAGGTAGCATCTCTTTCAAAATGAAGCCAATTTAAGATGCAGTGCGCAGGCCGTTACATAGTACGCAGATCGTAGTAGCAGTAGCAGTCCTTACGTAACCACTGCAGAAGAAGTTGCCATGCCAGGCCCCGACCTGATCAGGCTACACTGCAGCCAAACCAATTGACACCGCAACAACAAACAGGTCCAATCCTAAACCAGGCTACCCAAACGTAAAAGGTGAAGATGAACGATAGCCTCCGCCAACAACCGGCCTCCTCAACGCTTCCATCCCCCTGAGCGACGCTTAACCCTCCCTTGCTACTTCCAGGCTACTGCAGCCGCTGTTGCTGCTCCTGTACTAAAGCCACCCTCACAGGCACAGTGACCCTACCCTCCGTCCTCCGTCCTTATGACCCATTCTGCTCCTGCGCCTGCTCCTCCCCCTCCTGCTCCCCTGCCTCCCACCTCTCCAGCCAGCCCTCCAGCAGCGGGAACACCTCCTGCTCAGCGGACCTGCCCATCAGGATGTCGAAGTGGCCGTAGTGGTGCCGGGTGGTCAGGTGGTGGTGGTGCGAGGGGGAGTGCTGAGGAGGGGGTTGTTCTGCAGCCCTGCTGCTCTCACCTCCGCTGCCGCTGCCCCCGCTGCTGCCGCCGCCACCGCAGCCGCCGCCCGCTACACCCTGCTGGGTACAGCAACTGGCTGTAGCCGTTGCACCTTCAGCGCTGCCGCCGCTGCCGCCGCTGCGGCTGCTGCTTCCCTCAGGATGTCCCAAAAGATGCCCCACATGATGGGTTCCGGAGGGGCCCTGCGTGCCCACTTGCACGAACGGTGATGGTGATGGTGGTGGTGGTTGCTGCTGCGGCCCCAACAGCACGAAACGCGTACATCGGGAGCCTGTGAAGCAGGCGCATGTGGCCGCAGCGCCCTGGGCGGAGGAGGTTGAGGACGCGGTTGCCATGGGGGGGAAAAATAAGGGGAACTGCCGAGGCAACTAACGAGCATGGGGGAGTGGGTGGGAAGGGAGCAGGTCGAGGGAGTGAGCAACGGGCACATGCATATGCGGGCCCCTTTCCCCAGCAGCCACTCAACAGCAGGGTGTCTTCTACTATTCTTTCCCCAGCCCACCTGTCGACGCCGTACAAGACTTGCACCCGGCATCCCTCACCTGCGGCGGGCACGTGCGGTCCCTGTCCCCGCATACGAACATCACGGGCGTGCGCACCGCCGCAAGGCGGGAGGGGTCCGCAAACGCCTCGACACCGTCCGACGTGCGCAGACCCGTGGGTCCGAACGCGCTGCCCAATTGCAAGATGACCTGTTTTGGTTTCGCATCAGGAGGAGATGGGAGGAGATGGGAAGGGCACTGCATTGTAAGCGAGCGAGGCACAACACCCATCCTACACAGGTCGCTCCCTCCTGGGAAGTAGCTACATGTCCTGTTACAGGATTATTCGGATCTTTCCTTCCTCTTCCCTGCGCTGGAAAGTATGAGAAAGGTCATGTGAAGCTCCCTAGCTCCCACCTCCCCAGCCTACCCCTGCCGACAGCGAAGAGAAGTTCCTAGCCAGCAGCGCCCGCGCCAGCAGCGGCTCGGTGTTGGGCGGCCAGAAGAACAGCTGGTCCATGAAGCCCGCCAAGCCCCGCCGCCGTCGCCCCAGCTCCAGCCCATCCCGAAGCGCCAGCAGACTGTAGACCCGCAGGACCCAGCCGGCGGGAACCGACCACAAGAAGCGAGACAGCCACGCGCTGGGCTGTACGGCAGCCCACCAGCTGCCTGACAGGGGTGGGGCGGCATGGGGGTGCGGGTGGGATGCAAGGTGGCGGGAGGGAGGGAGAGCATGTGACATGGGGGGCATGAGCGGTGCGGAGAAGGACATGCAACTCCCAGGATACCGCCAACACCGAGTCCTGCTGCTGTCCTCACCACGTCACCATTCCCCACCTTCCAGAAAGCAGCCTGACGCAATGATTGTGCCACTCGCCACCGCCTCCGCCGCCTCGCCCCCTAGCGCCAGCAGTCGTGTCAGGATCATGCCGCCCATCGAGTGACCCAAAACATGCACGCGGGGGCGCCCCGAAACCTGCCGTACGTAGCGCAGTACGGCAGGAAGGTCCTTGGTCACGTAATCGTCAACTGTCCACCAACGGCTCCGTACGAACAGTAACGGCTTGTCGCTTTGGCCGTTACCCCTCAGCTCCACGGTCCACACGTCCCACCCCCTGTCCGCCAGGTAATCTGCCAGGCTGACCACGGGGGACAGGTCGAAGGTGTAGGCGCCGGAGGAGCCCAGACCGGGGACCAGGACGACGGGGAAGGGACGAGAGGAGGAGGAGGAGGAGGGGCCCGGGGCTGCCCGCGTGTGCACGAGGTGTAGGCGCCAGCCGTCAGAAGCGGTGCAGTGGTGGTGCGTCTTGACGTGGGGGACGCGGAGCGGAGGGCGGGGGAGCGGGAGACCCGGTTGGGAGGTGGCTGGGGGCGGTCTCGGAGCTGTTGCCGACGAAGGGCTGTCAGGGGCCTGACGGGCAGGACTAGTGGTTGTCGACGTCGCTGTGGAGGCGTCACATGGCACCCATGGCAGCTTACCTTGTGGGTGCTTCTGCTGCAGTCGCTGTTCGCGTCCCCAAGAGGCTCGTGGTCAGCGGGAGTGGCGGGAGGAGAGGCGACGGCGGCAGATTGCTCCATTGCCTTGCAGCAAGTTATCTAGCTAGCTGTGGATGGCAGGGAGGTAGATGGCTAGATCCTGGCTAGGTTGGAACAGCAACGCCGTCAATAAGTTGAAGCGGAGCAGCCAAGCTGGGCCAGGAACAGCTGACTAATGAGCTGCTGCTTGGGAAACTGGACATGGAACGGACCCGTGGGTCGTTTTTGATAGGGGCGAGATGGAAAAGAGGCCGGTTCTCTTTGCCGGTTCGCTTACAACTAGCAAACGATTAAGAGGTTAACGGCAAAGCAGGCTCAATATGATGCAGAATCTAGCGCTAAAGCAGGCTCAATACGATCCAGTACCTAGCGCCATGCGAAAGGCCGGCTGGACCCCCTTGCTGGCATTGCCTCACTTAGGGCGAACGTGCGAACGTCCTAGGACCAACTGATGTGTTTTAAGGTTCCACCCCATGTCACGGTTTGGCACGTTTCACCGTTGGAGCGTGACACGCAAATCACGCTATGAGCCTAAGCGAACCGTGTTTTTGGTGGGCAGGGAAGAGCCTAGCGTGCAATATTTACAGAAGTAAGCATGCCGTCCTGCCTATATGCGGTCCTAGACGGCGCCTGGGCCTCTTTGGGCCCGTCGTGCATTGGGACATGCCCGGAAACCCCTTTGAAGGCTAGATGGGTGCAATTAAGCCAGCCTGCGTTCCAATGCCATGTTAACACCCCTTGCAAACTGGTTAGTAAGTGCGCTCAGCATAAACTTGCCGGCCAACAGTTAAGGCAGTTGATGCTGAAGTTTTCTCATTTCAAAGTGGCTGGTTTTCGTACATGATGCAAGCGTGCGGCATGGGCATGGGTTGGGCTTCAGCTTCCAGTGATATACATAAAGTACGCTCGTCCGTGCCGTGCTGACAGTCCCAAAACTCGAGTGCTTGACCGAATATAGGAACGCCCATCGGGTTCTATTAAGCAAATAGCTGTAAGTTGGTCTACGTTCTGCTTCGCAAAAGGCGCTTAACTCGGTAGTCCTGACTCTAAACCCATCTTCGTATAGTTGGCAGCAATTAAATGTTTACGGCCCGGTATTGCTTAGTGGTGCCTAGGACGACCTGAAGTCAAGAGGAATATAAGCCGCTGCCGTCTCTTGCCCGAAAGGGAGCTTTACGAAATGGCTAGCGGAGCGGCACCGCCAAACGGGCGAAGGACGGCAGTGCGTATGTTACAGAAGCCAAGCTTTGAAAAGGAGGTTTCAGGTGAGGAAGCAAAATACTATCGGGCGTCCTGTCCTGTCAGCCTACGCATGCAGTTCTGTGGACGGTGTAGCCTGTTGTCTTTGCTGGGTGGGCAGTTTTTATCATGGACAGTACTCTTCATGCTGCTAGCGAGGGCAAAATTTCAGGCATGTACATCTAAGAGCTGGGTAGAAGGCGCTGTCGCCCATGTCCGACCCGTTCACAATTAACTGGGGATGTTGCGAAGCAACCAGTGAAGGAACTTTGGAAAGTGCAGAAGTACTGCACGGTTAGCTCAGCAGTTGCACACAATGCAGCTAGGCTGACAACTAGTACTAATTCTAGCCAGTGCGACGTATAAGCTCAACGTATTGCAGCATGTACTGGCCAATAATATACTATTGTTATACAAGGCCGCGCTTGGCCTATTCCAACGCAACCGCCCTCCCTTCATAACCTACAGGATGCGCTCCAATCGTCGCGACCAACTCCCGCACACCCCCACCAGCGACACCAGTCCTCCCACCTCAACCACCATCAATAAGTTCTTCCCAGCGACGGCGAAGCGCTTGCATTCCTTTCTCTGCCTGCGATGAGTTTCCCGTTCCTGACAGCAGCGCATCAACTGGCGCCATGGGCTGCTCCACCGCACCCTCCTCTCCTTGTATACCCCGCCGCACAACCAACATCGACGGCTTCCTAAGCGGCGATTTTGATCTCAACTCGCATTACCACATGTCCGTTCCACTAACCCTTCTCAGTCTACACAACGGTGGCGGACGCCACACTCCCCGCATGGCAAGCCATAAAGATGGCGCAACCACTCCCCTCGCATCTCCCTCGCTACTCTCCAGGGAGGGCTCCTCCAGCCTCAGTGGCCTAAGCGATGCTGGAGGAGCCCACGTCAGCAACGGCAGCAATGTAATCGATGATGCCAGCGGCATGGCGATCCCTATCACCGCAACCGGTATCAGCTCTCGCAGGATGTCCGTTGACTTATCCCTGGCGGGCGGCTCTCCTCCCAAGCGCTGCATCACCCCCCTCACAACAGCTCCAAACCCATTCCAATGCTCCTCGTCTTCCCCATTCCATGGACCCATCACCAATCTCGGTGCAGCAGCATCAAGCGGTGCTGCCGCTGGCAGCGCCTGCGTCCCTGCCAACGGCACTGCGCCTCTCTCTGCACGCAGCAACGGTCGGAACTCCTTAGGCAGCATCCCTGCCATTCCAGGCCTAACCGCACCCGCCGGCGGCGACCACACGCAGCCTTTCTCCACCTCAGCCCCACTTCCTTCCGCGACCAGCATGACTGCCAGCGCTACCGGGGTCACGGGCACCCCACTGTCCCCGCCGTCCTCAACACCACCAGCCACAGACGCTACCACTGCGGCCGCCGGGGGCTGCATGAGCAACGGCGTCACCCTGCCCGCGCACCTGTGCCCTCAGCGCCCGCCTACCCCCGTCTGCAAGGAGGAGGAGCTCCTCGTCTCCATGCGCCACATGGCGTCCCCCACCCGGCGCCGCTCGCGCTTTGCAACGGCAACGGAGTCCTCCATGCTGGCCGCTGCAGCAGCGGCCGTCGCAGATGAGATGGCAGGCGACGGCCCCCTGCTGTTGGACGCCTCAACCCACATAGGAAGCTGCAACGGCGGTACGGATGCTGGTGCTGACATGGCCAGGGAACCCCGATCTCGGCGATCTGGGTTGGTGCCGATCCACGTCGGCACTGGTGCGGATGGTGGGGTTGGCTGCTGCGGCGCCCCTGGAGCACTGGAGGTCATGGCTTCGGGGCCGTCTTGGTCGTCTGCTGGCGGCGCGAGCTCACGGAAAACAGCCTCGCAGCTGCTGAGTGTGCCAGGTGGGGTCGGTGGCATGTGGGTTGGGTGGAGTCGCACTTGGGCGCCTGGAGGGCTGGGGAGCAGTTGCTGCCTTGCTTCATATCATCCTGCGGCGTTTTTTGTTTTCTTGTACTGACCCCAACCGTGTCCCCGTTTCCTCTCTGTGTATGTTGGTAACGGCAGAGGAATCCGCATCGCGTCGGTCCACACGGGAAGATGTGTCTGCTCCCCAGCTTCACTTTCCCGCCCATGCAGCCTCAGCCGGCATCTCAGCCGCCTCTGCCGACTGCTCCTTCTTGACATCCAGCAACATCTCATCCCTGCACAACAGCACTCCCATCAGCAGCAGCACCAACAACTACCTGGGAGCTGGCGTTTCCTCCTTCTCCTCCTTCTCATCGTCCTCCAGTCGAACGGGGCCGTTGGGTGCGATAGGGTCCTCAGGCGCTGCATGCATGCCCGCAGCAGGGCTTGGCGTCAGCATCGCTGCAAGCCGACGACTACGCATGAACAGTAGCAGCAGCAGCAACGTCGACTCCGGCCTGGTGCTTCTGGCCCCGGAAAGTGCACCCTCCTCCTTCACCCGTGGTGCTGCTGGCTTCGCTGGTGCTACAGGGGGACCCGCTGCTGCCGCCTCCCCGCACAGCTTCAGCGGTCCAGTGTACGGCAGCAGCAGCTCCAACGCTACTGCAACCGCCGCAACTGCTGCCGCGGTTGCTGGCAGCGGTGGCGTCAGCGTTAGCGTGATGGGCGCTGCCCCTCCCAAGGATGACTCATTAAGCAGCTTCATGACAAGCCGAGTGCCGCCAGCTAGCGCGGCGAATGGTAGCAGTACGACAGGAGGCGGCAGCAGCAGCGGTACGGCAGCTGTAGCAACTGCTGCTGCTGCGGCGGCGTCGGCGGCAGCTGGCGGAGTAGTCTCCAGTAGCAGACGATGCTCTATGGTGACGTGAACGGCGGTGAATACGGGATGACGCATGAGCAATTTTGGTCAATAACGGCGGCAGCTGGTGCTGACAGCTAGCATGTCGTCTGGTAGTTGGGGCAGTTCGGTGAGTTGCAGGAATGACGCCCGGGAAGAGCAGCAGCAGCATCTAGACAGGGGCTACACAGGAGCAGACCGGAGCCAGGTGCAACATGATCCGAGCTAGGGTGGGCTGGTTGGCAGAGCTGATCTGGACCTGGCGGTTTGGAATTGTGCACAAGGAAGGGTCTCAGGTTGTAGCTGTTAGTTATTCACATCTATTGGTCTGTAAGTGTGGTTTGTATGTGGGACAGAAGTGTGAGCATGCCAGAAGGGCGGTATGAAAGACGTGTGAGCGTGCACGGGTGCTGAGCTGATGATGTGCGCGTGCGATTTGGGGAATGGACCAAACCAGCGACTGGGATTCAGCCTGTTGGGTAATGTATATTCTACTTTGGCTGCGCAGGCCAACCCTGTTTGCAAATGCAAACGGACCGCGGGCAGAGGGACATGATGATTGTCGTCATGCGATTACTCGGTCATCCCGTCGTTTGTTGTCCATTATCGTATCCCGTTGGGTGACGTGCGCGGTGGCCCACATCTTTGTTGAGGCGGGCAGTTGGGTGACTGAATCCAATTGAGATCACATGAGCAGGACGGGATGGAGAGAAACGAATGTTGGCAACAAACAAGATGCCGTCAAATGTGGCGTTAAGATGCGATGCCTGCGTGTGCACGGCTGGTATGGAGAAGAGAAGGCACGGAACTGCAAAAGTTCTTACAGTTGTTATTAACGGACGTGCGTGTTGCAGTAGTACGGAATGTCTACCGTACGCCAGCTGTTGAGGCGTGGTGAAGATTCGCAGGGCCTTCGTATCCACGGGGGCTGCGTACCATGAAGCCTCAATTTTAGCCGAATTGGGGTCTTCACGTTTCCGGCAAAGCCTTTCCAGTTTTTTGTTGCGTCATTTAAGCGATTGACAGCTGGGTTGGTTTGGGTTGGTAGTGAGTTCGTCACAACCCAATGGGGGAGTTCCTACACTCCTCTGGGACTATACACACGTTTCGTATCTGCCACGGCTTTAAGGTGAGGTCGACTTGAGTTGTGGTTTCCGGCCCGAGGAAGGACCGAACCGTGGGTCGATCGGTTGTGCACCGTTCGACTCGTGGCCAAACTAGGGAAGCAGCAAAGTGCGGAATGCGTGCGTGCGATGCTTTGGGGAGCGGAGTAAAAGGGCGTTCATGCGATTGCTTCGATAGTGATATCTTGCTGATTGTTATTATACTATGGTTTGCATACCGTAATAGGTTTGCCTGCTGAGGGCAATTAAGCCGTCGGAGGAAAGGTGTTGCTCAGGCTTTATGCCTTTTGACCTTGCTTGGAGACTGGTGAAGTAAGTTCTAAGCTCTAAGCTGAGGGGATTGAAGCTCTAAGCTGAAGGGATTTGCAGGTGCTGTCAGGTGGTGTGCTAGAATGTTGCATTCGCAGTGACCCGTGGTCGCGTTGGTGTTTCAACGAGTGTTTGTTTCGGCATGAACAGGCCTGCTCGACATGGCGGCCGAATGGACATCCAGACGAGTTGATTGTTGTGGGGTTGCACGCCTCTGCCTAACCAACTTCACGCTTCATCCCAAGCCACGGATCTAGGTTTGCAAAGACCATCTGTGTCGTCTCGCTGCTATTCGCAGTTGCGTTAAGGAGTTTGCAAGTAAAGAGATATTTGATGGGAGGGTTATGTATGCACGTTTGCAGGACACATGCATGCATGCAGCATGCGGTGTGCGTTGGCCGCGAGTAGGAACTTGCGTTTTTTGTGTGTTTTGTGCATCCGCCCTTCCCTTGGAGTGTGTTTGGGAGGTCACATGAGCCAGTGCCTTTGCATGTGAGAGCACATACACATTTAGGCGAATGAGAGCGGAGGCGGGGAAGGTGGGCTCCCAGTGACCATCTAGTGGTTTGGAACCTATTGGAAGATTCTGTGGTGAGGCTTGTTGGGCGCTTTAGTACCGGTGGTGGTGTTGCTCCTGTGATTGTGCTTTGGCTGGCTTGGAAACTCATCGTAATCACTTGAGAGGATGTATTGGTAGGAAACCACTGTACGGAGGATGGGTTTCGAGCGGCATAACACCCACCCGCAATTCCCCTTGTGCAAATATCGAACCTTCACCTGAACTAGACGTTAACTGTCTGGACGAATGCGGCCTAACCGTTAATGCGCCCCAAGCTGTGGCTTTGGGCTGACCCTGGCTCGTACTCTAGGGAATTGAGATTTCGTAATGACGTACATAAATGCATGTTTCTGCTTTCGCACTCCATAATTTCAATCCGTCTTTCGTCGTACCATTGGAATGGTTGGTTGGTTGGTAGATATGCACTTAGCTGTTATGGATATTTATTACGGTTGCATGGGAAGCAGCGGTATGGCATTTTGAGGCACACGCAGGTTGGAGCCTTTGGGCTGCTTGCCTCTGGATGCGTATTGGTGTGGATGCATCCATTTAAAGTATGCGGAAAGGACGGTGTATGTGTTGCTGGTAGCCTGCATTGCTTGTTAACTATCACTATACACGCTCTCCGTGTGCTCTTGTGCGCCGACTTCCATAGCACGGAGGCACGGCTAATGATGTCCCCTGGATGTGATCCTTAGTTCGTGAGCTGTCGAGTAAAGGCTTCCAGCCGGTCACGACATATACTACTAGTTGCATTCTACACAAGCTGGACTCAGCACAATTTAAACGAGTTACCGTATATCGGGAAGGATTGCCCTATACCGTGGGAAGGGTTCCAGGGTTTTGATTTCTGGGGTTTTGGTGCAGGAACGATAACAGTACGGTAGAGTTTGCGGAAACATGTCGCGGAGGACAAGCCGCAAGTCACCACGAGAGAGCGAAGAATGCGTACAACGTTGGTAAGGGGTGCGTAGAAGCCCTTGGGCAAGGCGTAAGTGAGTGCAGGTGAGCCAAAGGGATACCAGTTGTACAAATCAATGAATGACCGTTGCAATGTTCAGAGCACACCCCTCCGCTTCTCGTACCTACGCTTAACAATTGCTATATTTAGCAAACGCAGCTGCCTGTGCCAGTGTGCCACCGTCGCTGCTGGCCAACCGAAACCGGGTGGGTCTGGAGCTCATGTGTGACATGGTCAGGGGAATGCTGAATGCTTGCAAATCTAAAGCCTTTCACTACGCGCTGCAATACAGCGGTACAGGTACTCATGTTGCGACACGTGATGTACATGTTCTACGACATTTGTAATGGCCCGAGCCCCGAGGCAAGAGCCTGCCTCGTGTTATATAGGTATATCCGGTCTAGGCGTTTATCTTGGGGCATGGCTTGCATAACGTTATTGTCTTCTGGAAAAACGCTTGCATTGTAGCTGCCAAGTACGCTCGGCGCACAACGCAGGAGCCGCTTCGTGCCTTATCTGAGTGTAAGGCGTCAATAAACATGGACTCTTAACAAAATATCGCACTGATAAGCATTTATACCATTAACCATACTGTCCTCTTTGACGGAAGATATAGGGCAATTGCGTGTTTGGGATTCCATTAAGGCTTAACTGGGAATGGTCCTATGTTGCTTTGGCGGCCAGCGCTCTGGGAAAGAGCGCCTGCCTGCAACTCAGGCCAGGGCCGCAGAAGTCGTTGGAGACGCAAACACGAAGAATGAGTGCACAGTTATCAGGAAGGAACCCATTCTATTGCCTGAGAGGAGCCTGGGCAAGGCATCGCCAACTGTAAGTGAACAAAAGGGAACGCACGCACATGGTTTGCATTACGCACCTGGGGCAATCAAACATTGCGCAGCCTGAAGCTCCGCACAGAACAACTGTAACAATCTCGAGGTCGTAATTGTTTACTTCTACCTCTTGTACCTTTCATTCCTTTCATAAAGGATCCCTTCCTGCTTGTTTCCATGCACACCCGCAGGTCGCTGCCTTAAGATGCCACTTAGCAGTGGTGCAGGGATCTTGGCTGGCTCGCGCACATGCATGTGTGGATAGCGTCCTGGCAACCCTTCGGCCCCTGGCGCAAGTCAGGTGCGGATACCAGGTTGCGGGCACGTGAGCGGGATTCGCAAACATGCAAGCAAACTTCTCAAGCAGACCATGTGCCTGCGTGGGCCATTGTCGGGGAGCACGCGTCCATCAGCTTAGCCCACGGTCCTTCCTTGGCTTCACAAGGGTGCTGCCGCTGCTGCTGCTGCTGCCGTGCATGCAGACCAGGCCAAGCCATAGTACTTGACCTCCTCCAGGGTTTCCCCTTCCAGCCCACAGCCTCCAACCGGCCTCTTACCCGTCACGCTCTTCCCCAATTCCCCCTACTTTCTCCAGCCTCTTCGGCGCCTCCCCTTGCGGCACGGCCCTGGTTTCCATTGCCAGCGGCAGCCCCTCCGCACCCAGCGCTGCGCTCTCCCCGGGGCTAGTGCTGCCCATGCCCTGGCCCGCCTGCATGATGGTGGGTCGAGGCGCCGAGGCGGCAACACCGTTGGGCAAGGCTGTCAGCAGGGACCTCATGTTCTTCGGTGCAGCTGCAGCAGCTGCTGCTGCGATGGCGCCGGGGGCCGGTAGCGCTGCCCCCGAGGTGTTGGTCTGGCAGGTGGGACGGGTGCAGACGGGGGGTGGACAGGTGGGGAGCAGCAGGGAAGGTGGGTGGGCAGGTTGGACAGAGAAGCCCAGCCGGACGTGCTTTAGCTAGGCAGGTTAACCTCCCCAATTCCCCTCCATGTCACCTCTACTTAGGTGCCTAGCAGCACCCCGGAAGCTGATCACAACGCGACGGCGCGCATGGGCACCCTGGGCCGTCAAACCACGTACCTAAGCCTCAAGTCCTTCACACCCGTTCCAGCTGCTGCTGCTGCTGATGGTGATGCTGGTGCCTGCTTGGCTCCTTGCGAGCCGCCGGAAGAGTGGCGGTCGCTGCTGCAAACCATAGCCACTGAACTGCTGCTAGCGTCGGCGGCGTCGACGCTGGCTGCAGCGCCCATGCAAACAGGGTCAACAGCGCCGCCTTCGCTGCTGCTTTGGGTGGCCCTGATCCCCATACATCTTGGCTCCAGCTTGGTCGGAGCTCTGCTTTTGGTTCCCGCACCACCACCAGCACCTCCACCTTCTCCGGCGCCATCGCCACCACCGGTGGCGGCGGCGGCGGCACTAGCGGAGACCGGAAGTTCCTCAAGACAGTCAAGAGTGGCTGTTGAAGCGATGCCGACAGCGGCGGCGGCGGTGACGGCAGCCGGCTGTGCTCAGGTTGTGGTGGGGCTGCCGGAGGAGTGGAGCAGGGAGCTGCTGACGGGGGTGGCGGCGGCGGTAGCGGAGTGCTGTGTGGGGCCGCACCTGACGGACATACAGAGGGTGAGAAGGTGTTGAAACAACTGGCCGCATAGCTGACTCTGACCTGGGTAGGATGAGGTGACAGGGTGATAGCGGTGTGCCGGCAGTAAGCAGCAGCGGATGTGTGGCATTGGGGGATGTCCGCTTTTGGTAGCTAGGGTCCTTCCTCGCCTGTCGTCGTTGTCGCCATCGGTTCAGGGCGAGAGTTTTGGGTTTCTCGGCAAGTGCGGATGGCTCACGTATCATCGTGTGTCTTTGTTTAGACTGTGTCTTTAGTAGATAGGGATTGGATGAGAGCGCTGCACTCTCCACGCTTCCTAACTTGTTCTCGCCGTTTCCCTCGTCTCCCTGTGCCCCTTTTCCCATGATTTCGTCTGCAGGCTACTGTGGCTGCGAATGAGGTTGCAACCGCGGCTGACATCCAAGGCCTTGCGAGCGCGTTCTCGGCTTCCATCACTGAAGCCTTGTCTTCGGAGCTTCACGTGGATTTTGCCGTACGAGTGGCGCTGGTACCGCAGGTGTACGGTGTACGGCAAAACGGCGGAGCCGTTGCAGGAGCCGTTGGGACCAACCAACCATGTACGGCAGGGCTAACTGCCCAGTACGGCTTCATGCTTACGGAGCAACCGCAAGCCAGTGTACCGCAGCACCAACAGGCGACGTCGTCTATGACAATGGATGCCCTCGCCGCCCGGGGTTCCATGCAGGGCATACCGTCCCGTGGGTCGCTGCGGATCACGAACCACCAGCCGGCCATTGAGAGGTGAGCAGCGGGGTAGTGCTGTCATGGGCCCTGTGCGCACCATGAAAGCCGCCGCAGCACAGCAACACGCCTCTTACCATTTATACCTCCAATTTTACGCCGTCGTATTTCCTCGCCTGCACTTACCAAATTCACGCGGGCGCAACTCATCACCTACATTCATTTTGAATTGAAGTCGTAAGATGTAGTTCAGTAACCAGCTCCGCTGCGCTTGCCGCTCACTCCGCCCCGCTACCACCTAATCGCCATCTACCGGTAATACCGATACGGTGCCTCCCGCCCTGTCTCTTCCCTGTTCCTCACATCCTCAGGGTGTTGGCTCAAGCTGGCAGCCGGCAGGGTGGCAGCTTTTCCTCGCTTGCCTCCGCTTGGGAATCTGTAGGCGGCGGTGTCAGCCCCAGTCTGCATCACGCACTGATGACCCATGGGTCAACGGCAGCTGCGGGGCTGAACCACGCGGCCACCAACCCCAACATGGTTATGAGTTCTGGCACGCACTCGTTCCATTTGCCTGGCCCCGGCAACCGTGGGGGATGCAGTGGGGAGCAGCCCGTCCGGACATGGAAGGTGGGTTTGCGCGGACGAGCCGGGTTCGGTTGGTTGAGGGTTGAGGTTTAAGAAGATCCTTTGCCGCATTGGATCCTGTCAATACTAAACCACCTTTTTCCGCCGCCTCTCCGTCCGTTTCAACGTATGTCAGGCGCGACCCTTCTCGCTCGAGTCAACGCTCTTCGCTGCACTTGCGGCCAAGACAGCTGCTCGTACGGCCGTTACGGCCATCATTGCCGGCGGCCCGGGCATTCCAATGGCGTCAGTGCCGTACGGAGGGAACAGTCCTGCCGTAACCATGAGTACGGCACTGTCGGGTTTTGAAGACGTCAGCACCGTCGGCCCCCTTGCATCGGCCAACGCCGTACATAACGCCCACATTCCGTCTTGTCGTACGGCACTGGCTTCCGCCGCCGCCGCCGGCGGTTCTTCCATCATGTCGCCAAAAATAGGTGCTATTGGCGGCATCGGCGGCGGCGGCGGCCGGGTCAGCAGTTCGGCCGTACCGCACGTGCCGGCGTACGTCAATGATACGGATCAGCCCTCGGGTGACGTCATGCTACTTTTCCGTACTGGCGGCGGCGGCGGCGGCAACAGCACCGCTGGTCCTGTCAGCGGGCGCGGCACGTATCTCCATTCCGGGGCGACTTCAATGGCAGGCGGCGGCGCCGCCGCCGCTGGCGGCCCGGCCTCCCTCATCCTTGTTGTGGGTTGTGTGGACCTGCCGAGTTGCGTAAACAGCGGAGGGACTGATGAGGAAGCCCAGACGGCGCTGACGCGATTCACGGCGCCGACGCCAAGGCATGCCGTACGCTCGAGACCAACGACCGGCAACGGAATGGGGACGTTGGCGCCGCTGTCGTCACCTCCGTCGGCGTCCGCGTTGTGGCCTTTCGCCAACCTTAACAACCTTGGCGGAGGCGGAGGTGCCGTAGCTGCGACGGCTAGCGGCGATGCCTGCGTGTGGATTGGGTTGTACCTCACATGTCAGGACAGGTTGCCGACGTCGCTCCTGTTGGCGGCACGCGATCGGGCACAGCTGTTGCTGGAGGTAGGAGGTTAGAAGGTTACCTGTCCCGGATGATTGGGAAACGTACGTCGTTCTTCGTTATTGCCGTTTTGAGTGGCTCTAATACTGGGGCACCACCCAAGCAAGCTCGAAGAGCCTTGTGCTTGCTTTTTACCTTGAGGAAACCAACTCATCTTCCATCTAACTTCCTTCCCTTCCTCTCATGTTTTCTTTCCCATGTTGCTACAGCTGCTGCTACCCGCAGCAGCCGCCTGTCTCGCTGATGCAGCCTACTCGGAGCTGCAGTACATGTGCGACGCGGTGGGAGGCGGCGGAGGCAGCAGCGGCCTGGGCCCCCAGCCAACAATTCCCATCATACGTATGAATTCCTCCCTAGCCAGCGGCCGTCAACAGCACCTGGCCAGTCGTACCGCTGCTAGCCCCCTCCGCCACACCGCTAGCGACGTCGACTCACCCACCGTAACGTGCGCTGGCGCTGCCGCGGCTGTGCCCCCCGCTGTGGTCGCCTCCGTTGTGCCCATGTCCGCACTGATGATGGGTGGGGGTGGTGGCGGCAGCAGCAACGGCGTGACGGCCGCGGCTGGTTCCTCCGTCGCCATGCATAACAACAGCTTGCATGTGTCGCTGTCGCTTCGGGGAAGCAGTCGGGAAGTGCGGCTTGGCGAGTCGACGGCCTCGGTCCGAGGCGGCGTGCGAGAGGGTGCCATGGAGTCAGAAACGATGCTGGCAAGAGGTGAGTGGCTTGGGCTGGCAGTTAGGGAGCGGATGTAGGAACTGGGCAAGGTTGGAAAGCGGGGCGTCGAGGGCAAGAGCCCTAAGCGCGCGTCTCTCATGGCCTTAACTGTGCTATGCCCCTCCCTGCGGTATATTCTTCCTACCTTAACAACGCGCTAACGGAAACCTGTGAAGGCCTGCCACCGCTAGATGCCTCCTCCAACACCCTATCCGCCCTCAACCCATCATGGCTCATGCCGACCCCACCCCTCCTCCCCCACAGCTCTGGAAGGCGCCACAAGCGTCCACCTAGGCCTCCACACCGCCACCCTCGCCCCCACCGTCACCAACACCATCACCATCACCGCTTCGGCCCCCACCACCGCCATCACCGCCCCGGTCGTCTCCTCCAACGCGCCCTGGCTGGCCCTGCAGTGCAGCTCCGGCTTCCCAACCTCAAGAGACGCCTCCGAACCGGCGCCCCAAGTCCCCCGCAGTCGCCTTTCCCAAATGCAAGCAGCGACGGGTGCTGCTGCTGCGGCTGCTACGGGCGCCGCAGCCGCCGGTGGCGGCGGCGGTGCCTCTATACCCACCGGTTCGAGCCTCACTCCATTTCTTATCAGCAGCAACAGCTTGGTTTCGGCGCTCATGGGCAGCGGCAGCCACACGGGCAAGACGCCGACGAACATGACGACTGGGGGTGCTGGCGGAGGTGCGGGGGGGCTGGAAGGCGCGCTTGATAGCATCGTGTCTTCTGGTCAGGTGTCGCTGGCTCAACCGCGAGTGACCCGTGGGCCGCGGCTGGCCCACTCGCCCAGTGGGCTTCTCAACACGGCGCGAAGCAGCAACCGCATGCCACGGCAGCATGTGTCGGAACTGGTGGGTCGGGGGCGGGTTGGGTGTGCTATCGGTTGCGTTGCGTGTTTTTCGCGCTCCCTCATTGCATGTTTACGCGATGGCGGCGCATTGGTCGCGTTACGTATGTCTCTGTGCTTGCATGCACGTATGCATGCATGTATGTACGTTTGCGAAAGTGTGTTTGATATCCTCTACCTCGCCACTTTCGTGCATGAGCGGAAAATGACTTTAGTGCCCATCAAACTAGTATAACCGGAATGCATCGCCATCTCATCCCTCGCCTGTGGGTTCCGTTACATGCCCGACGTCTTACTTCCTCCGTACGTACGACGTGCACATGTAAACGACAGTTGGCGTCCATGCCATGTGACGTGTACGACACGCTAACGGTTATGCGGACCAACATGGATGTGCTGGTGAGCTCCTTTTGGAACACCCTGAGGTCGCAAAACACGGAGGGAACCCCCAGGTGCGTTGCGGGGCTCTTTGTTACGTGCCCCTTGCTGCGGTCAGCAGCCCGGATGCCTGCCATGCCTCGGTATTCCCGCGTGTGGTATTCCCGCGTGTGGTATTCCCGCGTGTGGCGCACCCCATGTGACACTAACGCCCGGGCTGCCGTATTGGTTAAGTTGCCCGAATCACAACGCCGCTGCTGTTGTATCAATTTTCATGCAGCCCGCACGCGGACGAAGACTTGCGCTTCCTACGACTGACCAAGATTCTGGGCGGCGGGGGCTGTTCCACCGTATACTCAGGGATGCTCCATGGCTTGGAGGTGAGACATGCGAGGGGGTTGCCGTGAGGGTTAAGAGGGGTTTCCTTAGGCGCAAAGGGGCGTCAAGCTGAACCAATGAAGGCTGACCAGGGCATTTCCATCATCAGAACCCAGTATTAATATATTTTACTGCTTGTTCCTCCTCCTCCTCCTCCTCCCTCGCCGTTCACCACAACAGGTTGCAGTCAAGGTCATGAAGGCCCAACTCGGCCCTGAGGATCTCGATGACGCCGCGCCCGAGGAAACCACCGCCAACACCTCACCACAATCCCCATCCGCACCCGGCACGCCAGCCGAGCCATCACCCCCCTCACCAGCCGCCCGCCAGGCGCAGCTTCGAGCCCTCATGCGGGGTGCTCGTGAACTCGCAGTCATGACATCCATCAGCCATCCCAACATCGTACAGATCTACAGCTACCACACCCGAGTGCTGGTACAGTCCAGGGAGGCAGCTGAGGCGGGTGCTGAGGCCGGTGGTGGAGGTGGCGGGAACAGCAGGGGGGGTGCGGGTGCAGCGCTGCTGCCGAAGCTGCTACCTGTGGCCCCGGATGCGGACATGGGCTCCTCGCCGGGGCCCCTGCAGACGGTGCTGATCATGGAGGTAAGGGGGGCGGGAGAGGGGGAGGGACATGGGGCACTTGTGCGGCACCTACACATGCTACCCGGGAGCCACACCCCATCAATCGCCCCTCCCTGCTTTTGCTCCTCTACGCGCCCACATGTCTTGCTGCTGCTTTCTTATCTTACCCGAACAGTGCTGCGATCTGGGCTCGCTAGCTGACGCTCTCGACAGTGGCATGTTTGCAAACGCCGTACGAGCAGCGGAATCCGCCCGCTGGCGTGCCGCGCCGCCGCGTCGCTCTCAGACCATTTCCCAGCTCTCCACCATCACCTCAGCTGCCAACAAGGCCTCCACCAGCAGCGGTGGAGGCAGCGGCAGCAGCTTCGGACGAGCTCCCTCTGGAAGCCGTGCGGCCGCGGTCGGCGGCGGCAGCGGTATCGCCATGCATGCCGTGTACTTGACGTTATTGGAGGTGGCCCTGGCGTTGCGTCACATGCACAGCTTGAACTTGGTGCATTGCGACGTGAAGCCGGCGAATGTACTGCTCAAGTCCTCCGCCAGTGACCCACGGGGCTTCACATGCAAGCTCACGGATTTTGGGTTTGTGAACCTGTTGCAATACCAGTTGGGGGATGCGGATGACCCGGCGGCGAAGCCTTCCATGAGGTATCACGAGCCGGTTGGAACGGTGAGATTGGATGGGCGGGGTGTGTTGAAATAGCTGGCCGCGAAGGGAAACGTACTGTGATTGCCGAAAAATGAAGTGGCGGGGTGTGTGCGTGAGAAGGGCATGAGGGCATTGTATCAAACCTGGTCCGAATGTGAGATGACGTGCAGAGCGTAATCCTCAAAGGCATCTAACATGGTAGCGGCAAATGGGGCATTCGTGTAATGGGATTTTCATACCGTGTGTGTATATCCCGTGGGCCAACTGCATCTCACGGCGCCCCCCCTCCTCGCCATGTTCTCCTCACACCTCACACCTCATCTCGCAGGTGACACATCTGGCCCCCGAAACTATGGTTCAAGGTGCGTAGCGGCGGAGGTTCAGTCCTGATGTGCTAGTAAACACATAGTGCCGACACCTTGTGCTGATAAAAGACATTTGGGTGTTTCCTTGGTTACTCGAATGGACTACTGTTGCGCTCCTTGCCCCGGAAGCGGAGCTCTCTGCCTTTCAAAGGGGAATGTCTTGAACTCTTGATCGGCTCTGAGCGTAACTGCCATCTAATTGGCTGCCATCTCGGTTTGCAGGCAGCAAGCTGGACCATACCGTTGACATCTTTGCTTTCGGGATCCTAATGTGAGTGGGGTTGACTTGTTCCCTAACATGCCTCAAGTAAGCGTCTTTTCCTCGCAATCGGAACGGCGAGTTTCTTGCCTCGTCATGGAGGGTGTATGTGTAGAACATGCTTCAGACGCCTACTGCATCGAATTCCGCGGGTCGCTTCTTGCTTCTTCCTGTCCTCGCCCCCTTGCTTTCTATCCTGATGACCTTGGTGCTTGGGGCGTGCCCTTACTTGGTGCTCTCCACCTCGTGTTGCTTGCCTCCCAGACATATGGGGCGACATGCGTTCAACCCCTGACATGGCGCCTGCGCTGCCCCCTTGATCCCCTCGTGTGGTCCGACCCCTCTCAGGTGGGAGGTCTTCACCGGCAAAGCGCCCTATGCGGAACACGCGGGCAACAACTTCCGGGTGAGTACTTAATAGTACTTATAGCACTTATCCTTACTTATTAGTACTGCTGTCAGTGCTCAGCAGTGCTGTAGCTGTTAACTATGTTTGGACCCGCTGACTAGACTCTTAACCTTCCCTGCTGCTGCTGCTGTGAGCAGGACGTGCCGTACCTGGTGGTACGAGACGGCATGCGGCCGGTCTTCCCGCCCGCGACACCCACCGCATTCAAGTGAGTGGTGTCGGTCCGCCTGTGCGTTTCCTTTGGGCGCTCCTGTTGCTACGACTACTACTGCTTCCTCGCGTCTGTCTGTTCGTGTAGTGCTTTGCATTCCGGCCAACCCTGTGATGATAAAGTCCCCAACTTCCAAGTCCTACATTCGTCTGATGCGTTACAACTTACGGTTCTACACAGCTCTTTTGCGCACTGAGTGAACCGCATGTCCGCATACATGGCAGACGCTGATACGCATGCTGAGCATGCATGCATGCATGCAGCCTCCCTAGAGTGGACCGTACACATGACAGACATGCATGTAGCCTCCCTCGCTCCTGCACGGGGTAACCCACAGCATGTGCATCCCACCCATGCATGCATGCATGGCTGTATTGTGCTACGCAGGAGCCTGGCCCAGGCGTGTTGGTCCGCCGATGCCAGCAGGCGCCCCACCGCCGCCACGTTGGTGGGCTCACTGCAGCGGCTGATGGACACCGCTGCGTCCCGGGGTGCCTGTTGATGCTGCAGCTGCTGCTGCTACCGCTGCTAATGCTGCAAGGCCCGAAACTGCTGTTGCTGCTAAAGTTGAGAGCATGAGTGGCACAGCAGCACTGGCACAGCCCAGCAGGAGCAGCAGCGACTTTCGTCAATCAGCCGAAACATGCATGCACGCAGGTGCAGCAGCAGCAGCCGGGGCAGCCAACACAGCATGGAAGCAAGCTCAGCTGCAACTGCGGTAGGCGTGTGCCGCGCGGCTCATGTACCCGCAGCAGGGCTATTGAACCCCACCAGCCAGCCTTACCTCCCGTCTTCCAGCCAACTACAAGCTTTCTGACGTGCAAAGGTACAAAGTAAGATCGAGGATGTGCGGGGTGCCACCGTTTGTCCTGTCCTGCTTGCAACCCAGGATGTGTGGGCGGGTCACATGCGGGGTTACCGCTGTGATAACATATCCGACTTGCATTCGCGGTTTGTTTTCAACTGACGTGCGATGGATTGGGTTGGATGGAATTGCTCGCGTGCGGTTTGGTTGTTTGGTGATACTTGGTTTTACTGGCAGCCAGTTGACTTAGCCTTTGTTGTTGAAAGGTGATCCAGTGATGAAGATGCTGTGGTTGGTGGTGCAGCAGGCTTGCTGTGAATTGATGCCGGTACGTGGACGTGCAAAAATTCAAAGGGGAGAGCTATCTTACTTTTCAGGGCTTGGCGATCTTATATTTCAAGCCTTGCGGTTGTGGGGTTGGCCTGAATTCGTTGTTGGTTGTGTTGGCAATCTCATTGAGAAGGCACACACTACTTTGGCTGCTTATTTCACCGGCGGTGCTATTGCTTGGTATCCAGATTTCCGTGTTCAGGGTTGGCCGTATCACTGCCGCCCAAAGGTGCAAGCGCATTCTATCCTTCCAAGTCGTGACGAGCTGCAGTATGTGGTGGTGCTTTAGCTAAATCCCTCGATCAATTCCGGTGCAAGCCGTTGCCTGTCGTATCACGCGCCAGGTAGATACGCCAACACGTACGCCCGCACGCTTGTTCGAAACATGCTCATGCATGTATCGCAAGCAGCAGTGCTGCGTGTATCTCGCCATTGCCGCATCACCGGCTGCTGCTGATACTAATGTGCATGTATGGTTTAGTGTTATTCGCCAAACACCCAATGGCTTCTGGTCAGTTGGGACGTGTACTATTAGTAGGTGTTCTGCTGGGGGCTGCTTTTTTCTTTGGCAAACTGAGGTCACGTAGCTGACGAGGTCAAGCTTAAGGCTCTGGGACTTGAGAACGTTTTAAGGCAATCTGTGGGAGGGGACGGTGTTGCGCCGAATAAGACTACAATCGCCACTGCGAATGCACGGCAGTGTTTTTGGATTATTACTTGGTGCTGGCGGTCCGGCTGTTCAACTATGACACTCATGCGCTGATGTACATGCATAAAATCCGTTGGGTCGCGCACCCGGTCCCAAATGTGCAGATGGACTGGGTACGGCGCGATCCAATGCGTATGATTGTGAACTGAGACGCGATGATAAGAATATTTTCCTTTGTGCGCTGTACGGCAATGATTGGCGCCATGCTATTAGTGATTACACTCGTTGACAAAACAGTTTTCATTACATGTATCTCCTTGCTTGGGGCTTCTTGGCCCTTGAGGAAAGTAAGGGCCGGCGGTTGTATAGGGTTGAGCCACATGCCGGTGCGCTTTTGATAATTCCATTCACGAACGGTTGGGACTTGAGAGTCAAGGCAATCCGTTTTATTTCGGTTTGCGGTTGTTATACGGGTTGTTTACCTGTTATGGGACACATGCCTACACATGTGCGTGTCAGGGGCGAAGTTGAATGACGGATCTGTGCTACTGCTGGTAAAACAATTGACGAGAGTGTTGCCCCGTAAAGGGTTACTACTACTACGTCATCATGCCTGGGCTCCCTGCGCCCCCCAAGTCCTAGTGAAGCTAGCTAGCAGGGCCTGCTCAGCTGATGCATCGAGAAATGTGTGAGAGAAAGCAAAGGAGTGAAGTAAGACAGTGCAACCAACGGTATCTTGGGGAGCTAGTACATGTGCTTTGCATTGATGGCGTGTGTGTTGCATAGGGGACCGGCGATGAGGAGGAGTGCAGCAGCTCTCGGTCAAGACATCCCTTGTCTCTTGCTTTGTTTGTAGCCAAGTGCTGCTGTAGTAGGTGCTGCCCACCTCACCGGCTATCTACATGATTGGACCGTAACAAGAGATAGCCTGCATGCTTTCCAATTGGAGGATCGTCGGAGGCTACCGTATGCGGGTGAAGCAGCTGGGGGGGGGCGTGAAGGGAGGGGACCTCTTTAAGCTTCGTTTCGGTTGGTTGGTATATTGTTGGAAACTCCGGGTGCCGGTACAGAGGGAAATAAGCAAATAACGGCACAAGATTCCTTCCTTGTATCGTAATAAGGGCGCTGGGTGCATTCTATTCGGTGGTAGGATTTGTCTTGACTGCTGGGGCCAGTGTAGGGTGGCAGGGAGAGGTTGATTGCAATGGGATTGGTGGGGCATGGAACACTTGCTATTGCTGGCATGGGAAGGTGTGTCGAAATGGCTTGATGCGCGGCAATCAGGTGCGGAGCTGCGATTTTATGGGACGGGACATGCTTTTATGCTTATTATATTATGAACGAGTTTAATTGTGCAGGAAAGGTTTGGTGGTGTAAGGGCGGGCGGTGTGTGTTCTGCTTCCACGATATGTGTACGGAAATTTCAAGTCAGTGATTAAGTTATCGCTCAAGGTTCAAGATCGTACGTGTTCCGTACGAACACCGTTCTTTGGTAGCTGGAAACTCCTCCTTCTCTCCTTTAGGCTTTTGTCTGTACGTTGGAATAAAGCATAAACTATGATTGAGCGCCCATACTGTTCATAACGAATAACGTGATTATGGTTGGGAACGATTGTGCCGTAGCTGTTGCTATGGTGCGGCACGATATCAGCATATCACGGAATGACTGATTGAAGAAACTACTATAGGAATTGCGAAGCCCAGAATAAGCGTCGTAAGGTTCCTTTCAGGTGGTTTGTTTGCTCTTGGATGGCACCTAAACCACACATCAACGCCTCTTTCGCAATCCTCATCACGTTACTGCCACGCTTTTAGGGATGGCGGCTACTGGCTAGACACTGTTGAAGAGGATATCCACTGATGAAGACCACGAGCTTACAAATTGGGAGAAACGAAGAAGGGGTGCAATTTGTGTAAGGAAGTAACGTTTCTAAGAAGGCTGGGGAGACTCTTATGGAGACGAGGGAGGGTAGTCTGGGAACGCAAAGCGGGCAAGTGCGTACATGCATGTACTTGTTATTGTTGTGGAGCATTGGGAGGCATGCGAGGGGAAAAAAGGATGCCTGGATTGGGGCAGTACGCCATTATCGGGGGGTGTATTGTATCTCGGATGCACGTCCTTTCCATGGTTTGTGTGTGGTGTTAGCCCAAGCAACAAAGCATGCCAGCAGCAAGCGACGAAGCAAGCCAGGGCAAAGGGGGCTATAGACGTACAGGGTTCAGTGTCTGTGAGCTGCTTTATGAGAGGTCGGTAGGGTTCTGAGAGTTATGGTTTCCTGGCAACTTCCTTACAGCAGGCATACTGTTCTGCGCTGCGAGAGCGTCCATTTGCTATATCTGTTAGTTAGGTGGAGCAAGATGCAGATTGAGCGAGGGTCTCTTTCCATGGATACTTCTTCCCAGCGCTGCACTGAGCCAGAGTGCAAAGTGCAACATCTTTCCGCACGTCCTGCTGTAGGGGCGGCACTCCTAGGATTCCTAGCGCAACTGCCTACACCCCGGCAACTGTGTAACATCTGCACGTTGTTGCAGCCGCAATAGCTTCCCCAGAAAACTGAAGCCCCTGGCCTGCGATTTTCTGACCTCAGCGCAGCCTCTCCCCTGTCTCCCTGAGCCAACGACCGGGCCTCTACCGCCAGGCTTGACGCCGTCCCCCAAACTCTCACCGTGCATGCACGTTCCTACTCCCGGCCAGCTTTCTTAACACGCCCATGAGTTCTAAGTGCCGAAACGAGACAACACCAATACCGTCACCGATTTACCACATCTGCCTCATATGTCTATATCGCGTCGTTGGAACGGCAATTAGAACCCAGGCGTCATCGGCACGCCACCCTCGGGCACAGGCATAAGCCCCAGATCATCAATCAGCAGCGCCGAAACCACCGACCCCGCCCGCAGCACCCCGCTGTCACAGGGGATCTCCAACAACGCATTCGCGCTCCTCGCAGACAGCAACCGACTGCTAATCTGGTTGCCCGTGCTAACCGCCCAAAACTGGAACCCTGCCAGCCCTTTTTCCCCCTCTACCGCCGCTGCCTCCTGTGATGACCCATGGGTCGCTGCCGCGGCCGTGCCGGGCGGCGGCTCGCAGCTCCAGACCAGCGTTGCCCGGTGGTACTCGGGACGCTCGGGGTCGAGGCGGATGTCAGAGGTGAGGCAGGCAGCCACGCGACGCAGCTCAGGGCGCTGCCAGCCGGCTAGCTTGCGCAGCGCGGGGAGCACGACGAGGTTGAAGCACACGAAGCTGCTGACGGGGTTCCCTGGAGGAACAGGGGGGAAAGTGGGAGGTAGCAAAAAGGGATTGGGGAAGTCATTAACGGCATTGATGCATACTATTAAAAAAGCATTATTGTTGTAACATCCGCAAACCCGTTCAGACCTGGGGCGATTGCCGTGCAAATACCCATGAGTGAATGAACCGACCCATGGGTCACTCCTTACATCGCATACTTCTACACCCTCTTAAACTCCACCCTGCCCCGACCCAACACAACAACCGCCTACCGGGCAGTCCAAACACCATCATCTGCCTGCCGCCCTGCTCCGCAATGGAGAGCGTGGCGAATGTGAGCGGCTTCCCCGGCTTCATACGCACACGACCGAAGTGGATGGTGCCCTGCCGCTCCAGCAGGGGCTTCACCAGGTCGCGATCGCCCATGGAAACACCGCCTGGGTGGGGGTGTGGATTTGCAGGGAATTGGTTTGTAAACTGTTTACAGGTGTTAGGTTAGGCGCAGCTGGGATAAGGTTTTCCAGGACAGGGTTTATGCCGTACGGTGTTTGGTAGTACCGTATTCAAGGCAGTTCCCGCCACCCGCCGCCCCCCCCATCAAGCAACTGATGGGATTGTCAGCAACTTGTATCATTATCATACCACACTTTGGAATTTCTTTTTTTCCCCCATCAAGCCCCACCCGACGTGATCAGCACATCTGCGCGCTGCTCAATGGCCGCCGCCAGACATCCCTCCAGCTGCCCCACCGCGTCCCGAGCAACGCCCAGGTCCACCACCTGCGCCCCCGCCCGTGCTGCTGCTGCGAGCAGCATGGCGCGATTGGCGTCGCGGATTTGACCCTGACCCAGGGGTCGTGTGGCGGGATCTACCACCTCGTCTCCTGCACAGCAGGTGTGTTAAAGAAAATGATGTTGAGAGAGAGTGAGTGTGGTTACAGTAGGCTTATTTCTGCTTCTTCTGAGCAACTATTAGCTGGCGAAACCAACGCCAGCTGGCAGCATGATGCGTGCGAGTAACAGAACGCCCTGGTCACGGTATGCCAGGCCGCACGACACACAAATCCGCCGCCCCTTGGCTCTTACCTGTGGACAGCACCGCCACCTGATGGTGGGTCAAGAAGAAGCAAGGGGCAGCAACACATGTCGTCAGTAGTGGTGCGCAGTTACCGGTAGAGCCCCGTGCAGGTTTATACGACAGCGTAGCAGTTAGATGTGGTGGCGAAAGACACTTCTGTTGAGAACCATGACACTCACGGCAGCTAAGTTCTATAACCATTCCCATGCAGAACCCCAATGTTATTTTTCGTGTTATATGTAACACACAGTAACACTTAACAACACCACCCCTGTCACCGCCCCCCATCATTCATCTTCGCGGCCACCATCATCAACCTCTTCTAACCTTGGGTGCCGCATGAACTGCCAGCTGCACAGCTCCCACTGTGGCCAGGATGCCCACCTCCGCCACCCCCACCACCTCCCCAGCCCTCAGCACCAGGTCACCCTCCCTGCAGTGTGATAAAAGGTGGGTAGGCGAGTTCATGTGAGGCCTTCCTTCGACCTTCCAGAGAACCAAAGAAGCGTTCAGCAATGAGTGCTGCGTGTCAAACAGCGTGTCAAAAACAGCGCGTCCTTGTGCAATACACATGGTGCGGAACGAAACACGGACATCTGGAAGAGCTGTGACGGTTGGGCCTATCTCCCAAATCCCTGCCATGGCACGTGTTCCTGTCCTTCCTGCACTATGTGTGCTGTGCACCATGATGCTTTTTGGTAATCCTGGCGTTGGCAATGTGCGTGCGATGTACAAGGGGCTTGCAAAGCCGTGCTGTGTGTCCTTTTTTCATTACTTTCACGTCATGGCTAACACCGCTGCAACGGCAATGAGATAGACATCGGTCTGCATTCTAGTGTTTTTGTTTTTTGCTTTTAAAAGGGCCTTAAAAGGGCAGGAACACGATCAGCGTGCGAAAACGCGGGATTCCGAGGGCCTTACGCAAGCGTACGGGTACATGTAAGTTAAATTTGCCCATGACGTCATCAAGATCCGAGACCCCATAGCGGTGAGATATCGCCGAATGGTCCTATGGCTTAATGGATAAAGCGCCGGTCTACGGAACCGGAGATTCCAGGTTCGATCCCTGGTAGGATCGCTTTTGGCTTTTCCGGACAATTGCATTTTGCAGGAAAATCGTCTTTGGACATTCCTTGTGCTTACTTTGCGAAATGACTTTCCAATCTACTCTTTTCCATGTCATTCGGAGCGCTAACAACGGGATTTGCCGCTTGCAAATCAATCGTCTTCAATCGTCTTTGGACATTCCTTGTGCTTACTTTGCGAAATGACTTTCCAATCTACTCTTTTCCATGTCATTCGGAGCGCTAACAACGGGATTTGCCGCTTGCTTTGCCCTTTCGGCGCCACTGGTGCCGAACGGCTCAATCATCACGTACATGCTTGTTAGTTGCGGCACAATAACGGACTGTTATATATCACAAAACACAGATTCAATAAACATCACATGCGCTTGCTCCTTACGGCACACGACAGTACGCGGTGGATGTTGCAGAACCCGATTCGGCACGAAACCACATTACAAAGCAAAGCCACCTCGATTACCGTACTCACGTGATGTCTGACCCCACCGGCCGTATGTCCTGGCCCGGCTTGGCTGCCTTGTTGATCCGCACCCGCCGCTCCCCCGCTGCTCCTCCTGCCGGCTGCACTGCCTCGGTGTCCTCCACCTGCACCACGGCATCGGCACCCGGAGGTACCGGAGCCCCTGCAACAGCGCAGGAGGAGAAGGAGGAGCAGCAGCAGTAGCAGTAGTAAGACGGCATTCCCCAGCATCCCCTGTCCTTTTATGGTCCTTGCAAAGGCGTGCGTGTTATAGGAGCACACTGGTTCTGACCCGTTCGCCACATTCCATTCATCCGCATGCAAAGAGCCCAATACAGCGTGGCTGGAGTCCTTAAATGCATACACCTCCAATACTTTCATAGTCCTCTTCCGCTCTCGCTGGACTGCAATCCCGTACGCGGCGGCCCATACACCCAGCCACCCACCCACCTGTGGTGATGTAGGCAACGGTTCCAGGACGCACGGGCAGGTCGTCTAGGCGCCCCGCACGTGATTCGCCAATGACCGGGAATTCGCCCACACCATCTGACGCCACAACTGCATAGCCATCCTGCAAGCAGCCGGAAGGAGGAGCTGTTTGGACGATGAACACAAACTGATTTTAATAGGATTGTTTTAACGGTTGGGGGTGTGGAGTGAGCGGAGCAGGCCTTGCGTTGGGCAGAACAGTGCGGTCGGGTTCGTTTGGCAACAAGGGTTATGTTGGGTTGTGGTACACATCCTTTCCGGGTGCGCGTGGATCGGGCGAGCAACACTTGCCTTAATGGACGCTGGAAAAGGCGGAAGGGAATCAGGGGCTTTGACATCCTCAGCCAGCACGCGGCCTGCAGGCCAAGAGGGCATGCGCGATGTCGGGATCGAGGCATGTGGAAGTTGGTCACACAGCGGAGCTCGGTACAACGTCGAATATATTAAACCGACTATAGATTTTAAGCAATTGGCCGCTCACCAAGGGCATCTGCAAGTCCCACAGTTACAGCGCCGAGGGGCTGTGTGAGCGACAGGACGATGTCCTGCGCCTCAGGGATGCTTATCATTTTATACGCCGACATTGTTACGTCAATAAGCTAAGCAGTGATTGCTTAGCTCACATGGTAATTGGGGGGCGTGCATTTGGGAGGCAGCAAGGGCCGCTTGCAGGGGCCCTGTGCATGCAAAAGGGGCACGTTGGTCATCCCCAGATCACAAGTGAATGAGTGATCATCCATAACAAGTTCCGCTCTGTATACATAAATACAACGTGTGTACCTTGGCAGTGCTTTTCCTTACCGGCTAGCTCTAGCGGTGTTAGGTGTCGACGTTTGCAACACACGACATTCTTATTGCTCATCCGACCGTTCTTACAGTTAGCTGAAGGGCACCTAGCTGTAAGGGATAAAATACAGTTCGACATAGTTTGCCATCTGAATGGCGGAGGTCGAGGCTCCTGCTCAGGAGCTGTGCCTTCGCTGTCATAAGGAGCCGATCAAGTTTATGACCCTTCCTTGCCGCCACCACACTCTGTGCACGACTTGCGCTGCTCGTGTAGCGACAGGTGCTGCTTTCGGGGCTCACTGGATGGCTCCGTTCATACGCTGCGGCGGTAACTTGCGACATAACGTCTTCGCAATGATGTCATTGATGTCTTTACATCGCAATGCACTTAGGCCGAGCGCATGGTGCCTTGAAATGCGTTGACACTAGGCTGACGCGAACCCCTCCGGTCCCACGCACATGTAGGTGGCAAGTGCTTCCTTTGCCACAAGTTCTTCCAACGCCTCAAGCATATCCCTGCTCCCGGTGAGGAGGAGGAAGAGGAAGAGGAGCAGCAGGAGACTGACGACGACGATGACGACGACGATGAGGATGCCCAGGACGCATCCAAACCAGCACAGTAATGCCGTCGCACAAAGCGACGGAGCCGCGAGCTCGACCTCGATCCAACGCAAGGCACGAAAAAGTTACCAAGGCCACGGCCGCCGACCTTTCCAGTACAAACCTCATGGCAATGTGCTGCCAGCGGTGGCCTGTGTCGGCATGTTGGCTGCATATGCGGGCTTTAGGATTGCTCTGTTACGGCGCAGAATGGGCCTGCCAGGGCTGCCATCGCTTTGGTCGCGAGCGTCGTGCATGCTTGCATCCATTGCCGGACATCTCCATCAGCCCACCACAAACAGAACCTCCAGCCACGAAAAAGGGGAAGGTGTAAGCATTGGGGCTGGCCATGCTGTATACTTCGTGCCCCTGCCGCCAAGGCTGCCCGCTGATCAGATTGCGGCAGCGCCGGAGTCGGCAGTAGCAGCAGCAGCAACCTCAGCTGTGGCACCGGGGGTTGCAGCAGTAGCAGAAACGACGGTGACAGGGGAGGAGGCAGCTACAGCAGCAGCCGAACCACCGCTGGAGGTTCGTGTGGTTGACTTGCGGCGGGTGACAGGCGCCGAGGAGCTGGCAGCGGCTTTAAGTGGCCTGCCAGGGACACAGCCATGGGGGTGTTGTGGGGGCCAGGACGGGGAAGGGAAGCCAGAGCAGGAGAGCTTGAGGGAGGCCGGGACAGGGGGAAAGGAGAGAAGCGGGAGTGACCGTGGGAATGGCCGACGGCCCGGAAGCGACGAGGAACTGCTGAAACAGCAGCAGCAACATCAGCAGCAGCAGCAGGGGTGCAGGGTGATGACGCAACAAGGAGGCGGGAAGGAGGAGGAAGAAGAGCAGGAAGAGGAAGAGGAGGAGGTGGTTGTTCTAGGGCTGGATGCCGAATGGGAGCCGGAGCTGCTCCCGGGGGTACGACACAGGTGAGAGGGGCTGTACGGCTGATGGTCTTGGTGCCGTACGGCGCCCCGTGTACAATTTTGCACGTACCGTGAGAGGATTTCGTGTTCATCACTTCTATCGCGCCTGTAATCGTTCATTTCAAGCACCACTTCCTGCGATGTAGGTCATGTCGTGTTTGTTGTTAGCGGCTGGTGTCCCGCTCCTCAATTCCCTTTCCGTCCCACTCGCTGTCGCTCGCATGTTTGGCCTGGCTTGTGTCATTGCATTGACTTACCTTTTGCCCTGCCATCCGTTCAGGATCTCTGTGATCCAACTGTCAACGGCCAACCGCTGCTGGGTGTTGCAACCCGGCGACTCGTCCAATGAGGCACCGAATGTCGCTGCATCGTCATCTTCCTCGTCAGCGGCGCCGGTTGTAACGGCGGCAGCCTCAAAAGAGGCAGCGGCGGCGGAGACGGCGACACCGCAGTCGCCTCCGGCGCCGCCGCCCGGTGGTGGCGGAACGCTTCCTGCGGAGGTTGTGCGGCTGATGAGTGACCCACGGGTCATCAAGGCAGGAGTGGGCATCCAAGAAGACGTTCGGAGGCTGGAGCGTGACTTTGGCGTGCAGGTGAGGTGGTGCATGAGGGAGGTGCCGTACACAACAGCGGTTGCCGCTGCCGTACCAATATTCATCTTCCCCAACGTGCGAATGCAAGTCTGACAGACGTGTTGTCCGTGTCACCAACTGTCTTGCCAAGCGCCCCTTATCAACACCATCATAACCTTTCACGTTTTTGTTCATTAAGTGACTGTCACTAACCTTACAGATCATTACCAACATAGCCTTTGTTCCTTTCCCTCCGAAACCTCCGAAACCAAGGTCCGGGGCGCAGTGGACATCCGCCTGCTAGCCCAGCGCGTCGCCCCCGCCAGCCTGGCAGCCGGCAGCAGCCTCCGCGCCCTCACCGCCTCCCTCCTGGCCCGCCAGCTGGATAAGGCACCGCAGCGAAGCCACTGGGCGGCACGGCAGCTGGATGCAGCGCAGATCGCCTACGCAGCAGCTGACGCTTGGCTGTCACGGCAGTTGCTCGTACGGCTGTACGACATGTACTGCGAACAGCAACGACAGCAGCAGCAGTTGATGCCGTTGTCCTCCGTACGGCAGGAGCATGGGCAGGAACAGGAACAGGCGGGCCAGGAGCAGCAGCCGCTGTCTTTACATGAGTTCGTGGCTCCGTTCTTGGACGTGTTCAGCGGGTTCAAGACCAAGAGGGTTGAAAAGGTGCTGCCGGGGAGTGCTGCTGCCGCTGCTGCTGCCAAGGCTGCCACCGCTATTGGCAAGGCTGCCACCGCTGCTGCCATGGGCGCCAGCAGCAGTGGCCTCTCCGCTGCTAAGGCCCCCGCTGCTAGCGCCGGTGTAGCAGCGGCGGTAACATCTACTGCAACTGCTGCCTTCAGGGATGGTGCCGTCTTGCGCAACGGCGTTGCATCGTTGTCGTCATTGAACACCTCGAACAGTGACAGCAGTAACGGTGACGGCGCTGGGTGCGGCGGCCCCAGCAGCGCTCAACAGCAACAGCAGCAACAGCGGCGCAAGGAGCGGAAGCTGCCTACACGCAAGTCGGTGCTGTATGAGAACTGTCGGCTGCTGGTGCGTTGCCTTCATTTTACACGTTGGGGAGGTTGGGCCAGCAGCTAACAGCTGCTGTGGGTTATGTCCTGCCGTGGGGTGGTGGCGTGGCGTGTATTGGAAACCCTTGGAATGTATCTGTGTTGTCGGTATGTGGGCGGCCTTGGATGCCCCACGTAGGCCATGTAAGCCCACCGTTGCATCACCATGACCGCTACCTTCGCACGTGTGTCGTACACTCCCGTACAACCGCTCCCTTACAACCGCTCCCTTACCTTCACCCGCTCCCGTACAACCGCACATCTGCACCCCCAGGCTCCCGACGGCGCAGTGCTGTGCACCTGTGGAGCCAAGAAGGTGCGCTGGTATGTGGAGCGGGGCCTGGCCCACGTGGTTTCGGAGCACCCCACCACCATCCAACTCGTCTTTGAGCCGCGCGGCCGCGGGCACGCAGACGACGAGTATTACCTGGTAGGTGGGTGGTTGGGTGGTGGTGGTTGGGTTGTGGTTGGGTGGTGGTGACGACTGACAGCGGCTGTTAACAACTGCTCAATCGACCCAAGCCCATTTCTTTTCTTATATTACTCGCATTACCCTAACACCCTTCAAACCTACCCTAAGCCCCCGCTACAGTACTCCGTAACCCATGCAAACCACCTCCCCCTTACCCCACTGCATGAGTCGAGATGTGGGACTGGAACTCCAGTTGCTTCACTTTTCATTTCTTTTCCCACCTCCCCCTGACCCCCAGTCTGACAAGGAGAACCGCTGCTGCGTGTGCGGCTCCGGCGGCGAGTACCTGCGTCACAGCGTGGTGCCGCACTGCTACCGGCAGCACTTCCCGCCCTCCATGAAGAGCCACCTGAGCCATGACATCGTCCTCATGTGCCCGCCCTGCCACAAGGTAGGCGGTACGGAGCGGTGTACGGCAAGCATTTGGCTTTGCTAGACTTTGCAAGTGTGCATTCACATTAGGTGCACTCCTGCCTCCTCCGTGGTACCTCCCTCCTTTAAGCCGTCTCCTCCTCACCAGTCACCAAACCAAACCGAACCGAAAACGGAACCGCACCTCACCTCACCCTCCCGCCTGCAGACATGCAGTGTGTGCGATCAGCGGCGCATGGAGCAGCTGGGACGCCAGTTCTCCGCACCCCTGGGCCCCGCCACTGCTGCCAAGTTCCGACACGACAGTGGTTTGGGCGCGGTCCGCAGCGCGGGGAGAGCGCTGAGCAACCCCAAGGTGTGGACAGGCGGGCGGGCAGAGACGCGGAAGGGATGCGTGGGTGTGTTCGTGGGCGGGCTCCAAGGGAGCCGCTTCACATTTTACTGGTAACCTTGTTTGTTGCGGCGACACCTTGCATATCTGCATGGAAACTGCGTGCAATGATTTAACCGTGCAACCGTGTTTGCTTGCGTGCCTACTTACGTTTGCCGTACACATGCCATACACATGCCGTACACATGCCATACACATGCCGTACAACCACATGCGCAGGTAGTCATCCCGCCCGACCGGCGCGCCGAGCTGGAGCAGCAGCTGCTGCAGCACTTTGGTGTGGCGCAGCTGAGCCCGGAGCTCATTCGGGAGGCGGCCAACGTAGACCCCCGGCAGGAGGATGACACCTGGTGAGTGTGTGGCACATAAGGTGGCACAGTGTCAAACAAGGTCGCAGGGGATGTATGAAGGGGAGCCCTGGACGCGGTCCCCCCTAACACTGTCGACAGTCGTATGTTGCCCTGCTTCCGCGTCCGCTAAACCGAAACCTCGTCCCCCACTTCCTGCCCCCCGCGCCCCGCCCCCGTGTCTCCCCCCCAGGCGCAGTCACGCGGAGATTGTGGTGTCGACGCTGCGGGAGCGCGGCGGGCGCGGGCAGCTGGAGGAGTTTGTTCGCGGTTGGCGGCGTCACTTCCTGTCCACCATGCGGCCCCGTCACATGCCGCCCCACTGGCGGGTGGATGCGCGCGTGGCTAATAGTGCTGCACCGGAGGAGGAGCAGGAGGAGGGAGAAGGGGAGGAGGGAGAAGATGATGCGCAGGGGGAGGGAGATGATGGGAAGGAAGAGGAGGAGGAGCAGCAGAAGGCGGTGGGGGAGGAAGGAGAGGAGTAAGGACAGGGGAGGAGCAAGGAGAGAGCAGATGAGCTGGCGGAGGGGGTGAAAACAGAGGAAGAGGATAACCGTGTGGCAAGGACGAGGATGGGGAAAGGAAGGGAGTGTGAAGGGGCCGGTAGGGGAGCCGGTGGGAACAACGGGTGCAACCAAGTGAAGGGGACATGGAGTGTGGTGCCGGTATTGGAGTGGCCCCTGGAGTGACCCCTGGAGGTGCAGGGGAGCGCATCCGCGAGCAAGGCGCATGTGATCATGCGTGCGTTGGAAGGTACTTTGATGAGGTGCTGACGTTACAGCTGTGAATCGTATTCGGGTGTGCAGTGCGAGCAGTGGCACGCGCCGGTAAAGCAGTAGTAGTATGGGGGTAAGGCGGCAGGGCGGGGTAGCGGCGGCGGTTTGCCTGTTTGATAGCAACTATGTGCTATGCGCTTGTATCTGCCCTGTACGAATGTAGTGCCGCGCACCTACCTTGCCGCAGGCCGCCATACATACCACACTTAAGCGGTCTATTTGGAACTCGCAAGTGCGCAGTTTTCTTGAAACAAGCGTGCTTAAAAGTTTGTAAGTAGGCGGGAAAAGCTACTTACTTGCCCAAGCGCTCGTCTGAAGTCAACCGCTGCTTGCCCGTTGAAGATCCGTCATGCCAACCAACATAACAACGAACGTTGGGTGAACTGCTTCTTGAACCGCAATTCGGGATAAGAAGTTCATGACTCTAAGTAAAAAATAGTTTTAGCTTTTAGCACGCCAAGCACCTTCATTGAATGACCCATTGATCGCGCCGTCTTAAATCCCGTCATGGCAGACATGAGAATGGCGGCCTTTCCTCCAGATTAGGCTTTAGCCATTGCCTTACGCGTAACAATAGGGTGCATCCATGCTATAGACGCATCGAGTTCAGGAGCACTAGGGCCGAGATACAAAATCGCAATGTGGTACGACACAATATGTAACCATGTTCCGCATTGCAGCTTTTTCGGTTAAGTACCTACAGTTACGTACGTGGCGTCAATCTGGGCAGCACCTTATGCTCAGCAAACTGTAACTCTTTCCTATTTTAACCACGTTGGAAACCGTGTCTATTCGCGCATGACTACAATGCTAGTGCTTGCTTGCTATATGCTATGCAACAGATAGGAAAACTTCTTGGCGATTTGCTAGAAAGGAGTACAGCCGAGAAATGAGATGGGCGGACTTGCCTGCATAGGGATGCATAGCCGGTACCGTTATGCGCTCCTTGTTTTATGCATTGTCAGCGTCAGCTATGCGAGTGGGCGCGGACTGCTGGGCGTCGCCGATGACTCGGTCCGCAGGTGGTAGCCCCGAAAGGATAGCACACTGTGTGCTGAACGGTTATGCAATTGGAGCAAATAAATTAAACTTGTACTTCATGCTATTGCCAGGGATATACTCTTTGAGCTTTACCTCTCGACGGGTGGACCGTATTGGAACCCCCAGCCAACGCGTTGGGGAACATCGTCGCAGTCGTGCACCTGGGAAGGTTGGTTCGCTGAGATGGTCCTTACTTTCTGCATGCCCGTTTTATACCGCGCTACTCATTCCGACATGTCGCTCGCAGGCGTCACTTGCTGCGCACCCAACCTTTCTACCGACTCAAACAGCACCTACAGCCTAACCTATACAGCAGCGGGGGTAAGCCACTCTCGCATGCCGCAACCTGCACCTCCAGTTCCCCCTCCCTAACAACCTCATTGGAACTCGGTCGGCCCGGACCCAGCCACACAACCCAGCCCCCTTAACACCCACTCACACCACACCTTCCCTGCCCCCATTCCATACCATCTCTCCATGCTGCTTGCAGCTCACTCTGCCATGCTCCCAAGAGGGTCAGCTGATGGCCCTGGAGCTGCGGGGCCGCAACTTGAGCGGCCTGCTGCCGGCTGCCGCGCTCTCGCAGCTGGCGCCGCGGGTGCTAGATCTGGCGGACAATCCCGGGCTGGGGGGCGCCCTCACATCGGAGCTGCTGTTGCTGGAGGGGCTGGTGCAGGTGGGGGCAAAATAGGTTTGGAGGTTCTCTGGAGGGCTGCTGTGATGTGTTCCGGGCCTGGGTGGCTGTTTGGATGCTGCCGGGGTGGAAACGGCAGTGCATGTGCGCATGCGTGTGAGAGTAACTGAGCCGCATAACGGTAACCGACGCTGACCATGGGTGGAGTAGAAAGCGCTGTCCCAGCATGTGCGTTTGTGTGCATCCATGCACGCATGCTTTACTAGGGGCCGCGGCAACCTCAGCCACGCTGCCCATGCCAGCTCATCTCCATGGCTTGCCTGCTCCCTCCTTGGTTGGACTGTTCTGGACCTCTCCTCCTCACTCCTCTTTCCGCTTTCTGAACACATGCAGGTCGACGTTCGAAACACCTCTCTGACATGCCCGACTGTAACCTCACCAACTTCCGCCGGGGTTAACGGCACAACAACAGCTTACAACGGAGGCAATGGTACGACGGCAGAACCGGCAGTAGCATCAGAAGCGGTAGCAGCGGTGGTAGCAGCAGGTTCCTGCCAGCTTCCTTTGTCTTACATTGCCTCTCCGGCAAGCCTAACGTACATTGCAACCACCGGCACCGCCACAGCGGCTAACTCCGCAGGTGAGGTTCGACGCCGATCTCAGTTACAATGACATGAAGTGGAGGGCTTGAGCGACATTCTGCGATCCTACAGAAGACTGGGGTGAGAACATGAGATCCAGAAAGTCGGTTGTGAAAGCTGCTTTCCCTTCTCGCGCAGGTGCTGTGTACGTCTTCCCGCCGGGCACCACTTATTCGTGTCCGTTGTTCTTGTACAGCACCTTAACCACCACCTCCGAAACCATTGCCACTACTGCTACTACTACTACTACTACTACCTCCAACGCTACCAACGCCACTGCCGCTGCGGGCAGCACTGCCAACGCAACCACTGGTGGCGTCAACAGCGACAGCGCTGACATTAGCAGCAGCAGCGCCGACAGCAGCAGCAGCGTCTACGAACTGTCCGTCTCTGATCCCTTCACGGAGCTGGCGCCGAATGGGGCCACAATCCTTCTGTCCGATCCGAGCATGTGGCTCTTCCAGACGTGCGTTTGTTTGAGGCTTCCAAACGGCTCGGCAGCGGCAGCGCAACCGCCGACGCTGGTAGCTGATGGTAGCGGCTCAATGGTAGCTATGTGTACAGCAGCGACGGCGGCGATTGCAGATGTGTTGTCGTACAAGGAAACTAGCAGTAGCAGCGGCGAGGGCAATGGTAGTAGTGGGAAGGTGAGCGAGGCCGTCCCTGAGGGTATGCAAGGCTGCATAGGCCCCCGAAAAGTTGACGATTCTGCGTCCCTTCTGGACTTCAATCCCTTCTGTGCTCTGCGTTGCCTTCAAGTTCCACATTCTCATGCCAAAGCTGTGTTGTAAGCGCCTCCAGCGGCGTCACCTCCGTTCAAAACGTCTTCCACCCTGCAGGGAACGGTAACCCTCTCCGTCGGCTCATTGGCCGGCATCATCGTCGGCGTCTCCGTCGGCGCCTTTACATTCGCTGCCGTAATGTTACTCGTCCTTTGTTGTGTACGACATGCGTATCGTATTCGTCGTGCACATCACCATAGTTACACCAACCGCCGCCGCCGTGTTGCCGTACGGGGAGGGGCTCCATCCCGCCGAGCTGCAGAGGCAGCAGAAGCGTACGGCAATGGCGGCAAGAGTTGGTTGGGACGGTTGTGGCAGTTGTGTGTAACGGTGCTTGACGGCACTGATATGGCAGGGTTGGTGTTTGAGGATCGAAGCACCTACGGCGGCGGAGGCGGAAGTAAGTCGTACGGCAATGCAGGAGGTGGCGGCGGCGGCGGGTTAAGGCTATCGGAGGATGCTGCGTCGCAGTCGTCGGCGCTGCCGCGGCGGCAGATGCCTGGGAGTCAGTTTGAAGCGAAGCGGTCTCGGCCGCCAGGTAGGTGCTGCCGCACAGTGAACGGTTGGAGGGAGTTTAACACATGGACCGGGGGGAGTAGAGAACATAAGAATATAAGGATTAACCATGCGATGGGGCGGGTGGAGGTGCCAGATGTTGTGGCTAGGTGGCAAGTTCAGACACTCAGAAGCGCTCGGGGTGTGTTTCATGTGTACACAAAAAGGTGGGCATCAGTAGAGTCTTCAACGTTTTAGGCACTCTGGCCATGTCAGTTGCGTGTCAATGCTGACCGATGGCGGGGCAAGAAGGCAACCAACCGCCGAAACCCATCAACCGCTGCCCTACCCCTTGCAGGTGCACATCCAGAGATGTTTGGTCAGGAGGTCTGTCTGGTGGCTACAGGTGGGTTTGCCACACGTGTTTGCCACAGGTGTTGATCCATGCCTTGCGCCTTATGCCTTTGTACGCCTTGACAAGCTAAAACACCCAGCAATCAACCTCCCATACGCTGCCCACCTGCCTCCACAATCCTGCATGCACCAGCTCCCCTATCACCTACCAATACCACTTGATTTGCACAGCATACCGCTCCTACCGTATGTCCGGACGCTGCTCTTATGCCCCAGACGTGGAGGGCAGCACGGAGTTGTGGGAGTGGCACCCGGGGGTGATGAACACGGCGTTGGCGCTGCATGACAGGCTGGTGCGCCTGACCATGGCAGCCTGCTGCGGTTACGAGGTGAGGTGGAGGTGGAGATTGCTGACCGTATACCGGCAGCTGGAATATGGAATAGCAGTGTGATAGAAGGCAGCTATTAGCAATGAAGGCGCAAGAAGGAAGCGTGCAATGGCTCAATTTACCCCTTTTTCGTGGCCAAACTGCTTCTTGCAGGGGGTTGCTAGTCCCAACCTCTTCCTCCCCTCCTCCCACCAGGTCACCACGGAAGGTGACGCCTTCCTGGTTGCCTTCCACGACCCAGTAGACGCCGTCCGCTGGGCTCTGTTGCTGCAGTCCTCGCTGCTTAAACTCGACTGGCCGCCGCTGCTGTTAGAGCACCCGCTGTGTCGGCCGCGACCCCTCGTTCCCGTCGCCTGCGTCACCGCCGCCTCCTCTGCCCCGGGAATCCACCACCTCCAAAGCCATAATCCCCACCACCCTCACGCGCCAACCCATGCTACCGCACAGCACCAGCAACATTCTGGGAACGGACCCATGGGTCAGGCTCATCATGACACGTTGGCCTCGCCGCTACTGGTCCTGTTCAAAGGGCTTTCCGTACGCATGGGCATTGCAACCGGCGTGCCATCTGCCGTACGGGAGCACCCTGTGACGCGGCGCATGCAGTACACGGGTGCCGTACTTCGCCTGGCGACAGGGATTGCCGAGCTCGGCAGCGGAGGTCAGGTGCTGCTGGAGCCGCTGACATTCAAGGGCATTCACAACAAGTTTGAGGAGTTGGATGTGGAGGAAAGCGAGGTGCAAGAGCTCGTGGGTGAGCGGTTTGGCATCCGGAGATATGGTATGGATTGCACTTGTGGATGTTGGATTTTGCTCGTGGGCAAAGTGAAACCAACCCGTGCTAGTAGAAACTACAAGTGAGGGTGTGTTGTTTTTCCTACCACGGGTTTGTACCTAATGCAGGGGTTGGTTGGGGAACCGCTTTTGGCGGGGTGGGAGTTTCTAGGGCCGTATCATGATGGGTTACCCGGCTGCCGGTTGCCTTCGTTGTTCCCATTGCTGAGTGCTGACCCACTGCTAGCCACTGCTGTTGCTCCTGGTGTTCACGGTTTCATCCTTTGCCTTCCATGCCTTTTGTTGCCTTGATGCCTTGTGCCGTACAGATTTGGTTCGTGCCCAGTTCTCGGAGGAGGAGTTCGCCACCGCCACTCCCGCCCTGCTGGAAACCCCAGCTGCAGCTGCTGCTCCTCCCCTGCTCACGTCAACCACCTCTATGACCCTAGCAACACCACCACAGCAGCAGCAACAACAACAGCCCCAGGCTTCTCAACAAGCGCAACCACAGCAGCAAGCACCCTTCCAGCCTCTTCAGCCCCTTCCAGACCACCTTCCGCCCCCTCATCGTCATCTCCACCAGGTGCCCTCCTTGTCCCTGCCCCAAGTCACTTTCCACACGGATGTTGTCGGCATAGATGGCAGGGCGCTCATCACTCCCTTCGGCGCTGAGCCCCCTTCGGCGGCAGTGCAGCTGCAGCCTCCCAACCGGCCCGTTAGTCAGCAACACAAAAGAGATGTACGGCGGGGGGCATGGTCCAACGCCAAGCCTTCGCGCCGGGAAAACAGCTTCAGCACGGCCTCGACGTTCTTGCTCGAACACACGACGGCTAGCAGCATGCACCCAACGTCGCACGCGGTTGCGGGGATGGCGCCGGGAGCTAGCAGCGGTCAGTTACCAGTGGCGGCGATGACGCGGCATGGAGCTGTATCGACGGCGGCGCCTCCGCCGCCGCTACAGCCAGCTCTTTCGTTGCCGCCGCCTCCGCAACAACATCACCAGCGTCGTCCTTCACCTCCTCATGCGCACCGCACCGGACTAGGAGGTGGAAGCGCCAGCACGGAACCACCTTCCGAGGCCTCCACCGGCGCCGCGGCGACTTCAAATCTGCCGCTGACGTCAAGCATTGCTAGCGTCCCGAGCAGTGGCATGTACGGCATTCCGCCGCTCCAGATGGGCAATCCTGGCGGCGGCATTGCAGCGACTGAGCTTACCGGACACCAGCAGCAGTCCCCGCCCTTGGAGCTTGGAGGGCCCCGATCTTCAACCCCCAGTGCTCCGTCGCTAACGTTTGGCGGCGGCGGCGGTGGCGGCGGCGGCGCACCGGCCGTGGGTGGAAGCGTCGGCGGTATGATGCCTCTAGGACCGGCGGCGGCGGTGGCGGGACACACGGGTCAAAGCTGTGGCGGTGTGAGCTTGCACGGTTCCATGCTTCGGTTCAACGCTGGGGCTAGCTACCACCCGATGGTCGGTACAAGGCATGTGGCTTCAAGTTTTGGCGGCGGCTATCGCCCGTCGTTGTCGTCTCTTGGTAAGTTCGTATGCATGGTGTCGCATGGGCCTTGTGGACGCCCATAAAAGGTGTCTCAAGCACTTTCTCTGTGTAGAAGCTGAATCATGGCGGCCATCATTGCCGTATTGTTGGCTGACTTTTAGTCAAACCCTTGGCATGCGCTACAATACACCAGCCCGGCAGGAAGACATCCCCTCAACCGTCCCTTTCACCTGTTCACGGTTCCCGACGACCCCCGCACGCAGACCTTCTGCTGACATCGTCCCTCGGTGCTGCCGCGACGGCGTTGTCGCCTGGCCCCGTACATACACCGGCTCGGAACACACACCCGCGTGGGTCAAACACCACGTCAGCATGGCCTCAGGCCTCCGCCAATACGGCAACTGCCTCCGCCTCCGCTACAGGCAATCCAAACCACCTCCAACCGACAACTAGCGGTCGCTGTACGACAGCAACGACCACGGCAGGCGGCGAGTTTAGCTTGCATGGCGGCATTGGCATTGGCGGCGGCGGCGGTGGCGGCTGTAGCAGCCACCAACACCATCGCGGGCAGTACCACCGCCACCAGCAGCACCATCCTGCGTTTTATTTCCGCCGTGCCTTAACGGGTGCGAACCTGGGCATGAACTTGGAGATTAACTGGGAGCCGACACCAACGGTAACCTTTATGCCAACCGAAGCCCGGAGGTATGTCCAGCCGTCAATCGACGGCCAGCATGCAAACACGGCACCGACCATAATCGACACGGTTATGCCTGATACGGCACTTCCCGAACCCCGTCTAGACTTTTCGTCTGGTCCTCTACCTCCCGCCGCCTCCGTCTGCACCGCCGCCAATGCGCCCAGTGCTAGCGGCGCCAGCGTTTTCACTGCAATGGCAACGGGAACACCGGCGACGGTAACAACCGCCGGAGATATTGCCTGTTTTGTCGCAGCAGAGAAAGGCGCTGAGGAAAGGACCGCCTCTGCGGGTGAGGACGCACCCCTCGGCATGGCCTCTACCGGGCTCATTCAGGATGGCCACGGCCAGCTGAATCCGCAGCAACCGGCTTTGCATCAACAGCTGAGGCGGGATCAACAACAGGGGCAAGAGCAAGAGCAGCAACCCCAGTACCCAGCGGCCGACGGGGGAATGTACTGGGGCAGCATGGAAAGTGATTGCCCCAGTTTTGGATCAGTCTTGCGTCGACACGGCATTCGTGTTAGCAGCAGCACAACGGCGAGTACGGCGGGGCCAGTGGCCGAGGGGATGGAGCATGACGAGGTTCCCGCTGGGAGGAGTGGTACGACAAGCAGTCCCCGTCAGCCCGGCGGAGGACGACGCGACAGTCGGCTGTACGAGCGACTCAGTGACGAGGCCATTGCAGCCGCCGCTGCCGCCAGTGGTGGCGGGTTGTACTGCGGCGATCGAAGCCGTCAGTTGGCTCTAGGAACTTCCCCGCCTGGTGTGTCTATTGCCTCGCTTGGCGCCGCCACTGGATTCGGTCCCGTCGAGGAGCCTGCTGCCGCCGAGTGTTCAGGAAATCAGGGTGGCCGGCCCATTGCCCAAGAGAGTCCTATTAAAATACGGCACCCCATACCAGCCAGTGTCCCCGCTTCTGGAAGAAACGCTGGCAGCGGCGTCGCAGGGCGGCTGCCCAGCAATGCCCTTCAGCAATCTCTACTTGATCTAGGCAAGAGGACGCCGTCCGGCGGACTTACCTTCACCCCTGGCGGCACTGCCGCCGCCGTCGGCGGCGGCGTTGACCGGTCAATGCGGTCGTCGTCGTCACTCGCCGCACCGTTGCAGCCGTTACATCGCCTTGCAAGTGTGTCTAGTGCGCGCGACGACGGCACGAGCGACTCATACTCCGGGGGAGCGGCGGCGGCGGTGGCGCTGTCGTTAGCGCCGACATTGACGAACGCCACGGGTTTACCTTCGTACCCAATTTCTTCACGACAGAGGGCATTTGCATGGCCATCATCTTGGGAAGCTCAGTTGCCTGGCGCCAGCGCAGCCGTCGACCCCGGCAGGGTAAGGTTCAGTGAGGGGCCACGGCCGCCATCATTAATTAACCCCGGTGTCGGTGGGGGATGGGATGTCAATAGCGACGAAAGCGCCGACAATGGCGGCGGCGGCGGTGGTGGCGGCCAAACGCAGCAGCAACAGCAGCATAGCAACTCAGGCAACCACACACAAAACGGTTCCGACACGCCCCAGCTTGCTGCTTCTCCTTTTGACGCCGTTATAGCAGAGATGTGCGACGCAACTGCTGGCGGAGGTGACATCGGCGGCGGCAGTGATGCTGCGGATCCCAATCTCCCGCAGCCGTCACTGTCATTGCCGTACAGCTTACCATCGTTGGCTCTGGGCTCTGATATGACCCTGCAGCTGCAGCCAGCGGCAGCCCCCGGGAATCCGGTTGCCGTCGCCGACGTGGCAGCGGCGGCGGAGCTGACGCTGTGCGGCTGCTCAGGCGCCGCCGCTGACGCCGACGCAGCTGGCGGCGGCGGCAATTGGCGAGCGGTGTCCACAGCTGCAGGCAGGAACCGCACGGCAGAGAATTGCCTGCTGGGAGGAGGAGGAGAAGAGGGCGGAATGCCGCCGCCGCCTGAGACCTCGGGTGACGTACACGAGAACCCATCAAGCTCCCTGGACAGCCTTGCGAACATGGTTGGGCTGCTTGGGGGACCCTCGGGGATGCCGGCGGAACAACACGTGGCTGACATTTGGCGCAGGAGTGATCCGAACGTGGCGGGCACGCAACGAGATGAGCAAGGTACGGTACTGCTTGTTGCTTGTTGGTTTCTGCCCAAGGCCGCTTCTGGTAGCGGTATAACAGCTGATGACTGGCAGTAATCAAACGTCATACTCCTTTCCACCATTAGCTGCGGCAGGAACGAGGCCGCAACGGTGATACGTTTGCGTACCCTTTCCACAGGTTTGGTCCAGTCCATGTCCCGCATGCTTGTCATCGGCAGTCCGTCCACTCGCATGGAGACTGACATGACCCGTGGGTCAAACGCCAACGCTGTGATGGTAGTCCAAGCACCCCGGCTTCTGGCGCTGCGGTCCACAATGGGGATACAGGCAACCGGGTCTACAGCGAACCGGGCCGCTAAGGAAGCACTGGACTTGTCAATGGTCAGTAGCGTGCTACTAGGGACGGCTGGGTACTTGCTAGAAACTATTTATCCCTGCTCCTGCCCTATGATCATGTTCTCTTTGCAAGGCGGCATGTGTATGGTATGTGTATTAATTTTAAACTACTCTGCAACCCTCAGGCGCATGGATCGGACGATAAAGACGATGACGCGTCGTCCGGAGAATCCACACCCCGCGGCGGCGTCGGCATGAGCAGCGGTCCCTCACCCGTGCTACTCCCCTCCACGACCCATGGGTCACTCTCCCGCATGCAATCACCCCGACGTGCCTTGCACAGCGGAACCCGTGGCGGCGGCGGCCTTCTGCACGACCTATTGCAGCGAATGCCCTCGACGAGTATACGACAGGGCATCGAGCTCATGGCTCGCAGTCGACGAATGCTCTTGCCGTACAGCGAGGATGGCGATCGTGATGAGGGACGCAGTGGCGGCGGCAGCGGCGCGCCAGGATCGACAGCGGGCCGAGTGGTGGCAATGTCGTCCGGCGGTACTCGTCGGCTTGGTTCGGACGCATTGGCTGCGGCGGCATCGTCCAATGGAGGTGGAGCGTCAGACGCGTCGCCAGCGCTGCTGTCGGGGGCGAATGCGGTGTCGGCGACGGTTGGTACGGCAGGCGGCGCCGAGGTTAGCATTGTCGTTGGGGCAATTGGCGACGCGCCGACGGACGCCTACCGCGTCGACATGGCCGCAGAGCAGTTCAGGTCCAAGGGACGCAACAGCAAGCGTGCTTTCATCAAGAGCCTGTCGGCTCGACGCGCGGCCGCTCGTGTTCCGTTAGTCGTTGTTGGGGGAGAGTTACCGTCACGCACCAGTTCAAGATTGCGTTTAAGAGGATCGCCTACCAGGATTTTGGCAAACACTGGTGGAAGCGGAACTGCAGCAGGGGCGGCGGCGGTGGGGACGTCGTCGGCAGCTGCTGCGGCGGTGTCGGCGGCGGCTGCGAGCGGAAGTCGCAGCAGCGCTAGCCATTCGCTGGTGGTTGTGGATATGGGCGTGCATCGGTTGAAGATCTCTGCTCTGGGAGCGGCGTACGGAGATTTATACGACGGTGTACAGGTAATGTCGTACACATACGTGCCCTCTTTGTGCACGGCTGTCATGTTGCGCTGAGTGCTTTTGCCACACACATCATATGGGCAGGAAGGCACACTGACGGCCGCAAAAAGACAGTCTAGAGGATATGTTAATGGTTTGAGGTGCACTTCTGCCCTGTACACAACGCACATGACAGACCTCGAGCATTGCGAGGTTCCCATGCATACGGGTTTACTTTTGCCAAGACCATCCCGATTTGCCTTCCATGTCCCTCCTCTCCACCCATATCCCAAATGAAGGTCATTCAAATCCTGCCCGCGCACCTCAAGCATAGAGCCGCGTACCACCCGCCCCTCAAGTCCCAAGCTCAGATAGCTCCGGGCTTCTTCGACGCTCCGGGGGCCGCCCAGGTGGGTTGGTGTGGGTGTGGGTATAGGTGTGGGCGGGAGATATAACCTTTAAACGTTTATGCAATCAATACCGATAACCAGCTTGCCCATATGTTGCAATGGTGGATGGACCCAGCCATCACGAATACCATGTGTTGCTTCTCCAGTTGCCACACAGTATACGCTTTATCCCCCTTTTCCTCACCACCAATACAACTCCCCTCCTTTCCTTTGTTGCCTTAATAGGCCCTGCTGCCCTGCGCCCCGGGCGAGGCCCCATCCTTCCCACGTCTCTCGCTCATGTTCATTCAACCAGCTGGCTACTCGGCCGTTGCCAACCGCAACTTCGCAGTGGCTGAGCGCAGCGGCGCCATCTTCTGCGCGGCTGTACGAGAGGTACTGCAGGTCCTAGGCGTGTACGAATGCCAGGAGTACGAATGCACGTTCATGGTGGCTTGCCGTGACCCACGGGTCGCTGCGGAGACGGCGTTGGCGCTACACGAGTGGCTGCTGCAGGCTGACTGGCCTACGGACTTGCTGGAGGAGCATCCGGAAGGGCGAGTGCAGCTGTCCGAAGATGGGCGGCCGTTACTAAGGTGAGCTAGTCATTGTGTACCCACCAGGGGAAGGGCCTATCTTGATCGAACAAGAAAAGCATGCGCCTGGCACAGCATCCTAGTAAGAACGGACCTGAAAGCGTGTAACAGGCGCCGTGAAGCGGAATGACGCTGCAGACTAGCATGCCTGCATGTGCCATACATGCAGACATGCACCTTTGTAACCTTGCCGAAGCCTTCCCCTGAGCTTAACTCTGTGTTTTCCTAGCCGCACACCCTGCTGCAGCCCCACACTCTGCTCTGCCTAGTAAAAACGCTATAAGTCCTGTTTGCATATTACATAACACTTTCGCACACAGGGGCTTCCGCGCCAAGGTGGGTATCTTCACGGGTGTGCCGCTGACTGTGGTGCCGCACGCCACCACGGGTCGAGCAGACTACTTCGGAGCGCTGGTGAATCGCGCAGCTCGGCTGATGGCGGGTGCCAAGGCGGGGCAGGTGAGGCGGAGGGTATACACGGTAACTGGCTAACTAGTGGAGCCGTGTGGGGTGCGGGATTGGATGATGACCGTTACAGTGGTCCCAAACCGGAAGGCAAGGGAAAGCGGACGATACCCAGTCCTACACTGCAAGGAAAAGGGCAGAGCCCTTAGTCAAAGGGGACTGAAATGAGGACAAGAGGGGAGGACGGCGAATGCATGTAACCTTTCTTTAAGACGCTGCCTCTTTGGTCGTACATTTTTGGTCGTCACTCTGACCGCTCTCCTGAGTGCTTTTCCCCATGCCCTGGCGCTCGGTTGTAGACCTTAATCGACAAGACATCGGGCATCGAGGTACTAAAGGAGTGGCGGCAGATGGCTTGGAACCACACCACAGCCGCCACTGCTGCTGGGGTTCCTGCTTCGTCTTGGAACAGCCCAGCGTTACACGGTGGGTCGTGGGTTGGAGGTAGGGAGAGACGCGCAGATAAGCGACGTTCAACACAACACCTAAATGTATTCGCCAGCTATTTTCTGGTTATGCTCTGTTTATCACCCAGAAGACCAGGACCCTAGCAGCTGTAGGTACACGCTTCAATGCACATGACGGTCATGCGTTACTAACGTCGACATGTACCTTGTTTGTCATCCGTACATGTTATGCAGACGACGCTGTGCACCTCCGGGCCGCGGATCGGCCCCGCCGCGCCAGCTACGCTAGCGGCACGAGCTCTCCAGCACGACCCACGGGTCGCTCTGTCGGCCCTCGAGTGCCGGTTCACCCGGTACGAGGGCCCTCTTCCACCACCACCACCGGCGGCGGCGCTAACGTCACCATCACTGGCGCCAGCATCCCCGCCGCCGCTGGAACGGCAGCCGCAGGGGCGGCGCCGCTGCAGCCACCGCCGATGTCGCCTACCGTCAGCCCTCCTCCTGAAGGCGTTCAAACCCACATCCAGGCAGCAAACCTAAGCACAGGCAGCAACTTTGAGCATCAACAGCAGCAGTCCCTTTTGCAGCTGCGGCCTGCGGCTTCTCAGCCGGTCGAATGTTTGCTTCTGCCGCTACAGCATCAGCCGGGGGCACCGGCACCCCGAGCACCTGCAGCTTTGACGTCTGCAACACCCGCGGCTGCAGCAGCGGAGGCGGCACCTACGGGTGCTCCCAGCGCCGCGGCCCCCGCCGTTGCTGCTGCCACGGCCTCCCCTACGATGCTGACAACCCAAGCCTCCACCTGCACCGCCGCCTCTTCCTCCGCTGCAGCCACCCCTCTGCATGGTCCCATGCTCTTAACCCCAGCCACAACCACGGTGACTGAGGACGAGGCCGGAGGGCCCCTCATGCACGGTCGCGCGCATGCTGAAGCCCTAGTGAGCAGGCTCTCCCCCGCCAACTGCCCTAAGCTCTCCCATGCGCACGCCCTAGCAACCGTGACGTCCTCCCCGGGCCCCTCGTCCCCACCGCTGCCGTCACAGCAGCAGCCCCACCAGCATCAGCAGCCTCCACAGCAGCTGGTGCAGCTTCTGCTGCAGCAGCAACAACAACAGCAGCAGCTGCTAGCAGCACGGCAGTTAACCGGGGCTGCGGGCTTTATGGCCGGGAGCTTTTCTGTAGGGCCATCCGGCGGTGCCGGTATCATGGCTGGGACGACAGCAACCGTACCTGCCGTACAGCAGGCCAGTCCTGTGCCGGCTCCTGATTGGCGCCCGGCGCTACTCTCCGCGAACCGTGATCTTGCTTCTGTTGTACAAGCGGTATTTGTATCCGTACAAGTGTACGATTTGGGGTTGTTCCGTCTCAAAGGATTGTCGGAGGGTCAGCCTGTGATGGCACTGCAGCTGAAACGTCTGGCACCTGTGGGTTTCCTGGGAGGTCCAGCTGCTGCCGTTGGTGCGGTTGGTGCTAGTGCTACAGCTGCAGCATCAACTATAGGAGGAGCAGGCGGCTTGCGCGAGGCTTCTATCAGGGCGGGCGGCCGGGTCGTGACATCCGCCGCGCAGCTGCTGCTTTCAAGACCCAGCATGCGATTTGCGTACGGAACAAGGGCTGGGACCTCCAACATGGAAGACATCGTCGCAGGCGTTGCGGGAGGCAGCAAGGCGGGCAGCGTTACCGTGCAGGCAGCCGGTGGCAGCATGGCAGGCGGAGGACCCGCCACAGGTGGAGGCGGGAAGGCGGAGCAGCTGCGAGCGGTTGCGGATTTGGTAGATGAGGTGGTGGTCGTGCTGCCCATGCACCTACGGTCCGTTCAAGCCCTGTCGGTGGATTAGCGAGTGCGAGGAATAGTGGGCCGGGCCTTGCACTCTTCCGTACTACTGCACTTTTAGCTGCCGTACACAGCTAGTGATGTGTTGTTTCATGGTGGCGGCCCTATCAGCAGGGCTGTCATAAACTACAGTCAATATTTCTAGTCCCAAGATGTGTGGTGGTTAGTTTGAGCCGCACTTGCCTCCACACATGCATAGACTGCCGCTGCCATGAGATGCAGCTCTGGGAGTGCCTCCAGAGCTCATTTGGGAAATGCGATTAGCGGGGCCAGAGCGGGATTTCCGGAGGCTAAGGACAAGGTCGGCGAGAGGGAGGTCAGGCGTGCAAATATGGTGCAGAAGTAGATACATCCGCGTAAGAGCACAGCGACAGTGGCAGAGGAGATGAGCTTGGCCGCAAAGGTTGCAGCGGGGTTGGCGTCGTCTGTGTGTATTAGGTGGTAGAAGTGTAGGAGGGGAGGGAAGGCTGTGGAGTGTGCATAGGTAGGCTCTTTTGCGGAGCTCCCCGGGCGGCGCTGCACAGGGTAAGGAACAACAATGGTATTAACATGGGAAGCAGCTGCTTCCTCTTTTACTAACGCCATGACCTGCTTTGATGACCATGGTTTATCGGTCCTTGCTGCAGCGGGAAGGCAGCAGGAAGACCCGAGGCCGTACGTGTAGATTACTGTTTTGGCACTTTGCCTGGGTTTGGTGTCGGACCACGTCAGTGTTACGAAGACTGGCCGCGTCAGTGTGTGGGGTGGTGGATGATGCAGCGGGCGTCTGCTTGCCTTACACTGGAAGGCAGAGCCCTAATTGGGTTACAACCTGGCCGTGTATTCGGGAGGATACGGTATGTGTATGTGTCACGTCGAGTCGAGTCAACTGAGTCGCAGAACTATATTGTTGCTGCGGCCTAGGGGCCCCGTGCAAGTCACCAGGTTTTGGTGGCTGGCGGTGCTTCCCTTGGAATCAGTGTCAGGCAGTGATGCATTGGGTGCTTGGCACGGGGTCTTGCGTGTGCTTACAATTGATATGCTTTCTTACGCCCGCAATAAGGAACAAAAGCGGATAAATGCCACAGATAGCGTTGGAATGTTAATGCCACGGAGTACGGTCCTTGGCGAAACTTTCTAGAAGTTAAGGGCAGTTGGTAAGCATAGTCATACATGATTGCTCCTGGGGAGAGGGGTAAGACGTGCGCACGTGTTCACCCGCTGTCATGGGGCATGCGTTGCTTGCAGCAGGCTGACCGATGTGGGACTGCTACTGACTATTTCTATCTCAGGGTGCTTCACTGGGGGTGATTAAAGTGCGTGCTTAAGAACGGGCGCGCACACGCAGCCGTTCCACTTGTAGCAGTCTATGCGTCTTTTCATCGAGCTAGGCCCGACTCGAAGCTGGGCCTTACTAACGAGCATGTAGCATGGGTGCCGTAATGCTGTTGTGTTCGCGCGTTTCCTCCATTGGGGTGTCCACGTTTGGGCGCCCAATTTAGAGCCGCTAATTAGGTGTTGCTGTTGTCTTCAGTGGGGCTTTGCGGCTCTTGCCGACGCCGTTACGTCTCGGCAGTTCGTCCGTTGCGTGGGTTTGTTCCATGTTACGTTGCGTGTGTATGTTGCTTTCATGGGGTTGAATTACAGTTAAGTGGTTTTTGCGTTATACGCTGTTTCGCGCTTTGTGTCTAAACCAATCGGAGCATTTAATGCCCGGCGTCATGGTGTGTGGGAGCCAGTGACACCGAGGCGCAGAAATAATTGCCTTGCAGGAGCGTTTTGCATGCTGTACTTGTGTGCCGGAGAGTGCCGGTAGTAAACTGCATAGCTTTTACGCCCGTTTTCGGCTTAGGCTGGTGCGTGGCGCATACCGCGTTAAGAAACAAACCCAGAGGTGTGACAGGCTATGCTACCGCGGCTGCTGCTGATACGGTGGGTGGTGACGTGATGCCATGCCTAAATCGCCTGCAAAGAGGATGATAGGTAGGCCTACCGACGGCCAATCGTGTCTACAAGTTGGCTGCATTTCTGCCGCTTCACGTCATGGGGTCAAAGGACATGCTGGCGGAGTAGCTGGGAAGGTGGCTGGTGTTACTGTTGCTCTAGCAGCGTGCAGGGTGTTCCTTGCTTGCAAGAACAGCAGGTTCTTCCAAGTTGGTTGTTTTTGTGCGCGTGGCTTGTTGGTTGCTACAATGGCTATTCTTGGCTTCAGCCGTCCGTGCAGGGGGGCAACCACCCCCACGCTCCGCCATGTAAGAAGAATGCATGATAGTCGCACACCCAGGATGTATACAGCCCTGTCCGGCCTGACCTATACCAGCATACGGCAATTCAAATGTGCGCTTCCCCAAGGGCACCAACCTCCTCAGGCCTTATCATGTACGGCACCCGAGCACATGCTGCTACGACAGAAGCCACGACAGCGACAGCAGCTCCTACTGATACAGCAGCAGCTATAGTACTATGTACTCCGTATGGCGCTGAAGGAATGCACGCAAACCGATGACGCGGCTAGTCCTAATGCGTTCGGAACCGTGTCCTTGCTGACCGTCAGCAACAACTCTTGCGTACTTGGCTTCACGATCATTACCTTTGAGCCGCACAACACCCGAGCGGCGCTCACAAGTCCCTCAAAGCTCGCCTCATCCGTCAACGTAGCCACCAGCAGCTTTGCCTTTTCAACCGTGGTCTGAACCGTGACGTTAAGCTGCAGCTTACCGCCTGGAATAACCCTCCAAGGACACAGCATAATTTGCGACCCCGATGACGTCCCCGTAACGAGCGGCAGGTCAAATCCAGTGCTGTCTTGCTGCCATCCGTATGATAAGAAGACCGTACGCAAGCCCTCTCGCAGGTTGTTGCAGAGGGCAGGCAGCAGGTCTGCGGTGACGTCCTGGCCATCCAACAGTGCTGGAAGGTTGACCACGAAGACTCTCTTTTGGTTTAACAGGACGCCGCCGTTGTTGTTGGTGCTTGGGATCATGGGTGCTTGGGGTGCGTATGGGGGCGGCGGCGACGGTGGCGGCGGGAGCGGCGGCGGCGGTGGCGGACGCCGCGGCGGCGGTTTCCGCTTGGTTGCTGCTGCTGGTGGCGGTGACGGCGAGGGCTTTGGAGGTGGTGACTTTCGTGGCGGCGGCGGTGGCGATGGGGGTCGGGGCGGCGGCGACTTGGGTGGCCGGGGCGGTGGTGATGGCGGCTTAGGTGACGGCGGCTGTGGTGGTGATGGAGGTTTGGGTGCTGGCGTGCAGCACAGTGCTCCCACCTCCGGGCATGCCAGTGAGAATTGCATGCCGCTGGGCTCGTCCGTGATCATTGTGGTGGAATTGCAGGGCAGGGCAGTTTTGACGGTGTACTCGCTGAAGAGGGCTTGGAGGATGGGCGCAAAGATCTTGGATTCGGGTGGGGTAAGAAAGCCGATTCGCACGTTAAGGTAGTAGTTGGTGCTGTTGCCGTTGGTGCTGTTTGCGGCGTTGTTGAGATGACAGTCGGTGATTCCGATTGTGGGCCTGCGGGCACAGGTACACATAGGCAGACATAGGTGCGACCCATGGGTCATTCGGCAGAGCTCTCCGTTGGATTCAGTTATCCAGCTAGCCTTGCTTAGCTAGCTCGGTTCCCCCCCCACGGAGACCGGTACACAGCTAACCAGCCTCTTGACCATGTGACCACCATCACCACCACCACTTGCAGGAATTGCAACAGTACGCATGCCCACATTTATAAGGAACCCCTTGCACGTACCTATAAGCGGTCAGGGAGATGTAGGCCAGTGCCAGCCACACTTTATCGCAAGTATCATTCGCAAACGGAGTCACTCCGGACTCCGTGACCACCGACACAACTGCACCGTACGGGCTGCTGCTGGGAGTCGGGGTGGACGGTGGCGGCGGCTGATCGGCGGGAGGTTGGAAGCACAGCAAGTCCGCCATGGAGAACCTGCATGCATGCAGCCAGGAGGCAGTAAGGAAGCAAATTAAGGAAGTAAGAGAGGCATGCATGCTAGATTGCTACCACTACTGGTAGCAACAACATCAACGAATGCTTAACACACGCACGATCGGCCTTGAGCATCAGCGTGAATCCAACGCAGCGGATATTGTAAGACAGGAGGAAGTCAGCTGCGGAAGGGCATCAAGTCTCACACCACATGCCCCGGTTCAAATCTAATCGGTATGTAACGGGTAAGATACGGCACGGCTTGGAGGCCATTGAACGACACCCCTAGCTACAACAGCCAGCCTCTACCGGTATACTGGTATATACCGGTATATAACAGTCTCAAAACCCTACGTACGTACCAGCACTCGTCTTCAGCGTCTAGATAGCCAGCCACGCAGAAGGGCTGCGGCGTGGATGCGTCCTGCTGGCTTAGCGGCACGGGCGGCACGACGCCATTCCCGCTGAAGGTGTTGTCCGTGTAATTCCCCACCGCTCCACACCCCGGCTTCAACGCCGCGAACATGGTGCGCCAGAACTCCTCATTATTGATGGAGTCGAAGAAGTACCTCAGGTTCGCTGTACTGACAAAATAGTACACCCACTTAATTTCGATGTAATCGCTCTGGCCACCTGCCACACCGGTGGTTATCTTCTTGTCACATGTTGCATCACCCGCAGTACGGCCCCGAAGGTAGGGTGCGGCTGCTTGCGTCCCAGCTGTGCAGTCCGCATCACCAAACGTGCGTATAGGGTCGTAGCTTCTTATTGTGATGATGGCTGATATAGAGTAGTCAGGGGGTGGCCTTGGAGAGGGAGGAGGCGCCGGTGACGGCGGCTTACTCACGGGCCGGGGTGGGGGGAAAAGAGGTGTGGGTGGGGAGGGAGGTGTCGGTGGGAACGGCGGGCGGGCAGTACAAGCCCGGGGATCGAGGGAGAACTGGGAGAGGACGGCTGGCCCGTTGAGGTTTGCTAGAAGCACGGTTTGGACCGCGTCTTCCGGGCTTCTCGACAAGGCGCAGGTTGGGATTGGAACCTGGATGCTGTAGGCGTTGTAGGCGACGCCATTGACGTTGAGGACGATGAAGAGGTCACGTGCGGAGGAAATGTCCACGGGTGGGCAGGAAGCTACACCGGGCCGGCAGGTACAGCGTTCGTTCATGCCCCGGTCCGCAGGGTTCATGTCCGAAAGCGCTGGGTTGCAAATTCGCTTTAGGTTTAGCACGTACGTGAAGCAGCTGTAGATACCATCGTACGTCATGGGATTGACGTACTGCGTGTATGACACATTCCTCACGTTCGTCCAAACATAAACCGCGCTGCTGATCCCCAGAAACAGGTCTTCTCCAGTACCGCTTGGCGTTAGGAGCGGGTGCGGTCGAGAGTAGAAGAGCTGGGAGCCGTTGACGCTTGCGGGTCGCATGGCGACGGTGATGTAGAGGGGAGATATGGTGGGATCAGCGCTGTACGTCCGGTAGATGTAGGCGTCTGCCAGGACTGGGGTTGTCGTCCATGTTGGGTTGTAGCGGGCCCGTAAGGGGACGCGCAGCACGCCGGCTTCGCCGCCGCACACATCGTTTTGGTACGCCTGCATGCAGCACGTGAGGGGGACCCCGGGTGGCTCAGCAGGGCAGTAAAGTAGGGTAGGGCGAAGAAGTAGGGCACGGAGAAGGCACACTATAGAAGTTAGACAGGGGAACGGGGTTCAGTTAGGCGGACGACGGTGGAAGCGCGTGACCACGTGAACGAGTCATGATGCCTTAGCACGTGACCGAGGTGGGTGGGGTGAAACGTGTACGTCATGATGGTACCCCTGCGTGCATCGCGTAAGGGCGGGGCAGGGAGGGTTAAGGAAATGAACCCGCCGAACCTATGATAGCAGCACAGGGAGGCTTGGCGGAAAGACAGTTACACCTACAGTCCGGAAGAGGAAGCACATGCAGCCCTCCCATGAACATGTGTGCAGCACATACAGCCCCATGCAAACAATGCATGCCGGTATCCATGCAGGTAACACGGGTCCGACATGCACCTACCATGCTGTACGGCCAATCCAAGCTAGGTCCTGGTATCGCGCAGATGCTCGGGCTGCCCCTTCCGTAGTATTCGTCCACAGTCTGCGTTGCACGACACCGAGGAAGGGCAAAGCAGCACGTTTGACGGCGCTAGGGTGTATGTTAAGATAGCAGGCCGCGAGTCGGGTGTATGAGTACACATGACATGGTGCCTTGCAAACGGATCCGTACAGAGCAAAACTCATCCAAGACCAGCAGCAACAAGCAAGAAACCCCATGCATACGGTATGCATGCACAGCCAGGGGGCACTCCCCCCCTCCCCCCCTCCCCCTCCCCCTCCCCCTCTAACTTGTGGTCTCCTATGGTTTGATATGGTCTTTGATACCCCTCCCCCTCCCCCACGTGTACGCACGCACACGCACGCCTGGTCTCTTTTGCCACGCGGTTCACTTTAATTGACACACACGTGTGGCCAGCTCTCAGTGCACGCACGCAGCACATGATGATGCCCCCTTCCCCAAACAACCGCCTTACAGGACACGTTGTGGGCGAAGGCACGCAGGCAGGCGAGCCTGAGCTGTACAACGCACACCATCTGTCCGCATTCTTCGCCGGGGCAATCGGCGGAGACGGTGGCAGCGGTGGCGGGTTGGGTGGAAGCGGGGAGTATACGGGCTGCCAGCAATCCGGGTCCTCGTTATCCGTCAATCCGTCTCCGTCGTTGTCAACACCGTCGTAGCAGTTTTCCGCTGTTAACACGGTTCTGATGTCGCACAGCACTGTTAGGGAGGCAGGGCAGCGCAGGTAGGAAGGAAGAGTGCACAGCAACAGAGCGGCGATGGTGACCGGTAGGGGGGTTAGGAAGCAAGTAAGGGGGTTGCAGCCGCGTATGCATGGCCGCGCGAGACAGAAGCAGGTCATGCACGCATGGGTTGCCTACCAGTGCCCGAAGCAAGTTACTGATCCGTATGGTGTAATCTATGTATGCAAGTGTTAGCAATGGAACGTACGAACGTACGGATTAGGCGACGAACACAGCAGGCAGCAGGCAAAGGACGGAAAACAGGTTGCAAGCAAGCGAAGGAGGCGCATGCAAACCAAGGCCCTTACGAGCTCTGCAGGCTATACCGGTATGCAGCGGAACCAAGATTAGCAGCGTATGTACGACGTACATGTTGCCTTGCAGTCCTGGTTGGGGCCAGCTGCCGCGGGGCACTCGTTGCCCCTGTACGCCAGCACCTGTAGGCCGCTCCAGCCCACAGGTCCCGTCCAGTAGCCATGCCAATAGATGTGGTCCGCATTCCTGCGAGCATGTAATGAGCATGGGAGGGAGCCATTAGCAACCAAGCGAGCGCCAGCTTGGTACGACCCTCATAATGACGTACTAGCTAGGGCTCTATCTCCGCATGCAATGCTACAAATGATGGGCTGCATGTCCGTTCGGCCTGCCGGTTCCCAACCTAAAATGTATTGCACATAATGTGTCATCATGCCCTTTTCATCAACATATAGCACAGCGCCTAAATAGGAATGCCTATAGCCGTCAACGTTGCACAACCGCCTATGCAGCAGGCATGCCGTTCCCATGCCGTACGTACCAGTCATTTGTGTCCGGGGAGATCATGGCCATGTAGCTAGTAACGCTCACATCCTCAAAGCTGTCAGCCGTGAATGTCAGCGGCATGGGCAGGAAGCCCCAGCTGTCGGCTCCGAAACCCGCTTGCGTGAGGACAACCATGGAACCACCTGCAATGTAGCACGGTAAGGGCACAACGTGGATCCGCACGCTTCCCTTGCCACCAGTCCCGATCAGATGCGCCTATCTATTCAGGACACACACTCGGAGCCAGTTTCATTTACAAACAAACAACAAAGTAGTTCCACCGGGAAGCCCCCGCCGCTTTCACCATCAGCCGCCAGTCGCCTTGCATCCCCGTGCGGCAGCCCGCACCCACGCACCGTTATTATTCACAAAGTTAACAATCTTCGCCTTCATTGACAAGAGTGCCGCATGCAGCTCATCCGTGATGCCGCCATCTGTCTGGTACACGCTAGACGGCACGTATAGCAGCTTGTAGCGCTGCAGGTTCGTCGCCAGCAGCTCAGCCGGCGTCCGCACGTAGCGGATGCTGCTGACGGCGGATGCCCCCAGCGCCAGCGTCACCCAGCCCTCAAGCGCCGTCCGTGCTGACTGAGGGCGGTGGGAGTAAAAGGAGTAAAGAATACCATGCCGTTAGTACACGTGACACCCTACCTGTGGTGAGACCGTGGTGGGCGGTGGGGGTGGCGGTTGCAGTACAGGGAGGGGGGCGGCGGATGGGGCATGGCTAGGGGGACAAGGTCATGTCCTTGCGGTACACGTCATGTGAGGTGTGTACGAACAACAATTGTGTGCGGGGACGTACCGTCTGCGTTGCGAAGCCTCCCACGGCCAAGATGCCTGACGCGTTGGCTGGGGCAAGCTGCATTGCCTTTCTGATGATATTGATGTAGAGGGAACCGCATTGGTAGCCTTGGCAGTGGCCCTGTGTGGCAAAGCAAGCAACTAGCAGTAAAACACTCGCAGTTTGAAAGGGTGTCTCTTACATTCCCAAGCCAGCATTGGGTGACGACCATTGCAAGCAAGGACGCGCATGATAGCTGTAACGGAATGTATGCGTGTACAGTCCGTCCCAAGCAGGGGGTCTGAGCGACCCATGGTTCACTGTCGCTGCTTCATGCATCACTTACGCCATCGTCGGCGTCGTCCGTTGTGAAGCATGTGAAGCCGCCCCGAGGCCGCTGAGGAGGCGGAGGTGGGCTGGGGGAAGGGGGTGGCGGCGGACTCGCGGGTGGCTCAGGCTGGGCTGGTGGTGCTGAGCCCGCTTGAAGGACTGTGTAACGAGGAAAGGCGGAGGAAAAAACGACCAGGATTAAGCGAGGCCGCGAGTGCGTTATGTTAAGGGACTGGGTGGTGGTGTAGGGATGCGGGAGCAGCAGCTTAGCAGAAGGTAATACAAGGTACGCGTGCGGTGGTGATGTGCATCAACATGTGGAGCAGAAGGCTTTGGCGGCCGTGAGTTTGCTTCTGGTGGCAAAAGGCGGCACTCAACGTTTGCGGCTTGCGGTCGCAGGAAGGTCTACACCCAAGTTGGCCGTCCATGATGCCGACGGGTCGTCGTTAGCGCTAGCTGAAGCCAAGGTCCCGCCAGTCGCGGCTATGAGCGCTGTAATTAATGTTATATGTACTAGTAATAATTGTCGGTCGTCGCGAAGGCGTCCGAGGTAGCGCCATGAAACCATTATCTGGTAGGTCGTTGCGGCTTGGTCATATAGGCAGGGCGCCAGGCTGCTGTTTTCACCGTAAGCCTATGGAAAGCGCTCTGAAGTGAAGGTGCTGCCCGTCAGGTAAGATTTGTTTCGCGAGGAATTGGACATACACCGCGCATACTATAAAGACCGTATGCGGCCTTCTAACGCTGATATAGTAGCTAGCACCCCGTCTGGTCTAATAATCGTGGTCGACTCTCCCTTATTAAGTCCGTGTCGGGGCGCTTACAATCATCGACATTGGCAACTCGGTAAGGGCTATCGTATTAAATACAAAGCATATTTATTCCCGGAGGTTTAAGTAATAATTAATCATACAACAAATGTCTATGCTAGGTATGCGAGCCGAAGCGGTATAGCTCAACTTGGAGTTGGATGGGTCGGCACAGATAGATTCCACCAAACGATAATCATGCGCTAAGATAAACTGCTGTGCAACGTATTTACTATGTTGTATCGATATTTACTTGTTCCTGCGTCGACTGCCAATAGCTGTCAAGAGCCGATGGCATGGCAACAGCGCACTCTATCTGCAGCAGCCAAACGTCTCATTACCCGTATGGGCTCTCAACCCGAGGCTCAAACATATATAAGATTGCTACTCCTCACTAGAATGTCTATTGAAGGTCCAAATACATCCTAGGCCACCCCATCTACACGGTTAGAACCGTCTAACGACTTGGGTAGGCAGAGTAGTAGATGCCAACCTGCGCACCCTCCTTACCTCAGTGCACACAGCTTGGAGGCAAAGTGTTTGACGCGGCCGCGCGTGATCATAAGAGAGGTGCGGTTGCGTTGGGCCGTCGAAATTTAAACACTCGTTCGCAGGTACGGCAATGACGAGCCGGAGTGCCGGATGCTGTACACAACGACCTCTGTCTTACATATCGCAAAGTATGTGCAAACACCTGCGCCACATATCTTACCTTTCAGCGTGGTCTCGTACTTACACGCCATCGTAAGGGGTCCTAACCCAACAACACAACCTTGTCTGACTGAAATGAACGCATATCTGCTCGTCTAGGCAACCGAACCGTTCGCATCGTACCACTACCTCGATGCTTGTGGTTGCATGCATGTCACCATCACCCCATGCATGTCACCAGCACCCCAGACAAGAGGTCAACTAATTGTTCCGAGCGGAGCCAAGGCACAGCAGCAGCACTTCTCCGCAATGCGTGAATCCCCAACGTTACTTCTTCTCCTTAACTGAGCGCAGCAATAATGAAGTAGACGGGTGCAGCCGCAAGGATGAGATCAACACAAGCGACGACAACTAACAGAGGCTGCAACCGTCACGCAGCAGCTTCACGCGAAACGGCGGGTCCCCTCAGCGCGTGTAAACAGATCAGATGCAAGATGCAAAGATTGCAAACCCGCAGCCCATGTGCTTAGGGCTGAAAGCATGCATACCGAATGCTGGGATCCGCCACAACCTAACATGCCGTACATCACGCGTGTCTCACACTTCCTCGCACATTGAATACATGTCGTATATCATCATCCATGTCATGCATTTCAAATATCGTACCTGCAGTGTGAAATACATCCTCATACATTCTTCCCCTTGCACACAAACAAACAAACAATTGCCTTCGGATCAAACCATAAAACATCAGTCGTACCAAGATAGGCCAAGATCTGACCACGTACCAAGATAGGCTAAGATAGGCCACGTACGGAGACAGGCCTGCAGATGCAATGCTGAGCTGTGCCCTACGTAGCAGCCACGGCGCACCTTCGGACATATTCAAAGACCCTCACGACACCGAGACAGTGCTTCAAGCCACTCAGCCGCCCGGCTTCTTATACCGGTATGCTTCACATGTGCTTTCACACGCCCCACGCGCATGAGACCACCTCAACAGCCCCCGCACACGCCCTCAGATCCTCATCAGGGGCCTCCACATGCCACCTCACGGGTCACACGTTCCTCAGGTCGACCCGGGCCCCTCCACATGCCACCTCGCTCAAAACCATCCGGGCTCATCCAGCCCCATCTCCTTCGCCTGCGCCAGGGGTGGGGGGTGCGAGGGACACAATCAGCGCCGACTTACTACGACGACAGGAGCAATAGGACGGTGGTTAAAGGGTCGCGCCCACTACCCACACGCCCCCGCACCCAACAACCCAACAACCCTGCACAGCAGGGACAAAAACCAAACCCTGCACGCGAAACCAAACTCCAACTGCACCCACCCACCTTCTTCCGCATCTCCGGTCGTGCCTCGTTGAGCCGGGTCAGCACCAGCTGCTGCGCGGGCAGCTCGGGTGTGGCAAGCACGCAGTCGCCCAGGCAGCGGGCGTCAGCTGAGGCAGGTGGGGGGCAGGTGGGGGCGTCGGGTAGGGGGGTCAAGAGTCAAACCAGCGAAGACCGGGGGTTGTTAGCAGGTGGGACGTGGGCTACGGAGTGAGGTGTCAAGCACTCTCTCCCCCCGCAGCAGCACAACTTGGAACGTTTACCTCCCCCCCCCCCGCCCTGCCATGCCCTCCCGTCTACTGCTCAGCACCATCACCCCAAACCCCCTCTTCCCCCTCCTCCCTCCCCTCACGTGTAGCGGCGGGGTACAGCGCCCACCGGTGCGGCCAGGCCCGGTGCAGCACCCCGCACGAGCCCCGCCCGCCCCCCCGCCCGCTCCCCCGCACCACCCGGCAGCAGTACAGGGTGGTCCAGGCGGGCGGGTGAAGCGCGGCAGCGGCGCGCCGCCGGAGCCGCCTGCGGGGGGGGGGGGAGAAATTCCAAAGTGTGGTGTGATAATGATATAAGTTGGGGGGGGGGGGGGGGGGTCAGCGGAGGAGGGGGAGGTGCGAATGGAGGGGGGAGGTGCGAATGGAGGGGGGAGGTGCGAATGGAGGGAGGGAGGGAGGTGTCAGCGCTCAGCGGGTAAGAGGTAAGAAAGGAGCGGAAGGAAGCCCGGATAGATCCAGGGACCAGGACTCGGAACCCCATGCAATACCGGTAGGTGTACTCCATTACTAGCTCCCCCCTTGGACCCCGATCTGCCTCACCACCGCCAGCGCTACCCCTCCTCTCCCTCCCTTCCCTCCTTCCCGCGCCCCCCCCCCACTGCCCCACCACTGCCAGGGCTGCCCCACGCTGCCCGCATCCGTCCACTGCGGGTTCACCGCCACCAGGCAGTGGCCCGGGGAGCGCACCCGCCCGCCGTAGCCGCCGTCCAACAGCTTGAGCAGCGAGGGAACCTGTGAGGGGGCGAGGGGGGGATGTCATTGAAAGGTGAAGTAAAGGAGTCCCAAGTCCGTATCCCGGCTCATGCAGTGAACGCATGACGAATGCCTCTCTGACAAGAGGATCAGGGTCAGCACCGTGACAGCGATGCTGTATAACCACCTTCCCAACCATACTCCCCCAGCCCCCCCCCTCCCCCTCACCGTGGCGGTGCTCACGTTGGCCACGCAGCTCATGTGCGGCCCCGCCGACCACAGCCCCACACCGTCCGCCCCGTCCTCCAGGAACCCCAGGAAGCGGCTGTCGTAGCTGTATGTGGAGACACACAGGGCGGGAGGGAGGGAGGGAGAGGGCAAGAAGAGGAAGGGGAGGGGCGGGACTGGGAGGGTGGGCAAAGGTGTGGCTGCACCGGCCCACCCGACACAGGCCCCAGCTCACACGACGCCAAGAGCTCAGGGAGTACGGTAGGTACTCTCCCTCCCATCTGCCGGCTCCCCCCCATGGTGAAGCCTTGTCACACAGCTCGTTAGCTGCCTCGTCAGTTTCCTTATTCCTACCCCCCCACCCCATCTACTGCGCCGCTCACCCCTCCAGCAGCTGCTCCACCAGCCCGCGCACCACTCGGAAGCGCTGCAGCTCGCCGCCCGGGTAGTCGGCCTCGTCGGTGAGGGACACCAGGTCGGTGGGAGGGGAGCCTGGGGGGGCAGGGGGGGAGGGAGGGGAGGGGAGGAGGGAAGCAGGAGGAGGGCAGGAAGGGAGAGCTAAGGAGTGTTGGGTTGAAGGGTGGGGAATGGCAGGATCATGGCGTGCCCTTGGGTCATTGGGATGGACCGGCGGCCCCTTATTGGCGGCCCCTTAATGGCGGCCCCTTGGTAACATTCCTTTATTAACAGCCCCTTAATGGCGGCCCCTCTCACCCCCATATGCCGCGGGTGCGTCTTGCGGTTGGTGTCAGAGCACATGCATGTTGGTTGACGCATGGCCGACCCTCTTACCTCGGCCCAGAAAGCCCACTCGCTGCGACGGCATCGGCAGCTCGATGATCAGCCGCCGAGGCCAGTTGGAGGCGGCAGTATCAGCCGTACCGTCGTCGTTAGGATGTGCCGTACCATCGTTGGGTTTACCGTTGGTGATGCTGTTGGTGTTACCGTTGGGAGCGCTGGCTGATGTCTCGGCTGCCGTTGACTCTCGGAAGAGTCGTAAAGAGTTGCGAGCCTGCCGGATGGCCTCAGTGACAGTCCTGTAAGTGGTAAACGGATGCCAAAGGATGATGGGCACAACATGTGAGGAACTAAAGGAACGACTGCGCAAGCGGGCGTTGTGCTTGGCATTTTTACCTAGGCGGAGGGGGTGTCGGTCCAGCATTAAACGCAGGCGTCGGCTCTAAGCTCGCGAGACGAGCCGAGATGGGTGTGGCAAGGTGGCGTTGACGACACCTTGCAACTACGCCGCGACGTCCATTGGATTGGTTAGGGACAAGCGAGTGTGTTGATCGCATGGCTGTGTGCCGATTGTCCTGCGAAGGGCTGGTCTACAGGTAGCGGATGGCTATAATGGTTGGTGGTTTGACCCTGGCGCAAACAAGTATTGATAATATTAGGCAAAGGAAGTCGTAAACTGCAATGAATGTTGATGCTTTCCAGCTTTCTTTTCCTGAGTGCACGCATGACATAGTACTATGACCACCAGTGACGAGCAGACGATTCGCCCTAAATGCGTCAGTAAGCCTTAGCCACTTAGTATTCATCATACTTACACAATAACTACCTGACTAAGACGACCAAAATCTTTAGTGTCCATTTCCATCGGTAACTGACTTAGTATAGCGCAAGATGGCGAAAACACGTCGTGTAAGTGACGCCTTACAGCTGCTATTATTTACATAATTACTTACATTGCTTGCGTAGCTGTGCTTTGAGGTCGAATTAACGATGCTTCTTTTGTCGGCGGCTTGCAGCGGAAGAAGCGGACCCACGTCGCCACAGACCAGAATGAAGCTAAGAAACCCGACCCTAAGACATTCGTCTTCAAGCGCGGCAAGCAAGGGGTAAGCCCTTGCTCCTGGCGGCGGCGGACATGGAAAAACCCTTCTCATTAGCACCTCGTCTCCAACGATACTTGCCAGCCCTTTGGGCCTTGTATGCTAGCATTCCGCTCCTCATGAACTCTCGTTGGCTGAAACCGCCGTAAGCACTACAGGAGGCTCGGGGAAAGGATTTCCCACCCCTACCACGCCCCTGCCCTTGCCCCGCTCACGATCCCTTCCCCTTCCCCCCCCCGCCCTGTGCCCCTTCCTTCCCTCCCTTCTCCCCTTTCAAAACCGGTGCCTCACTGCCGCTCCGAAACCACCACCTCCGCTCGTCCAGTCCATCTTGGCGGATCTGGAGCAGGACGTTCGGCGCATGATGTTGCCCAACACCGCAGCGAACCTCAAGGTGAGTTCCAGACGTAAGGGGCTTGCTGGCAGATGTCAGCAACACATATGGCCTGCGTGCTGGGTACGGTAAACAGTGTCTATGTGTTGAATACACCTGATTCCGTGTTCGCACTGGGATCTGACTTATTTCCCTCCCTGCCTCCCCCCTCCCTCCTCCCTCCCCCCCGCCTCCCACCTCCCCGCGCCCGCCCCCCCAGGAGTCCCGCCGTAACACGCTGCGCGACTTCGTGTCGGTGTGCGGCCCCCTGGGGGTCACCCACTTCGTCATGCTGTCTGCCACCGACAACTCCTCCTACATCAAGCTGGCCAAGACGCCCAGGGTAGGCGAGGGGTGGGAGGGGGGCAGGGGTGCGGGGCCACGGGTGGGAGAAGGGGGTGCGAGCTTCAAACCCGACCTCCAGAAGGGCCAGGACGGGGGCGCATGGAGGCGTGCCGGTCTAAGGTTGACCCCCCTTCCCATGTTGAAGCCTCATCATACAGCTCCTCAGTTTCCCCTTGTTACCCCTACCCCTACCCTCCTTCTCCTCTCCTCCCCCCTCTACATCCCAGGGCCCCACCATGACCCTGCGCATCAGGGGCTACTCGCTCATCCGGGACGTGCAGGCAGCGGCCACCCGGCCCCGCGTGCCGGCGAACGCGTTCAAGGTGGGGGAAGGCGGGGTGGGGGGAAGGGGACGGAAAAGGGTGTCTGGAAAGGTGGAGGAAGGAGAAAAGGAGGAGGGTACGGTAACCCTCGAAGAAGAGTGAGGAGCGGTATGGGAGGGGTGCAGCCCTCCGGCCACACATGGACCACGCATGCAGCTGCAGCAGAGCGCCCTGCCACCTGCCACCTGCCACCTGCCACCTCTTTGAGCCGCTTTGAGCGCTGGGACCCTCCCCCGCACTGCTGCACCCCCCTCCACCCTTTCAACCCCTCCTGCTGCCCGCCCCATCTGCCCTCCCTGAAGCCTTGTTTGTCACTTTCCCTTAAACGCCCCCCTCCCCTCCCTGTACCTTCCCCCATCCCCCCCCAGACCGCCCCGCTGGTGGTGATGAACGGCTTCAGCGGCAACGACACGTTGCGGCTGGTGACCACCATGTTCCAGGTGTGAGGGGAGGGAGTGGGGAGCTGCGACGAGAGGGGCTGCGGGTGGTGGGTATAAAAGAGAGGCAAGGATACAAGCAGCAGGAGTGCCTCCTGCACCCGCAAGCCACAACCCACACTGCTGTGTTGCCCCTCCCTGACTGTCTCGCCTCCTCTCTCCCTCCCGCCCTCCCTCCCCCCCTGCGTTGTTGCACTTATCTATAATTTTCATCTCCCCCCCTCCCCCTCCCTCTCCCCTCCCCCAGGGCATGTTCCCGGCGCTCAACGTGCAGCGCACCAAGCTGAGCTCCTGCCAGCGGGTGGTGCTGCTGTCGAGGGACAAGGACACGGGTGGGTGAGGGAGGGGGGAAGGGGCATCATCAATGCAGCATGCGACCGAGGTGGTTGTGCACCACCGGAACGATAGCGAGCGCTCATCCCTTGTGCCTCCCTGCCCTCGCATCCCGTCCTCCTACTCCTCACGCTGCCCTCACCTTCTTCACGCTCCTCCTATGGTTTGGTCTTTGCTTACTTGACCCCTCTCCCGCTCCCGCCGCTCCCCCCCCTTTTCCAGGCATCATCCGGTTGCGGCACTACGGCATCTCGGTGGCTCCCTCGGGGCTGCGGAAGAGCGTCAAGGTGTGGGGGGAGAGGAAACAACGAACTGACTGAGGGATAAGGCGTCAACATGGGTTGACGGGGGGGTGGAGAGGGGGCGGGATGGTGGAAGAGGGGGCTTCAATGCAGCCAACCTTATCTACTCGTGGCCAGTTTTTAACACACTGTGTAGCGTCTGCGTCCCTCCCCATTTGTTGACCTCCTTTCCTCCCCTCCCTGCCAGCCCTGTGCGGACCACCCTAATGCCCCCCTCCCCTCCCCCGCCCCCTTCCTCCCCTCCCCTCCCCCGCCCCCTTCCTCCCCTCCCCTCCCCCGCCCCCTTCCTCCCCTCCCCTCCCCCGCCCCCTTCCTCCCCTCCCCTCCCCCGCCCCCTTCCTCCCCTCCCCTCCCCCGCCCCCTTCCTCCCCTTCCCGCCCTCCCCCCAGGGTCTGCTGTCCCGCCGCGAGGTGCCCGACCTGAGCGGCTTCCGGGACGTGTCGGAGTTCGTGACCAAGAGCGGATACGGATCGGTGAGCTGGAGGGCGGAAAACTTATTGAGAAGCTGGGGGAGGAGGGAAGGAGGCAGGGAAAACGGCAAGAGAAGGGGGCGGAAGAGGCCGAAGGGTGTCGGGCGTGAGGTGAAGGCTGAAGGAGGGCCTTCCACACTCACCCTCTCCTCCTCCTCCCTTCCCTCCCCACCCTTTTTCCCCCGTTTCCCCCCCTGCAGGAGAGCGAGGGTGAGGACGCGGAGACCAGCCGAGTCACCCTGGCGTCCGACCTGGGTCGCGGCAACGTGGCCAGCCGGCAGAGCCGCGTGCGGCTGCACGAGATGGGGCCGCGGCTGGAGCTGGAGCTGGTCAAGGTGGGGGGTGGGGGAAGGGGGGCGGAAAAGGAGGGGTACTGAGGTGGGGTTGTGTGTTTCAAGTAGCCTGGCCGCGAGTGGGAACGTACTGTGCGGGATGTGTTAAGAAAACTGGCCTGCGATGGTTGAGATGTGTGCGCGAAACCAACGGAGCCGTGCTTGTCTAAGGAACAACAACATGTTGATTAGTCAAGACACGGAAGAAACCCACGGACATCCCACCTCACCCCCCTCACCCCACCCCCCACCCAGATCGAGGAGGGTCTTTGCGAGGGCGCGGTGTTGTTCCACGCGCACGTGTCCAAGAGTGCGGAGGAGGCGGCAGAGCTGGCCAGCCGCAAGGACGAGAAGGAGAAGCTGCGGGCGGAGCGCAGGAAGCAGCAGGTGGGGGGGGGCTGGGCTGGGGGGGGGAGAGCTGTAGCTGGCTGGGGTGGTGGGCGGCGGAGGAGGAGGGCGAGGGGGAGGGGAGAAGGGGAGGGGAGGGGCAGCAGCAGCAGCTCGGCGGGAGGGTTGGGGAGGGAGGCTGGGTGTGGGCGTGGGGTGTTGAAGGACGCTGACAGTTGCTGCTTCGTACGACGTAAGCGTTTCTGACACCTTTCCTGGCCTCGTTTAACAGCGCATGACCCTGGTATGACCTCCATTTTTCTCTCTCGCGTTTCTTCGTTCCGCTTCTTCGTTCCGCAGGAGGCGAACGTGCGTCGCAAGGCTGCCGAGGCGGCTCGCAAGGCGGCTGCGCATGCGGACGAGCTGCGGCAGCAAGGCAAGCTGCCCAAGGGGGAGAAGATGTGGTGGGAGAAGGAGCCGACAGCCGGGTCGGAGGAGGAGGAGGAGGAGGAGGAGGATGGGGAGGGAAGTGAGGAGGAGGAGGCGGCGGCGGGCGGAGAGCAGGAGGGAGGGGAGCAGGCGGAGGAGGGTGAGAAGAAGAAGGGCGGCAAGAAGGGAGGAGAGGAGCGGGCGGCGAAGAAGCGACGGAGGGACGCGGAGGAGGAGGAGGACGATGATGTGGCCTACTTCAGGTATGAGTGGGTGGTGGGTGGGTGGGTGGGTGGGTGGTGACAGCGTTCCCTCGGGCGCTTGTTGCCTGCACCGGGCTTGGTTGCCACCCCTGTTCGGGCGCTGCACCCCGCCCCGCCCTTCCTTCCTCTCCTCCCAACGGGCTTGCAGTGCTCACAACACCCTGCTGTTAACCACTGGCATTCTGGCTCCTTGTATTGTTTTGTGTTGTCATGTTTGCACGTTTGCCATCCTCACTTAGCACGTTGGGTATTCTTCTTTCCCCATTTTTCCCCCCACCCCTTCGTCCCCGCACACAGGGAGGAGGTGGGTCGCGACCCGGAGGCAGATGAGATGGTGGGAGGTCGCAAGGGCTTCCGCGGAGGGAGGGGTGGAAGGGGAAGAGGGGGCTTCAGGGGGCGGGGTCGGGGCTTTGGTGGGGGCGGCAGGGGCCGGGGCGGGGGTGGTGGAAGCAGGCCGGAAGGAGGCAGTGGTGGTCGGGGTAGGGGTGGAGGAAGGGGTGGGGGTCGTGGGCGGGGAGATGGCGGTCGGGGTGGGGGCGGAGGTCGTGGGCGGGGCGGCTTTGGCAGCGGGGGTCGAGGAGGCGGGGGACGGGGTCGGTCGGGGCGAGGAGGCGAGGGTGGCGGAAGAGGGAAGAGGCCTCGGAATTAAGACAGGGATGGAGGGATAGAGAGACATGAGGAGCGAGGTGGGTGGTGAGGTGGGCGGGGGCGGGCTTGGGGTAAGGAGGTGGTGGTAAGGTGGGAGAATGGGGGTCTGTGTTGGGGTGCAAGGGGTTAAGCGGGGTAGCGGCAGAGTCGGGCTTGGTAGTTAGGGTTGAGCAATGGACAGAAATGGGCTTGGGGCTTTCGGGATTAGGTTAGGGAAGAAGCTGTGGGCTTCGTGCGCGTGATTGCCTGCATGCGAAACTTTGGAAAAGGGGAGGGCTGTAGCTGTCAAAGGAGGAAATAGAAAGCTGTGGATTTCAGCTGCGACCCGTCAGGAGCTGGGGCTCTCCTGAATGTTTGTTAATAACTCGTTGATAGGCGCTTGCGTTGTACATGCGGACGTTCCGAACAAGAAGAGTCGTGGTTGGTCAAGCAAGCAGCTTCCAAGCTGTGCCGTTTCCGTTGACAGCCGCAGGGATGGCAGGCGGCTAGCAGCATGGGTATGACAATAGGAAACCATGCCGCGATCATTCATTAACGTGCGCTCGGCTTCTGGCAGTTGGGTCACGTCCCGACGGTTGGACTTACCCTTTTCCTCTTGCTGCGAGCATCCAACGTACTAAAGTTGCTCTCAGTCAAGATCTACGCCATAAAGTATTAGCTGCAGGAAGGAAGGAAGGAAGCCTACGGCAACGTCGTATCCCATAAGCAGTACGTCGTGTTGGGCACCACCCCGAAATCCTAACGCGACAGCAGCACCTCCTACGGTCAGCAGAGATCACTTATATCAAAAATACTGCTATGTTCTTTTAATAATGCTGCACGCTTCCTTACATTGCAAAAGTTGGTACTTGGGGTTCTGTTCCTCAACCAGTCTGCGACTTCTTTGACTTTAGTTTAGGACTACTGGCGCCGGTTTGGGAGGGCCTATGACCGCCACGTGGCTGACCGCCACCGGCGAGACGCTGCGTGTGCGAGAGGTATGGGGGGACAACCTGGAGGCCGAGTTCGCCATCATACGGGACATTGTAGAAGGTTATCCCTATGTGGCGATGGACACTGAGTTTCCGGGCGTCGTGGCAAAGCCAATTGGCACGTTCAAGAGCAGCCGGGAGTTTAACTACAAATCAGTCAAGATGAATGTTGACATGCTAAAGCTTATACAGCTCGGTCTAACATTCACGGACGCGAAGGGCAGCCTGCCGCGTTCCAACGGAGAGCTCTGCGTTTGGCAGTTCAACTTTAAGGGCTTCCGGCTGGCGGACGATGTTTACGCACAGGATAGCATAGAGCTGCTGAAAAAGTCTGGCATTGATTTCGCGATGCACGAGGCTCGCGGCATTGACGTGCACCGATTTGGGGAGCTGCTCATGACGTCCGGTATCGTGCTCAACGACGAAGTGCGCTGGATCACCTTCCACAGCACTTACGACTTTGGGTACCTCTTAAAAATCCTCACGTGCCAGCCGCTGCCAAACACGGAGCAGGAGTTCTTTGAGCTCCTTAACATCTACTTCCCCAACATCTTTGACATCAAGCACCTGATGCGGTACTGCGACAACCTGCACGGCGGCCTCAACAAGCTCGCGGAGATGCTTGACGTGCAGCGGATAGGGCCGCAGCACCAGGCCGGCTCTGACAGCCTGCTGACGTCCTTCACCTTCATCAAACTCGCGAACAAGTTCTTCCAGGGCATCGAGGGCGCATCCAAGCACCTGGGGGTGCTCTACGGGCTAGGTGCGTGGGTTTGGGACAGGGGACACGGACTATACAATCTGATCTGGTGGGTGGGGTGTTGGAGCTGCATTTGGGTTAGGACATATGACACGCCCTGCCTTGTCCAGTTTCACACACGCAAGTGTACTTCTTGGGATGACCAGCTTCAAGCTTGCCGCTGGAGACGGTTTCAACGCTGTTGACGTTGGTCGACATGCTTACCCACGCATCCTCGCACAAGTTAACCACACTCCCGCCAACCCCCCCCCCCACCCCCAACCACCGCTCCGTTGCCCCCATGGCACAGGGATGGAAGGCGCGCCGGAGTCCAGCAAAAGCCACGACAACGGCTCCTGAGGGTGTTGTCTGTACGGCAGGCTTGTTTCGCTGCAGGTGGTCGTGGGCTGATCCCGGCGGTCATGGCTCAACTGCACGCTGTTGGCCGCTCTCCTTCTGCAGCCTTTCGCCTGCGGGGGCAACTGGGTCGTTGCATGCTGCGGCTTGCGGTGCAATACCGTGTATGGGTAGACGTCGGGCATGTATAGAAGGCGTTTTCGGGGTCGGCGAGGCGGCGCGTGATGGCATGTACATGTAGGGTGGTTCAGCGCATCTGGGACGGGCGGTGGCTGTTGGCTGAGAGGAGTTGAGCTGTTGGGGCATGCGGGGCGGGGACACGGCCGCATCTTGCGGACATGTGGGGTGTCGGGGCGGGTATTAAGCACTAGCGGGAATGGGTGCATGTGTTGGGAGGAGGCAAGGTCGAAGGATGTGCGTGTGTGTAGTTGGGTTTGCTGGCGAGAGGCGGCTGTTGCCCGATGGTTGTTGGGGGCTCGGCGGCATCGGTTTGCCCGAGAGAAGGGCGCTCTGTACAATACACATGATGCCTGTATCGCGCTAAGTAGTTTCGTTGGAGCTGAGGCTGAGGAAGGACAGGATGGGCCAGGACTCGAGTGGAGCCCTCCCTAAGCGACGAGACACACGGGGGAACAGGACACACTCTGGAGCTTGCTGCACCTGCGCACCGCAAACACGACGCACCATATGTTGGTTGTCTGTTGGGGGCTGGCGTGTTGATCGTACCTTCGGCTATGATTGGGGTCCGTCGACTGTCTGGCTTTTACTTGGAGCTCGGGTTGATACGAGTCTTTAAGAAAGTTGTGGACGGCTATCTTAGGTTTCGCGGTTAGGCCGGTAGTAGGGGGTTAGCTCTGTCGTGGCACCCCACGCCGGTGCCTCATCGCTGGCGCTATCATGCAACCCCCCTAGCACGGCAGCAGCAGATTGTAGGTTAGCGTGGGCTAGCGATTAGGCAGTCTGCCGGTTGGTAGGCATGGTTGGGGAAGGAAGAGAGCCGTACGGCCTTAGGAGGGTTCCGGAAGCTGGGTGGGCCCAGTCTGTGGTGGGAGCGGGGCAGGGCGCGTGCAGTAAGAAAGTGGCCAAGTGTGAAGAGAAGGGAGGATGAGGTGGTAAGCGAGCGTCCTAGCGTCGCCTCTCCGTTGCTGCGCCCAGTGGCTCGGCGAAGAGCGCCTTGTTGACTGCTGCTGCGGCTCCTCGGCTGCTGCTGACGCTTGTGTCTGGTCCATCATTTTGTACGTTTTTCCAACAACCTGTTTGCGCGTATTTATTCCTAACCACTAACTGAATTGGAGGCATGAACTCAGTGGGGGGCACCCGACCTCGTTCCACGTGTGTGCGTGCAGGTACATGGACAAAAGAGAGGCGGAGCCGTGTCGTACTTTGGCAGCGCAAGGCCGCCAAACCGGGGCAGTTGTCTCGGCGTGCATGTGGTGTCGTCGTGTTGATAATGATCGTGGGGAGATGGTGATGGGCTCTGCAACGGCGCATAGTGGTTTGGTGAGCAGCATGACTGTCATAGCTAGCCTAGCTCGCTGCAGACGTGCGGGCTCTGTGGTGGTGTTGTGCGTGCATGTGGATGTTGCAGAAATGCTTTGCATACCGGTACATTCTGTAACTTGGTAAGCGTGCTGTGAGCAGAAGACGTAACGAGGCCGCAGCAGCAGCAGCGGGTAGAGGCCGTACCTCTACCCCTGTAGCAACCTTTACAAGGGCTAAGAACCTCCGGACCCCTAATCCAACATCCAAGGGTGACCTAAGAGGTGCCCGCGGCTAGGGCACATACCTGACGACGAGCAACGCGCGCAGACCACACCACATACGACATCCCAAACAGCACAATCCCACGCAGGGGAACATACATCATCGTAACCAGGGACTCCATATGACTGACTCCATTAAGACCACCAAAAGTTTATCCCAGAGGGCGCACGCGCCCACAGATCTCGTGTCACGGGGTGTCTCACATGTCACATTTCCTGAACCAGTTGAAAAGCAAGTGCCTCCCAATGCGTTCATCAGCAGAAGACTATGCCGTGACAGTGCCGGGTAGATTGATTACGTGAAGTTAACATCTATAGCCTAAGGTATCTAACCGAACGAGCAATTAAGTATATTACGCAATCACGAGGACGGAAGTACCGTTCAAAAGGTGGTACGGCACTTCTAATCACACGAGTCGAAACAGGATCCGCATCACTTCTACGACGCCACCTAAAGCGCATGCTGGTCTCAAGCCTATTACACATATATGAGCGCGCGGATTTGCCTTGCAAGCCACCCGCTCGCCTAACATAAATTCCACGCCTAGACATGTATGACTAAGCAGACGAAACGGCGATGCATGCATGCATGCATATCATGTCGTCGTACGATTGTTGTCTTGTATCACGCGAGCAGGATCATACGTCTGTAAACAATTGTACGTTCCAGCACAAACCCACCAAGTGCACACAGCGTTGTATGTTGCCATTCTAGTTTCGCGCGGACTCCCCCTTTGGCTCCAATGCAATCGAACATATACCATATTACGGCCTACGCCCTAACATCTCTCTCTCTTGCGTCTTGCCCTCTCCTGCCCTGCGCTTTCCGCCCTCTACTGCTCATGCATCCATCTCGCCATCCCGACAGCGCTACACACCCCCAACGTTCGCAGCCCCGCAGACCTGCCGCGCCGTCCCTGCCGCTGCCGCCTGCACCTGCTCCGCCACCTTCCCCGGCAACCCCCCTAGCGCCCCCACCACCTCCTGCAGCGCCCGGTTGCTGCGACCTAGCGCCCCCGTCACCCGCCACAGCACCAGCAGCAGCAGCAACAACAACACCGTCTGGGCCCCAACCAGGATGAGCAGGTTGCTGGGGCTGCCCAGGCCGCCGCAGGAGGTGGTGCCGATGAAGGCGGAACCGGCGGCCGCGGGCGCGGGCGCGGCCGCTGCCGCGGCGGCGCCGGCTTCGCCGCCGCTGCTGCCACTGCCTGCGGCCCCCGATGCTCCTTCTACGGATAACTTTGCTGCGATGAGCTCGTTACGCAGGGTTTCGTAGTACTTGCGTGCGTCCTTGGGCGATGCGTCGTCCACCTTGCTCTTGACCATGTTGACCATCATGCCGCTCTTGAACCACTGGGTCTGCAGGGAGGCAGGGACGAGGTGAGGAGGCAGGTGCGGAATGAGACATACAAAAGGAGGACATTGGGGAAGAGGCCGGAAGTAAAGAGGGTGACAAAGAACCGTTAACGCTATAATACCAAGCAGCAGCACACAAAGACGGGGTGTGATAGCGGCGTCTGTAGCGTGGCGTGCTGAGGCCAAGCTGTACTTCAACAGATACAGGCACAAGTACTTCCTTCCTTCCTGCCCACGCCCCTTACCTTGATGGAGGCGGAAAGGCGGGTCTTGTCAGGTCCCACGTGCTGACCCACAATCTGCAGTGCATCAGGCGTGTGTGACCGTGTGTCGTTATACTCTCACAATACATGTGACAGGAAAGGGAATGACGGCGGGCCAGATCATCAAGATTCGCCTTCGACGCGTGACAACCTATGCGCGTGCATGCTTGCAAGCCAGCAGGTAGGCATGTGGACAAACATTATGCAGATACGTATCATGTCCAGCGCCAAGCGAGCCTCGCGCCATGCAGATGTCCTCCGATCCCTGATCCCTAGCAGACACCTCTCACCTCGCAGACGCCTCATCCCTCCCCCTCCCCCCACGCACCTGCATGACCACGTGCACGCACTGCCCAATGGGGGGTACGTTGGGCGTCACGCGGTTCTCGACAACAAAGCCCCCGTCGCACTTGGTCAGGATCTGAGGCATCACGGCATTCAGGGAGGGGGTAAGGGATAACAAACTCGTTCAAACGGCTCATACACAACGATGGCGCGGGTGGGGTGGGAATGTGATGTGCTGTAATGCATGCGTGCAAGCATGTACATATCCACACGTACCTTTTGTACGGATTGTACGGCAGTGGGGCCCACCGGTGTGGGTTTCATGTACGACATCTGCCGTACGGACAGCGCCTTGTTCTCCGGGTCCGGTCCCCAGGGGCCTGACTTGAGGTCCGTCATCTGCTCCGCCGCCGCCACTCGGTTCGCTAGCTCCGAATCCGGCCCAAACAGCGTACGGCAGAGCGCATGCGGCCCCAGCCCCACCACCATATCCGCAACGACCGAGTCCAGGGGCGCAGGGGGTGCCAGCTGTGCGCCCTCTCCCGGAGCCTCCACGTCAACAGCGGCGAAGTCGACCGCTCCTGCTCCTCCTGCACTACTGCCGCCCCTAGGGCTGCGGTCGTCAGCTGCTCCCGCAGACGGCCCCCCTTCCTGTCAGCGGGTGGCGGAGGCGGAGGAAAGTAAAGAAGGATGAAAGGGAGGCGACCGCGACATGGGCGCCTAGGTCCATCTTCTTGACCTCCCACTCCACCTTTCTCCTCCCTTCTTCCCCCTTTTCCAGAGCTTACCTCTGTTGGGTTGCCCCACCCACCCATTCCCACTGCTTTGCTCTGCCATGCAGTACCGATACCACTTGGTTTGGCTTCCTTCTAACCCCCACTCCACTTCAGCCCCCTTCCCAGCCCCTCTCCTCACCGCCTTGACCAGCTGCATGCTGAGCAGCACCACGGGTGATGCAGCCAGGGAGCGATCGATGCGCTCCATGCGGCGGCTGTAGCGCTTGCCGTCCCACAGGGGGGCAGGCGGAGCGGCAGGAGGGGTGGCAGGGGCGCGCGGGGAGCCATCGGGAGAGGAGGAGGAAGCCACCTCCGCGGACGTCTTGACGGTCTTGCCGCAACCTCCTGCTCCCCCCGCAATGATGGCCGCCAGATTGCCCAGCAGCCCGGGACTGGGGGCGGGTGCGAGCGGGTGATGAGGTGTGTCAGACAGGTGTGTGCTACGCAGAGAGGTGTCGGGTGAGTAACACACATGTCGGGAAGCAAAGGGGGCCAGGAGAAACAGAGGAGCGAACATGCGTACCCAAGATACCCAAAAGGCACGTTCCAATATGCGAGAGGCAAGCACTCACCGGGTGGTGGCATTGCCGCCCTCGGCTGCAGCGGCTCCCTCAGCAGACGAGCGCTCCCCCAGCGGGTCACTGCTGCCGGAACCCGCAGTCGCCAGCCCCGCGGCAGCAGCAGCGGGCTCGGGTCGGAAGGGCACATCCCAGATGGGGATCTGCGTCTTGGCGAGTCGCGTCTTGCCGCACACCAAATCAATCTTGATATCTCCAAACTGCAACACACGGTTATTTTGGCGGAGAAGAGAACGTTCAGCAGTCGTACGGCATACATGGAACCCGGGGGAGCATGCTACTAGCAAAAACGGTTTTGGCTTCACGATGACTTCTTATGGCCCGCCCCTCACCTGCGCCCTGTTCCTGCCCCTGCCCGCCGCCCCGCCCCGCTGCTCCTCGAACGCATCCGCCAGCGGCACCTCCACCTCGAAGCCCTCGGGGTCCGCCTCGCCGCCAAACACAGGGCAGCGGAGAGCCCGCCGCGCCTCGAAACAACACAGGCTGGGGGGCCGGAGTGGGCGAGGGGTTGAGCGGTGGGCGGGTGAGTCGGTGAGCGGGTGGGTGGGCAACGCCTCTGGTCGTAACAGTTGACTTCCTCCGCACACCATGGCATCCGCTCCACCACCACATGTCCTTTACCATCTGCCGCTTCCTCTCCATATCGCCTTGCCCTATCTTCAGGTCCCAGGTTCCCAACGGGAAACGAGACGCCTCTATCTACCCGTCTGCCACCCCTACAGAACCCCCCCTACCCGCCCCCCACCTGATCTCCACCGCCAGCCCCGCCGCCTGCTGCCCCTGGCTGAGCCCCCCCAGCCCGCCCAGCTCCCGCAGCCCATGCAGCTTCAGGTGCAGGCGGTACGGCGCCAGCTGGTCGTACACCTGCTCGGGGTCCTGGATGGCGGTGATGACGGCACGCATCTGGGAGGGGGGAAGGGAGGGATCAGGAGGTGGGCCGGGATGTGGTTGGGAGAGTGGGCGAGTGAAGAGAGATGAGAGGAGGGAGAAGGGTTAGGGTGCTTGGGCAAGTCAAAGTCATTGGTTTGAAGTGGGTCAGACTCGGTGGATTTGGCGCGCTGGTCTTGCCCCTCCTCCTCCTAGTTGGTTCTTCCTCCTTACCACCCACCCACCCCACCCCCGCTCACACCCACCTCCTTGTACTGTTGCTTCCCCAGGATGGACACCCCGAACACCAGCTCGCCGCGCTTGCGAGGAGTGCCCGAGCGGTCCTGCAGCGGCATCCTGTGGTGGGGAGAGAGCAGGAGGCAGGAGAAGGTTGGGGAAGGGAGGAGGTCGGGGATCACCTGTACATAGCCCTCTGTAGCCAATTGGCCGCTGACGTGTGCTGTGTACACAGTGAGTTGTACCCTGCTGCAGTAGTACCTGGTACGACATGTTTCTCTCCTCCTAGCCCTGTACCGCACCTGTACGGCGTCTCCTGTCCGAGCTCCGTGATCCCCGCCAGCAGCTCAGGAATGGGCTTGGACACCTGAAAAAGGGAGGGGGATTTAAGAGGGGTGTAGGGGTTTATATTTATTGTAGAGGATATCTTTCGACCCTCCGGCATTCTCGTTATTCTCGCTGCCCTCTCTACACACATGGCCTCCTCTTCACCCCCAAGCCCAACCCAGATGGCCTCTCCTCATCGCCCCCAAGCCCAACCCAGATGGCACTTCATTCTTATACCTGCCCCCCCCCCCCCGAGCCTTCTCACCTGCCCCACGAAGGAGTTGAAGTGGCCGATGTCCTTGTCGAACATGCGCAGCGTCACCGAGGTGTCCTCCGTCACGTAGTCAAGGGGAAAAGGTAGGCTGCGGAGGAGGAGGGGATGCAGGACGTCGTGTTTATAATGGGGGTATTCGCCTCACCGAATTCCTAGGGATCCCTCCATCCCTCCATCCCTCCATCCCACCGAGATGGAGGCAAACCGGGAACAAAAGGTAAATCTAGAAGCTAAGAACTCGTCGTCCGCCTAGCAGTGCTTGTTATCTCACCATTCCTCCCACATAGGGTAGCTGTTGCGGGTAATGACACGCGTCTCGGCCTCAGCAAAGGGCAGCGCGCCGGGGCGCTGCAGAGCCACGCGCACGAATCTACAAGGAGAGTGGGAAGGCGTGGGCACGACGTTTGGTGATTTAGTATGGGGAGAGAATATGAGGGTAGGGGGAGCGCAAAGGGGCCGGGAGCGATTGACATGGGCTACAGCCGGGAATGCCTTCCAAAGTAAGCTGTCTTGCATAAAAGGTGGAGAGGAACTTACGGGTCACAGGTTGCTCCGGGCATGGCGCTGGCAGGAGGAATATCGATCGCCTCTTTGATGCTTATGCAAATGAAGTAGTCTCCGCCAAGCCATGGAGAAAAGTTGAGACCACGCCGCAGAGCGCCTCCTCGAGTCAGCGATACACCTCGATTAAGTTCATCAGTAGACGAGTTCTCCGTTTCCTCAGGTGCTTGCTGGGGCTCAACCACGGCTTCGCCATCCACGCTCGCCTGCCTTGCCCCCTTATTGCCTTTCAAACCCAGGGCTTGACGTAGCATGGTACCTAGCTTCAGTCCGCCCGGCTAGGAAATCAACGAGAAAGCTTGCTAAGCGGAACACGCGATTAACTACCGATATGTCGTAAAAGATTGAATTAGCCTTAAAGCGGTTGCTGGTGCATGCCAAGCGGGGAGGCGGCAGCCAGCTAAGTCAGGACCAAAATGGGAGCTGAAAGTATATAAGCGGTGATCGCGCTACACCCTGATGTACGACGTCACTTGCTGCTCAGGTGCGTAGATTGCCCGTGCACCGTCAACGCCTGGCACAGCTAGGCCCAGAGCTGTTCACCTGGACCACATGCACCAAATATTGCCTGCCCTGTTTCCTATTCATATTTATGAGTGAACAAATTGCTTCGGTTGCGGCAGGGCCTGCAGCCCCGCTTACGAGTCTACCTCACAAAGGACCGGCCTAGCGTGGCCTGGCACCTTCTCGGTTCCAGATATCGCAGTATAGGCAAGATAATTACATTACACGCTTTTGCTAGCCCTTGTTATTCGCTCGGCATTTGCGGTCGGGGGCAACCCAGACCAACATTGCCACATCCTGGGTGGCGGATGATCGGATAACACCCGCAAATGGCTAGCTTGCTCATTCCTGGCCTTCTCAAAACGGAGCATCGCACGAGGAGGAGCGAATGTTTGGTGGAAGGGCTGCTGAGCCGCACGGAATGGGCCAAACATGGGCAAGCCATTGAAGGGACTAGCAAACCATCCTAAGCTGTTCGCCATGTTCACCACAGGCCCCATCACAGGCCACGTGTGACAGGGGTTACTTAAGGGCGCCTGGGGCTGCGGCAGCTAATGACCGTAAGCGCAGCTTCCCCTTGGCACGGCACGGAGTTGGACAAACAAACAGCTGGTTGCGCGTAGAGTTGAATACGTCCGTCCCTGTTCCTATGATCTGCGCGTTGCAACTTGAACGAAACCCAAGGCAGGTCTGGGACAGGGGAAAACCTGTCGTATACCACAATACCAGGTTTACGTAACGAGCTCAACAACCTAACCATGAATTCCCGTAGAAGCTCATTTGGGCTTTTATACCATGCGTGATATAGAAGCGCTTTGGAGGGCAGTGACGGAGTACCGGTAAATTATGAAGGGCTTTACCATACAGTAATCTGGCTCCTTTTGCTTACAGGGCCGCCTGGGGCCGCATACAAATTCGATACTTAATTGTACGCGAACATACCCCCGAAAATTGATTTTAGCGTGCACAAACGTTTGTAGAAAGCCACGGCTTGTCTGAACGTGTTGAAATCGAACCGGTTCACTTTCGGTCAGAAGTACCCCGGGAACATTTGACCAGATCCAAGGCGAATTTCAGTAACAGCATCTTCTCCGCCTGGCTGGTTTGCGTGGAACCATGGCCATGCGCGGCCGGGGCGGCAATGCCGAACCCCGGCCGGACGATGCCTTCGCCGAGGAGCTCCGCGAGAAGACGCTGGCGCTTGTTTCCGTCCAACGGAACTATGAGAGTATTTCTCGACTCATGCAAGCCAAGCAGCAGGAAGTCGACCAGGTACGCAATACCTCGCTTGCTGCCCGCGGCCCCGCGCCCCGAGCAGGCCACCTCCCCCCTCCCTCCGTGTGCATGCACCTCCTATCAAGGCTCACATACACCCGCTTTCCCTCCCCTTTCCCTTTCTTTACACAGCTTCATGCCCAGCTGTCAGCCGAGCAGTCCACCTCCAACCGTCTGCGTGCGCAGCTGGAGGAGGTGCAGGGGCGGTGTGCGGGGCTGGAGCGGCAGAACGAGGGCACTCGGGCACTGCAGTCGCAGCTGGCGGACATGCAGGTCGGGTGAAAGGGAAGTTCTTTCGAACTAGCTTTCACTTATCTAAGGGAGGTTGTATCAATATATCAATCTAGCTTCACTTCTTTCTTCACCTACCACCTGGGGGCTTAGTTTTCGTCTTATTTAACCCCATCCCCACACACCGTGTTTACCCTCTCCCGCTACACTCTGTTTGTGGGCAGGCGAGTCAGGAGGCTACGAAGCGAGAGGCGGCGCAGGCGAATGCGTGGGCCATGGCCATGCAGGAAACCGTCAAGGGGTGAGGGTGGTGTTTTGGCGGGGGTTGGCATGCTTCCAAAGGGGTGTGGTGTTGCGGTTTGGAAGGGGTAATGCCGTTATGTGTTTGTGTCGGTTTGCAAGGGAAAAGGAGGGCTTTCTGGAGTTGTTGGGTGAGATGCGGCAGGGGGTCCGCAGGAGGGTACGGGTGCGGATCAGAGGTGCGGAGCACACCCGCACCTCCGCCGGTCGCCACACTACTGCTACCACGCCTTCCGCCCATGTATTCCCCCCTCCCCATTCCTCTCCCACCCTCCACGCGCCTCTGTCCCATGCCCCCACTAGGACATGGTTGCTTCATTGGTTGCTTCACTACTAGTTTGGTTTTTATCCCCGCCCCTGCCGCCCCTCGCACTACAGGCTGCGTCAGCAGCTGGAGGAGGAGCAGCACCGAGGGCAGCAGCTGAAGCACCAGCTGTCGGTAAGTTGTGATCTGACCCATGGGTCATTATCGCGCCCCTCCTCCCTTTCCTCCACCTTGTTTGGATTGCGTGCCTTGTCCGAGGTTGCAGCGGCGGAGAAGGTCCCACGCACCGCCGTTCTCCCCTCCACCATACCCTTCCCACCAGAGAAGCCACTTCCCTTCCTACTGCCTACCACTACCGGTACTCCTAACACCATACCATAGTTCTTCCTCCCCCTTCTTTTCTTCCTAACCCACCCTCCTTCCCTTCTGGTTTCTGACCCCTCAGTCCTGGCGCCAGATGGAGACCGACCTGGAGGGCGAGGCTGCCGTGCTGCGCTCCCGGCTGGCGGAGGCGGAGGGCGACTGCCGCGCCATGTGCTCGGAGCTGCGCGCGCTGAGGGACGTGGTGGGGCGGGCGGCGGGGGCGGCGCAGGCGGAGGCGCAGCGGGCGGCGGGGCTGGCGGCGCAGGTGGGAGGGAGGGGGGTAGGGGGTGGGGTGAGGACGGTGGGGTAGAGAGAGTGGAAGAACCAACCGTGGTGGTGGAGGTGGTAGTGAGTAGCGGCACAGGTGGGGTGAGGGCAGCGGGGGCGTGTGTGCATGTCCAGGCACGACACGTCAGGGTTTGTGCCAGCTGCTGCTGTTGTCCGACGACCCATGGGTCAGGAACTCAGGATGTTTCTAACCCCATTCACTTTCCTGGCCTGGACCGTAACGCGCCGCAGGTGGTGGGGCACGAGGACACCATCCGCGGGCTGCAGGAGGAAGTCAGGTGAGGTGGGCCGTTTGCACTGCTGTGCCTGTGTGCCCCTCTGCCTCACCACCTCCCCCTCCTAGGTCTCCTCCCGCCTCCCCTTGCCCGCTTTCGTCGGGCACCCGTTCGCCAGGCGCTTTCACAATCGGTTGCCGCTATCCTCATGAACTTGGTCACATCCTCTTCCTTCCTTCCTTCGTCCCGGACCTTGCCCTCACTTGTGGTTAGGTTGTTGGTTCTGACACCCTTCCCCGTCCTGTGGTCTCCTATGGTTTGGTATGGTCTTTGACCCCCCGTCCTCTTTGTCGTCTTGTTTGCCATTTTCTTGCAACACAGTGCGACATTGGGTATTCTTCTTTTCCCCGCCTCTTTGCCCCTTCCCCCCAGGTCCCTCACCCAACAGTCCCAGGAGCTGCGTTCCGCGCTGCGTGCCTCCGAGGTCTCCCTCTCCACTGCGCGCAGCAGCATCACGGTGCTGGAGGCGCAGCTGCGGGGCGCGCAGCGGGGGGCGCAGGTGGCGGCGGGGGAGCAGGAGGAGCTGGCGGGCAGGCTGGCGGCGGCGGCGGGGAGGGAGGCGGAGGGGAAGGTGTGCGGGGGGGGGGGCAGCTGGAGAGCTGGTGGGTTGGGAGGTGGGAGGAGGGGGGAAAACCTAGATAAGTGCATCAACGGAGTCCCAATCCTGGATCCCGACGAGTGGAGGGTGAGGGCTTTAGGGTGGGGCTTCCGTCGCTATCTCGCATCATTGGTATTGTTGTCTTACCCCGAGCTCCTCTTACCCCAGGCCGCCCTGGCTGCCAAGGAGGCGGAGTTGCAGCAGGCGCAGTCGCTGCTGACCGAGATGGAGGGCAAGTACCAGGTAAAGGGGGGGGGGGTGAAAGAAATTCCAAAGTGTGGGGGGGGGAGGGGAGGGAGCGGGGCGGGGCGAGAGGGGGAGGAGAGTTGTTCCGTGGACAACATGTCCTACATGTGACATGGGCAGTTTGTGTCCTAATCCTCGCCTAACCCGCTCCTTGCCCTCTCCTTGCAGCTTCACTTGTGGTTTGTAATTTCCTTCCTGGACTCCTCCTCTCTCTCTCTCAGTTTACCTAATCCTCCGCCGCACATCCACACATTGGAATTTCTTCCCCCCACCCCCCCTGCAGGCCAGCCTCAGCAAGCGCATGGCGGCTGATGAGGTCAGCAACGGCCTGCAGCTGCAGCTGGCGCAGACGCGGGGGGCGCTGGCGGATGCACGGAGGTGGGGGAGGGGGTGGGAAGGGAGGGAGGGAGGCTGGGAGGAGAAGAGGGAGGGGGAGAGGACTGGGAAGAGGGAAGGGGAGAGCGGGGGAGGGACGGGGTAGCTGCTAAAGTCATCTGTCAATGTCGCATCTCCTGCGCTGATCGGTGCCGCATCCCACAAACCCCAACTGCCCCAGGCAGCAGCAGGCGGCGGAGCAGGAGGCAGCTCGAGCAGCAGAGGCGGCAGCCGAGGCGGATCGCGCCGCCGCCGCTCGCGTCGCCAACGCCAACCGACTCGTCTCTGCCGTACAGTTCCGAGCCACTGAGGCGGGCAATGTGCTGGCAAATCGATTGGACGCGGTTTCGGATCGGTTGACTCGACAGTTGGCGGATCGGTTGGGTCGGGGGTTGGCGAGCGAGGCTGAGCGAGTGGACCGAGCGATCACTAGTGAGTGCCGTACGCGTGGTTGGGAGGAATAGATTAACTGCGCCGCGAGGAAACACTGGCCTAAGAAGGGAAGGTCATACCAACCTGTCTAAGGGGATGTACAACTGAGAAGCGGAATGAGGGGTGGGGAAGTAGACAGGGAGCGGGAAGAGGAGGAGAGGTAGTGTGCCCGCCACCCGTCCGCTCCTCCCCATACGTGTTATCCCTCCTCCTCCCTCCCTCCTCCCTCCCTCCTCCCTCCCTCCTCCCTCCCTCCTCCCTCCCTCCCTCCCTCCTCCCTCCCTCCTCCCTCCCTCCTCCCTCCCTCCTCCCTCCCTCCTCCCTCCCTCCTCCCTCCCTCCTCCCTCCCTCCTCCCTCCCTCCTCCCTCCCTCCTCCCTCCCTCCTCCCTCCCTCCTCCCTCCCTCCTCCCTCCCTCCTCCCTCCCTCCTCCCTCCCTCCTCCCTCCCTCCTCCCTCCCTCCTCCCTCCCTCCTCCCTCCCTCCTCCCTCCCTCCTCCCTCCCTCCCTCCCCCCAGTCACCCAGCTGAAGCTGCAGTCGTGGGAGGGGGAGCTGCTGGAGGTGGAGGCGGGGCTAGCAGGACTGGGCAGGACACTGGAGGTGCTGCAGGCGGGGGCGGTGCGGCGGAGGGCGGAGAGGGAGCGGGAGGTGCACTCGGTGAGGGGGAAGGGGAGGGGGAGGAACGACCCGTGGGTCGTACATGCGGTACTACGTTCACTGCTGTTCACCTCCGGGTGGGTCCACCACGTGGCATTCGTGCGGCTGGAGTATTCAGGACAGTGCCTGGTGTATTCGTATATATCACACATAAACACTTTATCTTCTTCCCCTGTCTCTCTCCCTCTCTCCCTCTCTCCCCCTCATCCCTCTCACACCCCCCTTCCCCCCCCAGGCTCACGGCGACGCCTGCTCCCTGCGCGCCCGTGTTGACGAGCTGAGCGCCGCGCTGGCGGGGGAGGTGGCGGCGCGGCAGCAGCTGGCGGCGGGGAAGGCGGCGGTGGAGGCGGAACACAGGGCAGCGCTGCAGGTGCGGGGGGGGGAGGGGCGGAGCCGTGTAACCCGTGTTCTGTCCTTCAGAAGCTTGGCGTGTGTGGGCACATGCATCGTGTGTCATACCGCCACGCGCCTCCGCCTCCGTCCTTCCCCACTCGCTGCTGACCCTCTTGCCACTCCCTGCCCTGCCCTCTCTCTCCCCCCCCCTGTCCTCCCTCCCTCCCCCCGCCTCCCCAGTCGGCCCAGGCGGTAGCTGACGAGCGGGTGGAGGCGGAGCGGCAGCGGCTGGGCGCGCGACTGGAGGCGGTGGAGGCGGAGGTGGGAGGAGAGGCTGGGGCTGCTGGGGTGTGTGGATTAGGGTTTGATCTTGATTACAAGGCAAGCACTGGATTGTGAACCCTCCTCCTGTCCCCCCCCTCCTCCTGCCTCCTCCCTCCCCCCCCCCAGGTCGCCCGCCTCACCCGCACCCACCAGCGCGACCTGGCCTCCGCCCAGCTGGCGCACGAGCACGAGCGCAAGCAGCTCACCCGGCGCATAGAGGAGCTGGGCGAGGAGCTGCGGCAGATGAAGGAGGCGCCGCCGCCGCAGCCGCCGGTAGGGGGGTGTGGGTGGGTGGGTGCGTGTGGGGAAAATTCAGGCCGCGAGGAGGGACGTACTGTGATTGATCGGAAGGGGAAGTCCCCACCATAACGCCACGGAAGACGAAGAGTAGTATATCGCGGTCCAGCCTAGCTAATCCCTCCCCCTCCCGTCCCTCTCTTCCTCCTCCCCCCTCCGCCTCCCCCCTCAGTCCATGTCCAACGCCCTGGCGGTGCTGCACACGCAGCTCAACGCGGACCTGCAGGCGGCCAAGGACCAGTACGACAGGAGCCTGGCGCTGTACAAGGAACAGCTGGAGGGGGTGAGAGCAGGGGGCTGGGGCGGGAGGTGCGGGGAAGGGAAGGGGGGTACACCACGCACCGGCCCACGTGCATGCAACCCCAAACTCATTTGCATCTGCCCCCCTTCATGCCTCTTCCCTGCCAGCTGCCCTTCCTTCTGCCGCCCAATACCCGCTCCTCCCACCCCTTCACTCCTCCCACAGACCCAGTCCAATGTGCGCTCCGCCTGGTCCACCTGCATGAAGCTCTCCTCCGACCTGGCGCTGGTGGGGCGGCACCTGCAGCGGACGGGGGCGCCGGGGCCGGGGGGCATGCAGGAGGGGGCGGGGGAGCTGCCGCCGGCGCTGAGGGGGGTGAGTGGGGCTGGAGAGGGGAGGAGGGGTAACTGACACACCATTGCGTTAGGAGGGGAAGAGTGCCCTCGTATAGTGGACTATGCTTCTCTCCTGTTGATCCCATGTAGCTGGCGGATAAGTAGTATAACCCATGGGCTCCTATGCGCCTGCCTGCCTGGCCACATGCTGACCCATGGGTCACCGAACACACGACTTCACGCCCGCGCCCTTACACCCACCCACCCCCGCCCAGGTGGCTGATGACGGCGGCGGCGCGCTGCTGAAGGAGCTGGCTGCCGCTCTGCGGCTGGGCTTCACGCAGGTGGTGGAGGGGGTGCAGAACGCGGTGAGGCGGCTGCAGGTGGCGCAGCAGCGGAACGAGGAGATGGAGGCCAAGGTGAGAGGGCGTGTACAGAAAACTAGCCGCGATGGAGGAAGAAAGGGCGCTAGTGGCGATCTAGCGTAACTTAATGTACTCTTCATGCAGCTGGAAAGGACACCGGCAACACCGCCGGTTGTGTTGCGCTTGTTCTTGGTCGACCAGCATGCATCACGACAACGGCCCTTCCTCCTACCATCCCCCTCCCCCTTCCCCCCGCCTCCAGGTTGCCGCGGTGGACCCCGCCGCCTGGAACGCGGTGGCCTCGGAGCTGCGGCGCACGGTGGCTCAGCTGGTGCACGTGGAGGACAGCCTGGGGCCGCCCTGCACCTGCCTCATGTGCCTAGAGGTGTTCAAGGTAGGGGGTGGATGGGATGGGGGAAAGTCCGGTGAAAGACCAACTATGGGATGTGAGGCGCTCAGGGCGATGCTGCTGCTGCAGCGGTGCGTATGTGTCTCCGTGTAGGATACCTAGCTGGTTGTAGGTTGAAGCACCCCTGCTACCCGCCTTCCTCCCGTCTTCCTATACATTCCACACCTGCAAGCTTAACCTCACCCTCATCCCTTCCTGCCCCCTCACCCTCACCCTTTCCTGACCCCGCCCCCTCACCCTCACCCTCACCCCTTCCTGCCCCCCCACCCGCCCCCCAGTCCCCAGTAACACTCATCCCCTGCGGCCACACCTTCTGCCGCAAGTGCCTAGCCAAGGCAAACGGGCTGTGCTCCGAGTGTGGCTCCGACTCGGCAGCGCTCATGACCATTGCGAACGCCCCGCTAGACGCGATCTGCGCCAAGTTTGAACTCAAACGCAGCGCGCTTGCGGCTATACAGCGCGCGCTACAGCAGGCGGGAGGGGGAGGAGCGGCGGCGGTGGCGGCGGCGGTGGCGGCGCCGGCTGCGGCAGGGGGAGGAGGGGGAGGTAGCGGTGGGGGTGGTGGAGGAGGAGGTAGCGGGACGGCAGCGGGGTCGCATGGGCATAATGCGTACGGAGGGAAAGCGTACGGGCATGGGCACGTGCACGGGTATGGACATGGGCAGGGGCAGAGTGTGTCTGGGACACATGGGCCGAGCGGGCATGCATATGGAGGGGGTCAGGGACATGGGGGGAGGCCTGGCAGTGGGTTGAGGCCTGGGAGTGGGCAAGGGAACGGCGGAGGAGAGAGTGGAGGCCGGGCGGAGGGAGCGGGGGGCACAAGTAGTGGTGTGTAAAGCGGAATGGCAGGTTGGGGCGGTGGATGGGAGTGGGAGTTGATGGGAGTAGGGGGGAGAGCTGGGGAGCTGATTTTGGACTGGGTGAACAGGGGGTGCGTGCGGAACTTCAACTGCGATATTACGCATTCATGTAGATGTTGACTTGGCACCGGGTTCTGTGGATAGCTCAACATGGCATCTCTTTAGCACGCTAGCCTTATTCCTTTGTTCAGTTGGAAAGGACATTCTTATTGTTTATCTAAAGATCCGTATCATGCTGAAGATCTGCTCGTGCGCCGCGGCACAGCATGCACGGCACGTTGCGCGGGGCCAGCTCCATAGCAACACGCATACGAGGCGAGTTTGCATAGCTTGTGCTTCTACTTATTGCCCGCCTTGCCAATTCAATATCTTTCGGGCCACAGTCCGATTTTATGTCAAGTGAGTTCATAGCGCTAGCGCAGTTGTTACCGTGTACGTCCATCAGCGCGTTGCTTGGTCTGTTACTGCATTTCACAGGTGTCAACCGCAGATACGCACGTTATACCGTATACGTAAACTAGCTGTGCGCCTAGACTGAGTTGCCTTGTTACAGTGCAAGCGCCGCTAGCGGCATAACCAATAACTAAGTAATATAAGCATAACTCTTTACGGTTTAGGCCTTTTTACTACGTCGCCACGTTTGGGCCTTGGGCGCCATCCTGCCAACCGCTGACTACCGGTAGCCCTTGCTCTGGAGCTAGGCTTGCAGTGCAAGCAGCAAGTTGGGACGCTGCAGCACCCGCATCGTATCTTTAGTCAAGAATTTGTCCCTATTGGCTTTCGCTGAACTCCACGACAGGTCAATCAACCCATCCAAACTTAAGATGCTGACTCCAGAGCCTCCCCTAAAGCGGCCACGCATATTGCCGGATGCTCCAGCAGCAGCTCCCTGCAGCAGCGCTGGCCCTGGCGCTAGCAACCCCAACGTAGCAGAGGTTCAGAAGTCAACCATATCAGCACTTCATGGCTCGGACCTGGCTCCCTCCCGGGACCAGCTGCCGACCCAGTTGCCCAGCCAGCCGCAAGCACAGTCACAGGCCCCCATTCAACCGCTATCTCAGTCGCAATCCGTGTCACAGCCACAACGGCATCCGTCTCAGCAGCAGCCGCAGGCGCAACGACATCAACCCCAGCATTCCCAACACCACCACCAGCAGCAGCGGACACTGCCGTTAGCCGCCGCCACCACAACGATCTTGCCCACTGCCTTGCCGAGCTGGGCGGAGGAGGCATTACGAGGAGTAGATCCTTTTTGGTTGCCCAAGGTGGGATCTGGGACGGTGAGGATCAGGCGTGGACATGCGGGAGAAGCCTGGCTATGCGGCGATACACGGCCTCAGGCTAAGCTGCCATGCAACACAGAACATGCTCTTCATGCTGGTGTTGGGGGGAGGGCGTGTTGACGTCTTTGCGTGGCCTTACCTTACGGCTGTCGCCTCTCTCCCTCCGCGCAGGAGACCCTTGCTGTCATCGTCACGCAACCAACAGGTGAGCCAGCGAGTCGGATGCCGTGTTCTGTTCTTGCGGTCGGGTTGCTATGACCGCCCTCGGCACACGGGACCCGGAATGGTTACGGACCTTACGGTACCTGCCGTGGGTGTGGAGCATGCCTTCCATCCCTGCTTACCGCCCAACGGCTTGCTTTGAGCTGGACGTGGCTGTAACTCTGGTTATGCCCGCTTCTGTTCTTCAACATGGTGCCAACCCTCCTCCCCCTCCTCGTCGTCCCACAGCCCCGGCCCCTGGGACGCACGGCCAGCTGCAGAGTGCTTCGGCTTTGTTTACGGTGTCACCCGCAGCACTTGACGCCATAAAGGACAAGAAGACGCAGGTGGGTGCGCTGGGTGCCATCACTGCTTGTCCTTGTGGATCTTGGCTGCCGCACTCATCCAATTCACCCTCCTGTTTGTCCCTTTCCCTCCCTACCTACCACATCCCTCAGGCACGCCTGGTCTGCGTGCAGCCAAACGACGGGCCGCCCAACCGCTGTCACTGGTACGGCGGCAGCTATGTACTGCTCAACGGCAGGCCGCACGACGTCACCAAGGAAGACCGAGTGCAGCTGCTGCTGGGTCCCACCCAGGTACGGTGCATGCGGGCGAGCGGGCAGACGGACAGGAAGGTGTGCGCAGCTCCTCCGTTGATGCATGTGCCTGGTCGTTTACGAATGTAGATTTTGCAAGGGAGGCAGCAGCAACGCTAACCCTCTAGAGACCCCGCATGCTCTTTTGCACCCCCGTCGCTGTATGTCATCCTGCTTTCCTGCTCACACACCCCTCTTTACGGCCTCCCCCGTCAACCCCGCTTTTGCAGGCGGATCAGGCAGTGGACCTCTCCTCCGGTCTCATCCGCGGCGCCAACCGCCTCACCCTCATGTGGCCCGTGGGCGCAGCAGGAGCCGTGGCGGTGCTGCGCCTCTGCTCGCCGCAGTCTCCAACCGAGCTGGCTCGCCGCCTGGCGCCGCCGCTGCCGCTGGCGCAGGCGGCGCGACTTGTACGACAACACATGGCGGCGGGAAGCAGCAGCTGCGGTGAGGAAAAGGACAACGCCGAGAAGCCTGATGACACGGATGGCGGCAATGCTTCTGAGGCTGCTCGTGATGGGGAGGGAAATGCGGATGGAGAAGGGGATGCTGACGGGGACGGGGACGGAGGAGGGGTGGGTTCGGGGCTGGTCACGGTGTCCCTGCGCTGCCCGCTGCACGGCGGCCTGGTGGCGGCTCCCGCGCACTTCGGTTCCGGAGCTGCGGCGGCTCCGCTGGCGTTCTTCGAGGCTGCAGCGTTCTTGGAGGTGGCGCAGCGGAGCGGCAGCTGGGCATGTCCGGCCACCGGGCGACTGGGGGAGCTGAGAGACCTGCGGGTGAGAGGTGCTGCGGGTGATGGGGGGAAAGAGGAAACAACTAACTGACCTGCGTCATCATGGTTTGCTGGGGGGTTGAGGTTGCGGGTGGCTGCGGGCTTGGTTAAAAGTGTTAACCGTGTTTGTGCATCCTGGCGTGGTGCTGGAACGGGGTCAGCTTTATAGACTGCTGATGGAGGAGGTTTAACCACCGCCGTCAACATGTACCTGGCACCAAAGACTTCCACGCCCCCCCCCCGTCCCCCGCACTGCCGCGCACCTCTCAGCCGCACGCCTACCTGACTGCCGTACTGCGCTGCCTGGAGCTCAGCGGCGTATCCGGCCGGGTGGACTCCATCGAGGTTGACCCCAGCGGCCGGTGGCGCCCCAAGGCCAGCCGCGTGCCCTTCCTGTCCGTGCTTGGGGAGGCCGCTGATGCAGCTGCTAATGATGCTGACGGGGACAGCGGCTCCGACGCCGCTGGCGGCCCCAAGGCCTCCGGCTCTGGCAGCAAGGCAGAGGTAGAAGGGGCGGTAGGGGGCGGGGGTGCGGCGGCAGGGGAAGGAGGGGTGGCAGTGGGCGAGGCAGAAGAGCTGCCGGTGGTGGTGTTTGACAGGCGGTTGCTGGACCCGGAGGAAGGGGAGGGCGCGGGGGCGGATGTGGTGGACCTCACGGAGGATTGAGGGGTAGGGCAGGGGGCAGGGTTCATGGAAGGCAGCTGCAAAGATAAGGGCATGTTGGAAGGAAGGATCGTACGGAGTGAGGACTGGGAGGAATGAGGTTCGAGAAAGACTGAAGGGAACGTGGATCTCACGCACGACGTCAATCACGGGCGTTGGAGACGCACTTAGCTAACAGAATGGAGGAGAGCTTGGACGTTGCTTTCAGTTGGACTTTAACGCAGGTTTCACCCAGGAGGTATGCATGACAGTATGCGGCCCTATTATGCGCTATACTACCGTACTAGATAGGCGACCCGAAGGAGTACTTGCAACGGTTGGTTTTGCAAGCTGCCGCAGAAGTCCCGTAGTGGGCGTATGTTGAGCAGCCTCGAACGTACCAAAACAAGATGTGGACGTAGGATGGGCCAGGCGTGCCCGATGTTATGCAGCTTGCTCTGCTCTGCGCTGCTCGGAACTTATTTATGCCTTGGTCAGATTCTCAGTGTAACGGGGGTTTGGAGCACTTCGCTGCGTGGCTGTATCTGATGTTCGGTGGGTACCTTGGTCATCCAGGGAAAGAGAGGGTTGAAACTGCAGGTAATGTGTTGGCTCTTAACCACCTGCACGCACATGCACGCGTGGCCTGTGCAAGATGTGCTACAAGAGCTCAGTAGCCGCCTGCACGATTAACGCATTACAGGAGAGCAAGGTGGTTTGGTGAAGAACACCAACTCTCCACGCACGCATACACAGCAGTTCGACCCTGCACCTCTATCCAGCACGCCCCCGACCACCTTCGGTCGCTGCAATTTTGCACAGTTCCAGCACAACGGGGCGACCTACCTAAGCACTAAAGCATACAGACTGCACACCCCAAGCAGTGACCCTCAACACCGTTCAATCTCGAAGCATGTACATTTTCAAGAGATAAGCCCCCGTCAAGCCCCAATAAATAACACCTCCAGCATATCCCAAAAGCACACACTGAGTGCATTTATTGCAGGCTGCGGCTGAGTAACGTCAAGGCAGGCTGGGTTCCTTTTTAGAGACTCCAGCGAAGCTGCCTTGCTGCAAGGAAAGCGGCCGCTTAAGACAGCAGCTCCTCCTCCAGCTGCTTGTACTTCGCCTGGAGGGCCTGCTGGCGAGCAGCCTCCTCACGCGCCTCACGCTTGGCCATGTCGGCATAGTACTGAGCAATGTACCGCTTCTCGTTCCAGTGCCACGTCTGCGGCGACCAATCACCCAAAAACGCAGGAAGTATTGAAGTAAACAAAGGAATGAGCGAAAGGCGGGGATTGGCATCACGCGCAGCACTGATGGCCCTGATTCCGAGACGGGCTAGCAGCATAGCGACAGCGAAGGCGGCAAATTCTCAAAGGCGGTGGAGCATAGGGTTTCCATACGAAACCAGGGCCCTGCTGTTAGGCACGCGCACCTTGTAGGCGAAGCCCAGGCCCAGACCGATTGTCAGCGCAATGGTGGTGTGCTTGGTGAAGCCAAAGTTCTTGGAGGCGCCCTCCCCGAACTTGAAGTACTCAACAGGGGCGTACACCGCCTTGGGCACAGACTCGGCAACGGGAGCCTTGGACATTTTGGCGACCCTTACTGTCGACTGCTAAAAATAGTCTATGGTACACCAAGGGAAGTGTATATAGAACCGCAGTAGTTTTAAGAGTTGTCGCTTGGGCAATAACCAGCACCGGACTGAGCCCCCTCCTGGAGTACTCCTTGAACAACAACTAGCCCTGCATGGAGTAAGCACGAGTTCTCTTCTTGCATCGTAGCATACTTGATGTCATCATGCCTTTGGCGTATAGGTGTAGAACGGTGAACATATTATTTTCCCATGACAACTTGTTAATGATAGCGCTTATTTTGTTAGATTGGAATTATACACCATTAAGCTCTATAAAGAAGCGAGTAACTTGTACATGTAGGAAGTTCCGCTCTAGTCTTACCGCGGTTTCCACTGTGAACCGTGGGCCGTGCATTGAACTGCATCCTACTTGAACCCGCCACCTATTTTCGACTTTAGAGCTGTTCTTATCTGTGACCTTGCCCATATCCGAAGCAGCCCACGAATGATTGCACATCTCGTCCCGCGGTGTGCACTTATGCGGTGCACCCGATTGAGCAGAAAAACAATTCGAGGCAACCTCTGTTGCGCCACCAACCCTATTGCCCAGCAATCGTCAGCGGTCCTTATCAACGCAGGAGTTCTACGATGCACGCCCGACGGCATGTTGTTGGTCCGCCTAAACCTGCCCAACCACAACACCACCGTACGCCCTTTCTAGAGTCATGCAGACAGAAACAACAATCTGCAGTGCCGTACGCTACGACAACACAGAGCAGCAGCCGACAACCAAAGCCGTACATGCAGCTCGGTAATTCAACTGCATCCCTCCATACATTTCTTCTTTTGTCGTGCATTGCAGTACCGTACAACCCCACTTGCATGTGTACTTCTTGTGTTCCTGGTCAAACCGGGTTCGGTACTAAGTACCTCTGGGCCAACGGTCGAGTTCAACGCCCTGGGGTGCACTTTGCCCCTCTCACCGGGCACCATTTTGCCTGTCCTCCTCTCTTCTGGTATTATGCCGCTCCTGACATGTCGCTTAAATGCACATTTCCCAACCCCCCTCACTCCTGTAATACCCCGCATGTGCTTCTCACACACTATCCCCTCCTACCTCCCACCTCCTTCATGCCACCCCCTGTACCTTATGCAGAGTGCAATTCCTCCTCCCTTTTACTCCGCAACACACCCCACCGACCCATGGACCATCACATCGCCTCCCATCACGTCACCCCACCACCGTGGGTGTATCAGCCAGGGGATGCATGTCGGCCTCCGAATCCGCCTCCTCGCCGCTGTCCTGCCTCCCCTGCTGCCCCTGCCCCTGCTGCTGGCGTTGCGGCACCAGGGAGGGGAACTCCTTAAGGCCGGGGGAGGGCTCCAGGGAACAGAAGGGGGAGCTGAAGTTCTCCAACGCCTCCTGTGCGGGGTCGTGAAGGGGAAGGAAGTAGCTGTTAGCCGCGTCTGACAACGCTCCGCCATGGGTGCGGATGGGGGTACAGAGGAAACCGAGGCTTCACCAAGGGTGTGGGTGTGGGTGGGAGTGGAGTGCACAGGAGGAGGGGAACGGGTGCGGTTGTGTGGATGCCAGGGTTGGGCGATGGAAGTGCGGAATCACGCAGTGGGGATCAGGAACTGAGGAACTGCACTCACCCGGAACATGAAGAGCTTGGAGATGGTGCAGGAGAACGCCGCCACTCGCCCCTCAGCGCCGCGGTAAAAGTGGAAGTACGGCAGCACTGCATGTGCATGTATGGCAGCACATGTCATTCTGTCGTACCATACATTAGGGTAAAAAGTACGATGTGCAGCTGCGTGCTGCACACCCGTCTGAAGAAGTAGTCTATCCCGAGCAGGAACCGAAACCAACTTGCAGTACGAGCAGTGACAGCAGCAGCGGGGGCAGCTTACCTTTGACACCCAGAGTACGACAAGCATCCCGGTTATCGTCAAAGTTGACTTTGTAGAACAGCACGTTGGGATTGTCAGCCATGATCTTGCAGATCTGCATACGTGGTCAAAAGTGCCTTTCTTCATACATTGTAATTGAGCAGGCGCTATGCAAAAGAACCAATGGGCACCGATCGGAACGACAGGCTGGCGCCATAACAGGCCGTACTCGTACTCTTTACAAAGCCTGACACAGCCCAGATCCCACCAAAACCCAGATCCTAACCCAGATCCCACTCCCCCTCAATGCGCACCTTGGGAAAGAGCGCGCGGCAGGCATTGCACCACCTGCCAGACAGCGGTGCCAGCAGCAGCAATGGGAGGAGGCCAGGGAGGGAAGGGGAGCCGTTGGTGTTGTCAGTACTCCCCCCCATGCACAGCTGCCCCCATTCCTGCAGCACCTCAACCCCCTCAACCCCAAACCCATGCCGCACTGGCGCGCCCCCACACCAGCAGCCCCCCTAGAAGGGCCCCCAGCAGCCCCGCCCAGTCCCCGTCGTGTTCTTCTATTCCCCCCAGTCCCCGCCTCCGTATCGCACTCACTGCGCGTAGAACTCCACCACCACCAGTCGGTCGCCCGCCTCCGCCAGCGCATCCACCAGCTCCTGGATGGAGTTGATGTCCTGCGGCCAGCAAGGGGGGCGGGGAGAGGGGTGAGAGGGGGAAGCCCGCAACAGGTTCCATCATGCGGGCGGAGAATGCAGGGAAGGAGGAGCGTGACGGGAGCTGGAAGCAGTGAGAAAGGAAGCAGCAACGTGTATATATCAGGATGTGTGGGAGGTTGGGATGGAGCAGGAGCGGGAGGGCGCGGGAGGGTGCGGGCGGGTGCAGCTCCCCCACTGACCTTCATGTTGGATGGGTTGTCCTTGGCCCACCAGGGCTCAGAGCCGGCGGCTCTCTCCCCAGCGCGGCACACGAGACGCGCGGGGTGGTCTGTGGGAGTTGTCACGTGGGGGGAAAGGCGCCGGCGCTGGACGATCAGGAGCTCCGGGTCAGGGTGTGACATGCGCAGACTCCCGTAACCCTCTAGCAGCTGTATATATGTGGCATATTCGCTGTAAGAGTTCTGAGCTCTTCCAGCGTGCTGGGGTATGCGGAAAAGGCAGCTTGGACTGGCATGCGTAAGAGGGGCACCCGCTTGACGATGGACCGCGGGACATGAGATGAAGCGAATGGTGGAAAAGCGTGGCGACCCACTTCAGAGGCGGCGAATATAAAGTTGAGCTAGCAAGCGGGCTATGTGCTACGGTAAATTACAAGCCACCGACCTTGCCGAACGCCCCATGCCCACTGTTGCGCAACATCAGGGTTCCTCCTGCTAGAAGCAGAAGGATAGCCGCTGTTAAGCAGTGGCCCTAAATACGAAAAGCACCAGTACTTGTAGCACATCCAGAATATGGGCAGCAGACCTGCTTGAAGGCCCCGCTACGAGAACGCATTGCGATGTCGCCCCAAGCGTCGCCGTTGACGGGCGCGCAAAGCATATTGTGCGCCGCGTTCCCGTAGATCCAGCGCTACATACTGATCTAGAGCGTTTTTGAAGGACGTTCATGGCAAATGAAAATATGCAGGAACACGCTGAGTCAGGCTGCTACCCAGGTGGCCCCTTCCTTTTAGATCTGCGCTTAGCTCTACAAAGTAAAAGCACGCCGAGCTAGTAACGAGCAATGAACGACGGTTGACTCCAAGAAATCCTTGCCTCGCCCTGGAATTGATGACGTATTGTGTTCCGGATTCGGCAGCGTACCGGCGCGCACGAGGCAGTCGAAATGCTACTTGTGTGACGAGAATCCTGGCGTATAGCAGCCGGTTCAATGTTTAGTTGCTTCGGCGAGCGTGACAGTTAATTCACATATGTGTCGTACGGCAACTGGCTAGCAGCCTACCGCTTTCATTTCGTTCCATCCTCCCATTACGTGGGGGCAACGTAGGACAGCATCTGCTATAACGATGCTACTGCTAGCTTATCGTGGCTATGGGACAGGCTGCCAGAGCGAGCCAGGGGAGATATGCCGTACACGCTGACAAAACGACGTTTGCAGGTTGCTAGCTCCTGTAGTAGCTACGTTCCCGGACTGCACTAAAAAGAATGCAGACACGTCTGCGCGGTGTTTACATGGAGTGATCGAGCACGCATGCCGCCACGCACGTCCAGAGCTAGTAGGCGATACCAGTACCACGTTTACAGCCGTGCCGCTTCCCAACCCGCCGCACGACGATCACCAACACACGCCCCCGATGTCTATCCCTTCGCTGGCAAACCATGGCGAAGCTGGCAGTGAGGGCTGGACGGTCGTTGAGAATGGACCCAAGGGACATAGCCCCTCATCTTTTTAACCAGCGACCGTAACAACCCACCATGCACGAATAGGGCGCAAACATGAATGTGCATGCTATGCGCCACCTATCCAACCCCCCTGTTCGAGGACCTCATTCCCGTTTCATCCGTACAGCAGACAACAGCAAAGTCCGTACAGTAGCCATAAGGGCCTTTTAGGCCCCTCATCATAATCTACAAGCAAGAAAGGCCATATCGTACTGATCCCGAATACAATGCATGCGAAGAGTTCTTGGTACAATAGAGCCATTGCGTTCCAAGTGTGTGAAGCAACAGTTTGCCCTAAAGGCCGGCCCCAAGCCCAAACTACGTCCAGGGGAATAAGACAGGAAAGACTAGCATCCTGCCGCCGCCGGACTCTCTACCCAGGGTTAAGCACGCTAGTGCCTCTACTTGGTAGCTAATGGTGGGTCCCAAACCAATGATAGAAAACACGACGGCCTATCAGTGCCGAATCGGTTTCCATGCACAGCATCACGGGAGCAAGAAACATAACAATAACTACGTACGTGAAGACGCGCCCAGGTCTGGGGTCCATGCGAACATCTAAGTCGCACGGACCGTTGCAAGCTTGCAACTACCCTTTAGAGGTCATGCCAGACAGCCACTACAAGTAAATTGTCTCTTGAAGGTGCACTGCAGCTGAATGCGACCAAGGCAATCACATTGCAAGCTATCAGCGTCAAGACTAATGCAAAACGTCGCCCCTAACTCAATGCCCTCTTAAGCTTGAACTGTTCTTTGGAAGTAAATTGCAGGAATGCATCACAAACAGCTAAAGTTTACTCTAGCTTCGCCACCTCTGAGCCAACAGGGAAGCGCTGACTACAACTCTGCTTCGTCACTGGGACCCTTACTTGCCCGTTCCGCCGCTGGATGCTTTATGCTGCTAATAATGCCCAGCTCTACAGATGGAAGCTCCTTTGGTGGTGCCGATGCACTCCGGCGGTGCCGCGGAGCATGCTGAACCGTCGCCTCCGGGTGACCACCAGTTGACTCCTTGCGGCTGCCAAACCAACTCATCCGCGTTAGGTCGCTAAGCTTGACCATTATGCTGCGCTGTTCCGCCAGCCTAACTGGTGATGCTAAGACACAAACTGAGTTTCAGAAAGAGAATAAGTGTCCCAGCAATACTGCTTAAGATACCAAGGACAGTATATACTAGAAAGCAAGAAGCCGTGCGGATTATATAGGACAGCAGGGAAGGCTGCTTCATTCATTGATGCGGTGGCATCCAAGGAGGGTCGCGTGGTCCCGGCAATGCAAAACAAGACATAAAGTGGCATTTACGAAGAACACGGCAGCCCCAAAACATAACAATGATGCATAGCATACACCCTGAAGGGAGGTGAAAAGTCGTTCAACACTGCGACCGCCCAACCCATTTTCCTGCTGCAGGCAATCGGGTAACTGATACTTTCTTACATAACAATATTGTGTTCCCAGAAAAGTAATAGAAGGCACAGGAGGTGTTGGCCCCGATTGTAGTTTAAATCCAGCACGATCCAACTGGAGAATTACAAGCGGACATAAGCGTAGTTCGCCTTAACTGACTTTCTTCCTGCTTTCATCATATACTCCTATTTCTTTATTAACGTACTTGAGTAACAGCCGTTGAACTTGCATCTGGCGTATGCTGACAGCCATTTCAAGGCAGCTTTTGTGGACTTCACTCTGACTCCGCCGTGAAGCGCAGAATATGCAGTAGGCAAAGCGTTGCACTTAAGAAGGACTGCACTCCGTCTTTACATGGATTTCCGCAAGAGTTACGGCGGTCCTGTGGGCCGCCATGGGGCAGACCCCTTCGCGCAGCTTGGGAAGGACACGCGACAAGAGCGAGACGATCGTGCTCGCCAAGAGCGTGATGCGACTGGAGCGATAGCCAATAGCAAAACAGCCAGCAGGTAAGATGGCCATTGGCAGCATGAGTCTTCGGCCTTGGCGAGGCGCCAGACCCTTCAACTCCTATCCTTCACTATGCACAGGTCGTCCGCCTTGACCAAGGGTTCTACTGGCGACACTCGCAGGAATTCCCTTTCTGCAAGGTGCGCCTTTACATGCGAAGGAAAGCCTAAGGATAACTGTGTCGGGCAAACCTTTTCTCTTTGCGACCGGTCTGTAGGACGTCTGGGCATTACGGAGCTCTCAGCCGCAGCGTTGACCTCAGTTCCGGAACGCCGAGGAACCCCACCAACAGCGGCATTCCTCGTCAGCCAGGGCTGCCATCTCCAGCTGCTTCAACTCCTCCGCGTCCGGTCGCACAATCACCGGCAACCAGCACCGCCCACGACACACACTCAAGGGTCCATCAACTTGTGGCCGAGGGTCAGCACCTACGGGAACAAAATAGCAACCTCGAGGTACGGCTTTGCAGAGCACAAGACTATCGAAAGTTGGTTAGCGCAAACTGCGCCTGTATCCCGCTTCACCACAAAACAAGCAGCGCCTTCCATTTCGCCTAACCCTGCCCCTGCCGATCCTCCAAACGTCCTTTAGGCCGCCCTCCAAGCCGCCAACTCACGCTGCTCAGAGCTGCTCTCCCACGTGCAACAACTTAACGACACGCTAGCCGCCGAACGCGCCGCAGCCGCAGAAGCATGCCGCGAACGCGACGAGCACGCTGCGGAGCTCGAGCGCGCACGCATGCAAGCCGCAGAACTCAAGGCCAGCGGCAGCGTTGCCCTGGCTACCTCCGAGGTATGCCGGGCTGCGCTCAGCACAGCGTTTTCGGGCACTGTGACTGCCATTGGTAACGCGCATGACGAGTTGCGGCATGCGCTGGCGAGCCGGGAGAAGCAGGACCGGCAGCTAGCGGCCTCACGGGTGCGTGTCGCACAGCTTGAGGCGGCAATGGCGGACCGGGAGCGGCAGCTAGCTGCTGCAGCCGGGGAGCGGCGACGGCTGGGGAGGGAGATGGAGGAGCTGGCTGGGCAGCTGACGGCGAAGGATGACAAGGTGGGACAACTTTGTCGAGGGACAGTAAAGGTTTCCTGCCGTCCGTGTTCGTGGTTGCGGTGTGTGCGGGAACAGCTTGGAGCTTGCGTGAAGGAAGTGACCGGCTTGGGAGATGGAACTGCCTAGGTTACACATCAAATCGCCATGGTTCTTGGTGCTTGCACTGCATGAACTGGTGCCTAGCGGCAGTTAAGCTTGACTATGGCCCCCATTCCTTTCACCCTGTGCCGTACAGTTGAACGCCCTGGCCGCGGTGCTAGTGCCAGCGGCGTCTGCGGGCGTGCAAGAGGACCTGGTGGCCGTTGCGAACAGTCTGACTGAGAGGTGGGTTACAAGTGATACGACGCTCCCACCCTAGGTTGCGCTGCTGCTTCCATGGCTATTTGAGTTTCAACTCAGGCCGTACCCCAACCGCAAAATAACCAATCGTCCGCGTTCCCTAGGGAACCATTGTAACAGCCATTCATCCTCAACTGGTGCTCTCCCCTGCTGGCCCCAACACAGGCTAAGGGAGCTTCAGCGGCAACTGGAGGAGCATCGCTTCCTGGCGGATGACATGGATGCGGGCGACGCGAAGGCAACCCTGAGGGCGCGACAGGCGAAGACGGCCGCTCATGTCGCTTGGGGCAGCGCTGGTGGCGCTAGTTGTGGTGTTAGCGCCGGAGGTGCCCTCGCTTGCACCCCTGGCGGCAGTGGCCTCAACGCTAGCGGCCTCACCACAGGCAGCAGCCCCAGCGAGAGCGGGAAGAAGGCGACGAGGTCGTTGGCTGCCAAGGTGGGTGCTGAGGCGCCGCGGGGCTGGTGGGTGGCGGTGTTGGCTTTCATAATGGGCGTCACCGTCGCACTGGCCGTAACCTGTGCCGCGCGGGAGATATGGTGCGGGCTGGAGAGCGTAGGGCGAGGCTGACACCGAGCGTTCCTCTCAGCCCGCAAAGCAAGGGAACGCCTGAATTGTTGCATGGGTTGCGAGATACACGGATCGAGGCACATTGCTCCGCAATCCGTGGGTTTTGCTAGCATAGGTTGCGGTTTGATGTGCCGCCTTAGGACGAAGTAGACAGTGTAGTTGCCTGCATGTAGAACTTGACGGCGTAGGACCGATGCCGGACCCTATGCCTATAGCGTCGCCATAGCAACACGCTGCGAGATGTACCGAACCCGAGCATGTACAACGAAAGTGTTAACGCACCGGCGGGTGCGATGTTTAGGCGGGGCGGTTCTGCCTTCTCACAGACGTGGTGACGAATTGTATCTAGGGAGCGCGATGGGCCGCTTCCAAACCCCATACTTGAGGTGCCGCATGGTACCCTACTGGGGCGTTTGTTGTTTAGACTCGTACGACACATGGAGTGACGTGTGCAGTTGGTCCTTGTAACGACTTGTTTCTGTCCAATTGTACCGGTCGCCTGTCTCCGCATATAGCATCGAAGGCGTTTTGGCAGTCCTTGTAGGGTGAAAGCCTAGCCGTAATCTTAGTACCGACAGCTAGAAGGGTGACACTGACCGGATAGGGCGACGCAAACACGGCGACCACTATCACGCACCTTCTCCGTTTATGGTTTATTTCCCTCACCAGGGGGTGCTTACAATCCAGCCACGCCCCCATGTGCCGCCAGGTTTCAGAGTTAACGGAGGCCCGGGAGCAGCTGGAGGGGGACAACCTGCACATCGCAGCAGAGAACGAGCAGCTGCGGCAGGAAAACTCGGGTAAGGCGGGGTAAACAGACATGACGCCCTGCTGGCATCAACTTCAGCGCCCCTCTTTGCATGTCCTAGAATACGCGCCTGGTATCTTGCCTTGACCCATGCGCCCGTGCCTCATGCCTCCATGCAGACCTACGCGCTCGCCTCCAAGAGCTCATCGCAGCCGCCGCCGAAGCCACCAGCAGCACTGCCTCCTCCCCTACGCAGCACACAGCAACCACCACGACTGCCGCCATCATCGCCACCACCTCCTCAGCCCGACGGGCCGCAACCGGCATCGCCTCCTTTCCCCTCAAGACGCCCACCACGCTCTTTGCTGCTGTCCTCCATTCCGACAAAGCTGCGGAGTTTGAAAACGCAGAACCCGTCGATACGGGGGTTAGCAACCGCGCTACCGCCAAAATGGCAGTTGGGTTGGATGAGCTTTCCGCGCGGGCTGAGGAGTGGCGCAGGCAGGCGGATGCGAGCCGGACACAGGCACGTGATGCGCAGGAGCGCGCGGAGCAGGCAGCTGAAAGGCAGCGGGATGCGGAGGCGATGGCGGAGGCGGTGCGAGTGGAGCTGGATAACGTCCGGAGGGAGCTTGATGCGGTTCGGGAGGAGGTTGAGGAGGCGCGGGCGCGGGCTTTGGAGGCAGGCCGGGCGCAGGAAGCGGCGGAGGAGCGGTTTGCGGCATTGCAAGCGGCGGAGGAGGGTCGCTTAGCGAAGGTACGAGGGTGGGGCTTGGTCGAGTTGGGAGGTGGAGTAAAAGCGAGAAAGGAAAGGGACGAAAGTGGAGAAGCGGGTGGGGGCGTTTGGAAGATGCGGCGTCTTGAAAATTCACAGTCGCGCTACCGTTGCCACATCTTCTGTGTACGGCCTGCGTAAGCGATTTAACTCTCGTATCGCGCTGACGGAGAGAGCGTATAAGCAATGCACGTGTAGAATTCTATTCATCCTTTCTTGTTACAAACGACCCATATACTTTATATGCTTCACCGCTTTGCGCAACAGTTTGCTCAGCCTCAGCGATAGGTCGTCGTCCCTGTACCGAAGCCCTGGTAAGCGGACCTTTATAATTTGCAATTAATCGTTTCAGGGCATAAAAGTATTAGGCGTGTGGACGACTTGCCGGACTAGGGGCGTTGAAGTTGGTAGACGGGAAAGCTTGGAACCGGGAAGGGCGCTAGCAGCCAGGCTTTGCCTGTTTTTGCATCCAATCCTTATATTCAAGAGCAATTGTATGCGCCCTTGCGGCTTGTCTCTATGAGACTCCGGCGTATCAACCGTTGGTCCCTCAATCTTCTTTACTCAGCAGCCCTCGCCTTAACATCAACCTGTACAGTCTGTAATCCGCATAAGTACCTTAACAAATCTGCCCTCGCTTATTCCCCGTACTCCCCATAACACCCAAGACTCAACTGCTCTCCTCGCGCCGCTCCCCGCCCATCTCACCACCGCCCCCCCTTGCAGGTCCAAGAGCTCCAGGCCGAGTCAGCCCGGCTCCGATCTCAGCTGCGGTCCCTTCAGGAGGAGCTGGGTAAGGAGCAGCGGGCCAGTGGCACGGCCAAGGAGCAGCTCAAGGCCATGCACGCCAATGAGGACGCGCTCATGCAGCGCATCCTGGCGGGCGAGGCGGAGCGGCAGCTGCTGCTGAGGCAGATCGAGGAGAGCAACGACACGCTGGCAGACCTGCGCCGCAGGTGGGGCTTGCGTGGCCAAGAGTTGGGAGGCTGTGCATGGGTGCTCGCTTTATAACAAGCGCTGTCGTGCACCACTTGTCGTCCACTTTCCGTACATTGGGGCCAGTGCCTACCTCATTCGGGTGATCTTCCCTCTTCTGTTCTCCTCCCACAACAGGTTGGATGAGAGCGCTCAGCAGGTGGCTGAAGCGGCGGAGCTGCGAGCCCGGGTGGCTGGGCTCACGGCAGCGGCAGAGGCGGCGGGGGCTCTGCAGCAGCGGGAACAGCAGCAGCAACAGGAGCAGCTGCAAGGCCTCGGGGCCTCTCCTGCCGCGGCGGCTCGCAGCGCAGCGTCAGCAGCGAGGATGCAGCTGCTAGAGCGGGAGGTGCAGGAGCTGAGGGCGGCGCTGCGGGCCAACGCGGTAAGTAAACGATTGGATGGAGGGTTCGGTGAATGAGTGGACATCATTGTGGTATGACACAAGGGCAGAGGCTGGGATGAGGGCAATGGTGGTTCGCCATAATGCCGCGCGGACGGGCGCCATATTTGCATGCGTCTCGGTGCTGCTCGGTTTTCCAATGGGACCATGAAACCCTCTTGAGCTTATCATGATGCCATGAACCCTGTCACCAACGTCGGCCCCCCATATGTCGTAAACGCAGGAGCGGGCCAGCCAGGACAGCCGCGCGCATGAACGGCGCGACCAGCAGATGGCAGCCCTGCGGCAGCAGGCGCTCGAGGCGGAGGTCCAGCAGCGGCAGGTGGAAGCGGAGCTTCGGCTGCTGCGCTCTCAACTCGCCGAGAAGACGCGCCTGCGGGAGCAAGTCGAGGAACTGCAGTGTCAGCTTGCGGCCGCCACAGCGCGTGCGGATGAGCTGCCGGCGCGGCTGGCCGCTGTCACAGCTCAAGCGGACGAGCTGCTGCGTCGTGCGGATACGGCTGCGGGTCGGGAGGAGGAGTTGCAGGGGCGGTTGGCGGCTGCGGTTGCGAGTAATGAGGAGTTGAAGGACAGCTTGCGACACTCCACTGCGAGGCTGGTTGAGCTACAGTATCGGCTGGAGCTTGAGGCAGCTCGCGTTGAGGAACTGCAGGAATTGCAGATGCAGCAACAGCAGGAGGAGAAGGAGGTGGATGATGAGAAGCAACGACGCGGCAAGCAGTGTGCCGCGAGTGACCCACGGGTCGGTGGTGGCGTTACCATTCAGGTTCAGTGCGTCGACGCGTGTGACGACGTCTGCAACGATGTACGCGGCGAGGGAGACGTTGGCGTGTCATCGTCAGGTGATTACGACTTGAAGCGCGAGCGCGACCGAGGCGTGAAGGCGGACTGCAAGGCAGACGTCAGCAAGGCAACACCCCTGCATGCGCCCCAGTTGCAGCAGGGACAACGTCAAGCAGCCACAGACACGGCAGCAGTACACCAAGGCGGGCAGGAGATTTTGCCGTACGACGGTGATGACGTGGATATCGGCGGCAACTGCAGCCGTTTTGCGGAGGACGCTAACGATGCGCAGCAGCAACAACGCCTGCATCAATCCTCATCCTCACACTACCACGATCACCAACACCAGCAGCAGCAGCAGCAGCCCCCTCACCAGCACCACAACCAGCACCGCACCGTGTCCCGCCACGCCGCTCTGGTAGCACGCATGCTGAACGCAGGTCCGCAGCTCGCCCTCGTTTCCTCCTATAGCAGCCTCCCAGAGAGCCTTCTAGAATCTGCCATTCCCGAAGATCGTGAAGCTGAAGAGGACGAGGACTTCCACATGTCAGGTGCCCTCGGGGGCTGCCGACGGGGTTCACTCTCCGGGCAGCAGCAGCAGCGCCGACGCCAGCAGCAAGGGCGGGCTCAGCCGCTTCGGGTTGTGTTGGGCCTGGCTGTGAAGGGTAGCGTACTGGCGGGCGCGATGGTTGCTGGGTTGCTGATTGGGAACGCGCAGGGCTTTCAAGGTCTGGTGGCAAGGCAGGGCAGCAGCGGTGCTAGGAAGGGAGCGGGGGGTGCCGCCGGGCAGGCGGTGGTGGCGGTAGAGGGCATTGTCCTGCCTCCCATGTAAGGGCAAGGTGAGGGGTGCGCGTGCCTAGGAACAGCTGAGACTCCAGGACTGGAGCTCTTCTGGACCGACGGGTTGGGACGAGAGCGAGATAAGGCAGGCAGGGGCTGGCCTTTCGACTTTTTGAGTTGCATGCGTGGTCTGGATCCCTTTTCCGGGGAGATACGGTTGCGTAGGTTGTAGCATTAGCGGCAGTGTTGCAGAACACACAAGGATGCATGTCTCCGGCTCCCTTTCCTGCGGTACCTGGGAGCGCCTTGTGAGGGCAGCTACCTTGCCAGCGCGGAGCAAGCAGTGGCACTCTCTTTAGGTAGGCACGTGTTGCGATGGAAGTGATCCATTTCTAGGTAGGCAAGATCCACATAAAGCAGTTGTACGAGTTGCGGTTGGAGGTTGCGTTGCAAACCTTGCGATATGACCTGCAGAGGCTGATGCGGCAGGACCGGAGCTTTCTCGTTGGCAACTTTGTGATACGCGCGCGCAAACAGACAGGCCTTTCAGTACCTGGCTGCTGCATTCGACGCAGCTGCATTCCTTGCCAGAGACCTATCGGTATGGTTCTCGGATGGGAGTGTCTGGGCATGAGGGAAGGTAGGACATGATAGGGAGGGCTGCCACTGCCGATCATACACGGCACCGGGATCACAGGGGAACACGGCTTCGCGTGATTCAAACCGTGTGGGTTTAGCCCAGCAGGCGTGGGGCGATTTCATGGCTCGGTTGGTTCATGCAAAGAACCATTCGTACTTTGTGGCACAATGTGCTCTCTTATACCGGTAGTCTTGTACCCAGCTGGGCAGCGTGCCAGCGCCCGCAAGGCTCAGCCAAGCAAGTTACTCCGCCAGCCTCCACCGAGCCCGAAGTCAATCCATCGCATTCCAGTCAATTCCAGAAGGCCCCCGCACGGCTGCCCCTCCTGTCGAGGACCCCCCGTCTCCTCCCTCCCTACTGCTGCCACCATTCGCCCCCGCCCCCGCAGTTGCCACCGCCACATCCTTCTTCCCCCCTACTACCGGTACCACTCCTCCCGTGCTAACTCCACCCGCCGCCTTCTCTTCCTTGCCTCCCTCCTGCTGCTGTTGCATCCCCTTCCCTTCTTTCCCACCCAACTGCAGCTCCCGCAACTCCTCATGTATTTCCGCAACCAACCCACCACCACCTCCGCTGCCGCCGCAACCCCCGCCGCTACTGTCGTGCTTTGCCAGTGCAGCCCTTGCCGCCGCCGCAGCTTCCTCAACACGCCCCAGTCGTCGCAGCGCCCTGCACTTCCTCAGACAGGTCTTGGCTGCTGCCGCCCCCACCGGGTCCAGATCGAGTGCCATGTCACAATCTATGATAGCCGCTTGGAAGTGCCGGCTGACAGCGTCATGAGAACCCAGATCTAGGCCCTCCAGGTGCCCCGCAGTGTCGGACTCCCCCTCCCTCAGCAGCTGCCCGGCTGCCGCCGCGCGGCCCATGTATGCGGCTGCTCGGTTGGCGTGGTAGGCTGCCCGGCGGGGCCCCTCACTGAGGATGCGCGGCCCCTCCGCCGGCACCGGCACGTCCAGAGCGGCGCTGTAGAGGTGGATGGCGGAGGTGAAGTCACCTCGCCTGCAGGGGAGAAGGGCGGAGGGGAAAGTTGTCGGGGGAATACATAAAGGATCTGAATGATGGCCAGTGAGGAGTCGGAGAGTGGTAGCTGGTTTCCTATGCTGGATTCGAGCCGGAAGCGGACCTCGGGAGGTCTGCTTTGCGGCAAGCACCCACCTGAACGCTGCGTTGCCTTGCTCCTTGAGCACCTCCGCCTCGTTGTCCCGACTGGGGCCGCTGTTCACCTCCGTGCGCTCTGAAACCACCCGCACCTGCCGGGCAGCAGCGGGTCAGCAGCAGCACCAGCGGAGGTTACACACATACAGCGGCCACACATGCAGCAGCAGCAGCAGTCACATGCAGCAGCGATCCCAAAGCGATCCCACAGAGTCCACCAAGCTGACACGGCCCCAGTCCAGCACCCTGGACCACACACCTGGCCACACCACCTCAAGTAACCGAGCTCAACCAGCTCAAGTAACCCACCCGCTCACCCACCCATCAGTACCCACCTCATAGCCATCATCCTCCTCGCCGCCGCTGAGCCCCCCCAGGTAGGTCTGCTGCTGCTCCCGGTTTCCAGCGCTGGCGTCCTCCCCGGCTGCTGCCCCTGCTGTTGGCGCTGCCGCGGGTGGCTCCTGGGCAGGCGGGAACCTGCAGGGGTGTGTTTGACACGTCAGGGGTGTGTGCATGACGTGGAAGGGAGGACCGAGACACCCATGAAGCGCTCAGGCAGCCACCACATGCCCCCATGCCCCTCAACCCCATGCGGCAACGAAAGCAAAACCAAGCAACGTACTGTCCGAATACCACGCACGCACGCAGCCGAATACCGAAGCGTCCCTAGGCCCACGCCGCTGCGCAGCCCCTACCCACATCATCAGATTCATCACCCCCACGCAGCATTCGCAACACGCACGCACCTGCTGAAGTCCCGATGCAGCTGCTCCGCCAGCTGCCGCTCCTCCTGTCCCGCTGCAGGGTCCTGACCCCAGCGCTGCAGCAAGTCTAGCAGGCCCTGACTCAGGGACAGCCGACCATCCTTTGGGGGCACAGTGAGGAGGCGGCGGAGGAGGGAAGAGGCAGGGTAGGGTAGGGGACGAGGGCTTGGAGGCTTGGTATAAGATGGTAAGTGATTTGGGATAGTTTGTGCCGCCAGTCCCCGTCCCGCAATCCAGCGAAGGACAGGACAGGAGCACGGCACGGTGGTCTTCCTGTCCTTCCTCTGTAACAGTCCACATCGGAAGAAAAACAGAGAATACCGTGTGCCCATTACTAACTCCGTAACTCGCACCCGAACACAGCCAGCCAGCGGCTCGCGCCTGCGCACCTGCGTGAAGTGTTTCCGCAGCCAGGACAGGTAGAAGGCGAGCAGCCGCAGAGCCATGTCGGGGGCCCCAGGGAAGGCGGGTGGGGTGCGGCGGTGCGCCAGCAGCTGCGAGATCAGCAGGCCGCCGCGGCTTAGGTCGTACCTGCCGTGTTGGCCGCACCAGAGGTGTGGTTCGCAGGTTGGGGGGGAGGTCTCAGGTTATTGGGCGAATAGGGTTGGATGGAGGAGAGTAAGGGGAGGATCTCCGCATTTCCTTAACCCCCAAGCAGCACCCTATGCGTGTCCCCTCAACCCCCAGCTCCCTCCCACCCCCCTCCTCACATGCGCCTCCATACCAGCGCATACGGACCCTCACGCGGCCCCCTGCCGTCCGCAGCTGCCGGCGGGTCGTGCCAGGGGAACACCGCCTCCTCGTCCGTCAGGTGCAGCAGCGCGGACATGGCTTGGGAGGCCAGGTAGGGGTTGGGGTGGGACAGGGCGGTCACCAGTTGCCTGGGGCGGGGGGGGAAGGAGGGGGCGGGAGGGGGGTGGAGGGTGAGGAAGGGCAAGTTGGTAAGGATAGCGGCAGTCGGTGAGAGGGAAGAGTCCTCCAGGGAGGAGGGGACGGAAGGAGGGACGCAGAGGTGCGTGCGTGGCAACGGCTTTGGAGGTGCGAGGTATCTCCGCCGGGGGGAAACCTCTTCCTCCCCGCTCCGCCCCACCCCACCTGAGGCCGCCCGCCTCGATGAACGGTCGCACCCGCTCCCAACTACGGCTGTGTACCAGGTACAGGGAGGCTAGGGCGCACACCTGCGTGCGAGTAGCGCAGGGTGTGGGTGCGGGTTTGCATTGTTGGTAATGCTTATGCGTGTTTTCATAAGAGTTTCACTACATCCACGGCACAAGGCAAAGGGTCTCAGTAGTAATGCCAGCAGCGACGTGCGTTGGGTGTTGCTGACCTGCACGCTGCGCTGTGGATGGTTGTCAGGGGCGCCTGGCGGGGGCATGGCAATGAGCGCGGGATATAGCCGCATGTCCTCTTCCTCCGGAGCGAACAAGATCTGACGCGCCTGTGGTTTTGTATTAAGGGGTTATGCAACATGGAAAGGGCGTGTCAGGAAAGAGGGCCGCTTATGATGCACGCATGTGTGAAATGGTTGGTTGGTTGTCCCAGGTGGGACAAGAGCACAAGACGTCCGCATACAAAATGGATTGTGCGGTGAGAGCGTTCCGGATAGCGTTCTTCAGGATGCTCATGGTTGTGGTTAACATAAGAAGCGCCTAACGCGGCCCCGCGGGTCAAATGCGCGCGAACCTTCTGCAGGGGGACATTCCGGCCAAGGCACAGCTCCAATTCCTCCAGAGGCGGCTTATTATAGCGCTTAAGTAAACCCGTTTTGAGCTGGTCTGCGATGTCCGGTGGGATGTCTTGCAGGGCGGCCTTCAGGAAATCCTCAAAGCCGGCATCGGGCGCCAAGGAGTCGCCGCCCTCTGGTTGTGGTTGCATTGTGTTCAAGAGTGTGCTCCTATCAAAGCGAAAGGTTATAGTCCGTGGTCTACTCCTCGAAGTTTGGCGGTTGACAAAGCAGATTACTACCCTTTCAACTACACAGCGGAATCGTGCACGCTCTAACAACAAGAACAGGTGCCACGGGTCATGGTGGATTGGAGCAATGTGTTGTAGTATAGCTGCCTCAGAGCGACCAGACCATTGGGAAGTCTTCGTGTACGGCATTAGTTGCAAGTGGTCCTTATTAGAGGATCTGCCCTAGTGGCTAGTTAAGATAGACAGAGGACAGATATATGCTAAGTGATACAAAATGTAACACAACATGGTAAACGCTCCAGGAAGTACTTCAGCCGGCATAGCCGCCGCAAGCAGTAGATTACAACAGGTTATGAGCCCCGAGCTCTACTGCGTTATCACTCACTGACAAAGGGGCCAACTGAAGGAAGTCAGGATCGGCCAAGTAGTTAGGAGGGATGGATTCTGGCTGGGCTGCCTGATGCGTTCGAGCCGATTGTGACGGCGATCAACGCGCTGATGGCCAAGGCGAACGCAGAAGCTGAAGACGACGGGAGGAGGACTACAACTTGGAGGTCGTCAAGAAGCAGCTGATGAGGCACGAGGCGATGCTGAAGAAGACGCGGAACGATGAGCAGATGGTGGCGGTCGCCACGCACGAGAAGACCTGTTTCCACTGCAATAGCATGGGCCACGTCTCGAAGAACTGCTACGTTCGAATGCAGGATGAGAAGAAGAAGGAGGAGGTGAAAAGGCTGGTGGGCCAGTTCCGCGAGTTCCGCGCTTAGGATGTGGATTGCGGGGAGAAACGGATTAGGGGGAGCTGAATACTCGCAAGGCATGCATTTGCGAAGTATTGTTTAGATTGTTCTGATTTGCCAGCGTTGAGACATGCTTGCTCACGGTTGTAGCAGGAGTTTGCAACTGTATAGGCTGACAGGAGTTCAGCGGTATTGCTAGGTTGCTATCGGCAGGAGTTCGATATTGTGACTAGTAGAGCCAGTTAGGTCAAGACGTCTAACTACTGGTTTTGGTGGCAGGAGTTCATTCACGACAGTAGGTTAGGGGTGCAGACAGGGTACAAGTCTAGCAGGAGCTGTTATGAGGAGGCGGAAGCGTGACGGGTTTGATAGGGAGCGGAAGCGTGACGGGTTGAAGGAGGCGGAAGCGTGACGGGTTAAGGTGGATGGCTGCTGTTATTGCAGGTGTTAGGATTTGGGATGCAACTAGCATGTGTTGTTGCTGTGAGGTGAGGTTGAAGGTTGGTTAGTAAAGGGAGGTCTGTTCGAGGGGGAGTGTTGTAGTATAGCTGCCTCAGAGCGACCAGACCATTGGGAAGTCTTCGTGTACGGCATTAGTTGCAAGTGGTCCTTATTAGAGGATCTGCCCTAGTGGCTAGTTAAGATAGACAGAGGACAGATATATGCTAAGTGATACAAAATGTAACACAACATGGTAAACGCTCCAGGAAGTACTTCAGCCGGCATAGCCGCCGCAAGCAGTAGATTACAACACAATGTCTTGGCGACGGGCTTTACATAAGCTGCATCATTGCTGTACGTGATCCGCCTTGCGCTGCTCCGGGATTTCTGTGCAGCTGATGGTTCATGACGACAGCACATGTACTTGGAATATTATTACAAGGGGCAATTTTAATACTTGAGCGCAAGAAGCTTGCAATTCAGTTAACTGTTTACTCGCTGCTAAAGGCATCTCTATGGCGGTAGATGAAATGACTTTTGCATTTCTAATACCTGTTCGGTTAACAGGGAGCAGTTATGATGTCGAGTTTCCGGAGCGACCCTAGGGCCACTCGCAGCATGCCCACGGCAATGCCAACACCCGCGCGACTCAACAGCTGGAGCCCAGTTGCACTTATTACTGCGTAGCACACATCAGGCACTCGCAACGCGCGATGTCTCCATTCCTAGCATCTTGGTATGATGGTCCTCCAAGGATACGCGGTGTCTGCGCTGTCCTGCTTAGGCCTGCAGTCAGACATTGGGGAAGCACAACTACGCGCCAACCCTCTCGATATTAAGAATCCAGTTTTAAACTTCGTCGCGGTGTCTGCCTAAAGCGCCCGTCCTGCGGTGTCGCAGTTCGACGTGCTTACGGCTGCCCTGCTGTACACAACCTACGGTGGGTTGCCGCCCACGTGCCTTAGCATCAGGCCAAATTACGCCGACGGTAAGCTTCCTGGCCAGAAACAGGACGTTAGCTCCGCTCAATAAGTACATTACCTCCTCTTTTTTATCACACTCATCGCACATCATTATAGGCAGTCCTATCAGCGTTGTTGTCAAATGTAATAATCTCTGAAACAATCTAGCCTTGGGCGACGGGCGTGGCATAGGGAAGCGGAATAATGGAGGAAACGGCATAACTGAAGACAAATTGGAGGAAATGCCGCCAAGGCCGAAGCATTGGACAAGCGCGGCGCTCTGCGCTGCCCTAGCTGTCCTGCTCCTCCTGCTACCAGCCGCAAGAGAAAAACGTTTGACGCCGCTGCAGCTGTCCTTTTCTAGCTTGTTATTTTCTTCGCCTGCTGCCCTTTTGCTACCAGCACAAGGATCAGTCGCAGCCGTAACAACAACAGCAGCAGCGACCGCTGCTGTCCGAGCCGCTGAAGCAACACGATTGCAGTCGTTAATATTACCGAACACAACTATCGCCACTGCCACAACAAGAACATTACTGCAAGCCTCAAAGCCAGCGACAACAACAACTCCTGCAGCTGCTGCTGCTTCTGCTCCTGACCAACAACAACAGCAATCCTCTTCCTCGCAGCCTCCCCCTCCACCTCAACAGCAGCAGCCAGCCTCCGCAGCAACAGCTCCTCCTCCTTTACCACCATCAACAGTTCCCCACCACGTCGGCATCGCGTACGACACCTCCTCGCTCTTCCAGCTGCTCTCCAACACCTCCATCTCCACCATCCTCCTGCCCCAGGACCTCACCCTTTCCGCCTCCGACGCCCCCCAACAGCCCATCACCCTCTCCCGCAATGTCACCATTTCCGGCCTCACCCCAGACCTGCCCAGCAGCAGCCCACAAGACTGGGCAGCCGCCAACTGGACAGCCTCCCCCGCTCCCGCTCCCTTCCCGACCCCTACCCCCATCGCGCCACTCTTCCCCTCCTCCTCTTCCTCCTCCACAACTCCCTCTTCACGTCCTCCTGCACCTCGACCCCCACCATCCTTAGCACTAGCAGCAGCACCAGCACCACCGGCGGCCAACCTAACCCGCTTGGATTTCGCCTTCCTGCCCGCCAAACTCACACTCCTCCCCGGCGTCCAACTCACCCTACGACAACTGGAGGTGTGGCGCGGACTCTCGCGCATCTCAGCTCACCTGGATTTCATGACGGTCAGTCCCGGAGCTGTCGTACAGTTAGAGGGCTGCCTGCAGCACCGAGTCTCATGCCTGCCGTTCGATATGGCGTTCCAGAACTTTCGCAGCCTGCCGCGACCCACGGGTCACTCGGCATCGGCACCGGCGCCGGCGTCCATGATGGCGCCCAGGATGGCGCGGTGGACTCCAGGGAGCGGCGGCAACAACAATGGAAGCCAGGGTAGTGGCGGTAGGAATGGAGGAGCCGGCGGCGGCGGCGGAGGGCGAGGAAACGGAAGCAGTAATGGAACACAGCAGGAGGTAGAGCTGGTGTTGGCACCACCACTTTGCTGGCGTACGACAAACAGTGCTGACAGCAGTGGTAACAACGCAACGAACAACAGCAAGGCATCTCTGGTTCAAACCGCCGTACCGCCGCCGGCGCCTGGTCTGGAATGTCGTACACCCTTTCTGGCGCTGTACGATGTGTCGTACACGACCCAGGTGTTGGACTCGGCCATGGCTAACAACGGTGGCTACTTGGTCAGGTGGGGGGCGATGCATGGTGGTGTTATCAGCCTGTCTACGAACCTCGGATGTAGATGTTAGGCGTGTCCTCCTTTTGTCTAGCGGAGCTTATACATTTCAGCTGCTCAGCTTGCTGCCCATGCCCGTGGTAACCGTACATGATGCGACACCTGCAGGAGCCTGGATGTCACCCGGGTTGCAGTGTTTCCTCCTTACCTCCCTTCTCCGCTCCCCTCTTTCCCTACTGCTTTCCCTGGCTTCCCCTCTTTCCCCGCTCTCCAGGTACGTCTCCTCGGCAATGATTTGCGACTGGCCGGTGGACCGCGCCTGCCTGCCCGTGAGGGGCGCCGAGGGGTGCGTGGCGGATGCACTGGTGCTGCATACCACTGGTGGTGCATCGAAGGGAGGGGGCAGTAGTGGCAGCGGGGGCAGTAGCAGCGGCATGCCTGCAGCTGTGATGGCGGGGCAGGCGCCGGAAGGAGGAAGAACAGGAGCAGCGGGAGCAGCGGGGGCGCAAAGTGGAGGGGATCCCGGTCAGCAGCAGGGGCGGCAGCAGCAGGGCGGGGCAAGGCGGTCTGAGGCGTCTCGTACGCTGGAGCTTGGATTAGGACTGGGGCTGGGATCGGGAGGTGGGTGGGGTTGTTGTTGGCTGGTGTTGGGGTTGGGCTGGAGGTGGGCAGTGCAGGGGTGGGAAGGGGTTTCAGTTAGTCGTCGCACAATGGACGGCACGCAAGAGGTGCCGAAGAATGAGACCCAGCAGGGGTGGGGTGCCTCATATACCGTTGTGCCTAATGCCGTACACCTAATGCACCGTTATCGCATACGGTATACGGCGGTTGTCATACCCTATATGCGACCTGCATGCGTTGTGCTGCCGGTGACGCAGGTATTGTTGCGGGGGCGCTCGTGGCGGCGCTCTGGCACCGCCGGCAGCGACGACGGCGAACGGAGCGGCGGCGGCGGCGCCGGGGGCAGCGTCGCAACGATCTGGCTTCTGCGTCCTCATTGGAGCTCGGATCGCTTGGCGGCCAGGAGGCGGCGCCGGCGACTACGGGAGTCGGCTCGTCTGACGAAAGCGGGTGCGTAGATCACCGGACTTACCGCTAACCTCGTACAGCAAAACGTGTGTTTGGCTTCCCTCCTCCTTCCACCTTTCAGTGCAGGATATATACCCTCCGTCATTGCTTGCTTCATTTCTTGGCGACGTTTTCCTGACGGGTGCCGCATTACCCACGGAACAGGGGCGATAGCGGCAACAACATTACCGGTAGCAGCGGCGGTCACAACAGCGGCGGCAACATTAACAACAACAGCAGCGGGGGCGGCGGCGGCGAGGGTCGCCCGACCCCCGGAGGCGGTGACATCACTGCCAGCATGGACCCTCCTTCCACAACACCACCATCGTCATTACCGCCGACGGCGGCGGCAGACGCGGCGGCACGGACCTCAGCACCACCAGAAATATCACCAACGTCAGCAGCAGCCTCTTCCGCTGGCCCCCCGGGCAGCTGTAGCGGCCCGGCAAGAGCTGCTCCTGCTGCTGCCGCTGGTGCTGCTGCTGCTGCTGCCGGAGCTTCCCTGGCTCCCGGAAGCCCGGAACTCAGCAGCAGTTTTGACAGTTTGGGTGTGGGAGCAGGTCGTGCTGCTGCACCCTCACAGCAGCAGCACCGTCGTCGCTCCTCTTCGTCGGACAAGCTCTTGGACAACTGGCTGAGGGGTGAGTGGGTGAGGGCGGGGGCGGGGGTGGTTGGGCGAGGGCCAGGATGCATACCGCGCTCGTACCGCGGGGTCCACTGCTGGTGATCGGTCTGCGGGGCTGCGGGTTTGCTTCACTCCGAGCAGACGGTGGGTGCTATCAGACCCTGTACGCTTACATATCTTGTAATCCTACATACCGGTAACCTAACACTGCGTGTGCCCTGTACCGTGTGCCCTATCTCCCCCTACCACCCACCACCGCCACCACCTTGCCTACCCCCCAACCCCCAAGAGCCCGCTCGTGTGGAGGCGGTGAGGCGGCAGCTTGCGGCCAGCCGGCAGACGGCGGCGGTGCAGGTGCTGGAGCCCATAGGGCACGGCTCCTTCGCGCATGTGTACAAGGGTGAGGAGGGGGAGGGAGGCGGGGGAAAGAAGAAGAGGAGGAACGTTAAGCGGTTCTTCCTGCTACCGGTAGCGAGCCTGGTACCGGCAGCGGTCATGCAGCACTCTGTCGATTCGATTCTCTTTACCGGTATGCATGCGTGCCCCCTGCATCTGTCGTGTTCTGCGCCTTCCGCCCCCACCACCACCACCGCCTGCTGCATTTATCATCCCCCCCCACCCGCCTGCTCTCACCCGGCCACCCCCCACCAGGCATCTGGCAGGGCACCGTGGTGGCGCTCAAGGTGCTGCTGCTGCCCGCCCGCCTTACGGCTGACGAGCGGCTGCAACACATTGCGGTGATGGAGGCGGCTGTGAGCAGCGCGCTCAGCCACCCCAACCTGGTGCAGGTGAGGGGGGGGGGAGCGAGGGGGATTAACAGGGATACATATTCCGCATTGGGCTGGATAGCTTGGTTATTAGCGTTTTGTTGTAGTTGTTATTAATAAAGGCTTGTTACGTAGTTAGGAGAGGGAGGGGGAGGGAGGGAGCGGCGTCGAGTCCGAGTCGTCATGTGCTTTTTGTAATAGTGAGGAGGGGAGGAGAGGAAGAGGTAGTGTAGTTACAGCAGGAGAGGCTGCACATACATGCGTCGCGTCTTCACCTGGCGTTCGTGTTCAACAACAAGCAGCCCTTCCAACCTTTAACCATCCCTCCCTCCCTCCCTCCCTCCCTCCATCCATCCATCCCTCCAACCCTCCCAAACCCGCTTTCATCAGACCTACAGCTACTCCTTCCGTGCGATCATGGACAGCAGCACTCTGTCGTGTGTCAGGTGGGGTGGGGTGGGGTGGGGTGCTGGATGGGGTGGGGTGGGGTGGGGTGCGGGAAGGTGCGGCGGAGGGTACGGACACAAGGCAGGGTGAGATTGCTGATGCACGTTTGTGTGCTATCAGACAATGACACTGATGCCGGCACTGGCACTGATTGCATGCGGCTGCGTGCATGCATGTGTGTGTTTTGCCCTGCTGTGCGCACGCAGCAGGGGAAGTGAGGTGGGCGCAGGACCCATGGGTCGCTCGCCCGCCAACTACCCGCCCGGCAGCCCAGCGGCCGCCCCGAGCTCACTCGACGCCACGTCCGGAGGAGACGCAGCCGGCGGCGGCGGCGGAGGAGGATTGGGACGTGTTTCGGAGCCGCAACCCCACGGCTACGAGCTTCAACTTGTGCTGGTAGGTGGTGGTGTGCATTCGGTTGCCGCCGCAAATACGTTCGTACGTAGAACGAACTAGGTATAATGTAATAGCGGTTGTTATTAGTTGGGAGCGTTTCACTCCCCATCCCGTCGTCTTTCCTTTCGTCCACGGCTTCCTTTCTCAACCCTTTTCACGTCCATTTTCCCCCTTTCCTTTCCTCTCCTTCCCTTCCCCACAGGAGTACTGCGACCTTGGCACGCTGCGTCAAGCTCTGGACCGAGGGGCTTTCCATCGAGGCATGGCACACGGAGCCTTCTGCGGTGGAGGCGGTGGTGGTGGCGGTGGTGGCGGTGGCGGCGGTACTACAGCTGCCGCCGGCGGCGCCGGAGTCAGGCGACGCGGGGGTCCCCCGTACGGAGCGCTAACAGCCCGTGCTGGCGCCCCAACAGCGATATCGTCACCGTCATCCGACGAAGACACAAGCACAGGCGGCAGTAGCGCTGATGGTGGCGAGAGCGGCGGCGGCAGTAGCAGCAGCCCCGCAAACATGACGACCATGCTGCCGCCAGCGGCGGCGGGGACTGCTCCCCTCACTCGCTCTGCCACTGCTGCTCAGCACGCTTCCGACGAAGCCGCCGCGGCGGGAGCCAATGTTCTCCGGCGTGCCGGGGAGATCCGGCGCAGCCTGACCCGTGGGTCACGGCCGCCATTACCGTCACGGGGTTCCGCACCACCTACGGCGGTGGCGACAGCACCACCGGTAGCTGGCGGTGCTGTTGGTGCAGGTGGTGGTGGAGGTCCCCAGTCATCAACTAGTGCGGGATTTTGTACTGCTACCTCCGGCGATGCTACTGCGGCGTACGGCAGTAGCAAGGTACAAGCGGGGAGTGGTGTCGGCGGCGGTGGCGGTGTTGGGCCGAGTGGCTCGCCTTCTTCGTCCTCTTCTTCTCCTCCTCCCGCGTACCGCTACGGGTTGATGCTGGCGGTGGCGTGTGACGTGGCATCCGCGCTGCTGCACCTGCACTCGCATGGAATCGTACACGGAGATGTAAAGGTGAGGGCGTGTGAGGGTGACCCGTGGGTCGTGTGGGTCATCCATTCTACGAGGGAAAGTCGAAAACTTCCCCACATCATCCACACTTTTGTAATACCTGCCATTCACCTGTCGTACCCATCCACAACCCCCGGCAACACCACGTACAATGCCGCAAAACAAAACACACACGCACACGCACACGCAGGCTAGCAACGTGCTGCTCAAGTCGGGTGCGGCAGCGGGAGCCATTCGCCCTGGCGCCGCCGCTGCCGCCGCCGCTTCCAACCGCTCCAACCCCGCCTCTACAGCGGCACCTAGGTTAGCCAGCTTGGCCGGCGGCGGCGGCGGGGTTGCTGGTAACGCCGGCGGTGGCGGTCGGAATGATGGTGGCGGTGGAGGTATTGTGACGGACTTGACGTTGGCTTCAGACACAGTATCGCTTTGGAGCCTGGCACAGCAGCAGCAGCAGCAGCAGCAGGGCGGAGGTGCTGGCGGTGGCGGTGGCGGAGGTGGTGGGGGAGGCGGCGACGGAGGTGGAGGGGGCGGAGGAGGTGGAGGGGCCGGAGCCGTACGGAGCAGCAGCAACGGCGGCAACGACGCGTTTGAGCAGCTGCTTCAGTCCGGTGTGGTGGCAAAGGTAGGTGGATGGGTGGGGGGTGGTCCAGCCCCCCTCCTCCTCTATCTCCCGCTGTATCCTCTTCACCTCGGCCACCCGGCTCCCGCCTCCCGCCTCCCGCCTCCCTCCTCCCGCCTCCCCCCCGCCTCCCCCCGCCTGCCCAACCCAGGTGTCGGACTTCGGTCTCGCCACCCACGTGGATGAGCGCACGGAGACGCACGTGTCCGCACTCACCGCACAGGTGGGTAGTGGTTAGGTGGTTAACTTGTTATTAGGTGGTTGGTGTGCGCACCCCCGTGTTGCGGAGCCCACAGCAGCAGCAGGGTTAGCACACGCACATCCACGGTGCAAATCCATGTTGCTGCCGGGTATAGAGACTTGCGTAACAGCGTGACAGCAGTAGTGGCTGACCACCCACTGGACGAGGAGGGAAAGTGCTGACACGTGTCTCCCTCACACCCGCTTCCTCTCCCATCCCCTCCTCCCTTCCCCTCCCATCCCCCTCCCATCCCCTTCCCCTCTGCCAGGGCACGCTCACGCACATGTCACCCGAGCTGCTGCTGCACGGCCACATATCCAAGCACCAGGACACCTACGCCTTCGGCATCCTGCTGTTCGAGCTGTTCAGCGGGGACAGGGCGTTCCGGGGGGCGCCCCGGGCGCTGCTCCCGCACAAGGTGGGGTGGGGGTGGGGGTCAAAGACCATACCGAACCATAGGAAGCCACAGGTTGGGGCAAGAGGTGGTGGTGGTGGGGCAGGGTGGGGGGGGGGCTGATCTGGGCTGGGGTGGGTGGGGGCATATGCCAAGCTGGCGTGTGTGTATTGCGGATGAGGAGCATGCTGGGGCATACATGGCTGGTGGGGTGTAACAACTGAAAACACACGCGGGGAGGGAAGCACCTGCCCCGGGGGGCACCTCTGCTGCGATGTTGACTGGGGCGTGGGGCCGCCTCATGCATGTTGCGGTTGAGCGGGTCACATCATGCATGCATGCATGTCCGCCACCGCCGCCGCCGCTCCAACCAGGTCTGGTGAAAGCCTCCTCATGCATGCCTCCACCAGACCTGCTGCCATCCGACCAGCTGCTGCGTGAGACGGCCGTTCATGCATGCATGCTGCCCCCGCCGACCGCAGGTGGCCCTGCGCGGGTTGCGCCCCTCCTTCCCGCCGCAAACGCCGCCCGACTTCCGCCGCCTGGCCGAGCGCTGCTGGCAGGCGGATCCAAGGAGCAGGTGGGCAGCGGGAGGCGGGGGGAGGCGGGGGGGGGGCGGGGAGGTCTGCGGGGTTGATCTGCTGCTGGGGTTGTTGTGGGTGTGCTGCTGCTCGATTGCTGCTTCCCCAGACTTACCTTCTTGCGCTTCCTTCCCTTCCCCCAACTCGCGGCTTCTTTGGGTTTGGTCCTTCCTAGACCCCCTTCCTGTCCTGCCCTGCCCTGCCCTGCTGGCCTGCTGCTATGCCGTTCCGCAGACCCACCTTCGAAGCGGTCCTAGCGGAGCTGCAACGCATGAGCGCCGCATTCGAGGCAGCAGCAGCCTCCGCCAACAGCAGGGCCGCCAGCGCCGCTTCTAAGCGACGGTCACCTCTGCTGTGGACGGCAGGAGGTGGTGGTGGTGGTGGAACAGGCGGCGGCGGCGGCTATTGGGACAATGCGGCGACGTTTGGGGGTGGTGTTGTGGTTGGGGGTGGCGGAGGCGGTGGTGGTTGGGTTGAGCTGCCGCCGCTGGAGGCGAGCTCCTGCGGCTCGGAGCTGTTGGAGGCGCTGACGCAGGCCAGCAGTGCGGGCAGCAGCGGTGCGGGTGGTGGGGGCGGGGATTGAAGGAGCTGCTGGGGAGGGCGGGGGCTGAGAGAGTATACTGAATAGGCCCCCTAAGACGAGACCGTACGGAGAGGAAGGGGAGCGGTGAAGATAGGATGGTATGCACGCGGACACTGGTGGTGGTGGTGGTGGTGGTGGTGGTGGTGGTGGATGGTGGGGCGCACGCTCCTTAGATAGCAGTCATTCATCCAGTCCGCATGTGCTCAAGGTCTGTTGTGTTCTTGTGTGGAGGGCTGGAGGGCATGCAAGTAATAAGTAGTACCGTAGTATTAGTGAGACCGGCGGCGGCGGGCGGTGTTTTACTGCACAGCTTGTTGTTGAATGTATGCATGAGTGTTAAAATAACTGGCCGCGAGGCATGAGTGTGTGGCTGCTGTTATTAATAAGTTTGCAGCTAAACAAACGGAGGAGGACGGAGAACGAAGGAGGTAAAGGCGAGACGTGCGGACGAGTGGAGATGAAGGTGCTGTTGCAGATGTGCTGCTGCAGATGTGCTGCAAAGTATCAAGACTGGCGATGTGTTTGTTGGTTGTAGATAGCCAGCGGCGGTTAGTTGCTTGTGTTGCGTTGCTGATATGCCGTGCACTAAAAGTGCGTCCCGGGCTTTGGGGGCATACAAGCAAGCAAGGACCTGGGCGCCGGCGACATGAATGTCGGCATGCGGGTTGAAGGTGTGTTGGAGATGCAAATGCATGCATGTGTGCTGAAAGAGCTGCTGTGCATTGCACGGTAGGTACGTACGGCATGTACTGTTGACGAGCGCGTGCCATGTGTGTGTCGTGCTGCGCCAGGGCGACGCAGGTAGCCATTCTGTACTGCGGTTATGGTTGCGAATGGCGCGTATGGTTACCGGTAGCTGTATGTGGAAAGGGGGGGGGGGAGGCGCCGGCAGTCGTGGGGTTGTCTAGGTAAAGCGGAAGAGGCGCGTGCATGGGAGACTTGGCTGCCGACGCACGCCGTTCTGTTCTCCTTTGTCCGGGAAAAGCAGCGACAATTGTCGGATGTCGTACAGGGCTTTCATGGAGATGTTCGCTTATCAATAACCAGCACTGTACGCCCCTCGCCAGGCTGCTGAAGTCGCCCTTTCCGCCCTTCATGACAGCCCTCAGCACCGACCTTTCGCGCGCGCGTCCCTTAACATTTGATGTGCCCTATACCACCTTTTACCACGCTAACAGTTAATAATAACCTTCTGCAAAGCTTGCTTCGCTCTTGTCTGGGTCTCCACTGGCGTATACAAACACCGACGATATAACTCGTGAGACCCGACATTATTGACACCGCGCGCCCAGCGACCCGTGGGACACTTATTAGCCTCGTCGATTCACCAGCCACGCACACGCGAAATACAACCTCGGACCCTTGCCTGCACGACACTCAATACGTTTGCCTGCCTCCGTGTCCTGTGCTAAATCAGTTACAGTTACGGCAAGCATCTGATAGGCCATCCAGCTTACAAATTATGGCAGTCCGCGATATCTAGACAAGGAAGCGGCGGCGACAAACGTCCAACATCACACATACAAGACAATCAAGGAAGGCTTCCTAATTGAGGACGGTCTAGCTTCACAACAATGATGTGAGTTTAGCCTTCACCTCGACATCTTTTAACAGCTTTGCTTTGTGAGTCTTTACTCCAAGCATGCTCCACCAACTTTTGCAAGCTTATACTCTCCTGATCATAATTTTGAATGGATAACCTGTTGACTGGGGTCGTGCAACACAAGCAAGCTGATACATGTACTTGGGGCCCTGGTCAAGCCATAATAAGTAGACGCAGCCTTTGCAACTTACGATGAGCAAGAGCATCGCTATCTATGCTACCGGAACTTCACCCGGGGCCAGCACCACCTCCCTTCCTTGTAGTTGTTGATGTTGCCCTTGCTTCAATTCTCTCCAATCCCCTCAGGGCCGCTTCCGCCCTGGCCAACTCTATGCTCAAGGGCAACGGCGGGGACTCCTTCGGCATCCGACATGCGGCGCGAACCGCCGCAGCCAGCCTCCTACCCCTGGACTCGGCATCAGGTGCGACAGGCAGGCAGGCAGGAGGTGGTTGCTGGCGTTGGGGGGAGGTACCGTACCGTAATGTATGCGAGGGAGGAGGTGTGAGCATTGGGGGCATTACCCAGCGCGCAGCACGGCAGACTGCCTGCTGCACGTCTGGCTGGTCATCCTCGTCATTGGCTATTTTGGCTTGTTCACAAGCGCCCCACCCTGATCCTGCCCCTGCCCCTGCCCCTGACCCTGCCGCCTGCCCCACCCTCTCCATGCATGCAGCGGGGTCCGCCACCCTGCGCCCCTCCCCCGCTAAAGTACGGCGGAGGTGGGACCTGCTGTACCGCTGCTGCGACATAGTGCTGGTGGTGCGTGCGGGGCTGAGGGGGTGGTTGGGGGCAGGCGAACGGGGGCGTGGTTGGGTACGACAGGGTACGAGGTAGATTGTACGATGCTTCCGTGCAATCAGGGAGGTATGCGGGCAGGTGAGGTGCGTGTCACTCGGTACCTGTCCGACAGAGCAACTTTGATGCCGGTGTATGCTTCTTTGTTTTCAAACAAGCAAAAGATAAGAAGCGTGTAGCGTAGTGAAGGCAAAAGGTATGTCGCAAAGCTAAGCATGCTAGGAAAAAGTGCAAAAAGTACGCACCCGATGCGATTCGAACGCACGCGGGGAGACCCCACGGCCTTAGCAGGGCCGCGCCTTAACCACTCGGCCACAGGTGCGGTGCGAGCACTTCTCGCTGCTTTGAAGATGCCCGAAATGCAATGTTTAATTATATATACGCAATAGGCACACGGTTAGCCCCTGAGCCCGAAATTCAAGCTGGATGAATTTAATCGCTTTTATAAATGATTATTAAATCGTTACAACTTTACTTGCTTTAATAAATTCGGAACAGTCAGCTACTAAATAGCATGAAACAAATAGTGTACATTTCGTCTCCAACGTCGCCTTTTCCTGTTAGAGGCATCTCTCTGACTTCCGTTCCGATGTCATCTCACGCCGCACGCACCTCGCCCACACCGCGCACACAGGTTCTGGGCCTGTGGCTGGCGCTCTCTTCCGCACTCACCATGATGGGCCCAGCTGCCACCCATGGAACGGTAGGTCAGCAAGGAACGACGAGCTGTCCGTACATACACATCCGTGCATACATCCTCTTCCGCATGTCCTTGCATGCCTTTCTTCATGCTTCACAGCCTGCATTCTTGAGCACCTGCTCCGCCCACCTCTCCCTCGCATCCTGCCTGTGTGCTACCTTCCTGCCTGTCTCTGCCCACATGCGTCCACACCTCTAATACAATACCTCGTAATACACCACTCGCAATACCCGCTGCTGCGCCCGCTGCTGCACCCGCTGCTGCACCCGCTGCTGCACCCGCTGCCGGCCCCACCGCCTCCCCCCCCCATACACAGCTCCTGGGTCTGGGTGTGGCGGTGCTGGGGGTGCTGGGTGCTGCCTCCGCGGGTCGCGAGTGCCTGTCGGTGCGCACGCTGGTGCTGGTGGGGCTGGGCGTCTCCGCGCTGTCCACCCTGGAGCTCATGCAGCAGGTGGGGGGTGGGGCGGAGGCGGGGGGATCGGGGGAAGGAAACTGACAAACTGGGTGGTGCGTGAGGTTTTGAGAGGCATGCGCTGGGTTGCGCTGATGTTCCTTACTTGCGTCAGGCGACCCCTTCTCACCGCTCACCGGGGTCACCGCTCGCTGCTGGTGGAAGCCTCGTAACCACCTGACCGCACATCAGCAACCTCGCCCTCTCCTACCTCTCCCTCCTCCCATCCCACCCCTTCCGCTCCCCCTCCGCCCCCAGGTGGGTCGCGACGTGTCCACCCACTGCGCGCTCGCGGAGGCCGTCACACGCATTCACCACATGGAGGAGAAGCTCATCCGCATGCGGCACGACGAGCTGCTCACCCAGCTGTTCTTCAGGATGAATGAGATGGTGGGATGGGGGGGGGGCGGGAGAGTGAGGAAGGGTGACTGTTATGGGGTAATGTAGGCAGCAGGGGTTGTCTGGCGCAAGAGGGTTTGACAGGAGTGTCGTACAGCCTGCGACAAGCTGCACAGCCCTTGCTGCTTGTCTGCTGAAGGGCCTATCCATGAGCCCGGGCGGTACGTCGCCCGGATGGACGCACTCACCACCCCAACCACCCAATCCCGCGCGCGCTTCCCCCGCCCCGCCTTATCACCCTCTTGTTGGTAGTTGTTTCCTCCTCCCCCCGCCCCCGGCCCCCACTTTTTGCCCCCCGCCCCCCGCCCCCCGCCTCCAACTCCCCCCGCCCCCCCGGGCCCCACCCAGGATGACATGTTGGGGCTGGTGCAGCAGTCCGCCTCCGCGCAGAGCGACATGCACAGCCAGGTGGGGCTGGGCAGGGCTGGGCGGGGTTCACCACCCCTGTTCCCTGCTAGGGAACCCTTGCAACGGTCATTCATTCGGGTAGGGGCGTAGGGCTGGCTGCGCTGAGACGCAGAACCAGCACCGACCCGGCGGCGGTTGTGGGTGAATGGATGAGCGAACGAATGAGCGAACGAACGAGTGCATGCATGAATGCTACCGTGGTTATGAAGCCGTGGGGCTGTATGGTGTTGCTGCTGCACAGGTGTGGCGCGCCGCCCAAGCCGACCGGGAGTACCTGCGGGCCAAGGCCACTGCGCTGCGGCGGCATGCGGCGGCTGTGGGGGAGGGACTGAAAGCCAAGATCGCGGAAACAAAGGTGGGCAATAAGCACACTGGGTGAAAGACAGCGGTTGTTGCAAGAAGACGAGACCACCGTTGGTGTGCTTTCTACAAGCTGCTGAGATACCGATACATAGCTGCACTCACGTGTTCATGTTGGTGTCGACGATGTTGCGTTGTTGCACATACCTAAAATTTCCCCCTCCCCCCCCCAGGCCAACGCCACGGCCACCGCTCAGATAGCAGTGGCACCGGGAGCCACGGCCGCCGGCGGCGGAATGACAGCCGCTGGCAGCGGCATGGCTAGCGGCAGTAGCAGCGGCAGCAGCGGCGGCGGGGGTGGAGATGTGCTGGCGCAGCAGCTGTGGGGTGTGGAGCGGCGGTTGGAGGCGGTTGACAGTGTGATCCGCTACCTGGATTCCAAGGAGGCCTCGGGGGATCTAACGTACGAGGAGTACGAGGTACGACGGGACGAGACTGGCGAGGGTCGTACTGCCGTACCTCGTACTTCACCGTGGGCGGCGTCAAATCCTTTTTATGTCTTTCTAATACCTCGCACTGCTCGTACGGTAGTGCGAGTTACGCGACTAGGCCGGCGTCTGTCCTAGTTTACCAGACATTACATGGTATGGCTGGTATTGTTGGAATGACACGGCGTGCTGACCATAAGGACCCCTCTTTAACCTCCTCCGTCCTACCCAACCCCCGCTCCCGCCTCTTTCCCTCCCCCCCTCCCCCTGCCTGCTCAGATCATCCTGGAGGCCCTCATAGAGGGCTCCCAGGGCCACGTCCCCGTCGCCACCCTGGCCATGCTGCACCAGGAGAAGACCGGGCTGCCCGCCTTCAAGTCCGCGTACGAGCGCCACACGTCGCAGTCGTACGACCACGTGCTGGCGGGCGGCGGCGAGGGCGCGTCGGCCAGCATTGGCGCGGTCACCAAGGCTCAAGCGCGCAAGGAGAGCTCCCGAAGGCACTTTGAGGTGGGGCGGGCTGGTGTGGGGGCGGGGGGTTGGGGGCGATGTGAAGGTTGCGGTTGGAGGTGAAGGTAGTGGCGATGTGTGCATGAAGCAGTACCGCACCCTTCCCACTTACCGCATACAGCGACCCAACCCTGCCTTGCACAAACCGCCCACACGCCCGCTTGTTAACACACCCGTTGACTCAACACTCACCCCCACCCGCCCACCACACTCCCACCCCCCCCGCACAGAACCGCTTCATGCAGTTGTTCGAGCAGCACGGGGCGCACCACGGCGCCGCATTCGCCTCCTCGCTGTCTGCGGCGCTGGAGTCGCTGCCGGAGCACTGCGTGAGGGATGTGGACGCGCATGCGCGGCTGCGGGGGCTGGGCTGGGCGCTGCTGGCAGCACAGGTTGCGGGCGGGTACGCGGCGCTGACGTCGTTTGTGCTGGTGGCGAAGAAGGATGACTAGGTGTGAGGGGTCAGAGGTGAAGGGGAGATTGGTGGCGAAGAAGGATGGCTGGTGGTAGATGAACAGATGAAGGGGAGGAGGGATGGTGCGATTGGCCGGGGGAAGACGATGCTGCTGCAGGCGTTTAACTGGGTTAATGAGGATGTTGCAATCTGGGTGACCCACGGGTCAGTCGGGTGGCCCTGCCTGTATAATATCACCCCGTGACAAACCCCATAATGGGGTTTCCTCCGCTGCTTACGTTCAATGAGCTGGTTTGACATTGGTTGACCACAGTTGAGTTGGCGATTGGGACAAAACTGTGCTCTGGAAACGGTTAGTGCGTGGGCGAGAGAGCCACACGGTACGTGTTGATTTTGAAATATCTAGTTTACGGTGTGACCCGAACGCGGCCTAGAGAAAGGCCGACGCTGTATCAGGAGATCCGGCAGGAGCCATGGGATGAGCAGGCTGCCGTGGGTTACGGAGTGTGGTATGCGCCCCGAATGCTCTTGTTGTTGTTGTGTAACAGCAGCAGGCAGTAACAGCACCCTACAGAGATGATGCATCAGATGAACAACCGTTACAAAGGTAGGGCGGCAGAGCAACCTACCCAAAGCACGAAACCCTTCCCGGCATGGAAGCCCATCCCCGCAAACAATCCACAACTATCAGTCTGTTAGTTTGTTTGTAGCTTGTTGGGCGTGAGCCTCTTGATAGCAGGGTCTCCCGATCATGCACATCCCATGCAGACAACTGGAAATGCATAATAAATCAACGTGAGGCACGATACATACCCGCAGACAACACACTCTAAACCACTTCAAACACACGTGGTGTTTTTCACACACGCACTGCTCATCAGCCGTTACTAAAGCAGCACGGCAGCGCAATGGTGGCGAGCCTACTTGCTTTATATGTTACTTAACGTACGTTGCACACCTTTCCCTCCAATCACCACCACCAAACCCGTTCAGCAAGACCACCGGGGCCAAGCCATGCACAGCCATGCATGCAGCTAACACCGCAACTCGTGCATTGCCTTACCGCAACTGGTTATGAAGTTGACCACTACTAGCCATCTATGGAACATTGGAGACCCAGTACACAAACCCACGAGCATCAGCAGCAGGGTAACTGCAACGGCAGCGGAACAACGAATAGCGCTGACAACATTCTGGCTTAAAAGTTAAGTGAAAAGCCCCACACAAAGCCCCGATAAAGGTATACGTAATAAAGCATATAACCCAGGTATAGCTTGGAGTGCATCGCTGGTCGCATGTTACGCAGGCTTTCATATGACGATGATGGTTGCGCTACTAACGGTCTGCCAACGGTTTGCAGGGCTCCTAGCTAGACTCTCATGCAGCACAAGCAAGGCCTCTCGAGGGCTCTTAAGCGGATAGTTATTTAGGGTTGTAGCACCTGGACGAAAGCGGTTAAAGCGCCGCAACATCACGAGTTTCATCGCGACAAACCAGGCACGTCGCATACGTCCAACAGCATGATAAAGAACCGCAGCTTAATCACATAATTTCCCGCCCAATCAACCAACCATCCCCGTGCATCTAAACTGCAGACGTGACACTTTCCACGCAAACGACGCAACGCCAATGCAAGATGGTTGCCTTGCCTAAGCCACGCATGCATGCATGCATTCACTTGCCAACCCGCAACTAATAACCTCATCCCATCTTGCTCTCAACCTCATCCAACCACATCCAACCATCCCGCTTATACCTTCTTCTCCCCAGCCACCGGTGCGCAATCTTCGCATGCGTAGGCGCCAGCACAGTGCGACGTCTCTACACCGCCGCACGTCGTCGGAGGCGGGAGGCTGCCGTTCTGCGCCAGATGTCGCTGGTAGTTCTCCCTCAGGTGTCCAAAGAACAGCGCGCCGAGGCCGTATCCCAGCACCACCGCAGCAAAGTAGGCGCCGTTGAAGGTCATCGCAATGAGCATCGTAAACATGTCTAGCGTCATCACAAGGACTGAGGAGGAAGGCAAAAGAGGGAAGCAAAAGTCAAGCAGTCAGGAAGAGCCGACTAGGGCTTAAGAGGTATCAGTAGGGGAGGCATGGATCTCATCCGGATTCGAGCGGGTTATTAAGGGCTTGAGGCGCAGCGCCTTAAGCTGGTCATGACCTATCTGCTGCCTAGCATGAGTACCTCGATCCTTCCCGGGGCTTGAGGATACCAAGGCAAAGAGGAAACAACTACCGGTAGTTAAGCGTGTGATAAGGCTTCATCATGCAGACTGCAACCACCCAGCAGTCAACACAGTGCTACAACACAAAACAACAAAAGTCAAAATCCTCAGTATTGTAACTCACTTGTCAGGAAGCAGATCAGCGAGTTGAATAGCACCTGGCCACCAGTTGGGAGCCACCAGGGCCCCGTGAGCACTGCTGCGGGCTTCAGCGGGCCCAGCCGGCCGGTCGCAGCAGCCAGACCCGCGATGGCCTGAACGGTGCGCAGCGCAACGGACGCCATGCCCATACCCGTGATGGCGAAGAAGCTGCCCACCGCTTGGCCTGGGTACGGCGAAGTTTGGGTGGTGGGGGTTTTTATGTTACGAGCATGTGGAGCAAGCACGATGCATGCAGGGGATGGTGTTGATGTTGTGGGGCGAGGGTGCTTGTGGCCTGTAGCGAATGCTCGTTTCAGGCGTACTGTACTACATACTGTACTACATACAGCCTCCCTTGGCATGGTGGGATCACTAGCAGCTTCGTAGCCCCATCCTCTGCTACCGGTAGGCTCTCCCACCTAAACCCCAAGACTCAAAAAGGCCTCAACACTAGATGAAACCACAAACAAAGCTCGTTCACTTAAAGTATGGCACACAATGCAGCGCCCCTAAGCTAGAGTGCCTCTCTGGCCTCTTACCAGTGGTTTTGGGGAGCCACGAACGGAACAGCAGCAGCTCCGGAACCCGCTGATGGAAGAACATGAGCATGGAGGGGATGCTGCTGGAGCTCGTACTGCCGCCGTACACGCTGGCTCCCGCGCAGTAGCTGCGGACGCTGCTGCTGCCGGTGCTGCTGCTGTTGACGGTGGTGGACTGCTCCCAGACGGACGAGGCGGCACACCAGGAGGCGTAGACGTCACAGCCGTCCATGTACGGCATCTCGGCACACATGCTGGAGATGGCTCCGATGTAGTCGGCGCAGGCGATCTGGTGGGTGGGTCGGGAGGGCAGGATGCGGTTGTGGGTTCGGTTGTTAGACGGTATGGTAGGGGTAGGGGTGTTGTGGTACTGTTGGTGCTGGGATACAGAGTAAACTTGTGCGGATTGAGAGAAGGGATGAAGCGGGGTGGCATCTGTAAGGGATGGACGATGTCAGGGCCACTCGGCTAGTCAATCCTAACATCCCAGCGTTGATCCTAACGACCCAAGCAAGCCAAGCCATGACCCACAAGCGCGCCCCAAGCAAGCAAGCGAGCGGCCCCACACCCCACACGCGTTCCCAGCCAGCCAGCCAGCGCCCCCACCCACCCCCCACCTGCGAGCACGTGTCGCACTGCGTCATGTACATGCTGGAGCACATGGCGGTGACGGCAGCTGCGGCCTTCTTGGTGGTGGGCAGGCTGGGAGGAAGGGGGAAGGAAGGAAAAGAAGGAAGAGAAGAAAGTACAATGTGAAGGAAGAAAGAACACAGGAAGGAAGGAACGCAGTGAGGCGAATCAAAGAGTGGCTCAAGCGGCAGCGTCGGCGTACCAGTCAGGCAAGCGTCTCAAGCTGTGTTAAGGATTAATTACTGCTGTGCTAAGGCTTACCCGGGGATGGCTGGGTACAGCTTGCATTGATCGACGACCGAGGTGTTCGCGCAGAGGGTTCGGTAGGACTTGCAGCCTCCCATGCCCGGCATGTCGTAGCAGATGGTGCTCAGTAGCGTCATGTTTCGGCAGAAATCGCCCGTGACTTCACCACTCTGTGGGTTGAAAAGGCGCCGGAGGATTTGCTTAGCAAAAGGCGTCATAAAAAACCGGATGACGGTAAGCGTCACAAACAAAACCATTGTGTCATGTGCCAGGTCAGTGTGTCATAGAACCAAACGCTTAATGCCTCCCTACCTGGCAAGCGAACATGATGGTGCAGCCCGGCATGTACGGCATATCCGTACACAAGGACTTGAGATCCGCAGCAATCTTGGAATCCGGGTAAACGTACGACACGCATTCAGGCAGCGAGGAGTTCAGCACGCAGAGCGCAGCAGCGGAAGCGGGAGGCGGTGGCGTGCCAGCGCCCAAGACCACCACAGGCGGGGGCCTAGGCACCGGCGGGCTGGGCGGTGGCGAGATGAGGGCTGGGCAGTAGGTCCCCAGGTTGCCGCTGCCGGCCCAAGCAGCCGAGGCGTTGCACCAGGAGGTGTAGGTCTCGCATCCGGGGGCGGCAGGAGAGCCGGGGCAGACGGCTAGCAGTAGTTGAAGGTAGTCGGGGCACGACAACTGGAAACCAAAGGAAAAAAGGGTTCAGGGGTTTGCATTTGCGTTATTGTTTCGTGTAGGTGCAGAGCGAAACAAGCGGTGCTGTGGCCGTGCCTCCCTGACATCTGTCTCTGCTTTCTGTGCCAGTCATTGTGCGCGTACGACCATCGCAGGCAAACACAGCAACACAAAGCATGCATGGCTTCTACCCGTGCATAGGCTTCAGAGACACAGCAACAACATGCAAGGCACCCCACGCCGTACCCACCCCGTTGCATTTGACGCACTCGGGGGCCGAGACGTTGGCACAGATGGAGGTAACGGCGGTCTTCGCCTGCTTGGTTGTGGGAAGCCTGAACAGGAAAGAGGGAGGAATGGAGGGTAAGGAGGAAACGCGGTTAACTCTGCAACCGTTGGCGACGCTTTACAACTACGCCAGCATAGCGGGTGGGTAATCAGATGCTAGCTCCGTTCGTGGGCGGCCAATATAACCGAAAGCATGAAGAGGGAAAAGCAGGAGACGATCGAAGCAGGCCAGACAACAGACTTCTACTCGCACTTACCCTGGGATGGCTGGGTACAGCTTGCACTGCGGCACTACCGAGGTGTTGGCGCAGAGGGTGCGGTAGGACTTGCAGCCGCTCATGCCCGGCATGTCGTAGCAGATGCTGCTCAGCAGGGTGAAGGGACGGCAGAAGTCGCCGGTCGCGGTGCCGTTCTGCAAAAAGCCAAATGCGGGAGAAGCAACGTCTGTTGATTAAGCAAACTCACACCCGGACATGCGGATAAACCAAACGCACCCCCCTCTTGCACTCCCTACGCTGTCCCGCCTGTTCTATCATATCATGCAACGTCCCAAACCTGGCAAACATAGCACATCTGGTCTGCGAACGGGGGTAATCCTAGTTTCGCCCTAAACCGCTTACCAAACCCTTACCTGGCATGCAAACATGATGGTGCAGCCGGGCATGTACGGCATCTGTGTGCATAGTGAGTTGAGGTCCGCAGTGACGTTGGCAGCTGGGTAGACGTAGGAGGCACACTCGGACAGGGAGGAGTTGGTGACGCAGAGGGTGGAAGCGGGGGTCTCTGGCGTCAGTTGGGTTGGCGGCGGCATGCTGGGAGGAGACGGCGGAGGTGGAGGTGGAGGGCTGGGTGAGGGGCTCGGCGGGTCGGGCGGAGGTGAGGGGGGCCATGAAGGGGCGGACGAGGTCGTGCCGTTCCCAATGCATAGCACGGCAGCGGCCTTGCCCAAGGGGGCCCCATCGCCATTAAGACAGAAGTTCTTCCAGTCGCTGCACTGCCCCATGTCCATGTCGATGCAGCCCTGGCAATACGCATCTGTGGATGAAGCAGAGCGTGTCGAGAGAGGAAATGCAGAAGGGTGTTTTGTTGTTGTTTGTTGCTAAAGCACGAAGAGACAGCCGGCAATGAGTGTACCGGGGGCTTGCAAACACAGCATACAGTGCAATGGAAAAGCACAACAAGGTCAAATCGAGCAAGGAGCAAGGGTGTTGGCATAAGCTGGCGTTTGTTTAGCCAGCATGCCCCTCAGCTTGGCACGGTAGGTCATGCAAAAATCAACAAAAACAAGCAAAAATCAGGCATGTAAACACAGCGTGTACCATGCCAGTAGAAACCCCACCATGGACCTACATAGGGGGTCAGGGCAGGCGGCATGGGTGCAGGTGTCGCAGCCTCCCATGGGCTGTCCATCCATCGCATCGCATTCGTAAAGATGGATGTCCCTCATTGTAACAGTGTTCTTGAAGGTGTACGGCTGCATGCAGCTCTGGAACTGGGCGGCACTGCTGTACGATGACTGCAGCCTGCGTGTACGACAGGAGTATGATGTGAGCAATGATGTACGAATGGCATACGAAAGGTCTGAGAGTCAACATAACCTGTGTGCCGCAAACCAGGTAACGGGGATGGGATCATGGAGCTCTGGTATACGAATGTGGTAGTCAGCCTAGCCCGTAACATACCAACACGCACAGTAGATGCGCTAATGGAAGCAGGGAAGGGGCACACAACAAGGTTGTACTGTTATGTACTGCCAATCCAAGGACGCGGCCAGATAGCTGCATTAGGTCATTGGCTATCACTACCCATGGATGGTTGTTGGGCAACTCACTGTGCACAGAAGCTTGAGTAGGACGCCACGATTGTCGAATCGTCACTGCACAAACTGCTCGCTATTTTCCACGCGCTGCAGGTAGTCGGATAAATGCCGTTGGCTTTATCGTTGCATAACCTGTACATGCTGCAGCCAATTGCTGATTGGGCTGGCTCCTTGCTGCAAATCTCTTGCAGCGTTGAGTGGTAGACGACAGGGGCTGTCGGACAACTTTGTCCCGATGTGTAAACGAGAAAGTTGGCTAAAGCCAAATACAGGATTAGAGGCGACATAGCGTCGCGTCTGTTTTTTGATGTCTGCATTTGTCGACTTCCTTTGCGACGGAACTTCGGCGCAGGACAACACTGATTTACTTAAAGCCTAATAAAGCATGCATGCTGCAAAAGCTGGAGGCGGTACTTGCTCAGTGTTTGCAGGCCGACCGACTGATGGCTAAACCCAGCGACGGCGTCAGGTAGCAACAATTGTATCCAAGTTACAATTGGTAGCAGATCTGCCCTATTTATAGGCCTCACCGACTAACGCAAAGGTGCGTTACAAATTCCGCTTTTATGTGTCAGGTGGTCCGTACCAGGTACCGGTCGTCATTGTACCAACGGAACCCTCCGACGCCTCCTCAGCCCGCAATTTATCGTAACTCATGGCGACGAATGTACACAGTTACTTCACCTATCTATAAAGTCATCTAGGCAACACCTGAGCTGACTTTGGGGCAGACCAGGTTGGACATACGAATACCGTAATGAGCTATGCTGGGATCGCTAAACGCGCCCAGTCGGACAGCTCTGTATCTTGCGTAAGTTACTACCAAACGATTTCCCACACTTACGTGTAGATTGGATAGTGCATCTATTTCTAATTGTTTTCCGCTGACCCTTGGTTCGCATCATTGGCTCGTCAGACCTCAACCAGGCTCACAGGATGCCGGGCCAGGCCGGGCTAAGCCCGGCATGCATTTGGCAAAGCGTCCGAAAAGATAAATAGCAGAATGACAATGCGTACACCTTTGTTTCATGGTCCCTATTCTGTCCGTATGCGCTTTCCCTTTTTCATCAAAAATGGGAACGGCTGTTAAGGGCGTTAATCAAGGGCTCTTCCCCGTTATCAAAGGCCAGGCAGTTTCGTGTTTATCACTTTAGTTGACAATGTCCTCTCTCGGAAGTCCTCTCCCATGTGCTGAGATATTGCATTTAAAGATGCCCTACTTCTTGCAGAGCTCTTGGAGAGCCACTGCTCATTCATTCATAAGGTCCCTCACCATGTGACATCACAGTCGCCTTACGGCCGCATCATTACCACAAATGCGACTGCTGGCACCGTGAATGTTACAAATTGCGATGGCAAGGTAAGGGCATCAGAACACCAGCATAAACTGCACCATAGGGTTCGAACTACATGCTACCAGTTCTGAATCCGACGGCATATCGGCAAAGTCATTCAGCCCCCGGCACTTGCCGAAACGCCGCAGCGCAAGAGGACGATGTTACAGGGACAACCAGCATGCAGCGTGGGACATCCGCCAGCTTACTCGCTGTACGGCATACAACGGTAGCGTTCGCCCCGCAATGGCGGGCAGCTAGATGAAGATTGGTTAGAAATCCAAAGTTTCGGCGGCCATTGCCGGCTTGCCTCATTCCGGCATGCGTGAAACGTAGCCCCCATTGCGGCTCCAACAAAATCAGGTAGTGCCCCGCTCGCCATGCTTGCAAAGATCACATGATGATGCCTTGCCTTACACATCCCGCAAAACAACTTGGCGCAATTCCAGCAGAAATGTCTTCCGAGCCAGTGAACCCCTACACTTCTTCCCGTGAGCGGTATGATTGGTAGATAGGTTGGGGCATGGACAGCTAGTCCGCACAACGCAAAAGATGAACACCACCTAAACAGCGCTAAGTTCGCTGTGTAAGGGACCCTGCTGGCAACCGAAGGCAACCCTGCTCCCAGATAGAATTTAAACGCCCAACAGCTGTGGGGCAAAGATAAGCTGACGGTTGATGAATACGGCCCCAGATGGATACAGCCCACGCAGTACAAGACGTATGTACGATACGGACTCTTTCGTACACTCCGATCTAACCACTGCTGTACGACTCCAATCCGCACAGTTCTATCACCTGCTCCCGAACGAACGGCGGCTCCAGCCGAGAGCGACAACAAACAGCACGCAACACGCCAAAACATCAACTCACAAGGTCCCCTCCATTATTATTATTATATCCGTCGACACAGGATATGAACTAGACTGCCGAGCGGCCCCTTATCTACGAATTCACAGTCTGCTGCGATGTCCCAGTGGTGCATATCGGTACCAGTTGACACCTCATGTAGGCGATACACGGCAGTTCCGACATTGCTTTACTTCAGTGCTGAGCATAGGCCCGTCCTAGCTTGCTGGCACGTATAAAAACCTGTGCGCAAAAACTTCATATGTGCGAAGAAGGGCAGTGCACAGTTATGGCATTCTAGGTAAGGGGAACCGGAGCCAAGCAACTAGCGAGACCTGCTAAACGGGGAGCCTGGGAACGGCCGGCTCTTGCCGGCGTCACGCGTTAACACCCCTTTACGCCATGGGGTATTTCTTAGTGCTTAAGGCTGCGGCGGTGGGCGATTGGTCTTAGGTGGCGGCGGTGACTTTGGCTTTGGCGGAGGAGGCGATGTTGGCTTGGGAGGTGGCGGCGACTTTGGCTTTGGCGGCGGAGGTGACTTTGGCTTGGGAGGTGGCGGCGACTTTGGTTTCGGCGGCGGAGGTGACTTTGGCTTGGGAGGTGGCGGTGAGGGTGATTTCGGAGGAGGCTTTGTCGACTTGGGTGGCGGTGAGGAAGACACACGGAGAGGAGGAGGTAAAGGTGTTGGAGAAGGCGGCGAGGGTGGCGGCGGCGGCGAGGTGAGGTACGGCAGGCTTCCCTTGCAGTACACGCTAATGCTGCTGCTGCTGTTGCTGCTGGCGGGTTGCTCCCAAGCAGCCGAGGCGTTGCACCAGGAGGTGAAGAGCTCGCAGCCGGTGGCACTGGGAGCGCGAGGGCAGGCGCCGGAGATGAGTGCCAGGTAGTCCGAACAGGAGATCTGAGGCGAAGGTGGCAACACAACGGTAAACGAGAGGCACGGAGCAAGGAGGTGAAAGGCGCGGCAACAGGGCGTGATGAGTCCAACATACACCCATACGCCATGCCAGCTGCTGCCCATCCCAAAGGGGCCCACAGAACCTGCTGATACCGCCGAAGACCAAGCAAGCAGTGGTGCCAAGCATGCCGCTTTGGAAGTCTGTTCATGTCTATGTGTCAAGGAAGGACTTACCGTTGAGCAGGTGCTGCACTCGGGGCCCGAGACGTTGGCGCAAATGGAGGTGACGGCAGCCTTAGCCTGCTTGGTGGTGGGAAGGCTGCAGCAGCGCAGAGGCGGAGAGGAGTGCAGGACGGCGGAAAGGGATGCAGTTGGTGGAAAGAGCGGACAGCGGGACCATCAACACTGGCTGCTCAAGAACGGCACTCACCCTGGGATGGCTGGGAACTGGGTGCACTGCGGCACGACCGAGTTGGCAGCGCAGAGGGTGCGGTAGGACTTGCAGCCGCTCATGCCCGGCATGTCATAGCAGATGCTGCTCAACAGGGTGAAGGGGCGGCAGAAGTCGCCGGTAACAGTACCACTCTGTACAGTTGAGAGAAGGGGCAAAATGGAAAGTCAAAAACTAGTGCCGTACGAAACGTCGATGGATGCCCGTACGAAGTGTGTGTGCCGCACTGTTTGCAGGTGTGTATGGCGAGGGAGCAACCTCCAAGGAAGAAAGCTCTGTCTGTGCTGCATCGGTATGCTTTACTGGTGGTCGGCATTGTCCCTTACCTGGCATGCGGACATGACGGTGCAGCCGGGCATGTACGGCATATCGTTGCACAGCGAAATCAGATCCGCCGCAATGCTGACAGCCGGGTACTCGTACGATGCACAGCGGGGCAGCGAGGAGTTGGTCACGCACAGGTGGGCCGGAGGAGGCGGGCTGGGAGGTGGCAGGGGAGGTGACGGACTGGGAGGTGGTGAATTTAAGGCTGGGCAGTAGCTGCCAAGGTTGCCGTTTCCAGCCTGCTGCCAAGCTGCTGAGGCGTTGCACCATGAGGTGTAGATGCCGCAGCCCTTCATGGATGGCATGCCTGAGCACAGGCCCACAATCCCTCCCAAATAATCAGGGCACGAAATCTGCAGCAGTTGGGCAGCGAGAATGCATGTGAGTTCTTTGTTAGGAGCATACATGTTAACGTGGCACAGTGTCCGTCCGTTGACGATGCTTGGCACGCTCTTAAAGGTGATAGACAGGCCGTAAACATTCCCACAGACGCACACCCCTAGGGTGCTGTGCTGCTGTTGCTGCTTTGAACGTATAGCCTCGGGGTAACGCCCCTAATGGTCCCTTGCCATTACCTTCCCAGTGCGCCGGAAGGAAAGGATGCCACGACCGCACGCATGCATGGTCACTAGTCCCGGCAGACGCCTTTCAAGGCGCTTCACGCATGGATTATGGCTAGACATGTGCATGGACTACGGCTCTGCGCATCGCTCTACCGATATGCATGGATTGATGCGCTAGGCGCCCCACCTGCGAGCAGGTACCGCAGATCGTCATGGTGCTGGCCATGCTGCCGCTGCAAAGCGTGGCGATGGCCGTTGCGGACAGCTTGGTGGTGGGGAGCCTGCAGGCAGGCAGGCAGGCAGGCAGGCAGGAAGCCCGCATGGACGTTGCGCTGGACGTCGCGTAGCGGTGATGGCTGACGATAACGTAACAACGAGATGGCGGCATGGTGGTCGCATGGACGCTAATATATAGGGGTTATAGCAATTAGGGCCGTGAACTCAATCAGGTCATTGTTGTGCTGCTACCAGGCAGGTTATAGCGCCGCATGCCTTACCCAGGGATGGCTGGGTACAGTTTGCATTGGTCGACGACCGAGGTGTTGGCGCACAGGGTTCGGTAGGCCTTGCAGCCCCGCATGCTTGGCATGTCGGCGCAGATGCTGCTTAGTAAGGTAAAGGGCTGGCAGAAGTCGCCGGTGATGTCGCCGGCCTGTGAAAGGTACCGGTACGAGGGCGGTGACCGTTTGCAACAGACGTCTTTAGAAAGCCGCGCGGTGAGCATCACTTTCCACACATCAAATAGGATTGGGTGCAAGGTGAGGGAATTTTTCGCTGTTTTCGCCAGCATGCAACATGAACTAACCGAGGTGCGGAGGAGAAGGCGGTTCCAGTGCAAAAGCAGCTAACTGTTGGCTTTTACGGATGTAGCGAAAGACGAAGAGATGCAAAGATGGGCCATGCAGGTTGCTGCTTCCCTCGTTAGGATTCCTTTCAGCCAGCTCCCTATCATGCAGCCCATTCCTTTCCGCCGCTCACCTGGCATGCGAACATGACGGTGCAGCCGGGCATGTACGGCATATCCATGCAAAGAGAAACCAGATCCGCAGCAATGCTGGCAGCTGGGTACTCGTACCACACGCATTCAGGCAGCGAGGAGTTGGTCACGCAGAGAGGAAGAACAATGGGAGGTGGAGGAGGCCTTGGGGATGGAGGTTGCGGTGGAGGCGGCTGTAGAGGAGGACTGGGGCTGGCCTTCACAGGGTTGGGAGGTGGTGAGGGGGGCCATGGAGGCGCCACGGTGCTCGTGCGGTTGCCAAGACACAACACAACAGCGCCCTGGCCGTTGGGAGCGCCGTCACCGTAGCGACAGAACTTGAGCCAGTCGCTGCACTGGCCCATGTCCATGTCGATGCAGCCCTGACTGTAGGCATCTGTGCGTGTGGGAGGGACAGGGGCAGCGTGCGGGAGGTCAAGGTGCGGCTCTGAATGCCCCGACTGCATGGCAGGGAGCCTGTGATGGCACTAAGTACAGAGGGTTATGGTAACAGCAAGTCAACGTTTAGCCTGCAAGTAGGGTTCCCGCTTATTAGGTCTTTTCAGAAGGCGTAAGATAGGCTATCTCAGCACAGTGTGTATGAATGATTGACCGTGACAATGGTTCTCTAAGAGGGAACACGGGTGATGAACCCAACCTACACTGCAAAAGAGGCGCAACACGCCGGAAATACAACATCACAACGGGCCAGCAGGAAACAGTCATGAGAACCCCGCCACGCACGTACATAGGGGATCAGGGCAGGCGACACGGGTGCAGGTGTCGCAGCCTCCCATGGGCATCCCTTCCATCCAGCCGCATGCTTCCAGGTGGTTGGCCTTTACGGTGAGGGTGTTCTTGAAGGTGTATGGCTGCATGCAGCTCTGGAACTGAGCGGCACTGCTGTAGGACGACTGCAGCCTGCGTGTACGACAATAGTTTGATAGAAGAGAAGGCCCCGCAGCAGCTTTGGATAGAATGGTCGACATTTTGTAGCCGAAAGGCCCAACGCTGTACGTAAGAACATATGGCAACTTACTGCGCACAGAAGCTCGAGTAAGATACCACAATTGAGGTATCATCATTGCACAAGCTGCTCGCTATTTTCCATGTGCTGCATGCGGCCGGGTAGACGTTGGTTTTGCTGTTGCATATCCTATTCATGCCGCAGCCAATGGCTGAGCGGGCTGGCTCCTTGCTGCATATCTCGTCTAGCGTGGAATGGTAGACGACAGGGGCTGTTGGACAGCTTTGTCCCCTAGCATAAGAGAATAAAATCAGTAAGATAGAGTATCGTAAAAAGTGCAGTGACATGGCGTGAAGACGCTGTCGTCGCGTTGTCGGCAATTCTCGACCCCAAGTAATACCGGTAAACGAAAGGTAGATGGGTTAGGTTCGCTCCAAGCTAAAAATGAGTAGTAGTTGTATTATTGTTCCTCTGCAATGAGGATGACTTCTATATGCCTCCAGGCCAATGAGTGGAGATACAGCACAATAAAAATATAAAGGGTCTCCTGCAGCAGCCGCTGCATTCAGAGAGCCCTTGACTTCAAAGTCTGGTGCAGAGGCTCGGCTACCTTAATGCTTCCGCCATCATCCGTACAGTTGATCAACCGTACTGATACAAGTCCACGCAGGGTCTCACCTGGCCTATCCTAGCTAAGTTGCAAACTATTGCAGGCAATTCAGGAAAACAATTGGAGGTCAGCAACCTAAACTATGCGCACAGCAAGGTATCTAAGGAACGCGAACAAAGGGAGCAAACTTCCTCTAAATCGATAGATTCCCATCAGTTACCACATTTGACCAGAGGTTTACACTGCCCATTTCAGGCTAAGTGCAGCCTGCATCTATGCACTTGATTGCGCCCTTGAGTTTCCTCGTGTGAGTGCCATGGATGTCAAGCCGTTTGTGCTGTCTGGACTGCTGGGCCTAAGTATTTATGGATAAACCACCGTTGTTGCTTTGGACGGGGTTTAACTCTTCTACATATGCCCTTGGCGGATACGAACAAAGGTTCGCCACAGGAGGCGGGCCCACATGGCTGCCGTACCGAAGTCCTAGACTGCTATTCACCGTCGACAACATGCAGCGTCTTACGGAAGCGTCAGGAGTCGCCAGCCGAGGCAGGGGAATGCCAGAGCTTCAGGCACAGCAACTATTGGTCCGAGGGAATGCCAGAAGCTGCACTTTGCACTAAGGCTCGAGCGAAACGCCACCAGGACTGCAGTAGCAATCCGGCGGGCCGACGGCTTGAGGCGTCAGGAAGACCTCCCCCATCGAAACTGCGACCGCCTCATTACCACGGGACATATGTGACGCCCGTCATACAAAAGACTAAGCGAAACAAAAAATGGTGCACGCACAACGCACAGGTACGCCCGGACAGCAGGTGCACAAGAAACTCAACATAACACAAGAAAGACTCGCGCTCATACGCAGTCCTCACTACTTCATCATCACCGCAAAAAAATGATTTCCCCCATGATTTCGAAGTAGAAAACCTTTGACTGCGAAAAAACGCACATAAAACGTCCAAGCAACCACTCATGGTAGACGCATGATAGACATGAAAGCGCGCAACATGCCTTAACACAGTAATGGTGCATGGCAAGACTGCACATGACAATTTGTGGCGTTTGCGCCGTCATCGCGCCCAAACAGCAGGAGGCTGTAACCCTCCAGCTGACAGCCTAGGCCGCTGCAATATTGCGGCAACAGCGGACATTTCGCTCGCAGGTTAAAGATGCAAAGTGCCTCTTTATGTTTATGGTGCTAGGGCACTCAAGCATGTTCATTATGCATATTAGTAATGCACGCGCATATTCCATGTAGGTGCAGAAGCATTGAACGATTTCTTAATTGTTATTCTTGGGACAGGTAGTCAGGTCCAAAAGGCGCAGGCGTCCGTTGCTAAGACCACGTTATGTAGCACGGACGTGCATCTTAACAACGCGCGCGCAGCAAGGTCGGACACGTTTAAGCACGGCGCGCAGCAGCAACGGCCTTTGGCGGCGGCGGAGACTTCTTCTTGGGTGGCGAAGGCGACGGCGGCTTTGGTGGAGGCGGCGACTTCGGCTTGGGAGGAGGGGACTTCGGTTTAGGTGGCGGGGACTTCGGCTTGGGTGGGGGCGACTTGGGCTTAGGCGGAGGTGAAGGCGACTTGGGTGGCGATGGAGGCGGCCTAGGAGGCGGCGAAGGCGGCCTAGGAGGTGGCGAGGGCGGCCTAGGAGGCGGCGAAGGCGACTTGGGAGATGGTGGCTTGAGCTTCTTCGGAGGAGGAGGCGAGCGAACAGAAGGGGTCAAAGGTGCCGGCGAAGGCGGCGAGCCGGGCGAGTTGGGAGTTGAGGGTGGCGGTGGCGGCGAGGTGAGGTACGGCAGGCTTCCCTTGCAGTACACGCTAATGCTGCTGCTGTTGCTGTTGCTGCTGGCGGGTTTCTCCCAATCAGCCGAGGCGTTGCACCAGGAGGTGAAGAGCTCGCAGCCGGTTGCATTGGGAGCGCGAGGGCAGGCGCCGGAGATGAGTGCCAGGTAGTCCGAGCATGACATCTGCGGCGGGCAGAAGAAGCAATACAGTGGCGTCAACGAAGTAATGCAGCAGGAAAACCATGCATCAATCATGAAGACCATGGATATCATGGGTACCAACCATGGATACAAGAAGCCAACCAACCAACCGACAGGGGTCCGACGCATAACTCGGCAACCACATCTAACACACATCGCATGGTCTGCTTGGGTACGACCCACCGTTGAGCAGGCGCTGCATTCGGGCGCTGAGACGGCGGCACAGATGGAGCTGACGGCGCTGCGGGCGGCCTTGGTGGTGGGCAGGCTGGGGCGGATGAGGGGAGGGGAGAGATTGGCGAACAAGGGACGCAACAGATGTAATGGAAACCATCAGGAAAATGCGGTGAAGCGTGTATGGAGCACTGCGTGGTACGTTCTAGGTTGTACATAAATTACGAAAAGAAGGGCGCCCGTTGGTAAACGTAACTGATCCCGCTCACCCTGGAATGGCTGGGAACTGGGTACACTGCGGCACGACCGAATTGGCAGCGCAGAGGGTGCGGTAGGACTTGCAGCCGCTCATGCCCGGCATGTCGTAGCAGATGCTGCTCAGCAGGGTGAAGGGGCGGCAGAAGGCGCCGGTCGCGGTGCCGTTCTGCAACAGGACACACAGACGGGCAGGGGGCATTAGCAGATGGGTGCGAACAGGACAACTTTGCGAAACAAAAAGAGGAAATGAAGCCAACAATCGAAAGCTGGACCGTACAGCCGTACAGCAAACCACGCCCACTGTGTGTACGGCACATTTACCTGGCATGCGGACATGACGGTGCAGCCGGGCATGTACGGCATGGAGGTGCACAGCGAGTTGAGGTCCGCCGCAATGCTGGCAGCTGGGTACTCGTACGACACGCATTCAGGTAGCGAGGAGTTCAGCACGCACGGGGGCCCTGCGGGAGGCGGCGGTGGGCTGTACGGAGATGGCGGCTTGAGCGGGTTGCTTGAGGGAGGCAGCTGGCTGTTGCTGCTGTTGCGAGGGCAGTAGTAGCTGATGCTGCTGTTGCCGGATTGCTCCCAGGCGAGGGAGGCGTTGCACCAGTAGGTGTAGACCTCACAGCCGGCCGCGTAGGGAGTTCGGGTGCAGATGTCGGCGTAGGTACGCAGGTAGTCCCCACAAGACATCTGTTAGTGGGAGCATGGAGATGTTAAACGTAGGGGTAGAACGTCTAGGACGGGACGGGGTTCCAGCATATCTGTTCAGTGGTGTAAACTATAACTATTAACTTGTTACGGTTGTCACGTGCCCGAGCCCGGCTGCCCAGACCCAAACGCAGGCTGCTGCTTACCATGCTGCAGTTAGCGCATTCGGGGGCTGAGGTGTTGGCACACAGGGCGCCGATGCCCATCTTGACCGTGCGGGTTGCCAGCAGTCTGCAGGTTAGGAGAAGCATGACGGGAGCGAAGGGTTAAAATTTCAGTGAGAGGGGCAACTACGTGCGTAGAGGACACCTGCGCCCTTGACCTCCTCATGTCCCTCCTCATGGTGAGCACCTGTAACCCTTCAAACACACCCATACGCATCACAGCTCACAACAGCATCACATGCTGCAAGCATTTGCTGCAAAGTAAGGCAGGTATCCGAAGTAAGGCAGGACCCACGCACCCTGGCAGCGGCGGGAACTGCGCGCACTGCTGCACCAGGGTTGTGTTGCCGCTGCACATGGAGCGGTAGGCGCGGCAGCTGGTCTGCATGCTGCCCGGCATGTCGGAGCAGATGCTGGCCAGGATGGACAGCGGCTGGCAGAAGGCGCCCGTCACCAAGCCAGCCTGTACGATGTTGGAGGCATGAGGAGGCGGGCATGGAAGTTGCATGCGTGAGATTGCGCGAAAAAAAGAATTTGAGTAGCGCAGTAGACAAGGGACAGGCAGGTGGCGGGTGGGAGAGCGATGACGTTGGGTAATGATGAACAGGAGCCCGTCAGCGGTCGCAACTAAGCCCCAAGCTTTACCAGGCAAGCTCTTACCTTGCAGGCGTTTACCATGGCGCAACCAGTCATGAAAGGAACGGCGGAGCAAAGGGTGCTCAGGTCCAGAGCGATGCTCTCAGCTGGATACACGTAAGAGGCACACTCGGGCAGGGAGGAGTTGGCCACGCAGAAGGGCAGCGCAGGAGGCGGGGGAGCCGGAGGACGGGGCGGCGGAGCAGGGGGTGAGGGAGGCTTGGGAGGTGGAGAGGGTGGAGGGGGAGGCCTGGGAGAGGGAGCAGGGGGCTTGGGCGGTGGAGAGGAGACGGGTTGCAGCGGCGGTACTGAGGAGTTAAAAGGGGCAGGCGAGGCGGCCGGTGCCGGACTGCTGGGGCCGTTGGCCGGGCAGTAATAGCTGAGGCTGCTGAGGCTGCCCGGCTGTTGCCAGGAGGCGGAGGCGTTGCACCAGGAGGTGTAGGTCTCGCAGCCGGAGGTGGCCGGAGAGCCGGGGCAGACGGCTGTGAACAGCTGAAGGTAGTCGGAGCAAGAGACCTGGAAGCCAGGGGAATGCAAAGGAAGGCACGCGTAAGTAACATGCAGACATGCCTGTGAAGGGGCAAGGTCTCTTTAAGGGTGTCTCCTGTGCAATGGGTGTGTCCTAAAAACATACGGCCGCAGAGGGCAAGCCGCAGAAAGCAATCGTGCATATTTACTGATGCATACCGCAGAATTTCACTGAGCCATAACTCATAAGCATAATAATACGGTGGCGCGGTAGCACACCGCTTAAAGTTGCCGCATCGTACCCACCATTGAGCAGGCGCTGCATTCGGGCGCTGAGACGGCGGCACAGATGGAGCTGACGGCGCTCCGGGCGGCCTTGGTGGTGGGCAGGCTGGGGCGGGGAAACAATTACGAGGTAAACGAGGAAAAGGAGAAGGGTGAGAATATAAGTTGAGGAAGGCATGGTGGTGCAACTGATCTTGCCAGAGGCATGGTGGTGCAACTGATCTTGCCACCATGGATGACCAGCACTCTAGCTAACAGGCTAGAACGTTCGGTAAATCTGGATATGATGGGCATTGCTTAAGAGCACGTTACGGCATCGTTTTGCGGCCACCGGTAGTTAAGTTATGGGATCGGCCTTGCGGTGGGCATACCGACAACAGTATGTTTAGCATGGATAGTTACCGGTGCACCCACCCTGGAATGGCCGCGAACCGACTGCACTGCGGCACCAGCGAGTTGGCAGCGCAGAGGGTGCGGTAGGACTTGCAGCCGCTCATGCCCGGCATGTCGTAGCAGATGGTGCTTAGCAGCGTGAAGGGACGGCAGAAGGCGCCGGTAACCTTGCCGCTCTGCAACAAACAGCCGAGGGTGAGTTGGGCGGGAATAGATACGGCATACATGCGATAGGTTGCGTCCGTATGCTACATCTGCCGTACAGTAAACCACGCCTACTGTGAAAAGCAGGTTTTACCTGGCATGCGAACATGACGGTGCAGCCGGGCATGTACGGCATGGAGGTGCATAGCGAGTTCAGGTCCGCAGCAATGCTGGTAGCTGGGTACTCGTACGACACGCATTCAGGTGAGGAGGGACTGACGATGCAGTCCGCAGCAGCGGGCGGCGGCGGCATGCGCTGTGGCGAGCTAGGCGGTGGCGAGATGAGGGCCGGGCAGTAGGTCCCCAGGTTGCCGCTGCCGGCCCAAGCAGCCGAGGCGTTGCACCAGGAGGTGTAGGTCTCGCAGCCGGGGGCGGCGGGAGAGCCGGGGCAGACGGCTTGGAAGAGCTTGAGGTAGTCGGGGCAAGACATCTGGGAGCAAAGACGCCAGAGGGACAGATGTTGGTGTGAGGCTCGTAGCGACAGTAAAGAGGCGGTTACAGTTTAGGCACGAGTGTGGAGTTTAGGCCGCATAGTTCGCATGCGGGCAGGTAAGCAGATGTACTAAACACGTTGGTGAAAACCATGGTTTACTCGCCATAGGTAAGCGTACGATACCTACGCGGATGTTCGGGCACGACCAGTCGCAGCCAAAACACTGCTGCCACAGCAGCACACACACGTACCATGGAGCAGGAGGCGCATCCGGGCGCGGTGACGTTGGCGCAAATGGAGCCTACGGCCGTCCTGGCTTGCTTGGTGGTGGGCAAGCTGCCAGCGGGGACGGGGCAACGAAGGGGCCAGCGAAGGTCGCATCAATTGCAAAGGATTCCACAGCCGTTGTCAGCATGAGGCTAGGAGCGAAGTAGGCATTTGCGCCCGTAAGTGCATGAGAAGGCGAGATCTACCAAGAAAGCTGTGGGCCGACAAAGCAGGCAAATGTCACACTTTCGGCTCACCCTGGGATGGCTGGGTACAGCTTGCACTGCGGCACTACAGAGGTGTTGGCGCAGAGGGTACGGTAGGACTTGCAGCCGCTCATGCCCGGCATGTCGTAGCAGATGCTGCTTAGCAGCGTGAAGGGACGGCAGAAGTCGCCGGTCGCGGTGCCGTTCTGCGCAAAACGGGGTACAGGTGAGGCGGGAACAGAGTGAACACTGCCGAAGTCCGGTTGCCTGGAGTTGCAAACCGTCCAATTTTAGCACGTCAATTTAGCGGCTTCGCGCTGCCGTATATTCACATGTAGCATGAGGACACAGGGCACAATGCCAAACTCCAGGGTGTGTGTGCCGCAATCTAGGATCTTAGGGTTCCCAGGAAGAGAACACGGGTGTTAGACCCCACCCTATACTGCAAGGAAATGGGAAGCCCCAATCCAGCAAGAGCACACGCCTGAACGGTGTTATGACATGCCGTACCTGGCATGCGAACATGACGGTGCAGCCGGGCATGTACGGCATCTGTGTGCATAGCGAGTTCAGATCCGCAGTGACGTTGGCAGCTGGGTAGACGTAGGAGGCACACTCGGTCAGGGAGGAGTTGGTCACGCAGATTGGGACCACGGGAGTCAGCGGCGGGCTAGGCGGCGGCGGCGAAGGAGGCCTGGGTGGCGCCACGATTCCGTCGGTCTTGAACAGGCAAAGCCGAGCCGCGGCTGCTCCTCCGGGCGCTGCATCGCCCCTACAGAACTTCAGCCAGTCGTTGCACTGGCCCATGTCCATGTCGATGCAGCCATCGGCGTACGACACTAATGGCAGGCAGAGCGTACGGCAATGGCAAAAGAGTCAGGTTTGGACGCAGGCAAGCTCCGAGCCCATGACACAATTGGCTTTGCTGACATTAGTTACTGAGGGCCCAGGGCTTAAGGGTTCGGGGACAAATAGATGTTTATTCGCGGTTAATCCTGGTCGTATTGACTTATTAAAGACCCGCCCAAGGATGTTCAGAACGTTTCGTTCCAGAGCCTTCCATCAGGTGTCGTCGTCCCAGCTGTTTTAACCCCACAAGGCCCTTCCATGCCTACTTACGTAGCGGATCGGGGCAATTGGTGACACTCAAGCAGCCATCGCAGCCACCCATGGTTGACCGCGTCTCTCCCATGTCATCACATGCGCCAACAGTTGCCTTTAGGATAGCGGACGTGCTAGCAACAGAGTACGGTTGCATACAGCTCTTGAACTCAGCCGCGCTGGAATAGGAAGTTTGAAGCCTGCGCGTCAGCGGTTACCACCGATTAGAGGCGTCTGTTCCCGCATTGCCTATCTCGGACCCCTGGGCCACAAATACTCGGTAAAATCAAGCAACGATTAAGCCCCTCTCCTTAAATGATCAGCTTTTCGGGAACCTTTTCTACTTGCCGTCTACTTACCGGTCACAAATGCCGCTTGCTGCTGCCACATTCGCATCGTCGCTGCAGAGGCTGCTTGCAATACGCCAATTATCGCACAGGGCTGAGTATATGGGAGGGTTGAGGGTCTGGTTGGTGCAAAGACGGTACATACTGCAACCGATTGCACTGTGCGCCGGCTCCCGACTGCAAACATCCACAAGAGTGGAGTGCGAGACGGCAGGTGGCACCGGGCATGCCAGACCGGTAGCAAGGATAGACACTAAGGCTAAGGCTGTTATGACAAGATTCGCCATTTTCCCAACACTCTCCGACGACGCCTTTGGCTCGCCTGGTCGAGTGCCTAGCTAATAATTGGGGTACATGCGTGCTATATAGGATTTCATGCTATCGCGTAAGCGGCTTCAAATTGTAACTCCATTTGTCATGACTTAAGTTAACGGACGACTGGCCTGACCCTGGGTCAGTCGACTGCTCTTCCACCGCGTACTCGCACGACTCACCCCAACTCAGGGCGAATCTTTAAAAAGGAAGCTCACCTCAATACATGAAGGTCTGTTACTGCAGCAAGATAGCCGCCTGGTGCGACGGAATCTAACAGAGGTACTGGGTACAAGTTAAACTCGTACCATAGGGAGAACCTCCTACGCGTACCTTTACAGATCTCACAGTCTCTATACCATAAGGAGTGTTTCACGACATCCAAGTTTCTAATTGCTTAATTTTTTGTTACTACCTCTTCCTTCGACATTCTCATCGCGATGCCATGTATGTATACTGTTACTTTTGACGTCGAGGGCTCGAGGCACACTGCATATGCAAAAGCTTATGTTAGTGCCAGTTTTACATTATAATAGTGGAATATACATCCCGTCCTCGAGTAACCAGCTAACCACGCCGGAATTTGGTGCCGGTACACGGAAAGGGTACCATTGCAGCATGCTTGCTATGTTGCCCCAAGCAGCTCATGCATTCGGGCTAGTGGCATTAAGCTTCAGTCCTGAAAATCATGCTCGTTGTCCACGGAACTTTTCTCCTACCAAGCCCTATGGTGGCACGTATGTTGCACAGTGAAGGAAGGACTGTCATTTACGAGCATCCAAAGTTGTTGTCAGTTTGGTCACACAGTAGAGGCAGCTAGGAGCGTCATCCTTGCCTTAATTAGGTCCCAAGCTGCAACCCTTTCGGTTGCTCCTCCCCTAGCCCTCCTCGTCCCGTCGTCGGCATAATTCATTACGCTATATGCCGCCATACGCTAGGTTTTCTCTCACGCAGCCAATGCCGTTAGTGTGCATTTCGGGCCACTCATACCGCCAGCATCAAACCGTTGGAAGCCACAAAACCATGTGTCTGCTACCGTACACGCACGCGTTTTGCCCACCTTATGCCAATGTGCCACAATCTGTAGAAATACACATGGCGCTCAGTACCGGTACCCTTCCTCGTGCTCACCTAACCAACAAATACGGACGCCTAGCTCTTCCGCCAAGCCCGAGGGTCCACCCAACTCCGTACGTCACACCAAGAGCCCCAGCTCACCCAGGCGGCCAGGCCTCACCCACCACACGGTCCAACGCACAGTCATATGCATACACCTGTTCGCGCCATGCGTATCTCACGCCGGCGGCGCCTCTTCCCCAGCAGCCCCACCCGCCACCCCGCCATCAGCCCGCTCTCTTCCCAACAGCTCATCCAACGTTTTCGTCTCATCCAGGAACGGCATGTCAGCCCCGCTGCCGGCCTTAACCAAGCCACCACTGCCGCCGCCACTCGCTCCGCCGCCGCCGCCCCTCGCCGCACCAGCCAGCGGACTCGCTAGCCGACTGCTCTGCGACGCCGATCGGCGACTGGACGTCACCGGCGGCAATGCGCCTCCGCCTGCGCCGGCAGTCGCCTCCATAGACCGCCGGGCCGGGCTAATGTCGCCTCCACCGCCGACTCCTGCGGCTCCGGGAACCCCAGCCGCCTCCGCTGCAGCTACCGCCTGCGCCGCAACCGTCAGGGGCACCTCCGCTGCCGGCGAATCCGGCGCGATTACCTTTGCACTGACGCTCATGCGCAGCACATTCAGCTCGCTCTTGACCACAATCTCGCCCACAAAGTCACCCGGCTTCTCCGCTACAAACTCCACGGTAAGCACCGCCTCCATGCCAGCGGCCAGCGGCCCCGGCCTGTGGATCACACGCAGCGGTAGTTCCGGCCTGACCACCGAGAAGCGCGCGGCGCCGGTGGAAACGTTGGTCAGGCGCGCGGTGCGGTGCGCAACGGTGCCTACAGGTACCGTGCCTAGGTGCATGTGCGCCGGTGACAGCGTGAACTGCTGCAGAGCCTTGCCCGCATGGCGAATGAGCGAGGAGGCCGCGGTCTTGCCGAGACGTACGGCATCCGCCTCGGCGCGGAGGTAGGCCTCGTTCAACGCCACCTCAGCTTCGTCGTGCTGGTGCTGACGTGGCAGCAGCGGCGGCACGCCGCGCGGCTGGCCGTACACGTCGTACGCGTGCGACTTGAGCGTCGGCGGTGCGGCTTGCTGCGCCGCCAGGATCTGGCTGCGGCCAAGCTCCGGGTAAGAGTAGTCCGCGACGGCGCGCGACCGCGTGCCGGCGTTACTGCGGTTGGTGATGTCACCGCCGCGTGGTGGTGAGGTGGGTGCCGCGGCTCCCGCAGCGACGGCGCCTCCGTCGCCAAGGACTGCGTACTCGGCAGCGGCAGCAGCCGCCGACAGGGCCGCGGTGGCGGCGGCGGCCTCCGCTGTTGCACCGAATGGCCGATCGGCGACGTAGACGCCAGGCGTGAGTGGCGAGGGCGCGCCGGGTGTGGCAGCGGGCGGCGGCAGGCGAGGCGGCAGCATGCGGCGGGTGATGGGCTCACGGATGGAAGGGTCGTTCTCCAATGCCAGCAAGCCCTCCTCGGTTTCGAAATAGTTGAGCCGCTGCGGTCATAAAGAGAGGAAAGTAGGGCTTAAGTTTTCAAGGGTTCATGGCGGTGGGATGCCTTCCCTGGGGCCAGCAGGGCAGCAAGCAAGCAAAGGCCAAAGGCCATAGCGCAACGTAACTCACGACAGCGGTCGTTCCTCGCCCCACCTTGCCCTCTTGCGGCCGCTTGGGTGTGTTGTCGAACGGCCCAACCTTCGCCGGCCATGGCCGCTTCTCCTTCTCGCCCGCCACTGCCGCAGCCATCTCACGCTCACGGGCAGCCTGCTCCCGCGCCGCCGCCGCCGCTTCCGACGTCTCGCGCCGCCGCCGTACCTCCGCCGCCACTGACTTGGCCCGCGAGACGGGCGGCCGCGAGCGAAGCGTCAGGATGGACGAGAGAACGTCAGCATCCTGTTGCCGTACATCGTCGGGACGGGGGTCGCCATGTGGCACGGAGGCAGCGTAGAGCCGTGCCTGGGCCTGTTTGGGTGGGAGTTCAGGGAGCAGGTGGTGGTGTGAAGGGGTGCATCAAACTTCGGGTGGTGTGATGCGCATGCAAGCGCAGCAACCACCAGTAAGACAACCCTAAATGCGTTTAAAAGGTTACAACTGCAATTCAAGCATAGACCCTTAACGCACTAACAGCGCTATTTGGACCCCTGAATCCTAATCCGTACCACAATACCCGCTGTGGTAAAACGGTTATTCAAGTGAGCAGCAGTGGTGAACGCACCCGCTCTGTCCGCATCTGCTGCATGAGCACCTCCCGGATCTGCGAAATGGCTTCGGAGCTTAGTCGCGGCAGCTCCAGCAACTCGCGGTACACCAGTACGGGCAGCGGCGCGGGCTGTCGTACAACAGGTGGTTCGTACGCCATGATACGTGGCAGGTACTGGACGCTGCTGAGACCCGCGCCTGGGGGGGGGGTGTCGCAGGGGTGCACATAGAGGTATGAGGTAATCAGGTTTAAAGACGAGGCATGAGAGAGGAAGAGAGCTGTCCAAAGCAAGCGAAAAAATTGCGTGGTGCACGACAAACAGCCCTACCCGGTTCAGGTTTGATGAGCTGCGTCAGGCGCTTGAAGGCCGGCATGAGCTCCTCCGCATGCGGGTTGTACTTTTGCAGCAGCGCCGCACCGCCCACAGGTAAAGGCTCCAGGGTGGGAGACCGCTGCGGCACTTGTACGAGCACGGAGTGTACGACAGTACCCTCCTCATCCGCGCCCTCAACCACCTCAGCACGAATGTCAACCGCCAGGCCGTTGCCGCAGCCCACGGTGCCACCGTTGGTGGATTGCGAGCCCGAGCGGCCACCGCCGACACTGGCGCTGGCCGCGGCTTCCGCCGCCAATGCGGCGCGGCCTGCCATGTAGGCTTGTACGACATCCGTGTCTAGGACTTCGTAGCCGGTTCCGTCGGTACGGATGACGAAGATGCGGGGCTTGATGGCGCGGGCGATGGGCAGGTAGGTGATGATGGGCTCAGGTGGAGGTGGGGTTGGGGGGCGTGGCGGAGGCGGCGGGGGCTTGTCCTCGTCCTCGTCTTCATCCTCCTCGTCTTCCTCCTCTTCGCTGCCTTCGTCTGCACGAAGAAGGGCGCAGTGCCCAGTTAGAGGTGTGCATGGAGTTGGGGTCAAGCGGCAGTGGTCTAGGACTAAAAGCAAGCCCAACAGGATTACCAGGCATGCAAGGCCGAGGTCTAGCACAGTGCCACAGGTCCCTGACTACAATACGTATCCCAACAACGCACCATCGCTGCCCTCCGCCTCTGGATCCGCAGATCTGCTGCGTCCAGGCTTCTTCACTGGTGGCGGCGGCGGCGGTGGCGGCGGAGGAATGGGTATGTGTACGGACAGCAGCGGTTCCGGCGGCGGCCAGTACGGCGGCGGTACGACAGGCCCCATGTCGCCGCCCTCACTGGATTCCGCCGAGCCTCCCGAGCCGCGCTTGCCGCCGCTGCCGCCCGCTGCCGTGCCGCGTACCGCCGGACCCGGAAGGAAGAAGCGCAGGGTATCGGACTCGCAGAAAGCGCAAGACCCGCCCTAAGAAAGGATGTAGTGGAATGCATGGAGCAGCAGGAACGACTTAGAGGCACGCGGTCAGACAGTACGGTTATCCCACATGCCTGACTTTCAGACCCACCTCGGACCAAGCATTGCAACATCCTGTATCATGCACAGAGCCCAACACAAACCAACCGCAACGCTGCGGCCCCTCGATCTCACCCATGGATCAAACAAGAACACGCCGGTGAGGTCTGGATTCCCCGACAACTCTCCCAGCAGCTCCGCCGCCGCCTTGGCATTCGCCGCCACGCCTGACGACCGGGCGCCGCTGTCGCTGCCCTCCGGCGCCGCCGCCAGCGTCGCCAACGGCGGCTCACCCACGCCGGCGGGCAGGAATGCAGCGGTGTACGGCGCCGTCACCATGGAGCTGCCGTCGGGAAGGCTGGCGGTGACGACGCCGGTGTCGGCGTCCCATGCGAGCGTTACACCGGGGCAGGGTGAGATGGAGATGCCGTCAGCTGAGCCCAGGATCGGTGCGAAGCCGTCCATCTCCACGGACCAGCTGCCGTCGGAGAGGCGAACCAGGCGAGTGCCGTCGTAATCCTGGAGGCGGGCGGAAGGGAGGAAGGAAGGAGGCGCAGGAAGGTCAGGTGGGGAACACGTGCGAAGGCTGCCTTCGGGTGGAGACACGGTCGCATTAGCATGAGTCGGGTTTCTGATGAAACGCCGAATAAACTGCACGAGCTCGCGGCGTTGCAAAGCAAGGCCTTGCCAAGCATTCCGCAAGGACTACGGAGGGGCAGTTGCCCGCTTTTCCCGCCCTGCCTACCTGTACCAGCACGTCTCCTGCCGGGTACGCCACAACCATCACATTGTCCTGAGGGTTCCACCGGAAAAGAACCGAACTAATTGAGGGCTTACGGGATACCAATAAGAGAGAATATAGAGTTGGGGAGGAGAATGTAAGCAAGAGCAGACAGGGTGAGAGCAGCATAGAGAAGAGGGCTCAGCATGCGCATATCCACCACGAGTACCCTGGAGGCAGCTCGGAAGCCCGCACCGCATGCAGCCTTACCTCACGAGTCGTAACCCGCGCGCCCGTGTCCGGATCCGTCATCGTCGCGGACCCAATGCGCGGCAGCTCCAATGTGAATGGCGGAGGCGGTGGTGGCGGCGGCTTCCGGGGCGGCGTCGGCGGCGGCGACGGCTCGTCTTGCGCCTTCTTTCCCCCCTTCTTCCCAGCACCGGCCCCGATGATGGACTTCTTTGCAGGTTTCTTCTCTGGCTCGGGCTCCGGCTCCGGTTCAGGTTCAGGTGGTGGTGGCGGCCGTTGCTTTGACCCATGGTCCGGCTCACGCAGCCTTGTGCCATCAAGCTGCGTCCGTAGCCAGCCCTTGGCCGTGCTGCCATCAGGTGCCAGCCAACCATCAACATCCATGCGTTCGCTGACGCTGCCGTCAGGGCAAAGCACCCTCGCAACGGCGCCGGCGGAGGCGGAGACGAGCAGGCCGTCGCGAGTTACCGCCCGGAAGGTACTAGGCGTGGCAGGGGCGCGCAACTTGCTCAGGTCCGCGCCCTTCAGCGGCGCGCCATGGACGTCCACGCCGCGGAAGTACGGCAACGGCGCAACGGCGGGGTCGTCCGCCGGCGTGATGAGGACCTGCCCGTCGGTCGTCATCCGTACAACATGACCCGCCGGCGTCGTGACCTGCAGCGCCGTCACTGGCGGCGGCGGCCGGAGCTTCCGCAGCAGCGAAATGGGGTCATCATCGTAGTCAGCGCCGCCGTCGTCTTCCTCATCCTCCTCGTCCATGTCCAACTCGCCACGCAGGCCTGCTTTTAGCGCCTCCGCTGCGCTCATGAGCGGCTTAGGCGGTGTCGAGTCCGACGAAAGCGAGGAGGACTGCGAAGACTCCTCCGGCGGCGGCTGCTGTGCGCTGTCCGGGCGCGAGTCCTCACCGCTGCCCTCAGCAGCCTTCGCAGCCGCGGCCTCCGCCTCCGCCGCCAGGGGGTCCGTGACGTGGAACGCAGATACCAGCGCGCCGCCTTGCAGCGTCGCAAGCAGCAGCGGGTCGCCGTCGACGCCGCCGTCGGAGAAGCGTACGGTGGTGCCCTCACGTGTGATGGTTAGGCCGCCGGCCGGCAACACGGATCCAGCCTCTGACGCCGCTAGGGTGGCCGCCGTCTCGACGCCGGGAGGTACGGATCCCGCGGCTTCGGGCGCTACGGACGGCAGCGGCGCGGCGACGATGCAGGCGGTCTGTGTGTAGAGGAAGGCTGTACGGCGGTGCGCCTCCGCAACCGCCGTCAGGTCAGCGTCCATCTTGTACACCTGTTGTGCGGAAGGGAAGCAGGATGGGTTCAAAGGGCCAGCACGAAGACATGCTTAGTTGGGCTTTACCTTGGGTACGTTCCAAGTGACCCGGGACCTCGCTGGCAACTAAAAGAGCCTCCAGGCAACCCTTACCTTCTCTGGTAGCTCCACGGGGCCAGGCTCCACCTCCTTCGCTCGCCGTACGAAGGCGGTAAGGTTCATGGCAACCGGGATGCCTGCACCGCGGATGGAAGCCGGGCGAACGAGTCAGGGCAGGACAGCAAACAAGGATACAAGCCTAGTGCGACTGGTGCAATTCGCTGAGCAGCATTCCGTATTTACCACCTATTGATAAAGGTGCCTGCCACTCGTCGCACATTGCAAATTCCCAATCAGCACGCCCCTCTTGCACAGGAACCGCCTGCCAAGTTCCCATGCCGTATGCACACCACCTCGCGCACCCCACCACGTGGCACTCCACCCACCCGTGGTGCTGCTCGCGATGTTCTCGCCCGCATAGCACGCCACCACCACCACATTCGCCGGCCCAAAGTACACAGAGGACATGGCGGGCAGGTGCGTGACCGCCTCCCCCAGAGCCTGCTTGAGCGCGGGCGCGTCCATGGGCTCCTGCCAGTTGCGCGAGAGGATGGCGTCCTCATGCGCCATCTTGGCGGAGGGGCCCAGCAGGTCCGCAGCGGCCTGAAGCAGCTGGTAGCGCTCAATGGTGGCAACCGGCAGCCCCGCCGCCTCGGCCTGCGGAGTGGACAGATAGGGAAGGACACTTTCGTGAACTATGTTTAGCGAACTATGCTATCGGAGTAGCAGACAAGGGGTTAAGATTGTAATGAGGAGCAACTGGAAGCGTTTCAGCCCCTTCACCTGCACTCCCCGCGCACCTGTAGAGCCGTGCGACGCAGGCTCTTGCTCAAGGGGTCCATCCCCGTGCCCAAGCCGAACGCCCCCGCAGCTGCTGCCGCAGCCGCCTCCGCCACTTCCGCAGCCTCCGCGAACGAGCTGGCGCCCGGCAGCATCATGCAGCGCAGCATGTGAGCCTCAACCGCCTCCACATCCAGCGTGCCCGAGTGCGTGAAGAGCCCCTCAGGGCCCGTGCCGTACACGTACGATGAAGCATCACCACCGCTGCCGCCAAGCCCTTCAAAGCCGCCTCCGCCAGCGCCTTCGGCGCTGCCGCCAGCGGCCTCGCCGCCTGAAGCCCATGCGGTGACCACCGCCGGCCACGCTCCGCTACCGCCGCTGCCGCCGGAGGATGGCATCACCGCCGCGTCCAGCGGCGATGTCAGTGAGTCGGGTCGCGGCGGCGCGCCACGTACGAAGCCCGTCGTCAAGCCGGCGGCGGCGGCCGCCAGCGCATCACCCTCAATGACGAGGGAGTAATCCTGGGGGACTTCCGCAGGCTGGTCAAACACAGCTTCCTGGCACTGCGACCCCAGCGGCGCCAGCGCGGCGTCCAGGGCCGCCAGCGCCGCCGTCTCCGCCGCTGCCGTACGGGCCGCCTCCGTCAGGTCCTCGCCGGCCTCCACTGACGCCATGTTGCGGGCAACCTGCTCCAGCAACGCATGCATCACGAGCGGCACGCTGACACGCTCCAAGGGTACGCCGTCCAGCAGCGCTCCGTAGTAGCCCAGGCTGTACTGCGGTTGGAGAGCTCCGTCTCCCGCACCAGCGGCGCCCGCAGCGCCTGTGGGTGTGCCGGCGGCGGCGCCGTCATCCTCTGAGCCTCCCGCTGCCGGCGGCGGCGGTGGCGAGGGGCTTGAGGGTGCGACGCCGGCAGCCATTGTGGGCTCGGCAACCAGGGCCGGACCCGATTGCGTCGAGGCCAGGGCAGCGGGAGTGTCATGCTGTTGGCTGTCGTACACCTTGACGGAAGCTCGCCACTCGTCGTACGTACGGACGTGCGTCGCCAGGCGCTGAAGCAGTCCCGAGAGAATGTCGTACCCGGGGGCGTCCTCCGACGGAGGCGGGCCTGAATCCGCGGTGGCGGCAGCGGCTGCCGCTGCTGCTTTCCCCTTTGGCACAGGCTTGTTGGCGGAGGTGGGCTTGCCCTTGCCCTTCCCATGCGTTTCAGGCTCTGCATAAAACAACAACACGGGACCCGTTTAGCATGGCAACGACATGCTCCATGATAGTACCCCCGCTTAAGGAGGACCGCCTCCATGTCCCGTTCCGTTGCGTCCTAACCCCATTCGGAAGCCCTGCCGCTCCCCTTTCCAGCCCTCCCCATCCCCCTACCCGGGTGGTGATGGTGCGTCTGGTGCACCACAATAGGCGGCAACTCCACCTCCAACGGCACCAACTTTGCCAACTCATCCTCCCACAGCGCCGCCTCCGCCGCCTTCTTCACGTCAAGGAACCACCCCGGCGGCGTCGGTGCCTCCTCGCTGCCGCTGGTGGTGCTAGCGCCGCCGTCGGCGGTAGTCGCCCGCGGCCCCGGCTTGGCCCATACCGCCGCACGCAGCGGCGCGCCGGCCTTCAGCGCCTGCCGTACGGACTCCAGGGAGAGGCTCAGGCCGCTAACGGTGTAGGTTTGGTAGCAGACGAAGGGGTCGTTCTGGACGCGCTGCAGTCGTGCGACGGCCTCGGCTGCGAAGGATGGGTTAGGCAGGGTTTAGGTGGGGGTCCTGTTAGGATTGACGCGTGCGGGCGTGTCGGCTATGGGAGGAGGCTTTAGGCAGGGTTGCAAGAGCAAGGCTCGTGGCAGGTAGGCGGGCACCTTACCCGTGTCCCTGACCTTCGCCTCAGCGTCCACCACACGGGCTTGCGCCTGTGCCAGGGCGATCTCCTCCTGCAGCAGCGAAGAGGCGGAATCAGGGACCGAGACGGTCGCACTACTTACACCAAGCTGGCCCTTTACCACGCTACACCAGATCCGCCTCCATCCGGTCCTACTAACGGTCCAAGCTGGTTCGCCAACCCCTTTTCCACAGCCATTATCCACAGCCAAGCAACTGCTATTTGCGCCCTCTCTGCAGTGTTTACAGGGGCAGGGCATGTTCCCAATTTCGCAACAGCCCCACCTGCGGCGTCTCCCGCTCTATGGGTTCCGAATCCTGCACATCCAGCTCTGCCATGTAGCCATCCTCCCCTCCCGCCTCCTCCAGCATTTCCGCGCGCCGCGCCTCCTCCTCCTCCTGTGCTCGGTGGTAGGCAGCCAGCGCCTCCGTCGCCGCTAGCACCGCCTGCCGGGCGTTGGCCAGAGCTGTCTCCGCGGCCTGTGAAAGGGCGCATGGGGGCGGGGGCAGGTAGGGGAAGGGTTAGATGTAGAGTACGAGTTGCTGTGCAACCCCATAGCCTCACGCCATTTCCCAGACCCCTGTTGGCTGACCTGCTCCTCCTCCTGCGCTGCTTGCATGCGGGTGCGGCGGCGGTGCAGCTCCACATGCCAGTCAGCCACCTGGTCACGAGTGAAGCGCTCTGCCAGCAGCTTAGCACATACATCGGCGCTGAACCTGCAGCGATTAGGAGTGGGAAGGGAGGAAGGGTGCGGCTCTTAGCTGCGAACGGAGCAAAGCAATAGTACATAGGTTTCACCCCAGGGTGCTGCTTTCAGTCTGTGATAGGGGCGACCTGGCTGGCGGTGGTTGTCTCCTTACGTGCAAGTCTCTGGCCCATGTCCGGCGGTCAGGTGTGCGTCCATGGCTGCCTTGGCCTCCTGGCCAAGCGAAGAAGTAGCATCGAGGCGCAGCACAGCGTCCGTAAGGGATATGTGCCGAGCAAGCTCCTTGCGCCTGAGCGTCGCCTGTATCCCTTTGGCGTCCGTTCCCGCCGCGAAGTCGACGATGCTGACGACGGGCTTCCATGTTACCGAAAATGGACACTCCACAAGCTCCTTTATGTCTTGAGGAAGCTGTTCGGCGCATTAAGTGCATGGGAGGGGGCCAGTCGGCGACTTGCACAGGGTGCCATGTTGCATTTTGTAGGCAATATGTCAAACGAGCAATGAATATTGGGTCAGAGTGTTAAGAAAACAATATGTAAGAATCTAACATCATTATTTAAGCTATTATTGGCAGCCAGTCCTCTCTAAGGTCCGTTGGAGTTGCAAATGCACGCGTCCTACCGAGTCGTCTGGACTAGGTTCCGGTGGAGGAGGAGGCGGAGCCTCCGACTTCTTGGGCTTTGGTGCCATGCTTTAAGTCCTTGTTAACAAGCAGTGAACATATTAAAAAGCATGCTCAAACTGAGTAGAACCATTGTTGTTGCTGTTTGATCAGCTGAACGTTTCCATGCTGTATATTCATAATACCCGCAGGCGAGACTTGCAAGGAAAAGGCGTGTACAGCTTTGTACGACACGCTCCCCGCGCATACCCGGAAGGCAACCCCATCCCTTTGTAGACACTCCCCTCTCTAAGTGGGCAGTAGGCGGACACTGCCGCGTAATAATTTGGGCAGTCTGCTGAGTCGCTAATTTGTGAACATACACCTAGTTAGTGGATTAAGGCATAAGTGACAAAGATGTTGCCCGTCCTTGTCCGAAATGCTGCTGGCTCGGCGCTGTCGCGTCTGGCAGGTGGGCGCTTGGCTCCGCTCAGGGACTACTTATTGGGAGCGTCACAAGCTTTTTGCAGCTGGAAATATAGCAGGATACAGCTTTCTTGCACCGATAATTTTAGGATGAAAAGACAGCAGCCATCTCCTTTTGCTCGGGTGCAGGCCTCCGCATGGCTGCCGCTGCCGCTTCAAGCCGCGAGTACAGCTCCATCATGACTGCTGAGACTCGTGGACCTGGTGGCAGGTCGTCGGTAAGCGGCGGTCTCCTGAGGTTTGCTGGCCATACAATCAGCAGACTACTTAACGTGCACTTGATATGCTGGGCCGCAGGTCAGCGGTATTGTTGCCACCGTGTTCGGTGCCAACGGCTTTGTGGGCTCTTACATTGTGAACGAGCTTGCCAGGAAGGGTTCCCAGGTGGTGTGCCCGTTCCGGAGCACAGAGAATGAGGCGATGCACCTGAAGCAAATGGGCGACCTCGGCCAGGTATGTGTTGTCCTAGTGCTGCAGTTCATTAACTGGAATAGCACATGGGCTTTTTGTGTAGGGATGCTCATCTGCGGTCGCTGTGTCCTAAAAGCTCTTTGCCGGCTACTTGTAGATTGTGCTGTTGCCGGAGCTGGACATCCGGGACGATGAGCAGATTAAGCGTGCGATCAGCAGGTCTAACGTGGTCATTAACTGCGTTGGCATGCGGCTGGAGACCATGAACTGGACCTTTGAGGACGTCCATGTGGACTTCCCCAAGCGCCTTGCAAAGTGAGCCTTCTGTTATTATACGCCATCGACCGGCGAAAGGGCGTGGAAGGTTCTCAAAGGGAGGCTCCGGATAAAGGGTTCGGGCAACGCACGCGCCGCGTCGGACCCATGGGGCGAAAGGGGCTGGACCCCCTGCACACCCCCATGGCCATGCTTACCCCCCTCCCGTTGCCCTCTTGCTAATACCACGTATGCCCGGAAATGCTTACGCGCACGGTCGTTTGCTTAATCACCAACACACCTAGTCACGGGTCGGACCGCAGCTTAGCCAGCCCTCATAAACCCAACAATCCTTAGCCCTTACGTACGTCTCCTGGGTACCCGCTCGCACATGAGGTTTACTGCCAGCTATGCCTCCTTTCATGGCTCCCAAGAGGGCTTCCTTTGCATAATTATGACATTCCTGGTTTCTCACCCGCTCGTGGCTGGCTGCAGGATCGCCGCTCAGTCGGGCCACATTGACCGCCTGGTGCACTTCAGCGACATGGGCGCGGACCTGCAGCACACCTCCCGCCGCATGCGCACCAAGGCGGAGGGCGACAAGGCACTGCTGGATGCCTTCCCCACCGCCACCATCATGCGGTGCGTGGCGGGGGAAGGGAAGAAGTGGGAGTACGCAGGAGAGAGGAGACGGGAGAAGGACTAGGCGGGCTTTATGGGGGATCATTTGGGTTACGTTGAGCCCATATGAAGTACTTTCCGTACGTCGCGATGTGGCATGGTAACAAAGCGAACATCCCGTATAGTGTAGTGAGGGAGCTTCACGTAGCGTTTGGCAGACACTTGATAAGCACGGACCCCGGCGAAAGCAAGTGGCGCTAACAGCACTTTACACATGTAGCCGTCACTACGCGCTTGTTGCGGGACTGCTCCTCCAAAGCTGAGCTTGAGACCCTTTTTAATGCTGCCCATTGTGGTTTGCGGGGCAGCGTGTGGTGGCCAAGGCCCGCAGCGACCCGAGCGCTCTTCATGCCTAACTACCCAAATGGACAAGGAGGCGGTGCGCCAAACCCTCACCATCAGAGCTCTGGCTACTGGGCTCGTAGCCCCACTCGCTTATAACCCTAAGCTGTCCAGCACCTTTTCATTTACCTGCACACCCCTTTCCACCCGCTCTTAACCTTCTCGGCAGGCCCGCTGACATTGTGGGCATTGAGGACCACTTCTACAACTACCTCATCTACCAGCTGACGCTAACGGTGTTCGCGCCAGTGGTGGAGACGGGAGCCAACAAGCTGCAGCCCACCTACGTGCTGGATGTGGCTGATGCAGTGGCTGCCGCCCTGCGCAACCCGGAGACGGCCGGCAAGACGTTCTACCTGGGAGGACCGGAGGTGCTCACGTAAGTTCTGGCTGGCTGTAATGCCTTGTATGTGTCGCGCCAACGACACAACAAAAGGACAAAGGTTCAGCCGCAGCAGCGGTTACTGAACGCATGTTTCAGGAAAGCAGTACCGGTATCGCCAGTCAGTGTAAAAGGAGTATCAACCAGTCAGTGGCTGCTGGCTTCACCGGAGGACTAGCCAGCCAGCTAGCAGTGCTTGCATGGTAACACCCTAGCCGCTGTTGGCTCCGTCCCTTTTAGCCAGCCCCCCCCCCAATACGTCATCCTCGTAGTAACCCATAACATTCCCCACATCCGCATTACCCACATTCACCAATCCTCCCAATTTCCTCGCCCTCATATCAACCTCCTTTTCCCCACTCCAGCATGCGTGAGGTGTACGACCTGCTGCTGAAGACCCTGCGCATCCACCGCGATGACACGGTGCACCTGCCTGCCTGGCTCGTCAAGCTCATGTACAAGCCCATGGACTCGATCCGCCGCAAGGTGGGCTAGGGAACAAGGGGTGGGGTGCGAGGGCTTGTCGGTGCGGGGGACGAGCTGTCAAGGCAGCATCATCACGCCACCCATGATGCTTTATCCGCAAACATGTTACGGCAAGTAACAGCGAGCTGAGTGTACGAGTAGCAACACACGCGCTCTTGTACCGGTGCTCGCTGCTAATACCATGCTGAAGTACGATCTATGTTCACCTTCCGGCCGTGTGCCGTCTGTCGTCTCCGCAGCTGCCGGGCCTGCCCATGACCAGCCCCATGGCGACGGACGACTACGTGGAGGAGAGCCTGCGCGACAAGGTGGTGCCTGCGGGCGCCCTGAGCTACGCGGACCTGGGCATCACGCCCCAAAAGGTCACTGACGGCATGGCCATTGAGCCTGTGCGCCATTCCCGTGTCGGCGGCTACCGGTGCGTTTGGGAGGAGGCGGGGAGGGGAGGGGGTGGGGTTGAGGTTTGTGGGGTTCTGGACACTGCGACAACATTGAGTGGGTTGGCAGCAGAGCTGTAAGGTTAAGGGGTAGCGCTATTAGCAGGGAAGGCGTGAGCTTCAGCTAACATACTTTAAAGCCCCAGCTGTCCTGACACGTGCTTCATACTCCTGCTGCCTTCAGGTGGGGTGACATGGCTACCGTCGCCAAGGATATCCCCGAGTCGGTGCGGAAATACTACAACATCAAGCAGTAAGCGCTGGCATACAGGCAAACTGGCCGGGTGCACCAGTTACGATGTACCGGCCTGCTTTTCAGCGCTAGCGGCAGAATTTGCCTCCTTGGGAGGGCATCTTCTTCCCTGGGATGATAGGGATGATGGGTGGATTGTAGGTTTGGCTTAGCAACCTGGCATCTTGGCTTGGGTTTCGACGGATATTGGCGGGAAAGGGTGCAGTGTGTGGTGAGTGTTGCCGCTGGGGGGGGTGCTAGCTTGGACAGGAGGTTGTTGTTCATGGGTGTGTATCCACACAACTAGCGCGCAATACTCTTATCGAGAGTACAGAATACAATGCGTGAACCAGTGCGGACGTGTAATGGCGGGTGTTGCATAACCATGATTCCCGCACGGCGGCAGCGCTGCCTCCTGGCATATACGTCATCAGGGGTCACATTACACGAGCTCGCAGTTTACTCAACACACGAGCTCGCTCCAGGATCCCGTTCCGAACCTCCGCATTGGTCCCTCCCCCGTTGCTTTTACTCGTCGACCTTGAACATCACCGTAGCTGCTTCCCCACCACGCGGATCGTTCGAACGGACACACCTGCACGGCGGATTGCGACATGCCCCTTTGCTTAAGCTTATGTGACTGATGTACTACACGCTGGCGGAGATCTCTCTCTGGTGAGAGAGATCGTGGCAGTTGTCAAAGATGCGAGGGTGCTTCATGCGGTATTTACAGATTCGGATCCTCTCCAGGCCCTTCCGCGTTCGGACTGCCGTTTAAAAGGATAGTGCGTGTATGCTTGCTGCCCTTCTGTAGATGTTTCTCCTACAATGCGTCTACTTAGGCAGGAGCACGAGCACTGACCCAACACACCCCAACCACAGGCAAGCACCTAGCCAGCGTGGCGCACATTGATTGCTGATCTGCTGTTGCAAAAGCCGCTCTATAGCAACCGGTGCTACGCTTTACTACGTTGGCGGTTGGCCACACCCACGTCTCCGTTTCTCACATGCCTATTGAGTTCTTTCGTAGCGGTCGTAACGGCCGTTGTCGTTGGATCCTTTGTTTGGTGGCTTGCATGTCATATCCCAGGTTATGCGTGTACGAGGTGCTACCTACCTACCCCGGAAAACTACGAGCCATGTGCAAGGAACGAAGCCATAACAATGCTTCTCAGTATGAAGAACACCTTAATTACCATCAGATTAGCATCTTCCGGGAGAGACACAGGCGTAACATACGGGGCCAGAGTATGCTTGCTCCTCCAGGCAGACGAAATATGCCCGGAAAGGTTTACCCGTGTTAACTGGGTTCATTTCAAGCATGCCTCGCGAAGACAGTGCGCGGGGAATGGCTTTACGACCAGGAACTGAAGTACACCTATGTTGACACCTCTCACGGCTTAGCAGTCGAGACACACTGTCTATCATAACACGTGTGTTTAAGTGTAATTGAAGTTGAAGTATTTCACCAACGGTTCTCGCAGTGCAATACCTGAAACGGTGAAAGGGCTTGTTCCCACTGGCCGCGGTTAGGTGTTTCACGCACAAAGACGTATACATGCTTGACATATTGGTACCTGGGTACAAGGGGTCCTTACGAGCTTCCCGTTTCAGAGGCAAGCTTTCTTTGCCCTTCCTTTTGAGCGGCTCGCAATTGCCGCTTTAGGACTTTAGCTTAATAGCAATGAGGCGGCTGTGCTTGCGGGACGTGGGCCTTTCGATAGAGACAGTCAGAGGAGCGTATGCCGGGTAGTTGCTTGCCCATGGATATACCAGGAAGGAGCTATGCTTGGTGAGCGCTCTACGCTTTGTCATAACATGCTTCTTGCAATTAGATGACGGAGCTTCTGATGAGGCAGCTCACTTACGCACTAATGTCCTGGTCTTGGGTAACAGGGAAGGGGAGCGAATGCCGCACCACCTGCCTTCGGCAGTTGGGGAGCCTTGCTCTTCAGGGCGAACTGCTGTTGGGAGACCGGGTTCTGCAGACCTACGGAGCTCAGCTAATTTGCCGCGGTCGTCTCGCAGCGGAATTGAACCTGTTTACTTTGAAGCTGCAGAAGATGTTGTTGGGCCAGCTGAGTATGGACCTCGTCGACCTTTGGACCTCAGAGTCAGGCCGCCCAGCTCGTCGATACCGGACTCTTCCCCTTTACCAGGGCGCAAAAGCCGACGTGGCTCTTTTGTTGGCTTTTTGGGTATGAAGTCTGGTGGCTCGGTCCAGGGCAGCTCTAAGACGCCAAGTCGCGAAATTACCATGCAGGGCATGGTGCCCTCTACTGTGTCAGCTGGCCACATGCGGCGACATTCCTTCCTCCATACCATTGGCTTTGGCACCCATTCGCCGGCCCATGAACAGGAAGAGCCTCCGGGCTCAGGGTCGCATAGGAGCAAGCCAGCCTCGCAAGCCCGCAGACGCCGAGCAAGCATGCTCGACTTGTTCAGGCACGGCCAGCACCCGGATTCCAACGCGGGGGGTGCGGACGTGCCCAGCCCTACCCTGGACGCCCCACAGCAGCCCCTAGGGCGCAAGTCCCGACGTTCTTCATTCATCGATTTCTTCCGCACCAGCAATACTGGGATGCAGGGGGGTGCGGACCTCACAGTGTCAAGCCCTGCCGTCAACCGCTCAGGCCGTAACCTCAGCCTCCGGGGTGAGGGTGTGGTGAGCGGGCGGGCGCAGCGGCGGAGAAGCGTCATAGACATCTTGGGTCATTCATCTAAGAAGGTGCGAACGGCTATGCGAGGTGCATGCAGCTAGCCGAGCCTGGAATGGCCGAAAAGGAGGCTTCCGGGCTTGCATGGGGCGTTGGCCAGCCGCGTCTAGTTGCCATCCCATTTAAGGCAGCGGTCGCAGTTCCATGCCTTGGCCGGCAGGGGAGGAGAAATGAAGGGAGAACAATTGAGGGGTGAGCGCTAGGTTGGGCCATAGACGTCAACTCCCTGTGCTTGCGTATGCGCGCATGCGCACGCAGGTGCTTGCGAAGCTGATGCACCACGAGTATGAGGAGGACGCGGACGCCGAGGAGGAGGGCGAGGAGGGCCGGCTGTGGTTCACTTCTCTGGCTGACTTTAAGCCTCTGACGTTTAAGTACCTGTCGGGGCGCTACTCGTCAGCGTTCTTCGCTTGTTCCGTAAAGACCGGTCAGCACTACATCCTCAAGCAATTTGAGAAAGGTAACTGTCGGTCCATAGTTGCCTGCATGTGTATGTGTTAAAAAAGCTGGCCATGCATGTGTGCCTGCTTGCATACTGTCAACCTTTCCCGAGCATATTATCCACAAGCGCGCTATGAGGACACCCGGACATGCGCCTGCATGTGTCTGCTTATCCCACGTAACTCCCTATCAACGTGCCTACATTGCTCGACACACCACGCCTCACAAGGCATGCCCGGTGAAGCCCTTCGTTTTCAGCCGCCTTCCCACCATCTGCTGCCTAAGCTAAGCTTTCCCTCGGCACGTCATCGCTGCTGCCGCAACCCACTTTGATACCCGTGCAGAGAAGATGAGCTTGACGGACGAGCGCGGAGTGCGACGCGCCCTGGCGTTTGCGCAGGAACTGCATCACGACCACATAGTGCGGTGTTGTGGCACGTGGGAAGATGAGGAGGCGCTATACATTGTGGAGGAGTATGCCATGAAAGGTGACCTGCTGCAGGTGAGGGTGCGCGGTAGCGCAGTTGTGTGTGGCGGTGTTTTGGACGGCGGGCGGGACTAGGGCCGTACGAACTAGCTGACACCCGCTTCTTGTTTGCACACTTGACACGGCCCTCGTGCCCTCGCAGTTAAACGATTTATACGGATGCCCCGTAACGCAATCCCACATGGTTGCCGCGCCCACATCGTGTGACGTATTCCGACCTGTTTCCAACACCTGAACACCCCCACTGCCGTACTCTGTCACAACAACAATTTCACACTTCTTCACAACCTCAACCTCAACCCCAAAACCTCCCCAGGACTCCATGTCGCACCCGGAGAAGTACACGGAGGCCTTCATGGCCACCAAGGTCGTGAAGCCGCTGCTGGAGGTGCTCGTCTACCTGCACGGCATGGATGTCGTACACCGGGCCATCTTTCCAGAGTACGTCATGTTTGGGCGGGAGGACCAGCTCAAGCTGGGGCACTTCACCAGCGCCATCAACCAGCGGATAGACCCGCCCAACGAGCGGATACCCTTCCTGGACTACATGGCTCCGGAGATGCTGGCGGTGCGGGTGGATGAGCCGGCGGGGCTGTTCTCGGCTGCCTCTGCTGGATCCGGAATGGGAACCGGCAGGGGCACGCCAACAAAGGCCAAGGTGGGTGGAGGAGGGGTTTGGGTGCGGCAAGGAGGCCGGGGAGTAAGTGCTGGTGATTAATGCCGGGTGCAGCCTTTGCACAGCGAATCCGACCACCAATGCAGGCTGAACAGCGTCCATTCCTCGCCTTTTCCACCATAACCATTATGCCTTACTCCTACTAATTCATTATAACTCCAGGGGGGGGGTAGGAAGCGCAAAAATAGACCCCAACCCTCAAATTGAAGGCGCTTTGCGTCGGGACTCCAAATCTGCTTTCAGATTTCTGTTTGGAGTTGTACGAAAAAAGTTATGGGCTTGCAAAGTTGGTTGTACGGCAGGGGTGGGTGGGTGGGTTCAGGGCCCCAACGACTTTTTTACATGAACCTCCAGGAAAAATTTTCCAGGCCTCATGTTAGGGTTTTGAAAGCTGTATTGCCATCCTTTCTTCGTTTCTTATACGTAGAATTGGTTATATGAACAAAATGGTCACTTTTCGGCTTCCGATGTTGCAATGACACTTCCCCTCTGAACCATGGTAGCCGAACGGAACTGCCCAATCTCCAAACGTACAAGAAACAACTTATGTAGAAAGCATACATTGCGAACGCGGCTAATCAGCCCTTTGTAAAGGCTTAGCATAGCAGCATGTCGCATGTCCCCCATGGTTGTGGAACACGACTGAGGAGGCGGGATGGGAGTAGACAGACTAAGCTGCGAGGAAGCACTCACAGTGACCACGAATGGGGTGGGGATGCAGAGCACAGAAACAAGAAGGCGTGGCAATTGGTGCCAGGGGCTATGGTCGAGGGCCCAGGGGGAAGAAGAGGCAGGAGCAGGGACCTGGAACGTGGTGGCGGCGTTGTCTCGGTTGGTGAAAACAGAACTGGCGGTGGTATGGCGCAAATGGAAGGGCCGTGGTGCTTCCTAGGCGCCAAGTACATAGCATCAGTCAAGCTGGGGCCAAGAACATGGTTACCTTAGCCGTCCATAGTGCAACGCTGTGACAGTAACTTCCCAGGGGTTTGGGGTTTTCTGACTGCATTTAATAGAGCTTGCGCAGAGGAACCTAGACGCTTTTTTCCCGGGCGTTTTGGCATAGTTTACAGGTTGTACGACACGCTTGGCGGTGGGTGGGTGGCTCCGAGGCCTTCTCTTTGGAAATTTCGGGTTGGGGTTTGTAAGAAAAATTTTTACCCCCCCCCTGATAACTCTTGGCTTCTTTATGCTCCCTTTTCTGCATTATGCAGGGCCTAAACTCGCAGCAGACGCGTGTGGTGCGCGTGCAGGGCCTGGTCGGGCCCTCCAACGACGGCTCCATGCCGCCCGGCCGGGGCGGCTACCCGGGTTCCGGATCCCCCTCCATGCAGCCCTCACCCATCCCATCCGGCGCGTACGACACACCCGAGTACGGGCGACCTTCACCCATCAGTGTGGCATCTAGGCACGGCCTGTTTGGTGGAGCCCTATCTGACCTGCCTGGCTCGCCCCTATCTCCAGCGGAAAGCCTGCCCACAGAAAAGTCCGTGACCTCCCGTACTACCAGCCGTAGCGCGCTGAGCATCTTCCGTTCCAAGCGGCATCTTACGTCATCACAACAGCCCTCGGATGAGGATTGCAGCGGCGTCAGGGACGCCTCCTCTTCCCAGCCCTGGGCTGGGGCGCCCAGCCGGCGGCTCCGAAGTGACACCTCAGAGGCCCCTTGGTCGTCTCCACCCTCGGATGGTGGCGCGCAGAGCAGCGGCAGCTGCACGGCGGGGCCCTCCAGGGGCATGGGGCACACCTTCCGGCGGCGGAAATCCGCACTGGAAGAGATGAGCGCGCCGTGGCTGCGACCTGTGGACGCAGGGCCCAGCAGCGATGCGGGGCCGGGGGCGGGGGATGGCGTTGTGGGCGGCGGCGGCGGTGCCATGCAGCCCTCGATGGAAGGCGATGGGGTGCTAGTGGATTCCACAGCGGCGGCGGCGGCGGCCACTGCAGCTGGGGAAGAGGTGGCGGAGGGAGGTGCCGCTGCTGCTGCTGCTTCTAGCGCATGCATTGGCGGCAGCGGAGGAGGAGGGGGGTTGCCAGGTAGCCTGTGCGTTGACGAGCATCCCACGTTAGTCCGGGAGCCCAGCGAGGACCCGCGCTCTTCCAGCCACCTGGCCCCTTCCTCCTCGCCGTCATGTGAGCCGCTCGACCCAAGCGAGCGTGAGCCGCAGCACCTGCTAGGCCCTGCGCCTCCGCCGCCACCTCAACAACTGTTGCGGCAGCCCCCTGAGGGCTTCTCCTCCCTCCGTCGGCAGCTCTCCTCCGCAGCCATGGTGGCTGGCGCGCCGGTGCCCCGTCCCGCGTCATGCGCCTCGAGAGCTGCGTCCAGCGGCCAGGCTTCCTCCTCTGCGCGGCCCTCGGCTCCGCCCTCGCCACACACACCAGAGCAGGACGGCTGCTTGCCAGGGTACGCGGCGGGCCCGGCTGAGGCCGCCGGATCGATTCCCTCCCCATGGAGCCTACGGCAGGGCTCCTCCATCCGTGCACATCGCTCCAATCTGGGTCCGGGTGCTAGTCCGGGTGCTGGCAGCGGTTTGGAATCTGGGCCGGTTGGTGAGGCTCTTGTGGCGGAGACCTCGGGAGGGGGATCCTCTCCAGGCAGGTATGACAGCACGGACTTGTCGGTGTATGCGACCGATGCGTCGGTGTATGCCATGGATGCGGGGGGTGCGGTTTCGGAGCTGAAGCGCGGGCGCACCGGCGTGTCCTTCACAACAGCTGCCGAGGAGCCTGCCGACGACGGGGCATCGGTTTCCAGTCGGCCGCTTCGCTCCCGGATAGCCTCCCGTGAGGCGAGCGTTACCAGCGCGGTTCAAATGATTAGCGGGCTGCGCAGCATGGCGAGGAGCATAACCATGAAGCTCGGACAGGCGTTTGGCGGCCTGGGCGGCGAGGGGTTAGGCGGCACCAGTGCTGGCGATCTGCTTACTGCGGAGGTGACGGATGGCGGCAATGGCACGAGTGGCGGGGGAGGTGGCGGCAGCGGAGGCGGATTCGTCGGTGTCGCTGGTCGCGAAACCTCGCCGCGACAGAGCTTCGGTGGAGATGCAACGAGCATCTTTGTGCCCAACAATCCCTGGGAATGGCAGGATCAATACGACGAGAAGGTGGACCTGTGGCAGGTGTGTGCGGGCGCAGGGACGATACCAGATGGAGCTAGGCGGTTCGGTAGTAGCACCATGCAACACCCAGTGGGCGCTCATGATGCTTGTTGCAGCCCACCGCTCCTCCCCATGCACTTATCGCTAGCCTCGCATAGCCTTGTCTCCTCTTCCTCACCCCCCTCTTACCCCAACCTAACTCGTGTTCCCCCTTCCCCACATCCCAGGTGGGTTGCCTGGTGCACGAGATCCTCTGCCTCAGTCTTCCCTTTGAAGCGGAGGACAAGCTGCTCGCATGCGCGCTCATCCTGTGGGCCGACATCACCTCCTTCCCCGACCATCTCTCCCCCGAGTGCCACGAATTCATCCGCGCCTGCCTCACCAAGAACCCCGTGGAGCGACCCTCAGCAGCGGATCTCTTGCAGCACCCCTGGGTTGCACGGCATGCCGCAGGGGAGGTGCTCAAATCTGTACGACAGCAGCGTGAAGAGGCCAACTTGGCAGGGCTGTCTGCAGGACAGCAGCTGACGTCCGTACAGCGGGCGGCGGCGGCTGTTGGGTTAGGCTGGCTGGTGGGAGTCAATGCTGACGCCGCCGCCGCTGGCAGCAGCAGTAGCGGCGGCGGTGGCAGCAGCAAATCCCAGGCTCAGGCATGGCTGGGATCTTGGGCTTGGCTGCTCAGGCCTTGGACGGCCAAGGTACGGCCGGCAGGCGGTGACAGCAGCAAGGAGGGGGAGTCGAAATTTGAGCGTGCCGTGGCCATGGTTCAGGAGCAACACCAGCATGAGTTGCAGCAGGGCGTGCTGGGGGGCTTGGATGCCTCTACTCGGGCGCGAGGGGTGGGGGACCTGGAGGCTGGGCAGCAGGGCGGGCCCCGGCGGCACAGCTTGGATGCCGCGAGGCACAGCTACCAGGCATTTGGGCGGGGCAACCGGCCAAGTCGTGGGGATAACGCATCCACTAGGTGGGGGGTGGTGCTCTGAAGTGAGGGTGATATTGTAACCATGTGATGATGTCCGTGATGTGATGTGGCACCGTCATGTGAAGCGGTAGCTGGCATCGTGGGTGTTGAGGGGGAATGTACTTCGGATGCATGAATGGGGTGTGGGGAAGAGGAAGATGTGTGACTGGTGTGGCGTTGTGGAGGGGCAGGTGAGGCGGGGTGAGGTGCGAGGAGCTTCTCGTATACGTACACTGTTGATGTTGGTTGCCGTACAAGGCCTGTTTGATGAGTTGGAGAGCTTAAAGTGGGAGGCGAAAGACGACTCTTATACCCTTCTCGGGATATTGGCAGGCTGGCTGTTGTGAAGGGCAGGCTGGAAAGAGTGGCATAAACATATGAGCTGAGCAATGAAAGTGAAGTTGACGTGGTTTTGGAGTAATGTGCTTTCTAATGATGTGGAAGGAGGTGGGTTTGCAGGGGGCAAGTCGCCGCCACTGTAGGACACAGCGGCACTGGCCACACGACGACGACGTTTATATTGGCGCCATCGGAGTATGCATGATGATGAGTAATGGCCGAGGGCGCTTGCCGGAGTTCTGTGATAACCCGTGCCGCCCCTGCATGACATGCTTCAACCTGATGTCTCTTTGGTGTTGCGTCAAGGGTCTGCTGTGTGTGCGTTGCAGCGGCTTACGATGACGTGTCTCGGCGTTGCACTTTTGTGATTGACCGCGAGCATTGGAGTGAGTTGTGCAGCTGGAGAGGCTGGGTACCAACTTGTGACGAGTATAACCATTCATGGCATGGTGAATCATTTTGGACTGACGGACGGCGCGTGCACGTCTGGAATAAACCTACATATGATCCGCACGCGAGACGCGACGAGTAGAGACGGCGTCGGCATGGGAGACGGAGCACCGCAGGTGGTTTCTCAAGTTATGTGGGAACCGCGCTTATGTATATCAACAACGTTTGGCTTGACTGTTCGGTGCCGTATGTGTTGGCAGCGGGAGGGTATACTAACCCTGCGCTCCTTTGGACATGAGGCATGTGCATAAAGATGCTGGAAGAATTAAGGTGGCAGCTGGGAGGAGAGGTGGAGACTTAGTGCTTTGCAGGCGCTGGACGAGCGTTGAGATAGGTCCATGTGAAAACAATGATGAAATGAAGAGAAACGTCCACTGTTTTCCCTTCTTTCAAGCAATACCCTCCCTAATTTGGCATACATGGCCCTAAGCATGTGCAGCTGAGCACGCTGGTTTACATGCCACGGTTAGGGAGACGATTTGGACGGCTCAGCCCCAATCCGTTCGTTATTAAAGTAGCTAGTACATATATAACATTTCTGGCCAAGTTTAACGCGGGTTTGCTCACTGCACAAAACCTCGCGACGTACTAACCGCCTATCGCATGGCTGGCCCTAGCCCCTTACGATGTACTGAAAGAACCCATAGGTATACCAGGGATACTAAAGAGTACACCCTATAAAGCCTTATAAATAACTTACTCCTCATAAGTCTGCGACCCACATTGCGGCCCTTCCGACGTGAACTCTGGTAGTCCTGCTTAACTTCAACTTTATTATTTTAGGTTGATGATTATTAGCTCTTACTCTGCCTCCAAGGAAACGTAACTTTGTGCTTCTTTCGTCTTGCGGACCTGGACTAGCTAATCCTGCCAGCGGGCAAGAGGCAACAAGGCAGCAGCAAGGCACCTTTTTTTATAAAGGGTTTAGCATATATACTTATTGTGGACTGGGCCGGGCGCGCTTTCCGCTCGGTGCGGCCAAGCTGCATTCGCCCTTCACTTCAGCTCCGATGCGACAGCAGTTTGAATAGCAAGGCTTTTACATATCTATGCAGGTGCCATGCTGAGATACTAGCGGCGTCGGTATAGCTGGGAAGGAGAGGGAACCACCTGAGAGCCGAAACCGGGCTGGAGCCATGTTCTCTAAACCTGGCGCGACCCAGGTTCAGCCCCTGGCAGGGGCAGGTAAGTAATATGAAAGGGGAAAGTTACAGCGCATTTGCATGGTTTGCTGGTGGCTTGTAAAGGCGGACATGTCTATATCCCATTGCAATGCCGCTTGCGAGGTTCAAAAGCCAGCATACGTTTCGATGCATAAGGCAGCGATTGAACATATGTAAATGATGTAAGCTGCTGGCAGCTAGGCGAGCTGTTCCCTTTCCGTCTGCTTGCTTGTTGGCAATAGCTGGACTCCTTCAACATACATCGTAGGGGATTTGAGGTCCAGGCAAGGATTACAGCTGTTCCGGGTCCTCACATAGCGCTTAGCTATCCTCAGTTTGCACTAATTTCCTTTTTCAAACCAACCACCTACAGCATTTGCCAGCCCTCCCCAACACACTGTGCTCCCTGCGTCCGCGCTGCAGCCCCTCCCTCCTGCACACCGCCTACTTCTGCGAATAGCCTAAGCACCCATTTCAAACTCTCCTCCACCATCTCCAGCACCCACCTCCTTGCACAACACTACCTCACCTAAACCTGCCCCGAACCCCTTCTTGTCCCCTCAATTCCCCGACCCAGATGACTTCTTTGGGCGCCCGGACATGCACAACAACAGCGTCACCCATGCGCGCATGCCCACCAAGTGCAACTCCGGGATGCTAGCACTGAAGGTGCCGGACCCGCCACAGTTTGCCCCTTCAGCGGTTTGCGCCATCAGCGCCGACGGCAAAGTAGCAGCGGTGGGCGGCCGCGATATAGAGCTGTATCTGTGGAACGTGGACAATGGAGAGCTGCTGACTAAGATTCGCGGACATGATATCTTCTGGGTTGGCAGCCATGACAACACCTTCTTCATTACATGTCAGGAAGATGGCAAGGTGGGTATGCCGTATGCGGCAGTAGTCTACTTCCCTGGCCCGAGGGGGGTTGATGGCGGCGGCGTTGGGGAGGGTTAGGTGTCTTGTCTGGCCCATAAAACAGGCAAGTAGGCAAAGGTAGCATGCAAGGTAGGGTGTAAGCAGTTCCCACGCATCATGCCCGTGTGTCTACCGCGCATGCATTGGCACTTGCCATGCGTCTAGCTTGGAGCATGTGGCATGCAACGTGTGCCGTCAGTTGCACCAGTAAATTTTCCCGTGGCTCACTTCGCGGCCGCACCCCTTAAGCCAGCAAAAAACGCGGCATGTCGGGCACATTACCCCGCCGCCTAGCAAACCGACCCACATCAGTGTGCCGTCTGGTACCGGGGTTTCCCGCATCGGCCTTATAACGCAATATTGCGGTTGTAGCGGTGTCGTGCGGGTGGCGCATCTCAGCTGATGCCTGTTGCTGCTGCATGCTGGCATATCCGCAGCCGCACGCCCAGCCGGGGCGTCAGGGGCAGCACATGGGTACCGGTAGTAGCAGCAGCCTAGGAGTACTCCCCAGTTCGGCCTATGGTGGATAGCCACGGCAGACACCCATGAAACCCCTGGCCTTCACGTAGCTGGCATCCTGCTCCCAAAGGAGCGGCCCTTAGATCCGCCCTCCTGCCTCCCTTCCGTTTCCCTCCCACCTCCCCCTCCTCCCCTCTCCCCCCTCTTTCCCTCCCGCGCTGCTCCCTCCAGATCCTAATGTGGGACCGAGCCGCCATGCGCACCACCCTCACGCTGGGTGAGGTGCCGGACGGCATCACGTGCTGCAACATCGCCAAGGAGAACGACTTTGTCATCGTGGGAAACTCCAAGGTTGGTGCGTTAGTTGGGTGGATGACGTCAGCAGTGTCGGGTGGTTGAAGTCCGTTGACCGGGTCGTGTGGTACTTGTTGACCGTACGGCTTCCTGCCATCGCGGGTAGCTCCCAGGGCGAAGGAAACCAGGCAGGCCCAAGGTTACAGACAGAAGAGGCATGTCGGAATGGGCTCCAAAGGGCGCAGAGACGGGCTGCGTTTCCCTATGTATATCCCCCTCCCCGCGCTGCCCCCCCTCCATGCATCCATCCATTCCCATGCATTCAAGTGGTTTCTCTCCTCGTCGACCCGCAACCCAGGGCAACGTGTACAGCTGGGACACTGACACCGGCTCCGTGGCGCACCTGTACGAGGCGGGTCACAAGGGCCCGGTGCAGTACGCCAACGTGTACACCCTGCCCACCTACGGCCGCTGTGTGGTGTCGTGCGGAGCCAAGGATCACACCGTGGTGGGTGAGAGGATGAAGGAAGCACCCGCAACATGAAGAGCTGAACCATGTGAAGCACTAGCCATGTGAAGAAGGGCGGCGTGGGAGGATGGGTGTCGCAAACGTATGTGGGTTGTAAGGCTAAGATCCTGTGTCCTTTCTTGGTACTTTGTAGCACCCTCTTAATTCTTTACCTTTAAACATACGCATCCCGGGTACTCCTCCAAACCTTTCCCTCATACGCAAGCTGTATGGACTGAGGTCTGGTTATGCTCCTGCCCCTGCTGCTGCTGCTGCTGCCGGTGAGACAGGTCGTGTGGGACCTGCTAAACGGTGAGCCGCGTGCCCTCATCGAAATCAAGGAGCTGGAGCACGCCAAGAACCTCAAGTACGACATCACGCGTGACGGCGCACGTGTGGTGGTGTGGTGTACGGATTCCGTACCCTTCCCGAACCTGGTGGTGGTGGACGTGATGAGTCAGAACAAGATCTCGGTGTACTGCCATGAAGGCCTTGTACGACAGGTGGGTTGGTTGGGGAAAGCCTGCAGGTTGGTGGGATTGCTGCGGCGCTTTGTGGGTTGGTTGGTGGCTTTAGGAGGTCCCTCACCTCCTCCTCAACCCCCGTCCCCTCACCTCCTCCTCCGCCTCCTCCCCAAACCCCGCCCTCAGGCCGTGTTCACGCCCAACGGCGACCGCATCATCAGCTCCGGCAACGACAACAAAGTGCAGGTACGTGTGCATGGTTGCGGACATGCATGGGTTGCATGCATGCATGCATGTGTGCATTCCTACGCTTGCGTTAAAAGCAGGCACGCAGGCACTGCCTGGCTGCGCGCATGCACGCGGAGGTCCTCCCCTCCCTCTGTACCTTTCCCACCTCACATCGCCCATTACCCCTTCCCTCAGCCCCTTGTGTCACCCTCCTCCCTCCTCCCCCTCCCCATGGCTCCATGTGTAGGTGTGGGACACCTTCAGTCTGGAGAACCTTGTAACAATGACGGGCCACGAGGGCAGCGTGCTGTGCTGCGCGGTGAACGAGTTGGCTACTCGGGTGGTCAGCGGCGGGGAGGACTGCTCGGTGCGGCTGTGGAGTCTGGAGGACGGCAAGCAGCTGCTGGCGTTCCAGGTGGGAGGTGGGGTAGAGAGGGAACAACTAACTAGCCGTGTGATAAGGGATCAGCATGTTGGGGGGTGGCGCTGGGAAGTGGGGAGCTGGGGGGCTTGTGGAGGGAGTGAAGGAACACAGGAGTGGAGGACCGTTCATGCAGACGGTATGAGCGTGCTCATTACCATGAACCGTTTGCCACCTTCCTCCTCCTGCCCTATACCAACGCACATCCTGCCCTAAACTTCAACCCAATCCCCCTCCACCCTCCACCCACAACACAGGCCCAAGACGAGCCCATCAAGCAGGTGCAGTTTTCCACCTCGGGCCAGCGCATCCTCTCCTGCGACGTCACCGGCCGCGTGTACGTCTGGTCCATGCACGCGGAGTTCCTGACCAACCTCATGCGGCGCTACGCGGACAACATCTCCGCATGCGCCATGAGCAACGACATGAAGCTGTGTCTGGTGGGCTGCAACAACGGGCGGGTGATGCTGTGGGACGTGGAGAAGCGGGAGAGCGTGTGGGAGTACACGCACCACACGGGGCGGGTGGAGGCGGTGGCGTTCAACTGCACGCGGGACATGTGCGCCACGGCGGGGGCGGATGGCAGGATTGTGCTGCTGTTCAGCGACACCGGCAAGCAGGTGGGTTTGGGGGGGGGATGAGGTTAAGATGGGTGAGAGGTGGCGGTGTGGAAGGGGCAGCATGTACGGCAAACAGGTGGAGGTGAGGCATGCGTGCTGGTAACTTGCAGGCCTCGGAACCCTACCCCTCCCTCATCCCATACCCCCCATGCGACCATCCCTCAAAAACCCTTCTCCCCCTTCCTATCCCTGCCCACCTCTCCCTCCCTTTTTAACCCCTAACACATTGGGTCTCCCCCCCTCCCTTCTCCTCACCCCCAGGCCAACTCCTTCATCGGCGCGGAGGAGCCCATGATGAGTGTGCAGTTCTCCCCCGACGACGAGCGCATCTCGGGGTGCGCCGCGGACGGCAAGCTGTACCTCTACCAGACGGCGGGCGCGGGCCGCAAGCCCAAGGTGGTGCTGCGCTCCTCTGTGGCGCGAATCAACAACCACGTGTGGTCGCCCAACTCCAAGCTGATTGCGGGGGCCTGCTCCGATGGAACTATGATGGTGGGTGGGGTTCGATGTGGTGGTGGTGGGGTGCGGGGTGTGGTGGGACGTGGGAGGGAGGCGGAGGGTAATGGCGTGGTTTGGTAATGTGTCGTTTGACACGCACGAGAGGTTCTCTCAAGACTACGGCGCCGTTGCTTGATTAGTCCGCTCGCCCGACCTCTCCTATCCACCCATCACAGCTCATCACTTTGCGTTGCTTTCCATACACACACATTGCACCCTTCACCCCCTCCTCATCCGCTTACCCCTCCTCCTGCCACATACCTCCTCCTTCTAACCCACCCCCCACCCCAAAGGTATGGAACTCCAGCACGGGTGGTATCCACTCTGCCCTGGAGGGCGCCTCCGCGGGGGCCACCTGCTGCGGATTCGACCTGATCGGCAAGCTGCTGGCGGTGGGAACCGTGCTGGGTGAGTGCTGGGGGGGAGCGTGGCGGGGAGGGAGGGAGGCTCCGGGTTAGTGCGATTGGAGCGGGGGCCCGGTGGGACAGTGGGTCTGCGATAGCCCTCCTTAGCCTGCAAGGTTAATGCGGTATGGGGGGGAGTGGTCGAGGCACCCGGCGACCGAGGGCTGGGAGGTTTGGCGTTAAGGGGTGTGAGGCATGCGTCAACGTGCCTTCCCCCATGCATCCCACCTCCCCTCCCCTCCCTTCACCCTCCCCTCCCCACCCTGCCCAGGCACCACCCTGCTGTACAACCTTGAGACCAGCGAGCTGCTGGTTGAGCTGCGCGGCAACCCCAGCCCGGTGAAGGAGGTGGTGTTCAACCAGGAGACCTCGCAGCTGACCACCATGTGCAGCAGGCAGGCGGCGGTGTGGGACGTGGCGAATGCGGCCAAGGTGGGTGGCGGTGGTGGTGGCGGTGGCGGTGGGGGTTAGGGAGAGGGCGGGGGGCAGGAGAGTTCAAGAGGGTCCACGAGAGCTCAATTGAGCCACCGGAGGGGCTGGGGCCATGGGGACAAAGGGAAGGAGGAAGGTAGGGAGGAAGGCATGGGCAATGCTTATGCACATGTGGGGGTTGCTGGTTGTTCGCGTGTCCTTAACCCACCTCTCTCCCCTCCCTCTCTCCCCTCGCTTCTGTGCCCCCCCCCCCAGATCCGCGTGTTTGACTTTGTGATGGACAAGGCGGGCGACTTCAAGTCCCCGCCGCACCCCTACCGCTGGGCCGTGGCGCACAACAGCACCGTGCTGTTCGACCACGAGAGCGAGGCGCTGGTGCTGGACATGCTCACCATTGACGACCCGCTGCTGCGCTCGTACTACCTGTCAGATGTGCAGGTGGGTACAAACCCTCAGATGTGCAGGCGGGGAAGTAGGGGGGGAGGAGAGCAGGAGGAAGAAAGAGGGGTATACCGCTAGGATGAGCGGTGGGAGCAAGAAGCTGGACGTTGATGTCGTTTTTCCCCTGATGTCCCTCGTCCCACGTTCTTTCCTTACCGCTTTTGGTTGGTTATTTTCTTCCCTGGTCTGCCTCCTCCTTCCCTCCTTCCCTCCGCATGCGCGCGCAGACCATCGCCAGCGGCTTCAACCACCGCAAGCTGATGGTCTGGTCGGCCGCCGGCTCCTCCGCGCCCGACAAGTTCCACACCACCCACGATGCCATCACCTCGACGCACTTTTCCAATGACGACAGGCTGGTGGTCATGGGAACACAGGTGCGAGCGCGCAGCATGTGTGACGGCTGGCCCTTTCCCAGCGTCTAGACCCATAACCTCCGTTCTACTTCTTGTCATGCCCGATCTGGACCCCTCCTTCTTTAATACCGCTCTTTGTCGCTCCCCATGGCATGCCCATATATGTATGTAACGCCCCCATGACGCCCCCATGACGCCCCCGCAGGACGGCAACGTGGTCGTGTACGATGTGGTCCACGGAGAGACGGTTGAGATCCTGATCGGCCACCAGAACGGCCCCTGCCGCTGCGTGCGGCTGTCAGCGGACAACAAGGAGGTCCTCTCCTGCGGCGCCGACTCCAAGGTCATCCTGTGGGAGTGGCGCAAGCGCAGCCCCACCCGCATCTACTCGGGGCACTTCATCTCCATCGGCTGCTGCGATATGTCCACACAGGGCAACCGAGTGGTGTCGGGCGACAACCACGGCATGATCTGCGTGTGGGAGAAGGACAGCGGCAACCCCGTGCAGACGCTCCCCCTGGCGCACTCCAAGGCGGTGCTGTCGGTCACCATCTCGGCAGATGGATCCACCATCGCCTCCGTGGGAGCGGACGACAAGGTGTGGGAGGGTTGTGCATGTGACAGCGGGCGCCGGTGGTGTGGAGGAGAAGGACTCCGGTACATGTCACGGAGTGTACCGTAGACAGGATTCAACAATTCACCTTGCGTGTTGATACGGGTAATCGGCACCATATTGCAGGTCCCAACCTTTACCGGTATTGGCGATCTCCCAACGTTGGCTGCTGTCCTCCTTCTCCTCCCCCCTCCTGCTGCTGCTGCCGCCGCAGGTGTCTATCTGGAACGTGGACATCGGTATCGAGCTGGTGTCGCTGACCGCCGCCATGGAGTCGCACCCGCTCTACTGCTCCTTCTCGCCCGACGGCAACAAGCTGGCGGTGACGGAGAGCAACGGCAACGTGATGGTGTGGAACGTGGTGGCGGGGTGCCAGTGGTACATGATCTACCAGGTGGGGGAAGAGGAGGGGGCAGGGTACCTGGGAGGGAGGGTCGACCAGCGAGGGAAGGGAAAAATTAAAATAATAATGCAAGCAACTAGAGTCCCAATCCCATATCCCGACTCATGCTGTCATGCAGCGAGGGAGGGGGGTGACCGAGGAGGGGTGAATCTCAAGACTGAGCCGCCCGATGAAAAACGCAGTGACCGTGACCCCATTGACGAAGACCTCTTTGCTCCTACAACAACGTACAGACCGCTCTAAGAATTCGGTCACTGTCACCCTCCTCCCATCACACCTTCTTCCTTCTCATTTATCTTTTCCCTCCCCTCCACCCTGTCAGCAACTTGTATCATTATCATACCACACTTTGGAATTTCTTTTTTCCCCTCCACCCAGGCCCATAAGGGCAAGGTGACGGGCTGCTCCTGGTCCGCCGACTGCCGCAAGTTCACCACCTGCGGCACCGACAGCGTGACCATGGTGTGGGACGCGGAGTCGGGCGCGCCGCTGTTCAAGTTCAACCTGAAGGCGGGGCCGCTCACCTCCTGCGCGGTGTCGCCGTCGGGGATGTACGTCGCAGCGGGATCCACCACGGGTAGGAAACCGGCGGGAGCTGGGGGTGGGCTTGGGGTTACCTGTGCAGTAGATGGGGATTGGGTATGTACCCGGCAGGGCAGTCATTGTACTCGACGATCTCTTGCCTGCACCCCTCTGCCCCTCACCTCCTAAACACACACACATGCCAGTTACTTTAACACACATCTGCCTCGCCTTGTGGCACCGTCTGCCGTCTCCTACCCCTTTGCTTTGCCCTAACCTGTGGTTTCCTAATGGGCTCGGTGTGTGGTCTTTGTTCCCCCTCCCCTACCCTCCCACCTCAGGCACGCTGTCCGTGTCCAACCTGATGACCGCGGCGCGCACCACCCCCGAGCCCTCCTTCCTCTTCCACTGGCTGGCCACGCACGAGCACCGCGCCTCCAACTTCCTCTACCTGCGTCTGCTGGCCATGTACCCCTACCTCGCCAACGTGCAGGACGCGCAGGTGCGGGGGGGTCAAATAACATACCAAACCATATGAGACCACAGGTTAGGGCAAAGCAAGGGGGCAGGAAGCTGGGGGTGGGTGGGGGCCTCCTTATCTCCCTCTCCTGTGTGCGTTGCTGTCATGGGAGCGCCCATCTACTCCAGCCGCCTCCTCTCCCTATTATTACCTTTGTTCTCACTTCCGGTTCCAATGGAACGGTATACCTTTTCCCGGACCCCTCGCATACCCTCCAGGGTTGGTCCATCGCCCTCCACGCTCTGTCCCGCGGTAACGCCGAGGTCTCCGCCATCATCATGGACTCCCTCGCCAACGACTGCGGCATCCTGGGCCTCATATCTGCCGTACCCTTCTCCATCCAAACCCGCATCAAGTTCCATAACCAAACGGAGGAGCCGCGCGGGCTGTTTGGTGGCGGCGGAGGCGAGGGCGGGCCGGCGCAGCGACCCACGAGCGCGTGGGTCAGTGCTGCTGCCAAGGGCGAGGGCGACAAGAGCATGCGGCCGAGGACGGCTATGCGGAGTGGGCCGTCGATGGGTGGAGGCTTGATGCCGGAGGGACAGAAGTCGCAGCGCCGAAAGTCGCTGGTGCTGAAATCGGTAAGTGAGCGGGGAACGCGGGGAAGGAGGGAGTTGGTTGGGCAGAAGGAGAATCTGGGGTTGAGGAAGCCAGACCGGGTGGCCTTTGGAGAAGCCCCGGTCCCGATGAAGTGAAGTGATGCCTGGCAGATGCGAAATCCGGCTTTTTCCCTGCCCTCCTTTCCCTAACTCTTCCACTTCTTCACGCTTCTCCCCTCCCTCCCAACTCCTCTGCTCTTCCCTCCCCCTCCCCTGGCAGAGCGACGACGACAATGGCACGCTGCTGGGTAACGACATGCGTCAGGGCAGCAACCTGCGCGACGTGCTGGTTCAGAAGAGCCGCGCCTCCTTCAGCCAGCAGCTCAAGAAGGTGGCGGTGGAGATGATCACGGAGACGCGAGACCAGGACCACATGGCGCTCATTCACAACAACGCGGTGGCACTGGCGCTCAACTCCAAGTCCTCGGAGTGCGTGCAGGTGAGGAGGCGCGGAGGAGCAGGAGAAGGGAGGGGTTGCTAGGGCTAGGTGGTGAAAATATAGGAGGGAAGAGAAGCGACGTGGCAGGTCGTGGGAGGTCGTGGTAGGGTAGGAGTCAGTCACTTGACCCATGTCTGCCTCTTCGTAGCCTCTCCATCTTCCTCTTGTGCTCCTCCCCTCCCCGCCCTTCCCCTCTCAGGCTGTGTTGGACGCCGCCGCCGCCAACAAGGTGAGCTGGGGCAGCTACCACGCCATCACCGACATGATGCCCTCCCTGGCGCTGCGCTACCCCATCATGTGCTACCACTTCCTGGCGGCACTCGACCTGCGCAACCTGGGGGACCTGGAGGTGCCGGTGGCGGTGCTCAAGGTGGGGGTGTGACAAGAAAACTGGCCGCGAGTCGGAACGTACTGTGATTGGCGGAAGATGTGTGTGGGATGGGCGGCCTGCGGGTGGTGTGGATTGGATTCATCACATCAGGCTGTGTTTGTTGATACCGGGAAGGCTTGGGCTTCACGCGTTTAGGGTACCGTACGTGTTCCGATACCCTCCTCCTCCCTTGCTCCGTTTCCCAACCCTCCTTTCCATCTCCCTCCCTCCCCCTTTTTCCCTCCTTCCCTCCTTCCTTAGGGCCTGGACCGCTCCGTCATCCGTACGGCGCCCATCTTCACCAACGTGAAGAACCTGTGGCAGGGTCACCTCAAGCTGCACGAGGTCAAGTTCGGTCCGCAGCCGTACGCGCACGTGAAGGCCAGCATGGTGCGTCTGCCGTACGCCTGCTCCATCGGGCGGGACTCGCTGCTGCAGACGCTGGTGGAGAGCGATGTGCCGGTCAAGGTGGGTGGGGAGGTTGGGAGGAGGGGAGGGTTGTTGGGTGGATGGTAGGGAGGGTGGAGGCAGGAGGAAAGGGAGAGTGGAGGCGGCGGCCCAACCCTTGCAATGAACAGGCGTATAACAGCTCTCCGATATCCAGCAGTTGGTAATAACCGAGTCGCGGAGCCGGGTCCCCCTCCAGATACCACCTCACCCAGTGACCTCAACCCACCCTCTCTCCCTCCCTCCCTCCCTCCCCCCAGGCCTACGGCACCCCCACCCTGCGCGCCATCATCAAGCACAAGTGGCGGCTGTACGCGCGGCGCAAGCTGCTGACTCGCTCGCTCATTTACGTGTGCTACGTGGTGCTGTTCACCGTCACCGGCATCCTGTACGCCATGGAGGACCACGCGCTCACCGCCTCCGCCTACTGGAAGACCACACCGGGGCGGGCGCACTTCATCATTGAGGTCTACATCTTTGCGCAGGTGCGGGGGTGGAAGAGGGTTACCGGTGGATCAACTGAGCCGCGAGGAAACACTGACCGTGACCAGGGGGGAAGGAAAAGAAGAATACCCAGTGTACCGGGGGGGAGGGGGGTTTGAGCAGGGTGCTTGGTGCGTGTGGCCGCCTTGCCGGGGGCGTGTGGCGGTGTTGGGCGATGTTGGAGGGATGCTGCTGCATGTCCTTTGTTCCTCCTGGGGTGCTACCGCTGAAGTATAGGTTCTCTACCGCATACGCACTCACGTCCCTTCCCTCCCTTCCCACCCTCCTGCCCTTCCCTCCCTCCTGCCTCCCTTCCCTTCCCTTTTCTTCCCTCCCCAGTCCGCCTGGTACGCCTGGACGGAGCTGACCCAGGTGTACGCCATCGGGCTGAGCCTCTACTTCAAGAGCTACTGGAACACGTTCGACTCGATGATGATCCCGCTGGTGCTGGTCATTCCGCCGCTGCACGTGATCCGCATCAGCGACAACGAAGGGGGCGCGCTGGGGCCGCTCATAGCACTGGCAATGGTCATGGTGAGGGGGGTGGAGGCTGTGGGGTTGGGGGAGCGAGTAGGGGGTGGGTGGGATGAGGACTGGGGACTGAGCAGTTTGCGGGTGGAAGGAAGTACGTGCCTGTGTGACCCATTCGAGGGGGAAAGAAGCCGGGAAATGGTGTTCGCTCCACATTATGTGTTTGACCATGTTCTTTCCTCCTCCCCTCCTCCCCTCCTCCCCTGCACAACCAGGTGTGGTTCAAGTCGCTCTTCTACGGTCTGGCCTTCGAGCCGTTCGGCCCTATCGTCAACATGGTGTTCCAGGTGGGGTCCGACACCCGCTTTCCGCCCCGTCTGCCATCCGCCGTCTGCCACGCATGTCGTCCTTCATGGCCGCCTTCATTGTCACGCTGTACCTACCCATGCTGACCATGTCACGTGCCCTTCGTGGCACGTTGCACGTTGCCATTGCTCTCATTCTTCCTTTGTCGTGCCTCATCCTCCGCCTGCCTGCTCTTCCCCAACGACCCCTGCCCCCCCTCTCACCCCGCCCCCAGGTCAGCCGCGCCATCCGACAGTTCCTGCTGATGCTCTTCATGTGCTGCTGCGCCTTTGGCGTGTCGCTCATGGTGCTGTCGCAGTACGTGCCGCACGGGGTGGCGCTGCAGCAGTACAGCAGGGACAGCAGCCAGGGTGAGTGAAGGGAGGAGGGGGGCGGGCGGCGGGAGGGGTCGAGGGGTGTGGGGTGTTGGAAGGGGAGGCTAACGGCATTGCTGGTAGGAGAGAGGAGGACGAGAGAGAGCCTCCTTACCGCCTCCTTCTAACCACGTCCTTGCTACATGCTCCATTCTTACCGCGCCCCCCTTTCCCCCCATGCACGCACGCTCGCAGACTTTGGTCGCACGCTGTTCACCATGTGGCGAGCGGTGCTGGGCCAGTTCAGCGTGGACTGGGTGTGGGGCAGCGCCTGGCAGGAGCTGTCCATCCTGTTCTTCTCCGCCTTCATGTTCATCGTGCAGATCCTGCTGCTGAACATGCTGATTGCGCTGATGCGGGAGGTGTACAACCGGGTGAAGAACACGGAGGAGGACGTCTTCCTAAAGGTATAGGCGGGCGGGGGCGGGGTAAAGAGGAAACAACTAACTGACCGTGGGATAAGGCATCCGGGACCGTGTGATCGGCGGGCGGGGGCGGGGAGGTGCATGCATGGGAGGAGTGCAGGAAGTGTGGAAAGAGTGCTTTGGATTAGTAATTCAGTATGTTGTTGGGGCTTTTGGATGTAGCATGTATGCATGTTAGATAGCTGTAACCTGGACCCTGCTTCTGTCCATGCTGCTTCCATCCATCTGCTCACCACCCGGACCCCTTTCCCGCACCCATCTTCACGACAACGCAGGGTCGCGCCAGCCTGATTGTGGAGGTGGAGACGCTGATGGCTCGCAAGCAGCTGGAGCGCTACGCCAACATGCCTCCCTACGTGCACCTGCTCACACCCGTGAAGCGCAAGGACGTGCGCGACCGGACCGGCGTGGAGGCGCGGCTGGACAAGATCGAGCACGTGCTCAAGTGAGTAACAGTAGTGCATATGGGGCGCATACGAGGTATACATATAGCCCTCGCTTGCGCGTGCTGTGTGCTATTGTAATTGTGTAATTGTGTGGGCCTAGGGTATGAGCGTATGACCCGTATGTGTGCTTCTCCAGTGTCTAAGAGGGGACAATAGTAGCTGACGGCATTGGCTGTTAAGTGTACGGTAAAAGGCTTAGTGTGATGTACGATGAACAACTCTGCTCGGGGGATGACCCGGAACATGGGCCGCAGAAGGAGGGCGCTACTGGCCTACTGCTCTGTCTGCGCATGTTTTCCTTTATCTGGGCACTTTGCCTGCAGGGCTAGGCAGCTCCTTTCTTCTTCCCTCCTGGCGACTACTGCCCACCTCTTTGCACCCCCTGGCCCCCCTGTCCTTTGGCTCCGACCCTGTGCTCCGAAGACATGCTGCTGCTGCGGCAAACCAGTGACCCTTTCCTTCTCAACACCATTGCTTCCTTCTCCATCCGCCTCACGCCCTTTCCGCACTCTCTCCTCCCGTGCATCTTCCCAATCCCCGCAGCAAATTACTAGAGGCCGCGGACCAAAGGTTAGCGACGCCAAGCGCTCCTGTGGGAGGGGGGAGCAAGCTCAAGGGGCTGCTCTTGAAGTGCTGCGTCCCCAGCCCGCCCATGCAGACACATTCATGCAGGAACTGGAAGAGGGATAGAAGCTCGTCAAACAATCCGCAAGAAGCTTCTAACCTAACCTACCTTTTCCTTCTCACTTTCCATGCATCCTAACAAGTCCCTTCCTCGCCTCTCCCCTTTTGACTTCTCAACTCCCAACTTGCATCCCTCCCTCTGCGTACCCGTACTCCCAACCCCACCTTTTATACAACGCACCGCATTCCCTTTCCCTTCCCTCTGCCCACCCGCTTACCCTATCATCCTCCGCCATCCAGCCATCCCATCACCCTAGTAGACTCACCCCTCCCTCCCACCGCACCCTCACCCTCCCATCTTCCCTCCCACAGCAAACTGGCCGAGCTCATGGACCCCAACGGCCAGAACCGCCGCATAGCGGGCTTCGCCGGCCCCGCCGGCCCCGTCACCGCCGCCGCCGCGGCCGCGCTGCCTTCCCACGGCGAGGCTGGCGGCAGCCACGTGGGCGGCGGTGACGTGACCAGCACGGTGCACAACAACTCTGCGTTCACGCAGGAGCAGGTGAACCTGATTCAGATGCAGGCCTCCAAGCTGGAGGAGTTCGAGGACCAGTTCCCCGCGGTGCTGCGGCAGCTGGACCGGGTGCAGCGCTCCGTGAACAACCAGGTGTGTGTGGGGGGGGAGGGGAAACAGCGTATCCGTAGGGGCCGTGGTGGGGCTCCATGTTGGCGTGTGCAAGGCCGGGGCACGCACGTACTCGCTGTGTACGGCACCCCACACACCACTGCCGACACCCCAACAACACGCACGCACTCACACGCACCCGCACACCCCCTGCAGGAGCTGCGTTTGGAGGGTGTGGTTGCGGTGCTGCGAGACGTGGAGAACCTGCTCCGAAACCAGCAGCCGGTGGTGATCCACCAGGAGAACCGCCCGCCGCCCCGCCGCGGCTCCATCCTCACGGAGGCTGAGCTGGAGGCAGAGGTGAAGAAGCTGCTGGGCACGGGAACTGAGAGGCTGTGAGGAGGGGTGGTGAGGCATGCGAGGAGAGGCAGAAAGTGCATGAAGGGACCCGCGGGTCGGTGGATCTCGTGTATAATTTGTGTGTGAGGATTGGAAGTGGGTGTGGTTGCTAATGACGCACCGAGGTGCTGGCAGGGGTCAGCGACGGGGGCATGGCAGTGGCGGCGGGGCAGCGAGGGTGCAGCGGTGCCGGTGCATGGCTTTTCTAGTTGGGCAATCGTCGCAGGGGCTCATGGTATGGTCGTGCTTGTGGCTGGGGGTTGAAAGGCTACCTGCCGTATGAAGGTGGGCTTGCAACTCGTTTTGGGTTGCCTCATCACTAGACCCGTCTTAGAGCTGACCGTGACACTTTGCGCGTGAAAAGCCACTTTTCTCCCCATGTGACCCGTGGGTCGGCTTGAGCGGCGAATGTTTGTGTGGCAGCCGAAGCATGCTTACGTTTCTCCACAGCACTTGTTTATTGGCGTTGGGGGACGTTTTCCCATGTGAGTACCTTGTGGCTTGGCTCTCTGCAGCTTTAAATGGATGTGGTTAACCTCTTGTGGTCTTAGTCGCGCGCCTTGCTAGCGCCCAATCGTTTGGACTCGCGTGGCCTGTGTGACTGGTGCTGGCAGCTTAAACACGTCGCTCTGTGTTAGGATTGGGGGATGGAATTGGGGTTGCACAGGGGCCCACATGGGGGAAACATTGAAACGAGAAGGGCATCACTGGTTTGGTTTTGCACCTGCAAATACTGGACTGGAGTTTGTAGCGCCCGCTGAAATTGCGGGCTTGACGGTTGGTTGGTTCATCATGGTTAGCATGGTGTACGGGCGCAGGTTTGCCGTGGCGCTTAGCGGCGCGGGTGTTTTGGAATCGGATGGACGTTTGAGTGCGAACAAAGATGTGCTGCCTACGAATTGCTGCTCTGGACGTCAAAACTATTTTTGCTGCGGCAGCATACATGCGTGATTACTTCTGCGTATATGCGGTTGTGTGTCTTTACGGTTCAATGTTTGCATATGTTAATTTAGTCCCCGCGTGTGTTGTGATTTCCCGGCTTACAGTTGGCTGGCGTTACGTAATCACGATCGTGTCACATGTGTCGCGATGTTTTAGGCACTTGGCTTTGTACGGCAGTACGGCGAACATGTCGTACTTTACGCCGTACTGCCGTACGGCTTAAGAATTAGTGTTGAGTTCTCTTCTCTAGATGTACATATAAGCAGAGCATATAAGTGTCGCTGGATGGGTTGTCGCGTTTCTAGGTGTTTACGGTGATAACAATTATTAGCAGAGTGGCGTTGATAGTCTCTGTCGGCAGGGAATCCCTTGCTGCCGAAACCACAACACACGCACGCATTCGCAAAAACGCAACCCCCCCCCGCGCACGCTTCGTCTGTAGCCTAGCAATCATGCGTATTAGCGCTGAAGTAACTAGCTCGGGAGCAACGTCTCCGAGATTGCGCTCTTCTCCTGTTATTTGTAAATTGCCGCACAGTGGCGTCTTCCTTCGGACCCGGTAACATGAGGACTAAGCAGGAGCCCATCCCCTCCCTGACACGCCTCAACAATCATGTTTCTGGCGCCCCAACAGTGGCCAGCAGGTGTTGGCCGCAGACCCCACAGACCGTGGCACGTGCCCGTCACGGAGCTTTGGCAGCGCTTCCGCTCACACTGGTTTGCGGTAGTGGTTGATGTTACAGCAGTGGTTCCTAAGCAGGAAACACGACGGCGGTGGTGTTGGTGAATGTACCGCATCGGGTATGACGAATGGCGTTGCCGCGCATTACAGTCTAGACTCCATGCATACCACGCACACCCTATCCTCAATATATGCGACGTGGACGGATCTCATCATTAACATTATTAACACTCATTATTGGCGCTTACTAGCAATTGAACTCCTCCGGCCATGCCATGCATCTGTTCGTACCTAGCCTTGTGTACCGCGCCTGATTCGCCCTTCCATCCCTTACCATGCCATGAGCAGGACGACCGAATCACCTAGACACCTGCAGTGATGAGCAGCGTGCGACCCGAGGGTCGGTGTCAGCGTACCCATTGCCCCCGGACCCAACCGCGCCCACCAACTGAATGAGGTAGGCCACCATACATCATCACAATGGACATTCGCTGAAAAAGGCCTCGAGAACAGAACGCAATGCTTAACAAACAATGCAACCAATGGAAGGAAATCCTTGCTTTCAGCCGGCGGTGAAAGCGCCCACCCCATCGCATACCTGCAACCCTTATGGCACGCACACGAGTTCCTCCCGCATCAACAACAACAATACCGGCACTCCCCAACACTAAGGCCTTGCATCAACACTGCTAGCTCGCCCCACCGAGTCCCTGCCACCGCCACTATCACCTCCATTGCCGCCACCACCACTCTCACCACCACCTCCCTCCGCCCCGCCCCCCGGCCCCCCCAGCACCTGATACCTCAGCAACGTCAGCAGCGCCCGGCCGTTGTGGTAGGAGGCCTTCCAGGCGTTGCCCTTGACGCTGCCGTTGTAACGCCAACCGCCTGCCTCGTACGACTGGGCTACGGAGCAGTCGCCGTACGTCAGCCAGTACCACTCGCCTGAGGGGGGGCGGGGAAGTGCCGGGGGGGCGATGGGGGTAAGTAGGCCCCAAGGCTAGCAGGGGCAACACACGAGATGAATGACACAAGAGGGGCGAGGGATGGTGTATGTGTGTGTAAGGACCTAGGACGGAGGGAAGGGCTGGCGGAGGCAGGTACGTACCGATAACTTCACAGGCCAAGACAATGACAGTACGACAACCCACCCCCCTCCGCAGCCCTCCACCCACCGTATTGTTGGTCGCTCTGACACTGTCGGATCCACTGCAGTGTAGCAACCAGGTAATCCAGGTACGCAGTGCCGCCGCCGCCGCCGCTGCCGCCGTACGCAACACCGGCGGCGGGAACAGCGGCTGTAGCTGCGCCCGAGGCGGAGGACGAGGAGTAGAGCTGCCAGAGAGTGGGCAGTGCCTCGGCCTGCACCCACCAGAGCTTGTCCCACACCTTGGAGGAGGCGGAGGAGGCGTTCCAGAGGCCGGATGCGAAGAAGCCGCCGCGGCCGGAGTGGTAACCTGTGGGGAGGAAGTAGGGAGAAGGAGAGAGGTGGAGGGTCAAGGAGGGTTGAAGACGCCGCCGGGCCACGGGGGAGGTGTAAAGTACCGGTACCGTAGTAAAGGAAGGTCGTACCAAACTGTGGGTTATATTCAGGTACTGCCTGACTGCCCCTCATATCTCAACCTCTCATGGCTATCCACACACCCGCTCCACTCCTTCACCTACCCTCCTGCACCGCCGTCGCTCCCAGCTGTACTGCAACGGCCCTCGCCGCACCCACGGCGCCTGCCACGTCATCATCACCACCTCCACTGCTGCTGACGTCACCACTGCCGCCGCCGTTCGTACTGTCACCGCCATCTCCGCCGCCACCACCAGCACTGCCGTACGCCACCGGGATCGCCTCGAGCAACATCCAAGATGCCGCCAACTGCAATCCATACGACAACTGATTGCCACCTTCATTTCCATTCGTCGCTGCTGTTCCCGCGGAAGTAGGCACGGGGTTCCACTGAGCGTCAAACTCCTGCCGAGCGTAACCGTACGGTTGCCGTACGACTCGCTCCGAAAACAGCCGTACACACTCCCTCAACCGCTCCAACACAACCGGCTGCCCGGGTGCAGCGAGCGCCAGTTCCATCACTGCCTGGGTTAACTGAATCAACCCATTCAGCGTCTTTGGATTGGGACCGAAGGCGGGTACGGATAGGGTTTCATCGTAACCGCCGTACGTTGGATCATGCAGCCTCGAGTCCAGCGCTAGAAACGCCGTCAGCGCTTCATGTCGCGCGGTGCTGTAATTAAAGGCGCGAGCGTAGGTCGCTAGTCCGTACACAGCCATCAGATTGCCGTACATCTCGGGTCCGGCGTCGACCACGGTGCCGCCGTCAGAACTCACGGAGCTGTAGAAGAGGCCGGTGGAGCGGTCTCGCATGCGGCTCAGGAGGAAGCCATGGGCGGCATCTGCTAGGCGCCGGTCCAGGGATTGCAGCCGGGCGACGGAAGCGGCGATGGTGGAGGTGAGGGCGTCTGCGCTGTCGTTGGATGCAGCGAAGAAGTCATTCGCAGCGCCGCCGCGGTAGGTTGGGTGGAAGGCGCCGCAGAGGGTGCTGCCGGGCTGAACGGCGCTGGCAGAGGAGGGGGAGGAGGCGGAGGCGTACTGAGTGACCCGTGGGTCGGTGGCGAGCAGCGGCGCGAGGCGGGGGTTGCTGAGTGCCATGTGGTGCGCGGAGAAGAAGTAGAGGTGGCGCGCCTGGACGATCAGGGTCTTGGTGGTGGGCTCGATGGGGTTGCCTTGTCTGCGGTGAATTAGTGGGAGGGAATGGGGAAGGAGAGAGAGGGGGAGCTCAGTGGTCAGGGATGTGGTCAGGAAATGGTCAGGATGGCACTTGGAACGTCGTCTTGACGCATTAGCAGGGATTGATGGACACTGGAATGATATGTTGAGACGTAATGTTTTTTTGCTGAAGTGATTTCGTTGCGTTGCCGGAAACGCTCATTTCGCACGAGAGGTGGGCAGCTAAGCACTGCGTGACTTGCCTGTCTAGGGTGTTGTAAAAGCCGCCTTGCTCCGTATCCGGCCCAAAACTAGCCCAGAAGCAATGCGACTCAGCAAGCAACTCCCGAGCCAACGCGAGGGCAGCATTTTCCTGCATCTCGGCCGCAGCAGTTGGCGCGAGGAAGGATGTTGCGGCGCCGCCGGGGGCCGCGGCAGCCGTGGCATTGCCGTTGCCATTGCCTGCAGCGGGCTCTGCGGTTGACTGCAAGAGCAGCTGTGATGAGAACATGGTCATGAAGATGAAGACGAGAAGGGCTGCCATATTTGTGTGCAAGGAACGGAAAGGAACGAGGCGATGATCGTTGCGCTACACTTCTGGCTAAGTTAGCATAAGAGAGCGCTCGGTATATTTTATGCAACTATATGCGTGTATAAATTGAAGTTACGCCACTCTTGCATGTACATTAGTTAGTAAACGTTCGTGCTGTGAACCGCGGGCCGCGGGTTCAAATGGTGGGCAGGTGGATAATGATGCTCTCCCTTATTTCAACGCTGATAGATACATCTGCCATTTTTTCCTCAGATGTGGCCTCGTCTCACATGCGTGCGCTGTGGCCCCAATGCGGCTCCGCACGCCCAGCACACAGCAGCCGGCAGCAGGTCTTGATGGCCGTTACATGACGACCGTCTTAACAGTTGCCCTGATCCAGATCGACTGTTAACCGGGTATGCTTGACTGCCTGCCCGGGTCCTCGATCATCCACCATGTCGCTGCCGGGCTACTGCAGCTGTCCTCCCGGGTGGGGGTACGAGACGGAAGGGGGCCCCCAGGAACGCATTGCCTGAGCCCCTAAGCGGTGCCGTGAGAAGGGCTGCCGGTTCAGCAGGATTATCGGTCTCTAATGGGATACATGCCGTTCATCCCGCTGTACGAAGGATGCCGTACTAGGTCTCAGTCTGGATCGACAATCAAAAGACTCTGGTTCTCTTTTAAAAATGATTAGATGAAAAGGCGTGTGCAGGATTACCTTCCGCTCAGAAATGGCTTAAGGCCGCTCGCTTCGGCGGACAAATAGGGCTTTTTTGCGTGTTGCTTTGTATCATATTAAAGGTTGATTTATAATAATGCACTCGTTAAACTTCTTCGGCACGCTGCTACCTGGAAAGACGCAGCGGTCCTTGCTCGCAGCTTGCTTCGGCCAACTGCCATCGCTACGACTCCTGCCGACGACAACCTTGCCGCTGCAGCAATCCACATCGGCTGCCCCACAGCCCCCATTCCAAGCGACATCATTAAAACCGCTCCATAGCAGCTTTGCAGATGAGGAAAAGCGCAGTTGCTCAGCAGCATCAACGTCACCGTTCCCTCACTACTCCTCAGCGAGTCTACGGCTTGCAGCTTTTTCAGCGGCACCGCCAACCTCCTTAACGGTCCCCGCCGCCCCCTTCTCCCTCTCTTCCTCCTCCCCGCTCGCGGCCCGTTCAGCTCGCGCTTTGTACGGCACAACACCGCCTGCCTTCCCATCTCCATCCTTTTCCACCTTCTCCTCCTCCTCCTCCTCCTCCTCCTCAGCCGCCGCCGCCGCAGCAGCACCTCCTGCCCACCCTCCTCCTGCCCGCCGTTCCCCCAGTCCCGCCCTGCGCGCCCGTCTGGCCGCCCTGCTGCCCGGCCGCGTGTCCGAGGCGCGGGATGTGCTGACTCAGCACGGCACGGACGAGTCGTACCACGAGCCCCTGCCGCCGGACCTGGTGGTGTGGCCCGAGGTGGGAGTGAGGGCAGGGGGATCTAGGCGCCCTTCACCCGGGGTGGAGGAGGGGACAGGGTTTGGCTTGGTGGGAGGCATGGCGAGGACCTTGCTATCTGGTTGGGTTGCTCCCTCCCTCTTGCTCCCACGCTCCCGCCCCTCCCTCCCTTCCCCGCGCCCTGCAGAGCACGGAGGAGGTGGCGGCGGTGGTGGCCGCATGCGCCTCCGAGCGCACCCCCGTGGTGCCGTACGGGGCGGGTACCTCCATCGAGGGACACGTGGGGGCGCTGTACGGCGGCGTGTGTGTGGATCTGAGCCGCATGGACCGGGTGCTGGAGGTGAATGTGGAGGACATGGACTGCAGGGTGCAGGTGAGGGGAGGGGGGCGGGGAAGGGGAAGGGGGAATGGAGGGGCTGATGGGAGGCGAGGAGGAAGCGGAGCATGTGGTTAATGGGGTGTTGCGAGGAAGCAGGAGGTGATGGGGAATTCACAGGACACAGGTGCAGACATACCCGCGCCCCCCTCGCGCGCTCTATCCACCTTGCTTGTTACCGCATTCATCCTTCACCCCTTTTGTATCCAAGTCCAACCCCCCGCCTTCCCCCACCTCCCCCACAAGCAATCACCGGTAATCTTGGATCAGAGTCAGTGTTTCCGCGGCTGAGTGTATGGTATCTTATCCCCCACCTCCCCCTCTTTCCCCGCCACCCCCCAGGCGGGCGTCACCCGGCGGCAGCTCAACTCCCACCTGCGCGGCAGCGGGCTGTTCTTCCCTGTGGACCCGGGGGCGGACGCCAGCCTGGGCGGCATGGCGGCCACACGCGCCAGCGGCACCAATGCGGTGAGGGGGAAGGGGGGGGGAGGGAGGGAAGCACTAGCCAGGGAGCAGGAGCCGAGCACGGGTGCCGTACACATCACTCTGGCGGGCTGGATTCGTGTATTGGTGCTGTATTGGTATAGGATGTGTGCTCATGCTGGCTGCAGGTGCGGTACGGCACCATGCGGGAGGCGGTGATGGGCGTCACGGCGGTGCTGGCGGAAGGGTGAGTGGCGGGGGCTGCTGGGGCTGCATGGCCAAGGGAACATGCATCGCATCGCCTGTGTGGGTGTTTGCGTTTGCATGCATGCATGCACTGCGTCTCACCTCACCCCGGCCCTCCGCCCCACCCCCCCAGCCGCATCCTGCGCACGGGTCGGCGCTGCCGCAAGTCCTCCGCCGGCTTCGACCTGACGGCGCTGCTGGTGGGCAGCGAGGGCAGCCTGGGGATCATCACGGAGGTGGGAGGAGGGGGCAGGGGTGTTGCAGCAGTGACCCATGGGTCGGTGGGTGGGATGAACTGCCATGAACGTCGCAACCACGGGTGGCAGCAGGGCCTGAAGGGCCGTCCAACCGTCCTGCATGCCCCGACCCGCTGCCGCCTATCCTGTGCTGCTGGCTGCTGCTGCTGGCTAGTGGCTCCACGCTCCGTACACCCTCCTCCAACCCCTTCCCCTCCGTCCCTCCTCCTCCACCCTCTCCACCCCTTCCACCCACTCCACCCACTCCACCCACTCCACCCGCTCCACCCCCTCCAACCCCCAGGTGTCTCTGCGGCTGCACCCGCTGCCTGAGAAGGTAGCAGCAGCGGTTGTCACCTTCCCCGAACCCGGGGACACCGGCAGCACCACCAACAACAGTGAAGGAGCAGCATCCTCCGGAGGTGGCAGTGCTGGGGGTCTGCGTGGAGCGGTGGAATGCGTTGTCGCGCTGATGGGGTGCGGGGTGCCGCTAGCTCGGGTGGAGCTGCTAGATGAGATGAGCATGCGGGCCGTCAACCAGTACTCGGGGACGTCCTTCACACCCGCCCCCACGCTGTTCTTCGGTGAGTGGGTGTGGGGTGGGGGGGTTCTAGGTGCATGTACGGGCTATTGGATAGCTGTAATGTCCGTTCTGCGGCTCATCCAATCCATGCCCTTCACCCACCCAGCCGGTGGGTTTGTCAATGGATTGGATCATGGATGAACGTCCTTCCTTCTGCACTGTTGCACTCCTGCTCCTGGCTCATTCCCCTCCATTGTTCCCCTCCTTCCCTCACCTCCTGCCCTCCTGCAGAGTTCCACGGCTCCCCCGCAGCGGTTTCGGAGCAGGCTGAGCTGGTGGGCAGTATCGCGCGGGAGTACGGCGGATCCGGATTCGAGTGGGCCACCAACGAGGAGGAGCGAGCCAGGGTGGGTGGGTGGGTCCTGTACTGCTGGGGTGGTGCGGCTGGCTGGGTTGCCAGGGTGGGTGGGTTCCGAGCCCTACGAGGGTACCATCTAGTTGTGAGCAGCTGCCCAGGAGCTGCTGCTACCTGGGCAGCTACCGTAACTGCAGTTCGTGATGTCGCCTGGTAAGTAGCAGTTAGTTGACCCTGACGTACGGTACTACGGGAATTCCTGCTGCTCCTTGTCTAAGTCCCAACGGGTTCGCGCCCTGCCTTCACGCCCCTGCCCCCTCCCTTGCCCTCAGCTGTGGAGCGCTCGTCACACCGCCTACTGGGCTGCCATCAGCTTGCGGCCAGGGTGCAAGGTGAGGGGGGGGAGGGGGCGAAGGGTGAGGGGAGGTGAGGTGGGAGTTGGGGGTGTCCGGGCTGACCTGGCCCCTCCATCACAGGCAGCCACTCCCCTTGCTCTCCCTGCTACCCTGCTCTCCCTGCTCTCCCCCTCCTCTACATTGGGTATTCTCATCCTCCCCCCCCAGGGTTTCCCCACGGACGTGTGTGTGCCCATCTCGCGCCTGCCGGAGTGCATCATGGAGAGCCAGCGGGACGCAAAGAGGGCAGGTGTGTGTGGGGGGTAAGGAAAACGAGGCAACTAACGAGCTGTAGGCAGTTGGGGGGGCAGGGAGTGGGGAGAAGAGGAGGGACCAACTGCCCCCATCGTTGCTCTGTTCGGACTACCAGGGTTGCCGCTGTTGGTCCACCAGGGTACCGGTACCCACCAAGTGCGCATCGTCCCCTGCACCGCTCCACACCTCCCTCCCCGCACCCATCATTCAACGCATAGGTCTCCTTCTCTCTTTACCCTACCTCTCGCTCCCCAAACACCCGCATGGATGGTGTTCCTTGCTTCCTTCATTTCCCCCAACGCATGCATGCATGCTGTTACCTCCCCTCCCCTCTTTGCCTCCCCCTCCCAGGCCTGCTAGCGCCGCTGGTGGGCCACGTGGGCGACGGCAACTTCCACATGATGCTGGTGGTGGACCCACGGGTCGGCACCGAGCTGCGGGCGGCGCGCAGGCTGGTGCGCCGCATGGTGCACCGAGCGCTGGGCATGCAGGTGGGGGGAGCTGGGGGGGGGGGAGAAAGCGGGGCGGTTGGGAAGGTGGAGTAAGAGGTTTCGTTGCGTCGCTTTGTTTTTAGGTTTCTCGCCTCCATTGCTTGGTTAGCAGTCTGCTCCATACGTACTTTCAGCGCATGCGCGCACTCCCACTCGCGTACTGATGACCATTCCAGCCTGGACCCTACTTTTCTGCCTCGCACATCCTCGCACGTCCTCGCACATCCTCGCATATCCTCGCACATCCTCGCGGCCAGTTTCTTTAACACATGCGTTTCCCAACCAACAAGCAGGGCACCTGTACGGGCGAGCATGGTATCGGGTACGGCAAACTGCCTTACATGCTGGCCGAGCACGGTCGGGTTCCGCTGGAGGCGATGCATGCGATTAAGGCTGCATGGGATCCGTACGACATACTAAACCCAGGGAAGCTGGGCAGTCGGCCTGACGTGTTGGAAATGCTTGCCGCGGAGGATGAGCAGGACGAGCGTGAGGGGGAGGGGGAAGTGGAGAACAGTGTAGCAAGATGAGTTGTGGGGAGGAGAAGGAGCAAGCAACAGGAGGTCGCGCAAGGGGATACCGGTATTAGAAACATCGTACAACCGTTACAGGTGGAAGTATAGAACAATATTCAGTGCTAATGCCTTTACTTATGTAACGGTAACGGGTAGGATGGCGGGAACACGTTGAAGATGGGGGAATTGCGTCTTCCGACTGTCCACAGCTATCTGCCTCTCCTCCCCGCATCCTCATCTCATACACTACAAACAACTGGGAACTGGCCCAACTGCCTCGTCATTTGCAGCCTCGTAAAAGCTGCCGACAGCCGAACACAACAGGACACGCCGGTGTCACAACAGCAGGACGGAAACACGGCAACTCGATGGTAACAGTGTGGTTAGCTGGTTACGGTACGGCAGCAAAAAATGGCCGCACACTTCGGCAATCAATGCGGTTTATGTTTGGCCGACATAAGAAAAAGGGAACGAATCCGATTGACGATGTGCCGACTGTGGCACACATGCACGCACGTGTGTCATACTTGGGGTCAGGCACGCATGCACGCACGCACGCACGTCGAGTCATGCTTGAGGCCATCCCACTTGGTGTAACAAACACCTCCGGAGGCACAGCCACCTCCCGACGGCAAATGCCAGCACGGCCCCGACCCCCATACATGAATGCAAAACGCAAACCTATTTCTCCCCTTCCCCTTTCTCCTCCATTTCCCGGCGGTCTTGGCACTTAACCTTATAGAGAAGAAGTATATGATAACTCAATAAGTGGAAGCACAGCAATACTAACATCCACAGTTCCATGAAAGAGAAGAAACAAGTCAGGTGGCGGGTGGGGGCGGCCCAAGGATGCCAAGGACCTCTGCGTGTGACCAACAGCCCGCACGCCCTCATACACACACAAGCACCACCACCCCTAGCGAACACCCCGGGGCACATGGTCCGCAGTGTATGTCATTACCGGTGGAAGCGTGCCAAAACACATGCACACCCACAAACAGCAAGTTGCGACTCGCCGCCAGTTTCCTTCACACACAAGAGACAGAAACATAGCAGCACTGGGGGTGCCAGAAGGCGATTAAGAACAACCGTATCGTTTGTCGTACGGCTTGCATTTGCCCCCCTCGCAATAAGGCCCACCATAAACCATGAATCCCACACCCCATTCCCCAACCGCGTACGCCCTACACTTGCCTACATGCACATATACCGGTATCATGCATGGCCTCACGACCGAACGACCCATGGGTCACACGGGTATATTTGACACGACAAGTTTGCACGTCCACACACACGCACAGATGCATAAAACCTGTTGTAACATGGGTACGGCAAAAGCGTCCCGGGTCGCCGGCTGTATGTGCGCTGCTGTTCCTAAGACCGCGCGTAAGCATGGTCGGGGTTGCCCCTCGTCTTCCTCCTAGGGGGTCCCCAGTCACAGCATCCAGAATACGTGCTGCCAGAATACATGCATGCAAGCCTCATCACATGTCTTTCATCAGGGGTGTAGTTTAGGGTAGTAAACGGTTGCCGTTGCCCTGGAGCAACCACCGTGCAACCCCTCAGTTCCCAGTCTTCCTCTATTTCACCTCCCAAGTCGTACGCTCCTCTACTGTGGCACACATCCGAAGTCGTCCGAGTACCCGTGCTTCCGCAGTCCTACCTGCAGCGCACACCGCACCCGCTTCCTTCCCCACAACGAAGCGTGCGACGGCGCTGCTTGCCGCTGTTCTTTGTCAGTCTGCCCACACCAGAATGGATAAATGCCCCTGCTTACATAATACCGTGCAGCAGCGGCACCCCTACCTACCCCCCATGCCCTCACTATCAACCCCCTCCTCCTGCCGCCGCCGCTGCTGCTCCTGCTGTTGCTCCTCTTACCAGTGACGGGGCCGACGACAGCGCAGGGGGCGCAGCTGCTCCCGCCGTCGCCCCTACAGACGCCGCGGTTGCTGCCAGCGCCGCCGCTGCCTCCTCCGCGTTCATGTAGCCGTACCAGAAATCCTTCGGACTGCCATCCCATTTGGGCCAGTCCTTGGGTTTGCGCCGCCACTGCATGCACTCCTCAATCTCGATGTCACCCACCGCAATCTGATCCAGGAGGGAATCCAGGTTGTCACGCGGATCCGGTACGACATAGCTTCGGAAGAAAGCCGATGCCGTCATGGCAGATCTGACTGGGCGGCCCTCTAGATCCACGGCACGGATCTTAACTGCCAGGGAGGTGAAATTCTTCATTACCGCGATGATCATTGCAAACACGGTTTCACGCCGGATAATCGGATTGCCGCCATTTGGGTTGATGGACTGCTCAACCTGGAAGAATATGTCCCCTGGTTTGAAGAAGAAGGCTGCTGAGGCCTCCTCTGTTAGCGCGGTGAGTCGCTTGGCGACGCCGGTCACGGAGGGGATGTGCTGCTGTGACATGGCGGCATCTAGCCAGGAGTTGAGGGAGGTCGTGAGGCCGTTGGGTGCAACGGTTGTTGTGTAGTTACCCCGCCGGGCAGCTGACCTGGCGGCGGCACGGATGACCAGGGCGGCCCCGCAGGGCGAGGGGTAGGGCCGCGTTAAGCCTCCAAAGGCCGGATTTGGGGCCGCAGACCGCGGACGTCGGGCCACCGATGTGGTAGTGCTACCGTTGGGTACCGAATTCTCCGCCCACATCGCTGTCCTGGCTTTCGCTACTGCTGTTGAAGACGAGGAGTCCGCACGACGTGTTAGCGCAGGCGCGGGCGCTGCTCTGGTAGCTCCCGCGACCGGCATGCTTGCAGCAACCGCTGCAGAAAAAAATATCGCATTGCAGTTGTATAGACGTTAGAACATTATATTTGGCGTGTATATACAAGCTGGCAGTTATTGCAGGGACTTACAGGGCTCCTTGAGGAGCGCTCGGATGGTGGCCAGGACATCGGCAAAGTTGCCTTCAAAGAAAAGCGGTCTATCTTCTGGAGGTCTTGCAAGTATGAGTACTCTTGCTCGTGCTTTTTCTTCTAAGGTAAGACCAGGCAGGCTGTCAAGGGTCTCTATCCAGGATGTCCTCTGCGACATGGCTGCGCAATCGTGGACACTTATGAACCACCAGAAACAGCTAGAATAAATGGCTCATGCATGGTAGTCGTTGACTCGATGCGTAAATTAGGTGCTCAGTGCTGACTTCCTGAAACGTCCATGAGGTGTTTCATGCTCCGTCGAAGTCCCTTAGGTGAGTAAAGCAATCAACGGCTTTTAGGTAAACGCATAATGACTACATGTTTGTATTCGACACGTATGTCCCGTAAAGTGCTACCTCGTAGGTAGCTAACAGGTAGGATACGGCATGACCCAGGTGCATAAGTCATCTCGCTACGATCACAAGCACTGATCCCCTTATTGAGCATTGCGATGAACATTTTGCAAAAGATAAGTGCGCATTTCTGAAAAGCGCGCTGGAGCTTCTTGCTGAGAGAAAGTCAGGCAGTGCTCAAGTGCCTGACGGCTGGCAAGAAGCAGCCATACCCTTGTAGAACAGGAACCTGCGCGCTTCGAGCAATAGCTGCGTCGTTGCGCGGCAACATAGTGTAAAGATGTCCACAGGTTTCTGCCGAACTTAGCATACTGAGACAACTAAAGGAGCCTAATGCACGGGCATGAATAGGTACCAAGGAAGAAGGCTGGTTGCTGTCCTTCCTTCCATAAATTCCTAGCCAACCGCAGTCCACCCGCCGCCGGACACCGTCTATCTACAACGGTTTCATACCCACGCAACCCACTCCTCCCTTTCCCCATGGCGCCTGAAACCTGTCCAGTTTCCGGGTAAGAATTGGGACAGCTCTAACCGACCCCTACCTGAAGTTATGGCTACGTTTGCCACGTGACACCGGCGTGGGGTTATGTGGCAAGGACACGGAAGGGTTTGGCACGTAGTGCCTTGGCTCACGTATAAGGGGGCTGCTTGTATGGCATCCTCTGATAAATATCACCAGGGGAAGTGTTATATGCATGGTGGACAGGATACGAGGGCTCGCTGGGGGGGGAGCGTACGACCCCGGGGGTCCCAACCGCAGATTGCTGTCGTTGCGACGGACATGGACAGTAGTTTGCGCGTTGAAATGTCTGATGTCGCTTTGCGCGTGTATAGGTGACCAGTATGGACCTTTCTGGTTGTATTTAGGAAGCGAGGATTACACTGGAGGACCAACCAGTAAGGAGTATTTAGAATGCGAAAGTTACAAGGGAGTATTTAGGGTCGTCGGTAGGATCCACGCCGTATGTGCGAACACAACCTGCCACAATTTTGCGCGCTTCGAGCAAACATAGTAATGCAATGAAAAACCTCCCCAAACAAGTAATTGTTCGTATCTTTAGGTAGCGTAGCATGCGCTCGCTTTACTTTTCTTCAGTTGCCAACAGCTTGACGCCTTGTGGCTTACGTTCACGTCGCACTCGGCACTTCTGCATTCTAAGCAATTACACCAGTGCTTGTCGGCGGTTGAAATCGTCAGCGTCTGAGGATGTTCCAGGACCTAGTGCGTTAGGAACCCTGGAAGTGGACCCTGAGGAAGCATGGCAGCGGCTTAGCCTTGTTCAAAGGTAGGTTACGTTTTTCAGGCTTGAGGCTCAGCATCATGCTGCGAGGGCCTGTCGCTGCGGTGGCTGCATTAGCGACCGTTGCCTTCATGGTTGGTCGTCTGCAAGCCGCGCGCTGTCGCTGACATCGCAGACAGCTAAACGTTGCTGTGGCAGATGAGGACTACACGCTGGCTGCTAGACTCCGCGACGAACAGAAGGTACGCTATCTCTACGCTCCCATGTCGACAACATCCCGCTGCTAGCGTACGGAGCTACAGCGGTGTACACGCGTGTGACTTCCGTCAGCATCGCCCCTCGCACCGATCCCATGCCTACCTGCTGCCGACAAGCCTGTCCCTTGCTACAATTTCTGTAGCAAGGGACAGGCGTGTTCTTCTTCATCAGCACCCATTGTATTAACCTTCGGTTCCCACGTCCTCCATGCAAACCCGACCCCTAGGTCCTGTCCGAGTGCCTGCCTCCCCTGCTGCAATATGCGCTGGGCCAGGTGGCCAAGCTGCGATCTGGGTCGACGCAGGAACGAGTCCAAGCCATCAAAAACCTAGGTAAGCCGCGGTACACAAGAATGTACGGCAGGGCATGGATATGGAGTTATGGACTCAGGACGCGCTACCTTAAGTTCACGTTTCCCTTCCTCCCCACCCATACGACAGGTGAATCTGGCCAATCTGCCGTACTTCCCGACTTGGCCGCCTGCCTGGCGGTTCCGGAGCTGCAGGAGGCGGCGGAGCGGGCCATGTGGGCCTTATTCATGCAGGCGAGGTAGGGGATGGGGGCAGGAAGCCCCCCGCCTTGGGGCGGTAATGAGGAGAACCATGGATCCATGGTGAGCGCCCGTTTACCTGACGCCCTATAAACAGTGCAACACCTGGTTGCACAACACTAGCCTCCTTGTCTCCTTCCGCCCTTCTTGTCTTGGCATTCGCGTGGCTCACGTGGGTCCGTACGACAGTTATGACGCACACCGGTCGCGATGTACGGCAGGGACCCCCGCGTCAACGAGCTGATGGCAGAGGGATGTTCGTACATGCGCGCACCTGCCACGTACGACAAGGCCCTTGCCGCGTTTGACCGCATGATCCAGGTGCAGCCGTCCTTCGTGGAGGTGAGGGTCTGAGGAAGCGCCTGCGGGGGGGCAAAGAGGAAACAACTAACTGACTGCGGGGGGGGGGGGGCGGCTGGAAGGCTGCTACGGTTGCGCGTTCCACTGCCCCCTGCCTGTGCTGCTGTTGCCGCAGTTAGCAGTGCTGCAAGCGTAGCTGGCGCAAGAATGTGTTGTTGCTGCTGCTGCTCCTGTCCCTGTTCCCCTTCCTTCGCTGGCTGCACCCACGCAGGGTTACAACAAGCGTGCCACTGTGCTGTACCTGTTGGGGCGCTACGAGGAGGGCATCGAGGAGTGCCGCAGAGTGCTGGACATGCAGGTGGGCAAGATGATAGCAAGGCCTGGTCGCATGCAGTTAGGGGGTTGGGGTTGCTCAATTGGGGCGCGAGGGAACACTGGCCGGGGACTTGGCCGCTGGACGTGCGGTTGGGGAAATTTGGTGTGCGAGCTCCTGTGTAGGGCCTTATCACCCCGCTTTGTCAACAGCCTCATTCGGCTTCCCTTGCCCTTGTACATCACCCGAACCCCATACGCCGTGTAACACCAGCCCTCTCAAAGCCCCCACCTCGGCCCCGCCCATGTCGCGCCCTTACTCCCGCCTTCCCTGCTGTCGTACAGCCGTACCATTTTGGCGCGGCATCCGGTCTGGGTCTGTGTCTGCTGCAGCTGTCCCGCTATGAGGGCGCGCTGGCGGCCTTCCGGGGGGCGCTCGCGATCCATCCGGGCATGGACAACATTCGGAGGTTCGTGGAGGACCTGAAGAGGCACGTGGAGGAGTCGGGGTCTGAAGGAGAGGAGGATGGAGAGCAGGGAAAGAAAGGAGGGAGAAGCGAGGGAAGAGGGAAGGGTAGAAGGGAGGAGGAGAAGGGTGACGGTGGTGGGCAAGAGGGGGAGGATGGTCGGTAAGAAGGGAAGAGGACGTGTCGGAGTGTAAAGCAGCCGACGACTCTACCAGCTGTCATGAGCTGCTATTAGCCATTGAGACTTGCTGCAATGTGGTGGCTTCTGTTAGAGAGAAATAGACATGATGGGGACCTTTTTGTGCTCCGGGTAATCAGGATGGCGAGAGACCAGTCTGGACCTTAGCACTTTCAAGACGTTAGTTAGCGAGGAACTCGCTAGGTTGAATCCTGAAGTTCAGTGCTCAATTGCACCTTTGACCTATCATCGCGTACTAGCGAAATTGGAACCGCCGTACGGTACATATTTGCAGCGCTGTCCCCTCCGCTTGCTGTTCGTGGTTTGCCTGTTATAAGGCTTTCAAAGTGTAATACGGAATTAACAGGGAAAGACATAAACTTGAAACTCCTTATTTGAGCTGGCGCGCAAGCAGGTACTCTCTTAGCCCAGTCTTGCCGACGAGCACAGGTTGGTAAGAGTACTTTCCCACTAATCCTTATATCTTGCTTTATGCTAGGTGTTGTGTACACTGTGGAGCCGTTCTGGTTCATTGCTGGCAAGACCGGCAAGCGCTCGTAATGTCTTCGTGGGTGTCTCTTCCATAACATAGAAGGTGTAACATGGCTTAAGGCAAGTCAGGGGCCATGGCGCGGCCTCTTTTACCGGAGTTCAGCGGCAGTAACATGTGGGGCTTGACCGGGGCAACGGTGTGACCTTTGAGCCCGTGGGGCAGTGCCGGCCCTTATAATGATGGGTGTCGTGCTGCTCATCTCCAGTATTTGGCATTCAGCCCTAACCTGGCTAGGGTGCCATGCATGTAGCCATGTAGCGCTCTACTATACAAGTACTAGGCTTCACGGATCAGCGCATACGAGCTGTGTCCTTAGTAACCATGTTGTACGCATTCCCGCTTCCGTGCAGGTCCTTTGTGAACTTAGTTAACAACGTCGTACTGCTGGTTGAGGCATGTCAAGGCGCCAACCTGCGGGGCGCACTGACCCCACCGGGCATACCCGCATTCCTGCCTCTATCAAGACTTTCCTTACTCAGCTACCGGCCACGGTGGAGCGTCTACTGGGTCCGGCGCAGCTGAGCAGCAGCCAAACTAATGGGTCACAAATGACACCCGCCGCCTTAAGGAGCTTCCATGTGCAAATAGCAGCGCTTAAAGACTTCCATCAGCTGCCGGGCGGCTTCGAATCCTCTAACGCCGTGATCGCTGCCGACAGAGCGATTGGGGTGGCCGTACTGCGCTTGATGGCCGCTGTGTATCGGCTAAAGCCCACGGAGATGCACCCGGACGGCTCATCACCCCAGGGCTGGCTCCACTCCAGCATCTGTGTCGCCTTCCAAACGCTTGTAGATGCGGCCTTTCGAAGTAGCAGCCTGGAACACCCGCTGTGGTTTTCGCGCCAGATTGTGCGCATGGAGTGCCTACAAGCTTGTGCTCGCCAGCTGGACGCTGCGACTGGGCCTCTGCTGGCTTCCATCAGCGCAAGCAACACGCAGGAGCAGCGATTTGTGCAGTCTGACCAGGAATGTCACAAACACGCAGAGCGAGCCATTTGCACTGCCCTTACGCTTGTGACCTGCTTGGCGAACACAGCCCTCCACTGTGTGCTTCCAAAGCGGCCCTTGTCGGGAGACCTTTCCTACTGCCAGGAGTTGGTGGTTGGCCTGGACAACAGCTGCGTGCTGGAGCACCTGGGCCGGGCGCTTATGGCCGTCAGCTCAGTCCCCATGGACCTGACAGCTAATCCTAACCGGCATCCGGTCGCCTTGCCCGTCATGTCAAAGCGTTTCTCTCTCGTTGTCGACATGCTGGTTGACGTGCTGGAAGGCATCAGCCGCGTGGCCTCCTTAACCAACGGCATGCATGCCGTGGGTAACCAGCTGCGAAAGGTGCTGTCCGGCAGCTGCCTTAGCCACGCAGTCATCGTGCATGGCCTGGCAGGGCTTTGCGCTCTGGACGGTGGCAGCTGGTACGGCCTGCCCTTAGACGTCCGGCGTTGCGCGACTCGCAGCGTGCTTGGGGCCGTGGAGCCTGTGCCGCAGCTGGTGCCAACGACTATCATGCGGGCATTCGTGAAAGCGCTCTCCTTTTCCGTGCCCCGCCCTCTGCTCGCGGCTCCACCTCTTAGCAGACGTGCGGCTCTGCCGCTGGCGCTGCGGGCGTGTCACGCGGCGATTGCTTCTCTTCAAGCTCCGGCGGCATCTGCCGCAGCTTCAGGCGGTTTCCTCCAGGATGGGTTGAATGGTCGTCGCAGTGAATTCCAGGAGAGGAGTGCAGGTGGTGTCGTCGGTAGCCTTGGAAATGGGGCCGAGCGACAGCCACCCTCATCTTCATTGCAGGGCCCTGCATCCACCACGCTGTGCAGCATTGGCCCTGGCGGCGTTCTAGCCGTCGCCCTTGGTGCGCTGGGGGCTGCGCGGGGCCTTCGCAGCGGCGTCCCAGGGTCCGAGGTGTGGATGGCCGAGGCGGAGGAGTGGTGGCGGATGGTGGCGACAGTGGCGGGAGATGGCCTGCAGGAGGCCGACGCTAAAGACCAAGAAGTTCTGGGACACCTTCTGGGATGTGACTTTGATGAAGGTGCATAGCTGCGGGTTTTGGAGGGGATGGTTTAGGAAGTGCCATGGCCTGTTTGGGTTGTGTTTCAGGCTGATAGCACCACGAACATGTTCTCATGCTACATGGTTTGCCTGAGGCCGGTCTGGGGGCGACCGTACCCTCAATGTTGCTCTGATAACGATTCACCCAGTGAATTTTAGCAACCTCGTAGCGCTATGGGCTTTCTTATGGCACGACGGCAGACACAAATCCCATCCAAAGTAACATGCCCCGTTGCCGCTTCGCTTGTGTACCGCTTTCGCCAACAGATTACCTCCCGTTGAGGTACGAGGCCCCGGACGACCTTACGGCGGCGCTGGCAGGCGGCCTTCTGCCCTGCCTCGAACGCCTGCTGCGACGGGCGGGGCAGTTGCCACTAGGCCCGGAGGCGGGTGTCCTGCGGAAGCTACTGGGAGGGGATCCGGAAAGCTGCTCCGGCTACCTGGTAGCGCTGCTGGGGCACGGTGATCAACGAGAGGCAGTTTCTCTGCTGGCAACCCTCGGGAAGCTGCTGCGTGTGGCCGAGGCGGCGTTCAGGATGGCGAAATCTGACTCGGCACCATTTGCGTCATCCGATGAGGACGGGCTTGGAACGCCCATCTGCATTGTGCGGGCGGCGTGCTTGGGACTGATAGGCCAGGTGGTGCCTATGGATGCTGGTAGGCAGCAGGAGGGGGAGTTGAGCCCGGTGGATCAGTGGATGCGGCTCCAGTCCTACGCAGCAGCTGCATGGCTTCCGACGCTGTCGCGCATCCTGCGGCATACTGCGGATCGAGTCTTGCAGGAGTTGCGTCGGCGGCCGGGAGGATCCGTGCTTGATAAGGCCAACGAGCAAATGGTCTGGATCCTAGTCAGCGCTGTCCTCGGGTGGCTGGATCTCATGTTGCATCGTTTCTCACAGGACTTCGGAGTCGGCAGCCGCCAGAAGGCAAGAGCCGAGGCATCCAACGGTGCTGCAGGCAAATGGGACGAGGCGAGCGAAGGCGGCGATGACGGCTGGCAGCAGTTTCTTTTGGAGGAGGTTCGTGTGGTGCCGCTGCTGGGCGCTATCATGCATCTACTGCCGCTGCTTGCTGACTTGCCCACTGAAGCCCTGGACTCGCTGGCTACCTGCTGCTGCACTGTAGCTGGGGAATGGCCGAAGCGGATGCGGCTGGAGGCCCTGGTTGTTGTTGGTTCCGAGGAGGCGCAATGCAGTGCCGACATCCTGCTCTGGCGGCCAGCCCTCCTTGCAGCCATTCCGAAACTCCAGGCGAAGCGGGTGCACACGGCTGGGGTAAAGCTGCTGGCCAGACGGCTGGAGGCGTGGCGTGCTGGTGAGTGGTTTGCGGACGAGGACGAGAGTGGTGCCTCGGAGCTGTTGCAGCTGGCTGTCGCGTCGACACGGCCTTTGTTTGCAAGGAAACGGCTGGCGCTGTCGACGGCTTTGGCGCCGCCTGCTCGCGTCGCTCGCATGCTACGGACGTGCGGCTACCCTGGCTGCACCAACCTGGCGGGGGACAGCGAGGCCGGGCTAAAGCTGCAGGGCTGCGGGCGGTGCGGGGCTGTGGGATACTGCTGCAGGGAATGTCAGCTAGCGCACTGGCGGGCGGGGCATAAGGAGGCGTGCGTGCAGCAGCGAAGCCGCGGGTGAGGTGGAGAAGTTGGTTTGCTGTTTGGATGACGGCTGACGGCTCGTATCTTGCAATTGGCCTCTGGCATGTGTCGTTTGCGTATCCATGTGTCCAAGGATTGAAGGAGGATCTTCTAGGGGGCATGGTTCTCAGATATGCTTGCTGGGCTAGACCTTTGCAAGGCGGGCTCCTACACGCCCTGCTCACCGCATGTCCCTTGACTGTGCACGTTTGGTTGACACAAGCATGTATGATAGAGGGCTGTCCGTGCCGTGGATTTGTTGCGGTATTATTAGTGTGAGCTGCCTGTCATTGGTAGGAGCAGTGTGCGACTCCCGCTAGATGAGATGTACGGTAGTCAGCAGCAACCGCAAACGTTGGCGAGTTGCCCTTGTCTTCAGGGGCAGCATGGTGTAGGTATCCAACAAAGCATGACTGCCATGAAGGCTGACAAACGTAGCACAGTCATGGGTGTGGCTTGTTTGCATGGTTGGACGCTCGAAGGTGTCTGCTGGTGGAGTAAGCGTCACGAGAACGGTTGCAAGGGTTTTAGCTGTATCCTTGTGGCATTGAGTTCCGTATGTCCATATGCCGCTATACCAAACTATCACGTCTAGCGCTCATCACCCAGACCGGCCATGCCAAGCCCACATTTAGGTCAAGAGGCGATGGGAACAGAACATAGGGCCCGTGCCACATCGGTCACGTCATTGTAAACAAGATTGATCCATGCCTGGCATGATATTCCCGCCCTGCTACGAAGCAGGCTGGGCTCAAGCTCAACCCTGGTGACACCGCCCCCACAGCAAGCTTGGTGCACACCAGCAGCTGGTGCTGTGCCTGCGTGAAAGGGATGAACATCGGATTATAACGTTGGGAAATGGTACGGTCAGAGGCGATGAAGTGAGGTTCGCAGGGCAGGGCAGTCACTGTCCCACGGATCAGTCAGGACCAGTAAGGAAGTTCAGGAGTGCGAAGTTCAACCCTCCACGCTCACCATGGGTGACGTCCTCCTCCGTGTTGACGTTCTTGGCAGAGTCCGGACGGCGCACACATTGATTACACGCCCCCGCCTTTTGTCCTTGATGCATATGCACTATGATGGTCACAGACTGCGTGCTTGAAAGTGTATCATCCTTACTTTGCAGACCGGCAGCTATGCTTCAATCCTTGCTAAACTGCGCAATAAAGAAGCCCTCATACGTGGGCCCAGGCGCCACACGAACACACGAGGTCAGCTGCTTTCGGACCTCCTCCCAACTCACAGCTGTACTGCAACCAATTTCACTGTCGTACGAGCCATGCAATTCGTCTCCATTGCTACCGGTATCACCGCTAGCTGCAGCCGCCTCCCACCAGGGCCAGTCAAGTAGCGGCGGGTAGGTGCAGCCGGGCCGATGAGCCTCCAGCGCTTCTCGAAGGGGCACACTAGCCGGGCTGCTGCTTTCGTAAGGCCGGCAATCACTGCCGTTAGCGTCGCTGGCTGCAGCAGTGGCAGTAGTGCTCAGGGGCCACTGCATGTGGGCGCTGCTTAGCGGCAGGTGCGGCTCCTCTAAACGGACCCCGGGCACACGGCGAAGCACCCAGGCGATGACCTAAGGGTGTGAAGGGAAGACGGGATGGGGGTGGCCATAGGGCTAACAGGAAGAATGTATGCCAAATGTGGCGGGTTTGCGCCTTAGCCCTCCATCGCAACCAACTTCTAAGCCATCCCTTCCCGATCCAGAACCGTAACTTCCCCATTTCGGCTCTCCTCCTCACCGCTTCGTTCTCCCGGGGGTCCAGCGTGCAAGTGCTGTACACTAGTCGTCCGCCCCGCCGCAGCAACTGCAGCCCCCGCAGCAACAGCGCCCGCTGCCGCCTCTCCAGCCGCTCCGCCACCTCCGCCGCTGCCGCCGCAATCGCCGCCTCATCACCAGCCTCGCTCAAAAGATCCTGAGAAGGCGCCTCCCCGCCGCCTCCCTTTCCACCGCCCCTGCCTCGGCTGCTGCTGCCAGATCGCATCCCGCCGCCCACCCAGCCGGCGAGACTGCCCGGTCGCTGCAGCTGCAGCCGCCCTAGGCCGCTGCATGGAGCATCCACCAGCACCCTGTCGTACACTCCTTCTGAGGTTCCTGAAGCAGCAGCTGCTGCCAAGGACTCCCAGCCAGTGTTGGTGGTGGTGTCGGCGGTGGTCCTCTTCGAAGGCGGCGGCGACGAGGGAGATGAGGGCTGCTGCAGGGGCAGCGGCAGGCCCTGCGAGTCCACGGCTAGCCTGGCGCCGTCTGCATGCGCTGCCAGCACACAGCCGCGCCGCCAGAGCTGCTTGGACACTGCCGCGGAGGCTGCTGCTGCCTGCTTGCCGCTACGCTGCCGTGGGTGGTTGTGGTTGTGGTTGAGGAGGTCGTTGGCGGTTGGGCCCTGTTGGTTGCCCTGGTGGTTGTGGTGGTTGGTGTCCGGTACCAATCGGTCGATGTTGAAGTGAAGGCGCTGAAGCCGGGGCCAGCTGCGAGGTGCGAGGGAGGGAAAGGGGCATGTGGAGGGGTAGGCAAGGGATCCGCCTAGCATGTGTGAGGAAACCTTGGCCTTGCATAGGCGAGCTGGGACGGACCCTGGGACGCCACCTTGGGGAGGCATCCCTAACCCTTCCTTCCCCAGGACATCCCACACACTCGTTAAACTCCACCCAAACCATGGTCTCTTGTTACCGGCACTCTTCTGCTTTGTTCCTCTCCCCCCCTCCCTCCTGCCCGCCTCCCCCCCACCTGGAATCCACCGCCAGCAGTGCGCCCCGGTTGCCCATCAGCTCCGCCAGCAGCGCCGTCTTGCCGCCGGGGGCCGCACACAGGTCCAGCACGCGCAAGGGAGGCGGGGAAGGAGGCAGCTGCGGGGGCGGGGGCGGGCGGCACAGCTGATGGTGCTGGTGCGGCTGTGAGCCTAGAGATTGAGGCTGCTGGGGTCCGGCTTGTTGCGGTTCTGGCTGCTGAGGGTGATGCTGGTGATGGTGCGGGCGGGCGGGTGCCATGAGGGCCAGTGCGGGCAGCATGCTGGAGAGGCTCATGAAGTAGACGGAGCCGCTCTGAGGAGGCGGCAGGGAGTAAAGAGGAAGGAAGGAATAACCGTATGACAAGGCAGGCAGGAGCGCGGAGGAAGGAATGGAAGGAGAGCAGGCTGGCACGACCCACATGGTGGCAAGCTACGGGGCTACCCGCTGCTAGACCTGCATCTCGCAGCTACTCGACTTGCTGACACCTACCCGCAAAGGGACCAGGGAGTGCGCCCGGGAGGCCACATGTACGGCAGCTGCGGTGTGGGCAGGCAGCAGGCGGGCGCGAGAGAAATAGGGACAGGGCTCCACCGGGGTGTCGTGCGGTAGGGCGAAGCCCTCCAGCAGCTGCCGTACAGTGCCCTCCTGGCTGCCGTGCCCTAGGCGCAAGGAGTTGAGGCGGAAGGTGGGCTGCCGATCTGCGGTAAAGCCCTCGTGCCAGAACTGCTTCAGGAGGTCGGCGGGAAGGAAGGATGCAAGGTGCCGCTCGATGGCACGAAGACTTGCCGGATTGCCAGCGCCATCGCGACGATTGTTGCTCATATGTAAGTAGGGACGAACGCGATGCTTAAGAGTCGTTTCCTCGCAGGCGATCCGTGGGACCGATGTTATCGAGTAGCGGTAGTATTTGTCGCTACCATACTGCAGATACGACCAACTTCTATGGATCTTTGTGTAGCATAGTAAAGAGTGTACTTCCGGATGTGACTTCAGGACATCACTACAAAAGGTAACCTCAGTAAGGTGAGCACTTTTCCGTACTCATGGCTGGCCCTTTGCCGAGCGGCCCCATATTTGTGTTTTTCTTATCAGTAGGGGTCGCCGTGCCCCTTCGTTTGTAGCGCAGAGCTAGTTCGCGCCTGCACGAAACCCGCAAGCAGCAGCGGGCAGCATCAGTGCGGGCAGCACAGCAACGCGCGAAAATGAAGCTTATCGATAAGATCAACCAGAAGCTGAAGGAGGGGAAGACTTTCTTCTCCTTCGAGTTCTTCCCGCCCCGCACGGAGGAGGTGCGGCCGGCCGGCTAGCGTGGACCATTCCTATGCCACTTGAGCTCCAGCGCTTTTGCCCAGTAATTACCTGAAATATAGTACATAGTTGATGACAAACCTTACATGCGCTAACTGAGCAAAGGCTTTCGGTTGGTGTTTATGCAAGCGTTCTCGGCGGCATGGCTCGCAACTGCCCTTTGAACGCACCATAACTTTGGGGACTTGTCTTCATCCTTTGGATAGGGTGTTGAGAACCTTTTCGAGCGCCTGGATCGCATGGTCGCGTATGCCCCCATCTTCTGTGACATCACCTGGGGTGCTGGAGGCTCTACTGCTGATGTCACGCTGGACATCGCTACGCGCATGCAAAACCAGGTAACCCCCCGGTGGACCGCTGCCTCCCCACATGCCGTAGCCGGTGTGGCGCAACACCTTTGAACGCATTTGACCCGGTTCCCAGTCGTCATGCACGGCCTGGCCGCACAAGCCTCTAGTCCAACTTCGCAATCCTGCTCTTGTTGCCCAGGTGTGCGTCGAGACCATGATGCACCTGACGTGCACCAACATGCCTGTGGAGAAGCTGGAAAGCGCGCTCAAGGAGGTAAGCTGTGCCGTACGATACGGAGGCATATACTGGGGCTCACGGGGCGTTTGCGACAGGCGGCTAGTGCTGCGCCTGGTGCATGCCCCAGGGCTGCACATCCCTGCACAAAGACCGCAATCCAATACCCAGATCGCGATGACCCAGATCAAGTTACAGCGACCCAGATCGATTCACGCGGCACGTTTTTCCTGGCACGGCTCACCCCGTTGCAGCAGTCCCCCGGCCTGCTTCCTCCCGGCCTGTTACCCGCTGGCCTGACCCCTTCTACCGCACGTCGCGCTGCGCTGCCCGCAGGTGAAGAAGGTGGGCGTTCAGAACATCCTGGCTCTGCGCGGCGACCCGCCCAAGGTGAAGGGGCGGCTGGGACTTGGGCTGGGTGGGAGGGCGGGTGGGTGGGCGGGTGGGGGTTGCTGTGCTCTGCAGGGGTTGCGGGGGGGGACGAGGCAAGAGGGTGCGGGGAAGCATGCGACTGGGCAGGCCTGGATAGCACGAACAAGTGTCAGCAGGAAGGCCCGAGCCTGCCGCTCTTCACCACCCCGCCCTGCATCCTCTTCAGCCCCATGCACCCTTCCCTTCCCTTACCCCGCCTGCACCCTTCCCCCAGGGCCAGGAGAAGTTCGAGGTGGTGGAGGGCGGCTTCAGCTGCGCGCTGGACCTGGTCAAGTACATCAGGTGGGGGGTGGGGTGGGGTAAAGCATATATATCAGATGAGGATGAACCGGGGTAAAGCACATCAGTTGGGGGGCGAGGTGGGGTAAAGCGGAAGAAACGAACGAGCTGGGGTGGGGGATGCAGGAGGAGGAGGAGGACATTGATGGGACTGCCCTTGCGAGGGAGAGGAGAAACAAGTGGAAGCAAGGATGGGGGGGTATGGAGGGCGCATGGGAGGGAGGAGATCGGGGGATGAGTTCTCCTTTGTCCCCGTCATTTCTCCTCCTCCTCTCCCCCACATAGGAAGGAGTTTGGTGACTTCTTCGGCATTTGCGTGGCGGGCTACCCGGAGGCGCACCCCGACGGTATCGTGGAGGACCCGCAGCAGATGGAGAAGAACTACTGGGCAGACATCGCCTACCTCAAGCAGAAGGTGGGGAGCGGGGCGGGGCGGGGCGGCGGGTGCCAGACATGAGAGCACGAGTGCGCATGGCTCATTACGTTATGGGTACTGTACCGTATACGTGTGCGCCACGTAACCACTATCCCTGCCTGCCTGCCTGGCTGACTGGCTAACTGCCTGCCTGCCTGCTTGCCTGCCTGCCTGCCTGCCCCCCGCGCAGGTGGATGCGGGCGGTGAGCTGATCATCACGCAGCTCTTCTACGATGTGGAGCGCTTCGTGCAGTTCGTGGCGGACTGCAGGTGAGGGGGGGAGGAGAAGGAAGCATGTGTGAAGGGTGGGGGGTGGGTGGACGGGGTACGGAGGAACGGAGGAGCAGGGAGGGGGGCGGGAGCTACGTGGGTGGGTGGGTGGGGTTAAGGGTATGGAGGTATACACATGGTGTTGTACCAACCATGGTAGTCAAGAACCAGAGTCGTACAGTCTTACCTTTACCACCTTGCTATGTAGCCTGCTGTTCCGCCGTGCTTGTCCTTCCCCTCCCCTCCGCACCTCGCTGTGCTCGTCCTTCATATCTCTCCCTCTCATTCCGGCCTCCCCCCATTTCCCCACCCCCCAGGTCTGTGGGCATCACGGTTCCCATCCTGCCCGGCATCATGCCCATCATGACGTACGGCGGCTTCAAGCGCATGACGGGATTCTGCAAGACCAAGGTAGGGCAGGGAGGGGGGTGTGGGGGGGTGGGGGGCAGCAGCCGTGAGGCTGCCGCTGCGTGCTTTTCCTTTTGGGTGGGTGGGTGGGCGTGTGGGCGCCATGTGCTGGCTCCTGTTGCCACTGCTTCCCCCATGCCGGTGCTCTTCTCCTCCTCTTCTCTTTCCTCCGCCACGAGGACACCGTGTTGTCACTGCAACCGCTACCCCCGTCCTACAACTTGCAGTTTACCTCTTGTCTTTCCTTTCCCCTTCCCCGAACAGGTTCCCGCCGAGATCTCCGACGCGCTGGAGGCGATCAAGGACAACGATGAGGCGGTCAAGGTGGGGCCGGGGGGGGGGGGGCGGGCTTGGGTCAGCAGCGGCGCGGTAAATACTGGCAGCACGACACAGCTGCTGTGTGTCCTGTATTTTCATACCTCCCTTTCCTTCCCACTGCCCTCGCCCTCCTCTGCCCTCCTCCGCCGCCGCGCCCCCTCCCACACCCACATTACACATCACACCACACTTTGGAATCGCTTGTTCCCACACCCCACACCTCCTCGCCCCCTCCCCCTCAGAACTTCGGTATCGACCTGGGTGTTCGCATGTGCCGGCGGCTGCTGGAGGTGGGCACTCCGGGGGTGCACATGTACACACTCAACCTGGAGAAGAGCGCGGTGGCCATCCTGGAGCGGGTGGGGCTGATCGACACGTCCAGGGTGCCCAGGGTGAGAGGCGGGGGGCGGGGAGGGAGGGAGGGAAGGATGCGCGGATGGGGGAAAGAGGAGGGAGGCGACTTGGTAACGATACGGTTGGGGATTGGAGAGGTGAGGAGAAGGGTTGCAGGGGTGCGCTGGTTGGGTTAACCCTTCCTTCCCCTATCCCTGCTCCTCTCCACCATGCTCCCACCCATCTCCCCCATCTCCCCCCCTCCAGCCCCTCCCCTGGCGCCACATCCCCTCCGGCACCTCCCGCGTGGTGGAGGCGGTGCGACCCGTCTTCTGGAGCAACCGGCCCAAGGCCTACCTCAAGCGCACGCAGGTAATAGGGGGGAAAGGAAAAGATGAAAAGTACCCAGGTAGGGGGGCGAACCGTGCTAGCAGCAGCAGCGGGGAGGGAGAGGTGCGAGCTCACTTCCAACCACCGTACCCGGACGCCCGGGGAACCCTTTACACCTGTAAACAATTAAAGAGTGCCTTTTATAAAGAATGTTAGCCGTACCTGCGGCTTGTTACAGGGTACGCTTCTGTACTCTTGTCTAGGTGACCGTCTCCACCCCCATGCATGTATGCACGCATGCATGCGAGTGACCACTCACCGCCAACGCCTGACCAACCACAGGAGTGGACCTCCTACCCCGCCGGCAGCTGGGCCACCAACGGCAGGCGCGGCGGCGCCCCCGCAGCTGCCTCCTCGGGGGGTGCGGTGTACGGCAGCCTGTCTGAGCAGCCGTACATGAGCCGCCACAGCTGCTCGGAGGCGCGCAGGGAGAAGGCGCGGGCGGCCTGGGGCGCGGAGCTGGGCGGCGTGGAGGACGTGAAGGCGGTGTTCAAGAAGTGAGTGCGGGAGGGTGGAGGGATGGACTCGAGTTATGGAATGTCCTTGGAAGCCCTAGCGTACTGGTGTTGGCGTGTTTTGTTGTGTCGTACTAGTCGTTGTGTACTCGACTCTTCGGACGAAGAAACTGTCCGATTCACCTCTCTTGTACCTCCCTCCCCCCTTCCTCCCCTCCTCCCAGGTACGCTCAGGGCGAGGTGTCGCTGTTCCCCTGGGCGGAGGGCGAGGCGGGGCTGCCGGCGGAGTGCGCCCCGCTGCGGGAGCAGCTGGCGCAGCTGGCAGCAGCGGGTGGGTGCTGGGGAGGGCGGGAGCTGGGAGGGAGAGAGGGAGAGGAAAGCTGGAATCCGCCTCTTCCTCCTTGCCCTTATCAACACAATCATCCTCCACATGTCAATCCCCTGCGTTCCATGTGTTATCCTCTTCCCGGATACCCTTTAAACCCCGCCCTCTTCCCCTCCTCACTTTCCTCCCACCTTCCTGCCCATGCCCCCGCACCCCTCACCCTCCCCCAGGCTACCTGGTCATTAACTGCCAGCCGGGGGTAAACGGAGCACCCAGCACCCACCCCACATCCGGCTGGGGGGCGCCCGGCGGGTGAGTCCTGCCCTCCTACCCGCCTGCCACCACCTCGCCGTATGCGTCCCTCTAGGGCTCACGGCCGCCTGGGTCTCCTGCGTGATACTACGAGACGCTTGTTTCTAATGACGGTAATGAGCCGCCTATATTGGCCATGCCCCATGCGCCGGTATCCTCCCTGTCACCACCCTTCCCTTTCCCTTCCTCCTTCTTACCCCCTCCATGTTGCTGCGACCCCACCAGCTATGTGTACGGCCGGCCCTACCTGGAGTTCTTCTGCTCGCCTGAGGCCTGGGAGGCCCTCCGGCCAAGGCTGGATGCCGTACCCTCCGTGTCGTACATTGCCAGTACGGCAGCGGGCAGCCCAGCGGGCAACATGGGGGCGGATGACGTCATCGGCCTCACGTGGGGCGTCTTCCCGGGTGGGTGCGGGCAGGGGGGCTGACGACTCGAGAGGGGCGGGGAATGCTGCATTGTTGATCCGGCTCGTCATCAGTCTCATCACAAGCAGTTCTCTTCATCCCACCATGGTACCTTCTTACTAACCCCCCTTTTACCGGTATTCCATCCCACCCCGCACCCCTCCCCCCGCACCTCAACCCCCAGGCAAGGAGGTGGTTCAGCCCACGGTGCTCTGCGCCGCCAGCTTCCCCGTGTGGAAGGAGGAGGCGTTCGGGCTGTGGGCGAGCGAGTGGGGGGCGCTGTACGGCGCCGACTCGGCCTCTCGCTCGCTGCTGGCCGGGCTGGCGGGCAGCTGGGTGCTGGTGGCGGCGGTGCAGAACGACTACGTGGCGGGGGCGGACCTGGCGGGGGTGGTGCTGGGGCAGTAGGCGGCAGGGAGGGAGCGGGGAGGGAGGGGGCGGCGGCGAGGGAGGGGCAGGACGCAAGGTAAGCTTGGTGATACGTGTCGTGTATGAGCTATGGCACTATTGGCTTGGGAGTAGGAAGAGGTGGTGTCGCGTGAGGGGCATGGTTGGAGGGGCGTAGGAGCAGGCAGAGGAGGTTGAGTATTAGCTTTAAGACTATTAGGTTAAGCCTCTGGAGGAGAGGCTGGTTAGGTTGCAAGAGGCGCCCGAGGGGGGGGAGCTTGGGTTGATGAGGGTAAGACATGGAAGGCTGGTTGTGCTTGTATTTGCAACGCGGTGGGAGATGCGGTTAGGTGACGCGGAAACAAGCTTGGGCATTTCTGCTATGGCGTTTTTGTTAAGGCTTTGCCGTGGACACCGCTTTTCCCCGGATAAAACTGACTCGTCTGCGGCGACATATGGGTGCCGTCGCGTATGGCTGCAACATCCGCCTCCCTTTGCTGTAGCCTCTGTCGTAAGAGGTGGAAACTTGTCCGCGGCAGCGGTGGCACTGCCCGAACCATGCTCCTATTTGGCAACCTCGCAAAGCGTACATGATAAGAGTTTTTCGTGATTTTCTGCTACGGTAAGAAGCCTTGGGACTTGGCTTGAATGGGCGTTTCCTTGCTGCTGTGTCCTCTAGCGGGCCCGTGCCTAGCGCACTCCGCTAGCAACCTATCGTCCCTCGCGATCGCCTGTTGGGCGTGTTGTAAGACTTGTCGGCCGAAGCGGGGTTGCATGGATGGGTGGAAGTGGGGGGTTCGGCCAGAGTGGTCCTTCCTGTGTCCTATTACGGCCTTGACACCTCACGTGAGCCCTGGACCCTGGACCCTATTCAAAGGCTGACTGCCAAACCCGGCAAAGTCGCAAAGCATGTTTTTTTGCGGACCACTCTGGCCGCAGAAGTGCAGCGGCAGGTGTGGTGGAGGTGCGCATGTGGGTTGCAGCAGCGCGGCTGGGGGACCATCGTGGTATGAGTTGTCCAGGGACGTACAGTCGGTTTGCTGATCTCAGATTCCCGTCCTAATGTCCATTTCCCCGCACGTGGCAGCGCTCACGGTACCCGCTTTGGCATCCAGACGCCGACAGGAATGTGTGCGAGCTGCCAGGGGTCCGTTGCTCCTTTAGGCGCCATGCAAGGGGTAAATACCACGGTTCAAACATGCAGCTTGTCTCCAAGTCGGTCAGGGAGCCAAGGAACAGGGAAAGAAGACGCGTAGGTTTGCTTAAAAAAGTGGCTAAACCTGTGACCGATCTTTTACTCCTTAAGTCATGCCGTACGAACGTACATCCGCTGTACAGCAGCAATATGCAATCCTACTTCTGTTATCGCTCATTTTTGGAACCATTGTAGTATCTTCGTGACTTACCGTACTACTTCATTTACGTCCGTACTCACACCGCATCACCCAAAGCCGTCACCCTGCACACGCATTACTTCGTACTTCACACCACCAGCCTTACCAAGCAGCCTAAGCTACAATACCACTCGCCTTTCCCTAGCGACATCCAGCCCGTACCCTTGCACTCTCCGTCAATCCACCTACCCACATGACAGTAGACGACTCCAACCCCGGCTGCACCCAGGCTGCGCCAGCTGACGCAGCAGCAGAGGTGGGAGGGGACGCGGGCACCAGCACCGGTCCGCAGCCAGTGGTGCTTCACAGCGAGACGCTAGATTTCAATGCGGATTGCGCGGAGTTCTGCCCGGTTCCGGGCCTCACACACCTGCTAGCGCTAGGCACCTACCAGCTGTTAGAGGAGCAGCAGCTACGTGTGGGGAGGTGCTACCTGTGTAAGCTGACTGGCGACGGGTCAAAGGAGGAGGAGGGCACGGTGTCGGGCTCCGTCCGGGCGAGTAGCATGGACATGCCAGGCATTTTCGACTTGAAATGGAGGCCCGCGGAGGTCGGCGGTGGCAAAGGAGAGGCAGGGGGCAGCAGCAGTGGCTCAGGGCAGGCGGTCCTGGGTGCAGCGCTTGCGGACGGGACGCTGCGGCTGCTGGAGGTGGTCGTGGTAAGGGATGCCATGGGGACATAAGGTATTCATGCCCACAAGTCGCTGACAGCATCTTTCGGAATTGCTGCCCTAATATTTTAGGACGATGTCGAAGGTGTCGAGGAAATCCGCTATGGGCTGCGTCAAATTGCCCAAGCAGCAGCATGCAGCAAGGGCATGAGCCTGTCGCTTGACTGGCAGACGCGAAATGGGACAGATGCGGCCAGAATCGCGACATCCAGTTCTTCTGGAAGTCTATCAGTGTTGCAGGTAGGCAGTAAGGAAAGCCGGCAGCGTCGGGGGCTTTTTCTTGACGAGGGATGCCGACTGCTTGCAGGCGACAGAGTCCGGACTCACGCTGATCTCCGAGTGGAGCGCGCACAGCTTGGAAGCTTGGTGTACAGCCTTCCATCGCGCAGAGGTGCGACCATCGGTAATAAAGTTCGGCATGCCATCACCTCGCAATCAAACTGCCGCTAACGCAGCAGCCGAAATGTGCAGGACCATCTGCTTTTCTCTGGAGCTGACGACTGCTATTTCAAAGCATTTGACATCCGCAGCGATCCTGCCTCGCCGGTCTTCTCCGACCGGCGGACGCACACCGCCGGAGTGTGCACGGTGTCACCGCATCCCACACACCACCACATGGTAGCCACAGGAAGCTACGACGAGCACGTGCGGCTGTGGGACACGCGCAACATGTCGCGGCCGGTCGTGACGGCCCAGGTGCGCTGATGAGGCAGCCCAGGCAGCCCTCCCTTAGCTACTGCTCGGCACGTCATCAGCCGTGTCGTTGGAGTTTTGCAACTAGGCTCTTCCACACCGCTACACTCCTCGCCTAGTCCACTAGCGCTACAACTTGTTTCACTCTCTTTCCCGCGCCTCATCCCTGCGTTCCCTGCACAGCTCAATACCGGTGGCGGCAACTGGCGGCTTCGCTGGCACCCGCAGGACACGCAGGCCATGCTGGCCGCTTGCATGTAGGTACCGGTAGTTGGATGGGCGAGCGGGCTCTGTGCTCCTTGCTGTCATTGCTGTCAGCTAACTTCATGTCATTACGCCGCATGCACGGGCTGAGACGCCATGTGGGGGTATGGCGGAGGCTCAGTACCGACAACAACCCATATCTGCACACACCTTTCCCTTCCCTTTCACGGGCCGTGATCCAGACTACCCTGTTCCTTACCTTCCGCCAACCTCTCCGTCCATGCCGTTCTAACCCAGGTACAACGGCTTTGCCGTACTGCGCGCCGAGGAGGCTTTCGGAGCGCTGAGCCTGGTCACCAGGTACCAGAGCCCCAATAAGCACATTGGCTACGGAGCCGACTGGTGGCAACAACCCGTAACCACCAGCTCAACCGCAACTGCAACCGACACAACCACCGCCACGGCAGCCGAGGCCCCGCAGGTCGCCGCAGGCAGCAGGATCGGCGGAAGCGGCAGATGTGCGGGTGCGGGTGAGAGCGGGAGGCCCTGGGGGTGCTCCCTGGCATCCACGTGTTCCTTCTACGACCGGCATCATACCCTGGTGTGGCTGCCCAGGTTTTCTGATCAGGATGCAGTGGAGGGTAGCACAGCTTGAAGCTGTGGCGGCGGAAAGAACAGGGCTGGAAGGGAGTGTAGGGGTTGCGACGATATGTGTGGCCGCGGGTAAGGGAAATTGGGCTTGCAGCAATGTCAGCTTGGGGCCGCGCCGACGGACTAAAAGGTCTAGGTGTAAAAAATGATTTGTTGGAAGTCCGACATGAACGATATGGGCTTAGTAGATCCGAAGTCGTGTGGAAGTCGCGGAGACGGGGCGCTCCAGCAAGTGCCGTACTGACCGAGACCACAGCGTGTCACAATCACAGGTTCACAGCAGCCCCCATGTATCCTATGGACTCAAGTAGTGATAGAACACTGTTGAACCTATATTCCAACGTTGACCATAATCCACCCGCGGTCTCGGACTCCTAATACTAGAACACAGGTTGCGTGGCTGCATGTTTGCGAATAGGTTTACTCATTTGTATTACCTGTGACCAGCGGTTATTTGCAGCCCATATGGCTGGCGCTAGCCTCGAGGATGTTTACCTTTTACGCCCTCTCAACGAGCAGCCACCAACAACTGAAGACAAGCGGCACAGCAAGGAGCTGGAGGAGGTATGAAAGCTTTTAGCTCAACCTGATCAGGGTGATCTACCTTATGCTGGCCACGAACGCCGACGTCTTCTTCGTCTTCTTCGCAGTTCTTACGAGCCAGCGGCCTTTACGAGTCCTTAGACGAGGCTTACTTGCGTGAAGAGGTCCTTGGGCTCTTTTACCAATTGGTACAGAACTGGGTGAAGGGTGTATGTCGAAAGAAGAACTTCAGCGTTGAGGATGCGCGAGCACACGTTTACACCTTCGGTTCCTATCGCCTGGGGGTCCATGGACCAGGCAAGTGCAGTTCTCGGGAGGGTGGCAGTGCTTAAGCGTTGTTAGAGGCACCGCATGACGCCGGGTGCTGGGTGCAGGCGCTGACATGGACACCCTGGTGGTCGGACCCCGGTACGTCCTGCGCGAGACGGACTTTTTTGGAGGCGAGAAGCACTGCCTACAATATCTCCTAACGGTAAGAAAGGGTACCCGTATAGAGGCGCACACGCATACAACCGACCCTGCTTCTTGCCCGTCTAGACCCATCCCCACCACCATGCTGCGTTAAGGTTGTGGTATCCACTCCCAATACGTCTCCACCGGTACCTTGGGTCTGACAAATTCCGCCCTCCTCGCTGTCTTTCTTTGCAGCAAACGCCGGACGTTACGGACATCCAACCCGTGCCGGACGCTTTCGTGCCCATGATTGGCATCAAGGTAAGGTCCCACCCGACAAGCACGGCATGCCTGTGCTGATTTGGGTCACGCACACACGGATGCTCAACAGCAGAGCGGAATTCATCTTCCTTGGCTTGTGCATGATGGCTATCTTGGCCATCGCAAGTTCGCAACCCTGCTGCTCCCCTTCCGCGTACCTCCATCGCGGCTTGCGCCCTATCATGCACTTGTCCCACTTCTTTCCCCCTTCCCCCCCTACTCCCCTCTCCCTTTCCCTGCCTTCACCTCCGCAGTACAAGGGCGTCCAAATCGACATCCTATACGCCTCCCTCGCCATGCACACCCTACCAGAAACCCTCGACCTCTCCAACCACGCCGTCCTGCGCGGCTGCGACGAGCCCACCGTCCGCGCGCTTAACGGCTGTCGTGTCACCGACACGCTCCTCCGCCTGGTGCCGCGCCAAGACGTCTTCCGCCTGGCCCTGCGCGCCGCCAAGCACTGGGCCTCCCTGCGCGGCATCTCCTCCAACGTCACCGGCTACCTGGGCGGAGTCAACCTCGCCATCATGGTCGCCAAGATCTGCCAGCTCTACCCGCGCGCCGAGGCCAGCACCGTGCTGCTCAAGTTCTTCATCCTGCTCAAGGCCTGGCCCTGGCCGCGTGCCATCCACCTGCGGGTACCCGAGGAGCACAGCCTGGGGCTGCCGGTGTGGGACCCGCGACCCGGCACGCGGGACAGCCTGGCGCTCATGCCCGTCATCACGCCCGCCTACCCCGCCATGAACTCCCTGTACAACGTGCAGCGCAGCACGCTGGAGGTCATGACGGCGGAGTTTGCCGGCGCGGCGGAGGTGTGCACGTCCTTCCTGCGTTGCCGGGGCGGGCAGGCCATGGACTGGGTGAGGCTGTTCGCGCCGGTGCCGTTCTTCAGCCAGCACACCTTTTACATCCAGTTGGAGGTGTCTGCAGACAGTGAGGCGGATTTGGTGCTGTGGGACGGCTGGGTGAGCAGTCGCATTCGGCGGCTGGTACGAAACCTGGAGGACCATGTGCGGGTCAGGTGGGTTGGTGCGGGCTGTGTGGAATGGGAGCAGAGTGGAATGGGGTTCGGCATGGGTTGTTGGCCTGAGGTGCCAAGGAGCGGCTACTTCCTCATCTTCCCCTTCCGGCCTGCTGTACCACCCCACCCCACCCGCTTGCCCCCGCCGCCGCCATCCTCGCAGGCCCTACCCCAAGCCGCAGCGGCCACCCCAGCCATCGCCTCCCCCCGCTCTCCCCAGCAAAGACCCCGACGCCAAGCCGCTCGCTGCCCTCGAGGCCCCGCCCTCCTCAGCTCCCGACGCCACCGCCGCGGTTGCCACCGCTGAGTCCCGCCCGCGCCTGATGTACTACATCGGCATCGACAAGCGCGTGGCTCCCGCGGTGACAGCTCAGCAGCTGCTGCCCAACGGACAGCTGGCGCAGCTGCCGCCCCATGCGGCGGGGGCGGCGGCGGGTGCGCCTGCGGGGAAGGTGGACTTGAAGCAGCCCTGCATGATTTTCGTGAACGAGGTAACCGCCTGGCCCGCCAAGCGCTCCGGCATGGAGCTTAGGGTTAATGTATTGCGTCGGGCGCAGCTGCCGCAGTGGCTACTGCTAGAGGCAGCGCAGCAGCAGCAGCAACAGGTGCAGCAGCAGGAGGCACCAGCCGCGTTGCCAGCGGCCCAGACGGAGCTGCAACAGCAGCAGCAGCAGGGCACGAAGCGCGTCGCGTCTGCTGAAGGCTCGTTGTCAGCGCTGTCGGCGGATACAGCGGCAGCGACCTTCGGCGGTGGGAAGCCGCCACGGGCAGCGGAGGGGCGGCAGCCGCTGCAGCAGCCGCTTGCTAAGCGACCCAGGACGGACCAGGTGGGTGGGTGGGCGGGTGTTGGGCATGGGATGCTGGTATTGGGTGAGGGAGCTGAGCGTTGTGGGTTGGGGTATTGGGTCGGTTGGTACGGGGGGTATTTGAACCGAGCATTGGTGTCGGACATGCAAGGGTCTAGACATGAATTTGGATCAGACTACTAATGGTGTGGCATAGGTAGCGCGCTTCACCTTGGCCGAAAATGCCACGCCACGTGAAGCGGTACACCATGGGACTACTGCTGCGTCCTGTGCAGGGCACGCTGAACGAGTTGTAGCGCTCTTCCCTAGCCCCTGCTACTGGCTGGACTCCCCCTTGCCACTGCATGCTTCTTTGAACCTTCAATTGTACATACTTGCCTGCCCCGCACGACTGTCCCTCGTACTGCTTTGTATATAATCCCTGCTCGCCAACACCACCTGCTCCTGTGCTGTGCTGTGTCGTGCTGTGTTGTGTTGTGCTGCGTGTCCGTGCCTGCGGTCGTGGTGGTCCTGTGCTGTGCCTGTTGCGTTTGCGTGCTTGTTGGGTTGCCTTACATTGTTGCGTCTTGCCTTGTTGCGTCTTCGGCGATGTTGGTGGCGCGGCGTGTGTGCATATGCGTTACGCATTTGGCTGTGTCTTCGATCGTCCTGTATTGATGATGGTATTCCGGGTGGCATGCTCGGGGTTTGACATACTTTGTTTTGCCTTCTGTCGAAACTTTTCACGTTTGATTGAATCTGCACACCGTTGTTTGCGTTATCCATTCCATGTCGCTTGGGGTGGCGCTGTTCCTTTCGTTTGCGGTAACACCGATGCGGTTGCATGCCGGCCTTGCCACATGGGAAAACCTGCATCCGATTGTTCGCATGCCGCTCGCTTCCTGGTCTGTTCATGCTTGGCGCACGGGTCGTGTTACTTGACCGCTTGGTTCCTGGTAATTGTTGGGTCGTGCATGTTGCTGGTTTGCTGGGTGGACATCCACCTTGTTGGTTTGGACATCTACTTCTTTCGGTTGGTAATGTTGCCTACACATATGCTTTTTATGGCCTTCGTGTAACTGCGGGTGACTGTTTACGTTGTGGGACTATGTTTGTGCGCCTTGTCTTTCATCGTGGTCTTGTTGCATTGACGGGTATTTTTGCATTTCATCTGTTTTTCCACTGCGGCTGCTTCTAAATTACTTCTCGTTGTATCCGGTTGCTCGGTTGCGGGTGTTGGTGTGGCTAATGTGCCGTTGCTGTGACGTCGCTTGGCGGTGTCGTTTAACCTCATTTGCTGTGGTGTGCTGTGTTGCTCGTGTGTCGCTGACCTAAACTCGCGCTGTTGTCCCCGTGTTCGTACCCGTCATCGTGTGGTCGCGCCCCTTTCCGTCTTCCGTCTCCCTTCGTGCGTTGTCGTCCGCAAATCCCCTTGCAGGTCCTGCCTCGAGCCCTGCCCAACCGCGACGGCAGCTTTCCGCCACACTCTCGTTCACCCTCTCCGCTGCTCCTGCCGCCCGACGGTCAAGCCCTCGCCAGCAGCACTACCGCCACCACCACCACCGCAGAGAACGGCGCCCCTGTGGAGCCGCAATCAGCGACCACTGCTGCTGCCGCTGCCGCGGACGCTGGGCAGCAGCCTCAGCCGGAGCAGGTGGGGTCGGTGGCGGAGGCCAGCAGGGAGCAGCAGCTGCAGCAGGCGGCCTGCGTGGCGGATGAGCGCGCGGCGCTGCAGGAGTCGCAGCTGCACAACACGGGGAGGGACATGGGCGACTGGCTGGGGGTGGACCACGGGCTGTGCTTAGCGGCGCGGGTGAGGCGGGCAGGGGAGCGGGATTTGAAGAGCGGCGGGGGCAGGTGCAGGGGTGAGGATGATGATACGGGCGTAGTGCTCCCTCCGCTCATTTGCAAACCGCAGGACACCCTTATGAAGCTGTATTCTGGGTTGAATGGGAACAGCGGCGAGGCCCTTGACTTCCACACCGCTCGCCTTCGCATGGGCCTGTGGAATGAGCATGTCATTAACCTTGCAACAACCCCGTCTATTCCCTTGGACCACCCAAAGGAGGATGCAGCTGGGGCGTCTGGGTAACGATACCTTGCGTTCCTTTTGACAGCCGTATTCTAGGATTGGGCGGTAAGTGCCAGAAGACGGCGACATACCGGATTGCGCACTTGCCAGCAATCGGGAGTGACATGAGATGAAGTGAGCGAAGAGCGAACCCGAGAGCAGCATGACAGCAGGAGTGGCCTACTATGAGGGTAACGACATTGGCAGGTACGATAGCTGGGGTAATGGCATTAGCGGGTGGTATCTAGAAGCTGCGTAGGAGGGCTTTATAAGGGTGGGGTTCGGGTGGCACCAGCAATGCCCACTCGCGCAGGCGCACTGCCGGGGCAACGAGCGCTCTGGCTGGCGCGAGGGCTCAGGACAGCAGCGGTCACCGGGGCGCTGGAGGAGGGAACCGGGGAGGGGTGCAGTGGCACACGGGTGGGATGGCTTGGATATGGATATTGGGTATGCGGTCTACGGTACAGGAGTGGTAGGACGCCTTTCACCAGCAGGGCAATGTCCCGGTCGTAAACGTTATGACGCGGCCGGTCATCTGCGCTAGGTTAAGAAGGACGGTTGTGTATTAGTGTGGATGAGATTGTGAGCGTTCGAGGCCTGGGCTGCGGCAGTCTGCACGAGGTGACTAGCGGTCTGTAGACGCCTACCTGGTGCCATTGTTGGCATACACAGACATGCATGTAACGGCCAGGACATGAAGTGTTATGTCTGTTCTAGTTACCGTCCCTTTGGCAAGCATGCTTAAGCACAGGGTAAGTCCTTGGCCAGGTGTTGCAGGACTTAATCTTAGCTTTGAAGCTTTTACTACGCACCAGCAATGTGAGCTGCAGCGGGCATTAGAGGGGATGGCATATGCGCACAGGGCTGGGTTGCGTACAATCGGAAACGACACCGTCACTTACCTCCAATGACTAGCGGGACCGAAGGCGAGGAGATCCCATACAAGAAAGGGGCATGTGTCCCGTTGGGGGGAGCGCTAAGCAGTACATATTGAAATAATCAGCTAAGCTAGGGCAGTCAGTCTGGTGCTCTGGACCGATTATGGTTTGGGGGTAGAATGCATGGGTAAATTGGCAGAGCACGATGCCCCGGTGACGCGGATTTCGACAGCGTGCCCCACAGGTTACGCAATTCCTTACATCTTCTGCGGGGAATGCTTACGGGTATCTAAACAATGCTTTCAAGATTTCGTCATTCCTCGGCTGAACACGCGATACGTCTTAGCAGCGTTACATGCAGCAAAAGCCATGGCGGCAGTGGTTTCAATTGGCGAGCCAAACGGCACAAAAAACCGAATAACTGCTCACTTAGTCCACCCAAACAGACACGCCGCAAATAAGCGGCCCCATTTACTGGTGCCAACCAGGTTTAGGTTCAAGGTTAGTTACCAGTTACCAAATTACCCACAGTATCCACGCATCAACAACCATGCATAGGCAGCGCAGGCCAAAATAAAGAGGAGTTCAAGAAATAGCCGGCCCATACCCGTAGCATCGCCTGCATGCCTAATGCGGCCTGACATGGTGCACGACAAGCCTAGACGACCAAACAAGCATCCGAAAACGGCAAGCATGCGTAAGCCATCCTTGCTACGGAATCCTGCACAATTACCGTTTACGTTCAAACACCAACATCGTACAGCCGCGAACATACAATCCACTCGTTCAGCCAGCCAGCAACCAGCAATATACTCCTGCCACGTACAGCCATTCCTGCTAGCAGCCCAACGTTGGGCTCAAAAGCCGCCATGTCAGCCGTACCATTACCGTACACGTACCATTGACATCCCAAGAACTACTCTGCCGAGTAATGCATGCCACTACGAACTCCGTAACCCGCATCCTCCTGCTAGGATTAGCCCCTTAGGTCCACCTTGCTTCACGAAAAAAAGCTTCCAGGTGGTCCCAAGGGCAAGCATATAAAACGCGCCCCTGCCGGCGTCGAACCCTCCTGCAAAAGAGCCCTACGACACGACAGTCGCATACGACGGCCTAGGAGAGGTACCGGGATCTACGAACTGCCAGATGCGTACAAGGTGGGATCCACAGGATACAAAGCCCGCCCGTCAAATCGTACCGACTCTATGAACGTGTACCCAGGAGGTTTGGTGCCGCCAACTGGTTGCGCCTTCAAGATAATGTTGACACCACCCAAGGTTGTGGCCTTCAAAGCTGGCGGAATGTCGCTTTGGCTGCCCGTGGCTGCTACCTTGGTGGACGTCCCGGCGCGCGTGCCGAAGGGAATGGTTAACGTAGAGCCACAGGAGGACGTGTCGGTTGTCACATTCCATATTGGGTTGCCCTTGGTACCCTTGATCAGCTTGAGCCCGGGAAGGCTTGGAATGGGGACTGCGGGCCAGGGGAGCAGCTCCACGGTCAGGACGCCGGGATTCTGAAGCTGAATGATGTGGATCGCGTCGAGCTGCGGGAGGGTGTGACGGGAACATAGGTGGGCATGGCGGTCAGGAGCGGGTAAGATTACAACGCCAGCGGGTCTATTGCCATCAGTGAGAACTATTTTAAGCAGGAGGCAAGAGGTGCGCATGCAAGCAACCCGCATGCAACCAGACCCTCGTCCTACCGTAGCCCACATGCCAAGTACCAGCCCATCCAAGCGACCAGCAAGACCGATCAAGACTCACCTGCCATGGCTCTCGAAAGAAAATCGTGACATTCCGCGTGTTGTCATAGTCAGCTTGCCATGCACGAGGACATTGGGAACAGACGCCAGGCGTAACAGGGCAATCAGCCTGCTGGCTCCAGTAAATCATATTGATGTGGCTGCGCGGCTTGCGAAGCGTCTTGAAGTCAGAATCGTCGTACCACAGAACAGGCTTAGTCGTACTGTTCATGTACACTCCCATACCCTGCATGCCCTGGAAGCGGACAAAGTTGGCGGGTGACGGAGATGGCGGAACCCGTGGAGCCGAGGGCGGCGGCAGCGGCTGCGGTGATGGAGGTGGCAAAGACGGTGGCGGTGCTGGGCTGGGAGGCGCCAGCGGCGGCGGGGAGGGAGGAGAAGGCGGCGGGAAGCCCTTCGCCGCGGTGTCGGCATCCAGTTTCTTCTTCAAGCCGACCGCCGTGATCGGGGGAGTCGGAGGAGGGCGCGGCGGCTGGGGAGGCGGCGACGGCGGCATAGGCGGAGGGGACAGGGCACCAACGGGCAGAGGCGGGCTGGGCCTTGGCGATGGCGGTAAGCGAGTAGCCACGTATTGCACAATCGTGAAGGCAACGCAGAACGACTGAACTGTGCTCTTCGCAAGCATGCGGCGAGGCTCGTTTGCCGGCCTGTCAAAGGCATGCCGAAGGGCCGACGACTCCATGCGGCGAAGCTCCGTAATCATATTGCTTGTAAGCTCCGAGCGGGCAACCTCCATAGCGTCTAAAGTTCCGGGAAAGAGGAGTTGGAGCTCCTCAGCGAGGCGGCGATGAGGCTCAGGCAACTGTGGTTGACGCGGATCTTCGACAATCTCGGTTATGGCGGTGGCACGGCGCCGAGCAAAGGACGACTCGATTTGGGTCTTGGCGCCATCCGAAAATGTCACATAGACGTTACGGACGATGAAGTTGGATGTCGGTAGGTAGTAAGCTTTGCTGAGTGTTGTCTTCATCTTCTGAATGTAATCACTTAGCTTAGAGACTTCAGTGCCGTCTAAAACCGTAATGTTCGCTGAAGCAGCCGGGAAGCAAAGGGTAAAGTCAGTGGTCATCAACTTTGTACCCAACGGAACGTTAGGCGGTGGAGGGGGCGTTGGCGGAGAAGGTGATGGTGGTGGTGATGGCAACGGGGCGGGAGATGGGGGTGGGGAGATGGAAGGTGGCCGAGGAGAGGGTGGCGGGGACAACGGTGATGGAGAGGGAGGGGAGAGCGTAGGAGAGGGTGGGGAAAGGGATGGTGGCCAAGGAGAGGGTGGTGGAATGGACGATGGAGTGGGAGGGGAGAGCGTAGGAGAGGGTGGGGAGAGGAAAGGTGGCTGAGGAGAGGGTGGTGGAGTGGATGATGGAGAGGGAGGAGGAGGGTAGGTTGCTGGGGTGCTGACGCCTTGTGTGAACCGGCGGACAAGCTCTACCGTATCGTCATCCACAGAAAGGGCTGAAGCTTTGTCAATGACCTCGCCCATGGTGCCGAACGGAAGAGACTCCGGATCCTCGTCAACTGGTGTTGCAGAGGCCGAATAGGCACCTAGGTGGCGAAGAGGGGTTCATGAGGAGAGGCAGGGGGAGGGAAGTGAACATGACAAGAATTGTAAGGAGAGATGGCGGGAATACATCACGCGGAAGGAAGAAAGCGCAAGTGCTGGGAGCTGAGCGGAAGCGGGGCCCAAACAACAGCAGAGAGTCAGGTTACGCACTGGCGCAACTCGCCGAGGAATATGCCAAGCAGCAACATATGATATACGAGCACGCATAGCACAACATACCTTCGGTAAACTCCTTGATGAGGTTGCCGAGCAGGCTTCCCCAGCCAACCTTGGGCCCTTGCTTCCAGCTATAGCCGAGCCAGACAATAGCACCGGGAATTCCAACTTTGCCAAAGGCTTGGGCGACAAGCTTTGACGAGTCTTCGCCAAGTTTGTAAAGCGGCCAGGATGTCGACTTCAAGTCGCCATGTCGACACATAGAGGAGACCTGCAGACACAATTGACTTTTAACATCAAAATATGCTACATAAACGCGTTGGTATATGAAATTTGCTTAGGATTGATCCCACCGTTGTGCCTTGCGCGTCCTCGAGCTCAGTCGGCCACGTGCTGGACGGCATGAAGGAGTCGGACCGCTGGTCGAGGGAAATGCGGCGCTTTGAAAACCTCTTGCTGTCGCCGAGGGACTCGCACTGTTGCCATTCGCCTGCGTTTGGCGTTCAGGGCAAAGGAGGAGAGGAAGAATCAAGTTAACCAAGCAATGGTTTCGAACATGACAAAGCGGTCAGGCGATACCGAACTAATATGCGGCAAGATGTCTCTTCTGACATGTGCTGATCCCAAAATGAGGGTTGAATCAGTTTGCTAACCTGTATACTCGAAGGCCCTGGAGATGAACTCTTTCCGGACTTCGACGTCGCCCTGGTTAGCGTCCAGCAGCACAACGAGACCGCCAGATGCAACAAAACGTGCAACAGTACTGATATCTTCTGCGTCCGAGTAGATGGCAGGTCCATTTTGCGCCGGCACGATGTAAACGCTACCCTTTGGGAGCGCCAACAGGTCTGGCTGGCCATCCGTGGCGACATCAACTTTCAATCCCAGCTGCAGAATTTGAGCGATAAGGAAGCTCGGGCCGTTGTCCCAGCCTATGTCAAGGACTCCGGTTTTCGTTGACATGTACACGGACACAACCGGTGGCGAATGTTGAGAGCTACCAGTGACCGTGTAAGCATGTAACAAGTAAAGTAGGCCGCAAAGGGCCCCTAACTGAGCCCGGAGGCCGCAAGGCGCCATGGCTGAGGTGACGCCAGGGGTGGGCTATTCGCCGAAGGACGGGAATGGGAACCACGAACTTGGCGTTGAGTGTGTTAGGTCATGGCCTAGCAATTAGTATTTAAAGCGATTAATTCAACGGTTCCGAGAAGTAGTGGCCGTACAACCGTCGACGAAAACTGGCGCGCAAACATGCAAAGCAAGCCTGGTTCAGCCCACACACATCTCGTTACTTCCAAGGTCATGTGCTGTTTTATATAGATCCTTTGCAACAACTCCAGCCGGTGCACGGCTCTACGTTTGACGCTTTGCCGAGCCACGTTTATAACTGGTACAAATAACACTTCTAGTAGCCAATAATAATATACCATATGGCAGCTATATGGTCTAGCGCAAAGCTACTTGCGCCGCACTCCATCCCGTCCCGGCCGAGCACAATTCCACTCGCCCTGCGCCCCGTATGCCGACTTTACCCCGCATGCTCGCAAAACTCATGCAGTGAAAAGCAACAAAACATGGCCCATAGAAGTATGAAACTATAGGTGAACTTCACCGAAGTTGCCATCCAATTGTAGCTTTCACCGCTTCAAGTGAAAGCTTGGTATATTGTAACAGACGGTTGTTACATAATCCCCATACTGAAAGGCCTTAGACTTCCTGCGTTAACAGTGGCTTTGGATCTTTTTTCACTAGAACGGTGTACCGGTAACCAAGTAGCGAGGACCCGGCGGCCGGAAACATGGCAGCCCGGGACAAACCCGCGGCCTGCACCTTGTCGCCTTCGTATTTGGCTTGGGTGGCTATCGTGTGACAAAGCTTCCTGGTAGTCCTTAGATGTCTGAGGGATTCTTTGCCTGTCCTCACCAAGGAAGAATCGGTTTCAGCTGTTCGACGCAGTACAAGACCGGTATCACCTGGTACATGCCCTACTGTGGACAGGTGCATGGGTGCGCACACCGTATAAAGTTGGAAGGGATGTTATGTAAGGAGGTGTTTCCACCATCCGGAAGGTTCAAGGATTCGAGTCACTGTATCCGTGAGCTTCCGCAGTGGACACGAAGTCCTTGTCCATGCTCTACACTTCTATCTCTTCACCCATGTAGGCGCAAAGCCCCATTCCATTGACGCAGAAGCTGGCAACTCCTCTACTGCATGGCCTCATTCCCTCACCCTCGCCGTGTACACCTAAGGCCGGCTTGGCTGCAACTGCACGCTAGCCGACGAGTGAGAAGCCCTTGCAGCGCTGGCAACGCCATGCAGAGGCATCAGCAGCGGTGTGGCGGGCTACGGCAGCTGCTGACGGGAGCCCCAGCACGCACCTGCTGATTGGAGGCGCCAGCAGGACACTCCCACAGATGCACCATATCGAAGCGGCTTTATACCGCGGTGTCACGCCCCGTTGCGGGCATGTTCATTCTATCGGCAGGGGCAGTTGCGACAGTGGCCGGTGACCCGCGGTTCGGCCAGGTTATGGCTGCGGGGAGTGTGGACCCCAGTGGCGTTAGGCGTGCAAGCCGGCGCGTGGGCCGGACAGCGGAACCCGGCACACGCTGCTACCGGTATGCCTGCAATGGGTTGCGACCTCGTAACCCGCTCTGGCTTACAGCAGAAGGAAAGAAAGTCGGTTTCATGACTCACCGTTGCGTTGGAAGCCGCACCGACTACACGTAATATACCCAAGAAGTAAGCCTCGGAAGCGAACACGTGTGCGCCAAGTAGCAGGGTGGCTAGCAGGGTCTGGGCCTGGGCGTCGAGTGCGCGCTGTGCTGGCATTTGCCAGAGATAAGAAGTAGGAGATGGACATAACATGGCATGTCATAGCTTGCTACAACGGGTGTGCGTGAGTTGCACAAGGGCTGGCAGATAGGGGGCAGTGGGTCGGTTGGAGTCGGTTGGAGCTAGGAGACTGCAGCGTTGCTTCCTGTGCCGAATAATGCCAAGCCGGATCTTTGGCACGGATTAAGCTTTCGTTCTGTCTGCATCACGTGTACATGTTTGGGGCAACAGCGGTGAAGACGTTGGAAACAGATGGCAGCCACAACTACCGGCAACTGGACCATCGCTATCTGCGTCTAGCTAGACAGTGCAGGCGCACGCGAAAGCTGCCAACCAGGAACAAACAACCTATGACGGCATGCACCTAGCATGCAAGTTAATTAGAGCAAAGCTTGCGAGTAGCGACGCACTCTTTGGGCCGCGCGCCTGACCCAGAAGCACGCCTTGACTATTCGAGTTTCTGGGAAGAACTATCAAGTATAATGGGACTCTGCTTTACACTGTGAAATGCTATGAGGAGACGCGCTGATGGAGACGGTGCCATTCGGCCTTAGTAATAACATGTCAACGCTGTGGCGAGATCGTACCTTGGAAAAACACAAAAAGCAAATGCACCGGTAACCGTTTACAGTTATAAAACATTAGTAGCCCTGGAAGTTTAGGCTGCCGACTTTCGGGAGCGGTTGATGTGCATTTTGATAAAGCTAAGTGCGCAGGTGGGACACGCTCTGCATTGCTTCTACGACGTTAGAAGAGGTGCCTTGCATTTGGTAGTGCCTTGTAACTGTGGTGCAATGCCTAGCTATGCACTTGGCGCTAGAATTCTGCCTGCCGGGCTTGCTGTGACTTGCTGATCAATCTCCATGTGGCACGGCCTATAATGATGCGTTAGCCACAGTGTGGGCGCGGTCCGTCTGGCAGTGGATGTGACAAGCAAGTACGCCACATATGCTCACGCATGCCCTTTCACCAAACTTTGTATAGATCTGGACTATATATAACATACACTATACCTCAATGCTTAAAGCTCGGGATCTTTTGTAACTTCCTAGGACTCGTTCTTGTCTTCTCCATGTCCGCGAACAAACCGGAACCTGCACTGAATGATGCATGCAATGCTACAGCGAGTGATGCGTGCAAGGCTACGGACAGAGGGAAAGGTACACCGTCGCTGAGTGCAGCGGAGGGAGTGGACAATGGTACTCCAAAGACCTCCGCGGTTGCAGCCTGGGCAGCTCTTATCTCGACCCAATCACAGGCACGTAGATAGATGGTTAATTAGGGATAGTGCTGACGTTTGCCACCAACTCTTGATTGTGCGACGCTAATTACGTTCACAGCATCCAAGCTTGGGCCTGTGTGGAGGTCAAGCAGCCATATGGCACGACCCAGCCACTGGAGGACTGTCGCTGTGCCATGGGTCAGGTCGAAGCAAACAGCTCTGCCGTCTCGAGGTGGGTGTGCCCATCCTATGCGTCGTCGTATGGCCTCCAGGCTTTCAGGAGCTCCGGTCCCCCTTGTAACCTTCGCATTCTAACCTGTCACCTGCACGCCCATCACACGCTGTAAGCAAAGACACCTCGTTTGTTCTCCATGGCCTGGTCACAATGGCGTTGTACTACTGACACCGCCGGAACCTTCAATGACCTGCTCAAGCAACTTCGCTCCCGCCTTCCCCATACCCAAACCGGTATTCCCGCCTCCAGTCCTTCCACATTCGTGCCTCTCTTTTAGGGATGCGAATTTTACAGTAAACGGGTTTTGGGGGACTGTAATTACGTAACTGTAATCTGTAATTACTGTAAGACACTGTAATTACACCCCAAAATGCCGCAAAGGGGAAAGTGTAAATTACAGTGCCGTACCGCTTGTACGGCATGCCCCAAATACCTCTTAATCGCGACCAAACGTGGTATTTCTTGTGCCTTGACCTTCCCTCTATCATTGTAGAAGCAGAGACCGGAAAAGATTGGGCATTGGCGGCATTTGAGCTTACTTCCTGTTTCCAATGTCCATTGACATGGTAAAATTGAAGCGGCACGTACGGTCCCAAACTGCCAGACATGGTTGCCTAACCCCCTTGTTGCTATATTGGTTAAGAAGAGAACTGAGCTTACGTAGTTTCCTGTGCCCCCGGTTGCCCATCAAGCCATCCATGTACATGGATGGACATGGCAGTTGGTTCTTATGACGACGAAAGGTACCGCGACGACCCACGAACTGTTTGTAAGGCACCTGAACACGTTTTCGTGGCATTCTGGGCAGTACTGACACCACTTTCATTGCAAAAACGGCAAGAAACACACCGTGACCCATTGGTCATTTACACCCCTTACACTTTTCGGACCTCCTATGGAGTGTAATTACGTAAGGGGTCAAAACTGTAAATTACGGTACCCTCTGTGGCCGATTTACGTAATTACGTAACTGTAATTTGTAATTTACGTAACTGTAATTCTGTAACTCCCAACCCTACTCTCTTTACCTTCCCCTGTTTCTCTCATCTCCTTCCTCCTTTCAAATTGTACCCAGGTGGTGAAACCCCCGGTGCCGTCTCTGGGCCCTCCCATCGCCTTGCTGACTGCCCTCGTCCCCCACGTCCTTAACGTGGACTCCCGCTTGCTGCTGGAGGGGCAGAGTGCCGCGCTACGTAGCGGCTCCGAAATCAAAATCCGCCTCAGCGCCTTGCCCGGATTCTCATCCCCATCCCCGCCCGGATACCGAGCCGGGGGATCTTCCAGCACCGGCGGCACAGTATGCTTCCTCTTTAACCCGCTGAACCTGGCTGCTTATGAGGAAGTAGGCGGTGCTGCAGGCGCCGCTTCGGTGGAGCCGCCGTCAGCGGTTGCTGGCACCGCCGGCGCCGACGCAACCAGCAGACTGCGGCGGTTGGAAGCCCAGGCGGCCGCCATCCGAGCAGCGCTGGTGCGGTCAGCTCGGCAGCTGGCGGCGGAGGCGCAGGCGGAGGCGGGGGCGGCTGGTAGTGATGCCGCCGCTTCACTGCCATACAGTCATGTGAAACCGTCGCGGCATGGGCCGGGGGACCCGCGACTCGCGGCAGGCGCACTACCATCGCCACATGCAGAGGCGGCGGTCGCTGACACCGCACCCCTCAGCGATGCGCCCGCCTGGCCGTCGCATCCCCACAGGCACTCGCTTTCGCAGCCTGGCAACTCGGGCTTTGCCGGGGGGGCTGCAGCGGGTGCAAACGCGCCTCTGGGGCAGCTTGGAGGCAGCTTGGGGCGCCTTCTCTCCGCCCTTACCGCTGCAACCGCACCCAAGCAGCATCCACAGCCCCCGCCAACGACCCATCCACAGCTTCCACCTCGGCTACAGCAACCGCAGCAACAGCTCCCAGGTCCGCGATTGCATGGTCGCGGAGGGCAGGCAGGCCGGGAGCAGCCCACCGCTGCCGATGCAGCTGCCGTCGGGGCCAATGCGACCGGACCCGCAGGTAGCATGTGGTCCCAACTGTCAGGCCTCTGCGAATTACTGTCCGCCGCAGCGCCGCCGCCGCCGCCACCTCCCGTGAACGCCGCTGCGGCTGCCGGCGAGGGCGCACCGGAGCTGCAGCCGCTGAAGATGCTGCGGGAGGTACTGGACGAGGTGCTCCTGCTGGGCCGCGGGGGTGAACCGTCTGCGGCTGGCGGGGCGGCGGCGGAAGGGCCGTCAGGAGGCACTTCAACTGCAGGTAATGGGGGCACCCGGCCCTTGGAGGAAGCGGCATGGTGTGAGCTTCGGCCGGAGTGGCTGCACGCGGCTGCGGGACCGAGCGGCTCCACTGCAGCGGGCGCTGCAGCCGCAGCAGCACCCGTAGCCGCACGGCCTGCGAGGGAAGCAAGCAGGAGCTCGGGCCTTGACCATGTTCGCGGCAACCTGCACAAGCTGCAGTCCATGATGGCAGAGTTCGAGGCGGAACTCGCAACTGGGTTGGCGTCGTCCGTTGCTGAAGTGGACGAAGGGCGTGTGAACCGGCAAGACGCGCCTGTCCCTGCCCCTCCGCCTCCGCCTCCTCAGCCATCAGCGCTTGCATCATCGTGGACGTCGGGTGAGCAGGGCTCCCTGCCGCGTCGCTTGGTGCCGGGAGCATTCTCATCGCCGCCACCGCGGCCGCGGCAGGTCGCACCTGCTAGCTCCGCTGCATGGCAGCTTCCGTCGCTCTGGTCACAGCTTGGAAAGGCACACCTGCCACAACGGGAGCAGCAGCAGCAGCAGCGGAGTGAGTCAGCCGCCGCGGCTGAGCCATCTCAGCAGGGGGTGTACGGCAAGCCACTAGGCGACTTTGCGGCGCTGGAGGCCTTGATACGTGGGGTGTTACAGACGCCGGACGCAGCGGAGGCGATAGAGGCGGCATTTGGGATGGCGGAGGCAGCGGCTGAAGTGGCGAAGAGGAAGGCTGAACTGGCGAAGACGAAGGCTGAACTGGCGGAGGCGAAGGCTGTGGCCGCAGCGGCGGCGGCGGCGGCGACGGCAGAGGCTGCAACGGCGGCGGCAGAGGCTGGGAAGGCAGGGCTGGAGCTCTTGGCCGCGGCGCCGGTGCCTGGGAAGGCGGGTGTGGCGGATCCGTTGGTGGGTGGAGGCGTGTCGGCAGCTGTTGGCGAGGCGGGCGAAGGTGGGTCAGCTGCCATGGCGTTTGAGTTTGACACGGCGGCGGCGGGAGAGGCGGTTGCCGCTGCATCGCTACAGGACGGGTCTCCGGTGATGGAGGGTGAGGGCGACGGCATGGAGGTGGACGCGGACAAGGTGGTTTCGGAGGCTGCGCTGCTGACAGGCCCCGAGGAGCCGAGCGGTGGTGGCAGCGGCGGCGGCAGCGCCACAGCAGGTGCTGCTGCTGGTGGGTGTGTTGGATTGGGTGACTGAGTGGATGCTGCCTGCGTGTGGGACTTTTGCTTCTTCCAACGCATGCATTACCTTGCTTACAACGCCTGCTCTGTTTACCGTGTTATTTGCGCCGGATAACAAGGCTCACTCTCTGCAACTCCGCTACCTCTACCTCTCGCACGCCTGGGTCACAGCAGGCGCCGCAGCTGCCTCCGCGCCTGCTGCTGCTGTTGCTGGTCATGGGACGTCGTCGCTGCCAGCCCTTGCACCGCCAGGCCTGTCGGAAGCTGCGACCGACACCGTGGTTACGACCGGTGCTGGTGTCGGTGCTGCTGCGGGTTCTGATCCTGAAGGGGCGGTGGCGCCAACGCCTCTGCGTGCCGGCCCGCCGCGGGAGCCACTACAGCAAAAGGAACAGAAGCAGGCCGACTCACCCCCTGTTGCTGCTGTCGCTGACCCCGTCCCGTCTCCAACGGCTGCTGCTGCCGCCCCCGCCGCGGCTGCTACGCCTATCGCACCCCCGGCTGCGGCACCGCTGCAAAGCGAGTTGGTCGCCAAGCGGGTAAGGAGGAGGTGTCTTGTTTTCTTTCGCCATCCCCGACTGCTATACCCCTCTTAGCATGTCCCCCGGTACCGGTATTCTCCCCTGCTGTCACTCCAGCACTGCCGATACGCCCCCCCCTGCTGCACCACAACCCCGTTACCCGGCTTACCCCTACCCCACCTTGTTGCTGCTGCACGCCGGCCTCCACCCCACCGCATGCGCGCCCTCATGACCCCAGGTAGCCGCCTTCCGCTCGGAGCTCTCCTCCCCGCACGCGCTGACCCCTCCCGAGGCGCTCCCCGTCGACCTGGACAGCCTGCCGTACTACCTTGGGCAGGGAACCAAGGTACGCCTCGGCAGGAACAGGGGGAGGGGTTGAAGTCATCCCGGCGCTGGGCCCATTGGTTTTACCCTCACACGCCCCCTCTCGCCCCCTCCACCTCCCTCTCCCCTCAGGAGCGGCTGCTGGCCACTGCGCGGCTGCACCTGCACCACAGCCGCCTGGCGTCCTTCACCTCCGACCTGCCCTGCATGAGCCCGCGGGTGCTGCTGGTGGGGCCGTACGGCAGCGAACTGTATCAGCAGGTGGGTTAAGAAGGGGGAAGGGAGGTGGCTTGGAGACGGGGTGCGGGAGGTGGCTTGATGAGGGAGGGAACACGCGCTCCATGTCAGCAGGGGGGTTGCAACTTGTAACGGCAGTATTGCTGCAAGCTACAAAGCCAGGCGCTGGTGCGGTACTGGGGTCTACTACGACAGCGCTGGTCGTGGAATCCCCGGTGCCGAAACCAAACTGCAGGCACCCTCCATGTTGGCTCTTATCCGCCATGCAACTCGCGCCGCTACGTTTACACTGCTATCTCTTCCCTCGCACCCATGCATGCTGCTATCCCATGTATGTTGCCTCCCATCCGCTGGCCTCACGCGCCGTCCCATCCCCCTTGTCCCCTTGCCCCACTTCCTGGTTCCACGTGTTCCCCTGCCCCTCAGGCGCTGGTGTCGGCGCTGGCTGCCTCCTGCGGTGCGCAGCTGCTGGTGCTGGACAGAGCGGCGCTGGGGCTGCTGGAAGGGGCGGAGGCGGGGGCCGGCAGCGGAGGTGGAGGTGGAGGAGGAGGAGGTGGTGGCAAGGGCGATGGCGAGGGTGGAGACGATGGTAGGTCGAGGGGTGCGAAGCTGTGAACACCGGAGGCGGCTTGATGTTTGTATCTACGTTCAAGGGCAAGAACAGCTTCCAACCACAGACACCCTGGGTTTGTACCTAGTGCTTAACCGGCCTCCACAACTGACTTCTCTCAATTAACTGCCACCCCGCAGAAATGGATCTGGACGACGACCTGGACGACCCATTTGACTTTGGATTCGGTTTGGATCCAGGTCGCTTCAGTTTGTCATCATCTCGCTGGCAGGGCAGCGGCTACAAGCGCCGACGGCTGCTGGGGATGTTCGGTCCCGCGGGGGCTGCAGGGGTTGGGGGAGCAGCAGGGGGCGACAAGGGCGGCGCCGGTGCAGGTGGTGGGGGTGGGGGTGGTGGCGGTGACAAGTCCGGCGGTACCGGAGCAGGAGCGCGGAGCGGGGGTGCTGCGGGGGATGACGGCAGCAAGGGGGCGGCGGGCAGCCGGGAGCTGCGCAAGGGAGACAGGTGAGGCATGCGAGTTGCGACTTGTGGGGGGTTGTCCCATCTGGATTCCACTAACCTCATCCCGCTGAGACTTGTAGCTACTGCCACCTCGCCTTTCTCTCTCCCTGCCTTGAGTCGTCCCTGCCCCTGCCCCGCGCAGGGTGCGCTTCGTGGGCGCTGGCGGCTACCAGGGGTTGCCTGGAGGCCTGGCCTCATCCCTGATGGGCGTCTCAGGCGGACCCATGGGTCTCTTCGTCAGCCTGGGCAACCGCTCGGCGGCAAGAGCGGCGGCGGTAAGACTGTCCTGCTGCAGGGTCCTGCTGGGGAAGCCTGGGTGGGACCTTGTATGTAAACGTGGGGCCGGGCAGCCCGGACGCACCCCAACCGCTGCTTTACTACAGGCAGCCACCTGTCCCCCCGTCCTCCTCTTCCGCACCCTGCCACAGGCCGGCGACTCCGCAGGGGCCGGCGGCAGCTCCAACCGCGGTCCCGCCCCTGGAGCCACGGGGCGAGTGGTGCTCACCTTTGAGGACAACACCCGCAGGGTTGGTGTGCGCTTCGACGCCCCGCTCCCGGCCGGCATCGGGCTCGACCTGGGCGGTGCATGCGAGCCGGGGCACGGCTTCTTCTGTGCCCCCGGGGACCTCATTCCCCTGCCGCAGCCGTGGTCCCAGCAGCAGCGACAGCAGCAGGGGGAGCCCGGGAAGGGTGCGGGAGGAGGGGGTGGCGGTCGGGCAGGAGGCGGCGGTGAGGAGGCGGCGGGGGCTGAGGAGGCGGCGGTGACGGCGCTGTTTGAGGTGGCGACGGAGGCGGCGGCGCGCGGGCCTGTTGTGGCGCATATACGGGTGAGCGTACGGATGAGCCTGGAGGAGGCACTGGAGGTGTGATGGTGCTGGGGGTCTGCACATTGACCCACCGACCTGTTGGGAGCCCCCCGCCCACATGTTTTCCTGCTTGGCTAGGGCTTGGCTTCAGTTGTGTGTAGCCGTGTCCACCCGTACGGCCCTCCTGCGCGCCTTGACACGATGTGGTTTTGTTATGTTGAGGTAACAGCCCTCGCGCATGCCGTCTGCCTGGCCCTCCGTCCACCTCCCTGTCTCAATCTGGTCTGATCCTTATGCCTCATCTCAACTCTCTTTTGCCCCATCTTAACCGCTGTTGCTGCAGGACGCCGAGAACGTCGTGTTGGCCAGTCCCGATCGATGCAACAAGGTGCGTAAGGCCCTGGAAGCTCTGCCGCCGGGAGTGCTGGTAGTGGCCTCACACGCGCCCAAGTCCGGTGGTTTCGGAGCAGCAGGGGGCAGCGGCGGTTTCGGAGGCGGCGGCGGTGGTGGCTTGTTTGGGGGCGGAGGTGGCAGCTTGTTCCGTGGGCTTGGTGGAGGCTGTTGGGGAGGAGGAGGAGGTGGTGGCGGCGGCCCGCGCATGGAGTCTGTGCTGTTCCTCGATCCTCTCATCAGCAGGTATGTAGCTAGCAGGTATGTTTGTAGTGTGCCTCTTCATTACAGGTTGCATGTGATAAGCTCAAGTGGAACCAAGGGGGTCGCCATGGGGTATGTGTCTGTGTATATTCCGGGACGCGATAAGTAGAGCCGGTGATGGACTGTATGTGTGGTCCCTTCTCACATAAACGCAGTTTCAGCTGCTCTCACGCCTGCCACTTCCCCCGCCCCTTCCCACCTCCTCACGCCCGTCAGGCTGGCTGACAAATCCCGCGGCGGCGCCGGCGGCTCCTCCCCCTCCTCCGAAGACCTCCGCTCCGGCCCGCCCGCCCTGCGCGCGCTGCTGCGTGCCTTCCCCAACCGCGTCACGCTGCATGCACCGCCCTGCGAGCCCGCCGCCTCGGAGTGGAGGGCGGCGCTGGAGCGCGATGTGGGTCGCATGCGGGAGGCCGCCAACCGGCGGGCACTGGGGGCTGTGATGGGCCGCTGCGGGGTGGCATGCAGTGAGCTGGAGGCGGTGGTGGTGAGGGACCAGGCGCTGACGCCGGAGGCAGCGGAGCGGGTGGTGGGCTGGGCGGTGGCGGCCGCCGTACAGCGTGCCTCCGCTGGTGCCGCTGCAGGATCCGCTGCTGCTGTTGCTGCAGCGGCGGCAGGGGCTTCCTCCGGCGGCAGCGGAGCACCCGTAGCAGCCAGTCTGGCACCCTCTGTGCCCCCCACGAGTGCTGTCTTGGACGCTCCTGCTGCTGCTGCTGTTGGTGGTGGTATTGGTGCTGCTGCTGCGGCGGCGGCTGTGGAAGCCGGGACGGCAGCTCGCGGTAGCGGCGGGGATGCCAGTCCGAGCAAGGAAGGCACTGTAGGAGATCCCCACGGCCCCGAGCACGACAACGGCAGCAAGGGCGATGCGGGGGGAGCTGATGTCAGCGGCGGCACCGCTGGTGGCAGCAGCGCTCGGGACGCGTCCGATGCCGGGGATCAAGGAGCCACCAATGCTGGGGAGCAACAGCAGCAGCAGCAGTTCGTGCTGCTCCAGGGAGGTCAGCTGCAGGTGCGAGCGGCTCCTCTGGGCACACCGTCATTTTGAGCATGGGAGGGAGAGAGGGAGAGCGCAAGCCATACACACGGTAATCCTTTACACGAATAATACGCGGCATGACTCTCCGCCCTGCACCCTGCACCCTGCACGCCGCAGGTCACTGCCGCCGATGTGGCCGCTGCACTTGCCACGCTGCGTGCCGTGGCCGCGGAGCGCGTGGCGCCCTCCAAGCAGGGGCTGCAGGATGTGCAGGTGGAGGGCGAGTTCGAGAAGAAGCTGCTGGCGGAGGTGAGTGGAGAGGCACCTCCGCAGTAACTGTACGGCGAGCCGCTAAGGCACCCTCATTTGGGTCATTTCCATCTGGGCTATTTGATCTGGGTCTTGTCAGGACTGACCCAGATGAGGGTGCTGTGGCTTGCTATATAGTTAATGCGCCTCTTTTTTATGTACAGCTGTGTTACTGTGTGAGCCGCAGACGAGCCAAATGAACCATGGGTCGCCGGGTGTTGGCTCCGGTTGCCTTCTACCTACAGCTTACTACGCCTGCCATGTATGCATGCATGCTGTTTCTTCTTTTCACACATACATACCGTGCATATCTCCTTTATACCCCCGTCTGTAAATGAGTAACACACTAACACTGTACTGCACTGTACGACGTTTGGTTGTCAGGTGGTACCTCCCGAGGAGCTGGGTGTCAGCTTCGACTCCATTGGCGCTCTGGAGGGCGTGAAGGAGACGTTGCGGGAGGTGGTCATGCTGCCGCTGCAGCGACCCGAGGTAAAAAGGATTAGCGCGTACGGCATGTACGGCATACCCGTAAATCCTCACGCATAATGTATGTATGGCGTATATGTATGTAAGGTGCACATACGTGAAGCAACAGGGCCGCACTGAGCTGTGCATGTGTGCTGCCCGCTCTGTGCTGTGTCGTGCAGCTCTTCACGCGTGGCACCCTCACCAAGCCCACCAAGGGAGTGCTGCTGTTCGGTCCGCCCGGCACCGGCAAGGCAAGTAGGGGGAAGCATGCTGAGAACCTTGAAGGGTTAGCGTGGGGTGCATCGGTTATGGATGTGTGATCCGACCCAGAAGTCGCATGGGTTATACCCCTTGCGTGCCGTCATGTTATCTTCCCCTTTCCAGTCGAGCCTTGGCATTGGGATTTCCAGTGCTTCACTTTCCTTTCCCTTGTACCCTCCTTTCCATGCAGACCATGCTGGCTAAGGCGGTGGCGTCCGAGTGCGGCGCCAACTTCCTGTACGTCAGCCTCTCTAGCGTCACCTCGAAGTGGTGGGTTGTGCTTGTTGTGCAGCCACAACAGCAATGACTCAGTGCCCAAGTACGGTAGCAGTGTTGGGTCAGCGTGCGAGCAGTCGGCATTAATGCAGCCTAGTTTGAATGGTTTGTATGACGCAACCCCGCTCCCCTCCCCAGGTTTGGCGAGGCTGAGAAGTACATCAAGGCGGTGTTCACACTGGCGCACAAGATTGCGCCCTCCGTCATCTTTGTGGACGAGGTGCGGCGTTACCGTTCGCGGGAGGGCATGTCTTGACCCGCTGGGGTGCTCCTCCACTGTCTTGGCGCACTCCGTGTTCATCGCGCAGGGTTCTGGACTTCATGGGGTCCCTCTTCCTTAGATCCGTACCTCCTCATTCGGGTTTCCTGTAGCGTAATGCCCAATGCCGTTGCCTGATCAAGCAAGCGTACATGGCAGCCAGGCAGCTTCTAGGCTGCGCCGCAGAGGGAACGGCTTGACACGTAAAACTGTACGGTTTGCCGTACTGCCTCTCAGGTGGATTCGCTGCTAGGGAAGCGCTCGGGCAACAGCAACGAGCACGAGGCCAGCCGCAAGATGAAGAACGAGGTGAGGATAGGGGGCGGGGTAAGCAGCGCAACGTCAGGTGCTGTCACGTCCCCGGCTTCACTTCGCGCGTTTCTCGCTTGGCGTTGTGTCTCTCCCTGACCCTTCGCCACCCGGGGGTGCTCTGCAGTTCATGGCGCACTGGGACGGTCTCAAGACACGGCAGAAGGACCGGGTAATGGTGCTGGCAGCGACGAACAGGTGCGCTCGACCGGATGCTTTTCCGCTGCAGCTGGGGTCTGTCCTGTCGCCCCTCGTGGCCGCTGGGGGAGGAGTTGCTGTCCGGGTGACCTGCCGTTATCGTAACTGCCGTTACCGTTGTTGGTTGCGGTTACGCAGGCCCATGGATCTGGACGAGGCTGTCATTCGCCGCATGCCGCGTCGCATCATGGTGGACCTGCCTGATGCGCCCAACCGCGTCAAGATCCTACAGGTGCCGTATGTGGTGTAGGACTAATAAAAATCACACAACCTTTTGCGAAATAAACATTAGGTGCTTAAGGAGAGGGCAGACTTCAGCGCACGCGTGTTTTGCACTCGCGTTATGGGTTGTACGGTGCAGGGTAGGGTACTCGCCAGGGCATGACGGCAGAACTAACAGCCCGCGCTGTTTGTCGTACAGGTGATCCTGAAGGACGAGCAGCTGGAGCCTGACTTCGCCATGGAGCAACTGGCCGCGCTTACGGAGGGCTACAGCGGCTCAGACCTGAAGAACATGTGCGTGGCTGCTGCGTACCGGCCAATACGCGAGCTGATTGCAGCTGAGAAAGCTCAAAAGGCCGCTGCTGCTGGTGCTGGAGGGGCGACTCAAGGAGCCATCACCGGGGTCAATAGTTTGGCAGGTCCCGCAACGACGGTCGGGGGTTCGGTTGAGGTTAGCGGGCAGCAGAGGCCAGCGCCCCAGCTGAGAGCGCTTACGCTTGAAGATTTTAAGGCTGCTATGCAGCAAGTTGGGCCAAGCGTCGCAAGCGATCATGGGTCTCTGATGGCGGAGTTGCGCAGGTGGAACGAGTCTTTCGGTGAAGGGGGAAAGCGCAAGGCCGACACGCTTACGTACTTCCTTTGAGGCAGCGCGCATCGGAGCTTTGTGCACGGATTGATGGTATACTTGGAATACGATTGAACGGTGCAAATGCAGTGTAGGATGGCCGATACTTGTTGAACAATGGTTCGAAACCCTACGTGCGCCATACACTGCCGAACTAACGAGGCCGCTATATATGTTTTGATGTACCTTACGTATGTAGTATACAACGTATGTGTTAGCTTTAAGCAGTTGAAGGGTAGGGGCAGCATGGTGCACGGATTGGTCCCGGATTGACTCGTTGCTGCCGTACGGCTGTGGTGAAGGAGCAAATCCTGTAACTGGGCATATGTAAAGTATGTGCTGCCTGCTTCCGGTAGAGCTGCCACGAGTATATATGGCCTAGTTGGTAGCCAACGACTGTGCGATATGCCACGTACTTCAGGACTGTGTAGGCTTTAGGTAGACCTTTATGGATAGGATTTCGGGCATATTTCATCCGTCCAAATACGTATAAAAGCACAAGGCGTACCAAACCTATTACCTTTGAACGTGGCGTGTACTCGGGCATTGACAACGGGAGCCTTGGGAAGGAATAATGGGCCAGGGGCCCTCGTCGCCTCGTCGGCAGTACGAGGAGACGGGGCGGTTTCCTAACGAGCTGGGTGGTGAGGTGTTTGCATTCCTCATTCCCATTCCAGTCCGTTAGACCGCGCTGAGCCCGATGTGCTTTCGCGCTCTTGGCCACAGGCAACTTGCAGCCTGCTTCTACTGGTGACAGTATGCGTCCAGCACCTATGCCGACAGCTGCTTCTGTGGGTCCGGCCAACATTGCAACGTCAACGCGGCCTCCTGCCCTTTCTTTCGAGGCAAGATTGCATTATAAGTAAGGTTATTTTTGCACTTCTCGTCGCTTACTATGCTTTCGGGCACCTCGCAGGCCGTTCCAGCAGCTTCAACGGCAGCAGCGACACTTAGCACTTCGCACGCTCAGACAGCGGCACCACCTGTGGCAGCTGCCACACCAACAGCTCCAATTGCTATTCAGCAGGCCGGAGCTCCTCAGCAACAGCAGGCACAGCCGCAGCAGCAGGCACAGCCCCAACAGCCACAGCAGACCCAACAGCGCAGCACCTCGCACAAGTCGACGGCGCTTATCCCTGGCTGGTCGCGTGCTTTGTCGTCGCAAGCGCTGCAGCTTGAGTGCCAGAAAGCTCACCAGCCACAGCGCACAGACAATGCGGCAGACATATACGCGGTGCTGGAGCTGGAGGTTATGAAGTATGTTGCATACTGCGGTGGGATTACTGTCAAGTTCCGCGTAGATGATCTCCACTATGGCCCCGTGGACAACATTGTTTGGGGTTTGGCCTCGACGCGCGCTTGTCCAGCTCTGCAGACAACTGCACCGCAGTCCCCTACGCCCTCATCCAGTGCTGCTGCGAGTACGGCAGCCCCCGTGGCGCAGGTTGACCCAGGGGCCGCCCTGCCGACAACTCCCGCCTCCCCCACAACAGCAGCCGGTGCGGGCCCTAGCACCCCCACAGGCGCCCCGCAGGGGGCATCCGGTTGCACCTGGTCTCCTGCCCCGAGCACCGCGGCGGCATCAGGTGCGGCGGCATCAGGTGCGGCGGCATCAGGCTTGAGCACCGCTTGCCGATCTCTAGAGCTCCAGTCCAAGACCCTTCGACTTGCTTCTGCAGGGGCATCCCCAGTCATTGCTCCCAGCAGCAAGGCCCCTACCGTGGCAGGTGTGCCCGTGGATAGTATCTCCCGCAAGCCGCTGTACATGATCAGCTCAACCAGCACTCAACGCGTGGTGCAGCTGGGTGACGTGTTAAGCCTTGACCTAGCGCCCCGAGAGGACAAGCAGCCTGTCATCATGGCAACGCTCAAGCTGAACGATGCTGTGTTGTTGCAGTCTTCCCTGCCATGCAGTATCATCTCCTCCCTGCAGATGTACCCGTTCGTTACCGTTCTGCCTGGAATGTCGATATCGCTCCACGAAGCCACCACGCCCAGCCCGCTGTACACCTGGTTTAGCCCAACACCCAACGGTGCACCGGAGGCGCAGCTTTGCGAGCTTGACACTTGCGTGAAGTACCATACCTCTGCCACGACTCCCGTCAACCTGAACCAGCAGGGCTGCGGCACCAGTGTTGATTTCCAGGGCTCGACCGTTTTCACAAGCGGGCGTCACCGCTGGACTGTGCAGCTGGATAACTACGGACCGCACCCCACGCACATCTACGTGGGTATCTCAACCTCGTCCCTCGACACGCCCGTGGCGAGCGGTAGCAACATCCTTTCTAGCTTTGCGGGTCCGTTGCGTGCCCTGAACGGGAGCGGCAGCGCCGGTGCAGGCCCTTCTTCAGCGGCTGCAGCTGGGGCCATGCGCATGCCTGGAGGCCCGCTGCCGGGCCCCATTGCGTTGGCGGCCGGTGCAGCGCGCCCATCCACCGCCGCCGCTGGCAGCAGCGCTGCCGGAGGCGCCGGGCCATCTGGGTCACAGACCCCTCCTGGCAACGGTGTCGATGCCACACCGTCCATTCCGCGCCCGCAAGGCAAATGGGGCGCGTGGATGCGGCTTCCAGGTAAGGTGCCGTTGAGCAAATTCATGCTTGGGGAAAGAAGGTAATATGTCGGATGGACGACGTACTCAGAAGACTGGTGAATTCCTGCCTTGGTACACGTTGGGGACCACTCGTTGTTCGGCATGTACTCATTCCCACCTGCGATCTTCCATTGTAAACAGGTACCAACGCGGCAAATAACGCCAATCCCTCGCCGCTCAACGTACCACCGCCGCCAAAGGATGGTCTTGCGCACATGGCCGAATCCAGCTCCGCTCACTGCTTTATCACCGTGGATCTGGACCTGAACGCCGGCTATGTGCGTTTCTTCCGCAACGGCCACCTGATCGTGTCGGCCTTCACCGGGGTGTCCGCGCCCGTGTCGCCGGCCATTGCCTTCGTTCAGGCGCCAGGGCTGCACTGCCAGGCGGGCCTTGTGAACCTGACGAAGCTGCGGCAGCTGGACCTGCGTTGGAACAGCGAGAACTGTTCCGGGGACCTACGCCTGAACGGCCACAGCGTGTCCAAGGTGTCGGAGGTGTACGGCGACTACTCCACCGTGCTGGCCAGCCAGGGTGCGTCCAGCATTTGGGTTGTAGTGTGTTGCGGGGGGACAGCAGAGCTGCCGTGGCGCTGCGCAAAGGCCCCAAGGCTAATGGGCGAAGAGGGGGAAGGATGCTGGGCAGTGGCGCGTCCGGTCACGGGCGTGGCGTGACCCAGATGGGTCATCACCACAGTGCTGGTCACAATCTTACCAAAGGCATTCGGAAGCATGCCCATTTGGGTCAGATAGTTTTGCCTTCACTTTCCGCAACCGAGATGTGCTTTTGGTGCGTGCCCTCCAGGCTTCATTTCGGGAGTGCACCTCTGGCTAATCAAGGTCAACAACCTGTCGGAGCCGGACTCCATCTTCATTGGCGTCTGCCGCGGTTGCATGCCCCTGGACCAGGACCCTCAGGTGAGCATGGTTAGCGGCGACGTCCCAACTCCCATCCCAACTCCCAAATGTTGCTCATGGGACCTGGCTTGATAGGCCCAACGGTTATTGACGAGGCAAACGGCCGCTGACGAATACAACTGTCCTCCCGCAGGACCTCCGCGACCGCACGTACTACCTGTCCAACGGCGTTATCCGCGTGGGCGGCCGCCGCGTGGCGACCAACGCCGCAAACTTCCAGAAGGGTGACACCGTGGGCTGCGTGTTGGATGCCGATCAGGTGCGTGCATGGGTGGCATGTGGGTCGGAAACAATGGCACGTAGTGTGCCATGGGAGGGCTTTCGAGACGGGGGCTGTCTTGCAGGACTGGGGTGTGCCCTGAGTTGCCTTTGGCAGGTGTCGTGGCTGATAAGGGTGGCGGCTTGTTTTCGGGTACCTGATGATGTGCTGTGTCTTGCCGCAGGGTGAGATAATCTTCTTCCGCAACGGTGTGGAGCAAGGCCGTGCGCGCGGCATCCGCGGTCGGTTGTACCCCTTCGTGTCGTGCGACAGCGAGGGCGATCAAATCACACTGCTGGGCAGCTACAGCCTGCTCCTCAACCGCATCCCACGCCACCTCGCGGACATGGAGTGGGACACGCAACACCGCGGTCCCGACATTGATCTCTCCTCCAACTGCCTAACCGCCACCAAGTCTACCTCCAACGGTCCATCAACCGTCCGCGGCACGATTCAGTACAGCGGATCGGGCACCCACGAATTCCATGTGATCCTGGACACGCTGGGTCCCGACGGCGTCTGGGTCGGCGTCGCGCCGCCGCACATGGACCCGGTGCGCTGCGTGGGGGATGCTGGTTGCGGTTGGGCCCTTCACTCCGATGGCGACAAGCGCTTCGACGGGCGCGAGCAGGAGTTCACGCAGGCCTTTAAGAACGGCGACGTAATGACGGTGTCGGTCAACTTGGCAGCCGGCGTCATACGCTTTGCCCGCAACGGGTCGCCGCTAGGCGTGGCGTTTGAGGGGGTGCGCGGGCCGCTCGTGGCGGCGGTTACGATGGGCAGCGAGGAGAGCAAGGTCACCATCCAGAACCGGCCCACGGTGCTCAACACGGGCGAATACACTGGGGAGCTCAGGTGGGGGAAATTCGGACGGGTACCGGTATACAGGAAACCCGGGGCTCACATGGGTTCCTAATGCGCCCAGGCACTTGCCATGTTGAGCAGCGCCCTGCATCTGGGTTTCTCGTCTGTGGGGCCCGAAACCCATCACTGCTGCGGTCCTTGCCTACGCCAGGTGGGACGAGGCACGTGCCGGCAAGGACCTGAACGTGATCGACGGCCTCACGGTGACCAAGATGTCCAACGAGGGCGGCGACTACGCCACGGTGCTGGGCACGCTGTGCCTGGCGTCTGGGCAGCACAGCTGGAACGTGTACATCAACCACGTGGAGGATTCCAACCTCTTTATCGGCGTTACGGTGGGCGGCCACGACCTGAACGCAGACCCGCAGGTACGCTGCTGGGCGCGTTACCGGTACACGGGCACTTAATGCTATTTGCTATTTGTTGCTGAACGCCCTTAGGATACCGGTACCTCGTGCCTTTCCCCTTGGGGGTACAAGGAACAGGCCGGGTGTTGCTTAGCAACAGATCACGCTAGGGATCCTTCCTTCATGTTGCGGAGCTTAACTTCTTGGTGCCGCCACGACTTTCTGAACTGCTCCCATGCAGGAGATGAAGCACCGCACGTACTACCTTTCCAACGGCACCATCCGCGTCGCGGGCAAGCTCATCACGCGCTGCGCCGAGCCGTACGCCGAGGGCGACCTGATCAGCGTGCAGCTGGACATGGACCAGCGCCACATCTCCTTCCTCAAGAACAACATGCTGCAGGGAGCAGGAGATGGCCTGCCAGGTGGGCTTTGGGGACCAAGTTAGGACGACAGGTTGGAGCAGAAGCTGAGAGAACACCAGTCGGGACTCGGGGGGACATGCTATGCGCCACTCAGCTCAATTGTATTGCAATGCCATCCATGCATACACCATGCCCGAGTTTCTCACTCCGCAGTTCTTGGAGGCGCAACCTTGTTCCTGTTCTTGGTTCTTGCAGACGAGGTGTGGCCATACGTGTCGCTGGACAACATCATGGACTCCATCACGCTGCACTCCAGCTCCATGTTCGTGGACCTGGCGCACAGCCTGCGCTGGAACCCGCAGAAGGCCTCCAAGCACGCGCTGCTGTCGGCGGATGGGCAGTCCTGCACCCTGCGGCCTGCCATTAACCCAGCCACCGGCGCGGTGGAGGAGACCAGCGGCCAGGCGACCGTCATGGGCTTGCGCGAGTACTGCAAGACAGAGGTCCACAGCTGGATTGTCCGGTAGGTTTACCAACTCCCTTCCGCTCACATCGCGGCGCCCATTCCTTCCTTCCTTGCCTACCAGTAGTTACCTCAGTTAATTGCAATACTGTGCCACTTGGTTGCGGTTCACCGCCTTTCTGCCTCATGTTCACTCTTTAACACGCCGCTCCTGCCTGTGACACACGCAGGCTGGAGCAGCAGCTGCCCTGCCAGCAGCCCGCCAACTTCCTGGTGGGTGTGGCGCCGCCGACCATGGAGCTCAACCGCTCGCTGGGGGAGGAGCACTGCGGCATCGGGCTGGACTACTTTGGCTACTTTTACGTCAACGGGCGATACTTCCATGTCACCAACCTGTCCAACTGGTCGATTGTGGCCAAGCCGGTCAGGTGCGCGCGGTAGCTTTTTGCGGCTATTGAAGGAGGGGGCACTATGGCTCAGGATGAAGTTGAAAGGTACTATGTTCTACAGTGCATACATTAACCTCGCCCCTTACCTGGGCAGGGGCTCAACGGCCAAGCACAAAGGCAAGGCCGCTCCTATCTTCACGTTCGTGGATGGCAAGTGCGAGGTGACCCTCACCTTGGACTTGAAGGTAACCTGCTGGGCAAACACGCTACATGTTGCTGGATATACACACAGGATGCGTCCGCTTTCGTTGCAACCAAGCTCCAAACGTGTCTTGCCTGACTGTGGCTAGTTGCCGCTTATACTAACATGTGCAACCATGCCGCTCCACAACTCTTATGTGTTCCGTTTTGCAGGAGGGCACTTTGAAGTTCTCCCACGGCGGGCGAGCCATCGGTACCATCGCGGGAGTCAAGGGTCCCCTCCACGCCGCCGTTACAATCACCAGCTCCAGACAATCGGTGAGCCCATGAAGGAAACTGTGACTCAGGCTTGTCCCTGCGGTGGGCTTCATGCCCCGTTTGCCAATCCTTGGTTGTAATTTTTCCCATGTTCTCCGCCCTGCGTGAACCTCCAGGCGTCGCTTGCGCCCGGGCCGATCGGCAAGTCGGAACACACCAACGAGGAGCTGGTCAACATCCTGAAGGCCAAGGGCTGCATCATTCCCCCGCGCCTGGAGGCGGCGATGCTCGTCATCCCGCGCGACCTGTTTGTGCCCAAGGACCGCCATCGCGAGGCGTTCAGGTGCGGCGCTGACGCCCACACAACCGGGGTCTCCTCATTGCCGTACGGTGTCCCAGGATTCCCAAGCTGTCCCAAGCTGAAAACAGGTCTTGGCTTTTAAACTCTGCTAATGACAGCTCCTTTCCATGCCAAGAACCTCTTCATGTTGGCCACCTTACCTGCTAAAGAACCTCTTCCACCCCTCCCAAACCGCAGGGACCAGAAGGTCACCGTGCGCATGTCCGACGGGTCCACCATGACCCTGCCGCCTCCCAGCTTCGTGGCCATGGCGCTGGAGAAGCTGGGACTGAGCACGGGGAGCGGGGCCACGTATTTCCTGGACGTGGGCTGCGGGACTGGCTACGTGACAGCACTGGTTTCGTGCATACTGGGAGAGAAAGGTACGGCCGTGCTGGCTGGCCGTGCCACTGTATAGCCGCTGGTCTGTGCGATATAGCACCGGTACCCAGCCTCGGCTTTTGCGACTGTGTCAGCCCAAACATGAGCTGTTATTACTCGCTAAGCTTCTTGTCCCCTGTATCCTTGCACCCGTGCAGGCGTCATACACGGCATTGAGTGCGTGTCTTCCCGCTTGGAGGCGGCCCGCAGCAACATGAAGCAGCTGCGCGACCGATTGGCCGTGCTGGACCGCACGCCCGGCTCCAGCATCGCCGTCACCACGCTGGGCTGCAGCCCCGCCAAGTGCGTCTCCGCCATCGAGCTCAGCCTCAGCAACGTGCTCATCCCCGAGTGCACCGACGGCACCACCTACGACGCCATCTACTGCGACGCCAGCCTGAGTGAGGAGGACCTGCCCACCTTCCTGTCGCTGCTGAAGCCCGGCGGCCGCATGGTGGCGGTGATCGAGGAGGAGTCGCTGCTGGTCACGCGCTCCGCCAACCCGCATGACTTTGACCGCGAGGTCATCTCACAGGTGGGGCGCACTGGTTGAGGAGGTTTGGGGCTGGCATTCTAACATGGCCGGGGCGTGTGCCAGGTGTCCCATGTGTGTTCTATACGGGCTTTGTGAAGCGGCGTATCAAGGTGGTTCTGTTGCCGCGTGCTGCGTGCAGGTCATCGGGGACTTTGGTGAGCTGGAGGACCCAACGCCATGGGAGGTACAGGAGGCCATCGCGCGCATCAAGGATCGCGAGCGGCGGCGCGGCGTTGAGGCGGCGCGCGCCGAGATGGCGGCAATCCGCTCTTTTGAGACGGCGGAGATGCAGCAGCGCGTTAGCGCGGCCATGCAACGCATCGGTAGGCAATACATCGGATGGACCTTCCGGTGTTAGTGCGGTTATGTCCTAGTTACTTCTCTGTGGCGATGCTGACTTGCGATGCTGACTGCACACCAAGCTATTCTAATTGCAACCTGTACTTACTATGCTCAGGCGAGCTGGAGGGTGTCGTCGCACGCAGCAACATGATGGCACAGCAAGCAGCGGCCACAGCCGCACCGCCCAACGGTGCTCTGCCCCTGGAGTGCTTACCCTCGGTCGTGGCGCCGCCACCGCTGTCAGCCACCAGCTCCGCTCTTCGCTCTCCTGTGATGGCCAGCTCGCCAGTGCGGCCGCATCCCTTGCAACACCCGCCAAGGTCGCCCATGGGCGCCGCAGCGATGCGCCTGTCCGGCGTGGACGACGTCCGGATGGTAATCAAGGACAAGAGCCGGCGTGCGGCAGCAGGAATCAACGCAGCTGCGGGCAACAAGCCCTCGCCGCGCGGGCGGCACCACGCCGGCAGTGCCGGCGCTTCGTCGGATAGCAACTGGGATGAGCGGGAGCGGGGTCCGTGGGTGGCACATGGCGGCTCGGGCTCCATGCGGTCCTCGCGCAGCAAGTCGTCGAGCAACAACACCGCTGGGGGGGCTGCCACGCACGCCCACCCGCACCTGCATTCGGGAGCGGATGATGAGCACGACCAGGTAACCGGTTGACTATGCTCTAGGTAGCGCGCGGCTTTCCATATTTATTGCTTTCCCTCCTGCTTGTTATGTTTCCTAAATCGGCTTTCGGAGTCTTTGTTAACTCTTATGCCCGTTTCGCTGCCCCGTAGGCCACGGACGACTATGACGAGGAGCTGGACTTGGCCGGCGTGGTGCTGGACGCTTCCGGCGACGTGCACGTGTCCATGCCGCAGACCACCTTTGACGACCTGCTGGACAGCGTCTCCACGGTCCAGTCCTTCACGGTGGAGCAGGTGGAGGCCATGATGGTGAGCGGCAGCCCGCCCGTCACGGTGGAGGGGCGCGAGGTGTTCATGGGCAGCTTCAAGGGCGTCAAGGTTCGCATCTGGAAGGTCCCCGTCAGCCACTCCGTCTCCTACCTGGAGCTGCGCCGCGCCTACAGCCGCTACTGCATCTCCCACCCCAACATCACCGCCGTGCTGGGTGTGTGCATCCAGCAGGCCAGCATCCCAATCGCCTGGGCTGAGGATGACGCCAACTCGCCGTCCACGTCGGTACCCGCGTCTACCTCCACCTCTCGCGCCGCTACGCCGCAGCGACCCACGCATGCAGGTGTAAGCGGCTTGCGCAGCCCCTCACCGATGAAGGCGCCGGCACCGCAGCCCGAGGACGCTGCCGGCAGCACCGGCTTTGCCCTGGGTGTACAAGCGGAACGTCTTCAGCAGTATCAGGTGTTGTGGGTGGTAGAAGAGGCGTTTGGGGAGGAATCCCTACATACGCGGCTTGAGCGCGGCCTCCTTAGCTGGCAGCAGGTGGTGCGCCTCAGTTCGGACATCTGCAAAGCGTTGGCATTCTTGCAAGACCTGCGGCCCACAGGTTCCGCTACCGTCACTGACGTGGCCGGAGCCGGCGGCCTGCGCAGCTCTGAAGACTCTACAGGTGCCGGCCCATCATCACAATCCTCCGACGCAGCTCAGCAGCCGCAACAACAACAACAACAGCAACCCAGCGCGTTGCTGCTGTCGCCACACGCGTTGCGGTCGCTGGTCTCGCCCGCGAATGTGCAGGTGGACGCGCAACAATGCAAGCTCAGCATGCTACCTGTGTTGCTGAACCAGCTAGAAGCTGCGCTAGGCCCCTTGGGTGACGGCGGCGGCAGCCTGCTTACCGTCCAGGGCGTGGCAGGCGGCATGGCGGTAGCATCGAACTCTGCGGGGACATCTGGGCCGGGGGGCAACCCTGCCACGCCGCTTCATTGCGACATGGCCTACATCGACCCCGCCATCCTCTTCGTCGCACCCGATGCCTCCGCTCCCACTAGCTTCTACGCCTTTGCAGTGGTGCTGCTGCAGCTTCTGACGGAGCAGGGCCCGCTAGGGCTGCTGTCACTGGTGCGCGAAGCAATCAGCGGAGGCAAGCTACGCAACCTGGTCCAGCGACTGCCCACCGAGCCCGAGAGCGCTATGATCGGCTGGGCCGAATCCTTTGCCAGGTTGGCCCTGCGCTGCGCGGTACCCGGCTGCATCACCTCCCTGGAATCCGAGGTACTGCCAGCGCTTGAGGAGCTGGGAACACGGCTGGTGACGCTGGGCTCTGCTGCTTCGCTCAGTTGGGAGCAGGTGGAGGAGATGCTCATGCTGCCGCTGCAGCCGCGGCCCATGGCGGGTCCCGGCGGAGGTGCTGCAGGAGGCGGTGCTGCCGCGGGTGGGCTGGATACGGTGCATCGGCGCTGGGTGAAGCAAGACTTCCGCTGGCGACGCAAGCAGTTCCTGCAGGAGGTGGGGAAGCTGGCGGCGGAGGGGCCGGTACACAAGTTGGAAATCCGGCGCAACCGCTGCTTTAAGGACTCGGTTGTCATCTTTGCCGGCAAGGGCCATGCCGTGTGGCGGCAGCCGCTGAAGGTGACGTTCATCGGAGAGGCCGGCATGGACAGCGGCGGCGTGACGCGGGAGTGGTTCTCCACGCTCTCCTCCGCCATCTCCCGCGGCTCACCCGAGCTCTTCTACACCGCCGGGCCGCAGCGCAACCAGCTCTACGTCACGCCTACCTCCTCCTCGCCCGCGCACCTTAAGAAGTTTGCGTTTGTGGGGCTGTTCATGGCCAAGGCGATTCTGGAGAGTGCGGCGCGCGGCAAGGAGCTGGGTCCCATCACGTTGAACCTGCCGCTGTGCGAGCCCTTTTGGAAGCTGCTGCTTGGCAGTCCGCTGAGCCTGGTGGACCTGCAGCAGCTGGACCCCACGGAGTTCCGCTCGCTCATGTCCATCCTGTCCATGGACATTGACGGGCTGATCTTTGAGAACTTTGTGTGGTCGTTCCAGCACCCCAACGCGGGCAGCAGCGGGGCAGCGGCGGGAGGGAACTCCACGGCGGGTGGGTGTTGAGGTGTGGGAGGGAATGGTATCGTTGGGCGTGTCCGCATGGGATGTGGTGTTGTAAAGCTGGCATTTGGATGGCTGCTTTTACGCTGACTTGCCGTTCCCCATTAGCGGTTACTCTCCCCCAGTGCACGGCTTGACGCATTCCTCCCTCATGCTTATTCCCGTCTTCCCTTCAGGCGCTCCCTTCAACTCCGGTCTCTTCGGCAACAACAGCGCCGCCGCAGCCGCATCCACCAGCGCCGCCGCCACCACCAGCGCCACGGAGGAGGTCTCCACGCCAACTGCCGCCACCACCGCCGCTGCGGCAGCAGCCTCGCCGTTTGCCTGCTGCGACAACGACGACGTGTGCGCCAACGCCATTCCGCTCAAGCCCGGCGGCAAGCACATCAAGGTCACCAACTCCACGAAGCGTGAATACGTGCTGCTAAAGGCGCACAAGATGCTGGTGGGTACGGTGGAGGCGCAGATGAGCGCGCTCATCGACGCCTTCCACTCCATCATCCCGCGCGACCTGCTGGACAAGTACGGCTTCAGCAGCCAGGAGATGCAGCTGCTGGTGTGCGGCGAGCAGCGGATAGACATCCAGGACCTCAAGCGGCACTGCAAGTGGGTGCTGATGCTGGGGTGGTCATGGGTCGCAGGGAGGGAAACACAGGGTAGGGCTGAATCTCGTTTGTTGGTTCATGTCGAGCTGAGGGGCACACAATGACTGCTTCTAATTTTCAGGATAGCCCGTATACTGACCGTGTGCCCACCTCATGCTGCCATGCATCGCAGGTACGAGGACGGCTACACGGGCAAGGAGGATATCATCTCGTGGTTCTGGGATGTGACCGAGTCTTTCGATGACGTGCAGCGCCGCCAGCTGCTGCAGTTCTGGTCCGGCTCGGACGGCATGCCTGCGGAGGGCTTCGGCTCCATGGATCCCGCCTTCCATATGGTGGCGGTTGAGCGCATGTACGATCCCAACGACACCACGGCGCGCCTGCCCGCCGCTCACACCTGCTTCCGGCAACTGGACCTGCCGCGGTACGTTTCACGGGAGGAGTTGCGGGACAAGATCCTGTGCGCCATCACCATTGGCCAGGGCTACATGGCGTTGTCGTAGAGGACGATGCACGAATGACAGCACCAGGCTGGGTGGAGGTACAGACAAATGTAAACGTAGTGCGGTGTTAGGAGGTGATTTGGGCCGTTCCTGGTCATTCATGACTCTAGGCTGCTTAAGAAGGGTTACTGGACAGGGTTACTGGACGTCTAGACAGTTACTTCGTTACAGTCATGCACGGAACGATTAGACATACGCATCATCAGCTGCCTGATGCGTGCAACCTTAACGGATGTACCGGTAGGGTTTATGACGGCTGACGGACTTGTGCGTGCGTGGTCACTTTGCGTCAGTAGGGTTTGGGAATACCTCCAGAATCTTTTGCCTGCCCCGCTAATCTTTAGGAAAGGTGGAATGGGCGCCTGGTGCTTAGTTTTAAAGCGCGGGTGCATGGGTTGGGAGACAGGGACGTGGTTACCGACCGGGCCTTTTGGTACGCAGCTGCGATATTGCAACGCTGTGCTTGGCCCAAGTGGTGCTGCGAATGCATTCATAGACAAAGTGTCCGGGAGGGAGCGTTCATGTGCGCTGAAGTGTGCCTTCGTGTGCTAACAGACAGTTTGAACCCAAATCAGGTGTTTCGCTGCGTTAGACTCTTACCACTTGGGTGCAGGGTGATGATGGTTGTATGACGAAGCTTTTACGGACCGCTACGGCAATTGCTGTGGGCTTGGGTACATAGCCACGAGGAGCTGACGACTCTGGGCCTCTGTCCGTATCGCAGCTGAACAGTCATTGTTCGTGATTTTCACATGATTCAAAGCCATGTGTGTACAGGGAAAGAGTGCATGACTCTCTCCAGACTCCAGAGTTTGTAAGCCTTTGGGAAGCCCATATGACATGCAGCACTTCCAAGCCGTCTTCGCTTGTACCACTACCCCGGTGCGCAGCAATGATTTTGAACCCTCCTAGCCGCGACAGCGGTTAGTGTTGTTACCGGTATACGGGGTGTCACAGAGCATCTGCAGCATGTTGGGGTTGTTACATGAGGTGGCGCAACATGGCAACGCTGATCACCAGGCCACTGTACTGTGCGTCATAGCATCGAAGGACAAAACTGCATATAGGGGAAAATTTGCCACGAGTCGCAAATATGGTCAACCTCAACTCAGCTTCCCATCAAGAAATTAAAGTGGTGCCGACCGGGCCACCCCCAGGATACACGGCCAGACGTGGCTACCAGCAGCTGCCCTTAGGCCTTTGGCAGCATGCAGTCGTAGCCCTCGGCATCGTAGGCACGTGAGCGCCGGGGAAACCGCAGAACAGGCGCCCAGCAGCGCATACACCTTTCGCCGGTCCAACGTAGCGCTTCTACAGGTCACCGATCCAAGGTAGCGCGTTTACTTGTCGCCGGTCACGCTCTTGATGAAGGAATCCACGCTCTTCTTGACGCTCTCGCTGCAAACACAGCAACAGGCGGTTAGGAGCTAGCAGGTAGGCAGGCATGGGTAAAGCCCAGAAGCATCAAGCGCAGAAGCAAAGGAGAACATGAGCGGTTGTAGCACACGGGCAGGACACGGCTGACGCTGTGACGACATGGGGCTGTCCTCCTTGCCCTTCTTACCGCTCAGCTGGGTCGGTGGCGTAGCGGTAGGCGAATAGAGAGCTCACGACAAGGCCGATCAGCTGCAAGCCCTTGTTGATCTGCGGATAAAGAAAGGGACCTTCAGAGAACGAAGATGGAAAGAGGAATCCTGGCGGTTTGCACGCCAGTCAGGCTACCAGGAGTGCACAAATGCCACACCCAACCAGCAACAACAGGAGCTCCAAAGCATGGTCTGCCACCTACAACGGGGATGCGGTCGATAGCATCAACGGTGGCTCCGATGGCGATCTGGGCAACCACGACACCCCTGCGGTTATGCACACGGTTCAGCAAGGAAGCGTTAGCGGGATTGGGAACATCTCAACCGCAGCACATTAAGCTGCGCTGATTGTAAGGATGCGCATGGCAAGGCGGGCTGCAGGCTGAGGGGTGTCGTCTCTGAGGAGCAAGGAAGACCCGACCAGTCAAGGCGCGGGTAGCACAGCGCCGCTGTGCATAGAGCCGTTATGAATGCTTGCAGGCATGTGCCCCACGCTGCGACAATCCCCTAAGCCTTACAGCACGATTGCAATCGCCGCGGGCTTCTCCGCGTTGTCGGTGTTCTCCCACTTCTCCTGTACGGATTATGACAGTGGATAGGTTTGCGCTGTGAATACAGTGTGGGACATCCTTTCTGAACCCCATGCAACAAGAAGAACACCCAAACAACTAACCTGGACAAACTTCAGGGCCTCCGTAGCCTGGGCCTGAAGCTTCTGCATCGTCTCATCGGTCGACGTGCTGCTCGGGGTGCCCTCGGTTTCAGCGCGCACGCGGACGACGCCTGCGATCAGCGGAGCGGCGTAAACTGGTTCAGGACTATATCCAAGCGGTTCAATCGTCGTCGACCGCTCGACTGATTGATGACTGGTTAATGATCAGCGGCGACCCCAGATGTGTAAGAGATCAGATTTTAACACGTCGCGTCTAGACCCCTTATGCCTTACGCTTCTGGATAGGGGCTGGCACAGCGGAGCGAGCAACGCAGCGGGCCCTCCTGCAAGTGCGGAATGTTCGCAAGCCTAAGGCATACGAGTAGAGTTACCGTCGCCGTGGGACAGCGCTTGAAAGATGGTTGAAGCGCACCTCTGTAGGGAGAGGCCCGACACAGGCTTAGCGGACAGCGCGAACATCTTTCAGGAGGGGTCGGTTGATAATGACACGCCTTACGTGTAGATCAAATGTATGCGTATTGCAAACTAAACCTATGTTTGCGAGGCGACGCATACCATGGACTGCAAAAGAAGTAACCTGTACCCTCATCGCATGGTTTCGTAGCTGCCTGGAACCCCAATCGAGCAAGACCCAGACCTTTATGCGCAGTATGCAGTGTTTTCGTTTTAGCAGTTTTACGGGCGAACCTGGCGAACCGGGTTCCATATGTGAGTTATCCTGACAAACTTGCCGCCAAGGCGCAAAGCGCCAGATGCTATGGGGGACTATCAGCAGACAAATGACAAGTGGAAATTTATTTTCGGTAAGCTCTTAGTCGCTCTCAGGTGTACTGACCTAGCGCACAGCTGCTTGCGGATGTTGTACCCACATCCCATTGCAATAAGGTTAAACGCTGCTGATACAGGTGCCACCCCATCGTTGACGCCTAGTACCTCATTTCCACGGGAAGATACTGGGTCACAAGCCAATGCCGAATGCCAGCTGCCCACTCCTTGTAGCCTTTCGGGTGGCGATGGGCCCTGCTTCAACTTAGGCTCTTCTGCAGCGGGTAATCCCCTTTAGGGGCGGGTTAATAGGAGAAGCCCACTATCGAGGCTCATAAGGGTGATGTTATGCGACCCTCATGCAGCTTGCGGGTGAAAGACCAGAGCCTCCCACTCTCCTACTCAACTTTACACCGGACTTTGCATCACCCTGCAATCCTGGCCTGCAGGAGGCGCTCCTAACAGTGCACGGGGGCGCCAGAATGGCTCAAGATGGGGTGGCTCGCGCCCGCATCATCCCCAGCCTCACCGCCACCCAAGCGGCGCAACCCACATCACCACCACGAGTAGCGCCAACTGCAGTACCTTAGCCCTTAACACCGACGCCTCCGCCGCCGCAACCGAGGCTGGTGTTCATGCCAGGCCAACTCCCGTAGGCGATCCAGCCGCGACGACGGCGACAGTACCTATGGACGGTACGGCAGCCGACGGCGGCGAACCTCTGTACAACAACGCACCTACAACAACACCGCCGTACTCCGTTGCTGCTAACGGTCGCAATCGGGATGCGCTAGATGCGCTCATCGACCTGCTGCTTCTACCGGATGATGACGGTGGCGTTGCGGACAGTGCCTTCGCTGCGGACATCTTCCCGTCGGATGCCTTCCCCGCCGCCGCAGCAGCAACCGACGGAGCGTCTCCCGCGGCGGCAGCAGCAGTAGGCAGCAGCGGGCCAGCGGGCCAGGCAGGCCGGGCGGAGGAACCGACGTTGGCGGTGGTTGCGGGTGCGCAGGAGGCGGGTGCGCAAGAGGACGGGGGCGGCAGCAGCCCCGGCTGCTGGGCAGGTGGGTGCGGGCGAGCGCATGTTGGCCTAGGCGCTGGGGTCTCGACGCCTGGGGTGTGCCGTTCGTGACATGCGGTTGGCAGTTTGGGTTCCTGGTCATCGCGTATCACCCGCGCATGGCTTCCACCGCTTGAAGTGCGCCCCCCTACGTCCCCTGCCACAGACCTCCGCGCGCTGGCTGCTGCTCTGGACGAGGTAGAGGCCTCCATGCTTAGCGGCGAGGCTGTCGAAACAACCGATGCTGCTGGAACTGACTTAATTGAGGCTTTCGGCGTCGCCTGCAGTCTGGGGATTGACGGACAGCAGCAGCAGCAACAGCAGCAGGGCGAGTCAACACATGCCTTGCCATCTCAGCCGCGGCGCAGGCCCAAGGTGGTTGCCAAGAAGCATGGGAGCAGCCAGGCGGCAGGGACGTCGGCAGCGGCGACGACAGCAACGGATGCGTCAGGTAGGTATGCCAGAACGGTGTTAGCTGGGGCGTGGCTGGGCCTGCCGATGCTTGGGAAAGGCGGCTTGTTGCTGGGCGCTGTTGCTGCTGACACTCCTTACCGACGGTACCCCAACCCCGCCCCTTGCCTCCCGCTGTGACATCGTCTTGCGACCCACATCGGGTGGTCGAAGCAGCCTCAGCAACCTCAGCAGCCGCAGCTGCAGTTGGGGGTTCTGACGCCGGCAGCTGGCGGGTGATGCTGGCGGCGCCGGCGCCCCACAACCCAGAGGTACGTCTGACGTGGGAGCGGTGGCGGGGGGGGGGGACGAAGGGGACGGAACACGGACGCCGGTTGGGGTCCCTTCGCAAGCACGCTGGGGTACCGTATATCGGTCTATGACAAGTGACCTCCATGTGAGTGGTGCCAGAGCATCCGAAGGCAAACCCTTTGCCACGGCAATACATTTCTCATGACGTGTTTTGTTGTCGCTGTCGCTGACGTCAACCACTCCCGCTCCCAACCACCGGACTGCCAGGGCGTGGCGACGCTGCTCCTTGCCGGCCGGCTAGTCAACCCTCACACCGCCGTACCTGCACCCCTGCTTGCAGCAGCAGCAGCAGCCGCAAACCAACAACACCAGCAAACGCAACAAGCACGGCAACAGCAGCAGCATTCATCGTCAGCCTCTGGCGACGCTTCAGCTTCCTCCTCCTCCCCATCCGAAGCATTAAGAAACCCAGCTGCCAGCAGCACCGACACCACCACAACCACCGCAGCAGCATCCAACACGTCTTACAGTGCCGCCAGTGGCACCGCCGCCGCTGCCACCACCACCACCAGCAGCAACCAAGGCCCCGCCGTCGCATTGGTGCGCTGCGGCACGGCAGCCGAGGCGGCGGCGGCGCTGGCGTTACATGGTCGGCGAGTGTACTGCCCCCCACTGACGAGCGGCGGGGCAGCCAGCTGGCGACCGCTGACGGTGAGCGCGCCGCAGAACCCGCCACCCACCACCACCACCCAAACCTCTTCTCAACGGCTAATGCTTTCACATATGCCATCAAAACGACATGCAATAAGAATCCCCATTCCATTGGCTGTGTGCCCCTCCCCCCCCGCCCCAATGCGATCCCTGTCTGCCGTACAGGTGCTCCTTCACTCCCCAGGCTCCGGCAGCCTGCCCCTGGAGCCGCCTCCCTCCCCTGCTGCCGCTGCTGGCTCCAGTGCTGGCGCCTCCCCTGGCAGCAGCAGCCTGCAGCAGCAGAAGCAGGCTCGGGTGCGGGACGCAGGGCCCACCGTGCGAAGGGTGAGTGGGGTGGCGGCATGGCATCCCTAACGAACCCACCTCTGTAGCCCCCCCCCTCTGCCCCAAACCCCAACCTCCAACGGCCCAACCGCCCAACTCCCCGGCGTCCCCGCAGGTGATCCTGCGCGGCCTGCCGGGCCACCTGGGCGGGGAGGACCTCACTGCGCTGTTCGGCAGCGGATTGCAGCTGCCCTCCGAACACTGCCCCACACCGCAGGTGGGGGGCTAGTGTACGGTTCGAGGCTTGTTTTGCGGTAGAGGGGTACCAAGAGGGAACTGACGAGCTGTATGACGAGGCTTCACCATGGGTAGAGGAGGGTGGACCTGCGGCAGAGGATCACACAGCGTGCCGGTCTAACTGTGTTGACCGCGTGAGGCGACAGCGTTAAGCAGTCCATTAGGAGCCGCCGGTCCGTGTCTGGCAGGGGCGGCGCAGCGGCCCCATGTATGCGCAGTTAATACTCCTCGTTGGTTTCCTCAGTACCTCTGCACAGGCGCTAGCCCATGTATATCACAACACCCTCACCTCCCTCCTTGATCACCCCTGCCGCCCCCGTTGCCCTCAGGACCGGCGATTCCTGCTGCTCTGCCCCGACTCCGTCTCCTACAACTCGGTAGGGCCGCGTTCTGCGCATGCTTCTCAGCAGTGGTGCATGCGTCTTTCCGTTGTGGCCGTTAGCACTTGCCACCCTACATGCAGACCGGCAGCCCGGCCCCCGCAGCCTTGCAAACCCTTTCGTAGCAAGCTTCCTTCCTTTCTTCCTATACCTCTTACGCTACCTTGGCTCCCAAGCAGGGTTCCCTGTTGCCGCCCCTCCTCCTCCTCCTCACCTCATGACACTCATAGCCCGCTCCCGTCCCCGTATTGCTCGCTGTGCTCACCCTCCTCACAACCAGCTGCTGTCGTGGCACGGCACTCGGCTGCCCGATAAGCCGCTCGACGCGTTGCAGCAGATCGTCCCACGGGTCGCTGGATGGTGCACACTGCGAGTGGAGGTGAGCTCCGTATATGGGTTAGGGCGCGGTGTTAAGAGCACGAGTAAGAGAACAAGCAGGAATACATAACCGTGTTGTATCTTTGTATCTTGAAACATTAGGCTTGTACTACGAATCCATCATTGCGCTCTCGCTCTTTTTTTCACGTGACACTGTTTCCCCTCCCTTGTACGGTACTTCCCCGCTGCTCCCACTCCACTCCCGCCGCAGGAGGACGACGGCATCCTGCTTCCCTCCCTGGTGTCAACCCTGCTGGCGGAGGCCCGCCGCAGCGGCGCCGCGTATGCAGACAGCGCCGCTGCCGCCGCCTTCACTACCGTACCGCATCACCCCCCTTTCATGCCGTACCAGCAGCCTTATCATCATCAGCAGCAGCAGTACCCCCGTGTGGCGGGTCGCTACCACCCAGCTGAGCTAGACGCGATGGATGAGGCGGCCGCAGCAGCGGAAGCCGCCATGGCGGCAGCGGAGGCGACGTCAGCGGCGACGGCAACCCTCGCGTCAGGTTGGAGTCAAGGTGGTGTTTCCAGGGGCGCTGTGGATTTGCCCGATGCAGCAACACCGGCGACAACTGTTGGTGGAGCAACGACGACCACGGTGCATGCAGCACCGGCAAGGGCGGGCAGCATGCGCAGTACCGGCGGCAGTAGTGGCGCCCGTGGCGGCTCGGGTCAACACACCAGGAGTCAAGCCCACGCGGAGGTGGAGGACTTGGCGGCGGCAGCGGCGGCGGAGCGAGCGGAGAGCTCCCGCGGTGCTTCGTCTAGCGGTCTGGCAGCACGGCCAGCACCGCGACCCCGCCGCGCTGGGGCCGCTGCCGCTGCAGCGGCGGCGGCCGCCGATATAGGCGGTTTTTATAACTCCAGCAGCGGTTTGTTTACTCCCAGTTGCGCCTGCTGCCCTCCGCCTGGATTCGGTGTCGGCGGCATGGGCGGTGGCGGTAGTGGCTTTCCCCGTCCTGCTGCTGCTGTTGCCGCTGCATCTTCCTTGTCTACAGCGGCTTACAGCACCACCACCACTGCGGCACTGTCCGGTGGCAGCAACCAGCAGCAACAAGTGAACAGTTGGAGCGGTGCGGCGGCGGTTGAGCTCCTAAACAAGCTACTTGCGCTAGGCGTGGGCCCGGGGCCGGGAGGGGACGGCAGCGGTGGTGAGGGCGTGCAGGTGGAGGAGGAGGAGCGCGCGCCGTTCTCGCGCCGGAGTCGCAAGCGCATGCCGATGCATTTTGGGCGGCGGCCTGAGGACGAGGAGGGCGGAGATGAGGAGCAGGACGAGGGGGATAAAGAGGAAACAACTAACTGACGGACGAGGGGAAGGAGGGGCAGGAGAGGGGGCAGGGGGCGGTGGGACACACCAGCGGTATTGGGAGTTAAAGGAAGTGGCGAGCTTGCTCGGTAACTGCGGCACATGAAGCTTGCGGTTTTGAAGGTCCTCAGGGCTGCTTAAATGAACTACTACACAACAGACGGCTTTGTAGAACATACTGTGCGGGACCTGGCTTTCCTGGCTGTGCACCGAATTCACCGGCGAACCTCTCTCTGCTAGCTAACGGTTGCGACGGTATGCGGCGAGAATAATAAGTGCAGCTATAGTTCTGTAACAGTGCGAGGATGTGAGCATCGCGTGGGCAGCAACTGACAGGGGATGTACAACATGACGTCAGCATGGGTGTCAGCGTGGTCCCTGTGTGGGCGTGGTCCCAGCTACGTCAGTGCCTGCTCACTGCTTACGAAGGTTAGAAGCCTGCGGGTAAGCTTATTAGGGTGATAGCCTAAGGTTCAGTGCTGGTCATGAGAGACAGAGTGGGATGGCTTGGGAACCAGGAGTGCACGGCCAGCTGAACAGGCACATGCAATGTTGATGGGGTCCGTGTGTCCTCTAAGCCCCATTAACATGCAGGCGTCCGGCAGCTGGTCGGTCACAGTGAGCCGCAGCGTTGAGCGTTCTAAACATGCAGTCCTGTGCTTACACGGTGTTTCTCAACACCATTATCTTGGACGCCACTGGATACCCCCATATACTGGTATATCAAGCGAGGACATTATGATACCTGGACCATGCGTTGCTTTCTGTAGCACCCTTAACCGCCCCTGCACCTTGGCCCCTGCCCCAGTGGCTGTTGGCTGGTATATCTGCCGACTGGAGGCCTTGCATACAGCCTTTGCCTATACACATGCCACTGCTCCTGCTGCTTCAGTGCATGCGCTTGCTGTTAACCCCTAACCCTGCAGTCGTTGCTGCTCCCTGTGCTGCTATTGCTTTGGTGTGCTCGGTTGATTCCCCAGCCAATCCTTTGTTCACTGCTCCTGCCCCTGTGCCTACATCTCTGGTGCCTGCCCCTCTTGCAGCAAGTTGTGCTGGCTGCTGGGGTTTCCCGGAATCATGGTTTGTTTTTAGCAATTCAATAAGCCTGGTTAGGTCGCTGTAGGGTACCGTATCGTAGGGAAGCTGGTTACCCCCGGGGTGGTAAATGGGGTAACAGAGGGGTGGGTTCGGTAATCTTGGGGTAAGACAAAAGCTGACTGCTTTAGGCCTCATTGACATAACACAAATTCGGCCGGTTCAGTGCTGTCCTTTCTGCATATTTAGGCCGCAATCAATGTTGACGGACTCCACTGCACTTTACACTGCAAAGCGTCACCCCCGAGGCATTGGTTATACAGCCAGCTGCATGGGTCTATGCAAGCTCAACAGATGCCGCTTAAGACAAGCTGACCTTGTGTGGTGCATGGCCAACAATCATAGCACGAGCATAACCTAGCAAGCTCCCAACAACGTTTACGCTGCCTAATACCGGCACAACATCCGAGACCACCCCAGCCCGAGATCCTGCTCATATCCAGCCAGTCCCCAGTCCTAGGTTGCACACTTGAACACACCCTCCTACACTCTCAGTGGCCTATCACGGTGCCCAGCACCCCGCGCGCTTCCATGGCAACCCAACCCTCACGGCCCATCGCCTGTTTTCATACCCCGGGATGATTAGAAAAGGACCCCCTTGTAAGAATGCATCCTAATAAGGTGCTAACTGGGTGAGGACAGAGGCGGTGGCTGCCACAGTGTGTTTCCAACCGCTGTGGCAGCCACCGCCTCTGTCCTCACCCAGTTAGCACCATTCCTAATTCGCAGTGCCACCACTTGAACGCCAGCAGCATGCCGCAGCAAAGCATGTGCCTTAACACATGCTTCACGCTGTGGCCCACAATCCCCCAATCCTGGAGGTCATGGAACGTACGCACGGCCCACAGAAGGCCTCATGGCATGTTGTTGATCTCGTCCAGGAGAATCTTGCGGGAGTCGGGGTTTCTGCAGAGCGGCTTGTCGGGCAGGGCGAACTTGGAAATCAGCTTGATCAGCTTGCGCATGGCCTCATCACAGTGGTAGTACTTGTCCACCCAGTCCTCGAACATGACAGGAGTCACCTCCTGCTGCCGCTGGGAGCCATGTTCAAGCGGGTACCACATCAGATTGCTCAGCTCTCCCGCCTTGTACACGAGGTCTGTAATGTTCCAGCCCTGCGCTGACATGTAGACCTTGAACTGCTGCCAGCGCTGCATCTGCTCCGGCGTCAGCTCGTTGTATACGGCCCGGTCTTGCAGGGAGCCAATGCTGCACAGCTTGCCGCTCCGGAAAACGAAATCAGATGCCGCCTCGTCCAGGACACTGGCGGCTCGTCCCAGAAGCGCTTGCTCCTCGCGGCTGTCATACTCTGCCTCAAAGATGGCTAACGTATCCTCCAGCGCCCTAAATAATTGTGTGAGTTCCAAGGCATCGGCATCGTGGCTCTGTAAATCCTTGGCCAGGTCCTCCATACATGGCGCTGTGCTTGCAACGTCAGGGGCGAGTCTGCATGCCTTCCTAACGTTTTGCGCAATTCCGTCGGCGTCCAAGCTGCTAGTAAGCTCCTTTACATGGGGCATTGCCAGCGAAGGTCCGGCCGCATACACCTAATCACTAACTACAAGCGCAAGATTGGTTCGTGTTCGCGACATTGTCCCAAACACCACAACAGCTGTGGTCACGAGCGTCCAAGAATGCCCCAGACTGCCGTTTAGTAGGTTCTAAGAGTGATAATGTTGTGGGCCTCTCCGAGGGTGACGGTCACGGAAGGTCAGCCACCTTTGGCTGCCAAGTGTAATGGCTTTTTAGGAAGCGGAAGTATCACTGGAGGACAGTAGCTGAGACCATCGTCAGACCAACTTTTTTAGGAAGCGAGGATTACACTGGAGGACCAACCAGTAAGGAGTCCGTACTGGCCAATCGTTAGACGTACATTCCAACCGAGCATTCCAACATTCCCCCAGGGGGCACACCAGGCCCGACAGGAAGGCCGCAAACCACCCACACCAAGCACGGACAGCCGAAGTACCAAGTACAGAGAGCCACAAGGCCCACGAAAGAACTGAAGGAAACATGTCCGAAGGGGGACATCCCGCACTGAGGAGGGAGTCGAAGACTAAGTGACAGACCATGGGTCACCAACATGCGGTAGGCAACATTGCCTGAGCTGAAGTGACAGGCTAATGCTAATCAGACCGTGTAGACCGTGTAGTGATGTACGATTGCTGCTGTCCTAGACTGTCCTTATTGATAATACAGTAGCTGCTCGTATAGCTGACCTTCTAATCAGTTGCAGCTGCCCCAATATTTTTGCACATGCGCAGTGAACAGAGCTCAGGCTGTCACGCTACTCTGCTGTAAGACAGGCTGATCACAACCGCTATTGAATGAAGTATTTGGCACGGTGGCTTGGAAACAAAATCAGAGGGCGCCGGCGTGGAACCTTGGCTGGCGTATGCAAGATGCAACGCACACGTTCAATGCTACGCCGCAAATACCACATGAAGCGATGGACGCGCCCGCAAACGTAGAAAAGAATAAAGGTCAGCGCATGACATTTTAGACCATTAAAGAAGCACAGCAACACATACCTACGAAAGGTGCGACTCGCTTGCAGATTAGGACGACGCACATGCGCTTCGCGCGTCCCAGGGCGGACGCGAACCGGCAGCTAGCAAGTGGTGGTGCAGTTAGTACCATGACCCATAGCGCAGTGTTAGATGCCTCTGCTGCAAGGAACGCCACAACTTGCACGACAATGGATCACAGAACAGTCATGACATTGATGAATAGAAAACATACGCATACGCCTTCAGCAGGCTACACCTGGTATGAAGCCATGTTGCACAGCCACCATATCGGCCCAGCTGCCGTTCAAGCTGTCAAGCCCGTCGGCGAAGCGTTAAGCGGCTTCATCCTCCATCGTCGCTGCGCGTGGGCTTGCCCTATGATGCACAGAGGCCCTCAAAAGAAGGAATACAAGTGACAAGGAAATAAAGCTAACTAGCCTGTTGGATAGCCGCTGGAATGATGATCAGGTGTCGGGCGATCAAGCGTCGGAGAACCTCATCCCAGCCGCCCACGGGCTTTGGCGCTGCCAGCGATGCAATATGTAGTCCGCACCCATGGCCGACAACGAAGCGGCCCTCTCCTGCTGCAGCACCCCGACCCCAGTCGCAACGGCGTCCCCGCCGCATCCTTGAGCCACTCCACCACACCGCATCACACCACAGCGAGGCTCTTCCCTCGCGTCCAGGGCACCTAGACAGGTGTGCGGCACCCCAGCTGCACAGCACCTACACCCCAGCTCCTCCTCCAGCGCCTCCGAGGTAGTGGAGACCCGCTTACAGCGAGAAAGTATTGCCGCAGGCCGATGATGCCGCTCGAGGCCACCACGCCCACCGCACCCGCCACCACCGCCTGACGTGGCCCGCGCGGCAAGCAGAACAGCGCGCCGCTGGTGAAGCCTGAGGGGGCAAGATGAGTAGGGGCCATGCCGGGGAGCGAGGCGGGGAAGAGGGTATGGGTTACATTCTTACATAGGGTATGAAGAGTGGTAAGTATTGAGGGGAGGGGAGGGGAGAAGAGCGAGGGGAGTGTGTGCTGGAAGGCGAGGTAAGGCTAAGAAGCTTACCCCACTCGCTCTTCCCTCGTCGCATGATGCCTCCCGCCCCCCCCCCCCGACCCCGAACCCCTCGGGACCGGCGTTTCTTGCTGCTGTGTTCGGAACTCCGTGTCCTTCAACTCGATAGGGCAGTTTGCGGGCCAGTCAGTGTTCTCATTATGCTTGTTCGCAGGGCTGCCTGTGTCGTTGTCGAAAGGGCACTTTAGCACTTGGCCAGCAGCCAGGACCCGCAGCCTCGCCTCGCAAATCTGTTCGTAATCAGCGTCCTTCCTTCCAGGTCTCCTACGCTACCTTGGTTCCTTAGGTGCATCCTGTTACCTCTCCTGCCCATCCTCCTCGCCTCCTGACGCGCACATCCTGCCCTGCCCCTGCCCCCATGTTGCACCTCACTGCTCCGGTCGTTGCTCCTGCTCACGTGCAGGGTCTCGGAGATTATGGAAACCTGCAGTGAACGGAACTGTTGTTGAACGGTTACGTTCTCCGGTTCATGGTATGGGGCTGCAACTTTTTGGTCTCCTTGGGAAGCACGAGTGCTGGTCGTGCAAGCAACCACGCTTCCTAGTGGTTACCAAGGGACTCCACCACTTTCGTACCCAGGTATCCTGTGTGCTTGCCACAGCAGCTGTGATACACACTACGAGGATTTTGTGGGCTGTACGGCATCTCCTGCTGATGATCGTTTTCCACACGTCATTGTGAACACATGAAGGTTGGCTTTGGGTTTGCGGTGTTGTGCGTCGTTTGCTGAACTTTGATGTGCAAGAACTGCCCCAATGATTACACCATGTGTCGAGTGTTACATTGCCGCTTCCCTGAGGTTGTCCATTTTACATATCTTTCCTGTTTTTTTGCTGAGAAATACGGGCCCAAGCGCTTCCACTGAAGATCCTGGGCCAAAAAGGACTAACCAAGTGGGTTGTGCCGGCCTGCCAACTCGTACAGATGCCCACATTAGGAAGTCAATGATTGCGTGGAACTTCACAGGAACACTTTACGGGGTCAGACGCTTTGAGAGCTTTCTTCGTGACCTTAGTGTAGTAACACTACATGGTAGTAACCGCCATGCTGTGCTGTGCTGGGGGTTGGGAAAGCAGACGCCGCCAGGTTCCTTGGGACCGGCTTCTTTGCGAACTCCGTGCACTTTGGTTCCAGCGATTTCTCGGAAACAGAGTTGTTTGCAGTGTGCCTTAGCCGCCACCTTCACATACTGACTCAATCAGTGCTGTACCTAAGATAACTGAACTACAAGAACTTAAGTGAAACGTAATAGAAGCGCCTAACAGGTCGACTGACGCTTTTGGCTTGTCGTGTATGACTGCACGGCGGCAGTCGGCATTGGACGAGACAAGTCATGCCGGCAAGGAAATATCCCAGGCTCACTAATAAACGCAGCTAAGGCTCTCACTTGTTTCGACGTTGTTGTTATTCTTGGAAGTGTCCCGTGGTAGCTCCGGCTTTCTTTTTACTACAATCATAGGCAATGGGATTTCTCGATCGCCTTAGCGGCCGGAAGCCGAGGGAGGTTAAGGAGGAACAACAACCTGCTGAGCCGGCGCCAGTTCCAGAGCCAGCGCCTTCTCTGCCGTCAACATCACCGCAGTCCGATGCAATCCGGGACGTGGCACCTAATAGCACGCTTCTGGCTTCAGCAGGGATATCAGCTGCACAAGGAAAACTCTACAACCCGTATGAGGGCCTCGTAGCTCAGGTTGGCACCACGAAGCACGCCTTCCGGCTTCCTGAAGGGCCGGAGTTCGTGTTCGAGGAGGAAGCCTCCGTGCGGAGAAGAGACTGGACGCAGCATCTACAGTTCTACTGTGGAGGCGGTTACCTAGCTGGTGCGCATTTGCATAGCTTAGCATAGTCGATCATGGTGTCGGCTGGTTTGCCATCTAACGGTCTGTGGCTTTTGGTGGCACAGGTGGGATTGTTGGCGTGACCTGTGGCCTCTACAAGTTCGTTGTTGACAAACCAGAAATCGTCACGGACACCATGAAGCTCAAGATGAACCGGCTACTTAACACTTCGGGTGCGTCTGGCCGCCAAGAACAAGTATGAAGATATGAATAGCAGGAATGCTCTTTGCTTGTTAGTACTTTATGCCCTTCCGTGATGGGCAACGGGCTGCTACACCCAACCGCTCTCTCTCAACTGCGCACGCGTCCCTGCCACCCAACCACTCCCCCAAGCCTACGCCTGGCTCCACATGAATAGAGCTCTTCGCTCACACCAATGCTCATCTCCGCTATGCCCCTCCTGCCAGGCTCCTTTGCGCGGCCCTTCAGCAACAGCCTCGGCATCCTCGGAATGTTCTTCTCGGGCTTTGAGAGCGTGTACGTCCACCAGCTGGAGCAGTACGGCGTCCCCGATAGCGCCAGCACGCTCCTGGCCGGTAAGACTAGGGCGCCCGCAGGAGCGCTGGGGGGGGGTGGCGGTAGTGTCCCGCACCCAAGCAGACTAAGGACGTGTAAGCGCTTCGTGTGCTGCCCTCGGTCGGCAGAAAGAAGGCACATGCTGCATGGGGTCATGTCCTCACCCGGGTTGCCTACCACGATTGTGATGGCTTCTGTTCGCGGCCGCCTCGGGCCGTACAGGCCTGGGGATTTCTCCCTCCGCCCTAGTTGTTCCCCCCTCCCTGTCAACTCCATAGCTTGTTCAATGGGGACTGGGTTCTCACACGACCCGCACCGGCTCCCTGCCCTAGCGGCCACTGTGCGCCGCATCCGCCTCCTCCCATCCTCTTTCGCACATCGCACAGCGCGCGCACACAGACTCGCGGCCGGTTTCCTTAACACAGACTGTAACCATTGACATCCGCTACCGCACAAGACAGCATCGTCCACTATGTCATACTCATGTGTAACCCATACGCCATCCCCTATTCTCCACCCCGCTCCCCTGCATGGCCCCTCCACCCCCTGCCCCCTCAGGCTTCACCAGCGGCGCGCTATTCCGCTTGCCGCGCGGGCCGCGTCAGGCGGTGGTGGCGGGTGCCGTGGGCGTGGTCGCATCGAGCGGCATCATCGGCCTGCGGCAATACTTCCCCTCACTGTAAGCGGGTCTCCACTACCTCGGAGGCGTTGGAGGAGGAGCTGGGGTGTAGGTGCTGTGCAGCTGGGGTGCCGCACACCTGTCTAGGTGCCGTGGACGCGAGGGAAGAGCCTCGCCGTGGTGCGGTGTGGTGTGGTGAAGTGGCTCAAGGGTGCGGCGGGGACGCCGTTGGGACTGGGGTCGGGGTGCTGCAGCAGGAGAGGGCCGTTTCGTTGTCGGCCATGGGTGTTTTCTACGGGAGGAAAGGGGTGTCCGTCCGCCTGATGGGTACACATGGCAGGGGGGGCACCGGGCGGGCTGGTTGGGTTATGATGCTCTGGTGAGCTCCTAGAAGCCGGGTAGGACGTAGGAGGTGCAGCGGGCGCCGGGTTGGACTGGGGAATTGGCGTACTGTGTACGATGGAGGGGCTTTAATGGTTAGACCCAAGAGCCATACTTTTAGCAGATGATGGGTCGTTAGGGTTGGATCCATGCCATGGAAGGGGCTGGGCTGCAGTGTCCTGACCGCTAACCGGCAGGGGCAGGTCGCTGTAAGAGTGGAAGGGTATGATGGGGTGTCTTACCTGGGTGACATTCTTTTCGTTGTGGCAGTGGGGTTTCGGGAGGGGACTGGGGAGCTGGCTGGTTGCGAGCGGAATCTTGGGCTGGGGTGGTCTCGGATGTTGTGCCGGTATAGACGGGTGTATGAGCTGCTGGGGCCTTAACCTGGACTGCACGGGCTGCGGGCAGATTGGCCGCTTGGATGGCCGTTACGAGTCGCCTCGCTTTGATATACATTGTTCCTTTGTTTGGCTACCTTTGTCAGTTCCAAACGAGAAGTGCCATGGTGTGTGAGTTGCAGGCCATGCACAATACAGGATCAGCTCGTTTTGGTGCGCGGTATCTATTAATCCTGCATAGCCCCGTGCATTTGGGTTATATGACCAAATGCGTGTGGCTTTGACAATGTGTAAGTTGCGAAATGCAGTACGGTGGCCGTACACGACCTAGTGGACCCGCCGTTGGTGTGTTATGCACTACGCTGTACTGCCTTGCCAGCATGGCAGCTGCTTGGGCGTGGTGGATCAGCATTTCCGCCCCCATGCCTGGGCAGCGTGTTTGCAGCGGTGCATGGGAGCCGGCACGGCCATCTCACAGACTATATCACCCGTAGCTGAAGATGTGAGGTATAGGCCATGTGCCTTGCAGCAGCTTCACACAGTGTCCCCACGCTTGTGTCAGCAAAGTTTCTACCCAGACGTGCCAAAGATCCGAGTAGGGATGGCGGGTACTGCAGTACAGGTTCCGTACCCTGCATGCAGTGGAGGGAGTACACGGGCACGTCGGGTCTTGGACCACCGGCCCGTTTCACCGCGCTGCCGCCCAGGAAACCCTAAACCCAGGAAAGCGTGTATGTACGGCCGCACGCTAGCAGTGGTCGAGATGCATACAGCGGGGCAGGACAGGGGCGCATGGGGGCATGACGTCGTGCAGGATGCATCAGGGCATGGGAGCAAGTACGGTAGTTGCAGCCTTGGATGATCTCGAGGGGCGAGTAGTCGCAGTCGCTGCGCTGGGTGGTGACACCGGCCAAGCATAATGTGAGGATGCCCTGTAAGTCGTTTCGAAACGGGCAGTCCCTGTGAATTGCTAAAGGGTTAAAAAACCCCGGCCGCAATGCTGACAGCAATATGATGATGATTGATGAAGGTGCAGATGTTGTTGTGCGGCTGGGGGGTGATGGGGGGGCCTCTGGGTTGAAGCAGTGCGTTTACGTGCAGTGTTAAAATAACTGGCCGCGAGGCGAAACGTACTGTGATTGCTGAAAGATGAAGTCCCACCGAAAACGCCACAGGTGAAGTGTGTGTTTTGGTGTCTCATATGCGCATGCATTGTTGGTGGTTGCTAGCATTGGAAGTAGGCGGGGGAGGGGGATGCATGCCGCTCACGTCTGAAGATGCACAGTCATGGCGCATGCTGCATCATGGCACACATACAGCATGGTACGTCGTGTTGCATGTTTGGCTTGTTGACCTCAGCGTCTTGTGGCTGGATTCACATGCATGCGCTGGCATGCACATGCATGCCATTATGCCAAGCAATGCATGCATGTGCACATTGATGCATTCATGTCATGGGGCCCGTTCCCCGTTGCATCAGTAATTGATTGCATGGCTGGCATGCTGCCCTGCAATGGTGACGCGCCGTCCTGCACACGACCTACACCACCTGAAGGTATATAACCCATTATCACAGCGGGCACCCTGAGGTTTGCTGGCCAAGACTGTTGCCTGCTCGGAGGCTGGGTGTGGTCGTTGCAGGCGGGAAAGAAGGGGGAAGCTGCTGACTGGGGAGGCGGCTGGTGGTGAGGGGAGGACGGAGGAGTGAGTTGGAGGGTGCTGTCAGCTGAGCCGCAGGATGGTCTGTGTTAACCTGTGCGACATATACCGGCAGCAGCTTGTGACATGAAGGGCCTGAAGAATGACCCATGGGTCGCCGCAGGTTGAGAGCTGCCTGGCAAAAGCTCAGCAAGTCGGCAAGGCGCCTGCTCCGCGCACCGCGTCGGAAGCGCCTTACGTTGCGCTCTAGACGTGCACTGCTGCACTGATTGTGTTCAGCTTTTGCAGCAGTGCACGTCTAGAGCGCAACGTAAGGCGCTTCCGACGCGGTGCGCGGAGCAGGCGCCTTGCCGACTTATGTGACAAACGAGTAGCTAGTGCAGCAAACAGATCACCTATGGATCCTCGAAACAACTATATTCCTGTGCTAACTGAGTAGCAACTATTATGCTTGTGGGAACATGCGTCCTGGGGAATTCGTACGGGTAGAAAGCATGAAGCGCCAATTTCCGATCCGTCGATCCAGCCAAAAGGTGCTTACGAAAGCGCCGATAAAAGTTTCCTGACACAGTACATGGTAACAGCAACCTGCTCTCTTCCAAATTTCACGCCACAAGGGCTTTCGCCTTCTGAATCGGAAGCAATTGCGTGTCGATCGGCAGGCACCGAGGTCGGCACTCCAGTTCACCGTCAACATCCGTGTTCTTTTGCTTTCCTGCTAAGCAACGTAAGTACCGACTGTTAAGTCCTGCTCACACTCGTCTCCTAAAGGCTGCAATAAAGCATAACCGTTTTGGATGCTTCGCTTCATAACAAAACCCACATCATCGCTCGCAATTGCTCGCAGGAAATGCAGCGCAGCGACCTGGTTTGCGATTATGTGACCGCCGTGGTGACCAGGCCCCGTGCTGATGGAACCCCGCAGACGCTAATTTTTAAATGGTTTGACGGTTTTCTCTTGGAGCTGAAAATGAATCCAGTCGTCCAGCCGGGGCCCACGCTGCAAATGACAGACGGCGCCACCGGAGAGCCCTACGATGTTGACGGTGTTGTGGAGCACTCCAAGTACGACCCCACAACTGACAGCACATACTTCCTTATTGGCGGCATGCTTAGGCGCCTAGATGCGAACAATGTGGTGTGGGCGGTAGCGGGCAGGGAGTATTGTGTAGATGGGGTGGATGGGGTGGGGCCAGATGCGCGGTTTGGGTTGCCAGCCAATATGGTGGCGGACGGTTGTGGAGTCCTATATGTTCTGGAATCCAGAAACGGATTCGACGGATTCGACGGAGGAAGTGACCGCCTTCGCAGGGTTGTGCTCAAGCAGAATGACGCCCCCTTCCTCCCTGGCAGCAGCAGCCGCGATGGCGGCGTCACAGCGGCCGTGTCGACAATCGTGCTAGCGGAGGACGTGGCAACTCTCTGCTACGACGCCTGCACTAGCACACTGCTAGCGGCATCAAGTCACGCGATTTACCGCGTAGCACTGCAGCCGGTATCAGGGGCCAGCGGCAGCACCGACACCAGCGGCAGCACCAACACCAGCGGCAGCGGCAGCGGAAGCTCGGCTGGTATGTGGCTGATTGCAGGCTCGGCGGAGGGTGAAGGGGGCACCTGCGACGGCTGCTGCACCACCGCACGTTTCACCGACATTGGCGCCTTGGTGCCGGGCCCAGACGGCACCACTTACATTCTAGACGGAGACCGCCTCCGCAAGATGGACACTTGGGGTGAGGTGGTGACACTCGCTGCCGATCTACCTGACGGCAGCAAGTACGGCACCTTCACTGAGGGCCGCTTGTTGTTCGGTGAACCAATGGAGCAATTATGGGTGCTGTCCTTAGAGGAGTTTGCACCCTCAACAACGGCTGCCGCTGCTGTAGCAGAGGCCACTGCTGCCGCCTCCGGCGCCATGCCCCCACTGGCCCCCCTGCTGCTGCAGCCCCCGAGCGGCTCTGCAACTGTCACCCTCCATGTGGGCTGCCAATCCTTCGCGGCTCGCCGCTCGCTGCTGGCGGATCGCTCGGAATACTTCAGGTCCATGCTGGCAGCAGGCGGCTTTACGGAGGGCGAAGACAGCAGTTCATGTACGGCATCAGGACTTCTAATTACTTGGTTACACCATTTTTGCGGTCTAAGCGTGCAAGACCAACACCCGCAAGATACATGCACGGCCGTACATATTCGTACATCACAGCGAATTAATCGCCGTACTGAACACGATGACATGGGTAAGGATGCTACCCGCGAATCCGTACAACAGGCGCTATGGCACGACAAAACATGAAAGAACGGCAATAAACCGTTAAGTAACGTCAATAGTCATGAGCCCGATCATCACACACATACGACTCGCTACACAGCGCATACACTTTACTGTTTATTCCGCAATGTTTCACATCCACGTACACAACAGCTGACGCATGCATCCCTCCATCCCTGCGCAACGCACGCTGCGGCCGGTGTTAGCAGACCGCATGCGGGCATCAGTACATGCATCAAGCCGCCCGCGCAGCAGAGCTTTAGCGAAGAAGCGCCAAAAAACCCGCGAAAAAGCAGGCATTCAGCTGGGGCCACCCTCACTCAAGCCGCATGTTGTAACACAGCGCACGACAGCTACACGACATGACACAATCATCGGTGGGCGGGACTTTGGTACGTTAACCCCCGTGGTATAAATAGACCAAAAGTGGAACGGCTTAAGGCATATTCCATGGTGCATGCAAGCCCATTCCCATGCGCATTACAGACAGGTATGCCATACGTACTGTTCAATGAGTATAGCATCAAACAATCCAAACACCACAGATCGGAATAACGACATCGTAGGACTTACTATAGCTTCTTGCCTAAACCGCGTAACTTGAAAAGCGAATAGGCAACTGCAAAAGCGCACCAGGATACATGTACCCATGGTGAAGCCAAGAGACCACAGGTGTTAACCCAACCCATAACCGATGAATTGCTGCTCGTCCCTTGACGGCCTCGTCAGCCCAAAAGGCAAAAGGAAAGCTGGCAAGGAATAGGCACCAGCAAGCATTACCCCAGCGAAAAAGGCACAAGGTTCGTCCCTTATGATTCGTCATACCACCATACGCCAATCCCCCGGCCCAAAACAGCAGCGCCTCCCTCCCTCAACTACCCCGTGCTCCGCGCCGCCGCTTGGAAGATGGAAGCAAACACCAGGGGCCAATGAGGCCCCCTCGTCCACCACACATGTGCAACCGACTAACTGATTTTGGATTTATTTACGTACGGGCGGTTATTGAAGGCCCCTTGTCAGCACCGCCGCTGGAAGCGCCCCTACGTGCTTGACTCGTACCACCTAGCAACACCAACGAACCATGGCTTGCAACCACGAACAACCAAGCACTTACCGATATACCCCGCACACCAAAAGCAACCCAAAAACGTACTGCCACAGACGTCCAAAAATGTGACATGCCTGAAACAATTGAGCCGCCTGCAAATGAGTGGGATGCGCTCGATCACTCGTTCGGGCATCACCCGGCACCTCTGCCACATATAACGCATCCCAGGCAGCATCTCAATTCGTTCTCGCCCATTTGCTACAATCCATTTGCTCGTTTTTCGTTGCCCCCCAAAAGTGTATCGGTCCAACTTCAAACCCAACACGCACCCTAAACACAAACCCTAGTCGACTTCTGCACTGTACCCTCCACCACGACCCCCTCTGTTTCCCCTTCCTCCTCCCGCTTCCTCTAAAGGCAGTACATCACAAAAGGCACCATGCCTAAGCAGGAACTATGACGCACATAAGGCCCGACAGGCAAATCAGTATCCCGGCATAACAGTACACAGCAACCCAGGGAAGATCCAAGTGTGCCCAACAGCTTCTGCACCTAAACGCACAGAGCAGCGCACAAGCACGCGTTTGACACGCACAAACGGCAGACGAGTGACAAACACCTCGCCACCCCCTTTACACGCGCATCGCTACAAGCAAGACACGGGGACCCAACCCCACTTCAAGTGCAGGCCTCTCTAATCGGCCCAGTGACCAGTGCGGTACTTGAGCAATGGGAACCAGCTGTGCAGTCGAGTAGAACAGCTGTGCATATAAGCACGGCGCACTGACGCTACGCGTGGATACCAGGGAGGGAGGACTTGGCCCGCTTGCGCCCTTGTCTCTCGTCCCGTCTCGTCGCCCCGCAAACCCAGTTGGTCGGCTACTATTAACAAAAACCCCACACACTTGCACACAACCCACACCACATTTGCGACCAGCTTCGTTCGCTCACCCGCCACCACCATCCAGCACGCCTCAATACGGCGTGCGCGGCCCTGACACGGACTCACACGTCCCTGACCTATCCCACCCCCCCTGCCATGACGGTTGGTCCGACAACCACTCAAGCACAATGCCCGCTGCGTCGCCCCGAGACCTGCTCGACCACAATCAGCGCATCTGCTTCTGCTGTCGACGTCGTTGCATCCGTTTTTTCTTGTCCTTTTCCTCCTCCTCTCAGCCCCCCAAAACCGCGTTCTCACCAACTTCCTAATCCACTACCATTTCCATCTTCATATGGCTCCTATTTAGTAGGGCATCTGTTAGGCATGGCCGCATTGCGAGCTCGCCATCAAATTTTCATCGTTGCTACATACCCCCCCCTACACACACACACGCAACACGCGGCCAGTTATTTTAACACACGCAACACACGTTCCTACTCGCGGCCAGTTTTCTTAACACACGCAACACGCACGACCCAACAATAGAGCTTCTTTTGTTTTTTTCTATTTCACGGTGTGGGAGCAAAATTCCGTGGAAAGAAGACACTCAAACGCTCACATACACCGAGCTGTCCGGATCATGCAGGCAGTAACGGCCCAGACGCAAGCACGCAAACAGTTAGTTAGCCAACCAACTGAACAAACAAATAATAAGTCCACCAACCGGCCCACCAACCGCAGTCAACCACCAACCTCCAGTCGTGCCCCCGGCTAAGTCCTTATGAAAGCATCTCGGTTTGGGTACCGCCCGTGGTGGTAGGAAGCAGAAAATCCCTTAAAAAGGGAGCTGCAACCGACAACGCAACCCGCAGGCGCTAAAACTAAAGGGGTGAAATACACAAACTCTATCGGAGTGAGCAGTAATGAGGGCTTCTCTCTTGAAAATTTGGCGCGCGCAACCCTCGTGCCCAACCGTCACCCCTCACGCCTGACCCCACACGACACCGCAGTTCAGAAACACGTGTGTGGTGTGCCATCAGGCCCCCAGAACGGCCCAACCAAGACACAGACGCCCTAGCCACATGTGCTCACACACAGATAGGCACCCCACACACTAACCGGTCAGGACTTGTGATGTAATACACCACAGTTTTCTATTAGGAGTGAAACTGAGCTATTATGATGGCTAAGGGACGGAGAGGGGGTTCCAAAGGCCATCTCTAGCCCCCACGCGCAAAAAAAGCGCAAGGACCAGCCATAAATATGAGGTAATATTAGTAAATGTCAGTTATATCCTTTACGTCCAAAATTCCATCCGCATGTCAGTCCAGTTAGTCTCCATCGTCTCCATGCATCTCTCAAATGCCCCTCAGGCTGACCCATGGGTCACCGCAATTCACCCCTGCCAGAAGGACACCGCCCGGAAAAGACTGTGTCGTATGTTGACGCTTAGGTACAGGTACGGACACGAACAACAAGGCGTGATGTGAATATCACAAAAGCGCAGACATACACACATGCACCAACACACTTCAATACGCAAGACACGCAGATGCTACGCAAACACGCTGTTGACTCAACGCACTCGCACGCGTGTCCCGCTGCTGCTCCCATCCTTCTCCCGGAAAAAAAGCTCCGAGTTGGAAGATATAAAAGCACGTGAAAGTACTTAAAGTGAGAGACCATAAGAACCATAGAGCAACACAGAGGTTGCAACTCTTGCTTCCCTCGGTGGCCACTACAGCGCTACCGGTATATCCTACAGCGGTATCTAGGAGACAGCTACACTCACTCTGCCACAATCACGCGCACACCGCTTTAAGTCAATTGATGATCGCATGCCTACCCAAGGCAACCCACTGTTTTCTGTTTTATTTGCGCAGGGGGGGTTTGTGACAAACGGGAAGATGATGGTCTGGTCCCGAAAGCTTCTAAAGCTGAGGAACCGTCCCCAGTCCGCCCAGTTGTCAGCCAGCTAGGGTAGATACAGAATACCATGTGCCCCCACAAGGAAAAGGTGCGATCATCTGTCCGTTGCAGATAACCGATGACCGAAAGGTCGTGCCATCCAACCACAAACCAACTCAAAATGTCCGACGTACTCTTCAACGTTAGGCCCCGGTAGCGTCATTAAGCAGGTGTAACGCTGAAGATTGAAAAGGGAAGAGGCCCCCTTGTAAGGAAGAGGCCCCCTTGTATGAATATCACACCCACAGCACAGTAACCCAACAAGAAACCACAATCAAAACCCTTCCCGAGCGATTTTTAGACCTTTCCTGCAGTTGCGGAGACGAAGCGTAGGCTGAGACCGCCGCCGCCGCCGGCAACGCCGCCGCCCGTGCTGGATGGGATGGCAATGGAAGCGGCGGATTCCGACGACGCAGTTCCCATGCCCAATGACGCGACCAGGTTAACAGATCCAAAACCGGTATCCGACGTAGACGCGACGTCGGCAGCGGTTGTGAATTGACGGAACCCGAATGACGTCACCAACGGTACGCTATCAGGCCGAGAGGAGCTGCCGCCGCCTGACGTGGAGCCTAGGGAACGCGAGTCGACGCCGCTTCCGGCGCCGCCGCCACCACAGTTGGCGACCTGCCGTACAAAGGGCCACCTTACGGGCATCGCCGCCGCCGCAATGCCTCCGGATAGGGAAACCCTCGGCGCCACGCTGCCAACGCTTCCAACCGCCGCCGCGGCGGCGGCGGCGTCGGCAGCCTCCACCGTCCCAATGCAAGCCGCTCGTATGGTTGTCGTGCTTGCTGACGAGGCGGACGTCGTGACGGTGGCGGCTGACACCGCCGCCGTCGTCGCTTCAACGTGTACGGCAGCTACGGAGCTGTTGCTGCCGACGGCGGGACCAGCGGCGACTGACGTCGAGGAGGTACCTTGTACGAGCGACCTGGACTGTTTCGGTTGCCACTTGGAGATCATGGCGGCTGATTCGCGCCAGGGTGGGATGACCATGCCCTTGCTGCGAAGCGAAAGGGCCATCTCGTCGCATAGGACCTGCAGGCACAGCAGGAAAGGAGGCAAAACGAGAAATGTGTGAGGCATTACGGTACGGTTGAGATGTGGGACCAAAGACGCCGGCTTTTCACGCATTCCGCATACTACCATTCCCCTGCGCCCTTCCCACCTACATGCTTAGAGAAAGCCAAAGGAGGGTTGCGGCTTACCTCAACCACAAGTGGCAATCGCTCCTCAGCTCCAACATACACCCGCGGAAGCGCCGAAACCAGGGCCTCATAACGGGCTGTCGGCATGGCGACTTCAAACTGCTCCTTTAGTTCCGGATCCACGATGATCACGCCGGGATGGTACGGCAGCGCCGTCGCTAGTGCCGTACCGGTGTAAGCGCTGCCAGACTGACGACAGCTTGCCGACGAGCCAGAATGGCAATGCAGTGACGTCAATGCGGCGGCGGACGCGGGGGCGGATTCCGACGGCAGCGGCGGCGTCGCTGGACTGGTTACCGACAAAAACGTGTGTCGCAGGTTTCGGAGGCAAGCGCCACCAGAGCCGCCGCCGAGTGCATGCGTTACAGCGACGTCGTAACCGCGGCGCGACAGGCCCTCGGCAATGTACGACAGCATGTTCGAGACGGGGCCGCCATTCACTCCCACCGCCGCCGCCGCCGTCGACGACGAAGCGGGCGGCAGTGGCGACGGCGCCGCCGCCAGGATCTCATTGACCGCCGCCGCCACGGCGAGCTCCGCCGCCAGTGCTGGCCGTACGAGTGTACGAAGCAACGTACAGAGCTGTGCAATAAACACGCCGTCGGCGGCGCCAGAGGCAGACGTTGAGAACCCGCCGCCGCCTCCGCCGCCACCCGTCATGCCGTCCCAAGTCACAGGCCGCTCCGCAGCACCGCCAACCCCAAGCGGCGGACCGCCAGCGGCGACGACACTGTTCCGCCGCGCCGCTGACGTACGGCGGGTGTTGCCGCCGAGGGCCGCCGACAACTCGCGGAGGCCCGGCGGCGTGACGGAGGTGCCCCGGAGGCCGATGCGGCGGAGGCAGCTGCTGCCGCGAGCCGCCGCCGCCAGCGCAGCGGCGCCGGCGTCGGCGAGCTCCGTGTTACCCACCAGGGAGAGGCTGGCTAGGGAGGGCATGTCGGCGAGGCTGGCGGCGAGGGCGGCGGCGCCCATGTTGGCGATGAGATTGTACGACAGATCTAAGACGAGCAGATCTCGACAGGTCCGCAGGCCGTCGCATAGCGAAGCGAGACCTGCGCGAAGAAGGAAAGCACGTGTATCGCTTAAAGTTATTGGAGGCTATTGAAAATATGAAGCAGTGAGCTCAAGTAGAAAGGTAAGGATGACTCGCGTTGTAACATGCGGCTCAAGCATTCCTACAATTAGTTTTAGTGAATTGCCGTACCTTCGCACGTGATGCTGCAGTACGACAATGTGATGGATTTGACGCCAGGGCAGGCTCGCAAGCAGCTGGCAATTGCCGTACACGCTGTAACGCTCAACGGGCGCTTGCACAGGAATACGTGTCGCTCGGCGCTCGGATCCATTAGTAATTGCTGCAGGTAACGGTCGACCGCTGCGATGCCAGACGGTTGCAATGACTCGAGAACAGACGCCGGCAACGGAAGCGTCGGCAGAGGCCCCGGCGGCGGCAACTCCGGAGCGAATGCGCCGGCGGCAACGTCGCAGTCGACGACGGCGGCGGAGGAGGACGCTGGCGCTGTCGCCGCCGCTGCCGCAGCAGATGTGGCAACGGTGGCGTTGAGTGGTTGGGCAGCAGCGGCGCCGACAGGTGCCTGCACGATTGGGAAGCCGAGAATCCAATGTTAGCGACGAAGCACAGCCTTCTAGCAAGGGTGGCTGTCGTACGGTTGTACTTCACACATGCGAGGATGCTGCTAAACCCTACTAGACGCCAAGACTGCGCTAATGAGGTCATTACTGGAAGTGACAACGCCCACGCCATAGCATGCAACTAGCTATACCACACACCATCCCCCACTCACCGACCCACAACCCGGCAGTGGCAAAGCAGCCAGCTTCTGCCGCTGCTGAGACTGCTGCACCCGCTGCGACAGTTGTGATGACAGTTGATGCCCCAACGACTGTACCCCCAACACATCCAATTGCTGCTGCCCAGCTTGCGGCAAAAGAAACGGCGATACGCCCGAGTCCAAACGCAGCAGCGCACGGACAGCTGCGGCCACATCACCCTCGTCACAAGCACCCGTCGCCGCCGCTGCGCTAGCGGCGGCGGCAACCGAAACGGCAACCGCTGTCGTTGTTGTCGTACAGGCGCGATCTCCCGGACCCCTATTCGAGCACGTGCTGCTGCATGCATCAGGCATAGCGTCGTACACATTCGTCTGCGCGAGGAAGGACCCCAGCCTTCCCTTGCCGGCACCGCCACCGCCGCTACGGAATTCCCGATACCCATTTTCAGACACCAGGCCCACCAAGCCGCCGTCTTCCTCGTACGCGCCGGTGACCCATGGTTCCGTTTGTAAGAGCTGTTGCTGCTGTTGCTGGAAGTTAACATGGGAGTTATTGGCGGCCACCGAGAAGGTCGCTGACCCATGGGTTGCTGCAAGCCTCGGCTGCGACCCCCCCGACGTCAAGCCATTAACGCTGCTGCCGTTGTTGTTGCCGGACTTAGAGGAGCGTGCGGCCGCCGCTGCGATGCTTCCAGCAAAGGAAGACGGGTGAAGGACCTGACTCCCTTCACCGGTACGGGCTGACGAGGACTGACCTTGCACTGAAATAGGCACCGGTACGGGCCCTATGGGACCTCCCATGAGATCCCAACCCATCAGCGCCTGTGGCGCCCCCAGCAGCGGCGGATCTTCCGCCCCCGCTGCTGTCGATGCCGCCGCTGCCTCTGCTGGCGTCACTGCAGCTGCTGCCACAGGTTGCGTCGCCTTTTTCGCAATACAGCCACGGCAGCTGTCGCCGACGTCGCCAGCAGCAATCATGTGCGCCAGGGCAGGATGTACGACAGATGCCGAGGCGGAGCAGCAACCGTTAGAGGTGGTTGTGGCGGTTGTCATGGCTCGCGTGTAGGTTCCCGAGCCGGACAGGCAGCACGCGGGATGGTGCTGGATACCACTGTCCTGGTGCGTGGGCTGGTAAGGGTTGGATCCAAAACCCGGGTAAAGCTGCGCCTGCTGCATGTGATGCTGATGCTGTTGCCGTACGGAAATAGGAACCTGAACGTGAGATGTTGAGGTTTGGCAGCAGCCGCTGCCTCCTCCTCCTCCCAGTCCGGACTCTTTGGCCTGCTGCTGCTGTTGGGAAGGCTGCTGTGGTTGTAGCTGCTGCGGTTGTAGCTGCGTTGGCGGTAGCAGCGTCAACGGCTCAATGGAAAGTACGACACCCCCACGTGCCAAAGTACCCTGCTGTACAGCTCCACCTCTTCCACCGGGTCCTGCATGCCCACCTCCCCCGGTGCCGCTGCCGCCGCAACCGGCATTGCAGTGGCAGCAACAGCAACCGGGCCCGCAGCGGCAGTTGCCGCCGGCGCCGCACACATGCTGGTTCGGCGCTGCTCCTGCTGCTGCTGCTGCTGGGGCCACATGTCCAGTGTTGTAGCTCCGGGGCCGGTCGGGCAGGCGATCCGAGTCGGCATGCAGGGGGGGCAGGGCGGAGGCAGGGGCGCAGGGCAGGGAGGGTATGACGGGTAAGGACGACAGCCTCCGCGCGTTGGAGGAAGCCGAGGCGTTGGAGGCAGAGAGCCGACTGATGCGGCCGCTGACGCTGCTGATGCCGGCACCGCTTTCGAACAGATCGTCTTCTACGGTTTCCATTATGGCATCATCCAGATCGGCGCTGGTTGAGGGAGGACTGGAATTCCCAGCAGCGATTTGGGTAGCAGCTAGCCAGGGGCTGCTTGCTACATGGATGCCGGCGGTGCTGGCGCGGGTGGCTGTGGCGGCTGCGGCGGCCATTAGCGCAGGTCCGTTGAGGACTCCGTAATGGTACTCTGCTAGAGGCGGCTGTGGCGGCGGCGGAATAGCTGATGTTTGCGGAAGAGAGCGATCCAGGACTGGCAGCAGGGCGTTGCTTGTGAAGGCTGTTTGCATTTTCGGGAAGGATGTGCAGATGGCTGCAGGTACATGGGCGAGAGGTAAGGGCGGGTGGGATACCCGTGTCGTCAGGATAAAAGGACGAGATGAAATGTGGATAGGTGAAATGGGATATGGCTTTCTTGGGTGTGCGGAGGAGCAGAACCTCACGAACTGCATAAACCAATATGTGTTAAGAAAACTGGCCGCGAAGTGCTGTGCCGGAAATTTATAGGTAATGGGCCAAAAGATCTCATTATTGTACATAGTCGGCTGGAAATGAAAGTCACCTGAAGGGCTCGGACCCGCTGCTGGCTTGCCAAGTGCAACTCCGTCGCCCGCGCTTCCGGCTCCTACGCGGACAAGGCGAACAACAAGCTAAGAGTCGCTAAAGCATGGTAACGGACTATAGTGTATAACCAACATAGAAAATCTCAGGGTAGCCTTAGTACAGTGGTCACACAACGACCGAAACCAGGAAATGCGGCCCGACTCGCGCCAATTTTGAAAGCGACCTAGGAAGCCAGGGAACTTGTGCATTAAGAGAAAAAACATTAAATGAGTCTCAAGGGGCCGAATAGGGAGAGCTATTGTGCTTTCCGGTGGCGCGCTCCCGGTGTGCGTACAGCAACCTTGACCTCGAAAAACCACACAAACAACTGAAGCATAAGCGCGCCAGGTAAACGCATATAACTTGGCAATGACGACTGATGGAGATTGGCTGGGGGTGACGAAAGGTCAGCCGCCTTCGCGCGGCAATATCTGTTCTAAATCCTAATTCCAACGTTCTCTTACCTGAAAAGCTAAAGCAGATTAGCCCCTTGAAGCATCGTGTTGGGGGGTCGTATGGCGGAGGCCCCCAGGCCGCTTGCAAGCCGCCTCAACCGCAAATTTGAAGGAAATACTAATTGACTTCTTTAGTGTACTTCGCTATGTTGGTCATGTGTTAGATTTTGGCATAAAGTTGTCGAAAGTTCTGTGCGACGCTTGACGTCCATGAACACGTGCGTCAATTTTCGTTGTAGTACAGACACATGACATGAACTTCGGCCCTTCACATGGGGCTTCATCAGCATTATGACTCAATAGATATTTCGCTGGGTTTCCGCTAATGGAGTCGGCAGTTCAACTAACCTGGAAGGTCCTGAAAGGTGTCCTTTTTCCTGCACATGACTCACTCTCCTGACTCCAGAAGTCGCACGTCACTGTCATTCGTGTTCTCTGCTTTTGAACAGCTACTACAAGCCCTTGCCGTCGAAGGTCACACGGTAATCCTTTCGTATAAAGCTCGCTGGTACTCGCGTGTACTGATAGAAGCGCCTTTGCGGTTATGTTAAACAAGGCCTAACGGTTTTACGATAGGCGGTATCTATCAGGGTGTCACATCAGCAGAAACTTTACCAACCGAAGCCCCTTTCTTAGGAATAAGCGTATTCCACGCCGATGCATATCACCATGTACTATCTGCGTCTAGGAGAATATGTTGATCGGTAGACGATTATGGCTGAGCAACAAGCGGCAGCATCGGCGCGCGGAGGAGCACAAATTGTGCCTGGAGCACAGTGCAGGTCTGCTACCGCTGGCCAGATACTTTTCGAGGACTTCGTAAAGCTGCTCGAAAAGATTGTCCACACGCCACAGCGGAATGGCAAGAAGGTCAGGCTCGCTCCTTCTTTGAAGACCCGCCATAAGTCAGCTGCAAGTCAAGCGTTGACCGACGTCGCAAACCAGGAAACGAACCGCTTCCCCTCCCTCCTATCCCTCGACTCCTTCACACCATATCCCTCTCTCCTACCTCCCTCCCTGAAGCATGCCATCCCATCCTGCCCTCACCTGCCACCCTCGCCCGATCGGGTAGTTAGCTGTTGCCCCTTCGCCACATCACCCCGCCTGTTCCTTCCCTCCCAAGGTCCGCGTGTTGCAGCGCTTCTGCGACCAGTTCGTGCCCCGGCGGGACGGCAACGACCTCTTCCACTTTTACCGCCTGCTGCTTCCGGTGAGCAGTGGCGGTGGGGTGAGAGTAGGAAAGGGAGGAGCTAAGTTGGGCTAAATACCCGGGGTCCAATGCCGGGACCCGACCCAAGAGCGGTAATGTGTCAAAGCGAAACCGCACCGTTTGAAAGAAAGCATAAAACCTTTCCTTTGAAACGTGTTGGTGTTGTTTTGACACATTACCGCACTTGGGTCAAGACAACAGGTTAGGTCCTCGGGAGAGGAGGCGGCGGGGTGCCAAGGGCGGTTGGTGGTAATGGGGAGGGGTCTGGGAGTCACGTGCCCTTGCCGACGGGCTAGAAGACGTGGGTTCGGGGGCGGGTTGGTACAGTTACGTGGGAGGTACGACGGGCTATCAGAGGACCAGTGGCAAGGAAGGAGAGGTGGAGAGGCAAGGAAGGAGAGAAGGAGAGGCTAGGGGGCGATAAGGGTGCTGTACGGACAAAGGAATATCACCGATACCAGCTGCTGCTGCCCTTCATGCTGCCCCCGCAACCCCTGCTGCTGCCGTAGAGCCCACTGATTGAGAAGGAGCGCGGTAACTACCAACTGAAGGAGGCCAAGCTGGCTGCCGTACTCGCCGCCGCGCTGGGTGCCTCCCCGGGGGACACGGAGCGCGCCAAGCAGTGGCGGGCGCTGGGCACGGCGGCCAGCAGCGGTGTGTTTCATGAGGTCATGTACGAGGTGAGCGGAGGTGTGTGTGTGTGTAGCTGAGCGGACACAAGAGCAAGCAGTTGGGATAGGTGTTGAGGAAACTGGCCGCGAGTCGGTGTGTTAAGGAAACTGGCCGCGAGTCGGAACGTGCTGTGGTTGCCGGAAGATGGATGTGTTCAGAGCGTGTGGTTCTTATCTGGACGGTGGGTGGGTAAAAGAAAGGAGGAGCGGCAGTGGTAACTCATGGTGAAAGCCCCCTGGTGAATGGTTGCACCGTCAACTGGGTTGCGCCCACCATCGCGCAACCTCCCCCCTCCCGCATCAGGTGTTGTTCCGCAAGTACCTGCGGCCTGACCCCGGGTCGGCGGGGCCGGCACTAACCCTGGAGGAGGTGAGAGCGCGGGGAATCGGCGGGCGGGAAAAGGGGAACAGACTAACCACGTGAAGAAGGAAAGGAAGGACCTGGCAGCAGCCCGGGGCGGGGTGGTGCTAAGAGGAGCCCGGGTGCAGGGGTTCAGTAGTAGACCTCCTTTTCGTCCCTACAAGCCCAACTCCACAAGTTCCCTTCTCTTTCCGCAGCGTACAACTCCTATGCGTTTGCCGTACTCAACCCTGTTTGCCGTACAACAACTCCCCCCAACCCCCCAGGTCAACTCCCAGCTGGACGAGCTGGCGGGCGCTGCGGGGGACGTCGTACGGCAGCAGGGTGTGCTGCGGGGTCTGCTGCAGCGCTGCTCGCCGGGGGCGGCCAAGTGGCTGGTGCTGGTGGTGATGAGGGACATGAAGGTGGGGCGGGCGGGCAGGGAGGAGCCAAACCGCCCGCCCAATACACACACGTTTTCCCGCATGTTTACCCCTCCCTCCCCCCCCCAGCTGGGCATGTCCCCCGACACCGTGCTGGCCGCCTACCACCCCGACGCCCCTGACGTTCTCAACGGCTGCATGGACCTGCGGCGGGTGCTGGTGGAGCTGGTGGACCCGGGGGTGCGGGTGAAGAAGAAGGTGAGGGGGGGGTGTAGAGAGGAAACTGAGGGGGAGGGATGGTTGCGGTTGGGGCATTGGGTACCGGTACTCCAGTCTGCTGTTGGCTTCCGTATACCGTATGCCTTCCGGCGCATTATCCCACTCCCTCTGACCCCCTTTACCGCGCTCTCCCTCCCAACATCCCTCCCATACACACACGGCACACCCCATACACCCACACGCGGCACCCCCCCCCCCTTCAGGATGCCCCCCCATACACCCACACGCGGCACCCCCCCCCTTCAGGATGTGCTGCCCGGCCAGCCCGCCAAGCCGCAGCTGGCTGACCGCTGCGAGGGCGGGGTGGCGGGGGCGGCGCGGCGCATGCGGGGCCGGCGGTTCGTGGTGGAGGTCAAGTTTGACGGGGAGCGCATGCAGGTGGGGGGAGGGAGGGGGTGATGCATGCATGCGATGGTTCGGTATGGTCTTTGGCCCCCCACACACAGGTTGTGGCACCCTGCCGTCTACTATCCCCATTGCTTTGCCCTAACCTGTGGTTATCTATGACTCGGTATGGTCTTCGACTCCCCCCCCTCACGCCCAGGTCCACCGCACCGGCCCCGACACCTTCAATTTCTTCAGTCGACGCGGGTACGACCACGGATCCAAGCGCGACTTTGCCGTACTGGGCCCCGCGCTGGCTGGGCTGATGGCGGAGGAGCGCATGATCCTGGACGGGGAGATGGTGGTGTGGAACAAGAGGAGGTGAGGGGGGTGAGACGGGGGGTAAAAAGGAGGAAACTGACGACGCTTGCCATGGGCCTCCTCATGTGCTTCACCCCCGCTCCCCCTCTCTCTTTGGTATACTCCCTACTACTCCTCCCCCCTCCCCCCCCCCAGGCAGGTGTTTGAGCCGTTCGGCGGGCTGACCGGCGCCCTGGACGCCATCAACCGGGGGGCGGCGCCGGGGGAGAGGATCAAGATGAAGGTACGGCTCTGGACCATACGGCCGTACGCACTGCGCAATAGCAGGAAGCCTTATCCCCCCCCCGCCCCCCCCCCCCCCGGTCCCCCCAGATGGGCAGCTCCGTCAACACCTCCGACCCCGACTACGTCTTCCCGGTGGCGGCGGAGGTGGAGGTGGTGTACGTGGTCTTCGATGTGCTGTTCGCGGAGGGCGGCTCCACACTGGACTTGAGCCTGCGGGTGAGCGGGCGGGCAGGAGCAGGGGCACGGGTAATAGTGCCGTACCCTCTCCTGTCCCCGTCCCTCTCCTTCACATATCCCACCTCATTTCTCACCCCATTTTTTGGCCCCGTCTTGACCCCCGTTCCTCGCTCCTCCTTCTCCTGCCCGCCTCCAGGAGCGGCAGCAGCTGCTGCGCCGCGCGCTGCGCCCCTGCCCGCCCGAGGGCCTGGCGGTGGGGCCGCCCCCCGCAGCCATCCGCTTCAGGGCGGTTGCACTGCTGCCCGGGCTGCCAATGCTGGGTGGGTGGGGTGGCTGAGGGATTGGGGTGGCTGAGAGAGGGTGGGAGAGGCTGGCTGGCCGGGAGAGGATGGCTGGCCGAGAGGGTGGTTGGGTGGACTCCTGTACGCGTGTGCATCTTCCCACATGCAGCCCCCTTCCCCTCCCCCTCCCCCTCAAGCGCGCCAACAACCCAACCCCCCTCACGTATCGAACCCTTCCCTCATGACTGCCGCATGAAGCCCTGTCACACGGTTAGTTGGTCCTTTCCTGTGTATATCCCCCCCTCCCACACATCACCCCCAGGCGGTGAGGTGTACAGCAAGGAGGGTACGACAGAGCAGGATATCAAGGAGGTGTACGAACGAGCGCTGGCAAAGCAGGTGAGAAGGGGGGGAGGGGGAGTGCCTTGGAGGTTGGGAGCGTGTGTGTTTTGGTGGTGTTTCAACACATACACGCCTTAAGCAGGTATGACATTTTAACATACCGTTTTCGCATTCATAACCCGACTTGTGTACTGGTGTTCTACCCGAATGCCCTTCCAACGTTTTTAACGAACGTGAACGACCGTTTGTACGAACATGTACGGCGCTACGGCTGCGCAGGAGGAGGGCATCGTGGTCAAGGCGCTTGACTCTCCGTACAAGCTGAACGACCGCTCCGGCTGCTGGCTCAAGGTTAAGCCCGACTACGTGAACGCGGGGGAGTTTGATGCGGTCATCATTGGAGCCATGTGGGGCACGGGAGGGCGGTGAGTGTGTGGGGGTTGGGTGTTTGGGGATGGGGAAGGCGAGGGGAGCAGGTGGGCCCCCTGGGGTCCCTGGCTCTACTGCTATCAACACGCCTCCTATCCACCTCCTTAGCCGCCTCCCAACCGCCTCTCAACCGCCTCCCAACCACCTCCCAACCGCTGGCAACTTCCCCCCCTCCAGTCGCGGCGGCCGCATCAGTGAGTTCCTGATGGCCCTGGCGGACACCCCCCGGGGGGGCGGCCTGTCGGGGGCGGAGCCGGCAGCCTTCGTGAGCTTCTGCAGGTGCGGGGGGAGAGGGAGGGAGGGGAAAGAGGGTGGCGGAGGGGGGGGGCGGGGAATAGGGGCAGGGAAGAAGAAGTGGTGAAGCACCGGAAGGATTCCTCATCCATGACCCATGACAGAGCAATACAGGAAGCTACGACATCCTGTTATATACATGCGGTTGATGGTGTATGAACTTTGAACTGCCGTACACATCCAGCCTGCTCCCCCCTGCTGCTGTGCCTCCCTGCAGGGTGGGTACGGGCCTGTCCGCGGAGCAGTACGCCATCCTGCGGGAGCGGTTGCGACCGTTATTGGTTGAGCTGGCTCCGGGGCAACGACCTCCCCGCTGCTACCGGCTCACGGGGGACGCGAGGGAGCGGCCGGACGTGTGGGTTCGGGACCCGCTGAGGAGTGTCGTACTGACAATCAAGGCCGATGGTGGGTGTCAGCGGGGTTAGGGTTTTAGGGTTTTACAAAGGGAAAACTTTGACACCTTCCTTCGTTCCGCATCCCTCCTTCTTCCTGCTGTCGTTGCCGGCTTGGTCTTGTTCTCATTCCCACATCCTCCTCCCCTGCCTTCCCTCTCCCCTCCTCTCCTTCCCTCCCTTCTCTCCCTTCCCCTGCCTTCCCTCTCCCCTCTTCTCCTTCCCTCCCTTCCCCGCCCCCCAGTCCGCACCATCGTCACCGACACCTTCGCCTCGCGCTACTCGCTCCGCTTCCCACGAGTGGCCGCCATACGGGAGGACCGCAGCGCCCGGGACGCGACCAGCCTGGGGGAGCTGGAGAGGATGGTGGCGGAGAGGGGTGAGGGCCTGAGAGGGGGGTGAAGGAGGGGTGGAGGAGGTAAAGGCAGGACGAGGGAGCAGGTGATTCAGGCCGCTGCATGGACAGAGGTATCACCATAGGATGTACTGTTGAATACTGGATGCTTTACTACCGCTGGCAGACAACGTAGCTAGTAAGCACCGCATGTGTTCCCCGCCCGCTCTCACCCCACGACAGCCAGGATGGCCCAGTTGGAGGCTGCCGCCGGGGGCGGTGGCGGAGGTGGGCTGTACGGCATTGACGAGGGAGGTGACGGCGGCGGCGGCGGTGGCGGCCCCAGTCGCCGCCGTACCGGTGCCGGCGGCCGCCGTACCGGCGGAGGCGGGGCGGGGTCCCGCCGTATCACCGTGGCCCGGGTGCCCCTGGACTTGCGACCCGTGGACGTGTCCGATGTAGGTTGGGTATGTCGTACGTTAGGTGGTACGGTACTGTACAGTTCAATTGTTACAGGTAACGCTTGTACGGCTCACTTGGGTGGCAGTAGCGCAACACGCCAGGCGTCTATGGGGCTGGGCGTTTGGCTCACCAGCTCTTGCTTTCCTCCCCTTCCGCCCCTCCTCCCTCCCTCCTATCCCCATTGCTTTGCCCCACCCTGTGGTTTCCTATGGTTCGGTATGCGGTCTTGGACCCCCCGCCCCCCCTCCCGCCCCAGATCCCGGTCTCCCAGGACCTGCTGGGCGGGCGCTACGTGCTGCTTCACGACTGCCCCGAACCGCACAAGAGTCGGCTGGCGGGGCTGATCCGGAAGCTGGGGGGCAGGCAGACAACAAACTATGTGGGTGTGCGCGAGCAGCGGGGGGGTTGAGGTTGGTGGTGAGAGGGCCCTGTGGTGAGGTCCATAGCCCTACACACACGGTGATTGCTCGCGCGGTTACTCGTCCTGGGTAAAGCGTGGCTCCGACCTGTAACCCCGACACTCCACCTCCCACATGCGCAGATGCCCTCTGGGCCCTACAGCACCGCCTTTGTGATCCTGGGGCGTTGGGACGCAGCCACCCGCGCCGACCCGTGGGTCCCTGCGCTGGCGGGGCGCACCGACTTGCTCCGACCCCAGTGGCTGGAGGCGTGCGAGGCGGAGGGGAGGCTGCTGCAGCCGCCACGGCCGGGATTGGCGTGGAGCATCTGTGGAAAGGTGAGCGTGACGTGAGATGACGTGGCGCATGTGAAACCAAGAAGGCTGGTAAGAATGGGTGCCGTACACGGCCCTGCCGTACACGGCCCTGCCGTACACGGCCCTGCCGTACACGGCCCTGCCGTACACGGCCCTGCCGTACACGGCCCCGGAAGGGAGATGAATCGGTGCCACATGTCGGGGTGCCACACGCACTGCATCTTCACAGAAATCACAGTACGTTCCGTCTCGCGGCCAGTTTTCTTAACACACGCTCCACCTCTCCTCGTCTCCCCCCTCTCCTCCCGCTACACCCCTTCACAGACTCGCGAGCAGCACTCGGACGTGATGGACCCCTACGGCGACCTTTACTACCAACCGCTGCTCCTCTCCTCATCAGCTGCAGCACCTGCAGCAGCAGCAGTACATGACGTACGGCATGATGACGGCGATAACGACGACGATGACGACCTGCGGGCGTTGGTCGAACGCCACGTCACTGCCGCACAGCTGGCGGCGGCGCGTACGGCACTGGATGCGGCGGCGAGCATGCCTGCCAGAGCGCGGCGGCGAGCGAGGCAGCGGGACGCGCGGAAGCAGCCGGATGGGAGGACGAGTGAGTTTGGGAGGGGGTGGGTGATGTAACTTGTAAGGGTTAGATGCAGAGACAAGGAGTATCGCGAGCGCAGAAGACGTTTAATTACTGTTATGGTGCGGACACGGCCTGGATACGGTGCTATGGGAATTTCCCAATACAACGAGGATGGAGGAGCAGCCTAATGTGATCTTGGTGCCGCCCATGTTGATAACATGGGCTGTACGAGTATGCAGCGGAACGTATGCCTACGTAACGAAGACAACACCGCCTAGGGCTGAAGTCCTGCCCTGGCATGACACTCTTGGACACGACTACCGGACAGACCAACGGGCGAACAACTCCCCGGGCTGATCCTAGGGAAACCGCAGGCAAACGCCTGTCACCAACGCTCCTCTAGGACCACCCAAACTGACACAGGGGCGAAAATTATGTAATAAGTGCAAACAACCATATTCCCGACTCGTGCAGTGAGTGCATTAAGAGACACTATCCTGGCACAGGGGCGGGGCGACACCTCATGTTACCAACACGCCTGGCCGACTTTGACCCCCTGTGCAACTCCCCTTGACTGCATGTACCCTACACATGCTACCTTGTACCGTGTACCGCTACAAGCCCTGTACGAGACTACTGACGACCTCATACGACGGATCCGAGATGAGATCCACGATATCGGCGAGAAACCCCCACCTGGATCCATGTTCCTGGGCCTTACGTTGCTCTTTCTGGAGTTGCAGTACATTCCGCCGCCGCCGGCGCCGCCGCCACTCGCCATCGCGCCAATCGAGGGCCTACTCCTGGCTGGCGTTACAGACGTCGAGGAGCGCGCGCACCACTGGGTCGCCAACGACCCACGGGACCGTGTCGAGGCGTTGAAGGCGGCCGTCGTACGGCATGGCGGCGTGGTGGTTGACAGTTGGGATGAACGAGTGACGCATCTCGTGTTGTACGACGGGATTGACGAGACGATCATGGATGACCAAATGCGGGCCGCAATGGCGGTTGTACGACATGACCAAGATCAAGATCTGCATGTAGATCTGCCGTACGACAATTCTACCGCCGCCAGGGCGGCGCGTGTCGCCGCATTGGCTCGTGAATTCAGCCCAGAGGAGGTCATTGAGGCTCTCATTGGTGTTGCCGAGTGCGCACAGGATGAGGACGCGCTAGAGGAGGCCGCTGAGGAGGAAGAGCAGGAGCAGCGACAACAAGGGGAGGAAGGCGGTGATGGTCACAGCGCCGCCGCGGCGGCGGCCCGGCGCATGTCGGCGGCTCAGTCGCACAGTTTGTCGCTGATCCGAGCAGCGCTGGAGCGGCCTGCGGGGGCGGTGGAGGCGGTGGGTGCCGTACAGCTGGTGGACTGGAGGTGAGCGGTGAGGATGATGAGGGTGAGGCTGGTTAGGGGGCTTGGAGAGGTGGAAAAGGACTGGGGGGTATACCGTACGCACAGAGGTGTCTCCCTGGCCTGCTCGCCACACACTTTTCCTGCGTCCTTTTACTCACCGCAGCGGTACCTCTTCAGTGTACCGTACTTCACCCCTCACAGCATGCATAGCAGGCACCACACCTCTCCCCAAGTCTCCCTCCCAATCATACCCCACCCACCCCGCTGCATGCTGGCGTCATGCACTTCCTTACCCCTTTCCTTGCTACCCCGGGCTGCCCTCTCTTGTGTGACATCACACCAACCCGCACAGGTGGGTCCGCGACTCCCTGCAACGTGCTGCGGATGCGGCGGCGGCAGCCACTGCCGCCAAGGAAGCAGCCGCCGCCAGGCGCCGCGCCGCCACCACCACCTCCACTGGCGGTGACGGCGGCGGCGGCGGCACTCATAGCCCCAAGCTCAACATTTACGGGCTTTATGACAATGAGATGGAAGACGAAGATGCAGTGGATATGGATGAGGGGCATCAGGAGGGGGAGGAGGAGGGGGTAACAGCGGTGGCGGCAGCAAGAGCAGTGGGGACGCTGTCAGAGCTGGACTACCCACCACGCATCAAGCCGCCAGCGGATTGGTGCTCCGCAGGAGCAGGAGGAGGAAGAGAAGGAACCCAAGGAGAAGGGCGACAGCTACAACGGCAAGAGACGGGTACGGCAGAAGTGGCGGCAACTGGTGACATGACTGCCACTATGGTAGATGGTGTGCCCGGACGGGTTCCAAAGGAGGCGCCGCCGCTCCCCGGCATGCCGAGGGAGGACGGCCCAGCTGGTCGAGGCGGAGGTGCAGGTGCAGGTGGCGGCGGCGGCGGGACGTTGGGCAGCATTTGGCGGGTGGTGCTTGAAGATGAAGAGGAGGAGGGTAGCGGCGCAGAGGAGGAACGGAAGGAAAAAGGCCGCACTCGGTCGCCGCCATCTGCAGGACCAGCCGGCATGGCCGCCGCCGCCATCGTACAATCGCTGCCGTCAACCCGGTCAGATGAAGCACATGCCGTACATGCTGCGCCGGCCTCACATCAGCCACCTCTCCAATTGATGCCATCAGCGGCGCCGTCAGCTGTGCGCCAGGCGCCGGCCCCGCCGCTCTCAACGTCATTACTGCAGCCCTTGCCGCCACCCGACGAGTTCATCCGCCTCTGGCCCTGGGAGCGCTTCCGCATACCCCTGCCGGCACCCGAGGAACTTGCCAAATTAGGCACCCGAACTCAGCGGCGGCGGCGGCGGCGCGGCCCGTACGGCAGTACAGATGGTACGAGCACAACCGGCACCGCTGGAACTACCACCATCGTTGCAACAAGTGGGGGAGTGCGGCATGACGGTAGCGACGGTACGGCAAGCGGCGGCGGCGGGGAAGGTGCTGACGGTAGCAGCGATGGCGGCGGCTCCGCCGCTAATACTCCTGTACGGCGCCGTCATGGCGGACATGGCGGGTTATCATCGCCACCGGCTACGGGTGCCAGGAAAGGACGCACTGTGGCGGCGGCGACGGCGGCGGAAACGGCAGCAGCGTCAGCAGAAACGGCGGTGGCGACGCAAGCTTCCAAGAGAAGTGCTCAGAGCGGCGGAAGGGCTGCAGCAACAGGAACTCCGTTGCGGGCTTGTCGATCCAGATCTGCCGCTAGGGGGGCTGTACGGCAGGATGCTGGTGGGCCGGCGGAGGTAGCGGCCGCTGCCGAGCATGCAGGAGGGGATGCGGCGCCGCCATCACCGGGGACAACGGTGGCGGCAGCGGTACAGGAGCAGCGTCGGCGGCGGGGACTACGGGGAAGCACAGTGACCCGGACCCGCGGCAGTCCCACCGCTACGGCTTCCAAACGGCAACAGCGTAATCCACGCAAGCGCCCGGGGTCCGCCGCTGCTGATTACGAGACCGCCGAAGCTGCTAGCCTGGAAGACGACGGGGAGCTAGCGGCGAACGCTGCCGTTGCAACCGGGACCCAGCGTAAGCGGCCGCGCCGGGCCGCTGCCGCCGCAGCGGCCGCCGCCACTGCTTCCCTGCTCTCCAGAGAGCGCTTGGAGGACCAGGAGGAGGAGGGGGAGGACCTAGCGGAGAAGTCTTCACCGTCGCCAGCTCCGCAACCACCACAACAGAGCAGGGGACTGCGTCGTACGGCAGCACGGCGAGGGGCGGCGGCGGCAGCAGCTGCAATGGAGGAGGAAGAGGAGGAGGAGGAGGAGGCGGACGGGAAGCATGGTGAAGCCGGGGAAGGGCCGCGTGGGTCCGGTGCGACAGCGGCAGCATCCTCGGCGCCAGTTGCTGCAATGGCGGAGTTCCGTCGGGGACCTGTCATGCAAGGTCAAGCCGCCGTGGAGACGTCGTCAAACACTGGTGACGTTGGAGCTATCAGCGCCGCCCACGCCGCCGTTGTAGCAGCTGGCGGCGGCAGCAGCAGCCAGCTGCGACGGTTGCCGACAACACCCAAACCAACACCTGCAGCACTGCCGCTGCCGCCACCGTCGCCTTTCTATACAGGACAAGCCGCCCAGATCCGTGCTTTGACCCCTGCTGCGCCCGCAGCCCATGTTACGGAGGGTAACAATGGTGGCGGCGGGCCCTTCGATGCCGCTGCAGCGGCGGCGGCGGCGGCAAGTGCCGTACCACTGCCGCCACCGCAGCCGCTACCATCACCGTCACCATCGCCGCTGACGTCACTTCCGAAACGTCGCCTGCAGGACTTGATGCGGGTGCCGTACGGATCTCGTACAGGCCCGGCCGTCCTCCAGAGTACGGCAACTACGTCTACGACATCATCCACACTAGCACCCGCCTCGATGCAGCAGCAGCTGCAGTCTCAGGCTCACACTCAGGCACATGAAGGTCAAACTCAGCCTCAAACCCAGTCCCAAAGTCAGCCTCAAACTCAACAACAGCAAGAGCGACGACCGGACGGCTCACAGCGCATCAACACCGCCGCAGCAGCAGCACCTGCCACCTCCACCGCCACCACCGCTGGCGTCAACGCATCGCCTGTCCTGCGACGAAGACTGCTGGGGCAACGGCCGGGTGAGGCCGCCCAAGTGGGGCAGAGGAGCCTGCTGGGGGCCGGAACACAACCCACAACAGCGGTGGCGAGGGTAGCGGCAGCGCCGCCGGTTACTGCAGGGTTCGGCGGTGCTAGTGGAGGTGGTATGGTAGGGCAAAGCGGTGGCGAGGGTGATGGAGGAGGCAAGGGAAGCGGCAGCAGCGGTGGTGGAGGTGGCGTCCTATCAAGCGTGCTTGCCCGGGTCTTGGGCGGTGACAGTGATGAGGACTAGGGGACTAGTGCCCATACATCCGGATAGGGATGTGTAGCAAGGGGTGGTCGTAGGTAAGAGGGTAGTAAGTAGGAGAAGAGGCGTTGGGGAACGGTGGTTTTGACCGAGAGGTATCGCATTGATGTATACTTTGAATGTTGTTGCATTTGCGTTGTACTGCTGTTGGTTGCATGGTCGTACTGCATGTTCGTAATGCTATCAGGATGACCTCATTGCTGTCGTACGCACCATCGCCACGCCTTGGTTGTTGGGCTTGTTTTCAACCAAGGCCCTTGGACAACTGAATTATTGTACGTACAGCTATGCTTCATGTGCATGTGCATGTGCATGGGCTGTAGTTGGAAGGTTAAAAGTACTGTGATGGGACCGGGGAGAACGCCTTTTGACGTTGACGCTAGCGATTGCAGAGGGGAAATGGATCTCGCAGGTACTGGAAACCCTACAAGTCGGCCGCATGGGGAGGGGGCGCTAGAGGGGCGACGGGGTGCATGGAGAGGAGGGATAGGGCGTTGTTGCACCCATACCCCGGATGCTGGCACTACCGGTGTAAAAGCGTGAAAAGGCTTACTCGAGATGGCAGGAACTCCTTAGGTTTTGGATATATTCGTGGGTATTCTGGGGCTGGGGCGGGTGTGCCCTGCTACTATCTGTACCAGACCAGCTTACGAGGATGGCTACCCGTGGGATTGCGTCAGTATGCATGGCTAGAGCGTGTCCTCGATAGTTGTTTTCTGCACGGTTACGAAGGCATTCATGCATGTGCAGCGCATGGCTGGTATGCAACTCTTGGCAGTCCCCTTCACACCCTCCTTCAAGCGGATTAGGGGCGCCGGGTGCACGCCTATTCCAGCGTCCTAGAGGGAAAGGTGTACTGTTCTTTAAAGCGCAGAGATGGGGCGTGAGTTCTGTGGCTGCGCCAAAGACGCGTGTACCGCTAGGGTCAAGGGGTTGGGTGCTAGCGATAGGAGGTTGGGTCGGAGAGGGTGTTGATTGCGCCGAGGGTGCGCACGCTCTTTTTATTAAAGTTGTACATTACGCGTTCTCTTCAGCTTCACCTGCAAATATGGTCATTCGCCCCATTCCTGTGTTGCGAAGTGCTGTACGAAGCCGAAACTAGTAATGAAAGGCGGCTTTAATCCTAGGAGAGAACTTACTTTTATTCTACCTGCTTCCCTTACGCTGTTAGAGGCATAAAATGGCCACGGCCACGCATCGTGCAGTGCTGATTGCCGGGACGGCTGGTGGCATCGGCTTCAGCAGCTACTACTTCGGGCAGCTTAAAGAGGTGCAGAAGTATGAGAAGGACAAGAAGGACATTGAGAAGCTGATTGATTCAGAGCGCAAGCGGCTGGCTCAGTCCTCGAAGGCGCAGTCGGAGCAGGAGCAGCGCGTTTCAGAGGTTGACAGCCAAGTGCGCGAGGGTCAGAAGGCCGTTCAGGAGCTGGAGGTTAAGCTGGACGCTGCTCGCAAGCAGGTTGAGCAGCTGGAGCAGCAACTGAAGGGCAAGAGCACCGAGCTGAAGTCGAAGCAGGCGGACCTTGTTTCGGCCCAGTCTCGCCTTGCCGAGCTGCGTGCCGATGCGGAGCGGGCGAAGCAGTCCTTCACGATGGGGGAGAAGTCGTTGGCTCTTGCTAACCAGAAGATTGCGGAGGCCAAGCTCCTCACAAACCCGCTCAACCACCCGAAGATTCGCTCCTTCATGGGGAAGAAGTAAGCGGGGCGCCTTTTGCGTATTCTTTCACAATTTTATACGCAGCATTTGCGCTTCTTTGTGCTAGCCGGCGGGCACGATGCGGCCCTGGGGTCGGTGCCATCGCGGCGCTGTGCATACCAGGCTTAGCTTCTTGATAATTGCTGGTTACAGTAGCTGATGAATACAGCTGAGCTTGTGCGTTGGTAAGTTAGTTACGCGTGTGGCTGAAGGGCTTCATCGTAGCGGACAATTGTGCAGCGGAGGCAGGCGACTGCGCGCGGCGTGCACTCTATGTCTATCATTCCATTACGCAGTAACGTTGTATGTTCGTTGGAATGCTTTGGGCACACCATGTGGGGACAGCGGCTCCTTGTGCACTGCTGGACCTGCTGCGGCACCAGTTTGCACCGTAGGGTGAGATGTAGTGAGTTGCGATGTGTTGAGGGCGCGCCTACTGGGAAGTAAGGAGAACGCTTCCATGCATCAGGAAGATGGTTATTACCGGCGATAGCAAGCGAAGGTGCAGCCGGGTTTTGAGGCACAGAGTTCCTGCTTAGGGGGTGCTTTGGAAGTTAAGGCTGTTCACGAGGTCGTTGGATAACGGTAGAGAGGTGAACAGGTGGTTTGGCCGCAAGTGCTGCTCGGGTCTTGCCGCTTGGGATTGACTAACGGTCATCTGTGGGCACAGCTATTGATGAGCATGGCTGTGCGCGGCCGCATGCTACGCCCTTGCTTGGCTCCCCTGCTGGGCCATACGCGGTTTAGGGGGAGGCACTCCGCATGGGCTGTTTGGTTGTGCTAGATTATGCAAAGCGCACCTACAGTTGTTCCCCGTACGCGTGCCTCCCATGTGTGCCGTCTCAAGACTGCGCTGTGTTGTGGCATATGCTAGGCAGTGAGGAGAGGACAATGGAGGCGTAGAAGGGAGGGCAGGCATGCGTCAAAGGGATGGTGCGGATGAGACTTGATAACGTGTAAATGTATATATACGGTATGCGGCTCAGGAGCTTTTGGCATAAGCGTTGTCCCCTGCTCGAGGGGCAAGGCAGGGTTGTAGTCCGTTACGGCATCCCCTCCTAGCGCAAGCACTGGGCGCAGACACAGCTGCACGAACCCTCGTATTCAGCCCTCCTAGCCAAAAGGGATTGCAATCTACCCAGCGCAAGATACACAAAGGCAAGAGAGCACCCCCTCCAACTCCACTCGCCACAGGCACTGCTCGTGTTCACTCCCCTGAACGCCCGAAAAGGCTTTGCAACACGTTAATCGCTCTGACTGGATCACCCATATAACGCCACAAAACGCCTTCTTGTGGGATGCGATCAAAGCTATGACGGTGGGTATCCCGGGTACCGAGCATATCCTACCGCTTTCGTTGAGCTCCATAGGTTTCATGCAGCATCTCATTTCCCAAAAGTTCCTGACGTTCCGTCCCTAACGTTCGCACGTAAAAAACCTCTCCCTTCGTAACAGCAGAAAAACCGAAGTCCGCTATCCAACAAACCCAACAAGAGCCGCATAGACGTTCACGTACGAGGTACAGTCGTGCGTGTACGACAGTCCACACGGCCCCTTGCGACCAACCGAAACCACATGCAAACGGGCACACATACCCAACAACACCGTGGACGCGACATCGTACGGACAACAACCCTCGACAGCTACACCCCATACCCCTTGCGAGGGTAGGCCCTGCGTCCCACGTCCGCACCCTTCTTAAGCATGTATGCAGGACATGCAGAAAAGAAGGCAACGTGCGTAATGTTGCTTTAGGCTAGAAAAGGCCGAGCGGGTTCTTATTCTTATTATTGATCGGTGTAACTAGACTAAATAGCGGTAACAACCAAACCACCACGACCGCACGCACGCACGCCGCCATCCAACTGTGTCACTGAGGTGCCGCCGCCACCACCACCACCGGGCCGCTGTCGTGTGTTCTCATCACGGGCCCTATCATCAACAGAACCATTGCAAAACACCACACCATGCTAGGGATACCACGGTACGGTAGCACCGCGCCCTTAAACGCTCGCTGCTAACGCTTCCATCTCACGCGCACGCCCACACCTCCCACCTTTTATTGTCTTCCATACCTGCCCTCCTCCTTTTGCTGCTCCACCTCCTGCTCCTCCACTATCTCAATAGCCAAACCCTACCCTCTTCCCTCTAACTTCTCCTGCTCCGTATGTGGCTAGTTGAAGGTGTACAGCAGCGCCTTACCGTCATCCCCCGAGCAGATCAGTTTGTCGTAGCACGCCTCCATGCAACGTACGGCTGCCCGGTTGGCGCCCAGAGCGTACAACGTACGACCACTCTACAATGGGGGCACAAGGGAGGGATGCAGGGATGGAGGGAACGCATGGAGAGGAGGATACCGGTAAGGGGCAATTCGTTCTCACATGTCATGCCGTCATGCGTGTAGGTCGTACATACACATGCAAAACACGCACACAGCGCACAGCCCCCACCCCCGCACAGCCGCCCCCCCACCCGCAGCAAACCCGCACCTGGATGTCAATGAAGTGCACCGAGCCGTCGCCGCACCCAACCGCCGCCACGCCGCCAGCCGCAACCATGCTGTACGGAAAGTTCGTTAGTCGAACGGTTGACGCGAGCGCGAAGCCCATGCGCGGGTCCAGGGTGCGTGCGGTGCCGTCCGCCCCCGCGGTGAGGAGCATGTGGGAGGCGGCGGGACCGCCCGCGATGATGTCGCCCACCGCGCCGTGACCCTGGGTGGGAGGGGGGGCGGGTGAGGAGGAGGAGGACTAGCTGAGGTGATGACGAGAGGAGAGGGGCACGGAAGGCGAGGATGGGACGAGCAAGAGGAAACTTGAGGAAAGCCCTCAGACTCTATACAAAGCCGAGGCGGCCACGGAATGGGTAGCCTGCATCCTGTCTGCCCCCCTGTCCACGCGCCCCTGTCCACACCCCACCTGCTCATTGACGTGCAGTTGAACCTTGACGACGTTGCTCCTGCAGGTAACGGGGGAGTGGGGGTTGGGAAGGGGAGGAGGACGTACGGCAACAATGGCGACGGTGAAGGCTCGGGCCCTAACCGACGGCGTGCACGTGTGGGATAAACCCGTAGCAGTCACGACAAGACCTCCCTCCCATCCTGTCTCCTGCCTACCCTCCCACCCGCTTGCTGCCCCACACACTAAGCTCCCCTCTTTCCGGACCGCTAGCGCCCCCCTTCTTCCCTCCCTCCCGCCCCCACCCAGCACCACCACTCACTTTGCGCGCGGGTCCCACACCCTCACCGCGCCGTCCTGGCCTCCGCTCACAAAGCACCCGCCCAGCCCTCCTCCTCCTCCTCCTGCTCCTCCCTCCTCCCACCAGGCGAGTGCGGTGATGTGCCCCGCATGCACGTTCTTCATGCGCCAACCCACCCCGCTGCCACTGCCACTGGAGGTGTCCCACAGCAGCACATGGCCGCTGCGGTCGCCTGGGGGTTGCGGTACCGGGGGGGCGGGAGGTCAGGATAGAGCCAGGGGGAGGGAGGAACCGCGGAGGAGTGGGCGATGGGGCTTCCTTCCTACTACCGTATCTGCCAACCATCCATTCATTAGAGGCATGAACCCACCTGAGATGATGCGCCCATCCGCAGCCACCTGCATCTCCAGCACCGGGGCCTCATGACCCTGCCAGGCCACAAGGGGGGTGAGCGGGGAGGTGCACAGGAGGGTCAGCAATCTAGGGCTGCCTAGACGTGCCACCAAGCAGTGCCGGCTGCGCGCCCCGCGCCCGCGCTAGCAGCAGCTGGGCTGAGCAGCAGCACGGGAGGCCCCCCCCCTTTACCGGCATCTGAGCCACACCAGCCCCCCCCACCGCCCCCCCCAGCCCTGCCGTGTACTCGCGTACCTGCAGACAGCCCATCTCATGCGGCCTGGCGCCCAGCTGCCACAGCCGCAGGGTCTTGTCGTACGAGGCACTTACCACCAGACCCGAGGAGCTGTCGTACTTGACCTGGGTGAAAGGGGGTGGGGGGGAACGGGGCGTGGGTATGTTGTGGGTATGTTGTGGGTGGGGAGGGTAAGGCAGCTGCTCGAAAGGGGCTTTTAGCAGGTGTGTGCGCACGGAGGTGCCTCTGCCGACCCATGGACCCATGGACGCCCCTTTGCCCACCCAACCCCGCACGCACACCTCCCCAACTCCCCGCCCCCGCCCCCACACCTCCCCCCGCCCACGCCCCACCTGCGAGATGGGTCCGAAGTGCGCCTCCGCCACCATGCCCCGCGTGCCGCCCGCCGGCCACACCCACAGCTTGCTGTCCATGCCGCCCGACACGATGCGGCCGTCGGGGCAGTAGGTGACGCAGGTGACCCACCTGGGGAGGGGGGTGTAGGGAGGGGGGGAGGGGGGGAGGGAGGTGCAGGCGCAGGCGAGATAGCTTGGCACCTCCAACCTCAACCATGCGTCATGAGTCATGGCGCGGCACCACGGGCCTACCACACCCTCCAAGTGTCCATTCCAACCCATTCTTCTCCTTTCTTTGTTCATTCTGCTATACAGCCCCGCTTCCCATTCCAGTCCTCCCGTGCGGCTTACTCTGTGTGTCCGCACGTCTTGTTGTACAGCGTGCGCTTCCGCAGCCCCCGGGTCGCATCCAACACGTACAGCGCATGGTCCGTGGACCCCACCACCACCTCCCCGCGGCTCCAGTCCGCGGCGGAACAGGTGTTGGGTCGGTCCGACAGGTCGCACATCACCCCCGCCGGGTCAGTGGGCCCAGACAGCCAACCCAGCGACACCCGGGGAGGGTAGCGACCCACGGGTCCGACACCGCTGTTTGTGGCTCTCCCTGCCGATGTCCTGTCCCCGCCGACACCGAAAGCACCGGAGATGGATCCGGAATTGGTTCCGGAGCTCTCCCTGCCGCCGACCGTTGGCGCCGTACCGGAGTTGGTTGGGTTTCTGCTGTTGCTTCCGGAGCCGGGAGCACTGCCCAGGTACGAACCTCCGCCTGCTCCTGTCCCTCCTCCTCCATAATTCCCTCCCAGTATACCCCCTCCACCTCCTCCACCCCCTCCGCCTGCTCCTCCGTAGTTCCCCCCGGCTATCCCCGGGTTGCTGCTGCGCCTGCCGCCAACCCCAACGCCACCCCCTGCAACCCCTCGGGAGGACGAGTGGTGGATGGTACCGGAGCTGGGTCGGCGCAGGGAGGAGGGCGGGGTGCCGCCGCTGCCGCTGCCGGTGGGAATGCGGCCGCCGGTGGTAGTTGCTGAGCGGTTGGAGTAGGGGGAGGAGGAGGCGGAGGGGGAGGAGTAGGAGGAGCCGGCTGGGGGGCGACTGTGGTGGGGAATGGGGTGAGAGGGAGAGAGGGTGAGAGAAGGGATCCAGGCAGCGAAGGTATGGGGCATACTAGCGAGAGAGAGGGCGGGATAACGGCTCATGCCTCCCTTCCAGGCATCCCAAACCCTCCTCCCTCCTTCCCCTCACCCGTAGCCACTTCCTCCCCCAGGCAGCGACGGCAATGAGGGCGAGGCGCAACGCGGCGAGGGCTCCTCCAACGCCGCGTAAATGCCCCGCTGCTGGGCCGCGAAGGAACTGCCCACGCGAGCAGCTGCGGCGTTAGCGGATGACGCGGGGCCGCCTCGGCCTCCGGGACCTCCAGGACCGCCGCCTCCGCCTCCGAGGCCCATGGCTCGCATCTCCTCCCAGGCCTTTTCGAAATCCTCCATGTACTTGTCGTTCATGACGTGAGACCGCGCGGCGGAGTACTTGCCTGGAAGGGCCGGGAATGGCATGGATGTTGATGCTTGATGGTGTTGGTGTTGGGTGGTAGGAGTGTTTTGCTGTGGTGAAGGGTGTTTGCTTGCAAGCGGTAAAAGTGAAAATAGGATCGGTAGTAGGGCTTTGCGTGTGCAACCGATTGGGGTCAGCTGGAGGTGGATGCTGAGGATGTTGCTGAAAGAGGTTTGTAGTGCGTCGGACAAGTGGTAGCTGGGGGATTCAAGCTGTTAGGGCGGCATAATCATAATATGTATAGTGTACAACCCGAAGTAGTATGCGGACACCGGAGCTGTGCTATTAAGTGGTGAAAGCATTGGGGAGCAGGAAACGTGCTTGGCCCATAAATAGACGTAGGTATGCAAGTCAAGAGCAATACCAGTGACCACCCGTGTATATACCTGCCGGTGGCGGCACGCCCCTGCCCGGTGGATAGCGGTCCATGGTAGATGCCGCTCGTGCCTCCGGGACGCTTAACCAATGCTAGTGACGTTTAACCGTATCCCAGACGTTCCGAATATTAGTACAGCTCTATAGGGATTGGGTTAAGTGTCGACAATAATTCAGTCTCATAAGCAACCTACGTCCGCCTATGAAAGGGTTACAGGGGAACAACCGGTAAGAACTACCAGTTTACAATATTGCGAAGCTGCTGCAACTTCCGTACTGAGCTATCGCCGATGCAAGGTAGCGAGGTAGGATCGACGTCGTGCACTCGGTGAAGTACACGTTTGATGCTTTCGCCCAGCAACACGCTAATTGCTCAACGGGCCGTTACGACATCTTTTGTAGCTGTCCGTGCTCCGAGGCTAACGCTCTCGCTAGATACGCTTTCCGTGACTCACCAACGCATCCTACCCTAGGCTGCTTAACACCAAACAACATGACGATTGGCCAGAAGCTCAAGGCGTTTTGGAACCATCCTGCGGGGCCGAAGACTAGTGAGTGGTTCCGCAATGCATTGTTCCCAGACAGTCTTTTCTTTTTAGCCTTGGGGCACAGTGGGATCAACTGTATCCGTAAACATTGTGTATGCAGTCCACTTCTGGGCGCCTACATTCAAGTGGGGCATTTCCCTCGCCAACATTGCGGACATTAACCGACCCGCTGACAAAATTAGCCTTCCTCAACAGTGCGGTAAGCAAACCATGGCAATTTCCATGCAACCATTGCATCATACGAGATACTCTGGTTCTATGTTATGCCCCATTTAGGAACACCCGGCTAGCATCGGCATGCCCCGGATGTGCTTCTCATATCTTGCACCCCTAATATCTTGCACCCGTCCCAGCGCTTCCTCCCTTCCACCTGCCCCCCGCACGCGCAACCCCCCTGCAGCTCTGTGACACCTTGCCTGCCCCACCCTTGCCTTGGGACCCTTAGCCCCCTCTGCCGCTCCCTCCTCTCTTCAACCCCACCCAAACCCCACCCAAACCCTAAACCCCCTCCATCCCAGCCATCACCGCCACCGGCGTCATTTGGTCGCGCTACAGCACCCAGATCACGCCGGTCAACTACAACCTGCTGGCGGTCAACGCCTTCATGGCGCTCACGGGGGGATACCAGCTGTTCAGGAAGATCAGGTGTGGGGGTGTGTGGGAGGGGGGGAAACAGAAGTGCAGCAACTGGGGCGAGGGCGGGGGCTGCGTGCGTGTTCGGGGGCCGGGGGTCAACAAGGCTGTGTTGGTCCGGAGGGTGACGGGTTGTGTGCATGGACAGCTTTGTACGCATTGCAGGCAGAGCAAAGGAAGGAGGGGAGTCAGCTGTCGGGGAGCTTATCTTTGCTTCTTGAGGGATCTTGACCCTGCCCCGCCTGGCTCCGCCCCATCTGCCTCCGCACTTCCGTACCAAACTCACCTTTCATGACACGGCGCTACAGTCCTCTTATCACACCCACCCCTCCTCTTCTACCGGTATCACACCCACCCTTCCTATAACACCCGCCCTTCTTCCTGCGCATCGCCCCCCTGCCCGCAGCTATGACATGGCGCAGCAGACGCCGGCCGCCACCGCCTGAACGCCGCCCTCCCTCTCGCGCACCTCCGCCGCCACGCCACGTCACGTGATGGTGTATGATGGTGTATGGTGTTTGCTCCGCCCTACCTCGGTGTCGCATGGAGCAGAGTTGCGAGCGGCCTTGCGGACTCACGGGACTTGCACGCGCCGTGGCACACACAGTGGCACGCACAGCGCACAGGACGATGACGGCACATGCGGCTTGAGGTCTCAGGGGGCGTGCGCTTTGGTCGGCGAGAAGGCTGGGCTCTGAAGCATGTGGGCTGGGTGCTGTGCGGTGCAGACATGTCATGTTGCTGTGGCTGGGGGGAAGCCGGGGAGGGATAGGCGTCTGGCCGCAGATACGCTGCATGCTTGCCTGCTAGGAGGAGATGAACGCTATCCTGACGTCATTCTGTCACGTTCCTGGTGCAATGGTGCTCTATACGACTGCTCTATACGGCTGCGCTAGCAGGTCGGCCCAGCACGTGGTGGTGTTTTGAATGACTGACATGTATGGACTGAACTGCATGTTTGGAGTCAGACAGGCAGTCAGACAGTCAGACAGGCTGCATGTGGGTAGCGGGGGCATGCTGGCGGTGTTCTGCAACCTTACATGCGGAGTGTCCCAGAAAGGCCAGAATGGTACCTAGGGTGGCTCTTGACGTATAGCGGCACCGGAGTTTAAGTCTAGACGAAGAAGGATGTTGTTGGTGTGGGGTGCGTAACACAGGGGATCCGCAATGGGGTTGCGAGGTAAGGACGAGGGAGGGATGTGGGAGGCCAGGCGACGTTTTTGGAGTCAGGGTGCTACGTGGGTGGATTCCTACGTGTTGTGTTGCGTGTGGTGAAGTTGTGTCGGAATCGTAATGTATACTCGTATGTTTAACCGAAACAAGTGTGTGAAGGGATGCAATGCGGGTGCCTCCGCCCGTTGGCTGATCGGTTTGGGGAGGAGCGCGGTGACAGGAGGTTGCTGTTTGCTACTGCTACTACTGCTACTGCTGCTGCTGCTGCCGTACGCTTTCGCTTCTGCTGTTCTGGTCGGATGAGGGGGCAAGAGGAAATACTGTACGTGCCATGGGCTGAAGAATATGGACTGTGAAACATTCGTTTTCGCAAGCTCGAAGGAACATGGAGGGTGGCAAATGAAAAAGCGTTTTTGCAACTTCCGCCAACCCGGTCGCCGGGGGTGTCGCTGGCACCTGGCGACGAAACGCAGTGCCTCTCGCGCACTTGTGAAAGCACAGACTGCAAGAGTCAAGAGTCTTAAAGTATAGCGCATGGTGCAGGAATGTACGGCGTAACGGTTGCAACCAACCAACACAAACAGCACAAACCGACAACCTGCAATGTGCAGCCTTTGCAATACTCCTGCGCCACTCTTCTCGTCGCCCTCGCCACACCACAACGCAGACGGCCCCACGCATCCAGCCTCCCTACCCTCTCTACTCAAGTCAGCCCCTTGCCATCCTTTCCTCCCCTTCACGGCCCCACACCTCGTCTACACCTCCTCTCCCACCGCCTACCTCCGCACCCTCACCCTCCCTGCACCCCCAGCACAAGGCTCCGATACTCCCGCACCAGCCCCTCCACCTGCCCCAGCCTCAGCTCCTCCGCCCTCAGCCCCGCGAACAAGTGAGAGCCCCCGGACACGCATGCGGACAACACCGCCAAATCCAAACCACCAGGACCACCACCACCACCGGCACAGCTGCCAGCCGGTGCTGTAGGAGTGTTGGTACCGGAAGCGGCGTCAGCAGCGGTTGGGTTAGCCGCCTGGTGCGGTGCGGAAGAAGCAGCCCCCGGCGGGGCACCACTAGGGGCGGCAGCGGCAGCTGCAGTCGAGGACTGCTGCTGCTGCGGATGGTGGTTGGGGATGCTGTTGTTGTTGGTGGTGGTGCCGGTGGTGCCGGTGGAGAGCTCGGCCTCCAGAGCGGACCAGGCGGCGGAGCTGCGCTGCTTGAGCAGCAGCTGCGGCAGCAGGACAGCGGATGGGTGAGGGGGTGACGGCGGTGAGATGACGTGCTAGCAGGGTAACAGGCACGTCCGGGTCCGGACTCCTCAGACTACCGCACAGAGCAAACTCCGTCTGTACACAGCGCAGCGACGGTCAGGGAAGTCCAGGGCAGGACGCCCCCATGGTGGCAGTACTAGCACCCATGACTGAAGCAGCAACTACCCAACCCCCCCCCCCCAGCCCCTCCCCCCCACCTGGCAGTCCGCCAGCAGCAGCGGCAGCTCACCCAGCCGCAGCTGCTGAGCACTGCTGCCGTACGACAGGGCAAGATGGCCGCGGGCTCGTTGTACGGCAGCCGAGGCTGGTGAGGATGGGGGTGCTGATGATGACATGGATGATGGGGGATTGGAGTCGCCGCCAACATGGCTACTTGAGTCCAAGGCGGCTGCGGTGTTCGCCGTCGCCTCCATTATTGCCCCAGCACCGGCGGCGGAGGCTGCTTCTGTCTCCAGGCGTCGGCCTAGGGCTTCCAGCGCTGCTAGCGGGTCAGCTGGCTGAGTGAAGGGGTGGCTCCTGACAGCGGGGTCCGAGGGCGGAGGCGGCGGCGGCGGAGGCGGAAGAAGGCCCAAGCGGCTGCGGAGGGAGTTGAAGGCGTGTAGAGAGGACTCATCTGCGGAGGAAGGAAAGGAGTACGGCAAGTGGTGGGGCGGGATATGGTTTATGACACTACACGGAATGCAGGAAAGCGGCCCCTGGGTCGTACTGTGTTCCCGGACCTGCTCCCAACCCCCATGCATCCATCACCGCTGTGCCCACGACAGTAAACAACAGACAAGACAAGTACTGCGCGCCTGTTCAGGTAGACGTACCCGGCTGGTGTTGGGGTTGCATGCTTTGCATCGGTATCGCCGGCGTAAGAACAGACTGCAGCAATTGCGGTGGCTGCGGCTGCTGTGGCGGCAGCGGCTGAGGTAAAGAGAGGTTCTGCTCGCCGCTGCTCCTGGCAAAGGTCAGGGGAGCACCCCCGCCGACGCCGCCGGAGGAGGAGCCAGCGGTCGCAGCAGCAGCACCAGCAGCGGCACCAGCAGCAGCAGATGCGGAGGGTGGCTTGCTGCCCAGCGACATGAAGCTCGTAATGCGGGTGAGTCGGGAGGCGATGCCTCCGCCCTCCTTGCCAGACGGGGACTGTACGGCAGCAGCAGCGGCGGCAGCAGCGGCGGCGGCGGCAGGAGTTAATGTTTCTGGAGTTGGCGGCGGCGGTAGGTGAGTCAGGGGCGGTCCTCCTGACGGTGGTACGACAGCTCCCGGGACCGCCGTCGGCTGTACGGCACCTGACGTCAGCAACGGCAGCCGTTGAGGCGACGGCTGCGTTGGGGATGGCAGCGATCCAGCTGAACCTGCAGCATGCGGCGGCAGGGCTTGCGACGGTGCCGGTAGCGGTTGTACGGCAGGCGCTGCCGCTGTTGTTGCCGGCGACGGCGGAGGAGGCGGTGGCGCTGCCGGGCGTCCGAAGATGTTTCGGAGCAAGGATTGGGCACCCGATGGCGGAGGAGGTGGCGGCGGCGGCGCCGCTGCCGCTGCCGCGGCTTGGGGATGAGGCCCGACGGCGGCGGCGGGGTGTTGTACTGCGGGAGCAGAAGCAGCAGCCGACGGCGGTGGCGGCGGCGGCGGCGCCGTCAGGCCTTTCCGCAGCGCCGCCAGTACGACAGCCGGTGGCGGCACCGTCAGGGCTGGCGTCAGGTTATCCGGGCCCTGCATGGGGGAGAGAGTGCAGGAGAAGGATGCAGAGGATATAAGTACCGCTAGTCGAGAAAGCCGGGTCTAGGACAGCAGCAGCCGTGTTATGTTGGCAAGGACCCCAAACCCTTCCAGGGCTCTAGCCTGCCACGTCCTGCCTTCGCCCCTCTGGCCGTCCACACACTTACCAAGCTCAACCACCACGCATCCCCGCAGATTCCGTCACGCTTCCGGCCGCCCACCAGCAACAACCGCTCCAACGAACCAACCGCCACCAAACTGTGGCACATGCGCTCCAGGGGCAGCATCACATGGGCGTACGGCAACTGGGCCTGGTGGTCTGGATCTACCGGTAACGGATTCTGTTGTGGATGATGCCCTTGGTGCTGCTGACCCTGCTGCAGCTGTGGGCCGTGATGACCATGGGGGTGGTGGGGGTGGTGATGGGGCGGGAGTTTGGATGCATGGTGGTGGCTGTGCTGGTGGTGGTGATGGTGGTTGGGAAGAAGCTGCTCCAGCTGTTGTTGTAGTTGTTGGAAGGGGTTTTCGGAGGGAAAGGAGAAGGAGGCGGAAGCAGAGGTGGCAGAGGAGGGCTGCTGCTGCTGCTCAGTTGGGATTGCGGGGGAGATGGGGGTGACGCCGTCCGGGGGATCCACTCGGTGCCAGCTGCAGGGGGGGCGGGCATGAGGAGGAGGAGGTGCAAGGAATGAGGTTAGGAAGGGTAAGGAGGGGTGTGACCGGCAAGGCGCACGGCTTGAGAGGAGGGAGGAGAAAGCTGCTAAACAGCAAAAAGAAACGAACCAGCGCACACCAACGCATCCCCATACCGGCACCTACTGCACCCACCACCCCATACCGGCACCTACTGCACCCACCACCCCATACCGGCACCTACTGCACCCACCACCCCGTCATAAACACTACTACACGCGCACGCACATGCGCACATGCGTGTCTCCCCCCCTATCACCTGAACGTGGCGAGGTCCAGCACCCACGTCTCGTTGCTCTGCACGTAGTTGCGGCTGAAGGAGAGGCGCGAGGAGGTGTCCTGGCAGCCGCCGAACACCGCCAGGCGGGAGCCGCAGGCTGGGGGGGGGCGGGGGAAAGAGGGCGGGCGGGTTATGAAGGCAGGCGGGAGAGCAGGCGGGCGTGGGTCAAGACTCAAAGAGAGCAACAGAGCGTCGCTGGATTTTAATGGGGCCTCTTAATGGAACCTTCACCTCGTATAAGCTAGGGCAGCAGGGCAATAGGGAGGGCGTGATAGACAGGGTCCGGGTCCCGAATACCTCACCTCTCCTTCACCCACCTCCTTCACCCACCTCGTTGATACCCCTCCTTCAACCCCCTCCCTCACCCGCTCCCTTCAACCCACCCCCCCCGCACCTGCCATGCTGTGCCCGAACCTGCCCGCCGGCGCCGGCCGCAGCCGTATCTGTGTCCACTTGGCTGGCTCGCTGCCGTCCGCCCCCTTGAGTGTCCACAGGTCGTCCAACACACCCGTCTCGCGCTCGCCGCCGAACAGCACCACACGGTTGGTGGCCTGCGGGAGGGAGAGAGAGGAAGGGAGAGGGGGAGGGAGGGAAGGGAGAAAGCAGAGTGGGCCTTTGCAAGCCTTTGCTAGCGGGGCCGTCCTAACACAACGAACACAGGGCGTACGGCAGTGTGTCATGGTAGCTGGATTGCAGTACATGCTGCCATTCCCCCGGCTAGGCAGCCCCGGCCTATACACTGTACCGGTGCTTACATACACGGCCGCATGCATCTTGCGAGGCGGTGGCGCGGGCCCTATGATCTTGGGCTGGCTCCAAGTGTTGCTGGGGGGGGGGGTGCAGGGGTGGCGCAGGGGTGCAGGGGGCAGTAGCGTGGAAGAGAGGAGTGGCCTGGCAGAGAGAAGTGACGCAGACAGGGGGCAAGCAGGTCGGTGCGGTTGCGAGGACGAATGGGATACCTCTTCGAACCGCCCCCCCCTCCACCTCACGTGTTCAGGTCCAGCAGCCACACATCCCCCGCCAGCCTCCCGCTCTCCAGCCGCCCGCCGAACAGCACCAGGCAGTGCGGCCCGGCGCGAGTGAGGGTGGCCATGTCGCGACGCGGCGGCTGCAGCGCGGGAGCGGTGTGGGAGCCGCCGCTGTGGTGGTCGCTGCCGCTGCCGCCAGCAGCAGCAGCAGCAGTGGAGGCGGAAGCACCGGTGACACCGGCTAGGGCAGTGACAAGGGAGGGCGTGGAGGAGGAGGCGGAGGCGGAGGGCGGCTGGTCGGGTTGCAGGAGCTGCCAGGTCCATGTGTCCTGGGGTTGGAGATAGGGGTTGGGATTAGATAAGCTGAGCCGCGGGCACACACTGGGGTAGGGATGGGGATGGCAGGGGAAGGGTAGGGCTAGGTAGGAAGGAAGGCGGGTGTTTGATTGGAAGGGGCAGGGCGTGACGTGCCGGGGTATGACATGCATGGTGCCGTACCGTGTCTAAGCACCAGAGGTCGTTGAAAAAGCGTCGGCGCTTCTTGTTGAGATCCGGATCGTACGACAGCACGTGGCCTCCAAAGACGTACATCTTGCGATCCACTACAGCAGCGCAGTGGAAGGCTCTGGGCTCAGGAAGCAGTGGTGCTGGTGCTGGTGGGGTGGTGGGGGTGGTGGTTTGGGTAACGCTGCTGCTGTTACCGCCGCCGCCGCTTATGGTGGAGGTTGAGGTGCGGCCGCCAGCGGTGTTGACGACGGTGGTAGCAGCAGCAGCAGCAGCAGCATTGCCGAGGCCGCCGGCGGTCTGGGCGTCTGGGCGGGTAGGGAACGTACAGCAGAGGAGGCAACGGAAGGTAAGTTAGTGTCTTCAGTTGCGAGATCCCGTTTATGTAACCGATGTCGTGTCGTGGGATGACGTGACGTGAGTTATGGTGTCTTTGGTGCAGAGGATGTGGTTCGGCACTCGCCTGGCGCTGCGGGGGAAACCTTGGGAGCAAACCATACATCGGCATCCGCTTGCAGCACGACGACATCGGAGAGGGCGGCATGGTGCTCAAGTGACGTTTCGCCATCGCTATAGCTTACTCCACCAAAGACTACAACAAGATCGGTTTCCCAAACCGAGTTGGCCCTGGAGATGCATACAGCTGAATGGCCGAACCGCGCAGTGTTAACGGCTGCAGCGTGCGGTGCAGCGTTCGCGGAGCAAGGTATCCACTGCATCTTTCAAGGCAAACTGTATGTCGGGCTCCCTAAGCTAAGCACAAAGCAAGACGGATGGGTGTGGCAAAGAGGTCGGGACGTTAACCGCCTATGCCCATTGACGACGGCCAGATCAGGTTTAAACGTGCTGTGGTCGTTCTTCAGGTATAAACATGCGCACAGAACATACAAGAAAGCCTAGTGGAGTTAGCCAGCGCTCCCACATGGAGGGGGATCCATTATTGCCTTCAGAACACTTTGGTAGTATGACAGACATACATTGGGAGATCACAAGTGAAAGTTATGGTGACCTGTAGGACGGGTAGCTCAGGAGACGTACGGCATGGAACGCATTCTCCCAAGCAAAGTTGCGGATAGGCCACCAGGGAATGCCAAACAGTCAATTATGCATGCCTTTTTGTAGGAGCTTACCGCCAAGCTCAATTGGCTATCGTCGCGTCAAGCTTGCCGTGTAAGCTTGCCTAATTGAACACTATCCTGCTCCACAAAGAAGGGTGTTTCCTAGATAGCAAGCACGATTGCTAAGAATTGAAGCCTATTATAGGCACGTTACGTCTTACAAGCGCAGCCTTGCACAATCGACACGGGGCTTGTGGCGCAGGGAGCGCTAAAAGCAGAAGCTATCGGAGCTGCGCCCAATGCAGTCGATACTTCCATCCCAACACGGCTGTCGCAGCTGCCTTCAGCCCTCTGCTTTGCGGCGTCAGTCGCCAGCGCTCGTCGCGGTGCCGTCGGGCAATGTCGCTAGCACCAGTTACACCGCCCTCACTGCGACCGCAAACAGCAACCAAGCAGCTTCCTCCTCAGCAGGATCAGACTGGTCCAAACGTCTGTTAGCGGTGGCAAACAACAAGCGGAAGAAAGCGGGCGGCAATGGCACAGCAGCGGACATCTTCTCGCCCGCCAAGCCATCGTCTAGAACCTCCAGTAGCAGCGGCTTCGAAGACGACGCCGACAATCTTGACGCCGACGAGTCCCTGACCAGCATGGAGCCAGAACGCAAACGCATCCCAGCAGAAATGCGCTGCTTCGATACTGCGCGCATTTACATTAAGGCAGGTGACGGCGGCAATGGCTGTGTCGCCTTCCACCGCGAGAAATACGTCGAGCACGGTGGACCCTCTGGCGGCACCGGCGGCCGTGGAGGCAACGTCTGGGCCGTCGTCGACGCCGACCTCAACTCCCTCTCCTCCTTCCGCGGGCAAGTCCATTTTCGCGCGGAGGGCGGCGTTAACGGCCAGGGCAGCAATTGCGACGGCGCGAACGCAGAGGACCTCCTCGTCCCCGTGCCCGCCGGCACCATCATCCGACGGAAAGACGCGGAGGAGGACGAACCTCCGCTCGCCGAGCTGCTCCGACCAGGTGAACGCGCTCTGCTTGCAACTGGCGGCCGTGGCGGGCGCGGGAACTTTTCCTTTAAGACCGCGCGCGAGCGCGCGCCGACCATTGCGGAAAAAGGAGAGAAAGGCGAGGAACTCTGGGTGGATCTGGAACTTAAAGTCGTGGCAGACGTGGGCATCATCGGCGTTCCGAACGCCGGTAAGAGCACGCTGTTGTCGGTAATCACCGCTGCAAAGCCAAAGATCGCAAACTACCCATTCACAACGCTGGTACCCAACCTCGGCGTGTGCGAGATGGACTACCGCACCACCGTCTTCGCGGATGTTCCCGGGCTACTAGAGGGCGCACACGAGGGCCTGGGCCTTGGACACGAGTTCCTGCGACATGTCCAGAGATGCCGCCTGCTCGTCCATGTGATCGATGGAACCAGTCCGGACCCGGTCGGCGACTTCAACGCAATCAACCTGGAGCTCGAACTCTTCAACCCCGACCTTGTGGAAAAACCACAACTCATCGCGTACAACAAGGTCGACTTGCCGGATTCGGGAGATTTCTGGGAGATCGTGCGGGAGCAGTTGACGGAGGAGCTCGGGGTGCAGGCGGAGCGGGTGTTCCCCATCTCCGCAGCTACCGGACAGGGTGTGATGCAGCTGGTGCGGGCGGTGCGAGGAGTGCTGGATGAGATGGGCCCGGCGCAGGTGGGGTGCTGGGGACGGGAGGATAAGGACTATGGGGTTACTGGTAACCGTCACTGGCTGAGATGGCCGGGATTGTTGGGGGCTGAGGTTGTTTGGGGCGCACAACTGGAGGGTGGGCGTGGGGGCTGGCTGGCTACCGGTGCTTGGTTTGCCGGGTGGTGCTATGTAGGTGCTTACTGGTGGTGGTAACTAGGAAGGAAGCAAACGCGACAGCTACTGTTGGAAAAGCCCCTATAGCCCCTACAGTGGTCTACCTGGTGCAACCGGGTGCTTCCTGGTTCTCTTCGTGCCGCCGCTGCCTGTACTGCACGTCAAGTACGACACGTCACCATCGCAAGCCCCGCCACATGTGTGCCCGCCACATCCCTGCTGCCGTGTCATGAACCCCCCTGTCCCGGCGTTTCCCCATCAACCCCTTTCCCACACGCCTGCGACGCATACACAGCTAACCCCTGTCCTCATCCCATTCACACGCCCACCGCCCCCCAGGTAACGTACGAGACCAACGCCCTCAACCAAACCTCCGTACCCGCGCGCCGCAACATTCGGGTCGACGACTTTACCGTTTCGCTGGAGGACCTGAGCAGCAGCGGCGGTTTCGGAGGTTACGGAGGCAGCAGCTCCGACGCACCTTCCAAACGTATCTTTTACGTGGAAGGAGAGGGCATCGAGCGCTTCCAACAGATGACAAACTGGGATTACTACGAAGCTGTACGGCGATTCCAACGAGTGCTGGAGGTATCCGGAATCAATGGAGCGCTGCGGGCCAAGGGTGTACGACAGGGCGACACGGTGGTTATCGGTGACATGGAGTTCAGCTGGAGCGATGACAAGTCGGATGCTGCTGTGTACGACGGTTGGGTACGGGATATGAAGGACCGGGGGGTGAATAGGCAGGGCACGGCTCGTTGGCCACGACCCAACGTGGCGTGAGGATGGTGATGATGGGGTTGTGGCTGGGGTGTTTGATGTGGTGTCATGACGGTGTGTGTGACCACGGTTTGTTTGTTTTTTAGGTGGTTCGTTGGTTGGGTCTTCCAAATGCTGACGGTATCACGAGCAGGTTTCGAGCAGGTGTAGGGTGATGTGTGTTTTTACAGTCACTAGTTGACCTCATGTGTCTTATGAGCCGGTGTTCAGGTTATTTGTGCTTGGTTAGAAAGGAAGGGATAGGGATGCTGGGAATGGGAGGGGTTCTTGTGGTTCGAATGCTGCAATGGCAGGGTTAGGATCCTCGAAAGGGGAGGGAGGTAGAGGCCTAGGGCTTAGAGGTGTGGCATCATAGGATACGGTGGTACACTCGCAGTGAAGGGCAATATGGTACCAGGCAATTGACCCCAGGGTGAAGGTGAGGTATAGGGTGGGGTGTAGGGTGGAGCAGGGGTGCTACTGGTAGCTGGCCGCGTCGTCTTTCACGCCCTTGTTGGCTGGCTGGGCGTTCTAGTCTAACGGTATCCTGACTGCTGGGAACTGACTGCTGGGGGCTGAGCTTCGAAAGATACCGGTATTTTACCCTAGCAACTACCGGTATCTTGCCGTATGTTGTTCCCTCTTAACGTACAGATGGGACAAAACTGGCCGCGACGGATGGGAATGTGCAGGTTCTTAGGTTGCCGGCTCCTCGTACGGAGAACGACAATTAGGTTGTTCAGCCTGTCTGGCCATTCCTGTTAACTGTCTAAGACCCATGTAGGTATTGCAGTGAGTACGGCGCTCTGAACACAGGAAATCACCGCGCTTATTGCCCATGTGTTTTCTTCATCATGTGCAAATAGGTAGGCGAGATGGAAGACTGCTATTCTGTGAGTGTGTTAGTCTTGAGCAAGCGACCGCTGACGATGATGACCCGTGGGTCGCACCTGTGAAAAGGGCTTACAGACTCATTCACCGGCAACGGGACAGTCACGGACGGCATGTATGCTGCCAGGTACCTGCCCCGCTGCTCATGACACACCTAGTTCAGCACGATGATGACACGACACTGAACATTGGCAGGAATAGGTGCCATCCTGAAACCACGCAACCTGCAAACCAAGGCCAACGATGGCAAGTAAGTGTAGCACGATGTAGCGGCAGACGCAGGTGTATGTGCACAAGTATTGAAGTATACCACATAAGCTGCGAGGCTCCTGCATACATGCATACGAAGCACGTGTAGTGCAACGATACATGCATGTCACAGGATTCCCTTGCAAAACCACTTCCGGGGAACTCCCAGCAAACACACAAATGCAAGCGTCTTCTTCCTGTCAGCGTTGTATGTCCGCCCGTTGCCTTGCCTAACTCGCTCAGTCGCCGCTCGGATCCAACGAGATAACACATTCGGATAAAGCAACGAGCAGGCTAACTCGGTCATCACCCTGACTGACAGCCCCGGCTGACAGCTTCGGGTAACCGAAAACATTTTTGTTACTATGCCACTGCAGCCAAAACAAAACACGCAAACAGACAACACGAACATGCATGAATAGAACCTTCAGCAACATGTGGAGTTTGAAGGCAACGAACCCTCAACGGCCTCACGCATGCACAGTTAGACGAGCCGTACGACAGCCGTGTACGGCAGACACTTATATTTGACGGATCTGAAAAACATTGGTAAGAAGCCCGGAACCTGGCACACCACCGATCGAACGGGCCTGCTGGTTACGACCACTGGCCAAGAAAATTAATTACGGCGACTTAATACCCTTGGCGCGCTTTCCCTTTCATACTACAGCAGAAGGTTGTGATGAGAACACAGCAGCAGTCATACATGGCACACCGTACAAACGCACAACACGCACGCACATGCCCTTCAGAAACGACAACCTTTGGACGAATAGCCGCCACAGGCCACCACACAACAAACTCCGGGCCGGACCGACATGGGAGAGAATATGGCTGCCATGAAGGCCAAACACCAGCGAAGCGGCGATCCTTGGGCCAAATGCATGCACATGAAACAATAAGAGAAGTAAGGCAATAGGACTGCTGTTGATGAGCGACACCGAATAAGACAGGCCAGCGTAGCAGGAGGTTTTCAAGGCTTAATGCATATGATATAATAGCCGGCGGAGAAAGGTGGCGAGTGCGGGACGCCAAACGAAAGCGACTCTTTAGGTTGGGTTAGATACCGGTACCCCCCGGGTTTCTGACACCTCCTGTTCCTGCCACGGTTTGCGGCTTCCTTCAACGTCGTAAAAGGACACGAGCGCCTACTGGTAGATGCAACCGAAGCACTGGATAGGTACCAACGCCAGTCGGTACCTATCCAGGCTCGTGCAGATAGATTGTCCTGCTGTAAATCCAACAATAGCAAAATACCATCTACGGAGCAGGGCAAAACGAACCACTTGTCCAGACTAAGCATGCCAGGTGTTAACCACAACCACAGCTCTCCTAACAAACTTAAGAAACGCGCAGAGGCGGCGCATCATCTCCCTCTATCTCCCGCCCGTTGCCTCCAGGGTTGCTAATTCGCCTCCATGCATTTTGTCACATGTCCGCTCAGCAGTCCAACACAAAACTATCCTATGCATGATACATTAATGGCTCCGTACGACACCCAAATCACGCAGTACGGTACATTCATGCCGTACGCTTTACGGTAAGCATGATGCAGTAGCAGCGCCCGTACGATACACAGCCCTGTCGTACGCACTGTTGTGAAGCATGTGGAATTGTGGATGTATGTAGCAACCTTGACGTGATTGTCAGCCGTAGCATGCACCCGCAGACACTACTTGCTTGTATACCGGTAAGCATGCACAAACATTTAATTTCGACGCACTGTAGTAAACAACCTAGCCTTCAGCAGCAGCATGATTACAGTTTTTACCCATGCGTACGTAACCCAACATCCTTGCTCAACAATCCATGTCCACCCGTCATTCATGTTCTATGTCTCCACCCCCACCCACCGTTTCACGTAACCCCACCCTTGGCAATAGGTGCACAACGTTTCACGGGACGTCGGAAGAGCTGTAAGGTCTTTTGAAGCCCGCACGACTGCACGTAAAAATTGCGCGTAACAAACCCGCAAATGGCCCTTCAAGCGAACATTAATTACCGGCATATGAACCGCATCCCATGTTTGAGCGACCTTGCACACCAAGCCTTTATATTTATTAATTGAACGACAAAAATGGTTGAGGCATAATTGCATGCCGCTATATGAACAGCGGCTGTATGATATGGGCCGGAATATACCTGCTCTGCAACGTGTTGCTTCAAAAGGCAACCCCGTTCGCCATCACAGTAACACGTGCGCCAACATCAGATTGCAAGAGCATGCAGGAATCTTCCTGGCTCTGCTGCAGCGAGCCTAGACGAGCGCTTAAATAGGGAGTAGGCACCGCCTTAATGCCCCCAAAGCCATGTTGAGAAGGTTCCATGTATATGACGCGCCCTGCGCTTTTTGCCCGTCTCTAAACCCCCTGAATGCAAGCGCCCCAGCCCCCTAATGAACAGCAGGCAATAGGCAACTGTAATCAACCCTTGGTCATGTTCAGGGCATGCTTGCGTGGCTTCGACACTCACCCCACCAACCGTACGACCGTGCAAGTAAGCACATTAGCAGACATTGGGAACCCCCCTCCCCCAAAAGTCAAGGACTGCGCAGTGAAGGGGCTTAAGGCCAAAGCCCTCTGTGTGCCGTATATATGTTATATGTCGCCGATCTAGAAAGACATGCGTGCGTCTGCAGTTGTTGTACATGAAGCTGCCCTTCAGAGAAAAACGCGTGCCACCAAAGCATGTGCTCGACCGACCCCCCCATGACGCCCCCCTCACCTTCTCCCACCTTCCTTTATCGCCAGTGTCTCTTAATTTTTTTCACCCCACCTTCCCCCACCTCTCCATGTGCATATTTACCCACACTCAACCCCCCTCGGCATTGCTGCTTTGCTACTAGATGAAGCAACCCAACCCGGGTTAATCCTCACCAACACCTTCGATGTACATTCCGCACCAGCTCCGGGTTGCCTAAATAAGATCACGGTCCATAAACCCACGAAACCATCCCAGCAACCAGCAAGGCCAGTCCTGATGCCAACCACCAAGGCGGCTCTCCAAAACCCCAGGTAATGGACGTCTTTGACGCCGTCGCCGCTGCTGCTGCTGCTCCTGCTGCGGCTGCTGCGGTGGCGGCCACTTCCGTTGCCTCCATCATCCTCACAGCTCCTACACCACTGCACGTTGCGGCAACCGTCGGCGCTACTGCTGCTCCAACAGCATGCGACAACGGCGCCGAGGACTTAGAGCACGATAGCGGTGGTGATGGACGTGTCGGAGCCTCTTCCTCAAACGCAACCGCCGGCAGTCCTGCTGCTGCTTCGGCAGCTACCATCACTCTCACGGCTGCTGAGGGCTGCGGCAGGAGGGCCTCGCTCGGCAGCATAAGCGACACCCATGGCGGTGCACGTGGCATCAGCGGCAACGGAGACGGCAGCACTACCAGCGCCATTACCCAACCGACGCTCCACTACGGCACCTGACGAGCAACTGGCAACTGGGGGCAACGAGGGAGACAGCTGCTGCTGCTGGTGAAAGCGGTTGCTGTCGCAGCCGCTGCTGCTGCTGATAGATGCTGCGGTCACGCCCGATTTGCGGTTGCGAGCCGCGCAAAGGTCAGGATGAGCGTCCTGGGAGCCGAAGCCATAATCGTCGTTCTTCTTCGTTTCTGCCGCTGCCGTTGCTACTCTCAATCTCCCTTCCGGGAGGTTGACATATGCTGTCGGATCGGCGGCAGAGACAGCGGCGGCGACGTCATGAGGCCTTGGTAGTGGTGGCATAGACACAGCAGTAGCGGTGGCGGCGGCGGGCCGGTCGGTGACTGCTGTATTGACGTCGGTAACACAGCTGCCTCGTGTCGATAAGTACTCTACGACGACTAGGGAGCAGTTGTAGAATCCCCTGAAAGCATGGGTAGCAGGCAGGCAAGGCAGACGAGTCGGAATCCGGTTGCCAAACAGTAGATGCAGTACATGCAAGCTCATAACTCCCCAAAAGCATGGTTGTCCCTTCTTGTTCTACCCGCGCTCTTTGTTACCGGTACCATTTAAGGAAGAACGCCAGCAATGCTCGTGCCCGTAGCTCCAGCTGCTGCTGCTGTTCCCGCCTCCGCTGCTCCCTTTGCTCTTCGTCTCGCTCCGCCTGCTGCCGTCGTTGGATCCGCCGCAAACCTTCGGCACCACTTCTGTCACCAACGGTATAGCTTGGGGCGGGTACGGCAGCAGCTGAAACCGCAGCAACCCTGCTGATAACGCTTCCCGCTCCTTCGCCGTGGCCGTCGTCAGTAAGGCAAGCATCAGCAGATCCAGCCGGAGCGTCGAGGCCACCGCCGAGTGAGTCGCTAGCGACTGCTGCGCCCTCATGGAGGTTCACCCCGGTACCTCCAGCAACGGCAGAAAGTGCGGTGGCAGCAGGAGCACTAGATGTAGCGACACCAGCAGCAGTATCCACACTTGAAACCCCAAGGGGAACAGCCGCAGGAATGGAGTTTATGGCAGCAGTGGTAGTAGCAGTGGAAGCAGCGCTGTTGGGGCCCGAAGCAACACTAGCCGAGCTCGTGGTGGTCGGCGTCTGCAGCATGCTGTCAACCGTCGCATCTGCACTGGCGGAGAATCCGAAGAATTGGAGCTCCTCTACGACAGCAGATGGTCCGCTCCGCTGCGCTGGCTCGGATCGCGGCGGGGAAACCGCAGCGAAGCGACTGTCATTGTGAGAGCGCCAAGAAGGCGGTGATGCCGGCGTCGCTGGAATCGCCTCATGGGTTGATGCCGGCGTCGCTGGAATCGCCTCATGGGTTGATGCCGGCGTCGCTGGAATCGCCTCATGGGTTGATGCCGGCGTCGCTGGAATCGCCTCATGGGTTGATGCTGGCGTCGCTGGAATCGCCTCATGGGTTGATGCCGGCGGTGCTGGTGACGGTGGAACAGCATCGGGGTGAGAAGCCGTGAGAGATGTGTCGTCCGCTGCATTGCAAGAGGCGGTTGAGTATGTGGAGTTGTCCTCATCAGCATCACCCTTAACTGTCGTGTTGCTGGCAAGATTGTCGTTGGCAGTTGTACAATCCAGCCGTACAGCTGCATGGAGTTCCGATGCAGGGGCGGGGCTGACCCATGGGTCGGCGTGGGCGTCGTTGGCGTTAACGCCAAGCGGCTGGCTGTGCCATGGAATCGGGTACAAGGCCTCTAGCACCAGACCGAAGTCAACTAGTAAGTGACGCAGCCTGGAGGGATGGGGGTTTAGGGTAATGAGGAAGCGGGGGGCACAAGCTGATAACGGAAAAGCAGCCGTGCGTGGAGAACTGAACAGGTTGCAGGAAGGCGGAGTTGGGCAGACGATGGAAACGCTGAATGCATAAACGCAACAATCTCCACGTGGTCACATAGCCCCCAGCCAGTATCTGAAACGTTGCCAACCAAAAAGGCCTCCGAACTGCAATACTCACCATGCTTCATTTGCACAATGCTCTCCAAGAAGCAAGGTGTTCAACTCCTCCGCTGCCAGAGTCGCCGTCGCTGTCGGCGGCAGCACCACCAGAGGCCACCAATCACTCAGCACAGCGCCCTCCAGGCAGCAAAGAACCGGCGGCGGCGCCAATCCGGCCCCATCGCCGCCAACAGTGCTGCCGCCGTGGCCGCCGCTGACGTCGCCGCTGCCGCTGCGTCGTGGATGTGTCGCCGTCGTCGTTGATGCTGGCAGCGCCCGAGGTGCAGCCTCAACTTCCACCAGCGCTAAACCTGCGTGCAACGGAGGCTCCACAAGCAAGAGCCCCACCTCTTCCTCCGGGCCACAGCTACAGTAATCGCCACCGCTGCTGGCGCCGTCGCCGCTGAAAACACGGCGGCCGCCGCCGTACAAACCGTCGTCGACGTCTCCATGCCTCGTGTACGGTACAGAGGTAGCGGTGCCGGCGGCTGCGATTCCTGCATCGGCCACAAGCGCCGCACAATCGCCGCTCCCCCACTCATCAGCGTCCGCCGCCGCCGCCACGTCGTCACCACTGACCTCTACATCTTCTGTCGTACGCAGGTCGTCGCCATGGAGCACGGCAAGGTGCCTGCCTCGGAAGCGCACGTGGTATGTCGTACCGGGCCGTACTGCTAGGCCTCGGCCCGCCAATTCCAATGCGAAGCCTTGGCCTATTTGGGGGCCGACCAATGTCATGAATGGGGCAACAAGGTTAGCAGTACTTTCTCTAGGGTTGACGTGGGGTGAAGACAAGAAAACACACGTCCTGCTGGGAAGACACGCATTATCAATAGCTATGGCAACGGAAACAGCACGCGTTTGCTAATTCCGTGGAATGGCATCACAGTAACTGCCTGCCGGTATGACGTTTCAAAGCCTACCTGCAACAACCGCGAGCGGTGAAACACCAAACAGCTCGGGATTGACCCACGGGTCAGCGTATGGTTCCTCGAGATCAGGAGCAGCACGCTGTGCTGGTGGCGGTGTTGTGCTGGGTGTGGCGCCCCTCCCTGACGCTGTGTCGACGGTTGGTGCAGTTGCTACTGGCGGCGGAGCCGCGACTGGCCTTCCCAGCCGCCGTCGCAGATCGACCCGACTTCCGTTGATAGCCAACATCTACAGGAAAGCAGCAAATGAAACATGACTAAACGTTCGTAGGTGATAGCGTGACGCTCCTGGGCATTGTTGGCTTCCCAGCTCCCATTTAATCCGACGGCTACAACCCTTACTAGACGGAATGTTAACTTTGACGGAACCCCTACTGCTATCAACCCCTACCTTATCACCGCACTGCATGTGCAAATGACATGTGGAGTCCAGGCGGGGACAACCCAGCACCGCCCTCACTAGCCGCTCCGCAGCGACCCGTGGGTCTGCGCCACCTCCTCCTCCACACAGCTCCGAAACCAGCCTCTCCTGATCTCCATGCAACACGTCCAAGATCAGATGGGTGCAACCGGGGCGAATGAAGCCCTGGTAGGCGGCCGTGGTAAAGCCGGGGTCCCAAACCAGGAAGTTAGGGGAAGGCAGTGGGAGCGTGCATGGGAGGTTTCCTTCATTCCCGGGCCCGGCCCGGGGCCCGGAACCCTTACCAGGGTAACTATGTTTAGCCGAGGTATACACACCCTGATACCAAGTCAGCCAACGCATGAACGCATGATGAGCCCCGTGTAAGGTTTATCTGCCGACGCCTCAACACTCGCAGCAGTGACTAAGCAACTATTGTGACTCATGTTGTCATGTATCAGTGACGCTAGGCCGCAAGCAAGCATATCACTGGCCAGTTGCTTCCGGGTCCCACTGTTGCGCGTTGCTAATAGCGGCCGACCGGCCCACCCACCCAGCGACCACGTACACACCTGTACCATGCTAGCACCGGCTCCTGCCAGCCAGTCAGTCATCGGCGCCGCTATGTCGGTTGGCAGTTGGTCGGGTCGGCGGTTATGTATCTTGATGCTTAGCCGCTCGAGGTAGGTACTCGGTGGCAGGTAGACCGCTGCGTGAAGCGCGCTCGCTGGGGCTGTGCGTGTGTGCATGGGTTTATGAAAGATGTAAATGGGGAGTTCAGAAAAAAGGAAGGGAAGGAAATAGAGACAGTCGCAGCAGTGGGGATGAGGCATGTGGAAGGGAGCTCAGGTGGCCCCCACAGTGCACAGATGGGCAATGTCACCCACGGGCCACGCCGCCACGGCTACCATTGCTCACCTAGTAGACGCCGAGCCGCATCCGCCGGTCCGCCACCGCCGCTGAAGCCGCCGCCGCCGCCGCTGTAGCAGCCGCCGCCCCTGAAGCCGCTACCGTCGGTTACACCGCCAGTACTGCTGCCGCCGGTCCAGCTGCTGCCGCGACCGAAGGGGACCCGGGAGGGAGCTGGAGGTAGAGAACGGGCTCTACCCATGTAGCCGCTGTTGTGCTGCGCCGTGGGATCTGAGGTTGGCAGCAACCCATGCTGTGCAGCTGGAGAGGCCATGAGGAGCGTGGGGCCCACCACTGGATGCTGCTGTTGTTGCTGCTGATGCAGCTGCGTCGCTGGCAGCGGCTGCAGCAGCCAGCGGTCTGCAGTCTCCAAGCCGGCTCCGGCACCGGCAAGAGGTGCAGACCGAGGCAACTGCAACGGAGGAACACGATTTCCGACGCCGCCGATTCCGCCGCCGGAGTCACCGGCACTACCAGTGCTGACGTCATGCTCGGGGCCAACATTGTACGGATGTCGTAATCCGGCGGCGGGGGCGACATGTACGGCAACCTCGCGATCCGCTTTTATGGGAAGGGGCAAAGCGTAGGACCCAAGCTGTGGCTGCTGATGCAGCGTCATCGCTGGGGTTCCCGCTAGGCAATACGTGGTGGGCGTTACGTCGCCGGCGTAGCTTCCGCCACCAGTGCCGTCGCGGCCGCAGCCGTCACTGGCGCTAAAGCCGCCGTCGGCTCTTTCGGCGCCGGCGGCAGCAGCAGCTGGCAAGCCCAGGCCGAGGTCACCGCTAATAGACATGGATAAGTGGGGAATCTGTTGATTAAGATGTTGCGCACTCCATTGCTGCTGCACCTGTTGATGGAGTTGTTGTTGTTGCTGCTGCGGAAGCTGCCGCTGCCATTGCTGCTGCTGCTGCTGCTGTTGTAGGAACTCACTAACGGAGTGCCGCCGGTGCAGCTGCTGTTTGTGTCGCCCCAGCTCCTTTTGGTCGAAAGGCATTGCGCCAAGGGTGAGGTTGGAGGTGGATGGGGCGAGGCCTGAATGGCGTCTGGCAATTGGTTGAAGCGACTGTGGGACGCAAGACGCATGGATAGCGGAGGGTGAGATGGCTGTTAAGGGTGGAGCATGGATGGCTAACAGCACAAACAGCAAATAGCGACAACTGCCCATAGGCAACAAAACCGATTACCGGTAGTGCAAGACACACGGAGGAAGGTTTTCTACCCAGTTGCATGTACCATCATTGGCCTGTGGGTAGCGCTAATGTGGGTAGCGCTAAGGTGACTTTGTCATAACGTATCACGTGCTGTTGCGACGGAGGCCCGACAGTACAACTCCTTCAGCTCCCACCTGAGACGCAATCGACAAGAGCTCCAGCTCCATCGGATCCATCACGGCTACGGAGCCGGGGGTCCCGGCAGGGGTAACACCTTGCAAAGGGCCAGCGTCGCCAGCGGCGGCGCCGCATCGCATGCCAGCTGTGGCGACAGCGGCTGCACTCCCATCACTGCCTTGATGCCCCGCCCAGGCGCTCCTAGCCCAGCCCTCTAGAAACACCTCCTCGGGATCAGCCACCGTGACGTTGGAGCTACGGTCTCCGCCCCCTCCGCCCCCGGTCCCGTTCACTGGACCGTACTGTACGGAAAACGGTGACGATAAGGAGCCGCCTCCGCCTCCGCCGCTGTTGGGTATTTGCAGCTGAAGCAAGTGCAGCTGTAGTCGATTGATGCCCTCTCCGCTGCCACTGCGGGCGCCGCCGCTGCAGCTCCCACCACCACTAACGGCGCCGCCGCCGCCGACGCCGCCGCCGACGCCGCCGCTGACGTTAGCAGGAGAGACGGCGATGCCTCCTGTCGTTCCGGTCAAGCCCCTAACCAACATGGCATGGGATTGCTGCTGCTGTCCCGGTAGCAGCTGCGACGTGTGGCGAGGAGGACGGCTCGAAACCAGTGCAAACTGCTGACCCGGCGGAACTCTTGGCAGCAAAGCCGTCGACTGGATTGGTAACGGGCCGCCGTACACTGACGCGTCCCAGTGGTTGAGCGAGGAGCCGGGGCGGTTGCCGTCGCCCAGAACACTACTGTCGCCGCCACCGCCGCCAGCGCTGCCGTTAACAGTAGCGGCAGCGGCGGAGGCGCCACGGCCGCCGTCTGCAAACGGTATGTTCTGTGTGTGCCGCATGTGTGGAGGACCCACGGCAGCAATGGCATCAGGGGTGGAGGCGGCGCCAGCCGACGCGGCTGGGGCTATTTGGGAGGCGCTTGGGCACCGACCAAAGGTGCCTTCGCTGAATGCACCCTGGAGCAACACCGCGGGATTGGAAAGGTTAATTGCGGCTTCGAACCATAGAAAAGCAAAATCGGTGCGTGGTGAATGCTGCGGGCTGCGAATAATCGGCAACCTCTTCCGGCGGGGTACAGGTGACATGCAGGGACCATCCACACGTTGCTCAATTGCACATCACTGCATGCTCCCTAGCACCTGTCCGGTCTTCACTCACCTTTGGTCCCAAGAGAGCCTGGACAAACACGGCTGGCCCACTAAGCTCTCTTCGGACGCTAGCCTGCCTCTGGAATTCCTGCCGCGGCTGCTGTGACTGCTGCTGCGGCTGAAAGTGAGCAGGCTCTTGCTGGTAATGAAGCTCCTGCCCCTGCCTGCCAGCTTCTCCCTGTTGTTGTTGCTGCTGCTGCTGCTGCTGGTGATGGTGATGATGATGATGATGATGCTGACGATCATCTTGCTCCTGCTGCTGTGTCCGCAACTGCTGTGACTGTGAGTTCCCCGTAAGGGGCCTCTGCTGCTGCTGCTGTGGTTGCGGCTGCTGTGGTTGCGGCTGCTGTGGTTGCGGCTGCTGTGGTTGCGGCTGCTGTGGTTGCGGCTGCTGTGGTTGCGGCTGCTGTGGTTGCGGCTGCTGTGGTTGCGGCTGCTGTGGTGGCAGCGAGTGCTGTGGTTGCGGCTGCTGTGGTGGCAGCGAGTGCTGTGGCTGCTGTGACAGGAGTAGCGCCGCTGGTCCATGCAAGAGCAACATATCTTCAGGCACAGGCACATAACCTGTTATTAAAGGTTCGCCCGAGCCCCCTGACGGCAAGTCCCGTACGTCTGGCGCTGGGGCCCTGGGTCGCCCGCGCTTCCGCTTCGCCGCCTGCTGGTGTGAAGCGATGTCACTGTAGTTGCCGCCTCCGGATTGTGTGAGGACAGAAGGGGACGGAAAGGTGTATAAGCTGGGGCCAGCAGTGGTGGCGATGGCACCAGCAGCAGCCGCAGCCGCAGCATCACTGTGTGACAGGAGCCTGTTGCCACTGCTCCTCACAGCAGCAGCAGCAGCAGCAGTGGCAGGAGCAGCAGCCGTTGGGTCAGTCATCAAGGGCATTGGAATGGACCCGGTGTCTTCCTGCAAGGAAGGCAACACGACGTTAAGGGAAGAGGAGTGTTGCATGTTGATGACAATGACCAAGTACGTGAGCAAGTCCTTAAAAATACGTGCGTTGTAGGTGTCCAGGGAGGGTACGGATCCTAACAAGTGATGACCCAGGGGGCCTCTGCAGGCCGTACAGTCTACCCGTTATCCATGCACTATTTCCCTCCCACTCCACCCACTCATACCTCATCTTGCCCATCATAATTTCCGGGACGACTCCTGGCATCCCTGCATAACGTAAAGGGTGTTAGTTAGGCTGCTTATGCGTGTGTGTGCCATCCTTCAACCGTCCTTCGATCGCATCGACCCATCCGTCGTTCCACCCGGCCCGGATCTCCTCCAAGATCTTCTCCTACCCAGCAGAGGGCCCTGCAGCTGTCAACGCCGCTAACGCATCCTCTGGAACCGGCAGGTGCCGCCGCTTGTAAAACCGCACCAAAAGTGCCCTTCGGCAGCTCCTGCATGCATGGTAGCCAGCATGCAGACCCATGGGTCGTCATAACTACCCAGGCAGCGGCCTGGAAAGCGCAAACCGTTCACAGCGGTTCGACGTACGTTCGATAGAGTACCGGCATGCATGCCTGGCCGGGTGTACTTTACTGACGGCTGGATGCTGGGTTAGGCAAAAGCCCTTCGGGGGTGCGTGGAGGGCTTGCGTCTGACAAGCCTTGACAAGTGTGTTCAGACAGTTGTTACTTTACACTGACACGATGAGGAGACGGTGGATGACATACTACTGATACTAGGAAAACCAATGCATGCATGCGTGTATCCATGTATTCGTGCAGGAGTCCGCATGAAGGGGCCAATTTAGGCTCTAGCCTCCCATGTTTACCTTTTGCCTCCCTCAAATTCCTCCACACCATGGAACCGACCGCACTGCACAGAAAGCAGCGCAGGGGGCCGTGTAAACAGCGTAGGGATTGTAGGAGCGAGCAACGAGGAGAAAAGCAGTAAGTAGGGGAGCAGGGAGGATGGAATCCAAAAGGATGAAAGCTCCAACGGGGTGGGGTAGGTACCGGTATGCAAGCCTAGTGCTATAGTTAGGCGTACGGAAGGACATCTTGGAACAGGACAGGACGGAAGGTGAATGCATAGACATCGTCGCTTTCTTCAACCGAACTTATGCACTATTAATCTCTAGTACAGTCATGGTGTTGCACCTGCTGATAAAAGCGGCTTGGCTTCCCCTCGATGCAGAGCGTCAGGGTCTTTAAATGCCGCTCACAAATCCGGAAACGCCGGTAATAAGGTTTGGAGTTGGATAAGTCCTCCGTGCAGCCCCGAACCTGGAATAGCGAGGGGTAGGGACAAGGACCAGCACAGGGATGGAGGGACGAAGGGGCCGAAACGTGCATAGATATTAAAGAAAAAGGCGCAAACGGTAGCAGGGGGATAAATGCGAGGTATGCGAGGAAGAAAAGGAAATCACAAGGGCCTGTGGCGACAACTTCGGTCCCGCGCACCATGCACTTTTCGCCCAATCCTTGCAGCTGCTCTCCTGACGCCCCATCCTCCATGGCATTATGCCCGGCTTCAATTGGTTGATTTCCGGAAACTTCTCCCGGATGGCCAGTGGCCACTCCTGCAAACGGTTTGCGGCAATCAAGTTAGTCTGTCTGGCCAATCAAAAGCGGAAGAAATGGCAGACGGGCTCTGGATAAAGCACGTTAATATGTTATACTTACCTATGCGCGAAGCAGCGAGCCGACGACTATCCCATACATAATGGGCTGGCTGCCAGTCGTCACCGCCCGGGTCCCCTTCAGTCCGAAACGTGTCTTCCATACTTTTGAAGCGGTCTCAGGTTAATCATATGTTGTTGTCGAAAGGCCTAGGCTATTTGCACGTGCCATTGTAGCACTCCCTACGCTTACGTCGAGTGGTCACTCGCACCCTTCTAGGTGGGCTTCTTTACAGCAACAATATAACTGCAAAAGCCACCTCTAGTTCTCCTTACTGGCATTACATAAGCAATGGCACTTTACTTTGCTGGTGGGCGCGACGACAAAATTCCTTCTTGGCCCTAAGAGTTCACCATTACCAGAGAGTATTTACAAAAACATATGGGATTTTAGAGGTAGTGTTTTGCTGCAATTCAGGATAAACAGTTGTGCCAACTGCCGTAGCCTAAAAATGTATCTACCTAAGGGCGCTTGAACACCCGAAGGCGGCAAATAGTATATCTTTTAATGATAGTGGTAGCCTTGTATGAAGTGTTTGTGGTGACTTAATGTCGAGCGCTTGCTTTATCAAACTTGACGAACAGTAAGCGCGGACCTGTTCTATACGCGTTAACGACATCATTAAAGTGTCTGTATTATTGGAGCATATGACCCCAATGCCCGTGGATGAGCAATCTTAAAGCTGCCCTTAAGGTAAGAACAAAACACGAACGGAGCGCAACGAAACGTTGTCGTATGTCATTTTATGCCTTGTATTTGAGAGGCCGACATGCGAAGTAACGACTGGCCGACTGGACCGAAAGAAGGTTGCAACCGTTAACGCTGTTCATTAGTCAGCCCGGTTGCAACCGGGGTTTTAGCCTTTATATGCGCTGAAACGTTATTTGGCATGATAACAATGTCAACAGTGTCTTCAACTCGTGCAGGAACCGGTTAGACCGTATGCCTAATGCCGTATTCGGCCGATTTGTTGCCCTGGAGTAGTTGCCAACGGGAGTTCCAGAACCTTGTGAGGAACGCTTAAGAACCTCTCCGTAGGCGGAGAGGACCAAATTGCTGATGGTTGTCGCCAGGACCTGCAACTGTACGTTGCACATGTTCATAAGGCGGTGTGGAAATGAGTGCAGGCAACTCCTCCGTTACATTTAGTGATCCAATAATCCTCCAACCATGCGAGCTCCGCCAACTCAGTCAAGATCTCGTGAAGTGTGTTCTGTTAACTCCACAGTAATCAGACGGCGGCCTTGCGCCCTCCAACAACTCTGCTAACCACCTATTCTGCTAACGCCGACAAGCTTAGCCTCGCTCCTCCTGATGCTCTCAAACAACCAACCAACTAACCCGTGCGCTCACAAGACCACCCGCACACCCCGAAGGCGCCACCGTCGACGCCCCCAGCCCCAAGTACAGCTGCCGTACAGCAGTGCTCCTGGGAGCCGCCACCATTACTTCACCAGGATCTCCACCTGCTACGTCACCACATCAGATGTCGTACCGGCGACATCAGCTGTCCGCGCCGCTTCTAACAGCACGGGTGCCAGCTCTTGCGCGAGTAGAACCTGCAAGGTAGTTAAGATACCGGTAAGGGAATGCAATAAGTAACGAGGTGAAGAGCGTGAGTTGTCATGAGAGCTTGCATACGTGGTCTTCCGTGGAAAGGCCCCGCAAGCCTCACCTCAAGTCGTGGAGTCACGCCCCAGTAGTCCCGCAACGCTAGGTACTCTCGCGCTGCTGAAACCTGCTGGCGCCACAACCGCTGCTGCTGCTGCTGCTGGTGATGCCCCTGCCGCTGTTGCCGCTGCTGCCGTTGTTGCCGTTGTTGCTGCTGCTGGTGTTCCTGTGGACTGGGCAAGTCCCCGTCCGCAAAAACAAAGCACCCTTGCGCTTGCACGTCCGTGCTGCTGCTACTACTGTCAGCGTCAGCGCTGACGTCGACGCTGCTGCTGTCAGAGTCGGCGGATCCGGATTCTGACAGCTGGTCCTGTTGTTGCTGTTGCCGTACCGCCCGGATCAAAAGGTTTCGGGGCGTGTGCTCCGACGATACAAATTCCACCACGTCCGTTCGGTAGCCCGCTACTCTGCACGGAGCACATGATGACGACGTTAGCAGGCGTTGATTACGTTGCTGAACAAGGCAGCCGCAGGGTTCGCACACTGGACAGCTCCCTTAACAACTACGTCATATGACGATATGAGCACGGCACGGCAAACCCAGTTCCTCCACCACCGGACAGCATTTCCCACCGTCAGTTCATCCAGTCCACCATCAAGCAGCAAACGTCGCCCACTGCACGCTAGCAACAGCCTTTCTGTACCAGCTTTCCAAGACAAAAGGCCCGTGTCCCTTTCCCACCTGAGCAGCTGTGCCCGCAGGGTGTCGGTTAGCAGGTCTAACTGCCGCTGCCGCAGGATGCCGTGACCCAGCAGGGGGCCCCATGGGGTGGGCAGGGAGGCGGGGGGGCGACCCGACAGCTGCTTGTGCAGGTGTGCATGGCAGCAGGGAACTGCCAGGATGAGGGGGGAGGCCTGGGGCCAAGATGAGGAAGAGAAATGAGGCAGAGGTTAGGACAGCTGGACAGGCAAGCCGGGAATAAAGTAGAGAAGCAGGCTAAGCAGGCAAGAGAGGGTTTACGGGTGGCATTACTTTATGGAAGAAAGAAGGACGTCATTACTGCTCTCCAGAAGAAGGTCAAATCACTCATGCTCCAGGACACATATCAAGCTATCAATACGGTACACCTCTCACCTGCTTCACCGCCAACGCCAGGGCATCATCCGTTGCGGTGTCGCAAGCGTGCAACGCCAACACGATGTCTGGACGAACTGGGGGACTGCGTACACGGACCCGCGGCAGCAAAAGGAAGGGGCGGATGGAGGCAGGTGGGACAAGCAATCGTGAGGGAGACAGACAACGCGCAAGGTAACCAGCTATAACACTGCTACCAGCGTTAGCAGCAAAAGGCAAAAGCAGCAGTTAGCACTTAGCAGTGGGTGGCTACTGACAAGGCCACCAAGTGTGTGCTAAGCGTAGGTGTGTGAAGTGCGGTCAGCGCTGTGAGTTGAGGCGACCCCACCCCCACGCACACACGCTGCGTTTCGCCTCGCGGCCAGTTATTTTAACACACATACGCTGCCCTCACCTGTACTCGCCGATGGGCGCCGTGTCGAAGCGCACCCCCACCAGCCCCAGCTGCGCCGCGTTGTCGTTGGCTCGCCGCATGAGTCCCCCGTTGACATCCACACCGCCCAGCGTGGCGGGTACACCCAACACGTGGTTCAGGTAGTGGTAGACACCTGGGGCGGGGGAGGGGGGGGGTGAACAAGGAAACTAACGAGGCAACTAACGGGAGGGAGAGGTGTGGTTGGACCAAGGAAGGGCGAGGAGGGTAACAGTCTCTGGAGTCAGGTGGCCCAGGGAGTCCGACTTGCCGCATGAGCCCTTTGACAAGTGCGGTCGGACACATACCGAAGGAGAGGTGGGAGGAGCCGCAGCCGCAATCCAGAATGTGCAGGGGCGCAGACTGGGAGGGTGTAGTTGTAGTTGTTGTTGTGGTGGTGGTGCTGGTGCTGGATGGCGGCAGTGCTGCCGGTGGCGAGGAGGAAGAGGGTGCTGAGGGAGGGGGTCGCTGCTGCTGTCCCGTTGGTTTTTGTCGTTGCTGCTGCTGTCCTGCATCCGCCTGCTGTGCTGCTTCCTGTTGTAGCTGCGCTGCTTCCTGCCTGTCGGCTGCTGCCGCACGCAGCTGCCGTACCAGCCCGGTGTGGCCCAACAGCTTCAGGAACTCGTTCACCTGACTGAACTTGTCCTGGGTGAGATGGGTTGGGGTGGGGTGAGGTGAGGTGAAGTGAGATGAGGGCGGCGGCGGCAAGCCGGAAGATGAGTCGTCAAGGGAGGATAGGTACCGGAATGCGTTCTCATTCTGCAGTTGGGGAAGTAAAGGGCTGATGACCGCTACTAATAAGCCTGCTGGCCCATGGGTCAAACGTCCTCAACACCGCCACCGGCTCCCCCCGGCCCCCCAACCCCCCTGACCTGCATGTTGGCACGTATGCGGCCGTCAGCGGTTTGGAAGCCAATCTTCTGCAGGAAGGGGTGCGGCTGGTCGGCGGGGATGGGCAGCTCTTTCACGCGGTTGTGCGGCTGGGGAACGGCGAGTGGGGGGTTGCTGCTGCTGCTGCTGTTTGGGTCCATGCTGACCGGGGCAGGGCGGCTCTTGTGGGGGGAAAGTTGTGGTTGGGGAAGGGTGTGGAAGGTGGGCCAAGTCGAAGATATGAGCAACGGTTCGGGCATGTTGGAGGGCGAATGAAGAGGCAGGAGAGCGGGGACTGGGGTATGACATGTGCATCGACGGGAAGGTCGGGAAGCGGGTATACCGTACACGCACGTACCGGTAGGGGTACGTAAGCTACCATGCAGATGTGCAGATCTTGTATGAATGCACATGCACAGGATGCATGTACGGGATGGGATGCAGGGCATGGTTGCAGACTTGCATGCTGCGCACCCAGGCGGTGCATGCCGTCATGCGCTGTGTTCGCACCTGTGGCGCGCTGCGATGCACGATGCCCTTGCCTCGCTTGGTAACCTGTACGTGTCCCAGTACGGTAGGAGGTAGGAGGTAGGAGTGAGGGGGAAGAACTCGAAGAAGGGAGCCAGGGAGTCCCAAACGGCATGTTCAAAACATTGCAGGGTGGCAACCAATTGCTTGCAGCAGGGCACCGATTGCAAATGGGTACGTCAACCGTCAACCGTCAAAACAGACTCCATCCCTACCTGAACCGTCATGTCGTGTGCGGCAGTGCGTACGACAACACTGCCCAGTCCGGCGGTTTCCAGTAACGGTCGTACAACGGTCTCAACCGCCGCCACGTCACTTTGGGGCGCCGGGTGGTTGGTGGAGGTGCTCTGACGAGCCGTGAAGGTCGTCACCTGAACAGAAAAGCGGTAAGTCACAGTGACACATGACCGTGCTGTCCAGCCCTGTCGACTGCCCAAGCCACTCCCAGGGCCTTACCTGCAGATGCCTGGAGCCCCGCAGGGACACGGGACGGACTGTGATGGTGTGCCAGGGCTGAGCTGTGGCAACCTGTGACGATAAGATGTTTCCCCGTTGAGTACAGTTAGTCCGTGGTACAAGATGGAAACCAAGGATTTCTTCACGAGGTGCCTACCTTGGCACGTATAGTGACCTCGGCAAAGCCCACGGCCTGTGCCAGTGCCGCTGATACATCTTGGCGCCAGTCGTCTCCGCCATTGCCCATCACACCAACACCGCCACTATTGGTCTGAACATTAGCGCTGGTAGAACTTGCGGCAACCAAATGGACATCAGCAGTAGATGTGTTTGTGTTTGAGGAAATGGGTAAGCGATATGCGACTTTCCTGACTGGCAGGAGCAGTGCATGTGAGGGCCGGCCAATGCCAGTGGAGCACGTGCTGCTGGGGCTCAAGCAGGCGCCATGGAGACCTATTCTTGTGCTAGGAAGCCTCCAATTGCTTATGTTGTGACCAACTATAGTACTTGGCGGATGAGCTGGCGCAAGCCTTGAAAGCACGCCTGGGGGTCGGCGACAGATAGGGCCAAGTTTGAGTTTGTGGACAATAGGCGACGGCGACGAGAGGTGGTTAATTATATCCCAATGCTTAAGGTTCTTACATCGAGTCGCTTGCGCCTGTGTGGGCCCGCGCTCGTGAGGTAAGCATGCGCTCGCAAGCCTTCCGTCGCCGACCAGCCCGTTAAGACCAGCCATTTTTCCTATACATAAGCGCGAATTCGTCAAACTGTTCGACGTTCCTCGGCGAAAGCGTGAGCACAACCTTGCGGAATAAGCGTTTTCCAGGGTTTCGGGGCCACCACTAGGAATGGAACTAATGGAAGCCCAGCCCGGACGCGGCTAGTAACAGTAAGAGGTTTTTGTACGTTTATGACTTAAGCGTATTGCCTTATAACTCCTAAGGCCCAAGAAGAAGTGCACACAAAGCCAAAGAAAAATAGGTAAAACACCTTCAGATAAGCAACGTCAAATGCAGCCGAAGGGCAAAGAACCCATTAAGAGTGTCGCCGTAGACGACGCTGACAGTGTGCTTGCGGACTACGACGACAGCGCGGATGCGGGCTTTGAAGGACCAGGCACTTACCAGGAGAAGCTCCTAGATGCGGACTTCTTTAACCAGTTCCAAGATGACTTTGACGAAAGCGACATGGAAGTGCAGTGAGGGCGTCGGATGCCTCAGATCGCACCCATCTAGCAGGAGCGCGATGGCGTTGCGTACTTTTCGGCAGGTAGCATGGGAGGTGTATGTGGTGGCCATCTATGGTTGATCATGATGCCTGCATGGCTTCTCTCGTGATGGTAGGGGCTTCTCCGTGGCCAGATGGGACACCACGTACGGGCGTTGGATGTAGCCAGTCCTAGAAGCAGGCTCTTGCAGGTTGCATGGCGCTTGCTTTGGAGAGCTGCGGGCGGGTTGTTGGGGTTGCTAGGTTTGTGTGTGGGCTGGGTGACGGCAGTCTCCCTGCGACGCTGTGGTGCATAGTACAGGAGCTCCATGGTGGTTTACCCATCCCGTATAGTAACGAAAAGGCAATGATGTGTAGGAATAAATTGTATGCTGCTTTGATATTTAGCTGAGCCAGCTAAATGTGGTTTGGCATGTTTGAGAGCTGTGTTTCAGGATGGATCGGCGGTGGGGTCAAACAAGAGGCTGACGGCAACTGTATATACGGCAAACGTTGAACACCACCATGTTAGAAATGATTACTTGTCTCCACTTGTTCACGCTGCGAGGCAGCGTTGGCTGCATGTGCCTGTGGAGAGCGACCCGGGGGTCGGCCTGTCCGCAGTTGTTGGCATTACCCCTTTTCTGTTCTCCTGTCTACCTATGACCTGGATCCTCGCGGTACTGCTGTAAGAGAAGCTGCCTCCGTTCTGTTTCTCCGTAACGGCATGTAACGTCTGCAGTACGGTCAGCCTCAGGTCCCTCCAGTGTACTTCTCCGCCGCCCTGCACTTTGAACGCTCTGTAGCTTACCGGGATATGACGCTTAACGGTCATGTACCTCTTTCAGTCATGCAAGGGAGCCATAAAACTTCATGACATAAAGCAGCAGCAAGCCCGGCATGCTTCATCGGCGCGCCTGCAGCCTCCACGCCATGTGGGCATAAGTCGGCATCACGTCCCACTGTCCATGCCAACCCAACCTTTGAAGGGTTTCCCCTGGTTCGATGCCCTTCCCATGCACAGGTGGAAAACAACCCAATTCAAATAACACAATGACACCCGCATGCCATACCGGCACTCCTAGCATGCTACCCGGCGCACCCTGTGCACATGCACGAGCCACGGCCGCTTCCTTATAGCCCCACCACATGGGCATAGGAGACCCGCAACCCTCACAAGCAAACGCCCCCATCAGCGCTACCGCCGGCTCTTCTTGTCCTTGTCCCGGCCCCGGCTGCGGCTCCTGCTGCGCTTGCTGCTCCGATCCCGGTCACGATCTCGTTCCCGGCTGTGGCTGCGGCTGGAACGCCGCCGCTCCCTCTCCCTCTCCCGGTCCCTGCTACGACTACGGCTGCGGCTGCCGCCCCGCCGCCGCTCCCTCTCCTTCTCGCCCCGTTCTCCTCCTCCTCCTCCTCGTCCCCTGCTCCGGCTGCGGCTACGACTGCGTTTGCGCTCCTTCTCCCGCTTATCCTTGCCCTCCCTGTCCCTATCCCTGTCCTTATCCCGATCCCGATCCCTCTCCCGATCCCGATCTCGATCCCTGTCCCGTTCCTTCTCTCGTTCCCGGTCTCGTTCCCTGTCACGATCCCGCTCCCTGTCTCCCCGCCGATCGCTGCGTTCCCGCTCGCGTTCCCGTTCCCGCTCCTTCTCCCGTTCGCGATCCCGGTCCCGGCCGCAGCTAGAGGGTTCAGAAGACGGCTGTGCATGCGCGCTGCTGCCGCCGCCAGCCGCGCCACCGCCCGCTGCTGCTGCAGGAGCAGCTCCGGAACCAGCAAGACCGATAGAAGCGCCGGAGGGGCCGTCAGTCGCTGTTGCTGCAGCAGATGAGCTCCTCCTGCTGCGCCACCGGTCTAGCGCCGCGGCCTTGGCAGCCTGGCCACAGGGCAGAAGAGGAGGAGGAGGAGGGCGATAGGCGAGTAAGTGGACGCTGTTTGATGAAAAGCTAGTGAGCGATGGGGTCAGGAAGGTGTGAGAGGCTTTGCACGCAAGCAGGCAAACATAAGGTAAAAACTCCACCTCAAAAAAAACCACCCCCCTTTCCCTGCAAACGGCCGCGCACCTGCTCCCGATCAAGCTCCCCCACCAGCTCCGCTCGACGCGCCCCCAGCCGGGCCGCAATCTCCTCCGCACCCCAGCCCTGTAGTACAAGCAGGCAGGGAGGCAAAGAACCATGTATAGCCGTGAGGAGCCACATAGCAGACATGCAACCATGGCTGCTGGAGAGCAATTAAACAGCAAGGACTGCGCGCATGGTAAACCGCATCCCTCACCGGCCCTGACCCGCGCACGCAGCATCCCCCCTAACCCGCCCTTCCCCCCCACTTCTTGTCTACTTTTCCCACCTCCTCTTCCAGCTGCGCCTCCAGTCGAGCCACCGCCAGCTCCACCTCACGCAGCCGCCGCCGCCGCTCCTCCTCCGCAGCGGCAGCGGCGGCGTCAGCAGCAGGGTCACTGCGGGGACCTGCGGCTGGGGGGGTTGGGGAGGGAAAGGAGGAGGAGAGAGGTGAAGAGGCGAGAGGAGGTGGAGGGCGGTTGTGTGTTACAGGTGCGAATCGGCGTCCATCGGGGTGATGACCAGCAAGATGGGACCTAGCCGCAGCACGCGGAGAGGGTCGCTGGGTACCGGTATTGCTAAACAAAGGTGGCCTGCGCGTTGCAGCGTTCACGCGCTGCAGCGCGACGACCCCTGCTAATCTTCTTACCTTGCGACACGCCTCGAGGCAGCAGCATGCCGCCCTCATCCGCCCCTTTGCTACCGTACGCACCGCCTCCTCCTGCACCTCCTCCGCCAAGATCCTCCTCGTCATCACTGAAGATCTTATCCTCCTCCTCCTTAACTCGAATGCTGCCGCCAAAGCCAGCTGCACCCGCGCTGCTGCCGCCTCCCAGCCCCATGCCGGCAGCAGCAGCACCACCCGCACCGCCACCACTTCCTCCAGCGCCGAGACCGGGACCGACTCTTGGGTCACCCTCAAGCTCCCGTAGCTGTTGCTGCAAGGCCTGTTGTTGCTGCTGTTGCTGCAGCTGCTCCTGAAGCAGCCACTTGCTGATTGGGATCTGCGAGGTGTAGAGGTTCCATGGGAAGGGTGGGAGCGGTGATGTTCATTGCACGAACGGTGGGGAGCAACCTTCAGGAAAAGCCCCAGCGATGCAACCTGTAGGAGCCCCTCACCTGCGGCGCGTTCTGCCGCTCCTCCTCCTCATCCACAGTCGTCCAACGGGATTGCGGAGCCGCGGGGACAGGCGGGGGCTGCTGCTGCTGCTGAGCCGCGCCCGCATCCTCCTCATGCTTTATGGAGACCTGTATGGGGCAGTGGGACAGGAAAGGAAGCGCGTGTGATTTCCAGGGCTGCTAAGAAAGCACCATACCACATCGGGCTAAGCTCCATCCCCGGCCGTTGCCGCCTCTCTTGCATGCTAGGCATGCTATGCCGGCACAGCAAGCAGATGCTTGCTCACTACCCACCACACCTTCCCAAAATCCACGATCGTGTCACCACCACCCCCAACCCTACCACCAGCAGCCAAACCAAGCCCAACGCACCTGAGCCGGCAGCAGTACCGCATGGGGAGGAGCTGCATCCGCTCCGAAGGGACTGTTGCCCATGCCCGGCCCCATGCCTGGCCCTGCAGCACCAGCAGCACCTGCAGCAGTGCTGGCGGCGGCCTGTCCTGTGGGCGCGGAGGTGGCTGTTGCCGGGGGCTGCTGCTGCTGGCGATTGGGGTCGAAGAGCGGCCGGGAGTCCGCGTGAAGGTAGTGATCCAGCACGAGGAGGCGGGGGATCTGGTGGGGAGGCGGTTGGGGGGTTGCAGGGAGATCGGTGAGAAAGAGGGGTACGGGGTTAGCTGGTTTGAGGTGTGGATGCATGGCGTTTGAATGCATGCAGCATGAAAGATAGGCGGCATGCTGTGCAGGGAGAAGCAGGGTCGGCACGCCACCTGCCGCCCATACAACACAGTCGACCCCCCCTGCTCTGTTTGCGAGTCTTGCTTTCCCCAGTCCGATCCCCCCCCCAGCCTCCCCCAAACCCCTCACCATGGCCTCCCTGCCTCCCCGTGTGGACAGCCCATTCAGTCGCGCTCGCCGCTCCAGCTCCTCCTCCGTCGCCGCCTCCAACTCGGCTCGCAGCGGGGCGGAGGCGGCGTCGGAGAGCGCGGAGGCGGCGATGGTGGCGGTCTGCAGGAAGATGGCCTGGCGGGCGGGGCGAAGGTAGGCGGGCGGGCCGGGCGGGGAGGAGACGGAGGAGGACGCAGGAGGGCGGGAAAGTGAAGGATGATGAGCGCGGAGGTAAGGGGAGGAGTGCAAGGAAGTTCGGATGCGCACACACACCTCGTCCCGTGAGGACCGAGCCGCGAGGAACGCTGACCCTAACCGTAGGTTACCGGAGGATGATGGCTTGCGTTGCTGGAAGCGAAAACGTGGAAAGCCAAAACAACAACCACACAACAATCTTGTAAGCGACTGCACCTCACTCCCACCCCGCACTCTCCGGCAATCATAGTACGTTCCGTCTCGCGGCCAGTTTCCTTAACACACCCTCCGCATACCCTCCCCACACCTGCAATCCATTCAGGTAGTCATCCGTGAAGATGTAGCGCTCCCGCCAGCACCGCAGCACGCGCAGCACGTGGCGGCGCAGCGTCTCCTGCAGCATGCGGCCCTCCGCGTTGCTGGGGTGGAGGCAGCATGGGGTGGCAGCATGGGGTGGCATGAAGGGAGGCATAGAGGGATACGCATTCCGCATTAGGCTGGATGATTGAGGAGGTCGGGAGGCAGGGTCAGAGAGGTTGGAGCGAGAAAACACAAAGGAGGGCGGGAGGAGGCGATGGGGGTTCCCGTAAACCTATCCTAGGGTTCCTAGCCTGCAGCAAACGCCGCCGGCATTACGACAGCGCGAGCCGCACGGAAGCAAAAGCAGACATCCATGTCTCCTCAGAAGTCAGGCTCCTTCCTCGCTCACCGGTACGTCTCGTTGAGGCTCTCGAACACATCCGGTAGGACGCCCTGTGGCACCGGGCACCGGGCAGTAGACAGCGCAACACGTCAGGAGATGGAGCCACATGGAAGCCCGTCCACGTCACAGTGTCTCCCAGTGACTGACCCATGGGTCGCAGTACGGCTACCGAAGCCGGGTACCTCCATGACCCGACACCAACATCCCCCTCCCTCCCCCTCACGCCCCCCCCACCCAACTGTCTCATCATCATATATATATTTTTTACCCCACCCACCTGTGTTGTTGCACTTACTTATACTTTTCCCCCCACCCACCTGCAGCCGTGCCCGGTATCGCGACGCGTTCCTCACGGGCGCCGTGGCGTTGTGCAGCAGGTCCGACAGCAGGAACAGCCGCGCGATCTTGAGCGGCACACCCGTCTCCGGCAGGCTGAGCGACTCGGCCAGGATGTCCACCACCTCGCCGCATGCGTCCGCGGCAGCCAGGCAGAACATCATGGCGTCGCAGATGTCGGAACGCTCCACCTGGCGGCCGGGGGGGGATAAAAAAAATATATATGATGACCGGGGGGGGAGGGAGGGAGAGATGTGGGGGGAAGGGGAGAATTAAACCCGCCGATTCCTAACTTCCACCCCAAGTACCGGTACCCCCTTCACTGCTGCTTCACCTCACCCTCCCTCCTCCTCAGTTCGTCATGAAACATTCCTTAATATTCACCATCCTCCTCTCACCGACAGGAAGCGCAGCATGTCCTCAAATCGGTCGCGCTCGCTGTCCGACAACGCCCGCTCGCGCTCCCGCGGCCGCCCCTCGCCGCCGCCGCCACCCTCCGCACCGCCGCCGCCGGCGCCCTTCTGCGCCGCCGTACGGTCGTCAATGTCCAGCGGCTCCGCCAGGGTTGTCATGGGGGGCGGCACCCACCGCTGCCCCCCGTGTACCATGACGTACGGCTCGATGCGCCAGGTGCGCAGGGTGTCGCCCTCGGACAGGGAATGAAGCCGCCAGCTGCAGGGGTGCATGGAGCAGGGTGCAGCCAGATATCGGGGTGCGTTAGGATGGGCATGTCGCACATTCATGCGCGGTGCGTAACTGGGTCTTGAGGGTCTTGCGGCGTAGGCAGCACAGCTCACGTTCAGTAGCACTGGTACGTTGTTTCGACTTCCAGAGCTACTTATTCCATCCTTAATTTCCTTAATCCCATTGTTAATTAACTGTTTGTCGACCAGCTGTCTTACCGGTAGTACATGTGTTCTGAGGACTTGAGGTCGAACAGGAACGCAAAGTCAAAGTTCTTCTGTTCCGCCTCCATCACCGCCTGCTCCAGCGCACAGCCGTCCTGCGGGAGCGGGAGGGGGTGCAGCGAGTGGGTTAGATGAACAACGGAGCCGTGCAGAGAAACACTGGCCCACACCGGGAACGACGCCGGGTTATGGCGTCTCATTGATTGCTGGGTTGGGGCCCACGCAGCACATCGGCAGCAGGGCCAGTGCCCCGCTCCCCACCTCACTTCCTCCCTCCTCACCCACCTGCACAGTGTGTCTACCCCACACTCCCCACTCTCCAACCACGCATCAGGTTCTTCGCCCTCCTCTTTTTCCCGCTCCCACAACCCATCGGGTTCTTCTCCCACCTGCATCACGTAGATCGCCAGGGTGTCTATGATGAAGCGCAGCCGGGGGTCCTCGGGCACCTTGATCTCGATGTCGGCACCCGTGCCCTGAGGGGGGTCAAAGACCAGACCAAACCATAGGAGACCACAGGGGGAAGGGATGGGTTGGGGCGACATGGGGGCTTTTTACCGGTATGTAAGACGGAGGTGGAGAGGCGCAGGGGCGATCGAGCCCCCCTAACCATCCTCCCACCCTGTGCAGGTTCGCAGGCATGCCCTTGTCCTTCTTTAGCTCCTCCGTACCTACCCGCCATCCCTACCTCCTTCCTTCCCTTCATGCGGCTCCGATTATTTATCCTAACCCCCCCACCTGGTTTTCTATAGTTCTGTATGGTCTTATGACCCACCCACCCACTCACCCTATGCAGGTTCACATCGTCGCTGTAAGCCTTCTTGGGGATGACCAGATCAGGCAACAGGTGCGCAGGCCGGGTGGCGGCGGCGGGGATGGCGGACACCAGCGCGCCCTCGCGCGGGTCGTAGATGGGGATGGCGGGCAGCGGGATGGCCTTACCCCACCCGATGTGCAGCTCGTTGCCGTGCAGCGCGATGCCGTTGAGCTTGCGCATGGCGGTCTCCGCATCGTCACGGCGCTGTGGGAAGAAGAAGAAAGGGGAGGGGTGGTGGTGGTGGTGGTAAGGGGCGTGAGGTGGTGGTGAGGGGTGAGGGTGTGGGTGTGTGAGAAGGGCGCCAGGGGACAGAGCTGGGGAGGTGAGGCAGGAGGAGCTGAGATGGGCTGCAAAGGGGTGTGCAGGAGGCCCGTCAGGGCATCCCAGGCATTGGCAGTTCGGCAAACGAGGAAGCATGGCTCTTGTGCATGGAGCCCTTTTCTTGCCTCCCCCTCATAATCATGTCCCTGAACCTCCCCAACCCACCGCCTCGCAGCTCCCTCCCTCCTCGCAACCCCCTCCCTCTCACCATGAACGCCACGAAGCCGCAGTTCCGCCCCTTGCGTCGCTGCTCCTCATCCCGCGGCCACATCACCTTGACGCTCGCAATCGCACCGAACCGCCCGAACTCCCGTTTCAGCACCTCTTCATCCACCTCGGGAGCCAGGTTGCCCACGTAGAGGTTGGTGGTGAAGGGGTCACCGTGGTCAAACGACCCCATAGGGCCCATGGAGCCACCGCCAAAGCCCATGAGACCGGCGGCGGCGGCGGCGCCTACGGCACCGCCACCCGGCCGGCCAAAGCCGCCGGCGGGGCCGCCCAAGGCGCCTGCAGCGCCGCCGCCTGCTAGGCTGTCCAGGCTGAGGGGTGCCATGCCGAGGGGGCCGCCTGGGGCGTCAGGGCCTTGCTGGCTCTTGAGTTCCCGTAGCTCTTGCTCGCTAATGGGAGGAGGAGGAGGCGGTTTGGAAGGGAAAGCAGTTGGGTGTGAGCTATGCGGGTATCGCGGTTCTTGTTTACCGGTACTCGCTGTTGCAGGTGGCAGCTTGCAAGAGATGGCAGCTGATCTAGGCTCAGGAAGGGCGTGCAGCAGCAATGCAGCATACCAGGGGCTGTCGTCCTCGCATGCATATCATGGTTTGCATGCAACCCACATCGCCCCCTCCCTGCCGCCCTACCGTTTCAGCTGCTCAAGCATCTTATCGATGTTGCGCGGCTTGTCCTTATCCACCTTCTTCGCCGGCGCTTGGAATACGGACTAAACAGTGTCCCAACGGCGTGTGTTAGTCAGGAGGTTTGGGTTGCTCTTAAGCCATAGCGAGGCCAGGCAGGCAAGAAGAGGCCGGATCACAAAAGACGCAGGACAGTATTGCATGCATGTGAGTGGCGCATGCGCAATCCGGCAGCATACTGCATGCGGCGGGGTTGGGGGTGGTGTGGCGGCTGCTTGCGAGGGACATGGATGTGGCTGCGGATGGACATGAGAGGGGTGGTTTACCTCCTCGGCGTCATCAAAGGCCTTGGGCTTTGGAGGTGCGTCCAAAGCCGAGGGGGGGAGGAATGACGGCACATACTTGGTGGACTTTTTGCTGGAAAGCCCCACCGGTGCCGGAGCTGCAGGGGCATGGGCCAATGGAATCCGGGATGTTAGGCACAGGGTGGAGGCATGGTCCTTCGTATGATCGCAGCTTTGCAGTTGCAGCAGTAGTTTGTGGCCATGTCGCCGGGCGGGAGACCTGGTGTTGTTGTTGGCAGAGGCCTGTCTATCGAGAAGGCATGGGTTAGGCTTACCATCGGTTGGCTTGCTGCCGGGCAGCACGGTGCCGCCCCGCACAAACCCCGAGCCTCCCCGCCTGACGGGCTCTTCCTCTGTTTGAAAGGACTCGACGAATTCCTCATAGACGCGTGCGGCTTCCTCGTCCGCTTTCTACAGATGGGGCGATGTGCAGCAGCTGAGCTAGGGCAACTCTGACCAAAGCTGTCTTCGTCTCAATACAATTACGACGTACCCGTTTGCGCTCTTCTTCTAATTCTTTGTGCTTCTGTAAGGGTGTGGCAAATCGGAAAGCTTTCAGCGTACACGCACGATGCGAATCAAGCCTATCCTATTCTAGCAGCACCTGAAACGGAGTCTTTTTCGCCTTTATGGCGAATCCTGAAGCCGAGCCCTTCATCCTCCCGCCCACCAAACTGCTGGTCTATAGACCTAACTCAGCGAGGAAAACGGAACATGGTCCTTAAAGTACGTATTATATGATGTCAGGTGCACATCCAGCGCACGTGTAATGAAGAAGGCGGAGCCAAAGCGAGACGTGTTCGTACGACACGGCGGTCTATCGTCCTTCTTAAGTCAGCTAGGGTGTGTTTGGAACTCCGTAAGCTCTTGGTTTAATATCGCTTGCATTCTAGCTAAACTCCCGTTAGTCACGGCGACTTAAGGCACTCATATTAACGTGCCGAGCAATCACTCATCCCTCCCGTTGAAGCCACCCGCCACAGCTGCGTTACTTGGCCTTTCGGGTAGTCGTTCTATCGCTGAGACGCAGCAACTACTCGCGTCCGTTGGCCATATACTTATTAGCCCCGTAGGGGCACAGAATAAATCTTGGTCTCCGGTGACCGCTTGACCTCGCATCATGCCGTCCGTCATAGATAAAGGCCCGGTGGCGAGCATCCTCTTTGAGATGCGTACATGGTTGCGCTGCCTGCTGCCGTACACGCCGTACGTTGCACCCTTCTATCCAACACCTGACACGGTGAGTAACAAAGTGCGGCCATCCGGTATCGACCCCACCACAACTTCCGCACGGCGGACGACACCTCCACCTCCACATACCCACATTGACATAACCATTACAACGTTCACGACCCATTCAATGTGCACCCGCAGGTCATAAACCGGGTGCTAGACCTCACATCTGTGGGCCCAGGCGACTGTGTGTACGATTTGGGTTGCGGAGATGGGAGAGTTCTGCTGGCTGCGGCGCGTCGTGGCGCGAGAGGAGTCGGGTACGAACTGGATCCGGAACTCGTACGAGATGCCGTACAATCAGCCCGCAAGGCGGGACTGGAGTCCTTGATCCGGGTGGTAAAGGCGGATGCTGCGTCGGCCGACGTCACCGAGGCGACGGTCATTGCGCTGTAAGAATAAGAGCTTTGGGGCGGTTTCGGAGCCAGTCAAGCAGGGAGGGAAGCATGGAACCGCAGGGAGGGCATGTCAGCAGTGTGCCGGCTGATGAAGAGCATGGGAGGGAATCCGCACGGGGAGGGGGGTTGAGGGGTTACCGTCCACAGCAGCTACTTGCGCATGTGGAGGCAAGGCTGCATGGGCCCTTCCTCCTCACTTGCCCACTCCGCCGCCCTGCTCCTACTATCCTACCTTAAAACCTCTCCTCCCTCGCATCAATCACATCCTCAGTTCCTCATTCTCAAGGCCTCATCCTCACACATCCAAACATCCCCACGCGGCCAGTTATCTTAACATGCAGACACCCCCCTCGCACCCGCCCCCAGATACCTCTCCGACCACGGCAACAGCCGGCTGCTCCGTGCCGTACAGTCCACGCTGCAGCCCGGCACTCGAGTGGCCTCCTTCTACTTCCCCGTGGGGTTGCCGGGGTGGGAAGAGCGGTTGGTTACAACGGACCGTACGGACGGACTCGTGGTGTACGTCTACCGTACACCTGGTGGTGCTACGACTGTTGGTTCTACTGGTGGTGGTGGTGGTGGTCTTGGTACTGGTTTTGCTGCTAGTGGTGTCACGGCTGAGGGGAGTAAGGAGGAGAAGTAGATGGAGCACCGGGGCGGGGGCGTTGGTGGACTGCTAGTGCTGCTATGTGAGACACCAGGGGAGGCAAGATGTGCGGCCTGTGCATGTGGTCGTCATTGTGATCTGCTTTTGCCAAGTAAACGGGTTTGGTAAATGGCAATGTGACAAAGGGCTCCTTTTGAGGGTGTTTTCTAGGGTGGGACCAATGCAACCCCGGGGGGCGGGCGGGACTAACTTTTCCGGCACATTACCGCTGCGAAGACTCCGTACAGAGTCACTTGCTTGTGTACGGCATATTGAACGGCATTGTGCTTGCCGCACATAAAAAGTTTACATGTCAGTCGGTAGCCGATGTTATTGCATCCATGGTAGACTCGCTCTGCATCCCTCTTAAGAGGACATGGCAGGTACGAGGACTGGCCCCTTCCAGCGTCTTGAAGGTCTATTAGGGGATACCAAGAATCTGTCAAGAAACGCGAACACTCGGAGTCCCTTACGACTTGTAATATAGCTACCCAACAGGGTAATGACGTGTGACGCGAGGCTGTCGCTCCCATCCTGCGTTTTCCTGTCACTAAACTAAGTAACTGCGATCCCCAAAACCCACAAGGCCTCAGCCTTACTTCAACGCAGTCAGCACTAGCGTCAAGACAAGGACCAACATCACAGGGCACTCCTAACTACCTACCATCACACCTAAACCGTCCGTCGCGCTAGTATATAGTACAGTTATGGGCACACGACTAAAGACGGCACCAGGCAGCGAAGTAAATCCACAAATGGCGGATCCGAACCAACAACGCATGGGTCCACGACAACAACTGCGCAAACGGACAGTTGTACGGCGCCGTATAAGAGCATGACGTACATTGTCGTACAACCCGACTTCGTGCTTCAGGCTACGAAGCCACTGAACTCACACCTCTTGTTCGCACCGAGATTCTCATTTGTTCACAAGTCATGCAAAGGCCGCAACCTCCGTCCCGCATAAGCCGTCCCCAGGATTCGCTTAACCGAGCCGTCGAGAGCCGCCAAGCACATCAACATCGTGGAACACAGACATCCCTACTTGGCAGACCTCGTCCCATGCACCAGTAACATGGGGCACGCATGCAACAAAAGGTGTACTTCAGATTTCTCCAGCCATCAACCACCTTGATTGCAGGTGCCGAAACATAACGAGCATTCCGTTCCAGGTGCAAACAAGAGAGGAGGCGCTCCTTGTGACGAGATCCGTACAAACGGCGTACAGACTTAACCAAACCACCGCATCAACACATCACGTGTACGAGGCACAAGAGCGCAGACAGCAACCACGGTGTCTCCAGTAATGGATTAACCGAACCTTTGTTTAATCCAATTTTGACATACAGTCCACACTCTCTCCTCAGCCTCTGTTCCATGCATACGGTACGAGAGGTACCACACCTGTTGTGATAGGCTCACGGACATGGACAGAAACCTACCCAGCTATGCAGACAAGCAGTCTACCAGTGTTACCCTGCACCCGCGCTGCCCTTGAAAACCATGAGCTCATGCAACACGAGGAAAGAACACACGGAGCTAGGAACTCCGATGCTGATGCTGAACCCATCAGCACAACACGACCATGACTCACGGCGCACGCGCGTGTCGAAAGCCAAAGTGTTGCCAACACAGCGTCCAAACCCTGAAGGACGCTCTTAGAGGGGCAGCAAAAACGACAGCAGAATACAGCACAAGACGCGACCACGAACCGCCCGCTTTCTCCAGAACACGAACACTCACTCACATAAAATCCGCTCTTCAACGTAACGCCTCGCCGAGCCTCGCTTTGTTCTTAGCCCGCGCGGAGATAGAGGCCAAGATGATAGAAATAAGCTTACCCTTCTTTTGTGCCCCGAACCCACCATCAATGGCACCGTAACCGTTATCGCCATCAATCCCACCAACTTGCATCTTCGCCACAAACCCAAGCGTGCTTCGCCAACCCCGTCGCCAAAGCGAGGACACTCATTCAATATAGAGACACTTCCGCATGCAATCTTCCCATACAATAAGCCATGGCGTAAAACAAGCAAGCGATCAAGCCCTCCTGCACCTTCCTTCAGCTTCTCAGCGGTATTCCTGGCCCATCCCTTTGATCTGGATTTCGTAACGCCGGCATGGCCCGATGTCTAACTGCCACAGCGCAAGACAGGCGCATGCGGTGTGCCACATCTGTAAGAGGTTCAGGCGCCGTCTCACTGCCACAGCGACATGCAGCGCCACACTAAGCCACAACAGACGTACTGAGCCCTAACAGCGCATACAGCTGCGCACACGAGGATGTTGGGTCCTGCTACTGCTACTACTACTTGAAAAGGTATGTAATATCCCATTGCGATTGCGACTACTAGAAGCCTCGACCACCACCATACACCATCTCAAACAAGTTAACACAATGCTCATCCTTTATTCCATTCCTTCCATGCCCTTCTCTTTCTCTTCTCTTGCACAGCGTCGGCGGTCTTAAAACCACCAAAAATGATCTCCCTTATCCGCATACACTTCCTTGCAGGCTACCTGCCTTCCTTTCCTGCCACCACATCATTTGCCTCCAATATCCTCCTCCTCACCCCGCCTCATTCCATGCCACACACAAACGCCACAAGCACGGTGCAGTCATCCATCTTTCCACCGCCCTTAGCAAAGAACTTGGCCCACATAAAGTTAGGCTGCTGAGACGACGTCACACTCCAGGGGGTACGCTGCGTGGGGTTGCGCGCATGCAAGTGCGCTCGCTCAGCCAGTGCTCGGGCTATCCGCACCGCATCCTCGGATCGGTAACAAGATGAAGACCGGGAGCCGCCGGCGCCGCCGGCCGCCGCTGCCGCGGCGGCGTTCAAGCTCTGACTCAACAACCCCGTTGCGGGCCGGCCGCTGCTGCCACGGCTGCCGCTGCTGCCGGAGGAAGAAGCAGCGGCAGCGGCGGCGGCGCCAGCCGCCGCCGCTGCCTCACCGGCTGCTGATGCCGCTGCTGTCGCTGCTGCTGCCGCGGCTGCTGAACCCGAGGGCGCCTTCCCTCTCCCTGCCGCTGCGAGCTCTTTCAGCTGGTGTGACACAATCTGCTCGACCTCCTCATCGAAGACGTTGTCGAAAAGGCCGTCCGTCGCGAGCATCACCACGTCGCCCTCGCGCACGTCCACGTAGTGCACGTCTGCGTCGTCGGCTGTGTCGGGGTCTTCCACGTTGTTGGGATGGGAGAGCTGGTAGGGCATGTTGAAGGCGTGTTGCTGCGACTGTGGTGGTTGGGTTGGGTTGGGTTGGCGGCGGGGGCGGAAGCGGTTGCACATGGGGACAAAAGTGGGCGGGAGCGCGCGTTGTAAAGACGATAGACGATGCGACACGTTCGAAGGTCATGATAGTGATAAAAATCGTAACCTGGCAACGGCAACAGGAGGCAGGCCAACCAAGCCCCATGCAGCCATGCAGCCGCGCTCTCTCCGCCTTTCTCTGCCCCTCCTCGCTTACCTCTGTGCCAAAGATGACCTTGCCATTCCGCAAAATGCGCACGCCGCTGTCGCCCACGTTGGCTACCTCCAGCTTCCTCCCGGGCTTCATGAGCGCGAGACACACGGTGCTGCTGCCCTTGAGGTGCGTGCGGTACTGCGGTGTGTTGTTGTTGGTGGTGGCGGTGGGATGAAGGATGACGGTGAAGGTCGAGAGGCAAGACGGCAAGGAAACGGGGTGCATGGGGACCGCAAGGGTGCATGGGGAGATGCCGGTGCCATGGAGCCACGGGGCAGGACGCGGGTGAAGAAGGATGGTTGGAAGCGGCATCACAAGGGCTTCAAGATGCTCAAGGACGGACACGTAGGGTGCGCCGGGAGCTAAGAGGCATGAAGAGACACGAGTACCGGTTCCCCAACCCAAGCGCAACCCATCCGAGCATGCCGGGCCTCTTACCTGCGCGTATCGGATGATGTCTTGCGCGGACAGGGCGCCTCGGGCCGCCTCGTAGGCATCGGAGGCGAAGCGCATGAGCGTCCTGGTGTCGTTTGCATGCAAGGAAGCAAGGCAGGACACCGGTAAGAGGTCCAGAAGCTGAGGAGCATGCAGTGTTTAGGACACCGAGGAAAAGCCGTGCAGCGCATTTGTATGGCCGTACGTATGGTGTCGGTTACATGCAAGCAAGGTGTTGAGGGTCAGTCGTCGTGCGTACCGGTATGCCACCAACAACAAGCGCATACTAACCCCTGCAAGGGCTGCAACCCCGCAGCCAGCAACCCCACCTGGGATACTCTGCCGGGTCAATGCCCTCATCCGCCCAGCCGCTGACACCGTCCGCAACACCCACACCGCCCAGCCCAACGCGACTGATGAAGTAGGCATCCTGCAGGAGGGAAGAGGTTGCGGCGCGAGTTAGGAAGCAAGCGAAAGGGCATATTAGAGTACCGTCGTACTGCAGCCACTCCACCAATCTTACGCGTCACAGAATTGCGCATCCCGAGAGCTACCTAGATGCCCCAGATATGCGAAACCCGGCAACCTCAACGCACCTCGCCTCCTTTGTCCACCTTGTCCACATGCGGGATCATGTGGGCTCCCGCAACCAGCCGGAAGCCGCTAGACGCGGCTCCCGTCGCCGTAGCTGCCACCGCCCCCGCGATCTCCCCGTTGGCGACTCCCTCCGCAGCCTTGCCGTTCCCATTCGCAGCAGCAGCGGCAGCAGCAGCAGCAGCTGCCCCTGCAGCAGCAACAGCCGCAACAGCGCCCCGCTGCAACTGCTCCTTGATGCCGTTCCCCAGGCTGCTCCCAACCGCCCCCAGACCCGACGCCAGGCTGCCTGCTGCCTGCACGACAGCCGGCGGCAGGCTCGGCAGCGGAATGCCCGCACCCGCGCCGCCGTTTGTGGAAGCGGCGGCACCTCCCGTGGTGGATTGTGCTGTGCTAGGAGCGGTCGGGGCAGCGGCTCCTCCGCTGCCGGTTCCTGCCCCGTTGGGCGGGAGCTGTTGCAGCAGCTTGGAAGCGGATTCGGACAGGGCCTCCGGCGTCAGACCGAGCTCCGCTGCGCCCTGTTGCAGGGCCTGCAGAGCGCCGCGGGTCTTGTCCCAGGCCTGCGCCGCGTCGGATAGGGCGGCGCGGGTGACGGCAACTGGGTCGACCTGTAAGGGAAGCGTGAAGGAAGGGTTAGAGGAAGTTTTCGACGTGTGACGATACATCCTGCAAACGGCAGCCAACCGTAGTACAAGTTCTCAAATTGAAACCACTCATCCCATCCCAACTGACCAACCGGCGTGCCGTACCTTTGGAAGCAGCGGAGCCGTATCCTTGGCGCCGCCATTCTGCCCCAGTCCGAGCCCCAACCGCGAGCTCCCCCGCCGTCCACGCCGCCCTCTCGCGCCCCCATTGCTTCCCTCATCCGAATCGCCATCCTCAGACTCCACCATGGAAAGCGGACCCGCGCCGCCGCCCCTGCCACCCCGGGCGATGGGTGTCAACGGCAGGTTTCCACGCAGCATGTTGAGTACGGCATCCGCGTTGCCGGCGCGACGAAGGAGCTCCTCAGCTGCCGCGCCCACACCCGCGCCGAAGCTGCTTGCAAGGATGGTTTGCGGCACCGGCGTGGCGGGAAGCGGCGGTACGGCAGATGCGGCGGCGGCGGCGGAGGCTGGAGGCCCGGTAAGGTACGACGGAGGTGGCGGCGTCGCCGGCAGCGGCGGCGCCTGGGCTTCCCCGTCCTCTCCCTCGTCCGCATCGTCGTCTTCTGTTTCCGCTGATAGGATACCGGGTAGGATCGGGGTAGCAGGCAGCGGCGGAAAGGCGCTACCTGCGCTTGCTGGCGTGGCTTTCCCCACGCTGCCGGCGGCGGCGGCGTCCGTTGCCTCCGTCGCCGCGGCGGCTGCGGCTGCCGCTGCACTGGCGGCTCGCAGCTGACGGAGGAGCGCTCGGGACGGCTGATCCTGACTGCCGCCGCTGCCGCTGCCGCCGCCGCTTCCACTGCCGTTGAGTCCGTCGCCCAGTAGCGACTGAGACAAGTAGGAGGATCGGTCAAAGCTGCCCTGTCGATCCACTCCCATGGCCGCCAAGGCGCCTTTATGCATGGTGACGTCGGCACCGTCTTCCTCCGCGGCGCCGGCGCTAGCGCCGCTACAGCTGCTGCTGCGCTGACCAGACAATGACGCGGCTGACGTTACACGCTCTGCCATGTTAAACAGGCTTTCGCCGCTGCCGCTCCCAGCGACGCCGTTCTCCCCAGCACCCGCGGCGTCGCTGCCAGCAGCAGCACTGCCAGCAGAGGCCTTGGGGCTGCCGTTGGCTAGCCTGCCGGCCGCAGCAGCGGCACCCGCGGTTCCCAACGCAGCTGACGTTGACTGTACGGCAAGCGGTGGCTGCGCCGCCGCCACCCCCGTCGGCGAGTCATTCGCTAGTGAAGATGATGGGCAGTTAACGCCGAGCCCCTTGGACCAAGCGGCATCCCAGGCGTCCAATAAACGGTCCAAGTTTTCATCGTGTTGTGTCTCCTCGACGCAGCTGCTTGCGGCGCCCATAGTTTCGGCACCCTCGGAGGGGTCGTTGCTGCTGCTGTCGCTTGTTTCTAAGAGCGCTGCAGGCTCGTTTTCAACCGTTACTTCGCTGCCGCTCCTCTGCTGCTTCCACTCTGTGCCCGCTTCCGGAGCGCTGCAGCTACCCTCCTGGTTGATCGCAAACGTGTCCTCCCCCGCACCCTCGGAGCTCTCGGTGTCCTGCTCGACAAGGCTTTGCAGCGAAACCAGGCTAGCACTGCTCCTCTCAGTTGCGCTGTCACTTGGGACGTAGCTGCTTAAGCTGCTGCAACTGCTCCTGGTGCTGCTCGTCAGCACGGGATCCGCGCTGTCACCACCGCCGCCGCTTTCTTCAGCTGCTGCCGCCGCTGCAACGACGAGTGGCTCAAGCGTTTCGTAACTTCCCTGCTCTGCAAGAGCGCCCTTCACCTCAGCCAAGCCTTCCACTTCGTTCTCACCGTTCGCCACAACCGCCTCTGCGAAGGAGGATTCCTCGGGTTCCTGTCTCTCCTCGGCCGCCGGCACAACGGCGCTTCCACCGTCGGGTGTTACGGTGGACCAGCCTGCCGCTGTCGCCTCCGCACGCACCTCAGAGTCTGCAGCTGCTGATGCGACGGCAAACTCGTCGACGGCCGGCGCTGACGACTGCCCGCTGGAGGAATGGGGCGCAGGTGAATCCGGGGATGCTAGCTGCAGCGGAGGGACCGTTAAGACGATATCGCTGACGCCGGTGATCACAGCACCGCTCGCTTCCCTATCACCTCCAGCGTCGTTGCTGCTGCCACTGCTGCCACCGTCCGTAGGGCTAATGGCAGGGCCACAAAGGCCGACAGGACCAGCCGCTACAGCGCCGTTGACACCAGCAGTGCCGGTGTCCTCACCCCCAAACACAACTGGCTCCACCACAGCCAAAGCGTCCTGTGGAAAGCTGACGCAGCTGCCGCTTTCTTCACTGCTCAAGCCCCTGTCCAAAATGCCGTCGGCGGCGCGCTTGTCGCTGCTTGCCTCACGCACTGGTAGCAGCTCCCCTGTTCCCAACAGTTCCTGAAGCTCTAGCAAGGACCCTTCCTCCTCCGCTTCGCCTGATATCCTCTCCCTCACTTGCCTATCAGGGCTATCACCTCCTGCCGCTGCTGCTTCCACTCCTGCTACGCCCTCAACTACCCACTCCTCCTCCTTCTGAGTCGCCTCCGATGTCGGCTTGCCGTCTACAGTGCTGGTCGCTTCCAGCGGCCGAGCCACTGCTGCTGTTCCTGTTCCCGCCTCCTCTAACGCCGCTGCGGTGGCTGTCACCTGCGAGAGCGCCTGCACCAGCAGTCTGGTTGCTGCCGCCGCGCGCCTTTGCTGGACTGCGCCGGCGGGCACCTCCGTAACCGTGATGTGGGTCCGGGAGGTCTGGCACCAGCAGCCCTCCACACGGACACCTCGGACGCCCCAAGGAACCTGCAGGGACACAACAAGGGACACAACCCACAGGGATATATTGACCCGCATAAGAAGTGCGGAATGCGTGGTCCTTGCAGCATGCACCTCGGGAGGAGCGGGATAGGAGCACGCGGTCTGCACATACGGCGAGACCCAAATCGCAGACGCTACCCTACAGGATAGCGTGGGTGATGACAGGCAAAAGCCCGCCCCAGGGCCCTTCAGATAGCCCGCGCCTAGCGGCTCAGGTCTTTCCGGACCCCTACCTGCAGCAAGCGGTTGGCGCCCTCCTCCCACTCCAGCACGTGGTCTCCCGCTGCGGTGATGCACTTGAATTCGTACGCTCCAGGTTCCAGGTCAAGCTCAGCTGTCCAGATGTGTCCCTCACTCCACTGCAGCTGCTGCGCGAGATGTGGCTGCCAGCTACCCAGCTGGTGTCCTGACCCAACTAACTGCGGGACCAGGGGCGTGAGTTGGGCGAGAATAGAAGTCAACGGAACGGAGCAAGGGCGAGAGACGGATAGCCAGAACCAGACGTATCTAGGCGAGGGAAGTGTAGGGAGCGGAGTAGCAGCACCACCACAAGCCCATGCTGTCGGGCTGGTAGCAACTACCAGGCCAGCCGGCATGTACCGCCTAAGCTGCCAGCGAGGCTAGCGTAAAAAACGCGTATTGCTTCGGGAGGTGGTAAAGCTGCTTGGCTGATGCTGGCGTGCGTCCCCAGCGGTCACAGAGACAATTTCAGATAGAAAGCACGGGTACCTAGGCACGACTGCTAGCTACGCACAAAAATGTCTCTATTTGGCCCAAATAAGAAGCCCTGTGCCTGCTGGCCTCGCCAGCCCGTCGCTCAACCAGAGGCAGACAACTAGATGCGCCGCCAAAGCACAAGGGACCTATTGACGCTGCGTGCCCGCAAGAGCCCAAGCCAAACCTTAAGCTCTTGTCCAAAGGGAACCTGATGTTGAAAGCACAAGTGAACTTTAACAGTCGTCGCAGGCTTTGTCTCCTGCAAAGTAGTGGATGAACCGCCTCTCAGATTCCAAATTGTATATCTAGAGCGGTCAAAACGCCTAGCAAACTTGCCTGGATAACCGTTGAGGCTGCCCGAAGAGGTTCAATGCGCTTGGAGAAACCTACTAAGGGTATAGCCTGTAGCTGGCCTATTGCACAGCAAGAGTAGTTAAAGTTATTTTCACGGTCGAGAGATTGTGCGCTTGCGGGCGGGTAACTTACCCGGGCGTTGCAAACCAACTTGCTTGCCAACCGGACGACATGTGCGCTGTCGGAAAGTTGTCAGATAGCGTGGCCTTAACAGGTGGTTAGACGTAGATAAGCGAGACTCATCCTTTCCATAGCGGGGCATGCGTCCTTGGCCCTGCCCACGAACGGTCATGGCAGCATTCCACAGAGCACCCGCGCGAGGATTCTGTCCAACTAGGCGGCTGCAAGACCTCTAGACGTCTGTGTACAGACAAGATAAGGACTGTCTGATTAGGGTTTGCGTGTCCAAGAATGGACGGTGACCGTCGAAGGTGATCTTCTGTCGCGCAACAGTCGGCCTATGATGAGCGCTGCAAGGCTCCGAAACGGTACTCTGCCGGATATTTCATTCACAGTCGAACACATCGCTTCATTACAGCGTAAAGATGTCGCCCTTCCCCTCGAGCAGGGTTCCAGATTTACGACTCGGCAAACCATGCAGGCATCAAACTGCACGGCAATCACTGAGCGCACCCAAACCGAGCTTGCTTACAATAACCTTATATATAAACACTCCTCCAAATCCGCTACTGCCCACAAATTTCCTTGAAGTGACTGGCGATCTCGTCACCAATACGTGGTGGTGTCGGTTGCCTTGCACAACGCCAACAAGCTGCCCACACTCCGACCCAACACTGTCACACTTTACTGCGCCTCAGTCCCGGCGACATTAGTCCCAAGCCTCGACCCCCAGGCTCCTCTCGGAGGCCACAGCCGGCAATCTGACGCCGACGCAGGGTGTAACGCAACACTCGTACACCCGACTGCTGCCCGCTTCATCTTATCTTACACAACCCCGCCTCCCAGCCACGCCTAGAACACAATCCCACAGCAGCATCTTCTTATACAGTCGGTACTTCAAAGCCAGCCGCTGTTGTGGCGTCAACGGCAGCGTAACGCCCCCAGGCAGCTCTCCACCCACCTCCGCCTCCGCCACACTCCCCCCGCCCCTGCCACCACCCTCCTTGCCGCTGCTGCTGCCCCTGCCGTGGCTGCTGCTGCTGCCACCCCAAGAGCTGCTTCCCCTGCCGCTGCTTTCCTGATGGGCTGCCATGCCGCCGACGTCGCTCCCGCAGCACCCCGCAAGCCTCCTGACCCCCTCAGGCTGCGAGGCCAGTGCCTCCAAGTAGTGCCCCCTCAGCACTGCCCAGGTAGCTGCCTCAGACGGCAACACCAGGGGCACCGCCGTTGGTGCTGCATGCGAGGCTGCTGCCGCTGGTGCTGCATGCGAGGCATCTGCGGGCGCCGCCGTCAGTGTTGTTGCTGTTGCCCCCGCGGGTGCTGCTGGCGACACCGCCGCTGCTGGCGCCGCTGCCGGTATTAACCTAGAGGCACAAGCGTCGTAATCCGCTAGCAATAGCGACAGGTCCCTCAGCAGAGGTGTACGGCTGCGAAGGAGCTGCATGCAGCGGCGAATAACTAGGGCCTGCGCCGCCGCCTGCGCAGCCTCCGCAGCCGCCCCTGCCTTTTCAGCCCCCACCGCAGCAACCGTAGCGGTCTTTGTCAGCGTTGCTTCCGGGGTTGCTCCACCCGTTGATGGTGGGTTAGGGTGGTCATCATGGTCGTTGTTGGGGTTGTTAAGGTCGTTGGAGGAATTGTCGTACGAGAGGAGGTATCTCAGAGCCGCCACCAGCCGGGGACACACGTGACCATGGGGCCCCAGCTGGAAGCCAAGTGTTGATAGTTTGACACCACATGTGTTGGGACAGCCACAGGCGTGGCAAAGGGAGGAGCCGGGATCAACGTAAGGCACGGTAAACAACTAGCTGGCGCCAGGCTATTGCACCTATTCATTGAGGTGTTGACTGCCAGCCAGCATGGTTGCGGCTGTCATCTTCCTGCACCCTGCGCCCTGCGCACATTCCCTAGACTATGTCCCTAGACGAACGTACTGCCGTACTGCACCTTAATTCCCTGCATACCCTCCTCCTGCGTTTCAAGACTGTCCCCCACTGCTCTATGCGCTCGACGTACCTTAATCGGGCCATCTGGCGCAGCACCTTCCCCCTCCACCATCGACACTGTCCCTGCTGCTGCAGCTGCTGCTTCCCTCGCCGCCGCATCTACAGCTGCAACCGCTCCACTCACCGACACCTCTGCCACCTCTGCTGACGTCACCGCCGCCGCCGGCAGGTACGGCAGATCCAACTCCTCTGTACGGCACCACCTAAGCGCCTCCGACAAACTGTCGTACAATTGTACATCATCTCGGGGACTGAAAGGCGGCAGGAAACCGTAATGCAGGGCGAAGGTGTCATTGCAGGCGTTTGCGTCGTAGCACAGGCAGAGCTCCTGGCCGGTAGCGATGTCGGCCGTTGCAACAACCACCACACGCCAACCGTCGCTGCTGCCGTCGACGCTGGCACCGCCGCTGCTGCTGCTGCTGCCGCAGTTGCGTTCTTGATGGTTTTTGGTAGATGGGATGAAGTCTCCTTCGGCGCTACTGCTGCTGTTGCCGGCTGTCGTACGGCTTCCTTCGCGAGGCGGTCGGAGCTCCCACCTGCAGGTGGTGGGCAGATTGGACACAGCTGCTCTGAGGAAAACAGTTGCCTAAGGAATACACAGGAACCCCAAACCAGAAACAGCATGCTGAGTCGGGGTTAGAAAGAGACGGGATTGCACCATACGTGACAAGAATTTCTCAATGCAGCAAGTCCTTCACCCATCACTCCCACCTGACGTTCACCTCGGAAACCAGGTGCTCCCGCTGACTATCACCACCACCACCACCACCGAAGCGCCCACCCACACGCCTCTCCATGCGGTGGTTCATCATGTCAAGCAACGGCACCAACAACCGAAGCTCCCCGCCGGCAGCAGGTCTACCGCAAAGGCCCATGTCGACAACTGTCGTACCGACAGGGGCATGTTGGTTCTGGGAGGCGTTACTGGTTGGAGTGACGGTTGCGGCGGTTCCGTTGGGTACCGTTGGAGACGACGGTGCCAGTGACGAACCGGCTAGGCTCATGAGCATAAGCAGCATGGATGGAGAGGAGGAGGAGAAAGAGGAGTTGGTGGTGGCAGCTGCGCGGCTACCGACAATCCCTTCTGTAGAACCACAAGCACCGCAGCTTTGGTCGCCTGCAGCGGCGGTGCTAACAGGGGGTTGCAACGTGGAAGTGGCTGTTGCTGCTCGGGCTGTTGGTGCTGTTGGCCCTGGTTGTTGCCGGGTAGTTAAAGAGGCCCTTGGTGAGGCGGTTGGTGGGTGTTGTGGAGCCATGAGGGCCAGCAACAACATGTTAACTGCCAGGCAACGAGAGCTCACCACCTGAGGAGGGAAGAGGAGGAAGAACGGGAAGGGATATGATCCAAAGAGGTAGGGTCTTTCTTACGGCGTGCACCGGCAACACATTCAGGAAAGAGAGAGAGCGCAGGATGCATGGGGAGGGAAGGGGAACGCAGAGGCATGCAATTGGAGCCAACATGGAGCCCGCCGGTCCACGGACGGAAAGATGGAAAGAGTTCTCACAGGCACATGGCTTGCGGGTACGGTAACGACATCATGCCCTGCGGTTGTTCAAGACTAAAGATTGTAATCTAATGGATCGTGATCTCCTTCTGTGTTGTAATCCCATGGAAGCGGTTCATGAGCCTCCTGGCCCGTACGCGCCTCCACCTTGTAGAGTTGCAATCATCATCATCGTTATCCCCCATGGCCGTACGACAACATTCGTGGCTCTGTACACGTACCGCAAGAGCCCATGTGAACTGCTCCAGGGTAGCTCCTCCCAGCGCCTCCCCGGCTGGCCCCCCGCAGCGGTGGTAGTGGTACGACACGAGAAATCTGTACGACAACAGGGCCTGCTCCAGGGGCGGGTATTCCAACCAGGCGAGATCCTCGGCCGAGGTGAAGGTAAGCAGCATGGCTGGTGGGTTTTGGGGGAGGGTACGGAGGTAGGGGATCCACATGGATGGTGAGGTCCCTGTTGCTTCTGCTGTTGGTGCTTCTGCTGTTGGTGCTGGTGCTGCTGTTGGTGCTGCTGGTGCTGGTGCTGCTGTTGTTGGTGGTGGTGCGACTTTTGCTGAGGTGCATGCTGCGTTGTCCTGTTCTCCAGTCCGACCAACAACAACAACAGTGGCAGGGGCACAAGCAGAAGCAACCTCAGGACGGTCAGAAGGGAGACAGCCGGATGCGGCCATGACCCGAAGAAGCTTGGCTGCCAGGCGGACGTTGCTTGGGGCATCCTGCGCGGCAGACGCGGGCTTGCATTAGGGGATGCCGGGGAAAGAAAGCGTATAATAAGTGTACTGCTGCTGTAAGCTGCTTTTGCCAGGGGTTTTGGGAAGGAGAGCCCAGGACGGAGAGCTTTGGACGAGGTCGCTGGTCGCACGCACGGTGGGGTGCAGTACATGCGGGCGATGCGCCGTACCTGCAACCCTGGGCTGTCGACCTGAGCGCCAGGCCAGTCAAATATGGTCAAAGCAAGAGGCACCTCGAAAATGTCGCCGCCCCTTCCAATTGGCTGAAAATGTATCGAAACAATAAAATAAGTTAGCTTCCTTAGTCCTCGGTTGGCCTTCTAGACTGTGGACGGCCGAGCGAAAGGACATGTCACGCACCCGAACGGCGACGAGCCCGCGCTCTCCAGGTGCGAATTCTACACAATTCACGTTGTCTACTCCTTGCGCGCCTGCATATTTCAATTTACGTGAAGGCCAGACCTAATTTCCTTACTCCGCAGCAGTCGGCTTGAAACGATTCCGAGTCGAACGGTTTGCACATGTTGCCATTCTGACCTTTCTCCTTGAGCCAGGAAATAAGTTTCGAATAACAGGTATTCGATGTTGGGTCCGCGACCTTCGGTGCCGACCTCGCTACAAGACGATCCCTGGGCTGTTTCTGCCGTCCTACTGCTGCTTGGCGAGCCCCGCTCCTGGACTTGCTGCTGCAGGGCCAGTGTTGCAACCTCATGCTCGAAGGGGTTTGAGGCAGTCTACGTTGCTAGGGTGTTGCTGCTGCGGTGGGGAAGCTAGCTGGGGGTTATGATCTACGTCCCCGGGCCATAAGCTCTGGGTTGGGGCCAGTGCCGTACACTACTGGTTATTCCAGACACGCCTCCTTAGCTGACGTAAGTTGTCATCACCGGTATGGACGGAACGCGCCTGTGGCTTCACATAATACGGCACATGCAGAGACACCGTACAGCATGAGTCAGGCACGGCACTGACCATCCGCGTACGACCATTCGGGCCTTGTCCTGAACCGTCTCTCCAGTGCCGTACACCGTACAGAACACCAGCAATAAATTATCACGTCAACGTTGGTTTCAGTGTTTTAAGTTAACCTATAGAAACACGCGAAAGCTCCAGAACACACAAGATGCAGTAACCTAATGACTGAGTCCCAAGACACACAATTTCGTCGCAAAGCGGGTCAAGGCCTCACAAAAGCTCACAGCTCTCGTCGCCATGACACGACGCGGACCTCCTACTCCTCCACACCAACTCTTCACCTTATTTCTGAAAGTGGCATACCGGCAACCACCTAGCGCCTCTAACCCTCCAATCCGGCCACAGCACCCAACGGATGTCGTAAACACCAACGGGTTCTGCGAACCCCAACCAACGGATTCTCCCTAATGCAGCCTTCCCAGCACGTCCCATGCACAGATGCAGCCATGTATGGCCTCTCCGTCCATCTTACCCTTCCTCATATGCCGTACAATAAACACCTCTCCAAATAGCAGTACAGCTGTGTTGTGCAAAGAGCGCGCCAAAAACGCCAACATCCCATCACACAGGAACCCCAAAGAAACGTGGCAGCCGCCTCAATATGCCGCAACGCACACCTCCGTCACAGGTGTCGTATTCTGTCGTATATGTTGCCCTAGCATTGCTTCTTTTCAGAAAGACGAGAGGACACAGTTTCGCAAATAACCACGCATAATGCATAATCCAGGGATGGCGATCGCAAGCACATACGCACACACGCGGTTTCTCTCGGGCACCGACGGCTGCTTTGCTACCTCTTAACGTGACATGCGAGAGCTGTCGGTCGCACGCTCTGTTGCGTGGAAGTGCCGCAAGAGTAAGCGGAGTAGCGAGCGAAAGCAGATGAAGACGGCATATGATAGTAGGATACGTGCAGCCCTCCGCCTCATCCTGCAAGCGTATGGGCGCCTGCAGGCACCCACCACCCATTGCAACCCACCAATTCGGCAGGCGTCACCCAACCACTCTGTAACTCCGTTAGCAGCATTCAATCGACGACAAAACCAACAACGGCCGTCTGTAGAACCGTGATAACGCCCCTAAACAGACACACACACCTGCCATACCCATGTCCAAGGACAAGCAACAGGACAGCAAGGGGAGCTGCAAACTCCTTCTGTCCTTGAATCCAAAGTGACAGCAAAAAGGAAAGCCAGGAAAGCGTCAGGAGTAAACGGAAGGGCGGCTACTTACGACCATGCCTAACGACCAAGCTACTTGCGACCAAGCCTGCTTGCGCCACAAGCTCGGCTCCCTTCCCGCGCTTCCAGCAACGCCTAAACACAACAATTAACAGCGCAAGGATAACCAGAAACCGCATGCATGTGGTGCTCGCTCGCTGATCCCCAAATGAGGCGCGAGGTCATAAAGACCCACGGGTCACACACGCATAAACGGGCTACGGAGCAGGACCAAAACCTCTCCGCACGCTGTGCAACACACACTCTCCACAACCCACCTCACCTCACCTCGCCAGCCGTTCCACCTCAGCAATGTTGGTTGCGTAAGGAACCATCATACTTAGAACACGGCTCAACATAAGCGATCCAAAAATCAAGATTCCCTCCCCGTATCCGATACGCACGGGGAATGCATGCGAGCAGTGCTAATGTGCTGTCTTGCGTCGTTCCCACACCGACCCAACGCGCATACACACATACAAACACACACATACACGCACACGTGTCTTCACGTCAGTACCAAAAGCTGCCCGATACATAAGCACAGTAAACCTTTGCCACCCTCTCTTCTTTCGCACCATCACCCGCTGTCCTTTTCATGCGTCCCTTGCTGGGGCCACCACCACCATCACAACTCTGCACACAAATGCATTACACGTCACTTTCCTGTTGATCACTGTCGTACAATACTTTCCGTACAACAACCACCGTACGCAGATGAATACCAAGCCGCAAGCCTAAGCCACAAGCCGCACATAACAAGCCGAACGTCCGTTATGCCCGAGCAGCCAAGGGCGCGGAGGAGCGTAGCAAGAATACCGGTAAACAGCCCTAGGGGCATTTGCGCTTCTGCAGCATGTGCAACCAACCACCACCAACCGCACAGCCCCTTACCACAACCACCACAACCACCCGCAACCGCCACCACCGGCACCGGGCCGCGCTCATTCGTCAAGTACATGCAGCTTTCTCGGCAGGAACCCGACGGCTTTTACGGCTCCTACCCGTCAAGCGGCAAGGGCTGTGCTTGACAAACGGCGTCGTCGTCAGTTCCCCAAACCCTTTGCTGCCGGTGCTGCTCCTGCTGCTGCGAATGCTGCCACAGTAAGTTGCTTGCTGCTAGAGTCGTGCCACTTGCGCGGCCGTACGACTGCTACCGCCATGCGATCCATGGTGGTATCCATGGCCCGCCGCCGATGCGGGCGGGACCGCCATCTGCTTCAGCAGCACAGCCTCCACCCGCTTCTGGTGTAGCTGGTAGAGCTGTGCGAAGCTGATGAGGGAGGCGCGGATCTCCATGAACCCCTGCGCCATGCTCTCGCCACCCGGCAACTGACTCAACCAACTCCTCAACTGCTCGTCGTCCAAGCCTCCCGCCGACAACTCAGCTCCTGCAGGCCCTCCGCTGCCTCCTCCTCCTCCCAATCGTCGGGTGCTTAGCCCCGTCGCTACAGCCGCCGTTCCCGCGCTTTGCCGGGGACCTGTCGATGCACCGCCACCGCCTCCGCCTCTGCTGGCGGCGGCACCGACAGGGATGCATTGTACGGCAGGAGGTGTCAGGGATTTTGAGCTATGGGAAGCAGCCCCGCCTCCGCTGCTGCCCGCGTTGCGCTGCTCCCCTCCCGAGACCGCCGTGTCTATTGTGCTGCTAGATGCATTCAGCGCATGTGGGTGCATGACCCAAGACTCTAAATCCGTCGGGTTTGGCGCCGCCGCCGCCGCCGCCCCCCGCAACCCTGCCCCTCCTCCGGCACCGCTGATCCTCTGTCCTGCCGCCACCGCCGCTGCATGTACGACTGCGTACGACGCGTCTATCCCAGAAGGGCCCTGCGTCTCGGCTGCCGCCGCCGCCGCGGCGGCGGATACGATCCCCATTCGGCCGCCGACGCCAGCGGCTGCACCGAAACCACCGTTGCTTCCAACCGCCGTCGCACACCCACTGTCGGTAGCGGCGCCAATGGCAGTGACATGGTTGGCCCCTGCCATGCCGCCGTTGAAGCCAAAGTGCGGCGGCTGGTCTAGCCGCGTGGCGAAGGAGGTGGATGCTGGGTCAAAGGCGTCTTTGGTGATGAGCTTGTTTAGGATCACGTTGTCTATTTCCCCCCGACTGAGTGCGCCTGTGTTGACTCGCTCATCTGCTAGGTGCGCCCGCGCGGTGAAGATGACCAGGTGCGCTCGGTAGTCCCGCGCGTGCTGCTCGCGGTCCAAATAGGGGGCGGACTGGGGGCGGGAGTGGGAATGGGAGTGGGAGTGGTGTGAGGGTTGGGAGGAGGTGTATGCAACGGATCCTGCTGTTGGGCTCCCAACGCAGTTAAAGGAATAACGAACAAAAGAAAGGAATGGGAAAGGCTGCACGTTGCCGCCTCCCCCCCCCCTCTCCATTCATTATATATATTTTTTACCCCTCTCCATTCCTCCATTCCTCCTCCATGCACCGAGCAGCAACACCATCTGCCCTCTTCATCATGTCCCCCCACCCCACCCCGCGTTCGTTCATTCCTCCTCTTCCTTCCCACCTGGTGCACCACGTAATGCCCGAAACACAGCAGGTTGTCCAGCCCACTGGGTTTGAAGGCCGGCACCACCACCGGCGCACCAGGCGCCACCACTAACTGCTGCCCCGGCTGCTGCTGTTGCTGCTGCTGGGAGGCTGGGCAGCCGACGGAGGGGTACAGCAGCTGCTGACCCTGCTGCTGCAAGCTGCCGGCGCCACTGCTGGAGGCCACTGCTGGGGGTGCGGTGGGGGGCGCCAGGGGGCTGAGGATGGCTGCGGAGGCTCGCTGTGTGGGGTGGGATGGGCGTGGGAGGAGGGAGGGGGAAGGGAGGGTGTGAGGCGGTTGTTAGGTGTTTGTTCGCCAAAAATTAGGAGACCACACTCGCTCCGCCCCGGAAGGAAGACGACACCGGAGCGCCGCTCCCAGGACCCATCGGGAACCCCATCAGCCGCAATACCCTCTTCTCGCCGAGCTCCCTCGCAAGCCCCTTTGCCTCCATACACGCTCCTGCCCCACCACGCTCCTGCCCCCCGCTCCCCCACCCTGCCCCCCCCCCCGACCCGCTCCCGCCCACCTGCAGCTCCGCTATCCGCTGCACCAGCACCGCGGGCCCCGGCACCCGCGCCACCTTCTCCATGGCCACCACACCGTGACCCAGGTGCGAGATGGCGACCACCTGGGGGGGCGGGGAGGGAGGAGGTGGGGAGAGAGAGGAGGGAGAGGAGGGGTAAGGAGGGGATCCATCCTCTCCGCTTCCTGTCCCCCATCAGCGGAGCGCTCCTGTTCCCCTGCCCACGCAACCCCAGTTCCCCCACCCCGCCACCCACCGCTACCCGCTCTCCCCTCCCTTCTCCACCCCCACCGCTTCCCCCCCCAACACACACACCTTGGCCTGGTCGGGCACGGGTCGCTTGTACTTGCGCTGCACGGGTGCCAGATAGGCCCCGCGCGTGGAGGGCTCCGTCACAAAGTCAAAGGTGATGAGCTCGAAGTCGTCGTCCACGAACACGCACTTGGAGGCGGGGTCGGAGCGCAGCGAGGCCCAGCCGCGACTGGACACCCCCAGCTTGACACCCTGCAGGGGGGGAGCGGGGAGGAGGAGGAGGCGGGGGGTGGAGGCGGGGTGCATGAGGTGACTCAGAGGCAGCCGGCGTGCCCCGGCCTTCCTTTCCCTGCTTCAGCTCAGTTTCTCCCACCAGTGCCACCACCCATGCTGCATCCCAGGCATCCCACACACGCCCGTATTCCCATCCTGGCGGTGTGTGTGCGCCCGGGCTGCCAGCTGGCTGGCTGGCTGGGGCCCCGCACCGGCCCCAGCTGCTCAGCCCCGCACCGGTCCCAGCTGCTGACCCCAGCTGCCCCAGCTGCTGACCCACCCTGGAGTAGAGTTCCCACAGCAGCAGCCCCGAGGGGGTGGGCAGCACCTCGATGGTGCCCCACAGCTGGTCGCCCTTCCACACCACCTCCAACACCTAGGGGGGGAGACGGCAGACGGGGAGGAGGGGAGGAGAAGGAATGGAAGGAAAGGAAGGATGGTAATGTGGTGATGTGGGGGAAGGGAGGGAGCAAGCAGCTCCCCACGTTGCGCGGCCCTACGGATGCATGGCGCAAGGCCCCCTCCTTGCTCCGGGCCTTTGTGCCCGCTACCAATCATCCTTTCAAGGTCTGCAGCTGTCTGCATGGCTGCGCGCGGCTGCGATCGTGGGGTGGAGGGACCCAGCTGGCCCAGGAAAGCACCAACAGCATGCGGGATAAGCGGATGTCCGGTGGTGTTAGGTATTGGCAGGCGTGCCAGAGCAGTTACCTGGTGGCTGACGTTGGGAAGGTTGAGGCATTTGAAGTATTTGGAAGCGTAGTTTGGGTGGTCCAGCTCCCCAAGCGCTGTGCCGGGCACGATGTGTTCAGCTATAAACCGGGCGACCTCCCGTTCAAGGATGTGCTGCGCATCGTTGGAAAGGAAGGCGCGTCAAGCAAGCGATTAGAGTTCTCATTACACCGGTATTGGACGGAACGCTGCCGCGGCCTGACGGTTTGGTTCGCAGCGACATGTGCGCTGCGTGACCCCACCTTTGGGTATACACGCTTGTTGTTATTGCGTGTGTTGGCCCGAGCAAAGATTCCTGCAAAGCCAGATGACATTTTTGGCTTCGAAGGCAAGAGAACTCGGAGGCTACAAGAAGTGGGTCCTACCATGCACGTACAGCTTGCCCCCATTCAGCGCCACGGACCGGTCGTAGAGGCGTTTAAGCTGCATTGTGGAATAACATTTTTGTACTCGTTGGCTTGGCTTCAGGACACGCCACTGAACACCTTTTCCTACCTCTTCCCGGCCGAGCTCCGTGTGGTCCTCGGGAACAAGCGGTGCAGAGCAGCAAGCAAAGCAGCTGAATACCATGGCACCCTGCCCAGCTGAGCTCCCTTAGCTTTCTGCTGTGCACTGCATTTGCCCTGCTCGCAGCCTGACCAGCAACCCCGTTCTGGGGTGCTACCCGGGCTGCTTTATCGGCTACGTGATGTAGATGCTGTTATTTGCAATAAGGTTGTAAGTTAGGTCCGTCGGAGCGAAGGCAGCGAGCGGACAGCGGACGGGCGTAAAAACGCTTGATGCTAAGCTAAAACGATTAATAAAGAGGTCAGACGCCGGCTACTAAGCAAATCGCCCATAGTTACCGAAGGGCGAGAAAGCAGTTACCAAATACGGCAATCATGCTGGGTGTAAAGAAATGCGTTCTATGCACTCTTCCTAAGGCGGAAGATGTAAGGATATTGATTTATCATATCGTATACGCGATAAACATTACACGTGCATTCAGTCGCCTTCATGGCCTGATTCAGCTCTGCTGCCATATTTTTCCCATAATTATACTTGTTGACTGTTGTAAGATGACTCGTAAGAGGAGACAAATTGAGCTTGGGCGTCTTCTCCCCGTCGACGAGGGCAAAATGGCGCTCGTTCACATCAACCGTCAGGTCCAAGCTGGTCTTCATCGTGTGACGATGGAGTTGCGGCATCGTGCGTCTGCGCTGCCGAAGATTGACATGAACAAAGTAGGTCGTCCTTTCGCGACGCTTGCTTTGAGTCGTTGCACTCCACGAGCCAGGTTTGCTTGGAAAGCTACACATGCAATCCTTCGTGCTATATCTGCGTAAACGATGAGCACTTTGATAGGTTCCCTTCTTTGGAATCTTTGACCGTATGGCAGTCACTAGAACCCTCGCTGCAACGCTGGGAATATGACCTACTTGACCTACTGTCCCACGCTTTAATTCAAGCAGGTCATATTCCCAGCGTTGCAGCGAGGGTTTTAGTGACTGCCATACGGTCAAAGATTCCAGAGAAGGCCCCACCTTGTGGCTCCACCTTGCGCCAGCCATGTTAGGGAAGGAAGGAGTATAGGTCGCCGAAGCCACTCCCATGGCATGGGCAAGCCGGGGTATAGGGCCCGTCATGCATAATTCTTGCGCCATCGTTGCATTCATATCCCCAAATACTCCCAATCCCCTATGCCGTGTCACAGGTCCCTGATTGGCATCGGCGAGCAACCCGCCTAAGCATCAGCCTGGTCTTTTTCGGCTTGCTTGGACACAGTGTGAAATTCCCAGCTGGTAAGCTGCTGCCTTGACACGTGACACGCACACGCACAACCTCATGCTTACCTGACCCAAATCGTAACGGGTGTTTGTATGTGTTTTACAAGCTACCGCATGCAAAGATACACACCAAAGCGCCCGCAGGTACCGGTATTCCTTCCTGTGGCCGTTGCTAACCCGCCGGTTAGACAGTGTCCCGCCGGTCCTCAACTCCTCGACCCCCCCCTTCTCACACCCAACACCTACCACGCCCACTCTCCGTTTCACGGCTCACATACCGGCCCCACACCGCACATGACACATCCTTCCCACCCGCCTCCCCCCCCGCCAGACCAGCAAACGCTCGCCCTGAACTTCCGTCAGAGCTGCAATTGGGCCGCCATCACGTGCATCGTGGTGACTGCTCCGCTGATTGGCAAGGTGGCTCAGGTGGGAACTGCTTGGTGGGTGGGGGCTCGGGAGCTGGGTGTGGGTGGTGGGTTGGATGTGGGTCAGGGAGGTGGAGGTGGGGCAGGTGGGGTCGTATGGTGGGTTTGATGGCACCGTTGAGGGGTCAGGGATGCGTTTGGGTTGGGGGTTAGGGCGGTGCGGGGTGTGTGTTGGGATCCAGCGAGGTGGGGCAGAATGCATGAGATACGGGGGTTCCAGGTAGTGGGCGATGTGGGTCAGAGGCACTCGGAGCCACTGTGAGGTGGCTTCGGGGTTGGGGCCCGCATTCGTCCCCTCCCCCATGCACCTTTGCCTGATGATCCCATGCACCTCTTTGTGGTGCGCGCTGCTGCTGCTGCCGCTGCTGCTGCTGCTGCTGCTGCTGCTGCAGGTAGCGTTCGACCGGCTGCTGGGCACGCTGGTGGGCGGCCTCATCGGCTACATGTGCTTCACAACGGGGTGGGGCGGGAGGAGGGGGCCGGGGGGTGGATGGGGTTAGGTGGGTTGTTAAAAAGGGTGGCGCCTAGGAGTGTACCGTGTTGTATTAGGCTGTGCAGGCAGGGCTCCGATACTGTGCAGCCTTACCGGTACCCGACCCACATCACCCATGTCGAACTGACTCCGATGTGGACTGTTACAGAGTGAACTGACTCCGACCCACATCAAGTTGGAGCCGCATTGTCACATGGTGCCTGGCTCCTCTTTATCCTCGTCATCCTTGCTTTAGACTCACAATGCTGCGTTACTTCCTTTTACCTTCTTACCCTGCTCCCCCCACTCTAATCCGCCGCCGCCCCTTCCACAGCTTCCACCTGTTCGGAGTATTCGGCGCCGGCATCTTCATCAGCCTGATGGCGGGGTTGGTGGTGTGGCTGAGCACCTTCCTGGCCTCCCGCCGCCCGCTAGAACAGCTGGTGCGGTTCGTACAGCTGACGTACATCATCGTGGCGTTCGGGGCCAAGCCGGATAAGGGTAAGGGGGAGCTGGGGGGAGGGACTAGATGAAGTGAGTCGCGGAAGTACTGACCCTCTGAGGAGGGGGGAGGGGAAGGAGGGGAAGAGCTGAGGGGGTGGTACGGTGCTGCGGGGCGGGGGGCCGGGGAGGCAAAACCGGGAGGGTCTCGGTTGATGAGGATGTGCATGGGATGCATGGTTTGAACGCGGCGTGCTGCGCTGTGCTGTGCTGTGGGTCATGGGTGGTGGGATAGCCCTCTTCCTCCTCGCTTCTCGCATGCCCTATACCCCCTGCTCCACACTTCCGCCCCACCCTGTATTGCTAACATCTGTACCTGCCCTCCACCCATCGCGTCGTCTGGTATGCCATTTTCATTCAACTCATCGGGTATTCCTCCTTACCCCACCCCCCTCCTCCTGCTACCAGGTGCCTTTCTGCTGGCGCTGATGCGCATCGGCGGTATCTTCGCGGGCGGGCTGTTCAGTGTGCTGCTGGCGGTGGTGGTGCTGCCGCGGAGCGCTTCGGTGGAGTGCCTGAGGGAGATGCGGAAGGCGCTGCAGGCGCTGCATGAACTAAACAAGGAAGTGAGGCTGACACCTGTTCTCTGGTATTGTTCCCCTCCTCATGCCTTACCCCGCCCCGCCCCGGGCCATGCTGTTCGCTGCAGGTTTGGGCGCTCAGCGGTGTCACGGGCGGCACCCTGACCAATAGGTGGGTTATTTCGTGCCCCTGTGTTTGCATGGCGTCCGTGCCGTTGCTGCACGGCACCCTTGGCTGTACGGCAATGCTCTAATCCCTAGCTGTACGACATGTCGACACCTGCAGGCGTAATTTCCGCAAGCACCATCGCCATGGCTACTCGGCCCTGCACCTGAACAGAGCAGGTGCAGAGGGCGGCGGCGGTACGGGGGGCATCGACAGCAGCAGCAACAACAGCAGCAGCAACAGCCTCGCCGCCGCGTCTGCTGGGCTTCGCACGATCGCGAGTGAGTCGCTCATTGTCGGGCAGCAGTCGAACGGTCGCGGCGGCGGAAGGCGAAGCGACAACGGAGGTGGCGGTGGAGTGCCTCGTAACGACTTCAGTGTGGATCATCTGGATCTGCTGGCACCACCGCGAGACGAGGAACTGGTAAGGAAAACCTGTAGGCAGGAGGGGTTAGTAACGGGCAACGGGCTTCAATAGGGGTTTGACTCGCACTAGGTTTAGCTCCCCCCTGCTCAAAACCCTCAACCTCCTCCTCTCACTCCCCCTTCTTCTTCCTATGGTTCGGTATGGTCATTGATCCCCCTCCTTTCCCCATCCTCCTGCCCCTCCCAAAAGCACTACCACGAGGCCCGCATTGAGGAGATCTTCTCCGCCGTGTACAGCAGCCTGGGGCGGGTGGATGAGAACCTGGCGCAGACCAAGGGGGAGATCTACGTGTGGCACTTCTGGGGGAGGTACTTCTTCGTGCCGGGTGAGCCCGTAAGCCTGTAGGCAAGCAGCCGGCACCGTGGGATGCTGTGTGAGCCGCAGCGGCACACGTAGCGCAACAACATTCGCCCCCCCCGTAATGCATCCAAATGAGGATTACGCAATGGGATACCCCCCACACACCCTCTTACCCCTAACTCCCGCCCCCAGGTGTCCACTGGTTCCCGCTGAGCGGCCGGTGGCAGGTGCCCCGCCAGGACCTGGAGGACCTGGCCACCTGCCTGCGGAGGGTGGCGCGCATGCTGTGGGTGAGCTGGGGGTACGAGGGGGGGCGCATGGAGGGATGCTGCATGGAGGGAAGCATGGAGGGAAGCGAGGGGTGCTGCATGGAGCAGGGGGATGCTGCATGGAGGGCTCTGCTGGCGAAGCCAAATACGCGCGCATGCGAGTATCAAGCTCCGAGCCGGCTGTGCAGCTGTGTGGCTGCTGCTGCTCCCTCACTGCTCCGCTTCATGCTGCTCCCCTTCATGCTGCTCCCTGTCCCTCCCTCGCAGACGCTCCTGCTTGACTTCGAGGAGGGTTTCGGAGCGGAGATGGAGGCGGTGCTGCAGCTCTACTACCCCAAGCAGCTGCTCAGCGAGCTGGCGAACTACCAGGGCAGGGCGATCAAGGTGGGGGCCGAGGCACAGGGGGTCTCCTCTCCGCCAGCAACCTCCTGCTCCTCCTGGCTCGCTTCCCGCGCTTAACCTGGCCATCGCCCCGCCTGCCTCTTCTCCCCTCCCTCCGTCAACTCGTCTCCGCGTCATGTTCCTCCTTTTTACTCCCTCACTCGCTTCTTTCTTCCCCGGCCCGCTCCCCACCTGCACCCCCCCCCCGCTTCCCTGCCCCCGCAGGACCTGCTAGAGGCCTTCCCGGGCAGCACCACCATTGAGGTGAGCCGGCAGGGCGGGGGAAGGGGGCGGGGGCGGGATGAGCGGGGCGGTAACCTAACCCACATAGCAACCAGCTGTTGTGTTCAGCCTTTAAACTGGCCGCAAAACTGCCGCTAGCCTTGGAGCGAGGTGGGATTGACTGCCACAGGACGACAGTAGGTAGGCTGTGCGTGTACGGCAGCCAGGCTGTGTACGAGTGGTGGTTGTCATCAGATGATGACTTCACAACAACCCCTAACCCCGCCCCGCTGCGCCCCCAACCCCAACTTCCCGCCCCAACCCACTCGCACTCAGGTGGACAACTTGCTAACGCTGGGGCAGGTCACGGACTGCCTGCTGCAGGCGAGTGGCGGCTGGGGAGCAGGGCGCATGCGGGGAAGGGGACTAGGGGGTTGTCAGGCTTGGATGTCGGGAGTTCAGAGCGGCAGCGTGCGTACTAGGGCCTTGGATTTGATACACGGGGAGGCATTAGGGGCCGGGTGTGTGGGTGCTGCCTGCCAACTAACGTACGGCAGCAAACACCCGCCCTGCAGATCAGCGATGCACGAGCCCGTAACACCGTTTTTAACGTGAAGCAGCGGCGGCGTAACACGACAGGATCGGCGGCGGGGGCTACTGCTGCTGCTGCTGCTGCATCTCCCTCGGGGGCAGCGGCGGCGACAGACGGGTCATCACGGGGTGGCAGTCGTCGTGGTGCCACCGCTGCTGCTGCTGCTGTTGCTGTTGCTGCTAGCGGCCCCGCCACTCCCACCACCGGCAAAGGCCCTGCCTCCAGCAGCCTAGAAAAGGTGCCGCTCCTGGCATCCCACTCGGGGCCCTTCTCAACGGCAGCAGGCACCGCCGCCGCAGCTGCCACAAGCCCACCCAAACATGACGGGAGCGTCGGCGGCGGCGGCGGTGGCGGCGGCAGTGTGCATGCCGGTCGAGGTGACGCAACGTCGGTTCGAGCGCCCAGCGGCGGCGCCGACGGCAACGTCAGCGGCGGCGGCGGCGGTGTATTCATTAGTCGGTTGTTATCCGGGCAGCCGGGGAATACCGTGGCGCTACACCTACCGCCTAGAAAGCTAATGCAGCAGCAGCAACAACAACAGCAGGAGCGGGAACGGGAACAGCAGGCGCAGCAGCAGCAGCAGCCACGGCCGTCCGCTGCCGCCGCAGCACAGCTCCTGACGGCTTCCGGATCCGGTCCTGCCGCCGCCGCCGCTACGTTACCAGCTGAGCCATCATCATCACCGGCAGCAGCAACGGCGACGTCGGCAGCAGCAGCAGCACCAGCAGCAGGGTCGTCGCCGCTCAAGGCGACGCGGAAGGACAGCGAGCGCTTCGACATATTCTCCGGAATGTACTTTGACGCGCTGGCACCGGCCGCCACAGCAGCCGCCGCTGCTGCTACCGGTACGGCAAAGGGTGCCGTACATCTGACGGCGTCTTCCAGTACGACAACGGCAGGGCCTGCAGCGGCGACAGCGCCACTGGCGGCGGCGGCGGCGGCATCAGCGGCTGCTTCCGCACTGCCCGCTGCGTTGCAGAGCTCGCAGCTTTCGTACACTGGGCGCATGAGTTGGAGGGAGCCTCCGTCGTATGTTAGGTACGGGGCATGAGGGGCAAGCGGGTTTGTGTAGTGGCAATCTGGTGTATCTCTCTGCTGGGAGCCAAGACACTACCTACGTCTGGATGCAACCATGTTCCTGTACGTCTTGTACCACCACATGTACGACATTGCATGGAGACCCAACACACATTCTTTCACACTATATTTCCTGGGTCCAAGATGTGCCTTGGGATGACACGTCTTTCAATGCGCTCCGTACTAGCCAGCAACGTTGCACAACGTTCTCACAAGCCCAAATGCTTCTCCTGTTGTTGCTGCTGTAGTCTCGGTGGTACGGCAGGGGCGTCAGGGGCCGCCAGCGGGGGAGGGACCCGTTCAGCCTCCGCGACTGAGGAGGCTTCGGGGGCTGCTGGTGCAGGCGGCGGGGATGCGGGCAGCGCTGGCAGCGGTGAAAGGCACGCGGGAGACGGCGGCGGCGGTGGCGACGGTGGCGGCAGCGGGAGCATCAGCGGCGGTGGCGGTGGCGGTTTGGACTTGTTGGGCGGTTTGGGTTCGCGTCTGTCGTCGATTGTTGTGGAGCCGGTTACGTTCCCGTCCACTGAGGAGGGGTACCTATCGCAGGTAAGGGGGCGGGGGAGGTGGGGTTGCGATATGGGTTCAGGGTTGTTGCATGGGGATTGCGTGGAAGGTGGGTGGTGGGTGGGAGGGAGGGAGGGTGGTGGGAGGAGCAATCGCGCTTTTGCCTACGTTATACACTGTACATCACCCCGGCAACCGCTACATGCATGTGAGGGGCTGCATGCAGGTGTGAGGGCCTACCGCGTGTCACATGACTGCAGCGCGCGTTGTCTGGCCTTTTCGCTGTTTTGTTCATAGTCTCCTGCCCGTGCTCTCTTTTTCCGCCGGTTACGCCGATGACGCTCGCTGTTCAGCGCTTCCTGGCGGATACCGTATACCCATTTCCCTCTTATCAACCAATTTATGCAATCATGGTTTACCTATACGACGGCGCAGGTTCGTTGGTACAGCTTCCAGTTCGTTATGGACGAGATGGTTAACGAATTGGAGGAGGCCTTCTACGCCTGCAGTGCCGTACTGCGAAAACTGCCGTACCCGGTTGGCAAGTAGGAGCAGATTTCTTCATGATCTTTAGGAGATCGACCTCAAGAATTGATTACGAAATGAATAGAGTCATGCACGTGGCGTAATATATGCTTTGGTTGCATGTGTTTCTCTTATCTTTGGTCATGTGCCACCTCTTTTGGGGGCCGGCACACAAGGTGGGAGCGAGGGTGGTCTCTAGCTGGGAGGAGGGACGCGCTGAAGTACGGCAGGTAGCCACCCCTAGTCAGGGCACAGCCCTGCTACAGGCTATATATGGTCATGTGGGTTTATGTTGTTCATACAAGAAGCGTAAAGATTGTGACATAAAGGCAAGCATGCAGTATTGCTGCAGAGCCAGGTGGTTCCAAGACGCCTCGGGTATTGCCGTACAAAGTCCCCGCACGGCGATCCTGGTCTGCCCGTGCCTACACATACGGCGTTGGCATTTTTTCGCATGCACTGCATTTCCATGTTCTGCTATAAATCCTAAACGTGGAGTGCTGCTCTGGGGTTCTCTGCGGAGATCCGTGGACAATGGCCCACGTGTTTGACAAGGCCTTCGTGATCTGAACATCTCAAAACATTTACCAGCTTTGCGTCTTAATTTCTGCGTTAATCGGACTGGGAAGCGAACGTTGTGTGCGGAGTCCTCTGAGCATATGTAATGAGGGATCGGGGGAGGGGGGGTCAATGAAGAGTGAAGCAACTGGATCAGGTGTTGTGGGTCACATGCATGGGAATGATATTGCAGGAGAGGCACGTGGACGAGTGGGGAGGAGGATGGAAGTGCCATGGGGTTGGCTTTGGGAGTGTGAAGAGCACTCGAGCGTGGTGCTTACCGCATGTATACGCACGCTTGGACCGCGTGCGTCACACACATGCGCACCTTGCAGCTGCTGCGTGACTCATGCTGATATACTGGCAAGGCATGTAGGTTCTCGTCATTTCAAGCGTCCATTGAAGTAAGCATGCCGCAGTGCCTTCTGTCAAAGTTTGCTGAGAGGCGGCTTTATCCTCATGTTGCCGTATATGAGGATAGGATAGGAGGTTTGTGGGGGCTTCCCACTTCCCTGCTGGCGTGCATACGTGACTGCAGGCGCGCTCACTTGCACGGACCACGGCTGATGGGGTGGTTTACCCCGTTGGTTCACTCGTTGGCCGCGCACCACGCACCTCCACAGTCCTTACATCCACTCACAGACGACACGGCACGAGCACGTGTACTGCATGCATGCCTATGTTCGTAACGTCAGCCTGCAGTCCTACACGTACGGGTTCCTATCCTGTCCCCAACACGCGTTCGCATGGACTATTCCTGTTCTATCCCTTGCCCATGTCTGCCCATCACTCCTGCCCTGCATTTGACGGTGTCTACAGCACTTTAGTTCACAACGATCGAACGGTTGCCCATACCGATAATGCGTCGCCACTCCCCGACACTACAAGCATACTGCAAACCGCTGCGTTCCAATCATGTCGAATCGTTGTTAGAAGGGCACTACACCGCCCTACTAGTGACATAACCCAGCAGTGAGTTCAGTACTGTGATATCGGTACCTCAGGTTCCAGAGCTACAGTGCTGTTGCTGCTCAAACTCATCTAGGCACTCCGCTGCATGATATATGTCGGTATGGTATACTGCACCCTAGCAACGAACAAGAGCTGCGCGTGCTCGCTTACCGCAGTTACCAGTAAGAAAATCCAACTTGTAGATACTCAACCCAACGCTTCATCAGCACCGCTAGACATCAACAGCACTAAACCATCCATCTGCAAATCCGGGTGCTTCGTCTCATGTAAACTCCCCGTCAAGTATCGCCCCTGCGCACCGCGCAACACACGAGAGCTGTAGGTCTCCACACCTCAACTCCCGTTAAGAGGTCGTCACTCGGATCGGCGAGTAGGCTTGCCCGTCCTCAGCCGCCGAAAGCAGCTCAGCCAGGCACATGAAGGCCTCCCGCGGAGGTGCCCGGGGCGCCCCCTGCTGCTGCTGTGGCTGCTGCTGTTGCACGTCGGGTAGGTCTGGTGTCGCCAGGGTGCCGCAGACCAACATGTTGTCGGGGAGGGCCTGCGGGGTTGGAAGGGCGCGTGGGGGACGAAAGGTGGTGAGGCGTGTTGCTGGGATGGGTGGGTTGCATGCGTGCGTGTAGTGGCGCGGGCGCGGGTGCGTGAAGGTTTGGGAAAGGGACGGCATGCAAGGCGTGGACATGAGCAGAGGACTATAGCAGCAATGGGGCAGTTGAACAGCATGTCTGCCAAGAATGCACACGGCAACCTGCCTGCGCGATGTAGCCTAGAATCATTTGCTCGCAGCTGAACGGGCCCAGAACGGTACCAGCAGCAGCAGGAGAGGAAGCAGCGGCGCTGCTGCTGCTGGCTGGTAGTGACGAGCGGTTGTTGTTGTCGGTGGTTGCGGAGGCGTATGCGGGGGGTCCTGCGGGCTCGCGGGAGGGTCCGGCGGTGCTCCCGGCCGGCTCCATGCACCACCACAGCGTGTTGAAGGCGTGCTGCCCCTGGTGCCCCTGGAACAACCTGCAACCGGGTGGCAACAGGGTTGGCGGCAGCAGCAGGAGCAGGAGGGATTTACAGCAGCCGCAGCAGAAGGGATTGACAGCTGCATGGAAGCGCAGCGGGGCTCACGCAGCGTTCATTGGGCACCGCACCGTCTGTGAACCGCATTCCTCATACTCCTCCTATCCTAATGTCCCCACCTGAACACCGCCGTCTCGAAGCACACAAACGGCGTCGCAACCGGCGGCAACACGTTGGCATCTAACCCCCCGCCAGCTTGCTCTCCAGGCAGCTGCTGTTGTTGTTGCTGCGACTGCTGCTGCTCTTCAGGCTGTTGGCCGGGCTGCTCGGGTCTTGCGCAAGGCTGCTGTTGCTGAGGGTGCTGCGGGAGCGACGCATGCGTGTGTGGTTGCAGGGATGCGGGTTGCAGTACATGAGGCTGAGGAGGCTGAGCAGGAGGAGCAGGAGCAGGAGGCAATGTCGTCGACGGAGACACACCACTCGGGTTGGCAAAGCGCTCGGCAACCGGTAGCGGTACGGGAATGGGAATCGGCAGCGGCAAGGCAACCGGCTGCGGAAGCTGGTGCTGCTGCCCCCCATCCGGTGCCGATGTGCATGCCGCATTTGACGCCACACCCGCCGCCCCAGCTGCTGCTGCTGCTGCCCCCTCCGTCGCAGCCGCCGTCGGCCCCGAAGAGCCCGTTCGCGCGGTGTCGGCGGTTGATGGTTTGGACCCGGCACTTGGGCCCGTAGTTCCGCCGGAGGCTTTCAATGACGCAGGAACGAAGGGCGCAGCGGCTGGGTTGATGGACGTGCCCTTCCCCTTCCCCTGGCCCTGAGTTTCCTCCTTTGCCGCCGCTATCGGCGGCGCTGGCGTCCCGTTAGCCGGCTCTACGCCGCTGCCGCCTCCCCGCCCACCGCTGCTGCTGCTTGCCGCCGCTTTCCGGATGGCGGCCGCCTCCGCCGCCGCTAACGCCGCCGCCACTGCCGCAGTGGCAGCGGAGGGTGCGGACGCCGCTGTTGCTGCCTTCTTCGCCGCCTCCGCCTCCTTCTTAGCCGCCTCCGCCTCTTTCTTCGCAGCTGCAGCCGCCTCCGCTATAATCGCCGCTGCCGCTTCTGCTGGTGATCTTGTAGCAATTGAAGACGATGGGGGCGCTGTTGCCGCCGTCGTCGACGCAGCAGCCTGGGGTTTGGTTGTTGGTGGCACGAACGCAGCCGCTGTGGGGTTGAGTCGAGCAGCAGGTCCCGCTGCCTTCGCCGCCTCTGCTGCTGTTGCCTTGGTCGCTACTGCGTTAGTCGTGCCATCGCCGTATTCCTCCTCCGCCTCTTCGCCATCAGCATACCAATCGGCTGCTGCTTCTTCACCATTGTAACCCTCCTCCTCCTCCTGCTCCACTTCCTCCTCTTCCTCCTCCTCCACTTGATCCTCAGCAGCCCCCACCACCTCCTCTTCCTGCTCCTCCTGTGCAACATATCCATGCCGGTTGCTAACGCCGCTGCCGTACGTCTTCCTTTGTACGGCAGCTGTGTTGTAAGGTTCCGCAAACTCGCCTTCATAGCCTCGATAGAAACCTGGATTGGGAGAAGGGAAGGACAAGGCGGAACATCGGCGTCGGGATTACAGCGTATAAGAGGCAAGCAGCAATGGCTTTAGCAACTTCCTTGTCGCACCCTGCCGCGCCCTGTCGTACACACAACTCACCCTGGTACCAAGAGGGGTCATACGCTTCCGGTCCATCCGGGACTGCTGCCATCCGCGGGGAAGCCGGCATGAAGCCGTAAGGCCCTGCTCCTGCCATCCCCATAGGACCCATGTGACCCCCCATCATGGAAGGCCCTCCGAAGCCCATCCCAACAGCTGCTGCCATAGGGCCCATCATGGCAGGAGCCATAGGGCCCATGGCCGCAGCTACCATTTGACCCGCAGCGAAGGCGGCTGCGGCGGCTGCAGCTGGATTGTGCATGGCCATGGAGAAAGGGTGCTCTTGGGTTGCATGGGGATGGAAGCCGGGGTGCATGGGTCCTCCCATGTTCGGCTGGGGCATCCCTGGCGGGTAGTTCCAGCCGTGGCCTGAGCCGTAGCCATTAAGGTAGCTGCCACCACCGTTCATGGGAAGGTGTTGCTGCGGAAGAGGCCGTGCTGCTAGCTACAATGCACGATGTGGCGATGTGGGTGCGGACCACGATGCTTCAGGGAGAAGTTAACACTCTGTGGAGATCGCTTGACGCAGGATGCTGGCAGCCGCAGGCGTGGAAAGCCGAGGGCTAGGACACGACTGGCCGATGGCCGACGCTGGTGACAGGGAGCCGGGCCCGTCAGTAGGATAGTGGCCCAGATTAGAGCGGTTATGCTTCGCTGTACAATACAGGGCTTGTCATACAACTAGCGATCCTAATATTCCAAAGACTTTGGCTAAACACGGAAGTGTATTTATGAGCATCGGCTCAAACATAGATGTGCTATGCTAACAATGTTCAAGTACAACTACTCCCTTGCTGTGAGGAATTCTTTGTTACCATCGCTTAAGATATGAGCGTGATGGTGAAAGGCTTTAGCCCTATCGTTGTTGAGCCACTTCCGAGCCTTGTGCGATGTAGGCTAAGCGCTGTTGAGGTCTAACTATGCACTTTAACTATATTTCTGTGACGAAGCTTGCAAGCATAGCTGTGAGCGCGAGGTGTGATGCGCTGTCGTGCACCACAGCACGACGCAGCATACATGCGGCGATACCCACACGTGCGCTGCGCCGAGACTGCTGCAGCGTCTTCAATTACTGTTCACCTTGAACTCTTCATCTGCATCGAACGGGCCAGAAGTCTTGGCTATGTTGCCCAAGGCACACTGCATGCGGTACGTGTACAAGCCGGGAATCCCAGCTAGTACTAGCTTACATGGTGGCGCATGCAAGCAGGCGTCGGTCTGTGTTAGGCACGCCACAATTACGCCATCGCCCCCCTCAAACTAAAGACCATGCTGGTATGACGGCACAAAGCCCCTTATGTCTTGGCCGAAGCACCGGCAACCGAGGGAATACCCACACACAACAGGCTAACAAATGACCCGTTCTCCACACGCAACCACGACCCTGCGCGTGCCTGCCAAACGCGTCGGTATGTACAAGGGGGAAGGAACATGCAGCTAAACCGCAAAAGCAGCAAGGTGGGAACCGTCACCAGGTGCCGGCAATCGTAGTGTTCATGCAGTGCGTGCGGTACGACAGGGCAGGTTGGCGTACGGAGAGAGATCTCATAAATACGACAGTTAGGTATGATGTCAATAAACAGCAACAACAGCAACAACGAACTATAACGACGTGACAGCGACAGCACAACTAGCGGTAAGATCGCAGCACGCCTCACGGCGCCTTTCGCTTCCAGAAGAACCCAGAACGGAGGGCAGGTGGTTGGTCTAAAACTGTCATAGTACCGTACATTTGCACCAGCTAAGGGAACCCTGAGGGAACACACAAAGCCAGCCTGGTGAAGCATGCGCACCATCATATCGTTAACCGCATCCCAGTCCAGAACACCTAACTGCAAGCCCGGTATCGATTTATGCGTTGTAATGCGCGAATGGTGCAGGCGTCGCAGGGAGAGGCGGCATGGCCCACCGGTACCGGAGCATACGGAACACTGCACGCAAGCCTTCAAGAAGGAGGCTCCATAGATTATCCACACCTTCATACAGTACTCTGTTATGGAAGAGCGAAACATCACCGCAGCCATTACCCACATACGTACCCTTGAGCAATGCTGAACAACGCTGTACCGGTACGCAAGCATCTTAATCCCCCGCAAAGGTGCACTGTGGCCACCCACCCATGACATGTAGCCATCATTGGATCGGAATTCCCGTTTCTCCCCCCCTACCCAGATGATCCCTTCAGTAGTCATTTCTAAACCATGAGGTATCGCACGCACGCATGACGCCATGCGATAAGGATGTCGTACAACTCCCGTACGTAAACCTTCTCCGTACGCTTCGTACTGCCGTACGCGTGACAACTGCAATGTATCATTGCAAGTGCATAAGGATTTTATGCTTAACCGCCCTTCATCATATTGCTACCATCATCATCTAGCAAGCAGCAACGCTAGGCCAGGCCGCTCGGGTATTCCGGCTATTCTGTAATATACATGTGGCAAAAATAGTTATCAATCTGCAAAACTGCACGTGCAACAACCCTGTCCTCGCACTTTAACCGCACCTCAATGCCCGCCACCACCACCAACGCCCCTCGGAGACGGCAGAACCTTTGGCTTGGAGGACCTCCCAAACCCGCAACACCCCACCGACACCTTGCCCTCCTCGAGCTCCTCTTCTTCCTCCCCAATCATGCGTTGCGGGTGCTGCTGCTGCCAGTCCTTCCCACCAAGACGAGGGGAAGCCACATGAGCATCTCCGTTCGCCGTGGCGCCGCCACCGACACCCCCAGGGACCGCTGCCTCCGTCGTCGTCGTCGTCGCCGTAGCATTGGCAGCAGCAGCAGCAGCAGCAGCCGTGGCAGCAGCCATGTTGCCGCTGAGTTGGGGCTGTATCCGCCGTTGCTGCGAGGGACGCGGTTGGTAGGATCGCGGACTGGTCGGACCTCCGCCGCTTCCGCGTTTTCCATTGGAGCTGCGGCCGCCTGCACCGCCGCCCTCGCCGTCACTGTCGCTCAAGTCGATTTGAGCCTGTTGTGTGTGCGTGTGAGAGGATGAGCGAGAGTGAGAGGACGAGAGGGTATAGAGAGGGGTTGAGCATGGCAATCGTGCATGTTGCTGTTGTCTGTTACTGGTATCGTTACCGGCGAATTTGAGGTTTAAATCTCTTTTAACCATGCCAGGAAGAGGGTCGCATACACATTGTCACTATCGGTACTCGTTGAATGTCAGCTGGTAAATCCTTCACAACCCGACTTCCACCGTACCTCCTTCAGCAGCTTCTGACGAGACAGCGGCTTCAGCTCGGAACTCTTCCGTCTGCCGTACGGCATGTTCGCCTCCTCTCCATGTTCTCCCCAGCTTCTGCGGCTCGATTGGGCCTTATTTAACGTTGGCCGGCTGCCATTCTCCCCGCCTCTGCCGGCGCTACTACCCCGGCCCGCCGCCAAGCCGTCGCGCGAGGCTCGCGGCGCTACCGTCAGTACGACCATTGCCTGCGCCGCCGTCGCCGCCGACGGCGGCGGCGGCGTGTCAAGGGAAACGTTGGCGGCGCCGGCCAGTGCCGACGCCTCAGGTCCCATATCCGGAAGTCCCGGGGAGACGGTAGTTAGGGCCCCGTCAGCGTCGTCCTTCTCATTGCTGCGTGAGGGCGCCGTGGCGGCGGCGGAGCCGCCGTCACCGCCGCCGCCGCCGCCTTCGGCGGCGGCACCGTTGGCGCCGTTGGCCGCATTAGCGGCACCACCTGCCGCACTTTCAGCTTGAAAGCGACTGGGGCGCGCTACTGTGCCGGGGTTGGTTGGAACACCTGTGACGGAGGCGGCGCCGCCACCGCTGGAGGACGTGTTAATGCGCCCGGAGGCGACGAGGGAGGAATGCACTCGCTGAACAATGCTCTGAGCGCGGCCAGTGACCACCAAGTGATTGCGCATGTCCGCTGACCGGCCGCCGAAACTGCCCCTACGACCGACAAATGACGCAAAAGAACGACGTACGGAGCCGTCCTCGCCCTCGCCGCCGCCAGCGCCGCCGACGGTGCTGGCACGACGGCGACCGGCGCCGCCAGTGGTGGCGGCGGCGGCAGCACCGCCGCCGCTGGCCGCAGCCCCCAGCGGCGACGGCTTGTGTACGACACGATTTCCGTTGCCGCCGATCTGGATGAAGGAGCCGAGGAGGAAGGAGACGGCGGAAGCGCCGCTCACGACGCTGGGATTGCGGTGATGCCCCTGCTGGTGTCCCTGCTGAGAGGCACCGGCTGGCAGGTTGCCGTTGTCGATGGTGGCGGCGGTAGAGGAGGCTGCCAGGGAGGTGGTGTCGTCATCCTCCTCTTGTGGTTGCTGTTGCTGTTGTGGTTGCTGTTGTTGGTCGGAATCTTGCTGTGTCTTGGCTTCCTGGTCCGGCTCGCGGGTTGACTCGAACTCGCGATTTGCCTCCTCATACAAGCCCTGCGGTGCGTTACGCAAAGAGGGGCGTTACGCTAAGAGGGGCGTTACGGATATGGGATCCATTAGGACCCCAGTTGCTTCACTTTTCATCTAATGTTTCCTTCCCCTCCTCCCCCGTTGTTTCACTTATATACGATTTTACCCGCCTCCTCCGCCCACACCCGCCTCACCAGGTACTTGGCCACCTCCGGCGCCTCCTCCCCCAGCTCCTCCACAGTCGTCTCCACGAGGCGGGCGTACAACTCCGCCGCGTCCTCGTACATGGCCTGGTGGTGGAGGGATGAGGAGGGGGAGGAGGAAGAGGAGGAGGAAGAGAGGGTGAGGAGCAAGAAACTACCAGGGAAGGAACTAGCCGTGATGTGCCCAGTTATAGGATCCACAGTTGCATGGTTGCCTAGACGCCCATCCCGTCAAGTCACGGAGGGGAGCGGGTTAGTGCGTATTGGGAACCCCACACATGAGTGCATTAGCATGTGCGTTAAAACACGCAAAGGCCCACTTTCCCGCTTCCATCTCAACCAGATCTCCCAACCCCTAACCCCGCCCACCACCACCCCCACCCCGTCCCGCCCCACCTGCGCCCGCAGTACCGCCGCCAGCATCTCCGCGCTCTCCAACGTGGACGCATGCACCGGCCCCAGCTCCTCCTCACTCGCCACCAGCAGCCGGCAACACAGCTCCTCCGCCTCACCCAACCGCCCCGCGGCGGCTGCCAACTCCGCCAGGCCGCGCAGGGACACGAGTGAAGCGCGACGCAGCCGACCCGAGGGTCGGTTGTGGTCCAGGGTGGGAGTCGTGGTGGTGGTGGTGGTGGTTGAGGTGGTGGCGGGAGGAGCAGCGGGAGGAGGTGGAGAGGGGGCGGTGGTGGAGGAGGTGGGTGCGGGAGGGGCGCAGGGGGGCTGGGAGGTGGTGGCGGTAGCGTCGGTGGTGGTTGTAGGTGTGTCGGTTGTGGCGGCGGTTGCGATGGTGGTGGTTGTGGTATCTGGGGGTGGCTGTTGCTTGGAGGACTTGGCCAGGGAGCAAACGTTGAGGACCCTGGGTGGGAGGCGGACAGGGGGACGAGGTCATCAAACAGGTCTCGCATGTCCAGCGATGTGCGCCTACCGTATACGGTTTCTCGGCACAGCAACCTCACACGTTCCTCCCCTTTCCAAGATCCCAAGACCCTAACAACCAGCCAACCAGCCAACCAACCAACAAACGAACACCTGCCAACACAGCACCGTGCCTAGCGTCACCTGAGGAACAAGGCCTCCGCCTCCGCCACCTTCTCCGGCCCGCCGTCCTTGAGCAGCAACGCCAACAGGTTGAGCGTCGCAACCGTCTCCGGGTGCTCGGGACCCAGAGCCGACTCCATCACCTGTGCACGTTTGGCGGTGGGTGGCAGCAGGGCAGCATGGTTAGCATGGTCAGGACAGCAGGGAGGCAGACGGGTGGCTAGCACAGCATGCAACGCATCACCCGCATCAGCCCGCGGTTGCTGGCGTAGGCTGGGGACGGTGGTGGTGGGGCAAGTACAGGTAGGGAGGAACCCCCATCGGAGGCAGCCCCATGCAACACCCCCTCCTCCTCCTCCTCCGCCTCCTGCATGAGTCGGGATCTAGTAATGGGACTCCAGTTGCTGCAAGCTTCCCTCCTCCTGCACCGCATGCAAGCGCTGCCCCCCCCCACCTTGAGTGCCCGGCGGTACAGCGCCTCCGCCTCCTCCAGCCGCCCCCGCGCCGCCAGCACGCGCGCCAGGTCCCGAGTAGCGGCAGCGGTGTCGGAGTGGGTGGGACCCAGGGCGCTCTGGTGTACGGAGAGGGATCTGGAGGGGGGAAGGGGTTGGCGGGGGTTGGGAGTTGGGGGAAGTGCAGACAGTAAGGAGGAGGGGCGGCGGCTGTGCGGTGTTTGGACAAGGACACACTCGCAACGGGAGCGAGCGGGGCCAAGCTTGGAAAGTAACAAGGCGACCCGGCAGCTCCACCCCCCCTCCCCTCGTTTCCTCTTTACTCCTCCCCCCTGCCCTGGTGCCCCCCCGCCTCACCTCCTCATCAGCAGCTCCGCCTCCCCCCACCTGCCCAGCCCCCCCAGCAGCGCTGCCAGGTCGGCCAGGGCGGCCGCGGTGGCGGGGTGCGAGGGGCCCAGCACCAGCTCGCGAATGTCTAAGATCCTGGTGGTTTGGGGGATGTGGGGTGGGGGCAACATGGGGGTGGGGTGGGGGCAACAGCACCATAAGGGAGCAACGACATGGGGGTGCAAGGACAACACAACGGGAGGAGCGAGGCCCCCGAGGCCCCTCCCCAGCCCGCAACTAACCCCACTGCTCACCCCCGCTTCGGCATGGCTTGGTACCTCCCCGCTTCCCTGCTCCCCCCCAACCCGCTGCCCCAACCCGTCCCTCACCTCCTCATGAGCTGCTCCGCCGCCTCCTCGCGCCCCTCCTGCCGCCGCACCTCCGCCAGCTCCCGCAGACACGCGGCAGTGGCCAGGCTGGCACTGGTGCCCGCCTGCCGCTCACGCAGGTCCAGAGCCGCGGAGAAGAGTTCGCCCGCCTCGCCCAGCTTGCCGGTCTGAAGGAAGATGAGGTGAGGGGAGGGGATTAACAGGTGAAAAACAACACATGAGAAGTGCAGCAACTGGAGTCCCCCAATCCCCCCGTCTGAGGGGGGAGGCGAGGAGAGGGTGTAGGCCCGCGCACTCGCGATCCTGACGTCTGCGGTTAAGTCGTTTCGTAGCTTACGGGGGAGGGGGGTAAAGAGGAAACAACTAACTGACCGTGTGACAAGGCAACATCATCATCATCATCATCATCACCGGGTGTGTCACGCCTGCACTCAAGAGTCAAGACCCACCTTCTTCAGCAACAGTCCCAGATTGGCAAGCGCGGTTGCGGTGTGCGGCTGGTCGGGTCCCAGCTGGCTGGCAGCGGCCTCCGCGGAGGCGCGCAGCAGCGACTCCGCCTCGAACAGGTTACCCTGGTGGCGGGGGGAGGGGAAGAAAAGGGAAGAGGGAAGGAGGGGGGCAGGGCGCAAAACGATACCGGTAGGCAATACGAGTGCAGGAAGGTACAACCTACGCAGCCCTCGGACCGTTCGGCTCCAGCGGAACGTGAGCGCGAAAACCCTCCAAAACCTCACCACCGCTCCAAAACACGACGAGCAGCAAATTCCAAACCCAAGAAACCTTTCATTAGAAGCAGCAGCTGCTGCGCACCTGCTCCTCCTCCAGTCCCGCGAGCAGTTGTACGGCACGCAAGGTGTCCGGATGTGCCGGGCCGTACATCCTCTGCCGTACAGTCACCGCCCGCCGTAGAAGTGGCTCCGCCTCCGCTAGGCGTCCCTTCGACTTCAGCAGCTGACCCAAACTGCAACTCAACGCCGCCGTCAGCAAATGTTCGTTGCCGTACGCGGATTCGAAAACCGGCAGCGCCGCCGCCAACAGCATCGTCACCTCCGCCGGCGGCTCCGCCGCCGGGTACGGCAGCTGCATGCATGCCGTGCCGTACAACGGCGGCCGGAAGCCGACGCCGCCGCCAGCGCCGACGGCGCTGATGCCGCTACCGTCGCCGGTGCTGTTGTTGCTGCAGTAGCCGTCAGCCCAGCCGACAACCTCCTTGCTGGTGCTGGCGGCGGCGGCGGCAGCGCGCAAGCTGAGGAGCTGAGCCAGGAAGTGCCGTACTTGCGCCGCCAGCAGCGACGGCGTCAGGACGGCGGCGGCGGCGTCCTTGCCGCTAGCGCCGTCGGCTTCGGCCGCTGCCTTTTCGCCTGCGCCAGGGTGCTTCGGCATGGCCTCTAACGTCGTTAGCGCGGCCCTTAACAGCCGTTCCGACTCCTCGCCTTCAGCCTCGCCGTCACTGCCGCCGCCGCGACGAACGACGTACGGCAGGACGTGCAGCACTGCGCCCAGGTGCGAAGCTGCATGCTGACTCAGCAATGCAAGGTCGGAATTTGAACGGACGCCATCACCTGGAAGCACCGCTCCGTCAGCAGGAGCGGGTGGGGCAGTGGATGGTTTCGGGGCGGTTTCAGATGCGTCGTCGCCTCTGATGCTGATGTCACCCTTGCCGCCGCTGCCGACCGCCACGCCAGCAGCGACGGCGGCGGCGGCGGCGTCAGCGCGAAGCTTTAGCGCGCGACGGAAGTACGGCTCGGCGTCAGCGGGGCGGCCGGCGGCCCAGACGAAGCAGCCGAATGCGTCACTGGCGGCCGCGAGGGCCTCAAGCTGTGTCGTACGCGCATCCTCTGCCGCCGCCGCCGTTGCTGCTGCCGTCACTGGGGCCGGTTCCGAGGCGGGCGCCGCCGCGGCGGATGCAGCAGTGGCGTCGCCGCTTGCGACGGGGGCAGGGGCTGCGGGCTCCGCTGGTTCGGCAGGGGCTGCTGCTGCCTGGGCTGTCGCCTCGGTGTCAGTTGCTGGAGGGGCCTCGGAGGCGGCGGCGGCAGGGGTTTCCGTCGAGGGGCTTAACTCCGGCGGCGGCAAGGGGACGGCTGGCGCCGCTTCCGCTGCTGTCTCAGCCGTGGCTGCAGCCGCGGCGGTGGCAGCATCAGGCTCGACGACTGGCGGTGGGTTGTCCGCTTCTACACCCGCTGCTTCCCCTGCCGCAGGTGCCGCCTTCTCCTCCACTTTGGGCGCCTCAATCGCCGCTGCGGCCGCTGTCAGTTGCTCCACACGCTGCTCCAAGTTATTGAGAAAGTAAAACTTAATGGCGGCATCGGCGGCAATGACACGCGCCTCCACGTCTGGATCCAAGTCGCTGCCATCGCCGGTTCCAGTCCCGCCGCGGCTGCCGCCGCCGCTGCCCGTGCTTGCCGTACTCCGCATCCTGGATGTCCGAAGACCGGCCGCCGTCACAGCTGACGGCAGCTTTAGGGACTTCTCCGACGCGACCTCCTCAACGATGAGAGATTGCAGGGTTTCGGAGACGTTCGGCGCGGTTTGGAGCAGGCTGAGCTCCTCCCATGCCAAATGGGCCTGTAAGACGTCTAGGCCCGCCGTACATAGCACCTTGAAAGGGCTTCTCAAGGTTTGCTCTGTTGGCTGGGATTGGGGATGGGGCTGCGACTCGGGCTGCGTATCAACCGTTGGCGGTTTTATAGGGGAGGCGGACTCGCGAATGTGTTGCTTTATGCATAGCCAGATGCCGTACAGGCACAAGGGTGAGGAAAGTACGGCAACGTTTGCGTCCAGTACGACCGCAAGGAAGCCTGGCTGAACGGCAGGCGACGACCCAGATGGCGGATGGCTTATGATTTGCTGAATCGCTTCGCGATAGGCCTTAAAGGCAGATGCTGACGGTCCAGATGTGGGAATAACGACGTCGGTGTGTGCGGTGGCTGCATGAGATGCTGCATCCAGGCGATCATTGTCATCAAAGTCGTCCAGGTTGCAGGCCAATACATCAATCCAGACATAGAAGGAGCTGTCGTCCGCTCCTGGAAGGGCCTGGACTAGCGCCTTGACAAATGCACGGAAGTTGGCAGACCAAGCGTGCACCGCGACGCAGCAAGGCGCTCCGCGGTGCTCATCCGGGACAAGCTGGATGAAGGGGCCATCAGCCGCTGCTTCCTCCGGGAGATTTAGTTTTTCAATGACCTGTTGAGTAGAAGCCCACTCGGGGTTCCTATCTGCAAGGGACCTTAGGTAACCAAGCGATACTCCACTTTTATCAAATGATATCATCCTATTTCTGTCAAGAGTCTGAGCTCGGCTGACGCTGAAGGAAGTCACTCGGCATTCTGGTAAACCTTCATATGTTAGGTATGGCTAGTTGATATTACCAATAGATACCAAGTTCTACGCATATCTCTGTGCCGCAGTCATGTTGAAGTACTTGCTATGCCTGGAACGTGTGTCGTCAAACCACTAAAGTACGACATCCTGCTCGTCCTACACTTACATGACTTGTTGCCGTTTGCCCTGATCAGTCTGTGCTGCCCCCATACATACCATTTTAACCACTGATTATCATCAGTTGTATGTTTGTGCATATTGAGTGAAATTTGCACGCGATAACTACTAGATCAGTGTGCTGGTGGCGCCATGTCTCTAGCATTTGATGAATATGGGCGACCCTTCATCATTCTTAGGGTATGTAGCCACAACATAGTGAAGATGATGCGTTGCAGCTTCAAAGAAACGAACCTTGCCTTCTGGTATTCTCGAATCAGCGCGGCTCTTGTATCTGCAGGAGCAAGAGAAGAAGTCCCGCGTCAAGGGGATAGAAGCGGTAAAATCAAGCATTATGGCTGCGAAGTCGGTGGCTCGGACGCTGCGTTCCAGCTTGGGACCTAAGGGCATGGACAAGATGCTCCAGAGCCCTGACGGCGACGTGACGATTAGTAAGTGATCACAGCTCAATATGCCTGGTTTGTCATGTAACTTAGCCTTACTTGCTTTAAGGCGGCTCACACGCGGCCTTGTTGGGCGGGAAGAGTAGGGCGCGCCTACCAAATGCTGTTCGATGTAACGTTTTATTACCTCTCTTGAACATTTTATAATGACATACAAATTTCCGCCCTCTCGGGACTGCGCAGCTAACGACGGCGCTACGATCTTGGAAATGATGGAGGTGGAGAACCAGATCGGAAAGCTCATGGTGGAGCTATCTAAGTCACAGGACCATGAGATCGGTGATGGCACCACGGGAGTCGTGGTGCTAGCTGGCGCCCTGCTGGAGCATGCGGAGTCCCTACTAGACATGGGCATGCACCCGCTGCGCATTGCAGAGGGCTACGAAATGGCCTGCAAGGTTGCAACGGAGAACCTCGATAAAATTAAGACGCGGTTTGACTTCAGCCGGGAGGACATTGAGCCGCTCGTCAAGACGTGCATGACCACCCTGTCTTCCAAAGTGTAAGCAGGGCAGCTTCGGTACCTATGACTCAAGCCCCTAGAAAGCCCCTAGAGCAGGGAATAGAAATGGGTTGGGTGAGGGGCGGCCTAAGGCGCAAGCCGTGGCTTCCATTTGTGCATAGACCTTCTTCATTCCCCTTCCCAACGCTGCTCCCCACATCCCTCCCTCCCCGCCTTACCCTTTCCCTTCCTCATTCGCCTCCCCTCCAGCGTGGGTCGTCTGAAGCGGCAGATGGCCGAGATCTGCGTGAAGGCGGTGCTGGCGGTGGCGGACCTGGAGCGGCGGGACGTCAACCTGGACCTCATCAAGGTGGGGCAAAGGGGCGGGAGAGGGCGACCCACATGGGGTGGGGTGGCGGGCTGCAACGGTATTGCGGCCTCCCTCGCCCTGCACTCCCTCTGCCTCACCCTCTGATCAAATCGGAGGCCGGCCCTGCCACCCAAGCAACGAAGCGGGTGTTGTGGGGCGGGAGAGATGGGGCGAGATGGGAAGGGCGGACGGGGGCAGGTCGAGGGGGTCGCGACAGGAGTAGCGATGTGCGCGCATGAGCGGGTGGGGGGTGTTGGAGTGGAGCCTGGGAGCTGGGCGAGGTGCAGTAGAGGCGGGTGCAGGGGCTGGGGGCCGGCGGGGACTGGAGCCTCGTAATGGTCCTCTAGATCCCCTTTCGCACATGCCACCTCAACTCATCACCTCTCATCAACGCCATCCTCCCGCCCCCTCCCGCCTCCAGGTCGAGGGCAAGGTGGGCGGCAAGATGGAGGACACGCGGCTGGTGGAGGGCATCGTGGTGGACAAGGAGTTCAGCCACCCGCAGGTGTGTGTGGGGGGGGGAGAAGGGGTCGGGGGCAGGGTAGGGAGCGGACAGGGTAGGGAGCGGAGGGAGCAGGGACAGGATGTGGGCAAGAGCGGCGAGCAGCAGGGGTCTGCTGTGTGCTAGCTGCTGCTGGCCTTCCACGGCATTCCTCATCTCCTCATCTGTCCTGTGCTCCTGGCAAACCGACCACCACCACCACCCCTCCCCCTCCCTACACCCCCCAGATGCCCAAGGAGCTGAAGGACGTCAAGGTGGCCATCCTGACCTGCCCCTTCGAGCCGCCCAAGCCCAAGACCAAGCATAAGGTGGGGGATTAGATAAACTGAGCCGCGGAAACACTGGTGGGGGGTAACAGGAGGGAACCGACACTGGCATAAGCTAGGGGTAAAGCGGGTTGGGGGTGGGACACAGGCGCGGAGGGAAGGGGCTACGAGAGGGAAACTATATCTCGTGAGGGTCAGGGAGGGGCTGCTGGGGGCCAGGGAAGGGCAGGGCTGCTGGGGGTGGAGGAGTAGCAGGTGGGACATGCGGTGCGTTGGGGTGAGGTGTGGTGAGGTGTGGTGCCACCCGTGCCAGGTATCGATCATCCATATACCCCCCTGCCCCGCCCCACCTACCCCCGCTACCCCCTCCCCCAGGTTGACATTGACACGGTTGAGAAGTTCGAGGCTCTACGCGAGGCGGAGCGCAGCTACTTCACCGACATGGTGCAGCGCTGCAAGGACAGCGGCGCGGGGCTGGTGATCTGCCAGTGGGGCTTTGATGACGAGGCCAACCACCTGCTCATGCACCAGGTATTGGCGGGGAAAAAAGAAATTCCAGGGGGAGGGGGGGGAGAAACAGATGCGACGGGGTGGGGGTAAAGGGCAGGGAACAGTGAACGGAGGAAAAGAAAAGGGCCAGGTGGTTACGATGGTGGCGGGCAGGCGGGGAGGGGTGGGCAGGGAGTGGCAGGGATGGGGGCGAGGGTAAGGATGAGGCAGCGGGCGGAGGCTAACCATGCTCAATGCGCTCTCCGGCATTATCCAACCAGCCAGGCCGCCCAAAACACTGGTCCATGACCTATGCCCCCTCCTCCTCTCTCCTCATGCACCCTTCACTTCCCTGTCCCCCCTCCTCCTGCCCCCCCCCAGGACCTGCCCGCCGTGCGGTGGGTGGGTGGTGTGGAGATCGAGCTGCTTGCCATGGCCACCGGGGCGCGCATCGTGCCGCGATTCCAGGAGCTGTCGGCCGACAAGCTGGGGCACGCGGGGAGCGTCAAGGAGGTGAGGGGAAGAGGGCGGGGGGCGAAGTTAGGGTTAGGGAGGGGCATGCGGGAAGGGAGGTGGGTATGAATCTCACACTACATGCCTGCACCACCCCCTCTCTCTCTGCTCCCTTGTGACAGTTCCTATCTCCCGTTTCCCTCCCACCTCGTCATTTCTTTATCTTTACCCCACCTCCCGTCTCCCTCCCTCCCCCTAGGTTGGTTTCGGCACCACCAAGGACAAGATGCTCGTCATCGAGGGCTGCCCCAACCTCAAGGCCGTCACCGTGTTTGTGCGTGGCGGCAACCGAATGGTGCTCGACGAGATCAAGCGCTCACTGCATGACGCCATCTGCGTGGCCAGGAACCTGGTGCGCGACAACGCGATTGTGTACGGTAAGAGGGTGGGGTGAAGAGGAAACAACAGGTGGTGGGGTGCATGGGGGATGGTGTGGGATGGGGCTTGGGGGAAGGTTGTTCACAAAGCTCAAAGCGTTGGAAGCACACCGGTCGTGGCTGCCATGTACGAAGAGATTGGAGGGTGCTGCGACCGCACCGTCTTTCCACATGCATGCTTGGCACGGGAAAAGCGCTTCCCCCCTGGCCAGCCCCGGCCCCTTGTTGGTCGTACCGGTCTTCCCCTTTCCGCCGTCCGCCTCCCTCCGTTGCCGCTTCCACCTCTTCCACTCCTCCTCCCCCCACCTCTCCCCCACCAGGTGGCGGCGCCGCCGAGATCAGCTGCGCGCTGTCGGTGGAGGAGGCCGCGGACGGGGTGACGGGGGTGGAGCACTACGCCATGCGGGCCTTTGCGGATGCGCTGCAGGTGCGGGGGAGAGGGTGGGGGTGGAGGAAACGGGGAGGGGAATGGGGTGGGGAGGTGGGGTAAAGAGAAATAAAGCAAGTAACGAACCGTGTGATCAGGCTTTATCATGGGGTGGAGGGGAGAAGCGGGATGGAGAAGAGGTATGCGGGGGTGTGGGAACATGGGAACCCGGAGCCCGGTGTGTGAAGGTCGCTTTCAGGAGCCGGGGGTTGCAATGTCCGGCTTGTGTGGTAAACTGGTATGCACGGCACGAGTCATACGCTCATACCTCACCCACCCAGCCCCACCCAGCCCGCCTCTTTCCATTGTTTCGTTTTATTTCCTCTTACCATTGTTCCGCCCTATTTCGTGGTTTTCCTTCCGCCCCCCCCCTCCCCAGGCCGTCCCGCTGGCCCTGGCTGAGAACAGCGGCCTGCCGCCCATTGAGAGCCTGACCGCCGTTAAGAAGCGGCAACTGGAGGAGGCCAACCCCTACCTGGGCATCGACTGCAACGATACGGGTGAGGGGGGGGGGGTAAAGAGGAAACAGCTGACTGACTGAGTGATAAGGCGTGAGGGGGGGAGCTTGGGTACAGGCAGTGTACAGGAGACGAGAGGGGAAAGCAGTGCGAAGGCGAAGAAGAAAGTAGCCGTAACCGGTCGGAGTATAGGCTTCGTCATGGGTTGCATTATGGGGTTGAGTATAGTAGGAGGCAGGGTGAGAGAAGGCGAGGCAAGAGGAGGCTGCACCATGGGAGGTCGGGAGGGTAAAAAATTAATTAAGTGAAACAACTAGGTCGGGAGGATGGGTGTCCTCATGCATGGTGTGTACGGCAGTGGTAACGACATGACGCCCCCTCGCTCCTGCCGTACCTCAGGCACCAACGACATGCGGGAGCAGAACGTGTTCGAGACGGTCATCGGGAAGAAGCAGCAGCTCTTCCTGGCCACGCAGGTGGGGACGGCGGCTGTGGGACTGACCCGTGGGTCACACAACAGGGGACGACACTCTGCTGTTTGAGGACCCTGGGGCGCCCCAGTTTAATGGGGTGTTGCCGCATGAAGCCACGTTGTAAGAACACAGTGACTTCGGCGCTGATCCGGCGATAACATGTGTGCCCTTGTGTATTTGTACTTGCTTTCGCAGGTGTGCAAGATGATCCTGAAGATCGATGACGTAATCAAGCCCTCCGACTTCGAGTGAGTGCCCAGCGCAAGCAAGCGTACGGCGCTCCGGGAGGACGCTGCAAATAGGAAATTTGCAAAAAGGGGCGGCATTGGCTCGGTGTGCTAGCAGGAGCGACGTCAGCTGGTTAAAGACTGCAACCCGCGCTTCAATTGTGTGTATATTTCTTTTGGGGAAAATGTCCGGCAACGGGTGTGGGTGCTCTTGCGAGGTGTGGCTTCAGGGCTCGGCTGCTTCTGCTGTCCGTGTGTGATAGGATACGTAGGCACGTAGCCGCCGTTTATGGGGAAAGACGTTCGTACCTACGTTGTTTGGTTACCCGTATGTTGCAAGTGATCTGCTGGCGGCAGGATGTAACCCTGAGGGTCGCTGCTTACCCCCTTAGCCTTGGCCGAATCAAGGGCAGATGCAGCGGGGGTCATGCAACTTTGCTTCGAGTGGGCACGAGTGAAAACAGGAGCGAGGAGGATTGGGGATAGCTCCTTGCATGCTAGGCGCTTTGCTGGTTGTGCGTGTGCAAGCACTGGTTGCGCGGAGGAGGAAGACGTTTAAAGGCCCGGTGCGGAGGCCTTTTAGGAGGGCATGCAGGTTGAGTGGGAGCAACAAGAGACCGCGATGCTAAAAAACCGGGGTTTTCCTCGGACTCTTGCGCCAATGCGCAACACCTCATTCGAAACACCCCGCTTGTTTCATTTTACGGGACTCCCGCACGTGTACGGAAACCCTGACGCGCGCGTGTGTAATGGAACGCCTTCGGTGTGCCTTAGATCTGTCCAAGCCATCAACCGTATTCTTAGCTTCTCAGATTCAGTCGTCGCATGTTGCCTTCCAACCTGCTTAGGAATTGCGTGACTTGTGAAGGTTATTAGCCAGGTCGCCTGCACATGGACTTCTCTGCCAATTCCGGTGCCGGCCCTAGGCTCCCCGACATACCACCGTTCCGGCCCCGCCCACAAGCCCCCGGGCAGGCGGACCCAAGGGCAGCCGCAGCTGGCTGCTACCTGCCTTCACGGCTGTCTTGCGCTTTGTGCCATACCCTGCCCTATGCGTTACCCCATACCGTTGCTTGCAGGCCTGGTGCGACGGCGCGGTGGATGTGGGCGAACAACTCCCCGCCGCCACTCCGCCTGCAGCCGCCCCCAGCCCTGCCCTCTCCCACTGGTGCAGCCGGCATGGGCGGGGCAGCGGACTACGCCGCAACCCTAGCACCCGCCTCTGCCTCGCCTGGCACCCGCCTCCGCCTCGCCTGGCATGCGGTGATGGGCTGGGCGCTGGAGGCCAGCAGCGGCGCACTGGAGGCGGCTGGACTGCTGGCGCCGTACGCGGAGCTGCTGTAGGGGTGCTCCTGGGGGGCAGGAGTGGGTTGTACGGTCAGAAGGGGGCGCTGCTTACCGTAAGAAGTCAATGCGGGTGGCAAACGGGTGGTTGGGCGTGGTCCTAACTGCACCCCTCCCAGATCATCCCCAACTTTGTGCTCCTACTCGAGCTCGTTGCAGGATGCTTGAGTCTGCCTGCCTCTCACCTCTTTGCACACCTCAACACAGGGTACGTAGCGTTCTGCTACGCGCGCGCCTGCCTCACCTCCGCCTCCGCCTCGCTGCTGCCAACCACTGTCGCCGCCTCGTCAGCCTCCACGGGCTGGCGGGGCGGCACAGCGGCCCCGCGCTGCTCCTCATGGTGTTGGACTGCCTTGCTCGGTTGCTCCCTCCCACCTCGAGTGCGTGCGCTTGCAGTCAACCCCTTCTTGTTCCTCCTCGCCTGCCCACACCGCCTCCCACGTACTGGCTTGGCTAATTTCGATCGGGCTGGCTTACATGTTGTAAACCATGTTGATGCATTATCACACGGTCAGTTAGTTGTTTCCTCTTCACCTCCCGTCCCTCCCTTAACTGCGCGCCACCGCCTGCTCTGCTGCGGAGCCGCTCACCTCCTCTGCGGGGCTGTGTCCCCATGCGCTGCTGCTGGAGGGGGCGCCCCTTCCCAGGGTTCCCACCCCCAGACCGGCAGAGTGAAGACCTGGTTGCCGAATTCCTGGTGGGGGACGTCACGGCGGCGCTGTTCGAGCGATTCGGCAAGTCGCTCAGCCCGTAGGCGGCGGCAGCGGGTGGTGATGGGGGAGGCGGTATGGTTCGCTATTTCCCCGTAGTTTTGGCTACAACAAACTATGGCACCCGCTTTTTGTCATTCCTCTCTTCTGGGGTCAAGCTTTATCAGGGGAAGTTCAACGGTCGCGAAGGTCAATGGTCGCCAGCAGTAATTTACATACTGTCGATCACCATTTGTGCACTATGGTTTTATAGAAGGTACATGTACGGCCTGTGAACAACACATGTTGGTCACTGGCTAGATATGCAACATCCCCTATGAAAGGGTAACCGCCTGCCCCAAACATATCACTAATGCGGACGTTTTCATCTTTATTGTAAACGTTTATTCCTCTTTTTACAGTTGACACGATCGCAAGGTTACATACCTAACAGCCGTACGAGCCAACACAGCCTCAAGCTTCCGCATGCCATCTACTGAGTCCATATGCATGTAGTCACCAATCGATAGCTGTGACGCAGCATAGATTGGTTTGCCAGCTTTGCGCCATCGTATTGATACCGCTGTCGCTTGGCTTAAAACGAAATTCCAGAACAGGATCTGTGTGACCTCACAACATATCAGAAAATGAGATAACATTAGTTCAATACTTCACATGAAAATGGCTCGGAATAGTCGAAAACCCGAAGGGCCTCCAACTAACGTTTTCAGCTCACCCTGCAATGCCGCTCGGCAAACAAGCTCTTACTCACAACATAAAATAGTTACCGGACAAAAAGGATCAGTCTGGAACCTAGCTCTCCTGGCGCTGTTGGTCGTTGAGGGATGCCATCAGGTCGCATCACTAGCCAGCCACCCGTCCAAGCAGCACTGCGCGCATACGCGGGGGAACTGGTGCACGGCGTTCACGGCTCAAGAGGTATGCCCTTACCTCCGCTTGCACTCCTCCAAGCATATCCTTCTCTCTGCCGCACACCGCCCTCCTCCGCCTCTCCTCTTCCTCCACCCTCCCCCCTTTCTCCTCCCTCCTCCAACACCGCGCCAAAACCGTCACAGCCCATCGCCTGGCGCCCCGCCCCCCGGGGCTCCCTGGAGTGCCCGAGCGGCTGCAACAACGTGGGACGCTGCAACCACGACACCGGCCTCTGCGACTGCCCGGCGGGATGGACAGGGGAAGGTTGCCGTACACCCTTCAAGAGGCCATGCACGCACCGATTTAGGTGCGTCCCTGCGCGATGAGGGCAGGCGGTGGGGTGTAACTGAGTCGCGGGGAAGCGCTGGCCGGAGGGGGTGGCTGCCTGGCTGGCCTGGGTTGGGTTGGGTCAGGTTGGGTTGCGCTGCTACCATCGCACGTCATACCTCACCTGTGTACGGCATCCAAGCACCGCATGACAGTGCTGTTGGCTTCCTCCTCCTTACCAGTTACCACATGATAACATCCACATACACCCGGCAAATGAACCCAAGATTGCTGTGAGACGTACATGTACTGCACCGGCGCCCTTTGCTGGGCGCCCGTGCTGGTCCGACATCGCTTCTGCGGCTTCCAGTTCTGATGTAGAGCCCAGATATACGCAGATACCGAGGGCTTGGGTTCTGACCCTGCGTTTGGTCCGGTTCTGGTTCTGGTTTTGCGGTTTAGTTCAAATCAGGCATACATCTCCAGGGTTATAGTGTCAGTTTTGCGGCACAGCTGATGTTGGAACCCACACACGTGTGCCGTGCAGGACGGTAGAGGAAAACCGTACGGAACCCGTCTCGCACATCGGGCCCGACAAACGAGATCTGGATTGGGCCTCCCAGCCGCATGAGAAGGTCTACTCCAGATGTGGAGGTACGGTTCGGGTACGACAGTGGTCGGTTATTTGTCATGATGAGCTTTCTGTCGTACATACACAGTTACACCTCAACAAACATGCTTCTTGCACCCCTCCTGCAACATCCTGCCCTCTACCAATGTCATAGCTCGTCTTGGCCTCAGTAATTCGCGGAAACGGCGCCGGGCTCCCTCTTCTTACCTGAAACCTGGGCATTCTCCTGCAACCAGAAACCTGCATCTTTTGATTTGTCACGCAACGCAAATGCACCCCTCGCAATGCAGGGATCTGCGATGACGACCTAGCCATCTGCTACTGCGACGGACCCATGGGTCGCATCCCGCCCCCCGAGGGCTCCCCACCGGGTACCCCACCGGTGCAGCGGGGCAGGCCCCTTGTCACCTTCCATGCAGCTCCCAAAACGGTGAGAGAGAAGGGGAGGAGAGAGGGAGAGAGGGGGAGGGCTTCGTGTGATGACATAGTGTGTGCATTCCGCCGTCAGAATGAGAGAGTTAGAGGGGGCTTTGTGTTGCGTATAGACTCTGGAAGAGCTAGAATCCTAATGGGGATCTTTGAATTGCGACAGGGCCTACAAAACATAGTAAAGAAGTGCACTATGCCGCATTGCGTTGTTCCCCATTGCTCATCCCCTTCTCACACCGATCCCCACTAACACAGCGCGGAAACCTTATTAGGGTTATTACACGCCAGTTCCTATCGCCGCCAGTTAGCTTAAATGCACCCCGTTTTCCAAACACACCTGCATACCTGTATGCCTGCATGCGTGCCTGCACACCTGTGCTTGCAGACCCAATCCGGCGCGGAGGCGTTCGGCGACATCCCGTACGAGGACGTGTACGGCCCACGCGGCTATTGCAACGTCAGCAAGCCGGACTGGGTGGCGGGTTGCGGCATGGACGGGCTGGGCGGCGCGTATTGCGATGAGCCGCTGGAGTCGTTTTGTCCGGGCGGCTGCAGCGGGCATGGCAGCTGCTACCTGGGCTGGTGCAAGTGAGCGAGCGGGTCGCGTGGAGAGGGGAGGACCAAACCATAGGAGAAGCCACGAAGTAGGACAGGGGAGAGGAGGAAGGACAGTACTGTGTTTTTTGTTTCTTCTAGTGTGTGTGCAAGGGAACAAAAGGGTGATGAGTGGCTGTGGGGGTGGCATGGTTAGGCGTGCAGGTCGAGGGAAGCACTCAGAAGGAGCCGGAGGTATGCTGCATGTCGCTACATGTACCCTTCTTACCCTCCAACGCCCCCATCATCTACATCACCCCTCCATCACCACTCCTTCCCCACCGCCACCGCCACTCCGCATCCCGCCCCATGCAGCTGTGACGAGGGTTATTACGGACACGACTGCGCGCGTCGCAAGGCGGGACTGCCGCTGCTGCCTAGCGCCATCTCGGAAAAGTGAGGAGGAACGGGTGGGGAAAAGGGCTGGGAGGGAGGGAAACAGTACGGTAAGGAAACTGACGATGCAACTAACGAGCTGAGGGAGGGAGGGAGGGAAGTAGGGAGGGAGGGGAAATAGTTCCTACAGTGTCAGTTCCAAACAAGGGGGGAAAGTACCCGGTAGCGCCAAACACGAGAGGGAGGGGGCTGTGTAGGGCTGTTGGTTGGGTTTGGAGGCAAGAAGGGAGGCAAGGCAAGGAAGAGCTCTGAACCCATGCTAAAAACGCACAACCCAGTCTCTCCATTTCCCAACCAACCAACCAACCAACCGCCCTGGCAACCAGGCCATGGCTCCAAGCGGTGTTGGGGGGTGAGCCGCCCGCCGCTCTGGAGCCCCCTCCGCAGCCCACTCGCAAGCGACCGCTCATCTACGTGTACGATTTGGAACCGCTGTACCAGAGCAAAATCCTGCAGTACAGGTATGCGGGTACGACATGTGGCGTTGTACGATTAACTGTACGGCAACATGTAGGTATGCAATCTCAAGATCTAGGGTTCCATGCCTTTGTGCATGTGCCACGCTGGACAGTATACTCGGACTCGTCGTTTTCTTTTCTGGGTTTCTAGCCAAGTTTCCTCAACTCCTTCCTCTCTGTATCCTTCCCTCCCACTCCCTCCCTGCCTCCCCCCTCCCCTCCCTGCCGACCCAAGGGTCACTCCCCGCTGGTGCGTCCACCGCATCCACGGCTCCCCCGGCAACCACACCGAGTGGACGGACGTGTGGGTGTATGCGGTCGACACGCTGCTGCACGAGTCGCTGCTGGTCAGCCCGCACCGCACCTTCGACCCGGAGGAGGTGAGGGGAGGATAAACCCAATGTGAAACCCGGTGTGTTAGTGTGTTTGCACGCACTTGGCTGTTCAACCTCCCCTTCCCGTGAGGGTGTACGTTTCCCCTTTCCTCCTCCTCCTGCTGGCCCCCCTTCTTACGGTTTGGGATGCTCTTTCCCCCCAATCTCCCCACACACACACACCCCCTCAGGCTGACTTCTTCTACGTGCCGCACGCCGCCTCCTGCCTTCCCTTCCCCATCGGCAGCTGGGCGGATGCGCCCTGGTTCCCGGAGCCGGGGGGTGAGGGGGCGGGGGGGAGCGGGGGACAGGGGTGAACCATGGGACAAGGGGCAGGGGTTTCAGGCCTAACAGCAGGGACGTAAGGCGCTTCTTCCTTACCCTACCTCCCGCACCCACAGTCCACAGTCGCTTCACTTCTCATGCACCTTCTGCCCCTACACATCCTTCCCTTCCCCTCCCCTCCCTGCTTCCCGCCCCGCACCAGGTCCCCGCATCAAGCAGATGGTCAACATGCTCCGAGACACGCTGACCTGGATCAACTCCACCTTCCCCTTCTGGCAGCGGCGGGGCGGGCGGGACCACATCTGGCTGTTCACGCACGACGAGGGCGCCTGCTGGGCGCCCACCTCGCTCAACAACTCCATTTGGCTCACGCACTGGGGCCGCATGGGCCTGGAGCACAAGTGAGTGATGGGGCTTTGGGGGTCGTTGGCCATAGATAACCGGGCTTTAGGGTGGGCTGAAGTGGGTCGGTTGAATGGTGAAGGAAGGAGGCTGAAGCACAAGTGGGGTGCGGGTGCGACGGAAGCGTCAGGAGTCCTCTGGACAGACTCCTTCTCTTACTCGTCTTGTCCTTCTTCTCTATTCCCTCAATCCCTCGGACCGCACAACGGCCTACAACCCCCCCAACCACCCGTAACCCCCCCTTTACACCCCCCCGGGGCCCTCTCAGGAGCAACACCGCCTTCTTCAGCGACCGCTACGACAGCGATTTCAAGGGGCCGCAGCAGCCGGAGGGCTTCGTGCGCTACACGCGGGGACACCCCTGCTACAACCCGGACAAGGTAGGCACTGCTGCTGCGGGTGCCTGCTGCTGCTGCAGAGCTTTTTCAACTGAGCAGTGATGGTCACCCCTCCTGTTGTCCAGCACCGACTCTTGACCTCTAGTACATCCGGATAGGATATGCCGTTAACGCCGCATTCCGCCGCATGGTCACTGCCCTCCCACCCTGCCGCCTCACCACCCCGTCACCCCACACACGCCTCCCCCACCCCCCCAGGACCTGGTCATCCCCTCCTTCAAGCGCCCCTCCCACTACTCCGCCAGCCCGCTGTCTGGAGCCAACCCCCGGGAGAGGGACATCCTGTTCTTCTTCAGGTGCGGGGCCCACCCCAGCCCACCCGGGGAGATCCACCGCATCGTTTGGTTCGTTAGTCGACTCCTCTGCACCCCACCCCGGGGATCCTGCTGGGGGGGGGGGGAAGGCGTGCGTGCGTCTGGGGAGTAAGAAAGGAGAAGTTAAGTGCTTTGGAGGCCCTTTGGAGGCCTTCTTCTTTCAGGCGCCAGTCACCCTGCCCCTGTCCCCCCAACAGGGGTGACGTGGGGAAGCACCGCCGGAGCATCTACAGCCGGGGAATTCGACAAAAGGTGGGAGTTACGGAGGAGGAGGAGGGGCAGGGGAACACTCGGGGGCAGCTGCACGGGCTGCTGGGAAGCCGCATGTCATGCCGTCTCGCCGCTTCCGTCTTCCTACTCCGCCTCTCCTATCCATCCCACCGCCCTCCTCTCCTCCCTCCTTCCCTCCCCGCTGTAGACGCCTTATCCCTCAGTCAGTTAGTTGTTTCCTCCTTATCCCCCCCTCTCTCTCCCCCACCAGATCTACACCATGGCACGAGTGGGCGGCTGGGCGGCCAAGCACCGCTTCTTCATCGGCGACGGAGAGAACGTGCCCGGGGACTACAGTGAGCTGCTAGCACGGTCCAAATTCTGTCTAGTGGCGCCAGGTGGGGTGAGGGGGAGCCGGGTAATTAACTAACCGTGTGACGGTGTGATGGCTCCACCGTGGGTTGGAGCCACGTTGCATGGGTTCGGCTGGCGTGTTAGCTGGGGTTAATTCGTGATGCTTGCCGGTATTATGGGGTGAAGGTACCCAACCAGACTTCTCCCCCACCTCCTTTACTCCTGCCCTCCTCGCTCACCTCCTTCCCTCCTGCCCTCCTTCCCTCCCTCCTTCACCTGCCGTACCACACCTTCCCTCACCTGCCGTACCCCACCTTCCCTCACCTGCCGTACCCCACCTTCCCCAGGTGACGGCTGGTCCGCACGCATGGAAGATGCCGTACTGCACGGCTGCATCCCCGTCATCATCATGGATGAGGTGCATGCGGTGTTTGAATCCATACTGCGCACAGGTGGGGGCACCCGGGTGCTGCCAGGAGTGTTGTGTGCGCGGGGAGAAGGCAGGCGGGCAGGCAGGGGCGCCCTGCTCGTGGCTGACCCGTGGGTCGCCAGCTCTCACTGCACATGGCTGTCCTGTCTGCTCAGTAGGACATCGACAACATCTCACCATCTATCTCCTTCCATGCAAGTCGCCGTCGGCGAATCGGAGACAACAAAGGGTGAACAGCCGTCCTTTGCTGTCATCTCCTGCACCGCATGGCCTGCACACCCACCATGGCCTGCTGCCCCCTCTTACCTGCCGTCCCCGCTGCTCCCCTGCTATCCCCCCTGCTGCCCCCTTCCTCCCTGCTGCCCCTACAGAGGACTTTGCCGTGCGGATACGGCAGCAGCAGGTCCCGGAGCTGCTCTACCTGCTGACTGCGCTGCCCGACAAGACGGTGCGCAGCATGCAGGCGAGGCTGGGCCGCGTGTGGCAGCGCTTCAGGTACGCATCCCTGCCCGGCCTGGTTTCGGAGCTAAGGGACGCACAGGAGCAGGGCGAGTACAAGCGGAGGATGGCTGAGGAAGAGGCGGCTGCTGCAGCGGCGGCAGCAGCAGCGGCAGCAGCAGCTGGGAATAGTAGCAGTAGCAGTAGCAGCGACGGTGGGAGCGAGGGCGGCGGGAGCAGCGGGAGCACGAGGAGGAGAGGCCGGAGGGTGGCGGAGGCGGCTGCTGCAGCACAGGTGGTGGAGGTGGGCGAGGGGCGGGATGCACCTCACGGCCTGCCGCGGACATTCGTTGGGGACCCGGCGGAGGATGATGCGTTCGCCACCATCATGCAATGGCTGTACTCGCGGATTCCCTACACCCGGTGAATGGTGAACTCGGGATAGCTCCTTGTCCTGGTCCTTATTTCGGCGAAGCTTGTTTGGGCCGTGCTTGGCAAAGATCACCTAAATAGGATTGACGTGATAAGGGTGCAATGCAATGTCCAGCGTGGTCCAGAAGGATTGCTTGGCGCCTTGCCTTGGACTGCGAGGTGATACTGACGGGATGTGATTGGGAATTGGAGGCCAACGCTGCTTTTGGAATAGTAGTGTGCATGGTGTGTACGGTATGTGTGTTTGCTGCCAAACACGTGCAACTTGATTACTTGAGGCAGGAGATGTGAACCTGTACATGGCGATACTCGGCGTGCGTGCGATTACTTTGAGACATGCTACCGGTACCGGTAGGAGAGATGCATGGAGGGGACTGCGGAGTTCGCTAACTGCTGATGCTGGTTTAGATTGCGAAGGTTAGAAGGGGGACCTCATCCGGTAGCTCAAGGTTGCCACGACAGTTGCTCGTCGGCCCGTGCGACCTATGCGATCTGACAGCTTGGGTTAAATTGTCACCGATTGCTACTATCCAGTGAACTTTACCTTGGTGCGCTGGGATTTGCGCAAATCGGTGGGTGCGGAGGGAGATTCTAAAAGGGAAGGCTACCCGCCCTTCTCTCCGGCATTCTGCCCTGAGGTACTGTACGTTTCCGGCCTGATGTGTAACAGGCGAGCCGTTTGGGGTGATTAGGCACCTCTGGACGACACTGCCTTTAAGGGTGGCATGCTGGCAAACATGCATTGTTGGAAACACAAGCACTGAACCACGGAAACCCTTATTGTTGTATCGCTTTTCCATGCTCAATATCCATGAGTGCCACACTCGGTCTTGACGCTCCTTTAGCTGACATGTTGCGGTGATCGGTGCATGAGCCATGCGAGAAGGTGTTGTCGAATCACGCAAAGAGACGAAGCGCTTGCGTCCAGCATCATAGTTACCATTTGCACGCAAACCTTTTGAACAACACAGTCGCATTGCACATAAAGGGGCGTTCTGAATTGTCATGCAGAATCGTCGTACACGTTGTACAGATCTGCTTCCCAGTATTTGGTAGCGCGCAGACACGAAGTTGTTTGTTCCAGGTTAACTGAGGCTTTGAACACATTCCTGAAAAATGATGCTCTCTCGCTCCGCCGTCAACGTGCAGGTTGGTATCGGTCGCTTGCCGGTCGTCGGCATTTTTGCGCCCTCGGGGCAACGCATGCCAGGTCTAGCTTGGGATACAAACCGTTACCGTTTGCTAATTCTGTGGCTATTACCTCCAGCGCCCTGCTCCTTGCGCTGAGCGTCGTTTTGGCCATGCGCGCCTCACAAACATAAATCGCGCATCGCCGCGCAGGCCAAGCTGACCAAGAAGGGCAGCGCAGGTCCCAAGAAGGCGGCTCCTCCTTCTGGTCAGCGCAAGACCATCCGGTAAGTCGAAAAGTACCCAAGGAGTTCGGTAGATGCGCTTGCCAGCGCATTCACGCACGGCTGCACTCCTATATAAGGCGCATAGGCGTATGGCATATCTGATCTTACCTTATCAGCTCTTATACAACTGCAGCCCCAGCGGTGACTTTTCGATTCCACCTTGTCGACATGCGAATCCGGCAAACCTCTCTCCTCTTACACATACTCGCACCAAAGAACAAACATACCTGTGACCCAACATCCTGCGGTTTCCAACCTCTGCCATTCACCTCCGTTGTTTATGCATTGCAACCTATTCCCTTCTGATCCTAACCTGCACCTTTGCATCACGCCCGCTGCGCTCCTCTCACACTCCTCGCCTGTTTCGTCACTCACCTCCTCACACACTTTCCTCGCTATCTTTCCTCACCCTCTTTCCACAGCGAGCGTGCCGGCTGGTGGGGCAACTCCGAGCGCCTGGCCCAATGGTACGGTCCCGAGCGCAGCCTGTGGCTGGGTCCTCTGTCCGGCTCCACGCCCGCTCACCTGACCGGCGAGTTCCCCGGCGACTACGGCTGGGACTCCGCCGGCCTGTCGGCTGACCCCGAGACCTTCAAGCGCTACCGCGAGCTGGAGCTGATCCACGCCCGCTGGGCCATGCTTGGCGCCCTGGGCTGCGTGACCCCCGAGCTGCTTGCCAAGAACGGCACGCCCATTGCTGAGCCGGTGTGGTTCAAGGCGGGTGCGCAGATCTTCCAGGAGGGCGGTCTGGACTACCTGGGCAACGCCGGGCTGGTGCACGCGCAGTCCATCCTGGCCACCCTGGCATGCCAGGTGGTGCTGATGGGCGCCGTGGAGGGCTACCGTGTGAACGGAGGTAGGCGGGACGGGGAGAGGGGGTGGAGGGGAAACAAGTAACGGGAGGGAGGGAGTGTGCAGGGAGAGGTGTGAGGAGGCTGATGGGGCGCTGCTGGGATGGATGGGCTGGGCGGTGTGTGTGAATTGACAGCGTGTGCACTGTGCGACGCCCTCTTACGCCTCACACAGTATCCGTCTGCTGCAAGTCCCTTGCTGCATCTGCATGCGCCTTCAGGTGCTCACCCGCTCCGGGGCCCTTTCCCTTTAACCCAGTCGCTTGTGGCTTGCCACTACTTACACACTGGCTTGTCAGTACTTCCATTCTGTTTGCATGTCCTTCAGTTGAGCTCACACCCCCGCATCCATTCCCGTTCCCCGCTGTCCCCCAGGCCCCGCCGGCCAGGGTCTGGACAAGCTGCACCCCGGTGGCGCCTGGTTCGACCCCCTGGGCCTGGCTGAGGACCCTGAGACCTTCGCCGAGGTGGGGGCTGGGGGCTGGGTGGCGGGAGGGAGTTGTGAAGAGAGGATTGTGAAGAAGGGGGTTTCCTTACAAGGCAGGCAGGCGGACAATGGGGGAATGAAGAACATCAGATGGGTATTGTGGGTGTCATCATGTGCCGTTGGGGCATGCATGGGGGCCAGCGGGCGAGCTAGAGACCTCCAGGCAAGCCCTTGTTGGGTACCTGGGTGCTCCACAAGGGGACGCAGCCAAAGCGACGAGCTGATGATTACTAATACCCCCCATGCCGCATGTGTTGCCCGCTTCCCTTCCGCACGCGCAGCTCAAGGTCAAGGAGATCAAGAACGGACGCCTGGCCATGTTCTCCATGTTCGGCTTCTTCGTGCAGGCCATCGTGACCGGCAAGGTGGGGGACTGGGGTGGCAGCCGTGTGGGGGTATGCATGGAGCAGTTCCACCGGGTGCATGATCGAGTGCGTGGGGGTGATCAGCATGCGTGGGGTAAAGCGGCTGAAACTACAGGGGAAACGAGTGCGCGGTGCGGCTGGCTCCGGCTTGCTCCCGTTTCTCACCCGCCCCCATGATGGTTCTCAGCTTCTCACCCTGGCTTGTCTCCTCCTCACCCCGCCGCCCACTCTCAGGGCCCCATTGAGAACCTGGAGTCCCACCTGGCCGACCCCGGCGTCAACAACGCCTTCGCGTAAGTCGCCTGGCAGCTGCATGCAATGCTGCTTTCCCTTAGCTGCTTTCTCGCCGGGACTACTGAGACTCCCCGCATGCGCTGACCTGCTCGTGCTCTTTCACGGCGTTTGGCATGCTCGTTTGGCAGGCTACGTAGACCCTATGCTACCGCTCACATGGCCTCTGGCGCTATTTGCCCAATACCTCATCCTAAACCCCGCAACCCCGCCCCACTGCTGCTGTAGGTTCGCCACCAAGTTCACCCCTAGCGCGTAAACCACCATTTACCACCTGAGAAGAATTTTGAGAAGAGTTATTTATGAGTTGTGAGCTGCGTTTATGGGCTTGTAGCAAGGACACAATGGCTTGCCTGGCCGGGGAGGACCTTGGGGCGTACGTTGCTGTTTTGTGCTGCAGTGGAGGGAGAGGGGTGTCCCTGTGTACATATTCCTAATGCGGCTGGCAACGAACGGCGACGAAGGGCACCGCTGGCAAGTGCAACTTGTTGCAGGGCGTGGGCGAGAGTGTGGGTATGAGCTCGGGGCATGTGTTCTTGCCTCGGTTGTAACACATTGCATGCATGGCCGTTGTGTGGAATACTGTACGGCTGCCGTGCACGCCAAACGCCGTCTCGCCTTGCATCATAAGGTTTTGCACTCCGCATCTTCGCAGCCTCAGCCGTTGAACGGGGGATTGGAAAGACATTCCAGAAGTCATGGCAACCTCTCGTGGGCTTCAGCAATAAAGGTCAGTGGATCCTGGTAGATCAGCTCGTGTTCATGGGTACTCGATTTAGCTTAGGTTCACACATTAACATGACAGGACACATGCTGTATACAACTATATACTCGTACTGCAGCTCGTACAGTGCGACGTTTGAGCCTTTCCGTGAGGATTCTGCGTCACACGCACATCTTCGGCTTGACTAGGAGAGCATAGAGGCAATGAATCCAGCATTGCAATGAAGGTTGTTAATGCTGCCATCACCGCGCATGCAACGGGGATGGGATCCTGCGCTCCCCTCGCACTGCGGAACGAGAGAGCACTTCTGTCTGCTGTTCCTTAAAACTGTTGTGCATGGGGAAATGCGCAGTGCCAAACAAGACCCAGAGGGACAGGTTGCCGGGGCGGGAGGGGAAACCACGTATAACTTACACCGAACACCACAGGTTGATCCCCGAGCCACAAGCAAGCGTTCTCAACTGAACCACAGCGTCCTGGGAATCGTCCATGCCTTCCAGATAGCAGCCAGGCGGACCCCCGGCTACGTAAGCCCGCCCCCACCTAACCCGCAACCATGTCAAGTGACAGAAACTTCATAAACCAAACTGTCTACAGTATAGAAGCCATTTGGCGCCCCTATAGAGGCTTTAGTACCGCTCCGCCAGCCGCTCGTTCTGCATCTCGCACTCAGTGTACCTGCGAAGATAGGTTTGAAGAGGATGGTAGTTGGATAATGTGTTGCGTACAGAGTATTGTTTCCAAAAACGCAGCCTATTCCTTGCTCGTCAGGTGGTCTCGCAACGCAGAGCATTATGGCCCGCGGTGGCTTTGCTTAGGACCCTTCAGAAACTTACCCCTTGATGCCGAAGAAGAGGACGGCGAAGGTGCCGATGCCAACACCTTTCTGCGCACCCAAACCGGCGGAAATCAGAGTTGATGCCGGCGACCAAATACTTCAAAGGTTTCGCAGTCAACTTACCTCCTTCCAGAAGCGAAGGAAGGTCTTCGGGGCGTTGCAGAATGACTGCGTCACAATGCTTTGCTGGTAGGGGCTCAGCTGGTAGAGGATTTCACGAATGGGGATGACCTGCCTAGGCGCCATGGCTGCTAAGGAATTTCAGAAATGGTAAACAGGCTACCTCTCCCAAACGACAGGTCAAAGGACGGCAAGCTATGTTACACAGCGCCCATATGTACGGCGTACGGCGCAGTCGGGGATTATATTCCAATTACAGTCACCGAGTTAAACAGTGAATGGCTCTTTGCAGAAGTTATTATGTCACAAGCGGACGCAGTCAACTGCTATACATGCGAAGGTCGCTCAAATCATTGTACTTTCACGGAGCTCTCCCCTTGCATGAAAGGGCTTCTACATATGGCACTGTCAGTTTGGCCATATCTAGCTTCTTGTCAAGGGCGGCCAAATGTCAAGAAGGAAACCTCACTTCGATCGCACTAACCCGCACACGGGGTTTTTTTGTCGCACGCCATTAGCAAGGCTCCCGTCATCTATGAGGACCGCAGAAGCGCTTACTTACTGTGAAAATGCGTCGTTATTGGGGAAACCGGTGCTAGTCGTCCTGTCGTCCACTACCTCAACACACATCTCCGACCCTACCACCTCTTAGTCCTTTGCGGCCATTGTCCTTGAACAGATTTGCGGCAGCCCTGGCCCGTCTGTGGGCCCTTACAACGGTTGAGGCCGCAGCGCTATCAGTAACGTGAGGACTCGCTCCAGTGTCAGACGTCCTGCACTAGCTGCTGTCATCCGCTGGGCAAGTTGCTGCTGCAGCAAATCCACGGGATCGGGTTGCGTGGGATTTGCCTTGAGATAGGAGTGGTAGCCAGACCACGAGCGCAGCTGTCCCACCTGCGCAATTGGCAAGGGTACCTGCTTTTCGGCCAGAGAGAGACATAGAATCGTATGTGTGCAGTGGCGGCGGTTGGGGTCGTGCAGGATTGTAGCAATCTCCGTTTCGCCCTTGCATCACTGCAACAAACCCGCACAGCTCGCCTAGCATTCCGGTACCATGGCCTTCCAGACCTCCTTCCTCACACGTACCAAATGCTGCGGTACGAACACTGCCCCCAAAGCTCCTTCTTACTCCTCCCCTCCGGCCACACAATGGGTATTACTCCCTTTCCCCTCGCACCACACATTGGAATTACAATATCCCCCCAGTCCTCATGGCAGCCTCTCACATACAACCCACGGGAGTATCCTTAACACATAACCTGCAACCCCCTCTTACCAGATCGTCCAAGGAAACAGAGTAGTTCATGGGAACTCGCAGGAAGCGCGTCTCGCCAAAGTGCTCAGGTCCGGGCTCGGCGCCTGTTCACATGGAGCATGCAGGGTATCAGCATGGGGCGCAAGGGAGCGGCGCGGGGTGCATGGCAAGTTGGCAACCAACGGCCCCTCTTTAGCTCCAACTGCATGTCCCTGCCTCACATGTAGCAAACCCCATGATGACGCCTTACCACACGGTCAGTTACCGGAAGTTGCCCCCTCTTTAGCCCCACCTGCATACCCCACGTCCACCAGCTCCCGACCCCGCGCCCAGTACGGCCCCAGCAGCCCCTTGTAAAACTGCTCGTACAGCTGCTCAGATCCAGGGAAGCCGCGCAACTTCCCGAAGTCGTACGTCCATGCAGCCAGTGCGCCTGGCGGGATTGCATGGTGGGAGAGAAAGAGAAGAGGTTGCGGGAGTCGCTTGGGGAAGGTCCACACCTAACGAACTACTACATGAATGACGCCTCTACGCGCCTGCTCTGTCTTCAGGCTTGCGTTACCGGCACCAGCAGAGGTCGGAATCCAGAGTTCAAAAGCACAGGAAAGAGCAAACCGCCCATGCATGGGCCTGGCGTACCTGAGGGTTTCAGGATACGTCGGCACTCCGTGTAGAAATCCTCCAGGCGGAACCTGCATGTACGGCAATACGGCAGATGTGAGTACGGCTAGCAAGGCAGTATACGGTTAGCATCCAGCAAGCCCCGGGAACACCCTGACATGCTTCAAACGTCATGCAGTGGTGCAGGCATCCCAACGGCTCGCCCGGCCAACATCCAGACCCACCAGTGCATCGCCTGGCCCACGGTTACCAGATCCACACTGCCGTACGGCAAACCCGTGGCATGTGCGTCCCCCAGTCGTACTTGGATCCGAGATCGCAGACGTTCCGGAACCTCCGCCAACTGCGCTGGGCTCACATCTAGAGCGATGCATGAGCCGAAGTCCTCGGGCATAGGGCCCAGGGCCTGGCCACTGCCGGTTGCGATGTCCACGACGGTTAGGTCGTTAAAGGGCGGCTTGCGGCCCGGCAGGACGTTGGCGTACAGGCTGTCGTACAGCTCTTGTGGGTAGCGTGGCCGGTACGTGGCGTAATGGCTGGCTTGGTCAGCTTTGGTGAAGAGGGAAGCGGGATCGAGCTGGGACCCGGGTGTGCAGGGCGAAGCGGAGGAGGAGAAGGGACGGGTAGAGAGGGCCGGAGCCCTGGAGAACGGACTGAACGGGGGGAAAATGGTTTGGGGAGATGGAAGCAAGGATGGGACGTGGCAAGATGAGAGGTGCCACGCGCAGTGAATATGTCACTCAGGAGGCCATGCGTTGCGCCTTAGGTCCAGTAACTAGCGAAGACGGTGGCTTACCTGGGAAAGCGGCGTGCCGCTCGATGGAGCCAACACGCATTCCATCGCAACACGCACTCCATCGAGCGGCACCGAGCGGCCCCGACTGCGTTGAACCCTAACTAGTATAGGTTACACCTTCGATGTATACCACGTCGCAATGTGCAGGCAGCTTCTATATACGAGGACTACAAAGTGGATATATATAACGTAATGGAAGACATTGCCTTGCCTGGACCAACTTCCCTCTATGCAACTCCCAAACGCCGTACCGCTTTCATTAGCCAGCAGTGGCCTTCGGCTTACCGTAAGTTCGTGGAAACATGGCATTCCATACACGACAATCCTTCCTAGATCGCGCTCATTGCGGTGTCTTCCAACCCGCTCGACATGCAGTTGTCGTAGGAGCTTCCAGGCCCAGCAAAGGCTTCGGCAAAGTTCCAAAGGATACTAAAGATGAGCGCAAGGACGGACACAGATCCAAGGCGGATGGTATGGGCGACAAGCAGGTGCGGACCTTGCTGCACCGCAATTCCGTCGACAGCCCTGCTTCCGAGACCCATCTCGGCCATGCTTAGGACTATTAAGTGCACTTTGTCCAATTGAACTTGTCATATACTGGTTCGCCTTCAATTTGCAGGTTGTCCGCGAGGCTGCAGCAGCGGCTAATTCGTTGCGGGGTCGGCACCGACCTATCAGCCCGGAAGAGGCAGCAAGGGGAAAATTGGATTATGTGCAGGTCAGTCTCGCCTGCCTATACCTACGTTTAGCCCGCTAGCTTACCACATCATGGTCGTCGGAACACGCTTGCTGCGGTTGGTTCGTGTTGTCTTTCAGGAGGTACCTCCTGAAAGCCCCCGTTAACCTTTCTTGATCCCAGGTTGCTGATTGGGGTGATGGCGATCGATCCAAGCTAGGCGACCTAAAACTTGTACGACATGTACAACAATATGCGGGAAGCGGCGCAGCAGCGACAACCAGCTCGTCCTCCTCAACTTCCTCAGCCAGCAGCGGCATTAGCCATGACAACGGCAACAGCGGCACAAGTGGGGAGCCCGGGACGACGCAAGAGCAACAGCAGCAGCAGCAGCCGGTAGATGAGGCCCCTTTCCATGTGCAGCTAGCGCAGCAGCTGCAGATGGCTGAGGTAGGTGGCGCGTGGTGTCGTGTCGTGTGGTGCCGTGTGGTGTATTAGCAGGGGAAGGAAAGAGGCTGGCGAGATGAAAGCTTGCACGGTAACGCACGTGGTACGGAAAGCGTGGGAAGGACAACGCTGGGAGGATACCGTGCAGGCGTCGTACATCCCAATTAGCTAGAGGGGTTAGCTAGGAGATGACGGACGCGGGCGGGGGGGCTGAGGCTGGTGCATGGTCGCTCACTTCCGGAGGGGCAACCAAGTGGTGGAGAAGGGGTATCGTATCCAGGTCTGAATGCGGGAGGGAAAAAGAGGAAACATCTAACTGGGTGGGGTGGGGATACCCCTTCTCCACCACTTGGTTGCCCCTGCACCTACCTTTACATGCCACATGCCACATGCCGACATGAGTCTCGTCATCACTACCTGTGATCACCTATTACCGGCAATTTGAGATGCGTGTTATTAGTGCCTCCGAATGCGCTCACTGCATGAGTCGGGCTATGGGATTGGGATTCGTTGTTTCACTTTTATATAATTTCCCCCCCCTCCCCCTTCCTGCGCGCCTGCAGGCTCGCGGTGCGCTGACCGTTGCGGGTCCGCCCCCTCCTCCGCTGCCTGAGTGGAGCTGGCGGGAGGGGCGCTACCTGCAGTACCTGGCGGACTGGCGGGAGGTGCATGCAGGTGGGGGGAGGGGGGGAGGGGAGCGGGGAAGGTGTGGCATGTAGTCTGCGATGGGTTATAACTGGGCGGTTGGGAGTTACAAGGCCGTCCTCTGTCCTCCCCCCCCTGCCACCAAACTGACCTACCACCCGCCCTGTGCACCCTCCCTTTCCCAACACCCCTCCCTCCCTCCCCCATCTCCATGCGCAATCCTTAATTCCAGCTTAATGCGGAATCTTCAACCATATTAATCCCCCATCTCCCTCCTCCCACAGCTCTGGAGGCTGCGCTGAGTGATGCCACCGCCGACCTGCCGCCACTCCCCCGCCACCAGCAGCCGCAGCAGCCCTCCACCTCTCCCTCCGCTCCTTCCTCCACTCCTTCCCCCTCCACACCCTCTTCTATGCCTGCGACTGCAGCCCCCCCGGCTGCTGCCTCCCCACCCACCCCCACCTCCCCCCGCCAGTGCGCCCGTCTGGCGCTGCTGCCGCTGTGTCCCGGTGTGTTGGGGCTGGAGCGCAGTACGGCACTGGGGCGGGACGTGGCGGCACTGGCGGGGAGGGGTGCGGCAGGGGGTGCTGCTGCTGGTTCAGCAACAGCAGGCGTAGCAACAGCTGCTGCTGCAGCTGCTTCGACTGCATGGAGAGAACCAGAAGGAGGTGGAGAGCGAGGAGGAGGAGGAGAGGGAGAAGGGCAGCAGCAACAGCAGCAGCAGGGGTGGGAATCGGCAGGGGCAGCGGCGGCGAAGGAGCCGTACGCTGCTGGTGTGGCTGGGTGGGCGGTGTCTTGTACGGCAGCGGCGGGCCCCATGGCTCGGTCGTACGGACAGGTGCTGCGGCGGCTGGGGAGAGTGGCGGCGGGAGGGGAGACCGAGCAGGTGAGAGCGTGTATGCGATGTGCCAAGTGCGGTTGAACAGTTGACAGTTACCCGTTCGTTCCCCGCCTCCCTCCCCGCCCATCTCTCCTGCCCACCCGTCCTGCCTGCCCGTCCTGCCCGCCTTCCTCTCCGCCCACCCCTCCTGCCCGCCTTCCTCTCCGTTCCTTGTTTCCTCCTTAACCCTCACCGCCCACCCGTCCCGCCCCCCCCTGGCCCCCCCCCAGGAGCGGCAGGCGGCAGCTCTGCGGCTGCTGTCACACACTGCCGTTGTCCACATGGTGGGGCAGGCGGCGGGAGTGCGGCTGGGGGCCACGGCGGCGGAGAAGCTGGGGCTGCTGCAGCGGGGGGCGGCGGCGACGTACCACGAGTACCCACCTGGGGTAAGGAAGAGGGCGGGAGGGAGGGAAGGGAGCGTGCGGGAGGGACGGGGGAAGGGATAAGAAGGGTGGAGAGAGAAGCATGGCAGGTCTGTGCTACTTCTGCTTTCGGTAGCACCCTTACGCCGCCTCTCATCGTGCGCATACTCGTCTTTCAACAACCGCTCTCCCCCCCAGGTAACCGACCCACGGGTCACCCTCTACCGCGCGCTCGACGCCGCTGGCTGCCACGTGGCTGACCCGGCGGGTCGGCAGGTTGTGTTTGACGAAGTGCCGGGGGCGATGCGGAAAGTGGGGCTGCTGATGTCGGCACTGGCGCACCGGGATTGATGGGTGAGCAAGACGCGCCAGTCGCGGGTAAAAAGAGGAAACTGACAAGCTGTATGACGAGGCTTCTCCATGGGTTGCTTGGAAAACGGGTGGGGCAGAGGCGGAGTGGGCGCAGGAAGCATGGGGTGCGGATACCGGTGTGTGGGGTGCGGGTAGGAGGGGGCTTGGGCGTTGTGTTGGGGACTTGGGACGCAACAGGGGATAGGGGTGCATGCATGTAGGGTAAAGAGGAAACAACTAACTGACCGTGTGATAAGGCATCACAGTGCATGTGGGGGGTGAAGGCTGTGGGGTTTGGGGAGGCTGCAGTATGGGTAGCAACAGCTGGAGGAAGGCCCTGGGCTGTGTGTAATGGCTTGCGGCTGCCTAAGATGTTGGTAATGGGGGCACATGGGCTGGTAGGAGTGTTTGGGTGTTGTATCTTGTACGGAAACAAACAACACCGAGGCCTACAAGGCAGGGAAGGAAGGCCAGTGGGCGGGCAAGACGGTGGGTGCAGGAGGCGTGCAGGAGCCGCATGCATGGTTTGCTATCGGCAGTAGACTGCTGTGATGGCGGTAATGTAAGTAGTGTAGTGGTAATGTAGTGGCAGTAATGTATGTCATGCTCCGCAGATGCTTTGTCATTACACAGCACTGCTAACCGGCTTTGGGTTTAGCAGCGACCCCTTTCGCCACCAAGTTATATATGCAATCGTGTCTAGCTCCAACCAGTGGGCCGGGACACACCATAGCGGTGTGTCGTGTCAGCTAGGCAGCCAGCCATGCGCAAACCCGCCATGTGCAAACCCGCCATGCGCAAAAGCACACATCGGGAACCTACGTAAGCACAGAAGGCCCCACCAGTGCCCATGCCTACCTGCTCGTAATTGAATTGGTGACATGTCGTACAGGGCAAGCATTGCAAGCCAGGCCCCGAGTACACTCCATAGGCGTTGCAAACGTTCTGCTAACATGTCAAACATAGTTCATCATCATGCGGCGACACCTCATGCAGTGTTATTGCAAGCCGCATTGCGGCCCTAAGAGCTAACTGGTGCACCCTCCGGCACCCGCTCATGCCCCAGCAGACACGTCAGCCTCCGCAGCCCCCGCCCCCGCATGCTCCTGACAATCCCCACCAAGTCCCACCCCCGCAGCTGCGGCCCACACTCCTTGTACGGCATCCGCGGCATCATCCCCGCCACCCCTGCTACCTCCTGTGAACACCCGCCGCCACTCCCAGGCCTTCCGCCGCATCACCAAACAGCTGCAACCCATCCACCTCCGACACGTCCTCTAGTGCCGCCGCCGCCAGTGAGGATAGCTGCTCGTACAGTTGCTCTGCGCCGTCGACGTCAGCAGCCTGCAGCCCTAACCCGAACCATGACTCCTCTCCACTACCGGTGTGATGCACCTGTTGACACCCCGCCGGCAAGCACTTTATCTCCCGCCTGATGACGCCTCCCGGTGCCTCAGCTGGCACTGTGCACCGCAGGCGAAGCATGCAGGCCAGGGCTCTTATTAACCGCTGCTGCTGCTCCTGCCTCACTGCTGCTGCTCCTGCCTCATTGCTGCTCCTGCCTCACTGCTGCTGCTGCTGCTGCGTCTGCGGATACTTGGCCCGCAGCTCCTCCAGTAGTGTCAGCAACGCCTCCTTCTCCTCCTCGTCCAAATATTCGTCGCCAGACTCGACCTCACGCGCCGCCGCCTCCCAGTCCACCGGGCAGCCCAGCTCCAGAAACAAAGGCAGCACCACCTCGGGTTTCCGGGCGCGGGTGATGGACTTGCTGAAGGTCTCGGCCGACCCCCAGGGGCAGCCCAGCCGCGCCAGGCAGCGCAGTGTGGACAGGTCGCCTCTGCTGGCCGCGGACACGTAGTCGAAGCCATAATCCTACAGATTCCAGGAGGGAGGGAGGGAGGGAGGGAGGGAAAAATATAGATAAACGCATCAACGGAGGGAGGGAGTGAGAGAGGGAGAGAGGGAGGGAGGGAGGGAGGGAGGCATATAATGGGTCAGCTATGTTGCATGCACGAGGCGGGGAACACAGGCAACATGTCGGATTGAGAGTTCCAGTAGTGGGGGACTCCTGGTGAGCTGCTAGAAACACGAAACACGAACAAGAGCGGTTTGTTTGTCAACTTGACCATTAGTCCATTCCACCAGTCAAACCAATCAGCCTGGCCACTGCAGCATCCCCCCCATGTTTCCCCGCACACTCACCCTCCAGGGGCAGCCCTGCTCCACCAGCCACTCCAGCGCCTCCTCGCAGCCCGCCTCCGCAGCCATGCTCAAGGTGTTCCCATCCCAGGGGCAGCCCCGCTCCCGCAGCCACCGCAGCAGCTCCAGGTTGCCCCACTCGGCTGCTGCGCTCAAGGTCTCCCCATCCCAGGGGCAGCCCCGCTCCCACAGCCACCGCAGCAGCTCCAGGTTGCCCGACTCGGCTGCCCCGCTGAACACCGATGCCGTTAAGTCCGCCCCCACCTCCTCAACCAGCCAGATCACGTCGTCAAGCTTCCCGTCCATCGCAGCACGGACCAGCAGCTTCGGCTTGTCAAGAAGCAGACTGCGGGTGTCACCTCTCACCCTTGCCCAGTCCCGCCAGCCCACTGGGTAGCCCCGCTGCTCCAGCCAAGCCAGGCGGCTGAGCCCGTCGGACCAACCGGAGGCGGACTCGGATGCCTTGGCGCTCTTGGGGCAGCCCTGTTCCTCCAGCCACTGCACCTTGGCCTGCCAGTCGGGGGTGGGGCTGTCGGCTGCGGATTCCAGGATGTCGGTCTTCTTCGCATCACTCTGCTCCTCACCGCTCCACTCCTCGTGCAGCCGCTGCAGCGCCGCCAGGTCGCAACAACGTGCGGCTGCCCCCCGCAGCCATGAGCTGTTCGTGAGCTCTGGATGCTGCTGAAGCAGCAACTCCGCCAACTCGATGTTGCCAGCGCGGATTGCAACGTCCACCGTGATCCAGCTGCAGTCGGCGCCATGTGCCAGCAGCCACTCGCAGCCCGCCCTCTGCCCCTTCCTTGCCCCCTTCCTTGCAATCAGGATCAAGGCACTTCCCATACAGCAGCCGTGCTCCACCAGCCACTCGCACGCCTCCAGGTGAGCGGCTGCAGCGGCAGCCGCAAGGACGTCATCAGTTAGGATGCAGCCCGCGTGGGTTACTGCACACTGAAGGTTGGCGAGGCTGCCTGTGGCGGCTGTTAGGCACAGGAGCGTTTGACGATGCTCGAGTGTCAGCCCGCGCATGGCTCCCGGGCGGCCCCAGTGCTGCGCGAAAGCGTGCGGTGGCGAAGGCTGCGAAAGCCGCACAGTGGTGCACTGCTGGAGGTCCCCAGCCATAGCCTTGCTAACAAGGCGTCCAGTGAGTGCAATCTCGTTGGCCGGGAGAAAGCCGAGGGAGCGGGCCAATACATCGGGCGTCAAGTAAGGCGGCACGTGCTCCTCGAAGCCGACTGGATCCAGCGGGCTGAACTCGCTGCCGGTTGATGCAGCTGCTGCCTTGATGACGCCAGGCCCCACTTCTCCATAGCCGTCATCTTCAGGGGTGGTTGGAATCCCTGAGGGGCATACCAAGTAGCCCAGCATTAAGCCGCTAAGTTGGACAGCGATTCAGGGTGGATCATGCGTATCCCGAATCAGAGGTTCCTAGCGGAAGTCCAGCAAGTACAAAAGGCTAGACTTAACCAGCACAAAAGTAATGATTTACTGTACGTATTTTACTGCTACTCAGTGAGAGGCGCACACGAAACAGAACAACAGCTGAAGAATAAATTACGTTAAGGGACCCATGGGCCCAGCCAACGTGGATGCCCGACTCGCCCAGGCACTTACTCGACATCCTCAGTGTGGATTGGGGTCAAAAGAGAATCCACCTGAAGTCCTGTGTCCTAGTCTGCTGCAAATGCGCGTTAAATGGCGGTCTGCGGGGAAAGACACAAAGGATCTAGTGAAAGCGCCGCATCCGAAAATCCGAATGCATCCGAGAATCCGAAAAGAAGTCCAACAATCTGACAAATGACAGTAGATGACCGTAAGAGTATGTCAGAGCAGCTGCGTGGCCTGCAAATGCAAACATCAAGAGGAGAGATAGATCCCCGGATGGAAGCAATGTCCCGCTAGGCCCGCGCTTTCCTATCGACACCTGAGATATGCAGTGGTCGATGAGCGTACAAGAGCTTAAAGATGATTAGGGCTGGATGTTTGCAGGTTGCTGTGGTGGCGGGTGGTTACGCATGCATAAAAATAAGTTAACGAGTTAGCTCACGAGCTGCGGAGTAAGCAGCCTAAAAGTTCCCTATTACCCTATATCTATTAATCTAGTGTTAAGCTACTGATGGTAAAGTCACCGAGTTTGTAGATGACTTTTACGGGTGACTTTCCCGGCGACTTTCCCGCAAAAGTCACGCACCCGATCCCGCGGTCATGAGGGGTCTTGGTTCCAGCCTTACGCTACCCGCTATATACATAACTGCGTAGAGGAACACAGAGTAACCATCTACAAGCTATTCACTATTGGCTTTCAATATGTTCTCGCGCAAGCATGTGCAATAACTGCTTCCAAGGTCTATCTTGCTTAGACGACCAACAACAGCTTCAAAAGTTTATCGACGGGTTCACAAGGAAGCAGCGTGTAAGAACGCAAATTGTGCGAGTACCTGCTAAGCCAATTCAGCCTCAGGCACAGGCAACAGAGTCGCTATCGGGTAACACATCTCCAGGAGACGACACAAAGCAGATTGCATAGTTTCACTTTTTAGCTAAGCTCACGGTTAGCGCAACATTTCGGCCCATCAGCGTAACTACAGCGGCAAAAATGTTTGCGTCAACGGCAGTCAACCTCATCTCTCGCTTTGCTGGCTGTGGCCTAGCAGCCACGGCCAGGGCTTCTACGGGCGGCGCAAGCCGCCTTCTTGGCGTGCTGCGCTCCGGAACCGCTGGCTCTATTTCTTCCAATGCCTCTGTCAACCTCGCTAGCAGCACTTCCAGCCTCGGCTTCAACCCCTCCTCGATCGCGCACTACAGCACCCCCTCCTCTTCGTCATCAAACAACAACAACGAAGCCGACTCCTCTCGCAAACCCGATCCATCCAGCAGCAAAGTCGACTCCGTGGAAGGCGCCGAAGGCGCCACACCCTCCGACGCTTCCCCTGTAGCCCCCTCCGGTCCTGCCAGTCGTCGCGACACGGGCGCTGCTGCCGAGACCATCTACCCGAGCAGCCAAGATGACAACTTGGGCGTGCAGCGCAACTGGTTCAATGCGCTATTTTCGCAGCTGAATGTCGTACACCGCACGGGTATGGTTCCACACATGAAGGGCCGACAGAAGGAGGTGTTTGTGGCGGTGGAGCGGGAGTTCGAGACGCTGTGGGAGCGACATGTGCGGGACAAAGGGCTCAAGGTACGGCACACTGGATCCACCGGATCCACGAAAAACAGCAGCTGTCCCGTCCAGCAACTCCCGAAGACCCTTTTCACGTCCCGTCTAGCTTAACCCCATCCTAACCCCAATCCTGGCCCCAATCCTCGTCTTTCCTGCCTTCCTTCCCTCCCCATTCCTCCTCCTCCTCCTCCTCCCTCGCGCTGCAGGGCACCGCCCACCGCGGCATGCTGCTGTGCTGCCTGGCCATTGCCACCCACCGGGTGCTGCGCTACGAGACGGGGGACGACGAGCTGGTCAAGGAGGTGAGGGGGGAAGAAGAATGCGGTATCCAATGTGTGAGGGGGGGATCATATAAATAGTGCAGGGGCAGGGATCAGCGTGTTGGCGAGTTGTTGTCTCGTATGCCTTGTTCTTTCCGTCTACCCCTAAGCAACCTTCATTCTACATCCACCTCTCCTTCACTCTACATCCACCTCTCCTCCCCTGACCTCTTCTCCTGTCCTGCCCTCTCCGACTCCCCGCCCCTGCCCGCTCCACCTCTCCTCTCCTGCCCGCTCCTGCCCTCTGCCCTCAGATCGTGCGCACCAACCTGGGCGGTATGGCGGTGGGGGTGATGATGCGGCTGCACAAGGCGCGGCTGTGGCTGCTGCTCAAGCTACTGGCGGAGGACCCCTACAAGCAGGTAGTGGTGGCGGTTGGCGGTTGGGAGGAGGCGGAGGAGGGCCGGGAATGAGGGGCTTGCGGTGTGCAGGGTGGCTGGAGTCCATGTGGGTCAAGGGGAAATGAACTGCTGTGGCAGGCTATGGGCAGAGGAAACTAACATTGCCGTGGCGCGGTGCTGCACCTCATCCCTCTTCCCGCACTTACCCGCCGAATGTGGCATGTGCGTCCCCCAGTCGTACTTGGATTCAAGATCGCACCTCATCCCCATTCCCACGCTTACCCGCTCCTCCCCTGCTCTCCATGCGCGCTCCTCTCCTGCTCCTCCCGCAGGCCGTCCGCTTCCTGCCCACGCTGCAAGGCGACCTGGGTGAGCTGGTGGTGAGCCACGTGGAGGGAGACCTGGCGGGGCAGCAACCCCCCCAGCAGCACCAGCACGCACCGGCAGCAACCCCGGCCGCTGCCGCTGCCGCTGCTGCCAGCAGCCCCCCGGCCGCCAGCGGCGAGGCGGTGTGGCGCGCCTCCTCCTGCGGCTTCCATTCGGTGCTGGCGGCGGAGGAGGCCACGGAGCTGCTGCCGGAGTTTTGCTGCCAGTACGGCATGCAGTGGTTGGAGGTACGGCAGGGGGGCAAAGGGGGGGGTAAGAATAAGGAAAACTGACTGAAGGGGGGAGGGAAGGAGAGGAGAGGAGGTAGGGGGAAGGGGTGCGCTGCGGACTGGAGGGACGTTGCGGCGTTTATGTTTGGGTTTTGTGGGTTTCCTGCTGTGGGAACCAGCCCTTGTACCCTTTCTCCTACTGCACGTTGATGTAATATGTGTGACTGATGGGACTGATGAGAGATAGTGACTGACGCGTTGCACCCTCTGCTCCCCCTCCCTTCTCCAACTCTGCAACGCCCCATGGGCGTCTCTTCACCCGCCGCGCCTTCCGTTTGGCAGGAGTTTGCCCCGTACGGCGTCCGTGTGGGGCTGGAGCAGAGCATGGCTTACGGTGACGAGTGCTGCCTGGTGCGCATCAGCCGTCCGTGGACCATGCAGCCGCCGCCGACATCCGCTTCCGCACCTGCCTCGCCACCTGTTGCCCAGGCGCCGCCTGCTGCTGCTGCTCCGCCTGTGACGTCGCAGCCGCAGGACGGCCAACAGCAGCAGTAGCTGCGGCGGTAATGAGAGGGAACGGAGGTGGTCCCGTGACGTGCGTGATGGAGGCGGGCTATTGCTAGAATGGAGGGAGGAAGGAACAGCATGGGGTTTTTAACAGCTGTTTTTGTGGTGGTGGTGGTGGTGGTGGCTAGGACACCGCTCGGTGTGAGGTCTCGGGTTTCCCGGGGGTGGGAGACTTGCGGTGGCGGGTCCGGGGCGGCTAAAATATGAATGCTGGAGGCTGTCGGAAGGAGTGTAAAGCGTGCGACGAGAGGCGGGGATATCTGATATCACAGTCTTGAGAGCGGCGCCTGGGGATACGCTGTGGGAAGCGATGATGGGGCAGCGCCTTGGGCTTTCTGTACCTGTAGCTTCAGGAAACGCTTGTGACACAGGTGGGGAGGAACACCGAGCATAGGTACACGCCTTTCGCCTTTTGGTCATCACACTCCATCCCTGAACCCTGGAGCTTCAGTATCTAGCCTTGATGGCAAACCCAATATTCCGTCAGAAATGCTCGAAACCCGACCTATGGATGCGCTAAAAAGGCGGTGGACGTTCGATGGGCATCGCATGCACTGTCGTGCGTGCATGGGCCTGTCAACGGTCATTTGACCGCGGAAAAGCAAAATGCCCGGCCATCTACTTTATGACACGCCATAACCTGACGTTTGTAAAATAGTAAGTTTAATAGACGCCTCCTTGCGGAAGCAGGCCTGCAAATGGCACTCTTCCTTCCACGTGCCCTGTTGACAGGGATAGCACCACAAGTAAATGAGTCAATTTCTTTGTTAGCCCCTGCACTCTTCCAGCGGCAGCGCGTATCGGGGATGGCAAGCCGTGCTGCCGCTGATTTCTCGGGCGAGGCATCGAGTCCAGGCGGCGAGCAGGATCGGCAGCCAAGCACAAGCGGGCGTGGTACAGCTACATCTTCTACACCTGATTGGGACTGGAAATGGGTGCTCGGAAAGGCGCCAGGGCGTAAGCCGGCCATCAAGCGCCCCAGCAGGCACCAGTGGTATTACTGCAATCCAAACTATGACCCGAACGAGCCTCTTCCGTCGGTTCTACGCTCACCTTACGCGCCTCCTACCGCGGGGAACGACTGGGCGACGTATGAGCGGCATCTCAGGTTGCAACCAGCCAACAGGCAGGATGTGAACCGCTATCGGCGCAACTTTGTCCGCTTTCTCAAGCTTCGGGAGTTGGACTGGCGGGAGGCCTTCCAGCGCGGTGTTGCCGAGGATCAGCGTGTGTCACGGAAGCGCGAGCGGCTAGAGGCTGAGGCCAAGCGGCAAGAGGCATGGCAGGCCTATAAGGAGACAATTTTCGAGCGGGCTCGGCTAGAAGCCGAGGCAGAGCGTTCGGCTGCGCCATCGGGTGGGTGGATGGAACTTCAACCATGGGGTTGAAGTGCGTTAGCACTAAGGGAGGTCCGCCGTTCGCGGCTGAAGAAAACAGGCTCACCATGCAAGTAGCGGGCACGCATGCATCCGTTGAACTCTGCGCGTCCCCTTTCCAAACCTTCCCGTCTGCCCCTTCGCCCCTCTTTCTCCCCATTCATCCCGTTAGGTGCGCCCTCAAGCCTCAGCGGCGGTAGCAGCAGCTGAGCCAAGCACCCTGCTTGGTGACATACAGTGGAGCTGGTAGCGGCTGATGCGAGCAGGCGCCATGGCGTGTTGCGTAGAGGGGGGCTCATTAGGGTAGAACTGCAAGGCCCTAAATGCACATGCATGGGCGGCTCGTACGTCATCTGTAGGTAGCAGCGGCATTGCTATGTAGCAGCGAGCTGGAGTCTAGCTGGACTGCTGCTGCTGTCCAGTGGGTGCTGCTTAAGAGGGGCTGCTGATGTGGGTTTCGGGAGGTTCGGGACCCGCTGACACCGTCGTACAGGTTACGAGCTGTACGCGTGTGGCATATGGAGGTTGCAAGAAGGCTGGGTTTGCATGCGGACACATGCGGGGGTATAGCTGGGATGGCATGTTAGTAGCGCACGGTAGTGGTGGTTGATGGCTGCATGGGGGAGTGGTAAAGGGCCTGCAAGTACGTTTGTTTGGGAACAGCTTGCGGTTGCGGGCGCACGACTTCATGTGCGTGGAGAAAGACGGATACCGGTACCTGACTAGTGGCTTCCCAGCCCGCTTGCAGCTTGGCTTTGTCTGAGTGTTTGTACTTGTACTTGGCGAATGTAGGCAATGGGACGCCGTGTTATTGGATTACATGCTCCGACATGGGCGCGTAACTGGCGCCGGTGATACTTGGACCGCACGCACGCAAGGGACTCGTGAGAGTGAACTGCTTCGGCGATATTACGCCAGAGCTTGGTCCGATTTAAGAACCATTGTTCGATGTAGCACTCGAAAGACCCTCGGACATCACACATTTTGACCGTCCTTTTCCTGCCAGGCACTAACGGGGTATTCTCTGCTCAGCTTCCTGTTCCTACTTCCTGGGACGGCTCGTGCCCGCAAGACCATCAACTTTCTGGCTAGCTACTCGCAGCAGCGACCTGCCTACCGTACCTCTACACGCGTACTCCGTTTTCACAGGCACCCGGGCACACAAACAACAATCAGGGCACACCACTCAAGACATTGCGTATTGAGACAGACAGTAAGTAGTAACAGCGACCAACATGCTGTGTTCTACTTCTTTTCACTCAGGATTTCACATCACACTCTTTTTTCGTACACCGTACATCATCGCTAGACCGCGGTGCAATGTACGGCCAATCGTACGTTCCGTACATTTTACCCACAGCCGTTATTCCAGCTGCCTACTACTCTAGCCTGCTTTCCCAGCATCACGACATCGGCATTAAACGGGCATGAAACATACCTCCCACATCCTAGCGTACATCTCTATGTTAATCAACGGTACCGGTATGATGCGCCTCCGCCGGCACAAGTTTTCCACAACAGAACTATTACCAAACCGCAAACGCAGCTGCTGCATGTCACCGCCGTTGCTCGCTAACGGAAGGCCTGCGTCGAGGCCACTTGGCCTCGGGTACACCACACCCTGCTCCGCTGCTGCTGCTGCAACTGATGCTGGTGCTCCCGGCGCCTCCGTTGCTGCCTCGGCTAAACTCCCGAACTGCTCCGGCGCCCCACCGCGGCGTGAAGCAGAAGGGAGAGGGTGCGAAGCTGAAACCCGAGGGGCCGGGGAGCTGCAGAGGCGGCGGGGGAGTTAGCTGCCGCATGGATGCGCCTGAAGAGGTGGTGGTGGCGGTGGAGGTGCTAAAGGGGGCATGCAGGGAGCCGGCATCGCTGCCGCTGCGCCTGCATGGGAAGGGAGCGACCGGGAAAGGAGTGGGAAGGGAAGGTTGTCAGGTGGTGGTGACGTTGGGGTAATTATACACAATAGTCTGTACATGGGGTGTGGGACCAGACATGTGTTCTCCCTTGTAAACCCGCAACCCACCGCCTCTTTCTCTCCTGCTTCCCTTACCCCCACCCCTATGCGTTATCCCTTGGGTCTCCTCCTCCTGCACGTTCTCTTACCCCTGCCTCGGGGTCTGCGCGCCTGCCATCCAGGCCGACAGCGACACAACGGAGGAGTTGTCGTCATCATCGAGGCCCAGCAGGCACTGCGAGGAAGCTGGCAGCAGCTGCGCCGCGGCGGTGTGCGCCTGAAGGTTGCCCTCCGTAAGGCCCGTGTGCAGCGGCCAGGGCTGGGGGGAGGGAGCCGTGGAGGGAGGATGTGGCTCCTGGTCTTGGTGGTGGGGCTGTGGATGAGGTGGACGCGTGAGGCCTTGGTGCTGTTGGTCGTCGTGATGGTTAGGAGGCAGCTGCTGGTCGGGTTGAGCGCAGCAATGTGTGTTGTTGCAAGCGTCATCGCTGCCGTTTTCAGCGGAGCAAGCTAGCTGCAGCGAAGCAGGGTCGGCTCCTAGCGTCGCGCATAATGCACCGGCGAGAAGTTCCAGCAAGCCATCAACGTGCCATATGCCACCATTTTCCCCTAACATTACAACCGCTGGTATGGGCTCCGTCGTTTCTAAGGATTCGTGCGCGTCCTGCGAGCAATTGGGTCATCGCATGGTGCTCGAAGTCACTTTTTACCCCAGGGTAGCTGATCACAGCTTAAAAGGAGGCATGATATTTGCAAAATAAATGTGTACTATTCTACAATGCTTACCATTGATGCCTCCTCACGACAGCGCTTGGGAGTCCGCAGCCCATTCGGCGACCCCTCTGAGCACCGCTTCTTCGGAGAAATCATCTCAGGTACACTGCAAATCCCAACAACCATTTCTGGGGCTGCTTAGAGCGAGGGACGAAAACTAGCTAGTTAGATAGGTTGCAAGCTGCAAAGGATTGCCGATTTTTTTGATGTCCCTGCTATGTCAGCCCAATATGCCAGGGCCGGGCAGTGCTCTAATGCCTTCGTGCTACCTGAGTCGATGCAAGGAGGCAACTTATTCTAAGGCGTACGAAGCTCCGAGACCTCGCGATCAACTGGCGCGTGGTTCAGCAAAGATACGCACCAATGCCGGTAACGATGTGTCAACTTAAGCATACGCTTAATAATTACCTGAAGTGTAGCTACCCCTCGAAAGAGGACGTAGCACGAGCGTGTGCCGTAATTTGCATATCAGCACGCGCAAGCATTTTAGGTTTACTAATAATATCTGTTCATGCAACATTACGTTTGTTACCTTGCGAGGATCGAGAAAGCTTACAAGTGCCACCAAGCCAAGGAACCATGGAGCACGGACATGCCTTGGAAAGCTTCCAGTGCCGACACAGGCATCTCTAAACATTGTATAAAGAGCCTGCGTTTGTGGGATAACGTGTTTAAACAGATACGACAACGTTTGGTACATAGGCCATCGCATGAAGATTAACACATGCTAACCGTGCGTTGCTTGGGCAAGCTGGTAGTCATCAAGCCTACTCATCTTCAGCCTTCTCTAAGAGTCTATTTATCTAACCTGCAACAATACCACTTAACCCTTGCCCACTTTGCCTGCTCATGCCCACGCTAATGTCAACCTCCTGCCGCGTCCCCTCTCTCACCTACGACTAGGATGCAGCAAGCGCGCCTTACGCGTTCTCCTACAACTTACGCTTAACTCTACAGGCCGTTATTCTCACGATGGGAAATATCTTGCTTGGCGAATTGGGGCACGCATCTTCCACCATCCCTTCCCGCAAAGCCTTGACCAGGGTTCCGCCACCAAAAGAAATGAGACATGGCAATATGCACCCTCTCACTCTCTTTCTCTGTTTGTCTCTGCCCACAACATCCTTTTCATCGGTGCTCCCAACTGAAGTAAAGACACGCTGCTGCTGTCAATGCACCTTTGCATTGTAACCCCCCTACGGAGGGCACAGAACCATTTTACCCTTGCCAACCCGTACCAACATACAATAATGCTAGCATTCATACTGCTACATCAAGAGCTCCTATTAAAGGTCCTCCCACCCTCCTCCTTCCTCATGAGGAGTAGGCCCCAAAATGAGATAACATCAACAGCAACAACGACTATGTAGGGAGCTTTAAGGACCGCGGACAACAACCGCAAGAAGCCGCGAACGCTAGGCCGCAACGGTGCAACCCAACCTGCCTATCGGTGGTCCCTCCGGAAGTCCAGTCCTGCCCTAAATGTCCCTGAACCACCAACACCAACAACAACTACATGCATTCAACCGACAATGCAGCAAAACCATAGGAAAGAACTTTTTCCCGTCGGGCCTCCCCTGCTTCTGCCCACATGCTCTTCCCCCACGGCCAGCATCATATCCACATCCCTATCACCATCACCCCTCTCACACAAACCCCTCTCATCACACCTCTCTCATCTCACACACCCCATGGCACAACCACCCAACCGCTGCTTCCTAACCTCCCAACGGCGCCAATCCCAGTCGCTTCCGCAATTCCGCATTCTCCCGCAGTGCCGCCGCCAGCGCAGCCGCCTCCGCCTCACCCACCGCCTCCGTCACTGCCCCTGGTGCTGCTGTCGTCGCTGCGTGCTGCGGATGGTGCTGCTGGTGGGGGTGGGTTGTTTTCAGCGTGGTTGCCGTTGCCGTTGCTGTTGGTGCTGCTGTTGGTGCTGCTGCTGCGGGTGCCGGTCCAGATGTTGTCGGAACGGAGGAGGCGGCTGTGGAGGCGGAGAGGACGGTGCGCCAGCTAGCGCGAATGGAGGAGGAGGCGGGTGAGGAGGAGGAGCGGGAGGAAGCGGAAGACGAAGAGGATGGGAAGGAGGCTGAGGCTGAGGAGGAGGCGGGTGTGGATGAGGGTGCGGAGGAAGGGGCGGATGCGTGAGCCGTGTGGGCAGACCGCTGTGAGGCTGAGGCTTGGGAGGCTTGGTGGAGGGTGGAGGCGGGCGAGGAGAAAGAGGGCTGCCGAGTCGATGCGTGTTGTTGTTGTTGTTGGTGGTGGTGGTGGAGCGACGGGGTGAGATTACCGGCGGAGGAGGCGGTGTTGCTGCCGCTGCTGCTGCTGCTGCCGCGCGACGGGGTGGCATGGTGGGCGGCAGTGGTGCCGCCAGCGGTGGCAGCGGGGACAGCGGCGGCGGTGGCGGAGGCGGCAGCTGGCCTAGAGTGCGAGGAGGAAGAGTAGGTGGCGGCGGAGGAGGGGCGAGAGGAGGGGAAGGAGGAGGAAGGGGCTCCTGCTGCTGCTGCCGGGCTAGCCGGCGTTGTGCCGACCCGCGAGGAGAGCCTGCGTGTCGAGGGGAGGAGCAAGAGACAGGAGCAAACAGGTTCATGAGTTTTGTGGCCCTTAAGGCCGCAACCGACACACGATAACGGTTATGTACGACGGTACGACAACTTTGCCGTACACATTGCCATTCTTCTTAACAAACGACGCTAACAGCAGCTAGCCGTACACACATGACGCAATCTTCTTTCGGCAATCACAGTACGTTTCGCCTCGCGGCCAGATATTTTAACACACGACGCTAGCAGCAGCTAGCCAGCGAACCCAGGGACCTACCGTATCATGTCCGTGCCCGCCGTACCGCCCTCAGGCTCCGAAACCAGAACGATGCAGCTCCAGGGCAGTACGGAAACCGCATTCTCAGCGGTCCAGTGCGACAGGGAGCGCCGTACAGCCGCCACGTCATCCGCGGAGAGGGCGGCGTCGGGGACCAGGAAGTCGTAGGGGGCGACCTGGGGGGGGCGGGGTTGTTGTTGTGGTGGGTTTGATGGGGTCATAGAGGGACCCAACCGCAGCGCACGGCTCCCTGCATGCATCGTGCACCCCACTCCACGCATCTAGAGCTTGGTACAGTTTGTTTAGTTGTTTCCACTTTACCCCCGCATCTAAACGCACGCCTCACAGCCCAGCTAAACAACCTGCTAGCTGCAGCACTGCAGCAGGCTAGTAGCAGCGGAACATGCACGGTGCAAGCGACAAGCACAAACACACACGCAGCCCTCCCCCCCCACACAACCAATACCACCATCCAGCCCCCCACCACACCCTCCATGCCTCCCTCCGCTGTCCCACCCAGAGACCCACACGCGTTCCGACTCGCAGCCAGTTTCCATGAAACACACGCACACACCTTGCCGACATCCCAGTACGTTCCTACTCGCGGCCAGTTTTCTTAACACACCTTGCCGGTGTCTATCAGCGGCTGCCACACGCGGCCCGGCCATGCGGGCATCCTGAGCAGTCGGGGCGTGTGTGAGGTGTTGAAGGCGACGTACAGCCCCCCGCCCGCGCCGTCGCTCAGCGTGAAGGCCACCAGGCGGCTGGAGTCGCTCCAATCGGGCTGGTTGGGCAGCTGGGGGCGTGAAGAGGTAAAGAGGTGAAGAGGGCCGGGGGTGAAGAGCAAGGAAGAGGAAAAGAAAACGCTTGAAAGGTTTAGAGGGATCTCGAAGGAAAGGGTAAACCGTTCAAGCAAGAGAGGGAGCTCTATCCACCAACTGTACCTCTCTCTGTGTCCCGTTCCACCTGCCTCCCGCCCTCCCTCCCCCCATTGCCCCCCACCCCCCGCTCCCCACCTCCCCGTGCCACTGGATGTCCCGATCCGTCATGAAGCTGCTCCGCTGCAGCACACCGCTGGAGCGGCGGAAGTTGACCAGCAGCCGCATGAAGCGAGTGAAGCCGTGTGGGTCGGAGGCCAGCTGGTCCCACCTGGGGGGTTGGGAATGGGGGGAGGAGGGAGGGGAACCGGCGGGTTCAGTGACGGGGGTCAGGGGTTGCGGTAGGTAGGAGTACATGCTGTCCTTTGCTGACGCAGCCGTCCATCCATGGGGGACATGGCCGTGCTGCAAACGGGCGACATGCCTGCGGAAACCCTGCCTGTTCCAATACCATGACTATGCTCCCGCCTCCCTGCTTGTCTCCCTCTCCCTCCCTGCCTGCCCCTCCCCCCTCACCCACCGCATGTAGTTGAGCTCGGAGTCATGGCAGTAGGTGTTGTTGTTGCCGCCCTTGCTGTGCCCGTACTCGTCGCCCATGCACAGCATCGGCACCCCGCACGACAGCAGCAGCGCAGCAGCAAGGTTGCGCATCTGACGCTGGCGCAGCCGCTGTTGGTGGCGTGGGTGTGTGCGTGCGTACGTGTGCGTACGTGTGTATTGTGGGGGGCGGGGAAAGGTGGGGCGGGGAGGAAAGGGGGCAACAGGCGGGGTTTAAGGCATGGAGGGAAAGGAGACAGCTCCAGCGGAAACGCGACGTACGTGCCGCCTCATAACACCGGTAGCTTAATCCAATGGGTGACGATAAACATGATGAGTGTGTTTAATGCGTGAGAGATGACGGCAAAAGAGAACACGACGTTCTTACGTTGACATCAGGCCGACCCGTGGGTCCCTCCTCGCCGCAGTTCCAGGAGTTGTTGTGCGCCTCGCCGTCTCGGTTGTCCTCTCCGTTGGCCTCGTTGTGCTTCACGTTGTACGACACCTGTGTAAGCATGGGGCGAGTGGGGAGCAAGTCTGCATGAAAGTACGAGCGCGCCGTCGCCGCGCAACACTGAGACCTCCAGGGAACCCAACAACCCCTAGCAGTAACCCCCTGTTCAAGGAACCGCAACACCGCAAGCGTGTACCCAACAACAAACAACAACAACAACAACAACCCGCCCCCCCTGCCTCACCAGGTCAGCCAGCGTGAAGCCGTCATGCGCGGTGATGAAGTTGACGGAGGCGGTGGGGCCGCGGTTGCCTCGCCACTGCCGCCCGCCGTTGTTACCCCACCTGGGGGAGGGGCGGAAGAGGGGGAGGAGGAGGAGGGGGAGAGAAGAGAAGAAGGGATCAGAAAAGACGAAACCATAGGAGGGGTTGGGAGGGAAGGAAGCTGGAGCAGACGGAGCTAGGGACAGAAACGGAGGAACACAGGACCAGGTCGCCCCTCACCCATTAGGACTGCTGGTTTCCCTCCGACCTCCAACCACCACCCACCTACCCGCCCAACCCCGCCCCAATCCCCCTCCCTCACCAGTCGCTCTCATGCGGGGTGGCGTTGCCGTACATGTGGGGTGAGCCGCACAGCGCCGATGCGAACTCGCCCGCCCAGGGCCCCTCGCTGCCCTTTACGAAGTTGCGAACCACGTCCCGGAACTTGCCGTTCCACTCCGACCAGCGGCCGCCGTAGTGCGGGAAGGAGCCCACCTGGGGGGGGGGGGAACAGGGGGGCAGCAGGGGTGGTGCGGGTAAGAGGGTGGTCGTGAAGAAAACACAGTGCCGCGAGTAGGGCCGCGTGCATGAGGACGGATGGGAAGGGAGGAGGTGCAGGGGGCGCATACGGGTTCATAGGCCGCCTGACCAGATTTCCTTAACACACAAACGCGGGCGTGTGTGTGTTTTGCCTCCCCTCCCCCCTCCCCCCTCCCCCCCCCACCTGGTTGAGTCCGTCGCAGTCCCACGCCTCCGCAATCATCTTGGTGTCTCGCAGCACGGGGTCTTCGCTCAGCGCCTCCAGCAGCGGCGGGTCGGACAGCGGCGTGCCGGTGGGCTGCCCGCCGCCGTCACTCATGATGCCTGGGGGGGGAACCGAGGTAGTTAAGCCGAACGGCGGGGAGGCGGGGTGGGCTTGAAGGCATGCAGGAGGTAAAGAGGAAACAACTAGCTAACTGTGTGGTAAGGCATGCATGGGGGGTGAGGAGGGGGGTACGAGAGAAAGATCACCGTACACAAGACAAGACACGGCCCCACTACGGGGAGTTGCCATGGGAACGTGTTAAGAGAAGAGAAGAGAGGGGGGTCTGGGCACCCTAACCCGCCAACCCGTCACCCCGAGCCACCCGCCCTCCACCCACCTGCTCTCCACCCTGAACCCATCCCTCCCCCACTCCACTCCCCACCCACCCTCCGCACTCAGCACCGCCCCCCCGCTGTGCAGTGCCACCGGCTGCCCCGCCTCGTCCCACTGCTGCGGGTGCCAGGCGCTGGGGGCGCGAGTCAGGATGGATGCCAGGTCGAACCTGCGGGGGTTGGGGGGGAGGGTGGAGGGATGGGTGGAGGATGGAGAGCAGGTGGGTGGAGGGCGGATTGGGATGATGGAGGGATGGGTGGGCCCCCCGCGTCGCGACCCCAATGGTGTCCTGAGTTGAGCCAAATTCCCAAGTAACAGTGCGAATACGTTCTCTTGGTTAAGAGCCTTCCTCGCAGCAGCTCGCGAGTCGCTCCGCCTCGCTAGAAATTCAACCAACAATCGATCAACAACCAACTAACCGCCAATCACCTAACAACCCACCTGAATCCGTCCACATGATACTCGGTGACCCAGTAGCGCAGGCAGTCCAGGATGAACTGCCGTACCACGGGTTGGTTGCAGTTGAGGGTGTTGCCGCAACCGCTGTCGGTTGGTTGGTTGGTGGGTTGGTTGGTTGGTTGCATGCAAGGGAAGAACGGAACGCAGACACGAGCACACACAAAGGTAGGCAATGGCGGTGTGTCAGTGTATTTAGTGGGCGGTCAGTTGATGATTCAAACAGACACAAGACAAGGCGAGGGACAGGTGCAGAGAAGGATAACCACCCGTGACGACCGCAATGCACGGACACGCACCCCTTCGCAAAACACTCCTCACCCGCAACTCGCAAAACACACACAAACACAGCACGCCCCCCCCTCCCCCCACCTGTAGTTGTAGTACTCCCCCCCGGGAGCCAGCATGTAGTACACCCGGTTATCCAGCCCCCGGAAGGACAGCGTGGGGCCGCGCTCGTTGCCCTCCGCAGTGTGGTTGAACACAACGTCTAGGATGACCTGAGGGGCGGGGGGGGGGAGGTGTGTGGGTGGGGAGGGAATAAAGACGTAAAATCTAACTGACTGAGGGGCGGGGGAGGGGGGGAGGGGTGGTTAAGCACCACTACCCCTTGCACCCTCGCGGCACTCTCCCACCGATCCACCTTCCTTCCGCTTCCTCCTACCCCTACCTCGTCCCCCACGTCAACCTCCAAACTTTAACCCTCCCCCCAGGTGTAGCCTCGTCATCCAGTTCGTCGGTTTTCCTCATTGTTACCCCACCTCCCTCCCCCTCCCCCCCCACCTCGATCCCCCGCTTGTGGCACTCCTTGACCAGCTGCTTGAACTCGGCGCACGCGGACCGCACGTGGCGCCCGGCCGCCAGCGCAGCGGAGTAGCGGGACATGGGCGCGCGGTAAGCCACCGTGGAGTAGCCCCAGAAGTTGTACCTGCATGCATGGGGGGCGGGGGGGCGGGGGCGAGGGGATGGAATAATAATGCATGCACGCGGAGGTGGGAATGATGAGTGCGGCAACAGTGGGAGGGCCAGGTGGGGAGTGGGAGGAGTGGGAAAGAAGAGGAAACTGGTGAAACAGTGGGAGGGAGGAGGAGTAAGGCATCCCCACACTCCATCTCTCGCACCCGAGTGCCTGCCCCCCAGTTCCATGCTCATCCTCTTGACTCCTTCCCCCCGCCAGTTTTCCTCATTTTATCCCCCCCCCTTCCTTGTTGACGCCTTATCCCTCAGTCAGTTAGTTGTTTCCTCTTTACCCCTTCCCTCCCCCCCCACCTGTACTCCTCGCTGCCAGCTATCGGGCTGTAGTACTCCAGCTCGTTGAACTCGAACAGCGGCAGCAGCTCCACCGCGTTCACACCCAGGGAAGCCAGGTGGTCCAGCCGCTCAATCATACCCGCGTAGGTGCCTGGCGGGGGGGTGGGGGTGGGGAGGGGGGCATGGAGGGGGGCATGGAGGTGTGGGCGGCCGCGGTGGTTGGTAGCTGGTTGAGCGGGGAATGTGTCAAGAGCCTTTGCCCGCCCTCTTTTCACCAGCTTCGCGCCTTCCCACCACACCACTACCCCCCCCTCACCCCACCCCCTTCCCCAGCCCCCCCCCCCTCACCCGGTGCCGCCACGCCGCTGCTCCCATGCGCCGTGAAGCCCCGCACGTGCGCCTCATAGATCACCAGACTCTCCATCGGCAGGTTTAACGGCCGGTCGCCCTCCCAGTCAAACGAGGCTGCTGAGGCTGCTGCTGCTGCTGCTACTCCTGATGATGATGATGATGATGATGATGATGATGATGATGCTGACGATGATGATGAGGGTGATGTTGGTGCTGCCCCAGTCCCCCAAGCAGGCAGTGCTGCGGCCGCCTGCGGCCAGGTGCGCATGAGGCCCAGCAGGGAGGGGTCCTGGCCGTACGGCAGGTCGGGGCCGAGCTGCCCCCAGCGGCGGCGGCTGAGTACGGCGGTGGCGTAGGGGTCGAGTACGACACGTGTCTTTGAGGAGGGGAGGAAGGAGGGGGAGGGAGGGGGAGGGAGGAGGGGGAGGGAGGGGTATGGGCGTGGGGTTTGGGTCTTGAGGCAGGGGAACAGGAGGGAGACCTGGGGGTCTTCGCAGGTTTCGAAGACAACGGACAGGCAACCCAAGGTGGGGCGCACACACGGCTTGAGCTCCTACACACACGAATTGCTTGCGCTCTTGAGTAACTCAAGAGCAAGCAATTCGTGTGTGTAGGAGCTCGAGCCGTGTGTGCGCCCCACCTTGGGTGCCCCTTCCTTGGGTCTCCCTTCCCCCCTCTTCACCCCCTTCCCCCCCCACCTCGTCATGCCGGTGCCCCGGGTGCTCGGGCTGCAGGTCCTGATGCAGCCCACCCACTCGATAGCCTGGGCAGGGAGGGAGGTGCGGGGGGAGAGGGAGGGAGGGAGGGAGGAGAAGAATACCCAATGGAAGGGCGGAGGGAGGGAGAGGGAGGGGTAAAGTGGGCCGCAGACGGGGCACGTCCCACAGGCAGCATGGGATGACAACAGAAGTATCACACATCTTGTTTGGATGCTCCTTCATACCAGGGTGGTATGAAGGAGCATCCAAACAAGATGTGTGATATCCTACTTCCGCCGCCCTGTTGCCTTCTGTTGTCGTCCCATTTCGTATTTCGTATCTCCGTACGACGCACCGTACAGCAGATCGTCTCTTAGGCCAGGTAGCATGATGTGCCAGACGTCTCCCGTACGGTTGACCAACGGATCCAACCGTATTTCGTACGACGCCTTCCCGGCAGCTAGGTCGGGCTCCGTGAAGAGCACGAGGCTGACGGAAGAAGCGGAAGAGCTGAAGACAGCAAAGTTTATTGAGCCCTGTGGGTTGCGAGGCGTGTCAGGAGTTAGGGTTTTGAGATTAGGGAGAGGAGATTGGGGTGGGATGTCGAGAAGGGTTGGCGTGGAGTTAGAGGATTAGATGAAAGTAGGAGTAGCAGGCGGTGTGATAAGCTCAGTCCGCACCGTTCCGGCATCAATGCTCGCCCCCAAGGGCTCGGGTCGTCCGGTTAGGGCTGGACCGTGCACATCGGAAGCCGGTTGGCCGGATGGCTCCAGCGCAAGCTTGGCCGTGCTAGTGCTTGTCGGGCTGGTGGAAAGCTTTGGTGACGCGAGGTCCACAGATGCAACCCGCGAGGCCGGCAAGGTGCTTCTGCGCAGGAATGCCCGGTGCGAGCGTTAGCCATGACAGCCAGACCAATCAATTGCGCTGCTACAAGCGATCAGAACAGTATTTACTAACTCGTCTGCCTAATGGCATAGCCTCGAAGCTGGAGAAACGAAGTAACAGCTAACCCGAAAGAAGGGAATACCCATGCTCGCACCTTCTGGACCTCGCCAAGCACCCCGGAAACGGTTTCCGAAGTAACGCAACTCCGTTAATATTTCCATTGCAAAAGCCTTGTTGTTGCCGTCGCGATAGAGCGGCAGGGCCCGGGCCGTGCAGAAGCATGGTGCGACGACAACGGATATAATGGCCCGATCAATAGTAGCAGAGGCAGAATAGGTAACGTTAGATGTTATCGATAACTCGGCTGCGAAAAAGCCTTTGGACTAGGCTGAGCTGGATACTGTAGGAAGGCAAGCTAAAATGCATAAGCGCTTTGCCGTGAATGGCAGTTCGCAAAATGAACCTTTGGTAAAGCGAAGTAGTATTGATTAGAAGGAAATGGGCTTAGCTGCTACGATGCAAGTCGCGTCCGCACGGCACTGTCCCAAGCTCCCAACTATCCACTGCGGCTTTAGTTTGTGAACATAGGAGAGTCGCTTTTAATAGAGTCTTTCTCACGACCAGCTCAAGCGATAGGCGCCGCTCGTGCAGCTCAATGGAGCTGGAGTCAAAGTGTACTTGACCCTCGCACTCGGATAAGTTCGGATAAGAACGATGCCGTCTCAACCCTTTCCAATTTGCAGCGCATAAGTCAACCAGCTAATTGTACTAAAATCCTTACGCTGGCACCCAACCTGTCTTCGTTACTGTGGCTAACCGTCCGGGGTCGGCGACCCACGGGACCGTGACTCTTTCCTAATTTGGAAGCGCTAGGTTGCTGTCGTATGGCGATACGCTAGCTGGGTTACATGCCACAATTGTGTTGTCTTCTTGTCGTTCCCCACGTCCTTAAGCTTCGAGAGGGCTTTCGTCTTGGTAAACATCTCTACTTGCTTCGCTGAGGGCATGAACGCATGCATGCTACAGAAGTACAGATACATTACCGTAGGCACCCCCCGAGAGTGAATGCCGCGCCACGTGGCACAACCAAACCCGCCTTGTACCAATTAGTTGCGAGGAGAGCTTGGGCTGATTCCATCTGGTCAGCAAGCGCCCAGTAGCGGTAACGTCAGCTGCTGTTCCCTCATAATCATCATAGACCCAGGCATGTGGTGGGTAAAGAGGAAACAACTAACGGACTGCGTGATAAGGCGTCATCATGTGGGAGCTAAGGACCGCAAACACAAAGTACCGATGTACGTCAGCTTTTAAGAACATCAGTTGCCGAGGCATCGAACAAGTCATCTATGTTAGTATATACAATTGCTTGGAAGGGACGAGGGTCCTGGGTTCCCAGACCGACCATCCCGCGCCTCAGCCACCTGCCAAGCCCTTCTCCGCCTCACCCGTCCGTACAACCGCGTGTATGCGAAGGGGCAGCAAAGGAGGCAGGCCGCCTAGCACACCTACGAACTCAAAACGTGACGTGCGACCCGGCCGAACAACACCGTGAAGCCCAGCCCTGAACCCCAGCCGACAACTAACAACCACCGCCAACTACCTCCAGCGCCCGCTCCATTCCCTGCACTACCCGAAGGCACCATCCCCACGCCTGCAGCGTCCCCCCGCATGTACGAATGAACATGTAAGCATGGCGGGGTACCGGTAATGGAACCCTCCCCGCAGCTCGCATGCATGTTCCGGCCCTGCCCCCTAAACATGCGTATGCCCAAAGCGCATGTTGGGACAATACAGGGTAACCATGCCCTCTCGTACGACGCCCTCGTACGACACCTTCTCGTACGACACCCTCGTACGACGCCCGCACGCGCAATCAGCGACAGATCCCGCCGTACGTCCTACGGCAATCCGTTTGCATGCTCATGCACATCGCAGCTCCGTACGCACCCTCGCTCTCATCGCCCGCACACCGCCCCCCACATCCTCCTGCCTGCATGCCGCTTTCTCCGTCCGGCTGCAACACATCCCTCAACCCACGCCTGAGGTACCTGTATCGTACACACCCCAACGCGTTCGGCGCGGCTGTAGCTCCTCCCACCCGCCCCCCAGCCAGCCCACCAGCCACCGGCGGCATCACGGCTCATCGCTCATGCTCCATACCTAAGGGATGAGGACCTGTTTGTCTAGCGCCAGTAGCCACTGCAGCCGCCTCAGCCCCATGCCACCCGCGCTGGGCTCCCAGGCGCCGTCCCAGGCTCGTTGAATGGCCTGCGGGCGGGGTGGGTGGGTGGGTGGGGGCAAGCGAGGTGCCACAGGCGTTTGGAAAAAGGGAAGAGGGACCCGCAGGGACCCGTTGGGCCCTGAAAGAAGGGGAGGCCATAGGTCTCGTCCAGGAATAAAAAAAAAGGGCCGGTGAGCGCGGCTTGCTAGGTGCAAGGTTATTTTCCAGGTATGTGGGGTTCGCCGATCAAGCATGATTTGATTTGCTGGAAGCATGCATGGTGGGAGGCTTGCATGCTGCCATACGGTGATCTGGTATCCACACACCCCACTACCCACCCCGCCGTGTTCACGTCCTGCCGCAAGCTGCCCCCGCAAGGCCCCCAAGCCCCGCAAGCCCCGCACCCCGCACCCCGCACCCCGCACCCCGCACCCCGCACCCCGTTTTCTTAACACACCACACCACACCACACCGCACCACACCCACACGACCGCCTGCTGCTGACTTGCCGAGCCACAAACTCACCTCTTGCAAGACGCTTATCAGGTCATCCCGCTCCGGCCATTCGAACCGCAAATCCTCCAGAGGTGCGAACCGCACCACCTGCAGCGGTGCAGCCGCCGCCTCCAGCCCCTCCGCTGCTGCCGCCATGTCATCAGACCTCGCCTCAACCGCCAGAGCCTCCACCGCTGCCTCCACCGCCGCCGCCGCCGCCTTCCCCTCGCACCGCAACACCACTGCCTGCACAGCCGGCAACGCCTTGCAGAGCACCACACACCGCCCGCTGCCGCCCCCGCCGGCCGCCTGCACCGCGCGCTCCTCCAGCCTGCTCATCAACCGCTGCAGTGACGCTCTCGCCTCCTTGCCCTTCCCAAGGACTGTTGCCAGGAGCGGGCCTCTGACGCACAGCAAATGGGGCCCTGTTGCGGCCCCCCCGCCCGCAGACCCCTCAGCCGCTGCTGCTGCTGCCGCCCCCGCTGCAAAGTGCTTGATCACGCCCCACAGCAGCTCCTCCGCTGATGGCAGCTGCTGCCAGCCCCCTGCCGCCGCCACCGGTCCCAGCTCCTTCCCCTCGGCACCCGCCAGTGCAGGGCCGGAAGGCGCAGCTGCCGCCACCCTTATCCTAACGCGGTTTTTCAACAGGTACAGTTCCTGCGGCAGGCCCAGCAGCCCCACCGCCCGCCGCACTGCAGCCACAGGGACGCGGTCGCCCGACACCAGGCCGGGTTCCACATCCATTGTCTGCACCACCGTAGCAGAGAAGCTCTCCTGCAGCAGCGCGCGGGCACGGGCCAGCTGCTGCCTCGTCCTTAGATGCCTGTTTAGGCCCAATGTTTTGATGACCAGACGCGGCTTCTGCTGCTGCTGTCGGGGGGGACTGGGCATGCTGTGCACAAGCCAGTGCTTCGGCAACTTCTCGATGGTGCAGTAATATAGCTGTATCAGCCGAACTTGACCTCCCTCCAAATGGAACTCCACAAACTCACTGCCAAAATCGGTGAAGGGAGGAAAGCCGTCGCTGAAGGGAGGAAAGCAGCTTATGTCCAGCTGCAGGAGCCGCAGGGAGCCCGGCAAGCTGCCCAGCAGCAGATGCAGCCGCTCGCACAGGGTGACGCCCTCGTCCTCCTCCTCCGCACCCTCGTCCTGCTCCTCCTCCACGTCCTGCTCGTCCTCCTCGTCCCGCACATCGTATACCTCAGTCTCGTATACCCCAGTCTCAAGTTTAACGAGGCGCAGCTGCCTTTCTAAATCCACAATCTCTCGGTCACCCGGGATGGGGAAATCCTGAAGCCCCAACACTGCCAAGCTCGTCAGGCGGCTGCATGGCCGCCGGGGCCCCCACATCCTCCACCACTGTACTCCCGCGCAACACCAGCCGTTCCAGGTTTTGGAGCTTCGACAGCTCGCCGCACACGCTCTGCTGCTCCTGCCGTGGAGGATTGTGCTCTGGCCACGGGCCGGAGAGGTCGACCTCCTCCAGAGCGGGCAGCCACAGCGGCAGCTGCGCAACAGCCGACTGGATGTCCATGTCCACGCGTTTCTCAATCCTCGAATTGACCTCCACACGCTTGATTCGCTGCCTGGCTGCCAGCGGCGAGCCCGCAAACTGCAGCGCTATGAGTTCTGCGATGTCCTCCGGGCTGATGTAGTTCCAGGCCGGCTCGCAAAGTATCAGCCGGATCGCCCCACAGCGTGGCCAGCGCTCCAAAGAAGGTCGCCGGCTCTTGTCCCATAAGCGCACGACTAGCGCTAATTCGCGGACGCAGGGGTCCACTGCGTCGCGCAGCGCTCGGAGCGCCAGGCGTGCTTTTGCCACGCTCCTTGTGCTGTTAAGAATCTTATAATAGGCTTCACGCGCAGGCATGCTGAGCTTGTATAGAACATCCGCAAAGCTCGGCACCTGCTCGCCGCTTCCCTCAACTGACGGTTTCTCCATTTCGTGTCAATATAACATGTTGAGTAACATGTTGAGTAAGTACGTGTGAGCAGTATGCAAGACTATTTAGTTCCGAAGGACTCCTGGCTTCCTCGGGCCGTGTCACGGATCCGATGTGGCATCCAACTGGCATTTGTACCGTCACCAGCCGCCAGCTTTTCGCTAGCCGCACTTTACGCGTGTGCCAGTTTCTTACACGTTTATGCGGGCTTACATGTAGGCAACAATTGAAAGGGTTGCCGTTTTCGACTTGCTGGCGGCTCTTGCTGGCATGTCGTGCCCCACGCGTCTCTTCCACACCTTGCATCACGCACCGACCCGTGGTTCATTTCATGCGCTCGTTGCGCCCTGCTCCCCCGCTCGCGCTTTGCTTGAAACCCTGGGACTACCTTGTGTAACTCACCAACCAAGAGGAGCCCTAGGACCGCCTAGAGGCGCATAAGAGCAAACGCCACCGCCTTCTACCGGCCACTACCTGCGAACCCCCGCCACCCGCATCCATCGATCCGCCCCGCCCATCGCTTTTTCACCCCTCCATCCTCCAACCCTGCCTCTCTCAGTTCATCTTTATTCTTCTTTTCTTACATGTCTGAAACCCTGCAGGTTGTTGGTTGCGTGATCCCCTGCGGATGTATGTGGGTTCACAACAACCCAATCCACGAATCAACATCGGCAAGTAAACGCACAGCAGGTGTGGCATGTAGCGGTGTGTAGCCCGCTGCGCCTGTTACGCAAAGAGACCTTATGACACCTGGCCTGGTGCTCCTCGCATACGAGACAAGGCCAGACATGCATGTTCCTGCACACACCACGCACGTTGTGTGGCATCCCAGCCTAGCCTGTCTAATCTGCGCAGTGCAAGGTGCCCCACAGCTTCTCCAGGGGTTCCCAATTCCACATGCTGCCAATCAATCGAAGCAGCAGGGTGTCATGGCGTGTGGTAAGGTACACCAGGACCATGCATCGTGTCTCTTCCTAACAAACACCAGGTGAGGTTGTTCGCGCTCAAAGCCAAGCCTGCACACACACACAAACGGCCAGTTCGGTGTTCGGTTGTTCGCGGCCAGTTTTCTTAACACACACTCTCTCTACTTACTCGCGGTTCCCATGCGAACCTCTCCCCATTGCTTGCTCCTGTCCTACTCAACTACACACTCTCTCTACTTGTCCCCGCGCACTTTGCTCCGCTGAGGCGGAATAGATAGAAGCGGAGGGAGATATGACACACACGCGCCACAACTCAGCGTGCGGGAACCACTTGGCAACAGGAGCCAGGCACCAGGGCACATACTTTCCTTAACGCGTCTTGCCAATTTGACAACCCACACGTACCGGTACCACGGCACGCATAAGCCATGCCTGCAGCCTGCAGGGCAACACAACCCTCCACGCACGCTGCCCTCCAGTGTTGTATGTCCACCATAGGGACATCTACACACGCGGGTGGATTGTTGCACACAACCCAACCGCTTCCCGACACGCAACTCAACACCCTAAAGCCGCCTGCCTCTGCATAGCGCCCGTCCCCTCCCCCCCCAGTCCCCCATGCGCTATAGTTTCTTGGGTGACAACTCGGAGCTATGCCCGACACAACAACGCTGAATTGTAGACACTTAAGCCTCTAGTCCTTGCAAAAATATAGAGCACTACGCGAACGAGTTATGTGGCACTTTAAGGAATTTTGCAAAAGCGAATTTTAAAGGGTACGGTTTGGCATGTACGACGCAATTGCAACTATCACCAGCGTATCACCACCGTAAAACCCGCTTACGATGATTTGCGTGATAAGATATGGGAAAGTGGTGTCTCACGGGATGCTGATATGATTGCTGTCATGGGCAGGGGGGGGGTAAAAAAGTCTTTGCCAAACCCCATGCTAAAAAAGTCAAGGAAGGGGTGCCGGACCCACCCACCCACCCTGTCGTACCGTTTTTGCTGTACGACAACGCTGTAAACTTCGCAAAATCGCCCCCAAAAAACACCATTCGACTCCATTTCACATGATCTTCGTCGTTCTCACGTTAGGCGTACCATTTGGCAACATGTCCGAGTCGCTCCCCACACCGGGGGGGGGCGGCAGGCAGGCTGCCAGACTCAATGCTCTCTGGTATGCAGCCGATACACATTTATTTTAAACCTCACATGCATTGCTCTGATGCTTGAGTGCACGGTTGCGTTGGTAAGTGTGCTCCAGCCCACCTGCCACTGCGTCCCTCACATCACCCCGCCATCGGTACGACTGCGCCCCCTCCCCCGGGTAGCAGGTTGGGCTTGCACCCCATCGCCCTCAGCACCAGATGCAGAACCACGCATGTTTCCACCTGCCAGGGGTGTGTCGTCAGTACGCCTGTTGCGTGCCCTCCCCCTTTAACCTTGCCCTACCTTTGTGATTTTAATCGTTTGGTTCCTCTTTGGGCCCCTTCCACCTTTGCCCCTGTCCCTGCTGCTTGCTTTGCCTCTGGAGAAGCCATACCGTGTATGTTGGGCCAGCTAGGGTGTTCCATGGGGACATGCCACCCACGAACTCCACACAAAGGCTCTAATATTAACATAATATGCATACACTATAACAGGAATACTAAATCTGCTATCCGTTTGGCGAAACGATACTTAGGAAAAAAGTTTTAACGGACAAAGAAAAAAGTCATTGGGGCTCCGGACCCACCTAGGAAAAAAGTTTTAGAGGACAAAGAAAAAAGTCATTGGGGCTCCGGACCCACCTACCCACCCCTGCCGTACGACCAACTTTGGGAGCCTATAACTTTTTCCGTACAACTCCGATTACAATTCTGAAAGCGGAATTGGAATGCTCTCGTTGAGGTCTTTAATATTGAAGCATGGGGTCATTTTGCGGCAAAACTACCCCCCCCTGCATGGCCTGTAAGGCCCATAGGGTTGTGCGTTACCCTTGAGTCGTTCTGACTCCCCTGTAATAACTAATAACTGTTGCGTCCTCAGCAGTAGCTCGCCAGGGCAAGTTCAGCACTAGGCTAAGTTGGAAATGGCCTGTCTTGATACTAGGGCCCCGCGAGGCCATCTGCGCCGTGAGGCCAAGGGAACATCTCTGGCGATACCTGCCTCGGACGTGCTATTCCGCTGTATGTGCCTGCTTCGGAAGCAGCACCTCTCTAGTACCCTACGGGTACTGCCTTACCCGCTTGGATGGAGGATCAAGCTTCATTAGTGCGCATGTCGGACTCGGCATAACTGAAACATACAGACCCCATATGATGTTGGGCCCTTGTGCGTGAGGGGAATGGGTGGGGTTCTGCAGAAGCCGTTGTGTACGATATCAGTCCGTACAACGCTTTAGGTATAACTGTCCGAACAACTGTTTGTAATTGGAGCCCAGCGAAGCCATAAGTATACTGACGCTTCGTTAGAGTTCTCACCTTGCGCGACCATCCGGAACCATAGGATGTCGCAGCAGTCTTTACTCCGCGTCGCCTGCCGCGCGCTTGCGGCCGGCCAGGCAGCAGCTTTGCCGGCCCTGCGGTTCAGCGGGTCGCAGGTGAGTCGGAACTAAATTTCAGGATGGATAATGAATTATTACAATTAGCTGAGTATGTTTTGCTGCTTTGCAAGGTTTTGGCAGCCTCGCAAACAGCGGTCATCATCACTTCGCTTTCGGCATCCTGGCGTGTCGTGCCGCCAGCGCGAAGCTATGCAACGCAGGTAGGGCGATAACAAATTCCGTTTTAGTGTGTTGGACGCTTGGCCAGCAGCATTTTGGGACGATATGACGGCACGATGGCTCGCCCCGGTTTTGAATTGGAGCGTTAGTTGCACTTCAAATGTGGAGTTGCAGTTAAGCGTCATACTATGCAGCGTGTGAATGTATTCGTAAACATATTGTTGGTATGATGGACATGTGCGCATGTCGCGGTGTTAACCCAATTGTCCCGTCCATCTGTCCATGCACCCATTCACAACCCGTAGGAAGCTGACGTTCCCATTCAAGAACGCTTTGCCGCTGCCGAGACACGGCTTCGAATAGTCGAGCAGGACATTGCATGCCTGCGCGAAAGGATGCAGGAGATGGAAAAGCAGCAGCAGCCGCGGCCGCAGGAGGGGAAGAAAGCCCCTCAAGTACCGATCATTACGAACAAAGGCTCGGCGGGTACACTAGCTTTTATGTATTTGCAACTGTTATTTTTTGTGTCGTACCTCTGCATGGGCGAATATGGAATGGCTCAGGTCTGCGCGGTCCTAGCGGTATTCCAGTGGTGGCTGGCCACCTTGGCCTAGGAGGATGCCTAAGCTGGCAAATCATGGCAACCTGGGCTGGGATGTGTCATTGTGGTAGCATGGAGGGCTAGGGACGAGGCTAGCGAGTCATGTAACGTACGGAGTGCTCACAAGCTGCCGTACCAATACCTCCCGCTGCAAGCCGTAACCTTTTGAACGGGGACGCAAGCGTGCAACGTCAGGTGGCAATCAACGGCGCCGCTTATTTACTATCATATGTTTTCTGTACAACCGAAAACGATAAGAACAATGGTCAGGCTGGTTACACGTGTGTGTTTGGGCCTCCCGTTGCCTTTAGGGTGTAGCCAACGGCGAGAAGTGGTGCAGGTGTACTTCTGGTGCCAGAGTACGTACCCGTATGACATTAAAGTGCGAAGAATGCCCCTGCGCCATTAGTTGGGTCCCGGTTGCTTGGAATGGGGCGTCGTACTCATAGCCACATCATAGTCGGATGGGGAACAATCGTTGCGCAAGGGTTTGTAATATCAGTTCTGGTTGTTGGTTGGTTAACACACACACACACTAGCGGCCTACCACACACATCTTTGTGCGCGAGTGCAACCTGGGAGTGCTTCCATGTCCCATACTTCACCTCATTCATTCCCACGTTGTCATGCATGCGACATGGGTTATGACGGCACGAACCAGGCACACGCAGCACCACGTCCTCAAAACACGTCATGCGATCCTGCGATAACAAAATGCCCAGCCGCCATCAGCGGGCCTCCCGCAGGCACGTAAGCACGATGCTCGATGCATAAAGTCTCGTCCTGGGTCTCCGAAGCAATACCCCTACCCGCAAACAAATTACGCACGGTATGTTCCTACTCGCGGCCAGTTTTCTCAACACACACACGCACACTCCATAGCCAACGGACTCTACCCCCCGTATGGCGTTCCAGTGGACGACTTCATCTTCCGGCAACCAGAGTACGTTCCGACCCGCGACCAGTTTTCTTGATCTTGAACCCAACCGCTAGCATCTGCGCGACCGTACATGCTTTTCCCAGCCTGCACCCAGCGGCAGCCCTCCAACTTCCTCTTCCCCTTCCCACTCCCTCTCCTCTTCCTCCCCACCTCCTTCCCCCCCTGCGTCCTACAGATACAGCTTCATCCCACCCGCCAGTATCCGGGGAGCCCCTCCTCCTCCTCCTCCACCACCACCAGCAACACCCTCCTCCCCGCCCTCCCCGCCAGCAGCACCCGCCCCAACAGCCCCGCTTCTGCCCCCCCAGTCACCCCCGGCGGTGATGAAATCCATGAAGCCCCCAGCAGGTTCGTCCTGCTGCTGCGGCCGCTGCAGCCGGCCTCTCAGTCCACCCGCCGCTGCTCCACTGCCGCGCCCGTCAGCCTCACATCCTCCGGCCGAGGCGTCCCTTGCAGGCTGCTCCTCCGCACTTCCGGTCGCCGCCGCCGCCGCCGCAGCACCAGCAGCAATGCCCCCAGGCCGAGGCAACACGAGCTGCTGCTGCTGCTGCTGCTGGTGGCCCAGCTCCACTTCATCAGGCAAGCTGTCAAAGTAGCGAAAGCCGCCACGACGGCGCCGTCTGGGCGGAGATGACTGCGACAGCCCTGCTGCTGCTGCTGCCCCCGCTGCGTCACCGGCAGCATCCGCAGCAGCAGCTGCAGCTGCTGCTGCCTCCGACAGATGTCGCTTGGCAGCAGGCCTCCTCCATGTTGCAGCAGCAGCGGCGCCGTCAGCGGTGCCATCACCCGGGACACCCAGACCTGCTCGGCGCCCCCCACGAGGCCGCTGACCTGCCGCCGCCGCCGCTGCTGCTGCTGCTGCTGCAGTGCTGCCCAGGAGCCTCGCCCGCTCGCGCGCCATCTTGGACGTTAGGTGCAGGTGGGGGCAGGCGGCTCCGCGGGGGCAGTGGCCGGACAGGAAGGCGCGGCAGACGGGCGCGGAGGGGGCCGGGGTCTTGTGTAGGTAGGGGCAGCTGTCGGCAGTGCACTTGCCCTGTGGGTGGCACATGAGGAGTAAGCGGGCGGGGAAGAGCGCGAACAGCGTACGTGAGTGCGTGTGCGACTAGGGTTTGGTTACCGGTAGGTATCCCGGGATGCATGCCTGTAACCCGTAGTAAATCTGTTCCCCCTAGCGGCTCCCCCTAGCGGCCCCCCCTGCCCCCTAGCGGCCGCCCACCTGCAGGAAGTAGCTGCACAGCGGCATGAGGTCCGGCAGCCGGCGGTGCTGCAGCGGACAGGCCGGGTCGCAGCAGCCGCCCGCCAGCCAGCGGCCGCACACCGCCACCTTGGACGGGTCGTGCGTGTAGGGGCAGCGCTGGGGCGGCGCTGGGCGGCTGCTGCCTGCTGCAGCGGCGGCGGCACCTCCGCTGCCGCTGACGTTACTGCCGCTAGTGCCGTTGTTGGTGTTGGCAGCAGTGTTACCGTTTGCGGTGCTGCCGTGATTGCCGTTGGTGTTGTCGTTTGTGCTGCTGGGGGGCTTATCGTTGCCGGCGTTGGGGCCGGAGGAGGAGGAAGGGGCGGCGTTGGCGTCGCGAGAGTGAGGGCAGATGCCGGTCCTGCAGGTGGCAAGAGTGACAGCGAACAAAGGGAGGCGCGCATTAGTGTAATGTACCGTAGCTGCATGTGGGGAAGCAAAGCCCCCAAGCCACCCCATCACACCCCAGACAGATCCCAGTTAGCGCACACGCCCATATAGCAGCAATACAGTATGTAAGTTGCTTGCGCTTGACGAAAACCCGGGACCGTTTCCGCATGGAAAGCAGACTGGACGCATGCCGGTGTGCGCGGGTCGCCTCGCTGGCGCCGTGTTTCCTGCCTGCAGTAATCGGGGCAGTAGCCGCGGGCCTGTGTGGCGCGTGCCGCCGCACGCCGCATGCGAGCCTTGGCCAGGATGCGTTGAGCCGCTGTCGCTCTGGCGGCGGCGCCGGCGCTGGTGCCCAGCACGCGACCGGCGCCGCTAGCCGTCGTCTTGGGAACCAAGGGATTATACGATGTGCAGGTTGACGCCGCAACAGTACCCAAACGACGTACACCGACGGCGGCAGCAGCAGCAGCAGCGGCAGTAGTGGGGCTGGTTGGGTCTAAGCCACGACGGCGCCACACGGCCAGTTGTACGGCACGTGAGGCGATTGACGCCCTCCGAGGCTTCGCCGCGATGGCACGCCGCTTCGCCAGAGCGGCCGCCGCCGCCGCGGCTGCCTTGCCCGCGACGCTGCTCAAAGACTGTAGCTGCCGTACTCCCTCCCTGCTGCTTCCGCCGCCGGCAGCATTGCCGCCAGCGGCGGCACCGCTTCCGCCGCCGCGGCTTCCGACGGCATAGTACTGCTGACCGTTGACGGTTACCAGTTGCAACGACCGGCCACCACCGCCGCCGCGGCGACGTAACGCCGCCGCCGCAACGGTCTGGTTTCGCGTCGGCGACTTCAACGCTGTCGCCGCCGCTGTGGGTGCTGCTGCAGACGGGTGGTGCGACTGACCAGCAGCACGAGCCGCCGCTAGAAGACGTAAGCGAGCTACGTTAGCAGCCGGCGACACCGCAGCCGTATCCGCCGCTGCCGTCGCAGCAGGGTTGGGCAGCAGCCGCAGCCGTGTAAGGCCGACTCGCCGAAGCATCAGCTGCGGTTGCTGTGGCGCCTGAAGTACGACAGACACAGCGTTCCCGGCACTTCCGCCCTTCGCATCAGGCCCTGCTGTCAAATTTGTAGCCGTTTCAGAACTCTCATTCGCTGTCGCCGTCGCTGTCATCGTAGTTCGTCGCCATGTTAACCGTGAACGGCGTAACGCCGCGGCCGCCGCCGGCCGTGTTGTCGGCTTGGAGACCCCAGCAGCATGCGCCGCCGATGATGCAGCGGAGCGCCGGCGGAGGTGCAGCAGTAGCAGCTGCTGCGATTCCAGCGCCTTGGCGAGGTGTTGCTGTTGCTGCTGCTCAAGACGTTGTTCTGTCGCCGCCGCCGCCGCCGTCACCATTTGCACTGGTCTGGAAGTTGCCACTGCAGCGGCGCCGACGCTGGATCCGGCTGCTGCTGCTGCAGCTGCTGGCGAGGAGGGCAGGGAGCGGGTGCGAACCAATCGCATGCCCGTACGACGATATCGTACAACAGCTCCGGCATTGCCAGTGACGCCAGCAGCGCCTCCAGGATCACCACATGTTGCGGCTGCTGTCCCTGCGGGTTCAGCTGCGCTCTGCTCCACCGCCGCCGCTGGCGCTGAGGCTAGAGGTGGCGCCGCAAGTACGGCCCCGGAGGGCACCTGAGACCTGCTTCCAGGAGCGTCAACGCCGGTACTGCCGCCGCCGGCGGTATCAGCTACAACCTCAGTCCTGGCCAGGAGAGCAGACGGGAGCTGCGCGGAGGCTTCGGTACGCGAAGCCGCTGCAGCCGTCACTGCCACAGCTGCAGTGGCCGCGGCTGCTGCTGCGGGCTTCATCACCAGCTTGTTGCGACCGGGTCGCAGGTACAAGCAGCTACTGCCGACCGCTGCTCCTCCTGCAGGCGTCGCACAACCGGTCGCCGCAGCCCCCCGCGGTCCCTCCCGCGACACTGCCTCGTTGTCTGGCCCGGTAGCTGGGGTCCCATGCGGATGTAGGTCGGTGACGCCGGTGCCAGGGGCGGCAGGAGCAGCAGCGGTGGCAGCAGTGGCAGCGGCAGCGGTTCTAGTGGCTGCAGACTTGGCGGTGGCGGTAGCAGAGGTATCACTGGCAGTGGAAGCTGAAGCCGGCGCTCGCTTGGAAGCCGCCCCTGCGGCGGCTGCGACTACTGGCGCTCCTTGCGCCGCGGCTGCGGCTGCCGGCCTGGCTGCGACTTCCGCAGCTGCAGCACCAGCAGCCGCAGTAGGAGCAGCAGTGGGAGCAGCTGGCGGGCGAACCCATACTCGACGGGTGGGTTGATGATGGGGAGCTGCTGTTGCTGTTACGGCCCGCGGAGCAGAAGCAGAAGCAGCGTGCGGCAGCCCTGTCGGCAGCGTGGGTTGGGGTCGGGTTGGGGCTGCGGAGGGCGCTGTTTTGGCTCTTTGAGGGAGGCCGGAGGCATGAGGTAGGCGGAGTGGAGGGCCTGCGGGAACGGCAGTAGAAGGGGCCGAGGCAGGGAGGCGGCCCTGCCGCTGTAGTCGTCGCTGCAGCGCTGCCTGCGCATCTTCTGCTGCTGGTGCTGGTGCGGTAAGAGGAGGAGCTTGGGCTGTGGACGGTGGTTGCTGTTGGGCTGCTTCCTGGCGTACCCATACGTTCCGCTGTCGTTGTTGCTGATGTGGGTTTAGCCGTTGATGGGGATTCGAGCCGTGAAAGGGAGGCGCTGTTGATCTAGGGACAGAGGTGGTCGTAGAAGGGCCTGGGGCAGTGGCAGTGGCTGACGGGCGGGCAGCTGAGGCCGGATCTGCTGCGGTTGCCGTGGAATGGAGGAGTAAAGTGGGGACAAAGGCATTAGTACCTGCGTAGACGCCTTCGGCTCAAGGTGGCCATGTGCAGCACTGATGGTGCGCTGTGGCAGTGTTGGGGTAGTTTACCGCACCTTGAAGCTGCCTGACGCCGTTTCCACAGGCAAATTTGCTTGTCGAGGTGCTTAGCGTAGGCGGCTTTGCGTTGATTGGGCCTGGGGCTGAAGGCTTCGTTGCCACAGGCTTCATTGCCACATTGGCGACGAAGCCTTCAGCCCTAGGCCCAATCAACGCAACGTCGCCTGGAGCGCTCCTCGCTGAAGCTGAGCCCCGTTGAAGGCCAAGTACTCCACCTACGCATATTAGCGCAAGTCCTCACTCGCAACGCGAGACAGCTAGCCGCTTCGTAAGCAAGGATTTCCCGACCGCTGCTCTCCTGACCTGCGCTTTCAACCACATCCTGCGGTCCAGAGATAGTCGTTCCAACACACGTTTCACTAGATAATCGAGGTCGCTTATGATGATGCATGGTACCACGTGTCGACTAGGCCTATCGGACAGTTGAGAGCAACTTGGTCATAGCAACGTATCTTGAACGCTAGGCATAACTTATGTAATACTGTGTATAGTAAACAGTTTACACTAGCCAGGTCGTTTACCACAGTACCAGTAGAAGCACAGTTCCTGCTCGGACATCCTATGACCTGTACTTGCGATTGCGCCTGAGTTCCTTTAACCAATCTTGTACCACCGATGACTCTTAGCAGGTAACTTCTAGCGGGCATTATGGCATGGCTCACACATTTGACACCTTGGTAACTCGCGCATCCATGCAGGTGCACGCCACTATACCCCACACACCTTCCCCTTAATCCAGTTCAAAAGGGTGCGGTTGCGCTGCTATCTGCTGTTGGAGCCCTTCTCAAGTACGTACGGTACATGCCATGCTGCCCTTCGACCGAAACGGTCAGGCATCCCCCCCTCCCGCTTCGCTGTATGCCAATTTCCTTTCATATGTCGTCTAGGCCTGCCCGCGGAGACCTTGTCGCCGTGGTTGGCGAAACCACTGGCGAATGGCTCCTTCCCTCCATCCGTGACCGCATGCAGCGGGATCCCGTTGGCCGGCTTATCCTAGCTGACCGTCCCCGAGTGACGGTAAGCACCTGCCCGCTCGCTAGCCTTAACCCTACCTTTCTTCAACACCGCTCTTCCCGCTCCAAACGGTGCCTTTCCAAGCCCGGATTCAACAGCAACATCTCTCCTCCTCCACAACCGCGACTCTCCTAAGAGTCCGAACCTGCTCCGCAACGCCAACCCCAATCTGCAGAATGCCACCGTGGACTACTGCCGTACACTGCCGCCCGACACCTTCGGAGCCGCCTACGCTCGCTTCATGGGCGATCGGCGCTTCTTAGCGGATGACCGGCCGCCTGTCAGGTGGGAAAAAGAAGAAGTCGCAATGTGTGAAAGCGTGTGGGGACAAAGCAGTAAAACTTATTACCGATACTCTCATGTTGTTAAGGAGTGAGGGAATCCGTAGGCGCAGCGGCAGGGCAGGCTGGAGGGGAGGCGTGTGAGGGTATGAGGGGTGCACTGGGGACGATGTGGGTCAGATGAAAACACACTCTGTACTGTGCCACCCTGCCGTCTCCTGTCCCCGTTGCTTTGCCCTAACCTGCGGTTTCCTATGGTGTGGTGTATGGTCTTTGCACCCTCCCCCCCCAACGCAAGGTTCGTGGAGGACGCGGAGCTGGCTTACGTGATCACCCGGGTTCGCGAGGTGCACGACTTCTGGCACACGCTGTTCGACTGCCACACCAATGTGTTCGGGGAGATCGCGCTCAAGGGGCTGGAGTTCGTACAGGTGTGAGGGGGGGGTAGAGGGAGAGGGGGGGTCAAAGACCATACCGAACCAGGAGAGTAGAGGTGGGAGGGCGAGGCGGCGGAGGGGCAGAGCATACCGGTAGATAGGACTCAAAACCCATTCCGAGTGGACAGGTTGGCGGCTACCGGTAAGAAGATGAACATGGCGTTCCGCGGCTTGTTGCAGCGTACCTCTTGGTAATGACGGGAAGGTACATACAAGTGGCGAGGGGGGCCACAGTCGGGCAGGTGGAAGGGACATGCTGACAACCCTCCGTACCCCCCCCCTCCCCCCTGCCAGACCGGTCTGCCCATGACGGGTCTGGCGGCCCTGGGTGCGCAGTACCGGCTCAGCCCCGCGGACCGCGAGGTGATGCAGCGCCAGTTCCTGCCCTGGGCGCTGCGGGCGGGCAGCCGCTGCTCGGACCTCATGTGCATCTACTACGAAAAACACTTCGAGGTGAGGGTAACAATAAGGAAAACTGACGAACTGAAAGACGGGGCTTCGAGGGTGGGGGTGATGAGGTGGGGGTGGTGATGAGGCAGAGGAAGCAGGGGAATGAGAGGGTAGTGCGCCTACCCGAGGGTATACCGGTTAGTCGAATGCGCCTACCCGAGGGTATACCGGTTAGTCGAATGCGCCTACCCGAGGGTATACCGGTTAGTCGAACTTCCTCCGTGTCCCCCGCAGCCCCGCCCTCGCCCTTCGCCTCCCACCAACCCCGCCACATGACTCACTGCATGAGTCGGGATTCGGGATTGGGATTGTGTTGTTGCACTTATTTATAATTTTCCCGCCAACCCCGCCCCATTCCTCTGAGTGCACGATTCGGTAGTCGCGTCTTCTATACCACTCCTGCCCCACTCCCACCCACCCTCCCGCGCGCCTGCTTGTCTGCAGGACAACCTGGAGCAGATGCGCCGCGAGTTCCGCATCATCACCGCGCCGCAGCCGCCCGAGCACCTGCGGTTCAAGGGACCCAAGACGCAACCACCACCGCAGCAGCAACAGCAGCAACAGACACAACTGCAGCAACAGCAACTACTACCGGTACTGCAGCAGCAGCAGCAACTACCTGGGACCGCCGGCACCGCCGCGGGGGCGTGATGCGGCACACATGACGTGATGTGGAGTGTGGGAAGGGCAGGTGTGTATTGTGAGGGAGAGAGAGAGGCGCGAAGGGGGCTTGGGGCGGAGGGAGGCGGGCGGGGACTGCGTCAGAGGGAAGGGTGCGTGGCGCGGCGGGGAGGAGCGCTTTGGACGAAGGGAACGAGGAGGGAGGAATGTGAGGGAGGGGAGAGATGACACAGAGTGTTTCCAGTAGGGTTAGGATTAAGCAGGGTTTAGAAGAGGAGTGATGGCTGATGGGTTAAAGGTGCGCACGTAACACACGCTGGTGTACATGATTTGACTTTCTGCTTGCTGCTTTCTCGGTAATACATTTCGAGCATGCGGCGGGTTGTACATGTACTGCACAGTGGTAACAGGAGCTGATGCTACCGTGTGCTGCCTGTTTGCGGGACATGACTGCGTGTTGGCAAGGCACATGACTGCCACCAATACCGGTACCTGCGGCGTAAGGTCTGATGTTGCTGTCGTCGGTTGGTGGGGGTCTGAAGTTGTACTCTACGTGGACAATGGAGGGACCTTACAAGGTACCAAGCCGTGCAATTTAATAACCTTGGTCAGCTGGACGGCACATGAACATATATGATACACCAGTGAGGGGGTCCTTGTACCGCATACAGCCCTTATTCCTGCATGACAGATATGGTCTTTGCATCGCACACGTTATGCTTGTCAATGCCACCCACCCATTAAAGGGCCCATCAGCTGAAGCACCCCTCCTTCAAGACACACACACAACCTAAAGGCCTCCCCACGAAAGCAGCTACATTGCGCATGTACCCTGGGAATCCATGTGCAGTCATCTCCACACCCGGTACCTTCCCGTCATTACAGCGCCCTAGTACTACCCCTCATACCCCACCAACTGGAAGCTGCTGCTGCTGCTGCCGTCCGTGCTGACCCCACTCCTCCTCACAAACCCTCCTCCTCCCTCCTCCCTCCCTCCGCTGAACCCCTCTCCCGCCTGCAAGGTGTGCTACTTCTTCGTACCTCTCTCCAGGCACCCGCCGAGCCTACAGCCACACCAATGCGCTGCACTTTTCCCGCTCTTCCTCCCTGCTGCTGCTCGGCCTCACGCACTGACCGCCAGGTTCCTGCTCTTGCACGCGATGAGCACCGCCTTGTAGCGCGCCACGTCCTTGGAGTGGTTGCCGCTGTTCAGGTTGACGAGCGCGTGGATCTTCTCCCAGGCGCTGCCCGAGGCGGGCACCTCCACCTCACGCTGGTGCGCGTCGGACTTGCGGTTGTTGGCCTTGCGGGTGGTCAGCGTGGTGCCGCGGACCTGCGGGCGGCAGGGGGGGAGGGAAGAAGAATACCCGATGAGGAGGGGGGAGAGGTAAGGGAGGGGCGGGAGAAGACTACTATCCTGGTAGCGATAGTGGCAAGGATAGTATGGTGGGAGGGGAGGGGAGGGAGTGACTCGTCATGCTGCAATAAGCAGCTTGGTTCCGCGGACCTACGGAAGGGAAAGATGCCGTATGGGGTTACTCGCATGAGTTGAACGAAGGGCAGCACACGTTGGCCGCAACAGGGTGCTCGAATGGGGCGGGCGGCTCAAAGACAAAAGTCGGGCACATGCCGTACGCACTTCCCACACGCCGTACACAGTTTTCCGCATGCCGTACCTCGTAGAACTTGGAGAGGTGCTGCGAGGCGGCGTCCTTGAGCTTCGCCTTGGCTGCCGCCTCCTCCGCGTCCTTCTTCTTCAGCTGGAGGAGGAAGGGAGGGCAGGGGAGGGGGCATGGATTGTACACAACCCTAACGCCAAGTCTGGGCATGTATGCGGGAGCGGGGTGGCCACCATGACCCGACTGCAACAGCTCCACGTATGGTCGGTCAGCGCACCCGAATCTCTCCTCACCCTCCGCCGCTACCCCGCGCATCTGTTTGCTAGGAGCCACGGACTGCAACCATGAGCCGTAGTTGACCAAGGCTACAGATCTGGAACGTGGATGCCTTCCCAGGAGACTCCAGAGGGCAAAAGATATGGAGTCTCCAAAAGAAAAGGGAGCGCAAGGCCTCACCACTTCAGCATTCTGCTTGCGCCACTCCACACGGGGGTCAACAACCTCGGGTGCAGGGGCTGGCGCAGGAGGAGCCGGGGGCTCGTAGTGCTGGAAGAAGGGCTCGTCGTTTCCGGCAGCAGCTGCGGCCGCCGGAGCATCGGTATCCGGGTAGCTGGGAGCAGGATCCTCCATGAAGATGCCCTCAGGAGCAAGTGGCAACCCCACAGATGCAGATGTCGCCGGGGCCGCTCCCCCAGAGCCACCAAAAAAGTCTTCAAGGCCGCTACCGTTCTCACCAGGGGCTGTTTCAGGGGCTATCGGTGCCGCTGGAACTGCAGCTGCGAAACTGTTGAAGTCATCCCCGCTGGGCGTTGCGCCCTGAAACTGCGGGCAGGAGGGCAACTACTTTGTAACATCCTATACTGTTGGCCTTCTGTCTTCAATTACTGCATGCTAAATCCAGGTTGATCGCAGATGTGCAGTCATAATCGACTCCTGGGCTCCCGCATGCATCCAAAAAAGACCCAACAAAGCAACTGCAACGTCTTCAGCGAACCCCTTCTAAGCAACAGTACAACAGTAATTCATGCTTGCCTGAGAATCGCCAAAATCCATGTACACTGTTATCCAGGTAGGTCAAGGAAAATGATCGGAGGTTGGGTCCACCGGGCTGGAACCTAGTAGATGTGTTAATAAGGGAAACGATTTATGGTAGCTTTAGGCAGTAGTATCGGCACACACAAAGGATGCACGGGGTTGCGTTCGCGAATGACGTGCACCTGCTCGTCGTACGTTACGCGGCATGCTATGCAAAGCCATTACTAGCACCGCCAAGCTATAGTTCGGCTGTATACTCTGTTTTACACTATTTTGCGAGATGGGGTCACATGACGAAGCGCAACAACCTGATGCCACGCAGCGGGAGCGCTGGCTGCAGGAGCAGGTGCAGAGCTTGACGCAAGAGGTGAGCTCCAGCACTCTGCCTGTGAAGCAATGCCGGCAGTCTTACTGCTTCCGGTTAAGTAATTAAAGCCTTAACCCGTTCCCTGTAGCTGCACTGCCGCCCTGGCCACCTCCAACAAACATTCCTGAGAGCAACGAAGGCAACCCTGGCCCTGACCAGCTGCACTCCGCCACTTGAGCCTCTTTCCCTCTTTCCCTCCTGCCGCTCTGTGTTCTTTCCTGCCCCTCCGTACCATCCCTAACCACACATTCTCCCTCCCTGACACCCCTGACCCCTTCCATAGGCCTTTTCCCCTCGACTTCACCACTCACATCGCACTCCCAACCCCTACCCGGCCGCTAACCACACTCGAAAGCCTGACCATACCTCCGCAGGTTGCCGCGCTGGAGACCAAGCTAGGCGACCTGCACGCAACAGACCTCATGAGCGTCAGGTCAGGCAGGCGGATGCGACATGCATGACAACAACACCGCAGCGACCCATGGGACGGTCCGCCATTAGCTGCGCCAGCACATGCTTCACATCCCGGCTCCCACTAGGCTGGCTGTTCCTGTGACCCATGGGTCAACAAAGCCATGAATCCTTAGGCCTCATTGCCAACCGGTGCATTCCTGTCGAGTTCCTCGCCGCACCCCATATATGTACCCTGCCTTGCTTGCAGACCTCGACACTAAGTTGAAGTCTGAAGGGCTTTGAAGTCCGACCTCCTGCCCTGCCCTGCCCTGCCCTGCCCTGCCCTGCCCTGCACAGACGCGCCTACAAGAGCTTGGCTCAACACGTTCAAGCGCTGGACGTGGAGAGCAAGGTGGGTGGGCTAAAGAGGAAACAACTAACTGACCGTGCAATACGGTAAGGTGGGTGGGGTGATGGATAGAATACACCATGTTTCTAATGGTGTTAAACAACCCTAGCTGATCTGATGGAAGTAGCCTCTAAGGTGGGGTGAGGGGGGGATGCGGCAGGTGGAGGCAGATTCAGACACATACGGCGTGTGGTTAGGTTCCCCAGGTTGCTGGATCGCGTCTACGGCAATACAAACGTTAGGGCTTGGGGATTTAGGTGCTTCAATCTTCCTTTCTTCATGCTCCTCTTCCCTTCTCCCGCCTCCCCATCCCCTGTAGCACCTCCCGGCGCTGCTAGAACGCGCCACCGAGCCCTCCATCACGCCCGACTTCGTGGCCACACAGACCAGCCGGGTTGCTGCCGCCACCGCGGTGGTGTACGCGCTGGGCCGGCTGCTTCGAGGCCTGCGGGTCAAGGTAGCGGCTGGGGTCCCATTTAGGTCCTCACGTCGCCCTTACGTCTGCGGGCTGTTAACATACCGGTAGCGTCGCATGTGCATGTGCATGGCTGATGCGCGATGGATTGCGATAGATTTGCAAAGGGTGGTCCCCTACCGCACCGTTACGACACGCCTCACCGTCAGTGTTGTTGCTGCGAGTTGGTCCTGCTCCACTGCCATCCCATCGCCAAACCGCAACCACCGCAACCACCACCACAACCACCACAACCACCAACCGCTGCATGCCGTACAGGACGCGGGTCCCATCACAGCGCTGTTGGCGCTGCTGGGTGCGGGCTACGTGGGTGTTCGGGCGCTGGTGGCCACTGTACGGCGAGTGGGCGGTACGGCAGTACGGCGGCAGCGGGCTCGGGAGGAGCTGGCGGGGGATGTGGGGGCGGTGCTGGAGAGGATCCGGGTAGGTGGTTGGGGCTTGGGTGGTTTGGAACGAGGGTGGTGTGTGCGGAGAATCGGGGCCGTGAAGGAGGACATGGTGCGTGATGGTCCCATTCTCCTCTGGCTTTAACTTCCCTATGGGTTACCGCAACGATATACATACACCACCATGGCACCACCGGTTTCCTGGGTTACCCCCCTTCCTGGTTCCTGCTCCGTCCCACTCCAGGTCATGGCCGACCTTGCCGAGAGCGGTCTGCGACTGCACCACATGCACCCCTCCCAACAGAAACACAGCCAGCAACAGCAGCACGCCTCAACCTCCACGCAGCAACAGCGGCAGCAGCAGCCGCAGCCGGGGCGGTCGCAGCAGCGTGGGGAGGCTTCAGGAGGGGAGCATGAGGGCTTGGGAGGGGGGACATGGCCTCGGCCGGGGGTCGCGGCGAGTGACCCTGGGCTGGTGCTGCTGTGAGGAGGCAGGAGGGACGGGGGAGAGTACGACAGACGAGGGAGGAGGGAGAGGTGGGGTGCCGCGTGTGTGTGTTTTGATGGGGGGATAAGGTGCAGGAAGCGGGGTGTTGGGTTGTGTTACATGGTTGAAAGAAGAGATTGAGCGCTGCAGGGTATCAGGCGGGACACATCGGGAACCCATGGGTGGCGGGTTAAGAAGACTTTTAGGATTGTAAGGGAAGGGGACGAATGGAGAGGCGGGAGGCACGTGCAAGGTGTTTAGGGAAGTGGGTTGTCTTTTAGCGCTATCTAGCGTACAACTGCTTACGAAGCTCTGAGTAGAGGGGCAATGAGGCATCCCGTCGGGGGATTGTTTGGATGGCCCTTAGCTGTGTGAAAGGGCTCGGCGACTGTCGTGCAGATCACAACTTTGGCGACCGTTGGCGATGTTAGGTTTGCGTGGTGAACATTTGGGCTCCTGTTTGTATAGGTCCTGCCTTTCGTCACAGTCTGTCGGCCTCCTTAACCTGTGAGCCGGGGTGTAGGTCGCCTCGTAATTCATCTGTCGTGGTGGTTGCAAAGGAACCAACCTGCAGCAGGTACATTTCAACCTAGCCCCCTCTGCGAGACAACGCTTTGAAACGCAAAACCACGTTTGTATATTTGGCATGATTCACGATGGCTCCAAGCAACGCTAAAGGCGCTCTCGCGGCGAGTCCATTACCTTGCAGAAAGCGAGCTGCGGCTTAGTCCTTCTTCTCTTTACCAACCCCAAATATGTAAATGTATTAATTGCGTCTTGCAGGTAGCTGGTATCTGCATTTTCGTCGGTGCAGCTCTTTACCCTATAGCCGTTGTTCCGCTAAAGAGCCGGGAGTTGAAGGAGTGCCGCGAAGCCGAACCGGGGTTCAAGAAGAAGGGTGCGTAACGTTGCCAAGTTTTGTTTTGTAGCGCTTGCTCTGGCTGATGCGGTGGGTACGTGCCCACGCATTGGCGTCTGCTTAGCGCCCCAAGCGTATACCAAACGCTTGCTTAACAGGCATGTGGAAGGCGCTTGAGGAGTATCGCAACTAAGCAAAGGCGTGCGCACCTTGGGCGGGGCTTGAATTGCCAACCCCGCTAGCAAGGATTGCGGAGTCGTCCAGCATGTCGCGCGGCAACGTCATACATCAGCGGCTGCTCCAGATAGGTCAAATGGGCACGTTGCAGCTGCAGGGCGGCTCATCTGGCCTGGCTGCAGGGTTATTACGTAGCGCTGGGTTTCGTCAATGGACACCACTTCTTCAGCTGCAGGCCAGCGCCAGAGGCATGGGAACAGGTGCGTTTGGAGGTTTTGGGAGGATTGTCTGAAGAGCTATCTTGAACCCCAGACGGGCCACGGGTCATCTACACCCCCTTCTTTCTCCTCTTTTCCTTCCTGCGTGGATGTAGGTGTGTCAGGGATGCCGGACAAGACGCTGACTAAGGCTCGGCGACTGGCGGTTGCGGTTGGGGCGCTGGCTGGCGTGTTTGGGAGCCTTGTTGGGGTGGGCGGCGGGGTGCTAATATCGCCCATCATCGCCAACATCTGCAAGTAAGCATGTGCCGGTTCCCTGGGGACAGACCCCTGTGACACGACTGAGCCGCCCTTTCCACCTATTCATGTCAACCAGCGGCGAATCTTCCGCCCAGCATTAAAGCCAGGGTATCCCCACATGTGGTTACCATGCTCTTGCCGCTACACCGCCGCAGCGTCGTAATACATGCATACCCCCTTTCCCTGCCGTACAGGAGCATACCGCAGCGTGTCATCTCTGGGACTTCCCTCGCCGCCGTCGCCGCCACCGGCAGCGCCGCTGGCTTCGTCTACTGGTCCAGCGGCGCCGTCGACCTCACCTCCGCCGCCCTAATCGCCGCCGCCGCCGTCGCCACAGTTCCCCTGGGTGCGCGCGCCACACACGCCTTCGATTGCTCCATGCTACGTCGGCTGCTGGCCTACTGGTTGTTCCTGGTGGCTCCGCTGGTACCCTTGAAGCCCTACCTGCAGCAGACGTACGCTGGGTCGGGACCCGCCGGCGTGGAAGCAGCAGCAGCAGCAACGCCTGCAGCGGCGGTGGCAGCGGGTCCGGATGCAATGCCGTCGTCGTCGTTCCTGACGTCATCGCTTTGGCGGCCGCTGCGCGGTAGTGACGGCGTGTTGCTGGCTACGGGCGCGATTGCGGGTTTTGCATCGGGGCTGTTGGGTATTGGCGGCGGGTGAGTGGCGGGTGGCGTTGGTACGGGCGGCGTTGGTGCATACGGTCTCAACTCTCAAGAGGCGCTGATGCCCCACGTTTGGTCTGTATTGCCTGACGTTATTCAGAACTCCTACATTCGGCCGCAACGCCTTGCGTCCCTCCTATTCGGTTCTACTCTTCTCATAGTTACCGGTACCTTCGTGATACCCCTTGCCTCTCTTCCCGCACAGCACCGTCGTCACGCCACTACTCACCATGGCCACGGGCCTGCCGCAGCTGTCGGTGCTGGGCACCTCGCTAGCCGCAATGGTTGTCCCCTCGCTGCTGGGGTTGCGGCAGCACGCGCGGCTGGGCAATGTGGACTGGCGCATGGCGGCGGGGCTGGCGGCGGGTACCCTGGCGGGGGGCGCGGTGGGGGGGCGTGTGGCGCTAGAGCTGCCTGAAGGACTGTTGGAATGGGTGTTTTGCTTCGGGATGCTGTTTCTGGCGCGGAAAACGTTGGCTGGGGCTGGAGCTGCGGGGAAGCAGGCGGCTGCGGCGAAGGTGGTGGCAAAGGCTCAGGGTGTGGTGAAGGCACCGTAGGACACGTGATGGGTATTGTCGCATGCATAGTGCCGGCCGGCCGGCCGGCATAGTGCATGCCGGCGGAGTGTAGCCTGTACGATATGGGATTGGATTACAAGGGACGGCGGCTAGTAGCACCGATGCAACACAACACAACTCCAGCAAACCCCGTTGCTTCACACGTCCACGACACATTGTGCGTGTAGCGTCGCCATGACAGTTAAGAAGCCGTAGAGTGTAGTGGAGTGGACCGGCCAAGTTTTGTCCCATATAAGCACCTGCTCCCTTGCAGTATGTATGTAAACAGTGTCCAGGACTCCCACGGGTTGGCTATGTTGGGCCCCGGTAACTCATGCATTGATGCCTTACTTGGAAATATGGTAGCATCGAGTTGTGAGGGCAGAGTTCTGGGCGTCCTCTTGCCAACGATGATTGCGCCGACCCTCACAGCAAAAAGACGCAGCACGCTTGGCCACCCGTTTCCAGCTGGAAACAACACTCACTCTAAAGAGACGTGCGAGGTTGGCCAAATGAAGAAAACACTGCATGCCATATTTCCCACCGGAACCCGCTCGCAAAAGACTCGTTATATTTTCACATGCACACCGAAGCAACACATCTCCACGACAAAAACAATGGCGCAACAGCGACGAGTTCCGACCGCACATGCCGCTTCTAAAGCGGTTAGCATACCACACGGCCGTCAACGGCCCGTGGCATCGAGTATCAGCAACAACCTCAGCGTATGTGCAAACACCCCAACGCTCCCCAATGACCTCAGCTTTGTGGCCGGTCCTAATAAGTGGCCCGCACGCTACCTGGGATTGCCGCCAGTGGTCAGTCCATGACCGCATAACGTTCTCTATCAACTGTACAGTCTAAACGCGTAACTACGCGCTGCCGCCTCCATTCCTTAACCGCACATCCCTCCCGCCCTAACGTGCTCCCCTGCTCCGCAGCTGATGTCCTGACGCCTGCTTGAACCCCTCGACGTCCAGGATTGCGGCCAGAAATGCGTGCCTCGTTGACCACGCCCCAATCCCAGCACCGCCTTCTCCCGCCGCTGTAAGAAGTACAAACCACACCATATACCTAAAGCTGCCTGCGCCCTGCGCCTGCCGGCTCGCCTAGCCCCCTTGCAGCAACACCGCAGGCGGTGCTACCAGCAGCAAGCCGGACCGGCGCGGGCGTAGACCCGTACAACCAACGCCGCGTCCTCCTCCAGTAGAGCGGGGGATTGGACGCGTCAATACACCATACTGCTGCGCTGCGGCCTTGCTCGGCCGCGGGGCCAGACGCGGCGTGGTCATCTGTACCGGCTCCATGCAGCAACCGTCGATGCACCATCCCGCTGCATCAGTAGGCTCCACACCAGTAACACACACAATTCGATTCCCACTGGTTACCCCTGCATAGGCTGTAGCACCCTTCCCCTTCCATCCGCAGTGTGCTAGACGCCCACACGCAGCGATGACGCCTTAAGTTGGGGCGAAGCTGCCAGGTATTGCACAAGGAAAGTGCTCACACAGCCCGCCAGAAGCGATCGCTCCCACGGCAATCCAGGCGCTCAATGCAGGCGCAGGCACACCGCATGGCTGAGCGCCTCTAGGCCGAGGCCGCGTGGTCGCATGCGTACAGCGCCTGGCGTGCGTAGAAGCGCACGTCCATGTCCTGGTCCTCGCACAGCTCCAGCAGCACCGGCTTGATGGCCGACTCCATCACGGAGCGGCTCACCAGGCCCGCCAGCTTCTCCATGATCTTAGCCACGTTGAACTTGACGTTGGGAACCTACGGTGGAGGAAAGGCGGGAAACCGGTGGGTGGTCCGCTGAGTAAAAGGTGCCCTTGCGACGCGCCTGGCGACATGTCCTGTCATGTCTGTTCCTTTTGGGTCTGTACGCCCGGAAGCGCAGCTAAAAGTGACTTGACTAGACAGGACTAGATGCCAAAAATGTGCGGAACCGGCCAAGCCAACGGTAACACCCGCACGTCCACAGCCCAACCCAGCGCCCCCCCCACCTTGTCCTTCGCTGCCGTGGTGAGCACCGGCAGCATGAGGTTGCACAGCACGTCCTGGCTGACAATGGTGGCCAGCATGGAGATGGCGACCAGCACCGTCATGCGGTACAGGTAGTGCGGGTTCTTAATCAGCGCCAGCACGTTGGGCACCAGGTGCTCACGAGCCCAGTCGGGGCCAAACTCGGCGGCCACCTTTTGCAGGGTGCGCGTGGCTGCCTCGCGGATGGAGGCCACCTGGGGGCCCACGGGGAATGCTGGTCAAGTGCAAAGCTGCAGGTGGCCTGGGTGCTAGTGCTCGTTTGCTCTTAATGCTGCTCATGGTGCTTAGGAAAGGTGGCTTCACGCCTATCTACGCGACCCAGCGGTGCCCACGGGGACAAGTTTGGCCAGGTCCTGCTTATGGAGCCTTATGGCACGCATTTTCCACGGCTGTTCCCCCTTGCCCCGGTGCGCGGCCATGCCCTTTCCTTGCAATCCAAAGCCACACCCCGTCCCCGTTTACCTGGTCCTCCAGGCTCTTCATGCACTGCGGCCCCAGCTTCTCCTGGAAGAAGTCCGGCCCCAGCTGGCTGGCTAGCAAGGGGATGTGCTCCACAATCGCCAGCCGCACACGCCAGTGCTTGTCCTCCGCCAGCTCCTCAATCGCTGGGAGCAAGCTCTGGGCCAGCAGGTCAATGCCAATGACCTGGTTCACCTGTGGATGTTTCGAAGGAGGAGGAGACTTAAGAAGCGCATGCTTGCTTAGCAAGCTAGGGATGAGTTTCAGCAGCACCACCAGCATGGTGCGTTGGGTATCGCAACGAACCAACCCCAGTGGCACATTCCCCGTGTGAAACCACACATGGACGCCGAAAGCGTTTTCAGACCCCAAAAGACAGCGCATGCACGCACCTGGTCAAGCTTGCTGATCACGTTCAGCCGGACCTCCGGGTACACATCCTTCAGCAGTGTGAGGAAGATGGGCACCAGGTGCTCAATGGTGAGCTGCTTGCCCAGCACCGGCGCCATCTCCATGACCACGCCTGCCAGCGCCGCGCGCACGTATTGGCTGCTGTCCATGCTGAGCTCACGCACGCAAGGGATGATGCTGGTGACGATCTGCTGCACAGTCAGGAGCTTTGAGAAGGCTGACACCTTGCCGGCTGCCGCGACCCGCACCTCCGCCTCCCCATCGCGAAGCAAGCGCACAAAGTTGGGCGTGAGCTCCATCCTACGTGAGTGGGCGTGGATATGCAGAACTATTGCCCATGTCCAGAATGGTATAACAGGCTGGTGGTTGCTTGGGGTTCTGAAACGATCATGCAAGCTAATCGTAGCTACGATACCTTTCTATTGCAACTTTCTATATCAAGGGATGAGGGCTGGGCAAGTACTTAGGAGGAGGTTTGGGCAGACGCTAGCAGCGGGCTTCTACAAACGTTGCCCACAGAGCGAAGAACAATAGTCCATTGCTATCGCATAATTATAACCTATCAATTATAACCCTCCGCTATGTTTCGCATTGCACACAGCTACATCAACCAACCTGGTCACTTCTGTGCCGAGTGCCTCGCACAGCTGAACCAGCTGCTGGGCTACGTTATAGCGAACGCGCCACGACTTGTCCTACACATTTAGGACAGCGAGCATAATGAAGTTGGGAATGCAGCTCAAGGCGAACGCCTTTCAAAAAGCCCCGTTGATGCTACACGCACCTGCGCGAACTTGTGGACGATGGCCAGCAGGTTGCTGGTAGCATCTGCTTGCCCCAACGCCAAGGCAAAGGCGCCACAGCTCTCCACAGCAAGCAGGCGGACCGAGTCTTGGTCTGCAGAAAGGGCACATGTCTAAACAACGACCGTTAAGACAGCAAGGAAAGCAGCTTCCCTACCATCTTGTGTTAGATCCGTGAAAAGCGGCATCAGCTCTCGGCTGCAGTAGTCGCGTTCCACGACCTTGGCAAACCCGCCAAGCTTTTGAGCAGCCGCCCTCCGCACCATAGGCGTTTCGTCGCGGCAAAGATTGGCATAAAGCTGCCTCAGCTCTGCCTTCAGCATGGGGGTGCATCGCGGGTACGCTGTCGCGAAGAGGCCGCACGCCGAGACGCGCGAAGTGAACCATTCCCCAGAGCCCAAACGCTGCGGTCATTGGGAAGGGCAATGATAAGCAAAAGCCCCGGTGGGCTGCCAGATCAAATAAAAGACGTTTCCTACCTTCAGAATAGGCACAAAGTGCTCGCAAGCGTGGCTGTCCGGCATGGTCGACCCCACTTTGCTGAGCGACTCCACCGCCTTGTCCCGCACCACCGTTTCCTCTACTGTTGATAGCGTCTCCAGAAGTGGCAGCAGCAAGTATGCATACTGTGGCCCTCCTACGTAGGGAACGAAGTTTCCAAGCTGCTCCGCTTGAGCCAGCAGGACTTCGTCCTCATCGTCGACATTTTCGCTAAGGAAAGGAATGAGCTCTGCCCGCGTTCGCTCCTCGCCCAATGCCTGTGCTATGAGCCCAAGCCTGCTGATAGAGTTTAAACGACGAAGAGGCTCGTCGCTCTTGAGCTCATCTCTGCACAGCAGCAACAACGCGATCAGCCCGGGACTCAGGCCCAAGAAAGCCTCCTTCACGGCTAATGCTGCTCAGGTCTTAAGGCAACTCTGCTTGTGTAAAAACGGTAGCTTACATGAGGATTGCAATAGGCAGCAAGCTGTCGTCGGCGGCCATTCTCAGAGCAACTTCTAAAATATGCAGCTAAAGCATGTCCTGATACGTAACTACTAATCTATGCTGGGGAACGCCCGAGAACCTAACAGGGAAGGCGGTGCCCTGAACTGGGAAGGGCTCCCCTAAGAATACGGCACAGCCTCGTACGTTTCTTTTGAGCTTGACGATTCACGTGTACAGCTTAACATGCACACCGTGTTTAATGGGAACCGAATAACACCTTTAGCCGTTCTTCAATTGCGCCTACGTCATTTGTAACATCCTTGCCTTCTGGGTACACTCCTTTAGGCCCTTCAGTGCCCCATTGTGCGCGCTTACAGCGGCCGGCTTGTGAACATAAACAGCAAGCATCGTCCTAGGCTGTAAACCCATTCGGCCCCCCAACCTTCAACAGCGCAGTAGCTACGCCCGCCATAGCAGCCAGCCCAGCGCCTTGGAAGGAACAGCAGCACACAGCGTGCCACCATGACGGAAGAACGGCGTGTGGACTTGGTGCGGATTGTGAGGTGAGCACACGCGGCCACAGGTGGCACGGTTTGCCAGGGCTTAGCATAGCTGCCTAACCAGGACCAGGGCCCCTACTTCCCAGCATACTTCCCCATGCATCAACACGCACCCTCACAACAGCGCCACACCCTTCTTCCTTACATGGTCTATCTCCTGTCTACATGCTGACAAATAATGCCGATGTATGTTCCAAACCCCAACCCTGCGTGTTTCTAGGATAGTGTCTCCGTATGCGCTCACTGCATGAGTCGGGATTTGGGATTGGGACTCCGTTGCTGCACTTCATCTCTATATTCCTCCCCCCCCCAACCCCTCAGCGAGGAGCGCTACTACGATCGAGAGGCGCTGCTGGGTCGCGACACCTCCTCCGTCTTCCCCAGCCTCTCCCGCCAGCAGCAACAGGAGGCGGAGGGCGGAGGGCTGGCGGGGCTGTCAGCGGAGGCCATCCAGGAAGCCATCGGGGCGCGCAAGTTCATTTCGGAGAGCGAGGTGGGAGGCGACGAGGGGGACGAACAGTAGTGGCGACGACAGGGACGAGTACGCGCGATATGCATGCATGCTTGCCTGCTGCGTTCCTTGGGGCTGCTCGAACGGTCTCTCCTCTTCCCTAGTGCCACCCTCCACCGCGGCTTAGCCCACCTACTCCAATCTTTACCCAGTCACCACCTCCTCCTCAATCACCACCGCCGCCTCCCGGACCCAGTTGGAGACCCTGCGCGCCACTCGCGGTGTGACGGCGGATGATGGAGCGGTGGCAGCGGACAAGCCACTGGCGGAGATCCTCAGAGAGCGGAAGGTGCGTGAGTTGGGGGGGCCAGGAAAAGGAGGTTTGGAGTTGAGCTGGCTTTCCAACTATCAACCAACAACCAAGGTGCTGACTGATGGGGGAGGGGTAGAGCAAAGGCTGAGTGGGGTCGACGCCCGCACAGCACAGCAGCGGCACAGCAGCGGCACAACGCAGCACAGCTTGAATAGCATCCTAGCAACGCTAATGCTCGCTCTAGTTGCGGCGATGCCTCTCGCCTCCTGCCTGGCCGCGGGTCGGTCTCCTCCCTTACCTTGCCGCTGTCTGTCTTGGTCCTACTCTCTCTCCCCGCCGCCTCTCACCCATGCTTGCACCACATGGTAAAGCTGTGTCATGCCGCTTGTCGGTCTCCTTTCGCGACTTGCTCCCCCCCTCTCTCTCTCTTCCTCCGCCTCCATCCGTTCCGCAGGCTGCCAAGGATGCCGAGCACGCGGAGAAATGGCGGCTCATGAAGGTGGGCGGGTGGGTGAGCCACACAGCTCGCAAAACAGGACTGCGGTTGCACTACTCGATCCATGATCCACGAAAACCCCAACCCAGCTCGCATCCCATTCATTCGGTCTGGTTTCTGTCTGGCCCACAAAATCTTCCTTGCTCCCCTTCGTGTTGTGCGCATGTCGTACAATGCGTCATGCACCTGCTGTACCTCCCCAGGTTGGCAAGAACCGGCCTCTGGACCCCGAGGAGCTGCAGTTCCTGGACTGTGTGGCCGCTGCGGAGGCGGAGCGGGAGCGGCAGTGGCAGCAGCTGGAGAGGGAGGAACTGGAGGCGTTCAAGGCGGTGAGCGGGAGGGGAGGGGAGGGGAGGAGGGTAAAGAAGAATACCCAATGGGAAGGAGGGGAGAGGGAAAGGAGAAGGAAAACAATGCGTTGAATGGTAGGCTTGGTGAGGGAAGGGAGACGAGGAAGCGAAGTGTGGATGGGGGGTTGGTAGGGAGGGTCGTACGGAAGCAAAGTTGTGAAATATGGCTGATGGTGGTTGTGTCTTTAGGGTACTGTGTGCCCCACCCTGGTACGACACCTGCAGGCGCTGCGGGAACGTTCTGCGGAGCCGGAGGCGGGGCTTGGGTCGGAGGCAGAGCCGCGGCAACGACCCATGGGTCCGGCAGTCAAGGTGGGTTGGGGAATGTGTGGCGGGAGGCTGCCTGTTCCTCGTACCGTCGTGCGCGCCTTCCTGTGTTTCATCGTTTGATCCCACTCACATGGTCCCCGCAGGCCGACCCCCGGGTTCCATCCGTCGCCGCCGTTTCCACGGCCTCCTTACTCCTGCCCAAGCCCACCATTAAAGTCAAGCCCAAAACGGTGCGGGACGCTCAGGACGGTTGGAAGAAATCGGTTACCGGTATTGCTCCCATTGCCCCCAGCGGTGCTTGCAACTGCCGTCTCATGCTTGTTTCCTTGCTCCTGTGCTGCTGACCGGCACGCCTCGTATCTGTTAGGACTGTTACCCCATTCGTCACCTCTTGCCGCATGCTCTCCCTCCTGCCGCATGTCTCTCCACGCACGCTCACCATGCATGTGTCTTTCCGCGCGCCATTGCAATTGCCTCCCCAGGCACCCCTGCCATCAGCTACTCAGCCATCGTCAGCAGCTACTGCGGGTACGGCAGCGGCGGGTACGGCAGCAAAAACAGCGCAGCCCGGGGCCTCAACGGCGTCGGCAGCGAAAAGCGCAACTGGGTCAAACGCGGCGGCCGCTGCCGCGAGCTCCTCAGGAGCCGCCTCTTCGGCAGCTGAAGAGCCGCCCAGCAAGCGTGTAAAAGTAGGGGATGAGGAGGCTGGAGGGCAGGGGACGGGAGGGCAGGGGGCGCAGGGCAAGGGAGGTGCAGAGGGCAAGGGGAGTGGAGATGGGGGGTTGTTGGGGTTGATTGGGGATTATGGATCGGGTGACTCGGATGCTGATGACGAGTAATGGAGGAGGAGGAATTGTGGTGGTTGGGTGCTGTGTTGGGCGGCGGCTAGGAGGTTGCGTGCTGGAAGCATTTGCGGATGAGGGGTACCGGTATGGAGACGCGATGTGAAACACCTGGGCCGTGTAAAGAAAGTATAAGTCATTAACTGCGTACTCATCTGGGACAAGTTACAGTCTATGTCATCAGTCGCCGCAGAATGACGCGGATCAGTAAGCTGCCGCGTATTGGTTCCGTACGGCGGTTGGAATGTTCTCCGCTCCGGCAGCTTACTATGGCTGATCACAACGTGGAGGTTTGTGCGACATACCAAGAACGATCTTGCTCAGCTTGTAGGACGGCTCGCAAAAGAGTCGTGGCAAGGAGACGGCCTAGAAACATTAATCTTGTGCTAGCGCACTAGGTATCTTTCCCTTCTCTGTATCGGCTTATCACGTACACACCTGCTTGTTTTTAACCCTTTGCGACAAGCATCGGCCACGCGATGATGCAAGCACCGTTGGCTCTACCGTCGAGATCCAGGTAAGGTTCTCTCAATACTAATGTGGTTTTTAAGGCCCAACTGCGCCTGCTATGATCGGTTGGAGTCTGGGTTCGCGGCGCTATAACGCTCGTCCTCTCTGCATCACCTCGTCGCTTCTGCGTGCCCGAGGCCGTTAAGACGACGTTAAACAATTCGATGATGTCCTTATTCCTTCTGGTGTTATCGCGCCCTCAAAAGCTTCCTAGCAGTGCTTGGTAGTGGCGATACGGCCTCCCATGTTTTTAACATCCCTACCCACCACTTCTGTGTCCTTCCTTTGCGCGCCTCCAGCCATGTCCTTCGGCTGAGGACAACCTCAACAACTCCATCACTCCCCGCAGCCGTCAACCTGCGACGCTCCCACCGTCTCCCAACACCCCTCAAAGCCTCCACAGACACCTCTTCAACCTCCGTCGACGCCCCGGGTCATGGCCCCACGCTCCCTCTCACCCCAGCCCCAGCTACCGCCGCTGCTGCAGCTGCCGACGCCGCCGCTGCTACTGCTGACGTCAGCACCACGACAACTACAACAGCCGCACCACCCGACAGTACGACAACGCCAGCAGCAGCAGCAACAGAAACAGCTCCCATTCCGCCGACCGCAACAGCGACTGCAGCTGCTGCCTTGAACGAGAACTTCACAGGCGACATGCTACAGCCTTCGGTGATCAACTCGCCGTACGTACGGGCAGCTAGCGTTGTGGCGGCTGTAGCAGCCGTGGCGGGGTCTACGATGCTACTGCCGAATGCGGTGGGGGCGTTCCTGCATGTCTCAGCCTATGGTGGGTCCCGTATCAAGTTGTGGACGACGGACATGAAGCTTATGGCCCCCAAATCTGAGAGCCAGGGCTATTGCCACTATGTTTCCCACAACTCGCCTGCATCCCCTCTCTTTCCACCTCACGCACTCGGCAGGAACTTGTCGTCGTGTTTGCCATCATCATGCAAAACACATTGGGTAATGTTCTTCCTCAGCCCCCCTCCCGCACTTATCATTTATCTTCCCCCCCCCACAGCCATCCTGCTGGGCACTCAGCTGTGGAACACCTTCTTTGTGGGCATCACCATGTTCAAGAACCTGCCGCGACAGACCTTCGGACGCGTGCAGGCCAAGCTCTTCCCGCAATACTTTGCGCTCACCACAGGTGTGTGCGACTGTGGATACACCGCATGCGGTTCATGAGCCACGAGCGGTTTAATGCGGAGCAGGGAATGCTACCGGGACTAGCGCATTGCCCTGAACTGGGCCGTGAAAGGATGTATACACTCACCGCGCCCGCTCACCCCTCACGCCCCCCCCCGCCCCTACCTCCCCACAGGCGCCAACCTCATGGCCCTGGCCACCCTGTTCCTAGCCGGCGCCGCCAGCACCGCCCCGGGCTTGCGGGCGCTGGTGGCGCTGGGTGTGGCGCTGGCGGGCACGCTGGTCAACTGGCTGTACATCGAGCCCATCTGCACGGGCCTCATGTTCCAGAGGTGGGTGCGTGCGTGCGTGCATGATAAGAAAACTGGCCGTGTGTGCGGAGGCTGCATGCGTGGGGGGCCGTTGCGGACGGATGGGTGTGTTGATCGGTGGTTTGTTTGTCGGAACTTGACATGCATGGGCTGGCAACCTGGCATGGGTGCGGAAAGAAAGTGAATGTTAGGAGCTTTAAGCACGCACGCATGCCACTACCGGTCTACCGTCTAGCTGCTGTGACCTGCTGGGTCGGAACTGAAGGCATCCTCTGTATGTGTCCCGGTTTGTAAGTAGCGTTTGTACGACTGTGTACGGTAAATGTACGGCTGGCGTACGACATGTGCAGGTACGACATCGAGAACCAGGCGGAGAAGACGGATGCGGACAAGGACCGCATTGCGGCTCTTTACAAGCAGGTGCGTGTGCGTGAAGTCTTTGCGGGTCGCCTGATGAGTAATAGCCTGCGGGCCATGACGGCTGAATCTGGGCACCCCCCAGTTCGTCAGTTTTCCTTGTTTTTACCCCCCCTTCGTCACAACCCTGACGACGTTGTGTTTCCCCTACTTGTTTTGCCACCCGCTGCATACTGCTACATGACTGTAATTGTATGACGCCCATAAACCAGCCGCAATGGTAATGATTCCCTACCTCCGCACCCACTGCGCACCCCCGTCCCGCCCCCAGTTCGGCAAGTGGCACGGCATCAGCAGCCTGATCAACCTGGTTGCCTTCTGCGTGGCGGTTTCACACGGCTGGTTCCTGGCCTCACTGCTGGTTATGTACTGATCGGCGTCTGTTGAGATGACAGGGGCTGGACCAAACCCTTGAGAGGGATCCCTTGAGCGGGGCAGGGTAGGTGGCGCCACACTTGGCCTGAGCAGGAGAGCGCATGAGACCTTGAAAGCGGTGGCAGGGGGCTCGGATGGCCCCGCCGCCCTGCGCCCTCGAGGACAGGGGTTGCGGGTTATGGGGTTTTCCTGGACTGCCGCTGTGTAGATATGCGATGAAGAGGGTGGAGGTTGTGGGCAGCCAGGGCCGTTGTTTCGTTGCTAGCGCAATTGCTATCGCTGATGTTGCTGATGGATTTGCTCAAGAGCTTGTTGATGCTTTTGGCTGAGCGCGAGTTGGTGCGTTTTGTGTGGAGGTGAGGTGAGGAGGTAGCCGGCAAGGTCGTGGAGTGCAGGAGACGTGGGGCCTTGATGGTAGCTAGGATGTTGTTGGCGTTTAGAGGTTGTTTGGCTGAAGGCATGTTGGAGGCCGCATGGAGCGTGGAATGGTGGCGTAAGAAGAAGCAGGACTGTTACCGGTAGGTGAGGAGGTCTTGGATGACTGTTAGGTGGGCCAGGGAGTGACAGTGGAGTGTAGCGTAGCACGTGAGGACATGACTGCACTAAGACACACGAGTTGTCCTGGAAGTGTACAGGTGTCAGATAGAAGCCGTCAAGCCATATGACAGCTCATACACAAGGAACACAACCGCCCCCTGAGAAGCCGTTTGGGCCGTGCCGGAAGCCGTTCGTACAATTCAAACCAACCGTGTCAAGAGGACAAACATTTACCAATAGTGTCAATTCTTCCCCACTTGGAATACGCTCGACCAGCCGAGCCACGAGTATCTAGCGCGTTCCAGCAGTACAACCGTACAAATGCAGTACGGAACTAGTACAAAATCAGTGCAGGAATATTGCCCTGGGAGCGACCTGCTTGCAGCGCACAGAGGGCAAGATACGGCCAAACTATTAAACAAAGATCCATTACGGTAGCTGCATAAGCCGTCAACAAAAGTCGCAATGAACAAGGGCGCAACACAATGATATGTTGGAGTATCCTTAATACAGCCGTTAAGTGCCGGCATTAACCTGGTTCTGCATGCCTCTTTCATTCCCATTCCACGTAGCAAGGGGCATTCGTATCTCAGCCCTGCTAGCCTACTGACTCAGCTCCCCCTGCACATGCTTCCCATTTCAGTACCGGTGCGTTCCTGCTTGCGGCCAGTTCTCAAAACACACGCTGCTATGCCGTACAATGCACCACATCCAAGTCCACATCAGAAAAGTCCACGCTGCGGCCCCAGCCGCCTTCACAACGTTCTCGCTCCACGCACAATCCAGTGCCTGGGTACATATCGGTACATGCATGTTCCCAGCGTATCACCAACGGAGCCAGAGGGCTCGGTCTACATACATCGTCAACTACCCTCGTATGCCGCAAATGTTACCGTAACTACCCCTCAACCGCATTACTGTCTGCGCGCTTGGCCCCGCAACTGTGCTTATGCCCCGCCCGCCAGTGCGCCGTTTGGCACTCCCGGCTGCAGTACCATGCCCCTCCACACCGCCCGCATGCCTTCAGCAGCAGCCCCGCCTCGCTGTCCCCCTCCAGGTTCATGCACGCCGGATTGTAACAGAGCTGCAACAGCTCGCCAATCGCCGCCGGCTCCGGGATGACCCTCGCCGCCGCAACTACCTTCTCCGGAGGCGTCAGCACAACCGCCGCCAACGGCCCGTCCGCCGTGTTAACACTCCTTCCCGGCCCGCTCTCCTTGCCCCACTGCTCTAGCTGAGCTGCCAGAGCCTCAACACTCGCTGCCGCCGCCTGCAACCCGCCCGTCCGCAACTCCTTTGCCAACCATTGCAGCACCTCAGGCGGCCAGTACGACAACGGAGCGTCAAGATACGCAGCCAACAAGGCCTTGGCGGACGGTGAGCTGCCGCCGTGTTTGTTGCTGCGTCCGCGCCGCTGGCCCCCATGCATGCGGCTCCTTGCGGCCATCGGGGCGTAAGCCACGGTTGCATCATGCAGCTTTTGGGCGAAGGCCCTCGCCAATCCGCACAGGCTTTCCGCCAGGTAGAGCAAGGATTCGAGGTCCTGCTGGGCGCCGTCACGCCGTAGCTGCAACGCCTCACGTAGCGCTGCTCCCAACGCTGCTACTGGGTCCGGCTTGCCGTCCAGAAGCCGTCGCCAGCTGCTGCCGCCGCTGCTGCCAACGCCGGCGCTGTTACTGCTACTGCTGGCAGCAGCAGCAACGTCGCCAGGTGGAAAGTACGGCAGCATGCGAATCCACGGCACATGGCCCATGTTCCCGGCCGGCGGATCGTTGGGCCCCATGTTCAGCGCCATATCCATTTCCGTTGCAATCTTGCGAGGCAACCGATCACTCGCCAGGTACGACACGAGGACCGACAACTGCCGAGCTGCCGTACCGTTGGCAGCAGCACCGCCACCATTGACGCCGCCGGCAGCGCCTGCCACCTGCGCGTGTTGAGGCTGCTGCATCTCTACTGCCGGGCGCGCTGCCCCCGACTCGGCCGCTGCCTCCACCGCTGCTGCTGCCGCTGCCTCCACCGCTGCCGTTCCCTCCGCTGCCGCCGTCAGCCACTTTGGCCCCTCACGAATCAATTCCGCAAACCAAACGCCCAATGCCATCATCAACCTCACGCACGAGTAGGGCTCCCCATCCGCACTGCTGCTGCCCAGCCCGGCATCCATGCATCGCATCACCTTCTGCAAGCTGACGGCCAGCGCCGCCACCTGCCGCGGTTCGCCGTACGCTAGCAGGTGGCTGATGGGGAGATCCATGCTGATCAGAACGTGCTGTACGATGCCTGCTTCAGGGCTGTCAAAGACCTGGCCCGCGCGTCGAAGGCATCGCTCCAGGGCGGGAATCAGCCCGGCGGCGAGGACAGCGGCGGTTTGAGGAGTTGGCTTGGCAGGCAGCGTGCCTGCATGTGAGGGCGGGAATGGTGGTGCAGGGTGAGTATGGTGGTGGTGGTGGTGGTGGTGCGCGGTGGACGGAGGAGGGATCACGTGTTCACTTGCACGATCGCGCAGGAACGTAGAGGCTTCGGTAGCACACCGCGGGGTACGATTTGCAACGCAAAACAGCATGGAGACCAAGCAAGCATGAAGACCAAGCAGCACTGCAGGTCAAGAAGTTGCCTGCATGCAATGGACGTTAGAACCCGTCGCACGGCATCCCTCTGCCCATAAGACCCAGATAGACCGGGAAGAACAAACAGGCGAAGGGCGCACTAATAGGAACACACCCAGCTAGCCCGTCATGTGCATCCTGACAGGTACCACAACCCCCGCCAGCCCTACCGTCCGGCGCCAGCAAGCAGTCCGGGAATGCAAGCGGCCGCATCTCCTCCAGCCTCTCCACCGGTATGAGGCCACTCATCTGCTCCAACATGTCCACAAACAGCCGCCCCCACTCCACCGCCGCCTCCACCCGCCAGCCTGCAGCAGCCGCAACACCCCCGGCGTTGCCAGCGGCAGCAGCTGCAGCCACGGCTGCTGTGGAAGATCCAAACAGCGCCACGGATGTGTACGACAGGACCTTTTGTCCCATCTCATTCGCGGCCTCCTGGCTGAAGTACAGTTGCGGGGACACGGGCCGCGGAGCCGCTTGAGGCCAGCCGCTACCGCTGGCGCCAGCACCAGCAGCACTGCTATTGCCGGAGCCTCCCATAGTGGAACCGGCAGCAGAGGCAGAGGCAGCAGCAGTTGCCTGCCATTCCGCCAGCATGGTGGATGGCAGCGGCGAGCCCAGCGGCTGTGACCATGATGTCCCTGCCCCAGCTACAATGCGTGAGAAGGCGGCTTCTCGATCGATGTCAATGAGAATTTGAATGGACGCGACCGCCAGGCGACCGAGCCGCAGCAATAACGCGACGGCACCACGCCCGCCCGTAGCTGGAGTGCTTGCACTGAGGTGAAGCACGCCCGCAATGCAGGAAAACATCTCCTTCGGCAGCGCAAAGCGTCCGGTCCTGCCACGAACGTCGTCAATGGCTCCGTGAACGTTGCCAAGGATGGGCATGTTCCGCAATAGAGATACTGGCAGGCCGTAAGAAGGGCCGCCGTCCGCTGCGCAGAGCGCTGTCACCCCGGCTGACAGCAGCAGGTGCTTCAAGCAGGGCTTTGTGAGGATACTCTTGACAGCCGCAGCTTGGACTCCGAGCGCTCGCAACGCGACCAGGGAGTTTACAGCATTGAAGAACAACTCATACACGTTGAGCAGCATAAGCCGCAGCGGCTGGAGTTGGGCCTCGGACATACCCGCGTCCTTTCCTGCCGCGAAGAGCAACGTCGCAAGCAGGATCGTCCGAGCGCCGTGTTCGGTTGCTTGGCTGTCGTTCAAGGCTGTGACCAGCTCGAGCACGTAGGAGCGCTGCAATGGGTCGAGGTCCCGTCCCGACGGGCAAGTCTTGGCAGACACCACCGCAACATGCAAGAGGGAAACCAGCAGGTTCACTGCTTGCTCCATTGCGGCGCTGATCTCGTAGACGCATTCCGAAAGACGGATGCTGATGGCTGCCAAGCCGTCACGATCCTCGGCATGGGCTTCCCCAGGCGCAGGAGTAGTCGGCAATGTCGTAAGGACATCCGTGGCAACCCCAGCAGCGCTTGCGAGGTCCTTGCTGCAGGACTGAAGGGCTTTGACGCGCACAATGGCTCGAGCAAAGCGTACTCCATCACGCTGATCCGCTTTGTTTTTTGGCAGGGCAAAAAGCAGACCTTGGACGGCAAGGCAAGCGACCCCCTCCAAAAGCTGACGGACAGCTGGGTTACTGCTGTTGAAGATAATCGCCAGAGCACGCAGAAGTGCAGTCGTGTACGCGGTCTTCGACAAGGCCAGGGAGAACCAACGCCGGTCGGCTCGGGCGACGTCCAGCAATTGCGTTGCAAGTGCGGCAAGCTGCGCATCGCCAAAATCGACGATTTCACTTTCACAACTAAGGAGGTAATCCGATTTCGCGGATAAGTGCTTAATGAGGTTTGGGAAATCGTAGATAGCCATCTTTGGTATTTGCGCAACTCTCGCCCCAAAGGAATATGTAAAGCGTATGCGGATAAAAAAGGTTTGCGATGGCGAACCTTCAGGCATGACGCCCTTGCTCGTCGCAAAAGCACCGGTACGGCACAAGCTATCATGGTTCGATCTTCGATGGGTGGCATTTGTCCTATGTGTGCCGTGCAGGGGTCGCCGGGGAGAGTGGAAGATGAGAAACACATCCTCATTGAATGTCCCGCTTACGATGATTTGCGTGATAAGATGTGGGAAAGTGGTGTCTCACGGGATGCTGATATGATTGCTGTCATGGGCATGGAGAATCAGGCATTGCTTGCTAGCGTAATCACTAGCATGCGAAGTCGCAGGATTGCGCAGACAGGGTTTATCATATGATTAGCGTTCTGTTTGTTGTCTCTTTTGTTTACTTTTCTTCTTTTGGTTGTTTTCGCGTTTTGTGCTCGCGATCCATGAGCCTTCTGGCTCGGACGGATCTTACGAGCTCGGTACGAAGCTTGTAACACATACATACATACGGCATTTGTTACGCAATTTGGTGGCATTTGTTACGCAATTGTGTAATCGACTCCAACCGTCGAATCCTAGACGCGTTTAAAGCCACTGATCTCATCCAAAATCTCTTAACCATGGTCAGCATGTTGCAAGATGCGTATGCAGAAAGCAGAGTAAGGAGATCGGAGTGGCCTGAGAGGGAAGCTGCGCTAGGCCATTGTGCACTTGGGATACATACCCCTCATAAAGGAATTGCACTCGAAAATACGCCGACTCGGAAGCATCTCGCCAACCTCCGCCGGCAAGGCGAGTAACATGAAGTCCAGCAAACCTGTGGAGCCCCATGCAATACGGCCATACGGCTGGATAACTGCACGCACGAAATAATACATTTACGCTGTGATGGACCTGTACCGGTACACTACCATGTGGTCGCACGCGGACGCACGCATACTAAATGCAAACAAATTTTGAAACAAACAAACGCTGCATATGTCTAGACTAAGATTCCTTTCCTTCTCCTGCCCTAAAGGTGTACGCACTCCTGACCTATAAGTTTCCAGGTTAGGCGCCTAACCCAGGTCACCATACCTTCCCCCTGCAAGCTACAATTAATGCCTTATTATCTGCGCCAAAGCCCATGCCCACACCACAAACCCCAACCAAACCCCCTCCCTCCCTCAGCGCGCCGCCACCAACACGTCCGTAGAAGCCTCCTCCGCCGGGGGCGGGTCCTCAAACTCCGCATCTGCCTCATAGTCCGGCTCGTCATCGTCAACCGCCGCAGGCGCCTCGGCCACAGGTGCCTCAGACGGCTCGGGCTCAGGGTTCGGCTCCGAAACCATCGAAGGCTCCTCCATCGCCTCTAGTGGTGGCGCAGCCATCGCAGCCGCGGCACCACCGCTTCCCGAGGCGCTAGACCGACCCTGCCCAGGCCCATACGTCGTGGCGAAAGGGCCCAAGGGTGCTGGCACGTTTCGGATGTTGGCGCCGCCTGCTGCGACGGGCTTCACAGCCGCACCGCCGCCGGAGGAGCCTGTGCCCGAGCCTGCGGTGGGCCGGAACTTGCGAGCGTTGTCGCCGTAGGCTTGCGTCTTGGCGAAGTCCTTATTCAGGACGTCGCGGTTGATGTCTTTGGAAGGCTTGACCGCCTGCGGACAAGAGTGCAGAAGCAGGTAGGCAGGGGCCTCGGTAACGGCGACAAAGCTGGTGTCTTGTCAGCCAGCTACACAGCAGCTCCCAACCCGCCGTAGTTACCCTAACCCCACCCCACCCCGCAAGCCGCAACCCACCTGCAGCCGCTTGTACAGCGCCAGGTTCTCCTGCGCAATCTTGTCCTCCTTCTTGTGCCGGTTGACCGTCGACGCTGCCACATTCGCCGGCGCCAGCTTGCCGGTGGTGGTGGCAGAAGCCACCGACAGCGTATTCGTGTAGGCAGGGTTGGGCGGCGAACGGGAGATCTCCACAAGGCGGTTGCAAAGCTTCATGTTGTCGGATGTGATCTTCTGGACCTCGTAGTTGTTGTGGGAGTAGTCGGGCTTGACGGTGGGTGCGGCGCGCTGCGTGTTGGGCGGCCCCGTGAAGGTGAGCTTCACCTTCTGGCCTCCCGTGCCCACAGCGACGGCGGACGGGGGTGGCTGTGCGCGGGCCAGTGGTACGACGGGCTTGACGGCGGTGACCACGGGCTGGTGATGTGGGTCGGGGAGGGGGGTGGCAGGGGGCGGGGAGGTAAGGGTGTATCTAGGATTGAATATTCCGCACAGGGCTCGAGTACAACGAAGGCGTATCGTGGTGGGGGAGGAGGAAGGAAGGGGGCAGCATGCGGGATGGGATGGCGATTAAGAGGCGTGGGGGTATGGTGAAGGAAAGGTAATGTGGGTCGGAGGAGAGGCGGAGCGGAAGGGCTTAAGGCGAGGGATTAGATAAACTGAGCCGCGAGAAACCACTGACCACTGAGGCGAGGGATGGAAGGTTGGGGAAGAGGGGCCTATTGCGAACATACGAGGCTGCGTACGACATGGGACATGATCGCAGAGATGGAGGCCGGCAGGGTGTGGGAGTGGCGAAGGCATTAGGCCACCTGGGTCGCCCCAAGGTCATGATGTGGGTCGGGCTATTACGCAGACGCGACTCCTACCAGCGCCCTGCAAACCCACATCAGATGCGCTAGTGTGATATCCAACACGCTAGCCTACCTTGGCAGGAATCGGCTTGGCGGGGGCCGGGGCAGCCTTTGGTACCGCAGGCTTAGGAGCCGACACTGTGGGCTTTCCAGCTGCTGGCTTTGCTGCCGCCGGCTTTGTTGCAGGCACCGCTGCTTTGGGTGCTGGTGCTGCAGGCTTGGGCGCAGCTTTTGGGGCCGCGGCAGCGGGCTTCGCAGACGCAGCAGCTGGCTTAGCCGCTGTGGCGCTTGGCTTGGGCGCGGGCGGAGCCGCCTTGGGCGCCGGGGCTGGTGCTGGGGCTGCCGCGGGCTCCTCGTCAGCAGCAGGCGGCTGCGGTACGGCCTCAGGCTCGGGCGCAGCAGCTGCTACCGCGGCCTTTGCGCTGCCGGCCCTGGATCCGGTCGCTGAGACCTTCGACTTGCTGCTAGAGGATTTGGAGAGTGCCGCTGTACTGACAGCAGCTGCCCCCGCTGCAACACCTGCAGCGGCCGCTGCCACGGCTACTACAGGCGCGGCTGAGGCATCATCGGCGGCATCGTCGTCCTCCACAGGCTCGTCAACCGCTGTGTCGTCCTCGTACTGTGGGGATATGCATGCCCGAGCATTGTTAGCACGTTAGGTGCAAGAATGGGCATGGGCATGACAGCCGAAAATGTGCATATTTTTATGGCGATTGCCCTGCGCCATGCCGGTCCGTACCTCGTCCTGATCGTCCTCCTGATCGGGAAGCTTTGACACGCTCGCACCGCCGGTTGGCTCGAAGTCATCCTGATATGACTGTTCTGCATCCGGCTGTGGCTCTCGGGCGGCCTCCGGTTCTTGATCTGCTTCTTGGTCTTGCTCAGGATCACCCACTGCCTCCTGATCCGGTTCCCTCTCTGGCTCTTGCTCTGGTCCGGGGTCCCGGTCTGGCTCTGCATCTTCTGCGTCCTCCTCTTGCGCGTCGTCCGCATAGTCGTCGTCGGCTGCGTAACTTGCTTCGGCAGCTTGCACGGGCTGCAAAATAAGTGTTTTTGGTTTGTGGGTGAGCTAAGTTTTTCAAGGTTGTGCCAGTACCCAGGAGCGCACGGTATGCCGCACCTCATCGTCCTCTACTGGTTCGTCAGCTGCAGGAATAAAGTCCTCATCGTCATATGTCTCCTCCGGAGGCGCGATCACCTCGTTGTCCCCGGCAACTTCCTCTTCCACGTTGGACATTTCCATAATGATAACTTAAATTCCTAGTTCCCTGCGTGCAGTCTTAGCATAGCGTATTTCGTGTAAATTGAAAGGCTGGATGGACCGTCACAGGAATTCTATCGGCCTTCGAAGTACGATCCATCGTACACTGAAGTTAGAGATTGCACAGCGTGTCCGCTGAGGCGCATTTACGATTGCCGATCATTACTTATGTCGTTAACCTTTAGTAAGTTAAGGTAGGAAAGGTCCGTCCGTGCTAGCCATAACGGTCAACACATAGGTGGCTTGCCTGCGCCATGACGCTGGCCTCACCACAACTGATACGCGATCGGCGAAGAGATGAGTGCGGGGTACCTTTATGGTGGTGACTGGGTAGCACTTACCGTACTGGCAACAACATGTACAGCTGGATGGGCACCCATCTACACTGGCGGCAGTTGAGAAACACGAAAAACGCAGGTGCCTAATGTCCGAGGGCCATTTACACGGCTACTTGGAAAGAAGTAAGGCGACCGCCCCCCGCTTCTTCAGCCAGGACGCCAACGTCTGGCCTTAACTCCCTAGCTTGCGCTTGCGCTCACTCGCTCAGATGACAAAGAAGGGTGAGAAAAGACAATTGTATGGCCTGGATCCCCTTAGAGCCACAGCACAGACGATAAAGCCACTGCAAAAGCCAGGCTCCAGATAGCACGCAACAGCCTTCACATCTGGTTGCACATTCCTGTGCCAAAGGGCCCTGCGGTCCGGTAACCATTCATACTCAGTCCCCTCGTGCACAAGGGAAAGGCATCGCAAAGTCAGAGTGCTTGTCAGGGATACGCTGTCAGGTCGTGGGCTCCTTGCTTGATGTGGATGTCGCCCTGGGGTGAGCAGCAGGTGTCCTGTGCCGTATGCCATGCCCAGCCGCTTGCTTCACGCATGTGAAGCGAGCAGGCACCGGGAAAACAATTTGCCGTAGAGTTTGCAATGCCGAAAAGAAAGGACAACATGCGGACTGAAGGCGTCCAGCATTCTCAGCCAGTTACTCTATACTGAAATCAGAAATATTAAAGGTTCCGGCATAGTTCTTAGTATGAGACGCACGTGGCGTGCTTGGCTCCGCGACATGCTGCCGCGATGTACGGATCAACAATGCGTCCAATCTACCAACGATTGCCGCTAGCAGTCCTTGAAACACAGCTAGGAGGAAGCCCCAAGCATATTGGAAGAATTGTCGATTTGCTTCCTGTCCAAGAAACTTGGAAATTGCCCTTACTGCTCAAGCGACATATGCCATTAAGTGTAACAGTACCAGCGTGCCACATAGTGCCACACCTCACCGTTACCACATATTAAGATATGCTCGTGTTGCTAGAGATTCCAGGGTGCCTTGCAATACATGCTAGCCCGTTTGACCCAGTCTTGACCAGCTCATAACTGCAGTGAGCCCATAGACCGCATCAACTACCCTTTGGGTCGACTTTACACACCTGTATCAGATGTTAATGTTATAGCAGCTATTAGCTCAGGCTCGCCAGTCCAAATGGCCACGAGCTCTTCATGGACGAGTCACGCAACGCGACAGGGCGATGTTAGCAAGATGGAGTATGTCGAACAGCGTAAGTTTGCAGGTCGCATGAGGCCCCAGAAAGCGTGCAGCTTGACTTTAGGCTCTGGTCTATTTGGGCCTCTTGGTCTGGACGTTTCCGTTTGCAAAAGCCTATATCTATAGCCTATATCTATTGCCTATATCTATTGACCTTTCCCACAGTCCTACGCGGCGGGGTCTTGGGCCCTACTGGGCAAGCTGGACAGCAGCAGCGTTCCATGTCATCTGGGCGTCACCCGCGTCTGGGAGCCACATCCAGCTTGGTTGGATCGTTAGGCCCAGGCGGCCCAGTTACAGTGACAGGGGCAGGCGAAACGCCAGGCCGAAGCCCACGGCCAAGGTATGTCAGGGGGTCAAGAAGGGTGGGTATACAAGTTTGATGCCTGGCAAATGTGGTCAACGGACACCGGGCTGAGATGCGTCCCCTCCGACACACGCGTGCGTCAGTTAAGACTGCTCCCTCTCCTACCATCCTACCACGCATGATATCTGCTGCGGCTGCTGCAGTTGCGCACCGCTTCCGCTCCCCGCGGCCCATTCCAGCACACCCAACCCCAACCGACCTCTCTCAATTGCTTGCTCTTGTTCTACTCAACTACACCCAACCCCAAAAGGAGCGCAAGCGTGGGTCGACGTCAGCAGGACATACAGGAGCTTGCGTTGGTGATGGAGCAGCTGAACAACAGCGGGCGCGTGATTCGCAACATGAGCGTCCTTCAGGAGCTCCCGACGGGACCCGCGATATCACGCACCACAGGCGCTTCGCTCAGCGCTGCAGCCAACGGTGTCGGCATGATCAATGTCAACCCGCCCACACGCAGCAGCCTGAACCTCGGCGCCGGCTCTGGCAGTTTGTACGGTAGCGGCGCGGGCGTTGGCACCAACATCGGCACGAACATTAGCAGTGCCTCAGCAACGGGTGCGGGCTCGGTAACAGCGAGCGCAACTGTGGATGTTGGCCGGGGCTTCAGCAGTGGCAGCGTCTCGAGCGGCTTGCGTGGCGGGCGGGGCTCGAGCAGCGTGAACGCTTCCGTCAGCACAGGCAGCAAGGTTTCGCAATCCATTCTTGGCGCTGAATTGCTGAAGAGCAAGCTGGAGACGCTTGGAGGCCAGCTAGGAAGCCGGCTGACCCCAGGGAAAGGTGCGTTGCCAGGGTTAAACGGGGGGCTACCCCCACATGCGTGTGCCAGTGGTGTGCTTGTAAGAGGTAAGGGGCCGGTGTTCTGCTCCGTGCGGGTCCAGTGTGATATAAAGCACGCCATCTCATCTTTCCAGTCATCCTTTCCTCCGGCTGCTCGCAGCGTCGCCCCAGCGGGAGTACCGCCCCTCTCGGGACTCCTTCACGGGGCAGCGGCCCGGCAGCAGCGGCGGAGGGGCACCCAACTACCGTGACCTACTGGCTACTGCCAATGCAGGGCTGTTGCAGGTTCGTAATCGTTGTCTGGAGAAGAATGCGGGGGCTGCAGTGACTTCAGCAGGAGAGCAAGTAACCGAACTCGGGATTGGGTTAGATGGGGAGTACGTTACCCAGAGTCGCTTCGGCCCGTCACCCTGCTGCACACCGAACCGCTACCTGCTTCGCTCTCCCCGCCTCTTACGTAGGTCAACGGTCACCAAGAAAGCACGCAAGCCAACCGGAGCCATAGGACCGGTGCAGCGGCTGGGACCTCTGGCGCAGCAGCAGCAGCCACCGCCGCCGGCAACGGGGGTAACAGTGGACTGTACGGCAACGCTGTTAGCGCAGAGAACTTGATCCGGCAGAGTAGCCGCCGTATAAGCGAAGATTTTATGGCAGCAGATCGCATGCTGCAGAATCTCCATGCTGAGATTAGGGGTTCCGGAGGCGGGGCAGCAGCGCCAGCACCCGCTGCAGCAGCAGCACCGGCAACATCAGCATCTGGTTTGGGAGGAGCCGGCGGCAGCAGCTCACTTAGTGAGGCGCTCGCTGCCGCACAAAGGCTTAGTGGCGCGGGTAACAAGACGGATAATCCGTTGTTGAACTCCTTTCTGGCGTCGTTAACAGAGGCCCTGTCGCCGCCGCTTAGCACCATCGGCGGGCCGGAAGCTACACCCGCACGGCCTGTCGGGTCGTCACCAACGTCGTATCATGCCGGCGGCGGCGGCTTCAGCTACCCTGGCTCCTTGCGGGCCTCTCAGGAGGGTTTCGGAGCGGGTGGTGGCAGCCGCAGGGCCGAACACCGCGATGCAGCTGCAGACGGGTCGCAACAACACCAGCGCGGACACCATCATCACCAGCAGCCGCAGCACCACAGCATGCCGCAGCGGACCTCCAGCAGCAACCATCAACACCAGCAGCAGCAGGACCTTCGATCCAGTGTTGCAGAGTCGCTTCCCAGCTCGGCAACAGCAGCCCGCGCGGCGGCCGCGGCCGCGGCATCCAACGCCGTCTCCAACGGTATACCTATCACCGCAGAACTGCTGAAGCGCCTGTCCAAGAGCGCGACACGCGGCTTGGGTGTTCCAGAGCCTGAATCCGCTAACGTAAGCGCCGGTAGCGGCGCAGGCGGTGGTGGTGGAGGTGGCGGTAGCGGCGGCGGTGCATGGCCCAGCCAGGTCCAACACCAGGCGGGGGGTTACATGGACCGACGTGAGGGGGCCGCTGCTGTCATGGCGGCGGCAGCGCAGGTGGCAGCGGCGATGGGGGAATGGCGTGACGGCAATGCAGGGCGCCAGGTTGCCTCGCAGCAGCAGTCCTCAACGCCGCAGCCTGCTGCCCGCGTTCGTACTGCCTGGGCCGATGAGGCTGCTGCGAGTCCGCCTTCCGCGGCTGTAGGCCAGGCCGGCGTTGGAAGCGGCGGTGCCGCGGGCGATGACGGCCGGGGTGGTAGCAAACGCCGGGGCAACAGCTACAGTGTCCTTCCCAGCTCTGGCAACACGGGCGGAGCGGGGGCGCAGCGTGACGTGTTGCCGCCGACCTACCCAGCGACGTCAACGCAGGGAGCTGCCGGACAAGGAACCGCAGCAGCGGCAGCGCAGGCGGCAGCTTGGTCGGACTCTAATAACGGGCTGAACATGAATCTGTTGCTGCAGCAGCGGCGGAAGGAGCGGGCGCGACGGGAGGAGCAGGAGGCTGCGGAGGCGGTCGCTTCCTCCGCGCGAGCTCGTCAGCAGGTGACTGACTGGCAGGCGCAGCACGACACACTCATGACGCAGTACCTGGCGGTGCGGGAGCGGCTGCAGGTGAGGGAGGGCTTTGGGGCAGGGGGCATTTGTTGCGTACATGCCATGCACGTCATGTCATGCATGCGGGGTTAGGGTCTTAGGGCGGTGGGTTGGTAACCCCTTCAGGTGTTGAGTTGGAACCCTCACCAAGCGGCCTGTACTGCTTTACCGAGGGACGACTGCTGCCCCCTCTAGTTGCATGAGGCTGCCGAAACGTGGCCAACAATCACTGCACACACGTGCGCGCGCTTGTGCGGCTTGCAGGCACTGGAATCGGAGCAGGAGCGCATCGCTCGAGAGGGCTGCGGCAGCTGCTCGCGGTGGCGGGACCAGGCGCAGCAGGTAAGCTGTCGGGGCGGAAGCGACGGGAGGGCAGGAAGAGGCCGCATTGTGTAGCACATTGCCAGTGGCGCTTTGAGGAGCATGAGACCACGACCCAACCCATCCCCATTCCAGAAACAACAACAACACCAATAACAAGAACACCTCTGCTTCGCCCCGCACACACAGGCATCTGACACAGCGGCCAACACCATCGCCCAGCTGCGGGAGGTCCAAACGCAGCTGCAGGTGCGTGTGCGCACTGACAAAACCGGCTGCGGGTATGCACAGTGTGTTGGAGAAGACTGGCCGGCTGCAGTATTTGGAAGTGCTGGGAGACCGGGAGGACTCCACTGCCCAGCTTGTTAATCTGGGCTACGAGAAGATGCCGTGTTTCGCACCACACCCAACTCCGCCACCGCTGCTCCCCGCATGCATGCTCCCCCAACCTCCCCAGGAGGCTCGCGCCAATGAGGACCATGTTCGGCGCCAGCTGGAGCACAGCGCGGCGATCGTGGCTGACCAGGTATGTGTAAGGCGGGTATTAGCTGGTGCACGGCAACATGGCAACTTCACGGACAAAGCGCAATAGGAGAAAGGCGGTGTACGGCAACACGGTTCAGAGACATGCGTTACGTTACCACAACACACCAAGGACAGGGGACGCGGCAAGGGGGCATGGCTGGAGCGTCTGCTGCCGTTGCTCCTCCTGTTGCCCCCCCCCCCTGGCGCATCACATGGGCAGTACCGTACACATTGCGCATGGGACCTGAGCCGGCACCTATGACTCATGGGTACTACTCCATCCCTTGACCCCCGCCCATTCCTGCCTGCCTGCTTTACAGGGAGCCAAGGCAGCACGCGCGCACACAAATCTCGAGCTCCGCTTGCAGGTGCGTGCGTCAGGTGCAGCGACGGGCATGGGTTTCTTGCCGGTATGATTGTCACTCCAGTGCTGTTACTCGACCCGCATGAGGGCTCCTCACCCTCACCGCTTCTTCACTTCTCTCCCCCTTCTCCCGTATCGCTGCCTGCCCCCTTCACTCCCACAGGAGCTGATAAACATGGCGACGGCGGCAATCACGGCAACAGCCGGCTCCCCCGCAGCTGCCACCGCCGCCACCGGCAGTAACAGCGCCTCTCGAGACGGTACGACAGGCGCAGCCGGCGGCGGCAGCGGCGCCCTGCGGTCCCACCCCATCAGCGGTCGCGACAGTGGTGCCATGCTGGACCTAGATGAGCTGCTTGAGGCGCTGCGGGCGCGGCTGAAGGAGCAGGGGGACCTGGCACGGAGGCAGAAGCAGCTGCTGGAAACAGCGCAGGAGCAGGTAAGGGAGAAAGAGGGTGTGTCGTAATGTCGTAACTGAGTCGCGAGGAGGTACTGACTCCGTTACTGTAGAAGACTGGGGGATGAGGACGTCCCAGATGTCCTCATGCGCGCCAGAGGGAGTGGAGGTGGTATGCATGTACGACTGCAGTGAATGCCTATCCGCACCAGGACCCAGCTCTTACCTCATGTATACCCGTCTCCTCTTCACCTAGTCCCCCTGCCCACGGCACTGACGAGTTATAATCGTAATTATAATCGCTGCACCCCACCCGCACCCACAGCTCGAGAAGGAGCGGGCCGCAGCCGCAGCTGCCCGAGAGGACGCCGCAGCCGACCGCGCCGATGCCGCCCTGCTGGTGGCGCAGGAGCTGGCCTTCCTGCGGGAGCGAGCCGGGCTGCTGCAGGAGGAGCTCACGAAGCAGCGGGAGACGGCGGCAAACATGGATCTGAGGGTACGACAAATGGAGGAGGAGCGCGATCGAGCTGTACGACAAAGGGATGCTGCGGAGTTGTCGCTACAGGTGAGGGTGGCGGGGAAAGGAGAGGCATGGTTCTTCTTCCTCTTTTCCCTTCTTCCTATCCTTCCTAACCTTCCCCACACCTACCATCACTCACGGCATGGTCCTTCTTCTTTCCCCCCACCCTCAGGCCCAGCAGGCCCAGTTGGAGGCGGCCGCCCATCAGCAGGAGACGCTGGTGGGGCGGCTGTACGACGGACAGCGGGCGCGGGAGGACGCGGAGGTGCTGCAGGCGCAGGTGAGAGGAGGGGAGGGGTGGCGAGAGGGGGGCTGAGGGCCGGTGTTGGGGACGCTGTGTATGGGGTTGAGGGAAGGGACGGAAGGAGGGAGGCGGGCGAGAGAGGAAAAGGGGTGGTGCAGCTGTGAATCTACTGGTGGAGTCACCACCTTTCGGCGGTTGTCCCGTACCGGTAGCCTGACCATGCCACCGTTTAGCAGTTTTCCACCCGCTTCCCTGTACGGCCTTCGCCCGATCCCAGCAGCTGCCCATTCCTTTTCACGCTCTCCTCTTCCCTCCCTTCTCGTCGCTTCTCCCCCTTCTCCCTCCAGATCCGCTCACTGACCCGGCAGCTGGAGGAGGCGCGGGCGGCTGCGGGGCGCTCAGATGCGCTGGAGCGGAAGGTGGCGGAGGAGCGGGACGCGAGGGAGGAGGGGGTGAGTGCGGGTTGGAGGCCAGACTGGCGAACCCAGCGAACCCTAGCCACGATTGCTTACACGCCTGAGAAGCCCAGGGGGCCCTTTAAGGGCCGGCCCAAGGGCAAGAAACTGGGATACACCTTCAACCTCGTCCCCTCCTCCTATCCCCACTGCTTTGCCCTAACCTGTGGTTTCCTATGGTTTGGTATGGTCTGTGACCCCCAGGCCGCCCACTTGGAGTCCCTGCGGGCTCAGCTCGCGGAGCGCGACGCCTCCCTGGAGGCCTCCAGGCGGCGCGTGCGAGAGCTGGAGGCGGCCGTGAACAGCGCAGTGGCGTCACGGCAGGCGGCACTGGACGAGGTGGGGCGGCGGGCTGGGGGCTGAAGGGGGGGCAGAGGTGGAGAGGAAGCAGGAGAGATGCTAGGGTGGTGCCACAAGGTGTCTTTCTCCTTTCCTCTAACTAACCTCCCCTAACGGCAGTTCTCTGTCTCTCCCCCCCCCACACACACACACAACCCTGTCGCCTCCTATCCCCACTGCTTTACCCTAACCTGTGGTTTCCTATGGTTTGGTGTATGGTCTTTCACCTCCCCCCCAACCGCAGCTGTCTGCCCGCACCACTGAGAGTAACACGCTGGTGGCTGAGAACCGGCGCATGTTCCAACACCTGGACGGCCAACAGCAGGAGAAGCGCGCACTGGAGGCAAAGGTAGGGAGGGGGCCGGGAGGGGCAGGCTGCCTTTGGCCAGGGTGATCTCGTGGTAGGTATTGAGGAACCTACCGTGCTCCTTCGTGCCCTCTTCCTCCCCTCTCTGCACACAGCTGCTGCAAGCCGTACGGAAAGGAAAGGAGTGCTTCCTTCCTGACCTCTATAGCTATCCTCACTCGAGGTGCACCCTCCCATGTCACCCCTCCCTTCTCCCTCTCCTTCCTCGGCTCCCGTTCACCCTGCCCCCCCATTGCTCTGCCCTAACCTGTGGTTCTGGTATGCCTCTGACACCCCACCCCCCCACCCCCGCCTCCCAGCTCAAGGAGCTGACCTCCCAGCTGCGCTCCGAGCAGCAGGAGGCGGCCGCCCTGCGCAGCGAGCTGGCGGGCCTGCGGGAGCAGCTGGCGGGCCTCAAGGACAACCAGCCCATACGGGTGAGCGGGGGCGGCGTGGGTGCGTGTGCATGTAAGCATGCGTGGACGGGAAGGGGGGCAGCGAGAGGAGAAGGCGTTACTGCTGCAGCCCAGCCCAACCCAACCCATAACCGATACCTCAACATGGTCACATTACTTCTTTCCGCCACCCCCCCCCCCCCCACCCCGCACGCACACCCCCAACCCCAGGACGCCACCCTAGCCCAGCAGCAGCTCAGCGCCGAGCTCTCCTCAGCACGCTCCGAAGCCGCCGCTCTGCGAGCCGCGCAGGAGACGGCGGCCGAGTACGCGCACTCGCTGGCTCGCATCCTGCGGAGGCACGGGCTGGCGGTGCCGGAGGCGCCCTCAGCTGCGGACGTGGCTTCCCAGATCGGCACACTACAGGTGGGTCGTGTGGGTGAACAGTGCACCGGTCAGAATACGTGGAGGCATATTGGCTATATTATCCTATGCGGTAGACCCTATACGCGTCCACCACCGCAACCGCCGCAATCCCTATACCACGCGCTCTCCTTACACCTCTCTCCGCCCTCCATCAGACCAAGCTGGCGGCGGAGGAGGACGCGGCGGCAGCAGCCCGGTCCGAGCTGTCCGAGCTGCGAGGGCAGCTGAGCGAGGCGCGGGCCGAGGTGGAGCGGCTGAAGCGAGAGGTGCAGGTAGGGGCCGCGCATGACTGGGCGACTTCTGTCAGTATATAAACACGGACCGCTTCACATGAACTTCGCTTCTCTCTCCTGCAATCCCTGCAATCCGATCGGCCTAGACTTACCCTGCCTTGCCCCTGCCTCCTGCCCCCCCTTCTCCCCCACGGGCTATGGGTTTAGGGCTCCAGCTGCTGCACTTCTCATTTAGCTTTTCCCTCCTCTTCTGCGTCACCCCTTCTGCCTCATCCCTTCTGCCTCGCCCCTTCTGCCTCACCCCTTTGCCTCGCCCCTTCTCCCCCCCCACCACCACACTTTGGAATTTCTTTTTCCCCCCCTCCAGAACCTGACGGAGCGCTACTCGCAGCTGGAGTCCGCGCACGCCGGCAGCCAGGCCGCCTGGCAGCAGGCAGCCGAGCGCGAGGCCGCTTCGCTGTCGGAGCTGTCTCGCGAGCGGGACGCGCTGCGGCTGGAGCTGCACCAGCTGCAGGTGGCGGGATCGCAGGACGTGGAGGAGATGAAGAGGAAGGTGGGTAGGGTGGGAGATGTGGGGCGGAGGGGGGAGGCAGTGGTGAGGCGGAGGGAGGGATGGTGGTTGGGCGGCTCCGCTGCAACCCTCACGCGCCGCACTGCAACCTCCTCGTGCTGCCATCCACACCACTTCCCTCTCTCACATCCCCTCATGCCATCCTCTTATCTCCCCCACCCCCACCCACCCCCAGGTGGCCCGGTTGGAGGTGCAGGTGGAGGTGCTGGGAGGCGGCAAGCGGGAGGCGGAGGAGCGGGCGAAGCAGCTGGCGGCGGACCTGGGGGCGCTGCGGAAGACGCTGGCGGACAAGGAGGCGAAGGTGGAATCGCTGCGTCTGTCCAGCGAAGCCGCCCAGGAGGCGGCAGCGCAGGCGGCTCAGCAGCAGCAGCAGGCGGAGCAGGAGCGGCAGGAGGCGCTCAAGGCGCGCGCGGCGGCGGCGGCAGAGGCGGAGAAGAACAAGACGGAGCTCACGCGAGTCCAGGTGGGTGGGTGTGTGGAGGATGGGTGGCTGGAGAGGGGTGGCTGGAGAGCCGACGGGGCCCCAGAGTATTGAGTGCAGGCGGGTGGGTGGCAAGAGCGGGTAGAGGCACCTCACCTCTGTTGCCTCCCTCTGCGCTTCTGCTCTTCCTCCCCTTGTCACGCGCAGTCCGAGTTCGAGCGCCTGGAGAAGGAGTTCGCGGACAAGAGCGCCGAGTACGCCGGGCTGTACGACTACTGCGGAAGCGTGATCGGCGAGCGGGATGCGCTGCTTGAGGAGCGGTCGGGTCTGGCGGGTGCTGCGGAGGCGGCGGAGGCGGAGGTGGCGGCGCTGCGGCGGGAGGTGGAGAGCTTGAGGGAAGAGCTGGCGGATAAGGAGCAGCGGGTAGGGTAGTGACTGGGTGGGCTGGGGAACGGGAGACGCGGGGTGTGTGGAGGATGCGTGGGGCGCTGTGTAGATTGGAGCGCAGTGGGGTTGAGGCCAGCCCTCCGCACATGACGACATGAGGTCGCAGAACCCTACCCTGTTGTCTCCTGTAGCTTCCCTTGTGATTGAGATACGATTGATTGACCGACCGCCGCTGCCCCCCATTGCTTCACTACCGTCTCCCTGTTTCTTCCTCACCCCGCCCGTGTCTAACTTGCACTCTTCCACTCTGTCTTCCCCCCCACCCCCCCACCCTCCATTGGGATTGGGACTTTAGTTGTTTGCATTTCTTATACAGTTCCCCCCCCCCATGCATGCAGTTGGCAGTGAAGCCCAAGATGGCGGAGCTGCAGTACCGCCTGAACGAGCTGGCCGCGCAGCTAGCCGACGTCACCAGCGAGCGAGATGCGGCGGTGGCGGAGAGCAACCAGACGGCGCAGAGGGTAAGGCAGGCAGCGGGCGGCGGCGCGGAGAGGGGGGTTATGGTATGACAGGCTGGACTGGTGTGCGTGCGCGTGTGTGTTCACACGCATGCGCACAGGCGGCGTCGTGCTGATGCGGGTGCTTCTTTCATAGGGATGTAAGTGAGGACGAGGGTAGCGCCTGTCACACCCCGCCCCCTGATCTCCATGCCTCCCCTTGTAATGTTATGTGCCCACGCCCGCTTCCTGCCTCCTCCTTCCCACTCGTGCTCGCAGTTGCAAGATGAGCAGGAGGCGCACTTTGAGACGGACGGTCGCCGCGTGCGGCTGGGTGAGGAGGTGGAGAGGCTGCGAGGCATCCTGAAAATGTACTCCATACCCTTCTAGTAGGTAGGGCGACTCCCTACGACGGTTTGTCTACTCCACTTACACCCAGAAGGAGCAATCTCAGGATGCTCCTCGTCCTACCTGCTCGCCCGTTTCTGTGACCCTCCTCAAGACCTCATGCCTGGAACCGAAAGGGGCCTCAGGGCATATACCTGTTACCACGCGCAAATATTGATGACATGGCTCCAAGCGCGAGCCGGGGAAGTTGCAGGACAAGAATGATTTGGACCTGTATGCGGTTGAGGTGCTGCCGCTCGCGGTTTCCTTTCCTGACTTGGCTTGGCCCCGGTGCTGGGGCCTGAGTCGCCTGTTTCGGGTGATATTGATTGGGGCTCTGGGTACGAAGCGGGTGAACCATTTGTCCGTTATCCGCCGTTGGCAGTTGGGAGTTACCGGTACGTGCAGATGTGTGGGATGCACTGGGTAATGTGGTTTGGTATGTTCGTGGTGTTGGTGGTGCATGTGTGTTTCCTCGAGTGCATTGGGACGTGCATGCGTCAGTCAGCCGGACTACACGTCTGTGGTACAGCGTCTGTGGGTTATATAACGTGCTATGCGGCTTCTGTACAATGCGGTGGAGGGAGATGGGGGTACTGCCGTAAAAAGCGGTTTTTTGTCATTTGTATCCATTGCACGAGGCTAAGCAATGTGAGCATGCAGACAAGCGCCGAAGACTCTCCTCTGGCCTTGATCAGAGGTTGACCTTACCGGTCCTGAACAGATACGGTGGTGGCGTCATGTACATCCAACCATTCAACCATAACAGTCGGCGTACGACAATTGACTCTGTTTAACTACATGCTGAACGACAGAGGACTAGCCGTACATGGCGTTGTGCTTGTGTTCGCACCACCTGGCGTGCGGATGTGCATTTGACGTCGGATGCGGTTGTGATCGCCCTGATAACCTGCCTCGTTAATCGGCGCTGCGTTTAAGCGCTGCTGCTGTTAGTTGGAGGGTAAACAAGGTCGGTTTAGTGGCATATGTCCACTTCGTATGAACGGGTACGAACCCATGTAAGAAGGCTCTCACGGATACCTGTATGAGAAGAGGCTTGGGGCAGTAGGCTGGCTGTTGACCCATGTACACCATTACGGACATGACCCACGAGTGTATGTCGAGGTTCGATGCCGTTACAGAGGGAACAGCAAATATAACTACAACAATGAGTTATTGGCACATGCATGAGAGCCTATGCCCAGATTTATTAACTCCCTGCTGTGGCGTTCCTCTTGACCTGTTAACTCGTTGAGCTATTGACCAACCTACGGCCATTGCCGTAATAGGCATATACCGGTAGACAACAGAAAGCACGTCTAGCAAACCGCAGCGAATGGGAACGAACCGACAGGCATGGCTCATAAAAACTAAACACCGCTTGGCTCTTTCACAAGCAAGCGAATGCCTACAAAATAAATCCCAATGGCCCATCTCAGTTGTCCACGTCCTCGTGTCACGGACAAAGCCATCCAGGGCTTCCTTCCACTCAAATCCACACACGTTTTTGGGTTTCCAGCCCTCTACACCAAACGCACAGTGATCAATGCGGCAGCTGGCAATCTGCCAACCTCACAGAACAACTCGAACACTACCCATTACGGCTGCAGTAGCATGAATACGGCAGCCCATTGGTATTGGCAACGGCAAAAGAGATGCTGGCCGGCCATTTTATTGGTATTTCATGTGTCTATAGCACTGGACACGTAAAAATCCCTCTTATGGTTCCGCTGAACCTGGAGCAACGAAGCAGTGCCGAGAAACACGGTGTATTGCCCCAAATCCAACGTGTACGGCCAGGGGCACCTTAACTCCACCCAATCAGCCCCAAACTAGGATGCTTCGAAGCACGCGTCTTTCGACTATATGCACCATCCAATTCCACAACCTCCTTTAGTGGTTGAGCGATATACCCACCAATACATGCCAGCACCCAAAGCGTGCTCCACCCGGAAAAACACACGCGAGGAAAGCTCACGCACGGCCAATACACAACCAAGGCAACCAGAAGTGTGTTCTTGTCCGCTCCTCTCCACCGCCGCTCAGGTCGTTTCAGCCGATCCTCCCACCTAACATTTTTTTCTAGTTACTTGCATACACAGAGCAGCACTAGCGCGGCATGGAGCCCGGCACATGGGAAACACGACGCCAGGTGGCTCCTGCTTTGCAATCCCCCGGTGCCTAATACACGCTCCCTTCACCCTGGTGAGTGGTTATTTACTCGTTTCCATTCCCACGTTCACACCTCCCCTGCCCCGCTGCAAAACCCACCGGCGCTACGCTCTTCCGTGTAAAGAATAACACCAGCCCTGACCAGCCACAAAGAATTCGGCTTCGCAAAAGCCCCGTCCAGCCAGCCCCCGCAGCCCTTCCAAAGCCCATGCTCCAGTCAACACAAATTTGACCCAAACACGCAGTACAAACAGCAGCAATGGCAGTAGCAGCAGCAGCAGCAACAGCGGCCGTGGCCGTGGCAGCATCCAAAGCATCTGGGCGTGCCTCCGAGGAACCAGGGCCCTCATCATCACAAACAGGTTTTCGGAGAAAAACGAACATTCAGCAATACCCAGTTTTGGATACCAAATTCCTTATTTGGCCGTGTGCTAAAAAGCAACATGCCTTGAAGCTGACCCCCTTCCCAGGGCCCCTCACGTCCCTCGTGTCAATGCCTTTGCGTCCTAATGCAAGATTGCGGCATAGTCGAGACACACAAACGTACCTCCTACTCTGAGATACCCGCCTAATGACACAGGCCAAACAGCACACGACCGCCCTTCGCCCACATACCTAGACCACAAACCACGAACACATGAGGGTTCCCCCTCTGTAAAGGGAAGCCTCTGTACATGTACCTACAGTTAAAGCGAGCAACAAAACTACAACCCGCATGCGACCGTTTGCGCACCGTACCACCTACATAACCCGTCCGTAATGCCCTGGCGTCTAGCCTGGGATCTTCCGCTTAAGGTTTTAGCCTGCCAATTAAGCCACATGCTCTTCGCAACCAACCGTTCCGGCGGCAGACGCTAACACCTGGACATGGACTCGTGGTTATGCACAACTACTGGAAACGAGGGCAACGCATCAAGACGGCCCAAACAACATGCCGCACAAAACATGCCAATTCCGGCCCAAACGCTGCTACATGGTTCAACCATGCCTCACGTGACCCCGTGCATGTTCGCTCTTTGTTTATAACGTTTAATTCAAACATCCCCAGGACGAAGGGTACAACTCAGAACATATCAGGCCGTTTGGCATTAACCAAACGTCAACAAAACAAAGCTTCCACCGGAGCATGATGCAGGGCCCCGACAAGCGACACACTAAAACGCCCACAGCTATAGTTGTCGCCGTGCTGTCCCTGCTGTAGAAAACAGAAAACATCAGCGGCCAGAATCAGCTGCAGCAACATAACCGCCGCATTACCCCCAACACACGAACCACCCTCTGAAGCCCGTTAACACACTTGGCGCAACCACCCACTGAATCCCCCATGAATATCAGCCATACACCTCGCAACCCCATCGCTTCTCCTCCTCCGCCGCCTCCCAATCCAAACAGCCCCGAACAGAAAAACCATTAGGTGTTCAGACGCCACATAACACAAGAACCGATTTCTTCAACCACTTCAACCAAAGAGCCAAAAGCACATAATACCACTTGAAAACTCGAGCAAACAAAAAGCCGCCTCTCTTCGGCCTCACTGGGTAGCCGCAAGACACCAGCGCCAACACGACCGCCGCGGAGCCAATAGCACCCTGTGCGACACCTTGAAACGCTGCTCGGACGCCCGAGGTTGTTAATTACCGCCAAAGCGCGACAGGCAACACCCGCTCAGTGAAGGATGCTTAGCGTGCGCCGTTACGCAGCTGGGAGCTGTCAACGACGGGGCGCCAAGGACACCGGCGTCAAGCCGGCGTCGGGGCCCTGCGGCCCGTAACGCGCCAGGTGTGCCAAAAAGGCGTTGGGAGCGTTTGCAGCCCCTGCGGGTGCTGCCGCTGCAGGTGGCGGTGAATACTCCTTGCGACCGCCGTTGTTGACGGCGGCGGCGGCGCCGCCGCTGCCATTGTTGACAGCGCCTGCCGGCGTTTCCGCCGCAAGCACCCGTCGCGGCTTCGGCGCCGCTGCCGCCGCCGGCGGCGCCGGCTCTTCCTCCTCCACGAACCCCCGTACCTCGTACATCCGCCGGTCGTCCGCGACTTCGTCACTCGAGCGACTGTTCGATCCGCCGCCGCCGACGGCCGACGTTCCCGCCGCCGCCACCGCCGCTGCCGTCTCCCGCTCCGCCTGCTGCCTCAACTCCTCCAGCAGGAAATCAATGTCTGCCTCCGACTGCTCCCCCGCCGCGACCTGTGCCGCCTGCTGCCGCACAAGCACCGTATTCATGGTCAACGCGGCGGGCGGCAGACCGGCTCGGAACCAGGGATGCTCCATGATCTCCGGCATGGAGATGCGATGTACGGGATCCGCAACCAACATGCGACTTAGGAGATCAAGGCACTGCGGGCTGATGCACATGCCGGGCGGGACCTGCCAGTCGCCTGCGAGGATGCGCTGAATGGTACCCGCCCGGTCTCGAACGCCACCCTGCTGTTGCTGCTGCTGCTGCTGCCGCTGCTGCTGTTGTTGCTGGTCTTGGACGGGTTCGAAGGGAACTCGGGAGAAAAGCATGGCGTACAGTACGACGCCTGCAGACCAGATGTCGGCTTTAGCTCCGTCGTAGCGTTGGGAGGGACCCGCTAGGAGGACCTCTGCGGGTGCAGGAGGAGAGGGGGGAAAATTATATAAGAAATGCAAACAACTAAAGTCCCAATCCCATATCCCGACTCATGCAGTGAGTGCATTCGGAGACACTAGCCTAGAAACACGCAAAGAAAGGAAAAGGAGAGAAGGGGGGGGGGGCCAGGAAAAGGAGAGTAAGGAACAACGGGAGACGAGACATACCGGCATGGAAGCAGCGGCAGCGGCAGCGCCACCTGACTATCGGCGGCCAGCGGCTACCGCCTCCATCATCATACATGGGAACATGGCATGGCACCAATCCTTCTTACATTGTTACAGGACCTCCAACCGCCTTCAACCCCCACCCCCAACCTCACCGGGCGCCATGTAGTTGATGGTGCCCACACGCGTCTTGGGCAGCGAGTGTGCAGCCCTCTTTGACAGCCCAAAGTCCGCAATCTTGATGTGCAGGTTGAAGCTGTTGCTCGTGCGGTGGTCGATCAGGCCCAGCGGCGCAAACACAGGTGGCTGCGGTTGCGGCGAGGATGCAGTCGCGTTGCCGCCTGAAGAGCCCTTGTTCAGCTGCATTTGTTGCATTTGCTCGTACATCTTGAGCTGTTGCTCTCGCTCTAGCAGCTGCTGGCGCCTAAGAGGAAGAGGGGGGACAAGCAGGGAAAAGCAGGAACAGGGCGGAGGTTAAGTGGTGGTGGCATTGGAGGAGGTTGCGCGTTAAGGCGACGTGATTTAAGGTCTGGCACCCCTTCGTTGCGCGCGCACACACCAAGGTGGCAACGGTAGGAGCGGTTTCGGGTATCTGACCCAAATCAGACAAGGATCCGAATCGGCAATATGAGGTGCGCGAGTGCAAGCCTTCCTCCGAGACCACGATCCAGCGGCAAAACTCGTTGCGGGTGTTTGCTGCACGACAGGCATCTGCCGTACCTGTGGCGCTTGCTTGCCTCCGGCGTGAGCTTGAGGAGCAGGTTCTCTGGTTTGAGGTCTCGGTTGACCACACCCTTGAGGTGGCAGTAGTCTAGCCCGAAGATGATCCTGTACGGGACCATTGTACGGCATGTTGGTACGACACGGCCAAAAGCACGCGTTTGCTCATGCCAAACTGGGTCGCAAGAGTTGGTGCTAAAGGTGAGGGAAAGCAGGCACCGACTTACTGTTGGAAGAGCCATCGCGCATCGGCCTCGGGCAGCGGTCCCTTGCGTCGCAGGAAGCCCAGAAGGTCGCCCTGTGTGGTTTGGCCGGATGGCGGTGCAACTAGTGAGGATGGGGACATTGGAGGGAGAGGAGACGGTACAGGGCTGCGAAGAAAAAAGCCCCCTGGTTTGTTTCGGCACTTCGTTGACGAAGTGCCGAAGCAAGGCATAAGGCCTTATCGCCAGTTCGAACTGCTTTGAAGACACTCTCCATACCTGATCAGCGAACCTGCAGGCACAGAAACACACCAGGATATGACAATGGGGTGACATGACTAACCAACTCGGCGCGAGCATGACTTACTCCATGCACATGTACATGTGCGACTGCGTGAGTCCCAGCTGCTTAAAGCGAATCACATGGGGATGGCGAAGAACGCGGTGGCTCTGGATTTCGCGTTGTATTAGGTTGACGTCTACGCCTGGACCGCTTCGCGGCATGAATTTGACAGCACAAAGCGAAGGCTCGCCACGTCCTTCACTTCGTTGGTACAAAGCGACACTCCCAAAGCTCCCTGCTCAGGAAGGGGGCCAACCGTGAAGACTCCAGTTCGCCTGCACCACCAGTGCTTCTTACTCCCAGTGCCCCAAACTTGCCTATGCCAAGATCCTTTACTTTCGCGTACTGAGGGTGCTCGGCAAGTGGGTCGGGGCTACTGGGTGGCTCAATGTTCGCCATTTCCTAATGTTGCCGTTGGATACCAGCAAATCTGCGCTGCACCTAAGCATGTAGCATGATACACAATTGATACAGCGGACAATCTACGTTGAGGTTTCGGCAAAAGGTCCTAGTTTTCTCGGTGTGAAAATGCGAAACGGTGGCGTTTTTGTAGGCTTAACGTAGCTTAGACGTTATCAGTATATGGGATGTTCTTGGCCGAAGTGATGTACTAGTATGCGTGGCTTCATACACCAGACATCTGACTCCTTCCTTCCGTAACCGAACTGCGCTTGCAATACCTAGGTAGTTAAAAGCCTATCGGTAACTCAAAGACCAATACAATTTCAGGCAAAATGCGCCGCCAACCGCTATTCCCAAGAAAAGTGACGGTTTGGACCTTGGCTTTGACCCGGGGGTCGCGATTCTATTGCGATATTGCTTAACGTGCATCTTTTGAGAACACAAATGAGCCACATGATTTCTCGGAGAACATTGTATCCACGGAACCAAAACACCGTCTGCTGCTATCCATGTCATTCCGCGACGACACCCCGCTTCCTCCCCAACCACCACCACCATAGAAACGCGCGGCTGTAGCAGCGGGAGCTACAACCAAGCAGCCTTCACCAGCTCCCCGCTTCCATCACCGCCGCCGCCGCCGCCGCGGATGCGGCTGCTGCTCCACTCCCGCCAAGACGCAACCCACGCTGACGCGACGTGTCTCATATTTACTGAAACCTAGAGCATCTGTTGGGTTGCCTGCCCCTGGCCCCTTATCTCCCAACCCTACTTCCCGAACTCCCAGCCGTCCCCCGCGCCGCCGCCATTCGCGCCATCTGCGCCTCCATCCAACTAACCCGCCGTACACTCACCTCCCCTCCCCCCGCATCAACCACCACCACCACACCCCCTCCTCCGCTTGCACTCCCCCCATCTGCACTCCCTCCGCTAACAGCTCCCGCAGCAGTAGCAGCAGCAGCGGCGCTGGCACCTCCCCGCCCGCCCCACGCCTGCTGCGCCTGTGACGCCTCAGGCAACAGCGCCGCACGCCACACATGCACCGATGCCGGCCTGGATGCCTGCCCACCGCTACCGCCATTACCGCTGCTGCCGCCGCTGCTGGTGTCGCCTTCAGGCGGCGGAGGCAGCTGTTTAAACTCCCTCATTAGCTCTGGGGTGGGGTAAAAATAAGGGGTGAGGTGGGGGGGTGCGGTGGTCGCAGGTCGTCGGGAACAGCGATGTGAGGTCAGTCATCCCCCCAACGGTGAGAGGCAGACATCTCAGCGTGTTCGGAAAAACACCTTCCCCCCCACACACCTTTCAGCCACATCTGAACGAAGACACCTTAACACGACCTCCGGCACCCTACGGCACTCTCTAACCCCACCAGGCCATCAGGCCGCGGTCCCACCTCCCCCTTTCTCTCCCGGCTCCCGGTTCCCGGCCCGCACCGCCCTCCCCCCATGATGACGTCTTATCACACGGTCAGTCAGTTGTTTCCTCTTTACCCCGCCTTCCTACCTGGTTGCAAGCTGAGCCGTCCGGCCGCCCGCACCTCCAACAAGTCGATTGCCAAGCCTGAGGAGGAGGAGGAGGAGGCTGCAGGCAGCTGCAGTTCCACGTTTCCTCCCCCGCTACGCAGAACAGCGGAGGCCAGCCGCGACTGGAGCTGAACCTGGGAGGAGCGGGATGACGTGTTTGGGGTTGGCTGTTGTGGAGAGAGAGGTCAAAGACCATAGGACCATACCACAGGAAGCCGCAGATTAGGGTAAAGCATAGGGGATGGCGCATGGCGGCTGCGTTTCGCAGAAGCGCGAAGGCCTAGGTAAAGTGCAAGTGGTTGCTGTCAGGATGCATGACAGCCTGACAGGCCAAGACCACGTCCCCCACTCCTCGCACCGCACCGCACCTTGATTGCTCCACCTCCGCTGTCTACCTCCGATACACCCTCCAGCCCCTCCAAACACACGTCCCCGCCGTACGACATAATCTGCGCTCCGAAACCATTTGCCGTACTGCTTTGGGTTGCCGTACTGCGGCTACTGCTGTCGCTGCTGTTGGCGTCACCGGCACCACTGCTATCGCCGCTGCCGCCGCCACAATCCAGGGTGCCAATACGCACAGCTCCACCATCTGCGTTTCAATGCGAATCAGTATAGCCACATTGGCCACGCATCTGTGACCTAAAGGACTATTTAAGTAGTGAAAGGGGCGGTACGTCCCGGACATATATGCAGGAGGCAATGCAAGAGATAAGAGTTCGTTGTGCCCCTACGGCGTACCTGTACGGATTCGGAGCACATTGCCGTACACTGCGCCCAAATTGATGGCCTCCGAAGCGGCCGAGACCGACACTTCGCCTTCCACAGCAGTTTTTGATGATGAAGAGGATGTCGTTGGCGATCCTGGGGTCGTTGATGTTGTCAGTTGCATGTAACCGCCAACCAAACGCCGTACAGTTATGGGCCCGGATGCGGTGATGGAGACATTCGTACCGCTGACGTCACCTCCCTTGTTCGTTTGCAGCGACCAAATGGCGTCGTCAGATGGGTGCATGAGGGAGAGGGTATATCATCCGTATTAAGTAAGGTGGTCGTTAGGAGGAATGCGGTCCGTCAGACGAGATATATAGGAAGGAAAAGGCCGCATATGAACAACATGCGATACGGCAACTAAAACCTTGTCACTGTCACGTAACTGTCATGAAACCAGGTGCTCGCGGAAACCTCATACCTATAAGCCCCCGTGCACATGCACAACCGCCCCCAATCAATCATCACAACGGTTTACCAATTAACCAACCAACGCCGCCAGTGTCGTACCTTCACCGCTCCAGAAGCTCCGTGCGCGTTGCCAGCGGTTGTTGCGGCGGTTGCCGTGTCCACCTCCACTCGCATGCCCCGGACCGACCCAAGGGTCACTGCGCCTCCCGCGGACACCACCCGCAGGTCCCCCTCCACGACGCGGGATACCGCCACTGGGCCGCCTGCAGGCGTTACAACACACGCATGCCACTCTTCTTACATCCAGCAACAGCTATTTCAGTAGTTTTTAAATTAAGGTTCAGCTTTGGTCACCTCTGTTTTGCCTGTACTCGCGGTTCACATGCGAATCTCTCCCAATTGCTTGCTCTTGTCCTACTCAACTACACACACACGTGCCAGGTTCGCGGCCGGTTTATTTAACACATGCAAGCGTGTTAAATACACACACGCATCAGGGTGCTGCAAACGCGGCCGATTGTGAACTCGAAAACTGACAGGGCTTAATGGGACAGCAGACAGGGCCTAGATTATGTGCATCTGAGGGGTGCCGCAATGCGAAAAAACACACAAACATGTTACAAGCCACCAGCTTCATAAGGCCACACGTGTCTTAAGGGCACATGAATATGCATCCCTCACAACCAGGCTACCCACCGGTGGAGCTGATATCTAGGCTGATGTACTTTTCGGGAATCTCCAGCCGTACAAGCCCAGCCGTACAGGTTTCGGAGCCCTTCCCTGCTGCTCTCCGCGCCCCTGCTCCTGCTGCTGCTCTGTTGCCTCCCAGAGCTGACGATGATGCATCCACTTCCACACCTGGTTTGCCGCTGGGCCGAACATCTAAGCGGAATGCGCGGTCGGCGACGGAAGAGAGCAGGAAGGGACAGGTAGGAGGGAGGACAGACATGACGAAGGGGTTGGTTATGACGAGGAGGATGAGGAATCGGGGGTGATGGGACGCTCGTACATGCCTGCAAATCCTAGCAAAGTCGAAACCAAGCCCACACCGCCCGGAGGATGAAAGAAAGCTGCAGCCTGCGGCCCCTCCTAGCATGCCTCCCCCTTCACTCGGAACATCACCCACCATAAACGATGCGACCGGCAGCTTCTTCGTTCGCCGCCGCCACCTCCCAGCCCCTTCCGGATTGTTCCTGTGCCGTACGAAAGCCGCACACCCACGCACGAATGAGCTTAAAGCATTACTGTGAGCCGACAAGGAGTGTAATCCCAAAACACCTAAAGATAACAGCTAACGGTAACTGCGCTTACCGTTAGCGTTGCCACGTCGGTCCAGCCCGACACGTGGTTCACTTGAACACCGCTGCCAGCAGGTGCCATGATGCGGAAACATGTCCCGGGAACAACAGGCACTGTCTGAGTGCTGGGGCCAGTCAAACCGAGACCAGGGTTGAATGTGGTTTCGGAAGCACTGATAGGGGCCCTTAAGCAAGCTGCGTGTACGGAGGTGTCCATTGACTGCTGTGTTGATGGGGCATCGATGCCTGACGCGGCCTGCTGCTGGGGCGTGCTCGTATGCAGGAAGCGGGGAGAAACTGAACGCGCACATATGAGGCTGTCAAGCAGTGGTGATAGCGGCTGCAGCGGCAGCATCGCGTCTGAGCGTGAGGACCGCAAAAGCTGGTGTAGTGGCCACGTCGATGCCGCCGCAAGGGGCGCCCACGAGGCAGCCGCAGCTGCAGACGCTGCAGACCTTAGCAGCTTCTCCATGATGGAGCACTCTTAAGCGCCCGCGTTAGCCAATGAGCTGTGACTAGACTTCGGTTGCCTACAGCGCGCAGCCGACTAACTGCGCAGTACCATACTTGCGTTTAACTGCTGCTTAAGGGTTCTTACAAGGAGGTGTTCTACGCGATGACATTGCCTCCGCAATGACTGGATGTTCCCTTGGTATAGACCTCAACTGTCAACCTAACGGTCAGGGTCATATGGTGCGAAAGCTCGCCGTTCACCGTTGAACTGTACAGATCAGCTTACCTGAAGCCAATTTCTGTGCATTTACATTCATTCTGACGTCTTTGTGTCTAAGCCCAGACGGCCCACGCGCGGTGAAAGCAGTAGTGCAAACATCAGAGGCCGATATGAATATATCCCTAATTAGCTAGTAAACTTACTTGATGTTTGCCTGTGGCAATGGGAGTTAAGCTGTGAGTACTGTTCATGGCATCGTAGGGCCCTGCCCTTACCTCAGCAGCGCAAGCAATTCAGCTGACCGCTTTTGCAGACTGATCAGGACTCTTCCACAGAAGGGCGTTACCGGACCGTCCCAGTATGAGTTGCTGAAGCGCCTTGTCGATGAGTTATGCCCAACGCCACCCTCCGGCCGCTCAGATGCCTGGGCAGTTACTTGTCAGCTCCTGAAGCAAGGACATGCGCTGGTAAGTCGGAGGGTGGGCCGGAAGCCGTGCGGGGAGGGCTTTGGGACATTGGGAGCGTGACGAGACATCCATCACCCCAACCTGTGCGGCACCAACCCAAACTATAAAGCCGCAGGCAGCCGCGCGATCCAGATACATCGCGACGCCTACGCTATGTCCGCGTCATGCTGTAAATTTACATTGCAACTACCAACTTCCAACCCATCCATTTTTCCGCTCCATGACTCTGACCGCGCAGATGGCAGCCATGGGCGGTGCCGGTGCGGCACCCGGCGGCGGCCTCAAGGACATGTGGGCCGTCAGCTTTAGAGACTCACCGGATCAGGTTTACCTGCTCGTACGGCCTGAACACAAGGTGCGACGTGAGCAGCATGTACGACAGGAACAAATGTCGGCATGCTGACCGTTGTGAGAGACGTCTGCGGTTTCTCTTTCCTACGGCGGACCGTTTAAACACGACAGCAAGATCACCATGCCGTCGCGCCGTCTTTCCGTCGTGAAAAATTAAGTCATTAAAGCCATTGCATGACAACTACCACCAACCGCCAACCGTTCTCTCCTGACAGGCAATCGAGTGCGATGCCACCATCATGCGGCTGCTCGAGAAAAAGCTCGAGTACGGCAAGCAGATGACCATTCGCTTGGAGGTAGGTACGACATGTCCGGGAGGGAGGGGTACGACATGTTGGGGGGGTACGACATGTCCCGGGAGGGCGCTGTACGACGTGTACCACAAGTCCGCGTGCTCGGGACCTTCCCTCCCTCCCTGTGTCTCCCGCATCGCATATCGCACCCGGTATACCTGGGTTGCCACTTATCGTTCGCAATTTGGTCTTATCCTCCCTTCCTTCCATTCAAAAGAGGAATTCACAATTCAGTTCTATGCCAGGCTTATCCTTTCGTTTCCTCCCATCTAACACTGTTACCTCCCATGCGACTAGGGCCTCACCTACTCCAAGGGCGACTTCCTGCTCCGCCTCATCACCGCCACGCAGGCCATCCACTCCTCCCAGGTAGGAACGGGGAGGGGCAGGCTTGGGGAAGGATAGGAGCGGTGCGCGGGGGTGAGCAGTTGCAGGCATTGTGGGGTGGGGTAAAGACGAAACAACTAACTGACTGAGGGATAAGGCGTCAACATGGGTATTGTGGGGTGGAGGTGCGCAGTGGTGCAGGGGTGCGGAGTTGAGGAGGCGTGGGCCCATCGCATTTTCGCCAATTTCGCCCTTTGTGGTTTCATATGGTTTGGTCTAATCTCCCCCCCTTCCCCGCCCCCCCCCCCCCCAGGCCCTGCTGGGCCACTGCCTGGAGGTGGAGTACGTGCCCCTCAGCTCCATGCAGGCGGCGGAGGGCTGCATGGCAGACTTCGTGGAGCTGCTGCGGCAGCACCTGCTGGCGTCGGGGGCGCTGGGGGGGCTGGAGACGCTGGGAGGCGGGGGAGGCAGGCTGGGAGCGCAGTGAGTAACTGCGTGGGTTAAGAAAACTGGCCGCCGCGGATAAGGGGGTGCTGGTATCGCGCATGTGTTGTTGTGCACGATTGCTTGGTTGTTGTGTTCGCTGATGTTTGTATTCCTAAGCGGCTTGGTTGACTACCTGTGTGTGTCGTATCTTTGTCGTGCCTGTGTCGTACACAGGTTGGAGCTGGTCAAGCCGTCGTACGATAAGTACGGCCTGACAGGACTGCCGTACGGCCGTACACATGCCGCCGTGGCGTACGGCGATCTGGTTGTGGCGATGTTGAATACGTCAGCAGCGGCAGCGCAGGCGGCAGCAGTCGCAGCACAGCAGCAGCAACAACAGCAGCAATTACAGCAACAGCAACAGTTCGGAATGGTAAAGCCAGCTTGAGAAGAGTCTAAGCAGGTAATGAGGAGAGAAACCAATCGTGTGACAAGGCTCTGCCAAGGGGTGCATGGAACGAGGGTGGGCGGTGCTCTGGATGGCAGCAGAGGCGGCGATGCGGCAACAACTGCAGAAGGTGGATGTTGATGGGAGGGATGCACTTGGAATCTCATTAGCAGCAGCAGAAGAGGTGTGGGCGGTAGCTGGAGCGGTAACAAGAGCGGCGTCAGCAGGAGAAGCCACGGCAGTAGCAGTAGCAACTTGGATTGGAGGTTTGAGGTGCTTCTTCTGTCTGATGGTAGCTGGGCTTGGAGATACCCGTGTAGATGAGAGAAACAGATGATTTAAGGTGGATAGGCATACTGAGCATGGGCCATAAAGACACAAGGTGCGGGTCCAAGCCACGAAATGGCATATGCAGGAGCCATGGTAAGATAGAGGCGCAGGAGGAAGCACAGGAGAGAGCACCGTGTAGGGCACATCTTGGTGGGGTTCGTAGGGGGAGAATGTTTGTAACGGTTATACGGGTTATCGTGAATGGCATGAATGGCACTATCGTATTTTATATTGATGCCCGAGACCTTGCTAGACCTACGTGTAGTGCGAATACCAGTAAGCGTCCTCTGCACAGCACCCTGTACACGCAGGGTATGCACGTGCGTGTGCTTACACCTCGGCAAATCTAGCACGCACTCAGCAAGGAGCACCTGGCAGCACCTGGTTAAATAAGTAAACGACTCCCTGTCACGTCTTCTTAATGTTCATGTGTGTCTGTTATGGACTGCCCGAGCACGTGGTGCTTGCTTACACAGGTTGTAGCCGTACGACAGGCAAGCACGCATCGAGAGTATTTCCACGCTGGCAGCGCGCATGCATGCCCTGGCAGGGATGGATTGCGGAGGACGTGCGCATGACGTCATGTTTTTGCGGACCCCGTGTCATTGTCAAAGCTTGAAGGTTGGCAGCGCTTGGTAGGTGGTACGGTAGAAATACGGATAGTAACGTTTCGACCGTACAGTACGGTCTTGTCAGTTTCACGAGCTTACTGTGGCTTTAGAGCGCCGCTTCAGAGAACTTAGAAAACAGTGCTATGGAAAGGACTGTATGACGAAAGAACTATGTGCCGGGTCTGAGCGAGGCAAGCACGGCTGCCAAATCTCCTTGATACTCGACCGATAGACAGTAGACAATGTCTTTGCTAGCTGTTCTTATTGTGGTTCCCTTTTATACTTAGGACAAGGCACGGTATTCGCAAGGAGACTAGTGCTTTTTTAATCGTTAGCAGGCTAAGGCTCCTGGCGCGCAGCAAGCATACATGATGATGACCGGAAAGATAAGCAATGACACGAAACTATGGAATTCTACGTGGCGCCGCTGGCTTTTCGGCGTCGTCGTTGTGGCATGTGTTACCACCCGGTTCGCCGCGTCGGCCCTAACAGGTATAGCTGTAGCCATTTGAACTGCGTCCCAGGCCATCGTGACCGTATAAGATTACAGCTAAACTTACAAGTGCAAAGAAGGCTTCACGTCACCCTTTCTGCGCTGCCAAGGACCTTCCTGCTTTACGTAACACTTAACCCCTTCTGCTTCAGGCCTGGCGTTACCTCCTTTGGATGTGAATGCCATGCAATATGGTGGATCTTGGGCGAGCGCGAACAGCCTGGTCTTCACAGACCTCATGAAGGTACGCAAACCGGCTGGGGATTTTGAATTGACCCAAGCCAGACTGTATTGCTAACCCACAGCAACTACAATCTCAGCACAGTCGCGGCACACTTCACACCAGTACCGTATGTTTGCGAATACCTGTAAAGCGCTTATACAGTGCCGTACATCCACACGCTCTCTCCGCCAAACACCTACCTCGAGACGGTCAACGCCTCCGCTGAATCCCCCTTCCCTTCTCCCATTTCCTCCCTCCCCCTTCTCTCCCCCTTTTGCTCCCTCCTCCCCTTCCCTCCCCAAACTCCTCTCCCAGCACTCCACCTTCTTCGGTACGGGTGCTCGAAGCGCCGGCACCAACAGCACCTGGGGCTACCTAAACCCCGCCCTCATCACATGGAGGCTGGACGGCTACCCCGCAGGCGAGTCCCGCTTACACCAACCTATCCCTTCCCCTCTGCCTAATGCGGAATATGTATCCCTACTAATCCCCTCTGCCTCCAATACCTCCTCCGCAAGACGCCTGCCGTTTCCATCTTGCCTTTCTCTTGGGCCCTGGTTGCGTTCCCTGATCCGCCGCAACTTACTCCCGTATGCATTCCCCAAACCGCCGTTACGGCTGCTGCCATTTGCCTTGTTTGCTGCCTCCTAGCCCCATGTCGCCGGCTCTCCTGTGTCGCTCCTAACCAACCGGCCGCCCCTTCCTGCCATGCACCATCCTCTCCTCCTGCTCCTCCTGCTCCTCCTCCTCCACCTTCTCCTCCACCTCCTCAACCAACCCCCACCTGCTCCACCTCACAGGCCTGACCCCACCCAATCGCACCCAGTGGTGTGTAGTCACCACCATCGGCCAGGGAGGGGCATACTACCCCGCAGGTGGGGAGGAGAGGGAGGAAGGGGCGCTTCTTTCGGGCTTGGGCATGTATTGGATGTATGGGTGCTGCTTCCGACCTTTGGCTCTCGTCCGCTGCACCTCACTTTCATACCGGTACACGCACCACAGCTCCATGAATTCTACCGGTACCTGCATTGCCCCGCCCTCCTGCCACACACGGGGCCAGTTTTCTTATCACACGCCCCACTTATCACACGCCCCACCGCATCTTCCGGTAATCACAGTACATTCCGACTCGCGGCCAGTTTCCTTTAACACAACAACACACCCCTTGCCCACACATACGCAACACAACAGGTCGTACTGTCGCACTGTCGCCTCCCCTGCACCCGCATTGCAAGGTCGCTCCTGTCCACGCAGCGCCCATCATTCCAGTCCTCCTTCCTTCCTTCCTCACTTGCGTCCCAATGTTGCTCCCTCCCCCTACACAAACCGCAGGCCGCTATGTCCTGCTGTACGACGGTGATGGTACGGTGGAACTGGAGGGTGACGCGGCTAGCCCACCCGTGTCCTCGACTGCGGGTCGGCAGGTTGTGGATGTCACACCCAGCAGCACGGGTAAGGGGAAGGGAACTGGGAAAAGAAGGACTTGGGGTAAGAAGGAGTTGGGGAAAGGAGAAGACCACGCTGTTGACGACAGCGGCAACCCGGCCCGGGGAGCGCGGGGAGGGAGGGAGGGAACGAGGGGGTGAGGGGACGATCATAAGAGACGAGGCAAAAAACGGTGGGCGAAGGGACGACCTAGAGCGATTAGCTACGTTCTTACGCCCCTGTCCCGCTGTCCCCTCAGCTCCCCCACCTACCCCTCCTCCCTCTCATCCCCCCTCCTCTCCCCTCCTGCCTCTCCTGCCCAGGCCTGCGGGTGCGAATCACCGCCTCCAACGCCTCCAACCCCGTTCTCAACATCAGGATCGTGCCGGCTGCCCTCGAGGCCACGTACGCCACCACCTCCGTGTTCCACCAGGATTTCCTGGCCATGCTGCAGGTGGGGGTGGGGGTCCGCCTCATGCTCAAATCCTTGCTCAGATTCCTGCGGTTCCCCATCTTCCTCCTCCCATCTCCCTTCAACCTTGTCGTGCTGTTAGTTGCGGTACTCTTTTCCTCTTCATCTCCCCTTCTCCGTTGCTTCACTTTTCATTTATCCTTTTACCCCGCCTCCCCTCTTCCCTCAAAAAAGGGCATCCCGCTACTTCGCTTCGCCTCCTGGATGCGAGCATCTTGGAACCCCGACAGCTCTCGGAACGCGCCGCGCAATTGGACCGCTCGTACGACACCCACATTCAGCTCGCAGGTACGGCATGCCGTACACGTACACTCTTCGTCTAGGCCCGGCTCTAGTTGGCGGCTTGTGAAACAGTAACATGATGAAAGCGTTTATGAAAATATAATGTTGGTAATTAATTTGCAGGTTCGCGAGTCGGATGGAGTGGCAGTAGAGCATTTGGTTCAGTTGGCGAATACCGTTAACGCAAACATGTGGATCAGCCTGCCGCGAGCCGCCAACGACTCGGATCCGTACACGTACGGCATGGTGTCGTACATCGCAGCCAACTTGGCGGTTGGTTTGTCGTTGACGGTTGAGTACGGCACGGACGGCCCCGGTTGGATCTCGAGTCACCTGCCGACCAACACGAAGCTCATCAGTGCGATTGCGAGGCGGGTGTGGGCGGCGGCGGGTCGACCGGCGTCACAGCTGAGGATTGTGGAGGCGGTCCCGGGGGCCGTGTAAGTGGGGCTGCGTGGGGCTTCAGGACTACGAGTAACAATCATTTACCAGCAAATTTATGATGGCAAGCGGGCCCATTTCATGCGTTAGGTTGCCGTTGCTTGAAGACATGTGCTTCCCCGTTCACGTGGCCTTTCGGGGAACATAGGCCTCAATCGCCATGTCCGCTTTACCTGTGTTATACGGGGGTGTAGCTGGGTTACCGGTATGCTTGAAGCACCCTGTGTATCAGCGTGTGTATTGCATGTTCTTTTGGCACTGCGTTTCCTCGTGACCTGTTGGTTCGGCATTTTAGCACCACCACCACCACCTCATGTCGTTTACCCCTTCCCCCGTCCCTCCCCACACGCGCTCCTCATCCGTACCCGTCTGCCCCAACCCCCAAACACACCCCTCCGTACAGTCTCCTGGGAAATCTCTGGGTCAACTCTGGATCTGATCTGTCGTACATCGATGCAATCGCCATGCCCGCTTCCTTCGGCGGCAGCTCCCACTTTGGTTGGAACTTCGACAACCCCACCGGCTGGTCCTCGGGTTCCTACTTCGCCACGACCAGGAATCTGACACTGGAATACGTACTGCAAGTTGTGAGGTAAGCAGGCGTGAAGGAAGATGACCCATGGGTCATGATGGTAAGCAGGGTAGCCCTGTTTTAAACCATATCGCCGTCCTTGCGTCCGAACCGGCTTACAGTGTTAAGAGCTCACGAACAACCCATGGGTCACCATGCATAGTTGTAACCATTCCGCCACCCATCATTAAGCCGTTCACAGGTGTTCTGGCACGTGGAATGGAAGGTCTACACTGACCATTCACACCGTTACAGCCCGAAAGCACTAACACACTCAAACACACGCCAAAACCAGGTCATCTGTAGTGACGTTTTGCACGCCCCAACCCACTCTTACACGCAACAGGGCTTCCGTCATCGCTTCCGATGTTATGCACAACAAACAGTTTAAAATCCTCAAATCCAAGGGTCTGCCTCTGCTGGGTTATGCAGCGGGTCCAGACATGCTCGGGCCGCTGTACGGATCCCGCGCGAATCTGGATCACGTGATCCAGAACTGCGGCGGTACTTCGGTCACCTGGCCATGCAACCTCAACACACTGTATCCGCCCTGGACTTACTCGGGTGGGTGCTAGGGCTGGGATACTTTAGGGTTTTGGATAGACTGAACGCGTGGTCAAGCTTTGCGTTGGGTTTTGGCGTTTTGGTTGGGCTGTACGTATGGTGGGGTTCAGGCATTGCGGGGAAGTTGCAACAAATGCTGGCAGGCAATGCTTGGGTTGGAGCGTAATGGGTGATTGAGGCGTTCATGCAGGCGCCTTGCTTTACCTTTTCCCGTGCCATATTGACTGGTATTCCTCCTGTCCTGCTGTAACAGCAGGCGGCCCCAGCAGTATCAGTTGGGCCAATCAGGCCGAATACAACGCCACAGTGAACGGCATACTCGCAACCAACGCCTCCATTGAAGCATCTCTGGAAACCGTACTGCGTCAAGTACGACAGCACGACAGTATGTACGACATGGTTTTGGATTCTCTTTGGCGCTGGCATTACCAGATGGGAGGCGGCGACATCGTCATTGACATTGCACGATCCGCCGGCAGTTGTACGTACGCCCCGGGTATTCGATCGGGCCGTTACATGCCGGACGAGTGTGCAACGAACGCAACCGCCGCGGCGGCGCTGATTGTGGGACGTCCGACCGATTCGCCGACGTATAAGGCCCTTCGGACATGGCTCAATGCGACGGCGACGGATGAAGGTGAAGACGAGGCGCCCAATGTCGGCTCGCTTCCGCGAACATTGGTCAACGCGACGTTACAGGCGATTGCGCCGCCGCCGAAGGCCCAATGCGATCCTAGCTGCGTGTACGGCGACTGTGTCGACGGCGAGTGCGAGTGCTGGGCCGGTGTCACTGGCGACGCGTGCGAGACCCTTGGGTCGGCGTCGACTCCGTCGGCATGTAATCAGGCGGTTGGCGTGGTACTCGAGGGGATCTCGGATTGGTCTCGGAGCTGGACGTTTGTCGACGTATTCAAATCGTCGCGAGCCTGGATTCCGCAATCCTTCGCTTCCGGATCCGCTTGGAGTACGGGTGCGACAATCTACTTGATCAACAGTACGGACGGACCCGGTGGCCGTACGGCAGTCGGTTATCCGTCGTACTTGGATACGCTACAAAAGGTGTCAACGTTGGTCGTACGGGATCTGGAGGGCCACGTGCAAGGGGGTAAGTTGTTGGGTTAAATAAGCGAGTAGTACAGGGGATTACAGTTACAGCATTACAGGGTTGAGGGCTGGAACCTGGTCTGCTTTACGGTTTGTACGGCATGCATCTTATCTTATCGCTGTATGACTTGTTGGGCCACCAGGGTTTCTGATAAAGTGACACTGTGTCGTCTGAGCTCTTCCCATATAACCTACCAAGAAGCATTACCGGTGGCCAGAAGCTTCGTTTGTTTCCACGCGTCCTGTTTTCATGCTCAACCCCATATCGTACACACCACACGACTTGAATCGTACTAGATGTATCCCACTGCGTGTCAAAATCCTTTAAAATACGTTGTTACTCCGTTACTGCGTTGACTGCATCACTGTCATATCTCTTCCTGGCTTCACCCGCGGTTACCTTTACCGTGCATGCCGTACTGCTGCAGGCTGGTACACCGTGCTGTACGACGGCAAGGGCCTGCTGGATTTCTCCATGTCAGATGTGAAGGACGTTCAGTTCGTGGAAGCTGGCTATGTTAGGGTGCGCTTCAGCCCATCCACGGATATGAACAATGGTGAGCAGCGGTTGTGGAGAGTCAGATGACCCATGGGTCGTAAGACGTGGGTGCAATGGGTCTGCTAAGCTTGTCCGCATGCTCGGCCTTCTTCCCATCTAGTCATGCATCCCAATCAAGATTCGTATCCCGCTTACCCGTTTACCCATGGCGCGGTTTACACTTGCCAGCCGGGAGCATCGCTGACAAACTTACCAAGCTACGGGTACATCCCACTCCCTTTCTTCTTCCCCTCTCCCCCAGGCATTCTCGTCGTGTTGGAGCGCACAGACCCCTCCGACCCGCTCCGGAACATCCGCGTCATCACTCCTGGCTACGAACAAGCCGCACTTTGGGGCGGCAGCAGCGGTGCTACCGCTGGAGGCAATCTGACAGCTGCAGCAGCAACAGCGAGCGTGGGCCGGCCCTTCCATCCGGAGTTCCTGGCCTACCTGCGGCCCTTTGGCCTGCTGCGTTTCATGGAGTGGATGCACGCCAACCTGGAGGAGACGAAGCAGCCTGTGGAGTGGGAGGACAGGCCGCGGCTGGAGGACAGGTATGGGCTGAAAAACCATGAAACAACAAGTGAGGGCAAAGGGGATACGAGGTGGCAGGTAAAGCGTTTGGGCTGCGGAGGGCATATTGTTAAAGCTAGTTTGCATTAATTTGTTAGGAACATCCACCGTGTGTTACCACTATCATCCTTTTGCCACTATCCAACATTTGCAACTAGCTTTCCTACTACGATACTCAATTTGACCCCCTGTATGTCCTCCCACCCTGTTGCTACCCAGGTCCTACGCTGTCGCCCCCGGCGGTGTCCCCCTGGAGCTCATGATCAAACTCGCCAACACGCTCGGCGCCGACCCATGGTTCAACTTGCCCTACGCCGCATCCGACGACTACATTGCTCGCTTCGCTGCCGCCGTTCGCGACGGCCTGCGTCCCGACCTGCGTGTGTATGTGGAATACAGCAATGAGTTGTGGCACACGGGGTTCCCCGGCGGGCAGTACGCGCAGAGGATGGGGCTGGCGATGAATCTGACGGAGGAAGGGAGCAAGTGGTACGGTGAGTGTGGGGCTTGGGCGGGATGGGGCGAAATGTGTTGGACGTGGTGGCAGGGTGCGTTATTCGGCTTGTGTGGCTACCGGCGGGTTGCTGTATGTGTCTGTGTGCATACCTTATAGCCGTATAGCTTCATCTCGGAGCCAGTGTGTGCCGCATTTCGGCTTCCTTTGGTGTATTGAAAAATAACCTCCCACCCCGATCATCGTACACTTAACTCACTTGCAATGTATGAACGCCCTACACAGGTGGCGCAACCAATGAGGCCCGTTTGTGCTTTGTCGGACAACGTACGGCAAACATTAGTAAGATCTGGAAATCCGTTTGGGGTACCGGCGCCAACGGTAACGCCAGCCGCGTGGTGGTTGTGGTTTCGGCACAAGCAGTCTGGCCCATTACAAGTTCCAAGCTGCTGTCCTGCGGAGGAGCTGCGTCGTACATTGACGCCCTCGCGATCGCTCCGTACTTTGGATCGTACAACAGCAGCCGGGATAAGAACTTGACCGTCTTTATGAATACCACGCTGCCATCCCAGGTATGTTATTGTTCCTCTTTTCGCAGTTGCGGAATGTTATCTGAGTTACACGTACGGTAATAAAACCCAATTGGTGTGTTGGCTCAACGGTGCTCGGTTGTTGCTGCATGGCGTTTATTTAGAGACCATCCGACACCGGGTGCAATGTCAGCAGAGGTCGAAGGGGCCCGCTGCCATGCTCCAGCAGCACTGCAGCAGTCAAACACCAGGAACAACGACAACGACAACCAATGCTGTGTGTCCAGTCCAGTAATCGTGCCGGCCATCTAATTAACCTCCCCCTTCTCCTCCATCGTGTCTGTATCATGCTTCTTTTTATCGTAGCTTCATCTGTGTTCACACCTTATTTTCTGTCCTTCACACCCTCACACCCGCCGCTGCCAGATCAACGACACCCTCAACTACGTGGCTCAGCACGCTGCGATCGCCGCAAAGTACGGCAAGACTCTGGTGGCGTACGAGGCGGGGCAGGGTATGAACGGGGACGGGTCCAGCAACGACCTAGCCATTCAGGTGCGTTGATTTGATTGAAGCATGTATTAGGAAAACTGGCCGCGAGTCATAACATACTGTGATATCATGTGTAAGTGCGAAGTGGGTAACTAGAGAAGAAGAGGTTCCATGCTTGGGAGGCTCCACTTGCCGAGCTGTGACGGCAGGTGTTATCTATGGCGGCTGGGAACGACGCGCATGCATGCTGTTAAACCTTTGGGAGCCTTGAGCCTTCTTAGACGCCGCATACTCCATTCTTAGTCAACCGCCCAAGAGCCTAACCGCCGCCTTCCCTCCTCAGGCCAATCGCCACCCCACCATGGCCTCCCTCTACCGCACCTACCTCCGAGCTCTAGCCGCCGCCAACGTTAGTCGTGTCGTACACTTCTCCAGCATCGGGGTGTACAGCAAGTACGGCAGCTGGGGCCTGATGGAGGCGCAGGACTGGGACCGCAGGGACGCGCCCAAGTACCAGGTACGGCTGACGGGGGCCCTCTGTGTGGATGATGCCGGTGGTGTTGGTGGTGCGTCTCTGCATGCCGTCTTCTTCACCCGAAACGCCCCTCCATTTGTGGACGAGGCTTTATCTACGGGTTAATAAACCCTCTTAACACGCTGGAATTAGGTTGTTTTATCCTTCCTGGGCGGCTGCCCCATCCAACCCCTCTCTCTCTCTTTCTTTTTTACCCCCCTTTCCTACCCTTCACCCCCGCCCCTCAGGCTGTCATGGAGTTCATCAACGCCTCCAAGACCTGTCCGCTGCCCTCGCCGCCCGACCCCAGCACCTGCCCCGGCCACGGCAACGGCTGCAACGACAACGGGGATTGCCTGCCGGACGGCACCTGCGCCTGCTACAGCGGCTTCAGCGGGCCGGATTGCGGCACTGTCGCGTATACGGATGTCTATAACTGCGGATACAGGTAAGACGCTAGGGGGAGAAGAGGAAGAAGATGATGATGATGAATGGAGGTGGATATCTAATAACCCCACATGCCTATCCGTACAGCACTTCATTCCGGACGTATACCGCACGTGCACCGCTGCGCTTCTCCCCAACCCCAACCCCGTCTTCCTATGCTGATGATGATGATGATGAATCCTTGTCACCTGCTTCAGATCCTTTCCTCTTTGCCTCCTCCTTACCTCCTCTTCACGCGCACCCAGGTGCACGTTCGACCAGGGCTGGTGCAACGTGAGCACCACCTACCGCACCACCCGCACCTGGGGCTGCACCTGCAAGCCGGGGCTGGGCGGGCTGGCGTGCAGCCTGGTGGCCTGCCCCAACAACTGCAGCTGGAACGGTGAGGTGGCGGTTGATGCGGGAGCATGATGCGGGGAAAGAGCGGGGCGGCTGGGGGCAGGGTGCAGGTGTTGCAGGCTGATGTCTGCATAGCCACTGGGGCCAGTACAGCCGCGTATCGCATTGAGCAGAGCACTCGCACGCATTGAAGACTTCGCATGCGCATGCACAATCAAGCCGCCCTTCGTTTGTACAAGTCGTCCATTCTCCTCCTTACCTCCTCCCTTTATTTCTCTCCTCCCTTTCCCGCCTGCCGCCTGCTGCCCGGGCAGGCGAGTGCCTGGACCAGGGCGTGTGCTCGTGCTACCCGGGCTACAAGGGGGCCGACTGCAGTCAGGACTGCGGCTGTGGGGGACACGGTCGCTGCGCGGAAGACGGCAGCGGTGGCTGCATGTGCGATGTGGGCTGGCGGCGTGCGGCGAATGGGAGCACCTGCGAGTGGGATTGCAGGTGGGAGTGGGGCTGCGGGAGGAAGGGAGTATTGCCTGACGCTTACTGGTATGTCTTGTGGCGCGTGCTTTCAGTTTTGACGCGTGCTCTTGACGACACTCTTTCTACCGGGCCTCTCCCCTCCGTTCAATTGACATAGAGTAGTGCCGCTGCTGCCGCTGCTGCTGCTGCTGTTGCTGTTGCGGCGGCGGTGGCCTCCGATTTTGCTACCTTGGTGGTCGTCTTACTTCCGCAACCCTACGCACGACAGTCACCTAATGCAATCCAAACGATCCCGCTGATCCCCGCTAAACCGTGTTTCCTCTGCTCTACTCCTCCATTCCACAGCGGCTGCGCGCCAGGCACGACCTGCATCGGGCCCGGCGAGTGTGGTTGCTCCGAGACCTGCGTGTACGGCACTTGCTTTCACGGCTCCTGCCGTTGCTGGGCCGGTTTTGGAGGCCCTGCTTGCAACATTAGCGAGGCAGATGCTGCTGCTGCTGCTGGTAATGGCGGCGGTAACGGCACGGGAGTGGATGTGGTCCCCCGGATGAACCGTGGGTCGCTTGCGGGTATAAACCTGGCTGGTACGGCATACTACTCGTCGGAATGGATTTGGACGAATGTGATGAAGAGTAGCAGCAAGTGGTATACAAGTAATGCTGCTGACACGTAAGCGGTGCAAGGAATAAGGGGGTTAACATGATTTACATGGTTTTACTTACCCGGTCAACAGCTATGATTGGTTGCAGTTACCCGCGCGCGTCTTTTAGGGGACACAGTGCCCGGTTTTAACCTGCACATAAACACTTTGTTTGTGCATGCACACGCCATGGCAAGGCAAGGCAAGGGCAAGCACCATGCGACAGACATGTGCGGCTTTCACCACCTCCTTTGTGTTTTGTCGCTTTACTCCTGCTTTCCTCCTCATGCTTCTCATTAACCTTTCCACAGGTCGCTTGAGAACAGCTTTGACACGGAAGTGCCTCTGGATCTGCGTCCCGACGGCTACCCCGCCCGCCTGCCGCCCAACACATGGGCGCACAAGCTGATGCTCCGAGACCTGCAGTTTCACGCCTGGCCGGGAAGATATGTCGTTCTATACGACGGAGATGGACGGCTGGACTTCAACTTTGACAGTCGTGTAGTCAGCAGGTAAGGGGGCACGTGCCTCATGGCTGCACAAAAGGGTTTGCGTACCCAAGCTCTTGTCACGCACGTTCCTTTCACTCACGCTCTCGCCTTACCGGTAATCCCGCTCTCGTTCCTGTTTTCCCGCAGGTCGAAGAACCGTCTGGAAATTATCTTCACGCCAACCGCCGACCTCACCTGTGCCGCCACCTTTACCCCTTACTGTACGGATAACGGCATGCACCTGACCCTCAAGGCCACCAACCCCGCGAACCCTGTACGCAACATCCGTATCGTGCCGTCGGGCGACGGCGCAGCGGCGTCCGCGGGCGGTGGCGGTGCGGGCGGGGCGTGGGAGGCGCGAGTGGAACGAGCGCCCTTCCACCCTTGGTTCCTGAAGGTGGGGTGGGTGGTGGCGATGTGGACTGTCATTGGGTGAAGATATTACCTGTTATTTGACCGCATATACCACTGTGCATGAAAGTACGTTAATAAACAAACTAGCTACGCTGCTGCCAGGAACAACACCTTTTATCCGTACATGCATGCCTTACATGCTTTCTCTATCGTCGTTATTATACTCCACAATTCCAACCCCTCCCTCCCTCCTCCGTACCTACCTACCTACCACCTGCCTACATATCCCCAAAGAGCGTTGCCCGCTATCGGGTCCTTCGTTTCATGGGCTGGATGTCAACCAACAACGACGGCGGTTGGGTCAACGCAACCGCCCAATCCGGCGGCGCCTGGGCCGCTCGTACGACACCATTGCGCGACAGCCAGGCTCGTACCTTCACCGGCGTTGCTCTGGAGCACATGATCCAGCTGTGTAACATGGTGGGCGCCGACCCATGGTTCAATGTGCACCACTTGGCGGATGATGTCTTTGTGACAAACATGGCGACGCTGATCCGGGATACCTTGCGACCGGACCTGAAGGTTTACGTGGAGCATTCGAATGAGGTGGGTTGCGGATGTGGCTTGTGAGGCCGCCTCGGCTGATGCCCTGCTGCCGGTATCCTGCTGTGGTGTGCCCTCGTTCCACCTCTTCCTAACCCATGCCATACACCCGACCGGGGGGTCACACCGGCCGGGTTTCTTGATTTCTAACCACCCCCGACCTCGGCCAACTGTTGGCTCTACACGTATCCGCCACACAGGTCTGGAACTCCCTCTTCTCCCAAAACGCCTACGCCAAGCAACAAGGCCTGGCGCTGAAGCTCTCCAACGATAGCAACGTGGCGGCCTACCGATACCATGCCCTGCGTACGACACAGATTGGATCCATTTTCCGTACGACATTCGCCTCGGCGCCCGGCGGTGGATCCAGTCGTATTGCCGTCGTACTTGGTGGTTGGGGCTACCTGTGCAGTAACGGTGCCGGTTGCGGCGCGACGGTTATGAAGGAGACGCTTGGATGGAACAGCACGGCAAGCAAGGTAACATAACCTGCCGTGATAAAAGAACGTTTTTGGTGACAAGTCCTGGTGATAACTCCAACACCTGCTGCATTCTAATGTTTAGCACTTCGTCCTTTTATCCTTCTCTTTGACAATGCCCCTGCATGTAGAAATGTGAGAAGAAAAACACAAACTTAAACATGTTTGCCGTGAATTTGCCTTGCAGGTTGACTACTTTGGTGTCACGGGTTATTGGTCCTGCGGTCTGGGTTCCAATGGTGCAACCGACGTCCTTCTAACCGTTGACGCCATGATTGCGAAATGCAACTCCACCCTCAACTCAACCGAAGCAGAGGCCAAAGCACTGGTCACAGCAGCCAAATCCTACGGCGTTCCCCTCATTTTGTACGAAGCCGGACCTTCCATTGTTGAGTCGGCCGCCATTTCCAACAGCGGTCAAACTGCTGGCCTGGCAACGAAGTTCGTTGCAGTCAACCGACACCCGGAGATGTACCGACTGTATCGCTCGTACCTTGAGGCGTACCGACGAGCGGGCCTTATCGCTGAAGGCCGGCCTTGGATGCAGTTCGCTAGCACTGGGCTGCCTAGCCCGTACGGCAGCTGGGGCCTGCAGGTAAGGAAGGATACGTGAAGCAGGCGTGAAGGAAGATACGTGAAGGCGTAAGAGAAGATACGTGAAGGCGTAAAGGGAGATACGGTACAGTGAACTGCAGCTGCTTCTTTAGAGCTATGTACGGCCCGTGACCTGCTCTTTTCGGCTCTCTCGCCGCACCGCTCACCTTCCTTCCGTTACTCCCTCGCCCCCTGCCGCCCTCTTTAGGAGTATACGGGTCAGCCTGCCTCCGATGCGCCCAAGTACCGAGCCATCATGGACTGGCTAGACGCGCAAGCAACCTCGAACGCCACTACCTCCTCTCCTCCTCCTTCTCCTCCTCCTGCTTCCTCCGCCGCCGGCAACACCACCGGAGCTGCGTCCAAGCTGCTGCGCCCGCTGTGCATGTCCCTCCGGGGCGCCGGCGGCGCCAGCGGCGGCGTTTCCGGCGGCGCTGGCGGGGGCGGGATGTACTTGGGTGAGGGAGTCCTATCGGGGCCCCCGGCAGTGCTGCTGCCGGCGGCGGGCCAGGTACTGGTATCCGGCCTGACGGCAGCTGTACGGTGGTCGACGGCTGGTTGGACAAACAGTGCGTCGTCGTCGTCGGCGGCGGTTAGCATTTCGTTGTGGATTGATAGCGACTGCGCCACGGATCCGCCGCCGGCCGCGGGCGCGACGCAGCAGTTGCAGCAGCGACCGACGTCGCAGGCGATTGCCCTAGTGACGGCGTCATCGTCAGTGGCGGCGACGGGGCAGTATGACTGGCGCGTGCCGTTGCCGTCGGAGGTGTCGTCACTGGCGGCGGCTTTAGCGACGGCGGCGAATGGTACAACAGTCAATGGCGGCAACGCGACGAATGGTGGCGGCGCCGCCGGCGTAAGGAGGGTCGCTCGCTTCTTCCTGCGCATCAGCGACGGCGTAACGACCAACTACTCGGAACCGTTTGACATTCAACCACCATTCAACTACGTGACAGGTATGTCCGTGCATCTTACTCTGTAACTGGTACGGGAGTGTATTTATGTACTAATTAGGATACGCACCGTACTTGATTCGCCACCTTGTCGTACAGGCAACTGGAGCACCTGCGATTGCACGACCTCGCCGCCACAGCAGCGCCGTGACGTCACCTGCATCCCCAGCCCGTCCGCTGTCGCCGTCGCCAATTCCTCCATTCTCGCCGCCCTCTCCGCCGCCAATTCCGTCGCCGCCATCTCCACCCTGAATGTTACCCTTGGCGTCCCGCCGACGCCAACCCCAGCCTGCGGCGTCTTCTCTAACTGGAACCTAACCGCTCCCAACATTCCAGGTGACCCGATCTGCCAGATTACGACAGACGGTTGTCGTACTTATCGCACGAACAACCTAGGTACTTGGTACTATTCCAACTTTAAGCCTGTGACGGATTGTACGGCACAAACCAGCCCTTGGCCTCTGTCAGCTGCTGCGGCGGCGGCGCCCGTGTCGCTCAGCGTCTGTGCGGCATTGTTGGCGGCGGCGCCGCCGCCAGCCACCCAGGCGTGTCCCGCCGCCGCCTGTCCGACGAACTGGCCGGCTCCGCTGACGTCAGCATCCCCGTCGCCGCCGCCGCTACCAGCGCCACCTCGGTCGCCGTCGCCGTCGGCGGCGCCACTCGCCTCGATTCCTCCGCCGTCACTCACCTCTCAAGCGTCGTCACCGCCGCCGTCACCATCCTCAGCATTACCATCACCGCTACCTCCAAAACCCGCATCCGCAAACAACCCTACCTCTGCGCCTCCGTCACCACGACCGCCGTCACCTTCATCAGCTTTGCCTTCACCCTCACCACCACCTTCCACTTCCGCCACGAACCCCACTACCGCTGCGCCTCCGTCGCCGAAACCGCCGTCGCCCCCACGCTTCCCGACACCGCCGCCGCCAGCGCCGTACTGCACCCTCAGCAGTACGGCAACGGCGATTGCGAACCTCAATGCCGGCGCCGCCACATGCAGTACGACAACAAGCGGTCAATGTGACGACGGAACCGTTTGTACGGCAGTTGCGGATTGCCGCCGCTGGAGCTGCGACACCGTTAGTCAGACATTGAAGCAGGTTGCTTGTTCCGCGCTGTGCTTGCCTCGCGCACTCACGTTAACGGGTGCTAGCATTTCAGATGACGGACGCTCAGTGGTGGTTACGCTGTCGGCTCGGCCAGCTGCGCTAACGCGAGTGGCCGTTGGGTCGGTGTTCGACGCCGCCTCCGCAGCATTGTTGGGCGGCGGCGGTGCGCTTTGTAGTACAACGACGTCCACGACATCTGGAGACGCGGTGCTGACGGTGACGCTTCCCGCAAACGCTACCATTGGGGTGGGTCATGGGTGTTGTCGACGGCTTTTGACATGGCAACTGCTGCATGTTCTTGGGAAAAGTCCTTAGCGGACCCGTGGGTCGTAATATGCACATGAGTGTCGTTCGCCTCACTCAAAAGACACGATTGTCTGGTACGGCCATCCTTTTACGACGTTTTCCTTGTTCGGCTCGTTGCTGCTGTTGGGGAAATGCATGTACCGTACAACCCATATATCCCATCTCCTGTGCCATACGTGCATCCCACTTTTCAGGCGGGTCAAGTTCTATCGCTGCTGCCGTCGGGGTCAGCGCTGGTTGGGGCCCTAAACACCTCGCAATCCTTCACCGGCAGCGTCAAGGTAAGCATCACGTGATCACACCTGTGTATGGCCGCGCATGTAGCATACCACTACGCGACGTGTCGTCTTCCCTCCCATATAATAAGCCGGTATCCCACGCACTCGCCATTGGCCAATACAACCCTCCCTCCTTCCCTGTTCCTTCCTCCACCATCCTTCCCTTCCACCCCTCCCCCAGGTCGCCTCCTGCAACAACTGCGTCTCCCCTCGGGCACTCCTCTCCGGCCCCTCCACCCTCACCGCCTCCTCCTCCTCCTCAAGCACCTCCTCCAGCTCCTGCCAGAGTACGACGGGCTCCCTGCTCGCCGCCTTACTCGGTCGTCCGACCCCCACATTCGACGCCTCCCAGTCGACCGACCCGTCGGGTCGGACCCGGTGGGCGTCAGTACGGTGGTCCGTACCTTCGTCGTACGGCACTGCTGCGGGACGAGCCGTACTGCAGGGGGCGGTGGATCGTACGAACGCTTTGTCGGATATGAAGTAAGAGGGTTGTGTAGAGACCTTTGAGGGCTGTGTTGGCGTTTTAAGAGGAGTCGAGGTTGTGGGTTGAGGAAGCTTCAGCGCTCTTCATTAACCTGCACCAGTGGCCTTCTTTTCCTCTCTCCCAGCCTTCCTTCAAACACGCCTCCCAACACGCCTCTCGCTCTCCTTAATAGCTCTCTCCTCCTTTTTCTTTTCCCTGTTCCACTTGCCTCGCTTGCTTTTCTTAATTTCGTCCCCTTCCCCTCCTCCCTCCTTCCCTGCCCCCCTCCCTCCCTCCTTGCCCCTCAGCTCCCGCCTGCGGCTGTCGCTCCTCAGCAGCGAAGAAGATGCCCTGGATGAGGCAGTGGACTTTAGGCTGCAAGTGGAACTTACCTCCTGGCTCGGAACCGCCGCCACCGCCACCGCCGGCTTCTCCAAACCCGCAGCCGCCGTCGCAGCAGCCGCGGGTGTCGTACCCGTGGTGTCCATCGTGGGACCTGCCGTACAAACTGCCCGCATCGGCTCCGCGCTGAGACTGAGTGCGGAGGTTGCTGGCGGCGGTTGCAAGGGTAAGCTGTGAGCGGAGGGTTTGCTATAGCTGGTACTGCCCGCATCTGTCCTCTTCCTTCACATCTCGCTACGATACGATTGTTAACCCCACGTAAGTTCTGTGCGTTATTACCCTCCCGTGGCCTCCTCCTCGCTTCCCTCTTCGTCTCCCTCCAGGCCTCACCCTCTCCTGGACTTGGAGCTCCCCTTCCGGCTGGTACGGGCTGCCGGCGGCGGGGAAGTCGGGACAGCAGCTGGTGGTGGCCGCACCCCTGCCCGCGGGTAGGAGGGGGACAGGCAGCAGGGGAAAAAAGGAAATTCCAAAGTGTGGTGTGATAATGAGCAGCAGGGGGGAAGGGGTGCAAGGAGGAGGGGGGACCGCGTGACGAGGCTCCACGACTAAAAGGGTTGGGCAGACGGGGTTGGTGTGCTGGTGGGAAGCGAGGGTCGTCATGGACAGCAGATCTGCAGTGCTTCCAACTGCTTCCAACAAGAAGCGCGCTCACTGCTCACGGGCTCGTTGGAGCCAGGCGCCGCCTCCCATACCTGCACATGCATCCGCATCGACTCTGGCCCCATCACTCCATCCTCCCAACTCTCCTAACCCAACTCTTTCCTCTATACATACCCCGCCGCCCCTCAATGCCTCCCAATGCATGCAGTTCACGGTGAGACCATCAGCCTCAGAGTAACGGCGGCCTACATCAACGCCTCCACTGGGGCTAGCGCAGGTGGGTGGGAAGACAACTGGCGGCAAAACGGACTGGTTGTGTGTGCAAGGGTAAAGAGGAGGGACTGATGTACTGTACAACAAGGCTCCACTATGGGGTGCGACATCGGACATACGCTTGCCCAATGAGGTCTGCATGCTAAACATATAAAAACGGCTTATTGTGTGAGGCTGCGAATGGCTCATTACGTTCCACAGGCTTGCCCAGTACGGTCCGCATGTCAACGTATCAAAGATTGTCCTTTGAAACTGCTTATGGCTCAGTTTGCCAGTTATTGTTTTGTTTGTTAGCACCTACTGCGCGTAGACACCCGGGCTCCACCATGGGGCAACACGCCGTTCCTTACCGTAGGATTGCCCAGTAATACCATCTGCATGTCTAAGTATAAGCCGCTTGTACAGTAAAGCTGCGAATGGGTCATTAGCTTAAACATTGTTTGTTTAGTAGTACCTACTACGTACTTGGACACCCGTGCTCTACTGTAGGGTGCAGCATGTCGTACTTGCTGTAGGCTTGCCCAATGCGGTGTGCATGTCTAAGCATAAGTTGCTTTTCCTGCGTAACTGCGAATGACTCATTCAGCCAGTAACTGTTTAACTTGTAATATCTACTATTTGGACACTCGTGCCCCACCATGGGGTGCAGGCAACATGTAGTACTTGCGGTAGGCTTGCCCACTACGGTCTGTAAGCATGCCCAAGCATGGAACGCTGATCCTTGAAAACTGCGAATGGATCATTAAAATAGGTTTATGGTTTGATAGTAACTCCTGTTTGGTTACCCGTAGACAAGTTTTCTTATAAGATTAAGGCCAGCCGATCGATGTGTAGTTTCCTCTTGTAACCTTTCCCCTGAGTGCCCTTCCCTTCCCTTTCCTTCCCTCCCCTTCCTGCTGACCTTACCTGTTTCCCCTCTTTCCACTCTTTCCTTCCCCAGGCGGCTCCTCAGCCTCTGCCGATGTGCTGCTCACCGTTGTGGGCTCAGCTCCCATTGCGACGCTTGCGGGCCCCAGCGGTGACGTGCCGGACGACTCCACACTCGTCCTGAACGCGACTGGCTCCTACGACCCGGATGACTCCTCCGCCTCACTCACCTTCCTGTGGGACTGCAGGTGAGGCCTACAGGCCTGCCCTGCATCTTTTGCTGCATGGATGGTGGGATGAATTTTAGTCCTTGTACTGGCTGATGTACCGGTATTTGGAACTGTGCTAATTAACACTGCGCACCGCTCTCTCCCCGCTTTCCCCTCCTTAGGCGTGATGACTACCCCACTCCCTGCTTCTCCTCGGGAGACCAAGGGGCCTTCAACGGCAACGGAGCGGTGTGGACCCTACCCTCGGGCTTGCTGACCAGTGGCAGGTGGGGAGGAGCAGCGTGGTTAGGTATCCATGCAAGGGTGCCCAGCGGGGTTCCCCGCAGGGTTTGCCGCAGGGATTGGACAGCAGGTCAGGACAGCAGGTTTGCCACATCCCTTGCCCGGTGCCTGATCGCACTCTGAAGTGTTTCTGCATCTCTAATCTTGTTGGATTGCGCCTTGCCTTACTATTCCTCGGACGGTTTCAGCTGTTGTTAGGGACGAAAGTTTCAGTCTTTACTTGGCGTAACTGACATAATGTGATGCCCGTGTGTGCAGGTGGTACACGTTCACCGTGACGGTGGTCAAGACAGTTGCTTCCGGTGCAACTCCTCTCAACTCAAGTGCTTCAGTCACCTTCCGCCCGCGTTCCACCACACAAGCCTTCCCCAGGGGAACCCTCACACGGCAATGCAGTGCAGCCGCTTGTGCTGTACCGCACAGTGCGGATCAAGATCTAACGGTTTTACTACAACTGTCATCACCGTACGACACTTCTGCTACAGCTGCTGGCATCAGCGTCAGTTGGGCTAGCGCCGAGGCGTCGGCTGTTGCCGGACTTACGGCGGTTACTACGACTAACGGTACATCGTACCTTCTTACCGTACCAGCAGCCGTACTGCCGTCCACTCACAGCAGCATCTCGATTGCGGCGAATATGACGGTTGTGGCAACCGGCGTTAACGGGTTTGCCGCCATTACGATCGCGCTCAATGGTGCTCCGTACTGCTCCCTCGCGTCCGCCAACAACTCGGCATGCTTGACCGTTGACTTGGTCAATGCGACGTTCCCAACCGCTGCTGCCAAGCTAACCGCCGTCGGTTGGGCCGACAGCGATAGCGACACTTCCGGCCAGCAACAACTGCAGTACGAGTTTGGTGTACGGCAATCGTCGTCCGTTGGTAGCAGCAGCACTAGCGGTACGACGACCGTTGACCAGATCCAGCAGTTGGGATCTGCCACGTCAGCAACGATTATCGGGCTTCCTCAGGGTGTCGTACAATTGTACGGATGCGCCATCGATGCTTCGGGATCACGGACATGCGGAACCGTTAACGTAACGGTACAACCGCCACCAGCAGGTTTCGATCCGACATCATCCCTCGCTGCGGTGGACGTAACTGCACTCGCACAAGCAAACGATCAGCAAGCCCTTTTCCAAGCAGCTTACCAGATGGCCCAATTAATGTCCATTGCAACCACCAATGACTCTTCGTCTTCCACGTCATCATCTTCAACTTCATCAGCGGTTTCGGAGTTGGTTGCGAATCGCACGGTGGCGCTGGTGCAAGCTATCCTACTGGGGGGCGCGCTGCAAGACGCCCAACAGGTACGTGCTGTGGTATTAAGAAAGTCGGAACGTACTGCGGTGCGATGTAGTCTTAAGAAACCTGGCCGCGAGTCGGAACGTAGTGTGCTGTGGTGTTGTGCGAGCTGGCCGGTGTGGAAATGAACTGTACATAGCTGGTGTACTTCGTTCTGGCCTTCGTGTCACACAGCTCGTGTTGACAATGATGGAACCCTGATTGATTAGCTTTTTTGCAAGCGGGGATACGAACGGGGATGCTAATGGATTACTGCGAATACAATGCAGACGCGTGCCGGCTTGAATTCCCTAACCTGCCAAGCATTCCTAATCCACACCCCGCGTCCCTCCCCAACAGGCTCAGCAAGCCATCGCCGCCATCGCCTCCCTGGCCGCGGGCTCCGCCTCCTTGCTCCCAGACGGCGCCAAGGACAACCTCATCTCCGCTGCGAAATCTGCCGCTCAAACCCTCAACTCCACCACCTCTGCGACCGCCGCAACCAACTTTGTCACGCAGCTTTGCCAGCTGTTGGGAGTTGCCATGCCAACCACCACAACCACTTCCAACAGCACCACCAGCAACAGCACCAGCAGCAATATCACGACTGCTTCCGGAAGGCGATTCCGATCGCTCCTGGACACGTCATCCTCCTCGTCTTCATCCAGTTCCTCAGCTCAAGCCCGGCTGCAAGACCTTGTTTCCACGTCAGATCAAATGGGTGATGCCCTGGGCCGACAAGCCGTGTCAGGAGGGCCCTATCTGGCTGCAGGAAAGACGGATGTGTACGCTTCAGCCGCAGCCATCCCACCCATCTCGGCTGCTGCTGCCGGCGATGTATCCGCAGCAAGCATGCAGATCTCAGCTGGGCCCAACGCCGCGGCAGCAGGATCTGGATCCACCTCGATTAGCAGCAGTAGCAGCGCAAGCAGCAACAGTACGACACGTACGACAACTGGAAGCCATCATCATCATCACCGTCGTCGTACATTGGACAACCCTAGCGGTACGACACCCGTGTACGATGTAACGGCGTTCGTACGGCTCATGGGTACGGCCGCCAGCGCCGCCGTCGGGTACGGCATTGATCTGCAGTACGCGCCATCCGCTGCAGCGGCGCTTGCTACCGTATTGGTCCCGCCCGTACTTCCGGCTTTCGCTCGGCCGCTTGGCGGCTTGGTTACCGTGACTTGGAATGCAGGCAGCGGCGCGGCCGGTACGACCCCGCAACTAGACGGAAACAGCAGCTACATCCTGCTCAACATCCCAGCACCTGGTTTTAACCTGTCCAGTGACACTGCCTGCGTTCGCTACAATGCAACGAACAATACTGTTGCCGGAAACCTGTCTGATGTCGCTCTTGGTGACGGCGGCGGCGGCGGCGGCGGCGGCGGTGTTTTCGTGTCGTACAATCAAACGTCTGGCTTGGTGACCTGTCGTATTACCGCTGCCGGCAGTTACGTCGTCGTACAGATGCTATCTGCGTTTCAGCGAGGTATACTGAATCCAGAAATATACAGAAGTGGTGCTGGTACCGGCCAGGGAAACAGCTCCAATACCGGTAACGTAAACAGCACCAACGGCGGCGGTGGCGGTGGCGACAGCAACACTGGCGGCAGCAACGACAAAGGCCGCAGCAACACTGCTGCAATCATCGGCGGTGCCGTGGGTGGCGGTGTTGGTGGGTTCCTGCTGACATTCCTGCTGGCAGGAACCGTGGTCGTTATCTACAAACGGCGTAAGGCCCGGCGGCTACATCCCGACAACGGTAAAGGTACGTCGGCAAAGTTTACGGCAATGGCATCTTCGTCGTACAGCCCACCGCCATCACCGGGAGATCTTAAGAAGGATTCGGTGCCGCCGGTCGCAAAAGACGATGCCCCTACGGGCTCTGTGATGAGCTCCACGTCCTCCTCTGCTGCTTCTAACGGCGTGCGAAGGTCATCCAGTAATGGTGGCGGCAGGAACAGGAGTCGGAGCAACAGCTTGCGTGGTTCTGCGACTCTGCCTGCAAGTGATGACAGGGATAAGGGTTAGGGTGCTTCGAGTAACGCCCTGGCTGAGGAGGTTACAGGATTCAGGAAAGGGATATTCATTGAACATGATGTCCGAGGCTGGTTAGGAAGGTGGCTAGCGGATAGACTGGTGGCGAGGTGACCCGTGGGTCTTACTTCGTATTATGTCATATGGGATTCATACCGTTGCTTGACTGAATAATGGATTTACTGTGTTGGGCTTATGGGTGTCTTGTGTAAAGACTTACGCGCAGATTGGAGGTTAAACGCAAGACTGCAGTTCTTAATGGGGGGACATGGTTTCACGACTGCCTAGCTAGGATAGGACGCGTTAGGAGTAAGGTCCTGGTGCACTGAAGTCACATTGTGCGTTATCCGTGGTACGCTGTGCTAGGCTTGATCCTGTTACCGCAAGCTTCTGGATACCTTTTACGAAGATCCAAATCATCCATTGTGTCAAATTGGGAGGAGTCATCTGCTGGGCCCTTCTAAATGGGCCAACCCGGTCGACCTTGCGGCAGCATGTGCGCTTGTGAAGTAAAGTTAGGTTTAATATGGCTTTAGCTTGTTAAGTTTTGCGTTTGCCTTCATTTTAGAAATGGTCTTGTATCGGTTGGAAGTTTTGATACTTTCAAAAACGATAAGTGCTGCTACTTCGGTCGTACTAGCCGTACGTATTGATACATGTGTTGGTTCAAACTTCGCACGGACGCAGCTAAGTTGGTGGTTCTTACGTGTAGCTGGGGTGTGTGTTCCTTAGTGTTCTGCAGGGTTTGGTTGCCGAGTTTGGTTCCACGGTTGCGCAGGAAGTAGGTAAAAACATTTACGCAGTGCCGTACGATGTCTTAATGGGTTATGGGTTATGGCCAACTCCAATTCAGGTCGATGCTTGAAGAAATCAAAAGTCTGGAATTCATTATGCTCATTTAAGCGAGCACAGGGCAGGGCAGAAGGTGGCGTCACATATTGCTTTGGGTGTGAACACAAGTATGTGCACACACCGCACCCGACCTGACTCCCGAAGACATACCCTGCTGTCCAAGTGCGCGTGTGATGGGCCTGCGGACGGCTGGGTGGCGGTGTGTGCTGGACGGTCTGCACCTTCATGTTATTTAGCTTTTTAACACAAAATTGTGTGTACGTGTTGCATGGCCAAGTGATCAGATGAATGGTATCCTATCCTAAATCCTATTTTGTCCTATCTACGGGTATAAAATGTACTTGGTTCAGTGATGGTTGCAAGGTTAAGGACTTTCATACATGGCAGGCTTCCCCCTCTGCTCCTCTGTAAGGCCTGTCCGTAATGAAAGCAAAACAAAATCCGGGTCAAGGCTGAATGACTTGTTGCCAAGTTGCCTCCCCATGCTGACCGGGGCGCTAGAGACCTCCTTTGGGGCGGTAATTCCGGGATGGCAGAAGGCAGCAGGGAGGCCGGGGACATGCTTACATCCAGACCTTCGAGACCTGTGAGGAAGTCACAGCCCGCATCCGCCCACATGACGTGGAACAACTCCGGAGGCAACAACACATCCGTTGGTGTCCATCAGACTCCTTCACACAATGCGCGACCCAAGCCAAACGAGGATCTTCATGCGCTTTTCCATCACCGCCCCGAAATCCATACCCGAAAGCCATCATCCATAACCTCCAGAGAGCCTCCACGCTAACGCCACACTACGCCTCCTCACCCGCCGCCCCCTTTCCCCGCTTTCGTTTCCGCTTCTGCGGCTGCTGGTGGTCATCCCCGCCTCCTCCGCCCTTCACCTCCCGCCCCTTCTTGTCTCCCCCTGCTTTCCCCCCTGCTGCTGCTGCCGCCGGCTTCTTTCCCCCCGCTGCCGCTGCCGCTGCTGCCGCTGCTGCCTCCTTCTTGAGGTTCCTCTTCTTCACAGCCAGCGGGTTGGGGCCCTGCGGGAGTCAAGAGGACGAACCGCTCAGGGGCACCCAAAGCATTGGGTGTTAAAGGCTGAGAGCCCCGGTACCCGGACAGCAGCACTGCTTGCCGACCTCCAGAAAGAACTTGCAGCAACTTGCATGGCAGGCATGCGGATTGCATGGGGACATGAAATGCATGGGCCCACACGGATTGCATGGGGACACGGATTGCATGGGCAACACGCGTCCCCCACGCACGCCTCTACCATGCATGTACCTCAAGCGGGGACCGTACGACACCCCTACGTACGTACTTGACAGCCACCCCACCCTCCCACCCACATCCCACCGCCCTCCAACGCCCCCACCGCACCTTGGCCTTGTTCCTTCGGAACCTCGCACTCGTGGCCGGCACCCCCACCGCCCCCTCGCCGCCCGCCCCCTGCTGCTGCCGCTTCTGCCGGTGCAGCAGCAGCTCCCGCCGTAACTCCGCTAGCTGCTCGGGGGCCAGCAGCGGCTGGGCGGCGGCCTCGTGGGGCGCTATTGAGCGGGTGGCGGCCTCAGCCTGGGGGAGGGGAGGGGAGGAGGGGTGGGGTGGTGTGTGGTGGGGAGAGAGGAGGCGGTAGGGTGACAGGGAAGGAGGCAGGGAGGGGAGGAAGGGGGGCAAGGGGAAAGCCCCCCTGCCCCCAACCTACTCCGCCGCGGACAGTACCGGCAACGTTGCTTCCCCCCCGCTCCCCCCCCTTTCTGCCCCCCACCTCCTTTGCCTTCTGCTTGGTGACCTCGGAGGGGGTCTCCAGGTGCACTCCGTTGACGGTGGCGAACACGAGTGGGCAGCCGGGGATCTGGAGGGAGGGGGGGGTCAAAGACCATACACGGAACCATAGGGGACCACAGGTTAGGGCGAAGCAATGGGGGAAGTGTGGGTGATGAGGTTGATGAGGGTGAGGGGGTGAGGGGGACAGTGATACTCGACATGTGGGGCTCGCCAGTCTCCGTTACCGCCGGAAGACGCCTTCACCAGTTGCTGCACCTTCCACCTTTCCTTCCCCCCCCCCTTCCTTCCCCCCTGCCTGCCAGTGCCCCCCCCCTACCTTGCCCAGCTCCTGCCTCAGCGCCGCATCCTGGGTGGCCACGAACCAGTGGGCCTCGTTGCGGGAGCCTGGGAGGTGAAGAGGGGAGAAGAGGGGTAGGAAAAGGACACCATGCGGTGAGTAATAACAGGTGAAGGGAGGAGGGAGGGAAAGGGAACGAGTGGCGGTAAGAGGCCGAGGTGGCGTCGTTGTCGACGTATCCGGTGCGCGTGGGAGCAAGCCAGGTAACCCAGAGTGCGGGTGGGGGACACCCACAAGCCCGGCTCGCCGTTACAGCCCTTCCATCCCTCCTCCCTTTCCTTCTGTCTCCTCGCCACAAGGGCAATGCTTCCCTGTGTCTCCCCCTCTCATACTCTCCCAGTCCCCCCTCTCCTCCCCCCCTCTCCCCACCTATCGCCGCCCGAATGCACTCCGCTGCGGACACACAGCCGCTGCTGCCGCCCTTGGCACCCCCCTTGGCGCCACCCTCCTCCTTCGCCTCCTCCTTGTCCTTCCCGTCCCTCCCCTCCTTCTGCGAGTGGCAGTGATCGCACTTGTGGAGCGGGTAGGAGTGCGCCGCGTCGGCGGAGGCGGTGAAGTCGCGGCCCAGGGAGCGCAGCTCGCGGGTTACACATCTGCGTAAGTGTTGGGTGAAGAAAAGGGGTGTCGTAAGGAGCGCTTCAGGTTTCCTCGTCCAGACTTTCTGGAGTACGGTAACTTACTTTGTGGTGTATAGCTTGCAAGCGCCACCTAGCAGCTTGGGTAGGTGGGAGGCAAGGTCGGCCAGGCTGGATGGCGGGAGGAGACGAACGGAAGACACATGGGAATGAATAGGAACATGGGGGAGTGTGGCGTTAGAACCTGGCAGGCAGATGGAGGAGCGGGATGGAATGGGGTCCATCCGATGTGAGTTTAAGACCCTAGCAGCCGCTCCCGTCAACTTGCGGGCTCGTCGTCGCCACTCATAGCGCTTTCTATCGGTGAACAAGCGACAACAATGTGTTGGCGACATTCCCCACCGGGCATCCTTACTTTAGGGCCTTGGTCGCGTGAATGAAGTTTCCGTCCAGCAGCACCTTGTATGGTTCGTGAAAGCCATAGTTAATGCGGTAGTAGTTCGTCGCACGCCGTGTCTGCTTATGCTTCTTCCGGCGCATTTTCTATAACGTCAAAGCGGCGCGGCGGCTGCAAGTAAGCCTTACAGATGTTACAAGTATTCAGCGAAAATATAAAGTTGTATGGGCCGGATAGTGAGAATGCACTGGGGAACGGAAGCAAGTCCTGCTGGACGAAGGCGGTTAACTCCTGAGCGCAGCCAAGTCCTGTGGTAAACTACTATCCTATTCACGTCTCGTTGTATAACCAACGCTTTGTGACCAGTGCAAGACGGCACGGCGCGTTGCATTGCCGTACTTCCACAGCACGCAGCAGGCCCAACGGTGCAAGCGGTCTAGCGGTGGTGCCCACACAAGCGCAGTTAGCTACAACATAATCCGATGCATTAATACTACCTGGGACCTACTACATAGCCGGCGCTATATAGACCGAAACCGTGGGCGGGCATCGCCCGACGATTGCGACAAATGCTGTCCTTTTAAGAGATACCACACCTTCCTTCGACTCTGCTCCCTTGGGCTTCCAAAGACATGATCAGTCCACCTGAGTGGCGGCGCTGCTGAATTGAAAGTGTGCTGTTACCCGCCGCGGCTATACTCGGCAGCGGGTCGCCACCCTCCGTGGCATTCACCACTAGCACCAGTCCACCACCCTTCCCTGAAACCACCAACACCACACACCACTCTCCTTTCCGGGAACAAAAGCACCACATACCATGAAACGCGACGCGATGCAATGCAACTCAAACGGCCCTCTCAAAGCTGCTGCTGCTCCTGATGCTATTGCTGGTGCTGGTGCTGGTGCGGGTGCTCCACCAACGCCTCCGCCTCCGCTGTCACCAGCTGCTGCTGCTGCTGCTGGCCGGCCGCTGCCCTTCCTGGTGGCTGTACACTGCGGGGCGGGGGCACATGCGCCGGCGAGGGAGGAGGCCTACAGGTGCGGTGCTGACGGGGGCCCACGAAGCGCCTGTCCACGGCCCCATGACGCGGCTTGCTGCTGTGACATGATAGATCCCGTCCCTCCCCTTGCGTTTCCATTCTGTTTGCTTCCGTATGGATACCGCTCCTCCCCTCTTTCTTGCTTCCTCTCATGATGCCGCATCCAGTCCTCACCATCGCACACAGCACGTCAGCTGGCCCGTCTCTCCCTCATATTGTTTGCTGCAATCTTTCCCTCCTTCTCGACACATGCACAACCGCAGGCAAGCGCTGGTCGCCGCGTGCAGGGCTGCAGCAGCAGTGTTGGCGGCGGGGGGCCGAGCGGAGGCGGGTGTGGCGGCGGCGATACGTGTGCTGGAGGTGGGGTTGGGGTTGGGGCTGGGGTTGGGGTTGGGGAAAGCAAGGGAGCGAGCGAGCGAGGGACTGGAGAACCCCCCCACACACACTAGCAGCGTGCCGATTCCTCTCCATACAGGCTTCTTAACACACACACACACACTCACCCGCTCACTCACCCCGTCATCACCCCGTCATCACCCGCCCGCCCGCCAACTCGTCATTTGCCTCGTCAGTTCCTCACTTTTGCCGGCCGGCCGGCCGCACGTCACCACGCCTGCCCTCCCACAGGACTCCCCTGTTACCAACGCCGGCCTGGGCTCCTCCCTCAACCTGGAGGGGGCGGTGGAGTGCGACGCGGGGCTCATGTCCGGTGACGGCAGCTACGGCGCCGTGGGGGCGGCGGCGGGGCTGCGAAACCCGGTGCTGGCGGCGGCGGCGCTGGCGGCGGAGGCGGGGGGGGCGCCGCTGAGCTGCGGCCGCGTGAGGCCCATGTGAGGGGCGGGAAGGAGGGAACGGGGACAAGGAAGAAAACAGAAAACAGACAGCAACAGGGCGTAAGGGCAACAATTTCCCTGACTTTTCTTCGTCCTTCTCCGACTTCGCCCCTTCTTCGGTTCTTCCTTTCGCTTCGTTTCTCTCGCTCAGGCTGCTGGTGGGGGAGGGCGCCCGGCGCTACGCAGCCAGCAGGGGCCTGGCCGCTGTGCCATCCGACCTGCCGGTACCACCGGAGGTACGGTGTACGGCAGCAGCCTTGCGTGTGACACGGGGGGGGGCGGTACGGTAGCAGTCTTCTGTGGCAGGGGGCTTACGATTGTGCTCAAACCCACCTACGAAGCTCCCCCATGCGCCCTCCCTCCCTGGCCGCCCGCAGTTCCACGTTACGCCCGCCGCCCGAGCAGCCTGGCAGCGCTACACCGCGATGATCCGGCAAGCGGAGGCGGCGGAGGGAGCAGCCAAGGTGGCGGCGGAGGGTGCAGGGAAACAGGCAGCGGAGTTGACAGCGGCGGCGACAGCAATGAACGGGCCGCAGCAGCAGCGGGGTCAGCCGGCGGAGGCGCCGCCAGCGAAGAAACGCCGTACGAATGTCCCCGCTGCCGCCGCCGCCGCCGCCGCTGGCGATGGCTTCATTGTCAATGGCGGCCCGATGCTGCAAGGTCGTGGCGGCATCAACGGAACCAATGATGGCGGCGGCAGCGACGGCAGCGGCGGCGACAACGGGGAGTGGGTCGATGACAACAGCGAGGTCCGATTGGACACGGTTGGTGCGCTGTGCGTGGATCATACAGGTAAAGCGGTGGAGCAGCCTGTACGGCACCCGTTGGATGTGCGGGTGTGACTGGTTGGCAGGGGCCACCTTCACTGCTACATATCACCACCCGACCACTGAATCACCCCAATCGCACTCTCACACCCAAACCCAATCCCACACGCACGCAGGCCACGTGGCATCCGGCGTCTCCTCGGGCGGCATCGCCGTCAAGTTCCCGGGCCGTCTGGGCGAGGCTGCTGTGTACGGAAGCGGCTGCTGGGCCCAAGACCCATGGGTCTGTCACGCCTGCGGTGACATCCTGAACACTTCCAGGAGCAGAAACACCGCAAGAAGGCGACATTCGTCACTGCCGCTGCCGTTTCCCCCTCGCCCGCCCGCGCACCTGCTTCCTTCACACCTCCGCAACGGCGCGCACCACATCACCCGGGGGGGCTGCGACGCGTGCCGTTGCGTGCCGGGTTTTGCGGCTAGCGTGACGGGGGTGGGTGAGGCGGTGGTGCGAGCCGACCTGGCTCGGCAGTGTGCGGCGGAGGCGCTGACGGCGGCAGTGGCAGTCGCGAGGACGACGACGACGAGGAAGGAAAAGGCAGGGGAAGGGGCGGAGGTGTCTGGAAGGAAGACGCCTCTCGAGGATGCTGACAGGGCGGCTGCGGCTGACAAGGAGCCAGTGGAGGAGGAGGGGCATGAGGATGCATGGGAAGCAGCTGAGAGCGATGACGGCAACGACGAGGAGGTTCCTCTGGCTGAGGTGCGTGTGTGTCTCGTGTGGTATGGTTGACTGACCCCAGCTTTCGCTCATCCCCTCCTCCCTCCATCCACTCCTTGCGCCCCCTCTCTCTACCTCCATCTCCACTCCCCGCTCTCCACTCTCCCATCTCCTCTCTCCCCACCGCCCCCTTCCCGCCCCCACCCCCGCTCTTCCCCCCCACCCACGCAGACCCTCTGCTCCACCCTTCTCGACCGAGTGACACGCTCCCAGTGCGGCCCTCGGGACTGCGGGGTGCTGGCGGCCCGGGTCAACATACACACCGTCAAGCCACCGCTGCTACCAGTACCGGTTGTATCGGTGCTGATGCCACCACCACCACCACCACCAGCACCACCAAGACAGGGTGCACCGATACAGGGCGGCGACAGACCCGCTACTGCTCCTGCTCTTGCTGCTGACAGTGCTACGGGTATGCCGCCACCTGATGCTCCAACTGCTGCTGCCACAGCCGAGGTGGAGGTGGAGTTGGGTGCGGTGCACAGCGCGATGTCTATGGGGGTGGCGCACATGAGCCACGAGGACTTGCTCAGGGGGGTCGAACAGCAGCGGCGGCGGGGGCGGGGGCAGCAGCAACAGGAGCAGGAGCTGGAGCAGGGGCCGCAAGGGGAGGAAGAGGAGGAGTTCGAGGAAGGGTGGGAGGCGGGATTTGAGAGAGCGCAGCCTTGGGTGTCCTTCCTGAGGCGGAGCAGTGGAGGGCAGCAGCTGAGGGGAGGAGGAGGAGATGGTGGTGATGGCGGTGCAGGAGTGGGAGGCAGGAGTGGGTGTGCAGGGGTTGTGGGAGAGGCGAGGGATGGGCGGGAGGTGATGCGGATGGGTTGGGGCTTGAGGTGGAAGGTGCCGGTATGAGGCGGCGGGGAGGTGTCGTGAGGAGGAGGGTTCTGAATGTGTGTTGGGGGGGGGCGCTGCACACAGTGTACAGTGGTGTTTCTATTGCAGCCGTATCCAAGCAGAGGAGATGCCCGCATGCGCGTGTGTGGTTTGAGAAACTTGGCCGCGGAGGTACTGTGAGTGTCTGAAGATCATGTGTGTTTAGAGGAAAACTGATTATACCGGTAGCTCGTCACCAGCAGCACCCAACCCGCCGCTCTGTCCTCGCATGCAACAGCAGGGAACCACGTAACAATGCCATGCCCTCCGGTGCGGGATCACGGCCACGGTCCTTCATCCATTCAAAGCCTACATCAGCTTCGTGGATGCCACCGCGCCTACCTGCACCTGCACCTGTCCACCTGCACCCACCGTGCGTCCTTACCGCGCTCTTCTCCAGAAGCACCACGATTCCTTCCAATTACGGTATCCAGGAAATGCATCATAACAACATCACATCACACTAGCCCACCGCCACCAGTACCGGTAGTCACGAGCTCTCTCTATATCGGGTCATACCACAACCTCCGCCAGCTCCCATCAGCCCTGCCTCAATTCCACTCCCCTCTGCCCTCTGGTATGCATCGTTTCCCCTCTGCCCTCCACCTTCCACCTCCTACACCGACCGTGGGACGTACGCCATCGCCTCACGGCCTTCCTATGGTCACGGCCAGTGTACCTGTAGCCGTCGCGACTCGAGTTAAACCGTACCCCTCTACCCTGCCTCTACCCTCCTCCTCCTCCTCCTCACCCCGCCCCCGGCCCCACCAGCCAGGGGTGTCTCAGCAGCTCCTCCGCGCTCGGCCTCTCATGGGGCGCCTTCCGCAGAGTGAGGCTCAGGAAGTCGCATGCCGCAGGCGACAGGCCGGCCACGGAGGAGGGCAGAGGCCGGGGCGGGGACGTCAGGATGGCATGGGCTAGGGCTGGCATGGGGAGGAAACCATCTTCATCCAGCTCCTGTTTCTGTTCCTGCTTTTGCTCTTTCTGTAAGTTCATTCGGGTTGTAACACCGCCGGGTGCTGCTGCTGCTGCTACTGCTGCTGCGGATGATGATTGTGTTGCGGTGGTGGTAGCGGTGGTGGTAGCAGGGGTCGTAGGGGCGGAGGTTGAGTGCCCGTCGGTGGCATCGACGGCGGCGTCAGCAGGTACGGCGGGTTTACTGAAGGGCGGGTGGCCGATGAGAACGTCGAACAACAGGGCTCCGACTCCCCATATGTCCAACTGGGGGGAGGGGAGGGAGTGAAATTGGTGGGCAGATGGACGGGAAAGGTGGGTTGGCGGGGAAAGCAGGGGAGGGGACGGCCGGACGGCGGGAGCTGCATGTCGACTAAGAAGTAAGAATACATATAAATATACCGGTGCCCTGCTAGGCAGGTTGCATGTAGTGCGTACCATACCTTGGGTGTGGTGGCTAGCTGCAGCTGTTGGGGCGTGAGGGAGCCGGGGGGCGCTATCCACAGCGCTGCGTATTCAGGAGCCAGGAAGGGAGGCGATCCCTGCAGCAGGGGGCAGCAGCAGCAGCCGGGGGGGGGGGGCATTAGCAGCAGCCGGGGGGTGGGGGGCAGCAGCAGCAGCCGGGGGGGGGGGGGCAGCAGCAGCAGCCGGGGGGTGGGGGGCAGCAGCAGCAGCCGGGGGGCAGCCCAACCACACACGGAGTTGGCTTGCGGTGTGATGTGCGCCATGCGATGTGCGATGCATATGCGGTGTGCAATGTGCGGTGCGGGGTGTGTGAGGAGGATCATGTTGCCTTCCTAATCCCAACATGACCATGATGACATGGCGTCCAGGGCAATACCAGGGCACCCCTTCCGCGCCGTACGACACTCCCATTTTTTTCAGATTTGTCCTCCTTACCTCCAGCTGAAGGAGTCCCGGTGCCCCCCCTGGCTCGCACACAGCTGCCAGCTCAACCGCACTGCCCAGGTCGCCCAGACGCCAACAAGACACGGGGTCGTGGCCTGCTCCTCCACCACCTCCAACTCCACCTCCTTCCGCGCCCCCGGCACGCCCGCTGCCGTGTTTTCTTCCGCCCGTCGGCCCTGTCCCCGCCCCGAAAGCGGAAGCCGGGGTTGCCGCCAGTCCCAAGCAGGAGGGGTCTAGAGGTGCTGCGAAGACGTTTTCGGGTTTGAGGTCGCGGTGAACGAAACCCTGGGAAGAAGTGGAGGAAGCGGGAAAGCGCAGGTTCGAGCGGGAAAGGTGGCCATCGAGGAGGAAGGAGGAAACGTATGTAAAGAGTGAAGCAGCTGGAGTCATCAGCCCGATTCATGCAATGAGCGCTTACGGAGACACTATTCTAGGAGTACGCATGGAAAGGAGGACGAGGAGGAAGCTGAGAGGGAATGGGGGCAATGTAAGGCAGGAACACGGCAATAAGAAACTTGGCGTAGTGGAGGTGGAGGTGGAGGAGCTGTGCGTGCCCTGGTTAGGTTGCTCCTGCACTCGAAGCCCCCCCAAAACATCTCACCACCAAACAAAGCCACCACACCCCAGCGTGTGTCCCACCACCTCACCATGGCGTGCAGGTGCACCAACGCTGACAGCACATCCGCAACCACCACCCGAGCCTCATCCTCCGTTAGGACATCGCGATCCTGTACGGCATTGGAAGGAGTTGTACGGAGAAATTCTACGGCATCGGGAGGAACAGTATGGCATCGGGAGGAAACCTCAAACGAGGCCAAAACGAGGCCAGAATGAGACTTCGGGACAGGGGAGTCCTCTTTTTCCTTCTATGGCTTACTAGTTGGCTTACTACATACCGGTAGGCCTCTAGGACCAAAACCCCAGCTTGCCCCAGTCCCTCCTCCCCCACCACCCCCTCATCTCACCTGCTCGTCCAAGTACGACAACAGGTCGCAGCGCTGCGCCTCCATCAGCAGTGTCACGTGGGTCTTATCCTCCGTGGCTCCGTACAACGGTACGACATTGGGGTGCGGTACGAGCGAAGAGTGGATGGCCCACTCGTTCAGAACCTGGCGGAAGCAGCGCAGCGCAACATTACCGGGCATTGTGACACGGTGGAGATGGTGGTAACCCTGTTCCTTCTCTCACCTTATCCCTCAGTCGAGGTGTCGCCAACAACGCCTCCCGCCTGAACTGCTTCACCACGGCACGCTGCTGCTCGCTCTGCCGCACCCGCACCCGCTGCCGGCACTGTCGTACCAGAACCACCTGGCTGCCGTGCCGTCCAAACCCTGTGTACGACACAATGTGTACGGCGGTATGTAGGGGGTATGTAGGGGGTATGTAGGGGGTATCGGCGAGGGTGAGGAGAAGGGAAGCAGAGAGGTGCGAGACTGGTTGTACGGCAGATGGCGAAACACATTGTACGGACGCAGGAGACGGGGCTTGATGTACGACAGGTGGCTACTCGCGCCTCCAGCCTCTTAGGCCCTCGTTCATGGGTTCCGAAACCCATATGTATCCCGGACCGACCGAGCATCCCCCACCCCCCACCCTCCACCCACCCAGTGTGGTCTGTTCCACCAGCTTTGGCGACAGGCGCGGGGACCACAGGGAGGGGGCTCGCAGCCAGGGGGGGCAGTCGGGAAGGAAGAGCCGGGGGCCGCCTGGGGGCAGCAGCTGGGAGGAGGAGGAGGAGGAGGAGGAGGAGGAGGAGGAGGAGGAGGTGCGCTGGTGCTGCTTGGGGCGGTGCAGGCGAGGAGGAGGAGGAGGGGTAGGAGGAGGGGAAGGAGGGGGTGCTGGAAGGGAGGAAGGGGCTGGAACGGGGTGGGGACGAGGAGGGGTGGGCTGGGGAGGGGAAGGGACGCCTGCACCGTCGTTGATGCCGCTGGTGCCGCTGCCGCCAGCTTTACTACGGCTGAGCTTCAGGAGTTCTAGCTTGGAGGGCTGCTGCTGCTGCTGCTGCTGCGAGGGAGAATTCTTGTTAGGTTTGCCACCCAGGCTGCTCCGAAGGCCGCCGCTGCCGCTCTTGCTCCATTTGCTGCTGCCTCCGCCGGTTGAGCTGCTGCCTAAGCTGCGACGGAGGGGCCCCGTCATGAGGTAGCGGGAGGTTCCCGGGCAAGCGGAGGCTGCCGCGGTGGGTTGCAGAAGCGGCTGTGGAGGCTTGTAAGAACGCCGAGTGATGCTGCAAGTATTGTTCCAATTGGAACGACAGTCAAGGCTACGTGGGGTCGGGAGCTCTAATACCTATGTAAATGTCGATATGGTGCACATTGCAAAGGGGAGAAAGCTTTGGGAGCGTAGTGTATGCTCAGGATGTGCCTGTCATTGTCGAGTTACAACCATCTTATAGCAATTGAATATTTGAATAACGGACTATTGGAGTAAGCCTTATTTCTGATAGCGCTACTTGCTGATGGATGCTCATCGCTTTGCTTGCGATCCGCACTTGACTCATGCCGTACCGGTATGTCCATTGGCAGAGCGAACAAAATTAGCTTTATGCAGTGATCGACGTGCTGCGCTTTACATGAAACGGGGAGAAACATCACTCCTTCGAGTAGGTTGACGACCGAACAGCAGCCCGTCACGAGCGCCCATGTTTGCCTAGGTTACAAATTGCTAGGTAGAAGCAGCAAACGGCAGCATGTCTTCACGCATGTCTTACATCGACGACTTATAAGAAAGCGCCCCTCCGGGCAACGCTATTTACTTGCACCATTTGCACCCTGATTCAACAATCACCTGCCGTCGGAGTCCGTAAGACCCTCAGTAGCCAATAGGTAACAGTAGGCTTTATAAAACATATCACCAGTCTGGTTGCGCGTACGCGGTGATCACAGAAGTTCCCCCGACGAAGAAAAAGTCACCAACGCAGCACGCATGTCGATTTACCGAAACGGCCTCCAGCCTCCAGAACTCCCACGAACCAGTAAGACATAGCCCGAGCATTGTTTTCTTCGTCAGGGAAGGCCCCTTTATCCATTGTCAATCCCATTAAGTTCGTCATCATCTTGTTCCTGGGTCGGAGCCGCCGGGGAACTTATCGCACGCGTCCACCTTGCCACGGAAGTACCTGCAGGAGTCAGGTTGAGGTACAGACGACTAGGGGTGAGGTGAAGGTACAGACGATTATGTTTGATGGACCAAAACACGAACTTAGATTGGCTTCGTGATGCTATTATGCCTTGTTGTAACGAGCGACTCGTCTAACGTATGGCGTTCGTGCTAACCAGGCAGCACTTTCCCCCATCTTCCCCCATTTCGCCATTCCGGCCCCCTACCTGTCCATGATGCACAGCATGCGTGCGTGCTTGTCGGGGTGGTAGTTGAAGTGCACCATGACGGGGGTGGGCGCGGTGGAGCGGGCGCCGGGGAGGTAGGCAGCGCGCTTGCTCCTGAGGTGGGGTAAGGGGTGAGGGGGGGTTAACGGGTGCGTATGGGGTTACCGGTAATTTTGCTATCTCTGGATTAAGACTACCGGTATGGATGCAGTGAAAGGTTACAAGATTCGCATGCTGCGAGGCTAGTACACACATCCCCACCTAGCCCAGCCCACTCCAGTCCCCCCCCAGCCAGCCCCCCCTCACCCACCTGAAGAACCTCTTGGAGTTAACGAACTTGTCGATGTCCATCACCCGCAGCGTGGCGTAGGGTGCGGCGTACGACCCATGCGACTGGGTGAGCAGGTGCTCGTTGAACACCTGGGGGGGGGGGGTGGAATGGAGTGCGATTGGTGGCGAGAGAGCGAGAGGGGGAAAAGGAGCGTAAGGAGGAGCAGGCGCAGGAGGAATGCGATGATGACGCAGCTGCAGTGCAGCCGCCAGGGCAGCAGCAGCAAGCGTTTCATGACCTCTCCTCGTTGTCCTCACCCTTCTAAGATGCCTCCTCCCACCCTCCCACCACCCCACTACGCCTCATGACGCCTTATCACACGGCTCGCTAGTCGTTTCCTCTTTACCCCACCCTCCGCCCCCACCTGCTGGTCCCAGCCCGGCTGCTGCGCCAGCTCGTCCGCCGCGCGCTTCACGAGCGCGAAGGCGCGGTGCGTCGCGCGGATGTAGGCACAGCCCACATTCACACTGGGGGGGCCGGGGGGGGGGGGGGGAGCATGCGGGGGAGGGTCAGGGAGGGGACCGGCGAAGGGTTTAGGAGAAGTCGGAGCGCCTGGAGCTCCTTGCTTCTTCCATGGACCCCCCCAGGAGACTTCACACAGTGCCGTAAGCACCCTGACCCGACCCCAAGCGTAACCTTCCCCCGCTCCCGCCCCTCTTCCCCCGGCTCCCCTACCCCCCAGCTGCCCCCAGTGCCCTCACGTGAAGGTCTGCATGAACAGTCCGCCGCCGCCCCAGCCCATGGTGGGGTCGTGCACCGAGCTCATGCTGCCGTACGCCATCTCGTCAAAGCCGTCGGAGGAGGACTCGATGTCGGCGTCTCGGTGCAGCGCGTCAAAGGGGTTGGACAGGTAGACCAGGTCCTGGGGTGGGGGTCAAAGACCATACCAAACCATAGGAGACCACAAGTTAGGGCAAAACAATGGTCCTGGGGTGGGGGGGGCGGGGTGAAGGGGTTGCGCATGGGAAGGAAAGGGAAGGGCTGATGAACTGATGATGGCAACACGCTAATCCTCCTCCGCCCTCTTTAACCGCACCAGCAGGGTCAACCAGGTATCGATCCCCCCTCCCTTCTGCCCCCATCCTCCTCCCACAACGGGCACCTCCCTGCCGCTCCCTTTTCCTCCCCCCCCCCCGGTCACTGGTCACTGCATGAGTCGGGATATGGGATTGAGACTCGTTGTTTCACTTCTTTTTCCCCCCGGTCAGTTAGTTGTTTCCTCTCCCCCCCCGCCTTTCCCTCCGCACCATGTCCGTGATCATGGTGTGGTACCCCAGCTGCAGCGAGGTCTGCAGCAGCGAGAACTTGAGCGACGACACGCGGTTGGCCTCGCGCGTTTTGGCCTGAGAGGCGGGGATGCGCACGCTGGGGCGGAACCAGTGCACGGCGAAGGAGCCGGGGCCGCGGCGGGCGGCACGGTCCTCTAGGTAGCTGCGGGGCGGGGGCGGGAAGGGAGGTGGGGAAGCGGGGGAGGAGAGGGGTTAGGGTTTGTGGGGTCGAGATTCGGGCGGCACAGGCGGGCTACACGGTCTTCCATGTGTAGCGGCGGGGGGGATAGGGAGGGAGGGATGGAGGGGGGCGATACCAACCCACCGAGCTGTCTCGTCATCGGTGACCCCGATGAGGTGGTTGCTGATGTTGGACCGCTCCAGAATCTCCAGGAAGGACTCCAGGATGTTACCGCCGTTCCACCAACAGATGGTGGTGTTCTGGCAGATCATGACTGCGTTAGCCAGCGCCAACATGATTTCCCGGTGCTCATTGGAATGCGCTGCCAGCAGCTTTGCAAACTCCGGCTGCTCCGCCTCTACCACGTCAGCGGAGCGCATCATGTACTTCATCTCGAGGGGAGCCACGGTAGTCACTGGGTGGCCATTAGGGTTGCAGGTTGGCGACAACTCGGCAATGCTACTGCTACTACTGCTGCTGCCGCCGGCTCCGGAACGCTGCGCCCCTGGACGCAGGCTTGCCATGGCGTCCAAAGCATCAACCTCTATACGCGCAGCTGAAGCACGACGACGCCAATCGTCAAGGCGCTTTTGGAGCAATTCGCCTTCCCGGAGCAGCGCATTCCTGTCCCCGCCAGTTGACTCGCTCCATACGGGCGAGGATGACTGATGCCTGTTACGGATTAGGAGCACTATGGCCACGGCAACTACGACCTGGCCACCGAGCAGCGTGAACCAGACCACCCGTCGCATGCTCCGAGCGGACCGCTTATCCATTTTGACTTTAATTTTTTTAATAGGCTATCGCATGATTACCGAAGTCACTTGTTTATGATTCCTTCTAAAAAAACAGTTTGTGCGGAGCGATATGTGTTGAAGACGTTGACGTGATCTCGACAAAGAACGACAGTGATGGGGAACGATAAATAAGGTTGGCTGGTATAGTATGTACTAGCAAAAGGTATCACATGTATCAAAGCTGTACCAATTTGGAATGAAATGCTGGCGGAGAATGTACGTCGGTAACAGCTAGCGGTAAACTAATCCCAAACAACAGCATGGACCGCCTCACTGCAACATATGAGGTTCGTGAGGCCAGCTGCAGCTGCTGCGCATCCCTTGAGCTTTTGGATTTCTACCGAAGCTTGGCGATGCCTTTCGTTTAAACTGGTCCTTGCTCATCCGCTTTCATATCATCCTAATCCGGCACTGTAGGCGTTGCTGGCGGCGGTGGCGGATGCCGCAAAGCAGCTCGGGGAAGGCACGCAGCAGCCATCTACCCGCATCCGTGTTGAGGAGGCCAGGCAGGACTTCATCAACTGCTGTGATGTCATGTAAGCACTGAAATTGCCATGCACAAGTCTTGTCAATCCTATAACATGAACTTCGCCTTTGCAACCTTGAGTACCTATCATGTGACCCAAGGGACATTTACCTAGTCGAGTTCGTAAGATGCAACATCAGTACTGGCGATTTCGGTCGCACTTGCTCCAGCGCGATTTCGAAGTCGTGAGCGCTGAGTTCTATCGCAACCTACCGTTTATCAGCCACTCTCACATGCTAGCTGTGCTCCTTTCCGGGCTGCTTCCCAGTCCTCTTCTCTAACCCTTCTCTTACCCTTTCCATCCCTTCTGCGTCCTCCTTCTTTAATCCCTCTTCCTCGTGCCACCTGCCGCCCAGGTGCTTCCAACTGGTACGGCCGCATTGCTCGCCTCGAGGAGGGGCCTGGGGGAGGGGCCTTTGGGGGGCAGGGCGAAGTGGGGGTTAGTGACTACTGACTAGGCAACAGCAGTGCTCAGACCACATGCGGCATACAACTCCTGCTCCTTTCTCTGCCCACACACCTGCTTGCTTATGCCAGAACTTGATCCTTGCTTCCTTGCCCTTATCCCTTCCTTTCTTTCCCTTCCTGGTTCCCCTTCCCGCTGTTTTGCCCCTGCCTGCCTGCCGCCCGCTACCTGCCTTGCTGGCCCTTCAGAAGCAGTCCGCGGATGTGATACGGCAGGAGATGGTCGCCGCCATGCCGCCCTCGCAGCGGCCTGCGCAAGGTAAGCGATTAACGCAGCGGCGGTTGACTTGTACCTTAGGCCTTGTGTTTGTCGCGCGTTGTACCGTATTTGTCAGGGGTACGGCGCGCCGCCTTCCGGCGCACTCTTATTGCCTAGTGGGCGCACTGGACCGCTAACCCTCCAAACTACGCACAGATGATGAAGGGCGGTCATGTACTGTTATGTAGTACTCTTAAAAGTTGAGCCCCAACCCAGCCTCCATGTGTGCCCCCTCCCTCTCGTTCTCCCATTGCGCGTGTGTCCATGCACGCAACTTACGTGCAACAGACGCCGCCCCTCAAATGGATCCAACCCAAGTACGACAAGCGCTGGAGGTCGCGCAGCTTTTCGCAGAGCAGCTCCGAAACCACCACCATGGTTGTGACAACAGTGGCGGCGGTGATGCCGCGGTTGCCGGTACTGGCGCTGCTGGTGGTGTTGCTGGTGTTGCTGGCAGCGGCACTGCAGATGGAGAGCTGGTGCCGTTGCCTCTTCAGGCAACTGCTCCAGCAGCAGCAAGCCATCCGCCGCAAGATCACATGATGCTCGCTTGACGGGTGAGGATTAGCGCAGTGGGGGCACACCAAGCAAGCATTACACGCAAGGACGCGTTAGTGTGAATCTGGCGTGCCTGACTTGAACCGTAGATGTGTATTAGGCAGGGCATATTTGGATTGATATATAGGCTGTAGGCATAGACAGACACGTGATAGGCATACCTCCGGTCATGAACCATTCAAGATGAAGGAGAAGGGCTGGCACTGGATGGCAGCGGCTGCTTTCCATGCGACCCGTGGGTCGTTGTTACATGCTGTGCGTGGGCGTAGCGGAGCGGAATCGACAATGTTTGTTTGGGAGACACTTTTGCGTATTACAGGAGTTTCCATTGATGGAACATGTGTGACGAGGTGTAGGCGGTGAAAGCAATAATCTACACACTACACTCGTGAAGCTGTCTGGCATGTCAGGTAACATGAAGTACAACAAAACGTACAACAAGAGTACGGCACAACATGAGGAGGGGCCGTTGCCAGACATTAGTATAATTGTCAGAGACATTAGTATACATTCACAACCCTCGTTGTTAATGGGCTCTGGGTGGAAGTACGGTAACCTCAAGCCGGCATGGCGTCAGTAACGTCACAACTGTTATAGTACCAACAGGTACCAAGGCAAAAAACATGCATGCGAGATGCGACCTGTGGCGGTGGTAAATTGCTCTCGTTCTGAACATGCCTTCATGCTTGCTCCATGCGCCTATGATGCCCGGGTACAGTCCTCCTTGCAGAAATGAAGGTACGTCAGATGCACGTTGGGTCGTAATCAACATAACAGCAACGGTCAACGGTAGACAGCGGAGTCCAACAGTGCTAGCAAACAAGCATGCTGAGCGAGGTTCCCACACGTGGCACCATGCCATTGAGCATTGGGCAGAATGACGTCTCCATATTTGTTTTCGGTGTGTTTCTTGCGGCCTCTCAGCAGGAGCATCCAAGCCCTAACGGTGCATGCAATCCTTGCACCCAACATCACGTGCACTCTCCTGCCCTTACCGGTATCATCATCCATTACTGTACAGCCAAACACCTCCGTCCGTGCATCCGCCCCACCAGCCGCATCATCGTACATCGCCGCAACCCGCTCACTCACTCCTGCTGCTGCTCGTCCACCGCCCATTCTTCCTCCTCCCCCGCAGCAGCAGCTGCCGCGGCCTCCACCTTGCTCCCATGCACTGCTGTCGGCCCCGCCTGCTTGTGTTGCTTGTACGCCGCCTGCTCCCTGCTGTACCGCTCCTTGTCCTGCTCCGCTAGCTGGTAGTACCTGCATGCATGCACGCATGTATGCAGTGGGGGTGGGGTGTGTGTGGATGTTTAGCATTCCTAAATCCGGTCCAAACACATGCTGCTCCGCTGCCTATACCGGTACTCGCCCCACTCAACTCACTTCCCTCGCACCTCTCCCCACCCTTCGCCCCCCGCCTCACTTCTTCTCCTCCTCCTTAGCCCCCCCCACCCTTCGGCCCCGCCTCACTTCTTCTTCTCCTCCTCTCCGGTTTGCTTCCACAGCTCCCCAAGCCGCCGCCCCACCTCCGCCAGCGTCATGCCCGGCTGAGACTGCCGTACCGCGGGTCGTACATCCGCGCAAAACCACATGTAGGCGCCGAGGGGCTTCTTGGGGGCGGCGGGGTCGCGAGTCTGAGGAGGGGCGGGGGGAGCGGGAGCGGGCATGGGGATGGGGATGGGGATGGGGATTCCGTGGCAGGGATTGCCGTGCGTGGGTTGACGAACCCGGGCAGGATATCAGCATAGTACACGCACGGATGACAGCCCAAGAAGGAGACCAGCCGACGCCTGGACAGATAGCTGGCCCTCTCCTGCCCCGTGCACCTCCCTCACCTTCTTCTCCCTCTTAGCAGAGACAGGCTTCTCCCGCTTTTCCTTAGCAGCCTTGGGCATCTTGGTTACCCTTGTAATAGTTAGGGGACGAGCGATGCTCTATCTTGTTTAGGCTACTGGAAGTAGATCGCAGTTCAAAAGCTTAGTCATCTGCTGATTCCGCTGGTATTTACAAGTGCCGCATGTATCGTTTGTCACAGCCAAGTTATATATGTGAGATGACACACAGGGATTGCGTCGAAAAGCTCGTTTAGGGTGCGGATGCCTTAGGATTACCGGTGGAACGCAAAGCGACAGACGAGGCCAGAAGTCAAAGCGTCTCTGCCAAAGGAAGCGCAAAAGGCACGCTTACCGCGAGGAATTGAGCAAGGTCCAAGAAAGTGAGGCCCTAAAAGCTGCGAGCAGAGGATCAGACGCAAGAAAGAGCTTCAAAGCCCGAGGGTAGCTTGCAAGGTTGATCCACGGGTCCGGCCAAGCGAGCCTGCTGAGGATATGCACTAGGGCTTACGTTGTGGGCTTGGAGGATAACAGCAGGTGGCGAAGGTCCACGAGGCGACAGGAGTGGGTGTTGTAAAACGAGCGAAGTTTAAGTGGGTGGGTGGGCCGACAGCTGACCTGCTGGGCCCAAGCGGGGCCGTTCACTGGATGGGCGACGGGCGGACCGAGGAGCCAATCCCTCCTGGACCGGTGAACCACAATTCCGAGCACTCCCGCCCGCCTCCTCCTGACTAATTAAAAACGAAAATATGCATTGATTCGGTACTTATACACCTGGCTTAGGGCTGGTTAAAAAAATTGTGAGGGCCCCAACTGCCGTTGGCAACAGCCATGCCCACTGATTGCCAGAATGCATCCAGCTGTCCCGACACGTGTAAGCGTGCCAAATATATGCTATCTAGCTGTCAAGTTGGGGCTCCCTTTAGCTTGCTTGCAAGCCGCGATGGGATCATTACATGGCAAGTGCTCGTCGCGCGGCTTAATCGGCGCCTCCAAGCTTAATATTACATCCAGCAGTGACGATGCACTTGAGGCTGTGGCGAAAGGCGACTGGGAAGTTTCGTCGCTCGTTGGTCATTGTCAACGCGCCATGGCAGCCTTTTGCGCCCACTGGGTCCAATATGCGAGTTATGAAAACGCTCAATCTTCTAGTGGACGAGAGTATTGTCCCATTAAGCCGTTACAGCTTTTGGGCCTCGCACGTCCCCACCCATGCGTCCATCGCTGTACCTGTAAGCACTGCTCAGAAAACGCGAAGGTCGATGTTTAAGGAGGACAAGCTTGTCAATCGCTTACTTTTGTCGGTTCGGTTTGTCATGTTTGGCTGGTGATCCTCTCCCCCATGGGACCTTTGGGCTAAGGGCGTCATGGGGCCTGCACACACTCTTACTGCACACGCGTAGAAAACGTTAGCACGAAGCATCCCTCTGTTCAGGCGCCTGTTTGCTCGCTACGTCTGCTGCAGATCTACAAAGAGGCTTTCCTAGTTGAGTAGACTTGCAACATGTGCTTCTCGTTGCTCCAGCTCAGTGCAGCCGCCATCATGCACAGTGTCTGGGGGGTATATCGTTGGCGGGGTATACGGGTGCTCCCTAGTCCTCTTGGTACATCACCCGGCGGTGGCATCCATGCCCTGCCTCCGGTGGGCATCTGCCACTACCGGTGCAGTTAACCCCATATGAAAGCAAGCAATACACTTGGCATCTATAAAAGACATTTCCTGTACTTCGTCCTTGTGCACTGGGTTGGTCGCAATTGTACCGGTATAGCAAGAGGATCTGCAAGCTATGTTTGGTTACGCAGGCGTCGTTAGCGACCTTTTAAGTGTCCCCGTTAATGCGCACAATGATGCAAGATGCGCGACATTGCGGCGACGTGCAGTGCGTAGGAAGGTAACGGTTAAAGAGGCCGTTGAGGTCCGTACGGAACATTGCCGGACGGCGGGAAGTGTCGCGGTAGCGCAGTTTAGAGGTTTACCAAATTTTTTCCCTTTTACTGTTTGCTGAATGGTGTTGATAAACTTTGTTACTTCGCTAAGCATACTGATTTGGCTACGTTGCTTCGCCATGGGAAGATAGGAACAAAAAGCTGGTGTTATAGCGTTTTGCTAAGTTACAATGGAGTCTTCAGGAAGCGGAGCAGCAGATGTGCGGCTTAGATTGCTACCGCTGGCACGCTGGGTCGCCAATTACAAGCGTACAAATGGAAATGCACCAGTTCAGCAGGATGTTCCCGAAGAACTCGGTGAGCAACACTACCCATGTAGAGAACCTTCCCTTTACAACGTCATATATACCCCAATTCACGCTGGCTTACGCGATGTACCCTAGACATGTCCCGTCCATCCACGTACCTACCGACACGGCACCTTGGCATCGTCCGTTCTTTCCCTTCTCCTCACTGACCCTAGCGTCATTCCATCCCTACCCTATCGCTACAGCCCCGCTTTGGATGGAGTTCCTGGCTTCCAAATCCGCATTGGCCCAAGCCAGCGCGCCCACATCCGCGGTCTCGCAACCTCAATCCCAACCCCAGCGTCAGCAGCAGCCGCACCCCGGGCAAGATGAGGAGGAAGACCACCGCAACAGTCCCATCGGCGCAGCAGTTCTCTCCCCCAGTCGCAGAGCTGCTAGGCCCATTGTCGCCCGCGCCTTGCGCCACGCTCACACCGCCACCGCTGCTGTGGCACGTGCTGCCAGCAACGCCGCTGCCGCCGGCGACGCATCTACCACCTCTCCTTCTCCCTTAAACTGCTCTCCAGAAAGACAGACTAGCCCGCAGGCAGATAAGGAAAACCGGAACACAACACTTACAGCATCTTTGGTAACAGCAGCAGCAGGAGGAGCTGCGGGAGGAGCAGCAGCAGGGGCCGGAAGCGGCGTAAAAGCCAAGTCGGATGACCAGCTGTTGATGCCGCCGCCGCAGCACACGCCGGCTCGTGGCCGGGTCGCCTCTCGGACGGGTGGCGGCGGTGGTGGTGGCCGCGTTGGGCTGTTTGGCACACCGGGCAAGCAGCCAGCGGGTGGGTACGAGTTGTGGGGTCCCCGTGGCGCAAGCCAGGGCGCGCGGAGCAGTTGAACTGCCGCTAGTCGTTGTCTGTGTGGCTTAGGCAATGGAATTCAGGCATGAGTGAATAGCTGTATGCATGTGGAGGACGGCATGAGCGTCTTTTCACTTGTGAAGTGTTTAATGTGCTTGGACTGCTTGGACGCATGCGCAGGTGGCGGCGGCGGCCCCGTGTACGGAGGCGACGGCGATGATGATGACGAAATGGACGAGCTGCCGCCGACGCCGCTGTCGCAAGTACGGAAATCAGCCCCAAGGGCGGCCCGGGGCGGCCTGTTTTCCCCTCCCCGACGCAGCGGCGGCGGCGGCGGAGGCCTGTTCTCGCCACCGCGTCCTGGCGGCGGAGGCGGCGGTTCCGCCGTCAAGGAGACTCCGCCTGACAGCCTCCGCCGACGGAGCCGGCTTCTTAGCGGTGGCGGCGGCGGCGGTGGCGGCGGCGGCGGGTTATTCGGGTACGGCATCGGCGGCAACGGGCTGACGTCACCGCACCGCCGGCAGAACCCTGCCGCCGTCGCCGCTAGCCCTGGGCGGTTGCTCGCGCGGAAGCTCGTCATGCATCGTACGACGGTTGGAGCCGTCGGCAGCGGCGCCGCCGCCGCCGCTGGCCCTGGAGGGTTCGTAGCTGGCGGCGGCCTGTCGCAACAGCAGCAACAGCTGCAGCCGACTCAAGCCTCGTCAGCAGCGGCGGCGGTTGCTCGCAATCCCTTCAGCCGTGTGGCGAACATTCGTGCAGCGGCGCAGAAGCAGCGGGAGGCAGCTGCCGCAGCTGCGGCGGCGGTGGCGCAGATGCAGGCGGAGGAGGCAGCGGCGGCGGCGGCAGCAGCGGCGGCGGAGTGCAATCGGCAACGCCAACAGCAGCATCAACAGCAAGGCCAGCCGCAGGTATGAGCGGCGGTGTTAGCGATGTTCGCGGTACCGGTAGCTATCGCAACTGCGCAACTTCGGCTTTCCTGAAATAGATCCTCTTTCCGCCCTAGGACATCTACTGGCTGGTCTGGATCCAGATTTTTAGATCACTACTTTCGTACATCATGCAAACCCAAGTTCGTTGTTCGTCACCCACGCTACAATGCAATTTGCTGCCCCCAGGCAATGCCTCCGAGCCCCCGCTCCCGAAGCCGTAACATCGGCGTCCCAGGCGTCGCCTCCGCAGTACCCACCGCAGCGGCAGTAGCCGCCTCCTCCTCCACCCCCGCTCGACTCCTGCGGCGAGCTCAGCAGCAGCAGCAGGCGGCCACGGAGGCGGCAGCGGCGTCGCCCTTCAGTCCCATACCCGTACGTAGGCGACCGCTTGCAGCGGCGACAGCAGCAGCAGGCGGAGGCTCAGAGGTACGATAGATTTAAAGCCGTCGTTAGGTTTAAAACGGTTTATGCCAGTGCTGACTGTGTCTTTATGACAGTGCGCTAACTGTTTAATTCTTCTGATTCGTTCCTGCGGGTAAGGGTCCTCGCTGCGTCCTCGCAGGCCGATACCGCAGGTGGCGCCTTCTTTGCAGCACGTCTGGCGGCGACCTCCAAGGCCGACGGCGGCGCCGCCGCGGCCGCCGTACAAGCCGGCATGGACGTCGACGTCGCTGATGACGTGGCCATGCGCCGGCGGGCCGAGGGGTACGACGCGTTGTCGGCCGACGCCGACGTTGCGCTGTTGCTCGGCGGCGTCGACGTCTTTGCCGGAGACGCAAGCGGCCTGGCGGCGGCGGCGAGGAGAGGCGGCGGCAGCAGCGCTGTTTACGACGACGCGCAGAAGCAGCTGCGGGCGATGTTGGTGGCGGAGGCATGCGAGGTGAGGAACGCAGGGGCCCCGTATTCACCATGCAGCTTCCTTACCATCACCTTGGCGCAGGCTTTCCTACTAGTTGCATGCGGGCCGTGTAAACACTAGTTGGTGTCAGGAGGACTTGTACGCATCGTCCTGCTTTGTAGTATACTGATATACTGCTATACCTCGTTAATATGCGCTTCCTCGCGTCTGCCCCATAGACCGTAGACATGGACAAGCTGGCCCTGCAAGGACCCAAGGGCGCAGCGGCAGCAGGCATCCGCTCGCCGGGCGCCATTGCCGCCGCCGCCGCAGCGGCGGCAGCGGCTGGTACGGCAGCGGCGGCGGCGGCCGCCGCCGCCGCTGTGGCGGCGGAAGAGGACGAGGATGAGGAGTGGGATGTGGCGGAGGAGCTTCTGCCAGTTGCCGTACGAGAGGAAATCCGGAGGCGTCGGCAAGCGCAGCGACAAGAGCGTAAGGCGGCGGCGGCGGCAGCAGCAGCGGAAGCCGCTGCCGCCGCCGCGGCGGCGGCAGCGATAGCGGAGGCGAGGGCGTCGTCGGAAGCGGCAGCGGAGGTGCCGGCAGCGAAGGAACCTCGTGCCGTCGGTGCTGCCGCGTCTGATTGTCCAGCCATCCAGGAAAGCCCAGAGCGGCGTGAGGAGCTGCGGCGGAGCTTATTAGGACGTACGGGTACGGCAGACGTCGTACTCGCCGCTGCTGCTGTCGTTGCTGACAAGGCCCAGTTAGCGCTGCCGCCGCCAGCGGCAGTAGCAGCAGCACCATCACGCCGTAGTGCCACGGGTCGCAGGTCGTTGCTGACAGTAGCCCCGACGGCTGCGTTGGCAGCAGCAGCAGCCGGAGGAGGAGGAGGTACTGCCGCTGCTGCTGCCGCTGCTGCTACGGCTAATGCTGCTGAGGCCCCCCATGTGGATGATATGGACGTGGATGGGAGTCGCGAGGGAGATGCCGAGCAGATGAAAGCTGCCTCGGCAGCAGGTGCTGCTGCTGCCGCTGCCGCTATGGATGCGGTGGCAAAGCCAAATGGAGCGGCTAGGGAGCGTTTGCGAGGCGACACATCGGAGGCGGATTTCGGGTTTGTTGGGGCAGAGGAGGAGGAGGAGGAGGTTAACATGGTGGACGGAGAGGAGGGAGATGAGAACGAGGAAGGTGGATCGGATTCGGAATCTGGATCTGGATCTCCGTCAGACATGGACGATGACGAGGAGGAGGAGGCGGGTGATATTGATGAGGAGAAGGAGGCTGCTGTTGCCGTACGCAGGAGCAGCCGCACGAGCCGCCGCATTGGCCGTCCGGTCAGCAACGACGATGACAATATTGATGACGAGGAGGAGGAGGAGGAATGCACAGATGGAACGGAAGATGAGGTTATTGACGAGGAGGAGGAGGACAGTGAGGAGGTGGAGGAGGAAGATGACGAAGAAGAGGAGGAAGAGGAGGACTCACCCGTGAAACGTAAAGGTCGTGCAGCTGCAAGTCGACGTCACACAGTCGCATCGAAAGCTTCGGCGGCGGCGGCGACGGAGGAGGGAGGAGCGCCGCCGCTGCCTCCGCTAGCACCGGTGCAGGGTCGTGGTGGCAGACGGAGAGCGGCTGCAGCGGCGGGGGCGGAGGCGGCTGCGGAGGGAGGTGACGCTGAGGCTACGGCGGCAGCTGCTGAGGCAGCGAAGGCGGCTGCTAAGGCGAAGAGGGCGGCGGCAGCGGCAGCGCGTAGGTGAGTAGGTGAACGGTGCTATAGGAATGGATTGTCAGATCCCATGGAAGGTAAAGGGCAGGTAGTTCGCCGCAGCGTCGCACTGTAGCTAGGCTACCGTGTTTTGAAGCGATGCCACAGCTTTCGGATGTCTTTCGACTGTCAGCCAATGTATGAAGTTTGGTGCTAAGCTGCCGACTTCCCTGATTCCTTCCCTACGCATTACACAGTAGGCAATCCTGAATGCCCCTGAGTTGCCCTCCCCTCCCGTTGCTCCCTTCCACTGCTGCCTTCACAGAGCCGCTGCGAAAGCCGCCGGAGCGACGGTGACGGCGCCCAAGCGACGAAGGCAGGCGGCAGCGGGTACGGCAGCAGGGGATGACTCAGCGGCGGCGGCGTCAGCACCTCCGCCGGCCAAACGGGCCCGTCGTACGGCTGCCGCACCAACACTCGCCGCTGCAGCAGCAGCCGCTGGCGGCGGCGGCGGCTTTGGCTTTGGCGGCAGCGGAGGCGGCTTTGCTGCTGGCGGCGGCGGCGTCGGCGGGGCTGCTGCAGGTTTCGGTGCGTACGGCAGCGCAGCAGCCGGAGGCGCCGGCGGCGGCGCCGTTGGCGCCGGCGGCCCCGCCGGGGCTGACACCGCCGCTTCCCGCCGTCCCAACAAGACCATTCGCGACGCCAAGGGCAACTTTGTTCGCATCCAGAACTCTGGTTCAAGACCCAAGCACAGCTTCCGGTTCGAGGGACGCAGCTCGGCGGGGGATCGGGCGCTCAAGGTACAAGGAGTGCATAGCTTGCTGCATGTAACGGGGGTTGCATGAGGGGCGTTGCACATGCTTTACAATACTGGAAGTCAACAACGAGCAAGGGGACTCGCTGTCAGACCCTGTTCCCGCGTCCCGCCTCCCTCACCCAACACCTCGACATTATTCCAAGCTCTAACCCATTGGGTATTCTTCTGTTTCGCCCCCCTCCCAACCCGCCCCTCTGCAGGCCTCCCAGACCCGGCGCCGTCGCGTGATCAACGGCAAGGTGGTCATCACGGGCGGCCGCACCCCGCATGCGGCCGGACAGGGGGCGGACTTCCTGGAGGGCTTCAATCAGGGTACCCGCTGCTTCAAGTGGGTGGGGGGTTAATAAGGATACATGTTCCGCATTGGGCTGGATGTTAGGATGGGTGGGGGACGGGATGGGGGGGCTGGGAGGGAGGGAGGGAAGGAACCGGAGGGAGTGGGAGTGGGAGGGGCTGTGCCGGTTTCTCTCGGACTCCCTTTAGCAGCAGGTTCTCTTCCCTCCTTCGTCTTCTTCTCCTTCTTTACCTTCTTCTTTCACACTCGGCCCTCCTTTGCTCCCCCTCCAAACCCCCATCAGGTGCGGCGGCACGGGCCACTGGGCCAGGGACTGTCCGGGCACTGCTGGACTGGGGGACCCGGGGGAGCGGGCGAGGCAGCAGGGACAGCAGGGGCAGCAAGGACAGGGACAGGGGGTACAGGGACAGCAGGGACAGGGGACTGCAGGGGGTGCTGCCACTGCTGCAGCAGCAGCACCCGCAGCAGGGGCAGGGGCAGCAGATGCGGCTCCTCCTGCCGCAGCTGCGGGTGCTGCTGCGGGTGCTGCTGCTGCTGCAGGCGGCAGTGGAGGAGGTGGTGGCGGTGGCGGTGGTGGTGTGGGTTTCGGTGGTGGCGGCAACTACGTGATGCAGCACCGGGGCGGGGGGCCGCAGGGGGGCGCGCGGGTGGAGCTGGCGAGCGAGCCCCTGGATGTGAGTGGGAGGGGGGAGGGTAAGAGTAAGGAAACTGACGAGGCAGGAGGGGGGTAGGGGTTGTCGGTGCATGAGCGTCAGTGGGGCGGGGCTCGGAGGGGGTCTTAAGAAGGGAGGACGGGGACGGAACGGATGGATATTCGAGACCGCATGCTGGCTTCTGCTTCTGCTTCTGCTGCTATTGGACGCTCTCCTCCATGGTCTCTCTTGCTTGCTTCAGAGTAACCCTAGCCCCGTTTTCCCTCCCCTCCCCTCCCTCCCCCAGCTCGCCTCCCTGGTCCCCGACCTGCCCCCCGCCGCCTCCCTCGCCTCCGACCCGGGCGGTGCTCTGAGTGACGAGCAGCTGGGTGCTGTGTTGCGTGCGGTGTGGGGTCATGCGGGGTTCCGGGGGCGGCAGTTGGAGCTGGTGAGGGCGGTGCTGGCGGGCAGGAGCATGCTGGCGGTGCTGCCAACGGGTGGGTGCGGGAGGGGGGCGAGGGCGAGGGATGAGGGGCTGGGGAGGGGTGGTGTCTGACGCTGTTTGCCTTTAGGCGGTCGGAATGAGGGTGGAGCGGTGCTGGCGGTGCTGGCGGCGGGTGGGTAGTATGTGCAGAAGACGCCATGCTGGTGCTGCGTTTTGTCCACCTGCCGAGACCCCTCCCTGCCTCCCTGCCTCCCTGCCTCCCCCCCTTTACCCCCCCCCCCCTCTCCCCCAGGTGCCGGCAAGTCGCTGACCTACCAGCTGCCCTCGCTGCTGCTGCCCGGCGTGACGCTGGTGGTGTCGCCGCTGGTGGCTCTGATGGAGGACCAGCTGGCGCACCTGCCGGGGGCCATGCGGGGGCGGGGGGCGTCGCTGAGTGGGGGGCAGAGCAGGGAGCAGGTGGGGGGGGAGGGGGGGACATGTCTGCATTGGGTGCTGGGTTGCGGCTACGGGTGCTGTTGGTGGTGGTACGCCGTTTTCCGTGGGGAACCGCAAGCTCTGCGCAGCGAGATGAGTATGCCATTATATGCTGAGGAGGGGCGGGAGGTTGTGTTGGTTCATTGAACTGTACGGAATGTTGGCCCCACATCTGGACTGCATGGATGGACCCCACACAAGGACACCCACGCACATCATTGCCCTGCAGGTGGACGCCGCCCTGGCTGCCGCGTCCCGTGGGTCGGTGAAGCTGCTCTACGTGGCGCCCGAGAAGCTGCTGACGCCCTGGCTGCTAGCGGCACTCCGGAGGCTGCAGATCAGCCTGGTGAGGGGGGGGGCGGGGGCATACGGATGGTGCATGGGGGGGAGCGGAGGCAGTCGGAAAGGGGTTTGGAGGGTTATGTGGGAGGTGAGGACCTGCACTTGTTGCTCCTCATGTAAACACATGAACCGACTTAACCCCTCTCTAACTTGGTCTATTACCTCTTTAGAGCTTTCCTAACCGCTCTCCTCCTCCTCCTCCGTTCACTCCCCCTCCCACAGATTGCAGTGGACGAAGCCCACTGTGTGTCCGAGTGGGGGCATTCCTTCCGCCCCGCCTACCTGCGTCTGGGTCACGTGCTGCGCTGCGTGCTGCGCCCGCGCTGCGTGCTGGGCCTCACCGCCACCGCCACCACCCCCACTGCGGGGGAGGTGGCGGGGGTGCTGGGGCTGGCGCCCGGGGCAGTGCTGCGGGAGCCGCCGCTGAGGAGCAATTTGAGGCTCAAGGTAAGAGGGGGGGGAGCGGGTTCTAGGATGTCAGACATCGGAGTTAGGTTTGGGTGAAGGGTGAAGAGCAATCTGAGGCTCAAGGCAATGGGGGAAAATTATAAATAAGTGCAACAACACAGGCAAGGGGGGTATATAGGATGTCAGACCTAGGATTGGATGAAGGGTGAAGAGCAATCTGAGGTTGAAAGAGTGAAGGGAAAAAGCCATGGTTGCATTGCGGCGTCTCCAGGTGCACTCCACATAGGCGTGGAAGCATCTCGGCCTGCTATGAATTGTGCTTGACTGCGCCAAGCCTCCCTCGTCTCTCAACTAGTTGTTTCTTCTTTACCCTTGTCTCTCCCTTCCCCCCACCTCCCCCAGGTCATCCACATGCGTGCCGGCGCGGGTGAGTCGGGCGAGTGCCGTACCGCGCTGCTCCGCCTGCTGCGCTCCCCCGAGCTGGGGGGCGTGCGGTCGGTGCTTGTGTATGTGGCCATGCAGCACCAAGCGGACGAGGTGGCGGGATGGCTGCAGAGCGCGCACGGCATCAGCGCGTCGTCGTACCACGCGGGTGGGGAAGGGGTGGGGAGGGCGGGGAGATTCGGAAGGGCGAGGAAAGGGAAGGTCGGGGAGAGGGCGGGAGAGTGGTGGAGGGGGTGTGGTGGTGCAGCATTGGAATTCTTAGGCAGCCGAGGCCGCCCGCCACCCTCCCTCGATCCCCCCTCCCTCTTCCTATCCTCAGGTCGGCCGCTTCATGTCCGTTCCGAGGTGGCCGCCTCCTTCCTGTCGGGTCGCACCCGGGTGGTGGTGGCCACGGTGGCGTTCGGCATGGGAGTGGACCACCCGGGGATCGGGCTGGTGGTGCACCTGAACATGCCCAGGAGTGTGGAGGACTATGTGCAGCAGGTGGGGGGGAGGGGGGAGGGGGCAGGAGGAGGGGAGGAGAGGGGCAGAGGAAAAGGGGGGGAAAGGAAGGTTTTAGCAGGTGCAGCAGGTAGGGAAAAGAAGAAGTCCAAGGTATTGAATGATGAGGGAGGGAGGGGGGAGGGAGGGCGGGAAGGGCAGGAGGGGGGCAGACTGCAGAGGAGGAGGAAGGGGGCAAAGGAGGGCAGGAGGAGGAGGCGGAGCGGGGCTGTTTCTTCTCTCGCTGCTTCCCGTGCTTCTGCTTGGACGGTCCAAGTTCCCAACCCTTGTTGCTTTTCGGCCTTGGCTACCCACCCACACCTACAATTGCTTTGCCCTAACCTATGGTTTCCTATGGTCTGGTACGGTCTTTGACACACCCCAATCCCCACCCCCCCAGGCGGGTCGTGCGGGTCGTGACGGGCGGGAGGCCTTCTGCTACATGTTCCTCGACGACCAGGTGGGGTCACCACCCGCAACACAGTTGGGGGTTGTGCCGGGGTTTGTCAGACGGGTTGACCAAAGCCTGGGAATCCACGAGTTAGGGCACCCGTAGGGCGTCCCCAGCACCCCTCCCTCGGGTTTGAGGAGGCCGGGGACAGTCCCCATGTGTCCTGTTATGGGTGGTGCATGGAGGGTGTAAGCCAGGTGCCGCAAGTCGGGGCCTCAGGGTGAGGACTTGTCAACACCGACCGAGTTGTTTCCTCTTTGCCCCTTCTTCTCCATCCATAACTGCTGTCATAACTGCTTTCTAAACTGCTTTCTTGGCTGTTGTCTGCTGTCTAATCTGAACTGCTGTCCACCCTGCCGTCCTCCCTGCTGTCTTGACTACCGTCCCCCCTGCCGTCCCCCCTGCACAGGACTACCAGCGCTTTCGTTCGCTGTCCTTCTCCCACTGCTGCGAGCGATCCGCGGTGGAGGCCTTTCTGCGGCGCGTCTTTGCACCCGCACCGCTGCTGGGCAGCAACACTGGAGCAGGAGATGATGGTGGGTGCAACGAGGGAGAAGGCGGCAGTAGCAGCAGCGGCAGTAGCTACGGTGTGCTGCAGCTCTCCACCACCGCTTCTGAACTGGATCTCCATCCCGAGGTCATGGAAACCATCCTATCATACCTGCAACAAGACGAAAGCGAGCAGTCACATCATGTACAGCAGCAGCAGCAGCCACAGCAGCAGCCACAGCAGCAACACCAACAGCAAACCCTTGGCGGCGGCGGTGGTGCTGCTGCCGGGGGCTACATCAGCGTCCTGCCAAGCTGCGCCTCCCGCGTCCACGTCTACTTCCACCGCGCCCCTCCTGCCGCCCTAGCAGCCAAATGGCCGGTTATTGCAGCCATGTTGCGATGCAAACCGCCTCCCAAGGTGCACCGGGGGTGTTACAAGGTGGACATGGCTACTCTGGTTGCCGCATCCGCCTCCTGTTCCGGAAATGGTGGTGGTTTCGGGGCGGCAGGAAGCGGAGGTGGTGGGGGAGGCAGTGGGATCAGCTCCTCGCAAGCTCTGAGGCAGTTTGCGCAGCTGGCGGGATTGGGTCAGATTCATTTCGAGCCGCAGAACGCCCCAGCAATGCGAGCGCTGAGTTGGCAGGTGCTGCGGCGGCCGTCACCGGCTGGAGGGACGGTTGGTGGCGGTGCTGGTGCGCCGTTGGGAGCTGGAGGGGGAGGGGGAGGTGGAGGGTTGGCGGCGCTTGCAGCGGTGATCCATGCACGCTTGGAGGCGCAGACGACAGCGGCGGCGGCACGTCTGGATATGGTGTGGGGCCTTATGGCAGGTGCCTTTGCAGCGGGGCATACACATGAGGAGCAGGAAGCCTTTCTCCGGCCCCGCATTACGGCCTACTTTGATGCGCCGCCGCCGCTGCTGCCGGTGCCGACACCGACAACGACTACGGCGATGGGTACGGCAAGTGGTGGCGCGGGGGCAGCAGGCGGCGGTGCGGGGAGTGCGGCGGCGGCTGCGGTGGCGGCTGCAGCTGCTCCGCCGCCGCTGCCGCGGGCTCCCCCGGGTTGTCCCCCGCTGCCGCTCGCTGCCCGGTCGCAGTCGCTTGTGGTGGAGGTGGAGGCGTTCTTGCTGGGCAGCCGGGCTAGGGCGGCGGCGCAGGTGAGGAGAGGAATGATTAAAAGGAGGAAACGGGCGAATTGTATGACGAGGCTGGGAGGGAGGAGGGAGAATGGATGAAGGATGGATGAAGGAGGACGGTAGGAACCCCCGGGGGGGCTGCATCCGTCCATCTCGTCCGCTGTCTGGCCCCCTGCGCTAAGGAACCACCATACCGTACCGTACGTTGCCGCACCAATCCCTCTCTCCCCACCCTACCACCCTCCTTGTCACCTCTCCATCTCCTCCTCCTCCCACCTCCCACCTCCCACCGCCCCAGTCCGTCCCCTTCACCCCGGTTGCGGTGGCCCGGGTGCTCCACGGCCTGGAGAGCCCCGCCTTTCCCCGGGACGCGTGGCGCAAGACGCCCGAGTACGGCCGGTGGGTACCGTAGCAGGAGAGGGCAGCAGGAGTGGGAAGGTAGCGGTACCCGTACGCTAACTCTGTGGTTTGGAGCATGAACACCGAAGCCGCGACAACATCGCGTCGCCCCGCCCCGCCGTGCTTTAGCTTGCACTGTGTGCTGTAGCCCTGCCACATGGCCCCCAGTGACGCGCACTGACTCCCCCGACATTGCCGGTCATCTCCTCCCTTCCCTGATCCCGTACATCGGATATATGCTCCTGCACATGTTCTTAGCCTCTCCCACGTCGCTAAGTCCCTATGCTCCTCTGTCGTTCCTGCCGCTTTCTTTTCGCCTCCCGTAGCTTCAAGACGATTGACTTTGCGTATGTACGCGCGGTGGCCGCCATGGTGATGACCCGAAGGGGACTGTCAGGGGGAGCGGGGGGCAGAGGAGGGGCGGGCGCGGGGAAGGAGAGCGCGGGGCGAGATGCAGGGGCGCCTGAGGGCGGCGTGGTGGGTGGTGGTGTGGCTGGCCGGAAGAGGCGGTTAGGAGAGGAGGAGGCGGAGGAGGAAGAGGAGGGTGGTTACGTGCTGTAAAGTCTTGAGGGGAGTTGACATGGTGATGCGGGGTGTTGTGGGGTGAGAGGACGGCCACCGCATGGTCATGTCGTGTGATTGGGTGGCGGAGGTTTAGGTGTACGAAGGTGGTGATGACTGTGGTGTAGCACGGTGGAGGGCTTAGGTGGGGATGTTTTTGTGCCTTGACGAGGATAGTTCCTCCCCAGCACCCTGTATTGCTTTCCTCTGTGACCTCTGTATGTCAAAGCGCCCAGGGATTATGGGGGAACCGTAGCTATTGCCGTGTTGATGGCTGCTGTACTTCGCGTTTTGGAAGACTAGAAGACGCAGCCACAAGGATTCATACTACTTGTTGGAACGAAGTTTCTTCTGAAGAGGACCATTTTGCTCGCTTCTTCCGTGGTTGGCTGCGTTTGAAGTTGGAAATTTGCAACAATGGCAACAGAAACACTACATGTTTTGCCATACGCTTAGTTCACAGCTGGCCAAGAAGCTGAAAGGAGTTGTTGGCCGGCCCCAGCCACAGCAGTCGTTGAACTGATGATAGCTAGCTAGCTTCTTCGTCATGTGTTCACATTCGGGCCGTTGCTTCGTTACAAGGCCTAGTGAATACAGTAGCACCTGACGCTGCCCACAAAGCAACTTTCGTCGCGAATATCGTAGCTCGCGTATAAGCTACGTCGAACACAATTAGTCAATTAAGCACGTGCGTGAAATAATAAGATTACCATTCAGGGCCAATCCTATAGAGTTTTTAAACATGTTCTAAATAACTGCTAGATAGGAATCAGCAATGTAGGTTTCTATGACGGCCGAATAACCGTTGAGCGCAATGATGGAATGCATGCATACGCAGTCAGTCCGTTCACGCCGTCATATACACCACCACTGCGCAACGTACTCTTAACACCTGCAAAGTGCGGACTGCGCACGCAATTTCTCTAGCCATAAATCCCTTGGCACACACATTACAAATGACTTCGATACATAACGACGACACACACCCCGTGCCAGCGCGTCGACTTTCAGCGTTGGGTTTACACAAATCACCTGCAAATAAACATTAAAGAATAACCATTTGGGTCAGCTGGTCGACATCAAAACACACCTTACAAGAACCAACCGCAGTGGCTCCAGTACAGGAGCAATAGTCCTTCCTCAGCTCCTACGTATTTTGCTTGCTCCAGCCCAGCATGCCTGGCCTATTCTCCTTTCAGGTGTTAAATGCTCTAAATGTAGGAGGACGGACAACATTTGTTGTTGCTTGAAAACAGAGCAACCTGTTGCAACACAAATGGAGAAAGAGCGTCAGTTCCACACGAGGTTCACTACCACGCAAGCAGGGCGAGGGACTTGCCTGGCAGTATCCGGTTTGACAGAATGCGGACGGGGTTGAACACGCCCCAGGCCGCACCACCCAGCAGAGCGTGGCTCCATCGGGATTCGGCAGGTCACTGTGATGCAACACATGGGGAAAGAAAGGAAACATATTCCGGAAAGGTCGGGACAACAGGGTCCTCACAGCAGTACTGGGCACCAGCGGATGTGACTGCCTTTTCACGCATGTCTTTAGCAAGGTTGAATTAAAGGCCGTTAGTTATTGTTGCAGTGAGGCACAGTAAGGGTACCCGCATGGCTATCTACCTACGCCAGCTCCTGCGTTTTAGGCCCAGCAAATGACGGAACCCTTGTCTACGCCTAGAACAGACGACTTACACGGACAAGTCCTCAAATTTGAGGGTTGTGACATTGCTGGTGTAGAGGCCCCAGCTGTAGGACACTCCGATACCGTTAATGGTGATGCGCCGGAGGTCGCTCTTGCAGGCGTTATTGACGGGAACTTCCATCTTGGCCAGGTCCATGGAACTAGGAAGGGTTGGTGGGCGCGGGACAAAGAATGAGAAAGAAGAACTAACAAAGGCACCAGAGGGCAGCGCCCCGCTTCATGCGTATCTACCGCTATGTAGCAGCATTTCATGGCACCATGTTGCTACTCACAACCGCGCGCACGCAGCATGCCCTGCACGCCTGCAACGTACGCCATAGCGGCTACCCAGCCAGACCTCTATAGCCCTTTCGCTCCTAATCTCGGAGCCGACCCAGAGCCCATGGCTATTCCGAAATCCCTCCATACCGGTAGTCCTTACCAGCAGAACGCCGCCTTTCGGCACTTCTGGGCGGAAATGGTCGTGCACATGGCCACGGCAGGGTAGTTTTGCTGGTCTACGGTGTCCGTCAGGAAGAGGGCGGAGGGCGCGTAGGGTACGTTGGCGTTGCTGATGACGCAGTCGTGGGTTACGACAGTAGGAGGGAAAGGTTGAGGGGGAGGGAAGGGCGGTGGCGGTGAGGGTGGTGGCAGTGCCGAAGGCGGTTTCGGGCGTGGAGAGGGTGGTGGACGCTTAATACCCGGCGTGAGGGGAGGAGCTGGGGAGGGTGGGCGAGGGGAGGGTGGCGGTGGTGAGGGTGGTGGAGGGGAAGGAGGAGGAGAGGGAGGCGGCGGTGGTGGTGGTGAGGGTGGACGAGGAGAAGGCGGCGGTGGTGGCGGTCGGAACCTGGCTGGGGTGAGAGGAGGGGGTGGTGAGGGTGGGGGAGGAGGCGGTGAGGGTGGGGGAGGAGGCGGCGGTGCGGGTGGAGGCGGTGGCGGGGGTGGGGGAGGTCGAGGAGGAGGAGACGGAGGCGGCGGTTGTGATGGTGAGGGCGGGCGAGGAGAGGGCGGCGGTGGTGAGGGTGGGGGAGGGGAAGGAGGAGGAGAGGGAGGCGGCGGCGGTGGTGGTGAGGGTGGAGGAGGAGAAGGCGGCGGCGGTGGTGGTCTGAACCTGGCCGGGGTCAGAGGAGGGGTTGGTGAGGGTGGAGGCGGCGGCGGTGGTGAGGGTGGGGGAGGTGAAGGAGGCGGTGGGGAAGGTGGTAGGAGTTGCGGGAATGGAGATGGCGGCGGTGGCACCGCGGAGCATTGTGCCCTATAGGTCCCGCTCAGGCACGTCACGGTCGCGCTTGCTGCAATGCTGTAAAAGTTGTAGCCAGTGAGAGCCAGTGGGCACTGAGTGCTGCCCATAACGGCATACACCCAGTCCTGCAGACCCGTGGGTCCATTGAGCCATGCCTGAAGCTTCATGCCGTCTTGAGCGGTTGCAAAGATTCCTCGCAACATCAGGTAGCTCGGGTTGCATGCACTCAGCGAAAAGGTCTTGGTAATTGACGCTCCCAATGCGGACGCGTTTGACGCCATGCCCATAGCAATCTTGTTGGCCAGGATGACACAAGACGTGGCGGTAAAGGTGTATGGGTTCACGGGTGGTGGGCTTGGAGGGATGATGTAGACATAGAGGTAGACCTCACAAGGGACCGCGACTGGGGAGGGAGGGGGAGTCGGGCGGATGATGGCAGGAGATGTGGGGGGGTATGGAATGGGTGGCCTTGGAGGGGGAGGTGGGCGGAAGATGCCGGGGGCCAGCGGAGGAGGAGGTGGTGGGGGTGGTGGAAGGGCAGGCGGAGGGGAGGGTGGCGGTGGGGACGGAGGTAGAGAGGGCGGTGGCGGAGAGGGCGGCGGTGGAGAAGGCGGAGAGGGCGGCGGTGGGGATGGAGGCGGCGCCAAGGGCGGCGGCGGGAAGGATGTAGGAGGGGGTGGTGGAGGTGGAGGAGAAGGCTTTGGAGGGTTGGGCGGTGGTGGGGGTGGCGGGGATGGGAGGTTGTTGGGAGGCGGAGGGGGTGGAGGGGGTGGGTTTGGCGTTGGAGGTGGTGTGGGAGGTCGTGGAGGGGGCAGAGAGGTCGAGGGCGGGGGTAAGGGAGGTGGAGGAGGGGGACGCTGTGGAGGGTTGGGTGGGGGAGGAGGTGGCGGAGACATGGGGCCAGGGGGTGAGCTGTATGGGCAGTCTTGCCTAAACTGCCCCTGCAGACAAGTGCTCTGACCATTGTTGTTGGCAACAGCGGCTGAAACACGGTAGCCGGGAATGTTGTAGTTGCTGCAGGAGTCACCGCCGGTAATCGCCTGCACCCATCTCTGCAAGCCGTCGCTACCTTCCACGAAGCTCTGGAGCTTTTGGCCGTCAGTGTCTCCTTGGAAGGCGCCACAGACCTTGAGCGTTGGGTAGGTCGCAGGGGAGGTGCTTGGGTCGTAGGCCTTGAGGCATGCAGCCATGGAGAAGGGGGTGATAATGGTAACTCCGAGGGGAGCGGCAGCGCTGTTAATACCGCTGACAATTAAGCCGCTTACAGTGCTGCAGATCGTATCGGTGTAGGTGAAAGGCGCTCCGGTAATGATGGGTGATGAGGGTTGAATGGTGATAAAGATGCAGGCTATGCAGGGCGGTGGAGGTTGTGGAAGAGGCGGAGGCGGCGGGAAAGGCGGAGGTGGCGGGAAAGGCGGAGGTGGCGGAGACATGGGGCCAGGGGGTGGGCTGTATGGGCAATCTTGCCTAAACTGCCCCTGCAGACAAGTGCTCTGACCATTGTAGTTGGCAACAGCGGCTGAAACACGGTAGCCGGGAATGTTGTAGTTGCTGCAGGAGTCACCGCCGGTAATCGCCTGCACCCATCTCTGCAAGCCGTCGCTACCTTCCACGAAGCTCTGGAGCTTTTGGCCGTCAGTGTCTCCTTGGAAGGCGCCACAGACCTTGAGCGTTGGGTAGGTCGCAGGGGAGGTGCTTGGGTCGTAGGCCTTGAGGCATGCAGCCATGGAGAAGGGGATGATAATGGTAACTCCGAGGGGAGCGGCGGCGCTGTTAATACCGCTGACAATTAAGCTGCTTACAGTGCTGCAGATCGTATCGGTGTAGGTGAAAGGCGCTCCGGTAATGATGGGTGTTGCGGGTTGAATGGTGATGAAAATGCAGGCTATGCAGGGCGGTGGCGGGGTAGGAGGGCTGGGAGATGGAGGGGATGGAGCGGGTGGGGGTGGGCTTGGAGGTAGGGGTGCAGGAGAGGGTGGGAGAGGAGGAGGTGGGGATGGTGGTGGGGATGGCGGCGGGCGGGGAAGGGGCGGCGGCGGGGAGGGTGGAGGTGGGGCAGGTGGTGGCGGAAATGAAGGGGGCGGAGAGGGCGGTGGAGGGGAGGGCGGCGGAGGCTGTGGAGGTGGTGGGGATGGAGGTGGGGGTAAAGGTGGAGGAGGCGAGGGTGGAGATGGAGAGGGCGGTGGCGGGGACTGAGGGCGTGGAGGGGGCGGCGGTGGAGGAGGGGGCAAGGGAGAAGGCGGCGGGGGTGATGGAGGGGGCGGCGATGGAGGTGGAGGGGCAGGGGGCAGCGGGGAAGGCGGGGGAGAGGGTGGCGGAGGGCTAGGCGGAGGTGGGGAGGGTGGAGGCGGGGCGGGTGGAGGCGGGGATGGCACCACCGGGTGAGGTGGCGGGGGGCTGGGGGGCGGCGGGAGAGGCGGCGGGGGGCTGGGAGGCGGTGGCGAGGGGGGCGGCGGCGACGGTGGCGGTGGGGATGGGGGAGGTGGTGATGGAGGAGGAAAGGGTCCTGGGGGGGCCGGCGGCTGTGGGGATGGAGGCGGTGGTGAAGGGGGTGGGGGAGCAGGTGGTGGAGGTGAGGGAGGCGGGGGACTGGGGGGCGGTGGGCCAGGTGGTGTTGGGGAGGGTGGTGGTGGGCTGGGAGGGTCCGGCGAGGGAGGTGGCGGTGAGGGTGGAGGAGGGTTTGGAGGCGGTGGTGAAGGAGGCGGTGGGCTTGGTGGCGGTGGAGAGGGTGGTGGCGGGTTGGGAAGCGGGGGGGACGGAGGAAGCGGGCTGGGCGGCAGAGGACTGGGCGGCAGGGGGCTTGGTGGTAATGGCGGCGAAGGAGGGCTGGGTGGGGGTGGAAAAGGCGGTAGAGGCGGCGGTGGAGGTGGGCTCGGGGGCAGAGGAGGTGGGGGCGGTGGCGGCGAGGGTGGAGGGGGTGGTGGAGATGGCGGTGGTGGAAAAGGGGGAGGGGGTGGCGGAGGGGAAGGAGGAGGGGGAGAGGGTGGCGGAGGGGACGGAGGAGGGGGAGAGGGTGGCGGAGGGGAAGGAGGAGGGGGAGAGGGGGGCGGAGGGGAAGGAGGAGGGGGAGAGGGTGGCGGAGGGGAAGGAGGAGGGGGAGAGGGTGGCGGAGGGGAAGGAGGACGGGGAGAAGGTGGTGGTGGGGAAGGAGGAGGTGGAGAGGGTGGCGGTGGGGAACGAGGAAGGGGAGAGGGTGGAGGTGGGGAAGGAGGAGGGGGAGAGGGTGGTGGTGGGGAAGGAGGAAGGGGAGAGGGTGGTGGTGGGGAAGGAGGCGGTGGGGATGGGGGAGGGGGAGACGGCGGAGGAGGCAAGGGAGGCGAGGGTGAAGCAAGTTGTGCCGGGCCAGGAGGACTAGGTGGTGAGAGGAAGGGCGGCGGAGGCGGATTGCATGTCACCGTGTACTCTCCCTTGATGCAGTTCACCTGGTCGGAAAGGACGGTACCGAAGACAGTGTAGCCTGCATGTTTGCCACATAGGTCGCCCCCAGTGACATTGAACATCCACGACTGAATGCCCTGGGGTCCGTTCAACCAGGTCTCTAACCGATGTCCATCCTCCGCCGTCATGAAGACACCATGCATTTGGAGAAACATGGGCTCACAAGCAGTCTCTACGAAATTTACAAGGAGTTTGGAGCCAACGATAGGGGCCTGTACTGCAAATCCGGTTTCAATGAGGTTTGCCAGCATGGTGCACGACTCATTGGTGAAGGTAAGTGCATTGGTCGCCATGAGACGGCGCAAGGGTGCCAGCGGTGGCATGATGTACACGTATAAGTCGGCAATGCAGGGGACAGCCACTGGCGGTGCTGGCGGGGAGTCCGGAGGCGGTGGAGGCGGCGGCCTGGGCCTCCTGGGTGCCTTGGGTGGTGGCGGGCTTGGCGGGGACGGTGGAGGAGGTGGAGGTCTTAGGCGAGCAGGCGTGAGGGGTGGAGGAGGTGTTGGGGATGGAGGGGGTCTTGGTGGAGGGGGTTTTGGGGAGGGTGGAGGAGGTGGCGGTCTTAGGCGAGCTGGCGTGAGGGGTGGCGGCGGTAGAGGGGAAGGAGGGGGTGTTGGTGGAGAGGGTTTCGGAGATGGAGGTGGTGGTGGCGGCCGGAATCGGCCAGGGACCAGTGGCGGTGGAGCGGGTGGAGGCGGTTGGCCGGTGTTGCAGACGGGGCAGTAGTTAGTGGTCGGTGAGTCGGCGAAAGTGTAGCGGCAGGTCCCGAGTGTGCTGCTGTAGCAGATATCGGACCAGGAGGCACACGAAGCTGTCGTGGTGATGCAGATGGGGATGCCAGCAAAGGTGCTGCTGTTCCGGTTCAGGTTGTAGATCTTCAACTCATAACCTGTGATGTACAACAGACGAAATTCCAAACTGTCGGGATACGGAAATCGTATTACAGGAATCGGCATAGAGTAAGCAGGAGGGTTCGCAGCAGCCATTGCTTGTCAGCTGGCAAAAGCATACAGGGTTTCTCTGCACATACACTTGTGCAGGCCATGGCCGCACATCGTATGCAGTCTCATTGAGAGCAGTCCTGTCAAGGGTGACCCCAATTAATTGCGTGGTGGCTTATATATCACTTCTCACCTGGGCTGTGAGTGTATGTGTTCCAGGACAGGTGCATCTTGCCATCGAACGTCACGCTGACGATGTTGGCCTTTGAGGCTCCGCATGCAGCGGTTGTCTCAAACTGCATGGAGGTAGAAGGGTCTGGTTATTGTGACTGGAACACACACGGGTGGAGGTTGCAGGCAAAGTTTGCAGGGCCTGGACTAGGTGACTGCGGAAAGCCCTGACGGGTCTTTTCACATGCATGTGGTCTGAATGATAAGCACAGATCAGTCCATCCAAGCATAACCATGCAGTCTGCTGGGCGCTTACCGCGACCTTATCCACGGATTCTAGCATGGCTTGACAGCATGCCAACGTAGGATCACATCCAACATAGTCCATGCTCAGGCAGGTCCTGAAGTTGGATCCAACCTGCAGATGAGGGAGTAACACAGCACCTTTGTAACTCTGCTGGCTGCCAAGTGGTCAAAAGAGGATAGCCAGTTGAAGTTACGGTTCCGAGGGAAATTAGGAAGGCACCCTGGAGGGTATGTCTTGCCCTAGAAAGAATGTGATGGCACAACCGCAAAAAGACACGTACGACAGCGCATGCAGCACAGCCGAGCCCTTACCGGAACGCTGCTAATAAGGTTGAGCCTGTAGGGACTGCAGCTGCAGCCATAGGATAGGCACTGGCACCAGGGGAAGGTTGCCAACGATGTTGCATCCGCAGTTGAAGAGAAGGAAGTCGTTTGTGCAACTGATTGTGGGGAGGGGAAAATAAGGGGAGCTCCAGACATCAGCCACAAGGCTAGGGGCGCAGGCCATGGGGATAGGGACAGCAAACTACTTTTCCATTTCTGCAGGCATGCATGCAGGTAATACGGTATGAATTAATGCAGCATCTTTTCAATCCCACACATGAAGCTGGGGAAGCTCCGTGTGGCTTAACCAGGCTCGAAATAAGAAAACGACCAATGAAACTTGCAAAGTAACAGCCCCCCACCCTCGTTCCGTCCACGTGCTGCACGAACAGCCAGCCTCTGTCTAAAACTTCCCCCAGAGAAATATATGCATGCAGTACAGCCGCATGCGGATCCAGGTGAATGAATGCCAGCAGCCCATGCACTAGACCCTGCCGCTACTACACTGCTGTCCCTCTTCATGCATGCTGTGGACATGGCTCAACTCCCCGGACGGAATCCCCTCTGCTGCTGATCCCCCGAGGCCTTGCTTGGCAGGCAAGGGGGTTAATAACCTTATTGTGATTGCACCACAATAGGATGGATTGTTAACAAAGCCCTGACCATGACAGGTTGCCTGGTGTAGGTAACTAACATAGCAGCAGTGGCCTGTCGGCAGCCCCTATCTACCTACCCCTCTTCGTATTTGCCCCCTCGTGGCTCCATCCCGCTTTCAACTACCTCTTATCACCCTCCCAGGTCGTTGAACCTACCTCTCCGTACATCCCTCCCATCCCCGCGCACCCACCTATCCTTCCAACCCTCCCGTCCCCACTTGCGATTTCCTTTGTAATGGGCAAGTTGGTTTCTCTCTGGCCCTCCCTCACTCCCTGGCTAGGCTGCTACGGATAGAGTGACGGACCCTACGGACCTAGAGTGAAGCCCTGTCGAATGAGCGAACGAATCGGAACCCGTTTTTCCTTATCTTTAGATCTGTTGCAATTGCGATAAGGCACGGCCGTTGCTTAATAGCGCTGAACGGCGGAAATTCAAAAAGCACATCAAGAAGGCGTCCGACGTATGAGGCGGGCGGTCAGGCTTCATAGTTTTTTGAGTATGAGCTATAAACTTAACTCTGGTCACGGGCTTCCTGTGGCTTGCGGGCCGAGAAAAGTAGTGGGGCTTACCTGTTGTTGTCATCCACCCGACGAAGGCGCATAGAAGCACCAGCTGGCGAAACTGGTGTGCCATTAAGCACAGGCAGCTGCATGCAGCAATAAACGATATGGGTACGTTATACATGCAATTTATCAGTATTACGGATTTGGAGCAAGTCGGCGTGGTGCACTTGCCTTCTACCCTGCGCGCGCCTCGTTTCGACTTCTCCCAAATGCTTCAAGGGGTCATAACCTGTGTCTTCAGGTGTGAATGGCTGCACCTGCCAGTGGTGCGGAACACGGCGAACTCACGACAAGCTACAAAGCCCAGCCAGCCGCTAGATCCACATATATTGACGTAAGGCTCCAGCAGAACATACCTCCGAATTGATCGAGAGACTGACTTTACTATTAAAGTGCTCGTAAGGTTGTTAATGTACTTCACACTATATCTGTCTGCCCGTTACGTAGTTGTAACCAAAACACCCTGAACTTGGCACGGATAAAAATAAAGGTTACACAAGGCAACGGAAAATAGACGAGCACGATATACAACGCCAGAACGAGTCTAACGAGACCGTTAAGCTAATCCATAGGGCCCATCCGCCTAGTCTGAACGCCGACACTAGCCCGCTGGCGCACCTCATGGACCCGAAGCGCACACAGACGCAACACTAAAACACGCAGTACGAAGAAGGAAACGAGTCATGGCGTAATACGCTATAACCGTGTACAGGAGCGTCGTGAAATATGAACATATCGCGCAGGAGATAATGTATTGCACATTGACAAGTGCCAGAAGCGCAGCGGAATCAATAGTCAAGCAAATCATAAAGGCACGAATTCAGTAAGCGATTCAACAAGGACTCCGTACGGGACTCCTCAGACATTTTATTAGGGTCCCTGGAGTCAACTCACAACTTCGCCGCACGACACAGCCACCAGCCAGGCAAACTACAGAACAATAGTTATTGATAATAACTTCCTAATAGGTGCCTTGTGAGCGCCGGAAGGTGCTTCCGCGGCCACCTACAACTAACCATCGCAACCAGTTACGACTGGCTCAGCAGTGACTTGCCAACATACTAAAGCAACAAATCTCATATGCCTAGCTCCTTATTCCACAACAGCTAGCGCGTAACAAAGGCACGGCGTTTAGGTTTGCTTGGGCACATTGTGCATGCGGTAAGTATGTCGACCACACCTATTTGAAGGCAGAGGACAATTGATACTATTATATAACGTTATAACATACTCCTCGGTGTATTTGCAATTGCGATAACTAGTCATTTTAGGAGGGTTGTCCGAAGACTCCAGGGAGCCAGATAAAATGTCTGAGGACTCCAAACTGGCGTCCATTCAACAATAGCCGTACAGTTATGGCGGCAGACAACTTCGACAAGTATAATTCAAAGCTGAACACGGCTGAAGGAAAAATGGCTAACTTGTAAAAAAATAGCGATCGCCTGGAGCCAGAGCGTAGGAGCCTTCTATTGAAAACCTGCACCAAACACAGACACAATACTGCAGGATGCATATATTAAAAGGAAGCGCGCCATTAGGGGCTATTCACATTAGGATTTTGAGTATTATATTCAGTGAAGCCGCATGAGGCGCAAACCCATTTCGGCCTCAGATTTCGTTCACATTGGGAACTTTGCAAAGAAAGTGAGGCTTTTACCGACTTGCCAGAAAGTTGACGGGTTGCGAGCACGAGCCTAAGTTTGAGATAGTAGAATTGTAAGTGGTGTTGTTTGAGCAGCCGCTGAAGCAAATTTAGTTCGCTCAGCAGGGTCCGCCACCAAGGGCAAAGTGCCTAGCTCCTCACTGTCATGGTCCCCATCTTCGCTAGGCTGGTAGCTTTCATTAATGTTAACCGCATACCTAAGCTGGGGCTCAGTTCGCCTTAGTTTAGGTCATCGCCACATCAGAAAGGCCACTCATAAGAGCGCCGCGAACCGCGAAAAGCTTGTAGGATTATCAAGTAAATAGGTGCATTTGGTCGTGTATTTATCGGGGATCTATAGCGTTGCGAATTGGTTTGGGTCTGTGAACTACTTTGCGAGCCATCGGGGTGAATATTTTACTCTATTGCAAGTATTTGGGTTTCAGCTTCGATTCTCTACTTCTGAAAGTAGAGAACGTGACGTGAGGCGAATACTAAATTGCCGCCAGCATATTGGCCTCAATGTGAATGAGGCGGAATTGTATATTGTATTCACTCTCGGTTACAGCCTCACCTATTTCAGCCTCAATGTGAATGGCCCCTTACATAACCAGTAAGCGATTATACACACTGTACATACTTCTTAGTCGTTGTCCAACGACCCAACGACCAGGAAGCCTGAGCTGTATAGAGAAGAGCTGAACAAAACAGAACATGTCCTGAACCAGTTAACTAGTGAGCAGGCGCCGACGCAAGCTTCGTAGGGGCTGGAGGATAATCCTGTCCCTCGGAGCTTCTCCCTTTCGAAGCGTCCTTCGCGGCAAAGTTAACATTCCTTATTCTTAATTGCAATTCGCAACGTTCTTCTTGCGGACGAGAAGTTTCGGCAATCAAGACTCGTCCATATCATGGAGCAACGCACAGATGCGGCTTGGAAAAAAGCCACCTGAGGATCTCGGCTGACAAACAGGAAACTAGCACCAGGAACCCTCAACTAGCTGGGTCAAACTGAACACTAAAAACGCGCATGCATTGCGCGGTCGCAGGGACCATGTCTCCATGAGGTAGCCAAATTCTCAAGGAAGCCATCCTGCTGGCTATACCGGTAGTAAAGCAATGCACGGGGGTACGACAGCTTGGAGGGTGGCTGGAGGCGGTTAGTCGAAAAAAGTGTGGCTGGGTACATGGAGGTGGTACATGAGGTGGGATGCTGGGGAAACTTGACTCGTGGTGGAAGGAGGATTAGAGATGGCGGCATGGGGAGAGGGAAAATTATAAATAAGTGCAACAACACTGGGGAGGGCGGTCTGGGGAATGGAGGGCTGTTAAGAGGCCTGAAACGGCGGCGGGCTTGACAGCCAGACGTACGGTAGCAGAGGAGGGTGTAAGGGCGACCGGGATGGGAGGCAGTGGATTGTATTAGATGACAGCAGGCCATGGGCATAAATGGAGGGGCGGATTAATGCAGTAACGGGTAAAGTGCAAGGGGCGGTGAAGGGTCAGCTGCCAGCTGGAAACTCAGTGCCCCTCCGCACGCAAGCACCTGACGAGGGGGCCCATACGTTGGCCATGGCGCTAAGAGGGTGCGATGAGGGCTAAACAAGCACCATTTTTACCTAGTCGAGTCGATGCACCGGTAGATAGGTGGGAGACGATGGCGGTAGCGGATGACAGTGGTGGAAGGCACGCAAGGTGCAGAGTTAGGTGGGGGGTGGCGAGAAGAAGGGGGGAAATTGAATGAAAAGTGAAGACTCGTGCTATTAGCGCATACAGAGACACTATTCAAGAAACACGCAACTCAGAGATCCAGGGGGGGGGGTCAAATTAGACCAAACCATATGAAAGGTCTGGAGAGGGAGAGGGAAGACAAGAAGGGCCCTGCCGGCAATGCATCTTGTTAATATGATTTGTTTTGGTGCGTAGTGGACGTATCAAACGGAATGCTGAGCAGGTGGGAACGGCGTTCAACTGTGCCGCCTGCTGCGACAATCTGTTATTGGTGAAAACCTGAGAGCTCATGACCGGTCGATGTCAGTTGGGAACGGAATCCTGTCACCTTTGTCAAATGTATGTAGCTCAAGGGTATTGCTTTAGGGGGGCAAACAGAAATACCCCTGACTCACAAGGGACCACCCATTGCTTTCTCAGTACAGATAAGCATGAGCAAGAACATGTTACACTACAGAGTATGAAGACGTCCGTGTTAGTACGATTGGGTTTATCTCATAGCACTAAACATTGATGGCCGTTGAGCGCAACGGCGAAATGCACATGTCAAGCAATCCACAACACCTCCCTCAAGCAACGCAACGTTTCAATACATGCAAAGTGCGGGCTGCGCATACTTCTCTAGTCTCATTCCTTATGCCAACTATGAATCCCTTAGCTGCGACCCGACACTGCGGTTTGTAACCATAACACGCACCCCAAGTCGGCGCATCGATTTCCAGCGTTGAGAGCACTCGTTTAGCAATTAAACGTGATCATGAGGAAAGACATGGATCAAATGGTCCACACATACTATGTAAAAGTCACAACACTTGATTAACATTTTCACACACGCCACAGGACAGGTTCATCGTCATCTGCCTTTCTCAAGCCTAGCAGGCCTGGCCTGCTTTCCATACTTGGCGTACCGAACTTCTTAAATGTAGGTGGACGGACAGCACTTGTTGTTGCTCGAGAACAGGGAAACCTGGTAAAAACGCCAAGGAGAAACGGTTAGGAAGCGTCAGTTAAGGTGTTGCGCCGACAGGCTAATATGAACCCGAGGAAAGGGACCAAAGGTTGAAAGACTTGCCTGGCAGTATCCGGTTTGGCAGAATGCGGACGGGGTTGAACACGCCCCAGGCCGCACCACCCAGCAGAGCGTGGCTCCATCGGGATTCGGCAGGTCACTGTGACGCAACACATGGGGAACGAAAGGAAACATCCTTACGGTGAGCGGGACGAGTGTGCTCACAGGCACAGCAGCAACACAGAGAGAGTAGGTGCGGTCGCTTCTTGTCAGCAAGCAAGGCAGCCTCCAAGGCAGCTAAGCATAGTAGTGAGGATGCAGTACCAGGTACTAACAATGCTACCTAAGCGTGCACCTGGAACCTTCTACTTACGCGATCAAGCTGTCAAACTTGAGGGTCGTGATGTTGTTATCGTACAGGCCCCAGCTGTAGGACACTCCGATACCGTTAATGGTGATGCGCCGGAGATCGCTCTTGCAGGCGTTATTAACGGGAACTTCCATCTTGGCCAGGTCCATGGAACTAGGAAGGGTTAAGAGGGGCATAGAAGGGAGGTAGTGAAAAAGAAGCACTACAGGGCACGTTGCTAGGATTTTCCTCAATATGACAGCACAATGGTGAATACGGTACCGCTTGCAGTTAGTCATGCATGCAGTTGGCCCTGCCCAACGGACCCGTTCGTAATCTCGGAACTCGCTATTCCAAAACGACTTTCTTACCAGCAGAACGCCGCCTTGCGGCACTTCTGTGCGGAGATGGTCGTGCACATGGCCACGGCAGGGTAGTTTTGCTGGTCTACGGTGTCCGCCAGGAAGAGGGTGGAGGGCGCGTAGGGTACATTGTTGTTGCTGATGACACAATCGTGGGTTACGACGCTAGGAGGGAGAGGTTGAGGAGGGAAGGGCGGTGGCGGTGAGGGTGGAGGCGGCGGTGAAGGCGGTTGTGGACGTGGAGAGGGGGGTGGGCGCTTAATACCCGGAGCGAGGGGAGGAGCCGGAGAGGGTGGGCGAGGCGAGGGCGGCGGTGGTGAGGGCGGGGGAGGAGTAGGCGGCGGTGGTGAGGGAGGGGGAGGGGAAGGAGGAGGAGAGGGAGGCGGCGGCGGTGAGGGTGAGGGTGGACGAGGAGAGGGCGGCGGTGATGGCGGTCGGAACCTAGCTGGGGCAAGAGGTGGGGGTGGTGGGGGTGTAGGAGGCGGCGGTGAGGGTGGTAGAGGTAAAGGAGGCGGTGGTGAGGGTGGAGGAGGTCGAGGAGACGGTGGGGAAGGTGAAGGAGGTAGAGGAGGAGGTGGTGAGGGTGGGGGAGGTGAGGGCGGCAGTGGCGATGGTGGTAGGAGTGGTGGAAACGGAGATGGCGGCGGTGGTAATGCAGCGCATTGTGTCCTATAAGTCCCGCTAAGGCACGTGACGCTGGTCAAACTTGCTGCGATGCTGTAAAAGTTGTAGCCAGTGAGAGCCAGTGGGCACTGAGTGCTGCCCATAACAGCATACACCCAGTCTTGCAGACCCGCGGGTCCATTGAGCCAAGTCTGAAGCTTCATGCCGTCTTGAACCGTTGCAAACGTTCCTCGCAGCATGACGTAGTTCGGATCACATGCACTCAGCGAAAAGGACTTGGTAATCGATGCTCCCAATGCGGATGCGTTTGACGCCATGCCCATAGCAATCTTGTTCGATAGGACGACACAAGACGTGGCGTTAAAAGTGTATGGGTTCACGGGTGGTGGGCTTGGAGGGATGATGTAGACATAGAGGTAGACCTCACAAGGGAGCGCGACTGGGGAGGGAGGGGGAGGCTGAAGGACGTTTGCGGGGGGTGAGGGTGAAGGTGGCCTAGGAGGGGGAGGTGGGCGGAAGATGCCGGGGGCCAGCGGAGGAGGAGGTGGTGGGGGTGGTGGAAGGGCTGGCGGAGGGGAGGGTGGCGGCGGGGACGGAGGTAGAGGGGGCGGTGGCGGAGGAGGAGAGGGTGGCGGTGGGGATGGCGGTGGTGGCTGGGGTGGCGGCGGAGAAGGGGGCGGGGGTGCAGGCGGTGGGGGCGAGGGCGAGGGCGGGGGTGGTGGAGGTGGAGGGGAGGGACGCTGTGGAGGGTTTGGTGGGGGAGGAGGTGGCGGGGGTGAGGGAGTGGGCGGCCGAGGTGATGGTCGAGGTGGGACAGGCGGTGGAGGAGGTGGGGGTGATGGGGACGGCGGCCGGAGAGGAGACGGAGAAGGCGGAGGCGAGATAGGCGCCGGGGGCGGGCTGTATGGGCAATCTTGCCCAAACTGCCCCTGCAGACAAGTGCTCTGACCATTGTAGTTGGCAACAGCGGCTGAAATGAGGTAGCCAGGAATGTTGTAATTGCCGCAAGAGTCACCGCCAGTAATCGCCTGCACCCATCTCTGCAGGCCGTCTCTACCTTCCACGAAGCTCTGGAGTTTTTGGCCGTCCGTGTCTCCTTGGAAGGCGCCACAGACCTTGAGCGTAGGGTAGGTCGCAGGGGAGGTGCTTGGGTCGTAGGCCTTGAGGCACGCAGCCATGGTGAAGGGGACGATGATGGTAACTCCGAGGGATGCCGAGGCGATGTTGATGTCGCTGGCAATCAAGCCGCTTACAGTGCTGCAAATCGAGTCAGTGTAGGTGAAAGGTGCTCCGGTAATGATGGGTGAGGGTTGGATGGCAATAGAGACGCAGACGATGCAGGGCGGTGGCGGGCTAGGAGGGCTGGGGGACGGAGGCGATGGAGAGGGTGGAAGCGGGCTTGGTTCTGGAGAGGGAGGGAGAGGAGGCGGTGGGGATGGAGGTGGAGAGGGCGGCGGAGGGGGAGAGGGCGGGGGTGGGGAGGGTGGAGGTGGGGCAGGTGGCGGTGGGGAAGGAGGAGGTGGGAGGGGCGGTGGAGGGGAGGGCGGCGGAGGGGAGGGTGGTGGTGGCGACGGAGGTGGGGGTAAAGGTGGGGGAGGCGAGGGTGGGGCTGGAGAGGGTGGCGGCGGGGAAGGAGGAAACGGGGGAGGCGGTGGCGGAGAAGGAGGGAAAGGAGAAGGAGGCGGAGGAGAGGGAGGAGGTGGTGATGGAGGCGGAGGGAAAGGAGGCGGCGGGGAAGGCGGGGGAGAGGGCGGCGGCGGGGAAGGAGGAGGCGGGGAGGGTGGAGGCGGGGCGGGTGGTGGCGGGGATGGCACCATCGGTTGAGGTGGCGGGGGACTGGGGGGCGGCGGGAGAGGCGGCGGGGGGCTGGGGGGCGGCGGGAGAGGCGGCGGGGGGCTGGGAGGCAGCGGCGAGGGGGGCGGCGGTGACGGTGGCGGTGGAGATGGGGGAGGGGGTGATGGAGGAGGAAGGGGTCCTGGGGGGGCCGGCGGCTGTGGGGATGGAGGTGGTGGTGAAGGGGGTGGGGGAGCAGGTGGTGGAGGTGAGGGAGGTGGGGGATTAGGGGGCGGTGGGCCAGGTGGTGTTGGGGAGGGTGGTGGTGGGCTGGGAGGGTCCGGCGAGGGAGGTGGCGGCGAGGGTGGAGGAGGGTTTGGAGGCGGTGGTGAGGGGGGTGGAGGAGCGGGCGGCGGTGGAGAGGGGGGTGGAGGAGCGGGAGGCGGAGGTGAGGGCGGAGGCGGGCTCGGGGGAGGTGGGCTGGGGGGTTCAGGAGGAGGTGGAGACGGGGGGCTTGGGGGAGACGGTGGTGGCGAGGGACTTGGTGGGAGGGGGCTGGGAGGTAGAGGGCTGGGTGGGAGGGGGCTTGGGGGTAATGGTGGCGAAGGAGGGCTAGGCGGAGGTGGAGAAGGAGGTTGGGGTGGTGGTGGGGGTGGGCTCGGGGGCAGAGGGGGTGGGGGCGGCGGTGGTGAGGGTGGAGGGGGTGGTGGAGGTGGAGGAGACGGGGGTGGAGGCGATGGAGGTGGGGGCGAGGGCGGCGGTGGGGAAGGAGGAGGCGGAGAGGGCGGCGGGGGCTGGGGTGGAGGCGGTGAAGGTGGAGGAGGCTGGGGTGGAGGTGGAGAGGGCGGCATTGGAGAGGGAGGCGGTGGGGAGGGGGGTGGTGGAGACGGCGGAGGAGGCGAAGGAGGCGAGGGCGAAGCAAGCTGTGCGGGGCCAGGAGGTCTAGGTGGTGAGAGGAAGGGCGGTGGAGGCGGATTGCATGTCAGGGTGAACTCTCCCTTGAGGCAGTTCACTTGGTCAGAAATGACGGTACTGAAAACAGTGTAGCCCGCAAGTTTGCCACACATGTTGCCGCCGGTAATGTTGTAGACCCATTCTTGGATGCCTTGGGGACCGTTCAACCAGGTCTCTAACCGGTGTCCGTCCTCCGCTGTCATGAAGACACCATGCATTTGGAGTGACATGGGCTCACAAGCACTCTGTGTGAAATTCACGAGCAGTTTGGATCCAACAGTGGGGGCCTGCTCTGCAAATCCGGTTCCAATAAGATCCGCTAGCATGGCGCACGACTCATTGGTGAAAGTCAGTGCGTTTGTCGCCATGAGATGGCGGAGGGGCGCCAGCGGTGGCAGGATGTACAAGTATAAGTCGGAAATGCAGGGGACAACCGGTGGCGGTGCTGGCGGGGAGTCCGGAGGGGTTGGAGGCGGCGGTCTGGGCCTCCTCGGTGCCTTGGGTGGTAGCGGGCTAGGCGGGGACGGTGGAGGAGGTCTTAGGCGAGCTGGCGTGAGGGGAGGTGGTGGTGGTGGTGAAGGGGAAGGAGGGGGTGTTGGTGGAGGAGGTTTCGGGGATGGAGGTGGTGATGGCGGCCGGAATCGGCCAGGGACCAGCGGTGGTGGAGCGGGTGGAGGCGGTTGGCCAGTGTTGCAGACGGGGCAGTAGTTAGTGGTCGGTGAGTCGGCGAAGGTGTAGCGGCAGGTCCCGAGTGTGCTGCTGTAGCAGATATCGGACCAGGAGGCACACGAAGATGTCGTGGTGATGCAGATGGGGATGCCAGCAAAGGTGGCGTTGTTCCGGTTCAGGTTGTAGATCTTCAACTCATAACCTGTGTTGTGTAGTTCCAGATTGCGAGGTTAGGGAGGTATCGCGGAAGGAGTAAGATAAGAAGGCTTAACGCATACCGCTGGCAGACGGAAACGTACAGGGTTTGCACACGATGACCAAGACACAACAGAAACCGTGGCAGCTTATCACTGGGCTCGCTCCTCACCTGGACTGTGAGTGTACGTGTTCCAGGACAGGTGCAGCTTGCCATCGACCGTTACGCTGACGATGTTGGCCTTTGAGGCTCCGCACGCAGCGGTTGTCTCAAACTGCAGGAAGGGGGCTGGTTGTCGTTACCAGGGCAGAGCTTACAAGGCAAGGTTAATTTGCAAGGTTTGGACTGTGCAATGGCGAACATTCCAGTACAGGTTTCTTTCCGCACTGTTACATGAGCTGCCTTAGCACATATCATAGCATCCAAAGATGACCATTCATGCAGACAGGGCGCTTACCGCGACCTTGTCCACGGATTCTAGCATGGCTTGGCAGCATGCCAACGTAGAATCACATCCGACATAGTCCATGCTCAGGCAGGTCCTAAAGTTGGATCCAACCTGCAGATGAGGGAGTAACACAGCACCTTTTTAACTCTGCTGGCTGCCAGGAGGTCAAAAGAGGATAGCCAGTTGAAGTCAAGGTGCCAAGGGAAATGAGGAAAGCACACGGGCGGGTATGCCCTGCCTCGGAAAGAGTGTAGTGACGCAATGGCAAAAAGACACGACAGTGCATGCGGCACTGTCGAGCCCTTACCGGAACGCTGCTAATAAGGTTGAGTCTATAGGGACTGCAGCTGCAGCCATAGGATAGGCACTGGCACCAGGGGAAGGTGGCCAACGCTGCTACATCCACGGCTGGAGGGCTGGAAGTCGATTGTGCATCTGTTTGTGGGAAATAAGGAAAACCGGGTAAATTGTCTGGATGTCGGCCGCAAGGCTAAGGAAGTAGGCGTTGAGCTCTGTAATCCACGATATTGGGTACGGGCAAGCTACTTCTCTCTTGATGCATACAGGGAGTCTACCGGTATTGACCGTTTCTAAGCGGCAGGCAACTATTTACGAGCACCTTACGAAGGTCACGCGTGTGGCTATGCATGATAGAATACTTATTTTATGTAGCGCGACAGCAATGGCAACAAGTGGCCTACGAAAGCATGAAATTCACATGCGCAGCTGCTCGCACACCTGTTGTTACACACCCGACAAGGGTGCAGAGAAGCACCAACGGTAGAAATCGGTTTGCCATTAATGGCAACTGCGTAAAAAAGTAGTAAGTGTGGGGCTGCTATGCTCTAAGCCAGTGTCACTAGTGTTGAGCCGGTCCGCCAATGCGCTGGCAATGGCACACTTGCCTTCTGCCTGGGAGCGCCTTGCTGCGGCTTCTCCCACTTATCCTTAAGGGATCATAAACGATGTCGTCAGGTTGATAGGCTGCGCCTGTGGTGCGGAGGGATTGAGCCCGGCGAACAGTCAACAATTGCCCAGCAAGTCGCTAAGTTTGCGTTCATGGCTGTAAGCATACGCTAGCAAATGTATAGTCTACCTTGTGGGTAATAGGTAAGAGATTGGCTATCTCGCAAAGTTTAGGGCATTAAGGATGACGACCTCTGTCCAAAAACAGCTACACAACACACGTGGAAGACTGCTGGCAGGAGGAATCATACATTTAGCCCTACGTCTTAATGCATAGGCTCTGTGCTCTCAATGGGCAATGGAACAGCTGTTGTAATCACAGTTCAAAGTCTGGGCCTTATACGACTCCCGCCCCATGCCCCCAATTAAGAATTCGCAATTCCACAACGTCTACATACTCGATTAATGTCATATGCTAGCTTCCTGCAGTATTTTGTTATTGTAGCTTACAACGTTTCATAAGCCTAGATGCAAGTCCGGCAATGTGTTACCAAGGAAAGAGAGAGAAAGGCGGATTCTTTGTGTGAAAGTGGTGCCCTTGCTTTTCCTTGATGTTGTCTTTTCAGTCTGTGTTCGCCGTTGATGACGCTAAAAGCAAGGAGAAAGCCCTTGGGAAACCTGTTCGCGAAATTAACGCAGGAGCTGTCACTCCCATCATAAGCTTTGCTTGGGCGTATACATACTGTGCGTGTTTCGGCACATCTACACTGGTTCACCGGCATACCGATATCTCATTCAGAAGTGCGACAAACATTAGCTATCTGCAGTTGTGGCGAATGGTGTATGCTTATATCTGCTTGGCGTTCACAGATGCCTTAGCACTGTGTACGTTTACGTCGGTTCCTGCGTCCTGTGTGGCTTGTGCATGGGTGAAAGGTGGCCCCCAACGTGTTACCGCTTGTAAGCCGCAAAGTAACTTACCGATAAGAATGGGTGTTTATATGCGCGGAAATATTGACAACGGGGTGTAAGGAAATTAATATGGCTTCAGGAGAAAGGGTCGGAGTGGCCGACTCTCTGCATTCCCTCCTTTGTTCCTATCGGCACACAAATCGCATGGGTTCGACTTAACTTCTGCCTTTCCCCAGTAGGTCCCCTATGCAATGCAGAAGAGATTCGACTGATATCTATTCGCTCTCTCAGTGGCTCCCTCCCTCGTTGCTTTGGCACAGCCATCAATACCCAAGGTCATGGGGATCTACCAGCAGGAAATCGCCGCGCAGCGCTCTTCAGATATCTCTTGACTGAATGGGAGTGGCAGCTGGCGTGCGCGGATATCACCTCGGCTTGGGACGTCTTGGTGCAAATGACAATCCTTGGTGGTTACTTCCAGCAGGCTGTGTATGCTGCGGCAACAGGCGCCAATTTGGTCACGCCCAAACTTCCGCTATCCAACTTTACTGCACATTGTATGCGGCAGAGTAGTGGCAGTGGACATTTGCGGGCTTCCAGGATGGACTATGCAACATGTGTTCTCGTTTAATCGAATACAGCTCATTTAACTTGACCTCGTTCCTTAGTCTTCACACGGATCGACTGTACACATACTCGCAATTTGTGTGAGTGAAGATGTAGGAGACATTGAAGCATTGCACCGTTTGCAGATACATTATGTCGAGTGTAGTCAGGAACATTACAAATATGTTAAGCTGATGTGAGGGACACAAATTTCGTAGGGAAGTCAGAACGACGCGTTACTGGTACTGCCAATCACGACAACCATATTGCGGTTTCATTCCATCATTGACGCAACTGTGCGACAAACGCACTTGCGTTTTGAAGGGTGCACACACTATCCAGTGGCAGTATGTTCTAGTGATAACTCCAATGGTTCGACAACGCGCATTCAGTCGCCTTCGGCCTCTTTTTAAGGAACCTTGCCATGTCTAGGGCTTGCGCTGTGTGTCACTAACCGATACTCAGCAGAGCGCAATTGTTCCTGTAACAGCTCCGTCTCATGTAGGGCATTGGCGACGCTTGCAATCCACACATAGTCCTACCTAAGCTTCTACTCTGTCGTGCACGCCCTAGTAACGTCTATCACCTGGCAAAGCGGAGCGGCATGCGGGCGCTGAACTTCGACTGGTGGGCTCGGACAGACGGGGCGCAAGCGACGACTAGGCGAATACTAAGGGACTGCCGTGGAACATGCCCCTTGGTTCTGCAAACTAAAGCGTTGTTGACGCTGTGCCTACTGCTTTTCATCGCTGGGCGGCGTTATGTTGCAGCAAGCACCGATTCTGGTGAGGTTAACTCGCGTTTTAGCAATATATGTATCCTGAAGTATCAGCTGTGTTAGGATAATGTGTTTTGCATATGTGGCTACCTGTGGGAATGCGCTTCCTTTAAAGAGCAAGGGCGCGTTAGATGCGTTAAGCCTCATACTACCGATATGCCATTCAGAGCATTGGTTTTGCCAGTCGCCATAAATTCAGCTTAAATCCGATCACTGCTAATTGTGGACTCGTTGTGATTGCCGCGGTTTTTCCACTACAACGCGTTCCATTAAATTGTTGGGCGATATCTCCCCAGTCCTCCACCCCCTAATATGCAACATATTCTTTCCTCCGGCGTTTATGTTGCTCAGAAGTCGGCATCGGCGAGGGCGACAGCTGGCTGATGACGGATAGCACCCTTTCGACGAAAGGGCGTTGGCGTGTGGCTTCCAGGATATTAGCACAGGACGGAGCAGGGCCTGCCTATCCATTAGAACCACCAGCCTACCCAGCATCAATGCCACCTCCATACGGGACTTCAGACAGCAACCCAGACATGTTGTCAAGTCAGCCCCCGTCATACCTCGGACCTCCCACATACCCCACATACGCTAGCCCGACACCAACACCAACATCCCCAGTTAACCCTCAACCGCCCTCACCAGCTTATACTGCCTCTCATCAGATGCCCCCACCCTCGTTTTATGGTCCATCAACAATGCCGGTTCAGCTCCCTCCCCCAGCACCCAGCCCGCCTCCTCCTTACACGCCAACGTATGCGAGCCCGCCATATCCTCCTACCTTTCAGCCGCCATCGCCTAATGGCCCGCCAACAATGCCGGTCCAGCCCCCTCCCCCAGCACCCAGCCCGCCTCCTCCTTACACGCCAACGTATGCGAGCCCGCCATATCCTCCTACCTACCAGCCGCCGTCGCCTAATGGCCCGCCGACAATGCCGGTCCAGCCCCCTCCCCCAGCACCCAGCCCGCCTCCTCATTACACGCCAACGTATGCGAGCCCGCCATATCCTCCTACCTTTCAGCCGCCATCGCCTAATGGCCCGCCGACAATGCCGGTCCAGCCCCCTCCCCCAGCACCCAGCCCGCCTCCTCCTTACACGCCAACGTATGCGAGCCCGCCATATCCTCCTACCTTTCAGCCGCCATCGCCTAATGGCCCGCCGACAATGCCGGTCCAGCCCCCTCCCCCAGCACCCAGCCCGCCTCCTCCTTACACGCCAACGTATGCGAGCCCGCCATATCCTCCTACATACCAGCCGCCATCGCCTAATGGCCCGCCGACAATGCCGGTCCAGCCCCCTCCCCCAGCACCCAGCCCGCCTCCTCCTTACACGCCAACGTATGCGAGCCCGCCATATCCTCCTACCTTTCAGCCGCCATCGCCTAATGGCCCGCCGACAATGCCGGTCCAGCCCCCTCCCCCAGCACCCAGCCCGCCTCCTCCCTACTACACAGGCACGCCACCATCGCCCATCAATCCGCCGCCTTCATACCCTGCCCCTCACTCCACAGAGCCAGTTCAGCCCCCTGCTGTGGCACCTAGCCCGCCTCCCCCCGACACAGCCATTACCAGAAAGCCTCCAAGCCCAGTGCCTGTAGACTCCAGCCCCCCACCTCCGTACCCACCTGCATACCCCAGTCCTCTCCCACCCAGCCCTCCTTACCCTCCGCCGCCATCGCCTACACCTCCCAGCCCGCAGCCTCCGGCACCGACGCCTCCCAGCCCTCAGCCGCCCTCGCTCGCTCCCCTGTACCCTCCACCTCCGTCGTCCGCTCCTCCTTACCCACCACCTCCCTCCCCCTCACCTCCCAGCCCTCAGCCTCCTTCAACACCACCGTCCGGCCCCTTACCACCCTCCCCAAGCCCGCCTAGCCCTCCACCACCCTCCCCCTCACCTCCCAGCCCCCAGCCTCCTTCGACCCCACCGTCCAGCCCCTTACCACCCTCCCCCTCACCTCCCAGCCCCCAGCCTCCTTCAATCCCACCGCCCAGCCCTCCACCACCCTCCCCCTCACCTCCCAGCCCCCAGCCTCCTTCAACCCCACCGCCCAGCCCTCCACCACCCTCCCCCTCACCACCCGATCCCCAGCCTCCTTCACCCCCACTGCCCAGCCCTCCACCACCCTCCCCCTCACCTCCCAGCCCTCAGCCTCCTTCGACCCCACCGTCCAGCCCCTTACCACCCTCCCCCTCACCTCCCAGCCCTCAGCCTCCTTCGACCCCACCGTCCAGCCCCTTACCACCCTCCCCAAGCCCCCCTAGCCCCCAGCCCCCCTCCCCCTCACCTCCCAGCCCTCAGCCTCCTTCAACCCCACCGTCCAGCCCCTTACCACCCTCCCCAAGCCCCCCTAGCCCCCAGCCCCCCTCCCCCTCACCTCCCAGCCCTCCACCACCCTCCCCAAGCCCACCTAGCCCTCAGCCGCCTCCACCCCCACCTCCCAGCCCCCAGCCTCCTTCACCCCCACCGCCCAGCCCTTCGCCTCCTTCGCCCAACCCTCCTGCCTTGCCTTCGCCCTCTCCTCCTGTTCCACCGCCGCCACCCGCTAAGGTCATCTCTGCTAACAAGCAGGTGACCTTCACCCCATCGTTCTGCTCCTCATCCCTGGTTGATGTGCCCTTTGACACGACCAATAGCACCGATTTCGCTCTTTACGATGTCGTATTAAAGATTACATTTCTGTACGACACCTTGTTTGATGATAGCGACGCCGTTGTGATCGCCATGAGGGTTGTGTACGGCAGCTCAACGAATCCAGATCTGCCCCCACGCACCGAAACCATTGCGGGCACTTTCTACAGCCCTTCTAGCTCGACCACCGTCGAGGAAACCTACACATTTTCCACAGCCTCCAAGCTCTCGGTTATCAGCGTGTGCTGCAACTCGGCGAACCGCTTAGCAGGTGTCCTGCTCACCTTTGCTGACGGCTCCTCCACTGCAGCGGGACGCTGCAGCCAACCTAACGGCGGCGCTGCCATTGTTCCCAAGGCCGGTTGGCTTGGAGGCCTCAAGGGTAGCCGAGGAGCCATCCTGGGAGACCTCTCCTTTGCTATTGTCGGACCAATCGGTAAGTAGTACACCGCTGCTACCCATTAATAAGTTCAAAACATAAGCCTGCTGATGTACTTAGCACTGCATAATCAGCAGCTTGCCACGGCGGCTTAGAAAACACTTTACACTTAGGCATGCGTGTCTGGATAGAGTAGTTCGATAGTATTGCTCAGTAGTCCTCACACTGCCAACTTAACCTAGTTTGCTATCCCTATGTCCCCCGGCATGCTCCTCCCACCCTACAGCCCCTTCGCCGCCTCCAGCTCCTTTCGTTCAAGGCCGCATGCCGCCGCCCTCGCCACCGAACCCACATCCGCCGAATCCCCCGTCACCCAGCCCCCCGCTACCTCCCAGCCCGCCTCCTCCATCGCCTCCTGGACCTCCCAGCCCTCCATCGCCCCCAGCTCCCCGGGCTCCGAACAAGCCCCCTCTGCCGCCACGACCGCCGTCGCCGCCTCCGCCACCGCCTTTCCTGCCCTTCCCGCCACCGCCGCCGAAGGGCAAAATACCACCTCCGCCATCACGTAGACCGCCACCGCCGCCTACGGTTAAGGCACTAGAGGCTGCGTTTACCACAGCGGTGAAAACAGACTATCCAAAGATAGTCATGGGCCTGCCGCCCAAGATTCCAAACCTAGCACCAGCCGCAAAACAGGTTTTGATTGGCCCCAGCATTCCCATCGCTCGTGACCCCGCCGGGTCGAACGTCATCACGGCCACGCGCTACGGCAAGGGTCGCTTAGTTGTATTTGGCGGTCAGAAAATGGTCATAAATTGCTGTCAGCCCACACTTGAGCCGCCTTCCGAGCCGTACATGGACAAGCTGATTGCAAACGCGATTACGTGGGCTGCATGGTACGGCACTAAGGTACGGCACATGGGGTTGTTGCGTATCGAGCTGTGGGTGCTGGTTAGTTATTAGTCCGGTCGGTGTGCACACAGCAGAACACCTTGTGTAAGAACCATTACTTGCCTGACACATATCGTGGCATTTGCCGCCCATGCATCACACGCGGACCCCTGACACTACTGCAGGTTGGCAAGGCGGTTCTGCGTGTCGCAGACGCCAAGTACCTACCCATGGCGAGGTGAGGGAGCGGTGCAATTGTATCTTGCGTCCCAGGCTGCTTGTGCCTGTGCAGAAAACAAGTTTCCGCTAGGGTTGGGAAGTAATCAGGGGGAGCAGATGGGAAGCCAACACTCACGGGGCAAGGTCAACCAGGAAGTCATTTAAGCTCCATCATCGAACCATACACACCCCAGTAGCACAGAAAGTCACTTACTTCAAGTCGGTTTATGATGACACGCCCACCTTTTGCATGCTGCCAACGCACACCTTTCTAATGAACCCCTTTTCACCGCCTTTCCTTACGTTCTGCAGGTACCTCGTTCAGACCTATCCCCAGTACTACGAGACAACTATTGAAGCCAAAATCGCCTCCCTGGAGTTGCCCCTAACAACCTTCCTCAAGGGCGGCTACAAGAACTGTGACGTATACATCGTTGGGCCGCACGATGTGGCCTACCTGCAGAGCGGCATCCAGGCCGTCCTTCAGAACTATGTGCACAGCGGCAAGGGCCTGATCGTTGTCGGTCCTGACGCCATGCCCAACATCTTTACTGATGGTGGAGACGTTAGCAGTCAGGCGGCTGCTGGTCGGCGGCTTCTGCGGAATGCGGATGCGGCGGCTGCTGCCGAGTCCCTGGAAGCTCCACGTGTGCAGCTGCAGCTGCCGGAGACCATCAGGCGCCAGCTGCAGACGTCTACTACCACCGTACTGGTGAGTAATGGCTTGAGCTAGTTGGGGCTTAAGGTTGGGATTTTGGGTTACCTGCGATATGGCGCTGTCCGGGCCCCTACGTGCAGGTTCGCCCTGCTGTCTGGAAAGCCTCTTCGTTCTGAGATGAAGGGGGTGGTACCCTCCCATGCATGGTTATCGACGGGGGCGCGCAGCTCTTCCCTTCCTGTCTGTCTGCCCTCACGCTAAGCCGTTTCTTCCTGCCTTTTTCCGTATTCAGGTAAACTACGTCACTGCCCCCATGGGCATTATTACCACAAGCAGTGTCTCCGATGCCGGTGGAATGCTGGACCTGTCCCTACCCGCTGAGCAGGCCAACGCCGTGCTAGCAGCCCAGCAACTCTTATTGTACGTGCAAGGCAGGCTGGTAATGGCTCCCACGGCACTTTCAGCTGCTGTCAGCTCAATCATCCTGGCCCGGACAACTGTGCCGCGAACCACGCCAGGAACCACCCAGCTCTGGAGCTTTCTGGACCAGGTGGATGTGGCGTACAGCAAATACCCCGCTTTCTCGCCGCCGCCGCCGCCGCCACCACCAACGCGGCTGCTTCCACCCCCTACTGCTATGCCGCCACCAAAGCCGCCACCCCCCGGTGAGCCCTCGGCGTGTCGCGGCCTCCGCGGTGAAGCACGTGTTCGTTACCTCTTGCATGGTTTCTCAATCCTGGACGCTACCGGCACTCTCGTATTCGCTTATACCGGTACTGATACCGCAAACAACCTTCTGCTTGTGTACCTTGCATGCAAGCCCTTCTGTATCATCACTGCCGCCTGTTTGCTGCTCTTCCACTCCCACTTGTTCCGCCTCTTGGATTCACCTCCATCATCCCGCCTTAAACTTTGCAGGCGCTTTGCCGCCCAACGTTGTGTTCATCGGGTGCTTTGCGGAGAATACAGCCGCACGCGTTGTGTCCACTGCAGTAATGACTGCGTCTCGGGTCAACAGCGTTGACAGGCGAGTACGACTTGAGGGCTTACCTAGCAGCATGACGGGACCTGGACACCCGCATGAGGGACACTGAACGGAGCTGTATCACCGCAAGCCATGGACATTATTGCACACCAAATGCTGGGCCTGATTTTAACATGCACATGAGCACTAATCGTACATTAACCTGCTCATCCTGTCTCGTAGTTTCCTGCTAACCGCCGTTGCGTGTACTCACCAGGTGCATGAACGCGTCTGTGGCCCTCAACCCTGCCGGGCCACGGCCGTTTGTGGTCCTGGGGATGTACCGGACCAACTGCTACGGCTCTTCCGGCGTGACTGCTGCCTTGCTGGCATCGCAGCTTCCCGACTCAAACTGTGACGTCAGCTGCGCTGGTGCACCCATACAACGCTGCGGTGGCAGCAATTCGACCGCCACTGTCGCAATAACCAGCTTATACCGCGTGGTTTGGTAAGACAGCAAGAACTGCTTTTAAAACTTGAGTGTTTGTATTGGAGCTTGCTAGTCTGCCGCCGTTACAACGGTTGAGGGGCTATGCAAGCGCCGGTCGTTGCAACAGACGACCGTCGGCCCCGATGGCCGTGGAAAACCCTACAAACTCATTGTTTGCAGGCAGCGATATTGCAATACTGCTATATATTGTTTGTTGCGCTGGTTTTGCACGTTTGTGAGCAAGTTGTAGAAAGAAGCAGGATGCTTCCAGTTACCTTCCGTACAAGTTGAATTTGTTGGCCCTGTGCTCATGCCCCTTCATTTATACGGTAACTCGTCTCTGATGCTGAAAATTTGTGGCCAGCAACGTTTCAGTTTAAGGGGCATCCCGACTGGACCTGAGGCGTCCTTGTACGTCATTACGGCTGCCATGCAGTCGTCACTTACCGTGTTACGCTCTACCTGATGGCTATCTAAACGTTGACTGCGCGCGTGTTTCCTGTGATGCGGTGAAATAAGGTGATCTGCGCTGCATACGACCGGCGCAAAGTATGTAGGGCTGCGGTGGCTAGCCAAACGTATTCGTGGTTATTAGCCGCCGTACATCCTTAGTTTCCGGACTGGAACAAGGCATCGGTTTGCGCCGTGCATATTGATGTAGAGGGACGTTAGCTGCATGCAGCTGTCCCGTGGGCTGCGCCATGCACGAGGCAGCAGGAATGGGGCCAATGCAAGGATTAGAGCAATGACCAACGCAATGTCCGGGCCCCGTTGGCGGGTGCACACGGGGATTGCATGGTTCAGGGATACAGACTGTGTGCGATGCTCGTGGCTTCAACGGATGGATGATGCGATGACCTTGAGGTGTCCTATGTATGGCGAACATGAAACCTAAGTGTGCATGACGAGCGAGCGTGCGTATTTTCAAAACCTGGCCGTGAATGTGTATGCTTGCGTGATGCTTCAGTTACAGTTACAGTCTGTACGCGGGTACAGTGTGTCCGTACGAGCCAGAGGGACCACGTGACAGCATGAACGGTGTGAGGTGTCTCCTGCTGCTCGGTATACTGCGGTTGCAGCTTCTCCTGGGCTATGGTGCAGTCGGCGGCACTTCCGTGTACGAAACATGGTTTTCGTCGTATGACCGACATCCTTGCCCGCTGTCTCCTTGCCAGTCATTCGGTTTTCTTGCATGTTATTAGTTAGCAATGTTAGGTTGCTATTTGCTGCGGGATGTGTTACTTGCTTGCTTGGAGATGTCTGTGTGAACTAGTTTGTCCATAATGTTTGGTGCGTGCTGTCGAGCGCCTGCATCAGGAAAGAAATATTTCATGGGGCGCCGGACGTAGCTGTTATCTGGTAATGGCCCGTACGAACATGGGCTTCAGGGAGCAGCAAGCACTGCCCGGCTGCCCAGATGCATGAGCGGTCACTCCTCAGAGATGCTCATCTCGCCTGCCCTGTCCCTCATTCCACGGACAGCTCAGATCATGTGTAAGAAGCCACTGCCTATTTGCGCCCACCGTCGCATTTTATGCCATGAATGCTGAACGATAAAGTTATCAACGCTGTGCTGGGTACGTGCGTGCATGTAGGCAAAGGGCCTGAGGAAGCGGCTAGGATAAAATTACAGCCAAGTAAACCATGTTTGTGGCATGCCCTGATGGCAGCGCGTAGCCTGTTTTGGGCACGCCGTAGCCCATTATGTCTACCAATGCAATGTAGCATGGAAGGGTACAGCGCACGGGGCCCATGGGCTGGGATGCGATACTGACATGTGGGTCAGCAACAGGAATCCCTGGTATATAAATCCCCTTTGTATGGATTATAGCTTCGAGAACGCTGGGCGTACCAAACAAGCAGGGCGCATGCCTGAAATGTTCTTGGAAGGAAAGGCTGAAGGAAAGGGACCCGGCACGAGGCGTTGAATTTCAGTGGGTTACCGATAACGCTGTGACCAATGGCGTTGGAATCGAACGATTACAGTCTGTTCGCTCACTTTGAGGAGCCTTGCATTGCATGCTATGCATGAACGACCGACAGCCAGATGGTCGCGCTTCAGGAGTGAAGTATGCTGAAGGCAACTAAGCGACGAACACGATATATGGGTGATTCCCTTTGTGTCCTTACGCCGCGTATTTAGCCAGCTACCTTGCGTGGCTTCGTTGTACGGCAGCGCGTATATGCATTTGGCGCGAGCAAGCGACAAACGACCCTTGGGCGACCGCGGTGTCAAAGTGGAAAATGCGGCGTATCTGCGAGGGTGATTTTTTGCGCAGATGGCTTGGCGTATAGCATACCTATCAAAGGGCGACCGTTGGTATGTTTCTGAAAGGTGGTTGGGCGGTGCTAAGAAATGGTCGATGCTGTTGTCCTCCAGTTTAGCACTGGCTAGCTAAGACACCAAATGCATATACGCGGCCACATTACAGGAACCAAAGCAGTTTAATTGGAGCTGCACAGTGCTGCAGCATAGTACAATGGATTGGCCTAATGAAAGGTGGTTAGCCAGCTACCCTGTGTGCCCGTATTTTACAGTTTGGCTATACAGCTTGGCTAATCACCAACTTGACTATGAGGTACGTCCGATAGATAATTGGGAGGGGGGAGGGGCTCCCTCCCCCCTTAAACCCCCTCCCGCACGTCTTGCTGTATATAGGAAGCTTTACTGCACGTTGGGTCAAGAAGTATCACATGAACGCGCCCCGACTGGACCGTTAGAAGCAAACGTCGGGAGACCCATTTATTTTTCAGCAGCCTTACTTTCACAATGGCTTCAACCCCCCCCCCCCCCCGCGAAAAGCCAAGACCCATGGGTCGCTTTCACACTTTCCGAGGAAGGGCACCTACTTTCTATACTTATTGGCTCGGAACGCGCTACCTACACATTTCCACAATTGGGAGATGTCTTAAGGAAATTGTTGCAACGATTAAGAGGTGCCTTAGAATTCGGACTGTCCTGGAGGGGGAGGGAAACCCTCCCCCTTAACACCCCCTCCCGCACGCACTCTTGGATATATACGCAGTTACTGTGCGTACAGGCGGTTACACCTTGCTGGTTGTTTACTCGTTACCGCTCCCCTAACCCGCGCTGATACACATTGACACTTGTCGTCATTACTCCTGCCCTGTCCCCGTCTTTTGGCTGCGCGCTGATCATTAATTCGGTCTTACTTTTATTTCTATGACGCTGTTCAACAGGCGGGAATCATCGCACCATACTTGCTTCACATATGTTACTGTCCCGTTTCCCCTGTGGCTTCGACCTCAGGGTAGCTGGCCAAGGGCTAAGTTGATTTAACGGTATCCCCTTTCTATCTAGTAGCAGACAACAGCGCTTGTTTTTAGGACAAGAGCAGTAATGTAGCGGTTCATATATAAGAGTGCCATACTTTGTATAGACTGTAAAAACCAACGCAAAAAGCAAATCGACAACGTGTGCCGACACGTCCTGGATTCGCCGATTACGCCCCTATGAGGTGGCAATGGCCATAGCAGAAACATATGTCAGACAGAATTTGAACGTCGCAACCCTCGCAGCAATTCAGGTTATATGTATGTATGTTACAAGCTTCGTACCGAGCTCGTAAGATCCGTCCGAGCCAGAAGGCTCATGGATCGCGAGCACAAAACGCGAAAACAACCAAAAGAAGAAAAGTAAACAAAAGAGACAACAAACAGAACGCTAATCATATGATAAACCCTGTCTGCGCAATCCTGCGACTTCGCATGCTAGTGATTACGCTAGCAAGCAATGCCTGATTCTCCATGCCCATGACAGCAATCATATCAGCATCCCGTGGGACACCACTTTCCCATATCTTATCACGCAAATCATCGTAAGCGGGACATTCAATGAGGATGTGTTTCTCATCTTCCACTCTCCCCGGCGACCCCTGCACGGCACACATAGGACAGACACGCGCTACTCGTTGCCTACCCCTAGGGCGATTGGCTTCAATGCCCCACACACACAGCCGAAAACGCATCAGGTTCACATGCTGCCGCTGAGTAATGTACCCCCTGTCAACCGGGTCACCCATCCAATTTTTGTACCTGCACATCTTAACTCCAACCCCTGGTACGGGGTCTACTGGGTTGAAAAGCCGCGGGTCATCTTCCAAACTCCTATCCTCCCAATCCGCATCCATTCTATCAGCAAACTTTTTAGTGAGAGCAGACACATTTAGCTCCGTGCCAGCAATACGTTCCACACGCGCATTCAAGTCCAATTCACCCCCCAAGGCCGTCAAATCCGTCCCTAGCATTTTCAGAATCTTCAGCACCTTAGAACCCCAGCCATCATAATGCTCAGTACTGAGAGCCGAACGAATTTCACCTCGCAACGTCTGGTGGTAGACCGTGTCCTTCTGCTTGACCAGGTCATTCCAAAACCTCAGAAACAGTTCCAGCCAGAAGACATGCAAGGGACGCTGGTTAAACTCCTTAAACAGCAACTTATCAGGCGAGACTTTCACACCCGCAATCTCCCGAAGAAATTCCCTTTGTAACTGCACCATTGGGTCCCGCAAGGATCTGTCAAAGTACCTCGCGGAATTCTCGCAGTCCGTCATTAGCTTCAGCACCACATCAGGCCCCCACACCTGGACACCGTACGACAAGATGGAGCGGACTTGCACGTCGAAGCACTTAACTGCAACAGCAGGGACCAAAAGACCTAGGCGTTTTAATTTACGCTGAAGAGAAAACATAGCACGTCGGCCAGAGGTCAACAGTTCCTCTGTGCAGGAAACAAACGGTGTGCCAGGACCAAAGTGCAAACCAAGGTAACGGGCTCGTTGTACCCAAGGAATAACCATAGGTACTCGCGCATTTCCCTCAATAGAAGTCCACACCACGGGGCAAAGGGCAGCAAAAGCCTCGCGGATATTGGCACGAGGGTGGAAAACCATCAATTCACATTTACGAACATTCACCCGCATCCCAAAGGCCTCACACCACTCTCTCAAATCAGCAAGCAATTCAGGTTTGTGCTACCTTCCAGCAGACTGCTGTCGTACATACAAAGAAACGACTTTCGCTTATGAACATACATGCTTTCAGTCCAAAGTGTTTCTTAAACATACTAATGTCTCCACGAATTCTATAGCCCGAGTAAGCAAATGACAGGATTGCGCCTAACAAAAATTGGCCCGCGCCCAGCGGGGGTTCCGTCGACAGGCATATTCTTACTGATTACCCTGCTGTAAGTATCTATGGGCGTCTAGATCAGCCGGTTCTTACTCGTCACTTACTCCTCTGTACGTCGGCTTGCTTGCTTCCTGCCAGGTGCCTTGGTGTAACAACAGCCAGCCTTGATATTGGTGAGTTGTGTCTAGTTTCTGCGGTTATGACTAGCAATCTAGCCGCTTCAACGGCGAGCCCACATTGCTGCTTACCCGCGTGAACTACGACAGAGTAGTTACTATATAGCCGCACCTTACATGGGACTTACTACAAAGAATGCACCTTCTACCCTGGGCGTGTCTTCATGGCGAAATGCCTCTTTGGCAGCAGACTGCAGAAGTCCGGTTGTCCGCATCTCCGGAGCTCTTAACTGGCTCGTGACCTGACAGCCTGCTGGCCGACGCCATACTCTAAACACCAGATGTTGTGACACGCTAGCAAGGGTGAACGGGCGATCCATGAAAGCATGCCGCACATAGCAGCTGCTGCGCCTCAAACTGTTGCAAAGCCCTCTGGAACTGTTACTATTGACACCCACCCCTTGCCCAATTCCTAACATGCAGTGTCGGTATCTGGTTACACCTTCAACTATGCGCACGACTTTCCTACCTCGCTGTGAGTCCAACAACTGGATTGCCAGGATACGTGAATGACATGCAAGGGCTTCCTTGCAGTACTAACCGTTGGCTAATCCATCGTTGCACTTTCAGGGGTCTCGAAATGGGATATGTCCCTCAAGGATCAGATTCATACGACAACTGGATGAGGCGTATTGCTCAAACATGCACCTCAAACTGTACATGCGCATACTTCAACACCCTTGGATACCTAAAGAAGGAAGCAGACCCATCTTTGCTTGTCGTGGTTTCATACAATGATCCCGCCAACCCGGGTATGTGCCAAGCAGTCTTACGTGGTGCTGTCTTGGCCTGTTGTCGCTACCGCAATGCTCCTTAGGTTGATACATCTTCACCAGTGGATGTGTTTTTATGCGTTGGGACGACGACATCCTCGACCTTTGACCGTAACTCGTGCATCCACCTCCCCTGCCTTCCGTAGTTCGCGCCCAAGGCATATACGCACGGGACGTGATGTGTGCTTCACCACCTCCGCCACCTCCACCCTCCCCACCTCCACCTTCACCATCACCTCCCTCTCCCCCAAAGCCACGCCCACCTTCACCGCCGCCTCCACCCTCGCCACCTCCGCCTAAACCGCCCCCACCCTCGCCGCCTCCACCCTCGCCATCTCCGCCTAAACCACCCCCACCCTCACCACCTCCACCCTCGCCGCCTCCGCCCAGACCGCCCCCACCTTCACCACCTCCACCCTCGCCGCCTCCGCCCAGACCGCCCCCACCTTCACCACCTCCACCCTCGCCTTCCTCGCCTTCACCCGCACCTCCGCCTCCACCTCGCAGTCCTCCGCCCTCACCGCCGCCACCACCACCACCTCGCAGCCCCCCGCCTTCTCCGCCTCCACCCTCGCCGCCTCCTCCCTCGCCACCCCCACCTCCACCTCCCCCACCCCGGACGCAATCTTCCCCGCCTCCTCCGCCACCAGTTTTGAGCCCCCCACCGCCACCGCCCTCTCCCCGCCCGCCCCTTCCACCGTCTCCGCCCCCGCCCACTTTGCCTCCAAGCCCGCGCCCTCCCAGCCCGCCCATGCCCAGCCCAAAGCCACCCAGCCCGGTTCCCCCAACGCCTAGCCCTAGCCCCTCCCCTCGAATGCCGCCGCCAAAACCATCGTCCTCGCCTCCAGTACGATCTCCAAGCCCGCCACCACCACCGCCACCACCCGCACAGGATGTGCTGCCAACTAACGATCAGGTCACGCCCACACCTCCTGCTTGCATGGTGTTACCTTCCGACAAGCCCTTCAACACCCTAGATACTACACCGCTGCATTCGTACGACATAGTGCGTGGCATAACATTCATGTACGACGGATCCATTGTAAACGACAACTCGGTGGTGGTTGCCATGCATATCACGTACGGCAGCATACCGAATCCACTGCTTACGTCGCGCACACTAACGATTGCGGGCAGCTTGTATGCGGCCAACAGCACTACCAACAAGAAGGTTTCTCTGGCAATACCAACGAGCACTTACCTCTCCTCGGTCAGCGTTTGCTGCAACAGCATTGGCCACCTAGCGGGAATGGCGCTGACATTCGGCGATGGCTCGATGGTTGGTACCGGCAATTGCCGCGACCAGAGTGCCTCCATGACTGCCCGCGTGCAGCAGGGCGGCTGGATTGGCGGCTTCAAGGGCAGTGTGGGGGCGTCCCTGGGAGCCCTAACGGTGCAGGTCTTCAGTCCAGCACGTAAGTCCCCCTCCCCTAGCATGGGGCCGGTTATGAAGCCTAAACTCCTGCTGTGACACCTGCCGATTCCCTCAGGGCCCATGCTCTCAGGGCCCATATATGCTCTCAGGGCCCATGCATGCTAATGATAGGTTACCAGCATAACCAAGCTTCTCCTCTCCCACTCACCTCCTCCTTCCAAACCCATGCCCTCACTTTGCTCCCTCCCCACAGCCGTTGCACCGCCTTCACCGCAAACGCCAATGCCGCCGGCCCTGCCGGACGTCCCCATGGGCCCCGCCCAGCCGCCTAGCCCACCCATGCCGCAAGCGCCGCGCGAACCCAACAGGCCTCCGCTGCCACCCCGGCCGCCCTCTCCACCACCACCGCCACCCTTCCTGCCCTACCCACCACCGCCGCCAGTAGGACAGCCGTCGCCGCCACCATCACCGCCGCCTCCTTCGGTCAAGTCTTTAGAGGCCACATTCAACACCACGGTGCTGGTTGACTACCCGCAGATCGTTGTAGGTCTACCTCCCCAAATCCCCAACCCTGCCCCTGCCGCGACACTGCAGCTAATGGGTTCAGCCATCCCCGTCGCTCGTAGCCCCCTGAACACAACAGTGGTTGCGGCCACGCGCTACGGCAAGGGCCGTCTAGCTGTGTTTGGCGGTGAGAAAATGATCACGGGCTGCTGCAACGCTGTTATGCCTCTGGCGAGGCGTCAACTGATGCAAATCGAGGTGAAGTACTTTGAAACCTACATGGACAAGCTGATCGCCAACACGCTCATCTGGTCTGCGTGGTACGGCACAAAGGTAAGTGGAAGGGTGCACGACATGTACCGCACTTACTTCATCAGGGTGCGACCCAAATGCATGAACGGCATGACCAGTGCAATGCAGGTTTGACTTCCTTACGTAGGGATCACATTACAGAACGCGGCAACATTGCGTGGTAGGGGTACGCTCCATTGATGGTTCGGGCAAACCTTTGTCTCCATGCCCTTTCTTATACCGTACATACCTAGCTAGCCTTGGCTTCTTCGGTCGTGATCCTTGTGAAGGGTTTAAGGACTCGCATGGCGTCTGACCTTTTGCTGTAGCACGCAAGATGACCTCTCTAACCTTATCCACGCAGGTTGGCAAGGCGGTCCTGCGAGTAGCAGACAGCAAGTACCAGCAGCTGGCAAAGTAAGCGGCAATGTAGGGATCAAGGCAGGGAGCCTTGCATGCTCGGCCATTGTACGGCTGCCCCGCTACGTGCTCCCTCCCTGAGGGCTTGGAGGTTGTATGCTTCCTTCCCTGCTGGGCAGGTTTAACCGGGACCGCCTAGGAGGAAAAACGAAATTCCAATGTGTGACCGCCTAGGGGATGGGCTGCGGGCCAGAACCTGCAAAATCTGTTGACCTTTCGTGCGTTGGTCCCAGCTGTTGGTTATCCTTGCAGCCTTACATGTTCTCTTTCTTTTTTTGCTCTGCCCACTCCCCTGTCAGGTACATGGTCAGGACCAGGAGCACCTACTTCGCCAATGCCACCGAAGCCCAAATACCCAACTATGAGCTACCTCTAGCAACCTTCCTCAAGGGTGGTCACAGGAACTGTGACGTGTACGTGATTGGCTCGTACGACATTGCCTTCCTGCAAGCAGGCGTGCAGTCGTTCCTTCAGGAGTTTGTGCGCATGGGCAAGGGCCTAATCGTGGTGGGCCCTGATGTCATGCCCTCCATGTTTTACGGCGACAATGGCGATGGGGGTGCCCGCCGGCTGCTGGCCCAGGCAGCCGGTGTAGCGCGAGGGAAGCGAGGTGGGGCATCTACGGGCGCAGAAGCCGTAGCATTGCTGCAGTCCGCATCCACCACGACTGTCCCGGTGAGTCTTTTGCTCAAATACCAATCAGTGCGGCGATCATTGACGAGGCCTGAGCAGTGCTTAGCATGCCGAGTATGGGGTTGAAAGTGAGTGGAAATGCCCAGGCCCCGCAGCATATTGAGCCTACTTGCCGTCAACTCCGAAGCACCTTGCGTGGAGCTTCCATTTGCTACCGAATGAACCCAAGCTTAACTTTGAATGCTGCACCCCTCCAGGTGAACTACGTCATTGCCCCCATGGGCATTGTTGCCACAAGCAACGTCTCCGATGCTGGCGGGGTGCTGGATCTCTCCGTGCCCGCTGAACAAGCCAACGCCGTACTTGCAGCCCAGCAATTCCTGATGTACGTGCAAGGCAGGATGGTACTTGAACCAACAGCACTTTCACTAGCAGTCACTACCATCATTCAGGCGCGGGCAACGATCCCCAGGTCGACCCCCGGTTCTACTCAGCTCTGGGGCTTGTTAGATCAGGTCGATGTGGCGTACAGCAAGTACCCCGCATTCTCACCGCCGCCGCCACCGCCACCACCACCCAGGCCGCCACCACGGTTGCGACCACCACCTCCACCCAACTCGAAAACACCCTCTCCGCGGCCTCCGTCGCCACGGCCGCCACCGTTTCCGCGGCCGCCACCATCACTGCGGCCGCCTTCGCCAAAGCCGCCACCATCGCCACCTAAGCCGCCGTCACCGCCACGGCCGTCACCAGTGTTTAAGCCTCCAACGCGGCAACCGCGGCCACCCTTGTTACCGCCGTCCCCACGGCCTCCATCAAATCCACCCCCGGACCTTTGGTCGTCTTCACAGAGCCCCCCGCCGCCATGTAAGTTGCAAGTTGCATGCCTGCATTCAGACATTCTTCTATTCTGTATCGTCACGATACCAACCCACTGGCCCTCGTCGCTTGCAGTGTTTTGTGTAGCATACCTTGCGCTTCTATGCACAGCCATGCAAAACACGGACGCATTCCAGCAGGCACCTGCATGCAGTGAGGCGTTGGGTGTCCCCCTGCCAATCGCCGTGCAGAACTTACCCCCCCCCCTTTCTTAATTTAACCTTCTTCCCATTCACAGCCGGCCTGCCTGTCAATGTCACCTACGTCGGATGCTACAAGGAGAACACCACTGCTCGGGCGCTGCCCACACTCGTAAACACATTCCGTCCGATGAGCGTTGAGAGGTGGGTTTTACCGTGGCTTGGCAGGCCAGCAAACTATTAGCTGTCCCGCTTCTCCGGCAGATGTTAAATACAGGGCAAGCGCATCTGCCCGTCATGCCTGCTTACCCGCCTATGCCGGAACCATGGCTTGTGGACAGAGCGAGGGAAGATGCCTGCCTAGGCCATACTAGGAGAACGCACGAGGTTTAGACCCGTAACGAACGCATTGCCCATGATGGTCCTATCTCCCATACACCCCACTCAGCCAAAACACCCTTCAACCTGTTTCCCTCGCCCTTAGGTGCGTCGCCTTAGCTGCGAGCCTCAGCGGCACCCGCATTACCTACTTTGGCTTGCAGCGCAACAACTGCTACGGGGCCGCGGCCATCCCTGCGGAGTTTGAGATGGCAAAGCTGCAGGATGACCAATGCAACCTGAGCTGCTCCACCGGCAGCCTCCAGAAGTGCGGCAACAACACCAATACGGCAGTCGTCTCCGTGTATCGCTTGCTGCTCTGATGGGCGGTGGGGTTACATGAATGCCTGGGAGTACATCACCTCTGATCCTTCCAAGCTCCCCGGTACCTTCTGCTGCTCTGGTGGGGAAAGACTGCGCAGGAGGGATGAGGATAGGGCACTATCAGCGTGGGCAAGTATCTGGCGCGGGTCTGGCGCGGGCTAGGGATGGGAAGGGTCTTATGGCTTAAGGGTAGCGCCAACCTAGGCATAGAATACGGCTGCATTGCACGTCTCGGTGCCCTGCCGTATTAGTTGCTCTGTTTAATGGTTTAACCATTGTATCCTGTATGGCGAGCACGTTACTGTTTCTGGTGCCGCAGTATTGTCCAAGGTGCATGGGTTTCAATCCATTTGCTTGTTACCCGGTCATCTATTGCTTGTTCCCCTCCTACCGGATTCTTCTGTACATATTAAGCGAGCATGCTTGTTTTGTGGAGCAGGGTTGCGGTGTTATTTGTTTTGCTCCGTTGTAGCTAGCAGCATATTTGTAGCAATTGTGTTGGAGCGGCCATTACTCCCAACCTATAGTAGCTGTGACGCAATGGTGTCTCGCAAAACTAGCAATCCTTTTGCTGGCCCGTTGCGGTTACAACCGTACTAACAGCGTGTCGAGCGGTGAAGCTGCTACTAGCACAAGGGGCATGGATTCCCTTGGGTTTGCGATGGATAAAAGAAGATGCGGCTGCGTGCATTTGCTAGGTGCCCCCGCAGGACTTGTGAGTGCCCGCGTGCTTGAAGAATTGGATTCATGGTTTCTTAGGGCGTTTGCCACCTGCAACGCGGATTGGTTACAACTCTTAGGACGAGGCGTTTGAGGCTCTACCCCTTGGCCGGGGGTGTGCTTTGTTGTACATAAATGCAGCAGTGCTGCTAGCTAGTGAGGCTCCCTTCGCAAGGCATTGTGTTGTTGGAATACGGTATCAAGGTAGTAGGGACATTCCTGCTGCTGGGTGGACTGTTGTACACTGGTTGGTGTTAGATGGGAGCGTCGGTGACAGTTGTGTAAGACAGCATCGGTGTCTGCATTATTTGGTGTAATGGCGATGAGTTATGGCCTTGTGTTGCAAAGTTGCACCTTTGCAGACCACCTCTTCGAACCGCAAAATGCTCAGGCCTTTTGCCTGACTGAGCAGGGCGAGTTCACACCTGGCATATCGATTTCCCTTACGGCATTGGTTGTTTGACTTTCTGCTGGGCGTCACTACTAGGCGTGTGGTTTTGCATAGATGTTTGTAATACGGGTAGCTTGAAGCACATTTGCCTCGCCCCAGAACATTAAGCTGGGTCGGGATACACAAGGCCCTGAGCAAATTATACAACGTAGAAATAGACCCCGAACGTGGTAGTCGAAGGCTAGCTGAGTGCTGGGCACGAATCCCTTTATGCATAGGTCACCAAAGCCAGACATATATTAGCGCGCGGTATCACGCATGCCTATCACTCTCTGGCCTAGATGCTCCTCGTTCTTGTCCTTCCATGCTAGCCTCCGTATACCGACACGTCACCACACATACACCATCAACATGCCAATCCCCTTCATTTCCGTTTCGCGCCCCCTGCAGCCACGCCGCCACCGTCTCCACCATCTGATGCGCGCCCCGCACCTACATCCCCGCCTTCTTCACCCCAGCCGCAGCCCAACCCACCACCACCGGGTCTCAGCCTACCTCCAATTCCACCCAGCCCACCACTGCCGCAAGCGCCTCGGCAGCCAAACAAGCTTCCTCTGCCACCACGGCCGCCGTCACCACCGCCGCCGCCGCCCTTTCTGCCCTTCCCACCGCCTCGCCCTCCGCCGCCAGTCGACCAGCCCATGCCGCCGCCATCTCCGCCGCCCCCAACCGTGGAAGCACTGGAATTCGCGTTCAATACCTCAGTGCAAGTTGACTTCCCACAAGCCACATCTGGTCTCCCGAGCGAAATTCCCAACACTGCGCCGGCTGCGAGTTTGGAGCTATTGGGTTCAGCCTTTCCAATCGCCCACAGCACCAGCGGGGTTACCGTTGTGGGAGCAGCGCATTACGGCGAGGGCCGCCTGGCCGTGTTTGGAGGTGAAAAGATGGTGACATCGTGCTACTACCACTACCACTACGGTACGTTGATGTGTGAAGAAAGACCCTGAAAAACAAAATTTTCTAAAACCTACGGTCGTACAATTTCCAGAACAGTACATTTACCGTCAGTTTGTTACCACTTGGCCTGGTGTCTGATGCCCCCATACCCTCGAATGACCTTAGCCCTTACGTCCGCTCGCGCCTTGCAGGTCAACTACATCACGGGCCCTATGGGCATCATCACCACAAGCAGCATATCGGATGCTGGCGGGGTGCTGGATCTCTCCGTACCCGCTGAACAAGCCAACGCCGTACTCGCAGCCCAGCAATTCCTGATGTAAGTGCAAGGTAGCCTAGTAATGGCTCCCACGGCACTCAACGCAGCCGTTGGTACGATAGCCCAGGCCCGCGCGGCTGTGGCCAGGGCCACAGCGGGATCTACTCAGCTCTGGGCCTTGTTGGATCGGGTCGATGTGGCGTACAGCAAGTACCCCGCATTCTCACCGCCGCCGCCACCGCCACCACCACCCAGGCCGCCACCTCCAAACCTCTGGGCCACCTCCTCATCTTCTACAGCTCGTAGGTCGTTGTTGCGCGCATGTATGCTGCCAGGTTCTTTTGCTATCCATGCACTTGTTTTGCTTTGATGTCCAACTACCACTCGAGTATACCGGTAGATTGTTGTTGTGTAGGGCGCCTATCCAACCCACCGCCTTGCCCTGTCCTGTCCTGCTCTGCCCTTCCACGCCGGATTTGCCCGAACTTGCAGTTTCATTTGGCTTGCTTTCCCTCTGACCATTTCCACTCGCCTTTTGCAGCGGGCTTGCCTGCCAACATCGGCTTTGTGGGATGCTATGCGGAGGACTCCGATGCCCGGGTTGTTTCGACGTGCATCACCGTTCACCGCCCAATGAGCCTTGAAAGGTACTGCTGCTGGAAGCTTGATGAGGATGTAACGAACATGCTAATGTCAGCAGGGCGAGGGGACCTTGAGCAATAGCAGGGTTTCGGGCACTGACATTACGGTAGGCTGAAGGGGCTGTTTCTTGCTAGCAGTCAGATAGGTGTATCCAAACCGCCTAGTTAAGACAAAGCCTGATGACATGATCACCTGAATAACTTATATGGCTGCACGTGTCTGCAGGTGCACTACGCTGGCTGCGAGTATGCCCGGCAGCCACCTCATATTCTTTGCGCTGCAGCGGGCCTATTGCTACGGCGCCAGCTCTCTCCCGGCAGCGTTTGAGAAGTCCCGGCTTTTGGACAGCCAGTGCGATTACAGCTGCTCCACGGGCAGCGTACAGAAGTGCGGAAGCACCTCGAATACCGCGGCAGTTGCTGCGTACCGCTTGCTGGTGTGATGCCCAAGTGTTGGCACGCCGCTTCAAGCTGCCCCAAACCAGTTTGGCACGGACGAGGATTTGCGCAGTTAGGGCAGTGAGGTGTGGATTCTAGGAAGGCTATATGCGGGGATGGCAGGGTTGCTACGGGTCTGTAATTGACTTTGCCTATATTGAGCACGATGTATTTCACGTAACAGCGTTAAGCCGTGTGCCTGTTTCACTTATCGAATTCCTCCCTTGCTATTTGTTTATAGCGAAAATTACGTGTAGCGGATCATTCTTCCCGTCAAGTGGTTTTAGCCATGACCCATGGGTCACTGACTCAGATGTTGACCTTGTCTGTTTATCCTCCTGCTACGTACTGCCAGGATCGTGACTTCGGCGTTACGGGGTGCCTTCTGGTTTTCTTCCTCTCCATGCAACCACGTTGCCAAGGGAGGCCCTCATGCTTATGCATGAAGCAGCGCCCGACGATGGTGGTTACGCCGGTTGTTATATGAAGGAGTAGTTGCAGCAGCCGCGAAGTGCATTGGTGTGCTGTTGAATATGATGCTGAGTAGCTTTGCAGGATGATAGCTACGTAGCTTTGTAGCACAGCTGGCCATAGCGGATTGTTATCAGTGTTCACGGTAAACGGTACGTTTAATTCAAATGCAGTGAATGTCGCAAGCTATGTATTATCTAGGCAGGCTGTCGCCTATCCTAGCGAATGCTTCATTTTTCCATATGGATTGGGGCTTTGGAGGGTTGTTACGGAGCAGGTCTGTTGTCGTATACTCGTACAAGGGTTGGTACTGCTTTTTCAGATGCCAGGACAATAGGACTCCCAACCGAGCAAACGACCTTTTGCAGCCTTCATCTTGTTGGCCAAGGGACAAGATAATTGCAAGGATAGGAGTTGCAATGTGGTTTGGCGTTGGCGTATGCATGAGATATGAGCCGCAGGGGCAGCGGATCCTTTTATATTATTGTACAGCAAGCAAAGGACATCCTTACTACTTTTTTATTCCGAAGTGGACTGATCAATTGTACCTATGGTCCACACTCTCGTGCTCGTTTGTTTCAGTTATCCTGGACAATGACTGCAATGTGCACACCGTGTTTCGATTCACGCCATTACACAAGGGCTAATCAGCGGGTACGGTCCCGCATGAGGGCCCATGTGCGGATGCATCCCCCTGTTATCATACATCAGGGTTCCGACTCTAGCAACTCGTCATGTGCTTGAGCACCAGACGCTCTCTTGCCTGCGCTCTCGTCGCACCCCTCTTTCTCGCGAGCCGTCCTCGACACCGCTTGCCTCAAAAAACACAATGCATGTATTGCCACAAAGAAGACGTGGCATGTGTCATTTCCACACAGCTTTGGGACAGGCAGGTTGAAATACATAGCCTAAGCTCTAATACCTGAATATTCATTTTCCTTCTATGACACATGGCTAATACTGCACACTGTTTGTCGTCATGCAAAAATCCCCAGCAAAACCTACCTAACCAATTCACGTCACCCTAAGGGCCGCCGTACACTCACTGGTCCGAAAGGGGGTGTGGCAACACAGCAACGACGAACAGCACAGCTTAGGTAACCGTGCCCGGAAGGCTAGTAATGCCAAACGCAGGTTAAGTCGTCTTCGGGGTGCATAACAGCTGCAGCAGCGCTCAGCATAGAAACAAACATGCGTCCGTAAGGTTTGTTGCATCACGCATTAGGGGCATGAAGCCACTAAATCTTCCCCTCGGGCACTCGCTCGCTTTCACAGCCCCCAAGCAACTGCAGCCGCGCTCAAGCACACATGCCTCCATACTAGTGAACCGCTGTGCGTTCTGATACCACCATGATACTTTCGGGGACATTCACCCTGCAAGATTGAATACATAGAGCGTCCTCTCATCTCGCCCTCCGTAGAAGCTGTTCCAAAACCTACCACACTTCTGTCAACTCGACAGGACATGACACAGCAGATTCCTATCTTGCGTAAAGAGGATTCTCGTAGCACCATCCATGCAACCCCCGGACGTGTCACACTCCGGATGCCGCTAAACCAGTCCTGTGGTGGCCGTCTGTCAACTGCCGTTCACGGGTGTCTATCCATGCGTGTGATGATATAGTAATTGCGTCCGCTTACGGTTTTTAGTCGCCTAGTTACCGAGGCGTGTTTTGTGTGCGTGCAAAACAACAGAAGGAAGGAAAAAGCCAGGCAACTCGAAAGCATGGATAATTTGGGCAATACACTACTAGCTGCCCTCCGCGCAACACCCCATACTTTCGAAATTGTTGGCCCACGTCACATACGCAACCACACCGAATGCTCACGTACTACTAAAAAAGAGTGGTATCCCTCTTTAGTTACCTTCCTCGCTAGGTAAACAACACCTCTCTCCTACCAGACACCTAACGCTCTTGCACTCATGACCGCACATGACGCGTCATTTCTTTTACGTCCGTAATCACTCTCCCCGCCACACCAAGGCATCCAAGCGTCAAAGGACGCTTCCTCACACCCTTTGGCGGCAGCACTCATGCCTTACGTGCCTTGCACATGACACTGCAAGCTACTGTCACGCTTGTTGTTGTTGTTGCTGCTGCTGCTGCTGCTGCCAAGCAGCTGCCATTGCAGGACCGGCCAGATGGTGGTGATGGTGCGCGGCCTGCACAAAATGCACGCAAGGGCGATGCAACGCATTAACGAGAATGCAAAGGGCAATGTAAGGTACAAAGCAAAGGCATTAAACATTTGAGCATGTTGCTTTGCATATGGCAAGCAGGCGGCTCTACGTTGGGGTCCCTAACCCCTCGCTTGGCGCATGTCGATTCACCCCTCAAACGCATCTCCTACCAAAGTACCCATTCCCGTACGCCGTACCTGCGCCAAGTGCTGGGAGAGTACGACAGCCCCCGGCGCCCCCGCAGCAGCAGCAAAGTGAGGCGGCAAGGCGCCGCCAAAGAAAGGCGCCAGTTGCGACGCTGCCGCCCCTGCGCCGGGCGGCAACACGCCCCCTGCGGCAGCCGCGGCTACGGCAGCAGCACTCAGCGCAGCTGCGCCTCCAGGGCCAAAAGGCCCTCCGCTGCCAGCAGCCGCTGCTGCTGCTGCCGCAGCGGCGGCTGCAGCCGCGGCTGACGGCGGCGGCGCCACGACGCCGCCTCCGGCAAAGGGAGCAGCAGCCAACCCAGCAACGAAGGAGGGCAGACCGTAGCCAGCTGCCGCGGCAGCAGATGGCGCGCCCTGTGCGGGTCCCCCAGGTGCCCCCATCAGCAGCTGCGCTATGTGGGGCGGCAGCGGAGGCGCAACTCCCGGCGGGGGCGGCGGCCCTGGCCCCGGGCGAGGTAGCACCAGCGGTCCGGCGGAAGCAGCGGCAGCGGCGGCTGCCGCCGCCACTGCTGCAGCTGCTACTGCCTGTTGTTGCTGCGCTGCTGCAGCTGCTGCCGCCTGCACGCCGGGCAGCCCGCCGCTCGCGGCAGCAGCCATCATGGCGGCTGCGACAGCTGGGGAGGGAAGCGGAAAGCCGGGAGGCGAGGGAAGCAAGGGACCGGTGGGGCCCTGGCCGGAAGCGGCCGCCGCAGCTGCGACAGCGGCAGCTGCGTTGAGGGCGGCAGCCGCGGAGTAGGGCTGTTGCGGATGGTGGTGATGCGAGTGCGGGTGCTGGTGTTGCGGTTGTTGATGGGAGTGGGGATGGGGACAAGCAGCCGACGACAGGGACCTTGCACTGGTTGGCCCTAGGGTAGATGCGTTGGGGGCTGAGGAACCACCTGTGTCCGCATGCATGGAGCCATGTTTTCCGTTGGGAACACCATTGGAAAGGTTTCCATTGCAAGCGGGGGCTGTAGCGGCGCCATTGGTATGGCTAGGTGAGGCTCCATCCCCCGACGGTGATGCGTGCTGTTGTTGATGCCGCTGTTGATGCAACCGTTGCTGTGGCGGTGGAGCACGGGACTGATGGGGATTACGGCTGCCGCCGGTACTAGCGGCACCACCCGCCTCAGATGGCTGCGGTGGCGGCAGCGGTGGCGACGGAGGATCGTCGTCGCCGCTCAAGGTGCCCGCAGCTGTGGCAGCATCTCCGCCCGCAGCCGGTCTCCGATGAGGGCTCCCGCTCGCAGCAGCGCCGGTGGATGGATGTCGTAGCAAAGGTGCTAGCTGCGAGCGATGCTGCACCTGTTGTTGTTGTTGCTGCTGCTGTAGTTGCTGCTGCCGCGCAATAAAGTGCGCTATATAGACATGTTGTGCGCAACGCCGGAACGGCATACCGCCGCCGCGTGTCACGGCAAGATCCGGGACGCCACCGGCCGCCGGGGCCTGCTGCTGCGCCGCTGCCGCTCCATGCCCGCCTTGACCTTCTTGCCCAGAGGCATCAGCGCTCATGACGCCAGCCGCCGGTGCACAGGTCACAGCCGCCGCGGCCGCAGCCTGTAACGCCAGCGGGTGGGCCCCCAGCACAGCAGACGCAGCGCCGCCGCCATGCAACGCCCTCAGGTACTCCAAGCTAGCTGGCGGCAGCCCCGCCGCTGCGGCGGCAGCCAGCGCAGCATTGGGGCCTCCGCCAGCAGCGGCGGCTGCCGCCGCCGCCGCTTTCAATGCCGCTTGTTGATGCTGTTGTTGGTGTTGCAGTTGCAGCTGATGCAGGTGGTGCAAGTGCGCATGTTGCGGCGGAGTTCCCGGCAACGGCTCCATGCCGGCGGCCGCGGCGGCTTTACTGGCATCGGACAGACTCTTAGCCATCAGCTCTGCCGCTGCCGCAGCAGCTTGTGATCCCCACTGCGGGCCTCCAGGCAACAACCCAGCCAGGGGGCCCCACGGCCCGAGCGGCCCGCCTGCGCCGCCCGTGCTCGCAAGCAGCTCCGCTAGTGGATGAGCCGGAACCGGCGGCGGCGGCAGGTGCCCCGCTGCTGCTGCTGCTCCCGTTCCCGGAACCCTTGTGGCTAGCAAGCTCGGCAAGGCTGATGGCGGCTGGGTGGAGCAAGCAGCATCGCCTACTCGGCCAGCGCTACCGCGCAACCCACCGCCACCGCCATCAGCACCTGAGCTGGGATGATTGTCGCACGGTTCCGACTTGGCGGCGGCAGCCGCAGCGCCGCTGCTAGGCGATACCGCGCCACCCCGAGAGTCAGCCCGCTCCGGCTGCGCTCCCTCGCCACCACCCGGATGCCACCCAGGGGCCTCGGCGGCGCCTGGGCTCACCCCTGCATCGTCGCTGGCTGGTTCCTGCGGCCCCAGTCCGATCTCACCGCCAGTCTCGGCCTTCAACGCAGCTGCTGTTGAGGTGCTGTTTGGGACCAGCCCCCGATTGCGCGCTGTTGTGGTAGGTGCCGCAGCAGCAGCGCCCAATGCCACTTGCGGCTGTATGGCTGCTGCCGGCGGAACGACACCGCTGCCGCCGGCGGCTAACCTGGCAAGCGGGCCTGGCGGCCTGATCCCAGTCCGTGCCGTGTGCTGTGGTGCATGGCCGTACGGGGGGCCGTCTGGCTCACTAGGCGACAAGCTGCCGCTGCCTCTGCCGGCCACGTCACTGCCACTGCCGCCAGCAGCTGCTGCTACTGCTCCATGCAACATCCTAGTGGGCTTCCCAGGGGGTGCATGCTGGTCCGCATGGCGATCGACGCCACGTGCACCCGCTGCACGACCGTCGCTATGGGGGAGGCGACCATTGGCCACCGGGTGTGGGTACGGAGGATGCACTTGGGAGCTAGGGATGCCCCGGGCGCTGCTGCCCGAAGCAGCAGTAGGGTGCCGAGCGCCACGCAGCAAGCTTGTAGGCTGGCGCTGAGGTTCACCATCGTCCATCGAAGACCCTCCTGAAGGAGAGTGGCTACGCCGCTCTCCATGCCCGCACTCTGCATCAACGTACTCCTCCTCCTCTGCATACAGATCCGGGCTGCGACGGCGCTTAGCTGGGCCCACTCCAGGCTGCCAGTTCGAAGCGCCCGACGCTGCATTGCGGCCGCTGGAGCCGAAGAGTGGGAGGCTGCCGTTGCGTTTGGATGGAGGGATTTCCGCAGATGGCGAGGGCCTGCCGTTCAATGGCACGGAAGCGCTTGCCCTCTCTACGTTCTTAAGGTCGAAAAGGGCTGCGGCCACCAGAGCTTCCTCTTCATTATCGGGCTGCAAGGACGAGGGTGCACGGCAAGGGCCAAGTACGCATCCCATATAACTACCCAGTCCGGAGGAAAAGTGTTCACAACTGTAGGGAGACCTGTGTGGGTACTCCTTCCAAGCGAACATCCAAATGCTTCTTCAATGCAGTCATCCTACTGTGTGCACCGGCAACGGTAAGGCGAACACCGCAGCCCTGGCTTCTAGTCGGCGTGTAACAGCTTACAGAATGTTTTATGCGCACCTCGGCGATGGGTATAAGGACCCTAACAAACTTGCAAGCCAATGGAAGCGCCTTGCGAGCTAAGCTTACCTCATCAAGTGTCATATGACTGTGTGTTGCACTCTGCAAAAGGTGAAGAGGCGGGGAATTCGAGAGCTTTAGTTGCGACGCTGTGGACGCTCGTCGCAGACGCCCACCTACCTTCGAGGAAGGAAGGAACCAGAGGTCCAAGTGTTCTCTTGGCCTCGTAAGACCTGCAAGAGAGGAAAGGAGATAAGTCGTAAGCATAAGCGAGGCTGTCCCTAACAACCTCGGAAAACGCCAGTAAATGCGCGAAAAGCGCCAGGCGACCTACTGGCAGGCGATAAAAGGGCTTACATGTTCGACGGCGTCTTGGTATCTCAAATCCCAGGACCTCATCATGTAGGCTTAAAAAGAGTGCCTGCGAAGTAACAAAGGAAATGTCTCATGGCGCGTGCAGCCAAAGGTCCGTGGGGCCGAGTAGGGCGCACCTTTGACGGCTGAGCCCTACGTCCTGGTACCGCATACTGTTGCCTGCTGCGTTGCAGCTCAATTTGCATCGCTGTTCCCTGGCCACCGGAAAGCCTTGGCCGTCCCCTTCGTCCGCGTCAAATCCAGTGCAGATAGCCCACCTGCAGCATCCAAGTGCAGAGGGTCCGACTTGGCTACATGACAAGTGATGTAAAGCTCACGCGGCGGCGTAGGATAGACCTTACAAAGATCGGTGGACATCAGGGGAACCAGAAGTGCCCTTGTTAGTTATGCATATGGCCCCATATTCAACGCACCTTCAAAACGCTGGATATCGCGGCATCTTGTGAGCTATACCCTGTTGCCCAGTCCTGGCTGCTCCCTCGGTTGGTAAAAGCCAGTCGCCAAGTAAAGTGCGCCCTTTAACACTAGGTATAGTGAGCGGCTTAATATGGTGTTATGCGTACAGAGGAAACGGCTAAGAGGCTCAGGAGAAGAGCGCGACCTCACAGTAAAGCCTGGCTGGCTCCAGCATTCAGCCACACGATCTCTTACTCCTGTCAAAGTGAAAAGGCGTCGTGAAGTAACTGCTGTATGTAACTTGAGCACCAAAGCAGCTGAGTCACAATATCCAGGACCCGATTTCTCAACGAACACAAGGATATCGCCCGTACAATGTTCGTTGGCCTAGAGCCGCCCACAAAAATCTTTTCGCGGCTTCGCCCACGACAAGCGCTTGCTTAGGGTCTCAACAATCCGAGTATTACATGAAAGCACCGCCAGCGCTTCGGCTGGTAGCGAAGCATGAACCGTAATGGGCGTCATGTCATGGGCCTTATGACAATTAGGGCCTTTACTGCCCGCATTTGATCGCGAAGTGCAAGCGACACCTGCCTTGCAGAGAGCTTCAGGCTCATGACATACATAAATGAACGCCATTTCCTACGAAACTCAGTTTGTCTCGGTGTTAGTCTTGCCACCAGCGGCTTGGCGCGGGACAGCTGTCTGGATGTGATTAGATGTAGCCATCCTGCTTTTGACTTTAATGGCTTTGACATCAAACAAATGAACCTTTTACCGGTACTCGTTCATGCCACGTTTGCTCGCGAATGCCTTTGAGGATTCTGGGCCAAACCTGGCCAAACCCTACATAGTTGACATGACTGCACGTAGTGCATTGTGTATATGGTGTGATAAGGGTACGTGCGGTCTGGTATAGTCCGGACTATACATTTGGCAGGGCCAGTGGCACTTCAGCAGGATACTTCAAGGAGTGGAAGCACAGCAGTAGGGAGCGCCTTTTCCTACCTGCCGCGTAAACATGTTCCCACCCAATTCCAAGTAAGGACAAAGCAACTTAGCATCCTAACGGTAACAACCAAAATTACCATACATAACAAGTCCGGATCTCCGGGAGACCTAACCCTAACTACACACTACAGACATCTACCAAAAGCGGCTCAACGCAAAGTTCTCACGTTTCCATCCCGAACCAATGCACGCTAACAATGACCCCTCCTGTCCGTATGCGGCCAGTAGCAGTATGGTTAGTTGCATGCAACATGCGAGATTGCTAGCAACGCCGTCAGCTAGGTCAGGAGCTATCCTCGCCAGCCCAATTCCCAAAAGTACCAAGTCCATGAATCATTTATCCAAATTTCAGGCGCTAAGCATGCCGTACACACCAGGGCTGCCAGCAGCCGTACTGAAACAGCCTGGGGCCACATCCCGCACCCCTACAGCGGCTACGGCAACCCTGAAGATTAAGGCAGTTCCGCACTTCCCCCACGCATGTTGCCCTATCGCAAGCATCACCATTGCGTCCGCAAGTCATGAATATCGCTAACTTGCTATGCCTAGCCCCACTAGGCAGCCGCAACATAGCTTAGTGATCCGTATAATAGCCAAGTAGCCAATAGCTTGAACAACTTGAAGTAGCCAGTAAACCCCAAGTAATCAGGCCAGTACAGGCATTAGAACCCATTGCACATTCTGCATCCTATGCCCCCCTTTGTCATGCAGGCCACACAGCGGGCAAACAGATAGACGCACAACATTCTCCTGCGAGCTTCCAATCCACAGCTCTCGGCGGCTAGTGCTCGCGTTACTAGTGCATGGGGAAGTGTTCCGCGATAGCGTCGGATTGGGTAGCACGCATTGGAAGATCCTTCAACCCACATCGACGACATCGTCCTAAAAAACACCCCCTTGCCTTCCCTGCATTGCATTTCATTGCACCTCCCTTCCTCCGAATGTGCCATCATTACATGACTAATTCTGTCCTACACTACTTTTACGTAAAGCCCACGCATGATGAATGGCCGCGCGCTCAGTATGCATTCAGTACTACCGCACCCCACCCACCATCGCTCCGTCCCCAAAGGCACACCGCACCCGCACCCGCGATCACATGTACTGCACCATTGTGCCCGAATGGGGCCCTGCGCTCGCACTCCTAGCAGCCATCCACCCCTCCTCAACCCCAACACTCGCCCCAGGCCCCAAGTCCGGCGCCTCGACCCACATGCCGTGCGAAGCCCCAAGCCCAGGCGCACCCGCTCCTGCGCCCCCAGCAAAAGCAGTCATAGCGCCGGCGGACGCTGCCCTGCCGACCCGTGGGACGGCCGCAGCCGTGGCTGCCGCAGCAGCCGCGGCGGCAGCCCGCCGGGCTGCTTTGGCGGAAGCCGCAGCCGCCGCGGAGGCTCCTAGCCCTGCAGCTGCACTTGCGGCGGCAGCGGAAGGCGCACCCATGTAAGCTCCCATGCCTGCGGCCGTGCCGCCCGCTGCATTGGTTGTGACGACCGCCGCTGCCGCGCTGAGCTTCCATCCCGGGAATCCGCCTGCAGACGGTGCTCTGTGTCCAAAGGCGCCCGGCAAGGCCGTACTGAGAAGCTCCATGTCCTGAACCAACGGACCCATGGGTCGGTTCCGCCGCGTGTGGCGGTCACGCGGCCCTGTTCTGGAGTGCAGTGCCCTCGAGTAGAAGCACTCCGAAATGACCTTGACCTTTCCGCTGGCATCGTCGACTATGCTGTTGAGGCTTGCTGGCCTCGCGCCAGACGGTGCGGCGCCACTATCCGCTGCCTCGGCGTGCACTGCAGCACCTGCATGGGGCCCATGCAGCGACTCAGCCCGCCGCACGGCCGTATCAGATGCAGCCGCGTCTGCAGCCCTCACGTAGCCCGCGGCCGCGGGAGCCACCGTTGGGGAGCTGCTACGGCTCGTCACGGCTGCTGCTCCTGTCGAGGCAGCTGCTGCAGCGCTGGCTGCCTGTGCCCGCGGTGAGTGCGGGGCGCCTCGGGGTAGCGGAGGCCGCCCTCTCGCGGATTGAGGCGGCGAGGTGAACAACGGAGCACCGCTGGGAACGGGTGCTAGCGGTGCGGTTGTGATGGAGCCGTCTATTGTCGTACTTCCACGGGTTGCGGCAGCAGCGGCGGCGGCGTGAGAGGGGGCGTGGGAGGGTGCATGGGAGGCTGCATGGGAGGGTGCAGTGGAGCAGGTGGACGAGAAGGCGGACATGGCAGACCTCGTACGCCGGCGGCCGCCCATTGAGGCACACTCGTCATTGGATCCAGCGGTTGGTGGCCGTTGAGGAGCGAGCTTCTGTCGTACACAAACGGGGCCATACGGAGGAAGAGGCGAAGGGGTGGAAGGAAAAGAGGAGAGGAGGAGGGGAAGGACAAGAAGGAAAAGTGGGTAATGGAAGGAGGAGGAGGTGAGGAAGAGTTCAGTTACGGACAAGGTGCAGAAGGTCCGAAGCGGCACGCGGCACGCACACGAGGGGAAGTAAAGACCGGAACGCCGCCAGGACATCATGCGTTAAAGGGCGGTCACATCCCTCTAGCCAGGTTGCATAGTTGTTGCCTAAATAACACCCTGTGCATGCACTCCTAGCTTTACCAGGGCAGACGCTTGGCCGGAACCCCGGAATTGCTTACCTGCTTTTGCGACAAGATGCCTAGCTCTCCCTTGGCCATTCCGATGTACTGTACGGTGTACGTTTGCGTGCTGCTGCCGCTTGGGGTACTGGTGCTGGGCCGGCGTGCTTGTGATGACCTCGGCGGAGTTCGTACGAACGCCTGATGCTGCGCAGAGAGCTGCTGCTGTTGATGCTGGTGCGTTTGTGGGTGATGCTGGTGGTGGTGTTGCTGCTGATGGAGGTGGTGTTGCTGCTCACCAGAAGATGACGCCCCTCCCCCGGCAGCTGTGGCAAAGGCATGTGGCATCTCCCAGCTGCCACTGCTGCTGTCGCTTGCAAAGCCGCTACCCGCGTGCCGGGAACCGGATTGGCGAGATGCCGCGTGAGGTAGTTGGTATGCTGGAAGCTGCTGCGCCGCATCGTAGGGACCCCCATCGGCGGAAAAGCGAAGCGACGGAGGACCTGTGGAGCGGCTGCGACACCCAGCGGATGCCGACGAACGAGCTGAATTTCGCCTTGTCGGACTGCCTGGACGTCCGCTATGGAGCTCAGACGAGCGCCAGATAGGCATCGAGAGCTTTCCGCGGGCCAAGGCAATAATATTTGATGAAATGTTAGTGAAGTGCTTTACATATATACCTTCAGGCGTTTAAGTTGTGAACACCTAGCCAGCGTTGCAAGAATACAGGCGCATGTATAGGTTCATCCTGGGTTCAAGCCTGATTCAGTGAAGCATGAGGCTGTAGACACGACATTCAATATCGAATATGTAAAGATTGAAATAGGGAGTACCCACTTTAGGCTGCAAGCCTCGATGATTATTTTCAGGTCATCCCGTACACGGCGCCCCGCGGTCTACCCCTATGTCTCGGGCCCTTGGTATATAATCCTGCATGTCGCGCCCCCACGGTACTTGTATTTACATCAATGCTAAAAACTGTAGATGATCGGGCGGGCCCCGTTACAGACCATGTACCTTTCCAACGATGTCTTCTTTACAGTTTGCATGGATTACTCAGCTATGTGCCTGAGTCTAATCTACAACGTTTTCGATCCTTCCAACCGGCACAAGTCCAGGACGTGCGAGATTACGCTATCCGCACAACGAGTCATGCCGGCCATGCATCCCCATCAATGCACAAGCACAATTCCATGTCAGTCCACCAGGGTGGCTCCCATCGCCGCATATGCACCTTCCAGCGCAGCTGCCACCGCCCGCCGCGCTGCCCCTCATCAGCTCCTCCTCCTCCATTCCCGTCGCTGCCGCCGCTGCTGCTTCAGCCGCCTCTGCCGCCATCCATTGCAGTACGGCAGGCCCCAACAACTCCGCAACCGCCGCGCTGTGTCGCGCAAGCGATGCAGATGTCAGCAACGATGGCGCCCGGAGCACCCGGGCATCTAACGCACCGTACGACAATCACAGATCTAATAGCTGAGCTTCGCGTCGGGGTTCCGGCGGGGTGCGTCTGGGTCGGAGGCAACCCTGAACGGCGTGGCTTGGTAACCGATGTTGTTTTTAATAGCTGCGATTGGCGGCGCTGTTGCAACTGTCGCAGCTGCTGTTATTGCTGGAATTGCGTCTTACCGGCTCCCGTCGTCCGAGGGGGAAGGGGAGTCCCTGCGGGTGACAGCCACCGGCCATCTTGGCAGCTGCTGGCATCCAACGCAGCAGCAGCCACTGCTGCCGCCGCCGCCGCATAGCAAGGAGAGATGTCGCCGGTGCAGCAGCAGCATCAACAACGGCAGCACCAACACCAGAAGCTATTGACGTGGTTGCTGGGTGATGAGCTGGTGACATAGTTGGGCGCTACACGTCTGGCACCGTTTCGCCCTGGAAATGCCCAGGGGGTGTTTGACTTGTTTTCTTTGTGCTATGAAACTATCGGGTTCACTGGCCTCCTGCTGTCACCAAACCAACTAAGGCTTGGTGGTGTTTGCTGGTTATCCAAAGCCTTACTTCAACCCGACCAGGACACCGAGCTCTGGCATACAGAAGCTGGTTAGTTTCCCCTGGGGTAGCCGTGGTGATAGCTAGTGCCACGTGCTAGCTATAAGCATACCATCAACCCGTACGGAGTTCCCAACGGTTTGTTTGTCCATGGCCACTTCTCAGCCTATAAAGCGTACCTTCATATCCTGCAGCGACCCCTGGGTCAATAAGCCATTCGGAAACCCAAGCAAGTAGATTTTCCGAGGTAGGTATTTGTAGTACGCGATGCAGATATCTGGCAACAATAACACAATACATGCTACCATGCTTGGTGCTGACACTCGCAAGCGCGTCCCTTGCGGCAACCTAATCTTTTCCATCGTGCTCATAGCGCACGTGAGCTTCTTAGCTGATGGGCTATTTCAGGCAGTCAACGAGCTCCCTAGCTAGCTCCACCAAAGAAGGTTGCTTAAAAAGAGGAAGTGGCCGAGCCTTATTCGCGGGCCGGAGCTGTATGCTTGTCAGCAAGGGCCGCGCGCTCCGTAGCGAATTGGTGCAATATGCATATGCAAGTTATCCGTATAAAACACAACACACTCGATGCACCGATGGAAAGCGCACATGGCGTCGTAAGAACAACTGCCGTGCCTAGACGTGACACGCGCATTCCCGTGCTTATGCAGATTCACACACAGACCGACCGGTCGTGACTTGATCAACTTGAAATGAGCCACCGTTGATACTGGTTCGATCTTGTTGCCCGCATAAGCTTGCGCAGCCTCGAACCTGGCCCATGGCCCCTGAGTAAGAGCATTGTACTCTGTTATTACATTAACATTGTGACAATAACAATTGTGACCTTTAGAACCTGGTATTTAGCTTTGAAATTGGGTCGACTGTGTCGACTTCAATTTAATCATGACCGGCTGGTGGAGCAATGTTGTTGCTGGAGTGCGAAACGCAATCATCTTTACTTATGATATCCTGTTTCAGGTACAGGATGGCTTCCTGACTAGACTGGAAGCTTAGTCTTGCAACGCATTTTCGCGGGCTAGTGCCCAATAGGGACATCGCTTTCCCACTTTTGTTCAAGATTACATCGCGTGTTGGGATTGGTGGCTATGCGTTCATGTAAGCGCCAGGTACTAATGGACCTTCCATAACCTGCCATCACCTTTCAGACATGGGGCATGCGGCACCTGCCCCGCCACATCGACGATATTGGGGACTCCGTGGAGGGTTTGACCGCGATTGTAACCGGGCCTACCAGGTGAGGCCAGGCTAACGACGCAGGCTCTGACCATAATGACACCAATGGGGGATTCGCTACCTTTACGCGAACTGCAACTTGTTTCCTATCCCTCCGAAAGCGTGCTTACTTAACGTGCTTCCTTTCATGTTGTACAGCGGCATTGGCGAGGAGACAGCGGCGGCTCTGGTTCGGCGGGGTGCTAAGGGTAAGCCCGGCGTTAGCTGGGGCAGGGAAACTGAAGGGTATGCAGGAATATGAGCACACAACCGCCTTTACACTCACTTCCCCATGCTCAGGCTCACGCTGTACCCCATGCGCGCGTGTCTTCCCAACCGCATGTCTTCCCATGCGCGTGTCCCCCTATGCGTGTGTGCCCCCGTGCCCTGGCGGCTAACGCATACACATTGGTCGCCCCCTCCCCTGCAGTGGTGTTGGCGTGTCGTAGCGCTCAACGCGGTGAGGCTCTACGGCAGTCGCTGCTGGCGGCAGCGGAGGCGGCCGGCAGGAAGAGGCCGGAGGTGGAGGTGAGAAAGGGTGGAACAGAGATGATCACCGACAGGGACGAGTGAGCCACGTTTCCCTTCTGTGCGTCTGTCCATGTCTCGTGCCCCTAGGCAAGAGCCCAGCTCGTTTTCTTGGCTGCTGAACTCCCTGTTTCGTACGTTGCCGTACGGATCTTCCTCAGGTACGGATCTTGGATCTGGCTTCTCTGGATTCCGTACGGCAGTTTGCGGCTGCCTGGGAGGCTGAGCGGCGCCCGCTGCACCTGCTTATCAACAATGCGGGCGTCTTCACGATTGGAGGTGTGTAGGGGGTATGAGGGGCGTGTAAGGTCCGCTTTCCAACCCAACCCCTTTCCTTAACCCTCCCTCAACTCTTTTCCCATGAAACGCAGCTCCCCGCGCCGAAACCGCGGACGGTTTCGAGCTCCATATGGGTTCCAACCACCTCGGCCACTTCCTGCTCACCCTCTCGCTGCTGCCCGCGCTCAGGCGGGGTGCGGAGCAGCTAGCAGCTGCGGCTGCTGCAGGTGCTGCTTCCGCGCCTGCCTCGTGTCGCTGCCGAGTGGTGACGGTGTCCAGTTCCTTCCACAGCCTGGCTCGCGGGGGCATTTCCCTGACTGACCCGCACCTGCGGCGGCCTGGGGCCTACAATGCGGACCTAGCCTACGCGCAAAGCAAGCTGGCGAATGTGGGTGCGGGCTGCCGGGGCTGGCGGGGGTCCCGCCTAAAAGGATACCATTAGATCTCTTTCGCCGTGTCCCAGATCATCTTGGTACGTCGCGGCCCTCCTTCCTGTGCCGCCCTGCTCTCTCCCCACGCACCTCAACCCCTCTTCTCCGCCCTCTCTCCACCATTCATAGCAGCTCGGCTGACTTACTCCCTCCCTCCCTGAACCGTTTTCCCTTCTTTCGCCTTACCCTGCCCCACCACCCTCAGATCCTCTTCACTCGCGAGCTGCGGCGCCGCCTCGCCGCCTCCGACCCGCACCTCGCTCCCGGTGTGCTGGCGCTGCACCCAGGGCTGGTGTGCACGGGGGTGGCTCGCGACCTGCCAGCGCTCATGCGGGCGGCCTACTACGCCATCATGGGCCGCATACTGCTCAACTGCATGCAGGGTGAGGAGGGGGTGCAGGGGTGCGGGATGGGGGGGTGCTTGCAGCCATCAATGCAGGGTCCTGCGCTGATGGCACAACAGTTGTGCGCCTGTACCAGTACTTACGGGCATCGCAGTACACACCATTCGGCTGCACCGCCGGCCTCCACTGCTTCACCAGCCTCCACCGCCCGCCCTCCAAACTGCTTCCCAACCCCTGCACCCTTTTCTACCGGTACTTTTCCATGCTCCATCACCATCCGTGTGTTACCTGCTCGCTCCCCAATGCCCCTCTCGCCGCCTTCACCTTCCACCTTCCCCGCAGGCGCCCGCGCCAGCATCTATTGCGCCACCTCTGCCTCCGCTCCCGCCGCCGCCGCCCCCACCTGCGGCTTCATCAACTCCACCTGCCGGCCGCTGCTGCCCGCCCCCGTGGCGCAGGACGATGCGGCGGCGCTCTGGCTGTGGCGCTGGTCCGCTGAACAGGTGTGTAGTTAAAATAACTGGCCGCGAAACTTACTGTGATTTCCGTGATTGTGTGTGGCGGAGCAGGGTGCGTGGGTTGGAGAAAAGAGAAGCCACCAAACCAAGTCACAAGTGAGCGGGAGCGCATATTAGCTACTACCGCACGTCTTTCCTCTCTCGCATGCCTCCCCCCCTCACTGATGAGTCGGGATATGGGATTGGGACTCGTTGTTTCACTTATTTAATTTCTCCCCCCCTCACTGTTGTTTGCTGCATCCTTATCACGCGCTCCCTCGCCCCCGCTATGTGTCACAGGTGGGATTGGACCCTGCCCTCGACCTGCCGGAGCCCTAGCGGGCAGCAGCAACAACAGTAGCAGCGGGAACAATAGCAACAAAAACACATGTGGCGATTAGTTTGGTCGGCTTGGTTCTGATTGCACGCCGGGCATGGTGTGTGGAGTGGGCAGGGGGACGGCTTGAATGAAGCCGCAGGCCTATGTACGCATGTGTATGGGAAGACACGGGGACTGGGCGTTGGGAGGCGTGTGAGGAGACGGATTGGAGAGTCCGGGACGGCGGATGGCATCTGGTTGTAGAGGGCTGGGCGCCTTGCTGAGAGGACTGATGGGTCGTTGATGGGTCGTGTTGCCGAGATGCTGCTGCCGGCGCTGTGGCACAGGAAGACAGGATGCATGTGAAAGCTTGGCTGCATGGTGGATAAGCGTGTAAGGGCATTGCAGAAGATGAGTAGTTCATCCAGCTGATGGGTTTGGAGGGGTGGCGGTAACAGCCCGCCCGTTCCTGATAGGCTGGGCTTTCAGGTAAGGGACTGTTACCAAACCTCCGGCCCGGTCCAAACATGGTCATCAGGTAGAGGGTTAGTCCAGGTGGGATGAAAAGTGCCCAAACGGTGCCCCTTGGGGCATTTTTGTATTCCTCGTGCAGCCGGCCGGTAGCAGAAATGAGAGAACAGAAGGGGTGGGACAAACACGTATGGTTGTCGAGAGCTCGAGACCCTTGTCATGGGGTGCATCGACAACACCCTGGTTGGGTCTCTGTAAGCGGATTCTAACTGCTGACTTCAAAAACGCAGTTTTGAGTACACCAATCGTGCATTAAGTCTTAAGCAGCCGCGTGCCCCGTTGCTATGCTGCCTTACCTCAATAACAAAGCGGCAGTGTGCTGTGTGCAAGGGCAATGTACAACATAACTACATAACTAACATAAGCCCCGTCTAAGGCCAAGTTAAGGCCCACGGTTTAACAAGCGCTAGAATTGTGCTATCAGGCGTGCAGCAGCAGTACGTTGTTGGCAGCTTTTAGGTCACGCCTTGTACACCTTAATGACAGAGCAGTTGACTTAAGAATGTCTGGGCCTCCTTATAGCAGCCAAAGTCACAATACTCAATGTACCTTATAAGTCATTTGCCTAGGAAAGGTTATGCCGCAACAGAGGATATGGGTATAACAGGTACGAAAGCCGGACGTTAACGGGCGATGGTGGGCCGCCGAGAAGGATTGTAAAATACGGTAACAGACAGGTGCTGGCCTGTTTCTCGCTTTAAGGAACGGCGTGAAAGCTGTGGGGTGGCGAATCGGCGTTGATAGCCGAAGCATTGACTGGTTGGGGAATTGTCAGGATAAGCGCATATGTAGCAGGAAGATAGCCATTCTTAGATAACTTTCAATAGTATGTACTCATTGATAAATGGCGTATCCATGTGGAAGCTACGACATATTGAACCCTGTTCGTAACGCAAAATGGAAACACAGCGCAGCTCGTTCACTTGCACAATCTACTACACATTTCATACAGGCTGTGCCGCATCTAAGCATTCTAAATGACTGTATAGAATTGAGGCCTCAAGCCGCTGGTCGAGCCGTATACGTAAGCTTGCTTCGCCCCTAAGCTTCAGCTCTTTTTACCAAAACTACTTTTCGGTGATATTTGTGTGGCTCATACAAATGCTATGCAGTTGAATAGGCACCCAAGTATATCCGTGGGTAACCGTCAGCCCCCTCCCTGGTTCGGTAAGTGAGCCAGGGCCTACATCTCAGCACGAAGACGGCCATCAATAGCGGAAATTGTCTTGCGCTACAGCCGGTGATCTTGTTCATATACCTTCGTAAGCTCTTGCTGAGCTCCTTTCGTCAAACCACTAGATAATGCTTCACCAGAGCGCTGGGCACAAGGTAATGAGATGATGCGCTTGGAACTGCAGTCAGTTTTCATAATTGATGTTACTGGCAGTCCTTCTGATTCTTCCTCTTCCGACAGGCGTGCCATCGCCAGCAGCAGCTGGCTAGGTGTTCTTCTTCGCAGCTTCTCGTCACTCCACGCCGGTAGGGTTGAAGAGCATCCGATATACGCTGCAACCCTTTTGACATTTCGGAAACGTAAATCAGACGCTCTTACATCGCGTGCCCTCCCTATCCTTGCAGGGTGTACCGCCCACAGTCCGCGCTCTTTGCGCGTCTTAGCCAGGAGCTAGCTCGCCGTAATGCTTCTTGCCACGCCGTTCAGCCGGACTTTGACCTCGCCCTAGCGGTTCCGCTCGCGCATGCCTCATTCGATGCCTACAGCCCGCCTGCGGGCGCGAAGGTCTCAGAGGGCTACAAGGCTGTGGGAACCATGGTTACCTGCCTGAACCCGTAAGTACCGGGATGAAGCAGGGCAGGGAACCCTTGCTGTTTCGGCCCGGCAAGTAGGACTAGGCTCCCTATGTCCTCAGGACCGCTCAGCACTGCACATAATCCACTCCTGGATGGACTGCTTAGCAATCCTTTGCTGAGCTCTCGCGCGTTAAGCATCATATTACTCTTGTCCTTTTCAGTAGCCTCACGACTGTTTCTGCAGTACGGTAGCATTGATTTGCCCTGCCTACCGTCTGCGCCAACCCACTTCAATTCTAACACACCTCCATAATCAACGCAGCTCCACCCAATGACAAAGGATCAGCTTTGTGACCCATCCAACCCCCCCCTGACCCGTCGCAGGGACTTCCTCAAAACCGCCTTCCAGGGCATGCTGGAGGTGACGGTGCTGAGCGCCTCGGGGCTGCGCAACACCGACACTCTGAGCAAGAGCGACCCCTACGTGGTGGTGACCCACGGGTCGCGCGGCTACCGGACCGCTACCAAGGATAACACGCTCAACCCCGTGTGGGACGCCAAGGCGGCCCCCGTAAAGATTCCCGTGGTGTGAGTGGTGGTTGGGCGAGGCGGGCCTAGGAGCTGGCTGCGCTGCATGGGGAGCTGACTCATCGCACGCACTGGGTCCTCGTTCTCACCGCCGCCAGTCTCCATTAGTCTCCTTTCGCTGATCCTCTCATGCTACATCACAACCCCCCTTTCGCCTCTTCTGTCTGGTCTTCCCCTCCTTGCTTGGTTTTGCAGGGAAGCCGTCAATGGTGTTCTTTCCGTACAGTTGTACGACGAGGACCAGTTCCGGCAGGGCGAGGAGTTGGGCCAGGCCTCCCTGCCGCTGGCTCAGCTTGGGGGCCAGGGCGAGAAGACGCTGACGCTGCCACTGAGCGGTGAGTTGAAAGTAGGGAAGGGGCGAAAGGGGAGGGAAGGAAAGCGTAGTTTTGATGCGACAGGGTGGTTACCGTTATGTTCCTAGGCTCTCCCTCTCCCCCTTTCAGTCCCCCTTCCAACTCAGGAACAAGCTTGCCCACACCTGCCTGTTGTTCCGCGCACCCGCAGGCAAGGGTGCTGCCGCCGGCTCCACCGTCACCCTGCGCTGCCGTATGCGTCTGTGGTCCGAGATGAGTGCCGCGGAGCTGGCGTCGTTCACCGCCGACAACACCAGCGACGCGGCAGTGGAGGCGGTGGCGGGACTCAAGGTGAGTGGGTTATAAAATGATGGGCAGGAGGCTGCGTTGAGTCCGGCTCGGGTAAACTCCTTCCTAGTTATTCCCTCCATTGACCCCCTTTGCTAACCCCATGATGTGTCATGTCATACGGATAGTCATCGGGTGCTTGAGGCAGCTGTTCTTGTGGGTGCCTTGTGCCGTACATTGACTCCATCTGTGTCCCGGTGTTTGTCGTGCAGGTGGCCGAGGCGGCTGCTGCGGCGCTGGCAGCAGATACCGTGAGTAAGTGCCGTACATGGGTGGCCCTAGAGCTCCCCCGACCCAGCCCTGTCCCTTACTTCCGTTACTTTGCTTACCGGTACATCACTGCTTGCAGACAATCTGTGGCTTTCCTCCTTTGCTCACCTCAGCCCCGGCTCTACGTACCCTTCCCGCCCCCTCCCCCTCACAGACGGCGGCGCTGCGGCCCCTCAGCTGCCTGGCAACGTTCAGGCCGCCGCGGCCCAGGATGCGGCCGCTGCCGCCGCCGCTGCCGAGTGCGCCCAGTGGCGTGACCTTGCTGTGCAGATGGGCGGGCGGGAGGCGGAGCAGCTGCTGCCGCTGGCCTTCGTGGACGCAACCAGCACTGACACGCAGGTGAGGGATGGTTGGGATGGAAGCTGCAAGTCTTCCAGCTGGCGTGTGGAAAGCCATTCTAGCAAGGAATTTGTCTGTTATCTATGGCTCCTTCAGTACAGTGATGGTGCCAGAAGTGGGATGCCGGGTCGTCCACCAGTTAATCAGGGCACGTTTAGCCTTTCTGGAGTAGGAAAGGAATGTGCAAGCAGGAAATGTGCAAGCAGTCGCTCCCTTTCCCTGCCTCATTGTTGGCCATGCTCAGCTCCGTTGCTGGTTTCTGCCCTGCTCTGTCGTCCCCTTGCAGGCTTGGATGCTGGCCAACAAGGAGAGCAAGACGGTTGTGCTGTCCTTCCGAGGCACCGAGACGGTAGGTGCCGTACTTGCTGATTTGGGCTTGAAACGCATGCACGTGTGCGTGCATGCGTGTGTGCGTGTTTCGTCCATCCAGCGGTCATCCACCCACTAACCTCCCCTCTCACCCTCCCTTTCCCCCTCCTTTCCCGCCCCCGCAGTCCCAGTGGAAGGACATCTTCAGCGACCTCAACCTCTTCCAGATCCAACCCAAGAGCCTGAAGCCCAAGAACCCCAAGGTGAGGCCGCCGCTGCTGGGTGCTGCCGCCAGCGGCCACCTTCAATGTTGCTAGGTGTACAAGTAGGCCATGACCCAACGCCCATGACCCACAAAGTCATAAAGTGTAGTGTTTTGTACATTGCCGTACCAGACATCGCCCTCTCGATGCTGAATCGCTGCCGTACGTTATACCGTTTCCTGGTTAAGCCCTCCTTCCTACACCGCCTGCTGCAACAATCAGATTACGGTGCACAAGGGCTTCCTGGCTGCTTACGAGAGCATTCGGGAGACCATTACCGCTCTTCTTGAGACCGTTCTTAACGGCAGCTGCAACGGTTGCTCGTCCAACGGCAGCAATTGGCGTATCCTGGTGACGGGCCACTCGCTGGGAGGCGCCCTGGCCACCCTGGCATCGTACGACCTCAAGCTGCGGTAAGGACGTAGCAGCTGTACGACATATGTAGCTGCTGTACGGCGACGTTGCTTAGTCCTGTCGAATTTGACTGCGCTTCGCTGTCATGACCGCGGAATCGGATAATCCTGTACGCACGCAAGCACGCTGGTTTTTAACCTTAATAGTTTAATAGGTACAGACTAGCTGTTGGCATATACGCTGCATTTGGTGTAGGGGTTGGGAGTGAGCCCTCACGGACCTCCTCGCCAACGGTTACAACCTTTCATTAAGATAACTTATATATCCAACGCTACTTACTGAAAGCGGATGTGACACATACTCTCATGTCATATGTGAGCACGAATGTGCGGTGTACATACGGCAACTTACGTTGGTTCCCGTACGTACGACAACTTGCAGGGACGCCACTCGCGACATCACCTGCTACACGTACGGCGCCCCCCGGGTGGGCAACAAGGCGTTCGCCGAGGAATACAACTCCCTCGTGCCTCACACCTTCCGGGTCACGAACAAGTACGATATTGTGGCCAGGTGAGCGTGTGTTTGGGGCGGGGAATTAACCCCAGCAGGGAGCTAACCGGTAGCAGGTTTATCTGGTATGACCCCCTTGAGACATGTGTTTGCTGATTTCGCCTTGCGCCCTTTTGCCTCGTTTTTCGCCAGCCAACGCAGTGCCCTCCTCTCTTTCACTGGTATTCGGTTTTGGGCTTGCCCCTTTCCCCACCCTGTCCTCCCTCAACGCCCGCCCCTCCTTTCTTGCATGCCTTCCCCCTTCCTTTCACCCCCTTCCCGAACAGCGTCCCCCGGGTTGCCGAGTACACCCACGTTGGTCGGCCGGTGCAGCCCGCCGGGGAGGGTGGAGCCCTGCAGGTGTGCGCCAGCGCTGCTGGAGGGGACTAGGGGAGCCGTATGCCGCCACCGCTCACGTGGACTTGAGGATAGGATTCTCCCTGTCAACGCTGTCCTGCTGAAGACGGCATCTCTCTACGTCTCTCAAGCGCACTTCCTCAAGCTCAGACCCCGTCTATCCCCGTTTCTGCTGTCGCACGTCCGACATCCCCAGTCCTGCCACCCATGCATGCCACATCCTGCCCCCTGGCCCTGTACACCCCATGCTGCCTCACCATCCTGCCTCCGCACAGCCCATACCCAATCACCCTGTTTCACCGCATTTCCTAACCATCCTGCCCAATCGCTCCCTTCAGGTGGTGCAACCCGCTGCGGAGCTTTCCTTCGAGAAGAAGATGCTGGATAAGGGACCCAACTACGTCATCTCGCAGCACATGGGCTACAACTACTTGGCCACATTCCAGAAGGCGGTTAAGGCGGTTGGCGCGGGCAAGGCAAATGAGGAGGATGGCAAGAAGAAGCTCGCACAGGTGGCGTGAGGTGCGAGGAAGAGGCGGTTCAGGGTGAACAAAATATTGTTTGGGTTGTGATGAGCAGTGGGGATGAAGGGCGACGGCGGGCGAAGGTCGCAGGCGGGTGTCAGGTAAGGTTTCTAGGGCACCGCTGATTGTCGTAATCTAGGTAAGCTTTCTTGCGGACTGGCGGAGGCGGCACTTAACAATGTTTGTTACTCGGCATATGGATTAAACGTGCGGCGTGCTGCGATGTTGCTATCGTGTTGCTATTCATGTTGGAGGAAATAATTGTAGGAATTGGTTTCTCCTTCGAAAACGATGTCAAAGTGATAGAGGAATTGTACGGCATTCCTCTATGTTCGAAGCTCGTTGTTCAAAGTCTCCGGTCGTGTGAGCATAGTTGTATATGTATGTGTTCAGAAGGAGATGCAGATACGTGAAGGGGTTCAGCGTCCAGGTCTGATATTACTAATCGGCAAAGCTGGGTCCACGCAATTGCCAAGTCGACAACATCGCAATCAATTATAATGCTCATGTGTTGCCTACATGGAACTGCCGTTTGGGGCCTTGGACAAACCCCTGAACCGCCATGGGAAGCAGCAAGAGTAGATAGGGCGTGTACAAAATTTCGACATATCCCATGTGCCTTCCTGGGTGTTGGCTTTGCACACCAGAGGGTGTGAGCTAATAAGTATTGTAATCAGGGAGACCAATGGGACATACATGAAGGAAGGGGCAATCAAAGACAAACACCATCGCGAATGCCCATACAAAATTGCTGCTCGTGAGAAAAGCTAGCAGGCGAGAGCGTGAGAGGGTCAGCAGAGGGAGCGGAAGACCAGTGGGCCAATGATACAAACGAACCGGATTTGATCTATGCTCTTTTCAAGCACGTCCAACTGACATGCACGCATAGGTCATTCCTTGTCTCAAATAACCGTCTGATGGGAACGTGGTTAACCGTTCCTATTTAACGTGCTACAGCCCGCTAGACCACAGCCTGCTATGCCATAGAAAGCCTTGCTGTGCCTGATAATAAATAAAGGACAATTTAACTCTTATATGGCCTTCCTGAAAACTTTTGCAGTCCTCGTTGCGCAGGCGCATTAGCTAGGGAACCGGTTGGGCACCAGTTCCAAACAGTCCCTCCTGCCTACGCTCCGAGTGTTGCTATTGTAACATCTCATACATATTTATCTATTATGTGAGGCACGAGGCATTTGAGCTGAGACTGGATAATTTCACAGATCACCCTGGAGCGTTCGCGCGCGTCACTGATCTCTATTAATCTTTTTCAAGTTTCATGAACCCCTAGCATTATCCAACTTAACAACATTATCCAATAAAATAACATTCGTATTTGGGCGCTGACTGCGCAAGATCATGCCGCAAGGCCCGCTACGTACTACTGCTGTACTGCAGCGTGAGATATCGCGAGATATTAAGATAAGATACCATAGACCTTGTAACAACTCACTCTTTCGAATAAAATAAAATACATTTTCACCTACCATTATTACTTCAACGCACCACCACGGTCATCTTAAGGCCAATGTATCGGTGTGGTTCCCTTGCTCTAGGGCATACTGGGCTTGGACGCCATAAGTACTGCGCACTAAGGCAGTAGTTGCTCTACTATTCCCTTGGCAATGACTTCTGGCTTTTGTGCTGGGCTGGTAAGCGTTTGTTACTCATTGCGGGCGCGCGTGCTTACCCCTCGAGAACGCGAGTAACGTCCGTGTTTTGCCGATTTCCTAAACAGGTTAGATGTCTCAACAAGGGCGTCGCTTCGGTTTAACCAACGCTCCATTGTCTAGCCCGAAACACAATCGGCAAATTTTGCCATCACTCTGGTCTACTGGGCAAGGCGCAACCCCATTTGACAAAGACTAGTCCAATCCATTGCAGTTGGGTGCTACCATTAGCATTATACCCACGGCTACGTCACAGCGACTCGTCGCAAACGGAAGGGCTCCATTTGTTGGCATGACGCTTGAGAGCGCAAGGCCGTGCGTCACTATATGAGTAATCTTCACCCCTCCTTCATCACTGGCAGCTGCCGCCAACTCGCCTACAACCTTGATGCCGATAACAAGCCCTTTCACGCTCGCCCTTGCTTGCCAAGGACTACCATACAAACACCAACTCCAACTCCAACAGGCTGCTATGCTGCCACCCAATCCACTGGGCTCGTTTGGTTCTATTTGGCCCCTCGCCATGCCTCTGCCATCTACACCTTTTCCCGCACCCGCCGCGTCGGCAGGCTTGCCTTTCACCCTCACTACTCACACTGTGCCGTCCCAAGGAGCATATAAGCTCATAGGTCCGAGCGCTGCTTCATCAACCTCTCCGAGGCAGCAGCACCCGCAGCAGCTGCCAGGAGCTTTCCTGCAGCAGCAGCAACAGCACCAACATCAGCAGGGCGCAGTTCCGCAGGTTTTCGGTCGTCAGCTTTGCCAGGTTAGCAGTCATTCAAGCTGCGGAGCGGACTTCAAACCGGCGTTGCTGTTGGCGCCGCAGCTGCCGGCAAGCGCTGAAGTTGCTGTGGCGGCAGAATCGTCAGGGGTGCTGCTGCCGCCGGGCTTTGACACGGCGCAGAAGCCGTCCTGGCCTTGGTCGTCGGCTCGGCCGCTAGGGCTGCAGCCACAGCAGCAGCAGCTGCAGCCGTCAACGCCTGGGCAGCAGCTGCAGCAGCAGCATGAGGTGTACCCGCAACCGAACCATCATTTCGCAGCCCAGCAGCAGAGGCAACGACAATACCTCCACCAGCATCCCCAGCAGCCATCTCAACTAGCGTGCACCGTCATGACCGCAACTGGTCGGTCCGTCGCAGCCATGGTGCCAATAGCGACAGCAGCAGCCAATGCCAGCAGTTCAGTTGCCGGGCAGCAGGGTGAGAAGTTTGAGCGGCTCAAAGACGCATACATCAATGAACAGCTGCTGGCCGAGATATCTGCAGCTCCATGGCCGTCAAGGCAGCCTCGTCACCCAGTTGACCCGTGGGTCACATGCCGACCTGCCAGTAGCACCTTTCCAAGCGCTGGGAGCTCTGAGGCGGCTACCCTTGCCAGTGCGGCTGGAACAGCTTCTACACTCAGGTCGGGAGCTGCCCTTCCTCTAGGGGCCGCAGCACCGGTTTTTGCCGCCCCTGCTGCAGCTGTTACACATGCCAGCGTTACCCTAGCAGGAGGCAACCGTCAGGGACAAGGTTTTCTGGCGGCAACGTCTGGTGGCGCAATGGCTGCTGCAACCATACGGCATGAAGCACCCGCTGGCGTCCTACACGGCACGATAGCACGGCCGGCCCCCTTTACCTTAACCCCAACAGCCGCCGCCGCTAACATCTGGGATGCATCACCGCCAGCAGCACCCACACAGCCACAGCACGCAGTGCCGTACACAACTGCTGCCGTACAATCCCTCCCTGGCGGCAAGAATGCCTCTTCCTCTTTCCCGCTTGCGAGCAACGGCAGTGGTCCTACCTCACTCAGGTGGCTCGGTTTGCATGTAGGGGAGGCCGGCTGCGGGTGGGCAGACGGCAGTGAAGGTGGAAGTGGAGGCAGCGGTGGAGGTGCAACCTCTGCAGCAGCACTGTTTGCGCCACCCGCAGGCGACCCGGTGCAATTGCCTGACGCTTTGCTGGGTAAACGGGTCGGCATGGAGAGAACTATGTCGTCTACAGCAGTAGCAGCGACAGCGACGGCTCCAGATGCTGTAGCTATCACTGAAGCTGCTGCTCCAGATGCTGGTATGGAGCCCTGTCCCGACTGCCGATGGCCGTTGTTGCGGTCTTCCGCTACCTTGAGCAGCGCGGTGTCACCTCTTTCCTCACCGCTGCTGCTGCATCCCTGCAACTCCGGTTTCCTTGGCTTTGGTGGATTGGGCGAAGCCAGGGCGGTGGAGATGGAGGAGATGGGCGTGGGTATGGATGCGGAAGAGAAGGAGGACATGGAGGAGGTCTTCAGGACTGATGCGGAGGAGCCACAACAGCAAGAGAAGCAGGGGAAGCTGCTACTACTGCAGGAGGCGGAGGTAGCCACGAATTCAATGGCAGCAGCTATTAGCAGTGGTGGTGGTGGTGGCAGAGGCGGTGACCTTGGTGGTGAACCCACCGTCGGCGGCAAGAACAACAGCAGTAGTGGCAAGCTGGCCAGGGGTGCAGTGCTGAGCAAGCTGGCGACTGTTTTCGACTTCCCCGCTTCAAAGGCAGCTCGGCTGTTAGGGCTGAGTGCGACCGGGCTCAAGAGGCAGTGCCGCTACGTGGGCATTCATCGTTGGCCGCAGCGCAAGCTGAACAGCCTGCAGAGGTTAAGTTCAGCGCTGGCCGCGGACGTGACAGTGTCAGAGAAGGAAAGACTGGTAAGGGTCGTACCTGGCTTGGTTCGTCGCTGCTTATTGAACGTTTCTGAGCGCCCTTTATCATCACTTTGTCGTGCAAGCAACTCATCCGTTGATTGCGTGTTGGGTGCCGCTTGCTCTAAGCTACCGGTACCTTCAACTTCAGCTGTTGTCACAATGCCAATGTCATTAACCCCCACTGCTTCATTCTTATCTCCCGCAGTCCATTCTGGAGCTTGTGGCGAAGAACCGAGCGGATATCCTGTCGGATCCCAACGCCCCGCTGCTGCCGTACCTCAAGACCCTGCGGCAGACGCAGTACAAGCAAAGCCACGACCGGCGTGTAATAGCAGCCACGGCTGCGGCGGTGGCTGCCGCTGTGGCTGGTCGCAGCGCTGTTGCACCGGCACCACCGGCTGGGGACGACCGCAACTAAATCTGCAGGCAGTCAACAACAGCCGTACAGGATGCTGGTTAAGCATTCTGCTATAGTCGAATGTATGAGAGCAGCAGGAGGTACGGAATGAAATGTGTGGAGTCGGAAGGAAAGTGCATGTCGCTCTCATTTGCATTTGCCTTTATCATCTTTTTTGCCTGGCTGCATAGCAATGTACACCATGTTTTAGCATATTAATGGACAGAATGAGACGTTGGCACGGCATGACAGCTTTGCGTGAGAGAAAAGGTACGGATATGACCGATAGATGGAGGGATGATGAAGGGCATGCTCTATGTTTCATGGACGGGCGTAAGGCCCTTACTGATAGGATCGGAGATTGGAAGCAGGTTAACACCACGACTGCCACTTTCAATAGGAGCCCCAGTGGCACGTTTGTTATGCTGCTGTGCTGATAGGTAGGATGCCCACAGCTTTCGGATGGGTACCATGCTTTGCACGGACGATCCGATGGCAATGACCCATGGGTCATCTCAGGACCCCGTGTGGTATTTTCATCCCTGAAACGGCGACCGCGATGGCAAATATTGCTTCGTAATCCTCACGGCTTGCCCTGCAAAGGCAGCAGCTGCTTAGCATGTTGTCAGTTGCCTACAGACCATCTGTCTGTAGTGAGGCCTCTGACTGCTTCGGACGTTGGTCGCTTACGTATATACCGTTGGTTGGACAGAATGGTTAGCGGTTGCCTTAACCGGTGTTGGTTATTTTTTCACATTACTGGTTAGGATGCTCTGCGAGGTTTGCATGTTCGCGCATAATTTCCTGTATGCGTTACGTTCTGGTGTCTGTTCGTTCTATCAGTACGACACGTGTTGAGGTCGTCTGCTGGTGAAGTGTTGGTCTGCACGCACGCAAGAGCCTTAACAAGATCTTAAGGGGCGCTGACAGGAAGCCTTCATACACAAGGGCATGCAGGGACGAGCATTCAGCTGCCTATTGGTGTGCTGCTGGAATTTTGACATGCATGTTGTTGCTTACTTTCTTGCTTGTCGTTGTTGTTGCTCTGACCTCCCACTAACCACACTTATTATACTTATTATTACTGCATTGACCAAGCCTTAAGTGAGGCTGCAGTGTTGGTGGAATGCGTGCATGACTGTTTGCGTGATCCTAAGCCTGCTGCCCTATACCCGGAGGTGAACGACACTTGGGGCACCCCTTGTGCGACAGCAGCAGTTCCATTTTATGCGTGTGATTTTGTTGTTTTTGCGAGCTGGATATGTTGGGACGTGTTGACGACTGCTGCGGGTATTATCAGGAATCTCTGCGTGCATGCAGTGCATTGCTGCACGTGGGGTGCTGCGTTTGCGACTTTATTTCATGCTTTCGGTTATTAATTTTATATTATCGATCAGGCAGGATTTACGCGTACGTACGGTCGCATAGCCCCGCACACGTTGCTTGTTAGTGGCACCTTTGGGTGCCAGCGTGGCGAGGGGAGAACTAATACAGCAGCGGAGGGGCAATGCATCGCATAAGGCCCGTCATCAGGAGAGTAAATCCGTGGTGTTAGTTGTGATGATGAATAAAGAAGAGTGTGGCGCTGCCTGTGCATGGATTAGGATTTTATTGGTGCTATGGATGGAAGGATTATGCTGGTATGCAACTATGCATGCACGGAGAAGGGTGTGCGGGCATACATCTTGAGAGTGCTGAGGGGGGATCGCCCCGCCCCTTTTTCAGTTGGTGGTCTCCTGGGACGGCCTGCTAGACGATTAGCCCATCCATCAGCCCGCCGTCAGCAGACCCCAGAGCCGCCGAAAAGAAGCGCGCGGCTTTGGTTTCCTTTGCATTGGCTGGCATGACATACATTTTTGTGGCAAGCCTATTATTAAGGGAGGCACGATGGCCTGATCTGAGGTTGGAGTAGTGGGTCCTACATAATATTACAACGGGTAACTCAGGGGGGTTATGATGGGTGCCGTGCCGCCTTACTTTGGCTGCTGTTGACTACAGCTGTGCTGGGTGATGGGTTTGAGGTTTGGCGGCGCCTTCCAATCGGGCAGGTGGAGGTGAGGTCGGCGGTGGGGGTATTAATCCAAGACGGGTGGTTCCATCAGCTGCCTGCAGCAATGCAGGCGCAGCGGTGGAGGTTTTATGTAGTGTCGCCTTTTGTGGCGGGCGGGGGCACCGGCTGATGAGGCGCTATGTATGCAGGGAGCGACTGTTCCTGCTCTAACATGCATGCACCTTTCGAGATGCGAAGGTGCTACAACACCAGTGTATGTGCACGAGGAGGGATAACTTGGAGGGCTGCTATTTTGCATATAATTATCTCCATGATACTTTGTAACGTATCACCACAACATGCCCCATCGGAACCCCCAGGTGAGAACCCCACCCTGATCGCCAATGCATATCCCATGAACACCCCAGCCCGCCTACCGCTACCTAAATACCCCAATGCCCACCCTTTTAAATGACACGTTTTCACGCAACCCAAAAAGAGCCGCCAGCATACATACTCAGCGAGGGGAACATGGATTTAACATACTGGTACATCCTCCTTCCTCTGGCATCCACACCGGCTCCTCACTGCTTGACTGTTACAGCAGGCACCATGAAGAGGGGGGAGAGGCGTGGCGCGTGGTGTTGTATGGGGTAGGTTGTGTAAACGTGGTGCGTACGTGCAGATCATGACTTTATGGGGCTGTTAGCGGAGCTGGTAGCGAGGAAAGGTGTGTATGTGTTAGGAAAACAGGCCGCGAGTCGGAACGTACTCTGATTTGTCGGAAAATGTGTGTGATAGGCGAAACGTACTGATGATGTGGTGTGTGAAAATAACTGGCCGCGATGTGGTGTGTGTGTGCATGTGCAAGGCTGTGTGCTAGATCTTCAACAGGGCTACAGAAGTGAGGCTGACACGTGCGCGAGTGCAAATGGGGCTTTGGTCGTGTGCCTAGTACGGAGACTGGGTGCATGCGTTTTGGCTACTGCTGCCAGCCGTCTTTTTAGCCTTATCTGCTTACGGCAGGACAGGACAGGAATTCTGGCACATTCCTCGGCCACCTGTTCCATGTGCGCTCACGGGTCTGCAGAGTGTGCCCTTCCTTTCCACTGCCTTTGCATGCCCCTCCTTTCCCTGCGACACGGGTACTGAAGGCACCCCGCCGGACCGACCGCGCTTAGCTTCTGCATGCTGCATCGAAGGCCTCTCTCGGCTGCATCCGCATTGCAGTACAAATTGCTGTATCAGGGGGTATCACAATACGTTCCGACTGGTGGACAGTGTTGTTGCAGCACTGCTGGTATTCCGATGTCTTGCATGTGCATTTCGCCTACCCCTAGGCACGAGCCGCGGCAGCTACAGGGTCCATTGGTAGACCCGAGTCCGCAACCTGCCTCTTCCGCGACCTCCGCTGCCACGCCAGGAGTGCCCACCGGAGACCTCCAAAGACATTTGCTCCCCCCCCCCACCATGAAAGGTTGGTCGTTCGCCATCGGAGAGACCCCAGCATGCATAAATAACCCGCGAGATCCGCGTAGGGGTGATAGCTGGCCCTACTTGGCGTCACCCGCAGGCACCGTTTAGGGCCTCGAACGCAAGCTGTAAGGCCTTCACCTGTGCACGACATGTTATGCTTCCCTGAAGCGTGCGCACATTAGCACCCTCCTAACTGCTTGGGATGCCAGATGCAACAGTTGTTCGGAGAAGTTTATTATAGAATTGGCCGGCCGTAATGACACGCCGAAACGCTTAGTGCACAGCGACTGGTGCCGGGGCTTGAGGTCTGAAGCCGCTTACAAAGGCTTCACTCAACCGAAACGACGACGAAGCAACCCAGTAGAACTGGCAAGTGAAAGTACGGCAGTTGAGTCTTTAAGCCCGTCTAGGATACTGATGCTGGGAGGCAATTTGGATGGCACATTCAGCTCCTGCTTTGCATTGAAAGTCGTAGCGAGACCCAAGGGTCTGCAGCAACCTTTACGTTTGTCTTGTCTACGATGTGCGATGCGCCTCGTCATACAACGCCTGCTCTCTGCATAGTAATCACTTTTTTTCAAGCAGACTACGTCCATATTTAGCTGCAGCTGGTAAGCTTTGTTGCCGATTGCTACCAGCTGCTATGCCGAGGCGCGGGGCGCAAAGAGCTCGCGGCCGAGGTCAGGCGGGCAGCCGCCGCTCGGCCGCCGCCCCAGACCCGCTGCCTCCCCATATCCGGACAAGCTGTCAGCGGCTGCCTGGCGCTGTGGATCGGCTGCTGGGACCGCCGGCTAGCGCGAGCAGTGCTGGCAGGGCGCCAGCTGCAGGCCCGCAGCCGCAGCCGCCCCGCCCTAGGTTTGGGAACGGGGCGTTGCAAGCTGTCGACAATTGCTTAGACGTCATGTCTACGCATATTAGCAGTGCTGGAGCTGAGAAAGCGGCCTTAGCCGCGGCCGTTCTATGTGATGAATCACTCCGTTTCGCGCTGCTGCGATTGTTGACCACCTTCACTCGGCAGCAACACGATCCGCTGCAGCCGCTCACACGCAATGGCGAATTGCAGATCGAAGTTTCCGGAGGAGCCAGCTCACTGATTGCCGACTTTGTCCGAGGAGTATCGCGCCACGGCAGCAGCATCGCTCCGGCCTTGGACCTCGCGACCAAGCTGCTGCGCTCGCACAGCCTGCAGGCCTGCAGTCACCAGCTGGCTGCCCTTGCCCAGACCCTTCAAGCTGCGGAAGTTGCGGGCCTGGAAGCGCAGCAGCAGCAGCAAGAGCGGCGCCCACGCGAGCAGGGACGGCAATCATCACCGTCCGCTAAAACTATGACAAGCATTCATTTTAGCGGGCGGAAGTTTACATTCCAAGCCTTGTCTCTCGTCAATTGCGTTTCCGAAGTCGCGTCCCGACTGCTCGGAGGACCCACGGGTCAGCCGCAGCCGCGGAAGCCCCTGCCGGCCGGCCACCTCGCCTTCGTGTCGGAGTTCGCGACCAGCCTGCAGAGCAGTGCGGTGATGGAGCACACGGCTCGGGTGCTGCTGCTGCTGCTAGCGACTGCTGATGTGGCGGGCCGGAACATCCTCAACGAGGGTCTCCGTTACGCTAAGATGCTGTTCCTGTGTACGGACAGGGTCCTTAGGGGGCTGGTCAGCACGTACAGCATCGGCGAAGGATCGCGCGACCAGCTGCTCACGGTGCTTTCCGGGCGCTGTGTACGGCATGCGGTGCTCGTGTACGGTTTTGCCTGCCTGCATGCGGCGGACGGCGGCTCGATGTATGGGCTGCCGCCGGAGGTGCTGCGGCGGGTGCCCGTTGAGGTTGAGATGGAGTGGAGCGGCGCCATCAGCTCTGGCGGCAGTGGCGGTGGCGGCAGTGGCAGTGGGGGCAGTGGTGGTGGGGGCAGTAGCAGCAGCGCCAGCGGCAGGAGGACTAGCGATGTCGGCGGTAGCAGGCTCAGCCGGGTCCAAGTTGTCGACGGTGAGCCGCTGCTGGCGGCTTTGTCTGCCCTGGAACCGGGTTTCGCAGACCCGCCGCTGGGCAGGCGTGCATCTCTGGCGCTGCTGATGCACAACGGTCGCGTGGCGGCGGAGTCGGGGCAGTTCTGGGCCGGACCGCCCGCGGCGTTAGCAACCCCATTGCACAGCGGCAGCTCCAGCGGCAGCTCCAGCGGCAGCTGTGGCGGCGCCGGCAGCAGTGGTAGCGGTGGCGGCGCTGGCAGCAGTGGCAGCGGTGGCGGCGCCGGCAGCAGTGGTGGCGGTGGCGGCGCTAGCTCTTCCTCTGCAACGCGACAGACCGCTGCCGCACCTTAGCCACTGCGGGCGGTGGTGGGGCGTGAGGATGCCCCGGATCTGGCGGTGATGTCCCTTTCGATTGCCAAAGAACGGCAGACCCGGCGGGTCGGTGGTGCCGGGTGGTGGGAGGAGGAGGCGGAGTGGTGGGGTTTGGCTGCGGTAGTGCTTTACATCATGCGGGGCGCTTCTCATACCGAGCAGAGCCTTTTACGTGTTCAAATTCGCGTAAAGCCAGCTTCACGCGAAGCCAGCTTCACGCGAATTTGAACACGTAAAAGGCTCCGCTTGGTATGAGACGCGCCCCGCATGATGTAAAGCACTACCGCAGCCAAACCCCACCACTCCGCCTCCTCCTCCCACCACCCGGCACCACCGACCCGCCGGGTCTGCCGTTCTTTCGTCAGGAGACTGGGTGGGGAGCTGAAGGGGCCACCCATGTGGCCCTAGGAGGGGTACGGGCTGTGAGACTTTAGGTGGAAGGGAACGTGTGCCGGGGCCCTCGCACCCCACGTGTGCCGTAGGCCTCAGCCCCGGGGTAGGGCCCAACAAGCAGGCTCGGACATAGGCCCCTCTGCTCTCGGGTACCGGTATTTTGCATTGGTGCTGTAACACCGTACCCTGCTGCTTATGTGCTCGCCCCGCAGGCACCTTCCTTGCAGGGTGCCTGCCGCCGCCCTCCCCCTGCTGCGGAACCTTGCTGGCTCGCTGGCGCTCTGCCTGGAGTGGCTTCTGCGGCGGGACGGCGATGACACCGGGGGACCGGAGTCGAAGGAAATCGGCCTGATGAGCTCCCCCGACTACTTCAAAGCGCCCATGCGCGCCCTGGTGCTGCCGTACGCCGAGTCGCGCCGCACAGCCTCACTGGCAGCCACGCTGGGCAAGCTGCTGCTGCTGAAGCACCGGGATGACCAGCACGCCGTGTTTGCTGCCCAGGTCCGCGACCTGATGGATGCCCTGCCGGCGGAGGCTCGCGACCACCTGCTGCCTCGCCGCTGCGGCCACCCCGGCTGCGTCAACCTGGCGGGGGTGAGTGAGGAGGAGCTGCCGCTGCAGGTGTGCGGGCGGTGCGGAGGGGTGTGGTACTGCTGCCGGGAGTGCCAGATGGCGCACTGGCGGGCGGGGCACCGGGAGCAGTGCGGCAGCGGGGGCAGGCGGCGGGGGGTGGCGGGAGGGGACACGTGAGGGGCCATGGCTGGGTGCTTATGACGGTCGGGTGTTAATATGACGGTCTTTGTTTATGACGCATGCATGTACAGCGGATGATGCCTTGGAAGGGACTGGGGCCCTGAGCTGCTTTATCCGCCTGTCTGGAGCAGCTGGCAGGGTACGTAGCAGGGTGTTAGGAGCCGTGACAGGTCCGGCATGTGTGCATGAATGCGAGTAGCGCCGTGCAATGTGTACAGTAAGAGAGAGTTTCACTGGGACGGTCAGCGGCGTGGACGAATGCGAGTGGATGGGCACATGGGAAGCAGCGTTACTGCCGCGCAACTGGACTACTGCGTGCAGGCGGATGGACATAATCCGGCTTCCTGATGTTCTGAGGAGGTTACTTCGCCTTTTCCTCTTTTTCCTCAGCTGTATGGGGCATGCTGTTCTGCAAGCGTTTGTCAGGTCCTGATGTATATGTGGGAACAAGGCGTGTATGCACTGAAGGTCACGTGTAAACCCACGCGTGCTCGTGTACAGAGCTCCGTGCCCTCGATCTTGCCACCCATGAGGTCGGGACGCTGGGATCCGATCCGGCCGCAGAAAGGGCAGCAATCGTCGGAGGCGCTGGGCGGCAGCAACAGGGTACGGCAATCCGAACTAAGCGTAGTACGGCTTTTCAAAGTCCCGGTTACCGGAAAGCCATCCTAAGTAACCTAAAGCTCCCCCCCCCGCCAGCCAGTTCCGTTGTATCGCATGCATGGTGCGACCCTGACCCTGAAAGAAACAAAATCTTCGTGATTCTCCGTACTTTTTTAAACAGTCAGGGATCCTGATCTTATCGTGAGTATCTCAACCAAGAGCCCGGCTGCTGCCCACCCGGCAAGCAAGCAGCCGATTCACCGGAAGCTCAAATTCTCTCAACCACTATTGCCCTCCTTATCATCTCCTGACCAAACAAGCAACACCGCAAAGCCACAATAGCCTCTTTAGGCAACTTTATGCAACTGCTAGAGCAGCACTGCAAAAGAGCAGCAGAGGCTCATAACCAGGGCAGGGCATGTGAACCCAGTTCCAAATCCAAGGCAACGCAGACGTGGCCGACTGCCGGTATGCGCCGTACAGTAGGTGATAGCTGGCGTCCCATTAACCCAAAACCCCAATCGCAACCTCCTGACCCTTCCCCCCCACCCGGGCCCCAACCCCCGCCACGACTCCAAGCAAGCTGTGTGACTTGTAAAGGAAAAGTCCTATTCTTCTAGCCGAATTTAGCTGATATCGCAACAATTGGAAAAAGGGTGACGTGTTCAGCCGTGATTACCATTTTTTCCCAAAGGTACCAGGCCAAGTCAACCTCCACCCCTCATCACCGCAAGGCACCGCAAACGCCAAACTATGCCAAATATTTCTTACTTGAGCAGCCACAATTGATATCCTGCTCACATATTAGCTTTCTCGTCGGTTCTCATATGGCGTCAGCTAGTAACAGTGGGAATACCGTAAGAGTACAAGGTAGGCAAGGATAGGCACTGCGCATTCTCCTTCACATTCTCCTCCTCCTCTTCCCGATCCCCTACTTCCTCTCCACTGCAGTGGTGCCTCATCAGCATCTGTCAGTCAGAAACAGTAGCAGCAGCAGCAACAGCGGCAACAACAGCTGCCTCCTCTATCTACGGCTCAACACCAGCCTGCTCTCCCTCCTCCTCCTCCGCAGCAACAGCAGCATCACAGGCCCCTCGGCACGCAGCCTTCCCCCTTCCGCTACCCTTCTTCACGGCACAGAACATCAGCAATCTCTTCCTCCTCCTCCGCTCCCCCCTCCTCCTCCGCTCCCCCCTCCTCCACCTGCTCCCCCTCCGCAGCGCCTTCTCCCCCTCCTGCCGCGCCTCATTGCGGCAGGTTTCCGGACGAGGGTGTAGCTGCGGAGGAACCCGAGATCGATCCCGACCGAGCGCGCATCTCCATCAACGGCGGCAAACCCAGGCCGGCCGCTGCTCCCGCCAGATCCGCCATTGTACCGCCTGACAGCACATGTCCCCCATGCGCGGCATTCATGTGCGGCTGCTGCTGCTGCTGTTGGAGGAGTTGCTGCTGCTGGTGGTGCGAAGGCATGGGACCTGCACCGCCACCGCTTCCGTAGAGGCCGGCAGCTGCGGCTTGCTGCTGCTGCTGCAAGAACTGCTGCTGTTGCTGCTGCTGCTGCTGCTGCTGCAGATAAGCATGCTGTTGTTGTTGCTGTTGGTAGTTCTGTTGTTGTTGTTGCTGCTGCTGCTGCAATGCATGCATGTGCGCAGCTGCCTGTTGCTGCTGCTGCTGTTGCTGATGCTGCTGCAGCATTCCCTGCTGCTGCTGCTGCATTCCCGGCGGCTGCTGCAGCTGTTGCTGTTGTAGCAGCTGCTGTGCCGCCTGTTGCTGCTGCTGCAGCAGTTGCTGCCCCACCCCCACACTCGCATCGATGGGCATGAGGGAGGGGTGGATGGACAGCAGACCGGCAGCGGAGCCGCCCGAGGGCTGGTTGCCGGCTGGGTTGGGAGGAGACGGGGAGGAGAGTGGAAGAGGGAGGGAGGTCGGCGGAAGTCAAGCACACTTTGATGTGTATAGGATAGCAAGCAGAAAGAGCAAAGGCAGCGCTGCCTCTCATGCAACACACGCGCGATACCACCGTAATCGCACGGTCGGTTCGCTGTTTCCGCTTTACCCCGCGCGCATCCCCTCCCTCGAAGCCCATTCAACAGGAGCTTGTCGTTTTGTTAGCCACTCCCATTCAGCATATTGGATATTTTCTCTACCCCTTCCCCTTCCCCCGCTCCCCCCCCCATGCACTCACGCACGGAGTAGCCGCCCAGCTGCATCGTCAGCAGCTGAGTGGCGGGCGAGTCGGGCTCCCCCAGCTCAGTTGCCAGCGCGCTCGCGATGCCCAGCGCGTCGGGCACCGCGGGGTAGCAGCGGACCAGCAGCGCTGCCATCTGGGCGGGTCGGAACACGCCGCGGAATACGGCGATGGTGAACTCCAGCACCACGTGCTGCTCGGAGCGCAGGTTGTCTCGTAGCTTGGATACCGCTTCATGGGCCTTTGTGGGGGAGGGGGGAGGGAAGGGAGGGGGAGAGTCACGCTGCTAGCTACACTACCGTCTTCCTCATTACCACTAGCCACCCCCTAGCCCCACTTCGGCACTCCCAATACGCATCCCCCAACACCCACGCGCCCCCAACCCCCCAGTGCCCCCCCCAGGCACTACCCCCTAGCACGCCCCTCCCCATACACACTTTCCTTTCCGACTCGCGGCCAGTTTTCTTACCACCCACGCGCCCCCCACCCCCCAGTGTCCCCAGTGTATCTCTCCCCTCAGCATTCTTCTTCCCCCTCAGTGTTCCCAGGCCCCCCCCCTTCCCAGTGCCCCCCCAGGCACTACCGCTACCTTGATGTAGCTAATTGAGGACTTGGTGTGGTAGGTGTCGTGCGGCAGGTTGGTCTGGATAGAGATGTTGAGGTGCTTGCGCTCCTCCATGATGGGCTCGATCTTGGCCAGGAACATGCGCTTCAGCTCCACAATCTCCGACATCTGCTCGGGGCTCAGCTCGATGTGCTTCTGCGGGGTGGTCAAAGACCATACCGAGAAGCATAGGAGGGGAAGTGAGGAGGGGTTTGAAGGTGTTTCGGGGTGAGGAAGGGGAGGGGTTGTTGGGTTGGGTACCGTGCCGCAGCGGTGGCCGCATAAGCTCAGGTGTTCGACCCGGCTCGGGCAGACATCTACTCTCTAAGGAGGCGAGGAAACAGAGATTAGGAAACAGAGCCCCAGCCTCTCCCAGCCCCCCCTTCTTTTCCTCTTTAACCCCCTCCCTGCCCCGCCCAGCCCCCACTCCCCCCCGCCCCTCCCCCTCCCGCTCCCCACCATGACGCTCTTCCACAGCTCGATCACCTCCTTCTCCGTGTTGCCCAGGTACTGCCGGCTGAACACAATGAACTTGCGAGCCTCCAGCGGCCGAGCCACACCCAGCCGCATCAGCATGACACTCTGCAGGGGGGTGGGGGAGGGGAGGGGGAGGGGATTAAGAGGAAACAACTAACTGACCGTGTGATAAGGCGGAGAGCAAGGAGGAAGGAGAGTTATACAAGGTTCAAACCCTGACACACGTCCCACCCGGGAACGCAACCCACTGCAGACCCCCGGCTGCCTCACACACCCCCAACTCACCAGCTCCCGCACCAGCCGCTCCAGCTCCGCCGCCGCCTCTCCTCCCGCTCCTCCTCCTCCTGCCGCTGCTCCTCCTCCCTCCCCAGCACTCCCACCCGCCTCCCCACCCTCCGCTCCTCCTCCCTCCGCCCCAGCCCCCTCTCCCGCCCCCTCTCCCCCCTCCGCTGCTCCCTTACCCCCACCTCCACCCGCACCCGCACCCCCACCAGCTCCCCCGCTGCTCCCCGTCACATCCACCAACCGCATGCTCAGCTCCTTCACGTAGGTCTGGTAGATGCGGTAGATGTCCTCGCTGCTGAGCTCCTTGATGGCCTCGGGGGTGAGCGGCACCAGCGCCTGCGGGCCCGCCAGCGAGGAGGCGAGCTCCGCCTCCGCCACCTCCTTGTTCTCCTGCATCACCTGGATCTGCTCGTTGCGCATGTCCAAGACCTGGAGGCGAAGGGGGAAGGAAGGGAGAGAGGGAGAGGGAGTGGGTAGGCGTGATGCAATCCCCATGGGGTGAAGCCTAACGCTACCTGTCACACAGGTTACCGTGGATATCTTCTCTTTCCACCAGTACACCTGTCCTGCACGCTGCACTCCCCGCCTGCCTGCCACCCCCCCCCCTGCCACCCCCCCATCCACCTTCTCCAGGATGGACGTCCTGCTGTGCAGTGCCGCGTTCTCCGTCTGCAGGTTGGACACCTTGGACGCCAGATCCTCGATCTGCTTGTGAAGCTCCATCAGCTTGGTCTGCGGGGGGGGGGAAATTATATAAGTGAAACAACGAGTCCCAAGCCCATATCCCGACTCATGCAGTGAGCGCATTCGGAGACACTATCCTAAAGAGAATTCTCTGAGCTGCGGAAGGAGAGAAGCAGTGTGATTCTCAGAGAAGGAGGAGCGGTGTGGTTGTCGAAATAACTGAGCCGCATCACGACACAGAACACCGCGCGTGTTAAAGAAAGCTGGCCGTGCGTTCTTAACCCACCTTTTGACGCTCCCTGAACCTCCGCTGCGCCTTTCGGTTCTTCTCCTGTAGCGCCGCGTGCCGCCGCTCCGCATCGTCCTCCGGCCCGCCGCCCGTCTCGCGCTTCTTCTTGCTCTGCTTGTGGTGCGGCATGTCACCATCACTGCTGGCGCTGTCGCTGTTGGAATCCAATTCGCCGTCGGAACTGATCGGATCCGGCTCGCTGCGAGGGCGGGAAGTGCGAGGCGCGGCGCGACCGCGCCGAGTGCTGGCGCCCTTGCCGCCGCCGCCGCCACCGCCGCCAATGGTGGCGGTCGCCGCCGCTGCTATTCCGGAAGTCGAAACGCCGCCGCCGCCGCCATGGAGGCCCAAACCGCCTAACAACCCCGCGCCGCCCATTGCGGCGGCGCCCGTCGCGTATCCGTGCAATGCAGCAGCCGTTCCGGGGCCGCCGCCGAGACCCAGCCCGGCGGCGGTGCCGAGCGACCCGCGGGACATGCTGCCGCCGGCCCCCGCAGCGCCGCCAGTCGCGAGTGCCGCATTGGTGTTAATGCCGAGGAAGGTATCAAGCTGACTAAGCGCGCCGCCCATGCCTGTCGCACCGGTCAACGCGCCCAAGCCGCCCAGCCCGCCAAGCGCCCCGAGGCCGCCCAGGTTGCCGTACGACGCGGCGTTCAGCATGCCACCTCCGCCGGGCTGTTGCATGGCTGCCAGATCCATAACCCCCGGCTGCATGCCGGATACCCCGGACTGCATGAGACCGGCGGTGCCTGCGCCGCCGGGCCCCGGAACCAAACCCATGCTGCCCGTCAGCCCCCCCGCGCCCATAACCGCAGCCGCCGTCATTCCGCCTGGCCCCATGCCCCCAACCGACATGCCGGCAGGGGCGCCCATGCCTCCCGGCCCCATGCCGCCCACACTCATGCCGGGCATGCCGCCGGCAACGCCCATGCCTGGTGCTGAATGGCCCATGCCCCCCGGGACGCCGCCCATGCCGGCGTTCGGGCCCATGGGGGTGGCGGCGACGCCGCCGGCTGACATGACGCCGCCGCCTACCAGGCCGTGCATGCCAGAGGGTGGTTGCATGCGTGCGGAGGGCATGAGGAGGTTGGCGGGGTCCTGGGGGCGCATTTGGTGCATGCGTTGGTGGTCGTTGGTGGGTGGGTGGAGGCTGTTGGGATCCAGCAGGTTGTCGAGGAGGTTGTCCAGGACGTTGAGATTGAGCTCGTCCATGGATCTGGTGAGAGAGGAAGGAGGAGAAGGAGAGAGGTTGCGGGAGCGAGGCAGGGTGTGAACTTAGGTTCGCGCCGATACGTAAACAGGTCGGATAAAGGGGCCAGGTCGAGAAACGCTTGTTGGTTAAAGAGGCATGTAGATGCATGCGCTATTAATGAAGCGGGTTGCATGCTACAGGATGATTGTGTTGCATGCGGCTACGCCGAGACACTTCGAGAGTCAGGACGTGCCATGGGCACAGCGGGTTCCAAAACCCCTTACGCGCTGCAACGAGGCACACCCTTGACTGGTAGAGTGTTGCACGAATGCTTACTCACCGTGAGGTGTGAAAGGAGTCCATTTCTTTCCTGGACGGACAAGCTCCGACGCGCCTAATGCTCTGCAAGGGCTTTTGCTCCTATTGCCCTGACACTGAACAGCTGTTCATGAGGATGCCCAGTGCCGGTATTAAGGTAAAGCAGTGCCCCTACGCTGTCTTCTGAGGTCTGCTGGAAGTTGGTGAAACGCCGGACGACCAAGGCACACGTATCAGCCAGGAGCGGTATGGCCTATCTACTCGCAGAGATATTTGTCGGAGTCTTTGGAGGTGTAATTAAAAAAGCCCTGGTAGGCTAATGCTTGTTGGCCAACATAACAACGTAACCGAAATAAGAAGGTTAAGCTGCAGCGCTTTGTCTCTGCAAGCAAGCGAATCGCCTTCTACAGAAGGATTGCCACTTTAGATATGCGTAATGATTGAGGCACACCTTACAAATGTACGACATCCCCAGGCCTCCAACAAATAGAACTGATTGTGCTAACTGTTAGCAAAAGCAAGTTGCATCTTAACTGCGGACTTCTGGCTCTGGGGAGGTATGGGTCTCTAGAACATGGCCGTACTATCCTAACACGTGCGTCCTACCAGTGTTTTAAAGTAGCTAAAGATGGCTCAAAATTTTACGAGGTGAGATATGTTGACCGTCGCCTATGCGCAGATCTTCTTTCCTCCTTTTAGCCCATACCGGTATGCTCCGTTCATCCACATCACCCGCACCACGCCCCTACCAGGAATCCCCCTTCAACCCCTTCTGTCTTCAATGCTTGGGAAAACACACCTAATGTATGCTGAATAATTGCACCTCATCTGCATTGGTCTTGCTAAACGGGAGAAGTTCTAATGCCTGCTTCTGTAGCCATAAGCCGCACAGGAATGTACAGTGGGACATCGTGCAAAGGGTTGGCAGCGTCTACCGGGCCCTACAACTTGAGGTATTGAAGCGGCATGCAGCCAACTGTTCGTTACCACATGTCTTGGTTCCTGGTGCAACTGTCGTACAGTTCCCTCCTGACCCGCGATGCTCCCGTAATGTCTACGGGGAATGACTTGCCACTAGCCGTCCGCCTTCCGGCTTTCGTCATGTCTCTTCCAAACTCAACGCCAGACGTTACAACACCACCTCAGGGTACACCAGGCACCCTCCCGGATCTGCACATCTCATGCATGCCCCCCATCTTCCCATGCATATAGCACCCCCTCGCCCAACACCACCGCCTCCTCCTCCTTCCATACAGGACCAGTAACACGCAGTCCTCATGCCCCATTGTTGCGCCCTCGCTGCGAGCCCCCCAGCTGCGCCTTCCCCATCACCCCTCCTCCCACACCGCCTCCTCCTCCTCCGCCCCCGCTTCCACGGCCAAGGCTGGCAAGGCTGACAACCGGCGCCCCAGCAGTCGTACCACCAGCAGCACCAGCACCACCAGCACCACCACCACCAGCGGTAGAGGTGGAGGCGGACAGCCCACTAGGCACACCCGGGGCACTGCTGCGACGACTACCGGCGCCGTTCGCTACACCTGCACTACCTGCTTGTACGGCACCACCATTACTGATCACACTGCCACTGCCACGCTGGTATGCAGCTGCGCCGCCGTCTTCAACGCCCCCAGCAGCAGCAGCAAGGGAGCCAGGCCGCCCGCCGGGCTCGCTGGCTCGATGCCGCTGAGAGGTGTACGGCAGCTGTTGTTGTTGTTGCGGTTGACTGTTGTCGTACAATCGACGGCGGTCTGAGACCGGCATGCTGGCGGCGGAGCTGCTGCTGCTTAGGTCGGCTAGGCTGAGGGACATTGGCTGCTGCTGCTGTTGGCGGCTGGTTCGCATCTCAGCGGCGGTAAACTCTTTGCCTCCGTCACCGCCGCCGCCTGCCGCTCCCGCCGCTGCCGTTGGTCGCTGCCTTGCCGACGGCAACGGCGGGGCCGCGGACAGCCTAGCGTCCAAATTGTGGCCTACCACCCTCGAACCCCCTGTCACGACATTTGCAGCGGCCGCCGTCACAGAGCCGCGTCCCGCCGCCAGCGCCGTGCTGGCCTGTGCCGTCGCCGGCGCGGGTGCGGGACACCGCAGCCCCGCCACCGCCGCCGCCAGCCGGCCGCTCCGCAGGCTGTGCAGTCGGGCCTCATGCTCCGCTGCGCTTGCTGCGTACTGCGCCGCCAGGGCCTCCTGCGCTAGGCTGCGTTCCAGGTGCTCCCGCGAAGACGCAAGGGACTGGTCCACCAGCGACTCCAGCATGTTGGCACCGTTTCTGAGCGCGGGAGGAGGAGCAGCGGCGGCGCTGCGTCGGCTGCCGCTGCCATCGACCGGAGCAACAGCAGCGGCGGAGGCAACGGGAGCGGCGGAGGCGGTGCTGGGGATTTGTACAACAGCGGTGCCTCCACGGGCGGAGAGGGAGCCGCGGCCGGAAGAGATGCCATGTGGTACGGTAGTGGCGGCGGAGGCGTCGATACGTGGCTGAAGCCGGGACGCCGCAACGGCGGCAGGTTGCAGTTGGCGTTGTGCAGCCGCCGCAGTGGTTAACGCTGACGTCAGATGTCGTACAGGTTGAGCCGGTCCGCCGCCACTGTCGGGGGCGTCGTCACAGCAAGATGGCGAGGAGCAGAGCTCGGGTGGCGGCGGACGGGGCAGCCACATGTCAATGCTACGGCTACTGCCGCCGCCGCCGCCGCCACCACCTCCGCCGGCGCTGCTACTGCTGTCACTGCTGCGCCGTACATTGGCATGTTGCTGCTGCTGCTTAGCAACCAATGTGTCGCCCGTACCACCGCCGCTAATGGCGGCCGTTGAATAACGGTTAGTGGCAACGGTAAACGGAAGCTGTAGCCCATCGACGCCAACCCCAACGCCTCCAACGTCTCCTGCCGACGGTCCCGCAAGCCACGGCGCCGCCTCAGCGGAGGCCAACTGTACGGCATCATCACGGTCGACGACGCCTCCCGAATACATGTCGTACAACGCGCCGTCACGAGAGGATGCACCGGTCCAAGCTGCGCCGCTGCCGGAGGCCTCCCCATGTGGCTGCTGCTGCAGCGGGCCGCCTCTAAGATCTGCATCCGGTTGAGATCCAGTGCTGCGACGGCGGCGTTGCTGCTGCTGCTGCAGTTGAGTCTGCGCTGCCGACGCCAAAGCGTGCGCAGCTACCCCGTCTTCTGATCTTATTTTGACACTTATGTTCGCGCATGCATGGACGCCGGCGGCGCTTCCGGCTGCCGCCGCCGCCGCCTCGTGCCGGTGCATGGCTTGCACCGCCGCCGCCACCTTCCTTGCCGCCGCCGCCTCCATCTGTTGCTGCAACACCGCTGCCGCCGCGGCAGCCTCAGCGTTCACCGTCGCAGCGACACGACGGAGCTCTTTCTGATGCCCATCTCGCAGCGCCGCCGTCTTCGCCAGCTGCTCATTGTACGACATCTCGTACTGCCGCGCTAGCGCTGCTACATGCTCCCCATGCGCCGCCTCCGCCGCAGCTAAAGCTCCCTCATGTTCCGCATGCATCGCCGACAACTCCTCTGCATGCTGCCGTCTCAAGGCCTCGACCTCTGCGGCGTGTCGAGCCTCAGCCTCGGCTGCGACCGACCCATGGGTCATTTCGAGGTGCGCTAGCTCCTGCTCGTGACGTCGTTGCAGGGCTTGCAGCTGGGCGGCTTGCTGCTGCAGATCGGCCTGTTGTTGTCGTACCACCGCCTCTAAAGCCGCCAACTGCGGGAGGAAGGCATGGAATTGTGGCTTGGTTACCCCATCAGTGCCCTATGAAGGCGTAAACACGTCACTACAGTCCATTCGGCTGCCTTGCTGCCACCCTCAACTGCCCCCGTAAGACCGTCGCAAGGCAGCAATGTCGTAGCTAGGTATGGTATACATCCCAGGCCTAGGCCCACCCCAACGCTCCGCTCATCTCCCCGCGCACACCCACACCCGGTGCCCACTACAAGCCCTCCAGCGCTGTCCTCAGCAACGCCTACCCTCCTACACGTCTACCCAACCATACCTGCTGTCGGTGATGCTGCGGCGGTGTCGGCGGGGATGCCATCAACTGCGCCTCCAAGCGCTGCCCAGACCCGTCTTGTTCGCCACCTGCGTCATTGCTGCTCGGAGGCTGCCCTCCCCTGCCATGCAGCTGCGCCGCGCCTTCAGCCTCGTCTGCCTCCGCCTCTTCAGCGTCTTCGGCCGTGCATGTGCTCAGCAGCTGAGCCTGCAGCTCGTGTACAGTCGAACGGAGCTCCGAAACGTCGGACTCGAGCGCCTGGACAAGCAGCGGGGCAAACAGGAAGGTACGACAAAAGTGAGGACGGTACGCAGTATGCAGTAGGGACCGTTTTCGCAGTCCGACCCCTCCATTGAGGCGTACAAGTAAGGAAGCAACGGTGCAAGGATCACGCACATGCCCTTCCATGCGCCAACACGCGGCCTTCCCTGCCGGTATGTCCTCCCTACCTGTCTCTCTTCTTCGTGGCACCGGCGAAGCTCCTCCACCAACCTCTCCCTCTCTGCTGCCGCCGCCCTACACGCCTCCGCCACCGCCGCCTCTACCGCCTGACCCTGCTGCCCTACCGCTGCCGCCAACTGCACTGCATGCTCCTGCGTCAGCTCCTGTAGCCGCCGTTGAAGCTCCGAAACCTCAGCCTCATGCCGTTGCTTCATCTCCTCCAATCCGTTAGCTCCGAAACTACCTCCCTGGAGCTCCGAAACCTCTGCAGCGTACTTGGCTTGCAGCTCCGAAACCTCAGACGCATGCCGCTGTTCTAGTTCCGCCAACTGCTTCACCCTCTCCGCCTCCGCTGCCACCAAGGCACCCTTATGCTCCGCCCTCAGCGCCTCCAGCTCCTCCTCGTGCTGCTTCCGCAACTCCTGAAGCCCTGCAATATGCCGTGCCTCCGCCTCGGCCGCTGCCGACCCATGGGTCGCCTCCAACTGCATCCTCAACTCCTCCAGGGCCGCTACACGTTCTTCTTCCAGCCTTGCGCGCAGGGCGGTTAGCTGGCGGTTGAGCGCCGCCGATGCGTCCGCATGCGCTTCCACGAGCGCCGCTGCCGTATCGGCTTCAGCCTCCGCTCGGACCCGTGAGAGCTGCTCTCCGAGCCGTTCCGCACGGCTTCTGGCGGCCTCCAGCTGCGTCGCAGCCTCCTCCAGCTGCTGCTGCAGCTCGGCCACCTTGACGTCACGAGCCGCCTGGATCAAGGATGCAGGAGGGATGTGAGTTACGGGAATGATGGGTTACCGTACTTTAAGAAAGGGAGCCATTGCAAGATATACCGTGTGCTCATGCACCATGAGCAGTTTGGAACCATGGCGGGCTCCCCACCTGCGCCTCCTCCTGGGCTGTCCGCATCTGGTTTCGGAGTTCCTCCATCTCCACCTTCAACACCTCGTGAACCGCCAGCAGCGCCTGGTAGCGCTGAGCTGCAGACGCCAGCTCCTCTTCCGCCTGCGAGAAGACGAGAATGAGGAGGAGAGGACCATGCATTAACGCACATATCATGGCGGATTTGTACCAGGATTGTGAAGGGTGACAGAGGATAAGCGAATAACAGTACAGACAACATCAATAAATAAGGTTCTCGACCGTGCACACCCTACCAGCCATACCAAACAGCCAGCCAGCCCCTAGCCCCCATGCCCCCAATGTGTCGTACCTGGCGTCTGGCCCGCTCCCGCACCTCCGCCATGGCTGCCCGCACGTCGTCAAGCGGAACACACTGCTGCCGATCTGGATTGCGATGGTCGGGAGGTGAGGTCGGGGAGGAGGAGGGAAAGGGGGGAATGCCTTCCTCAGAACGTGGTCAGGTGAGTGGCGAGGAGGCGACAAACAAGAGGGCAGCTGTGCAGCTGTGCAACATTTAAACGCGAATGCAGCTGAAGACACCGCAACCACCATGTACAAGACCAATGCACCCAGTGCCGTACTGTATTGTAGGCAACAAATCAACAGCGCAAGATATGCTGCATGCCGTGTGTTCTGTCATACTACCTTTTGCCGCTGTGGACAGCTTTGCATTCAGCTCCCTCAGCCGTTCAATCTCGCGAGCAGCCGCCCGGAGTGCATTCGCAGAAGCAGTGTCAGGTGCAGCAGAAGAGGAGGAGGATGAGGAAGAGAAAGCTCCTGGGCCCTGTGCGGCCTCATCCACCTCTCCCACCATCTGCTCCCCGTGACGCTGCTCCTGCTGCTGCTGCTGCGGTTGGTGTGGTTGCTGCTGGCAAGGATGCGGCACGGGCAGCTCGTCGGTCTGAACCTCAGCGTCTGCGGTGGTGGTAGGAAGCGGCATGGACCCCAGCGGCACAGCGCCGCCCCATCCGCCGCCGCCGTCGGCTCCGGCACCGCCAAACCGCCCATCATAACCGCCATCGCCACCTCCTGCGTCGAACCCACCATCGCCGCCAAAGCCACATGCACCGCCACCGCCGCTGCCAGCTCCGTCCCCATGATACGCCACCGCCTCCTCCTCCTCCGCTTCCTGGTCCCCTTCGTCATCGTCATCGTCGTCGCCAAACAGCGCTTGCTTTAACGACCGTGCCATAGAGGCAGGCGAGGGCCCAGCCTCCCCCCGCTCCCCTGCCTCCTCCAGCCCCTCACCAGCTTCTGCCCCTTCCGCAGCTGCTGCTGCCACCATGCCACCAAACTGCTGGCAAAGGCCGGAGCCCGCAGCCGATGAGGCAGCAAAGCCGTCGTCGACGCCTGCCGGCGCAGCAGCCAGCACCTCGCCTGCTGCACCCCAGGCGCCGCCGCCACCCCATGCTCCGAAACCACCCCTTGCTGCTGCTCCCATGCCGCCTTCCGCCGCTTCTGCTGCCACAGCGACGCCGTCAGCAGCAGCCCCAGCCTCCGCTGTTGCTTGTTCATTTGCAGCAGCAGCAGCAGCTGCGACGGCGGCGTTGTTCGCAGCCCATGCCGCCCGCAGCTGCGCTTCGAGCTCCGAAACCTGCTGCTGCAGCCCATTGGCCCGATCTGTTTCCCACAGCAAACGTTCCTTCAAGTCTTTCACCATTTTGGCCATCGCCTTTGCGGCGCCGGAGGTTGCCTGGGAGTCCTGCTGTTGCTGTTGCTGCTGGTAGTGCTGTCTGTGTTGTAATTGTTGATGTTGATGTTGCTGCTGCCCTTGTGGTTGTGATCCGTCATCACTGAACCCACCGCCGTATCCGCTCGAAGGACGACTGGTGTGGCTGAACGCACTGAAGCTCCCCGTGCCGCCGCTGCCGCAGCAGCTGCTGCTAGCGATGCTGCTGCGCAACGGGTCATTGCCGTGCAGTGCCTGCTGCCTCTGCTCGTCCTGTGGCTGCTGCTGTTGCTGCATTTGTTGTTGTTGTTGTGACCCATGGGTCCAGGGCGGTGAAGGTTCCGAACGGTCCAGGCCAGAAGCCAGAGGCCGTTGCAACTCCTGTACAGCAATACACGGCCATGGGGCACAACACAAAGAAACGACTCTTCTTTAGAGGTCACATAAGCGAGGGTGTTCCCGAACGCACCGAGTTGTCTCGACTACCGAGACAACCGACTGCCAATACCGTACACGTTAGAAACCACAGTGCCGGCGCAGCACAGAAAAGCTAGGAAGGGTGCGTACCAAGGACAGCCCACATGCCATCATGCCCCACCTGCAGCTGCTTCAAATACGCAACCTGGTGAGCAGCCATACGGGCCTCTGATTGGGCGGCTGCCAGCGCTTCCTGTGACGGGTGTGGATGCGCAGTGGGGGAGGCTCTAGAGCAGTGAACCAAGGGACATGTGGTGCACCGTGCGCACGTGCGGCTTGCGTCATCATACTTTCCATGGCGCACAGGCGCTGTTTCGTATGCCTATTTCTTAATCACAAGAGCGTTTGGCGTTTTGCCCCAAGTCACCATGCATGCAGCAAAGCAGGTGCCGTGCGGACGTCTCCATGACTCAGTCACCCGTGCTGCACACACACCTGCAAGGACCGTCGCTCAGCCATGGACTCGTTCTGCCAGCAGGGAACGAGGACGGCAAGATGGGAGCATGTGGTCAGGTACGGCAAGTCGTGCATGGAGAGCAAGCGGGAAACCGGTAGCAGTAGAGCTTAAAGCAAACGGTGTAGCAGCGATGAAGACGAGTCGCACCAGACGGGCTCGGCAAGCAGAGTGGGGCTATGAATACGATTTAAAAGGCTTCTGGCTGCGGCGCTTAGTGGGGGAATACATGACAGGGATTGCGACTTAGAGATTGCGAGTTAGGGGTCACGAGAGGGGGCCTCACCTGCACCCTCCTCAGCTCCGCATGCAGTCGCAGCAGCGCAGCACTGCCGCCCGCCTGACCTGCGTTGGTGCCCTGGGGGTGGCAGGGTTGGACGGGTCGCGACCGGGTCCGGGGATTACCGCGTTGCGTACAGAACGTGTGACGTGGTGACCCCATACAGGAGGCTGGTAGAGCTGCTAGTAGGCGCAACGCAGACGCACGGGCTAGGTGATCGGCGCCAGTTTTGTTGTTGTCACGCACCCTTTCATCCCCAACCCTCACCTCCAAATGCTCGTCCAGTGACGCCTCCAGGCACTCGTTAGCAGCTCGCAGATCCCGCAGGTCGCACTGGGCCACTTCCAGGTCCTGCGGTGACCCACGGGTCACATGGGACTTCTGTTAGTAGCTCCCAACATGCCACGCATTTAGTTATACCCACCCTTCCATGCCTGCTTCCCCTACCTGCGCAAAACACTGCCCTAGCCCAGTTAAACTAGTGCACCTAGCTCCCCGCACCCCGAAGCGGTCCAACCCAATCCAACCGCCGCCAGCTTCCAACCCATTTCCCACTTCCAGCCCCACCTACCGCCGCCAGCCTCTCCCTGGCCTCCTGCTCCTGCAGCAATTGCCGCCGGAGCTCCTCCGCCGCCTGCTGCTGCTGCTCCGCCGCAGCACCCGCCTCCCGTGCCGCCGCCTCCGCTGCCTCCGCCCGCTGCACAGCTGCTGCAAGCTCGGCTCGCAACGCCGCTGCCTCCCGCTCTGCAGCCTCCGTAACCTGCCGGCAAGCGATAAACGGGACATGCAAGGTTGGGCCCTTCCGCCCTCATGCCTGGCCTCGACAGCGCCGTTCCTTTTCCCTCCGAACCCTAGCCGCCACCCCTGCCGTACCCGTACCTTCCCATTTTCTCCACATCCTCTCACCCCCCCCCGCACCCACCTGAGCCAGTTGCGCCTGCAGCCCGTCCGCCCCCCGCCCCCGTGCCGTCACCATGACCCGTACGGCACCCAGCTCCGTCGCCAACCGCTCCCGTTCCGCTGCCGCCGCCGCGCCCGCCGCCGCCGCCTCCCGCTCCGCCGCCTGTAGCTGCTCGGCAAGCGCTGCGACCTCCTCCTGCAGCTCGCCTACCTGGGCTAGCCGGCCCGCCAACTCCGACTGAAGCTCCGAAACCATGGAACCCTGGAGGGTTCCCGGAGGAAATGCGCGGGTTATGGGTGAGGTCATGAAAGGGGGAATCATTGAGTTAACATGCGAGTGGTGGGCTATGCGACGGCGTGTGGATGGCCGTGGATGGCGGCTGTCGGTACTGGTAGGTAGTGGTGCCATGTGTTCCCCACCCATCGCCGCTAGCAACACCTTCACAACAGCGCAATCGCGCACCTGCACCAGTGACAGACGTCCCTGCAGGTTACCTCCAAGCAGCGTCAGGTTCTGTCGCAACGTCATCATCTCCGTCTCCAGTCGCCAGTTCTCACGCTGCGCCGCAGCCAGGTGCGCAGCAGCGGACTCCGCCTGAGATGGATGGATGGGCCATGGATGAGGTTGTAAAGTGATGTGGGTCAGCCAAGATTGTGGGTCAGGATTACGACGTTGAAGTTTTGTGGGGCACAGTAAGGTGTGGGATATTGGAAGTTGTGTCGGCGAGATGGCCAGAGGTTTGGGGCATTATCTTGGCATTGGTTAGCGTACCTGCTGCTGGGCGCCGGAGGCTCTGCGCTGCCACAAGTCCAAGGCTTCGCGTAATTGGGAGTACCTTCGCTGTAGTTGGTCCATGTCTGTGTTCGGAGGTAACTTGTGCCAAGCAAGGTGCGCTCCGCTGGCTTCGGCTGCATCGGCAACTTTGTCATCCTGTGCCACCTGCCAGGCGCCGGTGTCCGGTATGTATGATTGGGATGAAGGTACAAGGTGCTGAGATAAGTGATGCTGTTCCGTTGGATGGACATGCGGTAGAGGCTGAGGAAGGTGGTCGACATCCGGAGTTGCGCTCGTAAGTGCCGTCCGCGCGGCCAGAGATTTTGGCCGAAATGTCCACCCTATGCTATCGGGAGGAGGTAACTCCATGCTTAAATGTGCTGCTACGTCACCGCGCTGCTCGGAAGTGCGTCTTGTTGCATTTTGACCAAAGGCTTTCGTAAGGTAGGTCAGCGTAGCTTGCGACAGTAAGTATACGTTTCAATTGTGGCTGGATGTAATACGATGTATTCGTTGCTTGCGCAAGGGACTTGCCAGACGACCCAACCGTACGACACGGCGCAAATGGAGGGAAAGCCACACGAGGTAAATAGAAGATACAACCTATAGTCGCGAAGGATAAACGTTCAGCGACTATAAACGCTTATGGAACATACGACAAGATCGGTTGGACAATCACTGCATAGCAAGCAACCACCTAAAAGCGACGATCTTGCATCCTTCGCCACTTCAGTGCATTAAAACGTGAGCTTCTGCCCATTATTAGTGTCCAATTAACCTTACTGCGTTGATGCCGGTGCAATCAGGTTCCACAGTGACATCTGATACGGCAATAACCATTGGTCCTTTACGTCTTTTAATGGCTTTGAGATAAAGTGTTTGTTAGTCTGCCTCAGGCGATCGTTATTACCCTGCCTATGTAACACGGTATGGCATATTGCGCTGTAAGTACTATCACGCTGAACGCCTTTGCCCACACTTATTCGCTCTGCATCCGTAAAAGCACCCAAAGAACGTGTCCGCACTACTTACATGCTACACAAGTTGGCATTAGCCGTTCCCACGGCGAGAAGAAGTGGCTTACGTGTCAAGTTTGCTCGAGCATCGTGCCCATCCGTGAAAGCACCGTTCAGGCTACGGCTCTGATGAACACCGATGTGTGCTACGGCAGTCAGGTACTACGCCTGCTAGCTAACCGCATGAACCTACTGATCACGACTGTGCTCGACTGCGCACAAGGCAACATGGCGAACACTGGTAGCATGTACAGTGTTTCCTCTTGCGCACAGAGGACTAGAGACCAGCCCGCGAGCTTAACCTAACCCCCCTCCCCAGGGCGCGGCAGCGTTAACTGTTCTGCTCGTAATCCCGCGGTCCCCATGAAAGGGGAGACATACCCAAAGCACGCATGCCATTGCCACGACGGCAGAAACCCTAGCCTGTACCGTTACGGCACCCCGCCAAGAAGCCCCAAGTACAACAGCATACACCGTTACTACCCAGGCACCCATGCCACAGCTCCTGCAAACCCTCCACGCACACAAGCCGCCACAATCACAAGGCTTCCGCTCTACCTAAACGCGCGTGAACGAGCCCTTCACTAAGCCACCACCACCAGAGCCCCTCACAGGTCGGCATAGGGGTCCCTCTCCAGGCTCCACAGCCCCTCCGCCCCCGCCCCGCTCTTGCCCTTGCCCCGCCCAGCCTGCTGCTTCCCCTTCCCCTCCCTCCGGCCCGCAGCTCCCTTGCCTCGCCGCTCCGCTTTGCGCACGCCGCCCTCCTTGACACCCATCTTGCGCCCGCCCGTCGCCCTGCCCCTGCCCTCCCGCCGGTCACCCTTGCCCGAGCGCCCCAAACCGCTCACGGGTGTCAGGTTGCCTGCCCGCACCGCCGCCTCCCACTCCTGCAGAGGGCGCGGGTGCGAGGGTGTGTCATAGGCGGTAGTAGTTATTTGATTTCCTGGCTAACCTATTACCCCGCACCATGTCGTCCCTAACATGCTCATTTCTTCCCCGCTCTAAGCCCTCACACCCCTACCCTGGATCATGAGCAACCTGCTATGCCCCCCCCCCAGCCCTGACACACCCATGCCCCACCCGGTGAAACTTCTGGTAGAGGTACAGCGCCGCCCGCGCATCGTCCACGGGTGTGTGCTCGCCCTGCTGGATGACTAGACCCAGGTGCGTGGCGGCCAGGTCCTGGAGGCGGGGGCGGCGGGGGGGGGGGGGAGTTAAAAGGTGCAGGGTGGGGGGGTAACGTGTATAGGGTTGCTTGAGAGATATCAGCTGGCGGTGGCGGGGCAGGAAGCAGGAGGAGCAGGAGGGGAAGTAGCGGGGTTACGGACCTCATGGTACACGTTCCTCCTCGCGTCCAGTGTTCTCCTACCACACACAGGCCCCCCCTCCCCTACCTTGAGCGATGCCGACACCTTGCGCCCCCCCGGCAGCTCCTTCATGAGCCCCGGGTACTTGGCGGTGTCCCGCAGCAGCTCCCGCGGGTGTGCCTCCAGCCGCAGCGCGCGTAGGTCGTTGCCGATGGAATGCCCCACCAGGATGCGGCCCGCCACCATGTGGGCCACCTGGTTGCAGGGGCGGGCGGGCAGAGGCGGGGAGTTAGGTGAGTGAAGGGGAGTGAGGGAAAATTAAAAATACGTGCAACAACACAGTCCCAATCCCGAATCCCGACTCATGCAGTGGGCGCATTCGGAAGGAGGGAAGGCGTGAGGAGGAGGAGCGTTGAGGAGGAACATAGGTTTCAGTGGGGAGGGCGCAGGTAGCGGCGAGGAGCACCTGAGGACCACAACGCTGGGTTGCGTGCTTGCGTGCTGCTGCTGCGTCTCCGCACCCGACCCGCAACAATGCGCCCCCACAGAGGCTCCCTGGATTTCAAGTGCGGGCGCAGGTAGCGGCCTAACCCGGAGGAGCACCAAGCAGCGCGTTCCGACTCGCGGCCAGTTTTCCCCACACGCACACCTGCTGTATGACGTCCTCGTGGGGTCGCCCGTTGGCCACATCTGAGGGGCGCACACCGCTCACCCACGTCCTGTTCGGGGGAGCGGAGGAGGAGCGCACACAGCCGCGGGAGGGCACGAGCGGACAAGTGAGCGGGAAAGCTTCAATCGTGCCAAAAGGTGCGGGATATTTTACATGAGGGGGCCCCGAGGCAGCTACCGGTATCCTGAGGGCTGAGGCATCTCACCCAGTTCACCACCACCACAGAGGGCCGCCTCCCTCCCTCCCTCCCTCACCTGTAGTCCGTCACCTTCTCCTTGGGCTTCACAAACGTGTCCAGCAGTACCACCCCCGAGCTGTTCACCAGGCACACCCGTGCCAGGGTGCTCACACTGCCCTTAGGGCCCGTGCCCACCATCTCGCAGTCGATTGCCAGGACCTTTGTCAAACCCGTGTCGCTGCCCACGACGCCGGGGCGCCGGCCACCCGCGGTCGCAGCGGCGTCGCCGGCAGACGCACCTGCGGCCGCTGCGGCGGCTTCCTGACGACGACGGATCTTCTTCTGTATGTGTTCCGGCGGAGGCGGCCTTTTGGCTGCTGCTACAGCTTCTTTAAGGGATTGCCAGTTGGCATTGATGGCAGTGGCGCCGCGAGCGGCGGCCTTGACGCCTGCTGCCGGAGCCGCATGGGCTGTCGTACCGTCGGCGCCGGGTGCTGCTGTTGCTGTAGCGACTGTGACGGCGTCGACGGCGGCGGCAGCGGCCTTCTTCGCGGCATCCTTGGCCACTGCTGCGGACGCCTTGGCGCGATCTGCCGCTGCCACTGCTGCTGCTACAGCCTTGTCGGCTTGCTTGCCTTTGACCGCTGCTGCAACCGGCTCCCTCCGTTGCTGTTGTACCTTTGGCCGCTTTGCTGCTCGGGTCGCATCTGTGCCCTTTGCACCAGCAGCGGCACCAGCGGCAGCGGCGGGGGGACCTGCAGCGGGTCGTTTCTTGCTACCAGCAAACTGGCTTGCAGGGCCTGGTTTTGTCCCTTTAGGCTGCCATGGTCTCTTGGTGTTGCTGTTGTTGCTGACAGCGCCGCCCTGCTGGTGCTTCCCTGCAGCTCCTCCGTTGCTGCGCGCTTGCTTGGCCATAGGTGCGGCTGTTGCTGGGTGGCACACGCTTTGCGGGACCCCAGCTAGCCTGCCAAGACTGCCTCAAAAGCACTGTACGGCACAGCGCCACAGCCGCTTCCCGGCTAGCAGGTTGGGTTGCGCAGCGGCGGTTGGGTGACAACGAGGTGCGTGCAGGCGTCCCGGAGGTGTGCTACCGGAGCACCTCCAAACGAAGACCTGGATGAGGTCTTAACGCTTAGCCGCCTCAGCGGTCGCTTTCGGCCCCGAAATCGACGCCGGGGCTGCTGCTGCTGGAGAGGTGGCCTGAAGCTGCTGCTGCTGCTGCTGCAACTCTCCTGCAGACAAGCAGCAAGGTTGGGCAGGCGAGGCGGAGAGAGAGGTATAACCCCGTGTCAGGAACACACGCGAGCAACGTACAGTAGCATGGGCCGGAGCTGGACAAGGTGATACCCGGCGGCTTGCCTGGCAGGGCAACCTGCTTCCATGAACATGTCGGAGGTGTACATGTCGGAGGGTACTGGAACGCCTCTACGGGTGCGGTGCCTGGCGCTTAGGCGGCGCCAGGACCCACAACCCAGATCGCCACACCCCAGCACCCACCGTTGACGCGCTTCAGCTGCTCCTCCCGCGAGGAGATGAGGAACACGCCTCCGCTGCGGTAGTACACGCTCTGCGGGAGGGGTGGTGGTGGAGTTTCACAACAAACACGCAAGGTAAGACACGTGGATTGCCAGGAGAGGCCGAGTGGCCAGGTAGAGGGGAGTGAGGTTGTCGGCATGAAGGTCAGGCGCCTTACGCCAAGCGCAATGCCAGGGCTGGTACTCAGACCAGCATGGGTGCAGGTGCAAGCAGCCGCTCACCCTGCCCTGCTTGAGGCTCTGAAGCTCAGCAGCAGCGACCTGCAGCTTGCGGACCTGCATAGTGCAGGGGAAGGTGCAAGGGAGGCCGCGGGGTGGGTGTTTGCCTGGCTAGAAGGATTTCCGTCTAGGATGGGTAAGTGGTATTCTGTAAGGCCGCGCAGCCAAGGTAGCGTGAGCTGAAAACGTGCAGTTTGCAAGCTCCATAGATGGTCGTCAGGAACAACGACAATCCGAGCGTATGCCTTAGCTACGGCATACGCAGCTAAGGCATGCGCTCGGATTGTCGTTGCCCCTGACGACCATCCATGGAGCTTACAAACTGCACGTTTTCAGCTCACACTATCTTGGCTGCGCGGCCTTACATAATACCACCTACCTATCTTGGAGCGGCGGCTGCATGCGCATACGTTGTGAGTATGTACGCAGCGCCCAAACTGATACGAACCATCCAGACACACCTGTTGTGGATTAGCGCTTACAGGCACCTTGCCGCTGGCCGCGTTATCTTTGGATGGAAGAGCAGTTACTGGCTTGCCGTCTCCAGAAGAGCTCATAATGCAGCCCAATAGTTGTTTTGTATTTCACGAGAACGGCTATCGTTGTATAAAATTACGATATAGAGCACCGCGAGGAAGAATGCCTTTAGGGTTGATACGGCTCCCACCAGCATCACTTCATCGCCGCCCGATCGCTATGCAGCGCTTTGCATGTTATTCCCAGTCTCTATGTCCCCAATTTGTTAGTACAAATGTTGAACATGCCAGTTTGGTAGTTTGCGTGGTAGTTACCCGTACCACCTTGCTCACGCTCCCCCAGCCTGTAATACTCGCTTTCCAGCCTTAGGCACTGATGAGCACAGCATGCATTGTGCCTGGCTTCTTTTAGTGATCTGGCTTTTCAATGGTAATTCGGCTTTGTGACACCGCCGCGCACAGGCTAGGGATATCTAGCAGTAGACTGCAGTAGCATGCGAACTCAGCTACCTACTTGGCTGTTCCAAAACAATAACTGGAACCCCTGAAACTGAAACAACAACAACCGTGGGCCTTTTGGTTACCATTACGGAGCGTCCATCATACTGCACTACGAAGCATTTTCCTTGCTGCCATCTGTCGCCTGGACTGTTATTCCCTTGGTAACGCATGGAACCTAGGGAGCAGCTCTATCAACCCTCCTAGCTCCCCTCACCCTATTGTACCCGCCCGCCCGCTCCGTAACAGCAACCAAGCGTCTGTACGGAGCTACCCTGTCGTAGCTAATGTCGTACTGCAACCATCACAAGCTGCTGGGAGTACGGGATGGCCCCAATATGCAACGTGCAAGTGTGCCTTCCTCCGTAGCATGTCTCCGTACGGCACGTCCACAACTCTCACGTTACAGCGTTAGCCACGACGACACAAAGAAGAAGACACAGGCGCAGCATTGCGCCTGAACCACTGCTGCCCCTGCCATTGTTGCTGCTGCTGCAACCGCTGCTGCTGCTGATCTACAGGCGGCGACCGCGGCGGCCACCCTTCCGGCGGGTGCTGTCGGTGGGGATGGGCGTCACGTCCTCTGTTGTACGGCGGAACGGCAAATTTCCGTACAGCGTCCGTACGTCCAATATGCAAAGCCGTCGTAATGCGCAGCATGTGACCATGGTAGCCATTCGCCAATGCGCCGAAAGCGACCGCCACCGCAGCGGGAGCGATACCAGGACGTGCGTGAATGGGAGCAGTGGGGAGGGGGAAAGAGGGAAGAGAGCCGGGGCCGGTCAGAACTACACCGAAGTAAACGAGGGAACATGCTCGTAACCGTTGCTAGGTTGCATGACATGCAGATGAGCGGCAAAAGAAGGCAGCAGAGGCTTCTGGGGAGTCCTAGAAGCACAACACCTAAGGCGCCTTAATTCCTGTCGGGGCGGCTCATTGCTTACTTGGCCAGTACAACGCAAAAACGAACAACCACACTTTCCTCGCGCCCCTGCATCCCTCCCCTCGCTTCCCCCCACGCGTCAACCCCTTGCTGATGCAGCGGCGGTAGATGTGCCTGATTAATTGAACCCCTGTCCAGCCCAGGGGGGATGCCCCGCAACCCCTGGTGGCCCGCTGACACCATGGGATGTTATCCTAAGCCTGTGCACAGTGCACGGGACCGGGATATTCGCAGTCCAAGATAGGTGCAACCCGAACGACTGGCCCGTATTAAACTACCCAGTAGCCTAAGTTACCAAGTTTTCCCTCTAGTTGGCTTTAGTGACGCCTCCCAGTGCCTTGTTCACCCACCAATGCGGCCAATCTTCATGCCAGCGCGGGCCAGGGCACGCAGAGCGGACTGAGCGCCGGGGCCGGGCGTCTTGGTCCGGTTGCCGCCAGTAGCGCGCAGCTTAATGTGCAGGGCAGTGATGCCCAGCTCCTGCACAGCAGAAAAAAAGCTCCATCTTAATTCTACTGCTTCACAGAGCAACAAAAAGCCTAGGCCATGGCTGATATGTAAATCTAATTTGCTGAAAAGCGATTGCTGCTTGCTCCAGAGCAATCGGCGCCAGTCCGGGACTGCTCCTGCTGCCGCCCCGGCCGCCACTCCAAAGCGTCGGCGCTGTGCTGCTGCTAGCTGCCCTCCATACCAGCTCTTTCCTTTATACTTTAATATGTCTGAATAACATTTGCATTGCTGCTGCTCGCCAGATAGCTGTGATAGCAGCCATAAAGCTGCAAAAACGGTCACGCCCCTCCTTAAGTACCTTGCACTTCTGAGCCACATCCTGCGCGGCAAGCATGGCCGCGTAGGGCGAGGACTCGTCGCGGTCGGCCTTGACCTTCATGCCGCCGGTGACGCGCGAGATGGTTTCCCGGCCAGACAAATCAGTCACATGCACGAACGTGTCGTTGAAGCTCGCGAAAATGTGAGCGACGCCGAAGACGTGCTCGCCCTCGCGGACAGTCGGGCCCAGGCTGACAACCTCCTTGGGGGCCTCATCGCCCTTGGCGGCCTTCTTGGGGGCCATTTTGCTGTTTCAAAGTGGTTGTGCCCGAAAACGGGGCTCGGCTAATTAGCACAAGAGAGGGACCTCACAGAGCAGGCGCGAGCGCTATGCAGCAGGGCGCACGAATATTGTACGGCACAGGAGGCCCAACAGACGTCCAAACCGGGCTATGGGAAAAGAATTGTCGTTAGTGTCTACCAAATAACGTTTGTACAATAGCGCGTTCCACAGGCATTTGCCCTACCGTCTAGAGCGCAAGTATACGGACTGCTCGTTGTTGGTAACCGTAACTTCCTTAAAGTTTCCCCTTTCCCCTTATTGTTTGGACTCTATATACCGGAACATTGTAAAGGCTTATGGGCTTAGGCATGAGAAGATTGGAGCTAACCTACAGCTAAATCTCACATGCACTTTCCTGGGAGGAGGGCCTCTGTCTGAATGGGCCAAGCCAAGTCAAAGCGCACGTATGCTTTCCAGCCTCTGCCATGGCCGGAAGCTCTCGCAGCTTTCCGCTTAATCGACCAGGTTCGTCGTTACATGCGTCGCTACTGCCGGGGCCCGCTAATGAGACGCCGTTAACATGCATACAACCCAAATTTTACAAGTCCGTGGTTGTCATGGTTATCGTGCTGACCCACTTTCCCTTCTATCGCTGAGGATAACCATGTAACGGTCTCTTGCATGCAGATATGTGGAATTGCCACCACATATGCGTCGACCCAACTCCAGAAGCATGCAGGCAGGGTTATGGATAAGGTCAACGAGATACAGGTGCGCCAGTTCCCATCATATGCTCAACAGTTTGGACCGAGTCGTACCTTGCCGCAGCTTTCCTTCATGCCATGCTCCTCCCTTCCCTCCCCACTCCCTCACATTGGAACTTCTTTTTTCCCCCCTCCCCCTCCCCCTGCCAGCGTCTGCCGTACCAGTGGGATGCCTTCGACGGCGACTTCGAGCGCCTGCGCGGCAGCCACATGGTGCGCCTGTCCACGGAGCTGCACACGGCACTGGACAAGCTGGAGGGGTGAGCTGGAGGGGGGGCTGGGCTGGGTAGTTGCCAACTTGCCATGCATGACGTACGCCACTTTTCGTGCGCCTCTTGCCCCGTCCCTAACGCCCTCCACCCTCCCTCCGCCCTGCCAATCTCCCCCTTTCTCTCCCTCCGCGCACCCCCAGCTGCAAGTACGACATGGGCATGCTGGCGGAGAAGGACCTCACCTTCAAGTGAGTATCGGTGCATGGGCAGCCTGGAGGGGGAGCGCGCGTGACCCCAGGGCCTGGTGGGGGGCGCACAGCCCGTTACGAGGGACCTCAAAAAACATTACCCTTACCTTACTGCCCCCACGCGCCCCGCGGCCCCCATCCGACCCCCCAGGTCCCACCGCCGCGCTGCTGACAAGGTGCTGGCGCTGCTTGCGGAGGTGGAGGAGGTGCACCGCGGCTTCCACTACGCATTCGAACTGGTGCTGTACGCAAGCGTGCGGGTGGGTGGGGGTGGGTGGGTTGGGTGGGTGTTTGATGATAAGAAGGAAAACTGTCCACACTGCGAACAGCGCCCGCGTGTCGCTTAGTGTATGTCGCTCGCTCGCTCGCTCGCATGCACCCCCCGCCCTGCAGGAGGACCCCACGTCAGCAGCGGAGCGCCCCGCTGCCTCCTCAGCCCCCGAGCTGCCGCCTGACCTGACCACCTCAGACGGAGGCGGGGCAGGCGGCGGAGGTGGAGGTGGAGGCGGCGGAACCGCCAACGCCAGCGGCGGCGGCACCGCTCCACCACCGCCGCCACAGCCACCTGCGTCCTCCCCAGGAGGTCTGGTTGAAGCCTGGTTAGGAAGCGTCCCCTCGCCCTCGCCCGCGCCCTCTCCCCTGCCTGACCCAGCTGCGGCCGCAGCCGCAGCAGCGGCCCCCGCGTCTGTCCCCGCCGCTGCACCTGCACCAGAAGCGGCAGCAGCAGCGGCCCCAGCCTCGTCCCCCTCGCTTCGTGACGCCGCCACAGCGACGGAGGCGCCGCCCGCAGCACCCACGGCATCACCATCGCCGCCGCCGCAGCCTGCTGCAGCAGCCTCCGGTACACCACCGTCACGGCGCCGCGACCGATCCGAGCGACGCACCCAGCAGCAGCAGCAGCGATACCTTGTCGACGATTACTACCAGCCACCTCCGGAGCAGCACCAGCAGCACCAGCAGCAGCACCCGCAGCAGCATGAGGAGCAGTACGTCATGGTATACATGCCCGCAGGTCCCGACGGTGCCGGCAGCGCGCAAGCCATCCTGGTGCCCTCCCACGCACTGCAGCCTGCTCCCGCTAGCCCGGCAGCCACCTCCGCCGCCTTACATGACGCCTACATGACACCGCCGCAGCAGCAGCGTCGCTTGCAGCCGCAGCTGCAGCAGCTACAGTATTCCTCGTCGCCGCAGCAGCCGCAGCAGCAGCAATACCCCGCGTATCCCTCATCTCGTGCCACCAAGACTCCGCCTCCGCCACCACCGCCGCCGGCCCCTCAGATGGCACATCAGTCTCCGCAGTACAAGATCCAGCCTTCCGCTGCGACCCCGGCCGCCACGACAGCAGCCTACCGCAGTGCGCCTTCATCAACACGATCCAAGCCGTACAACATCCCGTACGGCAACTCTCCATCCCGTACCAACACCAAACGCTCCTCCTCACCCACACACTACCGCTACTTGACCTCCTCCCCGCCCGCATCCCCACCCACATCATCCTACACGGCCTCCCCTTACACTACTGCTCCCGCTACCGCCGCCACCGCCGCCGACGCTGCAAGCTACGAGTACGGCACCGCAGGTAACGTGTACTACAGCCCATCCCAGCCGCCGTACGCTGCATGGGAGGCCTCGCCGCCACCTCCGCCGCCGCCGCCGCCGCCGGTACCAGCCGGTGCCGTACCGGTTGTCGTACAGGGCGCTACCCCCGGCAGCCTCATGATGCTACAGCCTGTAGCAGCACACACCACTCCCTCCGGAGCGTTAGTGCTACAGCCGCAATCGGATCCCTCTCAGCCGCCGCTCCTTGTGGTGGCTCAGGCCCCGGTGGAGGGGGCGGATGAGGAGGCTGGGGAGGAGGAGGCGGTTGGCGGTGGTGGCGGTGGCGGTGGTGGTTCGCCTGTAGGACTGCGGTTTACAAAGAGCGGCGGCGGCGGAGGAACCCACAAGACGTTTACGTACGGACGGAAGACGGGAAGGAAGGAGGGCGCGTCGTACGGCCGTGATGTGCCTGAGTACGTTTCGCCGTACCATGGCGGGAAGAGCGGCGGCGGTGGCGGTGCCGCTGAGGGGAAAGCGTACGGCAAGGAGTACGCATGGGACGACATGCCGTACACGTTTGACTTGTACGGCGAGGCTACCGGTAGCAGTAACCGCAGCAAGGGTCAGGCGCGCAGCGGAGGCGGGGCTCAGCGGCTGATGAGCCGTTTCCGAGACATGCGTCACGAGGATGAAATTGCCACCGGCACCGCTACAGACGATGGCGCCGCCGTCGACCCTACCTCACCGTACCACTTGGTACGTCAGCCTGCTCGACGCCAACGGAGCTCCCCCGGCAGACCATCTCCGGTCCTCTTCTCTGACGACCCTCTGTCGTACGAACGTCTAGCGGCCCTAGCCGGCCTGGATCCAGAACACATGGGTGGTACGGCAACCGGCGGTCGCGGCGGCGCCAGGAGCGCTTTCTCGCCTCCGCCGCCGCCGCCGCCAGGGTCATCGCCGTACACTGCCGGCGGCGGTGGTGGCGGCGGCGAGGCGGCTCTTCAACGTGCGGAGCTGCTGGCGGATGCGGCGGGTGCGGGCGACTGGCGGGCCGCGGTGGAGCTGGCGGGACTGGTGCGGCGGGGCTGGTGGGGCGACCCACGGGACGTTGCGGTGGCCAGGGGGCTGCTGCTGCAGGCGGCGTTGAAAGGTAGCGTGGTGGGCTCGTTGGGTATTGGGGGATATGACTTGTGACTGTGACTGTGACTGGTACGATTCCTTAGGAGACGCACATGGGGATTAGTGCCGTAGAAGCCGTAGAAGGTAGGAAGGCATCCACTTCGCCGACAGAAAGCGCCCCGGTTATCGCGCATAGCTCAAATCCCACCCCCATGCTCGGCCCACCCCCATGCAGGCGGTTCCTCCGAAGCTCACGCCATGTTGGGTGAGATGTCGGAGCGCGGCGAGGGCCTCCCGGGCGGCCGCCCCGACCTGGCGGCTGCGGTACGGCACTACAGCGCTGCAGCGGCTGCGGGGCACCGGGACGCAACCACCTCGTACGCGTACTTGCTGGTGAGGCAGGGGTGGAGGTGGGGGTCAGAGGGTTAAACCCTTACTTGCTGGTGATGAAGTACTTTAGTACATTGTAGATCAAGTAAAGCACGGAGAGGAGGAGTGGTGGTAGGGTTGCGGCCAGAGGGTAGTAGAGTAGGACTGCTTGACGGAGAGGTTGACTTTGGCTCGCTTGCAAGGTCCCGCTGCAGCAACCTCCTTGCATGCCGTTATTGCCGTTCTCGTAGGAACACGGACTAGGAGTGGAGCAGGACGAGGGCCGCGCGGCACAGCTGTACGCAACCGCCGCGCAACGCAACTGCCCAACCGCCGCCAACAACCTCGCAAAGATGATCCTGGATGGCAGAGGCGGCATCGTGGCTTCGCCCTCTGGCGGCACTGGTGGTCGGAAGCACGGGGCCTGGGCTTCCCCAGCCGCTGCTGCCGCCGCTGCGGCAGCGGCGGATTTGTCCTCACCAGTTGCAACGCCGACGGCGCTTGCAATGGCGCTGTTTAAACGCGCGGCTCAGTCCGGATCCGCATCTGCCTGGTTCAATCTGGGCATCTGTCACCTGCAGCAGCAACAGCAACAGCAGGAGGGTAGGGAGGCTGCTGACGGCGGTGACGTCGACGGCGGCGGCGGCGCGCAAGGATCCAACGACGGCGGCGGACGTACTCATGCGGAAGAGGATGAGGCGTTGGCCTGCTTTGCGGAGGCGGCCAAGCGCGGTCACGCACGCGCGGCGTTGCGAGCCGGGCACTTGTTGTTGCGGCGCGGAGCTGCTGTGGCGGCCGTGGAAGCCTTCACGACGGCGGCGGTCAACGCTGCAGCGGCGAGGGCAGCGGCGGCGGCGGCGCCTGCTGGTGGCGGGTCCGCTGCCGTCGTCGCCGCCGCTGCCGCGGCGGCGGCGTCAGCGCCGGCGGTGGAGGCGGAGGCGTTGTGGTGTCTGGCACAGCTAGCGGAGCGGCAGGCAACGGTGCTGGAGGCTCGAGCGGAGGCAGCAGCGGTGGCGGCGGCGACGGCGAGGAGCGCCGGCGCCGCTGCGGACGGCGGCAGCGACGAGCATGCGGGTGGAGACTCTACCGGCGGCGGCGGCGGCGGCGGCAGCAACGGTAGTGACGATGGCGGGAATGCTGGCGGAAGTGGTGATGGTGGTGATACGCGCAGCGGCGCGGGTGGCGGTGATGACGCGGATGGTCGCATGGTAAGGAGCCTACGGGGACCTGACGCATTAACGGCTTGTGTTAAAAGAACTGGCCGCGAGTAGGAACGACGACGGCTTGTGTTAAAATGGCTTGTGTGCGGGCAAGGCCCACACCTGCAGGAGCTTGTGCAGCGGTACTTGGTCTATCCTAAGAGCGGTTATGCCCTGGTTATGCCAACCTTTGCCCCAAGGAGAATGCATGAAAAGTATAAAGTTACTGCCTCCTCTGCAATTCGCCATCCATCTTTGCAAAACGTTGAGGAATTTCCTTTGACCGCGCATCGACCCCCCGCCCCACAACTGCCCGCCCTTACAGGTGAACCAGCTACTTGCTTCCTTGGCTGGTCCCGGCGCCGGCAGCAGCAAGCCTGCTAGCCCCAAAGCAGCAGCAGACAACAGCGGACCCACACGCCCGAGTGCTGCAGCTCCCGAGGACCACTCCTCGCCATTCGCTAGGGAGCTATGTCGCCTGAACTTCGAGTGCTGTCGCCGACCCGCGGGTCATCACCCGCAGCGCATCCGGGGCTTGAAACGACTACGCCGCCAAGCCCGAGAGCTGCTGACGGACACCACCACCGCTGCCGCCGCCGCTCTAGGCGCCGTTACTGGGGACTCGAGCGTTAGCGGCAGCCGTGGTTCGTCAATCGCTGGCGTCGGCGTCGGCGGCGGCGGTGGGCCTTTGGAAGCAGCACTCGCAAATCTGGACCTGCAGCTCCAACAACCCAGTGAACGAGCGCCTCGCTCGCGTCGCGCCGCCGCCGAGCTGGCGGCGGCGGCGGCGGCACTCGGCCACTCGGACGCGCAGCACTGGCTGGCGGGCTGGCAGTGGTCCGTGGGTCGGCAGGAGGCGGCGGTGGCGCTGTGGGAGGCGGCGGGGCGGCAGGGTAACTGCGCGGCTTTGATGGTGCTGGGACAGATGGCGGAGGCTGGACAGCTGCCGGCAGCAGCAGCAGCCGGCGGTGGGGGAGCTGCTGCAGGCGGCGGCGGGAAAGGAGGCGCGCGGGGGGTGGATTTGGCGCTGGCGGCACGATACTACCTGTGAGTTTGGGGTGCTTGTTTTCGTGTTGGCCGTGTGCGAACGATTATCAACAGGTGTCTGTCTTTGTCAAGCTGCAACCGACGTTGTAACGTGTATGGTCCCAAACTACAGAATATGTCTGTTTGCCTCTGCCTGCTGTACACTCCGCGCCAACCCCAAACTCAATTCCTTTGCCCCCGAACCCCACAGTCGAGCCCAGGACGCGGGTGCCCCAGGCGCCGTAGAGGCCATGCGGCGCATCCAGCGACTGCTGCAACGGCACCTCTCGCTGCAGAAGCGGCTGGAGGCGGCTGCCGTGATGTCGGCGGGAGCAGCAGGAGGAGGTGGAGGTGGAGGTGGAGGTGGTACGGCAGGAGGGAGGTACGGCAGGCGCAACTAGCTTGATGATGGGAGATCATCTCATGTGGCATGTGTCAACCGGTGCTGGTGCTGATGCTGCCGTACATTACGTTTAGGGGCGGCACTGACCCGCGTGACCCCGTATGTAATGACTGATGGCGGCGATGACGGCGGAAGCTAGCAAAGCAGCGCAGGAACGGCGCCTGACGTATCTCTGGGGTTTATTGTCTGTGTGCAGAAGGGTTTATGAACCCCGTGAATGGCAGCTGTGGGGCCACAAGTGAAATACAAATGCGATATCAGCGAGTAGTTTCTTGTTCATGTACCGTATATATGTGTATTCGTGCGTACCTAGTGACTTTTGTCTGAACTGCTGTGCAGCTGCTGTACATATCTTGACACATGTACATGAAGACAAAGCAATACACGGTGTTTCGACGAGAGGTGGTGCCGTACACCACCGTACATATGTTCACAGCCCAGCGCAGCTGTCGCTAGGGGCGTATTCTCTTCCTGTTTACCGGTATAGCTACTTCTCTCCCTTCATTACCTGTGACTTCTTTGGCTTTCCATACAACGCATACATAAAAATAATACAATAACCGCTTCCTACGCTGCAAGCTTTGATGGCTTTATGATGGGCACTGCGCATCCACGTGTGTCCCGCGGTCGGGGAGCAGGAGCATGTGTAACACCTTTTCGCGTGCCTCCCTTGCTGCGAATATGTATGAGAGTCCTCGCACGAGAGCCGCATCTCCCGGCTCCTAGCTGCTGCTGTGCCCGTCAGGTAGCAAGCGAGAGGGGAAAACAGGACAAGGAACGGACTGCACACGCAGCGAATGAGGGCACGTGCCTCCGTGCCCGTGTCATATACACCCCCAGACCCACAGCAAGCAACCCGTGTTCCCTGCCGCATCCCAGGCAGCCCAGTTCGCATATCAGGGTGCCATACAACACACCTCGACCCGGATTCGATGTTGTCGTCCCGCATCCTCGAGTTTCTACACTCGTAGCAGCTCGTAAAGCACTCATTGGCATACAAGCGCATGGCGCACAACACATCTTCACACACTGCTTGTCTCCTCTGCACCTGTAATCCGACATCGCATTTCCGCGCCCTACCTCACCCCACCAACCCGCCACCACCCACAAATCACCTGCATGAAAGCCAACCGCCGTCCTGCCTCCTACCCATCTGCCCCATGCATGCTGCTACGATGACACCCCCATGTACACCCCCCTCACTGCATCCATCTGTATCCCTCTGCACCCCTTTCCCCCCGTTAAGCTGCTGCCACTGCTACGTTACACTGCTGCCACTTGGCTGCTTGGCTACTTGGGCTTTCCGAACCCCTTGGCCTTGGAAACGGGGGCCTTCTCCTTCTTTCGGAGAACCTGCTAGGGGTCAGCGCGGGCGGGCAGAAGGGTGACAGGTAAGTAGCCAGGTAGCCATGAGGTGGAAGAAGAAGCACCGGAAGGGTCCAATGACGCATGAGGCGCATATGCGGGGCTGTCGGGCTGTGCTGCGTGCGGTCAAGTAAGAAAGCTGAAGAAAGGTGGATGCATGTAAAACGTGGGAAGTGCGGGGCGTGCTTTGCGGACCGTTGCAGTGAAGAACCGAGTTGCCGTGTCTTACCTTGCCGGGAGCCACCTTCTTGCCAGCGCTTGCAACCAGATCCTGTACGGCAGCGCACAACATACACATGGGGGTTGGTTGGGTTGTTGTACTTCAGGGTTGTACGGCACCAAGTTGGGGTCAGAGAGAGGCAACCAAACCGTTTCCAAACCGAAATCGCACCACATGCAGGGTTCGGTTGGCAACATAGCGAGGCCATGCACTCCCATGCCTCCCTCCTCGCTCGCTCGCTCGCACGCACCTGCAGCAGCTGAGCTGCCTTGGCGGGGTCGGTTCCCGCCTTCTGCAGCTTCAGCAGCTTGCTCATGCCTCCCACTTGGGACTTCATCTGAATGCGAGTGTGATGAGTGGGTGTGATGTACGGAGGGGGCGGCGAGATGTGTGACGGAGATGCACTTCAGGAGGCACAGAGGGAGAGAGAGCGAGGGGGTGCAGGTGAGCACCGTACGACCCCTAAGATCCACGGAAAGCGCACGCAGATAACCGTAAGGTCAACCAGGCAGGCGGAGCTGCACACATAAGCCTGCCCGTTGCACCCCTCGCTTCCCTACCCCTCTCCCGATTGGGACTTCACTGCTTCACTTTCCATAGCATTTCTCTCTCTCCCCCGCTGCCGCCCCCTCTCCTCACCGCCGTGTACGCCGCCATGAGCTTGGTCACCTCCGCCTCGCTGTTGCCGCTGTCCTGCGCTACCCGCCGCCGCCGGGACATGCTCTTGATAAGCACCTCGGGGTTGGTGCGCTCCTGGAGGGGGGGGAGGGAGGGAGGGAGGGGAAGAATACCAGGGGGGGAGGGAGGGAGGGAGGGGAAGAATACCAGGGGGGGAGGGAGGCAATGTGTTCAGGGAACTGGCTGCGAGGTGGTGTGTATGGGGCTAAGCCGCAACGAGCTGTGATTGTTGTGCAAGATGGGTCAGAATACAGCAGCAGCAGCAGCAGCAACGACAGCAGCAGCAACGACAGCAACAGCCATCCAGGTTGCAGCCACCCTCAACCGTTACACAACAACCACAAGTAACGCATGCCGTATTAGCCTTGTTTTGTCGTACCTCTTCGTCCATGGCGCTAATCATGGACTCGTACACCGCGAACTGCTTCTCCGCCTCGTACAACTGCTTCTCCGTGATCTGGTGGGGGATGAGATGGAACGAGATGAGATGAGGTGTGCCGTCGACACACGTCAGGGCTTGCTTCGCGGCCATTGTTGATCCACTCAACGCATGCGTGTGTGTATAGATGTACCGCAGGTAGGGGGGCCATGCGTGAGGCCGCAGATAATGCCAGGTAAGGAAGGGCGAGTGAGCTGGTAGCAGTCGGTGATTGTCCTAAGCATCCTGACCCCCTGGGCATCATCCCGCTTCGCACCCCCTCACCATCCCACCTCTTACCACCATCCCGCCCCCCACCTTGTTGAATCCCGGCATCATTTTGAGCATCTGCATGCCGCCCATGTTGTTCATGGTCTTCCACTGCAAGGGGGGAAGGGGAAGAAGGGGAGAGGGTCAGGAGGGTCAAGGATAAGAAAAGGGCAGGGAGGGGCACCTGCGCCCTGCCATGCCCTTCCAACACGCAAGTCCCTCCCCCCCCGGACACTCCTAGGTACTGTCGGCAAGTATCGACTGCTAGCTAACTCTCACTCCTAGCTATTCCGATCCGCCGTTCTCCACCCCCTCCCCCGCCTCCCCCCCCTCCCACCTGCGCCAGGAAGTCGTTGAAGTCGAACTTCTCTTCCATCAGCCGCTCCACGGTGCGCTGGGCGTCCTCCTCCTGGAATGGGGGCGGCGGAGGGGGAGGGGGAAGGGGGGTCAAAGACCATACCGTACCATAGAAAGCCACAGTTTTGTGTGTAGTTGAGTAGGACAGGAGCAAGCAATGGGGAGAGGTTCGCATGTGAACCGCGAGTACAGGCAAAACAAAGTTGACCGAACCTGAACCGTAATACAGAAAACTGCTTAATTGGCTTAATAGGAACAAGTGGGAACAACAACACGCATCAAGTGACAAGCCCCCGGTCTCCAACCCCACAGTTAGTTGTTTCCTCTTTACCCCCTCCCCGCCCCACCTTGATCGACGCCTCCGCCTTCTCGTACAGCGTAAGCATGTCGCCCATACCCAGGATGCGCGAGGCCATGCGCTCCGGGTAGAAGGGCTCCAGCGCCTCCATGCGCTCCCCCACTCCCACGAACTTGATGGGCTTGCCGCTCACCTGGGAGGGGGCGGAACAGGGGAAAATAAGTGATAAGCGCAGCAACTGGAGTTGCTATCCCATATCTCGACGCATGCAGGGGGGTAGGGGGAGGGGGAGGGGGATAAGGCATATGATGTGCCCAGCCTTGCCGCTGCGTGCCATTACTATTGCCCAGCTGCTTAGCTGCGTGCTAGCAGTCCTATTTTGGGGGTTGCCCTCGCGCCGCTCACGCAGATCATGCTTCGCGCCCCAGCGCGCCGGCCAGTACCAGTGCACATGCAAGTGCCCCACGCAGGCCCCTGTCCCCGCCCCCTACGTGGTGTACCAGTACCAGTACCAGTACCAGTACCAGTACCAGTACCAGTACCAGTACCAGTACCAGCCCCGCCCCCCACCCACCTCCCGCACGCTCAGCGCCGCCCCGCCCCGACTGTCACCGTCCATCTTGGTCAGGATGGCACCTGGGGGCGGGAAGGTGGAGAGGGGGGGTAGGGGGGGGGGGGTAGGGGAGCAGCAGCGCTATTTGGGCTCTGAGGGGCACACCTCCAGCAGCAGGCAAGCAGCCGCACAACCCTCACGAGCTCACCCACACAGCTCACCCACTCCCTGCGAATCCCCCCCCCCCACACACACAGCGTCCCCCACCCCCCACCTGTGATGTCCACTGCCTCATTGAACGCGCGCACCAGCCCCGCCGCCTCCTGCCCCGTCATTGCGTCCACCACCAGCAGCGTGTCGGAGGGGCGCACGGCGGCCTTGATGGCGCGCAGCTCGCCCATCATGTCCTCGTCAACCTTTGGGGGTTGAGGTGGGGGTGGGGGGTTGAGGTGGGGGGAGGTGGGTGTACAGATAAGGAAACTGACGAGGATACTACGGCCACGAGCTGTGTAACATGTAGGCTTCATCATGGGGGGGGGGTGCAAACAGCCCCAAACCTTCCCAGTGCTCCGCTCCTCCTCGTCCCTTCCCTTTCCCTCCCATGTCCCATGCCCAGCCACCCCATCCTTGCCCCCCCCCCTACTCCTATCCCCATTGCTCTTTGCTCTAACTTGTAATTTCTATGGTATACTTTTGACCCCCCCCCCCACCACGCTCTCTCTCATCGCCACCCCCCAGCTCCCTCCCCCACCTGCAGCCGCCCCGCCGTGTCCACGATGACGGCATCCACACCCAGTCGCCGGCCCTCCTCCACTCCCCGCTTGGCGATCTCAACGGGGTTCACCTGCAGGGGTGGGGGAGAGGGGGGTGGCCGTGAGGGGGCCCAGGGAGGGAGGCAGAAGGGTTGAGAACCGGAATGGGAGGCGGCTGCTTCAACGCGCGCCCGCTCCATGAGTTCGATATAGCGGCTGATGCAAGTGGCTCTTTTCCTGCAAACTCCTTTGGGGGTGGGCTTCAAAGGGGTTCCTCGTTCCCACCGCCACCCCCGCACCCGATGCGTTACCCCGGTGCGTTACCCCCCCACCCACCCCACCCATCATATAAATTTATTTTACCCACCCCACCCCCGCCACCCGCCCCCCCACCCCCGCACCTGCGTTCCCATCTCAAACACCGGCACGTCAATGGCCGCCCCCAGCTTCACCAGCTGGTCGATGGCTGCGGGTCGGTACACGTCGGTAGCCACCAGCAGGCAGCTCTTCTTGGAGCGCTGCAGGTGGAGAGCCAGCTTGCCGGCGGCGGTGGTCTTGCCAACACCCTGAGGGGGAGCGGGGGGGGCATGTCCGCTCGTCGTGGCTTGGTAAAGGCTTCAATCCCCTCTCCCCTTCCTCTCCAGCTTCGGCCCCCCCTTTCCCCCCTTACACTCGTTTTGGTGGGGACATCATCTTCCCCGGCAATCCCAGTACGACCCTGCTCCTCGCCGCCAGTCCTCCAGCAACGCACACACGCACCAGCTCCCCCCACCTCTCCTGATTGTCAGCAACTTGTATCAGTATCACACCACACTTTAGAATTTCCTTTCCCCCCCACCTGCAGCCCCGCCATGAGGATGATCTGCGGGAAGCCCGGCTCCAGCTCCTTGGCTCCCACCCCGCCGCCCATCAGCTCGATCAGCTCACTGGACACCACCTTGACGAACTGCACGTCCGGGGTGACGCCCTGGATCACCTGGGGGGGTAGGGAGGGGGGAGGGGGCAGGGAGGGGGACGGGCGGCGGGGTACATTGAAGGAGAAGGGAGGGAGAGGAACCGGGTAGGGGGTTAGGCGGGGATACGGCAGTGGGGGATGCATCTGGTGTATGTTTCGTACACAGGACGTACACCCTTCCCGCCCGCCTCCAACCCGCCCGGATGCCCCCCACGGTCTCCCGGAGCTGCCGTACTACCTTGGTTCCCAGCGCCCGCTCCTCCACTCGCTTCACGAAGCGCCGTACGACCGGCAGCGACACGTCAGCCTCCAGCAGCGCGCGGCGGACCTAGGGGGGGAGGAGGGGGCGGCGGGGATGGAGGGATGGAGGGAGCGGGGAGGGCGTGACGGAAGGAGGGGTGAGGGTGCGAGGATGGTGTCCTAGGTGGAGGATGTCCCCCCAGGGATGAGGAGCAGGACGAGGGCAGGCGAGGAAAACCCTCCCTGCCATGCTCCTCCCTGCCATGCTCCTCCCTGCCATGCTCCTCCCTGCCATCCCAGTCGACCCCACCTCCTTGAGCGGCTCCTTCATGTTCTCCGCCGTGAGCGTGCCATCCTTGCCTGAGGGAGGTGAGGGAAGAGGAGGTGCAGGAGGGCAGATGAAGACTTGGAGAGCAGGTGACATGGGACCGCGGCGAGGGGGCTCGAGGGAGGCACCACAGGTCCAGCCTAGCAAGCACCATGCCTCCTTTCTGGGCCCTACGCCCTGTTCCCATCCATTCCAGCAACCCAGCAGCTAGCAGCCGTCAGCAACCCCACACTTCCTTCCACTCCCCTCCGTTCCCTCCGCGCACACGCCTCCTCACCAATCAGCCTCATCGCCTTCTCCATGGAGCGACTGAGGTTGTCGAACATGGCCGCACGCACCGTCACGGCCCCCCGCCGGCTCCTGCTGCGGCCCCCCGCAACAAGGTGCTGCTGCTGCTGGATTGTACGGCAGCCGTACGGCAGGCTGGGAGACGTCCTGTGAGCCTGTGTGTGGGAGGGGGGAGCGGTGGTACGGGAGGAGAAGGGCATTGGATGCAAAGGGAGGATGGGGGGGAGGGTGTGGCGTGCGTTGGGTATGCCGGCAAGACGACGTCCCGAGCCCGCGGCAGAGCTGCGCCTATCTCCATACCCTGGGAGTTCCGCGCAAGAACGAGCACACGAGCATGCAGGTTTCGTACCTTCAAGCACGGGCTGAATGGTGCGAAGGCACCACGTAAGTGAGCTGATGCGATGGGCGCCATGAGCTTTCTATGACATGTTCCGCGAAGAGCAGACCGGCTCATTGAGGTCTGCATGGCTTTCGCTCTGGCAAGTTACTGAAGAAGGGCAGTTCAACGCTATATAGTGCAAAGGCAATGTAGGTTACGTTGTTCTTTACAGCGATGAAGCACTTCCACCAGATTCACGGAGAAGCGTGCAAGCACAATCGTCTTGTATAATCTGTATCCAATACCGTTAAGGCATTAAAGCCGCGTCTTCAGCTACAAAACACCATTAGTAACAACGAGCGTGGTTCGAGCTTGTTGTTGGATCAAGGTTGTACGACGCTGTGTAGAAGATGGAGCTCCAACACGGAGTTCCAGGCCACTCAATTGGCGAGGCGTTGTGTGTCTAAACAATAACAGTGCTGTTGAACTAATTGACTAGGTTACCTCCTTGTCCTACAAAGCTGAGTTTGTGTGCACGCATTGCTAGCCGGTTATACCCACAGGGCGCAAATAATGGTGTTATTTACTTTTTGGGAGCAGGAGTACTGTTTACAACCAATAGTGGCACTGGATCCTTGCGGCACACAGCCATCCCTGTACAATACTCCATACTGCCCACACGGCCCTCTAGCGCTTCTCGTGCCTCCACCAAACATGCAAGCCCCAGCTCAACGCAGAAGCCCACATAGAAGCCATCAGTAGCGCTCGTACCGGTCACGCTCCCGTTCGCCCCGCTCCCGATGCCTCTCATCTCTCGCCCGGTCGAGCCCTCGCTCCTTTTCCCAACCCGTCCCGCCCCGCTCCCGATCACGGCTCCGTTCCCGCCCCCTCTCCTTTCCCCGCGACTCCCTCTCTCGCTCCCTTTCGCCGCCACCGCCTCTCACATCCCACCGCTCCCTCTCCTTCTCCTGGTAGCGCTCCCTCCTCCGCTCACCATCCCGCCCATCCCCATCTCGCCTCTGCTCCTCCTCCCTGCCCCTATCCCTCCCCCACTCCCTATCACGAGCCCCGCGCTCCTCCTGCTCACCCTCCCGACCCCGCTCCCTGTCTCGCTCCCGACCCCGGCCCGACTCAGCGGGCTCCCTGGAAGGGGCCGACGGCTCACCCCAGCGGCTACTGCGGCCCTCACCACCCTCACCTCTGCGCCCCTCCCCGCCGCCACCACCTCCTCCGTCGCCCCTGCGCACTTGCTCGCCGCCACGATCCCGGTCCCGACCCCGATCTCTACCCCCATCTTCCAGGCGCTGCTGCTGCTGCTTCTCCTCGTCATGATGATGATCATAATGATGGTGGTGGCGACGGTGGCGGTCACTCTCATCGCGCCCATCCCGCTCGCCACCGGCATCCCGTGCTCGTTTGCCGCCTCCTCCTGATCCTGCTGCTGCTGCCGCCGCTGCTGCTGCAGCTAGGGCTGCATGGTCGGTATCAAGTAGCAGCAAGTCATGGCTGCCACCACCGCCACCGCCGCCACCGCCTCGGGCTCCCGGACCGTTGCGGGGGTTGTTCTTGAGCTCGATGCGAGACTTCTGTTGGGGTTGGGGTGCGGATGGATGTGTGGAGTGTTGAGGAAACTGGCCGCGAGGCGGAGTGTTATACCCTTAAACGTGGCGTGTGTGGGGTTGCGGGCGGAGATGTGCGGGGCTGCAGGACAGAACATGGCGCATTTGCATGGGAACATGGCGCATTTGCATGGGAACATGGCGCATTTGCATGGGAACATGGCGCAGTTGCATGGGAACATGGCGCAGTTGCATGGGAACATGGCGCAGTTGCATGGGAACATGGCGCCACGCGACCGGGTGACGTTGAGCTCACCCACCCACCCATGACCATGACGAAGCCTCGTTATACAGCTCGTCAGTTACCTTTTCTACCCACCCACCTAACATCCTGCTCCACCGCGGCACGAAACTACCAACCCACCCACCCACTCTCCACCCACCTCCTGCCGCTGGTGCTGGTCCGCCAGTCGGCCCATGCTGGCATCGCCCTTCTTGCCGCCCCTGCACACGGGGGCACAAACATTAACACATGTGTCGGCAGTGTGTGTGTTGGCAGTGCGGACTAGCTGCGCGATTGCCCCGGGTTGCAGTGACATGCGGGTGACAATTGACATGTAGCTGTGTGTTAACCCAGGCAGGCACGTGTTAAGAAAGCTGGCCGCGAGTCGGAACGTACCGGTGCTGTGAGGCACGTGTGTGAGTACCGTACCAGTAACATGCCGGACCTCTCCAGTCTCCACTCAAACGGCCCCTCCTCCACTCCGCGCCAATCCCCCTCGGATTCCGCGAAGCGTGAACCCCCCAAACCCACCCACCCAACCCCCCACACCCCCCACCCACCGTTTGAACTGCTTCCACAGGTGGTGTACGGACTGGCTGAAGTCCACCCGCACGCGGCGGTCGTCGATCACCGCGTTGTTCATTTTGAAGTACGCAGCCTCGCATGCCTCGTCGCTGATACGAGGAGGGGGGAGGAGGAGGGATACCCAATGTGTTCAATGAGAATGGCAGACAGGACGAGAGAGGGGGAGGGATATACGGAGGTGTGTGGTGAGGTGGTTTGGGAGGCAGGAGGGGAGCTGGACGCGGGGAAGCGGCGGGCGGCTCACCAGTCGAACCCGATGAAGCCGTAGTTCAGCGAGTCGCCCGTCTTCCAGTCGCGGATGATGTCGCAGGAGGTGACGCGACCGAACCTGAGAGGCAGGGGGGGCACATGGGGGGGACACAGGGGGCTGCATTCGGGAGGGCTGCATTCGGGAGGGCTGCATTCGGGAGGGCTGCATTCGGGAGGGCTGCGAGGCAGGCCAGCGCGGTGCGTTGGGGCGCGGGGAGCTGGGTGGACGCTACATGCCTCCCTTCCCAACACCCGCGTTTGCTCATGCCGGTGACAACATGTCATCATAGCGGTACACCTCATCAGCTCCCATCTAGCACCCGCTGCGGTACCGTACTGCAGTGCTGCAGTGCTCTTCAATGTCTCCCCAGCACCAGCGTCACCCGGGACCAGCTTCCTTAACACACAGCTCACCGCACCACATCACACACCCCGCACCCCGCACCACCCACCTGCTGAAAATGATCTCCAGGTCTTCCTCGCTGGTGACCGGGTTCAGCTTGCAGATGAACAGCATGTTGGGGGGCGGCTTGGCATCTGAGGACCAGGGGGGGGTGGGGGCGGGGCCGGGAGCGGCAACAAGTGCTCAAAGCGCGACGAACCGGGGGGAAGGGAATACAGGTCAGCAATGTGAATCCCTTGGGCCGCATGCAATCCCGCAATCCTGCCGGCCATGTTCTGGGTAACTCACGGCGCCGTACATTGCGGGCCCTCCTGCGACCCTCCTTTCCCTCCTGGTTAGCTCCTTCCTCTCCCTCATGCCCCCCTCCCCCTCCCTCGAGCCCTCACCCGCATCCGGCAGGTCGCCTCCAACCACTTCTATAGCCCATTGCAACCAACCCCTACATCAACACTACCTAGAGTACCTCCCCCTCCCCTCCCTCCCGCCTCCCCTCACCCGCATCCGGCAGGTCGCCCACCATCTCCAGCACCACAGCCCGGTGGTGCGCCTCCGCGCGCCGGCTCTCCGCCTCCACCTCCTCCGCGGGCCGGGTGTCCTGGTGCGGGGCCCAGTCGTCCTCTAGGCGGTCGCCCTGGAGGCAGGGAAGGAGGGGGTGGGGTGGTGGCGGTGGTGATCGTGGCACGGTGGGCGGTCAGCTGGTGGTGGAGTGGCGGGTGGAGTGGTGGTGGTGGTGGGGACGCAGTTCCCCATAGCTCCATAGCCGCTGTTGCCCATGTGCCCTCCTCTCCCTAGTGCCTTTGGCCATTGTACTTGCGGACGCAAAGCGGTTTTGGTTTGTCTCTGGTTCGACCGCAATGGCATGTACGGATATCTCCTCAATTCCGGCAAAGTCTTGGTCACACCGCACGCGATTCCGTCCAGCAGCCCCCTCTGGCTCACTGACTAAGTCCCCAACCACTGCCGTACAAACGGATGGTGCGCCAAAACAAGCACCTTCCTACACAACAGGGCACTAAATAAGGAAGCTATAGCCACAATCCCAGATTTGGCCCTTCCCTTGGCCTTTCCTGGCCCGGATTGCGGCTATGGCTTCTTTCTTTAGTGCCCTTTAATGTAGGAAGGTTGCAGATGTGCGCGCATTAAGATTAACTGCAGGTTTGGGGCCGTTTTTACGATAGTGGTTGAGGACTTAGCCTGTGAGCCAGGAGGGCTGCTGGACGGAATCGCGCGCGGTGTGACCAAGACTTTGCCAATCTTTTACGTCCTACCTTCCCGCCCGTCCCGGGCCCCCTTGCTGCACTTATCTTTAATTTCCCGTCCCCGCCCTCCCCCCTCCCCCTCACCTCCCCGAACTCTGGCGGCGGCGAGGCGGGCGGCACCAGCTCCCCCAGCTCGGGCGGGTCGGGGAAGGGGTCGTCCAGCACGATGGTGTGGCGGATGCTGGGCGGTTGTTGGGGGTAGCAGGGAGGGGGCGGAGGGGGCGGAGGGGGCAGGGAGGGGCGTGAGGGAGGTAAGCCACGTTGAACGGACCCCGTTACCCCCCGGAAGCCACGTTACCCAGTGCTGCCGTGCCCCGGCTACTCGCCCGCCCCCAAAACCTGCACCTCCCTCCTCTAGCAGCACCTCCCCGACCGTCCAACTGGCGCATGTGGCCAACCCCCCTGGCGCCCGGGTGCGGCCGCTTTCACCCCGGTCCCCCTGGCTCACCGGATGTTCTGGAAGGGCCGCCCCTCCGCGTCCACGAAGGCCTCGTTGATGGCGTCCAACACCTCCCAGCCCTCAGCCACCTGGGCGGCGTGCGGGGGCAGGACCAGGGACCAGGGGCCGGGGGATGTGGCTTGCAGGGGGCTTGCAGGGGGCTCCAGCAGCCTCCCCACGACAGCACACCCACGGTCCCATATGCTGACCTAACCTAGCGCATGTAGCCTAGCCTAGCCCGCCCCTAGGCGCCTTGCCGCCCCCAACCCACTGTCTCTTTGTTTTTCTACCCACCTGCCCAAACACGGTGTTTTTAAACCCACCTGCCCAAACACGGTGTGCTTGCCGTCCAGGCTGTCCAGCTGCTCCCCCGTGGTGATGTAGAACTGGGAGGCGTTGAGGCCCTCGCCCGGGGAGGCCATGCCCACCACACCCCGCCGTACATGCTTCAGGTGCGGGCGGAGCTCGTCCTCGAAGAAGCGCGCGTGGTCGCCGTACAGTTCGCTGTGCGGGAGGAGGGAGTGAAGATGGAGGGAGGGATGTGGGTTGAGGGGTTGATTAGGGATTGAAGGCCCCAAGGCAGGGAAGGGAAGGGGCGGCGGGAGCGGGAGTGGTCCGTGGGGCCTTACCCGTAGATAGAGGTGCCGCCCTTGCCCGTGCCCGTTGGATCCCCTGTCTGAACGATGAAGTTCCGTTGCACATTGTGGAACAGGCAGTTGTTGTAATACTTTATCCTGTGTGCAGGGGGGCCATGCAAGGCGGAATTTGCATTCAAAGTGTAGATCTGCGAGTGGATTGCAGATGTATAGAAGTCCAATCATACTTGCAAAGCTTGAGGAAGTTCTTAGTGGCCACTGGGCATTCATCTGTCAACAAGTCTATGACGATGTCACCCTTGCTGGTTTCCAGAAGAACAGCCATCCTATAGTATCAGCTTGCGTTAACAACTTAACTAATAACAATTGTCAATTATCCAGCAGAAGCCGCGTCTGAGCACATAGTGCAGCCAAATGGTTGATGTCGGTACTCGCTTTAGTCAAGTAAGGTGAACTGCCAGGGTAATAAGTATGATGGAATCGAAACATGCAGAGTCCAATAACAAGACGTTCACCTAGTCGAACTGCAGCTGCTTCGGACAGGCTATGGCTGTGTACGGCTACGACTACCAATGCCGTACTCCTGCGTCCATGCAGCAAGCAACCGTAGAAGCGCTTGCATACCTTACAGGCAGCCCGGGGCCAAGGGATACAGGCCTTGAACACAGTGGCTTTCATGCTGTATGAGCCCGTCAAGCCCAGCAGTACCCAACCTCCACCGTGTTTCCATATGCCCCCGTCACACATACCCTTGTCGACCAAAGGTCCCGCTAGTGCCATGCTGGATCCCTTTTGAAGTCCTTCGCCCAGCGAGCAATAATGCTTTCCTCATGTAACCCTTGCTGCCCGGCACGTCAGCATGCGTGCTGCTTACAAATCCTGTGATGACCACAACCAGCAGAGGGTACACAGGGAGGCTGGGCCCTCCCGCAACCGCAAGCTGTGGTGCATGATGCCGTCTAGCTGTTTCCGTCCAAATGCTTGGCGATGCCCTTTGGACCCCCGTCCCTTCTTTCCTCTGGGATTTCCTGGGGTCTTGGCAAACCCTAGACCGCAGCACCTAGGTAAGGACGTGCTGTATTTCTTATAATGTTCCATAAGCGGGCAAGCGATATAGCTATCCCGGGGCGCCTAACAGCGAGGCTGAACCTTGACACCAGATGGAAGCAGTTGATGACCAGCTGTGACAAGTGACGTTGCGCGCCAACAGATTATTGCCATCCCAGGGTTATGAGCGTAGGCACGTACATATTATTTTGGCATTCATTGACGGTCTGAAATCATCTTTAGGTGGCCAGTCTACGGCAAAGGATAGGGCAATGACATCGTAATTCGCCCTGGCTCTTGCCCGCTTCCGGATACTGGCATAATTTCTTAACAGTTGGCACGTTACAGTATCGTAAGATCCTTAGCACAGCTTGCAAAAGACACTTGGCTCTGTAATAGCTTGGTTGACGGCCCCCTTACGACCTCGCTTCCTTAATTTGCTTGATCTTTAGGGATAATAAGCTATTAGCGTTGTGTTATCAGGCACAGAGGAGAGGGGGAGGCTGGGTTCCCCCGGCCTAGGCACTTCCTCCTCATGTCGGTTTTGTCTGTGCCATCCCCTGTCCTGGCGAAACGTCATTTTGACGAGGGAGAAGCTGGCGAGGGCTGCGACCGGCAGCTTGGCGGCAAGCGGTCTCGCCAGCATTACAGTCCCGCAGCTGCCCGCTGCGTACAGTTTGCTGCAGGCGGGCTGCATGCCGTGGCACCGACCACTTTGTCAGCATTACTCGCTCTCTTCCCTGGCATGGATGAGCGCGTAAGTTTGTTTGGGTACTGGTGCGCTCAGCCGAATGGTTCTTGTTGACGTGTAGCCATTTCCATCGCGCAGACTGTCTCCAATGTGCTGTCGGAATGCGGCAACAATATAGACGCAGCAATTAGGCGACTGGGCGAGCTGCGGCTGTCAGCGGCAGGAGAAGCAGCCTCGACACAGCCAGCTCCAACCGGCGCCGCGCCAACGCACCACACGGCTGGTACGTTCCGTGCTCCGATGTCGTCAGCCATTCGCGGTGCACTTTGACGCATAATGGTTGCTAGCACCCCTTTGCCAAGCGTTACCGAAATTGCTCTGCGGCCAGCTGCCATGTCCCAAGGCGTTGTTGCGAGGGCACGAGTGGCCTCCCCCCCTGCCTAGGCCTAACCGCCGCATAGCATACCCGCAGCCCCCGTGTCCCAAGCACCTTCAGCATCCCCCATGCATCCTTTCCCCCTTTCCTACCAACGCAGACGCGGGAGCCCCAGGCACGCCCCAGGCTGCCACCGGCATCCCCACCCCCGCAGCTCTGGATCCCGAATCCAACGCAGCGGGCAGCAGCGGCGGTCCAGCCACTGCGGAGCAATGGGTGGAGGTCCTAGTCGCTGAGATGTCCGCAGCCTCGGACATGACCGACGCCCGGAACCGTGCAGCGGGCTTCCTCCGGCAGTTCGAGGCCTTCGTCGCGCGCTTTGTACGGCAGCAGCAGCAACAGCAGGCTGCTAGCAGCGCTGCGGACCCCTCGGCGGCCTCCGCCTCGGACGCTTCCCTTGCCGCCCGCGCTGCGAAGCTGGCTGAGGAGAATGCGGTGCTGAAGAAGGCGGTGCAGATCCAGCATCGGCAGCTGCAGGAGCGTGCAGGGCAGGACGGTGAGGTGGCACAGTTGAAGGCTCTGCTGGCGCAGTATCAGGAGCAGGTGGGTGCGCTTCGAGTCATCACGTGTGTGGGAAGTACGTCCGGGGGCACTCTCTCGAGACGTGCCCGAAGTTTGATGGGGCATATGCTTCGGGATGTGGGTCATGTGTAGTGTAGTGTTGGGGGCTTCCCATGTATGGTGGCATGGACTGGACTGGCTAGCTGGCTTGTTGGGTTGCAAGATAGCCGCGTTCATGGACTGTCTTGTTAGCGCCCATACAGTGTCTTGAGGGTACAGCGGATAAGCAGCGAGTTGACGACGAGGGCGCCGTAGGTTACTGGTAACAAGAAAGTGTTCCCTGCGTTGCCTCGTCTACCCAACAGGTCCGTACGCTCCAAGTCAACAACTACTCCCTTACGCTGCACCTGCAAAAGGCCACCAACTCGGGCTTTGTCAACAGCCCGCGCAACCCAGACGTCTTCTAAGCGCGCGGACATTGCTGTTGCTACTGCTGGTACGGCAGATGTGTGTTGTGCTGGTCACGATGTGGTGGTTAGGCCGGACGGACAGGCGTGGGCTTGGACCTGCAGGCGAGCGGCGAGGAGCGGAGTGCCACCATGTGGGGGTAGTACACATGGCTGCCTGCAGTGCGTGCAGTTGACACCTGGGCCCATGTGGTACGGGAAAAGAGCAGCGCGAATGTGTGAAGCAATTGTAGAGCTCAGCAGCGGGGCAGCTTTGGAGGCGGAGGGGTATTGTCAACACGGGTACCCGGAGGATTGTTGAAGTAGGAAGAAGAAAAGTACAAAAGGGTCAGGATGCCAGGAGGGGCGAATACAAAGGTAGGGATGCGGAACAGCATGGCGCTGATTTGGGTCGTGGGGGGACACGACACACGGGTTGTATTGTAGAAGGTTTGCCAAGAGGGGGTAACGGTGGGTTTGCTTCTTGCGCTGGGTAAGCCAGTTTGATACGTCGATGTGCTTGGAGGGTAGACCAAGGCACTTGGGAGCGGGAAGCATGTGCTGGGGCGTAAGTGTATGCAGACGGGGTTATTGGGAACGACTTTGCTGTTGGGATCAGTCGTGGTGTTGGTTGTCCAGGCGCCTTTGTCGCCTGTCAGCCGTGTGCCGTGTGGTGCATGCTGGTACGTCCTGCTACTACAGCTGCTATCCTCGCGGCATTCTGCAGTGTAGGCCATTGCGCTGGCACTCCAGACGCTATCCTGCAGTGCATAACCTAAAGTGTGCAGTTAGTCAGGGCTCAAATGGAGGTGGGTCAACCTTTCAGACAGGTTGTTTGTTTGTCGTCCTTAGAAAAGCTAAATGATGGGTTCTTTTCGAAACACTGACATTCTTCATATTGTTCTGGAGACAAGTCTCCGTTTAGTTCCGTCATACAGAGGAGGGGGGTTGTAGAGGTCAGTTTTTTGCGTATCATGTCGTAGGGAATTGGGTATGGGAAATGTGCTTTGTCAAGCTGTTTCCTGCGGGGCTTTTATCCTGAGTTGCTTAGGAAAGTGCCGCATGCATGGGGCACGGCTGCCCTTGTATCAGTATGGTAATTTGCACAATTCCGGGGCGTTCTTGGGCGGTTTCTCGTGCAAAGTTGATGTCCGATCATATACGGAAGTAGAGTAAGGCGCACTTGGGCGCACATTAATTAACGCCGTTCCTGCGGCTGTCTGGGTGTACGTGCCCTCAACGGACACGACGCGTTCCCGCGTGGGCCCCATAAGCCCCGGGGTGCGTTTGTGGAACACCCGTAACCAAGCCATGGAGCCAATCACTCGTGCACTGTAAGGCAGGCGATAGCGCACCGGCAACTCCGCTGTTTTGAGTAAACGCGCCGTCGTTAGGGTTTGCAGGGCAGCCCTAGATTCTGGTAGTCCAGTCCCATCGGTTGCGGTTGAATTGAGGTCATGGGCGTCCGCGGCTAGAGGTCCAGTCGGTTATCTCGGGCCCGCTCCACAGCCGTCGATGCATGTCCGACCAGTCGACCGCTGGACCCGCGGGTTTAAGCACCTGTGCTGTGCAATTGCGACAGCTAACATAAGAATTTAATCTCCGGCATGCAGATCCTATTGGCGCCGGTAGTCGCCTCAGAAGTCCACTTTGCTGATCATGTCTGACACAACAGCCAACGGGGTATCTTTGGCTTTGCGTGTGCCGCATAGTACCATATAAGTGAAACATACGTCAGGGGGCGTTCTTTTCTCGTTCGGCTTCCAGCTTACAATGGTGGGCAATCCGCCGTACGTTACCAATAAGCGGGAAGGCTAGAGCCATGTACGCTGTGGGGTGCACTTCTGCGCACGGTGATGGCTGCGATAGTGGCTTTTACCTTCCTAGAGCTTTGGGAGTTACTGGAAAGAGAATAACATATCCTTATGACTCAAGGATTGATAGAGTGAAGCACCGCCGCCCAGTCTAGTAGTTATACCGCTTACGCTCGTCTGGTGGCCTCTTACCAGCCATGGCTCCTTCGTTAGATCCCAAAGAAGAGAAGCTGGCTATGGACGTCTTCGCATGGTTCCTAAATGTGTCGACGAGTGTGCTTATCGTGTTTGTGAACAAGGTGTTAATGGACCCCAAGGTTGGATATAAGTTTGTTTTTGGTAAGTATATCGGCTTCGTTCGCTTTTGGGGAAAGCAATAACTCTCGGCGCATTGGCAATAGCTGTACATACCCACGATGCCCGCAGCGACAACTCTATGTGCATTCCATTTCTTGTCGTGCGGTGGAAGCGTAAAGGCTATGGAAGCGATGGGCTTTGGCAAGCGTGCTAGCATGCCATGGAAAGGTAAGCCTGCCTAGCGATACTTGTTGGTTACGGCGCTGTTTATCAAGATTACGTCATATTACTGTTTCGTCGTTTTCCATCCAGATTGCATAGTTTTCGCTATCGTTGCCAGCATCTCCATCGCAAGTCTCAACCTTTCCCTCTTGGTCAACAGCGTGGGTTTTTACCAGGTAAGTGGGTCACTGTGCTTTGAAACACGACGGGAAAGTGAAGGGGAGACTTGTTTGCCTTTTTAACCTCATGTCATGACTCCCATGTACGCAGATATCCAAGCTGTTGATTATCCCCTTCGTTTGCTTGGTTGAGTACCTGTGGTTCAAGCGGAAGTTTACGCTCCCGACGGTGCTTTGCATCTTAGTCGTCGTCGCCGGTGTCGCTATTGTGTAAGTACCCATAATTTCCTCCCGGTTTACGTCTTGGACCTGTCAGCACACGTACCGGCGCTTTTGGCGACGCCTGCTAAGCTGGTAGTGTTGCACTACATCTCGTACGCAAGTCCTCATCTTCACCGCATATCACGGTTGTCTACCGTTGCCATGTCTCTCCCACCCTTCTAGCTGTGCATACGGCCAGTTGGCCACCCTAGCAACGCAACTCCCTTTCTCCCTTTCTCCCCATCCAATACACATCCCTTCTCTCCCCTCCCTTCCTCGCTCCTCACACAGCACGGTGACCGACGTGTCCATGAACGTGCTGGGCCTGGTGATCGCGGCCATCAGTGTGGTCACCAGCGGGCTGCAGCAGATCATGTGCGGCGCCATCCAGCGGCGCCTGGGGCTCACATCCAACCAGCTGCTCTCCAACACGGCACCCACGCAGGTGAGGACTGCACGCGCGCGCACGTGAGGGAGGGGCGCTGAGGAACAGGGGCGCTGAGGACGCACTCCCTTCCCTTTCCCTTTTCCCCGTTCGCACCCACCTGCACCCCATCCACTCACCCAACTGCTCCACCTCCCCCGCCACCCAGGGTTTCATGTTGCTGCTGGTGGGTCCCTTCGTGGACCGGCTGGTGACCTCCCGCTGGATCGCGCAGTACGAGTTCTCCGTGCCGGCTCTGACCTGCCTGGCCTGGTCGTGCGGCGTGGCGGTGCTGGTCAACATTTCGCAGTTCATGTGCCTGGGCCGGTTCAGCGCGGTGACGTTCCAGGTAGGATGATGGATTGGGATAAAGTGGGATGGTGGATGATGCTGCGGGAGGGCCCCGATGCGCAATGAAATATGTGTGCCGCACTGGGAAGGCGGCCTGCTGAGGACTTAAGCAAGGAACTGCGTTCAGCGGGGATTTGCCGGTTACCGCGTGTCACCATAGAGGGCGGGGCCCTGGCGGCGTAACATGTTGCATCTTCCTCAGCGCCGCGTGTGGATTAAAACGGCAGTGGAAGAGCGATCCATGTCACTGGGTCACTTCGGCAAGGCACGCCCCATCCTCAGCATGTCACGCCCCCCCCCCCTTCGTTATCCATATCGTTCTTGTCGTCACTGTTCTGCAGGTTCTGGGGCACACCAAGACGGTGCTGGTGCTCATATGCGGCTGGTTATACCTGGGCGACGTCATCACCAACCGCAAGTTGGTTGGCATGTGTACGGCAGTCTTTGGAATGGCAGCGTACGGCTATTTCAACTCCCTCGCTCCCGCCAAGCCCGCCGGCGGCGCAGGCGCCTCTTCCGGGGGCAGCGGATCCGGCGGCGTCGCTAAGCGAGGCGACGGCGGAGCGAATGAGTCGCTACTTGGTGTCAATGGGGGCGGCGCCGACGGCATTTCCGTACAAGTGCACTCGGCAGGTGGACAGTCGCTAGCGGCTGGCGGCGGCGGCGGGTTCTCGTCGAAGACCCAATGACTCGCGGCGGCTGCGGTGACGACGACGACGACAGCGACGGCGGCGGCAGCGGCAATGGAGACGGCAAGCGGTCCTGTTCGCCGGAGGCAAGGACGATAGGCAGGCCGCGGGAACTGTCGCTTTGCTTCTGATGCTCCGGCTGGAGCTGCCACGTTGGCACAGCGGTGGCGCCGCTGCTGCAGTGGCAGTGCTTCAGCAGGTGCTCGTGGCGGCAATTGTCAGGCATTGCGTCCTGCTGTGAAGCGCTCTTGGCCTCTGGCGTAAGCGCCGTACCGTTGCTGTCTTGCCGAATGCGGTTAGCGTAGGAAGCATGAGGCGGTTTGGAGGACGACGTGCGCTGATTACTGTCTGACTGGTATACTACCCTTGTGACTGGTATACCGTATCATGGTGACTAGTACCGGTACCCAAACTGACCACGCGGCTGGAGGCATGCTGCCGTCCTTTTGTCGCATCACCGCGGCCATAGCGCAAGCACTGAGGCGCACGCTGCGTACGAGACTGTTCGTGATTAACATGACCAGGGAAGGGTAAAGGACGACGAGGGCAAAGGGGGACAAGGGACCGTTAGGAATGGGGTAGGTGCAGTGTTATCACGTGTATTGTCGTCGCAGCATACGCAGGCAGGGGTTTTGGTAGATCCTTTTTTGGGAATCCGAGTCTTGAGAATATCTCCGCGCACGAATAACACTACGCATCAGATTGCCGGAGTGTGAAGCTGCCAGATGGCAACACCAGTGCATGGTGTGTTTGGACATTGTGGATACTGGAGAGGTGTTCAGCCACTAGCCTCGTGCATGTGGCTGCACTAGCATGGAGTGCTCAGCTAGAGCACTTCCTCATTGGTGAAGTTTGTACGGAATGCTAGCCTGATGCTAGTCTTTAAGACGCAGGCCATCCATGTTGCTGCATGCGACCGACATGCTGCGAAAGGGAGCGGGGACCTGCACGACAAGTGGAAAGGATGGTGTTCGGCAGCCGACTTTCCCCATGTGTCGTTTCCCCTCTCCTGCAAGCAAAATGTATTGTAACTTGGATGTAAGCTGAGGGGTGTGTGCCCCTCAGCGAGATGCCGGCGTTCACTTGCTTGAGGTGGTTAAACACATGGGGAAACGCGCGATTCCAACACCGACTGTTTTTAACGTTAGTGCCCCATAAAAGCGAAGCTGACACAGCTTTTCCTCAGCTTTCGCATTTGCCGACTACTGTGCTACAAACGCACGATTGTTATGACAGGCACCATTGCGCCACGCTTCGAGTCTAATCCACGCCTGTCGCTAGGAGGAGCACAGGCGTGTGCGCAGAGGCCCGGCAATTCATTCAGCAACACCGGCACACCCCATGCCGTATTAGGGGTACAGCAGAGGCTGCCCGGCATTCTCCAACATGTCTCATTCACAAGCCGGAAAACGTTCTGCAGCAAAACAGGACACAACCAAACCAGGAAAGATACCGGCAAGACGACTGCGCCTGTGTTATCCACAACCCTGCTGCGGTGGTGGCTCAACCCAACTAGTGTGTGACAGCCTTGCAACAACAACCCGCAGCCATGCAGCCGACCATGCAAACCACCGTGCATTCCACCCATTGTACGAATATTGCCCACGATGGCCCGCGATGGCAGTCTCCGTTGCACGTTGCATTCGGGTGCAGTTGAATTCTGGTAGGTGAGGTGGAGGGAGCTACCAGCTACGGGAGCCGAGCCCTGGACAGAGGCGGCGGGATGAAACCAGCCGGACCACACGGCCCTTCTGGCACCGCACACCTCCCTTGAGGTGGGCGTGGGCGGCAACCAGCACCCATGAGAGGTCTTCACGTTGGGCAACCGCCCAACCGCTCTAGCAGCTGCTTTCCTCAGCTGGCACGGCAACTGGGCCCATCCATCAGGAGCCCCTTGCACCCGCCGCCGCGGCCAACGCATACCCCAAGAAACAACACAGCACCTTGAGTTCACGCACAGAAGTGTTCCAATACTGCATTCCGCCCCTCAGCCGTCGCCCTGGTACGGTGTCCGGCCGCCCTCTCCCCCGTCAGCACCATCCCCAGCCGGCGCCGCCAGGCACTTGTTCACCATGGCTAGCAGGTTGGGGTTCTCAAGTGCCGCCGCCACTCGCTCCTTGTCCGCGAGCTGCTTGTTGACCGCCGCCTCGCTTGAATGGCTACCGGGGGCCAGCTGCGAGCGAGGGGGGGAGAAGAGAGGGGTCATGTTCCATGGGAAGGTAATGAACATGTTAGTGATTATCGTGCAAGAGGGAAACATGTTAAGAGTAGCATGCTGGGGATAGGATGCTGATCTTTGACCCAGGGGTCGAAACGCAGGAACAGAAAACCTCATACAATCCGCAATCCCTGCGTCCTGACCCGTGGGTCCAAGATCAGCCCATGTGGTTCGCATGGGCTGCTTCCCTGGACCGCTGCGGCTGCTGCTTACCTTGATGTCGATTTTGAACCTAGGTGGGAGGCAACGTAGCAGCTTGACTCGCAGGGAGAGGCCGATCAGAGTTGCCATGGAGCAATGGGCAACGGTGGGAGTGAACTGCACACTGCGATGAAGGGGCGGAGATGGAAAGGAAGGTGGGGCAGGTTTGAATCAAAGCCCGAGCAACCGGAAAAAGCTTCAATAGGAATACGCCACCTCCGCAGACTGCCGTCAAGTGCTTGGCCAGGTGGAAAGCAACGCGATATCCTCGAAGCTGCTTTAAGCGATGCCACGGTTAGCCCGCACCGATGGCACCTGCTGACGTACCTTACGCGTCCGCGCGCGTCGTCCACGTTAATTTGCTCCTCAGAGACAACATTAAGCTGTTCTAGCGTGTAGGGGTGCTCCGGGTCGTTGATGTCCCGGATATGATCGAAGATCTCCAGCGCGTCGATAGGTTCGCGATCACCATCGTCCACGTCATCCTTCCGCTGAAGAGGCTGCACAGGTGGTAAGGCTCAGCGATGAAATAAGCGCACCGGTCACTCGCCAGCAGGGATACAGCACCCGCCGGCTAGAACCACTGAAGGCCCCAGTTGCTAAGCTATATATGCGATTCGCACCTTTGTACGTAGGATTGCTCTACGTTCGTGGATAATTGGGTTAGGATTGATAAGTTCCGCCATCCTCTGACGACAAGCGTTCTTTTATGTGCGCCGAAGATACCTAACTCTTAAGCCCTCCTTTCAGTGTGTAGGTTACTGTAACGCATAGCAATTGTGTGAAGTAGCTGGTTCGTCGTCTTTTAAGATGATGCTGTACTAATGCTCCTTGCGCAACCAGGCCTCTGTTTTTCCTGTCGCAGTAAATTATCACTCATAGAATTATCATACAAGCATTGATGGTAACGCACTTCGCAAGCCCAAGCAAACCCGTCCCGACTCGCCATCCGCTGGCGAATGGGTAACGGGCTTTGCAGCGGCAACAATAGCTCTAGTGACCACGAATCATCTATTAGATCACCTGACGCTTCTGCTCCACAGCCCGGACGTCCGGACCGTGATAGCCAGGCCGGAACAGCACCAGCTGTTCCATCAGTAGAATCAAGGAACCCACCAGCACCAGCAAGACAAGCTGACCAACCCGCTCAGGCTCAAGAAGAAGCAGGAGGGGGACCGGGAGCATCAACCTCAACAGGGGCAGCACCGGCTGCGACAGCAGCAGCAGCATCTGCGTCACCATCGGTATTGCATCAAGAGGAGTCTCGCAGGCCCCTCATGGCTTCCACAGCTGCCCATAAAAAAGCAGCGGAGGAGCTCAAAGCCGCGGGAAATGTGTTATTCGGCAAGGGCAAGTACGCAGCAGCCATAGAGGTACGAGGCGTACGGCATCCTTAGCGCCCATGTTGGGACATGTACACACATGGATGCACCCCCTCCACCCACACATACCTTCTCACTCCCCTCCACCCCCTCCTCCCAATCCCCACCGCCCCCAATCCTCCCTCCAACTCCTCACCCCTTACCCTTCAAAGAAATACACCGAGGCCATCACGCTATGTCCCGACTTGGCCGTCCTCTTCGTGAATCGCGGTATGGCGGCACGTAAACGCGGCGACTGGGCGCGTGTGGAGGCGGATGCTGCCAGTGCCTTGGGGCAGGGACCCGGCGAGCGGGATGCCATGAAGGCGCACTACTTGATGGGTCTCGCGTTGGGGGCGCGGGGGGCGCATGAGGGGTCCATGAAGCACTTGAGAAAGGTCGGTGTAGGGGAACTGGGGTCAAAGGTGTTTGTGGGATGGGAGGGCCAAAGGTCTGTTAAGAAGCACCGGCCGCTAGTCGGAACATGCTGTGATTGCCGGAAGATGGGTGTGGGGGTGGGGCTGCAGGAAGCTGGAGGGACGTAGGGCAGGCTGGATCACACGCTCGTACAAATTCCACGTGGCGTAACACGTTTTTGAAGTTCGAGCACGGCACTGGGGCCTGGGATGCACCGGGGAACACTGCCCTCATGTCTGCCCTCCTGCCTGCCTGCATGATCTGCCTGCCTGCCTGGAATTGACTAGATGCTGGTGCCTCTATGCCCCGGGGTATTTAACCGTTAGTTTACCGTTTCTTGGCTGGCTTGTCCCCAGGCGTTAGACGCGGCTCGCGAGGCCAACGACTCGATCAAGGATGAGATCTGGCGCGAGCTGGCAACCGCCAACTACCAGCACTGGCAGTCTGAAAGCGCTGCGAGGAGGGAGCAGCATGCGCTGCTGCGGCGGCAGCTGGCGGAGCTGTTGTTGCGGACGGGGGGGACGACGACACCAACGCCGGTGGGTGGGGGTGGGGGTGGTGGCGGCGGTGGTGGCGGTGCTGGTGGTAAAGAGGAAACAACTAACTGACCGTGGTGGTGGTGGTTAGGACAGTTGAACGAGCGTGACAAACCCACGCACAAATGGCACAATGCGCCACACCTTATCCCGCTCCCTTCCGTGCTTACCCCTCCACCCCTCCGCCTCCCCAACCCACTTCAACCCGCCCCCACCCCACCGGATACCCAGGCTGCTTCCGAGGCCCCCCGGGGTGCCCCCGAGCCCCCCCTGCCCCCCGACTGGGCCGAGCTCTTCCGCGCAGCCGCCTGTCAGGACCAGCCGCGGGAGGCGCCCTCGCAGTTCACTTGGTGGGTGGCCTGGGAGGGGGAGGGGGAGAAATTCCAATGTGTGGTATGTGGGAGGGGAAGAGTCGGAGGGGGGGGGGTGTCGCATGCATGCTGCTGTTGCGGTGTGTTTCGCATGCATGTCTCACATGCATGTGTCTCCTGCCCTCCCTCATTCTGCCCTACCACCCGACAAGCCCTCATCCCTCCCTCCTTCTTCATTACGCCCCGTCCTCCCTGCCCTTCCCTGCCCTCCCCCCCTGTTCCCCCACCCCACCCCGCAGCCCCCTCACCATGGAGATATTCCGCGACCCAGTGGTCACCCCCAGCGGCCGCTCCTACGAGCGCAGTGCGCTGCTGGAGCACCTCAAAAAGGTGGGGGGACGGCGGTGGGTTGGGGGGCGGGGAGGAGGAGCTGGGAGGGGCAGACCAGGAGCGGCGGACCGGAAAGGTCGTATCGGGACCTTGCCTTGCCTCTAGGCCTACTCTACATACCCGACATCCCTTCCTCCCTCCCTGCACATACATCTCTCTCTCTCCCTCCACCTGCCCCTCCCCGGCCCCCAGTCAACGACCCTGTTTCTCCCTCTTCTCCCTCTTCTTCCCCCCCCATGCAGGTGGGTCGCTTCGACCCCATCACCCGCCAGCCGCTGTGTGAGGAGCAGTGTGCGCCCAACGTGTCGCTGCGAGCCGCCATCGAGGGCTACCTGGAGGAACACCCCTGGGCGTGGGGGGAGGTCAGGTCGTGAGGGGGGCTGCGGCGTGGGGGGAGGTCAGGTCGTGAGGGGGGCTGCGGCGGCGGGGGGGGAGGTCAGGTCGTGAGGGGGGCTGTAAAGAAGAAACGACTGACGAACTGCTGCCCCCCGGCAAGGTGCCGGGGGGCTGGGGCGGTGGGGGGGGCTGTGGCGGGGGGGCAGCAGCTGCAGCTGCAGTGGCAGCAGAGGAGGAGAGGGAGCAGGTTGATGCGCTCACAGAGGGCAATCACAGCCCGGAAGATGGGTGGGATGTATGATGGTGGGATATGATGGTGTGGTGTATACGGAGAGGGCTCCTGGAAAGGCAAAACTCTCGCCATGCACCGTGAACGAGCAGGAGACGCGGTGTGCTGGTGCTCCTTCGGTCCTGCTAAAACTTCGGTAATGGCAAAAGATGGGGATCTTGACGCGGACCGCTGCTCAGTGATGCGCAGGAGGGCGGTGGTGGGTCATGGAAGAACATGGCAGATCTGGTTAGTTTGTTCGTTCGTTGAGAAGTGCGAACGAAGTGGTGTGCTTGTTCTTATCCGTGCATCTGGAGGGGCTCGGCAGGGGCCGTTTGACAGGTCAACATGTCACGGCTAGACCTGTGTTCCACGGCTAGACCTGTGTTTGGGACTGTTTGGGCAGTCCTGATCTGACCCGCGGGTCGCTTACCTTACCTTACAACACATTGTGTTGGTGGCAGGGCTTTTGACGTACCCGGCGGCTGAACGCAAGTGCTGCAGATAGATGTGTGTATGGGAAGGCCGTCCTGCATCGGGTGCTTCGGGGGGACTTTGGGTGCTTATTGAGCGGAGGTGTACTTGCACTGGGCGGGACAGCGGGACAGCCATGAATCTTCAGGGTTCCCCGCATTCAGTTCGTTGAAAACCTTTGTGCATGGAGCGCTGCACACAGTAAGGCACCCGCCATGAACTTGGGCGCATTGCGCGCAATGGAAATTATGCTGAAAATGGGCTGATTGCGCGCAACGGTCCCGCGCAACACGCCCATGTTCCTGGCCTCACAAACCTGCCTCGTTTCAAAACGCAGTATGCATTTATGAAAATAGCGCTGTTTTATCTATTCGTAGAGTCCACCGGCGTCACAGAAGATGTTGGAAAAGGTTGCCGACCATGTATGGGTTGGTTGCGCGCAACGGTCCCGCGCGACACGCCCATTTTCCTGGCTTACAGATTCGCCTCGTGCACAGGCTAGTAATGGTTGAGGAGCGTGGAGGAGTACGGTATGTAAGGCGTAATAGGCGTTGTTAATTGCACGCCCTTATTGCATCGGGGTCTCTTGGCCCGTTGAAGCCTTTCCCATTCATCCTGAGTTGGGCTGGGTTGCATGTCTGTTGGGTTGACTTGAAGAGCCAGTTGCGTGACCGGCAACAAACTACTGGCTGTTCATCCGTCCGTGCTGACTGTCCGGAATGCAACGGTCGGCTGTCAGATGTCAGTGCTCGCGATCTCTTATGAGAGTCTGTGCTCGCGATCTCTTATGAGAGTCTGAACTTAAACACAACCATGGGAAACAGGGACAGCAAAATGCCTCAACGCTCGACAAACCGCAGACCGCCGATACCGCTAGCAGAGGACAATCCGCTTCCAAGCCACACGGAGCTCCCCGGCCCCGCAGGCTCGTCGTGACATCCATCGCTTTGGACCGTGTAGACTCTTGCCCCTACTCGTTTAGGCATGACATGCCAACGGTTACAGAAAAATCACGATTAGGGTACGGCATTATGGATTTATGGCGTGCGCAAGGCAGGGAGCCAAGGCTGCTGCCGTCGCTTACGACCGCTTGGTGAGAGCCACTGACTGGAGCTGGGAAGCCTACCAACCCTGAAGAAACACCGAGCTGCCAAAAGCTACCAACTTGCAACAACACTACCGAGCCGTCGCGTCAAGCAACCCTAACCCACATCATCACCTCGATCCCTTCAAGAAGAGGGTCAGAAAGCTTGAATCCGATAGCCGAACCCACCCCTATCTACTCTGGCCCGCTCCCTGATTTCCCTTTGCCGCTGCGGCAAAGCACAAAACGCGACAGCGCTCATCATCCCACATAACAGGAGCCTTAGCATTCGGTATCATGCTAGGGCCCCCGAGGGCCCCCATGCAAACGTAGCTTAGAGAACAAAACTGCTGCGTTGCATGAGCCCTAGCAGGGGCACGCGCGGCCAAACACCCCCCTGCTTCAAACCCGTCTCTCTTCCCAAACCATGTAGCTGCTACAGAGAAGCACCCCAGTCAACACGAGCTACGTTTCGAGTGTCGAGGAGGAATGCAACCCGCCCAACTCCCGCCGCTTCACCTCCAAACTCCAACAGTCGGTAGCTGCTGTGGACTTTGCCCCTCGCGCATCCCAGCTGCATGGAACAAGGTCGGCGCAAGCAGCGGATGGGGTGCGTATCTGCTCACAACCACTTTGGAAGCGCGCTCATAGCATGAGGGCACAGCAGCGGCTGCACCAGCCCTCTGCGCCCCGCCCTTGCCCCCCCCGCTCCGCTCCGGTTCGACTAAGAGCAGCTGCTAAGCAACGCAAAACTCCTCAAGCGCTGTGCTCCAGGCAGCTGGATTGCTGGCTCCCGGCTGCAGCTGCACTCTCAAAGTGCTGCGCCCATAAGCATTGTGTACAAGTGCGAACCAGCAGTTACTGCTCGTCCGCCTTAGGGCCGCCGAAGGAGGACTGGATGTGCTCCAGAGCCTCAGCCTCGATCACGATGCGGTCAGCGTTCAGGACGTCGAGCACCTTGATGGTGCTGGAGGTGTTCATGGCCAGCTTGGCAATGTTGCGGCCCGCCAGCGTGGCGTTTGGCCGCTCCGACTTGGTGATCAGGAGCACCTTCCGCTCCATGACGTCCACGCCAACCTGAAGAAGGAGGCATGGTGGATTATTTTATGTAAAATGCGGAAGCTAGCGGTTGAGCAGGTATACATCCACATGTGAGGACATTCCAAGTTGTCCCCAATGAGGCTCACCCTTTCCAAGAGCGACACCATGGACTTCGTCTTCTTGTCCTCCAGCTGGCCCTCTAGGCTGTCAATAACGATCATATCGGGGGCTGCACTCTGCAGAGCTGTCGCCATGGCCAACCGACGCTCCTTCTTGTTCATGGAGATGGTCCAGTCCTTGGGCTGCAGGTGTTTCAGCGACCCCAGCAAGCTAGTAAGCATCTGTGCTTTCCATTTTTGCAGCTCCCCAAGTCAAGCCATAGTCACATGTCACTCCTACCTTTGGGCCGAAGGAGACGCCACCTCCTGGGAAGAGAGGCGACACGCTGCTACCACGACGCGCATTGCCGGTACCCTTTTGGGAGTAGGGCTTCTTGCCACCACCGCGCACCTCCGAGCGAGTAAGGGTGCTAGCCGTGCCCTGTCATTGACCCGCGAGGACGCATGGGGCGTTTCAATTATATACATATTGCTGCAATCGGAGCGCGTTTTTTAACACGAGAAGTATAGGACAATGCTTGCTTTCCCACAGGTTAGGGCAATTTGCTAATAGCCAGCAGATCTCCCGAATTAATCGTCACTAATAATAGCAAAATACGCTGTATGACGGCAGGAACCAAGCATTTTCGCCAGGATAACTGGCGGCCAGGGAAACACGACGCAAAAAAGTCTGAAGCGCAAGCAATTCCCCGTGGCAATGGCACCTTTGAGTCTAACTATAGCATAAACACCATGAAGCGCACCTGGCGAGCGTTCTGCTGGACCAGAACCGTGTAGCGGTGGACAAGGCCCTTCGCTGTATCCTCTGCCACCTTCAGCGCCAGCTGCTGGGTACCCTTATCGCTGCCATCAACAGCCTTATAGGGAATGGTCACAGGTTGGGCAACAGCCGAGTTGGCCACCACCAGACGAGGCTGCCGGCCAACACAGGCAGGCTTGAACGCTTGAAGTCGCATAGTCTGCATCTTTTTTAGAGAACGTTTTCCTACACCTAGGGGTTTGGCATAGGAGTTCAGACACAAAGGCAAGTGTTCCTGCCAACCAATTGAGGGCCTTGCGTCTTTTCCATCCAAGCCTGACCATGAAACCGGGCTATAGCAGCAGACTGTACGTTTAGCATCAATTACTTCATTGTCAGTAATCAATACATTAACTAGAAGTTATGCGACAAGGAAAAGCACTTTGGTTTGCGGTTGACTTTGAAGCGTCCCACGAATAGGCCAACGTCACAGTTTTCTGGTAGCTTAACTAGATAATGCACTACGCCTTCGTTGCTGGCTTAAATTTACCGCGGAAGCTTACTCGAGGAACGCCTTTTTGTGTGACCAAGGTATAGCTGCGACGTTTCCGTGTCTCGGAATGCCTTTGCAGCGATAGCACAATCATGTTGCAACGGCAGACGTCATTGTTTACGAGCACGGCGACTCCCTAATGTCATATCCCGATGCGACTTGCTTGCACTGTGCTTCTACGCGAATGGGTCAAACTGAGTCACCCTGTTAGCACAGTCTTTAGGGTACAACATCCCACCACGAGTGCCGGCTTTGGCTTTCTAGTCAGTCAGCCCGCCGCGGCATGGTGTTTGAGCGCCACGCGCAGACGACAGCGTTCTGGACCCACCACCTACTGCACAGGCATGCAATGAAAGCTCCTATAGTTGTAACTCCACATGCTACGCACAGAAGCATTGATCCAGCAGCCCCGAGCCTACATACCCTTGGTTCATGCAACACCGCCGCCAATCCTATCTGTCTACAGCTCCCCAGCGCCCCTGTAAGCTAAGCGCACCATAACAAGCCCTGGTAACCGCTTCCCTTCCCCCCTGGGCCCACAGGACGAATCCAGTCAACCATGAACACCGCTCACAGCAGTGGCCCCGGGCAACGCATTAGCCAGTGCAAAAACAGCCGCTTCGACTGTTAGCATCTCCCTGGGGGTCCCTCGCCCTCGCAGCACGCCCAGCTGCGGTAGCTGGCAGCTGTGCCGACCATGCCATGATGAGCGCGGGCGCGGAGCTGCCATCGGCTGCAACAGACATGGCTGACATGGCGGAGGCACCAGCCACATCCAGAACGCCGGCAGCCGCGGAGACAGTGAAAGACCGGGAACCCACAGCTCAGCCAGGTCCCAGCCCGGATAGTGTTTTCAATGCAGCCGCGGCAGCAGCAGCAGTGACGGCGGCTGCGGCTGCGGCCGGGGACGCGCCGTCGCAGCAATGTCCGTCCTCGAAGGGACCCACGGGTGGCGGCGACGCGCCGCCTGAGGGGATATCCACCGGCGACGGCTCCGGCGGCTATTCCTCGGAGCCGCCCTCCGCGCTGGAGTCGCCGCTGTGGTCGCAGGGTTCCCCTCGTTTGGAGGAATCCATGGCGGCAGTGGCCTTTGCGTTCCTGGAGCGTGTGCCGCAGGCCCCTGCGCAACCTATCCTCCCGGCCTCCCAGGCTGGAAGTAGGGGTCGTACTGGAGGAGCCCCGGCAGCAGCGGCGGCGGCGGGGGCAGTGAGGGAGGCGGCGGTAGGGAGGGGGTCGTACGCGGCAGTGCGAGATGGCGGCGCGTCACCGCCGTTGCCGGCGGAGGCTGCTGACGGCGCTGACGGAGCAGCAGCAGCAGCGGCGGCGGAGGCGTCAGGGTATGAGGACGGTGGCGAAGACGGCCGGATCGGGGATGAAAGTGCGGCCGCTGCTGCCGAAGGGGAGGGTGGACTTGGTGACAGCCATGGAAGCAAAGAAGTCGGTGCCGTCCATGATGTGGATGAAAGCGCCACCGACGCAAGGATTGGGAGCGGTGGCAGCCGTGTGAACGTCAGCAGCAGCAGATCAACCGCTCGTGTTCAGGGGACGAACTGTGGTGGTAGCGCCGGGGGCAGTCCGGTCGTTGTCAAGTTTCAAGGCGTTGGCTTCGCTGGCGGCGGCAGCAGCGGCGGCAGCAGCGGCGGCAGCATTGCTAAGGGCATGATGGTCACGGGTAGTAGCTGCGGTGGCGGCAGCAGCAGCGCCGGGGGCAGCGCCAAAGGTATCCTGGTCGCGGGCAGTAGTTACGGCACTCCAACCGCCCGCAGCGGCGGTGGCGGCAGCAACAGCAGCGCCGGCGGCAGCAGTGCCGCCACCATTGGCGGCAGCAGCGGTGGCGGGGCCAGTGGCGGCGGCAGCAGCAACAGCAGCGCCGGCGGTGCTGCTAGCCCTAAACGCCGCACCCAGGACGCTCTGCTGCGCAAGGTGCATTCCTCCCTGCGCAAGCCCGAGCGACGCGGCTTGGCCTCCGCCGGCCTCGTGAGTTGCATCCAGCAGCGCTGGAAGCGACTGACGCATGCGGTAACGGGAATCGTACGGACGAACCGACTGGTGGCTAGCGAGCGACAGGAGTTCATGGCGGAGAACTTGCGGGCGCTGAGTGCAGCCAAGTCGGGGGCGACGGGAGTGGTGCTTGAGGTGAGGTTTTATCACACCGACTAGGTGTGATTTCAAAGAGCTCAGGCGTACCACCGCCTTCTTGGTAGAAGGTCACGGAGGGGCTGCCTTCTTGCCTCCCTTTCCCTGTCTTCCTCGTCTTCATGCACAGCGATTTGCTCCCTTGTATCGCGGCGGCAGTTGGGTGGTGTGGTGACCCCAGCTTCTTGCCCTCGCCGCTCCTTCCCCGCCCCCTCCCACTCACATCGGGCACCGGTATGCTTCTTTCCCCACCCCGCTAGGTGGGCAGCCCGCGGGACCTGGAGCGCATCAACTATGTGCTGCAGGGCGACGAGGGCATGTACGGCACCGAGGTGTTGGCGGCCAGGAAGGCACTCAAGGCGCACCCCAAGGTGGGGGGAAGGCAGGGGGGGAGTAGCGTGAAGTCGAACTCCCCACGGTGGGGGTTGCGTGCCCGAACCCTCCCTCCCCCCGGGGCGGGCGGTGGGCCTCTCACCACGGGTTGCCAGCTTGCCACTCTTTGAAAGGAGCAACTTGACATGTTCCTTCTTCCCCTTGACCTTGTCCCCCTCCCCCCCGCCCCATGCAGGTTGTGGCGGTGGCTCACGCCTGGTGGAACTGGCTGCCCAAGGTGCCTGCGCGCGTGGTGGAGGTGGTGGGGGGGCACCAGCAGCAGCAGCAGCGACAAGAAGGGCAGGAGGAGGAGGAGGAGGAGGACAGGGTGTGTCCCGCCGCCGCTGCCGCTGGTGCCTCCGCCGCTGCTGCTGCTGCGGCGGCGGCGGAGGTTGTGAAGGGTGTCACAAGGGGTGCAGAGGAGGCCAGGGAGCCAGCCACGGCAGCAGCGTCCACAGCAGCAACAGTAGCGGCGGCGGCGGCGGTGCCGGCGGATGGCAAGGAGAAGAAGGGGCGGGAGAGCAAGGCTGCTGCGGCTCCTGCTGCTGCGACTACTGCGGCTGCTGCTTCAGGCGGTGCCGCTGCGGGGTCTGGGGGTGCTGCCGGCGCTACGGGGGGCGGCGGGCCCGCAATGGAGACGGCGGCGGTGGGGGATGTGTTCACGCCGGCCCTCGATGAGGCCACCTACAGCGCCGTCGTGGTGCTGATTACCATGGTGCGTGGGGTGTGTGTGGGGGGGGGGGGGTGCGGATGGTGGGTGGGTGCGGATGGTCGGGGGGGGGTGCGGATGGTTGGGGGTGGGTGCATGCAGAGAGCGCGGAGCGCGGTTGCGCTGCCCCATCCGGATGCAGATCTCACGCAGCGGCGCGTTCCTCCAACACGACCCCTTGGCTACCTGCTCTCCCTGATGCCTGACGACCTACCTTTCTTCTGGGCGTTTTGGGTTCCTTTCTGACCCCTTGGCTGCACTCCTCCTCCTGCTGCCTCCCCTGCCCCCCCCCATGCAGGTGCTGCTGCCTCGCTTCGGTCTGCCTGCGGACGAGCGCTACGACCCCCGTCAGGACTGGCTGAGCGACAGCAGGGGGCGGCCGTACATGGACTTCCCCGCCTTCTTCAATGCGCTGTTTGAGGTGAGAGCATGGCGGGGAAGGGTGACCTCCTGCGCGCTGCTGACCCATGGGTCGCTCCCTGCGTCGCCAGACCCTAACACGCCCGTACCTCCTCCCGTCTGTTTGGTTTGTGTCTCTCTGACCCTCTCGTCACCCTGACGTGTGCAGCTGGCTGACATGTGGGCGGAGGGCGTGGGCGGAGTCGAGTACGCCGAGTTGCTGGAGGTATGCGGCACGGCACACGGGGGACACGAGACGCGGGGGGGAATACGACGCCTTGGCGATTTCTACTTTTACATGCATGCGGGGCGCCTGACCACAATGTGTCTGGGAAACCAACATCCGCGTTCCTTGGCCTCCACACCGCGCGTGCCCATCTCCTAGCTGCCAACAAGGTCCCACACCACACCCGATGTCTTTACAATGCTCACACCCCACCCGCCCCCCGCCCGCTTCCCTCCTGTAGTTCTTGCTGGCGGGCTGTCAGGAGCTGGAGCGGCGGCGGGGTCTGTTCACCTGGTTGCTCACCAAGTTCCGCCGTCAGCTGCAGCTGGAGGCGCACTGCCTACGGGAGGCACAGCAGCAGCAGCTGCAGGGCGGCGCTGACGGAGCAGCAGCAGCAGCAGGGGCCCGAGGGGAGGAGGATGGAGGGGCAGGGCAGCAACAAAGTCAACAAGCTACGTACTTGCCCCTGCTACAGCAGCAACAGCAGCAGCCACGCTACCGCCAAGCTGGTAACCACATGCAGCAGATGCAAGCGCCGTCAGCGTTGTCCAACAACGCTGCGTCAGTCGCGGGTACGGCTGACTACTATTCCTCCGGTTCCGGTTCCAAACCCAAGTCGACTGGCAGGAAAGCCGATGCGGCGTTACAGCGGGGGCGTTCCTCACCCGAACCGGCGTCTCCGTTGTTGCGGCCTGAGGTCAGAGCGGTGCCTGTGATTGTGGAAGCTGCAGCGGAGCTGGCGGCTCCACCGGTACGACAACAGCAACAACAGCTCCAACCGCCATCGCAACCGCAACCCCGACGGCTACCGCCAATGCGGTCGCCGTCGCCGACCGAGGAGGAGGCTACCTCAGAGACGCGGGCGGCCGAGCCGCGGCCCAACGGACCCGTGGGTCCGTCGCATCACGCATCATGGGTTCATCGTCTGGAATACGAACGGCCGGACTACAGCGCCGTCGAGTCGCAGTTGGCGGCGTATTTCCGTTCGAACAACAACATGCCGCGTCGTACACGTCCGCGACTGCACGTTCCGGAATACGAACGGCCGGATTACAGTGGCATTGAGTCGCAAGTGGCGGCATACCTTCGCCAACCGCTGCCATTGCCTGTTTCGGCACGTCGTCGCTCGTCTGACGCCGCGGGGCAACCGTACTGGGGTGAATGGGCGCGCCGTCGCTCGTCGACTGACATTGGCACCGGCGACGGAACCGGGCCCAATGGCGGCGGCCGTTCATCTTCTTACCATCCTTGGAGTCGGTTCCATGGTCCCGGGGAGTGGCGAGGTGCTAGAGGCTCCTGGCAAATAGGTGATGGGGAGCTCTTGCAAACCGGCGGCGGCGGCAGTAGCAGCAGCTGCTGTGAGTTAGGTAGCGTCAGCAGTTGCAGCAGCGATGGATTACAACCGTCACAACCGTCCCAGCAACATCAGCTACAGCAGCAGGAGCAACAGCAGCATGATAACGGTATGGCTGGAGTGCCGTACCGAGGTGGTAGTTGGCAGGGAGTTGACAGTTGTGTGTACGTTGGCGGCGGCAGTTGGCCGGCCGCCAGTGGCGGCAGCATGGGCGGCGGCAGTGGAGCCGGGATGCAGCCCCGAGGCGGCCATTGGCAGTTGGGCGACGGTTGGTTGCAACAAGCCGGCGGTGGCCCCGGCGGCGGCGTCAAGTACGGCAGCGGCGGTTGGCAGATTGCCGTTGCCGGTTGGCAGCCTAGCAGCGGTGTTGGCGCTGGAGGCAGCGGAGGGCTCCAGTTGGAGATCCCGAGCAGCCCCGGATCGATGGTAAGCGGGTATAGCGCTATAGCCGTACACGTGCTGGATCATGTGCCCTGCGTATGCTACCAGTATGCTTAAGATAGGGCGTTGCAGCATGACTTAAGCTCGGCGCAGGTCCATGCGCCCTTTATGGTCTTACCGTATTCAATTGCCGGTGCCGGGATTATCAACACCCTGCTGTCCGCACCCTTGCAGAGCCCCGGTGGCGGCAGTGGCGGCCGGGTGAAGGTGGCGGTTCGGGGGCACAGCCTTGGCTTGGGGACGGCCATGCGGTTGGACCCGGGGGCGGCTATCGGTCATGAGGAGTGCGGCATCACGCACGGCAACAGCGGGGAGGGCTGTGGCGGCGATAGTGGCTCAGGCGGCGTGGGTACGGGCTCCGGAGAGTTACCCAACGAGATGGTAAGTAGGCGGTGGTTACATGTTTGGATAGTGAAGGAAGCTGGCATGGGTTGGTTCTGCACGCACTTGTCTTCCTTGCACTTTCTCCACCTCCGTCCCTAGCGCGGCCTCTTGCAGCCTTACAGCCCGCTTACAGACGTTACCGTAAACCCTTTTTTGTCTGTTTGGTTGCAAGTGTCTCCTCACTTCCTTTCCCTTCCTTTGCGGCTTCTTGTGTCACCACGTCTTCTCTTGCCATGCGGCAGATCGCCCCTCGCCATCGCTCGCAGCACCAGGGGGGCACTGGCGGCGGTGCGACAGACGACGTGGAGGCGGCCCTCCTTAACCGGTACGCAGGGCAGAGCACAGAGTGGACAAGATGAAGGGATAACAGGGTTCTTAAAACGGTTTGCCATGAAGCGAAGCCTGTGCCAAGCGAAGCGAATAGCCTTACGAGCGAACGTCTGCTTAAACGTCAATCGACCGTCTTTCCGCCCGCCTTGCATGCAGGTCCCGTAGAGCCCGGTTGAGTGACCCAAGTGGTCAGGACAGCGGCGCAGCAGCCCTGCATGGACCTGCCGCTGCTGCTGGTGCTGGTGCTGGTGGTGGGGGCGGTGGACGTGCGGGCGGGGTGGAGCCGCTGTGCACCTCTGACGGAATGGCGGTGCACGCGAGCGACAAGGTTCGCTCCGAACACGACCACCATCATCACCACCACCAGCACCACCATCGTCATCGTCACCACCATCATCACCACCACCATGCAAACGCAAACCTGACCTCCGGTCAAACGCTTCCAATGCAGCAACCGCAGTATCAGTGGCAGCCACCCCAAGAGCACCACCAGCAGCAGCAGCAACAGCATGCGGGAGAAATGGAGCGAACCTCCTTGCCGTACATCTTTAATGGTAGCTTTTCCCCAGGTACGCCACGGCGTGAGGTGTCTGCGCTTTACACGGTCTGCACTCCTCAAGACAGCCCATTGTAGCACACGCTATCAGGGCGCTCCTCTGCTTGGTGTAATACCCGTGTGTGATACCCTTGCTGTGTGTGATACCCGTCGCTACTCACGTCTCGACAGCAAGTTTCCATGACTGCCACGTCCAACCTGTCTTGCTACCCTCGCCCATCGCCGTTTCGCCCCTATGCTGGCCCCAGGATCCTTCCACGCTTCTCCAGCGGACCCTTTCCTCGTGCCTTCGCTGCGTGAATGCCTGGGGGAGCTGCTCCTGCTGTCGCAGTCCTCCGCGCCCGCCCTGCTGCCACCGCCCTCAGCCATCCGCGGACGTGGCTTGGCAGTGCCTACGGGGCCCGCTAGTCCGAAAGGCGGCGCAGGGGGAGGCGCAGGGGGAGCAACCGCAGCAGCAGTAGCATCAGCGGCAGCGGCAACAACATCAGCCCCTGCTGCGGGAGCTGCCGTCGGATGTCGTACAGGTGCGGGTGTCGCGGCCTGCCATGCTGGCGGCAGCCAGTACGGCAGTTCGGGCAGCCCGGGGGCGCTGGTGGTCACTGCCACGTCACCCTCTGCTGCTGCTGCTGCTGCTACTGGGTACCTCCCGGTGATTAATAACGGCCAGCAGCAACAACAACAGCTGCATGTGCAAGCAATACACAGCTTGCATGAAATAGGCCGTGGCGGAGGTAGAGCTGGCGGCGGCGGCGGCAGTGTCCTCCTGCCGCTGCTCTCTTCCAACTCCCCGTCCGACGCTCGGCAAACCGGCGCCACAGGAGGCGGCCATGCAGGCGGCAGCAGCAGCGGCTCGGCGCCCCGCCGCGGCTCCTTTACCTCTGGAGACAGCCAATCCTCTTCCCAGGGAACGACGACGATGACGGCGACGGCGGCGGCGGCGGCAGCAGGGCTCTCTTCCGTAAGCGGTGGCGACGGCGCCGCTGCCGCCGCCGCCAGCGGTGGCGACGGCGGCTTCCATCGCACCGCCTGGGTTCGAACCAAGGACCTGCTGGAGGCCTCCAGGGCACAGGTATTGAGCATGGCACAGTCGCTGCTAGCACAGCAGAAGTCCTACACAAAGCTATCCGCCGGCGGTGGTGCTGCCGGCGGCGGCAGGATCAGTCCTGCCGGCGGCTGCGGTGGCGGCGGTTGCAGCAGCAGCGGTAGCAGGTTGGAGTCGCTGAGACCGGTCAACGGCGGACAGAAGCGAGCGCAATGCGGCGGCTCCTTCCAGGCGTACGTGGAGAGCGGCAAGGGCGGAGGAGCAGCAGCGGCCGCCGCGGCTGCTGCCGCCGCTAACGTGAACAACGCAACACCACAGTCGTTGGTGTCGGCGCCGTCGCCGCTGCTGCTGCCGGCGCCGTCGCCGTCATCCTCGGTGCTTCCTGCTCTCAGCGCGTCCGTCTCCATCCCGCCTCCGACGCCGCATCCCTCCCCTGGACCCCTTTCTCCTCCTCCTCCTCCGAGCATACACAACGCTACGTCCATGCCGTCCGCCTATGGCTTGGGGGCAGCCGCCTAGCCCAGCCTTTCCAAGCTAGGCAGAGCATCATGCCGTCTGCTGCAGTGCTGCTGCTGTTACCTAAGTAACTTCTAACACGATTCGGCCTGCCACTACCACCGTACTCTGCTCCTTTCTGAACACCACGACGCGCATGCATGTGCGGGCGGAGAGGTATGTCATCCTCTGTTGTCGCCGACTCTGCTCGTGGGCGCTGAAGGGCAGAGTGTGGATATGTTAGTGCTGCACGCGCCCATTGCATGAAACAAGGCGCGAACTCTGCTCGCTTCTTGACGTGCACTTGTGTAAGGAAGGGACTGCATTCAAGCTGCTGTTGTTGTTGTTCATACGGCTGTTGTTTACTGGCGGCAAACAGCTGGAGGCGACAGCTGTGCATGTCTCCTACAGCTGTCTCGTCGCCCAGTTCCACAGGGGGTTGTTGAGGTTACTATTCGAGTGGCATGTTGCTTTAGCGCTAACCATTCCCGGCCCTTGGATGTGATATCGGGGTGCTGCAATGGTGTTCCGGGCAACATCGGAGTGTGCAGGCGGTTTGCTGCCGGCCTGCACCAGCGGCCTGTGAAAGGCTCCATGCAAGCAACCTGTGTACGCTGCTGCGTTGCCCTCATGTTTGCCTAAGTCAGGCACACGCAACTGCCTGTATCTGCGCAAGCGCCTATGGGCTGTGTCCCCAACATGCGTTTGCTGCGGATCGAATCTCCGCGGTTTCGTTGTCACGGCGGCGCGACCCCTGTTGTGATGTGGGTTCTTGCGTCGCTGGTACCTAGCTTACTAGCGCCCTGTTACTTTTGCGTGAGTCACCGGCACTTGCAATGTGTCCAATGTTGCTGTTGTGGTCATGGCTGGTATTTAAACTAAAGAATGCATGTGACTAGCTGCCAACAAGCGGGTAATGGCAAGAGGGCATGGCTGGGGTTCAGCAGAGGCTGTGACGGGGGCGTGTGAGAGCACAGGCTTGCGGCTTGAGACACACACAAGTTGGGTGCGGCGCTTAGTACCGTAGTGCATATGTGTAGAGAGATGCCGGTGAGGTCATGTCCCATGTGAAAGATGACCTCAACCTTGCTTTGTGTGTCATTAGGTTTGCATGCGGGGGCTTGAGCGTGATTGATTGTGTGACAGCCTGCCTGTTTCGCCTGGAGGTTGAGGCCTTGCTGCTTGGGTTCTGGATTGCTTGTGTTACCTGCCCCGAATATCGGTATTGAGCAGTTGGAAGACTTGCGCGTGTGCATGGCAGTTGACGCTAGCTACGTTTCAAGACCGATGGCATTGATTAACTCTGTGGGTTTCCGCTATAACCACCCCGCATGTCTGCGTGGGCTGGTGGGTTTAGAAAGTTGTGCATAAGTAAGTGCTCTGCCAGCATCTTAGGCTTGAAGTGAGGTGGTTCCAGCAGTACTCCGCATAATCCGTTGTTAGTCCTTCATGGTTGGTCACCACGCGCTCGATGAGGGGCGGCCAGGGAGGTGCATGTGTCATGATGTTGGCGGCATGTTTTGAAGAGTCTGGTCAACATTCGCGATCATACCGTTGCTGTTGATTTGCTGCCAGTTGGCCTCTGCAATGCCTGCGTTGAGCTACGAGGGCACTCTGCCCTAAGGGCTATTGTGACCCGGGTTAGATGGTTATTCTTTGTTTGCCGCATGTGAAGCCCTACGGTGTTTGCTAGATGTTAAGTATCGGATGCTGTTTAATGCTGCTGCTGCTGCTGCCGCTGTGTCCCGCTGCAAGACTGCGGATGCTTGTTTGAATGCTGTGCGTTGCTTAATTGGCCGTCCCCCATTTACCAAGGGTTAGCCTGCTTACGGTGGGATTGCCAGCTGTTCAATGAAGTCGTAATGAGACTTACCTCCCCAAGTTGGTCCACAATAAAATAGCATTGTTGCCTGCTCCGGTAGTTGGTGTTTCGCAAGTCTAGTTGGCTAGTTTTGTACTGTTGGTTGCTGGTTGCTGGTTACAGCCCTTTTGTGTTGCGGGTAAAGGCAGTGCCGCGATTGCCAGCGACTGTCTGCCTTGTATCATGCGACAGGGCCCGGGGGTACTGGCATGCAGACGAGAGAAGATTCACCTGGTATTAGAATTCATACGTGAATGCGGTGTAAGAAGCCAATGTCGCGTCTTGTCATGTTTGGGAGGACGACATTGGTTAATTGGTTCGAGCCAAGGGGCAAGGTTCCCCTGTCGCTGTAATACTCCGGCACTGACGGGCATGTCAGACATGACAGCAGCATGGCGTGGGTACGGCGTATGTTGCTTAGGAGCGCATTAGGAGCAAAAGAGAACGCGGCGAGTCGTGTATTCTATAAACGGGATCAAAATTGCCGTTACTGGCATTGCACGACGGAGAAGGACGTATGTATGTATGTTACAAGCTTCGTACCGAGCTCGTAAGATCCGTCCGAGCCAGAAGGCTCATGGATCGCGAGCACAAAACGCGAAAACAACCAAAAGAAGAAAAGTAAACAAAAGAGACAACAAACAGAACGCTAATCATATGATAAACCCTGTCTGCGCAATCCTGCGACTTCGCATGCTAGTGATTACGCTAGCAAGCAATGCCTGATTCTCCATGCCCATGACAGCAATCATATCAGCATCCCGTGGGACACCACTTTCCCATATCTTATCACGCAAATCATCGTAAGCGGGACATTCAATGAGGATGTGTTTCTCATCTTCCACTCTCCCCGGCGACCCCTGCACGGCACACATAGGACAGACACGCGCTACTCGTTGCCTACCCCTAGGGCGATTGGCTTCAATGCCCCACACACACAGCCGAAAACGCATCAGGTTCACATGCTGCCGCTGAGTAATGTACCCCCTGTCAACCGGGTCACCCATCCAATTTTTGTACCTGCACATCTTAACTCCAACCCCTGGTACGGGGTCTACTGGGTTGAAAAGCCGCGGGTCATCTTCCAAACTCCTATCCTCCCAATCCGCATCCATTCTATCAGCAAACTTTTTAGTGAGAGCAGACACATTTAGCTCCGTGCCAGCAATACGTTCCACACGCGCATTCAAGTCCAATTCACCCCCCAAGGCCGTCAAATCCGTCCCTAACATTTTCAGAATCTTCAGCACCTTAGAACCCCAGCCATCATAATGCTCAGTACTGAGAGCCGAACGAATTTCACCTCGCAACGTCTGGTGGTAGACCGTGTCCTTCTGCTTGACCAGGTCATTCCAAAACCTCAGAAACAGTTCCAGCCAGAAGACATGCAAGGGACGCTGGTTAAACTCCTTAAACAGCAACTTATCAGGCGAGACTTTCACACCCGCAATCTCCCGAAGAAATTCCCTTTGTAACTGCACCATTGGGTCCCGCAAGGATCTGTCAAAGTACCTCGCGGAATTCTCGCAGTCCGTCATTAGCTTCAGCACCACATCAGGCCCCCACACCTGGACACCGTACGACAAGATGGAGCGGACTTGCACGTCGAAGCACTTAACTGCAACAGCAGGGACCAAAAGACCTAGGCGTTTTAATTTACGCTGAAGAGAAAACATAGCACGTCGGCCAGAGGTCAACAGTTCCTCTGTGCAGGAAACAAACGGTGTGCCAGGACCAAAGTGCAAACCAAGGTAACGGGCTCGTTGTACCCAAGGAATAACCATAGGTACTCGCGCATTTCCCTCAATAGAAGTCCACACCACGGGGCAAAGGGCAGCAAAAGCCTCGCGGATATTGGCACGAGGGTGGAAAACCATCAATTCACATTTACGAACATTCACCCGCATCCCAAAGGCCTCACACCACTCTCTCAAATCAGCAAGCAACACAATCAGCCGTCTGTGCGTCGTAGCGAAAAGGCTGAGGTCGTCGGCATACAGTTCCAACGGGATACGCCGGCCATCCGCATGGGGAGTCTGCTGCTTAGCGCGCATAGCATCAGGGAGCCACTTATCCTTAGCGTCAACATAGTCAGCAAACCCCTCGCCAAAAATCCCGTAAAGCGTAGGGCTGAGAGGGCATCCTTGCTTGACTCCCTGCGAAGATTCAAAAGGATCCCCCGTCACTCCGTCTACCCTGACACGCATCATGACCTTGTTGTAACAAGTCTTGAGAGCCTCCAGCATAGCGCCATGCACACCCCGTTCCTCCAACCTTAACCACAAGAGATCACGTGGCACCTTGTCAAACGCTTTCTCAAAGTCAATCTGACAAACGAACAGGGGGTCAACTGCATCTCGCCCCCCCTTATGTTTGTCCGTCAGATGTCGCAACAAAAACAGGTTGTGGCAGGTACCCCGCTTGCGTCGGAAACCTCCCTGATACGGCGACCTAGCTCCCACCAGCTCGCCCCAACGAGACAGCCTGTGCTCCAACAAAAACGCATAAAGCTTAGACAAAACACCACCCACTGCTAAACCCCTATAGTTACCCTTCTCCATCACATCGCCTTTTTTGTGGATGGGCGTGAGCGCAGAGACCTCAAACTGCACAGGATAATCCCCCGTGCTGCGGATATGCTCTAGTAGCTTGAGCAGGTAAGGGGCTAAAACAAACATCCTTCTACCCTCAACAGAGAAGGACAGCACGGGTGCACGGCCCTCATGCCGTACAGTACAGCGTGGCCATGCCGCTCGGCGACTAGGCTATGACTTAAAAGTAGCGGTTTGTCTACACTAAAATCGCATTTGTACTTGCATACAAGGGAGCCAAATATACATTTAAAACGTAGGCATCTACCTTCTGTGATTGCAAATGTGGTCGCTTTCTGAAGCGCAGCGCGAGGATGTTGTCCAGCGACTGATCGCCAGCATCTGCGCCCTTGCGCACGCCCGTGGCGTCGAGATCAGCGCAGAGGTGGGCTGGCGGCTCGCCCATCGAACATTCAAACGCAGATCCTCTCTTGGCGCAATTGTCGAACGCTTACCAGCTTAATCTTATTAACCTCAGCTACATTACTGTTTTGTAATGTATGGTTCCCGCACATTAAATAAAGGTCGCTTATCAAAAACCGGATGCGTAATAACCCCATTGTCCTTGGTAGGTTGCGTCGGCGGCTGCGGCGGCCCTGGAGAAGAAGTCTTATACGGCCGCTCAAGTAGCAGCGAGGACAACGACCGGGAGCCGGCCAGTATCAGAGACCACTTCGGCCTATGCACGGTAGGCAGCGCCTTCCACGTGGGTGCTGCACACCGCCAAAAGTCCTTAGCTGCCCGCTTTCCTGGCAACTGCACCTTGCACCTTCCTCTGCCCCACCTCGCCAACCTCCTTTCCCACGTTGCCTTCTTCCTCGCCTCCTCTCACCACCTTCCTCTCCTCGCCTCCTCTCTCCTCACCCCACCTCCCACACAGCAAGCTAGGCGAGCTGGTCGTCCAAGTCGTGCGGGATGGGGGCAAGCTGGAGGGCGCGGGGGCCGCACCGGGGGCCGGCGCAGGCCAACTGGAGGTGAGCTCAGCTTGCCGCCCCACAGGCGCAACAGACCACGCCTCGCAACCTTCCCAACACGCCAACCCCCCAACAACCCAGAACCCACTTCCGTACACAAAATTCAGCCTCGTCGTGTTACTGCCTTCGATACTTCCTTCCCGCCCTCCACCTGCCACCCAATCCGCTCGTCATGTTTTCCTCACCATTTCCTTCCACTCCCTACCGCTCCCCTGTCTTCCCTGCTCCAGTTCCTGGACCTTACGGGCTCCCGCGACTTCCTGACGGCTGAGAGCGCTGAGGAGGTGCTGGCGCCGCTGCTGGGGCCCGGGAGTGCTGTCAGCAGGGTGGGTGGAGGTGGAGGTCGGGGTGGGGGTGGGGGTGGGGGTGGGGTTGAGGTGGGGTTGTCAAGATTGAGCCGCGAGGAATACTGACCCTGACTGTAGGACCGGAGGAGGATGGCGCCCCAGATGTCGAAGTGGGGTTGAGGCCCTCTCCAACACACCTCCTCTTGCCTCCCTGACACACCTCCTCCTCCCTCCCTCCCACCTGCCAGATCCGCTTCAGCACCAAGAGCTTCGGTCGGGATGCGGCGGCGGTGGCGGCTCGCGCCATCGCGGCGGTGTCCGGCTGCCTCACGGATGCGGACATCTCGGATGTCATTGCGGGAAGGCCGGTGGGTGGCTGGGTGGTGGGGTGGTAGCGGTGGGGTGGTGGGCATGGCGGTGGCGGGGAAGGGGTGAGGAAGGGAATGCGGTGCTTTGAGCGATGAATGAGGCAACGCTTGGGTCGGTGGGTGTGTTGGCGGCGGCGTCGCTGGTGGTGCAGGAGGGTATATCCGGCTGTACCTGAGGGAACGCATGGGAGGAGGAGGGGGCCCTGGTACTGCTGTTCGCGTTTCTGTGACTTGCCTTCTTCCCGCCTTCAGCCCACACCTCCCACTCTCTTCTTTCCCTCCTCCCCCCCCCCAAACACAGGAGGACGAGGCTCTAGAGGTGCTGCGGGTGCTGTCGGCCGCCCTGGCCTCCGCGCCCCGCCTCACCGCCCTCAACCTATCGGACAACGCGCTGGGGGAGAAGGGTGTGCGCGCGTGCCAGGCGGTGCTGGCGGGGCAGGTGAGCGGGCTGTGCTGGGTGGCCGGGTGCCGGTGCCGGGTGGTTGTCACCCTGGATGCATGGTTGGGGTTGTCGCTTTACAGAGGTTGTGCTTGCATGGGCTGGGGAAGTGTTTTGGTGCGCAGCTGGGAAACGGATTGTTTCAGGACACCTCGCACGGTGCGGGGCCCGCGCCTGCCACAGCCCCTGCCAGCCGGGCAGCTGGGCGGCGGCACACGGTGGGGAATGGCCAGCTGTGTGCGGTGCGCATGTCGATGTACGGTATCCACCATGGCTCCCCGAACCCCCATCCCTGCATCTTTTACTGACCGTCCGCTGTCTCCCCTTTTCCCTACCTCCCCCCCCCGCTCCCCCCCCCCGCAGGCCCCCCTGGAGTCCCTCTCCCTGCAGAACGTGGGCCTCTCCGAGCACGCCTGCCGCGCCACCTCGGAGCTGCTGGCCGACCCCGCCCGCCTGCGTCGCCTGCAGCTGTTCAACAACATGAGCGGGGACGAGGGGGCGGCACACATCGGGGGCATGCTGGCACGTGCACCGCGCATGGAGGTGCGCGGGGGGGGGGTAAAATAAGGAAACTGACGAGGGTGGAGGGAAAGAGGAAGTTGGGAGGGGGTAACGAGGAAACAATTAACTTGACTGTGTGGTAAGGCGTCATCATGGTTTGTAACATGTGAGCCAGCCCGACCCGCCCAGCCCGAATTAGCCAAGCCAGTACTAGGCTGGGACCAATGGAACGAACGGCGGGAGGTTTTGGTGCAGTTGTGAGCAGTGAGCATGTGTCGTGTTGTGTCGTTGCGTGTGTGTTCGCAGTTTGTTCACTTGGTTCAACGGCTCTCACTGCACTCATGGTTATCTAGGGTACTGCCCGCCCGCCTGCCTGCCTGACGCTCCTGCCCCTCCTTCCTGCCCCTGCAGGACCTCCGACTGGCCTCCAGCCGAGTGGGCCCCGCGGGGGGTATCGCGCTGGCTCAGGGGCTCATGGCGGGTGGGTGGTGTGGTGGTGGTGTGGTGTGGTGGTGGTGTGGTGGGTGGCGGGGTCGTTGGGGCGGCTGGGATGGAGGAAGTTTGGGGGCATGGAAGGCTCTGACGACCCGATCGGTTCACCCTCACCCTTCTCACCCTCCTGATACCTCACCACGACCCCCCTTCCTTTCACCCTCCATCATCATCCAACGCATGGTTCTTCTTCCCTCCCTCTCCCCCTCCCTCTCCCCCTCCCTCTCCCCCTCCCTCTCCCCCTCCCTCTCCCCCTCCCTCTCCCCCTCCCTCTCCCCCTCCCTCTCCCCCTCCCTCTCCCCCTCCCTCTCCCCCTCCCTCTCCCCCCCCCTCTCCCCCTCCCTCTCCCCCTCCCTCTCCCCCTCCCCTTCCCTCTTCCCTCCGCCCTTCCCTTGGGACTTTAGTTGTTTGCATTTCTTATATAATTTTCCCCCCTCCCCTCCCCCCCCAGGCAGCTGCCTGGTCCGACTGGACCTCTCCGACAACCCCCTCACCTCCGAGGTCGCCCCCGCCCTCGCAGCCATGCTCGCCACCCAGCCCCAGCTGCGCGCACTCAACCTGAACGACACCTCGCTGGGACCCGACGGCGTCACCACCCTCTGTACGGCGCTGGTAAAGTCGTACGGCAGCAGCGGGACAGCGGCGGGTGTACGACACCAGCAGCAGCAGAGGCTGGAGGAGCTGGGGTTGGCGCTGAATGAGATCGACCCCACGGCGGCAAAGGTGAGGAGAGTGGTGGTGTGGTTCAGCCCCCCGCGTGTTCCTCTCCTGCTCCTTTCACCCGCCCTTGTCACTGCATCCTTTGCGCCAATGGTATGCTGTTGTCTTCACCTTCCTCGTTTTACCCTCCCCGACCCTTCCCTTCCCCTCCCGCCCGGCCCCCCCCCCCAAACCAGGCCGTAGCCGCCCTCATCGTGGCGCACGCCCCCAGTCTGCGGCTGATCAACCTGCGTGAGAACGAGCTGGAGGACCGAGGGGCGGCGGTGCTAGCGCGGGCGCTGGCGGCGCTGGCGGCACCTGCCAGCGTAGACCTAGTGGGCAACCAGGTGGGAGGGATGGACTGGGGGGGCGGCATGGGGTGGGGTGGGGTGAGGAAACTGGCAGCGGGGCGGAACGTACTGTGATTGTGTGTCAGGGGGAGCAGCGCGCGTTGGCCGCACATGTAGGGCTGCGGCGGCACCAGCCGCGGTCGTTGAGCCGCCCTGGCTTGCACCGCCCTGTGCCGCCCTGGCTTGTGCATCCTTACGTACATAACTATTGAAAGCCCCCACGCCACTCCTCACCTCCCCCCCCCTCCCTGCTGCCTGCCCCCCCCCTCGTGTCCCAGATCCGGCGAGTGGGTGCGGTGGCGGTGGCTCGGGCGCTGTGCGGCAAGGCCTCCCTGGAGCTGTTGGCGCTGGACGAGAACATGATCAGCGAGGGAGGTGAGTGGGACCGGGGCGGGGCCGGGGCAGGGGGGGGGGGCAGGGAGTGAAAGAGAGGGATCTACGAGTTAGGGCAACAGCAATGGGGATAGAAGGCGGCAGGGTGGGGGTGAGGGTTTGGTTGGAGCCGGGAGGGAGGGAGGGGTGAGGGACCGGGGGGTGGGGCCGGGGAGGGAGGAGAAAGAAGGAGAAAGTAGCCGTGTGACAAGGCTTCTGTGGTTCTTACCATTCCCCTACCTACCACTTTCCTACCCACCTCGCCCCCGCCCCCAGGTCTTGACGAGCTGCGGGGTGTGATGGAGGCGGCCGGCAAGTCGGCGGCGCTGGGGCCGCTGGACGAGAACATGGAGGAGGACGACGAGGAGGAAGAGGAGGAAGAGGAGGAGGACGGGGACGACTTTGGTTTGTCGGAGATGCTTGCGCGGGCTGGGCTTGCTTAGGGGTGCGACTGAGGAGAGTGAGCAGGTTGGGTGACGGGGGGTAAGGAAGCAGGACGCCATGGTATGGGGTTGTGGCGACAGATACGAGTTGCATGAGTCTGTACGGCAAATGTTGTATTAGGATGACCAGCTCCGAAGGTTTTGAGTGCCCCGAGCTGACATGTTTCTGAGGACGCAGCGGGGAAGGGGAGGTGACTGGTCAGGTAGGGCTATAGGGCACCCCCGCAGGACTCTACGCGCAGGGGGCTGTCACGCAGGGTTACTGGCATATGCTGCAGCAGCGGTGGTGCGGGATATGTGACCTAGCTATATCTGCAGCTGGGGGTTGAGCGTTGAGGTCTCTCAGGTAGCAGTACTTAAGACTCACAGCTACTTGCGTGTAGGCGACCAGCGCCGCAGTAAGAAGTGAATGTCGTACTGTCGGTGGTGGATGTGCAGGGCAGCTGGGGGTTGGTGGGCGGTTGTGGCGTGGGGGGGCAGGTGTGCGGGAATGCGACTGCTGGGTCCGGGTAGACTGGGTCCGGGTGGTGTGTTTGGTTCCGTGTTAGGAGGATGATCACGAGCAGCTTGGTAGTCTATTGCGTGCGTGCGTGCGGTGCGAGACTGCGTGCGTGCATGACCTTCAGGGCTCTGGCTGACATCCGGCTGCGCCAATGACCACTTGGTTGACTGTTAGCCAGCTGCGCCAATGACCACTTGGTTGACTGGTCTACGGTATAACAAGTGGAACAGATGCCGGGCCATGTAACCAGGGGGGGTCTAACATGGCCTGCTCCACGGCCCGTGCTTTTGGAGTGGTTCTGGTGCAGTAAGGTTAACAGAAAGGCAGGATTCAGAGCACTTACCGGGCTGCGAAGGATGGTTATGGAAAGCTGTGTCTCCGCGCAGGCGGATGGGGTGTTGGGGTGGAGGTGGTGCGTTGGGACAGGCTTGTAAACGTTGGGACAAAGCGCAAACCCACTGTACCCATTGCATCCGACATTATGGACAACGCCCTTCCATCATCATGCAGAGTTAGCGACTCAGCGTTGCAGTTGTACGACATGACAGTTATCCAACGTCGATCTCGCAGTCGGAAGAGCGTCAGGAAACTGCCGGCGCCATCTTTGGCTTCTAGATGTTAAAGCCTATACGCTCTCGTAGTAGCCCATATTTTTTAGCGTGATCGGCACCGCTTCTATTCGCTGTGCAGATAGACGGCAAGTCGCCAATGGCTTTGATGCTGTTGTTTTTCCGGCGATAAACGACTCTTAGTCAGGATTTTGTGCAACTTACATATAGCTGCATCGTGCTGAAGTAACTGGAAACGTTTTGCCCCGATGAGCCGCAACTAGCACTGTCCTTGACGAATTGACGGTATACCTGCGCCGTAGCTCCGTATAAAGGCAATTGAAGAATATTGGAATTCTCACGCCTAGTGGCGACGGACGACCGTTCTTTCCACGATGAGCGCAACCACATCAGCAAGCGCTGGAGCCCCTACCAGCCAAGCCTTAACCTCTACAGCTCCGCACAGGCGACCCGAAAGCTCCCCCTCCACATCCTCTCCAGTTCCTAACCCGCCTGGGGCGTCTAAAATCGCAAAGCAGCCATCCGCTGCAGGCTCAACATCCTCAGCATCCAAGCCTTCTCCGACCAGTACTAGCAGCAAACATAAATCCAAAGCGAAAGGGCCTGCTGCACCAGCGGTGGATGCTGCTCCAGCGCCAGCAGGCTGGCGGAAGCAGCTGTCATCTTCGCCGATGCTCCTAGCGGGCTGCGTGGGAGGCGGCGCGGTGCTGGGTCTGGCTGCTCTGTGGCTGCTGACTTCACCTCTCCGAAGACGCGGGCGGGGGGCCAAGGGAGCAGGCGCGAGCGGCAAGGGCGGATCGGCAACAGCGGGACTTGGTGGGTTCAGGGACCCCAGATTCGTGGTGGGGTGTTCTCCCTTTTTACGAATGACATGGCAAGGGGCAGATGTAGTTAAGCTGCTTCCCGTCGCTCGTGGCCAGTCGTACTGCGGATGTGCCGCTGTACAGCCGTACTGCGGTGGTGCCGCTGTACAGCCGTACTGCGGTGGTGCCGCTGTACAGCCGTACTGCGGTGGTGCCGCTGTACAACGTACCAACCGCTTTTCCAACCGCATAACCTAACCAAACCACCTGTATCGTACGCTCTTCCATACTTTCTCTCCTCCCCCTCCGGTTGCTGCTGCCGTACCGCATCAGGACCCTTCGCGAAGCTCAAACCCACTTCCAAGTGCGTTCCTCTGGCGGACGGCACTGCATGTGTGGTACGGCGGGAGATTGCGGCGGACAACTCCTGCCTCTTCAACAGCATTGGTGGGTGTGGGTAGCACGTGAAGTGGGGTGCGGTGCAGCATCCGAGCACATCCGGGCGCAGCTCATCATGCGGGAAGAGTTGCAGTCGCAGTTGCATCACCAGCGGTCTGCGGCATGGGATCTGCGTGCGACTGGGTCTGATTGTGTTAAGGCTTTGCTGTTATACCGGTTTGTATATCCGGCAGGGACCTGTGTGTATCGCCATTCAACGCAACCGCCCAACGTCCCTCCACCGCAGGCTACTCCATGCACAAGTCCAAGACGCGTGCACCGCACCTACGCAATGTAAGGCCGGGCCGGGCCCCTGTGTGGCGGGAATGCTTTCCATTCTTCATCCCGGTAGAAGCCTGCTACCCAACAGCAACGTCTCCTATCCGCCCTGCTTTCTACACGTGCATTTTGATTTACGTGATTTTGCTTCCACACGTGCAGCTTCCACACGTGCCTTTTGCCACCACACTCCCTTCGCTCCCATCCTGCTCAACACCCTTCGCTCCCCTCTTCTCCTCCCCTCCTCCTCCCCTCCCCTCCCTCAGGTGGTGGCCCAGCAGGTGGCAGGCGACACGTCCACCTACTCGGACGCCTTCCTGGGTATGAGCAACCAGGGGTACTGCAACTGGATCAGGCAGCCGTACAACTGGGGGGGCGGCATCGAGCTGGCCATCCTAGCGCAGGTGGGTTCACAATAGCACTGCTGGCCGCTGGTGTGAGTGTGAGCAGGTGCGCGTGTGCACAGAAATGCGGGAGTGCAGTGCTGGCGTCGAGTGGTTTAACGGACTGTGAATGCCGGTTCTAGCACGGGTGTGAGTGAGTTGTCTTTGAAAGCAATGGGGCAATGCGCAACTGACACTGTCCACAGCTGTCGACCCAGCAAAGATGCACTGGCAGTGCGGTGTGTGTTATACCCTGATACGGCACACCCTGATACGGCAATAATCCTGGCGCCGCAGGCGTACGGCATTGAGATTGCCGCTTGGAACATCGAGACGTGCAAGCAGCACGTGTTTGGAGAGGAGTCGGGTGAGGGATGGGGGGAACGTGAGCCTCATGTGACCCATGGGTCAGCTGCTGGTAGCCTGGGACTGATTCGCAGCTTTTGGGATTCGGAAGGGGTCGCTTTTCCTGCAAAGATCTCACGCCCAGCCCTGCGCACGCGAGAAGGCCGGATGCTTGCGGGCACCGCTGTTGGCAAATCATGCCACCCAAGCCATGCGTTTCACTTCGCCCCACTGCCTGCCCCCTGTGTTCAGGCTACAAGCGGCAGGTGATGGTCATCTACAACGGGGTTCACTACGACGCATTGGCAGGTACGGCACAACGACCCATGTTGTGTACGACTTTCTTGGCAGACTGCTGAGGAGTGCGTGCACTCATGTACCGTGTATCATCAATGTATCTTACTGTACACTATAAGCCACGTTACATACCGGTACGGCTCCTGTGTGTCTTTTGATGTGTTCCCCACCGGTATTACCCCTGCAGTCTGTGCCGGCCCCCGCGCCAATCCCGACGACGACGAAACCGCCTTCAACCCCCGAACCAAGCGAGGCAAACTCATCCTAGCAGCAGCCCGCAAGCTGGTGGAGCTGGCGCACCGGGAGAGCCCCTTCCACGGGAAAGCTGCTGCTACTGCTGCTGCGACCACGGGAAGCACCAGCACCTCACAGCCCGGGGGGAGCAACAAGGCATCAGCCAGCAGCGGCAGCAGCGGCAGCGGCAGCAGCAGCAGCAGGAACACCGCCGGTAGCAAAAAGAATACCAAGAAGGATGCCGCCGAGGCCGCATCTAGCAGGGCTACCTTGTCGTCGTCTAAGATGTCCTCTGCGGCACCCGCTGCTCCGACCACCTCTAAACCTGCTGGCAAGGACTCCGGTGCTGACCCTGCCGTACCACCAACTGCAACCCCAACGTCAGCTCCTGCAACCTCTTCGGCGGCAGTGTCCCGGTCAGAGGCAGCTCCACACAGCAGCAACAGCATTGAGGCAGCTGCCACGACCTCCTCGGGCGTTACTGCTGCTGCTGCTGCCTCCTCCTCCTCCGCGTCCTCCGTTCCTAACACCGCAGCGGACGGCGGTGATGATGATGAGGGTGGCAGCGGGGCCGCTGCTGCCCACAGCAGTAGCCATGCGGGTGCAACAGCAGCGTTGACCGATACCGGTACCTCCCCTACGTCCAACGGCGAGACCAACAACAACAACAGCAGTTCCACCTCAGCCTCCGCCGCCAAACCGGGTGGGAGCGCTGCCGCTTCCAGGCCTCCTCGCGTTGTTCGGAGCACTCCTGTTGCTGCGGCGCCCCCATCACGCGTGGCGGCGACGGCTGCTGCTGTTGGTGTTGTTGTGGGATCCAAGCTGTGTTGCGGGGACTGTGGGGAGGTGCTGGCGGGTAGTGCGGCAGCGGCGCAGCACGCCAAGGCAACCGGACACCAGAACTATCACGAAGTGGACGCATCATGAGGTGTTGGCCAGGAAGTGGGTAGTACGGCACTTGCTTGGGAGGTGGGAGTGGACGACAGGACGTGTGAGATGTTGGGGGTGGACAGGTGAAGGCTGGGGAGCATATCACCTGATGCCTGGCGCGTGGAATGCAGAACATTCTGGGTTAGGTCGTGGTGGGGGTGACCTGCCATTCGTGTTCGGGATGGCCTTGCGCGGGTAGTGCGTTGTGGCTGGGTTTGAGAGGGGGCTTAGCAGCAGGATGGCTCAGGAAAGGGGGCTAGGGCGGTTTGTCTCTCAGCCATCTGCAACGCATGTGAACCGCGCAGGCTAGAGAGTACCCGGTACGGCAGGTGTGAGCACATCACCTGATGCCTGGCGCGTGGAATACTTGTTGTTAGGTGCAGGCTGCCCGGCGTATTGGGTTTGGTGGTGGTGGGTGACCTGCCATTCGTGTTCGGGTGACCTTGCGCGGGTAGTGCGTTGTGGCTCGGTTTGAGAGGTGGCTGAGCAGCAGGATGGCTCAGACAAGGGGGCTAGGGTACCGGTAGTTTGTCTCTCAGCCACCCTCCACGCATGTAAACCGCGCTGACAGGAGTACCGGTACGGCAGGCCAGTGTGTGTGGGTCGCAACTCTGGCCAGCTGCCCAGCTGTTGTGTGTTGCAGCAGCTGCAACAGATGTCAGGTAACGGGAGATGACACAAGTTACCAACTATTAGCATAACGTCTTGACATGGCATGTGAAACACCAGCCACAATGATAGACGTTATTCAAAGTCAGTCAAAGCCGGTACATAGCCGTCCGTTACAACTGCAATGCACGGCATGACCAATACCGCCACATAGCGCCAACCAAGGAGCTACCGGTAATGGAATAGCGCACTGCCGTTGACGCCATTCATCCAGCAACAGCAGTCAACACGTGAAGCTCCGGCACTATCAGGGTAGTTTGGTGCCATGTAATGGAGTATATAACATCCCGGTTCATGCAGAGGATGGCGGCTCGATAAGGGGATAGTGCCACAACATACAACAGTACGGCAGTACGGTCCTAACTGCACCCCCCACCTCCTCGGCTCCTCCACTAGTTCCTTAGGCCAGGCGGTACGGGCCCGCTAGCTACCGATGTTAGCGACGCTGCTGTACAGTGCTGTACAGTGCTGTACAGTGCTGTACAGTGCTGTACAGTGCTGTACAGTGCTGTACAGTGCTGTACAGTGCTGTACAGTGCGCGCACGCAAGGTAGCGTATCTAAACCCGTACCGCATCCTATCGCATTCCGTATGCCGGTAAATATGTGTCATCATGCACGCCCTCCTACCCTTATATTCACACATGCGCCAGCTAGCATTAGAAGCTCTGGACACCGGGCAGCTCGTATCGTCCCCGGACGATACGAGCTGCCCGGTGTCCAGAGCTTCTAATGCTAGCTGGCGCATGTGTGAATACAAGGTCTGTACGGCAGGCCAGTCACATGCACCACTTGTCACCCTAGCCAGTCAAGGGGTGGGACCAGAATCCGCTTGCCCACACTCCTGGGAACGATGGACCGCCGCAAACCGGAAGAGCACACACCCACTGAAATGTCAGCAGGGTCGCATGTCTCCTAGTAAACCTCCTAGCACCGGCGGCGGCGCTTGGACGCGGGAGCTGGCGCAGGAGCGGGTGGAGCGCGGGCCGAGCCACCAGCAGCTGCACCTCCCGCCTGCTGGCGACCTGCTGCTGCTGCTGCACCCGCACCCGCACCCGCACGCGCCGCCGCCGCCGCCGCTGCCCTCGTCCTACCGTGTTGCTGCTGAGCCCCCCCACCGGCGGCGGCGGTGGCAGCACCGGCTGCAGCTTGCGTACCAGCAGCCACAGCGGCATCAGCAGCGCCACCGCCTTCGTCGCTGTCCTCCTCCTCCTCCTCCTCCTCATCATCATCATCATCATCATCGTCGCTGTCGTCACTGCCAGCGGCATCTGGGTAAGCATCCACCACCCCTGGCGCATGCAGCAAGGTCGCAGCGTCTTGCAGGCCCCAATCCCTCTGCATCACGTTCCACTCCTCCGCCAGCCGCTTCCACCAGGCTGATCCGTAGTCGCGCAGCAGCTGCTCCCCGGGAGCGATGTCGCGGATGGCGACCAGCACCGGAACAGGAACACCGTGAAGGAGGATGGGGACGACCTGTAGCGTACAAGAGAAGGGTGGATGGACCCGAGCATGCATGCATGCGGGTTGTGGAGTGATTGGGCAATGTTGCGAATGCTGGCGTTTACCGTAATAAATGGCATGCACCGAAGAAGCCTCGTGGTTGCATTTGCAGCACCCATGCAGCGCCTATCTAAGCACCGCCCATCCACCTACCATGCAGTTCGCATCCTCCGCTGTTTGGTGACCCGCCCCGTCCTCCCATGGATTGACCCGTGGGTCGTTCACCAGCGCCGCCAGGTTGCCGTACCCCAGCATGTTCAGCTCCAGCGGCGGCAGTCCTCCTGGGGAGGGCAGATCCGGCAGTGTGAGGGGCAAGACGTAAGAGTGAGGGTGGGAGCCAAGACATTTGGTTGGCTGGAAGGGAAATCCTCAGGGCACACAGGGGCACGATACATGTATTTGATTGCAACTACCGGTGCGTTACGACGACAGCAAGTACGGCAAGTACCGGTAGCAAGTACGGCAAGTACAGCGCCTGCTTACGTTAACGTACACACGCAACCGGAAGTACGCCTCCCCCCCTGAACGAGTCTACAACCGGCACCTCTCACCGTCGCCCGCAGCAGCTCCCTCCTCCTCCTGCACCACCGTAAGCGGAACGCGGAACGCCCCCACCAGAAAGCTCCATGCAAGCTGCTCGCCTTCCTCCAGCATCACACCCCTCGCAGCACAGCAGCTGGCAATAAGCCGCCCCAGCTGCGCTCGCACCTCGCGTCCAAGCTCGCCCCAACCCTGGTTCACAAACGCCTCCGCAACCTCATCGCTCTGCGGCATCAGGTAACCCCCCAAGCAACAGAGGACCTCGCTCTTCCTGATCCGCGCTGTGGTGTACAGCCCCAGCCCGCCTCGGCGGGTGTCACGCCGTACCTCCACTCCCTCCGGATCCAACGAACCCTCCGGCAACAGAGCTCCCGATGCTGCTGTTGCTGACCCTGCCACTGCTGCCCCGGCTGCTGACATCCTGGCCATGCTGGCGCTCAGCCGCCTGGCAAAGCTGTGGCAGATGATGCTGCCGTTCAGCCCGTGACGCCGGAAGTCCGCCGCCCAGTCGCCCCCCAGTGCTGCTCCCCGCCCTGCTCCTGCTTCCCTGCCAGCCAGTCGGCCTGCCGCAGCAGTGGCAGCGGCAGAGGCGCTCGCCATGACCCCCCGCGGGATGCTCATCTGCTGCTTAGCCAGGCTAAGCTGCTGCGGCAGCAGCCCGAACCGCTGCATGGCTCCTCCCTCCCAAATCCGCATGCGACGGCGCGCGCGCAGGTCGGGGTGGTAGGTGACGCCACACAGTCGCATCTCCCCCCGCTGGCACTGCGGCAGGGGAGTGCCCAGGGGTAGCCAGCCGTGCAGGTGGGAGATGGAGGCGGCGTGACTGATGCCCGGCTCGAAAGGTACATCTCTGGTGGTGGCGGCGGCGGCAGCGGCGACGGCGGCGGCGGAACGTGCCTGGACGCCGCCACGCGCGACCATACCGGTGTTTGGGCGCTGAACACTGGCTGGGGGGGCAGCAGCCGGCGCACCCGTCGAACGCTGAGGTCCTGCAGCGCCGGCTTTCGCTTGACGCACAGGAGTGGCGGGCCCTTGTTTGCCAGCAGCAGCAGCAGCAGCAGCCGCGGCGGCATGGGCTGCTGCCCGCTGCCTGGCTTCTGGGCCCTGCTGCTGCTGCTGCTGCTGCCGGGCCCCACCGGGCTGAATCCTCCGCGGCAGCTGCAGTGGCGGCGGTGGCTTCACGCCGCCGTGCTTCACGCCGCCGCCGCCGCCGTCGCCGCTGCCGCCGTCGCCGCCGTCGCCGCTGCCGCCGTCGCCGCTGCCGTCGTCGTCGCTGCCGCCGTCGCCGCTGCCGTCGTCGTCGCTGCCGACGTCATCGTCGTCATTGGCATGTGCGCCGCCGTGGCCGCCGCCGACAGCACAGCAAGCGCCCCTGGCCGCATACCCCTCGCCCTCGCCCTCGCTTTCATCGCTGTCATCGCTATTATCGCTTTCATCGCTTTCCGGCGGTGCTTGCGGTTTCCGTCTGCAGCTTCGGAGCACCCGCCGCTGCTGCGGTGGCGGCGACGGCAGCCGTGGACGCAGTCGCCGCTTCCAACCGCCACCGCCGCCTCCGCCGCTGCCACGACCGTCGCCGTCGAGCTCCTCGCTGCTCCCGTCACTGGCGCTTTCTTCCCTTTCGCTGCCGCTGCCGCTGTCGCTGCCGCTGTCGTCGTCGCCCTCATGCGGATCAGCGCCTCCGCTGCCGCTGCCCCGGACTCGGGTGGCGGCTGCTGCAGCCGTTGCAGGTGCGGCCGTCCCCGCCGCTGCCCCTCTCGCTCGCGGCGCCACTGCGACCGCCGCCCCTCCTCCTCCTGCCGTACCGCCGCCGCCGTTGCCGTCGCGTTGGCCGCCCGACTGCCGTACAGGTTGGAACGTGACGATAACGGGGTGGCCGGCGTCGCTCTGGCGTGCAGCGGCGGCGGCGGCAGCGGGTGGCGTTTGCGGCTCCGCCGCTCCCGTATTCATGCCGCCAGCCGCTGCCGCCGCTGGCGGCTCAGCCGAGAGGAGGAGCCGGTCGCCCCGCTTTGCGCGCAGCACGTCTCGGAGGTACGGACGAACGCCAACTAGAAACCACTGTGCACCACTGCGGTCAGTTCTGATGTAGTTCCGAATCCGGGCTCCTGAAGGGCTGCCGGGTATCGGCTTGGCTTCTTCACCCTTTCTGTCCCTGATCAGAACAGGAAAGCCCTGGCTTTCAGGTCTTCCCGCTCGGAGCAGCTCTCGGACAAAGGAGAGGGGCACGTAAATTTTGTGCCGTCTCAGGGCAGCCTCGGTGAGCTGGATGCAGCAGCAGGCCCGGTCGGACCCGGACTGTACTGCTGCAGGTACTTGCCGACCCTGCACTGGCGGCGGCGGTGGTGGCGGTGCCGGCGGCGGCAGCATTGTACGGGGCGCCGGAGTCTGCTGTTGCTGCTCCGCACGGGGGAGAGGCTGCTGCCGACGTGTGTTGGGAGAAGGCCGCTGCGCTGCGCGTGTTGGCGGCAAAACCCGGTTGGTTGTGTTTGCTCCCATCGCTGCTACGCCGCCGCCGCCGCCGCTGCTGCCGTTAGCGCCGCCGCCGCCGCCGTCAGCAACCCGCCGGTCGCTAGCTCGAGCGCCGCCGCCAGCGCGAGCAGCCGCCGCGGCAGCAGTACGGCCGCCCATCCGTCCAGGATTCGCATGGGAAGCGTGAGGACGCGGGGCGGCTGCGTCCCGCGCTGTGACCCGTGGGTCGCTCCGCTGACCCGCCCGGCCACCGTTTAGCCGAGAAGGAGCGGGCCTCGGCGATGCAGGCGCGGCCGCAGCCGCCATTGCTGCGCCACCTGGTCCTGCGTCTTCCATTGCGGCCTTCTGCGGCGGCGCTTTTTCGTGGCGAGGTCCGGGCGGGCGGCTGAGGCTGCGACGTTGTTGTTGTTGTTGCAGCATACGTTGATCCATGGCCGCAACCGCGGTCGGCTCCTTTTTTGGAAAGCGCTGAGAGGTAGGCCTCGGATGTGCGTGGTTCAGTTTATCTGGAGTGTTGTCATTCCGAAGCTGCTGGCTGACGCTTTGATTTTGGCTGGCTTCGTCGTCGTCGCTAGACGCCCCGTTGTGGAACACTGCAACCTGCTGGGAATCGACACCTGACGGCATTTGCGGTGCTTGGCTGCTCGGTAGATGCTAGCAAAGTCGACAAGGTGATGTGCGTACAATTTTGGCTAGTTGCAAGGCTTTTGGGGCTTGTTAGGACACTTCGTCAAGCATAGCGCGAATAACCAGGCCTGGATAAACACTAGAAAGCGTATCTGGCTATTGTGTTAATGGCTTCACTTGAGGATCATCCAATTAGTGGGTTTGGGCCCTGGATTGGGCATTGCGCTTGAGTGAATCACAAGCTGACTCAGTCATCAGTCTGGCGGCCCGGCAGTACATCATGCGGCGTCTGACAGCTCTATCTCGGTACACTTCGGAAAACAAAAATGCGTCACGTTTCTGTCGCCATTCACCCACAAGTTGGCAGCTGCTTTATATTTCAAACGTAGGCAAAAGCTCTGCGGAGGGCTGTAAGTTAGGCTGCATGGAAATGCTTCTTGCATCCCCCTGTCGTTCGCCACCCAGCAGCCTCAGCCTTTGCATGTATATGTATGTCACCCATGACAACATACCACATCCCATGCAACCAGATTACGGGCCCTAAAAATCACGACGGCTGCGTGCCCCTGGGGGAGCTGCTCGGGGCGCCCTTACTACAATGGCTTGTTTACGGGTTGATGGGCCCAACCAAGACAGCGCCTGTTCCATTCTTGCAAGCAGTTGGGACACTGACTGTTCACCTGCGGTTCGTAGGCCGCCGTACACACCACCCACCACACAACTGCAGAGGCGATGACTAGCATGTCCAAGCAAGCAAACAAATGTCGTCACTCATCCAACCGCATTTGATTTACCGGTACCCCCGCATTCTTTGCGTTCCTGCACTCCAAAACCCTGCATGCGAAGTCCTGCCCACCACTGCACAACCTGCGCCTACTTGCGCTCCTCTTTAAGACGTCCCTCCGCGACCACCTCTCCCACCAAACCGCCCCTTTCTCCATCTTCATATTCTGCTTCCACTCGCTCATCACTCGCCCCTTTCTCTCCCTCAGCCCTCAGTCCGCATGGCCGAACAGGAACCATCAAGACTCCGCCTCTCTTCTTTCCTCACCCACGCCTGCACGCATGCACGCTACCCGAACAGAAAGCGCAGGTCGTCCTCCGTCAGGCGCCCCAGCGCCTCCACATCCCGCCCCACCGTGCCCTCGAACACAAGCTGCTTCTTCTCCTGGGGATGGGGTGGTATGGGGTAGGGGTTGGTGGAGGGGGAAGACGCACTGGGCGGCACAATTGCGACTTGCTAGTAGTAAACCGATGGTACGGCAGTCATCTCCCCTCGTCACACCTCCCCCCATCACGTGCCCGCAGCCAACTCCCTAACCACTTCCATCGCCCCTCCACCTCCCCCCCCCGCCCACCTGCAGCTTGAGGATGCGCTCCTCGATGGTCCCCGCGATCACGAACCGCACCACCGTAATGGGCTTGTACTGACCCAGCCGGTGGATCCTGGGGGGGGGGAGGGGGGGGTAACAAGGGCGGGAACAGGGGCAGGAAGAGGCGGGGGAGGGCAGGGGTTAGCCTGGGGATAGGTACCGGTAACCATGCAACAGGTTGCAAAGGCCAGGAGAGGGAACACACATGACCCGCTCCCCCCCCCTCTCTCCCCAACCTGTCCTGCGCCTGCTGCTCCCCCCCCCCTCTCTGCTTCCCCCACCCGTCCTGCGCCTGCTGCTCCTCCCCCCTTTGCTTCCCCCACCCGTCCTGCGCCTGCTGCTCCCCCCCCCTCTCTGCTCCCCCCACCCGTCCTGCGCCTGCTGCTCCCCCCCCCTCTCTGCTCCCCCCACCTGTCCTGCGCCTGCTGCTCCCCCCCCCTCTCTGCTCCCCCCACCCGTCCTGCGCCTGCTGCTCCCCCCCCCTCTCTGCTCCCCCCACCCGTCCTGCGCCTGCTGCTCCCCCCCCCCTGCTCCCCCCACCTGTCCTGCGCCTGCTGCTCCCCCCCCCTCTCTGCTCCCCCCACCTGTCCTGCGCCTGCTGCTCCCCCCCCCCTGCTCCCCCCACCTGTCCTGCGCCTGCTGCTCCCCCCCCCTCTCTGCTCCCCCCACCTGTCCTGCGCCTGCTGCTCCCCCCCCCCCTGCTCCCCCCACCTGTCCTGCGCCTGCTGCTCCCCCCCCCCCTGCTCCCCCCACCTGTCCTGCGCCTGCTGCTCCCCCCCCCTGCTCTCCCCACCTGTCCTGCGCCTGCTGCTCCCCCCCCCCTGCTCCCCCCACCTGTCCTGCGCCTGCTGCTCCCCCCCCCTGCTCCCCCCACCTGTCCTGCGCCTGCTGCTCCCCCCCCCCTGCTCCCCCCCCCTGTCCTGCGCCTGCTGCTCCCCCCCCCTCTGCTCCCCCCACCTGTCCTGCGCCTGCTGCTCCCCCCCCCCTCTGCTCCCCCCACCTGTCCTGCGCCTGCTGCTCCCCCCCCTCTGCTCCCCCCACCTGTCCTGCGCCTGCTGCTCATCCCCCCCCTGCTCCCCCCACCTGTCCTGCGCCTGCTGCTCCCCCCCCCCTGCTCCCCCCACCTGTCCTGCGCCTGCTGCTCCCCCCCCCCTGCTCCCCCCACCTGTCCTGCGCCTGCTGCTCCCCCCCCCCTGCTCCCCCCACCTGTCCTGCGCCTGCTGCTCCCCCCCCCCTGCTCCCCCCACCTGTCCTGCGCCTGCTGCTCCCCCCCCCTGCTCCCCCCACCTGTCCTGCGCCTGCTGCTCCCCCCCCCTGCTCCCCCCACCTGTCCTGCGCCTGCTGCTCCCCCCCCTGCTCCCCCCACCTGTCCTGCGCCTGCTGCTCCCCCCCCCCTGCTCCCCCCACCTGTCCTGCGCCTGCTGCTCCCCCCCCCTGCTCCCCCCACCTGTCCTGCGCCTGCTGCTCCCCCCCCCCTGCTCCCCCCACCTGTCCTGCGCCTGCTGCTCCCCCCCCCCTGCTCCCCCCACCTGTCCTGCGCCTGCTGCTCCCCCCCCCTGCTCCCCCCACCTGTCCTTCGCCTGCTGCTCCCCCCCCCCTGCTCCCCCCACCTGTCCTGCGCCTGCTGCTCCCCCCCCCCTGCTCCCCCCACCTGTCCTGCGCCTGCTGCTCCCCCCCCCTGCTCCCCCCACCTGTCCTGCGCCTGCTGCTCCCCCCCCCCTGCTCCCCCCACCTGTCCTGCGCCTGCTGCTCCCCCCCCCTGCTCCCCCCACCTGTCCTGCGCCTGCTGCTCCCCCCCCCCTGCTCCCCCCACCTGTCCTGCGCCTGCTGCTCCCCCCCCCCCTGCTCCCCCCACCTGTCCTGCGCCTGCTGCTCCCCCCCCCCTGCTCCCCCCACCTGTCCTGCGCCTGCTGCTCCCCCCCCCTGCTCCCCCCACCTGTCCTGCGCCTGCTGCTCCACCGCGGGGTTCCACCAGGGGTCCATCAGCATGACGTGGGAGGCGGCCGTCAGGTTGAGTGCCACGCCACCCGCCTTGAGGCTCATGAGGAACACCCTGACCCGCGGGTCGGTGGTGAAGGCCGAGATGGCGCGCTCGCGCACCTCCATGGACTGACTGCCCTCCAGCCGCACACAGCGGATACCCACCTGGGGTGGGGGGGAGGTGCGGAGGTGCGAGGGATGAGATAAACGGAGCCGCGGAAACACTGACCCCGACCGTAGGTTACCGGAAATTGCTTGATGGTGTCCCAGAGAGGAGGGAGGGAGGGAGGGTGCGGAGGTAAGGTTGCGGTGTGGAAGCGGTGTAGACGCACTGCGGAGACCTCATGTTGGGGTATGTCTGCTGCCATTCTAACCTGCCCATCCACAGCCATTGCACACCCCATCCCACCTCACCCCGCCCCCATACACACCCGCCCACAGCTCATTAGTCTCCCCTTCTTGGCCGCCTCACCTCACCCCCAACGCCAACCCCAACCCACCCCCGCGCCCCCTCCCCACCTGCTCTGTTTGACCCCTCAACCTACCATACACACACAGTACGTTTCGCCTCGCGGCCAGTTATTTTAACACACACCCTTCAACCCCCCCTCAACCCCTCACCCTCCCCCCTCACCCCCCCGCCCAAGTCGGGATATGGGATTGGGACTCGTTGTTTCACATATTTAATTTTTTCCCCCCGCCCCCCCCCCCACCTGCTCCAGCCTCCAGTGGCACAGGTCCAGCATGGAGGTGAACTGGCTGAACACGATGGCCTTGGCGCCCGGGTCGCAGCAGCACATGCGCTGGAGCTCCTCACGCAGGGCCTGGGGGGTGGGGGGGGAGGGAGGTGGGGAGGCAGGGCAGGGAGGTGGTGGTGTAACAGCGCGAAAAGGCTTACCGTACTCCGGCTGGCAGGGAAGCCAACCCGGGGGTTACAGCGGGTCCAGGTAGGTCAACTGCCGTACGGATGCAGCATTGCAAGGTGAGAAGGGCCCATGGCAGCGCGTGTGTGTAGGGCCTACCGGTATACAACTGTAATTGTACGGGTAGCATGCTGCTGCTGGTGGAGCTGGTGGAGGAGGTGGTGGAGCGACTACTGGTACCGTACCTCTTCAACAACCCCCCTCCAGCAAGTCCCCTCTCCGCGCACCCTCACACCTACCCACCTCGATCTTGGTGCTTGTCTGGAAGCGGCTCAGGTCGCCGATACGCGACAGAATGCTGGTCTTCTTGGGCCGGTAAGGACCAGCAGCAGCAGCCAGATGGCCGCTGCCTCCGCCACGGCGGCCGCCACTGCCGGCTCCGGCTGCTGCGGCGGCAATGTCATCATCGTCGCCAGCGGCGGTGGCGGTGGCGGTGGCAGCAGCCGTTGCGGCGGTGGCGGGTGGTGCTGAGAGGTCGACGGTGAGAGGCTTGGAGCAGGTGGGACACTTGGCCTGGGAACGGGAACGGCAGAGGGCGTCACGAGGGTTTCAGCGGGTCTGAAGAGGAGGCGGAGGAAAGTGGCTGTTTCATAGGCACATGCATGCGCACAACAACACCGTTACCGGTCCCTCTGCACTCCAATTCCCCCATCCCCCCCCAAGCCCAGCAGCCATCCACGTCCCCATGCCACCCAACCCACCGCGCGTACGGCACCCTCCACGTATTCGATCACGCATGTACGACAGAAGCCATGTCCGCAATCCGCCACCACCCCGTCCTCCACCTCCTCGTGACACAACCCGCACACGTCGGCAGCAGCAGCAGCACTGCCGGCGGCGGCGGCGGCGCCGTCAGTGGCGACGGAGTTGCCGTACGCGCCGGTGTGCACGACCGCGGTGGCGGCGGCGGCGTCGGGAGGGGGGTCAGCGCCGCCGCCACTGCCGCTGCTGCGACGTTGCTGCGCCGGCGACTTGATACCGCCGCCAGCTGCGGCGGCGGCGTTGCCTGCTGCTGCTGCTGCTGCAGTTGCTGCCGAGTAAACCACCTGCAGGTGCGTGCATGCGAGTAACAGCGGCCATAGGCCCGGGTGTACAGCAATCTGGATGCTTATATCTTATGTGTCTAAGACAACGGCAAGAGCTACAGTTACGTAGCAGCTAGCAGCAAAACCCAGGCGGCCATAAACAGCGACGGTAGTAGGGAGTGAGCGCCACCTACACCCACCGTACCTACCGCTCCCAACCGACCGGGTAGGGAGGGGTAAGGAAGACCAAACCCTAGGAACCCACGAATTGGGGCAAAACAACGGGGGAATGAGGCGTACCAGGTAGGGGTGGTCCACAGCCTGCCTCAGGCGGATGAGGAGGTCGAAGATGTGCTGCAGGCGGGAGGGAGGGAAAAGAAGCATACCGGGAGGGAGGGTAAGGTGGGTCAGGAGGAGTGTGAGTGCGGGTAGCTGAGTGGTATGTGCGCGGTTACGGGTTGCAGAAGAGGTAACATCTCACCGTCATCATGGTAGGAGGTAGCAAACAACGGGAAGCACGGGGCTTATCTGTACTTCCCTCTTCCGCTACACATGCCGCCTCCACGGAGACATGCCCGTAGGCCCGTACGCCCTAGCTACATGGCCCTCCAACACGGCCGCGGCGCCCCTCGCTCCCTCACAGCGCCCCCCGCCCTCACCGCATAGTTGTTCAGCAGTGTGCCGCTCTCCACGTAGGCGCCGAACTGGGCTTGACTCTGGGTGGAGGGGAAGGGGGAGGAAACAGGAGGAGGATGTGCAAGGACATGCGTGTCAAAGGGAGAGAGGCGAACCTGCATGGTGAAACAACTGGGACTGGGACGCATGGGCGAATTGGCAAAAGATTTATAACTATAGTGGGTGTAATACACTAATTACGGACTTGTGTCGTACATACATACACTGTATCGTATCGTACGGCCCTCGGGTTACGGCCAGTGCCTCCTCGCACTTGCATTATCTCGCGCTTGCATGACCACCCCCTGCAATAGCCCCCCGCCCCCCGCTACCCTGATGATGATGCAACCCATGATGAACGTATGATGCAACCCATATAGGTATGCGGTTGGTTCGTTTCTTCCTCCCCACACCTACCCCCCCCTCCCCCCCACCTGCGTGTACAGCGCCTGGTAGTAGTCCTCCTCCAACGGGTCGAATCGGTCCCTCCGCAGCAGCACCGTGCGGGGGGGGAGCGCCAGGTCGTCGGCGCACTGAACCTGTTAGGGGAGGGGGGGGAGGGGAGGTGGGGGGGGGAAGAGGAGGCGGTGTGGGAGGGGGTGTGGGAGGGGCTGTATATCGTATGATGTGATCAACATGTACGTGCACCGAATCGTTGCAGGCATGAAGGGGGGCAACGAGGGTGTGTTTGGGGGCGCATGAGTAAGCTAGGGTACCGGTAAGCCCAGCCCTTCGGAGATCACCCGCCGTACAGTTCGTACGGGTTCGTACCTTGGTTCTCCGCAGCAGTATGGCGGGCAGGATGCGGTTCTTGAGCAGCATCAGCCCCGACCTGCCCGCGCCGCTGTAGCCGTACTTCTTGATGGGGTTGGCCACGTACCTGGGGAGTGAGGACAGCGGAGGGAAGGGGGGAGGACAGGGGGTGGCGGGGTTGCAATGCTCTGGGCATTTCGCCTCACCTGTTCATGTGGAATGGCCGCCCCCCGCCCCCCCCCACCTGTTCCACCAGCAGTAGTGTGAGAGCGGCGAGTGACCGCAGCGCACACAGGCTCGACTGCCCGGAGAGAAGGGGTAGTCGAGGGAGGTGCAGTCGCAGCCCTCCTTGCACGACTTGCGGCAAAAGTAGTAGGCGTAGGGGTAGATCCTGTAGGTGGTGTGTGAATGGCAGCAGGGTGTATGGCATGGTGCAGTGTACGGCAGTTGCATGGTGCCGTGTATGGCAGTTGCATGGTGCCTTGTACGGCAGTTGCATGGTGCCTTGTACGGCAGTTGCATGGACCCGTGTACGGCAACTGCATGGTGCCGTGTATGGCAGCTGCAGGGTGCCGTGTATGGCAGTTGCAGGGTGCAGTGTATGGCAGTTGCAGGGTGCAGTGTACGACAGACAAGGAATACTTGATAGCTCTTGGACGAAGGTTAGGAGACGATGCATGCATGCAGGCTTATCACTGTGGACACCGTGGAAGAAGCAGTTAGCCCAACGGTTGCAAACTGATAAACAAACACTGTCCACAGAAACCGCTGCACCTGTGCCACGCCCCCCTCTGTGCCACGTCCCTCCTCTCCCACGCCCAAACAGCCCTTCATCACCCACCCACCCACCCACCTCAGGAAGCGGATCAGGCTGTACAGCTCGGCCACTCGGTTCTGCAGCGGCGTGCCGCTGAGCGCCCACTTGTACCGCGAGGACAGCGCGAAGACGGCTCGCGCGGTGGAGCTGCGGCGGTCCTTGATGCAGTGCGCCTCGTCAAGCAGGATGCGGCGCCAGGGGACCTGCGCGGGAAGGGGGGAGCGGAGGGGAGGGGGAACGCATCGGAAAGTGAAGAAACTCGGGTGGCAAGCCCGTATCGGGCAGGGGAGGGGAGAATATGGTGTGGGCGGGCGTGATGATGGGTGGAAGGGTGAGGGTGTAGAGGTAGGGAAAGGGAGTATCGATATATGTGCACATGCCGCCATAAGACACTCAGCGCCCCCCACACTTCATTACAGTGTGGCAGCGCGTGCACGGCCCGTTGGATGCCAGGCCTTTGTCAGAACCGCAAACAGATGAAAGAGCCCCGAGCGTGCCCCCATCCCCCCCCCACCCGATGCAGCACTGATGATGACGATGCCGCCGCCTTGGCTTGCTGCTGCCCCTTGCCAGCCGGTGAACCGCCGCTCTTGGCCACAGCAGCCTGGGCAATCATGGCAGCCGCCTCCAGCTCAGCAGCCGCTGCGCGGTCCCGCCACCGCCCTCCGCCTCCTCCTCCTCCGCGGCCGCCCTCCTCCTCCTCCTCGTCATCCTCCTCCTCGTCATCCTCCTCCTCCGCTTCCTGATACTCCTCCTCGCTCGCCTCCTCGCTCTCCTCCTCCGATACCAAGTCCACCGGACTCTCCTCCCGCTCCTCCGATCCCGCACCTCCGTCAGATTCCTCCTCCTCTCCCTTCTTCGTCTTCTTCCTGCCCCTCTCCGCGCCCCCCCTGGTCCCCCTGCCCCCTCCCTTGCCCCCTCCCTTGCCCCCTCCCTTGCCCTTGGGCGCCTTCCTCTTAGCCGCGGCGGCGGCGGAGGCGGCACGAGCAGCCTTGGACCAGGCAGCCGCCTCAGCTGACATCAACCCCCGGTCTCCGCCGTCATCGTCGCTGCCCTCGCCACCCTCATCTTCATCCTCACTGCCGCCGCCGTCAGCCGCTGCAGCGGCAGTGGCGCCGCCGCCGCCACCCGTCTTCCGCCGCTTGCTGGGGGCCGCTGCCGCCGCTGCCGCTGCAGCAGAGCTGGGACCTGCACCGCTGCCGCTGCCTACCGCCTGGGTGCCGCCACCACCACCGCCACCGCAGGCCTCCTCATCGTCCTCATCTGCGGTTGGACACGACCCATGACGTCAGCACAACAAATAAAACAGTACGGTAAAACACACAATCCAGCCTCTTCCGGTTCGTTACTGATGATGGGGCGCCATCCTACCCCACTGAGTGTCACCTCGCCCTCGCCTGGTGTGACTAACTGTCGCCACGCTCACCTTCAGCCGTCGGCACTGGCGCAAACATGGACCGCAGCCCCGTCAGCCGCGGCCGCTTGCCGTTACCGTTCTTGCCGCCACCACTGCCGCCACCACCACTGCCGCCGCCGCCGCCCGGTGATTGCTTCTTTGTCTTCTTATCCTTCCTCTGCTGCCGTGCCAGGGCCTCGGACTTGACGGCGTTGGGGCCGCAGAAGAACCTAAGGTGAACCTGGGGTAGGAGGGAGCACGGAGGGGAGGAAGGAAAGGCGGGTCAAGTCTTTGTCTGTCGCTTTGCTTGTCTCACAGTTTGGTATGGAGAGCGACAACCACAGCAAGAGCAGCAGGCACGAACGGTCCGTAAGGCATCACATGAAGACCCTAGCCGCAGCGGTGATGTTGTACTACAAGATGAAACACGCACGCACCTTGAGCCTCTCCGGGTAGAAGCGCTTGCCACAGTAGCTGCACTGCACCTTGTCTGGGAGCATGCACCTGGGGGGGGCGGGGGTGGTAGGTAGGGGTGATGGGGTGGGGTGCTTGGTTAGGTAGGGGGCGGTGGTGAGGGGACGGCAGCTAACACATGGTTGAGGAACAGCAGGGAACCTCCCCGTGTCAGCCAGTGGGACATGAAACCCACACACAACCCCCCACACAACCCCACCTGCGGTACGCTTGACACCCCCAAACCCCACACCATAGCACACACCACGCCACAACACACACCACACCCCCATCCACCCCCCACCTGCGGTACTCGCTCTCCACCACGCTGTAGGTGGTGAGCACCACATCCGCCTCCCGCAGTGCCGCCCCCTCGGAGCCGCCGGCAACCTGGCACAGAGGGGCGGGGGGGCAGGCGGGCAGGGGGGCAGGCAGGGGGGGCAGGGGGGAGGCGGGAGCAGGGGATAGTGTAGCTGAGTCGTGCAGGGGCAGAGAGAGAAGGGCAAACCAGGCGACTACAGGAAGGAGAAGGTGGGGTGCTTACGGGCCTTCTTCTACCCCTGCACACCCTGCCGTACACCGCACCTGCCCCCATCCTGCCCACGATCCCTGCCGTACACAGCCCACAGTCCACCAGGTACCTGCCCCCACCACACCCCTGCACACCCCTAACCCTGCCGTACACCGCACCTGCCCCCGCCTGCCTCCATGGTAGACCACCACCTTGAGTGCCCCCGGTGCGGTGAACCTCGCGATCTCCCCGCGCCACTGGATGAGTGCCACCAGCGGACACACCACTAGCGTGGCGCCGCAGTAGGTGGAGGAGGGGGAGGGCTGCTGCTGGTCCTGGGGGCCGACCTGGGGAGAGGAGGGGAGCAGCGGTAAAGGCGAAGGGAGGAAGAGTGGAAGGGAAGAAAGGGCCGGGAAACGGGGACAAGAGGTTAAGGAAGTGGGCTGCTGAGCGGACTGGGGTAGCGGGATGTTGGGGGCGGTAGCAGCGCTCAGAACTCCCGGGGGGTTGCGGGTGTGCCCTTGCAACCGGCGTCGTCCCTCCCGCCCGCCCGCCCGCCCACCCTCACCTGCTCGGGGTCAGCTCGAGGGGCCAGATTGGCTTCGCAGATCTCACATCGTTGCTTGCCCCGACCCCGCCGTTTGCCCCGCATGTGCTCACACACGCCAGCAGCATCCCCACCTCCAACCCCTCCTCCTGCTGCTGCCGTGCCTCCTGCTGCGCCATCGGAGGCCGCTGCACCGCGCTTGCCGCCGCCGCCGCGGCGGCCTCGGCCCTTGGTGCCAGCGGCGGTGGCGGTGGCAGCAGCGGCGGCGACGTCGGCTGCGGTTCCATCCTTGGCGGCGGCGCCGCCGTCGCCGCCAGTGGCGGCGTCAGTCGGCTCAAAGTCGGCTGCACTGCCGTACGCACCTGAGGTGCCAGCGGCGGCGGCGCCGCCGCTGTCAGTGGCGCCTGCCGCGGGAGGCTGCTGTTGGCGTGAGCAGCCAGGACCGCAGCCGCTACCATGCGCCGCTGCCGCCGCTGCCGGTGCCGTACTCATAGCGGCGGCGGCAGCGGTGCCACCGCCGCCGCCACTAACTGCTCCATCAAAGGGTCCAGGCCGCCTCAGGGCAATGCGAGGCCGCGGTGCAGCGCCCTGTGCTGCCGCCACCGCAGCGGCGGAGGGCCCCACCGCCGCCGTCGCCGCTGGCTGCGACGCCGCTGCCCCCGCTGGGTGGTTGGCGACGTCATCGTCCGTTCGGTGTGTGACGATGAGGGAGATCGCCTGGATGGTCTTGCCCATGCCCATCTCATCCGCCAAGATGCCGCCACGCACGCTGCCCCGCTCCTGTTGTACATCCGAGGGCGGGGGAAATGAGTCACCAGGCAGCAGCAGCGTCATGAACTATTAACCGTTTAAAGGACAACGGTTTGTACGGTGAAGATTACCGGTAGGTTCTTATGGTCTTCAGTATCGTACATGTAGTACACAGCAATCAACCGGGCAGGCTACAAAGCGGTCGAAAGTAACGTACCAGACAAGTCTCACGTAAGGCACACCTCTCTCATGCCCACTTCCCAACCACCCGAACCTCCCGACCCAACCACCCGAACCTCCCGACCCAACCGCCCAACCGCCTAATCTTTACCTGTCGTACCGCCCACGCCAGGAACTGCTTCTGGTACGGCAGCAGCGGCATTAGCAGCTCGGGTGGCGGCTCCATCATGTCACGAGCGTGGTTGGCCGCCGCGTCCAGCTCCCCTCCTGCCTCCTCGGGGTCATCCTCCATCCAGGGACCCCACACACCGCCACCATCCTCCTCCTCCTCCTGCTTACCGGCACCCTGCTGCGTGCCTCCGTCTCCGCCCTCTGCGGGTCACCACCGCCAACAACAATAACAACAAGACGGGTGGCGTTACAGGCGGTTCAGGGCTGGTTAACAAAGAAAGCGCAAGGTAAACTCCACATCGCACCGCCAACAGCGTGGGCAGGTGTGAGGAGGTCCAGGTCAGGGAGGTGACCCTTGCCTCGGCCCCACAACCCCTGCTGCTGCCAACCCTGGTGCGCCCCGATCCGTGAGCAGCCCTCCCACTCTGCACCGCTCGCTGCACCTTGCTGACGCATGCATGCATCCTGCCCCATGCACCCATGCGCCCTGCCCCCCGGCCTTACCTTCCCCGTCTTCACCTCCTTCACCACCACCAGCAGCAGCACGTCCGCCCCGCTGCCTGCCGCGACCCCTGCCGCCACCTCCGCCTCCGCCACCTCTTCCGCGCCCTCTGCTCCTCCGGCCACCAGCGCCGCCCCGGCTGCCCGCACCGCCCTTCCGTCGCTTCCCCACACCCTGCTGCTCTTCCTCTTCCTCCTTCTCCTGCTCCATCTCCTCCTCCACCTCCTCCACCTCCGCCTCCGCTACCACCTCCTCACTCTCCTCCTCGTCCTCCTCCTCGGAAAGGACTACCACGTCTGAGTCGCTGTCACCGCCGCCGCCGCCGCGGCCTTCGCTCTCACTGCCGCTGTCCTCCTCTTCCTCCTCATCGCTCTGCGTTGGCTTCTTCCCCTTTCCCTTCTTCCCCTTATTCTTAGCCAGTCCTCCTGCTGCCCCTGCTGCGGCTGCAGAAGCCTGGGTAATGCGAGCGCTCGCCCTCACAGCTGATGCCCGTTGGGGTCTGTTCGGTGAGACGTTCGGAGAGACGTTGGGAGAGGCGTCGGCGGCTGCGGCTGTGGCTGTGGCTGCGGCGGGGGCAGCAGCACCCTCACCCTCGGCGGCAGCACCCTTCCGTCCTGTGGGGTGATGGGCGGTACGGCGGCGTGTTTGCGAGCGAGTGAAGGAGCTGACCTTATCCCTTGGGGCGGTTAAGGGAGAGCCCGTAACCGCCAGGAATTGCAAACAACAACAACAACAACAACGAGGATTCTCTGTTGATCCCGATTTTGACTCGGCAAAGCCCGCATCACAACCTCTCACCTCTAGCACCGCCAGCTGAGCGCCCGCCTCTGCCCCTGCCTTTGCCACGACTCCTGCTGCCGCTGCCCCTGCCGGCAGCGGCTGCCGGCGCCTGACGCCGCCGTAACTCAGGCCTCGGTGGGGATTCCATGAAATCATCATCGCCGTCAGTCTCTGAATCCCCATCACCACCATCAGCAGCAGCAGCAGCAGTGTCAGCGGCGCCGCGCTGTGTGTCGCTACCACTGCGGGAGGACACCATGACCACATCGCTGTCGTCGTCGTCGCCGTTGTTGTTGTTGTTACCGCTTCCACCACCGGAGGCGCCGACAGCAGCAGCAGCAGCCGGGAAGCGCTGCAAGTTATCCTCCTGGTCGGCATTGCTCATTGGTTGGTCCGGGTCTCGGTTGTCAGCAGCTGGCTGATTGGCAGCTGCGCAATGCTGTCTGGCGCGTGTGGCGCGGAGGCCCCAACGCCCGGAAGCTCCGTCCGGCTGCTTGGGATCCAGCATCTAGGCCATCAGAGGGAGTTAAGAGCGGAATGTCATGAAAGTGGTTGTGCATGAAAACGCGCCACGACATCGGCTTAGCTGTGTGCTTGCGCAGGCCAGTTAGACGCTGGGCAACTAAGCTGGATACTATTAAGAGCTTTAGGGAATGCTAGTGGAGAAGGAACAAGCACCGGATGGGTGTTGTTGCACGCAATGCCTTCCCGCACCTTGGACGCTCCAGCACAAGCCGCGCGATGTTGTTTGCTATGACATTGCTCAAGGTGTAATTATCCGATAGTGTTGTTACTGTAACCGAAGATGTCTACCGATTGGCTTACAAACATGAGTGGCGCCGGATCATTCCGGATGAATACCTCATTCAACAAGATATTTGTCTTATTCTTTATTCCTTACATGACCTGAGCTCAACCGATGTGCTGAGCGAAGGCCATTCGCTCAAGCGGTTAAGCCGGTTACACGAGCTTGCCTCCGAAACACGCTCGTACGGGTTTAGTAATTGAAGCAAACAAGGACAAGCAATACTTCTTTCATAGACCTTCTTTCTGTTTACTGAGGAGGCAAGACAGACAGCATCATCACCAATGGCTAGTGGCTAGCGGTTGATATGATTCATTTTGGCCCTGCATTCCCGAAGCCAACAACTCGCCGGGGGTCATAATGTCACCCATTGCAGCAATTCGTTCAAGTCCATTACAAGCAAGCACAGCGCCAACAAGGCAACACGAAGGCAACACCCCTCGCGGAAGCTGAATCGTCGGCAGACCTAGCCAATTAATTGGCGTCTCGTATCGCCTGTGCCGTCTCCGCTGCTATCCGTATACTGTTGCTGGAATAGTGAAGAGCGCGTGGAATCGGCCCTTCTTTTTGGCGCGCCAACGGTCAATCCTCAAAGCGCAGCGTCCCAGCCCCTGAAGATGCGCGACGGGCAGATATTATTGGGAACAAGTAATAGGCATGGAAAGAGAGTCAAGTGTAGATTCCATTAAGCCGGAAAGCGACGCAGGCTTGCACTGAAATAAATTGCAGCACTTGGAGTCGAGACGACAAAGCGTAGCTGATTGGGTCCTTAGCAGCCTGAACACCAGTACCTGCTCCACCAAGAAGTGCCAAAGGAGTCAAGAGCTGCGACACTCCACGCTTCGAACTATCGCATGATGGGATGACGCCAGCAGCAGGGCATGGCGCGTCATGACGTAAAACGTCACTACAAGGACCAGAAAAATGACGCATGTAAGCTTGTCGAGCGTTAAGCACTAGAAACCGTTTGTGGGGCGTGAGCTAAGCATGAATCGCAAAAGAATCGGGTGGACTCACCATGCGAGCCAAAGAAATGTGACCGCCGTTTTCATGAGGCCATTTTGTGCCATGCTTGCTCATAGGCGCCTATTCAGAACACTTGATTACGTAACGGCGCGTGCCGTGTGCCGCCCGAAAGCAGATGCTCCGAAATAGCCCAGATTAGCAACATAAAGTTCTGCACCAAGAACGTTAAATTCCTCAGCCGTAAAATGCCGAGTCAGCAGATGTACGTGTGCAGAGGAAATATGGTTTGTTAGGCTGCTGCTGCACTGTGTGATAAGCACAGCGTGGTGTCGTCCATCCAAGAGCCAGGCGCGCTCCCCTGCAGTGGCGTTGGTGAGATCTCTGCCGGACATGACAAGGAGCTGGTGATGTTTGGAATCAACACTTACCGATCGCCGGTCACGAGCCCAGAGTAAGTGGGGTGGGTGTGATACCTTGTGATACCTAACCACAGCCCGTCTGTGTACGTATTCCCTCGCCACATGCTTAACTGCCTTTCCGGAGGGTTTTAAGCGTGTGGCGAGGGAATACGTACACAGACGGAGCTGTAGTTAGGTATCACAATAATACACACAGAGCCAACAGGGGCTCCTGCATCACGGGGGATTGCTTACATGCACATAGCGTGGGTCACATCGCAGCGTGACCGGCCAGAAATAAGCAATAAGACAGGGCGGGGATGGAGGTGTCAAGCAAGCAAACAGGCTTTTGCTTTTGCCTTTTCGGAGGGATTCCGTCTCATGCCTTGGTTGTTGCACTGCTGTCTAACCTGCGGCTGCACTCCATGTGCTGTTGCAGGGCATGCAAGACGGATTGGCTGGCCACAAGCTCAAGGTAAGCAGGGCGGTTATGAGAAAGCCATCTTGCTTGCTTGCCGCCTCCATCCCCGGCCCATCTTGTTGCCTATTTCTGGCCGGTGACGCTGCGATGCGACCCACGCCCTGTGCGTGTAAGCTTTCCCCCGTGATATGCAGGAGCCCCTGTTGGCTCTGCATGTAGTGTTGCGATACCTAATCACAGCCCGTCTGTGTATGTACTCCCTCACCACATGCTTAACTGCCTTTTCAGCACGGTTCTTCCTCATGCCTTGGTTGTTGCACTGCGGTCTAACCTGCGGCTGCACCCCATGTGTTGCTGTAGGGCATGCGAGACGGATCGGCTGGCCACAAGCCCAGGGTAGGTGGGGTGGGTGTGAGAAAGCCTGCGTGCTTGCTCCACACCTCCATTCCTGGCCCGTCTTGTTGCCTATTTCTGGCCATGCGTTAGTGTCTCCGATAATAAGGTGCGTCAGCTCAGTTGGCGCCATGGTCACAGCTACGCATGCTGCGTCATTCCAGTGGTCATTATACAGGCCTGTCCTCACCAAGGGGCTCTGCCCTTTTCCAGCTTGGAGGACACTGAACCCCCTTGTTCAGAATTTGCCAGCACTCTTGAAATTTGCGCCATTTGTGCCACACTGGCACATAATTGCTAACAGCAATGCATATGACCACCTGAAAGACCTCACAATAAATTACAGACTGGGTGCACACAATTCCGTGTTTCCATCCAAGTCCGTGAATCACCCGAACCTTATCCATCAGTGCAGCTATACTGCCCTGGCAGACACCAACCTTGCTGACCCAGCCCCTGTGCCTCATGCCGCCAAACAGCATTACCAGTAGTGAAGCAAGCTAATCAGTTAACACTTAGGAGCAAAGCCACTACTGTGTCCCTGCCTATTTCGCCACCTATGCCAGCCAGCCCTTGCCTAAGTCATGTCTAAGTCCTTGCCACTATTCACAAGATCACATGGGCCCGGGGTCAGGAGCCCGAAACAACGCAAGCTGGTTCCATACCCCAACCTCAACCCTAAACCCAACACACCAACCCAATACGCTTGCTTCCAGCTTCTAGCTTCATGAAATGGCAAGATGTCTAGGTAGAGGTGTTATGTGCACGCACGCCATACATGCATGTATGCAATCTCCTTGCCATCCCTGGTAACTAAAGATGTACGACACAGTTAGACAATTTGTACAGGGTACGACAACCCCCCATACAACATAAGTTTGTAGGCACATCAGATCACGTCATCGTACTGCCAACTGACACAATCGTATGACCAACTTGGCGTTGAGGCAAAAGTTATTGGCTCGTTCATTGATTACTACCCATACCTAACAGTAGCGCCCATGCAAAAGTAACAGGGCTAAACATCATTCCTTGCAGCAGATACATCACACAACCACATGTAAAATTGTGGCTGCTACTAAAACCCATCACACGTGTCCAATGTGCAATGTGTGCTGACACTAATGCACGCTTGATCCCTGCTGGCTCATGCATTCTTGACATCACGCAAGCAAGCAACCAAGTACCTGCTGTGATGGGTTCACCTCGGCTCAACCAGGAGCTCCCCAAGCCCTTGTTGATTGGATCCAACAACATATTTAATGGCTCCCAAAAGTCTAAAGGAGAGGTATGAAGTAAGGCTAAAGAAAGGATAGGCAGGAAGGCCAAGCAGTGCACACAACCCCATGTGCCACCATGCTACCTGCACACCTTGCGACAGTCTGTTACATATGTTAACCTTACTTGTTAAACAACTCCAACTACCTCTTGAACGACGTGGACTTGAGCTTATTGATCTCTGCCTGCAGCGGCTGGATCAGCTCGTCATTCACCTCAGCCTTGATGCGGTCCAAGGACTTGTCCTGTCAGGAGTTTGTACATGGGGGTTAATGGAGAGGGACGTGAGGAAAGGGGCATGAGAAAGTGAGGAAGGATGATACAAATATGAAGGATGTGACATGCAGGACAAAATGCATGTATTGCATGCAGGCATAACACCTAGGCGTGTGCACGGTATAAAGGCAGTCTTCATTTCCACTGTAAAGACCCATGGGTCGCTTGTCAGCCCCCCTGCTCCTCCTACTTGCACCCCCCACCACCCACCAGCGCCGCATGCATCTTCTTCTCCAGGTCTGCGACCACCGCCTCCTTGGCTCCCTTGATGATGCCTGGCTCGGCGGCTTTGAGGCGGGACTCGGTGTCACGACCCACCTGGGGTGGCGGGAGAGGGAGGGAGGGGAGGGAGGGTGGGGTGAGGTGAAGTGAGGTCACAAGATGTGCGGAGGGAACTAAGGAAAAGTAAAAAATACGTGGGCATGTTACGATAGGGTTGTTGGGCATGCATCCCTTCACAATACTGGCAATTTCCTCGCTGTATCAAGACGTCACACACAAGATGTCAACGTGCCCTACCCATCACCTATACAATAAAAAATATAAGACGCTCCCCAACCACCACCCCGCCTCCCACCTCCTCCTTCACGTCCTCCAGCCGCCTCTCCACCTCCTCCTTGTCCCGCGCCAGCCGCTCCTCAAACTTCCTCTCCACGCTGCGCTCCACACTCCTCTCCACGTCCGCTTCCGCCCGCTTCAACCGCTCATCCACCCGCCGCTCCGCCTCCCGCTGGTCGCGTGTCAGCCGCTCGTCCAGCCTCTTGTCCGCCTCGCTCTTCTCCTTGCTGAGCCGCTTGTCCAGCTCCTCCGAGGTGACGGTGCCTCCGCCTCGCCGGTCGTCATCCTCGTCAGCGGACTTCTTGCTGGCACCTGCGGTCTTCTTGAGCTCGTCAATCTGCAATGTGGGGCAGAATCGGGTGTCATCGTTGGTTATTATGGTAATAGGTTGTGCAATGCATGCAATGTCAAGTCGTGCCAAGTTGCAAAGTTATTTAATCCATTCCACACTATCTGCACCTGTCTTGAGCCCGCCTCTCTGCTTCCCTTGCTGTCTCCTATCACCTGTACCCTCCCCCTCACCTCCTTCCGCAGCGGCTCCAGCTTCCGCTCCACATCCTCCGTCACCTCACGCGCCACCTCATCCTTGCTGGGACCCGAGGGCTGCGAGGAAGAGGGCATCTGTGCAGCACCAGACAGGGGCAGACAGGCAGGTGAGGGGACAGGCATGTTGCGGGCATGACGTAAGCAATGACAACAACAAAGAGGCAACAAGCAGGCCGTTAGGCCGCTAGCTAGGCGCTCCCCAGGTCAGCAGCTACTGGGATAGTAAGGACGGTCAGTCCTACCTTGGATCGCAGCTCCTCAAGCTTCCGCTCCGTCTCCTCCTTCTCCCGGTCGAGCCTCTCATCCAGCCTCTTATCCGCCTCTGCCTGCTCCTTCCTCAACCGCTCATCCAGCCTCTTCTCGCCCTCCTCCGCTTCCTTCTTTAATCGCTCTTCCACCTTCTTCTCCGCCTCCGCTGAGGAGTCCTTCAGCCGATTCTCCAACCGCTCAGCCTCCTTCTTTAACCGCTCCTCCAGCTTCTTGTCACCCTCCTCCGCCTCCTTCTTCAACCGCTCATCCAGCTTCTTCTCGCCCTCCTCTGCACCCTTCTTGATCTGCTCCTCAACTAAGCTCTCCGTCTCCGCCTTCTCCTTCTTAAAGCGCTCCTCAAGCGCCTTCTCACTCTCCTCCTTGTCCCGTGTTAACCGCTCATCCAGCTTCTTGTCTACCTCCTCCTTCTCCTTGCTGAGCCGCTTTTCGAGCTGGTCAGAGGTAATCACGTCCTTCTCCTTGTCCTGCTCCTCCTCCTCGTCCTTGGCCTTGCCAGCACCCTTCTTCTGCTCGTCCTCACGGGTCTTCTTCAGCTCCTCAACCTGTTAGCAGCAGGAGTGGTGGATAAGGGTTTACCATAATCACACTGTGCCATGCAGTGGAAAGCCACCATCACTGCTTCCAACATGCAGGGATCCTAGATAGTTGGGCCTTGTCCTTCTGCTCCGCATTACCCCCCCTCTCAATCCTCACCTCCTTCCGCAGCGGCTCCAGCTTCTTATCCACGTCCTCCGCCATCTCCTTCACGAGCTCCTCCTTGCTAGGGCCCGAGGGCTGCAACCGGATCTGCAGCAGCAGTGGCAAACCAAAGCATGGAGTGCATCAGGGTGCATGTTAAGAAATTTGGCGCCCGGAGGCACATGTTGTTAACACTAGCAATAGAAACAGCTGCCTTTCATTGGGGGGGGGCAAAGTGTGACGTGAAGGTGATTGTGCTTCCTGAAGGCTTCCCCAATGTGGTCACCGTGATGCGCAAAACACACGTGACGGACCCATGGGTCGGCCCAACACCTTGCCTAGGAGTAGGAACACTCCTCCTCCCGCCCCAGCCCATTCTGGCCCAGCCCACCCCACCTCCTTCAGCAGCGCCTCTTGCTTGCCCAGCATGGAGTCAACGTCGCCGCTGTGCTGGTCAACCTTGTCGTACAGTTGGTCTAACCGCCGCCGTACAGTGTCCACATCCTTCTTAAGCAGGTCAACCTGTGCCAGGGGTGTGCATGTGTGGAGGAGGGCTTGTGTTGATACAACTGGCCATAAAAACCCCTACACTCCTTTACTCGGCCCCTTATCCCTGCCCCATTTGTTCCTGCCGGTTTCTGCCCTTATCAAGCCTTAGTACCAAAACACATCCCACCCACCCTTGCCCAACCCACCTTCTCGTCCTTACGGTCCTCCGACCTCGCAACCAAGTCCTCCACCTTGGACTTCACATCCGCAACCTCCTTGATTGTCTTATCCAGCTTCTTCGCCTGCTCCTCAATCTTCTTTGCCTGCGCCTCCAAGGCGTCTAGCGCATCCGCCTGCTCGTCCAACACTTTGACGTGCTCGTCCAGGGCCTTATCATGCTCGTCCAACATCTTGGTGTGGTCGTCCAACTTCCGCCCCTGCTGGTCCATCTTCCTGCCGTGATCGTCCAACTTTCTGCTGACGTCGTCAATTGCACGGCCCCGGTCTTCCAGGCTTCGGATCTGGTCCTCTAGTCGCCGGGTCTGGTCGTCCAGCCTCTTGGTTTGCCGGTTCAGCTGCGAGCGGCAAGCAAGCAGTTTGTGATCACCACAACACACACGGGCAACACACCGGCCTCCATAACTGCGCACAGCAGCGACAGCAAAGGCCAGGCAGCACCCTTACCCCACCCCCACCCGCCTCACCTCCTCCCGCAGTCCCTCCTCTCCCGCCACTCCCATCCTGAACCGCTCCTTCTCCCGCTCCCGGTCCTTCTCCGCCACCCGCTCCAGCGCCTCCTCCACTGCGCCAACCCGCCGCTCCACCGCCTTGCGGTCCGCCGCCGCCGCATTGTCTGCCTCTATCATCCGGGTGCGCAGCTCGCCCTTCAGCTCGTTCCGCAGCTCCTCCAGCGCTGCATCGCGCTTGTCGGCGGCCTTCCGCAGCTCGCCCCGGAGCTCCTCCAGGCCCGCACGCAGCTGCTCGGAGGAGCGAACCTGCTCAGAACGCTCCTGGTCGAACCGCTCCGCCACGTCGGCCTGTTGGGTTTGGGAGGGTGGGAGAGAGGGGTGGGGGTGGGGTGGGTGGGTTATGGAGAGTGAGGGAGATGCAGTGGGGCAAGTTGGAGATGCCCGTTACCGTACTTTCAGCAGAGGCACCTACGCTTCACATTGCCAGCCTCTTTTGCACTCACCCTACCTCCCCCATCCACACGCAAGCATGCTCAAAGCTCACCTGAATCTTGGCTGAGGCCTTCTCCAGTGCCGCCGACATCTCCCGCGCCACCTCTGCCGCCTTGCGACGAGCCTCCTCCAGCTGGGCCTCGGCAGCAGCGATGGCAGCCTGGGGTTGGGGTTGGGGGGAGTGAGACAGGAGCGGTCAAAGAGGGGGTCAAAGATACACCTAACCATAGGAAACCACGAGTTAGGGCAAGTTGGCTGTGTAGCTTCCCGTTATGGGGGATGCCAGGAAGTTACACAAGCAAGGAGGACATGAAAAGGAGGGTTATGGGGCCAGCAGCAGGACAGCAGGAGGGCAGCCGTACCTTGACTTCCGCCTTCTGCTTGTCCAGGGTCTCCGCCATGAGCGCCTTCTCCTGGTCGATGGCCTGAGGAGGTGGAGAGCAGCAGCAGGAGCGGGATTATGAAAGAGGTGGAAGGGGAAGAGGATAGCGGCCAAGCGCCAGGCAAGAGCTGGCGGTAAAGGAGCAAAGCTGAGGACCAGGCAACGCACAAAACCGGACCCAGTGTATTTTCATTCAGTCCGCCCCCACACGCCCCCGCATGTTGCAACCCATGTTGACGCCTTATCCCTCAGTCCAGTTAGTTGTTTCCTCTTTACACCGCCGCACGCCCCCACCACACACCCGCCCGCGGCCAGGTTTCGTAACACACCCTCCCCCCCCGCACGTCCCCCTCCTCACATCCGCTAGTTCTTCAATGGAGCTCTGCATCTCGGTGTTTTGCGCCTCAATGCTCCGCTCGAACTCCTTCTTGGTCGCCTCCACCGCCTCCACCAGCTGCTGCCGCGCCGCCGCGATGTCCCCCCGCGCCGCCTCCAGCTCCCCGCGCTGCACCTCCAGCGAGGCGGACAGCTCCGACCGACCCGCCTCCACCGCAGCCATCAGCTCAGAGCGGGCGGCGGCCAGGGCGGCGTGCTGGGCCTGATGGGGGGACGAAGACCGTACCATACCATAGGAAGCCACAGGTTAAATTGAAGCAAAAGGGATAGTGGAGGGGAGGGGGAGGTGGGACGAGAACAGGAGGGCAGGAGGAAAGGAAGGGCTCAACATCTCTCAGCTCCCCTTTAAGCAATGCTCTGTGAGTGGCATGGTGGGCCTTCACTCCTCACCATGCCGCCTACACAGCCACCCTGCACCCCCACCATCCCCACCAGCCTACCGCTCTCCCCCCCCCAACAACGTGGGCCTACCTGCAGCGTCTCCCCCAGCTCCGCCCGCATGGTCTCAGCCTCACGGGCCGCCGTCTGCCGCAGCGACTCGGCCGCCTCACCTGCCTCCCGCCGCAGGGTGTCGATGTCCGACTGATGAGCAGCCAGGCCACTGTATTGGGGGGGAGGAGAGGTGAGGGGGGGGCAGGGTTGGGCAGGTTCAAGCCAGGAAGGCGGAGGTAAGTGCCTTAGCCCCTTCCTCCTGTTCTTCATTATACCAGATATGGTACTACACCATCAGCCCTTCTCTACTCCCCTCCTTTCCCTTACCCACTGATCCTCCCTTCCCCTCCTCCAATCCCCACCTCCCACCCTTCCTCCCCATTCCTCCTAGTGTCAGCAATTAGGCCTCCTCCTCCTGCCCCCTCCTCCCTCCATCTCACCTCCCCTCCGTCCCCAACCCACCCATTGAACTCCTGCCCACCCTCACCTATTGAACTCCTGCCCCATGGCCACCATCAGCGACTCCAGCTTGGCCACCGCGCCCGCAATCCTCCCCTCCAGCGCCGCACTGGTGGCCGCAATGCGCTGCTTGTCCGCCGCCTCCACCTCTGCCAGCTGCGTGTCTAGGCGCTCCAGAGACACTTCGTAGCGCGCATTGCGCAGACCGTTCTCGTCCAGGCGGGACTCAGCTTCAGACAGGCGGCCGTTGAGCTCGTCACGGACGGCGGTGAGGGCGTCGTCGGCGTCCTGAGGGGGGGGCCGGGGGGGGGGTGTTGGGGGGAAGAGATTGGGTTGGGTGAGTGGGTGGGGTGGGGTCTCCAGTTGGACTCCAGCTGCTACGCGTATCATTGTGTCATATCCTCCCTCCTCTTCCCCCCCACCCAGCTCACCTTGGTCCTGCTGGCCAGCTCCCGCGCCAGCTCCTCTAGCCCCGTCTTGGCGGCGGCGGAGGCGGTGGTGAGGGCCTCGTTGGTGCTCTGCGGGGATCAGGAAATGAGGGGGGCAGGGGGACGGAGGGGAGGACAGAGGAAGGGAGGGATGTAGTTAGCGTAAGAAAAGTGAGGGAGACACCGCCCTGGGTCATCACCGTGCTGTAAGCCATCACCACCATCACTGCATGACACCATACCTCCGGCCAAACCTGCAACAAGTTCGCCCCTGACCCCCCTGAAGCATCCCCCAGCCCACCCCCACCCCCTCCTCACCCTCTTGAACTCCTCAATGTTCTCGTTCAGCTCCTGCTCCCGCTTCTGAGCCTCCTGCCGCTCCGCCGTCGCCCTCGCCTCCAGCGCCGCCAGAGCCACTGACATCGCCTTGCTCACCCGCTTCTCCGCCGCCTCACGCTCCTCCGCCAACCGCCGCTCCAGCTCCGTCGCCGCCCCATCCGCCACCATCTCCTCCCGCTCCTCTGCCGCCGCGCGTTCCGCCTTTGCCCGAATGTCCAAGGCCTCGGCGGTCTCCTCCAGGATCGCCTTCTTCTCCGCCTCCACCCTTGCATCCAGCGCAGCCGCAGCACTTGCAGCGACCTCCTCCTCACGTTTCACAGCCGCCTCACGCTCCTCCACAATCCGGGCGTCCAGAGCAGCAGCCGTCTCCTCTGCCAACTTCGCCAGCCCCTGCCTTGCCTCCTCCGCTAGCACCTCCTCCCGCTGCTTCGACTCCTCCACCATCGCCTCCTCCCGTGCGATTGCGGCTTCCCGCTCGGTATCCACCAGCGCCTGCAGCTTCGCTTCCGCCGTTTCAAGCACCTTGGACTCCCGTTCCTCCGCCGCGTACCGCTCCTCCGTCAACCTCGTCTCCAACGCCTCCGCCGCATCCGCCGCGATCTGCTGCTCCCGTTTCACCGCAGCCTCCCGCTCCTCCAGAATACGCCCCTCCAGCGCCGCTGCTGCGGCTTCCGCCACCATTTCCTCGCGTTTCTGAGCGGCCATGCGTTCCACGGTGCAGCGTGAGTCGAGTGCCATGGCAGCGTGTTCGGATAGGTCCTTCTCGCGTGCCTCCGCGACGGTGCGCTCCTCCGTGATTCGGGCCTCCAGGGCGGCGGCGGCCTGGTCCTCCGTCTCCTTCACCTTGGTCTCCACCATCTCCTCCAGGGAGGCGATCTGTTGGGTGGTTGGGGTGTGTGGAGGGCCAAGTCCGGCGGTGCAATGAGAGGGCAATCAGGGCAGCTACAGCGGCCTAGCGGACTAACGGCCGGATTAGGTCCGGTCCCATGCGACCATGTGGCCAGACAAACACCACCACACCCCATGCACGAGAGCTGCACACTGGGCAAGGGTAATAACCCACCTCCAAACCCCCTCCTGGCCACCCATCCCTCCCATCCTTGAGCCCCCACCCCCATCCCTCCCATCCTTCAGCCCCCACGCCCTTCAGCCCCCACCCCCTGCCTCACCTCATCTTCCAGCATGCGCTGCAGCTCATCACAGCGCCCACCCAGCTCCGTGAGCGAGGTGGCGGTCTCCTCCTGGTACTGCAGGGGGGAGGAGGGGGGGAAGGGGGGGGGAGGGAAGGAGAGGTGTGGGTGTGAGGGAGGTGGGGAAGGGGAGCGAGAGAGTCAACGTACTGGTAGTTCGACCCCCCACCCCCCAGCCCATCACCTCCTCGCCATCACCTCCTGCAGCGCCCTTTCTCCTGCTTCCTCCACCCAATCCTCCATTACACCGGCAATACCACCAACAGCAAACACTCCAGCACCCCAGTGCGACCCACGGGTCACCCCAATCCCTCACCTGCGCCATCACCTCCTCCAGCACCTGCTGCTGCCGCTCTAGCTTCTCCGCCAGCTCGCCCCGCGCCGCCTCCAGCCCCCGTGCCAGCGCCGCCCGCCCCTCCGCCGCCACGGTGAAGCGCTGGTCCACACTCTCGCGCAGCGCCGCGGCCGTGGAGCGCAGCTCGGCTGACTCGGCGGCAGCCCTGAAGGGGGGGGAGGAGGGGGGAAGGAGGGAGAGGGGCTTAGGTGAACTGAGCCGCGAGGAAACACTGATCGCGACTGTAGGAATTCGCTGCTGATGGCGTCCAGGGGGTAGGTGGGTTACAGGTTTGGTCCAGTAGTGTGTGTTGGAGCAACAGCGAAGGACAAGGTGTGTGAGTTAGGAGGGGGGGGGGGCACAGCGGGTGGGGGGTGAGTGGGTGGGATGAGGAAAAGATTTCCATCTCGCATGGCGCGCAACACTGTGCTCCTCTCACTTCTTCTCCGCCTGCAGTATCCTGGCGTCCCGCTCCTCCACCGCCCGCCCCAGTGCCGCCTCCCCCTCAGCCGCCCGCGAGTCCAGGGCGCTCAGGTGCTCGCTGATGTCGTACAGGTCGTCAGCATGGTCCTGGGGGGGGCGGGGGGCCGGGGGGTTAGATAGGGAAAAGGCAAACCACAAGTGAGGGCCAGGGCGGTTAGGGAAACCACAAGCGAGGGACCACTAGAGAGGGCATGGCACTAGGGAGTGCAGGCGGCAGGTTTGCTGCAAAACCTGGAGGGTTCTGTGCGGGGTGGGGCGGTTGGCCAGGGCGAGGGGCAGGACGGTCAGGATCCACCTCCGACTCCCATCCGCATTGCTGTGCCCTAACCTGTGGTTTCCTATGGCCTAGTATGGTCTTTCCCCTCCCTCCCACCCCCCATCCCCACCTGCACCCTGTCCCCCAGGTTGTCCAGGTCCACCCTGTCCGACTCCTGCTGCAGCCGCAGCCGCTCCGCCTCCGCCTCCACCGCCGCGAACCGGCGCTCGCTGGTGGCGCTCAGCACGTCCAGCTCCAGCCGCAGAGACTCCTCGGCCAGCTTGGCATCAACCTGAGGGGGGGATGGAGGGATTGTGGGTTAGTTGTGGTATCAGAAGCTGAAGTAGAGGGAGTTGTAAGTGTCCTTTCACAAGTGGGTTTGGGGGCTGGAGCTGAAGGAGCAACGAGAGAGCTCCAACCTCTAGTAGTCCAATGGTAGCCACAAGGCGCATGCTACATGCCGCCCTCCCTCTCCTCGCTCCCACCCCCTCCCTCCCCCTTTTCCCACCTCCCTCCTGCTTCCCTCCCCTCCCCACCCCCACCTGGTTCTGGTCAAACCAATGCTTCAGCTCCGCCTGCGCCCTCTGCCGCTCCCCCGCCTCCGCCTGCAGCTGCTCCCTCAGTGCAGAGCTGTCCGCATCGCCCTTCTGCCGCAAGGCCGCCAGCTCCGACCCATGGGTCACCAACGTGTTCTTCAGCCCCGCCACCTCACGCTCCGTCGCGGCTGCCGCGGACGTGAGCTGCGCTACCTCCTTTGCCGTACTGGAGACGTCCGCCTTCAGTGCTGTCATGTTGTTGCGGATGGAGGACACCTCGTCGGTCATCTGACGCTGCTGCCGACCCGCCTCAAGCTTGAACGCCTGGGGGGGGCAATCAGGGAGGGTGGGGCGTTTAGGATCTGCGGAATGATGCGAGCCGACCTGCCTTGGGAGTGTTCGGACTATGCGCTAACACCCCCCCAACCCTGTGCCATACACATGACCCCGCGTGCCCCCCCACCACCTCGAAGTCCCTGACGATCTGGTCCGCCAGGTCGCCGTTCTTGCGCTGCCAGGCGTCGATGGCGCCCACTCGGTCAGCCATCTGGGGGGTCAAAGACCATATCAAACCATAGGAGACCACAAGTTAGGGCAAAACAATGGGGGTAGGAGTTTGCTGGGTGCCACAAGACAAAGGGTTGGTTAGTATTCCCGACCGATACCGGGTCCGCGTTGCTGATGAAAGGTTGACACTCCAGCGAGTGGGCCGAAGAAAGCTGGCTGTTCTAGTTGTCTATTGCTGGGAATGCTGTCAAATTCCGGTCACCAAGGCCCCACATGTGCTCGGCGTGACAAGGAGGCAGGGCCGGAGAAAAAAAGGGGATTAGCTGTAAAACAAAAACTAAGCAAGAAAAAGAAATAAAGGGGGACTTACCTATAAAGAGGAAGCCCAGCGCAGCAAAAGCCGCCACGGAAGCCGCCACAAGCGCGCCATACGTGCGATAGGGAAAGGCAACAGAAGAAGTTAAGGAAAGCAGGTAAAGAAGGACGCGAAATATAAAGGGAAGGAGGCAAGTGGTGTGTGTGTGTGATGGTGGGGGGGGGAGAAAGGGGCGAGGCGAGGGTATAGGGGAGCACAGGAAGGGAGCAGAGGAGTCATGAGGTGTGGAAGGGTGGAGGTGGAGGATGGACGACGGAGGAGGAGAAACACAGCTGTATGGGAGCACCAGGAGGCGGTGTGAGGTGGCAGGAAGGCAGCTACCGTACCAGGTCGGTAGGGACCCCTACGAACGGAACGGCCCCCCAGCCAACCCTCTCCTCCCTCCCTCCTGCTTCCTTCCATCTTTCCTCGTTGCTTTGCCCTAACCTGCGGAAAGCTGCATGCATTACACCATTTTAGGAAAGCTACGAACACACCCTCCCTCCCCCCCAGCCCCACCTTGGTCACCCCCGCCTCCAGCGCCTCCCTCAGCTGCTCGCTGGACTGCTGCCGCGCCCGGATCTCCAGCTTCACCACCTCCTCCAGACGCAGCCGCTCCCGCTCCAAAGACTCCTGTGTGTTTTGGGGGGTGGGGGAGGGAGGTGTGAGGCGGGGAGGGAGGAGGGAAAGGGTGGTGATGAGGGGAACCGCAACTGAGCCGCGGTGAAAACATACTGACCCAGACACCGGAAGACACCGGAAGGTGATGGCGCCCAACGGAAGAAGATAAATGTCAGATACACACTCCACATCTCCCAACCCGCACACCAGCACCACATCACCACCAATCATCCCCCGTACCTCCATGTCTCGTGCGTACGCTCGTATCTTCTGCAGCGCCGTATTGATCTGCGTGCGCAGTCCCGCCTCGCGGTCCTCAGTGGACAGCCGGGCCACATCCACCGCGGCTGCAACCTTTGAGTGAGGAAAGAAGAAAACGTTGGGGTGGGGAGGGGAGGGGAGGGTGAAGGAAGGGAAGGACACAAGGAGAGAGGAAATGGGGAGGAAAGAAACGTGGAGGAGAGGAAGGAGAAATAGAGTATGGTAAGAGAAGCAGAGGGGAAGGGGAGAGAGTGCCAGGCAAAAGGTGAGGTGGCGAAGCGTTGAAAAGACTTCACGGGTAGCGAGGCCTCCTCTCGCTTCTCGACTCATGGGCCATGACCTGTCCACGACTCTCGTCTTGTTGGTTCTCTCCGTTCCCATCTCCATCTCCCTTTCCCACTCCCAGTTGTTTCCTCTTTACACCCCCCCCCACACCCCCACCTGCGACAGTCCCTGGTCGAGCCGCTGCTGCAGCGCCTCCAGGCTGGCGGAGCTGGCGGCGGCGATGTCACTGCGGGCGGGGGAAAAAAGAGAAATTCCAATGTGTGTTGTGATAATGATACAAGTTGCTAACAATCCAGGGGGAGGGGGTGGTTGAGGTTGGGGTTGGGGGTTAGGGGTGGGGATTAGGGATTGGACATGGGAGAGGAGAGGAGCAGTGGAAGCGGCGTACAGCAGATGGGTTATGGGGACATAGGAAGCTACGAGTGCGGTGTTAGGAGAGCCCGCGAGTGCGCACGGGTGCACGGCCCTCCAACAGCGCCCACTTGCGGCAACCCTCCTCGGTGTCACCTCCCCCCCTCCCACTGCATGAGTCGGGATATGGGATTAGGATGCGTTGTTTCACTTTTATATAATTCCCCCCCCCCCTCCCTGCCCCTCCCCCCCCGCCCTCACCGCATGGCCCCCTCCAGCATCAGCATGCGCTCGATGCCAACCTTCTCCTTGCGAGCCGCGGCCTGGAGGGAGGGGAGAGGGGTGGGGGAGGGAGGGAGGGGTGGGGGAGGGAGGGATTAGGTAAACTGCGACAGGGCATTCTTAACAGGGCGTTCAAGAGGTGGGATGCGCTGTAGTTGGGTGCTAGGGCGGACACATGCGGCCAATCTTTATAACACAGCACGTGTAAGCATCACACAGCCCCACAACGGTCAACCACCCCAACCACCGCCTTTCCTTCCTATCGCCTCCCCTCATCCTTCCCCTTCCTTCCCTCCCTCCCTTACCTTTACAAACGCGCCCAGCTGCTGCTCCCCCGCCTGCCTCGCCTCCTCGTCCCGCGCCTGCGCCGCCCCGTCCACCTCCGCCATCAGCCGCATCAGCTGCCCCGCGCGACCCTCCAGCAGCGACACGGTGCGTCGAACCAGCTGGTCCTGGGGGGGAGGAAGGTTGGGGAGGGGAAGGGGGGTTGGGGTGAGAAGCTAGCGTTGACAGGGACGCAGGAGCAGTGGAATGTTGGGTATTCCTCAATCATCTAAAGTCCCTTGCCCCCCCTGTGGGCCCGCACCTGCCCACCCCATGATGCCTCCTGTGCCTTCTACCCCTCCCAGCCCCGCCACCCCACACGTCTTACTACCCGCGGTGGCCTCTGGTAAGCAAGCATTCATTGGGTAAGTCCTGGGCTGCATGTTCCCCGAGCAGAGTCTGCTAATGCGCTAGCTGCATGAGCTGGGATCTGGGACTGTGCTTAAGTTCCCAATTACTTTCCCCCTCCGCTCCCCCCTGCCAAGCCCCCCCACCCCCCTCCCCACCTGCGCCTGCAGCAGCGCCCCCTCCATGGCCTTCAGGTTGCCGTCCATGGCGGCCGAGTCGTGGCGCCGCTGGGCCTGCTCGGCCGCCAGCTGCTGGGACATGGACTGGGGGAGGGTAAGGGGGGAGGGTAAGGGGGAAGGGGGGGGGGAGGGGGGGGGAGGTAAGGAGGTGAGGAGGAGCTAAAAGCCGTTGGGAGGGGATAGCGCCGAGTGAGAACAAGACACTTAGAGAGAACGCCCACCCCGCCCACATGTTACCCAGCCCTCATTCTCACTCTGCAAGAGTATTTTACATCCCATACACCCCCCTACTACTCTACTGCCACTTAAAGTGTATGACCCCCCAAGTCTAGACCACCCTTCCCACATGTCTCCTCCCTCCCCTCCCCTCCCCTCCCCGCCCGCCCCTCCCTCACATTCAGCACCGCCTGCAGCTCCGCCACCTGCCCCCGCAGCCCGCCGATCACCGCCGCCTCCCCCGCGGCGGCGGCAGCGGTCTCGGAGCGCAGCCGGTCCACCGCCGCCTCTTCACCGTGCAGCCTGGGGGGGAGTGGAGGAGCAGAGGAGAGGGGGCGGGTGGAAAGAGATAAAGGGGCAGGTCTAACAAGTTAGCAACGGGCTTTTTAGGACAGGAGGTACGGAACGGGGTAGCTGATGTGTGTGTTAACAAGCACCCCCCTAGCACCACGAACCCCTAGCACCCCTCCCCTCCCCTCCCCCCACCGTGCGTTCAGTCGCTCCACCGCATGGTGCAGTGCCGCCCCCGCAGCCGCCGCATCCGCCCGGTACGCCTCCACCTCCCGGTTCAGGGCGGCCATGGCCTGAGGAGGAGGGCGGGGCGGGAGGAGGGGGTAGGGCAGGGCAGTCGGCAGGAGGAGCTTGGTGGTGGTTAAGATAACGCGGCCTACCAAACCCATCCAACTAAGCCTCAAACTCCAATCCCCACCATCCGGGCCTCCAACCTCACCTCCAGATGCGCCGCCTGCCTCCTGGCCAGCTCCGCCCTGAAGCCCGCCGCCTGCTCCTCCGCCTGACGCCGCGCCTCCATTGCCGCCGCCGCCTGCCCCTCCGACACCGCCCGACCCAGCCGCTCCAGGGCGCCCTGCGCGGCGGCTCGCTCGGCGGTGGCGCGGGACAGCTCGTCAGACAGCATGGCCACCTGGAGGGGGGGGGAGCGGGGGGGAGGGTCAGGGGGGTGGAGATGGAAGGGTGGCCCCGAGACGATTTGGGTTAACAAGGCACCTCCTAGACCGGTAGGTATACACAGCTCAACTGTCCCTCCTCCTCCTGCTCCTGTTCCTCTCTCCCTCCCTGCCACATCCACAGCGCGCTACTTTGCTTCGTTTGTTTTCCCTCCCGCCCTTCGCTTCCCTCCCTCCCTTCCCCTCCCGACCCTCCCCCCCACCTGTCCCTTGAGCTCCGTGCCCAGCCTCACGGACTCGTGCAGGGCGGCCTGCGCAGCGGCCAGCTTGCTCTCCTGGCTGCGCACCTCCGCACTCAGCGCCATGAGCTGTCGAGGGGGGGAGGCGGCGGGAGGAAAGTAACAGGGATACGTCATACTCATATTCCGCATGAGGCTGGAGAGTTGGGGGCCGGGGAACGGCATCAGCTGTCCAGGTTGAACAATCCGCACACGCGCAAATGGAGCCCCACCTCCCCCTCAGCCCCAAACCCCACCTGCTGTGTCACGCTGGCGGCGGTGGCGTGCTGCCCCTCGTGCCGCATGCGCAGGTCGTTGAGATCCGCGGAGGCGCGGGCCAGCTCGCCGCTAACGGCCGCCAACCGCTGGTTCTGAATGTCGTACGAGCGGGTCATCTGCAGGAGGCGTGGTAGTGAAGGTGGCCTCTTAATCGGCTGTTCGACTCCAAGCAGAATCGTTTGACTAAAACCAAAACTGTCCCCCAACCGCTGCCCTCGTCTCTAACCCATCCTGCACATCCATCACACGTTGGGCATCCTCCTTCAGTACCCACCACTCGCAATCATGACCCGTACCAGCACATCCGGGGCCGACCCATGCCCCCGTGTCAAACCCCAACCCCAACCCACCTCCCCTGTCGTACGCTCCAACCCAATCGCCCGCTGCTCTGCCGCCGCCGCCCTCTGCTCCGCCATAGACGTCTTCGCTTCCAGCGCCGCCAGCCGTTCCGCCAGCCGCCCATCCTCGTACAGGGAGGAGTTGCTGCCCCGCCCTCCACCGCCCCCCGGCCCCTGACCCGATCTGGGAGGCAGGGGGTCAAGGTAGGCGGCAGGCGGCGGGCGGGCGGGGGCCAGGCCCTCCCGCATGACTCCGCCGGGGGGCTGAGGCGGCTGACCGTGTGTGTGGGTTAGGGCGGGTGGAGGAGGGGTAGCGTGGGGCGGGTTGCGTGCAACGACCCATGGAACACAGTAGCTGCTAGAGCGGTGACACCGTACGCCGATGTTCCCACCATTCCGATGCTGTTCCAACCGCAGCCCATCTCTCACGGACACCGTACGGCAACCCGGGTGGGCACCGCACCCCTCGTACGGCAGCCCTGGACGGCAACCCGCCATGCAAACCCAACCCACACCCTCTCCCCGCACCTCTAGCGGCGGCAGGCGTCCCACTCGCGGCGGCCCCACCTCCCCCCACGCGGGCCGCGGGTGCATGTCGCCTGCAGCGGCCATCTGCACCCCCACCATGGGGGCCCCGCCGGGCACCCCCATGGGCGGCGGAATGCCATAGTGGTTGCCTACCCCCAAGCCCTCCTCATAGCTGCCGGGCCGAACTCCAGGGGGGGAGGTCTGCGGTGGGTTGGGTGGGGAAGGGAAGGGATGGCGAGGTTCGGGATGGATGGGGCGGAGGACTGGACAGGTGTAGGGCGGGATGGAAAGGATTGAAGAATTGGAAGGGCTGGGAGAGTGATGTGTTTGAGATTGGCTTGCGTGTCCTGAATGTGAGTGTGCCCTTTGCCAGGTGACGGGGCTGAGGTCAACCCGTTTTCCCGGCCATCCTGCGCTTCTAACGGCAGTCTTCAGCGTAATTGTACTCCAGCGGCAATAACTAAGAGTTATACGCTTTGCCAGTGTATCCCGCGCGAGACTCTGGGAATTGGATTGTCGCGTGCTAACGGGCCCGCGGTCTACGGGGAACGCCATGTTGGGGATGGCTGACCCGGCGAGTCAAGTGCCCTTTACTAGTGCTAACCTGTTGAAGCCTCGCGCCAGGGGGTTCTGCTCCTGAAAACGACCTAAAAATCTGCCAGACGTTGTCACTTCGGTTGTTCTGCATTCGGGCCTTGACCAAGCGACGAAAGAACTGGCTCCCTTAAATGCTTAAAAATAGCACGTCTTCAAGTATCATTGTGTAAGCAACTAAAACGTTGTCTGGTATTCCAGAAGCGACCAATTCATAGTGCAAGCTTAGAACCAACTACGCTAAGTGAACGGGCAGTGCCGGTTGACTGTGTGCATCACGGTCATCATACAAGCATCAGGTAAGGTAGCAGTGCGATGGTTGTGCAAGCACAAGGAACACCTGCCGTACACGCCCCTTTCCCTTGTTAGTGGCGTACTCAAAGCAGATAGTATCCTCGACCACAATCGAGGTAGCTGCTTGCTCCTAGAGCTGTTATTTGGTGCCCTAGGTGTCAGTGCTGAAAAAGCCCAGTGACGTTACGAAACAACAATGGCCTTGCCAGTGCAAACCTGCTCCCGCCGTGGAGGCCAGGCCTACCGCTACCTGACTGCCTTCCTTAACCAGCAGCGTTCTTACGCTTCAGCTGCGGCCGAGAAGGTAGGAACAGCGTTGGAGAACTTAGTGAGACGCCCAACCATGCCATCATGGCTTGACTTTTTTTACTGAGACACTGCATCAACGCTATGACAGGATGTCGTGGTGATCGGTGGCGGGCCGGGTGGCTATGTGGCAGCCATCAAGGCTGGTCAGCTTGGGCTTAGCGTTGCTTGCGTGGAGGGCCGCGGCACTCTGGGTGGCACTTGCCTGAACGTGGGCTGCATCCCTTCCAAGGTAAGCGCCTCGGGACGGGGCTGCCGCGCACCGTAAAGGTGTCGGATCCCCATTGCTTTAGTATGTCGGAGCGACGGTTGCTTTTCCGGTGGCCGTTTACCAACAGCGAAGTCAAGGTGCATAAGTTGCATGCGTTTCTATCGTTATCTGGGGCATTAACATATCGCCCTTGCGGTCCGCCGCACCATGGTTGCCAACGTGGTTGGGAATCGTTCTTCGTTAGCACCAAGGTTATCGGCTTTGCTTGGCAAAGGGGGATTAATGTTGACATACGTCAAGCGATGGGTCCTGTGTTGTGAAGCAAAAGTCAACCACTTTACGCATGTCCCCGCGGCGGCTCATGGCGAGGGCGTCCCTGCACTGCCGTCGCCCCAGTATTCAATCGTCACAGCGGCAAGCATAGCTATTGCCTTGCTCATCGTAGTCTAGTCGTCACATGACGGTTGGCGTTACGTGGTGGACGGGTCTAGGCGAGGAGGAATGGTTGCTTCCTTCCGGCAGTGATGGTTCCAGCTGTGAGGATCCAAAGGGGATGGCCTTAAAGGGGATGCCCTCAGCCGGGAGTGTGTGTATGTGCAGCGGACACCCTTTCCTGTTTAGTGCGCACCCCCGCCGTTGATGACGTGAACTACACCCCAAGCATGCACCCAAACTACGCTACCGTTGGCCCACACCACCACCGCCACCATGCAACCCCTTACCGCCACCCACCATAGAGCTCTCTGATACCACCCCGTCCCACAGCACATATCGTACACACGACACATGCGAGCCAAACTCCCACCCATGCTGAGCACCCTGCTTCCCGCACCCACCCGCCTCATCCTCTGTCCCACCTGCCCGCAGACACTGCTGCTGAACTCCCCTGGCATCCGCTTCCCTATCCCTACGCGCGTTTTCCTCCCACCGCTGATGACTGCTTTGGACAGCTGATTATGCAGTACGACCCTACATATGTGTATAACCCTACAACCGTTACGCCCCTCCCCTGCTGCCTTCCTCCCCTCCCCCAGGCCCTGCTCAACAGCAGCCACATGTATGCGGACGCCAAGCACCACTTCAAGAACTACGGCATTAATGTGGGTGTGGAGAGAGATGTGGAAAGTGTGAAAGAGATGTGAAGAGTGTGAAGCATGAGGGCAGGGCAGGGCGTTGGGTCGGGTTGGAGCCAATGAGAAGGACCATGTGCACATTGTCGGTATACGCACCGGTACCGGCATATTCCTACTCGCGGCCATACCTCTTAACACACCCACTTACCACCCCCACCCGTACTGCAGGTCGGGGAGGTGTCGTACGACTTCTCCGCCATTCAGAAGCAGAAGGACACCGCGGTGGCGGGGCTGACCAAGGGCATTGAGGGGCTGTTCAAGAAGAACAAGGTGGGGGTGCGGGGGGGAGTGGGGAGGGGGTGGGGGTGGGAGCGCACACTGGTGATGGGGGCCTGCTCCTCTTTCCCTTCCAAGCATGTCAACGGGTGGTTGCGCAAGGATGGATTGTGGCGGGCTGCTGAGCGGTGATTCGAGTAGGGTGTTCCCAACTCCTCCTCACCGCCCTCCACACACCTCCCCTCCACACCTGCTCACCTCTTCTCCTTCTGCCCCCCTCCCCCCCCAGGTTGACTACCTTAAGGGCTGGGGCAAGCTGGTGAGCGGTAACGAGGTGGAGGTGGCGGGGCTGGACGGCGCCACCACCCGCCTGCGCGCCAAGAACATCCTGATCGCCACGGGCTCCGAGGTGACGCCGCTGCCGGGGGTGCCCATTGACGAGGAGAAGTGAGTGGGCGGCGGGGGCGGGCGGGCAGCGGGGGATTACGGTGGATAGGCGGAGCTGTGGAAACACTGTGGGGGGATGGAGGTGTGTTTTGTACGACAGGGCATGCGCGGGAGGAGCGGAATGGGCAGAGGGGCCGAGGAAGTGCTTGGGAAGGGCTCAGGTTCAGGTTGGGGCCCCTCCCTTCACCTGTGGTTGCGTGTATCTCTTCCACCCCTTTCTCAGGATCGTCTCCTCCACGGGCGCTCTGGCCCTCAAGTCGGTGCCCCGGGAGATGGTGGTGATCGGTGCCGGCTACATCGGGCTGGAGATGGGCAGTGTGTACCAGCGGCTGGGCGCGCAGGTGACGGTGGTGGAGTTCCTGGACAACATCGTGCCGACCATGGTGAGTGGGGGGGTGGGGACAAATTAAATAGGTGAAACAACGAGTCCCGATCCCATATCCCGACTCATGCAGTGAGCGCATTCGGGTGGGGACTGACCCGTGGGTCGGGGACGGAGGAATGGACTGACCCATGGGTCAGTGGGGATGGGTCAGTGGGGATGAGTAGGGGAGGCGGCGTGGGAGTGGGTGATGGTGGTGGTGGTGGGATACTTTCCTAGGGGCGGCAACATGAGCTGCATGGGTGATGAACAACGAAGGGAAGGAACACGGGTGCCATGCATTGGGTCACCCCTCTCACCTACCCCACACGCTCCACACGCCTCCCACACCACCCGCCCGCTCACGGAACGCCTCCCATGCACACCTTTACCGGTATGCACCTCCCTCCCTTTACGCTCCCCTCCCTTGACTGTCTCCCCTTCTCCCCGCCTCTCCCCCCCCCACCCCCCGCCTCCAGGATGCCGAGGTGCGCCGGGCCTTCCACCGCTCGCTGGAGAAGCAGGGGCTCAAGTTCAAGATGGCGACCAAGGTGTGTGGGGAGCAGCTGGGAGGGGGAGGGACGGGGGTTGCGAGGGTGGGAGGCTGGTTGGCCACTCAAGATGACACGAGGACGACACGTACGCGCGATTGGCGCAGGGCGGGCGTGAGAGGGTGAACGAGGTGTGAAAAACGGGCTTACAAAGACCTCCCTCCTAACCCCCTCCTGCCCACCCCCCCAGGTTACCAAGGGCGAGGTGGTGGACGGGCGCGTGAAGCTCACCCTGGAACCCGCCAAGGGCGGAGCGGCGGAGAGCATGGAGTGCGATGTGTGCCTGGTGTCCATTGGTGAGCGGGCGGGAGGGGGGGAGGCGGAGGGGGGGGGCGGGGCGGGGATAAAGAGAGAACAACTAACTGAGGGATAAGGCGTCAACATGGGGGGGGGGCGGTGGAGGGATCGGGGGCGGGGGTGGCGCATGGTGGTCTACCCCCATGGGGGGCAGAGGTCTGCTGGGCTGCGTCATGCGTCAGGGCGCTGGCCCCCAGTTCTCCTGCCACCCAGGAGCATCCATTGGTTTGGCGCATGCCCTCCCACATGCCGCATGCCCTCCCACACAAGTATTGCCTTTTCACTTACCTCGCCTGCCGCCCTTGTCTGCCCCGCCCCGCCCCGCCCCTCTCCTCACTTTTCAATTCCCCTTTCCCCCCCTTCCCAGGTCGCCGCCCCTTCACCAAGGGTCTGGGTCTGGAGAACGTGGGCGTCAAGACGGACTCGCGGGGTCGTGTGGAGATTGACTCGCACTTCCGGTACATGCGCGCGTGGGAGGGAGGAGGAGGAGGAGGAGGAGGAGGAGGGGCGGTTGAGTGATGGCTGGAAGGAGCGGTTGGCCGGGCTGGGCTTCGGGGGCCGTGCGAAGAGACCCGCCTGCCTCTTAGGAGGCGCGCCCCTTGCCTTTCTGTCTGACTAGTTGATCTCTCGCCACCCGCACCCACTCTCCAACCCCAACGTCTCTATTCCCCCTTCCCATGCCCCATCCCCCACCCCCAGCACCTCCGTCCCCAGCGTGTACGCCATCGGTGATGTGGTTCCGGGGCCCATGCTGGCGCACAAGGCGGAGGAGGACGGAGTGGCGGCGGTGGAGATCATGGCGGGTGAGATCATGGCGGAAGGAGAAGAGGAGGAGGAGGAAAAGAAGAATTCCGAAAGTTGTCGAATGTGAATGCAAACCAGACGACAAGCAGGGGAAGGCGGCAGGGGGGGCGGCAACAGAGCGGGCGTGGGGCAGGATGCGGGGCAGCCAGGTCATGGGTGCTGAAGGTGGAGGGGAGAGGCGGCTGGGCGGGAACCGTGGCGCGGATCTCCTCACGGGACCTTCTCACGCCTCTCAAGTCCTGTCACAGCATCTCCTCATCCCATCACACTCCTGACCCCACTCCTGACCTCTCCCTCCCGCAGGCAAGCACGGCCACGTGAACTACGCCACCGTGCCCTCCATCTGCTACACGCACCCCGAGGTGAGTGACCCATGGGTCACATGCTTGTGCGTGTTTTGCGGGGGGGGCCACATAACGGGTGCACATGGGTGGACAAGGGCCCTTCTTCTTACCTGCGCTCCTACCCCACCTCCCCCCCCCTTGAACTTACAAAGACACTTCAGCTGCCGTCTTGAGTGTAACTAACAATGGCAATGTTGCTCCAACCAATCTCCTAACCAGCTAACAAACCAACCCACCCACCAACCAACCAACGAACCTCCTAACCAACCCACCAGGTTGCCTCCGTGGGCATGACGGAGGACGAGGCCAAGGGCAAGGGGCACGAGGTGAAGGTCGGCAAGTTCCCGCTTATGGCAAACAGCCGCGCTCGCGCCGTGGGGGACACGGACGGCATGGTGGGTCGGGAGGGGGGAGGAGGGAGGTGGGGGAGTGGGCGGAATTGTGTGGGGGGGAGGCAACGTGTTGGGCGTGGTTGGCGATTGACACGGTATGGGCGTTGACTCACAAAAGGCATGGGGCTGTAGCAATGAGGTTGGGACTTGAGAGGGTGTGAGGTTGCGCAACCCAACCTGCTCTAAACTCTCAGCAAACACACATGCGTCCGCTACCGCTGATTCCCCGTCCCTGCCCTTACCCCCACCCCCACCCCCACCCGCCTGGGATTCGGGATTGGGACTCCGTTGATGCACTTATCTATATTTTCCCACCCACCCCCCTGCACCCCCCAACAGGTCAAGGTGGTTGCCGACAAGAAGACCGACAAGCTGCTGGGGGTGCACATCATGGGGCCCAACGCGGGTGAGATGATCCACGAGGCGGCGCTGGCGCTGGAGTACGGCGCCAGTGCGGAGGACATTGCGCGCACCTGCCACGGCCACCCCACGCTGAGCGAGGCGGTGAAGGAGGCGGCGCTGGCGGCCTCGTTCGGCAAGGCGATCCACATGTAAGGATGAGGAGGAGGCGGAGGGGGGCATCCACATGTAAGGATGAGGAGGAGGAGAAGAGGCGGTGCATGCAAGGAAGGGTGGTGGTGGTGGTGGCGCCATGTAAAGGAGGGTACTGATACTGGTGGTGGAAGTGGTGTGTGGGGTGTTGGTGGTGGCAAAGAGGACTCATAGCCGCCTATGTAATGGGGTGGGGGTGGCGTTGGAGTGGGTTTTCCGCATGGAACGGTTTGTAACATGTAAAGCGAACAAAGCGGAAGGGTGCGAGGCAGGGGAGGTAGGAAGGCGCGTCATGGCGATGCGGCATCGGAAGATGTGGCTAGTGGTTGAAGTGGTCGGATACACAATGGGTGTGATGGAGCCCTGGGGCTGTGGACGGAGAGGAGTAAGACCACTAGGGACCAGCGGAGGCCTTCTTTGGTGGGCTCCTTTCTCTCATTCACATCGTCACGTGACACATTGTATCGTGATGATGACAAATGGTGCCCGCATGCAAGGGGATTTGCTGCTGGGAAGGCGTCGACAGAGTTCCCACTTCTCGTTCCCAGTGGGGTTACTTGTTAGTGGTGGCGGGAAGATATAAACAGTTTGTTGGTGGTAGCGTTTAACCAACGCTATTTGTGGTATACCTTCTTTGTGGATTATTGGGGCTCGCAAAGGCGCACGGACGCTGCAGTTTTCCTCTGTTCTTTCGTCGGCTTATGTTGGTTTATTATTGTTACGTGTAAGATGTGAACGTTTGTGACCAAAAGCGTGTATGTTTGATGGTCATGTAACGTGGTGCTTGGAGCTGCTGATCCTAAACAGGCAAGGATCGGTCTGAAAGCCCCAATGTAAGGGATTGCCTGCAGCAATGAAAGCCCCGCTGTGGCAGTGTGTAACTCCCAAATTGCCGAGGCTGACGGCTGCTGCTGCTGCTGGGGTGTAGGAGCCTGCGGACCCGTGGAACAACCCGCATGTCACTCGGATACCCGTCTACCAGGGAACGGCCATTGGCATGTACAATGGCAGTGCGATTGATGACTCCAAGCAATCACCCGACCTTCGGCATGAGCACAGCAGCCGCATGCATGTACTGCTGGGCCACCTGGCTGACTGAGTCAGCTAGTGATTCACTCAAGCGCAATGCCCAATCCAGGGCCCAAACCCACTGCTTGGATGACCTTCAGTTACACCCCCCTAATGAATATACAGATACGTTTTCTAGTATTTGTCCAGACCTGAAAGCCGCATGCTGTAATTCAAGATGTACGGCGCCTCGTCGTCGTACAGCCCCGAGTGATGAACCGTATAGCACGCCTGCCACTGCCACCGCTGCTTAGTGTTGCTAGGATGTAAGGAGCCGTGCGGCAAAGGGGCCCACCGTGCGACATTGGGGTGGGCTGATGCTACCGGTATTGCTTGGGTAAGATACACGCGGTATGGCTAAAACGTGCCGTTGTCCGCCGCTTTGAGAGGTGTTGGCAAGCAGAATGGGAAAACGCAATGCGGGTCCGGCATGCGGCGTCCGGGATCCGCCATGTGGCATGCGCCCCAGCCCAAGACACATAGCCTCGTGACGGCCTGAGCCCGCCTTTACTTCGACTGACGCCGCCCCTTGCAAAATGTATTCTAATTTGCAGATGGCATCAAGGCCATGACAGACAGGCAAACAGCACGACCTTCAGAGCGGCGTACGATCACAGCGTGCGGCAACGGCAGGGTCGCCGCGTCTGTGCATAACGTATGTTGTACAGGATAAGAGTTGCGGCCTGGTAAAAGAGACTTCGCGCACTACTTCTGGGTACGAAGACCCGCAAAGCGCCCATTGGACCGTATCGGATGTCTTACGCCCTCTCCGCGTCATACCTTGTGGCGCCTCGCATCGCTTTTTGTCTTTTCCCATTCCCACGCACCAATCAACCGTCGTTCTTGAAGACATATAAGCGTATCCCTTCAACAACATTCGCCTGCAGGAATTATACTTATCAGTTAACACGTGTTTCCTAACCTTTATCTACGTCTGCTTGCCGCGTTGCGTTTCCGAACTTCCACAAGCCGTCACTCATCAGCCACCATGGTCAAGTTCGAGCTGTCTGACAGCGGTCTGATGCTGCTGGGCGGAGTCGGCAGCCTGGCTTACGGCGCTCACGCCCTCCTGGCGCCCGACAACTTTGAGGTGGGTAGATGTGAAGGTTAACGCGCATGAATGGAAGAGGGAGCGGTTGCAACTGGGTTATAGTTGGGAAGATGTGTCGGAAGGGAAGGGGCGACAGGTTCTTAACTGCTCGGAAGCTACTCGATTGCTATCGGTAACCGCTTCCGCTGCAAACATTCATATTCTTTTTGTTGTATCAACATCCCCGCTCACCATGTAAGACTACACTTAGCTTCGCCGCCCCGCGAGACGTGTGCAGACCCATGGGTCACCCAGCTCCTTCCTGCCATCCTCCTCCTCCCCCAAAGCTCCTCCTCCTCATCCACACTCTCCAAACCTCTTTTACCAACCTCTTGGTTTATCAGCTATCTGCCAGCACCCTGTCCCATCGCTTCCTCCCTCCCTCGCTCTTGCCTGCTAAAGCCGCTCGCTGCATGAGTCGGGACATGGGGCTGTGCTCCACTTCTCATTCCTTTCTTCCCCTCTCACCGCCCTACCCTCCACCCCAGGACCTCCACTTCGGCCCTAAGGAGCTCCACCCCATCCGCTCCCACGCGCCTCCCGAGCTGGTCCGCTGGAACGGCCACTCCATGGCCGCCCTGGGCGCACTCACACTGGCCGCTCGCGACCATCTGACTTCCGGCGGCACGCGGCGCTGGATGCAGACCAGTGGCACGGTGTACGCCACGGCGGCAGCCATGTCGGCTAGTAACGCCTGGCGGGTGCGTTGCATGGGGCGGGGTGGGGGGGGTGTTGCAGGTTGGAGGGAAGGAGGTTGGCGGTAGCGGCAAGGACTTACACATGTGCTGCCACATACTCATGTTCTGCCCCTTGCTCGAAGTGCGTTTATGCCGTACTGCTTGCCGTACTACCATCCATTTCTCTGACTACCGGCATGGTTGTACGGCAAGCAGTTCGTACAATAGTACGACAATGAGCACTTTTGCCAACTACATGCCAACATACGGTACCGGGTGACCCTTGCTCATTCGCTTGTTCACGCAGGGCCGCCAGCGCAAGGGCGCGGGGTACAGCAGTGCGGCGGTGCTGGGCACTCTGGCGGCTCTCAAGCTGTGGCGCGGGTTTAAGAAGCATAACTCAACCATCAAGGTGTGAGTGTGAGGAAGCTCCTGGAGGAGGAGGAGCGTCGTTAACGGCTGGCAGCCGGCAACGGGCAACGAGCAACACCGGTCAAAGCGTGGTTGATAACGTACGTGACGTTGAAGGGTGATGACTGCCGGTATTGAATTTTTCGCAAGCTACCGGGCGTATTGGTAGCCATTTCCAAAGCCACTGCATTGTGGCATCGTACTCATGGCCAAGGTTTCGGGGTTGTGTATCCAATGCCATGTATGGTGTCGCCATCCTGACCTCGCTCTGGGTGATGCGCAGCTAAGTTGATGTGTTGATCAGTTGTAGTTTGGGGCGGTATAAGTGGAAGTTCTGCTGTGCCGCCTGTCCCCGACGAATATCCAGACGTGTTGAATGCGGTTTGGTGGTGCGGGGCGCATGCGGTAGGGGCATCATGGTTTTGGCGGGCAAGGTCGATTGTTGTTACACCGAGCACCAGTCGATACCCATACTTTTTTGTAACCGTTTCTGGGGAAGCATCAAAACGATACATCGAACAAGGTGAAGGAATTGTCACGCGCTCCGGAACCCCCTGGAAACCAACTCAATCTGCACTGGTTGCACAGAGCTATCTCTATATATACACAACTATCTACGCTTAACAAGCTCCCGTTATTTTTCTGCTTTATTTGCTTGCGCCCAAGTCACATCAGCCTTACTAACAGTGCGAGAAGTCGAACCACAACTGTTTAGGGCGCTCACATCAGTCGGTTGTTATGTGCATAGTCAGGAATGTATCGACCATTGCGTTGGCAAAACAAAGTAATCAGCTTGGACGGACAGGAAACCCGGGCATAGCTGGATAAGGACATAGTGACCAATACAACGTAACGTTTACCATATATAGGTCTTGATTTGGTCAGCACAATGGTCAGACTAAAATTGCGCAGCACCGCAGTTGCTGCGCTGGTGGGATGGCTTTGCATGGGTAAGCAATGGGGCACTACTTTCGGTAAATTGTCATATCCGTGCGCTTAATAGGATTCAAATTAATACTGATTCTGTGATATGGGCTTTGGGTATGCTCGAGGCGCTTGCTCTCGCTCACCTATCTGCTAGCATGGAGCAATGACTGTTGCATGCTCTACCCCACATGGCTGCTCCACTGCAGTCTTTCCCAGCTTTTCATCTCATTCCACTCTTTTAGCGCCCTTTTGTATTTTAGCTATCATGTTACAATGTAACCGTCGTCCAAGTCTTCTTCACTTGCTCCCGCACCTGCAGCCCTAGCAGGTCATCAGGCCGTGTTGGCTAAGGAAGCAGCAGCAGCTACTAGCACGCATCGTCAAAGCCTACGCAGTTTCTTCGATTCAACAAAAGCGGCGGCAGCGGCCAGGGCTTCATCAATAGCAACCGCAGGAACAACAGGAGAAAAAAGCGGAACAGCAGAAGGCAGCCGGGGTGGGATGCTGTTGGGACCCAGTCCCCCTCTTCGGGAGGTCTGCCACAACACATGTAACAGGGTAGGGTTAACCTGCAACTTGCTTGCTGCTGCATAAGTTCCAATCCGGTTTCCGTTCAAGCAGCAGTAACAGCAGCACCGACATTGGGTGTTTGAGAGCAAGCCAGCAAACACGCCATTGTAACGGTCGTTGATTCAAGCAATATGCAACCCCGGCCCTACCATTCCTATCTTCACCTTGCTACAGCACAATCTTTGCTTTCTTTGCTTCTGCCGGCGCCTCCCCTCCTGCACCACCACCATTACATGCAATGTTTATACCCCGTATCTGTCTAACTCTGCCTAACTGGCCTTCTCGAAAACCCCACACTACCATACCACACCCCCGCACAACTACACACGGCAGGCCAGGAACGGTGTGTGCGAGGAGGGGCGACCCGGTCCGGGAGGGCCACTGTCGGCCACCTACCTGATGGCCTACTGCGACTTGGGGTGAGTTGGATTCGGGTGGGGATGGCGGGGGTGGCAAGGTGAGGGTGATGGGGTTGCATGGAGCGAATTACCGTTACATAATGGCCGTACGTTGACTAGTTTTCCGACAACAAACCCGCTTACCTAACCCTAGTCGACCCTCCCCTCCCTCCCTCCCTCCCCTCCAGGACTGACTGTGAGGACTGCGGCCCCTGGCGAACCTCAGCTGCCCACATACCCTGGTGAGCAACAGACAGGCAGGGGAGAGGGGCGCGCGGGGGGGTGGGAGCTGGGCTTGCTTGGTGAGCAGGGCTGCAACAGACCTGCTGCTGTGAGGCACTGAACGCATGCTAGTTTGTGCTGTGTGTTGTGCAGGCGTGAAGTGTGAACTGCCTCCTCCCTTCCGTTTCCTCGGCCTGCAGGGAGAATGCCTCGGTGCCCGGACCCGTCCGCTTCCTGCAGAGCCGCAGTGTGCAGGTGCGTGCGAGAGGGGGTTAACTTACAAGCAAGTGGAGATGAGCAGGAAGGCAACGAGCCAGGGAGTGAGCGAGGAAAAACTGGAATTAAAGAAAAAGAAGTGAAGCACTGGAGGAAGGTAGAGGTGCGCTTCCTGCTTGATCTTGCATAGACATAGACAGCGGGGGAGGCTGTGAAGAGGGGGTGCGCTTTCCTGCATGGGGTCCAGGCATTGGGTAACACAGGCGATAATTAGGTTAGCTGGGAGCACGGGCAGGGAGCCAGCTGGCTTTCCTTCTCCTGCCAACGACTTACACAGTCACGTCCGCCTCTCCATTGCTTGCTTTCCCCTCCTCCTCCCCTGCTCCCCCTCCCAACCAAGGTTCGAGTGCGCCCAGCAGTCGTACCGCCCGACGTCTCCTTCTCCCTTGCCTACAGCGACCCGAAGGCCGACTTCGACGTGTCGTACCACCTAGATGGTTCCGGAGTGGTGGAGGCCGGGATCAGCGCGGTGGGTGGGTGTGGGTGGAGGGCTGACAGACCCCCATGCAACCACAGCGGAACCCCATGCTGCTGCCCGCTGGGTAGGTGACTTTCCTCTCATCACCTTAGTCTCCACTCCGGAAACCCATGCAACCCACCCCTTCCCCTGGTAACTACAGTTGATTTTGTCTGGCCCCTTCCCCGCCTACCCCACATGCGCCCAGCCAGATTGTGTACAAGCTGCTGTCTAACCGTTGCATGCCGCCGGCTGAGGAGGAGGGAGGCAGCAGCACCGGCAGTCCCAGCAGCCGGCGGCGGGGCCTGGTGGTGGATGTGGGGGCGAACTTCGGCTGGTTCGCCGTGCTGGCTGCTAGGCTGGGCTGCAGGTGGGAGGGAGCATGGAGGGGTGGGGGGATGTGGCCAGGTGCAAGGCGGGGTGCAAGGAGGGGTGCAGGGACAGGGGCAGGATGTAGGGGGCCTTCTTCGGTCCCTTCCGATGGGGGACTATCCAACCCTTGCACAGCCCACTCCGGGATCTACCACCGGCAACCTGCTGGGTGGGGATCTACCACCGGCAACCTGCTGACAGTGCCATGCTGCCATGCTGCCCTGCTGCCATGCTGCTCTGTACCTTGTCACCAACCCACCCGCCCCTGTCCTGCCCCCATGACCACCAGGGTCATAGCCTACGAGCCGGTTCCGCTGTTCCGCGCCTTCCTGGAGCTCAGCGTGCACCTGAACCACCTGACCCACCTGGTCGACATACGGCCCTACGTGGTGAGCGTGGTGGTGGTGGAGGCAGGCTGGATGTGCATGGGCGGGTTCGTGCATGGGCGGTGTGGAACGGACGCATGGCTGGGTTCGTGCATGGGCGGGCGAGGGCATGGCAACAGGGGCGGCGGGGTTCGTACGTGGGCTACATGTGCGGCACCGCACATCTATCCCTACGGACATACGCCTCCCCCTCCTGCCGCTCCCCACCTCCCCCCGGTCCCCACCCAAGGTGAGCCACCTGAGCGGCCGGCGGCTGCGCATGGTGGTGCCTGCGCGGGGCATCTGGGGCACCGCGGGGATCGAGGGACTCAACATCGACAAGGCCATTGAGGGTGAGATGCGGGGTGGGAAGGGATCCAGTTGCTTGGGGACCAGTCCTGGCGCGTACTCCTAACCTTCCCCTCCTCCCCTTTGCTCGTAGACATATGCTCAGGATGCTAGTCGTTTGCGTCAGTTTACCCAGAGACATTCAAATCAACCCATGCGTCATCTCTGAACTTCCATAACTCTTCCCCTCTTATACTGTAGTCGTCAGAGTTGGTTTCCTTTCCCCATCTCACCCCTATACACATTACCCCCCACATACACCCCTTCCACCCCCCCTCCCGCAGCCTCCCAGGAGTCCATCTCCGTGCCCAGTGTGCGGCTGGAGGAGCAGGTGGCGGAGGGGGTGCTGCTGCTCAAGGTGGGTGGCGCGTGGAGGGGGACAGCCATCCTATGACATCACGCTACTGGTATCCAAGCCACCACACGGCACGGGAACTACCCTTGGACGCGGGTGCTGATTGTCCTACCAACATCTATTTAAACCAGACAATCCAGTTCACTCTAATTAGCAATACCGGTATGCATATGACCACACGCCCGCCCTCCCCTCTTCTAGGTTGACGTGGAGGGCTGGGAGTGGGCGGTGCTGCGGGGCGCTGCGGGGCTGCTGCAACGACACACCGTCGAGAACATTATCATGGAGTACTCCCCAGGTGAGGTGCGGATGAAGGGTGGGAGGCAGGGAAGGCATGGTGGGGAGGTCATCATGAAGGGGAGGGCGGGGGCTAGCTGCCATGCACAGGTGTGTGGCTGAATCCATGCGTCGATCCATAGCACCATGTGTCGGACCCCCCCTTCCACCGCACCCCCGGCCCATGCAGGCGTTCTGGAACGTCATTTCCGACATTTGAAGACATGGCCGCCACCCTTTCCTGCAAATGCATGCCATGACCCATGGGTCGCTTCCCCTCCACCGCTTCCCCCCCATGCAGGTGTTCCGGAGCGTCACTTCCGTTTCGACGACATGGCCGCCACGCCCGCCATGCTAGTGGACCTGCTTGCGAAGTACGGCTACCGCATTGGTCACATCGGCGATGCGGGCAAGCATGACAGCGGCGGCGGCGGTGGTTGGGGTGCGGAGCTGCCTGCGCTGCGGGAGGTGACACTGGCGAACTTGAAGTACGATGTGGAGGATGTGAAGCGCTGGAAGGTGGGAGGCTGGGAGGGAGGTGGGAGATGGTGGGGACAAAGGACAATAATGGTATTCCACATAGCGACTGAGAGATGGATCGGGAGCCCTCCATCCCACTTGTCAACTTCCTCTTTACGCCGCAACCCTCTTCCCCCTCCCCACCCGCCAGGCCGGTACCCTGGGCTGCCCCACCCCGCCCGAGCTCCTGCAGTACCCCATGTGGGTTCGGTGCGGTGGAGTCCCCGAGATGATCAATCCCAGGAGCTTGAGGTATGAGCGTAGGAAAGATCTGTTATTTTTGTTAGGAGGTTTGTAGTCTTCTCACAAACCGTGTCAAGCGGTCTGTGTGCGTTGTCGTCGTTTGCTTTGTGCCTCTTCCGTTGGTTATCACCCTTGCGTGCGATGCCTTGCGTTGCGTATATTCCTTAGCAACGTCCCGCCGTTTCGTGTGACCCATGGGTCATCATTCGCTGAACCACGTTCACGTTCAACAGGTCAGAGATCGGCCACAACACCAACCTTTGGGCCAGCAAGGGCAAGGGTTTGTCAGATGGCTTCTTAAGGCTCGAGGGAGTGGTGGGCATCTTCCATCCAGATGACCCGGCTGATAAATACTTCCGTAAGTTGGACTAATAATGGAGTGGGGCGGACAAAATGCATGACGAAGTAGGCTGAGGGTGTTGAGCTGAGCAAAGCGGCATGGCAGCACGCGTAGCACATGCAACACAATGCCAACTAACGCCGCCAACTGCCTTCTCTCATTCTCAACGCATTGCAACGCATCCATGCGCAGAGAACAACACCATGGCTTTCGGCATGGGCAGCCGGCCCTGCGCCCTCCTGGAGCCCAAAGTTCAGGTGAGCAGGCGGGGATACCGCAGATAGGACTCATGAAGGTCTTAGAAGGCCAGCCGGGTCCAGGCTGAGCCTGGGAATATACCGGAGCCTAAATAGTTACCCAGCAGGCATGTGTAGCTCATAGGCCTACGACTTTCCACTCACCTCCCCGCTCACTCGTTCGCCCCCCCCATCTCCTTGTATCCTTGCCCCCCCTGGCTTGTACGGACACACTGTACGTACGAGCGTTAAGACTGTATCTTCTCTGCGTTCCCTGCGCTCATCCCCGCCCGCACCTGACCCCTCCCCCAGGTGCGGCACCGCTGCCGCTGTTCCCTGCCCGCCCGCTGCGGTGAGGAGGAGGCGCTGGTGCTTAAGCTGGCAGCGGAGGGCAGGATGCCGCAGAACTACGTGCTACCATGAGTAGTTGCTACTTGATAATGTGATGATAACAAGCGAGTTGAAGTAACGGTGTCGCGCCTTGACGTTTTGTTGGGGGAGGGTTGCATGCGTACATGCATTGGGCTGGAGAGATGGGGGAGAGAGCGGCTGCAAACGCTGCAATAGCATTTGCAAGGGGGGGTTGCTGCCGTCAGGCAGCCGCCACCGAGACTGCCACGAACACCACTTCACGGTAACTATTTGGGCGCTGGGACTGCTGAGAACTCTATACAACCAGCACCTTCGCCTCATCCTTCTGAACTATCCGCCGGGGAACCATTTCCAGGTCATTACAGCTCTTTCATCTTACTGTAACAGCTCACCAGTCTGGGCTAGCTCGACCACGCCAAGACCACTTAACACAATCTCGCCTGGAAACCAATCGCTCAAGCCCAGTCAAGGCGTCCGTTGCCGCTCCCATGGTGCACCTCTACCGTTCCCTCCCTCCTTCGCCGCTCAGTCGACCTTCATGAGCTCTACATCGAAGATCAGCGTGGCACCGCCTGAAGGAGGCAGGGGGAGTGGGACGAAAGTGCGGGTAGCATTTTAGAGCTTTTGTGCACCGGGCTGAACATGCTGTCGAGATTGGGGCCGGGGGAATGAAGGAGCGCAGGCAGCAGATCGGAGGGAATTCACAAGAAGTGAGGGAGTGCAGGTAAGTAGATAGGAGGCAGGCAGTGCTGTCACAAGCACCAACACGTTCATATACGCTCGTCTACACTGCTGTGTACAACACCATCAGGAAAGTAGCCACAACACCAACTAACACGTGCAGCAACCCATGCCGTACCGGGGATCTTGGGCGGCGAGCCGCTGTCTCCGTAGCCCATGTGGCTGGGGATCTTGAGCTTGCGGCGCTCGCCCACACTGCATGCAGTGGAGTAATGGAATGAAAGAAAGGAGAGGTAAGAGCACACGTGGGTTTTGCCGAGGGCAATGCGCAGGCCGCGGCACACAACCACACCGCTTGCCAGACAGCGGACTTAAATCGGTAACAGTCAAATTACAGCGGATAGTACAACGTAAGTACAACATACGACGACATTGAGTGGATACGGTGTACGGCACGCGTGTGTGCCTTTGAAACCATGGTTAGCTGACGGCGACTTACCACATGCCCAGAAGGCCCTGGTCCCAGCCCTTGATCACCTGAGGCGCAGAGTGGAGGCGGTGTGAGAGGGCAGGACGGGATGAGCTGAGGAGAGAGTTGGCAATACCAACACACAATGGACAGGAGAGAGCGGCACAACCTCAACGCTCAGACCCGAAAGCCGTATCGACCACACACATACACAAGCACGCGGCTCCCATGCTAGTGCTACTTTCCCCTTGCACATGTCATAAGCCGCAAGGTGGGGACGCCTTGCCAGGGCACAACTTACGCGTCTCCAAGGACCCACGGGTCATGGAGCAGCTCCCGTCCCCCCTGCTTACCTGGCCTCCGCCCAGCCTGAAGACGAAGGGGGTGCCACGATCCCGGGAGCTATCGAACTTGGTGCCATCGGTCAGCGTGCCCTGCGACAGGTGACAAGGAGCATGAAGCGAGAAAGGTGGGACGTTGGCGTTGAATGAGAAACAAACAGTGTTCGTGTTTTGTAGGTAGTGGCAAGGAGTGGTTGTCGTAAGTGGCTAGCGATTAATGAAAGGCTCAGTGCAGGAGAGCTGCAAGGGACCGGAGTAGTAATGCATGCAATTTGCTATTAACCGAAGGGCAGCTGGTCGAAGGCGCCAAAGCCGATTGACTGAACACTCTCATTAAGCTCATAAGCCAACCCCAGTCCTGGCATGCCGTCGTGGCCAGCACTGAGGATCGGCTGCAAGCATGCAGCAAATTTCGTGGACGGACAATCGTGTACACAGAGAAATCTTACCGTGTAGTGAACGTGAACATTATCGCCATTGCGAGTGGTCCGCTCGCACTTCTCAGGCTTGAACTGCAAAAGAGCCCAGCAAGCGAGCTTCAGATCAGGGTACCATGTTCGAGGGTAGTTCCTCATCCTTAACACACCTTCACGCCAATTTGCAGCTCCTTCACAGTCTTCAGCTTCTCAGCTGCATACGCGACCGAAAGCGCGCATACAAGAAGCAGTGCCACTAGCGACGCTCTGCGCATCGCCATAGTTGCGAGGTTTGGCTTCTTCCTGTTATATGTCCTTCTAATAACTATGTTGCTAGGCGGCCGTAGCATACTGGGGTGTGGGGAGTGGGGTCTAGATGGTCCCAGGATCCAAGACCGGACGAGCACGTAACCTGTACTATTTTCATCCTCGCCAGTCCCCGCTGAACGCAAGACGGCCAACTAAGTTGACATTCCCGAGGCCCTTAAGACCAATGAGCCGATAAGGAGCCCGAGCTCCCTTCAACTCACACGCACCCAGATGTCAACGTGAATTACCCGGGGTTCTCCCGCACTCCCTCCAACCTTCACCTCACCTTGCTTCTGACGCCCAACTTTGGCCTGCAATTCGGCTAAACCATGCCGTATGCGGGGACAGCGCACCCCTAGCGCAACCTGCCCTGCACTGCTCTCCTGATGGGGTGTCCTGCTCGGGTGGGCGTGAGAACAATAACCAACCAGCTAACTGTTGCCTTCTTTAACTTTCATCGAATGCCTAATACGGTAACGTGTAAAGGGGAACTCATACTATTGAGAAGGCGCTTGCTAGCGTGGCCCCTTACGCGAAAGATACGTTGATACCTAACGTTTCCTTGTCTACAGATATGTTTCCGTGGAACCATTGCGTTACTGCATTAACTGTTTCGCCCGTCTAAGGTTAACCCATTGTACTGCTGGTACTGCTCCCGAGACAAGCACGCTAAGCAAGGTTGCGTTTAGACAGTAACTTATAACCTTTAGCTCCAGCCATATCGAGTTGATTCTGGTCACCACTTGTCGCCACTTGCGTTAACCGTTCCCTTTGCGTCGCTGGGTCGCTCGCCTCCGTGACTACTGCTTGTGGACTGTTACACTCATGTCTTCAAATGTCCATATGGCAAGTGCCATTAACAGGGGCGTATGTTTGTTGCATTAAGCTCGCCGGTTAGATAACTAGCTGCGGAAGTATGGACCTACGCTCTGGTATTCCCACTTCTAACGAGGTAAATTCATTGGAAGTATTTGTTCTATGACATTTTGCAAATGTCTCTTGCGTGTTAAGCCGGGATTGCCCACTCGTCAGCGCCCGAATACTCAACCTACGACCAAGTGCCCAATAACAGCAACGCGCTTTACGCATGCGTACTGGCATTAGTGCGGGCGTTCTACATACAAATCTCAATCAAACTCGTGTAGGACGCTGGAGACGCTGCAAACGGAGAAGCGGTGCTTAACGGCTCACGTGCCCGGGCGGGCACTATTCTCTCCAACATTAAAGCGGTGAGTCTGCGTTGGGGAAGTCGTTACAACTGTTTTTGGTGGCGCGCAGACCCGCTCGCACGGCGGTATGAGTGCGCCGGAAACTCGGCGTCCTAGCCTGCGCATTGGCCCAGCGTAGTGTGTCAACGAGCAAGGGTATTTGCAGTCTTGCTCTGTAAACTGCAAAGTTTGGACAGGATACCCACCAGTCCAATTTTGCATGAATGGCATCCTCATCGGCCTCGACAACACGAAGGAGGGGCGCACCCCCTCAGCAAAGTGTCGCCTTTCCGAAACCTGAAAGTGAAGTATGTTCGCATGCCATGTACATCACCCTCTACAACCCTACCGTTCCATCCCGCCGATGAAGGCCTTGGCAATGCGAGTTCCTCGCTATTCCCTTCCTCACCTTCCCACATCTCACGCCTTTGGTGGTCCCCTTACACCGTTACAGGAGGACACGCCACCAGCCTGGAAGAACATACCTGTCTGCACGGAGGGTTTGATGTTCGGCAGGTCACTTCGTTCTGCTGGCAACATGGATTTGCTAATGGACGTCAATCGACCTCAGTCAGCGCACGCGCTAGGCCAGCTAGCCGGCGCCTTGGGGGAGAGCAAGGAACATCCAGTCGCCGCGCCCCTTGCGATGCTGGCGAAAAGCGAGGTAAGTGACCTGGACTGGACCCTCCATCGTCCCCTGCCTACCTTTCACCTCACTTGCAGCTCATGTGTAACAAAAGCCCACATTAAGTCCGTATCAAGAGCTGTGATAAGAGCTGTACTACTCCTGACCCTGACTCCCTACTCCTTATTCCATTGCCTTCCCCCCTCCGTCCTACCCTTCCTGGTCTCACCTTTACTCCTACCGGCGCCACCATCACCACCACCACCATCCTACCACAACCTCCCAAACAGTCTCAAACAATATCTCAGTCACAAATCATGGTAGACAGCAAGGAAGGTGGCACCAACCCGACCACCATCCACCACTCCCCCTCCATGGATCTCTGCGCTGGCTCCACTGCTGCCGACACCACCTCAGGAACCGCTGCCGGCACCGCCTCAGGAACCGCAGCAGCAGGTGCCTTCAACCTCTCTAGCGGCCAGGGCAGCCCGCTTGGCCCTGCAACCTCCCTAACCTCCTCTTGGGTGGATACGGAAACACTCTGGACCGCCGTACAACGTAACGGCCAGGAGTTGCAACGGCGACAGCGCATTGCAGAGGAGCTGCGACCCTCTCGTGCATCGTGCGTACGTGACGTGGGTGTTGTCGCGACACGTCGGGTCGACGCGGCGTGGAGGCGTTTCGGGCAGCGTGTGCGGACACAGCTGGTGGTTATGGCACGTGTGGCGGTTAAGGATCCGTACACGGTCGTCGTACCGTTAATTTTGCTCATGTGTTTGTTGGGATTCGGGCTCTGGGGCGTCATGAGCATTTCGAGTGCGATCAGCGCAGGACGCAGGCAGGAGGTGCTGAACTCGGCAGTCGACTTTTCCGCGAGTTTGACTAGCCATATCGCCGCTACGGTGGCCCCAGCAAGCACTGTTAAAACGCTAATCGAGCTGGATCCAGATTGGAGGAGCATCAACGACACGTTTTTTGAAGTGGCTCCGAAACTGTTCCGAAAGGGCAAACAGCAAACGGAGGCGATCCTGACCATTGTGCTAGCGCCTCAGGTGGGGGGAGAGGGTAGGAACCTGTTCCTGAACCACGAATAGAAAGGGTCTTGGGTGGCGATAATGGTTGTATTTTGCGGCTGTTTGCCGCCTCCATGCCATGACGTCCTAGGGGCTCCTCGTTAACCAACCGCCACTCTTGCCAGCAGCTGCTACTGCCGCTTTTACTTACCATTGTGCTGCCGCTGCTACTGCAAACAACTGCTAACTGTTACTGCTGCTGCTACAGGGCATCGTGTCAGCTATCGTGCCTTCGGACCTTCCCGCCTGGCAACAAGTGTACGGATTAGATCTGCTGAAGAACCTGTCGTGGCGTGCGGACGCGCTGAAGACGGTGGCTCTGCATCAGGAGGGGATGGTGATGACCGGACCCACTAGGTAGGCTGGTGCTTGGTGGGACATGGTGCATGTTGGGGGCGTTGGGTCCCTGGTACCCCTGATACCGCTTACACCTACCTCTCTATAACCCTCAGGGAATGGATGCTAGTCCTCCTCGCCCCAGCTTCCTGCATACCTGCGCCGTGTACCATATTCCCTAACCTCTCAATCTCCACATGCGCTATGTGCCCTAACCATCCTACCTTCCTGACCGCGCAGGCTGCGAGCAGGCATGATGGGCATCGTCACACGCTACGCTGTCTTCATAGACGGAGCAGGGCCCAACGAGACGTTTGGATTCCCCGGCAGCGCGTACGACTGCGCGCCCTGTTACGAGGAAGCAACAGCCACAACGCCTTCCAGCCGCTTCTGGGGCTTTGCACAGCTCAATGTGAGTCTTCTTTGATTAATAAATTGGGGCATGACGGACGCCCCAAAAGCCCGAAAGCATAACACCGGGCATGCCTGTGCTAATGCCAGTAGGAGCTGGGCTAGGTGTTGGGGTAGGTTGCATCCATGCTTAAGGAAAACAAAAACGGTTGCCAGTGAACGGTCTTCTTTTGCCGAACCATACAGGTGAATGCGGTCTCTCTGATCTCTATTCTACCGGTACATCAAGATGAAGGCATAACGCGTGCATGTGACACTTGGTTCCCGCATTTTCCCATCACAGGTCGACTGGGAGATCCTCATTCGCAATACCACGCGAATGTACGATCTCTGCGACTTCAACGGCCTCACTTTCAACATGACGTACATCGATCCGGTAACGCACGTCAACCGCTCCATCGCATCTTGCGGAGATCTGGATCCAAATCCAGTAATCGTGGAAATCAACACTATGCATAACCGTTGGGTCCTGGCCATGAGCGATGCGCGCGGCTGGACGCCCAACTGGTTACCCTGGGTGTTGGCGGTTGTGGTGGTTATGTCGGTTTGGCTGGCGGCGGCAATGGCGGTTATCCTGATCAACCGCCGCGAGCACATGTGGCTGCTTCAGGCGATGCTTCCCAAAAAGGTTCGTACTGTAACTGTCACTGTAGCAAAATGGGATGGGGACTTGTTGCAACGGGCGGTCTCCCTGTGTTATCAGTATGGGATATGGGAGGGGGCATGCGCTATCCGTGATCTAGCTGCCACCGGATCCGGCTTAGCTCCCGTTGTCCTCTCCGCGTCTTTTTACGGTATCCCCTCCCCCCCCCCCCCCAGGTCATTGCCACGCTACGCCGCGGGGAGGAGTACGCGGAGGCGTTCGAGTGCGTCACAGTGCTGTTCAGCGATGTAAGTGGAACCACAGCGCGTGTAACTAAAGTAGATTACCAAGATGCCCAGGAGCTCCTTACGGCTTCCGACGTAGCCCCGCCTTCGCAGTCGAATTGCAGGCGCAGATGCACAGTATAAGATCCCGTACGATCTCATTCCCGCCGTCCCTTAAACAGATCGTGTCGTACACAACGATCGCATCCGGCATGGAGCCTATCAAGGTGAGAGGGCTGCGGGGTGGAATGTACTGGGGACGGATAAGGGGGTGAGGGGGATGCTAACTAATGAGCCAGCGAAGAGGTAAAACTGGCTCCTGAATACAGTATGCACTCTGCCCCATGGGATATCTGGCCCATGGTCGCACCATAAAAGGTTAAACAACGTCGGTACCCTTCTGCATTGTTCCGAATGAGCACCCTAGTGGCTTGCGCCTTTTTGCAACCGTAAATACATACCCCGGGCCGCACGACAGGTTGTACGGCTGCTCAACGAGATGTACAGCGCCTTCGATGCACTAGTGGACCAGTACGAATGCTTCAAAGTGGAAACCATCGGCGACGGTGAGAGCGCATGTCACACACATACCGACGTCGCTGCTGCTGCTGTCGTCCTGCCTGCTCTCCACTCTTCCCTTCCCGCCTTCCCCCTTACCCTTCCCAACCTTTGCTCTCCCACCCCACGCCCCCTTCCACTCCCTCCCTTCCTTCGCCCTAACCTTTCCACCCCCGCCTCACCCACCGCGCAGCCTTCATGGCCGTGTGCGGAACCCAAGGGGAGGACGCCGTGTCAGCTGCCGTACGGATCGCACGACTGGCTCAGGCCATGGTGGAGCGAACCCGGGTGCTGGTGTCGGCGGACGGACAGAAGATCCAGATCAGGATAGGTGCGGGGCCGGGCTGGGTTGCCGCACGCAAGGGTTGATGGACGGATGATCAATCACCAGGCGGACTAGGCATACGTTGCATGCCGGGTGCGGGTGCACGGTTACAGCAACTTGGTTTTCCTTTTCTTAACTCTCTGTGGCATCTTTGACCCTCCCAACATGGTATTTGTCTCCCATCTACTCCACCTTGAACTTTGTGCTGTGTTTGTACATAGACCGACGTTACCTGCGACCCACTCCAACTCACTCCGACCCCAGGCATCCACTCGGGCCCAGTGGTGGGTGCGGTGGTGGGTTTCAAGATGCCGCACTTTTGCCTGTGCGGCGACACCGTGAACACCGCCTCGCGAGTGGAGACCACCAGCCTGCCCATGTGCATTCAGGTGCGGTGCATGCCCCTGCATGCCCGGGCAGTGATGCAAGCATGCAAGTACTGATGAGCCGCGGTATAGCCGCATTGCCCAAACGCGCCTTCTGTCCCCCCATTTGAGCGTTTTGCTTGTCCTTGCGGTTCCTTTGCGAACGGTTTGGTTTGAAAGCAGAAAGGTTACCGGTACCTCCGCTCGACCACAACACGAATCCTTTCCTTTCCCCGCACATGCCATGTCGTCGAGCAGGTCAGTGAGTCCACTGCTGCGCTGCTGGCGGCCAGCAGAGCGGGCTTCCAGCTGCGCCCGCGGGGACCTGTGGAGATGAAGGGCAAGGGCGCACTGTACACGCACTGGCTGCTGCAGCAGCAGCAGCAACAGCAGCTGGCATCTTCCAACGCAGGAGGAGGTGCAGTGACACTGAAGCTGGATCGCGGTCCGGAACGACGCCTTGGATCGCCTATCCGACGCGTTACAGCCGGTACTGCTGGGGAGCCCGAGGAGCATGCTGCTGCACCAACAGCAGCTGCCGCAACAGGAGCCACAACACCCGCAGCAGCACCAACAAATGCTGCTGCTTCGGCGGCCAGTCTTCCGGCGCCAAGAAGCAGTGTTGGCTGCTGTGACCTCGATGTTGCAGGCGGCGGGGGTGGCGCAGCAGCACGCGGTACCCTCACCACAGCAGCCTCCTCCTCTGGGGCATCCGCAGCAGCAGCGGTGGCCGCGTCAGCAGCAGCAGGAGCGACGGGGGCGGCGGTTGAGATGGGGAGGCTCTCCGGCGTGTCATCCACCACCAGCTGGCCTACCAGCAGAGCGGCTGCCAGTGCTGCTGCTGCTGCGGTAGGGGGAGGCGGAGGGGAACTTCCAGACAGCCTGACGACTGCTGGCGGCAGCGGCAGTGCTCCTTGGTGCAGTGGCAGCGTTGCTACTGCCTCCCACAGCGGCGGAGGTCGCAGTCGTGTAGCTTCCGGAGCTGGGACAGGAGCAAGCAGTGGAGGAGTGGGAGCAGCAGCGGGAAGAGGACGAGGTGGAGGACGGGTTGTTTCAGCCGCTTGGAGGCTGCTGCGGAGGGGCGGCGATGCGCCCGCTGTAGAAGAGAGGGCGTTGAGCTACGCGGCGAGCTCTGGCGGGGGTAGCTCCGGAATTCCGCACCATGGAGAGAACTGCAGTGCTGCTGCGGCTGCTTTTGCTGCAAGTGCTGCATCTACGCCCAATGAGGTTCCTGTTAACCCTTTTGCAACCCTGACCCCGGCCGCTAGTGATGCTTGCGGAAGTGTGGCGTCTGCGGCCTTTGCTGGCAGTGCTGCTGCTTCCACAGCTTCGGCCACTGCTGCTGCTGCTGCTAGCGGCGTTTCCGCTGGTTATGGTGCTGGGCTTCATTACCCCGTTTCAGCGCCTGCAGTCCTGCCGCTCCTAAACACCCCCACCCACATCTACAACACCAGCGGTTGCAGCGGCAAAAGCAGCAACAGGAAAGGCCGCGACGGATCTGTAGACTTGCGGTTATTCCAACTGCCGCCAACGAACTCTCGTAAGTAGGTTGGTCGTATGTGTCTTTGTTCTCTTAGCGCTGGTAGGTATGGTTTGGTTTGATTTGTGGCGATAGCAATCCGCTTGGTTGTTAGAAACGTAGCAGGGAAGGGTTTTCGGGGGCTGAAAGCTGCGAGCAGCAATGGTCTATTGGGGGTTATAGTTGGTAAGCAAAGAGCCGCGGTGACCGCAGCGCGGGAATGAGGGAAGTGGGGGGTATGAAAGAGCAGTACTTGGGTTGGGAGGGTGTTGTAGTGTGGATTTCGGGATTGGCTTGAAACGAGGCGGAAAAACTGGCTTTGTTTGGGGGCAAGACTTGCATCTCTATACCACGCATGTATGCAGCAGGTGCTTTTCATGCGTTGCCATGCTTTGCACCCTTGACCCCTCTTCTGGCGAGCTGCCATCTTCAGCGTTGAGGGAGTGCGTTGTGGGGAATGAGGGGAATGTGCTCGCTACTAGGAGTACCTAGCTAGGAGCTTAGTTCTTGTCGTCCTCGGAATGCACGCATCCATTTTCATATTGCTTTCGTAAAAGCGGTTTGGCCATCCGCGTCTGCCTTTCACCAATGCACATCCGTGTGGACAAGAATGCGCATTACGTCCCTTTTGTGTACTGTGGAACCGCCATGGGGGTTCAATAATGCCGCAAATGTTACAACGCCACCATACAAGCTTATCCTACCTGCTGCACTGTCGGTCAATCATCTGGTGCTAGCGGCCTGCCTTTCGTGCCAGCAGTTCGGCTCCTACAAGGCATTCTCTAGGATGGGAGCTCTATTGCTTTTCGTCGTCGATTTGTTGTTGTAGTCTTTCGCTTTGCACCGGCTACTGAGTAAATGGAAACTTTTGCGGCAGTTGGGAGCGTCCCCTGCCCATTGCATTTCATGCTCTTGGGGTTATTACTTGAAAGGTTGGATGGCTGTCACACTGATGGACTGAAGCCCGAAGGCAATGATATGTAGGCTGTCCTACACTGAGGAAGGAAAGGAAAAAATCCTTAAGCAATGGTTTGCCAAAATCAGCCACGGCTAAAAGTCATAAGCTGGTTTACCCGTCTGCAGTCTGAGTTTGGAGTTTCTGTTTTTGAGTTTCGGAGTTTCGTATTTTGCAAATGCATTGCGGTACTGCTCTTTGTCGTAGCGAGCTGCATACGCAGCGGCAAGCAAGCTCTGAAGCACACCCTTTCATTGGCCTGAGTGGTCAGGTATGGTTGGTGGTTGGTGGTGAGTTAAGATGCTTTAGCATGGCTCGCTTCCGCCCTGCCGTTACGTGGTTGCCTGGTTGGTTTTAAGTTGTTTGTGACCATCAGCGGGAATCCTGCTCGGTTGCCTTAGCCACTGCCCATTGAGACGCACCCGCCCCTTTTCTGTCGTGCTACATACTGAGGGTATTGTCGCCATTCAGGCAATGTCCAGGCGCTGCAGAATGCGCCTTCTACCGGTACGTTGGTTGCTGGTTTGCTCAATGTGCCTGGCTAGCTCGGGATTTATTGTCCACTTTACAGCCTGTGGTTTATACACCGCGCGTGTTAAGAAGACTGACCACGAGTAGGAACGTGCAGCGTATGTATGAACAGTATGATGAGTTGTGCACGTGGATTGTGTTTTGGTTGGGCTACATTGCTTGCTGCATCTGGTGGGTGAACGATCTTGATATGCGCCGTACGGCAGGACACACGTCCAATTACTGGAGTGCAATCGTGGAGGTATCGTGTGTCGTTGCAGGGTTCTGCTGTCTGGAGGGGCTGCACTGTGGTGCCGCTTGGTTGTGAAATACCCGTGAAGGCTAAGGTTTGTGGAGCAATCCGGGTCGATGAGGGCAAAATGGAGCAAATTATTTCGAGTGGAGTGGCGGAAAGTTGTACGGCAAATGGCAAGGAGGGGACAGACATACATTGTATGTTGCTGAACATACATTTGAGTGTCCTGTCTTGAACTAGTTTAGGGCATTTGTCAAGAGGAATGCCGCCCATCATGTATGCCACCGTTGCTACGGTACGCATGCAGGTTTTTTTGTCGTACAATGATACGGAGGCTGCTATGCATCAACATGCGAAACGTGCAAACGTCAACAAGACTAAATGCCTAACATCCATACCATAGTGCACTCTCTCAACTTCCAACTCCTGCTGCTATATCCCCTTAAGAGGTGTACCGGAGGCAGGTCTTATATCATATGTTGACCAATTATTGACCACAACTAATCTATCATTTACAATGTTCCTGTCCATTATGCATAAACTTAAAGGCAAAACCAAGGAGCATACACAGACCCTGTACTGCACAGCATCCGCTTCTTAGACATTTTATCCTTCTACCGGTAGCAGCTTGTCGCTCTATCCTGGCAGAATGCAACCCAGCGTGCGTGTCCTCTTCAACATAACTTAACCGGCGGCTCCCAGCAGGCGAGCCAGCTCATTAATTGTGAGAGGAACAAGTAAGGCCCAGGAAGCAGGGGAATCAGCAGCACACCGTCCGCCTACAGCTGCAGTAATTGGCGACGTCAGTGGCCCCCGCAGTCGCCAACGGTGACGATGCCAGGTACTTGGACACAAGTCCTGCGGGCGTGTGATGATGATGTTAAGGATGAGACGGGGCGGGCGGAGGGAAGTGAACGAGCCTGAATGCACATGCACATGGTTACACTCGCAACCGTATGCCACACTTCGTAACTAACACACCCCGTCACAAACCATTCATCGTCACGCACCTCACCCTGAAAGGCTACAATGTCAACAGAAGCTCCGTTTGCTTGGTTCAACACATTTATACTGGTAATACTGGCATTCCGCCTATAACAACTTAGTTCCTTGCATCAGCAGCTGCTACCGGTATCACCCACCTGCCGCTGTCCACATCCACTCGCGTGAAGGGAGCCCGCACTGCTACCTGCGGCGGTGGATAGGAACGACATACAGCGTATGGTGGGAACGGCGACAGGAATAACCCATGGGGGACACTTGAGGGCATGCATGGTGCACGTATGGGCGGCCAACATCAGAACAAGACGGTTACAAGGGTCCTTGACTGCATGCAGGGTAACAACTACGGCAACAATCAACTCGTCCCCGCCTTGCTTGCTGCCCCTTGTTTAAATCGTAATTATCTTTGGCTTTCGGATGTACATACCGTGCCATTCGTGACGTTCACACCGGTGCCAGGCGCCACAACAGTGACATTGCCGCCCTGCTGCCGTACCACGGTGCCCGGAGCGGTCACGTTGGTGGAGGAGCTCTGACCCTCTGCCAGCAGCAGCAACAGGAAGCGCACAACGCAGTAAAGACAAAAGGGAGGAAGGTTACGGTTTGGTTTGGCTTGCAGCAGGGTGATGCAGGGCAGCGTTCAATGACACAGGTTGGCTCCAGAGGGATGGATAAGCAGCAAGCAAACCTGCGCCGCCTGCGCCCCTCTGCTCAGGTAGACCCCATCTTGAGTTTTTGACACGTCGCAGGCCGCCGCACGCACCTACCTTTGTTGGTTGTCACCTGCGTACCAGGGGCAAGGACCTTCACAGTAATTGTGCTGTTGTCGCTGCCACCACCGCTGCCGCCGCCACCGCTGCCGCCCACATTCACGTTCCCGCCGGCCGCCACCTTGCCGCCGCCGCCGCCCTGTTGCTGCTGCAGACGCCGGCCGCGACCGCAGCCATCACCCCAGCAGATGCGGCCGACCACAGGCACTATGACGGAGCCGCTGGGGGCGGGGTGATAACAGCGAGTAGACAGAAAAACGTATTGTTAGGCCCCGAACCCACCGTTGCCGGTATTGTCGTAGTTTAAGGCAGCAGTAGCGCCAGTCAAACGAGAGATATTTGTCAAGTCTGAACCAACCATCACCGGTAGCAGTGCTAGCTGCCTGTCAAACCCACCTGCCGGTCTTCTTGTCCACATCCACATGGGCAAAGGAGTTCCGTACGGCAACCTGGCGCACGAATGAGGGGCGGGGGCCGGGGGAGCCGTGAACAGTACGGCAACAACAATAGTAATCAGAGGACCCGCAATGCCGCCGCCGTGCGTTCAAGGAGATCGGCTAACCCCTTTGCTGTTGTCTCATGGCTTAGGCATCCAAGATCTGTTTAATCTACCGGTAGTGATGACCTACGGAACCCTCGGGGCATGGGTCTGACCTGGTCGTCCGTGTTCGCCACCACCGTCATGGGCGCCTTCACAACCGTCACTCCGTCCTGGGAGGCCACTGCAGTGCCGGGAGCCACCACCGTCGTACGCTTGCCTGGAGGCACGACAAGTACCACACAGAGTGTACGGCAGGGCGAAAATGCTTACGGACAAACTACAAGCAATTAATTGTACTTCAAAGAGCGTGGATGGACGAAAGTGACGCGATTACAGGAGCGGATACAGGAGCAGATACGGGAGCGAGTAAGGGGGGCGGAGTGCCAGGAAGCAGCTACACAGGGACGGCCCTTACCGTTAGTAGAGACGGAAGTGGTTGGGACGTCGACATTAACTTCCGCACGACCATCAGCATCGCCAGCGCTCTTGCCCGTGATTGGCACTCGCTCCTTCTCCTTATTCAGAAGGTCACGGGACGCATCTGCGAACGTGCGTTTGTGTGGGAACACCTCTCAATAGCATGCAGAAAGGCACCGATTGACCCATGGGTCATCAACATTAGCGGAATAACCACGTGGTCGGCAGGCGCTATCTATGGCCTCTGACGCAGGAGGAAGGTGTGCAGTCGGACAGGCGTACAGGCAGGCAGGCCAACTGGCAGACCAACAGGCAAGCAGACAGGCGGTCAATGGATACAAGGAACGAAGAGACTAGGTACGCGCACCTGCGGGATGGGAAAGCAGCAGGAGGAACGAGCCCAACCCCAGCAGCAGCAACAGAGCTGCAGCCCGAGAGATGTAAGGAGACGCTCTAACGGTGCACTGACGCCCCATTCGTAGCTTCGAAGTAGCAGCAGCAGTCACAGCCGTATTAGCAGCTGCAAATGACAGGCAGGCAGGGTGGAGGTGTTGGAACAACCTTGCTACGACGCTAAGACGTTCTTGGGAAAGAAACGCTCGGGGATGAGAGGCACAAATAAGTAGTCGCAACGGTTATGTCTTGTTCTTATGAATTGCACAGTACAAGTAGAGAGCTAGGGGAATCCAGAATTTGCAAAATCGGCTTCGTTCGTGGGTGAGCGTTCGTCATTTGACGAAGGGTGGTGGTCCAATGACCCTCAAAGATGTTGCCCGAGGTCTGAGGCTGTCGTCAGGCAATCACGCACAATGCACATAAAAGTCTAGCATCCATATGTAACTTCGTGTTATCTTTGGGTAAGCTGTGCTTGACGGCAACTGTTGGGTTTTGGCGACGAGTGTGAGCTACGGGTAGTTGCCTCAACTACTGCGCGATTCAGTTGCCGGTACAGCTCAGTTAAGCAAAGCCCTTTTCAGGGCGGCCGTCCTTCTTCGGATAATCAATGTGTGATAAAATAGATACATTGATGCATTACGTTCGTCGACTCACCAGCTCAGCATGCCGGTAGTGTCTGTACGGCGGGCGTGGAACGTCAACATCAGCAATTGCTTGCTTTGACAGGGGCGTTGCCGCTTCATACATGTAGCTATGCACTGGAATTGATCTCGACGGGATTGCCTGGGAGGACATGGGTGAATCGCACTAGCTCTGCATTCGCTAAAATAGCCGTTTACAGATACGGACGTCTACAGGAAACAAACAAAATAAACGCTACCAAACAGATGTACATTTGGCCTCTCCTAAGTTCACCGCCCCCTAACAAGCCCATATGACATACACCGTGTGTGTAATGAAACCCCCACAGCCACCGCAGCCTCCATAATTCCGTGTACCGTACATGCCAGCAGGCATTCCCAATGCTGAGCTCAGCATGAAACAGATAAAATGCTGGCCAGCTTACACACATAACACGCACGTTTCCTGGCCAGCGTCCTTCCCTTGTTACTTGAGAACTTGATCCAGGCCGCACACATGCGTCCTCAAACAAGCAGCGTCATACCTTTAAACTATATTACCGGTGTACTGTTTGAACCGACCCAACACTGTTCCATTTCCCGCCTTACTTACATTCCAGTGTTCCACGAGCCCCCCATCTATATACGGTATGCTTTTATGTCATGCGACCGCAAGACACATTGCATGCAACGTCCACACCAAACACCATGCAACGTCCTATTAAAAAAGGACGCCGCCGCCGCTCATTACATACCGAAGTGACAATTGTAACAATCACTTAACCGGGACACGTCTTCCCCTAACCGCCTAACGTGATGTTTCATTACCAATGCGGGCAATGCCTGGGGCTGTCACATATATCACCAGCAATGCATGCATCCAACCCATCCAAAGTGAGGACCGCCACAGGCGCCCAACCGTCACCGTCTTCATCGCTGTTGCCGCCTGTCGCCCTTGTCTCTCCGCCGCCTGGCCCCTCCCGCTGTACGTTGTATGCCTTCCAGCATAGCCGCCTGCAGGCAGCATCGCATCGCCACACTCAGCCTTCGAGCGTGATTGGAAAGTCACAAATATCATCCGAGCGTGGAGCACGTATAACGTATGGGAGGCGTTCTAACAGCTTTCTAGGAGTGCCGCAGTACAGGCTAGTCAGGGGCGGGTGCATAGTTGCATGTGATGCGTCAAGAAGAGACCCACGGGTCACCCATGAAATATTGACCCAGCCAAGTTTAACGAGGCAAATCGCGCCGCGAACATCAAGCGCTTTTCCTCTTGTTACAGTGGTGCATGTCCTGAGGCGCGATTGCCTTGTTACACCAAGTGCGCAGACACTTCACCGCTCACCCCAAAAGTCACACCACTACCTCTCCTTCATCAACTCCTTTACAGGTACGGCGGTACGGCACCCACCTGCGCGTCGCCCATCACCTGCCGCTCCCGTACCGCCATGAGGCCCAGTCCGACCGACAAGATGCCGTACAAAATATCGTAGACGATTTGGGGCCCAGAACCAGAACCTTCCGAAGTCGTAACGCCCGCCAGGTCTGCAGCAAGGTGTTAACATGTGTGCAAATGGAAGGCGGTCAAGGAAAGTGAAGAGAATCACAACGAATGCAGTATCTAGGCGGCATTGGTATAAAGCACGTTGGAATGCTGACAACTGCCCCAGCCGTATAATACCTCTCCCGCTCACCGTTAACCAGCAAGAGCGCCAGGAAGGCGGAAGCGTAGGAAAACACGTATAGCTTCAAGGGCGACCGAACCCCGGGGCTAGCGGCGGAAAGGGGCTTACTCCTTCGCTCTGCCTGCGCTTCCGCTTCCGTTCCAGAATCGGATCCGGAATCCAAGGCTGCGTTTGAAGACGAGGAAGCTGTTGGTGAGGAAGAGGATGAGGAGGCTGCTTTACCAGAAGCACCTAAGGAGGCAGATGAAGGAGAGGAGGAAGGAGAAGCTGAGGAGGAGGCAGGGGTGTCCTGCTTGCCGGGTGGCGTGTAGAGGCTTTTGAAGAAGAGGCCCTTGGAGCGATCCTCAGCAGACTGGGCCTCCCAGGCAGCAAGCTCAGCCTTGTCCGCCTGTCACCGGGATGTAAGGAGGACGGAAGTGCAAGGAAGGGAGGTTCGGAAGCTCGCCTAATAGGAATCGTACCGGTAACCGTTGCATGGAAACGCCTAAAAGGGTGCGCACGGCAGAGCACGCAACATGGTGCTGCATGCGTAAAGCGTCAGAACGCAAGAGAGAGAGATGCACATGAACATACTATGTCACCGTACGACATGCCATGCCGTACTCCGTACTGCCGGTTCTGCCGTACTACCTGCATTTGCTGCTTGATTCGCTCCACCTCCGCCTCCACCTCATCCAGCGCCTGGAACGTCTCGGACTGCAAGCGTCTCGGCAGAAGGGCAGAAAGGCACACCAGGCCAACACTTTATCCTTTAAACGTGTATCCAGGAGCGCATGCATATGTACAAGGAAGAGAGAAATGCCGGTCAGGCAAGCAAGAATCGCCGAGCCTTGCTAGGAGGTACAAGCAAGGAGAGGAATTCAGCCGCCCTTAAGAGGGACCCAATGGCTCCGGCCGCAATACCCCGCCGCGCTCGCATGTGACATGGCATCCAATCGCGCAACCTGATCCAACCCCGCCAACCCAAACCAACCCACCATCACGTAATTGGCGCCCATCTCGGTCCTCAGGCGGTCCAACTCGCGATCACGATCCAAGGCGGCTTGCAGCTGCGTCCGGGTTGCAACGACGAACAGAGCAGTTACCGAGTTACGGTAATAATGGACGGAATGAAGTTGGGAAGGAAGGGTTTTGTGGTGGTGCCATGCTGCAGCTGGTACCGGTACGTGGGGGCTGTGGAAATTGCTAAAACTTGGCACATGCGCACCACGCCCATAGACCACACCTCCTAAGACGGCAGGTTCCGAGTATTCGGCTTGTATGGCTTGTTTCGTTCCTCACAACTTGCTACGCACCTCATCCCCGATTGCTCTCATCTGAGCCTTGCGCTCCTCCAGGTCAGACGCCAGCTCCTCCCTGGCTCGTACTCGCCGTACCTCCATCTGTACGGAATTGACAGCCGGTGACATCCATAGGACGATTAGAGAAGTGCTTTAGCAATATCCCACAATGCCTGAATTGCGCCGCCTACCGGGAACATCGCACCTGCAATAAGTCTGCTAGGGTGTCCTGCACCTCCGAGCTGTCGCCGCTGTTAGCATCGTTATTGCCCTCAGAACTGCTGCTGCTCGCGTTGCTCTGGCTGCCGCTCCCAAGTCTGCCGTTGGCGCCGCGGTAACGGCCGATGCCGAGCATACGGTCTAACTCATCATCATCATCATCATCGCGCGGACTGCCCCCACTGCCTCCAGGTTTACCATTGGTAGCACATATGGGTGGCACGCGTAGCCGACTAGTGTACCCCAGGGCAGGCCCATGAGCATGCGGAGCTGGCAATTCACGGCCGACCTTTGTCGCCCTGCTGGTTCAGGAGCGCTAAAAGTAAACTACACATGGTAGATTACACTAACGCGAGTAGCTGACGTCGGTACGAGTCGCGGAAGCAAAGCGACATTACGATTTCGCTGCCTTTATCAATTAGTCAGTGAAAGCGCAATTAACTTATCCGCGTACCAAGATGTTTGAATCCTTGAAGGCGGTATGCACAGCGCCCTTTGACGAACTGAGAGCCGGGCCCCGAAAGTTCCTTGGCACTCAACGACCATAGTTATGAGTTCAGATCAAGTAAGAAGCACTAGCCGACTATGAGAAATGTCAATGACAACGGAGTATTGGTTCGAGTAGGTCGAAGCATAACAACACTAGCAATGGCCTGTCGGTTGTGCTTGTTTTGTCAGTCGCAGTCTAATGAAAACACTGTTGAAGACAAGGGTTTCCGTAATAGTATGGTTCTTGCTTGAAAAGCCTTGCTGGTAGTCAGGCAATACGGCTGATGAAGTAGGACTGTGGCGAGGTGCGCGTCATCCAAGGTGCGCGTGACTCGTGCTAGGGGGCGTAGGGGCACATGTGCGTAGTAATAACAGCCTCTGAATGCTTACATGTCACCGGTGTGTAAACGAAACCATGGCTTGCGAAGCACGCACACCAACCGGATATCACAGCTCGGTTCTGTGAAGAGGACCGTACACGCCTCCCAAACCCTGGTGGCAAGCGGATCTCGCCGCTTCCCTCCCGTGCATACGATGAAACCACCGATACTTTTGATTAAGGTTCAAGATAGTATTGAGTTCTCTTATACATGCCGCCAACTCCATTCATGCACAAGCAACAAGGCCAATACATGAAGCAGCAATCCTGCCTGCCGACAATGCCACAACCAAGTACGGCATTGCTCGACTCTGCCAACACTGCCGTACTCCACTGGCGCCACCACACAGCACCCCCTCACGCCCCCTTCTTGCTCCTCTTCGGCATGCCTCCCGCCACAGTAACCACCTTGACCGATTCCCGCTCTGCCGCCGCCTTCTTCCCACGCTTCCCCAGATCCTTTGCCAACGTTTCCGAGTAACGCAAGGGCGCAATGGCCACACCCGCCTGTTTAAGTACGGCCGGGCGAGTGAGATCGCGGAAAGCCACATCCGGGTTGTACTCGCGACCCAGGGGTTGGCGCAGGGAACGTTCGTAGGCTTCTTGGCTGGTAAAGGGGAAGGGCGCGGTGGGAGCTGTGTACTTGGCAGCCTTCTTGTCCCACTTCTCGCTGATAACCACGTACTTGAGCTGCGCGTCCTTACGGTTGGCAGCAGCTTCAGCGCGTTGCCTGAAAAGAGGAGCGGAGAAGCGGGGAGCCAGGGAGCGAAGGGGCCGGAGAAGATAGTAAGTAACACGGTAAAAACGTAACACGTTTCGCATGCGATGCATGAAGTGATGTAGGGTGGTATTGGCACTTTCGGCGGCGGATCGTACTGGGTTCAGACAAGGCTGAATTGGAGTCTGCAGTGCACATCGTGCATACGTCTTTATGGAATTGTTTGGTCAATTTGTCATCGTCACCCATCACCGCCAAGAATGTGCCCTGACACACACGCACCGATACACGATAAGGACATGCGCACCGGCCCCACACTTACTTCGTGGCCTTCTCCTTCGCCGTTTGCATCCACTTGGGGTTCCGCTGCTGTCCCGCCCAGGCGCCCCAGCCAGGCAGCGCCGAGGGCTCCTCGATTTGCGGCAGCTCACCCGCCACCGCGGCCGCCTTCTCCGCAGCAAACTCCGCCTCAACGTCGTCACCCGCAAAGGCCTGCCGAATGAGGTCGCGCTGTCCGCCGGTAGCCGGCCGCATGATGGCGCCGTTGTCCTCGCCATCGCTGCCCGCAGCAGCAGCAACGTCGGCCGCCGCAGCAGCAGCAGGCGCCGCAGCGGACTTGCCAGACGGCTGCTGCGCGCCCTTCCCGGCTGCAGCTTGCGTGGATGCCGGCTGCTGCTTTTCCTCTTGACCCGCTACCTTAATGCCGGTATCCTTCGCATCTGAAGCCTTGCCTTTGCCCTGCTGCTGCTTACCCGCAGCCTTGGCCGCCGCCGCCGCCTTCGAACCGGCAGCAGCAGCAACAGCGGCCGCCGCCTTCGCATCAAAGTAGTACCCCAGCCCCTGAGGACCCTTCTTGAAGGCATAGCCCGGCTTCGCGCCGCCAAACTTCTTCGCTGCGATGAACTTGGGCTGCTGCGCTGCATCCCCAGGCCCCTCAAACAGCGCCGCACGACCGCCTCCCGCCGCAACCGACCCTTGCTGCGCCGCCGCCGCCGCCAAGGCACCGCGAGCAGAAGCCATGATGTTGCCGCCGCCGCCAGCAGCAGCGGCAGCGCGTGTGCTGGCAGCACGACCGCTTTCCCGCCGCTCCTCATCCGCATCCTCCATCTCGGTCTCCTCGTCTACCGTGACACGCCCCGCCGCACCAGCAGCAGCAACAGGAGCGTCAAGACCGGCATCAGAGCTGGACACCAGCAGACCTCGGCCCGCGGCGCCGGCACGTACGGCAGCGTCGAGATCCTCCTGATCCGCCGCCGACGGCGCCGCCAGCCCAGTGGACCCCTTGCGACCCTTCTTGCCACCAGCCACTTGCTTCTGCTGCTGCTTCTTGGTAGCGGCGGCGGCGGCGGCGGCCTCACGGGTTCGCCGGCCCAGGCGCTCTGCCTTGGCCTCCGCATCCTCCGCGTCATCAGAGTCAAGGTCAGAGTCATCGCCGGCGTCAGCGTCAGCGGCTGCCGCCGCTGCGACGGCGGCGGCATCCGACCCGGCGCCAAACCTCCGTCGCCCGGCGGTCGCTGTCGCTGCAGCGGCGGCAGGCACACCGTAACCAACAAGTGCTTCGAGCAGGTTTCCGGAAGTCCCTTGAGCTCCCACGCCGTCATCCTCTTGCTGCTCCTGATGCCCTTGTTGTTGTTCTTGCTCCTCTAGTTCTCGAAGAAGCTGTTCGGCGTCTTGCCGCGCCTCGAGTCGCCTCTTCTCCAGGGCCCGCTTCATGAAGGGGAGCGCCAACAGGCCCTTCTTAGGCACCTCGCCATCGTCAAGCGGGCCTTTCCCTGGAGAGGAACGAGGAGAGAAGGAGAAGACAAGAGAATAGGACAAGATGAGAGAAAGCAAACCGATGTGCCGCAAGCAATGCAAGACGGCAAAGAGCGCGGAAAAGGAGAGCGGAAGCGTGAAGAAGAAGGAAACGTGAAGGAAACGTGTGTTGGATGTTCGCACGCGGGCCACTCGTCCGGACCGCCGAATGGGTTATCGGCGGTCCGGAACTGGGGTGTGTTGGCCGCGCAGCCGGCGAATGAGTGATTTGGCGCATTTGCAAAACCAGTGCTGCGATGCAATTAGGCGCAGCGTGGTGCTTTAATGCGCACAGCATGAGATACACGACGGCAGACAAACGGTGCCTACTCGCCGTACTACTCACCGCCGTAACAAGAGGCACGACATATGCTGTCAAGAGATGTATCCAACCAGTTGGGACCCCCTCCCCTCTCCTCCTCTCTTCTCACCTGCCAGGATGTCCAGTGCGGCACTCCGGAGCCGTCCGGAGCCACCCCGGCCGGCCGCGCCGCCGTCCCCATCAGCTTGCATCTCGTCATCAGAGGCGGAGGTGCTGCCGCCGCTGCCGTCGTCGTCGCTGCCGCTGCCCTTGCGCCCCTCGATCTTGCGGCGGAGCTGCTGCCCCAGCTGCAACTGTTCCGCCAGGGCCGCCTTGGTGCCTGTGGTGACACAAACATGCAAACCAAGACAAGAGTAAAAAACATGCAAACCAAGAGAATAATGGTCATCCAGCTGCGCCCAGCTGCGCCCAACTGCGCCTTATTACCAGTATGAAGCCCCATTTCGAAACCGCTCATAAGAGCCACCAACCTCGCCAAAGCCCCGCATGCAACCGCACCAACACCCACCCGCATCCACTTGCAGTTGCCCCCGCTTCAGCGCCCGCCGCGCCCAGCGGCTGCTGTTCCTGTGTCGCAACGTCAACCGCTCCTTCGCGCGCTGGAACTCGGCCTCGATCGCCGCCACCTTCTCCGCATCCACATCGCCGTCTTCCCCGCCCGCCGCCGCCTCTGCCTCCGCGAGCTTGGCTGCCTTGCGTTTGGAGGCCTTGGCTAGGTGACGGTGGTACTCCTTGCTCTTGATCGCCTTGAGCCGCCGCGCCTTGAGCTCGTGGTAGAAGAGCAGCGAGCGCATCTTGGCGAGGCGCTCCCTTCGCTCTCGAGCCTCCTCTAGACTGAGGGCCTGAAGGAAGCGAGAAGGAAGAAGGGGTGAGAAAGCGTTAAGAAGGGATAGCGCAAGAAAACAGATGTGTGAAGCGTTCAATCCCAACTCTCTTCTTATTCCGTCCCCAGCACGCTTCCATGCTCACACCCTCAGCGGTAAACCCCCTCCGCCAAGTAAACCAGCATCCCCAGAAGTACCACAAGCACGGGACGTTTCGAATCGCGGCCAGTTTTCTTAACAACCAGCATATGCTCCTACTCGCGGCTAACACACAAGCATGCGCCTCACCTTGAGTGCGAGCTGCTCCTCCGCCTCCTCAATCGCCTCCGTGTTCGCCGCCCCCGCCTGCTCCAACAGCGCCGCCACCTCCGCCTCCAGCGCATTGTCCGCCGAGGGGGTGTGCTGCGCCACCAGGGCCGCGGTGGTGGTCACTCGGGGGACGTCCTCGCGACCCGAGACGAGACGCAGCGTGGGTGCCTCACGGTTGGCCTGAGAGGAAGGATGAGAAGATGGGAAGACGGAGGAAGTGAGTTAAGAAGGGCGAGGGCTAGGGAAGGATAAGACGGATGCGAGAAAGGATAGGGAGCTGTGTAGTGGTGCGGAAAAGGATAGGGAGCGGTGCTGTGGTGCGAGAAAGGATGGGGGAATGTGGAGGAAAGAAATGTACCCGCCAGAGGTTGCTACCAGGTTCATGCGCCCAAGCGGACGAAGGATCGATGTCCAACAAGGGAGCTTCAATGGCAGCCGTTTGCCAGCGGGATTTGGCTATCGCGAACCTCCTTCAACGCTCCCGCATGGTGTAACCGGGGCATTGTACACAGGTGCGCAGAGAAACAGCAAGAGTTGGGAAACCCATGGCCTTGCTAAAATGTAAGTATTCACCATGTGGCTCACAGCCAGCAGGAAACGTAGCCAAATCCTCACACGACCCAGCTCACCTTGACAATAGGCAGCCACTTAGACACTTCCTTCGAAGCCGCCTCGTACCCCGCCTTCCGCTCTTGCCGCTCTGCTATGATGCCCGGCAGAGGCACCGAGACAGGCTTCAGGCCCTTGGTGCCCCGCCGCCGGCTGCCGCCCTCCTCCTCGTCCTCGGCTCCCGCCCCTGCGCCGCCGACCTTCTCCAGCAGTCTCCGAGCAGCACCCAGCTTGCGGCGCTCTTCGGGAGCGAGGCCCTTCAGGAGGTCCGCAATGCTTAGGGAGGCGAGGCCGCCTGCAGGCCAGTCAGGGGAATAGAGGAGGCAGGATAGGATGAGGTACTGCGCACATGCATGCGTTAGAAGCGCAAGGAGGCCACACATACTTGGTCAAAGCCAGCCAGATGCGGGTAGGTCTAAGAGAATGCGAACATGAGCAAGAGAGCACGCGGGTTCCGGCGCTTTTGCATGCATGGTGGAGTGCGTGAATGTACCCGCCAGAGGTTGCTACCAGGTTCATGCGCCCAAGCGGACGAAGGATCGATGTCCAACAAGGGAGCTTCAATGGCAGCCGTTTGCCAGCGGGATTTGGCTATCGCGAACCTCCTTCAACGCTCCCGCATGGTATAACCGGGGCATTGTACACAGGTGCGCTCACTGTACCTAAGAACTGCTATCAACGCATGCATTCAACTCAAGCCAGCGTGTATCTGCAAGGGGTCAGCAAGGAACCAGACAACCCAATTGCCTTAACCAACTCAATGCCAAACCCGACGCCCCACCTGCCGAGGCAGCCCCTGGGTTGAGGTTATACTCCGACTCCGGGTAAGCCTCCGAAACCACTGCAGCATTTGGGTCACGTCGAGCCTTCTTCCGAGAACCCGTGCCTCCCTCCGCCGCCTCCAAGACCTCCCGAAGCATGGCTCTGCAGTGGAGAAGGTAAAGATGAGGAGAAGGACTGGGCTTCAAGAGTTTCGAGAACAGGCGAAATGAATGGGTCGATGCTGGTGGGATGCTTAATAGACACGTCGTGGCAGCATGTCAAGTTGGCCGCCTCATGCTCCATAATCCCAAGATCTGCAAGCTGCCATCCTCACCTATGCCGTTCATCGTCCTCGTCCTCGCCCTCATCTTCCCCATCCTCCTCCTCTTCAAGGTCGTCATCATCATCATCATCATCGCCGCCTAGGAAGAGATCATCATCGTCGTCAACGTCGCCATCCTCGGCATCCTTGGGCTGATTTCGACGACTGCCTCGCCCGCGGTCCTCGTCGGCGTCGTCATCGTCATCGTCGCCATCTTCGTCTTCATCATCCCAGTCTTCACCGTCGTCGTCGCCTATGGTATCGCCCTCGTCCTCATCGGCGCTGACCTCCTTCTCAAACCAGGCACCGAACTTTTTCTTATCCTCTTCGGTAAAGGCAGTATCCTCGTCAATCTCCTCATCCTCAAAGTCTGACGGCAGCTCGTACTCGTAATTGTCGACTTGCTGCGAAGGCGCGATGGTTCGCCGAAAGGGCCAAGGGGCGCGGCAGTCAGCAAGGGTGTTTCAGGGCAATGCAAACATCCATAGAAGTCTAATATCGGAGAGTGTTTTCGACTAGCGGCTGAAGCTTCACTTAACAACATTATGCGCAACCCATATGCCAGGCAAAGAGGAAGAATTCGCAGTAATAACCACAAGGGCAATATGGGTAAATAAGGCTATGGGCGAGTACATAGCTAACCGGCCAGGGATGCGGCGGACTAGCACTTACGTCAAACCGCTCGGCGTGCTTAACCTCATCCGGGTCGGAGTCTTCGGCCTCGTAGACGTCTCTGTCTACTGGCTTTGAACGGCCCTCACGACGGCTTTGCTTGGCAGGTCTACCGCCGCCGCCGCCAGAAGGCGCACCGCCATGCTTACGCTTGCCGGGCCCCGCACCAGCACGCTGCTTTGGGGCCTTGCTGCTAGAGCGCGGCCGCACCATGCTGCCGGCCGCTGCCGGGGGGCAACACTTTAGAGCTCAGCGAGCATGCTCTGCGTAGAAGGGCGCAACTCCTGTCTAATCGTCAAGCTCAGTATTTGTTCAAGACGCAATTTGTTATAAGTAACTGCGCTGCTGGTAAAGATACATTCATAGCTATTGTCGGCATTTCTGTATGCGCCACACGATCGGCGCACGCTCGTACAGTACGATTGTTCCGTAATCCTACTGTAGAATTTTTTGTACGTATTGCGTGGCAGACCCTGGTTTTTTGGATAGGTTTAGTATTTAATGCCTTCAAGTTCCAAAAATGCTTTGCCTGACGCGCCCCTTACTCCTCCGTGCCACACCCCAAACGGTCCTACCCATACCATAACCAACACGCTTCTGCAAAGAGCGTTACCCCCCTTCGCTATACCGGGAGTACAACCCAGCAACCCAGCCTCCACCTCCCGTGTCACCTGCGAGTTTAACATGTACGCAACATGTTAGAGCGCCCATAGGAAGGCTCTCACTCTGGTCAAATAACTTCGGGCAGGAACGGCGCGCATCATTGTCGAGCACCCAAACGAGACTGCTCAGTCAAGCAACCATGCCATGACTAGTAATGAGCGTACGATTCCCCTGTGCAATTGTGGAGACGAGCTGCCGGGAAGTTGCACAACTTGTTGGATAAAACCTTGGCCGTTGGTGCCCCTGGCTCGCAGGGACACACAACGGCATGTCTTGGCCACTAGCCTCAGCCCAACCCCATTGCCTTCACGTACTTAATACCGGTACCCTAAAGGAGTCCTGCCTCCTGCCGCCACGGTTTCAAAGAAGTCGTGTTGTTAAGGGGGTAAATAAAACCGGGAAATGCAAGGCAGGCCCCGCTAACCCTTTACTACCGCGGTAACGACACGCGAATTCGCCGCACACAACTGCACAACACAGAGCAGCGTCAGCCAAAAGCCGCATGCGTCCAAAGGATTCGCAGCTTCCAAACTTGACATGTGTACGGCAAGAAGTCGTACATTCCCAGCAAAGAACAGGCCAGCCTGCCAACGCCCTGCCACTACTTGCCAGGGAAGCAACCGTCAAGGTAGCAACGTAAGGCCATGAATCCAACCGACCTCACGCAAGGAGGAAAGGCAACTGCCCAACGCCCCACGTGCATCCATCCATCGATCAACATCAACCTTTATGATCTATACTTAGCAAGGCTACACCTCACGCCTTCTGACAATTTGAGACCTGGCTCAAGACAACCCAACGCACCGCAGATACCCGCCCGTGCTTACAGCGGTGTGCAAAGGTTTCACTACCCGATTACCGTCGCCGCAACATCCTCTCGTACTTGGTACCTCCACGGCAATCGGGCCCGCAGGTCAAAGAATGGCCCCAGCAACACTTGACACCAGGATAGCAGGTGCAAAGCGTGGGATGCACCTCTACCGGCGGCACGGGCGCTTGGCCGCCGCAGCAGGGGCGGCTCCATCACCGTCCCCCGCCCGGTGATGTGACACACCCGCAGGCGCCTCCTCCACCGCCGCCGCTGCCGTCCTCCTCCTGCCGTGATGTTTCTGAGGTCCCAAAGCAGCGCCGGCGGCGGCGTTTGCAGCAGCAGCCTCCGCTGGGACGCCGCCAGTGGTAGCGGCGGTGTTTGCAGGAGCAGCGGCAGCAGCAGCAGCTGGGACGGTGCCAGCGGCAGCCCTGCCGATAGGGTTGCGCGCCGCTGCCACCGGCGACCCTGGTGACGGCGCCGCTGCACGGCCCGCCGTACGGTCCTGCGCAGCTGCCGCCGCAACCCTTGCCGCCGCCTGCCGTCCTGCAGCCGCCGCTGGCGCCGCTAGAGGCGCCCGCCTTGGCGGCGGCGGCGGCAGCGGGTTCTGCGGACCAGCAGCAGGATGTACGACAGGGCCGCCAGCTGCGGCGGCTGCGGTGGGGGCGGCGGAAGACGGACCGGCGCCGGCGGCACCTGTCTGGCGACGTGCTGCTGCGGGGGCTGTCGCGGCCGCTGCGGTGGCAGCGGGGGTGGTGCCACTACCGCCGCCGCCGCCACCGCCAGCACCGCCACCGCCATGATCCGGGGGCACATGCAGCGTAACCTGGTCGTGCAGTACGAGAGACTGGTCCTTGTCTTGCAGTCCCCAAGCCCACCGCATAACCCTCCACTCCTCCGCCAGCCGCTTCCACCAGTCGGCTCCGTAGTCCCGCAGCAGCTGCTCCCCGGGAGCGATGTCGCGGATGGCGACCAGCAGCGGAACAGGCGCGCCGCGGTACAGTACCGGAACAATCTGGAACAAAGGAGAAGAAGGGCGAAAGGGAGAGGAAAGGACGGATAAGCATGGCTATCGGGTACCGGCTGCAGGCTACTTAGTACTTCATGACAGGTTTTGAAGATGGCAAGTGTGATGCTTGGCATGTCAGGCCCCAACACTGGTTTGGGCCAGATAGCTGTCTGACGACACAGGCACGCAGTGCTAGTTGTTTAGAGGTTACAATAGTTGCATGCAGGGTGCTCATTGTGCTTATGGCTTAATAGCCAGGGAGAAGGCAGGTCTCAATTGGTGTAACCAAAAAGCACGCCGCCTACTTACCATGCAGTTCGCATCTTCCGCTGCTCTCTTAGGGTCGCCGTCCTCCCATGGATTGACCCGTGGGTCGTTCACCAGCGCCGCCAGGTTGCCGTACCCCAGCATGTTCAGCTCCAGCGGCGGCAGTCCTGGCAGCATGGCAAGTTAAGCATCCGGTCAGGGAACGGGGGGTCAGTTGAAACATAGATAACAGGTAAGAGGCGACCTAGCTTGCTCCAACCGGTAACTTTGTTTGGGCAAGTAAGCCAGAGTTGCATGCGGCCCCCTTGCAGTATATACCTTGCCCGTATCCCACCAGTGTTCCCGCATACCAGTGCATCCCTAAGCCCACCAGTACCACTCCCCAGGACCACTTACCAGTACCTGCCGCCGCCCATGACGATGACGACCCTTGCCCCGCCGCCGCTGCCGCTGCCCCTTGCTCCCGCCCCGTCGTCAGTGGCACACTGAAGGACTTCGCCAGGAACCTCCATGCGAGCTGCTCGTCCTGCGGCTGCATGTCTTGGCAGCAGCGCTGGACACGCTCCTGCAGCTGCGCTCGCACGCTGCCCGGAAGCGCCTGCCAGCCCTGATTCACGAAAGCCTCCGCGGTCTCTCCCTGCGGCATCACGTAGCAACCCGCGATGCAGATGATCTCGTTCTTCCTCATTGACGGCCTAGCAAACAGCCCCAGACCGCCTCGGCTGGTGTCCCGCCCCACCACCGCTTTCACCACCGGACCCTCTGACGCCGCCCGTTCAAGCCCCTTTGCGAAGTCGTTACGAATTATGGCAGCGTCCAGGCCGTGTTGACGGAAGGTGGACAGCCACCCGGCTTGTGCTGGCTGCTGCTGCGCACCAGTGGTCCCTGCGGCTGCCGCGTCACTGCCCGGGATGCACAGCTGCTCCTGCAAGCTGAACTGCGCCTTCCGCCCACACTTTAGCATGGCGGTAGCCTCCCAAGCCGTCATCACACGCTCCATGTCCAGCTTCGGATGGTAGGTGACGCTGTCCCAAAGCCGCATTTCATAGACCGGCTGCAGCGGCGGCAGGCTAGTAGTGCGTGGTGGCAGGTAGCCGTGCAGGTGGGAGATGGAGCAGGCAGGCAGAATCGCAGGACGGGGAGTTGCGTCGACGACTGCGGGGTTTGCTACTGCTGCTAGTGCACCTGTGAATGCGAATGCAGCGGCGGCGGCGGGGGCTGCAACAGGGGCGGTGGCAGGCTGGTTGCCGGCCCCGGCGGCTAAAGTGGGGTCGACAGCAGCGGGATGATGGAGACCAGTGGGAAGAGCGCTCCTGCCGCCGCGGATACCAGCACCCCCGATGTCCTCCTCATGCTCCTCGCCGCCATCATCGCTAATGATGTCATCACCAGCCTCGTCATCACGCATGCGTCCCTCCCCATCGCTGCTCCCGCTGCTACTGGTGCTGCCATCGCCGTCGCCATCGCTGCTGGAAGCTACCGCCGCTGCGGCTGTCGCTGCCGCTGTGGCGGCTGCTGCTCTTCCGCGGTCACGCATTGGGGGCTCTGGCACCTCCGCTGCTGCCACCTCTGCGGCCGCTCCCTCTGCTCCCGCTGGCGGCGGGTTTCGCCGCAATGAAAGCACGATGACGTTGCAGGCGCCGCCGACGTCAGTACCCGTGCCTGCGACGCCAGCCGCTGCGGCGGGCATACTTGCTGCGGGAACCAGCTCCAATCGTACCTGGTCCCAGCGTGATGCACGTTCCCTCCTGAGCCACAGCGTGAGCCCCGTTATCGTCCCACACGACCACTTTCCGGTCCACTTGGTGTGGAGTGTGGCTCCGCATGGGCCCGGCGCCTCGATTGCCGCGGCTACTGGCTCGTCCTCGCTTTCCTTAACGAACACCCTGAACTTCTTGGGGACCACGCCAACGCCGCCGTGGATGCCTTTCAGCAGCCACTGCACGGTACTTGCGCGGACGAATAGTTTATGGTAAACGCACGTCTCCTCACTTACGTGGACGAGCGATGGGTCCTTGTCGGTTCCGCCTGTGCTCCTGCCGCCGCCGCCGCCGCCGCCGTCGCCGTCACCGCCAGTCCCACCTTCCCTGATGTCTGCCGCGCCCGCCCCGACTCCGCCTGCACTGCCGCCACCCCTTCCCTTGCCGGCAGGGGCAGCCTTGCGCGCTCCACGAGCCGCCGCTGCCGCCGGAGGGTCTCCAGCGTTGGACGGCCCGGCCCCTGCTGCAGCGGCCCCATCAGCAGCAGCCGCTGCTGCGGTGTGTCTGCCAGAATGCAGCCCTCGAGCGTTGCCCGATCCATGTGCCTCCACACCTGCCCTTGCCTTGCGGCGGAGCTGCATGTTGGAGGGACGAACCGCCACCGCCGCCGCTTCTGCCGTAGCCTCAGCCGCCGTGTCAGCCACCAAACCGTCTCCTGATTGCTGCTCGGGCTTGAACGTGGTGATGATGACGACAGTACGGCTGCCCTCATGGGATGGGGCGCCGGCGCCGGCAACACCAGCGGCGGTGGATGCAGGCGAAGTCTCCACCGCCGAAACAGCCACCGTCGGCACAGCAGATACAAGCAGTTCTCCAGCCGTGGCTTGCAGGCTGCGCAGC